AAAATTGAAGGGTAGAGTCAAAAGGAATTGACGGAGATCTAAGGTCGATGTCCAAGAGTCATATTGGTACTGTCTCTCCAATATCACACAACCCAACATCTTGACCCCAAAGCAAGCCTTTCTTTTCGCATTCCTCTCTCCACCTTCGAGGAGGCTCAAGTACATCCTCATAGTAGGCTGACAGTCCGCCTCGGACGGTACCGTAATGCATCGCTATACTCTTCTTGCTCCTGATATCGATGTGTATGCAAGCAGAGTCTTCCGGTGCACAGTGAACAGAGCTCATGAAGTCTCGAGGCGAGTAAAGACCTATGGGCAGAAGTGCCAAGTCGAATGGCCCGAGCAACTCGCCTATCTCCTTGAAGGCAGGACAGTGAGGCATGGCCTCCTCCTCTTCCTGTGTTGGGTGTGCTGTTGTGACACGACGGTAACCAGTGTCGCCTGCGAAGAACAGTTTCTTGCCAACCTCTTCACTGTTGAGCTCAAGTAGTGACCATGAGCACTACAGCGTTTTGTCCTTGTCGTTGACACCGCGGTTGCTAGTATGCTGTGCAGGTGTGCAGACCAGCTCGACACTACCAATGCCTTCGATGGCAATGCGTGTACTATCCCACCAATCTAGCTCTACCACATCAACATCCAGGATATCAGGCAGTAGCGACTGGAAAAATGTCTTGTTTCCAAGCGCGCAGGCTATGATCGGTGTTCGACCTCGTCGCTTGCTTAGTCTCCATACTTGAGAGATTGTCCACGTGTCTAAGTGATCGTAGTGGTTGTGGCTAATTGCGATGACATCCACTTCCGGCAGATCCTCAATCGTGCATGGTGGAGGATTGTACCTTTTCGGTCCGAACCACTGTACTGGGCTCGTCCTTTCCGAAAAGACGGGATCGAAGAGGACCCGCACACCTCTATCACATCCATAGCCTGCGGTTGTCTCGACCATAAAGCCAGCATGACCCAGCCAAGTAGCTCTCAATGTGTCAGGCGATGAAACTCCCCAATCTGGAGTCTGCACTGGCACAAGCAATTTCCGATCTGTTGGTATAGGTACATTGTTTTTATCTGCTTGGCGTAAGAAGCGTACCTCAAATACCTTGGCAAATCCAGCTAGTGCAAATGATGGCCAAGGATTCTTGAAATGTGTTGGCGGACCTCCTATGTGGTGGTCTTTGAGTGAATTTGGCTTTCGCGACGGTAGTGATGTGATTGTATGGGACATTCTTGTGTTTGGTAAGCTTCCCATTAGTCTGGAAAAGCAAGACTGTTGACGCTTACATGTCTTGAAGCTCTTTAACATATCTAGTTGGTGGGAAGATAAGGTAGAGCACGTGGTGAAGGCACATTTACTTGAACAGATTGTTGACTAGCTGCCGGCCGATTCGGAAGTGAAAGCGCTAGAGGCGGTCAGTCTGATGCAAAATCTTTCATCTCCTGTCATGATGTAACGACGAATCTCGGCCCAAAATTGCTCCGATTAACCCAATAGTCACGAAGCAGCAAACTGTTGTCGTCCATAAAACCAAGTGGACGCGCCGAAACATGGCTGCAGAGACAACAACTGATAGAGTGTTTCTTGAGGTTCTTTGACGGCTAACGATGGATACATTAGTGACATCTATGTTAGCATATTGCACTTTCGGATTGTGGGTCTGCGCTCTCGAGCCATAAATTCAACTCGATATCTTGGAGTTCTTTCCAAAACGTTCCCTCGCATTCATCTAAAATAACCACTGTTATCTATAGTTCGTCGTCGATGCTTCAAGTGCAGTCTCTGAAGAGAGGCACCTCGACAGCTTTAGGCAACGTGTGTCACCAAAGTCCTGCGGAGGCCGACGAATTCTATTCAACAATCGATGGGCGGTTACCACTTCGGTCGGCTGGGGTGTTTAATGGCCGAGCTGACCCCCCATGGCCCTCGCTTGGCCCTGAAGCAAAGACGAGATGTCGAACTAAGGTGTTCTCGAGTTCTTCGCAGACCTTTGGGGAGATAAAGATGTGCAGGAGGGACCATCCTCTGCGTCGCTTGACGACGAAACTGTACACGCCACAATTACTTAGCTATGATGTGCCTTGGTCGTCATAGGCAATGCTAGTCAACTAGTATTGGAGCAGTACTGATAGCTGCGATTGTGGAGAACGAACACTATTGACATAGATCTCGAGGTTGAACTTCGATCTGGTAAAGAGAAGGAAGCAAGCTACATCGGCAGCTGCTCTGTCTATCACCTGACCAAGATGAAAAAAGGCGATGCAATACTCTAGATGCAAGTTAGCCTCAGCCAGAGTTGACTTGTATTCAAGGTGTGTATCGTCCTGATCAGTGATGACGCCTTCGGGCTGTGTGAAGCACATTCATACCGAATCTCACTGATTGGCGTCCGAGTTGCCTGAATACACTGGTGCAGCGTTTTGCTGGACACACACGCCGGTGCTAACGACATCACCTGTCCTGCCCGAGATGATTTGGTGCATCTGGTGGCATACTGCTCCCTTCTTTTGATCTGTGGGTAATTCGATGTCGAGTATGGCTGCTGCAAGTTGCTGTGCTGTGGTCGGGAGGCTGAGGGAACTGCTTGATCAGATCCTGCTTGACGTGTGTAAAAGTGCTTAGAGATCTGCCTGTTCAGGGCCTGCCTGACGCTTTCCGACTGCGGCAGCAAAGACTGGTGGCGGCAGCCGCATTGGATTACAAGGATGAGCACTGGCTGGTGCTCTCCAAGTTGTCATTGGTCTTCCCCCTACTTTGCCCAAAATTCTGCCATACACGACCGATCTGGCCAAGTCCAGGTCTCTATGTTTGTGCCATTGTCTTTTCGCCGTCTGCCATGCCTGGGACTGGTTCTCGAGGAAGAGTATGCGTGGTCGCGGAGATTCTGTCGCAGTGTGTGTCTGTCCAGTGCGATAGTCTTGGTTGCTTTGTACAGACCTGGTCATGTCTACGAGACGTGAACTTCGCCGTTGCGATTGCGTTTGAGGAGGCTGGCTATGCCGGCGATTTACCGAAGCTTAGCTAAAGGCAGATAGTTCCTGATGACGGGGGTGTTTGAAACCGCTCATGCGGCTACTAGTCTATGAACTTCTGAGTACAAGGAGGTCGAAATTCATTGACGATAACGACCGCGTTCTACTGAAGGAGCAGCAGGAGTACTCATCATCAATGCTGATTAGAAACGGATTATAGAAGATGGAAGTTGACCTGAACACTACAGTTCAGCGTCGATAGCTTCTTACTATATGGCATGCTAGCCGTAGTGGTGACAAGTAAAAGGTTTCTTACTGCACTATCCCAGAGCATGTCTTATTGATTTACTAGTCTTGTCGCAGGCTTGTACCGCCGGAAAGAACGGGACTGCCATAGACGAAGCCTGATTATTGCCCGTCATTGTTTCCTATCATTCTGACAACAAAGGACCTGCCTACGAGATGAGGTTTCATGTGCTAGTTCGAGCTATGCTACATCATCTGTGAACAAAGAACCATCAGCAGATAAAAACATCGCGCGAGATCTTTGTCCATATCATGTCCTACGTTGGAGCCTTCCATCACCATGATCAAGCTGGAAAACTATCTTACTAGACGCTCAAAGCCGGAATGGTCACTATGTCCAAACATCCTTGGACTAATGTCCAGAAACCACTATATCGCGGAGATGAGAAGAAGACGAAACTCCAGCCTCATGAAATCACCTACTACACAACTGGCCAGCTGTTTGTCAGTTCGTGTAGGAAGATAGAACGGGATCTGAAGGCGAAGCACCGAGAACGTCATCGTATCACACCCACCAGAAGAGAAAGGCAGACTTCATCTTCAAATCCAAGCCATATACCTATCATCGCCAGACGCTGCTCAATTTGTGCCTCCAATGAGCGGATCATACCGGTATCTCCGACATCATACATTGCCAATGGTCGCATTCGGAAGTGCCGACGCGAGTCAAAATTGACGGCTCTTGGACGACAGATAGTCGCATTTACTGGATCCTTGTTCAGGCTATATCAGAATTACTACAGAGCCGGTCGAGCCTTATTATCAGGACTACCACAAAAGTTGATTCGGAATATACCACGGACATCCACTAAGAAACTGATAAGCGGTAGTGCGAAGAAAACCAGATGTGTACAGCCTACTGCAGGTGAAGTCTGCGGCGTTTGTAATCCCAAAACTCTAAGCACGATGAAGGACAAATGTTGCCTCAATCAATGCTTGCTTGATGGAGTAGAAAACCTAGCCGATACCGTCCGTCCTTCGCATCTGGAATTGCGAGCAGCCCTATCCACCGATTTAGAAACACCTCTACAAGTTGGTAGTGGTCTGGCAGCACTGATTACAGGATTTATTTTGTTCAAGAGAAACCGTCACCTTCCTTCGGTGATGCGTAGGTCTTTGAGGAGTTCTACATCTGAACAAAGGAACTCGCCAAGAATTAGGTTGAGTAGTGTTATTGCTGGAAGAATTGGTAAAAGACATCTGAACGATAGTTGCAGAAGACATGCAAGGAGGACGAGTGCGTATATTCCTGCGCTTCACTACGAGGGTAAAAGATAGTTGTTGATTTTGAGGGTTTCCATCACCTCAGAGACGAGGAAATTGATGCTGACGAGCAGAATGCTGGATCGACACAGAACGTGCCTTGATACCATAATGCTTATTCGCCTTCCAACGTGGCGCGTTCGCTGCCCACAGCTTTCTTAGTGTCAGTCTACACTTTTGTGAGGTGGTTGGTAGAGTCACGAAATTGGTTTGTTCAGGCACATTCTAATCTACTAATCAGCCACAGCAAATTGACTTCTGGAAATTCTTTTTACCAACTTCTGTTCTGAATTCTCCTTGCTGCCCTCGTGGATTTCTCAGTCTTTGCTTCTCAAGTGTACGGATCGCGCGTTGCAACACATCAGAAGCTCAAGCATCAGGATTACCAGAGTCTTACCTTCACCGTGGTTACCCGAAAAGTGCATTTCAAACACCTTATAACTTCCTGCCTTTACTCTACCACCACAATGCCAGGTCAAAAGTATGTACGACCTAAAGGATGTGCAATCTGCACTGACGGCAAGACTTGGGATCGAGGACCTTGGCGCTCGGAAACTAAGAAGAAGTCTCCGTTCCAGTGGCACGTCAAAGAAGTTCATCCTGATCGACTTGGCGATTGGAAAGAGATCATGGTAGAGTTGCCGAGAAAGCCAACACCACGGTTTCAAGAGGAGCTGGACGAACAAGGTGGGAGCTTCCAGATCTTTGAGGACGGGCAGGAGGGTCAGAACGAGGACAATGGACCATCTGCTATTGGTGTCAAGGAGACACGATCGAAGAAGAGGAGGGAGCGAGTCGCGGACGAAACACCTAGCCAAGCTGAGACAAAAAAGTGCAAGAGAACAAGCACAACAACTACAACTGCCGCAAAAGACGAGACAGTCCTATCTAAAGTCGCACCATCTTCATTAGCAAGAGCTTCCCCTCCACTTTCTGCACCAATCCCGATCAACTTTGAAGATACAAAGAAGCCTAGCAAAGGCAAGGCAAGTACAAAGAGAAAACGCGAAGACGCAGCAGAATTGACCGAAAACGAACCAAAACCGCAATCAAAACCGAAATCGATATCACAGCCAAAATCGAAGAAGCAGCTGGCGAAGGACCGACAGGCCGCGCTTCATACCTCAAGACCCGATATAACCACACCAGAGCCAGAACAAATTACTGCATTATCTATGATTCCTGGATCTACACTCAAAAATGACAACCATCTTTACGCAGACATCGATGACTCTGCTGCTCTCACTGGCACTCTCGGTCCCGAACTCCAACATCTAGCCATATTCGCCTTCCAGATCACGAATGGCAACACTATCAAACTATCACTTGAAAACATCTCACCTCAGCCTCTGGACGAGCCTCGTCTCGTTCCCTACCTGATCGCAAAAAGCCGCTACTTCAGTGGTCGACACCCTATCAGCTCCATTCGCGACATGGAAGCACCAGCACGGCTCTCTACCCTCTTCCACGACGCTTCATCAGCCCCTCCCGTGACTTTCGACCTCGATCCTGACACCGACCAAGATAATTTCGACATGAAAGCTCAAGCTGGCGAATTAGGAAATGAGATTCAAGAGTTGGTACAGAAAGCTTTTCCAACCGAAGATGGCGAGCAGATCGTTGAGGTAGGGGGAGAGATGGATGAGGGTGCTGTGAGAGAGAAGACACGTCACGTGGTGAGGTATCTGTTGGCGAAGATCCAACTGTTTCGGGAACCGAGTATGGTGGATTGTGTGGCAGTGACGGAGCAGGAAGCGAGTACTCCTAAGCAAGGAAAACGAAAGAGGTCTCTCGGCACTGCTGATGGCCTAGGGAAGGGAAAGAGATGGAGTTTAGTGCCAGAGAAGCCAATGACTTATCGAAGTATCTTTGAGGGACTGGATATCAAGAGATAGACGCAAGTCGGCGTCAAACGAAGAGGTCAAGCGTTGAGATGTACCAGGCAGTCAACATACACGATTACTTGGGCACATCAGAATCATCTTGCAACAGTTCCTTGGACGGTCGACAAACCGCATTTGAATTGTCCACGAGACACGAGGATTACGAAGATCTGCTATGGAGCTAACAACACCATTCTGACGAACAACATGGAGAAGACGATACGACGGGTTGTGTATCATTGATCGAGGGCTATTTTTTCTGTTTACAAACAAGTTGTTCTGCCGTGGGAACATGTCAGACTCAGGTTCATAGACAGGAACAATCTCACAATGAGAATAAATAGCTTGAATCTCAGATTTATCATCTGCTAGGCAGCAGCTGCTGGAATTCGACAAATTGATTCTGGATCGACCTCGACACTTTTGCTGTCCTTTTATCAGAAAGCTGAGCATCAGTATGGATCTCTGTCCCAGATCGCAACCTCAGTGTCTCAGCCATGTTTTTTCCTCGAATGGCAACCTTTCCTACTGCCCACCCAACCTCTTCCTCGCCCTCATCAACGCCTTCCCAAGCTTATTCTCGCCCCAATCCTTCACATTCGCCTCCGCCTCCTCGGTATTAAACCCAATCCCCCAAAGTCTATCGTTTGGACTCGTCTCGACAATCTCTCTCGTACCTGTCCCAAGTAGGACCTTCTTCATCTCCTCATTCTGATCGAATTTTAAGAACTGCCCTTCCTCTACAACTCTATCACAATTTTCATCCCAGATCTGCTGCTTGAAATTCCTCACTTTCCGGCCTAGTGTCTTTGCTTCAGCAGGCGTTTCGGCCTCGAGCGTTTGATCCGCTATCTCGGCATCACCCATGAGCAAGGCCTTGTGATACATCATGTACTGCTCGCTGGTGTGGAAGCGTCGTTCTCCGCCTGTTTTGGGGTCTTTCTCGACGAAGGGAGAAGGGAACCATTGTTGGAGACAGCATTCAGGTTCTGGTCTGTCGAAGCCGAAGAAGAAGACGTATTTGTCGGTTACTTTGGGGGGCAGGTCTTGGGCGTATTGCAGCTCGGGAGGGAGGGATGGGAGGTTGTCGCCGATCCAGCGTGGGCCTTTTTTGTCGCCTTGGGCTTCGTGGTCGGGGTTGGTGGGCATGCTGGGTGAGGGACGCAAATCAGCTGTGGCTCAGTCAAGGAATTCTAGCCAGGTAACCAGCGCAGTCTGCCTGTTTTGAATAAGAAGAAAGAGAAAGAGGGCAGGGCAGCGACATATAAGCCTAGAATCAGTGAGTTTGGTCCAGTTCAGTACCTCTCCGTCTGGCCGAATATCTACTCCAAATGACGCGGTTTGACGAAATTCACCACGGTTGACCATAACATGGTTTCAAGGCGATTCAACTATAGTCATTGTTGTAGACGGGACATCATCATGCTGTATGCTGAGCTTCTCTTTTTGACTAAATGCTGACCAGCAGTACCTCGACGTCGATAAGTGGTGAAATCCGACGAATCAGCTTGTCAGAATCGCGGCGATGTACCATCCACCAGGCGCTGGGACCGATGGAGCATGTGACGTTACGTGATTCTTGGCGCTAGCTTACATGTTAAGTCAAGTCCCGTTACTTGACTTTCATTTGCCTTACAATACAATCACTTTGGCTTATATTACAAGCACAAGCGAACTGATCCCGTGAATTCGTACATCTAGGTGCAACAGTTTCTTTCTCCCCAAGCAAGGTGTACAGATAATGTCACGACGATGTCGAATCAAGAAACCTCAAGGCCATAGAAGCGCCCACCCTATCTTAGCCCGCGGTTGGATATGAAGACGCGAAGCTCGGCGCTCGACCATCTCTGTGGGATAGTGCTTGCAGGACATCGATCTAGCAGATCTTTGAGCAACCTGATAGGAATGGGTAGAAGCTAACGAGCACCTTGACTTCTCGGAGCCTTCCGCAACTGGTCTAGTTGAACTTGAGTGGAAGGGAAATCAAGAATATTACCAGAACGGCGAAGTTATTGGCCATGAAGAAGAATGTGGGCCTTAGCACCGATCATATCAGAACTCCACGGCGGACCAATCCGTGGCAGGAGGACTTACATGATAATCAAACCCTACGATGGCCGCTGCTGGAACTGAATTGGTGTTGCACTATATATACAGTGTTGTGTACTAAATGTCCACATACCTTCAAAGACTTAGCAATTCAGGCTGCCTGCGAATCTATCTGTCCAGTACTCGACGTAACTGCGAGTAGGCACATGGACGTGAGCATCGCACTCAAACTCATCAACCATACATGATGTGCCGTGGCCAAGTGTAGTTGATACTCCTGGCCCAGCAGACCCTGAACGCTTGCGGTTGTAAGTAATCCAAGGACAACCATCAGCATAATGGTCTGCTTCAAATCTTTGAGGCAGTACCAAGGACGACCACCGCTATTGATGATATACGATAGCCAGCATTCTGAGACAACAATATAGGATATGGACATAATCTTGACATCATGCAGGGTTAAAGCAGCGAAACTAGAGTGATCGCTCCAGGTGATGGAAGCGACATTTTCCTGGACTAAGTTGAATATGAACCAGGATCCAGCTGAGAGTGTTGCTGTGAGTGACACAATTTCACCAAGAAGTTTTCGAAAGCTCCATTTGACGGGTGTAATGGAGTAGGGAATATCTATGCCAAACTCCGAAGATAAATTTTTCAGAAGATCCAAGACTGTAGTAAGCCCCAGGATTGGGAACAATGGAAGTATTTCGCCGTATCTGGATGCATAGAATGTCATCACCAGTATTGTGTGTGTACTTCGTACCGTCTGCTCCACAATGCTGTTGTGTCCTTGTTGGAAGATCTGCCTACAGATTCGTAGTGTATTCACTATTCGCGAGACTCCAGGTTTCAGCATTATCAGGTCCGCAGCACCTTGTGCGGCTTCGACTGATCCTTCAACGGCAATCCCACATTCTGCTTGATCAAGGGCAAGCACATGTGATACGTCATCGCCTGTGATTGCGACTCGGTGGCCGCGGCTCTGCAGCACTGTAAGTACAGCCTTTCTGTCAGCTGGAAAACATTCGGCATAGACGTCTGCTAGCTCTATCTCACGCTCTGCAGCTGTATCCAGTGGCTCGGGGTATTCCATTGGAACCACCACATTATCTTCTGATCCAACGCTGTGTGCAAAAGCTTTAGCAACAGCCATCGAGTCTCCTGTGAGCATTTTGACGGAGACCCTCAATCGTCTTGCCATTTCCAAAGATAGGCGCGTGTCACGCCGAGCAGGATCTGAAAGTGGTACTACTCCCATCAATTGCCAAGGTTCGGACTCGTACTTGCGGGCTACGCCCAGGATCCTGTTCCCCGCGTAGGCGAAGCTAGCCACGGCTTCTTTGAAGTCCTGTGCCACCTTATCGTCGACCTCACACAACTCAAGGATAGCTTTCGGTGCACCTTTGGCGCAAAGCATCCTTGCCCCCGTTGACGACTCAACCAGACACTGCATTCTCTTTGTCTCGTGACTGAAAGGTTCAAAATCTAGAACATTATGTCGTTCAACTTCTGCTTGAGCTCGTGGGAAGCGCTTGAGCCCTCTAGAGAAAGCAGCATCGACTGGATCAGCTCCAGAACGCGGCGACGAGCTGAGACACGCTGTAGTCATAACTTCCTCCGGACTTCCAGAAACACAGTATGGCTCGTGTACGACTAACCAATTCTCACTCAAAGATCCTGTTTTGTCAATACAGAGGACATTGACACCAGCTAAGGCATCGATACTGGCGAGTCTGGCGACGATACAGCCATTTGAAGTCGCCAAGCGGCCCATGCCGACAGCACGATGAGTTGATAGAGACCTTGGACCGCTTCGGGACAGAGCAATAGCGAGCCCGACTCCGAGTCTCAAAGATCTGAACGTGCTGTCAATTCGCAGATGTCTGAAGAGCCAGAAGCAAACTATGATGTGCAAAAAAGCAATACCATTCAGTGTAAGCTTCTCAACGAGAACATGATCTTGCGTGCCAATCTTGCGAGAAGGTTTCGATCTCGTGCTGCCTGGACTCCTTGAATTTGTTCGACCCACAAGTGTATTCAGACCTGTCCCCTCGACAAGCATGAACGCGTTTCCGGTGATAACTCGTGATGTTGCATTGCACCGAAGACCGACAATAACCTGTTGAACGGAGCTTTCACCAAATATGTACGCGTTGTCCATCTCTAGTGTATCTTCGAGCGCAATGATACGACCATCAGCTGGAAGATAACTACCCTGCGATAGAAATGTCAGGTCTTGGTTTGCGTCAAAACGTGGTGATGATACTTACCACTTCTAGGTGAACGATGTCGCCTGGTACTAACTGAAGCATCGCAATCTCGTGCATTGTCCCATTGCGGAGCACGATAGCCTTGTTTTTTTGATTCCAAGTGATCAAAGGATGTGGTCTAAAAGCACTCCGTGTCTGCTCGACGATGGGCTGTAGACAGACTCCTATCAGCAGGGAGATGCACGCAAGGTGTTTGTATTGTCTCGATAACAAAGCGGGGACGATTGAAACCTGCTGAAATTAGCACGTGGATAAACGGTCAGAACCTCCTCACCAGCACAACGACAAGATCCGGATCTCCGCAGACACGCTGAATCAGAAATTTCCAGCTTGGCTCAATGTAGAGTCGATTTTGTCCGAAGTATCTCTGTCGTTCCACGACTTCTGTGCTGCTCAAGCCTGTCGAAATATCCGTGCTCGTCATATAAGCTGGCAATCCCAATGGACGGTGACGTTGCTGCTGTTGTCGGTTATCCTCGTCCACTCGTTGTGCAGAGTCCATCGCTTCGAAATCTTGGCGAATTGCATCTGCGTCGTCCTTCGTGCTCAAGATCCTGAACATGTAGTTCTTGATCAGAATTGGGATCTCTTTGTCGAGTACTGCATGTCTAGACAGAAATGCGTATGTCAGTGGCCCGATGGTAGTCAGAGCAATAAACAAACAAAGCGCAGGTGAGGCTTCTCCCTCCTCCAGTCCATTCACAGCGCTGCCCAGATACGTCAACGGGTAGTAACAGAGCAAAGTAGCCTCGACCCAATCCCGAACACCCATATCCAGTACATAATCTGGTAGTAGCTTGACTGACATGCTTACCAGGACCAGTAGACGACGAGCAATTGCGCGAGCCATTTCAATAGATGGTATATCCAACAGGAAGTGAAGTGAGGACCGGCCGATATTCAAGCTGCCGCAAGCGGTGCATCAATTTATATTTACAGAGCGGCAGCAGCTCGCCATTGCCGAAATTGTGACATTCGCAAGAGTACCAATTCAGGTACTTTACATCAACTCCATGCGCGCTCAGAGACATTCCACCACATGTATGATTTTAAGGCATCCCGCGTGATGTATGTCGTGGAGAAGCTGACACCCATGTCTGATGTCTCAGCTTGTCAAAAGTTCCGTGGAGAAGGCAGGGATTTTCCAGGAGAACGGCACTGCCACGCAAACTCTTCGCATCGGCAGTTGTGAAACTTGGCCGTTTCTTGAATGCAAACGGGCCATAGATCAAGCAAGACTCAATGTCTCCTGCACGCTTGGCGTACCTCGTTATCAAGATTCACACACCAGATGTCCGCTGCAGTCTCCGTCAGTTTCGACTGCGCGCTGCGGGCCTACGAAAAGACCACAGCTGAAGACGTGTCAGTGGTGAGCATGATACAGTATTTTTATGCGGCAAGTCTTTGAGCTAGTGCCAAATTCCTTCGGCAATAAACCCGCATTGATTCCAACGAAGCTTTGCTTTTAGCAATTTCGTCTCTTATGAACCACTCTTCACAGATCTAATTTAATCGACGGAATTTATGGAAGCTTTTCAGATGATTCCCTGACAGTCGTCGATAGACGGTAGCATGGATGTGGCACACACCACTGATACGCTGCTCAGAGCTAATGCCCATCACTCAAGATTGCTGCAAAGGATCCAAGGAAGGTCATTCACCGCGGAGGTAGAACAAATGTCTATTTGGATGAATATTTGCCAATAATCGTCTGTTAGTCCTACCCTATCGACTGTGAGGTATGCACGTCTATCCTACGACTGCTTGATACTCCATTATGGGACCGCGTCGAAGTCCTGATCTCAAGCGAAGTTTTGGTGGCAAACGACTTCTGTCCAAATCACGCTCTTTTGTTCGGATCACGTCAAGATGATTATCTGAAGCCAAGGCTTCTCCGTCGGCCAGCACACCAGCAACTTGTTCACGTTCACCCTAATCCTTACCACATCAATGGTGAGCCAGCATGCGACGGGGCATGGGAGTATCGCGATTTGAGGGATGACGAAACAAACGCCTCAAGACCACGCGACATTGACGAGAAATGGATTGATCTTGGGATAATCAAAACCTGGATCCGTGAATGTGAGTATGAGCATCGTGAGACGTGTGGCGAGCAAAGCTTGGGTTCAAATTCACTGCCTTCGCCTCTACTGCTGGTAGATGCCGAGCAAAGCTGTTTGGTCTATGCCACGGAAAGAGTTCGCTACGTTACTCTCAGCTACGTCTGGGGCCAAACAAATACTTTTCTCACAACAACAAAGAACATCTCATCATTGCTCATGTCTGGCTCGCTAGACGATCCGTCAGTGGTGATTCCACAGACAATCCTGCAAGCTGTCCGCCTGACTAGCGCACTCGGCGAACGATATATATGGGCTGATGCGCTTTGTATTGTTCAAGATGCTGTTGATAGGGTAGACTACCTCAATGCCATGGCGTCGCTCTTTGCCAACAGCTGCCTGACGATTGTTGCAGCCACTGGAACCCATGCAAACAGCGGATTTCGAGGATTGCCGAACATCTCACCCTCCCGTTTCGCCCGCCAGCACACTGCAAAACTGTTACCTGGCAGGCATTTGGTGAAACCTCATGCACGGCATGTCTGGGCCGATGACCACCTACAGCCATGGTCGATAAGAGCTTGGACCTTCCAAGAAGCAGTTTGCTCGCGACGTATACTTTACCTGGCACATAATACAGTTCGCTGGGTCTGCATGCAGAGCAGTTGGAGCGAAGAGTCTATCTCAACAGAACGTGCAAACGATTACGCGACTCTTGAGCAGCGTAAACGGCAGTTGACTGGTCCACGACTGCTTCTATCAGGCCTGCCTCTCTTCAGCGAACTACTTTCCCTTATCAACGGTTACAATGTACGGAAATTGACATACCCAGAAGATGCGCTTATGGCATTTGCTGGAGTAGGTTCGAGACTGTCCTCCGACTTTGTGGGTGGATTGCTATGTGGATTGCCTGTTCTATTCTTCGATTTGTGCTTGCTGTGGCGTCCCTCCCGACGAAGAGGGCCTGCTAAAGCTCGGGTGCATCTCTTCCAGGATTCAGTTCTACCCAGCTGGTCTTGGGCTGCCTACGAGACCGAGATCACGTTACCTTATACGTGGATGCGTAATCCAGATCAAACAGGTCCGACACCCATCGCCACAGACAGTATCCTTCCATTCTACAATATCAGCATCCAGTATGGAGATGACCCAACTCGGCGATATGATCTACCATGTTCTTGGTTGGAGCACGCTCAATGCGCTCGCGAAAGTTTATGTCGACGAGGTTGGCAGTCTCGTACCGGAAGATCTTCAACCGACGGACGGCTTTTCGGCGAGCTCTTCAAAGCTCGATATTTTGTGCATGAGTCGGACGAACACTATCATTTCTGGTTTCCTGTCCCTCTGAACAGCGATCTAAGTTTGGCTGCTGATCTGGAAAGCTCTAAGCCTGCAGATGCGTCCAGCCCGCCACTCGTTTCCGCTGACAATCAAAAATACTTGTTCTTCCGGACTTTCCGTGCTTTTTTTCGGCTAGGCCAGACTCGACGTGCTCTGACTCAGATATTGACTGAAACTGGCGAAGAAGCAGGTACATTGTATCCGCACGATGAGTTAGACCTTGACTATATCTGTGCCACGGCAACATTTGACAGCTCGCGTGGAGGAATCGAATTGATCGCCGTGCTTGGTACCACGATCCCGGACGAAGACTTCGATATCTGGCAGGATTCAGCTTCGAGTTTGCAGGAGGCAAAAGCGTCGGGACAGCACAGACATCAAGATGAAAGGTTGTACCGGGCGAGAGACATTTACAATGTAATGTGGGTGAAGCAAATTGCTGGAATCTACTATAGGAAGGGTACAGGAATAATTGATCGAGATATTTGGGAAACACAGGTAACGAATGAGATTGAGGTTGTGCTAGGATAAAGAAAACCCTCATTCCTACGTTGTCACGAGAGCGGTGATTTGCCACAAAACTGCTTCAGTATTCAAGAATTTTCCATACATGCTAGCTACGACTTCAAATAGCTGAGCAGGTGCGGTGTGTGCAGATGAATATGGGGGAAGCAGGATCGGTAGATATCGCAAAATTCTGAGGGATCGTTGTTTCAAGCTGATTCTCGTCTCTCAGTGCAGAAGCTGAAGTGTCCTCCTTGATCTGTGGTGTCGAATGAGCCCACAACCACCCATTTCTGGCCAGCATATTGCCTTTCAAGCCTCACAGCCACTTTCTGAGGTCCTATCGGAGCTCATCAACTGTTCCTTGGAAATTCATGGCCTTTACAGTTACGCCTTGACGAAACTTTCAGCTATACGTCGCCTCGAAAAGACAGATTTCTTACTCCAATCGAATTACGCGGATTACACAGCAGCCATGAATCAAGACTGGCTTTCGTACCCTCCTGACTCCATGCAATCTCCGGATTTCTATTGTGGCGGAAACTCTTCGAATTGGGCACAGCCTTCCACCGCTGACAACCAAGGGACACGATATTTCGTCCAGAGTTCTCCCGTCGGCTTGCCCTCAGTCTCAATGCTCTCATCCCCGTCTAGTGTTCCAGCAAAAACAATCACAGCCCCCGGAAACCCATCAGCTGTTTTGTACAACAATGATGGACAGCTGTCGCATCCATAGAATGTTATGCCCATTCCGCTTTCGTGCGTGGTCGTCGAAACCCTCGGTGAACTGATGCTACAATTAAACTTGTCCATCGATATCAGGTTGGTTGTAGCATATGTACTGCCGGTAATCTTGCGGCAGGTGATACAATGGCAAATGGCCTGGACGTGCACGTGAGTTGGATGTCCTCCAAAGTGGTGTTCCATAACAAACTTGCCTTCATAAGGGCATGGTCATATTGGTATGTGATCTTTCCACATAGACAGCTACCAGAAGGCATTGTTGTCAAGTTTGAAGTTGAAATGCTGGCGGTATGAAAGTGCAACACCCAGCTACCTCAAATCCGAGTTCAGTAGCTTTTGAATACCTAAATAGTTACGACTCCAGAGGCTTCAATATGGTTTGATCGTGCTGACAGTCATGTGCAACTGGAGACCGAAGTCAACCGCCACTCGCCTTTCCCAACCAATGTTTCGACGTTTGAGATAGTCCCCAGGCATAACATTCGGTTGTGGGGCGGGCTAGTTGAGCCAGACTTCTACGGAAGCGAGTCTTCGCTTGTTTGACCAATCGCTTCCCAGAACACTCGACAGTTCGCGAATGCTAAGCGAATCCCGACCACTCGATCTTCAATTCACAACACAAGAAGACGATCACTTTCCGCAGGAAACTTGTTTGAATGACTAGTCATTAGTTGTGTATTGCGAGCTTCTTTTCCGAGGATCTTTTGCATAGACCTTCAGAGATCCAGTATTGAAATATTCTCGTGTTTCGAAACAACGACGAAGAATCCTATTGTAGTCGAAATCAGTCGATACGGAGTGAGGTCCTCGTCCACTTCTTGATTTGGATCGCGCGGATTTGAACAGAGTCAGACAACAGCTGATCAGGTCTCCAGGCGACTTTAAAATTAACTAAGATGACAATGCATCAGGTAAAGCCGATCATGGTGTGCATGTAAAGTAACTGACTGTTCCACGGCGAAACTAGACCATAGACTCTGTTGCACTATGTACACGTTGTCTCCTTAACTCAATACATCCTCCAGTACATCCTGGACGATGTTCCCATCCTCCTGGACATTGACCCTCCAATTACTCACAGCAATCCTGGTCGCAGGTTTTCCATCCCATACAGATCCACTTACATATATCCTTCCATCACTCTTGATCCTACTTACTAATCCTTTGTTCTTCTCTTCATCCTTCGCACGAAAAAGCACAATCATGAAGATCTTCGCAACCGCTTCCTCTTTGCTTCCACTTCCACCTTGTGGCAACAAGTCATATTGCTCATGATCATATAGCCACGCAGCAATCTTTCTTGATAGCCCGATTTGTCTCCGCAGCATGTCTACATATCCTTCTCTTCCATATGCGCTTAGCGTGGTATACACAGGTAATGCTCTAAACCTCCTGCTGTTCTCCAAACCAATATTGAAGGGGTTTTGTACATGGTCTGTAGCTGTACTAGCCAAATATGCTGGGTTGCCGTTGCTGAAGACTTCTTCACTCAATTTTTTGTGTCTGGTAAAGAATATTCCACAATCATATGGGACGTTCAAGAGTTTATGTCCATCTGCGCCAATTGAGTCTGCCAACTCAAGCCCCTTGACACCAGCAGTAACTTTTGCGTATTGGTTAGTAGTATCAAAATGATTCAGGAGCAATCTTGCAAACAAGCCCATCGCGCCATCGACATGAATCCAGATCTTGTACTTGTCGCAGATCTCGCGAACCTGCTGCATAACATGCCCAGAATCTGTAGCGAACAGACCAGTATTGACTTCTCCTGCTGAAATGGCGAGGATGTATGCTGTGCGTTCAGCTTCTGCGTCCTCGGCTAAGGATTGTAGTTTCTCGACGTCGATATCGAGAATTGAGCCCGTTCGAACGATGGACTGTACTGCCGAGCGACCTAGACCAATCACGCCAGCTGCTTTCGAGATACTACTATGCGGTAAAGTACTGAGAACCTTGACGTGATCGACACCAGCAGCTTGGGCGACGGCGAGTAAGCCATGTCCACCAACGGACATGCCAGCCTCCTTTCCCGTAGCCTCCTTTACACGCTCAGTTAGCACCCACTCTCTTCCTAATGTCAGTCCCAAGATATTCGTCGCCGTCGCCCCTGTCGTGAACACACCACCACCACTCCCTTCGCCTCCGACTTCCCATTCCTCCTTTGGCAACTGAAACAAGTCCACCAGCATATTCAACGCCGCAGCCTCGACAATCGTTCCGACACTCTCACTCGGTAAGTGTACCGCATTGTTCTGGTCGAAGATACTCGTCAGAATGTCACCTATCAGTGCAGCGGGGGTAACTCCGCCAGTTACGAAGCCATAGTAGCGTGATGATAGACTTGAGGCATTAAGATATGGCAAGATGTTCTGGGTCAAGCGATCTATGGTCCGTTGGAACGGAGGAGTGCTTTCTGGTAAATTTTCAGCATGAGCTGGGAGTGGTGGAATTGATCCGGGAAGGATTGAAGTGTTCGGTTTTGCGTTTTGGGGAGCGTGTAAGTTTGCGACCGTGGAGGCAGTCGAGAGTATCTGTTTCACGGTGTCGAGAATATCAGAAAGAGATTTGGCTTCCATATTGTGAGGTGGGCACTGTTGTAAATTCCAACTTGTAGGCTCTACTTCTAGGTTCTTGAAATAATTTATCGAGTCATCAATTCGTGTTGAAACGACATTTTATAACACCACATACGCATCGATTGGTGATCCAAAAACGATTGTGATCACACTTATTGTCTGCTTAAGGACGAAGCAAGTTCTATTGAACGAGTAATGCCTAATTATACTTACAAGATCTGCAACGAGTCGTACCAGCACCAAGAAAGTGGGCATAGAGAATGATGCTCTCCGTTTTCTCCTTGGCCGAACAAGCGTCGAAGAAAGGCTGAATGCAAGGCAATTTTCAAAGTCATCCTCATCAACATTTCACTTCTTAGTCAGGAAAGTTACCATGGCTGGGTATGCCACATCGAGCAATGTGTATAGTCCGAACGAAGCCAGCAATGATATACAGCGAAGAGGAAGAGAGAAAGGAATGCATGTTGCGCCGTCCACTAATAGCCTTCTTATGGGCCATCTCCAAAAGTGGTTTTCATTAGCACTAGCTTTCAGCACATGTTTTGTGCTTTGAAGCTCATCTATCAAATTCTCAGACATTTGTGCTTGCTTGCTTGCATGTCAGATCGTTCTTCCAGTATAGTACAATCCCATAGGCCTAGGCAAGGTCATCCTAGGTCACGAGAGCATCCGCCTGCTGAGCTTGATCAGCACTCCCCATCTCTTGCTCTTCCTCCTTGGCTTCTTCACCATGTTCCTCCGCTTCAGGTTTGATGAACTCTTCTTCGCCTTCCGTGACGAACCTTCTGGTACTAACATGACTTTGATCATCAGCACCTTGGGTAGCCTGAGATGCTTGCTCAGCCTGATCCTTAGACCAGGAGAAGCTGGACATATTTCGGTTCTGACCTGGCTCATGTGCAAAGGGACAGCGGGCGTTAGTGCAGGGGTTGAATTTGCACTTTGTCTTGAGATGTGTGAACTTGCAGTCCTCATTCTTACACGAAGCACCGAACTGACACAAAGGCATAGTTGGATGCTTGAAAGGGCAATTTGGGTTGGTACAGTTGGGGAAGAACTTGCACTCTTGCTCGGCTTTGTGAGCGGTGATCATGGCTGGCGAAGGGTGCTTGCCATGGCATTGCGCATTCTTGCAGGCGGCACCGAAACTGCAAGTTTGTGACATGTCGATCTCTGTTCCAGGCGGCGCCGAAGGACTCTGATGAGCGTATAGACATTCCTTGTTGAGGCAGCGAAGATTGAAATAGCACACTGTGCTAGAAGGATCTTTTGGTCCCGCAGGCTGGACTGTGGCGGCGTTCGTCGCATCTGTGCCCTCCATCGCATCGGGTATCATTTGACCCTCGCCTTCTACTGTTGCTTCTGATGGCTTTCTTGAACCGTTTTGTGATCCTCCTCTTGCACCCCGGCCACGGCTCGCACCCCTACCACGTTCGACTCTATCAAACATGGATCGACCGTTCTGGCCACTCTGACCATTCTGACCGTTTTGTGGTAGTGAGCCGTTCATGCCAGGAGGCATCATATTCGGCATGAATTGAGCAAGCATGCGTGCTTGTTGTTCCATCATAGCCATGAACTCTAATTGCTGCTGTGGCGATATTGGATTGAATTGACCTGGCTGCGATCCTGGCATCATGGGATTCTGCATTGGTGGACTTTGTAAACCATTGAGAGCCTTCTGCATGCCCGGCGACGGTTTGCCATTCATCTGTTTCGGACCCTTTGGCGCGCCTCTTGTATGACTGTTTATTCTGTCGTTGCCTCGTGTTCTGTGTAGGGCGGCATCGAAGGAGGCCCGCACTGGAGTACCGCCACGCCCTCCACGACTACCTCGCGAGCTGATGGACTGGCTTTTGGGACCTTTAGGACTATAAGATATTAGCATGTTCCTGTGCAGGTACAATGGTTCTACATACGCGTTATCTGGCGCAGACTCGCCTAGGTCAGTCTCATAAGCTGCAGGTATCGGTGCTTGCTCTTGAGGCTGTTGTGCTTGTGCAGGCTTGTCGCCAGCATTCGTTCCAGTCAGCTTCGCAACTGTTCCACTTAACCAGGTCGAGAACTCTTCGATTCCTTCAGCGCCAGGTATAAGTTCAGTAGACAGCTCGTTCGCGATCTCATCCCTCGATTTGCCATTGGCGAGCAGGAGGATGATGTATTCGGATAACGAAGTATCGTCGCTGTCTTCTGTCCAGCCCATCTCGAGAGCTTTTTGTTGTACTGTCGCCTTTAGCTTCTCAGCCAAAGGGCTGTTTGAATCTGTGAGGCTCGACATGTCGTCGGGTGGAGGTTGAGAGGACGCGCTGGATCAATCTTTGTCGGCCAGTCTCCAGTTCTCTGCTGATAGAGATACAGAGAAGCGTACTGTAGTTTTTCTATTTCTTTAGCTTCAAACAGGAGGCAGGTGGCAGAAATGGGATCGTCTAATCTGTACAATGCGAGATTGTTGATACCTGCAACCGGCTGCCGCTTCCACGAAATTGCTTCACACTGCATCATCACACGCTAACTGTCAAGGGCTAGCTCATCTCACGTGATTCGTTTTCTTCGGATGTCCATTTGTATCGGTTGCGCAACTGATTACCAACCACTACAATTGTATATCACTATACGTCTGCTTGCTTGTGTTTGCTGTCATATCACTATTGAACACTGCGACGGCCTTCCTATCATTAGTCTGATTATGACCTCGGTCATTCGTCATTTGAAAGGCGAACACTCGGACGGCGCCATGAGGATTGAGTACTTAACATCCCTTCTTCAACGACGATGCTCAGCTGGTTAGCATGGACAGCCTTCAATCGCCCACAGAATCTATATCTATAACATGGTGCAGCAACATTGGAGATGTTTCAAACAGCCTCCATATCAGGACGTGCTGCTAAAGCTAATAGGAAGCGCAAAAACTGCCGTCAATTACTTGCATTCGAACTGCTTGTCACCTTTTGCTGTCGCTTACAGAGACAACCGAAATACGCAAGTACCTAGACATCGGCTGTTTCCCCTGACACTTTCCGAGTATTTTCGTTTCCTGTTCCAAATCAAAAATTCTGCGATCTGCAACCTGCGACCTGCGACATCTTGACAGCTTCATATTCCTTGTACACCCGAAGGGTACCAGGAATCCAAAATGAATCTTAGACCTTGGAAAAGCTCAAGACTTCAGCTCAAGGATCAGAGGAGCCAATCGAGCCTCGAAAAAAGACCAAAAAGATAGCCAAAAGACCAAAGAAGCGACTCAATCCAAAACCTCGGCTAGGTATGATGGACTTGCCTGCCGAAATCCGCCTCACAATCTATCAATACCTATCAATACCTTTGCAGCGATTACATTCATAAGTTTGATGGATCCCTCATCATGTATGCTTACCATGAGGTAGGACGGTATACCAAACCGTTGGAATGAATCGCATTTTGGCTTACTGCTTCAGATCTGTTTCTCAATACTATCTTTCGCAAAACCGACTCTGACACCCGGATATGGCGCCAGCGTGATCGTAATACCCAGCTGCACATCATCGTTCCCATAGTCGATGATGCGATCGTACTCAGAAAATAGCCGAATGATCACATATGCCATTTCTACCATCGCGACTGACACGTGATTAGCACAATAACAACGAATATAGATGCAGGAGAACTTACACTGCTGTCCAATACATATCCTCGGTCCTCCATTGAATGGAATAAAAGTCCATCCTCCATATCCTTGCTGACTTGGCTGCCACTTCTCCCATCGTTCCGGCACCCACGTCAATGGATCTGGAAAGTTCTCGCTAACTTCTGGGTATAGATCCTTCCTACGTTGCATTATGAGCGTGCTGTACCCGACCGCTGTGCCCTTAGGTATTCCAATCGGACTCTGCCCGTCTGATCCACCACCTCTTGGGAGCGTGGTATCTGTCAATGAAGTCCTTACATTGAACGGTACGACTGGATACAGCCGTAGAGTCTCGTTGATGATCCAGGTCAAGTACTTCATGTTCTTGATGTTCTCGTAACTCGGCCTTTTGTCCCTGGCATTCTTACCTAAATGCTCTTCGATCTCGGCTCTCAACTTCCTCACCACATTCTGGTTGCGTGCAAGCTCTAAAACCATCCAGCTTAGCGTCGTGCTTGTCGTATCTCGTCCAGCCAATAACAGCGCCACAAGCTGATCTCTGATCACTTTTCTGTCCCTCGTACGCCTCGCTAATGCATGCAGGAACGTATCCTTCTTGCTCAACTTCGTATCCAGCTCCTCTTGAGTCAGTTGCAACGCCTCTGTAATCCATGGCTCGATAAACCTATCCATCGTCTTCAGCCCACGCTTAAACTCTCCCTTGGGCAAGAAAAACCTCAACGGCCCGGCCCGTCCAGCGAGCGCCTGAATCCTCTGTACCTCGTCAAAAGCCGTCGCAAACTCTGTACTTTCATCCGTCAAACTGCCCGCACTATGTCCAAACAAGAAGTGCGTGCTGGCATCCAACGCAAACCGAAAGAACAAGTTCTTCATATCAACCTGCCTCCCATCTCCGGGCCCAATCAAGTCAAACATCTGGCTCACGTGTCCCTCCACGAGATCCAAATCCGCCACCCTCTCCCTCTGGAACATCGGCCTAATCAATGCCCGACTATCACTCCACAACTTCCCATCCGTCGTGAAAATACTATCTCCCAAAAAATCATTCCACTCCTTATGGAACTGCTCGCCTTTGCCATAATCCGCAAACTGAGTCGTCAGCACGGCCTTGATGTTCTCTGGATCTGCCGTCATGATTACGCGAATATCTGCGAGGAGGCGGAGTTCCATGGTGTAGTTCAGAGACTTTTCGGCGCCGAGTTTGATCCATTCATCGAGCCAGGCGTTCATGGCGCGGTTGCGGAGAAAGTATCGGCATGCTTTGATGGGCATTTCGAGGGACCAGGGGAGATATGTTGGTATGATAGGGGCGGTGAGGCCAAGACGAGAAATGCGGCGGTGAAGGATGATGCGTCGGGTGTAAGTAAAGATTACTAGGACCAGTAGCAGGAAGATGAAAGTTTGAGTGATGGTGGGCCGGAAGGAGGTCATGAGGGAGTGATTGAGGATGGCCATGGTGCTGACTAGAATACCAGTGTCGAAAGGGTAGACGAGATATGTAGTTTGAGTTCTTTTGGTCTGAATTGGTCGGATGTGGAAGGCAATGTGGCTCTGAATCGAGGAGCTGAAGTATATTCAAGTCTTGAGGAATTGTGACATAAACTTTTTACCTTTACCTCACATCGACCTGATCCTTTTCACGTCACCTGCACGGAACGAGTACCTGCTCCAAACGAACCCCCTAGTACTGTTGTACAGTAGAAGAACCACCAACGAACGTGATATACACAAGAATGCAAACTGATATCAGAGTGTTTCTTGTGGTTGTGGTAATGAGAATAGTCTACACTGAAGCGGAGTAAAATCAGTCCGCCTACCGCGGCATAACCGGCTACTGAAACTTCCGAACCAATTATGCTTGGACACCACGAATGCGAGTTTTTGAAACGTGGGGAGAACCACGTGAGTATGTGAAGTCGTCGTACTCTTTACTCGAATGGACATTCGACTTTATGGTGAGTCAAGAGAGCCACACAAGTATCAGTCTTGGTGCCGCAATTTTTCATTTTAAATTTTCGAGTTCTTTCGCATCTGAGAAGTCTCGGGAGGACGTCCATCGAAAACCGGTTCAAAACATAGCGATACATTTGATACATCGACGCGCATTCCTGTTTTGCATTCTCCACTGCCACCATCAGGTTTGCATGTGTACCAGAGTGTTTTCATGAACATGCCAATACGTAGGAGGGATATATTAAGTTCGTCATATTCAAAGCTGCCTCGCACATACCACATGCCTAGACAAAAAGCTGCAAAGATCGGTCCGGGGTATGGCGGAGGCTTGGCAGATTGTCTGGGGCTACAGACGCCCGACACCCCACTAAACGTTGCAGCTGTCTCCGCACTTCCACGCTTCAGGCGGAGTGCCTCCTCACACTTTTGAACATCTTCGTTCTACACCCGGTAGACGACAACCCGCTAAGTTTATGACTATATCCCGCGATAGATTATGGGGTCCAAGACACCTGATGAATATCGTCGCGGTCCAGATGGTATGTCCCTAAGAGTGCTGCTTTGCTCTATCGACCGGGCTGATGCCTGAATAGAATCGCCGACTTGTGCTACGATCGCGGCTATCAATCCACCTAAGCCCTCTGCAGCCAGTGGACTCGTTCACGGTGCACTCGAAGGCGAAGGAGAAGACGGAGACGACAACGACAACGATGATGATACCGACCAAGTTGAACCCGCCTTGAAGAACATTGCAACGGCCAGCAACAGTAAGGCTATCTACAAATAGTACGCACAACCCAGCTAATCCTAGCAGACAAGAAGAAAAAGCGCAAGGGTAACAAGAAGAAGAAAAATAAGAACATCGGAGAGCAGAGTGTTCCACCCAGGGTCGCACTGTCCGACCTCTTTCGCAACAAGCCATATCCTAAGGGCGAGATTGTCGTTCATACCGATCAGAACAGCAATCTGCAACGCACCACGGCCCAAGAACTTCGTCACGTGTCTGCCTTGAAAGAAATGGACGACGACTTCCTGAAAGACTACCGCAAAGCAGCTGAAGTTCATCGCCAGGTCCGTCAACACGTGCACACCATTGTCAGACCAGGTATCTCTATGAGCCAGCTTGCTGAGGAGATTGAGGAAGGTGTTCGGGCACTGACTGGTTGTCAAGGTCTTGAGACAGGAGATGCACTCAAAGCTGGCATGGGATTTCCGACTGGGCTCTGCTTGAACAACATAGCTGCGCATTGGACTCCCAATCCAGGAGGCAAAGAATTGATTCTCAAGTATGACGACGTTTTGAAAGTGGATTTTGGTGTCCACGTCAATGGCAGGATTGTCGATAGTGCTTTCACTGTCGCATTCAACCCAGTCTATGATAATCTGCTCGCAGCTGTCAAGGCAGCCACCGATACTGGACTCAAGGTAAATATAACGAATCTGCGTACGAGCTGTTTTGTTACTAAAGAGAAGTCAGGAGGCGGGTATCGATGCTAGAATCGACCACATCAGTGCATCGATCCAAGAAGTAATGGAAAGCTATGAAGTCGAACTCAACAACAAGACCATCCCTGTCAAAGCAGTTCGCAACATCACCGGCCACAACATTCTACGCTACAAGATTCATGGCGACAAACAAGTTCCCTTTGTCAAGACCCAAACCAATCAATGCATGGAAGAAGGCGATATTTTCGCCATCGAAACCTTCGGCAGCACCGGTAGAGCCGTCCTGAGAGACGACGTCTCAGTCTATGGCTACGGACGCAATCAGCACGTCAACACCTCTGGCCTCCATCATGTATCTGCAAAGTCATTGCTCAAGACAATAGATGAGAACTTTGGAACACTGGTCTTTGCGCGACGATATCTTGAGCGTCTTGGGGTGAAGAACTACCTCCTTGGCATGAAGACACTTGTCTCGAATGGCGTTATTGACTCGTATGGACCACTAGTTGATATTCCGGGCTCATATGTGGCGCAGTTTGAGCATGTAAGTATGACCCTTGATGTCTTGTGTACTATGCTGACCCAATATCTCCGTTCAGACTGTTCTGTTGCAACCAAACTGTAAGGAGATCATATCACGAGGAGACGACTATTAAAAGAGATGTGCAAGTAGCAAGTACGCATACTCTACGCTCTTGCTCAAAACGTAGTTTCGTGCTCGGACTTCAACAGTCTCGGAACACAGCTCACTTTCATAAAGGATTTCAACATACCTTCATCATAGCATATATATGTTTGCGTCTCGCTATCTTTATTAAGCTAAAAGACTGGACCACTGAAACAGTCAAAGAAGGGGAGTTTATCGATTTGTGTTGTTGCGTCAACAGCAGACCAACGCTGATAGAGGGAAGCGCCGCCATTCATGGTCATCTCTTCAAAGAAAGTTGACATCTTTCTAAGCACAATGCGTTCATGTCCCGCACCAAAGCTCTGCCTTTCTAGCAAGCTGAATTTCCTGTATGATCCATAATCGCAACCAGTACTCATGTTTTGCGAGCCTCAAACAGGCAAGCAAAACTGAGTGTTGTAGTTTTTCCAGTCTAGTATCTGGGTGATTGACGTACCCGCAAGCCTGCGCCCTGGTGTATCGGGCACGCTCACATGCAGAACGCCAGCATACTACCTTGACAGCACCGGCAAAGATCTGTCTCATCGGTGGAACTTGTCGATTCTTTTCTTTGCCATCTTCTTGATTGATGCATATAGCATCGACCCAGATATAGGTGCCGCACAATTCGTCTTGTGCTGTAGACAGAAAATTATAGAGACTCGGTCGGACGCGAAACGTCTGGTCGTTCAACTTGATCACATGAGTAGCATGCTGCTTTTCCCAAACATAAGACAATGCAATATATTCTTCCCGACCGAGAATAGCATCATGCAGGGAAACTCCAATAGTGTCCTGTTCGTTACACGGATGTACCGTGAGCAATCTAATAGCTTCTCTATCATCTTCCAGTGGTGTATAAACGAAACTCTTCATGGTGAGAGGGTCATCGGGAACAAAGAAGATCCAGCAGAGGTTGACCCCTCACTGCCCGTGGGTGGCGGAGCTCTCAACGATTTCTAACTTTTAGCCAGCTGACGGCGGGTACGAAGTTTACCTAAGACGACATCGCCTTGCTGGTTGGTGTTGCCATCAAAGATAAGTGGTATTTGTAGAAGCAGTAGAGCTTAGATTCGTAAGGCTAAGGATGAGGTTCGGGAAGTAGTGGGGTTACTCTCGACAGGTCCAGCCCGACAGAAAAGTTGAATGACTTCCCAGTCTTCGAGTACAAGCTCATTTTCCTTAGTACGTTGACGGTGGACAGCAAACCCGACAGAATCCTGCCGGAGCTTATATTGTGACCCCAACGCCTTTGCTGTTCATCGCGAGGTATAGTAAAATCCTCATACCATTAGTGGTGTTATTGCCTTGATCTATGACTTCCGTCAGTACTCTTTCTGCTGTATCGGTCTTTGGTAAAGTAAAGTTCTTGAGCATTCAAGAGGTCGATTTCGCCCAGAGTTGTCCACTGCATAAGCAATTTATCAACGTCTTCCTCAATGTCCTCAGCAGGGCGTCGGACATCGACCAATGGCTGATCATGCTCTGATGCGCGACCTGGCTTGACTTCTCGATCAACACGAGCCGGAGACGAATTTGTATAGCCACGTGCTGCACTCGCAAAAGATAACCTGGGAAAGAGCTCTGAGCTGTCGTCGGTGTGCGCATTAATGGAGGCTGCGACGACATAAGTCGCTTTCGAACTCTCTGTTGTATCGTCCAAACCAGGTTGGTACTTAGGATCATGTACACGTACTGCTCTGTATAAATCTGTTTCGTACCAGTTGAAGGAGGCGTCATTCACACAAAATGGCGAACTCTGCAGAAGCAGATTCGCTGTCGGTCGATCCTCTATGGCACTGATACCGTTAGCAGGACATACCGGGTACTGCAATAAGGCGACTTACATAGTAAGACAATCATATATGAAGGCTAAGGCTTCAGGTGATACAGTCATCAAGACGTCGTCCGGAATCGGTGGTCCCTCTTTCAGACTTCCTAGCTTGTAAATCGCTCCAATAGCTTCTTCCTTGACCCAGGGTCGATTCCCAGCGAACATCTCTAGTGTCAGACATCCAAGTGACCATATATCGCTTTTGCAACTTTTGTCACCCTTAGACGAGACGACCTCTGGTGCAAGCCAGAAGACAGAGTCGGTTGCGTTATCCTCGGCATTGATGCCAAGAAGATCGGATATTGGCTTGGTAATGCCCCAGTCAGAGATCTTGCATTGGCCGTCGAAGGTCAGCAGGACATTGTCAGCTCTCAAGTTTCCAGCTATGACCCCTTCATCATGCAGATAGGATAGCCCCCTTGCCACTTGAGCAACAAGCGATTTGACTACAGATTCGTTCATCTTCCCGTGGCCGCGCAGACAGCTTCCTATTGATCCTCCAGAAACGTATTCGAGATCCACTTCAACCGGGTGACAAAAGTATTCGCATCTAAGATACTGCACGATGTTGGGATGTCTCAAAGACGTTAGCTCCCTCAATGAATTTTCTATCTCGGCGAGTCTCGAACCATTTTGTTCTTCGTCAAGTAGAAAAGCCTTCTTGACAGAACTGGTGAATTGCTTGACAACGTAGATGCGGCCGCTAGCAAGATTCAAGTGAATTCGTACGCTGCTATGTCTGCCTTTCCCGATATTTGGACCACAATAGCTCCCGTGCGGCGACTCGTCTGCAATCTCAGTTTTCGAGTTATAGTCACGGGCGGCTTCGATGACAGATTTGAAATTAGTAGTGCTTTGAATTGTTTCTTTTTGCTGTGCCGATGTATCAAAAGTTTCTCTAGTCTCAAGACGTGATTTTGAGTCATCTGGAATGGGGTGGCTTGGAGTATCTGGTGCTTGCGGGATATCAATATCCTTTACCGCTCCACTTGGCCCTTCAAGACGCTCAAAATCACACCATTTCTCTAGAGTCTTAGCAATTGTCCTTGCCCGAGGTCGATAAGCCCACGCAGTACGATCAAATAGTGAACCACCGTAATCTGTAGACAGGCTATATTCCAACGACTGTGCTTCACTGAATTGTTTGGTCGTATCTCGGTGGCTGATGTCAAAGGTTACTGGTCGTCCGTGTGAATGAGGAATTTGAAGGCTAAGTTCCGGCTTTTCTACAGGCATTGTATTGATAGATTGTTTAGAACTCGATTTGGTGGCCACCGGTAGAGCAAACAAGCCATCATCACTTTCATCTTCACCGGGTTGGTCGGTCGCAAAGTCGAGCTGCATTTCAGATGTAGCGTCCTTTTCCTTCCATCTGAGTGCTGCACTGTTATTGTTGTCGCTTCGTGGCGTGATGCGGTCGTAGTTGCTAGTCTTAGTCTCCCTGCCTTCGCTGATGGATAATTTGTCAAAGTCTATGGTGCTCCGTGCTGCAGTCTTTTGCTCAATTGAATCACCACTATCTAGCATTTTGCTTCGTCCTTGAAGATACTGATCTCTATCTGTCCGCTGCTTTTTTGCGTCTGTCATGCCTTGCGGGAGAGCGTCCGCATCATCTCGGACTGAAGTGACGGTAGGCCGCACTGGATCTTCGGGGTTGACTGAATACTGCTCGTCTTTGGGTGTATACAGGGGTGGCCGACCACGTGAGCGTCTGTGAAGATCTGTGAGGGCTGCTTTTTCGATCTCATACAGCCAAAATCGTGCCTGTAGATTTTTAGGGAGGTGCTCCGGTGTTGAGATGTATGCGCAACATTAAAAGCATAGAAACAGATGATATGACTTACCAGTTCAGAACCATTTCTCATGCACTGCATTATCCTTGTATCCCCATAAAGCCTACGCAAAGGCGACCATTCGTCCCAGTGTGTCTCCATGACGCTTTGGTTCAGCCTGTAGCGCACACCATGATTAACCTTGTGCTTGCGATCGTTGATTTCCTCGACGAGAGATTCCACGAGTTTTCCGTGGCTTTCGATTTGCCGGTCACAGCCCAGGACACTATCTCGAGAGGGGTTGTGCACTCCAGTAGAAATGACATTGAGGTTCATCGAGGGAGAGATAGGATCACTAGCGTCAGGCAGTTTCGTTGGCAAAGGTTTTTGATCTATCAGCTTTTGTTTCTGTTGGTAACTCTTCAAAGTGTTATTGCGATCTTCGACCAAGATTTGGAGAAGTGTTCGCTGTTCTTGTAGAATCGGAAATGCTTCACGGCTAGAGCGAGTATTAGTAAGTGGTTCCTGAAATCTTCCTAACCTACATGGCAAGATTGTACGCCTTACCTCCTGAGTTGTTCAGCAAATATGAGCACGTTGAGTATCACCACAAGAGAGCTCTTTAGCCTTTCCAGATTGGCCTGGAGTAAATCGATATGCGGTTCGAGAAATGGATATCTTAGCCTGTCTCTGAGAGAAGCGATGTATTTGTTGCTCAAAGAACCTGTGCTAAGCGCTTCATCTAAATCGGTGAATATCTTCCTGCAATCCGAGACCAAAGATCTCGCAGTTTCGATGGCTTCCTGGGAGCAGAGTCGCAGATCTTCGTCCTTCTTCAACACACTAGATAGTTGCTGCAGTATAGCTCCAGTAGCAGCGATATCCTTAGAGATACTGCTGATACTACTATGAGCATTTTTAACCTTGCGGGAGAACGTGAAAAGCTTGACAGAAAGCTTGCCACCGAGCTCTGCAATCTGGAGGACGGCGGCAGCTATGCCCAAGATCTCTATACCCGACATCTGGGTGTCTTATCGTGGTAGAGCAGCTACAATTGATCATCCCATTTCAGGATCAGACGTCCGAGATTCATTGATGTGAAATCTAAGAGGAGCCCAGCCGGAGGTGCAGTTGTCGTAGTCGCTCCTCAACGCATTTGTGACAAGCCACGATCATAGTGTGGCTATAGAAGCTGGGATTGGACACATAAAAAAATACTCGACGACTGGCATCGAGGATACCATGATGGTGGGCGAAATCATGAGGAGGTAGACCCTTGACAGACAGACCAAGATGCGACACCAGCCAGCTTCGAAAAGTTCCGCGTTGAAGCGACGGAACTCAGTCAAGGAAAGAGCAGCCGACAAGAGCTCGGCGCCAAGATCTGCTCACTAGTGAAGCATGAAGCAAGTTACGCGAACCTGCGGAAGAAGAATTGTATAGGTACTATCTAGAATACTGCGCCTCCAATCAAAAATATTCGCTCTTCTTCTCTTTGTATGTACTGCACTACCTTGTTTGCGTTCTGAGCAAGAGCGTTCCGTGGAGTGCCTGGGCTAGCGATACAATACAGTTCAAACATGGGGGTTACCCATGCAAGAGCCGAGCATGACGAGCTGACTACATGCTGAACCTTGACTGCTGCAAACTTCGCGTGCACCGAGGCGTGCAACGTATGATATATGGAGAACAGTTGTCGTCGAGAGTGCATGTCACTGATCTTGTCGGCGAAGGCTGGCATGAAGAATTGCACATTGCCTTTTGATTTGTACAGGAAATGCAGAAGTGCTGTACCAGGCACAATGTCAGTAGGAAGCAGTCGACCAGTTTGAACAGCGTGGCGGATGACCTTCAGACTGCCGTTCTTGCGTAATTCGTGCACTAGGTACGATTTCATGCTTTGCAAGTCTTCGAAACTCTCTTTGTTGGCACTGAGCAGAATGATAGCGACGGCATCTTCCTTGGCAATCTTCTCATCGATGTCTAGCTCACGAACTTCTTCAGCTGTAACGTCCAGAAAGCTCACGTACATGTAGAGGTAGCCAGTCTTGTTGAAACCAGGTAAACAGATCGGAATGAAGGACTCGCCACCACCCGCTTTGATACCTTCAGCCTCGAAGAGCATGTTGAAGATTAGATGTAGATCACCAGGATGCAAAGAGTGCTTCTTCGGTCGGATGACACTTACCAGCCGCCCACCAGCGACAACAAGACCATAAAGTAGACTGTCCACCCGAGCTTTGACCATTGTGCTGTTGATGACCTGTCGATGAGCTTTGCGTATCCTCAAGCTTTCAAGCGCCCCGAGTAACGTCGAAGGGGAACCTCTGGTAAAGCTGTCCGCCAGTGCAGACAGTAGGACTTCGGTACCTTGCAAGGGCCGTCGCAAGTCTGACGAGGGTCGGACAGAGAAGATATGCGTTAGCGTTGGGAGAGTCAAGGTGGATAGAATTTGTGTGTATAGTGCATCCAATTGAGCTCGCAGTTGGGCTTCGGATTCTGGTAAACTACTGATAGCAACGAGGAAGAGGTTTGTTTGCGACAGAACGACGAATCGTGTATCTTTCGCTTGAAAGCTGCGCAATTGACTGTCCCAGGACGAATAGGTTGAAATGATAGTCTGAATGATACCGACGTAGCTGGAGATAACAGCATCTGAGCCATGACGGGTGTATATGGGTTTTCCCGCAGCAGAAAGGATCAGGAAATGCTTCTTCTTCGCCTTCCAGGCTTCGTGTATGGCCTCTTCGTCATTCTCATAATCCGGAAGTGGTTCAAATTCTTGTGTAAGCTGAATTTGTGGCATTATGGTTGACTCATCGAAGGCGGCGCTGTTCGTGAGCAGACCGCTACTGGAGCCATAGTTGTCGCCTTTCTTGCTGCCCAGTCCATCGCCGAATATGCTTTCCTCTGGGCCAGCATCGGATCTCAACCCATAGCTTCTGATGGAACTATCGTCCGCAGCCTCGCTCGGTGCTCTGCTAGCTCCTCTGCTGACCGAAGGGCTTGCAGCAATCTGCTGTGATATGGATCGGAGGCTGCCAAAATTGGTCGTGCGTGCAAAGGCGTTCACGTCGTTTGTAGATAGTGCTGTTGTTGCAGTAGAGACTAGCCCAGCTCTTGTAGGAGGTCGAGCACTTGTTGTTGACCTATTGCTCTCTTGAAAAAAGCTCAAATTGCTTGGGCGAGGAGGTAGAGGTGGTCGCAGGTGGGTGGAATCAGTAGCGAGGTCTTTGCCACCAGAGCCGCTACGTTGGGTCATATTGACCAGACAGTGTGATCGGAATCGTCGTCGTTGGTGTTACTGCCTGATACATGATGTTTTCGACGTCCGGAGCTCCTGCCTTGATAACCTCGCTGCCATGACTTTCCGCTCAGGTGCGTAGGTCGACACTACTTCTGTCTTTTCCGGGGACAGTAATGGCCAGAAGCATTGCGGGACTACGAGGTATCTCCTGCCGGTTATAGATCTAATTCATCAACGGTTAACTTCAGGATGGCGGGCATCAACGACAAGCAGTCTTGGCGTTGCCGATACATACCTTTTTCTCAACGCCATAGTCGGCTACTTCATCTCATAAAGAGAACAGATTGACGAAACCCTTGCAATAAATTCATTTGCTCAACTATCGCGTTGCAGAAGATTCTGATCAATACTATTATTGCCAGTACTGCAGTGCACGAATCTGTATTGCTGCTTTCTAGCCGCAAGCCACGGTCGAGTCAGGGAGTGGAGTTGTCTCTGCAAAGACAGAGAAATTTGGCTCGCCAACCCGATGTTAGAAGATCGCGCAACCACTGCCTACAGTCGATGGCAGTAGATCAGAAGGCTTATCGCCGCTACCATGCTACAATTGAGCGGGCATTAGCGTTGTTCGATGCTAACAGCGACTGGGCTGACTATATTGCCTTTTTGAGTCGCCTGCTAAAATCTCTAGGTGGGTTTTTCTGCATTGTCAGGGTCACACTGATGGCAGTTCCCAGAAACATCGAAACCTGAAAGTCTTGCTGACGTTCCCTGCAAGGCTAGAATAGCACTATGTCTGTCAAGGTGTCTTCAGCCTACCTTGCCTTCGGGCGTACATCAAAAAGCCCTTGATGTGTATGCCGAGGTGTTCTCGATCATTGGTAGAGAAGCACTATCGAGGGACTTAGCGCTCTACCTTCCAGGATTGTCGCAGACTCTGGCTTTTGCTAGTCTGGGAACGAGACCTTTCGTCCTCGAACTGTTTGAGGACTACATCTTGAGACTACCCCTTACAGCTTTACGGCCTGCTCTAAAGGCACTGATTCTGTCATTACTACCTATCATCGAAGAGGAAACCAGTGAAGACTTTGACCGCTGTCTTCATACTTTCAATGCATTTCGATTGTGCTTCGCTGAAAGTGGCCAGGAATCTTTCTACTGGCAAACCTTGTTCGTGGCTGCTATCTCGAATCCTCATAGACGAGGCGGAGTCCTTGCATATGCCATTCGCTATCTGCCGAAGCTCACGAGATCTGTCTCAGAGGGGGACCCAGCAAATGTGATCATTTCACCCGAGCCAGGATTGTTAGTCCGCTGCTTTGCTACAGGTTTATGTGACGACAATTCACTCATCCAGAGAGGTTTCCTGGACCTTCTCGTAACTCATCTGCCCCTCAACGCCACTATCTTGCAGAACGCGTCGTACAGGAAAGACCTCGATGTACTTGTAAGAGCAGCCATAACGGTTGTCTTACGACGAGACATGGGCCTCAATCGACGACTTTGGGCATGGCTCACGGATATTGACAGCAAAACACCCGAGACATCGACTTCTCCTATGTCGCCTGTCACGACACAAACAACACTTTCCAACGATTACTTTCTGTCTTTTGGTCTACCGTCAATTGTTCGAGCTGTCCAGGCAATGCTGTCAGAACCTTCAGCTCACCCTGGCCCAAGGACGATTCCGTTCAGGGTCATGCTCTCTCTAATGGACAAGTGGGAAATAGGAGGCGCCATAGCCAAAGCTTCTTTCTTGTCCGCAATGGAAAGTCTGATGAAGTATCAGTCTACAGCACCAAGTCAAACTGCATTCGACGAGGTCTTTCGGAGTGCAAACGCATTCTTCGATGCCATTGAAAGCACAACGATGTTTTCTTGCCTGTCAGAGCTTTTACATCTGAAGAGGATAGAGCTCATTTCCTTCATCGTCGCTAATTTCAGCATCGAGCAAGCTGATAGAGTCCACCTGCATACGGCAGCGCTAGGTATTGAGCTTGTGCAGACGCTCGAGAGCCAACAGATTGATTCGCAAGCCATCAGTGCTCTGCTGAATAATTTGCTAGCTATCGTACCTCTTGCCTCATTTGTAGGATCTGACTCCAAGACATCTGAAGTGGCAGTAAGGCTCCTGGGATTGATATCGGACGCAATTTGCAGGTTTCTGGAATTGCCATTTGTTGATAGCACATTGAGCAATCTCTGCGTGTCCTTCGAATACGCAGCAATGCTCAGTCCGATTCGAAGCACAATTGAGGCGTCCAGTTTATTGCCCAAGCTTTGCAGCAGGGTCAGGCACATCAACGACAACGACAAATGCTCGTTCACGATCGTGGAAACTATCTCACGTGTTGTAAGCAGTTTACTCCTGCGTGGCAACGACCTCAATACGTCTATACAACAGGAAATTTTGAATTCGGTCCCGGATCTGACATATCACTTGTGGGACTTTCTCCAGACCCAAACACCTCAACATCACGTAGCAGCTGCCGAGAATATATGGAGACTTCACGATCTGACATTTGAAGAAGAAGTCGTGGACAGTAGCATCCTGAACATTTTGATCAGGGAACTTAGTCAAACAAACATAGAACGATTTGGCGTGCTGTATCACCACTCGAAGACGGTGAAACGTGCAGCTGAAGAGAGCATCCCATCAATGCTTAGAAGACCAGCCCTGCTGATTTTAGACAACACTTTGGGCGCCGAACGAGGTGAAGACGGTGTACAATGGTTGCTCAGTCTACCAAGCAGTGCTGCTATCTTCAAGTCTATATTTGAGGACGACCTAACACAGGCACAAAATTTGTCCTTGGCATTGCAGAGAGTGCACAAGCTGATCCGCATTGTACGCCTATCCCACGAACATTGGCGAGCGTTTTCCAGCTCCCCGGATCTGATACAGACACAAGACTTCTGTCTCTCTTTAATTGATTCGAAGGACCAGATCAGGACCAATCTACAAAATGAGGCTTTCTTGTTATTGAGAGCATTGTATGACAGTGACACCGGCAATACTCCGCCAGAGAAACTTGTTGTGCTTTTAGCAGACAAGCTCGGTCAAAAAGATGCAGATTCGCACAGTCAGGAAGCAGTCTTGAACACGCTACTTGCAATTCTGACTGACAAAACCACCTTGCCATCCTCGATGGTCCACGTTCTTTTGCAAGGACTCTCATCCGTTCCAGCTGATGATCGACTCGACAAATGGATCACATTACTTTGCAACTTCTTACCCAATCATCAATCTCTGCTGCCCAGTTTACTAAAGGCGACTAGCAGTTTCTGCAAGCGTATTGAGCAGGTCTTCGGTGAACTACAGTCGCTTTTCGATCACAAGATTGGCACGAGTTTGGCCAAAAGCCCCGATCGATCTATCGCTAATTTGCTTTCAGGCCTAGAATATGTCCTCGCACGAGCACACCAGCAGGTCTTTTACCTGGATGCCCCACAAGGTCAACCGACAAATGGTACGAATCAAGAAACAGCGCCAAGTAGAGCCCAATCCAATAACCGATTGACGGTAATACTGTGCATGCAAGATGCGGTTCGAGTATGTGCGAATCTCTGGGCATGGAAATCGAACCCAAGGGTTGACACAGTCAAGACGATCGCCACGGACGCCAAGTCATTCCAATATACATCAACCAAGCTAAGGTCACGAAGTCGTAAGATTTTGGAAAACCTCATCGTGGCTGAACCTCAGGAGTGTCTGGAAACCCTTGTAGGCATATGGGTCGGAGAAGCACAAGGTGCAATCCTCGATCTGCTGCAAACGCTCAATGGTGCTAGGCCTCGAATCATGTTACCAGCCGTGTTCAATGCGATCTCTACACGTACCAACCCAGCCCCACTGATGCCGCGACAGAAATCAACAGCTTCAATACAGATTGGAGAGGCAGAATTGGTAACCTTCCTTATTGAGTATACTTCAGCACTGGAGGATGATATGCTGGAGGAGATATGGTCGGATTGTGCAACTTTTCTTCGTGAAGTCCTAGGGAACCCTATGCCACATCGTCAGATCCTTCTCAAGATGCTACGGTTCTGCGCTGTACTATCACAGAAGATGGAGAACACCAGCTTTAGCGAAGGCTCACGTATGCACAAAGAATTCGCCGATATCTGTGCGAGATTGTTCACTGCAATCTTTACAATCAAACCGTCAGGCTTCGACGGTCAAAATAATAATGAGAAGAAAGTGGCTACAAGTGAGGACAATACACTGCAAACGCTCGTTGTTACTCTTCCGCATCTTGAACCTGTACTCAGTCAATCAGATCGGCTAAACACTGTCTATGGGGCGATTGCCACTCATATCACGACTCCTGCCCTGCATTCGAGAGTCTTCCCCACAAATTTAGTGATCGAGCACCTCGAGGTCATGCAGATAATGTCTACGTCAACAAGTATATCGAAAGTGTGGAGAAAAGATATTCTCGATTCTTTTAACAATCCGAGATTTTTTCAAAGCTCGATTGGACTAGTAGGACCAGGCTGGCTACCGATCCTCAAGCAACTGCAAGTCACGGAGAAAACATTGCTGTTGGATAGTCTCAACCACATAGCACCACCCGCTGCAGCAGGACTTGTGCTAGGTATTGGTGCCTCAGCCGCACGCGCTGAAGCTGACAAGAAGACTCAACTGGAGTTGAGGCGAGCATCAACACTGATGATGTCAACCGAAGTCGACTCTGCCCTTCCACAGTTGCAACAGATCTTTCAGAAGATCGAAGAGTTGCTCAGCGCAACACCAGAGTCCTCACCGTCACTAGCTACTCGGGGTGACCTATATCTGCTGATCCGAGTCCTCTTGCTCAAGACAAATGCATCGAACTTGACACTACTTTGGCCTATCCTCGACGTCGAACTTCGATCTCTGTGCAAAGATATCCTTGCCGGACCTGAGTCGAAGTACACAGCATATTCGAGGCTACATGGTGCGAAACTGCTTGACCTCCTGCTTCTACTGAGACCAGATGAATTCCAACTTCACGAATGGCTGTTCGTTACGGACACGATCGATGCGATCTATCCATCCCACGATACCCAGCAAGTAGCGTATGCAGACGAGATTGCATCTGTGCTTAATGCAGCAGATGTGCATCTCGAGCCATTGACGCCAGTCCCTTCAGCACGCAAGACTCGAAGGCCGTGGCTCTATGGCGATGAGTCGCGGAATGTGAAAGATGTTGACGCACTGCTGGCGGGATTCTTTGGGCAGCTGAGTATCAGGGCTTTTGAAGACTTGTATAGTTTACAGGTCGTGGATGAAGAGGCAGCAAAGGAAGATGTGCTGAAGGATATTTTTATGGATGTTGGAGCATAGGCGGAGGGTGTCTGTGAAACTGGCAGTCTAGATACACTGGCAGGAACTGTTGACCGAACACAACAAGTTGATCGACAAACGACTCTAACATGACATATCACCAGTCACAATTTCGGCCAATCTGCTACCGATGTGGTATAGTTAACGCTACAGCAATTCGTTGTGATAGCCTCTTATATGTGTTGCTATGCATGAGACTAACTTATGTCAAAGCCAACATCCTCGTTTGACGATGCTCTACTTCTTGAGCAACTTGTCACTTTCCTCAATCCACCCTCCAATATTTCGAAGATCGTCCTTTAGCACTATCGCTCTCCCACTCCCTAGCATTTGGGGCTCATTGGCAACATGAACCTAGTCACTCTCTTCGTCTGAAGGGAAAGCCTCGTTGGCTTGCTCGAGGCGTGTCTGGATCTCGTTCCTGTGAGTGGTTCTATCGATACTGAGCTTAGAGTCAAGATCTGACTGCAGCCGTGGTGGTGCTCGAGCTGCGTTCATTGTCTGCTCATTCTGTAATCAGCTGAGGTGCATAGGTCTCGAGCTTGGCCAGACTGACCTTCGATGTGGGAGTATTTGATGCCATTGCTTGTACGCTCGTACGTATGCTTGAGGAGCCAGTGTGAAGAGGCCTTGCTGGGTTTTGGAGAGTAATGCCTCTGCTGACTTTGGTGCGTTGAACAACGAAAAGACTTGGAGGACATGGCTCAATATGGCTGAGTATATATACCCGACCTGCTTGGAATGTACCGCAGGAAGAGAGCACTTGAAGACAGCACTTGAAGACAGCTTCTACCAGCATCAGTTCAGACGTGAAACTCTAGAGATTTTTGGGCTGCATGAGGCTTGCATAATGTCAACCTTCTGGGTTTAGTCATTGACGCTGAACCAATAAGCACCAAGGGACGTCACCAACCTTCTAGTAAGTCCCGACTGAGCGTTCCAATCTCGAATGCAGTGAGTCGGATGACTCTGTTACAGGATGTAGACACTGCTTGGTTGGTAGAAGGTGTGTTTGAGCTCTGAGTCGAAGTTTGAAGAGTAGTGGTGTAGCTGTCGTCGTTGAACAAGAAGTAAATACTCGCAACAAGGACCCACAAATGACGGACATGCCACTATATCCAATGACTTCACACTCTTTGGCATCCTTGCACGAAATACAGATATGAGTTCAGCTTAAATTCCGGAGCATAAATATGTATTGTGTCCATGAGCCCGTAGTCTCGGTTCACCTCACTTTTGGGTGACCTCTGAGTACGGGCTATTCATCTTTCCGAGTATATTGATAGAAGACTCCATGGACGTAACGGCACACACAACAGAAGTAGAGCAAAGCAAGCCATGGGTCGACATGTCAAAGGTTACCTAGTTTCGAGGCATACTTTCAGGCATACACCAGCTCAGAAACTGGGGCAGCAAGCTCTCTCTACCGAGCTCGAAGCTCCACCTTAGGTCAGCAAACTGCGGGATTTCCCTTACCAAAGCCACACGACGGTTCACAGCCACAATTGGTAACAGCTTCCGCAAACCTACGCATCTGCATGTTCAGCGATCGAATTACCTTCACCTTCTCCTGCAACTCGCTTCACGAAAACTTGTGTTCCACCATTATCAAAAACATCTGTTCGAGAGTACAAAAATGCCCTGCCGATTCGTCCTTCCTCGAGCTGCTGCGCTCAGTAGAGCGGCTCTTCCAAGCACAAGAAGCACAGTCGCAAGCAGCAGGACATTCACATCGTCGCGGCCGCGTCGAGAGACTGTTGTCGCTGCGCAACCAGTTCCAGTGAAACGACCTGTCGGCGCTTTCAGGGGAGGGTGAGTCTGCTCTACCGCGATGAGCACTACGCTTAGAGCATCGTTCTACGGACGCTGATTCCTCCTGTGCAGGCTTTTTGGCTTTCTTTTCGGTGTTACTCTTGCTGGCGCATCTGCATACTACTATGTGATCGATGAATACAAGCTGTCGAACGACATGCTTACAGAAGATATTTATGTACGTGGACACGAAGCAGTCTCCCAGAATTGGCGTTGCTCGCGACGGCTCGATCTGGCTCGTTGGCAGAAAACTAACAGTTCATAGTCCTTACAAGCGAGTGTCCAGCGTCTCCACGATCATGTTACTAAACTCGAGAACAAATCAGCACAATCGCCGAAATAAGAAGAAGTGACGTAGATGGAAGAGCTATAAACACAAGATGAACATAACTAGCAAGCGATAGTACGTGAAGTACAGGCGTTCTAGCGACGGTTTGATTGAGAGAGAATGAACGTACTTAGCACTTCTCAGCATTGGCCAAAAAATTGTACACTACAGCAGAAGAGATGGATGCATTCGACTACGGACTACCAGGCCTGGTGGAAGCGCTTCCTTTGCGCAGGGCCAGACGTTCTCTTGCAGATTCTACGAGCTTCAATTGCATGAACTGATTGCCAGCGAGCACATCACAATGAGGGACATCAGCCATTTTCCCTACTGCAACATAAATGCAACCTCGATTTCCGCAATTATGCAAAATGATACCCTGCTTGAAGCCACTGGAGAAGCCATACATGTTCTGTCATGCAATTCACATCGAGGTGAAAATAAAGCCTACCTCTCCTTTCCGTAAAGTTATCACCTGTTATTCACCAGTGCTTAGTAAAAGGTCCGGGTTGATCGTCGGCAGATGCACCTTTAACAAACACGACAAACATGCCATGTTCTTTCCTCCACTCCGCTCCGCCAAAGATTTCTTTCTCCGCATTTCACTTTGCAATGCCGCTAATAGAAGAGCTACCTGTCACTGCTCCTGTCAAAGCCAGTGCAGGCTGGGCCTACGTCCCTGACACTGCTCCTCTTCCTTCTCAAGCACCTAGTAACCGTAACGATCGCAAGCGTGCTGCCGCATCCACGATCCGGCATGGCGTCAACACTACAGCCAAGCGCGAAAAGGCCATAGAACGTCGGCTGGAGAGCCTGAATAAAGAGAACTACAAAGATGGAGTACATGTGCCTATACCACCGAGTAACCGCGAAAGAGATAAAGGAAGGAAGGTGACTAGTAACGTGAGAAGGATACTGGGCTACCAGAGGAACTTTGCGCACTATCTAGCGGACGAAGAGGGTCGCAATCCGGGAGCAACGCATTATGCGCTTCCAGCTGTAGCCACGGGGACCATGGCTCCACCTGAGAAAATGGCCACAATGCAGAAGAGTACGAGCAAGGATTTGGGAAGAAGGAAGAGTGGAAGAGGAAGGGATGTGACTACGGACGAAGGATCGGCCCCGCACGCCCCACAACCACAATCGAGAGGACCAAAGCGGAGGCAGAGTGTCAAGAGTCGAATCAGCATCAGTGAGGTCAACAGCAGTCCTGCTAGTGCTGGTACGCCTGTCGCTCAGAAGACAACCACACCACAGGTCAAAACAGAAGAGTCACAATCTGAACACCCACAATCGCAAGACATTTTCATGATGGACGCAGCTTCGGTACCCGAGCCTACTACTGTGCCTAAAGCCCAGCCAGATTACCCACCGGCCTGGGACGATGATCTCCTGCTCCGCTCTTCGACATACGACGTTCCGCCAATGCCTACAGACCGCGTCATGCAATTGCTCGTATCCGAACCACCACTAACTTACAATGCTGCCCGTGCAACACAGCTGGATGAAGACAAGCGACCACCGCCTAGACACTTCTGCGGCATCTGTGGTTATTGGGGACGTGTGAAGTGCAAGAAATGTGGAGAGTTCACGTGCGGGACTATGGAGTGTTGGAAGGCACATGAAGGTGTGTGTGAGATGGCGAACGCTCACTAGAATGTCCAAAGGGTCGCAGTCAAATGCAGGTTAGTTTATGAAGATAATGAACTCCGATTCGCTCTTGTACACTAGTATCACGATTATCGGTATACCTCATCCGCTCTAGCGACAAGATTGTGCTTTCGCTGGTGACACCTATTGCGAAGCACACGAAAAAATAAGCTTTGAGATTACTGGATCCTCAATTGCCTAATGCTGGGATACGGGGCCACGCAGATGTGTTCTGAGTTGAAAGAGCAAGCCGAACTCGATACGAACACGTGGCGACTTGGAAGCGCCGAAGGACTGCAGCCCACGGCCCTGTGGTCCAGTGTTCCGTCAAGATCAGCGAACTCCATCCTTGGCATTGCTTACAGGATTGTGGAGTTCTCCCGCGGAAAGCTTGTTACGTCCTCGACCGCTTCCACCACATACTCCTACAAGAACGTCAACGCAAGTCATTACTTCAGGACAGCACGGGAATATATTCACTACGAAACATCAAGCCTTCAAGGAGGGATATGCGACCTATCGTTGCTGGCCGATAGCGTCGTCAATGCCGCTCTGGGATCTTCACACAATCCACATAAAACATAAAGGGGCCCGACTTCGTCCGATGCTGGCTTCCACCGTGACACGAGCTGTCGAGAAGCCCGCATACATGTGATTGAGAACATTGTACTCAGTACAGCTACGCGATCAAGGCGATTGATGATTCTTAGAGGAGGCAGCACCGCATAACAAACGGTCTCTGGGTTTGATTTGTCGACAAAGAAGCACCGGTCTATTGCAATCCATGCCAGACAATATCCTCACCTCAGTTGGCTCAACCGTCACAGCGAAAACACGAAACTCATGCTATACTTTACTTCTTCTGCGTCAGTCAAGGAAACGCTGTTCTGTTGAGTGACCTGTCGACCGTTACGTTAAGAGATACAAGTGTCCCCGTGATGCAATGAACAGAGACTACTATACTGCGTAAGCACTCGAGGCAGAGTAGAGTGCACATGCTCGTGCCATCAATCCTTTAGCTTCATCAAGAAGAATTTATCGCACAGATTAAGCTGTTCGTGATTGGTACGACCCACTAGTATGTCGTTTAGCCAAATCTTCCGCTTCGCACAACCAGGAACTCTGATGTACTAGTAGGAGGCACAACCGATAGGCATGAAAATACAGTCCTTCGAGGGAGGTCAATCTACCGACCAACGTTGAGAAATATCTATGATCATTCACCCATTCCTACCAGTACAATGTTGAACGAGCGTAATTTTCAGGTCATATATAGTACTGTTCCTGCTGCCCTGGACTGACAACGACCCACGCTACAAAGAAACTAACTCTGAACCAACTTCTAACCAATCTGATACCACTTCACCCACAACTCAACCATGCCTCTAACATTCCTTGCAGGCAAAGAGACTTCAAGCCAGCTCTAGGCTACACTTTGCTGCTATTACCGCCGTACTTGTCCACGCCATCGTTTAGAGTAGGCACAATTGTCGGCGCGTTCAGCTCCACGACTGGAGACTTGATCACTGTCTTCGTCGACAGTGTGCTCGGCAACTTCTTGCGATCGAGGTCGCAAGTACCGAAGTCGGAAGAACAGCAATGATTGCCGCACGCGTCGAGTCCGGAGCAGCCACAGGTCCAAGGTGCGGGTCTTGGTGGCAGTTCAGAGGGCGTTGACTTTTGGCTGTCAACAGCAGCCGAGGTTGGATTGGGCACGACGAGGCCCGGCGTTGTCTCCACTGGCGCGGGAGTCGCAATAGCACCAGAGGCAACCATATGCTTATCTTGAGGCCAGATCAGGGCCGGCATCCACATTGAGTAGGTGCTTGCAACCCAGTTGCTTTCTGTGAGGCAGCATGCCTCTTGGGCGCAGGCGCATGCCGATACCGTGCTGGTCCAAAAGTATGGACTCGAGTAGTCGCCCTCGTAGTCGTGCCTCTTGACCGGGGCTGCTGTTGCTGGTGCTGGTGTTGGTGTTGGGGTGATAGTAGGAAGGGTGGTTGAGATGACCACGGGCCCGTGGCCGAAGAAGGGCTTAGTGGCTGACGTAGCAGCCAAGGTTGCAGTGATGAATGATGAGAGAGACATCATGTAAGTTTTGAAAGTGAGGTAAGGAAGTTGTGTTTGTAGCTTGAGTATAGAATGAGGATTGGACTGGGAAGCAAGCCGGAACAGAGCGAGAAACGGGCAGAAACTTATACCTGAGTGATGAGGATCTGACGAGGCTAGTAAGTTAATGTGCTCAAACTCAAAAGTATGCTTTAACGATCGCTTGAACCATAAGGCGATGTCGCGATGCTCAGCTATAGTTCGGTTTGGCTTGAGCAGATATTGCATATCTTGGCACATTATCGCACATGTTCACACAGGCCAGATACTGGAACATACCTCGCGTCGTAGGATCTGATGTTGATAGCCACATGCTTTTGTTGCAAGTGAGCGCGCACATTCGTGGCTTCGGTTGAGAATGATTGTGATACCCGTCCTGTCATGTTTCATATAGCAAGAGCGTGATCAAAGCCTCACTTTGCAGTCTTAAGATGACCAGTCCCTCGATCAGCGCAATGCTCCTCAGTCAGGTGTCAACTCCAGTTTCGAATATTTGGTGTCGAGCTCAACCTCACTTCTACCCAGGTCAATTGTGCGTCTTACCTTGAAGCTACGCGAGGTTTGGTAACATCCTAGTCTCTTGTCGCATCCTACATTCGTGGAGTAGCGACGCGATACCTTGAATGACGAGTCCGTGACTTGGTTTAAAGTGTCGAACGTAGTACTTACTGTATTGTTCGAGGCCGTTATATGGCGCGATCTGATAAGCATACTCGGCATTCCAAGCAAGCTCGAGCATGATCGTCTGCAATAATCACCTGCGAAAGACCACTGGCGGCGATGCACCTCACAGAACAAGTTTGCCGGGTCGTGCAAGCTTCGCTAGCTCGCAAAATTTGAAGTCAGACGTCGCAATAGTTTTTGGAGATCTCTTGCAAGAATCAATATCAACGAACTGGTAAGAGGTCAGAGAGCCAGTAATGAGTAGAGAAGAACTGCACCAGTAAGGTTTTTGCTCAACCGAATGCGAAATTCCGATCATCGCATGCCAAGCTTGATTCATATATGGCGCTAGATACCGACTGTACAGCTCAGCAAACAATAGTTCGCTTTTTTCTTCCTCGTTCTGTTCTTGTAAACAATAACTCTTACACACAAGTCGTTGTCAGAAGACGTGCGACATGGTTCACACATCCGCGTCCAACAAGAAGCGCATAATGAGGATACTTCTTGTCACGACATAGCCGTCTTGAATCTGCAGATCGACTGCCAGCGATGCATGCCTCTAAGTGGGAGTGACATGGCTTGAAAACACAGATCCTGGTCCTTACCTGCAGCTACTATGCGCCAAGCCAACACCGCTTCCAGCCCAACGAGTCGCAGCATTACATGGCTATACCCGAGCCGTGTCCGTTGCGATAAGCTCCTCTCGAATCCTTCGACTCATGCGACTCGAGTTTCGCCTAGTAGGTGAACTGCGAAGACACGTGGAGTAATACTTATCGGTGTACTGTACTTACGTGCCTGCAGGTTGCTTGTCTGGACCTCTCTTTCTGTTGCGGGAGAAAGTGAGCCGCATACAACCTTTTTCTGATTCTTGATCTTCAATCCTACACTTTGCGCTGTTCATCTAGCCACGCTTACGACAGCAAGATGTACGAGAAAGAGCTTGCCTCTGGCGTTGCCATCGAGCCTGTCGATCGTGCTGTTGAGGATTCAAACCCTTATGCTAGTACTTCCCTAGCCTACCAAGATCAAACAGTCGTTGAGAATCAAGGTCGACTCAGGCGCCTGTTCAGTTTTGCACAACTGCTAGCCTTTGCGCTGACTTTCATGTCGAGCTGGGAAGTTGTGGCCATGTAGGATGCTACCAATTCGATATGCTACTGCCTCTAATTCTCTGTAAAGGAATATGGGAGCCACTTTCTACAACGGGGGACCACGCGCACTGGTATGGGGATGCTTGCTGGTTGTTATCGGCTCACTAGCTCAAGCTCTGTCGATGGCCGAACTTGGATCTATCCTTCCAATCGCAGGAGCTCAATACCACTGGACAGATATGCTGGCTCCAGAGTCATTCCGTCGGGTCATCACCTGGTACCAAGGCTGGGTTACCTGGTTCGCATGGGTGTCAGCACTTGGTGGTAGTAGCTCCAGTCTCGCCTTCATTCTTCTTGGTCTCATCGCCGATAACGTGCCCAGCTACGCTGAAACGCAACAGAGTTGGCACTTGACCGTTGTCATGATTGCAATTCTTCTAACTGTTGGTCTCATCAATTCATATGCCTTCGTTGTTGTACCATGGCTAGAGCTCGCATCAGGCATTTTCCACGTCATCCTTTTCGTCATCTTTATCGGGGTCTTTGCTGGTCTGGGCTCTGGTAACAGCGCCCAATTTGTGTTCACAGAAGGCAATAGCTACTCCGGATGGGGCAAGTTTGCTGCGTTCAACATCGGTATGTTGGTTCCAGCTTGGGGTTTCATCGGTTTCGATGGCGTAAACCATATGTCAGAAGAGGTACGCAAGGCTCATCATGCTGTGCCTCGCGCCATGGTATACACCATAGTAATCAATGGATCAATGGCTCTGATAATGGCACTCGTTATCATGTTTCGGATGGGTGACATTGCTCCCTATCTCGAATCTGGTTATCCTATCATCCCAATGTTCTTTGCACTTGCAGGTCAGAGAGCTGCAAATGCATTGATTGCTGGGTTGATCATCATAACCTATTGTGTCGTTGCGGCTTCTCTGGCATCAGTTGGACGTGTTACTTGGGCATGGGCCCGCGACGGCGCCCTTCCTAAATATTTCACAAGAGTCGACCCGACTCACAGAGTCCCAATTCGCGCTTTGTGGCTGCCGGTCATCATTGTCTGTCTCCTGTCACTTTTGAACATAGGCTCAACTGCCGCTACTGCTTTTACAGCATTTACGTCATTGTCGTCTCTGGGTCTATACTCATCTTACATCATTGCCATATCAGTCCTGCTTTATGCTCGTCGTACAGGTCTGCTCGGAGAGGCACCATCTGCTCGAGTACAGTACGGCGAGTGGCGTTTGCCTCGAAACCTAGCTGTGCCTATCAATATCTACGCATTGATCTGGACGATATACATCACGATCTATCTACCATTTCCGACCACGTATGCAGTAACAGGCAGCAACATGAACTACGCACTACCAATATATGTCTTTGTGCTGATTTGTGCTACGATAGGTTGGTTCGCGTGGGGTAAGCGCCAGTGGCCTGGCTTGAATGCCAATGTTATTGCACTAGTCCGTAAGGAGAGCTGAAACGAGCCGAGTCTACCATATCTTCATATTACTCCGTTGCATGTTGTCAATGCCGGACCGACTAAACTATCTTTATCAAAACATATTGCCACCAAGGCAAGACAAGTATTCTCTTCACACAAAGATGAGATGGAATCGTCGCGAACGAACCAACAGTAGAAGCACTCGTTGCTTTGGCAAGCTTTCTCAGGCTAGACCAACTACACCGACAGTCGATCTCGAGCTCCAGTGAACAAAATCGCGCGATGCATACGTATTGGATAGATGTTACATCGCGGTTCTACGTATTAGACATACACGTCTCGTGAAAAGTTACTATGCACGAGCTGATCATTATCATCCAATTCTTCCAACATGTTAACACCCAGCATTACCTAGCAGCTTCTAGACGGGGAAAAATTTCTTACAAAAAGCAAGCGGAATCTTCTGATAATAAGTCTCTACTTGAAATATGGCAGAAGTATCGAAGCTTAGTGCTATGGGCCTAGGAATTTGTGCGTATATATACTCATCAGACAACAGTACGGTCCATCAGAAGACAAAGGCAAATGTCAAATATCGAAAGAAAAAGCAGACCAAGAAGATGATTGCAAAGGTTGAGAGCACATTAGGCGACTACAAGCAGTCCCGAGAAAGTTGGAACGGGTATCCAATTGGGTATACTGAACATTCAATCGCAGCTGGGCCATTGTTTACGACCTCGCGCCTCTTATTCTTGGCAAACGACAACGTATCCTTACCACTTACCTCAAAAGCACAACCATCTCCGAAATCGTCACATTCGAAAACCCCGAACTCACAATTGTATCCTCCCTCAGAAGAAGTATCAGTACGCGAGTCAGGTCTACATTTCTTCATTCTTCCTCGAGAATTTCACGATATCATCTTCAAGCATCTTCTCGAAGATGCGAACTTCAATTACGTGCCTTTTCTTGGTCGAAGGTCTCTACTACCGTATGCGAACATTAAGGCACCACACCCAGCAGTGTTGAGGACTGTTTCCAGCGGATTCGCCACATATCAGGAGATCGAAAAGATTCTGATAAGAAACAGCAAGATCAGTGTCCTGAATTGGGATGACATTTTGAAGGTATCACGAAAGATGTCGGCGGCGCAAGGACGGTTCGCAAAGACTCTGTCAGTCGGAGACTGTTTCTGTCCCCTGACAACTAAGAACTACATGCACGTCAGCGACGCCTTAGTGAGTGTTCCCTCAACATATAGTTGGAAATTCCCAATGTTCCTATCCATCTCGAAAGAATTTAGCATTGCCAGAGCTCTTCTTGAAAGAGGAGAAGAAACCGTACGTGTGAGTTATCAGGACGATGTAGCCAAGGGCTATATCTCGAGTGTGGAAGCGGAAGATCTAGCACTTGCATACCGTACCACCGATGGCTCACCAGTCATGTACTGGTACTACGGCTTCCGCAAAATCTACAACCCACTCAGCGTGCTACTGCGGTGGGCAGCAGAACGAAACATCACTCTACAAAAACAAGTAAGGCTTGTTCTTGTCGAGCGCGGCATCCCCACTGTTCTGTCTGTCGTGCAGAATGCTACCTTCAGCACCAAAGACTGGTGTCTGGAAGTGCCTCTACCTGGTGGACAAATGTTGTCGATCGAGCAGAAGCTTGCGAGGGAATGTTACCAGGCCAAAAAGGGGCATGTGAAGCAGTTGCTGGGCGTTGATATGCCGAGCACGCATGAGGTCTCGGTCGATATCAAAGGATTGGACGGTGATAGCGGGCTTGATACACATCACTGGATGTGTCAGTACGGGATATGATAGGAATGCAAATTATCGAGACTGCAAGTTCAAACATTTTGATGCTCCAGAATTGGAGGTCGAGTTGTGCGAAATGTAGAAAATAAACACGAGAACCAATAATGTCTGGAATTAAACCATGCATCGCCGCAGTTCTTCTGCGCTATTCGTAGCCACTTCATCAAGGGCACAGAAGTCTATCTATGCTCATTGCTCATGGCCCTCAATATCTTCCATATCCTCATCTTTGTGCGGCCACAACACATACCCGCGCCACACAGCCTTGACTGTAAGCACAGCAATCCACAGATAAGCAATACAAAGCAAAATCGTCATGCCTGACCCGACTGCCTTGATGGCAGGACTGTACAACACATTACCAATACTTATCAACGATATCGCCAAGCCAGCATTTGGAAAGATGATAGCCCAGTGATTGAGCGTAAAGTGCATGTGTTTGTAGCCGTGAAGGACACCCACAGTGGAGAGAGCAAAGAACCAAAATGCGAGCAGCCAGAGGAAGATGCCGATTGCAACGCCCAGAGCTTTCCAGATGTCACCGACAGGGATAGTGGTGATGCCAAGGAAGCCAGGTGGGAGAATAACTTGTGCTTGACTGCCCAGGATGATCATCGCGTTTGCGGTGTATGCGGCCGGTCCTACAGCGACATACATCCCTGGTCGTTTTGGTTCGTCTGGTAATAGGCCGCTTGTCAAGCGAGTTATGTACAAAGTATACTGGATGAACGCGAAGCAGAAACCTAGGCCTTGAAAGGCGATTCCCCCGATAAGAATTGGCAATGCTGAAGATGGCCGTGGCTGGCTGTACAACAAAGTCCCAGCAAGTGGTCCAAGGATGAGGAATGGGTAGACAGGCAGAATCCAAGCAGGCATCATTTCATCAACAGGAAGTTTCTGAATATCGAAAATCCTGTGATACTGAAAAATTGCGACCAGCATGGCGCAGCCAGCAAAAGTCCAGAACAGGACCTCAAGTGTTTTGACAAGCCACTGACCACATGAAGGCACGGCATAGGCCTGCATGCAGTAGATGATCAACGCGATGCTGACCCAGAAAGTCCCAAAGAAGAACGACTCATGTGGATGATAGAGGGATTTTCTGAAGGCGCCCCTATTCAGATAGAAGCGTAAACTGATAAGGATGGAGAAGAGGACAAAGAGAACCAAGTCAAGGATAAAGACCACTTTTCCAATCGTGTTCAGACCAGGAAATGCGTAGGGCTGCTGCGAGAGGAGGGTTGCAATGGCGCCAGTTGACATCGTACATTCGAACCATGACCAAGTGAAATGAGATAATCGTTCTCGCCATGCGACGCGGTTTCCTTCATAGTTCTTAGACTCTGCGTTGAGGATGTTGGAGTCTCGCATCGTTGCACGAGGCGGCCAGAGATGGTGGCAAAATTGTCGCAGTCGCAGATTGAGACAGTCACGCTTGTAAACTGCTTACGCTTTCGAAGATGCTTGGTTCACGGCATGGTTGAGCTTGACTGCGTGGCACAACGATCAAGGAATTCCTTTCAATAGAAGACGGTTGTGAGGATTTCTGAGGATGCCTAATGGGAAATTACTTGATATCGTCATAGTTGTCCTGTTTACATGTTCCATGTCATGGGCCGGGAACTGTAAGATTTCGGCACGCAAGAGAAGCATAGCTTGCCGCCGCACTTCGCGACCTTTAGCACCTTTTCGGAGTTCGTTGGACGGAAGAAGTCGATGATGAAGTCAAATTTCGCGTAGTCAGGGGAATTGTGGCGCGGTGGAGTGGTGACGACAAGGAAAACCAAGTACCTGTGGCTTGGCACATTGAGTCGTGAAAACCGCTGCTATCTTGGCACTTCGGTATATCTTTCCGTGCCGGCCTCTTTCACATTTACCATGATTTTCGTTGAAAGGCCAGTGGGTAGAAGACTCTGGTATTCGAGGGAATGCTATGATTGGTCCGGAAACAGAAATGGCAATAAACCTTGCATCTCTCGTGTTGTCCTAGTCGAACATGCCTGTTTCAGAGTGAGAGCCATGTAATTGGATCGGGCCACCACCCCATTGTCTCTTGCTCCAAGTTAGGACTCGGCCTCATATTTATGGTTTTCCTGTTTTGTTCATTGTCGGGTTCCTTGGTGGCAGTCTCTTCGAAGTGAACCCTAGCTACCTTGGCTGCCTCATGCTTTCGCCAATGATGCTGCTTATGAATTGGTTGTCCTATCACGTGGTGGTCCTGCTCATGCTCGTGGTTGTGCCACTTATGCTGAGGGTTTGCAAGATGGAATGGGATCCAGGTGGCTATACGATCAGACTGCTTATGTGCACCATATACGTCGTGGATAAGAGAGGGAGTCTGGGATACTGAATGTGTATCGTGCTGGATTTTGTCGGTTGTAATTTCGGGAGCTAAGTCAAGAAGGTCGGGACTCGGGCTCCTCTTGACTCTTTGTGGGATACTGGTTGGACTATCGTCGGACATATATTGTCTTTGTTGTGTTTGAATGGAGACCCGTTCTGATGTCTTCTTTAATTATATGTTCCACTAGTGAGGCCGCACTCATGCTAACGATGCGATGGTCTATATAGCTGCGTTGTATACCTCACCTGATTTCGTGTGGTGTGAGTTCGGAACCACAGCGCAATGTCACACGACTCGCTCGGGAGATTTTCTAGGCGTAGTTGCAGGCATGCCGCGCCTACAACTCCCGATGATCGAGCGACATCGAATCCAGGGATCACTACTCATCCTTCTTAATCACGCACGCTTTCTACACTGGCAGAGCCAAATTGGTAATCAGCTTCTGGCAAGACATTTAGGGACTACCACACCATTTGTAACATCGTGCTCAGGCATGGTTTCAAAAGGGTGAAGAGCGTGCCCTATAGCTGTCTATCACCCAACCGCAATAATATGACCTAGACAAGAGAGGCCATAGAACAAGAATTTCCGACTAGGAAGCATTTACTGACCATCTCAGCTAAAGAGCCTCACATCCGGGCATTACGCTCATTCAGCCTTGATCCAGTCGACAAGTCCAATGGTGAACTGCTGGTGCACGGGGAGAGCACCAAATACGACGTCGCCGTCTTTCTCTTTGCCAGCTCTCATTCTCTCGAATCTCTCCTTAAGCTCGTTGACATCCCAATGAGCCCAGACGAGTCTACCCGATCCTAGAAATGCACTCTCGGGAGACCCAGCCCAGACAGCCCAGTCTGCAGGAAGCGAGACTGTCACATGTTAGTGGTGTACCCAGAAGGAGTAAAAGACTCACTTTCATCAGTCGCCTCGAGCCCTGACCCAACCGCTGACATGTCTGTCGCCAGGATCCCGGGATGAAAGTTGATGATCTGGAGTTCAGGATGATTCAAAGCCACGTACTGGAGATATCCTGCACCGGCCAATTTTCCGATACCATAATTGACGGAGTCTGGCACAAAAACGTGTGTGACACCACTCGAGGTATGCACAATTCGTCCACGATAGCCGGAAGCGTCAATTGGTTCGGCCGGAATGTGTGGCAGATATGCTCGAACCGTATTCGCCGTACCACCAGCATTGATTTCCAGACTGGCCATCAGGCTACCGTTGTTGTCATCAGGGGCTGTGCTGACACCAGGATGCCAGCCGGCATTGGCCATGACTGTATGGACCGGTCCTTGAACTGCTTTGGCGAATGAGTTGAAGGCATTGACCATAGCATCAAGGTCGCTAATGTCTGCCGAATAGACATATACAGAGGTCTCTGGATATGAAGCAGTAATGGTCTTTTTGACCTGCTCGAGTGGCCCGACTCTGCGTCCCAGAAGTGCCAAATTTGAGACCTTGGCTCGAGCGAGTGATAGTGCAATGCCTCCCCCGATACCTGTACCGCCACCTGTAACTACGATGTTTTTCCCTTGTTGGGATAGAGCTGGTTGATCGGGAGATATAGAAGAATAGGATTTCGTGTGGTAGGTTTGTGTCGGCATTGGAAAGGGTGCTACCATGATTGCGAGCTGTATCTGAAGACTCTGCAGTGCTTCTACAGTGGACGTGATAATATTTCAGATCGAGAGCCGGTACTAGTGCGGTATGGAATCAGCTTTTTATATACGATTGAGGCACATCCTCAGAAACATCTAGAGAGTCCTCAAGATCCGCGAGTCCGTTGGTCCACCGTGACCGGACCTGAACCGCTAGCTCGTAGAACTTCCATTTTAGGGTGCTGAGAATTGCTCCTACGCTGAGAAGGCAACCGTTGACGACGTAAGTTCCAGTATCGCAGGAGGCCCAAGGTGCTTAACCTGATTCCTAAGACGCCAAGGTACCGCCAGACTGCTGGGCGGTAGAATCAAATTTGGTAAGCAGAACGGGAACATGCAAAGCCAGAAAGACACGTTGCAAAACCCTCAAGCAAACAGCTATCTGAAGGGTTTTTGATATCTCCGGCCAAGGATCTTGGTTATCGATAAAGCTCAAAATCCCTGACCTATGGAGGTCACCAAGAGCTACTGCGCTCGTTTGAATTCTGCCAAGATTTTTAACATGATCGGGCTGTGTACAGCTAAAGCAAAGGTGACGAGCCATGCAGGCAGTTGGAATGTAAACTCCGACATAAGATTTGTAAGCTAGGAGATGGTCCTGGAATAGTAAACCGCAAGTCACAGCTCGACCGTTCGGTCAAAAGTCCGACCGAATTGCTTAGTCATGTTCGACGGGTCCAAAGATATGGTAGACGTGAAAGCCGACCAATTCCGATACGTCTTTGGTATATGGCAAAGAGTCGTTAGTACAACCTCTCTTGCAAGTATGTTCCTAGTCGTGTTCGCGAGCGGATGGACAATTGCAAGTCATGCAACATCTCAGCTCATCTTGCATATGACGTTGCGCCAAAGCTCGATGTGGAGGGGACCGTTGTACTGTGCTCTAATTCTGTCGAACAGTATACCACGAAGCCAACCCGCTTGAACATACTGGCCATGAGGCATCATGTCTCCTCGCGGAACATGGCCCCTCGGGACTTCTCAAGCAATCTTCCCCTTCCCAGCACCTCCCATAACCCTCCACCATCCCAAACCAAAGGCCGCCCAGCACACTCCGGTGATCACCGGGGCTCCCCTCTTCTGTGGCTCTCCGTACTTCTCCTTGAACTCATCATCAACCCATTTTGCGCCTGGATATAATATCGCACTGACCTGCGTGATCCAATACAGACTTGCCATGACCGTAGCAATCATGAGGTTGTCCATGACTCCTTCTCTTGTCCCTGTGTTTGTCTTGCGCCAGGTAAAGTACCATGTCAGCAGGCCGAGTCCTAAACCAGTCGACATGGTCTGGCCATTGTGGAATTTGGCATGACCGCTCCATTTAGAATTGAAAACATGTGTCTCATTCCAGTCAGCGAGGTAGCCACCGATGGAGGTTGCGAAGCCGATGGTGGTGAGGATGAGGCGGGTGGGAAGGACGGCGGAGGAAAGAGAGGTAGATGTGGACGACATGGTTGCTGGAGAGCTGAAACGACGAGTCTTCTGTGATATAGAGAAGAGGACGCTGCTAGAAAGAGAAGAGGATCAGGTTCGAGGTGATATTAAGTGCTGCGAATATGCTTTTCGTGTAGCTGTTCTGACTCTTGTTTCAGGTTATCGAACACTATTTCCGAACTTCCGTGTTTCAAAGGGCCACGATTGACCACGGCGGCTGGCAAATGTGTTCTTGTCCTCTGTGAATGAAGCTGGGCACCCACTGACTCCTTGTATACTCAAGCTCTCTCCTAGCTGGTGTATCTCTGAAGTCGTTGAAGCTCATTTACAGAAAGAGCCAGGCACAGATTGCGTCACAGAAAGCCTAATGAGCAGGACACTGCGGATTAGCTGAAGCTTAAAATTGCTTGACTCTAGGCGAAGTGATTTCCGGTTCTAGGCGTGGCAATCGGGGTCTTCCCGCTTCTCCAGGCATCACCTGAAAGTCCTTGATGAACACATGGATTTCGTGTATCACAATGATATTCGAGATGGACATCAGTCCACCGTTCGACTGCCTTTCAATATATATGTCAGACAGTTCGTCTATCGCTCCCATCTCGCGTTCAAAAATGTCAGGCACCTCGACATGGAGATCTCACTACCAGTTTAGGGCCTCCCACAAGATAGTGTTTACAAACTCTCCATCTCGTGGCATGGAGACATGTCTGGCAAGACGAACATGTGCACACGTCATTCCAAAAAAGCAGATGATGGCTCAATGCGCCACCATGTCAAGTCCCAATAGTCGTTGGTGAACAACTACAAAGTCGGTGGTGTTCAACCTCATCGCCAAATGCTTTTTCATGCCACCGCAACCCCTTTCATAGCATCTGGGTTCAATTAAAGCACAGTTCCAAAATCCCAAACTGCTCCTGACCAAGAACAGCATAAACGTATAACTGACCATGCTCGACATTGGCATTATAGGCGCCGGCATAGGAGGCCTGTCCGCTGCCTTGGCCCTTACCCGTGCCAGCCCCTCCTCCACCATCACCATCTTCGAAAAGTCCCAATTTCGGAACGAGACCGGCGCAGCGATAATCATCGGTCCGAATGGAACCAGGATCCTGTCACGATGGGGCTTCGACTTTGCACAAGCTGGAGCGCTGGACTACTTACAGATGCGCCGGATCAAAGCTGACACGATTGAGGAGGACTCTACGGAGCAGTTTGAGGGCATTGAGGGACTGTATGGTGCGCGGTGGTTGATGTTCCACAGGGCAGACTTACATGCTGGACTTACGAGGTTGATTCGGGAGCAGAGTGAAAGGATACATCTTCGTCTTGGCGAGGCGGTGGAAGGCGTTGACCCAGAAGAGGGAACGATCACGCTCAGTGATGCTGGGATCGTCCAAAAAGACCTCCTCATCATCGCCGACGGCGCACACAGCAACCTGATCAGCACAATCATTGGTCGCAACTATCCAGTCATCAAATCACCCATGTCAATGTATCGCTTCCTACAACCTATGAACAGCATCCTAGCCAACCCTCAAACCAGACAATTCTACCACAACCAACCCAGCGGCTTCACAACATTCTACAAGTCCGAAGTCGGGCGACCAGGACTCCTCCTCAACACCTACCCCTGCCGAGGCGGCGAACTCTTGTACGCAGCCCTCCTCCATCCCACCAAACCCAAAGAGAGAGATGTAGAAGGATGGGACTCACCCGCCAGCATCCAAGATATCCTCGACGACGCAAAAGGTTTTCACCCCTCCGTCCGCGCAATCTGCGAAGGCGCCACAGACGTAAAAGTCTACAGGAATATGTGGCGCGATCCAGTCGAAACACTCGTCAAAAGCCGCGCAATACTCATTGGCGACGCAGCTCACTTGATGCTCCCAACTCACGGCCAGGGCGCTTCACAAGCCCTAGAAGACGCAATGGCACTGGAGGTGCTCTTCGACAAAAGCACAAAGTCCGACGATGTGCCGCATCGAGCACAGCTTTTTAATAAACTTAGAGTACCGCGTGTAAGTGCCGTGCAGACAATTTCGAACAAGATGATGGGATCACCAGACAAGATGACCTCAGAGGTCAAGAGGTACTATGATCGTCCAGTACCAGGGCCTGGAGCCAAGACTTTCTCCAAAGAGTATAACGATTTTTTCTTCCTGTATGATGTGGCGGAAGAGGCGAGGAAGATTTTGAGATTGTGAGCTTAAAGCGAAAGAATAATATCTCTGCTTTCGGCAGGACGTATGGCTCGGTACGTCTGAGAATTGCTATACTGCTTGGCTTAGCGAGATAAGCCGCTTGACCCACGCTTGCCTGAGCTCGAATACATATGAGGGGTTTGTAAGCGGTCGCACCGCTTAGCCATGGGAGCCAGATGTACCTCCGACGAATTTACTGCATTAAATACGATCCACAAGTTCAAGATGAGATAACATAAACCTACAGACTGTTATACCTACCTGCTAAAGTCAATATTCGCGACTCTGCCGCCATCGAAGCAAATCTGTATGAACATTACACCACGGACTGGGCGCCACTATCGACCAATACACTTTCGTCTTGCCACCATAAACCGTTCGATCTGAATCAGCCCGTCATTCTGCTGCAGTCAACTACCAAAAGTGTCACTCATCTCACTAGACCGCCTTGTCATTCGGTTCGGATGGACAGATCCTTTGCGAACGGTACCACAGCAACCTAGTCATACAATGAAACCACCTGGTGGAACAGACCTTCTCTTCACAGGCTTCGTGATGTAGGGTCTCGCTTGAATACATCTCCTGCGACACCACTCCTTTAGCCTCCCGACTAGTTTATGCTTGCGATACGCAAAGTCTGACATTGCTATCGTTTCTGGTAGAGAAGGTTGGTCGAAGTATGAATCTGGTCTTTCGACACGGCAACGCTGCGAGAAGGTGTATTGCTGATCGACACAGCTAGGTGGGGGCGAGAACGTAAAGCTCTTAACAGAAGAAGGCATCTTGTTCCTGAAGCTGAGAAGCTTCCCTCGTGCACGCATGCTGCGACGCGTCTTGCGAGCAGGACTGCACAATAGCAGATCAGCTGGTTCTGAGAAAGAGGATTGCTTGCGTTTCGGAGATGCAACACGGTAAACAGCTGAAAGGTCGAATTGAGAGGCACGTATAGATGGTCCCAAGTCTGGATGATCGAGTTGTGGGACACTTGTATGAGCCTTGACCTCTTTTATGTGGCTTTGAGAACTCACTCGCGATGTGTTGACAGGGTCAATAATGCTTCGTTGCGATCGTACCGTTCGAACAGAATTCTCTTTCTTCAAGCCTGCCAATTTGCGTGCGGGCATAGGCATGGCAGCCACAATGCTTGACCACGTATCGGGTGATTTCTGACAAGGGCTACGCAACGTTGAATTTAGTGACTGCTGCGAAGCGTCTGTCGACACTCCGCTTAGCTCGGCGAACCCATCGACAGCAGAGATTGGGGCACGCGTCAAACCAAGTCTGTGCAACTCAAGGACGTTGAGTGAGACCTGCTCGTCTGTAGATTGCCACTCACTACTTGCGGAAATTTTGATCGTGGGATCTCTGGTCCTGAGGTGAATCTTCAATTTTCGGCGTTTTTGAGACTCGGTCCTGTTCACCTGACTCCCGTCCACCATGCAAGGTGTGATCTTGTTGTCCGACTCAGTCGTGTCTGTAGCAGTTGAGATATTACCCGGAGTGTTTCTGAATGACCACTCCGGTGTCAAACTACGACTCAAATGCTTTCTGACTTTAAACTTCTTGATTGTTGGACCACTTTCCACATCAGTGTAATCTCCCGAGAGCAAGGTCTGCCTGCTGGCTTGTGCGGCTCTGGGATCGATATGGCTGTCCGACGGAAGTTGCAGCCATCCACATGATGGGCGGGACTTTTCATCGGGCCAGGAGAGTGTGAAGCGTGAATGAGACTCCGAGCTTGCGAGAGGAAAGACCGGCGACTTATTGTGTGCAGTATCGGCAAACAATCTGCATGGCATGAGCCTTTGCTGACCAGTAGTCGACAAACTGGTAGGACGATGCTGATCGATAGACTCGAGCTGTAGCTCTTGAAATCTGGATGCATCTCCCGATAATGATCGAGAAGTATCCAGCTCCGCAACCTGTCTTGAATCATTGCCACTGTCGTTCAGCGCTGACGAATCTGAAGCATCACAATCCCCTGATCGAAGACCGAGACACTCAATATGACGGTCTAGCAGTGATTCGACAGTGGACATGTCATGACTTGTGACACCACTCCACCTGTCCCTGCTTGACCCAGGCCCAGCACTATGCAAATTACTTTGAGCAAATTTCTTGCTTGCACTAACCACTTCCGGACTTCGGTCTGAGGGTGTATCGAGCGGGTTAGCTTCATCAACTCGTTCGAGTCTCTCCACAAAATGTGTGTTGTCCTTGAGGCTAGGCATGTAGCAATTGACAATGTCTTGTTCCTGATCAACATCGAGTATTTTGCTAAATCTCTTGCGGCTTTGTGAAGAAGTCGGCCGTTCAGGACGTGGACAGACGATCTCTGGAGTCACCTGGACTTTGGTGACAGGAGAGGTCAAGGGTCTCGAGGTCGCATCGATGTGAATGGATAGTGGCCTGAACCTAAGGTTGGGCAACTGATAACTTTCAGACGTTCCTCGAATCTGAGGGTCATGCAGGTGCGTTTTTCGCTCAGATCCTTCCTCTTGCTGGGTGACGGCATCAATGCTGCCAATCGGGGTTCCCTCACCTTCGGGGGAATGAGCTCGAGCTGCAAGATCACTGAGGTTTCGAGGACTTCTACTGGCGTTTGTGAAGAACGTGCTTGAGGACGGAGAAGGCCAATTCCTTAGGCTATTAGTCGAGTTTCGGCCAAGGGGTATCTCCGCCCGATCGACAGCTCGTATGACATCCTTGGACGCAGCCTGGCTCGTATTAGTCGTGTCTTGTCACTAGATATTTGTTCATACCTGATTCTTGTCGTGTGAGGTCTCAAGTTCCGGCTCTTGATGATCCTCCTCATCGATAGTCTGATGAGAAGGGACGTGTAAGCTTCTATTAGACTTGCTGCTTACTCTCCGACTGTGATGAGAGGGATGGTCACTGAGGCAACGATTGTGTTTGGTTGGAGGTTCTGTAGGGCTAAATTTGGAACCGTGTTGGATACCAAACGGGCTTTGTGCTGCAGGAACGGATAATCCTGGAGTTGTGGAAGTAGTTCCCGCCTCGAAGATACCCTCCTCAATGGTTGGATGCTCGGCTGGTGGAGGCAGCAACACCTGTCGGCCATAGAACGACTCACTGTAGTCATAATAAAATGGTACAATCGAGTCTGTCGGGGAGGCAGGTTCGGAGTTCAGTGAGGTCGTAATGCTCAAACGGTTGGTTTCCGGCCTATTCAAGCGAGGTGTTGTTGCTCTTGACACTGAGACTCTGCCTTGGTGATAATAGCGATTGTCGATGGCGGGCGGTGATGGGGGTTGAAAAGACACAGCCGAACGATTATGTTCAGCACGATACTCGGGGATGCTTCTGCCCATTGTGAAAACTGAGCCTGGTGTAGATGGAATTGATCTGACACTGTCATATCGTGACGTAGCAGGGTAGCGGTACTCATACAGATTACTCATAGCTGGAGAAGGTGCCCTGTCTGATCTAGAATATGGTGTAGCAGGGATCCCGCAGACAGATGCATTTCCTAAAGATGTCAGAGACCGATGACTCTGTAAGGATCGGTGAGGGAAAGGCTGATACGACAGTTGTGGAGGTCTTGGACGTGGCCTTCGGAAACGAGGCACCTGGTGGTAGCCACTCGTGCTCGAACTTATGGATTGATTTCTCTGCAGCGTCCGAGTTGAGGTGTGGTGCGAACGGTTGCGGGAATTGTGATCGGGGCGAGGACGATGTTGCCTTCTTGGCAATGAAGAGGTCGCTGTTGTGCCTGGTTGACTGGCTAAAGAGGACTGTGTCGTCGATCGAGGAACTCGTGGTCGATGAGCGAACATGCCGATATCTCCGACTTCAGTGTCATTTTTGAGCATGCCCTGTATCGAGATTGGAGGCGGTTTAGGAAATGAGGAGCTCCTCTCCCTCTTGTCGCCATTGTCTGGACCACCCTGTCTTGTGCTTGAAGCTCTCTGGATGTTAGACGGAATTTCTTCCAACGGCATTGTACAGATTCAAGACAGGCTTTTGCACAAATGCAAAGTGGATGGAGTGGTCTGCAAGCCATTCATACTCATCAGTAGCTCAAATCGGCATAACGAATGTGACGATGATTGGGTGAGACGAGGGTGAAATATCAACTCGGCGGGAAGTTTCAACATGTCTGAATTTGGCAGGCACGAGGCAGAGTCGCTCATTTCGATGGGCAGGTACTTCGAGTACTCCTAGCAGGAGCAGAGCGACCAAGCGTATCTGCGAGGACTGACGAACCACTCAACAGCACCTGCGAGTCTTGTGCATACTGCGCCATTCGCGCCTATATTCACGAAATCAACACCATCGAAATTGCTTCGAAATGCTTAGACTGTGATCGAGGTTGAGGGCAGAGCCGCACCAAGCACTCTTCTCACCGTAATTGGAAAGTCGAGTATGGTCTAGACGCATCCTGCGTTCGCGACTGCCTTGTGTACACAATCAATCAATTGGGTACAACGACCATTGCACTTGTATAGCTTCTACACACGCTTCCTCCATCCTCGCATCGTATTCTAGTACTGTATAGCTCGGTGACAATAGCAGCTGGTTGCCGATGTATCAAGCGGACTATGAATGATAGTAGTGAAAAACTTGACCTGCAGTGGTAGAGCAGACCATTGCCATGAGCATTGACGTTGCCGCTGGTACTAGCTAGAGATCGTGCTTACTAGGCAGTTCTTTCAATTTGCCCCAAGCCGTTCGAAGCTTAGCTTTGGCGTGACCAGCTTGAAAGTCGACGCGTCGATTCATTTTGAAGCTGTTACTAGTCCCTGGTGGTCATCAAAGGTGTCACCCCGAAGGAGATGTCGTGCAGATGCGGGTGGAGGCGAAGGATAGCATTTGATCAACAGACTGGTGCAGGCCTATATCTAACTTCGACCCCATACAACGCCTAGACGTGAGATCCAGCCTAGCTCGCAGATTACATCATAGAAGCCTCTGATGCTCCAGGCGAAGCCACCAGTAGTAGGTGCCTTCTCAACTACCGTATCAACATCAACGCTGACTCTTGTGTCGCCCTGGCCCAAATACCTCATGGTCGAGACATCAAGTCGCCAGGCTGGTACACTATTGCTTTCACCATCAACTCCTTCCTGCGTCGCACGAATGAACTCGAGTGTGTCGATCGATCCCTCTTCGTCAGCACTCCGCTTTCCTGCAGTGATCTTCACAACTGCAAGGTCTGACTTGACATCTGGTACCCAGACCTTACTTTCGTCTGTATACGTTCTGTGTGTGATCACGTCGCCATAATGGTACCACACTCTCAGACCTGTTAGTCGACCATCAACAGTTGGGAACGCGATGCTCTTGATTGTTCATGGCACATCAATGATATATAATGCATTGAAATAAGTTGTGGATGCAGTTGTGGCAGGCTTCCTTGCCAAAACTGCATTTCTGCGGTGAAGTTATCTTGTGAAGCTGGCAGGTGTCTGTGCAGTATCTTGACTGTGGCTAGAGCATAGATGTCTTCTGATGCTTCTGCCACGTCAATGGTAGCTCTGTTCTGGTCAAGTTCGTAAGTGGCAGGTGATTTTTGTTTCCGCATAGCCTTGTAATTCATGTAGGCGTCAAGTAATGCTCCTGCACATGTACCAGCAATTTCGTTTTCTAAAGTGAAAATTTCCTCGTTCTGTATGTGGAGACTTGCGAGTGAGGTATATCTATTCAGACTGGCATAAGCATAGGTCGAACGATGTAACACGCTCATGGCTGCACCTTCGGCACAGCACTCATTCCAAAGACACCACGAAGCAAGAGACTATCTCCGACGTTAACAGACTCTCACATCAGCTCTCGAGACCCCTTCGTCGACATTGACGCACACAAACTTCTTTACTTGGTGGGACGTATTCAACTTCATTCACCAGGAATTGCATTTTGACAATAACCCGGTTCACTCCATTCACGTTGCTGATTTGCCATATTGAGTGATCTCAACTTCCTAGCACAGTAATTCAGCTCAAATACAGCGCCCGCCATAGCCAAGCCAGCTGACGTTCCTCGTGATGCATGGCTTCGGAAGCTATAATTCTTCTTGTTCTTGGCTCCGATCCTTTCATTCTAGCGGTAAACGGAATGGCACGATATCATGTTTATCGTCGAAGCTTACCGTGTCGCACATAAGTGTCTGAATTACTGGATCTATACAAAGTGCCTAGTCATGACTGAGCTTGAACCTCAGATTGCAAGTTGCGGCTGTAATGATTGAGATGAAAGGCAAGCATGTGTAATTGTATGCATGAGAATTTGAGCAGCAGAGCTTAAGAGTACAATATGTCGTACAATTTTGATTCATGAGAATGCATAGAGAGAGTTTCATTCAGCAAAGGCTTTCTTCATAAATTCGTAGCTCGGCGACAGAGACCCACGTCTCTGACAGTCAGCAAAATGAACACTATCAATACTCATACTAGATATCTATACTTGACTCAGTTCGACTCTGGCTGTACCTCAGCACAGAAACTCCTCGCACTCTGCACACACTCCAGCAAACCTTTCTTCACCAGTTTCCACAATTGGTCGTTTGGAACGCCCGACAATCGTTGAATCTCAGCCTCACCAGAAGGCAGAGCAATCCCAATCTCGCGGAGTTTCGTGTCCGAAACGACCTGCTGCTGTAGATTGTTCTGCACCATCACACGACGGAGCCTCTCACGTGTCTGAGTCACGAAATTGTCGAGAATGCTCCGACTCATTTCATCCAGCTCGTCAAGTCGTCCATCTGTCGTGATGGCAGGACCACTAACATGTACTTTAGCACGACGAGCTTTACCAGCTCGGCGGACAGTGGCAAACCCTTCTGAGTCTTGTGTTGCATCTACGAAATCCTCGTCATCGTCACTGTCTTCTACCACCGGTCGAACTGACAGACGACTTTGAGGCTTTTGCTTCTGTCTCTTCTTCTGCCGTGCCACTACAGGCGACGATAGAGCAGTTGGTGGTGGTCCAAAGTCATTATCCTCTTCCACGTCGTCGATCTCGATCGGATTGGATTGCCGCGCACCTCGAGGTTTGGCCTTAGTCTTGGCTTTCGTTTTGGGTACTTTGGCTTTGGCTTTCTTGTTCGATCCGAGTCGAACTTGGAACTCGAGCTTCCTGTTCCCAGTTGTAAAGTCCTGATAGCTTGAACCAAGCTTGATGTACTGGGTCGTAAACCCTTTCTTGTTCGTGATGTGATACTCTTCCAGTGCGTCCTCGGCGAGTAGATAATAGAATAGACGTTCGGCATCTCCTCGATCAAGATCTGCTCCAGCATTAAACTCTTGCAAATCATCAAGTTCGTTTTCAGTAACTGCTTTACTCTTTGACCCTCGGTATGCATCGGCACATTGCAATAAGGTCACTCGCTTTTTGCTAGCCTGTCGGACTAGCTTGATGATGTTCTTGGCGTGGTGCGAGAAATCTTTCGTCTCAAAGTTCGCATCAGATTGACAATTGTCACAAGTCTCGTGACAATCCTTCTTGTGAAAGTGCTCGTTGAAATAAGCGAGGACTTGCACACGTCGACAGTCAGTTTTGTTCTCGCAGTATTGAATCATATTACGCAGCATAGATTTCTGGCGCTCTTTCTGTTCCCAGCTGCCGTCTCCGTCCTTGATCATTTTCATAAGCTGAGAGGTGTCACCGTATCCGTAAAAGAGGTAGCACTGTGATGGCTGACCATCACGACCAGCTCGGCCAGTTTCTTGATAATAACCCTCTAAGCTCTTCGGCAGCGAGTGATGGATGACGAACCTGACATCTGCCTTGTCAATGCCCATACCAAACGCGATAGTCGCGACTATAACGTCGTATTTGCCCTTCTGCCAGTCTTTTTGAACGCTCGAACGTTTGTCGGATTCCATGCCAGCGTGATAATGCGTACAGCGTATACCATGATCCTTGCTCAGTTGGTTAGCAACGTTCTCGCACGTCTTTCTGGCCAAGCAGTACACGATGCCAGATTGTCGCCGATGGCTCTCTTTGATGATATCTGCAATGTCTGAGATGGTTTGAGCACCTTTACGCTTTGATCGTACCTCCCACATTAAATTTGGTCTGTTGAAACTCTGGGTGAACACTTTACAGCCATCAATACTCAAGCTGTGAATCGTATCCTTCTGAACGTTTTCGGTAGCAGTCGCAGTCAATGCCATAACTGGGACTCCCGGAAATCTTCTACGAACATCACCTAGATTCTTGTAATCGGGGCGAAAATCGTGACCCCATTGACTGACACAGTGAGCCTCATCGATCACCAGTCTGGCTAACTTTCCACGTTCGTGGAGACGTTCGAAGACGTTGAGCAGGGCATTGCTTTTGCTAATCATCTCCGGTGTCACGTACAACAGCTGGATGAATTGATCTGGTCGAGGCCCGTTCAGGCCTTGAAAAATGAGCTTCTTCTGCTCAGCACTTATCTCACTGTTGATCATGAATGCTTGTATCTTCAATCTCTGCAAATGGTCAACCTGATCCTGCATCAAACTCAGTAACGGAGATATGACAACTGTGACACCGTTCGTGTTGCCTGAAGAAATGATGGAAGGCAACTGGTAGCACAGAGACTTTCCGCCACCGGTAGGCATCAATACAAAAGTGTCCTTGCCGGCCAGGGTTTCGTTGATGGCTTCCAACTGGTTGTGCCTGAAATTCTTCAGGTGAAACTTCTTTCTCAAGGCCGCCATAACATCGGCGGACCATGGGTGGCGCAACAGATCAGCTGAAGGCTCGACAGTCTTTTCGGGAGCAAGTGCTGGTGGCTTTTTGACTCTTTGAATATTGTGGCTCATCTCATCTAGCGGATTGCGATTGGAAGGTCGTGTAAAGTCGTTCTTATCGCCAGAAGACTGCTCGTGATCTCTCAATGCATCGAGCATGTCTTCATCGTCGTCGAAAAAGCCAGAATCTGGAAACTCTTCGGCATGAGGTGAGGGCGGATCAGGACTTCCCATGGTTCTTGAAAAATCTCGCTCCTGCCTGTAATCATCGAGGTCGTTGGACCTCATTTTCTCTGGACCAAAAGAAGTGGGCATTACCGCGATGCTGCTCGAGCCTTTCTCCATTTTCTTTCGTGATGCACCGCGGCGCTCGACCGGCTGTAGACTTTCGATTGGTGTTTGTGCAACTGACGGAGAGCCATAACGTTTTCTCGATGAGTTGGGTGAATTCGCCGCAGGTAGATCCTGAGTAACATGGCGAACATGCTGTGTGGACGAGACCAGTATTCTTTGTGACGGCTGCACTAGCTGGGAAGTCGAGTTCTGTCGGCTCTTCTGCTTGGGTTGAAGCATGTACAATTCATCGTCCGAAAAATTGGCTTGTTGAATCATTTCGAGGAGTGAGAATTCTAGTGGCGCCATATCCTTCTTCAATTGATGGATCTCGGAACTTAAAACCATAGCCTGCTCATCAATTGTTTCGTCCGCGTCGTCGTCGTCGAGAAGCGCGTCGAGCTCGATCTTCTTCTTGTTCCGGTGCAGGTACTTGGAACTCAGTTCATTTCGAAGTGCCATGATTTCGGGAATAGACTTGCTGATCTTGTCTTTCAACGGCTGTAGCTGGCCTTCCAGTTCTGACGGAGGAGTCTCTCCTTCACAGCGGTAGTTCATGATTTGCTTGCGAATCTCTTTCAAACGAGCTTGCGAGTATGACAGTAAATTTTGCAGCTGGCTTTCGGCGGCGTCTCGAAATTGGTTGACCAGAGTTTGTTGGTCCTCGCTCATTGTCTTGCTTGCTTGTCCACTACTACCGACGATGACTGGCCGAGGCGAATCAAGTACTCCACTGTTTAGATGCGATGGGTTTCGGTACATGGCCGGCTTCCCAATGAGAGTGAGATGTTCGTCTACAGTGGTCTGCGTCTCTGTAATATCATCGACCACTCTTGTTGTTGCGTGCCACCTGGGCTTAGCAGGTGAAATTGGTTCGTTGCTATCCAGCATAACTTCTGTATCATCGCGGCTTTCGTCTTGCCACGCATTGCGTGCTTTGGACGGCCCAACACCGCCACTTTCCGATGAGGTCTGCTGCCTCTTCAAGCGCTTGTTAGACGGCTTCCGTGCAGATGTCTCAACCCCTCGATGGGACGAGGAGAAGTAGGGGCTTGCCTTGTACGGAGAGCTAGATCGAGAGGGATCGCGCTTAGTCGTATTCTTATTGCTGCTAACAGCCACCGAATCCTCATCAACGTTCATCATGTCTTCCGCTACATCCTCCTCGTTTTTCCAGGACTTTCTTCGGATCCGAGTGGCAGGCCTCTGAGTGCTCGTGTTCTCTTCTTCGCTATCGTAGACCACTTGTTGCTCATCAGGTTTCGATGAAGCATCGGCGAAGAAATCGTCACTGGTCCGCTTTTTGCCTCGTTGCACAGACTGAGGCTCAACTCTCGTCGCAGCTTCTTCATTCCATAACCTGACAGGAGTGCCAAAGTTGTCGTATGACACTACGGTATTGTCCAAACTCACAGCCAGATCTACTCCGTCATGATCTTCAACTTCAATATCGTCGATGTCTTCAATGTCAATCACATCTATCACGCTATCTGCATAGTTCGAGGCAGGGGTGTTCTGAATGCCCGGCTTCGACAAGGTCGGCGTAGACGGTACCCGAGCGCTCAGAGGTATTCGAGGACTTCGTTCGGTGACTGGAGAAATCGAGTTCGAGGGTGTCGGAAGTGTAGCTGGTCTGTTCGTTTGTAGTAATCGTGGCTTCGTCACACTTTGTGGTGCAAGCTGCAGTCGAGCCATTTCCTCTTCTTTTTGAAAGCCCTCAACTTCTTCGGGTTCGCCCTCGACATCAATAGGGTCCTGGCTTAAAGGGACAATATACTCGAGGTTTGTGTCGTTGAGGGTCGATGGTTGTTGCAGAAGCCATCCTAAGCATTTGTGTAGATTGTTCTTCGTCATACGCGCAAGGACAGCGTTGGTGGCATAACTGGCCGGCCTCTTCGGTGTCACAACCTCGTACGCATATTACAGCTTGCAGATATCGTAGACAGTGTCGATAACGATGGACAAAGGTGGCGTTGCGAGCCAACACGAAAACGCGTCCAAAAACACGCAAAGCACTCAGGCCCAACTACGGCGATAACGCTACGGATGACCGTAAAATGGTCCTCCGTGCCTGCGGCGCCTGCCGTTCCGGCCGAAGTGGTGATTTCTGCACACCTTTAAAGCACATTGATCGCTCGTGGCATCAATGCACGTGCAGAGGCTGTGCCAATTCACGTAAAAAGTGCTTCTCGCTGAGATGCTCTTCTGGCTGGCGATGTAAGCAGACTCTTGTCACCCGAACTCACGACACGATCTATTCGCAACGCCTGAAGCTCGTCTTTAGCTAGCGTTGGTTCCTAATGCCCCTACCACGACCTATGCCTTTCCCTTCATGATGGTCACGCCACCGTCGACGACCAGGTTCTGTCCAGTAACGAAACCAGCACCTAGAATGTACTCTGCTGCTTCGGTGATGTCCTCGGGCATGCCAGCTCGGTTAGTTGCATGAGTTTCCTCATCGTCCTCATCATGCTCCCAGCCCTGATCCTTGTCGTCTCCTTCCTTGTTCTCGTGAGTAACCTTGATACGACCAGGTGAGATGGTGTTGACACGAATACCAAAGTGTTGCAGACTGACAGCCATGGCAGTGCTTAGACCAATCAGACCAGCTGTAAAAGTTAGCTCGCTGAACATGAACATAGAAGCGATTTTCAAACTTACCTTTGGAAGCGGCATATCCCTCTTGGTTGGGATCACTGATAACGCCACGGAAACTGCTGACGTTGATGATACATGGTCCAGCAGTACCGACCTTCGAACCTGGCAGCTTGTTCGCCGAATCTTTGTGGTCGACTTTCATGTATGGAATTGCGGCTTGGCTCAGAGCAAAGTTGCCAGTCAAGTTGACATCGACGTATTTCTTCCACATATCCAACGTCGAAGGGTCCTCCATGGTCTTGTTCTCCGGCCAGTATGGGTACGAAATTCCAGCATTGTTGATTAAGAAGTCAATCTTTCCGCCCAGATAATCTGCTGCCTTCTTCACAGTATCTCGAATGGCGTTGGTGTCTGATAGGTCACATTGTGCCCATGATACTCTGTCGGAGTACTTTTCCAAGTGTTTCTCTGCTGTGTGCTGAAGACCTTCCTTGTTCACATCTAGTAAGAACAATTTGTGACCTTTTTCTGCAAAGTGCCGAGCAAGCGCTCTACCAATTCCTTGAGATCCTCCAGTAATGAGGATCTTGGAGTTGCTCTCAATCATGTTGGGCGTGAGTTGGTTAGATATTGATGCAAGACGAAGTTTCGATTGTGAAGTGTCTTGTTTCATGCAATATTCCTGGGACATTCAGCTATGGTACGCTTGGAATCGTTCCTTCGCTTACCAGCCGTTTTGCACATCCATAGGACAACGTCATGGCGGAAGTTGAGTCCGGACTCAGAATCTAGCATGTTACCGCTGTAGAGCATGTGTTACACGCGACTACTGGCAAGTACAATGACTACCTGCCAAAGCCATTCAATCTGATGCGCGCATTGTGCTATGGAATCTTGCGATGGATTGCAGATATTACCCCAACCATCTCGATTGTGCAAGCCGATGACAGCCTTGATTGATCAGTTTCTGAATACTGTGAGCAATTGCCTGACCCAACAAAGACGTATGCGTAATGTCGATATAACAATACCAGGTTGGCGTATGCCCTTCACCTCGTTCATATGTGAGTACAGTGCGGGTATGAGCACGCGATGGTGCAGAGGCTCTTCTGATACATATATTTGTTCTGACAAGCATTCGTATCTTGAATTGAGGGTGGTACTTTAGAGGACGCGCCCATTCCGCTCGTTCTTCCATGACCTTAACATATTGAAGCCAACAAGACCGGCATCTATACCTCCTGTACTTCCTGAGAGCTTTGCTGCAGACGCTCGCAGCCAGACTGACTGCGAAAAAAATGATGATACTTCCCAGCCAAGCCAGCGAGTGATTCGAAAGGTGAGGCCGCAGCCAGAATCTAGCGATCTTATCCCATCAAATTCCGTCACATCGTGCATCGTTCAACCTGCCGTCTAGATTCGCTGTCTCGATGAGAATAGCTAGAGTGACAGCCCAAGACCAAGCCGAGACAGTTGACAATATGCACTCGCATATAAAACAAACAGCACATCCACGATACATAAATCAGCTCGCCGGCTCCTTTGTTTTGAGTGCTTGTGGTCGTTTAGACCTTAACATCTTGCCAGAAGCAGAAAGAGGCCGCGAATGGCCATGGTGACGAGACATAGCACTGCTATTTCGCAATTTCGTATAGCAATATCACTTCGCACAAGAAACGGAAAGTGACAACCTCCAGTACAGCTGTCACCATGGTCGACAACGCATGGACTGTGTCGCGTGGCATTCTTTCTACTGGATCAATATTCAACAAGTATTGTGCTCTCGTTCCACATCGTCTGATTTCTACCTGATCGTCGTACAGATCGCTGCAAGACACCTCGCGCTCTCCTTAACAGACAGCTGTCCTGGTATTTTACTAAGGGTCTCCCTTTTCGTACTCGTTGCGTATACATAAAAAAAAAATCTTGAGGCGAATTCGAAAGGCAGTCCTATCATGGTTATCTGTAGAGATTGGGGAAACGGCTATTGCCGATACTTCAACGACTGCAAGTTCAAACATCCAATTAGGATCGACGAGAATCGTGACCCGCCCAAAGGTCGACGCCACAGAAAGCTGAAGAACGAGCGGGAAATCGCTTCCAAGAAACAAGGAAGCACGAACGAGGTTGATTCAGCAGAGCAACTGACCGAGCTAACCAACTCAGACGCGCCTTCGTCTGGTCGATTGAAAGGCGCACTAACAAAGGCTCTGGCACAAAGTAAAGAGCAGACAAGCACCTTGGTCGGTGCCATGGCACAAAGCGACAGGCAAACGAAGATTATTGAAGCACAGTCGAAGATTAACCAGCGATTGCAGCGGGACAACAAGCGTCTGGAGAAGAACCTTCTGAACGCGAGATATCGACAGCAGTACCCTCAAATCGAGGCCATGGACGAACTGGAACTACATATGCAAAAGCTTGACTTGCACAACAGTACAGAGCCTTCAGACAGCCGCGAGGATGAGCTCATCTCTTCTCACGTTGCCCTTGAAGTTCTCTGGGAACTGCTGGACAATGCATTTCTCAACACAAAAGTGATGTCTATACATTCACTCCCAGGGTTTGAGCAGAAGCATCCGGTCGAGATATTAGATGCTATTTGTAGGCAGGGGGACCGATTGGTAGTCGAAGGCATCCAGGGATATTTGGAGGACCGCATGTGCGACAAGTACGAAGACAGAAACCTCGCAGGCACGTGGACGTTTTGATTTTGAGCGAGCGCAATCAAAGAAAGATGGCGATGAGTTACGATGAATCGAGAAATAGATACCGAGGGACATGCTGGCGGTGAACTCGACTAGCTATAGAATTGTCTTGCGGTTCCAGAGATCGCAACGATGGCGATCGTAAGGCTGGCGACGTTCTCAAGTCCAATGTGGTAGTATTCACGGCGAAGATAGAGGCGAGACACTTGCACACAACTCAAAGCATGACGAACAACCCTCGCCTATCTGCCATAGTAGAAGGTGTGCCTGGTAGCCTGTCTCGACCTTATCCAGCCTTGAACTTTATGCTTGATTTGTCATGGCATCTACTCGTGGGTTGGTCGTATGGTAAGTGTTTAACGTAGATCTAATATCCGTACGGAGGAGGAGCGGAAGCTCGTTCAGTTCTGGCGATATAGACAAGGGTGGGTCAACCTTCCCGCCTTTTGTCGATCTACTGCTCGCGCTATCTACCTCTGAAGCTTGCTGCAGGAAAATCTGGTGTTGGACCTCATGCAGATAGAATCTGGTGAAGACGTGGTGTCAGGATCCCGCAGTTTGATTATCTGTCCTTGCCGCTGTTTTATTCCATTCTATTGCAGCGTTGGCCACTTCAAACTTCAAATTGCTGTGCTTCATGACATGCTATCACGTGAAAGCCGGCAAGTTTTACAGGTATCGCCATGGACTTGGCATCGTTGAGCAGACATAGTTGCCTCTACTCATCCGTTTAAAAGCATGAAAAAGCGGCAGATTGCCCCAAAATCTCGAATCCATGGTCTAGGATCTCCAGATCAAAGTGAGACTTGAAAAGCCAACACAATGAGCTCACTCTGCTGACACCACGTGTTTGAGCAGGTTCGAATTCAGGATGAGATGCATACCAGATGATAATATTCACTCTGATTGGGAGAATCCGTAAAATGCGCTCCTCGACCCCAGAGTTCTTGAAGCTTTGGAGCCCCACTTAGCTCGGAATGACCTCAGTGGTGCCTGAGAGGACCTGCACCAAGTCCCCCGAATAATTGATTGCACGCCATATATTTGTTTACAACCACCAAACATTTTTCACGACCGCAATAGAGCATTTCACCTCGATCAGTAAACGTAGTGATATCCGCTGCATACTTCAAGGTGTCTGCTACTTGGGAAACCATTTACCAACTCGAAGACTTGAACTGCATGTTTAACTAAAAGACATACCATACCCTGCTCTCCGGTCTACGTCGATCCCACGGTTTCCACTACCCGGTTATTATCAAAATCAATAGATTAGATATCATTATCAACCTTACCAAGATGGCCACCATCGAAGCATCTGTCGGGAAGACTCCAGCCCAATTAATGGCTGAGCGGGACGCCGCTCAAGCCGCTCACCACGTCACTGTCGAAGATGTGGTTGACGAGGAAGATATCGAGCATCCCCCTCCATCTCAGCAAACCGGCGCTGCGACTGCTACTGAATCTCCTGCTACCAATGGCTCTGCTGGAGTTATGTCAACTAAGGCAGCTGGTAAGCAGAAGGAGAAGCCTGATGTTCTGAACACCCAAGACGAAGATGCATTTCCCACTCTTGGTGGACAATCCAAGCCGACTGCTCAGGCTCCTGGCTGGGGCTCTAAAGGTACCCTGCGAACTCCTGCCTCTCCTGCTCTCTCCGGTGCTTCTACTCCTGCCCGTCCTGCCTCTCGAGGTCCTGCCATGCCTGGTGGCGCAGTCAACCTGCCAAGCCAGAACCGCGACCACTTCGACATCTCAAAGCAAGATATGAACCCCAACGCTCCGATTCAGAAGGTCTTAGCTGATGCAAAGAGGAAGTACAAGGTTAATACTGGCATTCAAGAGATCAGTGGTGGCAGGGAACGACGATTTTATGCTGAAGGCCCCCAAAAGGCGCAAGTTCGTGCTGCTTTACTCGATATTTCAAAGGCTATCAGCGTCGAGAAGGATATCAAACTCCAGATTCCTGCTTCAGCTTCAGCTGCGATCATCGGAAAAGGTGGCTCCAACATTACTGCTTGGCAGAACCAGCATGGCGTGCGCATCAACATTAAGCGCGATCCACGAGAACCATCGGATGATCCAAATGATCCTCGCATTGACGTGGTTGAACTCAAGGGCGACGCTGCGTCTGTTCGAGAAGTTCAGTACAAGATTGGTCAAATGGTCAAGCAAAATCAGCCAAAAGTCAACATGCCATTGAGAGGTGTGCCACCTGAGCTGTACCCCTTCCTAGCTGGCCAGTACAAGCCCGACATTGATCGACTCCAGCAAGGGAACGGTCTCGATATCAACATCCCGCAGTACCACACCTGGCAGGCTCAGCCTCCGCCACGAGCCGCTGCGGATGGTCGAGCACAGTTTGTGCCACATGGTGATTCCCACATCATGTTGAGCGGCGAACAGGAGTCAGCTATGCAAGCCCAAAGAGCCATCGAGCAGTTGGTCAAGCAACTTCAGGAACAGCTCGCAGTGGAGGAGATGACATCCGAGCAAGTTCTTCATCCTTACATCGTGGGTGAACGTGGCATGGATCCTATTGACTTTCTTGACCAGACAGGATGCGCGATCGTCCTGCCACCTGGTCACCACGAGAGCGACGATATTCATATCATTGGTCCTCAAGACAGAATTCAGGAAGGTCGTGATTTGGCCGAGCGACTAATGGCCGAGAAGCACACTCGACCTATTGATCTTTCTCGACAGTTCGCATCTGCGCCTATGGGTGCAGACAGACATTCTCGGGCGCTCGCAAAGTATCTACAGGAGAAAGCAATCGAGCGCGAAATCATGAATGCCCACAACTCCGAAGTTGTTTTCCCTGTTCACGCTGGTGCTGGACCAAACTGGAACATCATCTCCAGTGATGCTCAGAAGGCAGTCGCAGCCAAGAATGATATCACAAAGATCACTCAGGCTTTTCCTCCTTCCCGCATATCGCTACTTGAGATGGATCCTTACTATCATCAACATGTCGGTGATATGTTCTCTCAGCAGCTTCAAAATGATCACGGTGTATTTATGATGATTCCGGATGACCCTGAGGAGCCAATCATGCTTGTATACGAGGGCCCTGAAGAGGCTGATCCTTATGCTAAGTTGCGAAGAGGACGACCTACTAGTCCTGAGCAGCAAGAATTCGAGCGAGCTCTACAAGCGGCACAGGACTTCTTGCTTGGACAAATTCCTTCCAGAGATATTCACGCACGCGACGTGCCGGTGCCAAGAAAGCACCACGAACGCGTAAGGCGACACGTGCGAAACCTTCAGCAGGAGACTCCGGCACAGTTCCCGGTACAACTTGACTTTGGACAGCCTAGTGGAAGACGTGCCCGAGCACAACAGCCACAGGTCGCGGAAAATGTCTTCTTGCGTGGACCTAGTCCAGACGAGGTCGAGGCTTTGAGACAGCAGATCGAGAACTTCTTACTTGAGCTTGAACAAGATGAGAAGGAGCGTGACTATACGACGACCTTTGACTTTCCAGAAAACTTTAAGAAGAACCTAATTGGCAAGAATGGTGCTAATATCCAAACATTGCGTGAGAAACACGATGTTGAGATTCACACCAAAGAGCCAGGCAAGGTCGTGATTCAGGGTCCTCAAAAGAAAGCTGATGCATGTAAAGCGGAAATAGTCAGACTTGGGAAGCAGTACGAAGATGAGGTCTCGTACACTATCAAAGTCGACCCCAAATTCCACGGCGAGCTGATTGGCAAGAGCGGTGAAAATCTTACTAAGCTGCAGAATAAGGTCAACAGGGAGGTCAGAATTGACTTTCCTCGCGCTAATAGAGGTGGCGACACATCCGACAATGTCAGCGAAGCTGGAGGATCGACTCAACGTCAAGCCTCAGACGAGATCAAAATTCGTGGTCCTCGTGCCAAGGCTGACAAGATTCGAGATGAGCTGCTGAGCTTGACACAATACCTGCAGGACAATTCTCACACAGCAACAGTATCAGTTCACCGAGATCAAGTCAGGAGCTTGATTGGCCGTGGTGGCTCTGAACTCGAAAGATTGCGGGGCGAAACTGGTGCGCAGGTCGATGTCCCTAACAAGCCAGAAGGTGAACGAGTCACCATTACTATCAAGGGCTCCAAGGCAGCCGTGGACAAGGCCCGACAGGAGATACAAAGCAAGGCTAAGGCTTTCGATGCCATTACCACACAGACTATTGCCGTTGACCGAAAGTACCATCGTGACTTGATCGGGTCAAAGGGTTTGAACATACAGAAAATAGTGCATGAGGCAGGTGGACCAGAACGAAGTGCCGAGGCCGTCCAATTCCCGAAGCAAGGCGAGGATTCGTCAACACTCACGATCAAAGGTACTCAAGATGTTGTTGACAAGATTGTGTCAGCAATCAACTCTTTCGTCGAGGAGAGGGATAACCAAGTGACACAAATTGTCGACATTCCTGCCGATCAGCATAGAATGCTCATTGGATCAGCCGGAAACATCAGAAAGTCCATCGAGCAGCAATTTAGCATAGCTTTGGATGTTCCACGAAGAGAAACTGGTAGCACTGGTGTGAAGATTACAGGTCGATCCGATGCGGTTGCACAAGCCAAGCAACACATCATTCACCTTACTAAGCAACCAGAGGGTACCACTGTCATGGTTCCTCGCAACGTTCACCACGTCGTTGCCAATGATGGACGCTTCTTCCGAGATTTGAGCCGCCAGGGTATCAAAGTCGACCACAAAGGACAACAACCACCAAGGAAACCTGCTGCACAGAATGGTTCACGGGCACGAGTAAATGCAGATGCACCATTAATCACGGACGACGTTTCCGATAGTATCCAACATGCCTTCAACCTTCAACTCCTCAATGCACTCAGCGAGGAAACCGGCGAGATCCCCTGGGTACTCATCGGCAACCGCGACGTTACAGAGGCTGATATTTCGAAGGTCGCACAGCAGATCCAAGATGCCATCTCCCAGGCCGAAGAGCCACGACACATTGGATATCTGCGTCTCTCAGACCCTGCACTTCATCGTCACGTCATTGGTCAGGGCGGACGCACAATCAACTCAATCAGAAAACGAACCGGTTGTGATATCCAGGTCCCTGGTGGTGCCAAGTCTCAGAATCAGGGCGAAGACATTACGATTGTGGGAGGTAAGGACGATATCGAGATGGCAAGGGATTTGATTCTGGAGGAGATTGAGAAGGCTGGGTCGTAGAGCGGCTCAGCTGGACACTTTTCAACAGATTCCAACGGCATGTTGTATGCAGGTGGGAGTCATTATGCTCAGGCACCTCGTCCTCAGGCACAAGGACGTCCGAACAAGAGAGGACAACGAAGACTGGTGCCCGGGAACGAGCCACTGCCACGCTAGATTGAGGATCGTGGCTGAAAGGGTACGGTGTGGGCTGCCACAATGTATAATTTGGTTGGAATGGTAGATTAAAGGCGTTGGTGCCAAGGAAAAGCGAAGCGTAAAGCTGATTAGATATTGTTTTGCTTATTACTATACTGTTTGATAAGATTGATGAACAACGACCTTTTTTGGATTGTGAACCCCGACTAACGTAGACTTCAAACTTTGAGCTTCATGCAACACATAGCGCAGTGTGGAGCGGATTGATCCTCGCGTCTGTAGACCAAGCCATACGTTTCCCATTACAACTCATTCGAATGCCGACAACCTCGTACGCTGAGCTATTCACTCGTACCACAAGTCGGTTCTCGATTGCTGGTAACTTAAGTGTATTGTGTGCTCATGCATGTCGATGCAGCAATCGGCCCTGATGTTCTCCGTTTTCGGTAACGACAATTGCTCGTTCAATGTCCCATGTCGTGCGCCCGCATTATCCTGCTCAACAGCCTTCATTCCTTCACAACGCCGATCCCTCCCCGATACTCTCAAACCTGCTTGATGCCCGACTAGACGTCACACTATCATTCTCACTTTCACTCGACTGTGACACCTGCCTCAACCTCTCTACTTCTTCCTCCAGGTGAGTGATGTACTTGATGGCCTCCTCGACGGTCGCAGCTTTACACGTAGCCTGTCTCGATCCTCCCGCTAGTCGTGACTTTTCTGACGACGACAGGCGACGCTGCAATTCCACAATCGCAACGTGCAGTCGGTCACGCCTATCTCGTTCTCGTTCTTTGTTTTTTGTCTGACGGACTGTGCTGTAAGAGCCCCGGCGGGCAGATTCATGGGTTGGATGTGTGGCCAGTGGACGAAAGGTAGTGGTAGTTGTGACATTGATACTGTTTGTCATTGTGAGGCTGTAGAGGCACGGCAGTCGAGATGTTTCCTCACTTTTGGAATGAACAGGCTAATGGCGATAGGTCACCATAGGCTTAGAACAATTACAGTATTCACCATCTTTCGACGCTGGCTCTATATTTGCGATCCGCACTGCTTGTCCATAGAGTACAGCGTTCCGCGAAAGGACCCGCACCGAGAACCTAAGAAGATATTACCATGGGAATGGAAGGTCGGAAGGACATCTTGCTAGCTCATTCGTCAATTCAGTCAGTGGTCCTGTCAGACAAAGTGTTGCTGGAGACTTCTGCTTTCGCGATCTTGATCGAGAAGTCGGTCGCTACTACTAGGCCATTGGCATAAGGGATATTGCGGGAAAGTATGGTACATGTGATCTCTTGGCGAGATCGAAGCAGTCGTACAATATCTATCTCAAAACGAGAATCTCACAGAATGCGGACTTCGGTTCCAGCAATGCTACTGAGCCTCACCTACCGTATCAATCTTTGTGGCCCTCCGTCGTGCCGCCGGGTAGTGACCCAGTTGATGGAGTTGAGCAAGTCTTCGTTGGGACAGTCAATCTCCTATTCCATGGAAAAGAATAGATAATGACTGACGTGAGCCAAGGACATCGACATTCTCGAAGAAGTCTTGTTGCTGAATGACCACAAAGTGGTTCGAGAAAGTTTCGACGTTTGAAGAAGGCGTCCAGGGTTGTACCTTTCTTGGACAGCGGGAGCGCGTGCCTGGGCGGACTGCCAAGCCTGGTGTATCGAACCAATCAAAGCGCGGGACGGAGCACGTGGGGGAAGCAATGGCCTCGAATGTTTCTACCACACCCTTCCGACGTGCGGCTGAAATCTGGAATTGCCGTGTTGCCATTAGTTATCCTTGGCTTCCATTCAAGAATCGACCATGAACCAGGCGCATCGGTGATCTATCGAAGTTCGGACCTCTGACAGGGATGTGTTGGTGGCACGTTGCTCGCTTCGACCGATAAGCTTGTGGTTCAGACCCAGTGAAAGTAAATCCAGGATCCATCATAAATCCTGGCTCAATGACATGAGCCACCCAGAATTGTTCTCAATTGTCTAGAAATCCATAGAGCAAGGTCTCAAGGGTAGACTTGGCACGAAGCTTAGCTATGGAAGAGAAATCAAGCTCGGAGCCTTAGAGAGACATGGAAATGAGAACGTGCTGTAGAGCCATACACAAACCTATTCGAAATTGTACAAACGAAGACAAGATCATCTACGCCTCTCATCTTGGCCATCGACATGGCTTGGCACTCATCGTTTGATATGACATATTCTGTCAATTTCCGCCGCCTTCACACGAATCACACGCTCAAATCAACCTCGAGGTATTTCCCAGTGGAGTCATCGTTGCAAGCCGCTCTCCAATGCTTTCCAATACAGGCCCGCGATAGGTCCAACGAGAAGCAAAGAGGAGCAATCTTCAATGCATAATCGATGCGAAAAGTGATACCACCCCATCGGTATCCGTTGCACCACCTTGACTATTAAGTCTTTGAGCTTGCCAGAAGTTCATCAAATTCTCTGGTCCTCTTCACACCTCACTGCAGATCAAGCAAGAGCAGCAACAATGGCTCCTGCAGCGACTGCCCCTTACGACTGGATCCTTGCGATCACAACCATCGCGTTTGTCGGCGCATCTGCTGGTAACGGCGCCAACGATGTCGCCAACTCTTACGCCACATCTGTGGCTGCACGAACCTTGACTATGTTACAAGTCGGTTTCCTCGCTACCATTACGGAGTTCATAGGGGCTGTTGCACTTGGAGCTCGAGTTACATCCACCATCAAGAACGGCATCATCAGTATCGGGAGGTTCCAAGGACGTCCTGGTGTACTTATGTTGGCCATGGGATGTGCTGAAGTCGGCAATGCAACATGGCTATTGACTGCCACAGGTCTCGGATTTCCTGTCTCGACTACGCAAACTGTTGTCGGCTCTCTGATTGGTGTAGGCTTTGCCACTCAATCAAGTATCAAATGGAGTTGGCAAAGTGGTTCTGTGTCTCAAGTTGCAGCATCATGGGGTATCGCACCCTTGATTGCTGCTGCTTTCTCTGCGCTTCTTTTTGGGGTCCTGAAATACTCTGTCCTTGAACGCAAGGATTCATTCAAGTGGGCCATGCGACTCATCCCATTTTACCTGGCTTTCACTGCTGCTATTTTGGCACTCTTCCTTGTCATCGAAATCCCTAACGCACCTACTCTTGAGGAGTTTGGTGTCGGAAAGATCATTGGTATTATACTCGGTGTCTTCTTTGGCGTCCTGGCTATCGGATACATCTTCTTCATCCCCTTCTTCGAGCGAAAGCTCATAAAGAAGGATCCTCGTATTAGGATCTGGCATCTACCTTTAGGGCCACTCCTTCGAAAAGAGAACCCTCCTCTTTACTGGCCAGGCAAGGGCGATGTTTATGTCACGAACTACTACGAGGACGCGTACGGCAATGTCAGCGCTGGTACGAACGCTCGTCATCATGCCGATGTGCAAACCACCATCGACAACGGTGTTCGAACAGATTCACCATCAAATGGATCAGATTCAGACTCTACCAATGTCCACAAACGAAAGTCAGATATGCCGTCTGCTCCCGATGCTGCCACTATGGAGAAAGAAGGCTACCCTGCAGCCAACGTCAACAACCAGAAAGCAACACCAAACCTCCTGAAGCGTAAACGCCCAGAACCCTATGAGCGCTGGATCGTACCCGTCAAGTCACTCTCCTGGGCCAGCCCCAAGAAGTGGTGGAATTGGTTCAAGTTCCTTCTACTCCAAGGCGTTTCGCGAGATGTCATCAGCCATGACTCTGAGCTCCTCCGCGCCATCCACGCTCGAGCCAACCGATACGACGTTCGAGTTGAGCATCTCTGGACCTACTGCCAAGTTGTCTCCGCCATGATGATGTCCATCGCTCACGGTTCCAACGATGTCGCAAATGCAGTTGGTCCATGGGCTGCAGTCTACGAGACATATCGATCTGGATACGTCAATACTCGATCGCGAACTCCAGTCTGGTTCCTCGTCGTTGCTGGTCTGCTCCTTGGTCTCGGATTTTGGTTCTATGGTTATCACATCATGAGAGCTCTTGGTAACAAGATCACACAGATGTCGCCTACTCGTGGTTTCTCGATTGAGCTTGGTGCTGCCATTACTGTTTTGCTCGCTTCGCGATTGGGTCTACCTGTGTCGACCACTCAGTGTCTGGTCGGAGCGTCGATGGGAGTGGCGCTCATGAATTATGACGTTGGAGCAGTCAATTGGCGCCAGCTTGCTTTTATCTTCCTGGGTTGGGTGCTTACACTTCCCTGCGCCGCACTCATTTCAGGGCTCTTGGCACTAATGGCTCTCAATGCCCCCCACTTCTAAGATATTGGCTGTGATGGTGTGATAATGGTTGGTAAAATTACATTCGTTGGTCCACTTCGTTATGGTGTGGTAAAACCATAGATAATCAATCTTAAAATGATCTCATCTCGCCTTATGTAACCTGAGCCTGGAGTGGAGCAATTACTTCCCTGCTGTCCTTACGCAATTCGATCCCTTTCCGATTCTCTCCAATCCTAACTCCGCAAGTAATTCCTAAGCACCTTTGATGTATCTTGAATAGTCGTATCATTGAACATAGTGTTTTCTTCTGGTCGAGCATTGATCACATCGGCAACCACGTTGACCCACGTCAATTCTTCCGTGTAGACAATGGCATAACCTCTGAAATCGATTGTTTGCAGTATTTTGCAATGTGCGATAAAGAAATCAACGAGTTCTGAGCCGACCCAGATCTCACTGAAGAAGACGTGGACTAGTCGTGGCATGTATTTTGGCTCAGAAAGCAAGACTCATGGTAAATTGCGGAAGACGTTGTTGTTTCTCAGCACCTAGGACTCGTTGCCAAGAAAATGAGTGAATTAGTATCGTCTGAATAGCAAAGGAAGGCTGCTGCGAGCTTCAAGCCGAACTTAGTTGCAGAATGCGAGTCTTTGCACCAGGCCCATGTGTCGCCGTGTTTCGGGACGATCAGGAAGAAAGTGCGTATCATACAGACGTGTATTTATCGGAAGGATATTGAGGCGGCTGCGCTTTGTTGTTGATGCTGATACTAGATACGGAGTTGATTGTCCCACCTCGTGGTGAGCTAGTCACTGTCAAGGTCTCCAAGCTGTTTAGCTTTGTTATTCCTTGGACGTAAATCTGGAAATCACACTTCCTGCCCAAGGTTTTCTCGTCTCAGTGCTTGTATTCGATTTTGTTCCAATACGTGCAGTACCCTCCGCGAAAATTCCGGCAAGACGACGAAAATCTCTCCTGTACCACAATCGCGTAATAGACGGTTCAAAGTGTTCAAATGAGACCGCGGATTAACCATTCTCTAGCAGCTATGGCGCAAGATATGAATTTTAGCAACCACAAAGCAGTGCGACATGGTCGAATCTGAACTGTTTTCGACGGATATCTGGTACCTTCCAGTCTTCCTAAAGTTTAGCTTGACTCTTTCTAAGCCCTAGCTCCTGAATAAAGATATCAGCTGCCCTCTCCCCAATCACAAATGCTGTGTTACCAGTATTAGCTCCCACATTTTCGGGAGGTATACTCAAATCCGCAAGCTTCAGACCTTTCACACCATAAACATTCAATTTGTTGTCTACCACTCCAGTCTTGTCTCTCGGCCTCATCTTGCAAGTGCCGAGGGAATGCCATGTCGTTGACAGGATCTCGCGTATCCTCTGCTCGATTGCCTGATCATCCTCAGCTGAGTACTGGATGCGCTCATTGCCTTTCGAGACTGGCCCGTCAGCTTTCTCTATGATCGCGGCTTTTGATCCAGCTGGAAAGCGAGGATGGTTGCCTGCCAATTCACCTCGGAAGATACTCATACGGCGCCAGATTTCGCGTGAGATTTTGTATGCCCAGATGTGCTTCTTGACGTCGATGTCGTTGGGATCTTTCAGCCAGCCGACGTCGAAATCAACAGGGTCGATCATGGTTGGTCCAGTAATGTGGACGTGGCCGCGAGAATATGGGTATGCAGTCCAGTTTGCCATAGATACATATTCAGAATCATCAGGGAGGCTCGAGTGATCGCCATAGTAGCTTTTTTGTGTCAGTGGGCGAAAAAGAGTGATGTATAACGGCAGCTCACCTCAGATACATCGCCATAATCATCAGAGGTCGATCAGGAGCATTTTTGAAGTCACGATCCCAAGCTTTCCTGAATTCAGGTCCAAGGCCGTCAACTTCCTCCTCCGTTGGCCGGAATTTACCCTCTAAGACAGAGATATTAGCTTCAGGATATGATAAGGATGTTAAGAAGAAGTACTTACGTGCGTCCATTGCGTTTGTACCAAGCAATTCGTCACCATTCCTGATAGCTTCAGCAATATCAAAGCGACCGTCCGCAAAGCCATTGATGCATTCGCGAGGCGACAAGTTGGTTCGGTACGTCCAAAGCGTCAAATGATGGTCCTGGTAATCAGTTCCGACACTGGGGAGATCCTCAATGACCGGGATTCCTGCGCGCTCTAGAATCTTCGGATCGCCCACGCCCGAGCGCTCAAGGATCAACGGTGTGGCATTAGCGCCAGCTGAAATGATGACCATCTTTGAAGCGCGCACTGTACGTGGAGACGTGTAGCCAGCCGCGATGAATTCAGGATTTGGCATGAACTTAGGATTTGTTTGATACTCAACACCAACTGCTCGCTTGTTGTCATCAAAAAGGATCTTGATAACCTGCTTCTCAACCAGCACATGCAGATTCGGATGCTCTCCACTTTGCAACTTCGGGTGGAGATACCTGTGAGCGGCATCCTGACGCCTTCCGTTGGGTCCGACATATCGTAAATAGCGCTCAATGGCATTGTTGTTGTCAAGAGTTTGCAAGTCTTTGACCTCAGGATAGCCGACCTCTTTGGCTGCGTCGATAAAAGAGTTCTCGGCACGATGAGCTATGAAAGTACCTCTTGATATGTTGACAGGACCGTCGTAGCCATGATGCTCCTTGTCACCAGCACCGTGATAGGTTTCGAACTGAGAACAGTCAGCACTGATGCCTGAACGTTTGGGATAAACACACTTTCTTCAGGAAGGGAAGCAGTTCATTTGCGGACCAGCCCTCTGCCTGCCAAGAGTCGAAGTCGGATCGTTGACCACGAGTATACACCATCCAATTCATGGCAGATCCACCACCAAGAGTGCCTCCTGATGGGACGATTGGGTGACGACCAGCGAGTTGTGGTGATTCGTTGCCTTGCCAGAAGAGAGTGATCTTGCTGGTCGGAAAGAGGTTTCTTGGGTAAAGAGCCGGATACACGACTTCAGGCATGTTGTAGTTATTCGGGCCTTGTTCAATCACCAGGATCGATAACGCTGGATCTGCCTCTGCTAAACGTCCAGCAATAACGCATCCTGCCAAGCCACCTGTGGTTCTAATTAGCCAGGTGAGTAACTAGCTATAACTTGTGAGACATATACCTCCTGCAATGATTACATCCACCTCTTGTAGGTTTTCTGGCAGCTTCGTGTATAGACCCATGACGGTTCAGGCCTCGAATTTCTCGAGCTGACTTTGCTCACAATCAGTTCTTCGAGAATGTCTGATTCCCGATTAATATAGATCAAAGACGTTGAAGTGGTCCAGACGACTTCGCTAATCGTGACTCTGGGGTATACATTATAGACCCTCGGCTGATATATGGGGAACAGATCTACAAACACCGACGGACCTGAGACCTGCTTCAACCCCATGATCCCCACTGTCAGAACTGCTGACAAGGATTGACAAGGTACTTGGCTTCTCCTCACCAGGAGCATATCCGGACGACCCTGACCTGCGGCCATATTCCAAAACAAAATCGAGCATCTGAGGCAAAATTATCACCTCAGGCCGCTCTCGATCAGTGATTTAGCCGGTTTTCTATTGCGTCCATATCCTCTTGTCCTTAGACAGACCTTTCCCAGAGCAATCTTATCACTCATTTGAGCTACCACAAAACAATGTGTACGGTGCTGTATTTGGCTCGAGGTAGCTTATCAAGAACCACATACGAGAAAGGAGGCGTAGGCATATATCAGGTTAGTGCCAGCCTTGTGGGAGTGAAGCACACGGGCAGTGGCCAAATGGAACATGTTGGATTTGGTAACCACGCCAAGGTTCAGTAGGCGAGGTTGCTGCCAACATGCACCGGTACAGCTTTTGCAGCGGCCACCTGAGAAGATATCTAACACTGTTTTGGTGTAAAGCTACGGCAGAGTGACGTGGTACGTGAAGTCAAAGACGCAGTTCCGCAGGAAGTCACAGTTACGATTATGGATCGGAAGCAGAACAGAGAGAGAGAGACAACAAACGCGCCTTCCATCCTTAAACAACAACAACGACAACAATAGCATTTCGGTCCATTCATCGAATGCTTTTGGTCACTTCATTCCTTTGAGCTCAATTTGTACACGTGTACAAGCTCCTAGGGTCATCGTTCGCACCTACCGAATGCGCGTTACCTAGCCAAAAACTATCACATGCTCGTAGCATACCACAACCTCCTACAAGATTGTCACGAGACATCTTCGTTGTCGCAGATAAGGATGTGTCGAGATAGTCACCGTTGATGAGCCGCTGAACTGCGATCAATCGAGATGGCGTTCAACTTTAACTGGGCGCCACTGAGTGGTGATCCCAAATTCTACGAGCAGGCGGCAGAACTTCTTACCAATGCTATGAACAAGAATCAGAAGCCACCTATAATCGTTGACGACATCATTGTGACCGAGCTTAACATAGGGGATGTGCCGCCTGATTTGGAAGTGGTGGAAATCTCAGACATTGGTGTCGACAAGTTTCGTGGGACATTCAAGATGTCCTATGCTGGAAATGCGTTCATCACCATCAAGACACGAGTTCAGGCGAACCCTATGAATACCTATCTGTCGACTAGATCAGTATACGCTCAGCCGAGACCTTTGGCTGCAGCAGCTGGCTTGACAATACCTCTGCAAATTACTCTCTCTGATTTCCAATTGTCAGCCATCATAATCCTTGTCTTCTCGCGTCAAAAGGGACTTACGATTGTCTTTCGAAACGACCCGCTCGACTCGTTGAAAGTTTCCTCCACCTTTGACTCGATCCCTTTCGTTGCAGACCACCTTCAGCAGGTTATTGAGAAGCAATTACGGACCCTGTTCATGGACGAGCTGCCTGCCATCATTCATCGCATGTCATTACGGTTGTGGGTACCAGAACACAGGGCACAAGAAGAGCGCGCACTGAGGTCAGAAGAGGAGAAAGACGTAGACGAACCGGCAATAGATCCTTTGGCTAGCCCTCCACAAGATCCAGTCGACTCTTCGGGCACAACCCTAAGTCCGGCTGAAATTGCGTCTCTTTCTCTCAATTCTCACATAGAAACACAATCCTTGTTCTCGAGAAAGAATTTGCTTCGTCTTGCGACGCTCACGGATTCGCACAGAACGCTATCTCTGTTCACTCCAAATATACAGGATGCCGTTTTTCGCGCTTGGACAGGTCCACTGGAAAGAGGAGAATTGACAGGTTCACATTCGAGGGCTACTACACCGGCTCTATCAAGGGCGCAGTCGTACACCGGGCCGATCACAACTTCTTACACCTTTGACAGCTCTTCTCATGCACGTCCTACACTACATGGTCATCATAGCTCGTTGTCTACTGCAACGCTTGGTGGTCGTGCACTCAAGCCGCACAGCAACCGGAAGAGGAAGAAGCGCGTCGTCAATTTGAGGAAGTCAGCCGCTACTGGCGAGATGGAGACTGTGGTTGAAGATGGCTCAACCGTGACGGACAGCACTAGTGTGACAGGAAGCACATCCGAAGCACCTTCTGTTTTCTCTGCGCCTCCACTAACTTCAACACTGGCAAGAAGTGCGGATCCTGTTACACCTTCGCGAAGTCCTACAGACTCTCGGTACGGCCATGAAGACATGGAGTCACAGCAGCAACCGACGGAAATAACTCCACAGACACGCATCCGTCAACGACGTCCATCACACATCGACTTGAATCTTCCCGGCGCGCAACAGACTGCTCAGCCTGCAAGAGGCCAAAATTTGCACTCGGACGACACCATCAGGGCGCGTCCAAGGCAGCGTAGGATCGTGAACTTGAATCGAACTGAGTCTGAGGACAATACTCCAAGAGCTTCTATGTTCTTGCCCGAGCAACAGCCAGGAGAGCACGATGGAATACACCATTCCGAGCGCCATCAGCAGCAAAGTCAGCCACAGCCTGGGGTCCGTCCTGGTTCACGACATCATTCCATGCATATCGAGGAAGCTTTTCCTGAAAACTTGAATAGTGCCTCATCTGCAGACCAATCAGAAATACCTCCAGCACCCAATTTCCTATCTTTCATCGCAGATAGCTCAAGCTCTCAAAGCATCGTTGAACGCGCATGGATGATGAAGATGGCTGCTGAAGTTGCTAGACGATATGAAGATGAGCGGAGGAAGGGTAGTTTTGAGCTCCCGCATACTTCTTCTGGTTCTGGATTCGAGGACGAAATGCCACCACCGGCTTATGCAAAATAGACAGCAAGATACTCACAAATTTATAGAAGGAGAATGACAACGTACCAGGATGAGGCTGAGGACTAGTAGAACGATTTGCGATTTAGCAGGGTGTTCCGGACTGAAAATTGTGGGCTAGTATTTACTTGCGACGAGGCGTTACAGACTGCTTCAATGGTCATGCCGGTTCTGTGCGGCAGCAAGACCATCAAAATATCATCAGAATATCATCGCTCCTGAATTTGTTGTGCCTCGTATTTTGAGCGGCCATGATTGGGTAATGATAGCACCAGGACTACGCCAAACGGTTCACTGAATGACTCCGCATGATGAAACCAGTGCGAAGTTGCCTACTACTCGACTGCGACTCGTTCACTCAGGCTGTGTCCTATTGTTGATTTTATACATCATTGTGTAGAGCTGTTGTGATCTAGAGAAATGTGGAAATTGCGTACTCGAGTATGCCAGTGTATGTAGCTATGCCGCACTCAAGGCTGTGCTCCACCACTCAACAGGTAGTCGCCTTGAAAGGCACACAAATTGGGACAAGCAGGTCGTTCGACCCAACAAGCTAGCAGCTAGTGGTCACTTCCGCCAAGTTCATTAATAGTCAATCTTAGACTTTCCGACCCTTGACCCACGGCTCGAACCGCCGTCCATTTCCTCCTCCTAGGGGTATCAATTGTCGTGAAGTTGTTCCAACTCTGCATCGTTAGCGACTTCAGTGACCTTGGAGTCAGGGATTTCTTCACTGCGATATACGGCTTCGAGACACTTACTACTTGCCTGGCTGATGACAATGAATCAATATGCCCACTGGACACACAAAGCGCAAGCAATCACGTCACTAGACAGAAAGAGCACAAACCAGTACGCTGGCTTCGGCACATCTCATCAACACCACAAAGAGAATCTAATCCAGTGCTGTGATCGAGCACGTCTACCTTTTGTCATCGACGACAGCATGAACATCTTTGTGACGACAACTCGAACAGCATGAAAATCAGCATATCTCGACCACCGCCTCTGGCTACTGGTCAACTAGTTGACAAACTCGATTTCAGCCACTACTTGTCGCATCAATCAAAATGCATCAAGCAATTACACTTTCGACTCTAGCTCTAGCGACAAACACAGCTCTCGTCGCAGGTCTGACCGTGAATGGTTTCAACTTCCCAGGCGATAGCCACGCGCAATCAGTTTGTCGTGGCCAGACAGCAGGATCCATGAAATGTGTAAGTCGTCATTTTCACTCGAGTTCTTTGACTCCCTGATCTTGAGGTTCGCAAACGATTCCGGCCAAAATCATCTCAGCTAATGAATGGACAGCTGACCAACGTCTCGTACGTGATTTGCACCAACGGCAACGAGAAAGAACAATTCGTCGCAGCAGGTACACGATGTGAACAGAACGGCGCAGCTGATGCAGGGAAGCTCGTCGCTGGAGCGCCCAGTACAACCCATGTTTTCGTGCAGTCCTTGGCTACGGCCAGTAGCGCAAGTGTGAGCGCTCCTAGCTCTGCTGCCTCATCTGCAGCAAGCGTTGCATCCTCAGCTGCTGCTACGGCGGTCTCTGCAGCCAGCAGCGCCGTTAACAGCGTGGCGACCCCCTCAGCGTCAGCATCAGCATCAGCCTCCTCAAGCGCCTCTCCCACAGCTACAGCCACCGCGAGCAGCGTCAGCAGCATGGCACTCAATCAGACGTCGCAAGTATTCTCCATAGCCGATGCGATTGCTTCACAAGTAAACTCTGTCCTAAAGACGATATCCGGCCTCTCTTTCACGCCACCAGCGTCAGCATCAGCATCAGCATCAGCATCAGTACCGCCTGCTTCTTCAGCCACACCTATGAACTCTGTCGTTGTGACATCGCCATCGATCGCAACCGCTTTGGCCACAGCTTCTTCCGGAGGCAAGAAGCGTGACTTGGCCTCGGAGGAAGGGCCGTTTCCGTCGGCTTGAGGGGATTCTAGATTCCGAGGGGTTTGAGGCGTTGTCGTATGAGCAGAAGGTGGCTTTGCTAGGTGATGATTGAGTTTGCGGGTTGGATTGTGGTCGGTGGATGGTGACCTGGGAGAGGGCGACGTCGACTTGAGGTGATGAGAGTGGTTCATGTTTGGAAGAGAGGAAAGGTAGGTGGAACGCAAAAGTGAATCACGAGTATCGAGGCTAGGGAATATGCAAATCGAAGTTGCCAAGTAACTGTCGATCAAGATTTGAGTCGTCTGGGCGTTTAGCTATTGTTCTTTATTGGTCTTCTTCCTCTTCGTCTTCCTCATCCTCGACGTCCATGACTGCACCTTCGGTGCTATGGCCATTCGGTTGTGAGTTTGGTATAACGCTTGCGTCTCTTCTGAGCTCATTCTTAATGAGTGTCCTTCGCCTTACCGTTGCAGGACTCGATCCAATCGGCACGACTCTCTTCCTCTTCCTAATTTGCGTGCCAGGTAACACATCAGAGTCGCTGTCGTCGCCATCTCCTTCTTCGGCGTCTGCTTGTCTGACCCTCTCTTCTGCCGCAATTGCTCGCAGTGTCCTGCGCTTCAGTAGTTGATCATCATACAGGTCGTCTGCTGTCAGCATTTCTCTACAACCTGTCTCTGGACATTGCGCAGCGATCTTGTTCGTCTGCCTCATGTAGTGCTCAGCTTCTGGCCGGCTTCTACTTCGAGGAGGATGCTGCTGATTGAGGACGGCAAGTTGTTCTGCGGTCAATGGTGCTCTGTCTGTGGACGTGCGGATCAAGCCCAGTATTGCCGACTTTTCAAAGCTGTGGGGACATTTTCTAGATGTAACGGGTTGTTTGAAGTATTGCAGAGTTAGTGGACACTTGCAGGATCGGTTTTCGGATGAGATTTGTAATTCTGTATCCTCGTTGTCCGGGTCTGCATCTTCCTGATCGTCTTCAGGTACAAAGCCTCCAGGCATGGAGTCTTGTGTATCTCGCTGGCTAACAATTGCTCTACGCTGTATACCTCGTCCTTCCTGTGAGGCAAACCACGTATTGGCTGAGGGTATTGGTGGTGCATTTTCGCCTGGGTGTTGAGCGTCGAACCTAATCTTGTAAAAATCTGCATAGACTGGATTTTCAGAATATCGTTCCGTCAAGGTTTGAGAGGTCCAAACAGTGTCTGCGGTCGACTCTGCTGCATGTAGCAGGGCTGTAGCTCTTTCGGATTCGTGGAAAGCCGATGGTCGTGATCTAGGCTCCTCCTCTTCTTCCTCATTCTCACTCTGCCCTTCCATCTCAGCTGCCTCTTGCCGTGTGTGTGTTTCCTTCGACTTTGCAATCACATGCTGCAGTGACTCAGGTATTCGCTCGTGCCAGGCCTGATCATCGACAACCCTACGGACACTCTCATCCAGCTTCTGATTCAGTTCCTCCACTTTCTGCTGGAACTCATCAAAGGATGCCTTCTCTTGCTCAGGCTCGACCTCCTCGCCATCGTTTGCTCTCTTCTGCAGCCTATTCTGTCGTCTCGTACGTTCCTCAGCTGCTCTATCATTGATGTCCCCTACAACCTGCTTGAGCAGTTCTGCAGCCTTTTTCAAACTAGCTTCGAGGGCTTGGCCTTGAGCGCTTGCTTGTCCTAGTCTGAGTCCATATTGTTTGAGCCCCTCTAAATCGCCCGTGGCTTTTTGCGTCAGAGGAAATTCTTGCGGTTCGTGTTCAAAGGTGGTGACTGTCGCCGTTCTGGCGGAGGCCACAGAGGCACGAAGCGGCATACTTGCGAGCGATCACGATTGTCCGTCCATGTATACAGCCTAAGATACTGCTCACGGGCTTTGATACGCAATTGCGTATGCGGTACTTGTCGGCTATGTGGCGGTCGCGACCTTGACGCGTAAGAACGCGACTCGACGCGACTCGAGCTTACAAATGTGGCCCGCTTGCCAAGTCTTTACTTCAATCGTCATTCCTCTCCTCTGGCATTGAAGATCAGAAACCATCTATGCTGATTGACGAGTATGAAGCGTCACAGTATGTGGACTTGGGTAGTACACGTTCCATGAAGAAAAGTGCTAGTGATGTAGACCTATGCACGCTATGGTGCGCCAAAGCACGCGTAGCAGCCACATACAAGAAGCTCTTCGTAACTTGGAACGACTGCTCTTCATCATTCGACAATACAAATAGCGGCCACTTCTTACCACATGTACTTCTGAAAGGACAATAAATTTCACGAATCGTTTACCCTTTCTCATACCTTTGTCTCGTCGTTGCGACTGGAGACCCAGCCATCAGTCTTCATGCCTCGATGCATTCTCCAACGATGCCGATGGCTGTGTCACACGTGAAGCGCTGCCAAGTCGTTGCTTTCGTATGCCTCTGACAATGCTTTGTGCTGATCCAAGATCGAAGAACCACACACCTACCGCTTCCGTAGCGACGTCACATCTACACAAAGGAACAATGAGACTCGTGAAGCTGGCCAGCTAAGAACATCTATATGCATTTCTTGCGTGTATCCAGGATGAATTGCCATACGTACTCATCAAGCACATAGTCAGAGCTAGCTTTCAAGGATAAATATCATGCACGCCCACGGACTCACGATTTGTCTGACGGCACTCCTAGCTGTTGCTCAAGCCTCTTGGATGAAGCGAGGTGAGCCAGAGGTCGAAGTCGCAACATGGACAAAAGCAGGTGCACGATACCGCTCTAGAGAGGTCACATACACTCCAGAAACAGTAATCGTGACCAAAGCCTCAACCACGAGTCCAACCAGGACCTTTCACCTGCGATCAGCCCCTACCGAGCGACAAGTCAAGCGAGCCTTTCTAGGCAACTGGTCATACAAGCGCTGTGTTGCTGATGATGAAAATTTGCCAGCATTGGTATCACCATTTCCTTATCAGCTGGATGCGAAGGATGTTTCGGGAGCTAGTTGCAGCCACTACTGTGATACACGTGGTAACTCTCTTGCAGCGCTACAGAATGGCAATGAGTGCTGGTGTGGTGAGCCGTCGACATCTCTAACTTATGTTGATGATGCCCTTTGCAGCGTGCCCTGTGTGGCTGCACCAGGAGAAAAGTGTGGTGGAAAAGACAATTTGGGCATTTGGGTCAAGGCCTGAAGCGAGGACGCTGGATTTGCTGTGATGGTCTAGGTACCAGTGAAGTATGTCTGGCTGTCGTCAACTGAGCTCAGCTAATGCAAGTCGTTTCTAGAAAATTGTGAGATTTGGTTGAGGTTCTTGAATTGCCGTCGAAATCATCCTACTGAAACCGTTGTGCGCATGAGAATTTATGCATTTCGATTCAACGAGTCCTTCACAACTTGGCTGCTCTCTATATTGTAACCACTTGCCTGCTAACCTGGTCACAGAAGGACCGGTCTACCCTCTAACGATCTTGAGCCCCCATCTCTCACGTTCTTGTTGTACTACTAACCTATCAGAACTGCAACAGTGATGTCTGAAGAACTACCAGAAGATGCCCGTAACCTCATCCAGACTATCGATGCTCAAATAGCAGCCATTACAGGCCTCCCGTCATCGAGAAGCGACGAAGATCATGCTCTTCGACAATACATCCAGGAACTAACAGACTACAAGCAGCAGATCGTCGCAGATCCGACGATTGCATCCGACAAGCGACCCAGAATCAAGGAAGAAGAGGTGGAAGAGGAGGAAAGCGCAAGGCCAGCAAAGCGACACAGAAAGACTCGAGCAGCAGAATGCAGCACTTGTCTAGATATGTTTCCCATGCGAGACACAGCAAGACTCAGATGCTGCCATACCAGATACTGCAGGCCATGCTTTCAGGAATGGATCACCACATCAATTCAGTCCAAGGTTCTCCCTAAGTGCTGCAACGACTATATCCAGCTATCGTCTTACTCTAGATTCGTCAATCAAGACGTCAAGCAAGAACACAAGGCACTCAAAGCTGAATTCGATGCTGAGAGCAAGATTTGGTGCAGCAATACAGCCTGTGGTTTCGTTATCAAGGTAGGTTATAAATCTCTTACTTCTGCTTATACTAATACAAAACAGGTCGACGAGAACAGTGAAGGTTTCCTACAGTGCTCCAAGTGTCGCAGAAAGACGTGCGCTTCATGTCGACTCAGCGTTCCAGAACACAAAGGTCGAAACAAAGTGTGTCCAGCCTACGTGGCTGACGAGCAGCTCAATGATGCTGTAGAGCAACACGGCTTGAAGCGATGTCCGGGATGTCATGTCCCTGTACAGAAGACACATGGATGTCTCAACATTCGGTCAGTCGTCAACCAATTGGTGTACAGTGTCAGGAATAGTCTCTGACCCTCGTCATTATGATAGATGTACATGCGGCGTTATGTTCTGCTACAAATGTGGGATGCGAAAGACCCGAGAAGGAGACCCTTGCAAATGCTCAAATCCCGATATAGACATCGATGCAATCGTGGAGGCGGCCATTAGGAGCGTGCTCTGAGCGGTGCTCTAAGCTCGTAGTCTTTCTGTTTCATGGGGATCTGGCATATACGGCATTGTGCTGAAATCACGCCGCTGGTTCAAGGAGTTAAGAATACATATGAGGATGCTGCCACGATACTGGTGGGAGGTAAGCTAGAGAGCTCGTATGCAAGGGTGAAGATGAAAGAAAACCCACAAAACATGCCAGCTAGCATTCAGCAAGGACTGTTGTAGCACTCCGCGTGATAGCATCGGAAAAGGTCGTCTTGACGCATGGGACGTTTCGGTACATGGTCTAAGAAAAATGTACTGATGCGAGGGTATACATGAAAAATGAGCTTGAGCTGAATGAAAGCAGAAGGACTTGATGTTATGCCTCTGTTTCCATCAAAACGTTCAGAAGCTTCTTTGTGTTCATTCATGCTAGCTGATCATACAAGGTTCATCTGACTGAGTGTCTGGAATCACATTTGGCCGCGACAGAAAACGAATAAACGAGCCGTTCAGCTTGATCCAAATTAACCTCTTCCCAACATAATTTTTTTGCTTCAGAATGTGCCATGCTCGCGTGCTTTGAATTGCCTGCACGGATGGATTGGCATGAAACGGATGGGTAGGAGGGAATGGGTACGGCATTGTCAAGTATGTGGTCTGTCTTATCAACGATATTGAAACACACTTGTTGCCTTGCTAAACCCAAGGTTGCATCATGTTACTCAGTCTGCGTCCCGAATATGACGCCAACTATCCCTCAGAACACTCGATATCAATTTCAGTACGCCTAAGCCGCTCCATATCGCGATTCAATTTGTGGTAAGATTCGTGCGTTCGGTGGGCCAATTCACTGCTGGGCCTCTTGCCTATGCTTCTTGTTGTAGCTGTATCTCTGCTGCGGCTCTTTGCCCTTCGGCGATAGATAACTTGAGCCTTCCCATCTATCCTTGGATGCTTTGTCCGCCTCGCCTTGCAAATATTGTACGAGCTTTTTGAAAGGGTTGCTAGATGTCTTGACGGATGTCGACTGTGCTGTAGGTGTTGTGCGCTCCATATTTAGTAGGCGGCGGAGTACGGGAGATTCAGCTGAACTGTATTTTACTGTGAAATAAGCACTACCACGAACTCTCGATTACTGATGGCGAGATGTATGGACTTGTAGCGAGGAGATGAACCACGACAAGCAAGTGCAGCGGCTTTATACATACTCACCTTCTTGCACAGACATCTTCGCGTCAGCACGAGACATGATTGTTACACAAAACACGAGCGGCGATCTTTCAGAGAGGTCGAGGATTGAAAAGCTGACCTTATGATCGACAGTGATGACAAACGCCAAGCTCTCGGCTTTCTCTCGGCTGTCCTGTTCCGCTTTGCAAGCATTTACGTCATGGATATACATCACGTGCTTACGCTTCGAGGTCGCGACTTCTGCGAGCACTATACACGTTCATTGTGCCTTTGCCACTTCTCTCTCGTGGTCCGCCTAAAGTGGTCGCGCAGGCCCTGAATCTTCGTTCACGCACCTGCTCACATAGTCAGCGCGATTGAACATGCCTCTCAACACCCTCCGTCTTAACCACCAACCCTCCAGCCACCCCAACGACCGTATAGTCTTCATCAAGCCGATCAAACGACCAGCCCCTCAGAAAGACGACTATGATAGAGCTGAGCTAGTCCTCAAGGCCATAGCAGCACAATGTCTTCCCATCATGAAGTCTCACTATCTATCCGTGACCACTCTTGAGGAGTACGAACCAAATCCCGAGTTCATTGGTCGCAACTTCAACAACGGTGAAATCATCCAGCTAGTCATTCAGTCCAAATCTGGTGCATGGTTACCTCTCAACATGATACAAATGGTTATGATGCATGAGCTGGCTCACAATACCCACATGAACCATGGAAAGGGCTTCTGGGCTGCACGAAATCTCTATGCAACTGAAATGAAGCAGCTGTGGAACAAAGGATATACTGGTGAGGGTCTCTGGGGTCAGGGCCGAACGCTAGGCGACATCGAAAGCGCTATCGGTGGCAGAATCTTGAGGACTGAAGAGCTAGGTGGTTTACTGCTGTGTGGCGGCACTTTTCGCAGTCGGCGCAAGAAACGCAAGGCCAAAGGTGATGGTGGCCAGGAACTCACCTGGAAAGAGAAAAAAGAGAAGCGAATTGAGAAGAAGTTTGGCAAGAACGGCAGTGCTTTGGGCGAGGATGAGGACAAGAGATTGAGCTTACAGATCAACAACAAGATCAAGGGCTCGCTAGGCACAAAGCCAAGAGTCGCACAGAGCAAACGTGGTCGTGAGCTGAGAGCTGCTGCTGCCTTGGCTCGCTTTTCAACTAACAAGCAGGAAGTCACCCAGCTCGAGGCCGAACAGGACTCGACCAAGCATGAAGATTCTGCTGCCGAGACAGAGAGTGAGTATGAAGAGGTCGATATGGATGCAGGTCAAGAGGATGCAAAGGACCAAAATGGAAAGAAGATACTCGATGGCAAGGGCCTATGTATGATCAAGGTTTGTGATGACGAGACTGGAGACAATACCGACCTGCGAAATGAAATGAAAGAGCTCGCCAACATGACTGCTCCTCTAGAAGAGAAGACTACCAGCACGAGTTCCACTGTCAAGGTTCAGAAATCGACTAGACCCAGCAATAAAAGGCAACATGTCGAATTTTCTACATTTGTGGACTCAGGCAAACTAGTTCCGGAAGCAACAAAAGAGCACGTTAGTCATTTAGCTGTAAATGAGCCTGTGTCCTCACCTCTGGCATCAAGCCAGTCTAGCGTACCACTCACTGAGGAGAGGCTCAAAGCGCTAGAGCCACAACAGACCAACGACAACAGCTCTCGCCGACCATCCCTGACCTCATATCCTTCGACTGTCGCTCTACCCGATATCATTTGCTCTATATGCTCGACACCAAATGAGCCACACCGATCAACCTGCGAAGTGTGCGCTCATGTGATTGTCAAGAGCAGAGACCCAAGAGCTTGGCGATGTAAAAGCGATGACTGTAAGGACAGCGAATATCTTAACGCTGGCGACTGTGGTCTTTGTGGTGTTTGTGGTACCCGAAAACCGCCTCCTGCAAAGACTGTTCATTTTCGCGAGTCAGTGAGCTTCGCCGATTCTCCGCAGTACAGGAGTTTCGCTGGCAACGGTTCGGGAAGTGACTCTGGCCATATCGCCCATCTGTGAAGAGAGGCAGACGCAATGTACAAAAGCGCACGACGTGTTACGTGTATGACTTTATGACGAGATACCCCATGTAGACGAATTATGTATGGACTTGCCGGTGTTTATTAATAAGATCAAACACAACTACAACGTACTTCTACGTGAAGTTGTAAGCAAAGTTCTCTTCGCTCTTCGTCCACATTTGTATGTAACCATATTCATTCTGTGCTTCTAATTCCGTCTAATATCCCCAAACGCCAACCATACTGCTTTTTCGGGTTAATGCAAAAACCCACATTTGCCTGCCATGTATAAATATAAACCTAAACCGGTCAAAACGTGCTTTTCTTTCTCTGCCTCACCCTTGCTCTACCACACTCTCGAACCACCCCCTCAACACCCGACTCAACACCCCAGGCAAATCCCGCACCTCTCTAACCACAACATAATACTGAAACGGAAACCCTTCCAAATACCTCTTCTTACTCATAACCGGCTCTCCTTCCTTCCCACCACCACCAGTCGTTGCAGATTTCTCAAAAACTACCTCCTCCAGATCGACAATACTCTCCTCGGAATTATCCACAATCACAAAGACGCACATGATTTTCTCCTCGCGCGCGCGTCGGACAAGGCGTGCGACGGTATCGTTGTCAGACCCGATGTGGCCGTCCGAGATGATGAGCTGGAGCTGCCAGAGGTCGGTCGCGTCGCGGGCCGTGGATTTGAGGCGTGCGTCGCGGAAGATGCGGATTGATTCGGAGAGGAGGGCACGGACGTTTGTGCCTGTTTGGTCGAAAGTGAAGTTTGAGAAGGTTTGGGGGCCGCTGGTGGAAGGGCTGAAGGGGAGGGAGAAGTCGTGGGCGATTTTGACGGCACGAGGAGGTTGTTGTTGTTGTTGGGCTGGTATATCGTCACCCATAAGGCTTTCGTTGTAGTCTTTTCCAAAAGCGACGATGGAGAGTTCGCCGACTTCGAGCATGCTCAGGGCACGGCTGAGGAGGCACAGTGTTTCTAGTGCGAGGATGTCGGCGCCGCTCTCTTTCATGCTGCGGCTGTCGTCGACTGCGAGCATGACTTGGTAGTTTCGCTTGCTGGGTATGGAGCGTCGCATCCAGATCTTATCGCGCTTGTAACCGGAGGCGATATAGGGTATTATCCTGCGGATGTTGAGACGCTTGCCGGTGCGGAAGTCACCACGTAGTTTGGTGGCTGTGGTTGGCTGAAGAATGAGGCGGAGCTGCTCAGTGAGGAGGAGAGATAGTGATTGAGTTCGATTTGTGGTGAGAGACCAGAGCTGCTGAGCTTCACTGAGGCTTGTTGATTGTAGAGCGTTTTGCTGGAAGCCTCTTGAGTCGATTCTGGGCTGCTCTAAGTCATCAGCAAGATCGTTGTCTAGCTCCATCGCATCTTCGTGTGGTAGCTGCGGTTTGTTTGGACGATCACGAGTGGTGTCAGGTAGAGTTGCTGTTCTTGCAGACTGCTGTTGTTCTAGTCTGTCTTCCCGTTCATGTTGCATGCGAGTCATCTTCTGCGTCAGCGTCTCCTGCTGGAGCTCCTCGATAGATCTGTGTACGTCCTCAGGCATAGGGAGATCTCCGTCAGCCAGAGCTCGAGGGTTTTCCATAGCCTGTGCTTGATCCAGGTTCTGAACGGCATCTTCTTTGGCAGTTCCAAGTGCCTGTGCTTCTTTTTGTTGCTCATCACCAATGTGCTCGAAGTCAGCATCTGCCATATCAACATCTTGCTCAGTTTGTTGCTGTTGTCGCTCCTCGTTGGCTGTGTATATCTCTCGGCGTTGGTGATATCGCTCAAGCACGTCTGCAAGCTTCTGCAAAGCTTGTGCAGACTTGTTTGGTACTTCTTCCTGCCGACCGATACCCTGCTCCACTGCACCTTCCTCCGCACCAGTCTGGTCTTGAGTCGATGTTGTTGCGCCTTTTTGTGGCTCGGACTGCTGTGCTGCGGCCTCGGCTTCTTGCTGGCCCTGCGGAGCATTTTCGTCCATGTCAGCATCCAGATCGACATTCGTGTTTGCTACCCCTGCACCCCCATCTTCCTGGTCTTGAGCATCGAACATTGCATCGTCCTCCCGGGAATTGTGCTCTTTGTCCTCAAGTCGACCTTCTTCGCCATCTTGGTCTTCCACGACTTCGTTGTCCTGGGCTTGGCCAAGCTGCTGATCTTCTTCACCTTCTTCCTCAACTGTATTCTCCTCCTCAATATTACCTTCACGATCTAGCTTTTCCTCGTCTGGTAAGTTGGCCTCTGCCTTGTCCTCTGGATTATCAGTGTCGTTAACATCTGATAGACCGTCCATATCAGCATCAGATATCTCATCCTCTTTCTGCTCTTCACCATTCAGTTGCACATCTTCCGGCAGATCAAGTGCTTGGTTTTGGTCAAGATAAGGATCAATGTTTTCGCCTTCGGCTTTCTGCTCGCCATCAGCCTCCTCTTGCTCTGACCCAGCAGCTTCAATGTCTTCGTCAGCACCAGTCTCCGCAGGATCTTCGTTGCCTGCGGCCTGATCATCGGTCTTCTGGCCTTGTGCTTTCTTGCTCTTCATCTCCTTCTCTTCCTGCTCCGCTTGCTTCTGCATCTCGTCCCACATCTTCTCATCTACAGCATTAGGATCAAGGTCATCGACGTTCCCTGTTTCTTCATCTATGTCTTGTTCTTGGTCTTCGCCTCCACTTTCATCGTTGTTATCTGACACGTGCTCATCACCACTTCCCATTTCACCTTCAAGCTCATTGGAGCCCATGTCCACAGCGTCTTTGCTCTTGTCCATCTCCTCATCGCCATCTTCGCGCTCGCCACGTTCTTGAGCCAACTCAGTCAGGTCCTCGTCATCGCCGACGTCTTTGCTGATATCTTGTGCAGCATCACCTTCACCAAGACCTGTACCTTGTTCGACTTTACCTGATTGTTCTTGGCCATCCGAAGCTTCGGAAGGAGAACAAAATCCTTCTTTACAGAGGGTTGCAAACGTTCTTCCGAGAAAGACTGCTGCTCGGCATGTCTGCAAATGCAAGTGTGTCGAATGTGCAAGCAGATACCTGGCACTGGCCTCCAATTGAGAGATGATCGGCGTCGAAACAAGCGCTAAGGCGATTTGCACCTGCTGGACTTCAGTGTTGTCATTGTTAGGTTGCAGACTCTTTAGTAACGGCTCAACAGCGTCTGAGAGCGATTCGAGTTGGAGGCTTGTGATTATTTTACTGAAGACTTGAGTGGAGTTAACAAGCCAGCCTTGCTCTTCGTTCGTGCTCGGAAGAGTATTGAGCACTGCCGCGGCTCTTTGAATCGCGACAAATATCGAATTCATATGCCGCTGCAGTTGAGTATCGAATACCTCGATTGGCAGACGTTTCACTGCTGCGGGCGAGACCACATCAGGGCTGGGGAACCACTTCTCGAGAAAGCTCCCGAGATATTCGAGTTGTGGCTCGTGGTCCGACCACTTAGTAAGATCCATCTGTAGAGCTGCTATAACCTCCTGTCGAGAGGTGCTTTCCACAGTTTGTGATCCAATCTGCTGCAGTCGTTCAGCATACTGCCGTAGTGCGGTAGATACACCTTCAGTTTGTAGCTGAGCATGCTTGCTTTGAAAGTCAACAACCCTGGCACACGTGCGCAGTAGTATAGGTAACCACGGCTGTCTTGACTCGAGCTGTGATGTGTCAGCCCCATGATCAAGATTCGTGAAGGCTTGCCGAAGGCTCGAAAGTCGATCAAGTTGTGACTGAAGCAATCCAATCTCAGTCCTCTGCTTAATGGCCACGTTGAAGAAGCCCTCCAGATATCCTAGACCTCTTCTTGTCTCACCATCTGTCAGCTCTGCTGAGTGTCCCAGTGCTGAATCTCTAGCGATTGGAAGGGTATCTATCAGCTCATGGAAAACCTCGTTGACACCGGAGTCGAGCTGAGTTACCCCTACAGGAGACATGCTTGGCAGATTGGCAAGCACCATAGTCGTGGTTGACTGAGCTTCCAGTTCAGTCGTACCCAGATTGCGTCGAACTCCCATGTACGCAACATCTTTCAGAGTGTCTGCCAATAGTCGCCGCTTGCGTTGTTTGAGATCACGAAGTAAGGCACCGTTATCATCGGTCAGTACATTTGGCGTGGCTTTTCGGAGCTCTCTCGCTGCATCACTAACATCTTCAATCCAGCTCTCGAGCTCTGCTGAAGCATAAAAGTCGGGTATGCTGCTGTTCAAAACAAATCGCATTGTTTTTGTGGCGACTATTGGGTCTCGCAGTCGCTCGGGTCTGTCTAGCCATGAGTCGATGTGGTCCGAACACAAGCGGAGATGTTCATTAATGGCGTCACTCTGCACGATTGCAGGCAGTTCCAGCAATATCCTGGGTCCCGACTCGTTGTTGGGATCATACTTGGCGTTGAAATTCGTCAATGGTTGTCCAAGTAGAGCGCGATATTTCTTTATGATTCTGAAAAGCCTGAAATGCGTGCGCCGAGCACTTTCGCGCAGAGCTGTGATATTCGTGTCTTTCCAGCTAGCCAACTTTAGTTGCTCTGTAATCTTTTTCTCAAGGAGAACTCGCCCATCTTGTAAAGATTTCGAAACTTGGGGTTCATACCGGGCGTAGTGCTGAACAATGTTGACTATGGTGTCGTGCATCATCATCACCTGACGACCACGTTCGCGCTTGTTCATTGTGAACTCAATTTCTGAATTGTTCGTGTACCACGACTCATTATCCGAGTCTTTCTCGCCAGAGGACGAAGCACCGTCTGTGGGTAAGTTTTGGAATCCGTCACTCTGAGCTAGCGGTCGACCAGGGTACTTCTCAAGCCTCGTCAATGTCTTTTGTGTGAGATAAGATGAGTGGCCTTCATAGAGCTTTTGAGCACAAGCCTTCAAACTTTGTGCGAATGCTGATAGCAATTGAAGTCTACCATTGAATTGTCCAAGTGTGGTGGTTTTCAAATACTCTTCGAGTGTCCTCGCCAGCTTCTGTGGATAGTCCTTGAGAGTCGATTCGAGTCGATTCAGTCCTAGAACTTGGACATACTGGAGAGAGTTGTATACAACAGCTTCGTACGCTATGAAGTACCAGGCATCAGCGTCTTCCTGCTGCTTCGCATCCTCCACATCGAGCAATCTTGACCAAGATCCGAGCTCAAGGCGACGCCAGTGAATGATGAGACTTGTCAAAGCTTCGACGATCGAAGACACAGACCACTCTCTACTTGCGATGGCCTGCCATTGAGCCACAATTTCGAGGAATTTTTCTGTCTTGGTGAGTAGTTTAGCAATTGAATCACTCATCTTCATTGCCATCACCTGGTTACCATAAGAAATTGCTTCAGCTGGAATCGCATGTTCTGGCCAACGATCTGCTATTTCCTGAAATCTTGCTCGTGCTTGCGTTGTGATTTGGAACAGCTTACGTACTTCCTCAACGTCGCCATCAGCGTAGATGTTCAGTCCCTGACCTGCTGATTGTCTAGAAAAAGCTCCCAACTTGTCCTCAAGACACAGAAACAAAGAAGGAAGCATCTCAGGGGACATTGTCGAAAGATCGTCGAAGCCAATGTGTGTTTCATCCTGGGCACAGAAACGGCGTCGCAAGCGGTCTTGCAATAGAATCTCGACATCTCGTTCGGCCAGCAGACTACGATGATATCTCGCCAGTTTGACGGCACTTTTCCGAGCATCAATATCGAGATGGTGATCGGAGTCCGAATCGTAGTAGATTTCTTCTGCAGATCCATCTGCATCCTGTGTGAGGTTTTGTCGTTCCACTTCTTCATGCGTTGGAAATAGAGCACGTACATCGTCCTCACTTGGCTCCTGGAGATCATCTTCACCCCGGTACGTGTAATATCTTGACTGTCTTTCGGCCTCTTGCTGATCTGCGCTCAGCTTCTGTCTCCACGACACATACAGCTCATCGATACAACCTACTATGTGTACGTGAAGACGTGTTCTTCTTGCATCGTCGATTTCGGAGACAACGAGTTTCAGACGTAATTCTGACAGATACGTCCAAAGTTCAGGGGTACTGAGCATGGTCACTTCCTTCTCTTTGTTCAAGAGCCGATCTTCTGCCAGTAGTCGCATTGAAGCTAAAGTACTTTCGACTTTTTGCTCTTCGATGCGGTATTCTACGTGTGGACGATTTTCGTGCATGAATGTACGACGTCCTGCCGCCGTCAGCTGCACGTCAATGCCGTACAAAAGCAAACGGAGAGCTAGAGCCACGCAGTGTAGCAGACCGACAACAGGCTTGACCATATCGTCGTAGGCACGATGAATCTGAGATAATCGCTCAATGCAGTTCTTGATGCGAGGAATAGCCTGATTATAGACGCTCTTGACTTCCTTGGTGTCATCATCCTGCATTACTGCCACAAGATCAGTGTTCACGATACTCCTTAGCACATTCTGGAACTCGGTATGTAACATCTTCAAGTGCCGGTCGTCTATAGGACGATAGACTGCTAGGACATCACATGGTTCACCAAGGTCAGACAACTCTTCCTCGAGGACTCGTATCACCAAACTTGTGTCCTGACCAGTAGTGTTTTTCTGAAAGCTTCGCCATGCACCTAGTCGGGCTGTTAATTCGTTTTTCCTCCGATTATGACGTGTTTGTATTAGCATTGGCAACGTGGTCGGATCAAACATTTGGTCAGGCACGAAGAGCTTGAGACAAATGACTGCCACAGTTAAAAGTCCTCTGCCACAGACCTTGTATGCTTCAGCCTGTGAGTCTGGCAATGTATTGAAATTCTGGCAGACCACAGCCAGATCGCTAAATGCGTCACTCAGTGTCTTCGACTTGTCCTTGGCGTTTTCTTTGGCCGAGACCATCAACTCGAGTAACGATGTGTCCATGTTCTCGAAATCATAGCTGTTATTTAACTCAATGTTGAGAGAGTCAGCATGTGGAACTAGGACGCAGTGAACAAGTTCTCTAGCAGCTCTACCAATATGTTTGAGATTGTTGCTCGAGAATTGCTTGGGAGTACTGGAAACAAGACTGATAAGCTCCACTAGTTCTTCCTGTGCATAATTCATTCTTCCTATTGGCTGGTCATGCAGAGTTTGAAGGGATTGTGCCAGTCGCTGTAGGCTTATTTCTGCAGGTGGTAAGTCCACACCTAAGATAGGGCCAAGTACTGATGCATCACTCAATCTCTGGAGTATCTTCATTGGACCAGATTTTTGCTGTACGTCTTGATGCTTAATAGCACTGTCGCTGAACAGCAGACAACGCTGCTCCTGCAACTGTGAACAATGATAATCTTGGATACGGAGCTTGTACAATATAGTGTCGAAGACCTTAGCAAAGTGGCCTCTTCCGCTTGTCGTCGACGCCTGGTTCATACTCAAATGCTCAACGGCACCTATGAGATCCTCAAGAACCTGTGTGTTATTGACATGAGAGTTTACTATGGTGCAAACATCTAGCATTCGAAGTCGGAGTCGTGCCAGTTGTGTTCTGCTCTCAGCCACACTATACGCGACTTCGCCGAATCGCTCTACCAAGGCCTCCACTTTCAGCTGAAAGTCGAGTTCATCTTTGGTCTCAGCGGTGCTTGATTTCCATATGGGCCACATAGTCTGTAAACTTTGGCCAGACTTGGGCGCCGGACCCATCAGCTTCTTGACCGCAGTGGTGAGTTGAGTCTTGAGTTTAGCATCAGAGTCGAGCTGGGTAGAAACATCACTCGCTATTTGCTGGTAGGCTGGTAGTTCTGGTTTTCGTGCACGGATGAGATCGATGCACAGAGCCACAAAGTCTCGTGCGCAGATGTATTCAAGTCGATTCCTGAAAGCCTCCTGGAGGACACCGGTAGCTATCGCGGCAAAGACACTTTTAGCGGAACTGTTGAGATTGGCCATATTCCACATAAGTGTGTTTCGCAAAATGCGCGTACATATCTGATCAGACGTCATGGCGGCGTCTACCAGCGTCAACATCAAAGGCTCGTTGACTGCAACGAGGTGTGAGCAAGTGTATCCAGCGGGCGTCCTTCTCGGATCAACCAATTCAAGCGTACGCATTAAGCGTCGGTTCGCAGCTTCTTGAATGACATTCTCTTCAAACACATCACCTCCGGGCTTCGTCAGCAAGTCTAAGTCATCAGCTGTAAGGCGGTCAATCCATGGTTCAAGCTCAACCTGACCATGATCGGGTTGCTCGTCTCTGTCTACGACAAGAGGTCGCAATCGAGCGATACTTGCGTCTTCAGGATAGCATGAGAGATGTGGCTGAAAGTTCTGTGCCTCTGGCATTTTCGTATCAAGAAATATTTCCAGAGATCGGTTCCTCATTGCTCGCGAAAGCTCGCCATACCTCGGATCCGCAGTCAGAATGATCTTGAATCCAGGCGCTGGACGTACTATGCGTGCTTTTCCGTCCAGGCCATGCTGCTCACTTAAAACAAGGTAACCATTAGGCTCGAGCAATGAGTTCAGACGATCAAGAACGGAAGGATTGCAGAGGTTGGCATTGTCAAGGACCAGCCAAGCCCCTGATTGTAAAGCGTCAATGAGTACACCATCATTCCAGACGAAGCGAGTTGAATTTTCCTGTGTAATCTCTAGTTGTTGTAATTGAAGCATAAGTCGCTGCATTTGCTCTTCGTCATGATCAAGTAGATCCCTAGGGATATTCTTGATGATCTCAAGAACAGCCGTGGCTGTCAGCTGTCTACTGCCTAGTTCCTGGTATGCAGACAGCACTTGCTCCAACTTCATGTCCAAACCTGCTGCCAATACCTTGTGTATAGCCGTCGCAAGGCAAGCTTTCAGTTGTTCTTGAAGCATACATTTCAGACGTTCACCATCATATTGCTCGTACCCACCAATCAAATCTGCTGTATCGATATCGGCATTCATCGAAACTTCGACAAGTCTATCACCACGGAGCGCTGCAAGATTTCGTATAAGCGACGTCTTCCCACTGCCAGAAGGGCCGACTAAGATAATAGGCCAGTCCATCTGCCATGCTGTCATGAACGACTTTGCTGCCTGAAGATGTGCTATGTCAATGGTATGCTCGTGGCGAACAAATTGCTGTAGAGTGGCACGAGCACAAAACATCGTACCGAACTGTAGTGTATCAGCGAACAGCTCGTGATGCATGTTTTCCACCGCGACATGTCCACAAGTATCATGGCAGATCGTCGTCGCTTGTTCCTTGGCTTTTGCTTGGCGAAAACGGTCGCTTACTACAGTCGAAAAATGTATCATAGGGTCTAAGTTCTCGAACTTTTCGCACAGGCTCAACCAACGACTTAGATCACGAAGATTTAGCTCCCAAGGACCTCCGTCTGCGAAGTCAGGACTTCGAGAGGCGAGCGCTTGGCAGCCGTCCACTACAGAGACAACTTCGTGAACGCGTCGTTCTGAGATGTTTGCATATTTCGAGCGGCAGATTTGTACTAGATCGTGCTTGGTGAATGGATCAGCATATACGACCGTGAAGCGATTAACGAATGAGGCAGGTAGACCCTTCCGACCACTACCTTGACTGTGCGGGTTTTGTGTTGCGAAGAGGGTGAATCCAGGATGACAATGGAAAGTTTTGTCGAGCTCTGCAATGTAAACTTCTTTTCGATGATCAAGGCAGGCGTTTAGTCCTTCAAGCACAGATTGGGAGGCAAGATTCATCTCATCGAGTAAGACCCAGTCCCCCTGCTGCATTGCCTTCAGTAAAGGCCCGTCTCGCCAGACAAAGTTTCCTATCTTCTCGCCCTCAGTCGGTGCGTCAGCGCCGAATAAATCCATCAGATCCGTCTGATCTGAAAGATTGATACGGGTTAGTGGCCTACCACAGAGTTGAGCCAGTGAGGTCACTATGGCAGTCTTTCCAACCCCCGGGTTGCCTTCAAGCAGTAAAGGACGACTTGTCTGCAGTGCACGAGCAATACGCATGGCATTTCGTAAGGTGGTCGGAACTTCGAGCACAAGATCTTGCTCGTTGCTAGCACCGGGCAGTCGCGACAAACTAAAGTCACTAATCTGAACTTTGTCTGCGTCACAGAAGTAGTTCGGTATCGCATGGTAAATTTCGCTGGCGTCAAGATCAAAAACTTCGTGTAGCCTTTGTAAACACAAGTCTCGGGCCTCTGAGATATCTTCGGCCAAATGACCAGCTAGTCCCGCTGGATTGGCGCCCAGACTATCAATGAAAGTCATCGCAGCGCCATGAACTAGAGCTCTCTGAGTATCCAAACGACTTTGGCGCACAAATTCAGCCCAGCCAAGCAACGGTCGCAAGGGTATGTTGGATGTTTCCGATCCTTCTATTCGTCGTCGGAAGAAGTTTGCAAAATGCACCATAGACGACGCTAGGCTTCTGTCATTGTGATCGCTGTGAGACGAACCATTTTTCGGCGCGTCGGTTTTGAGTCGAGCCTCCAGAATTGGAATTACGTCTTCGTTGTCCGATAATGGAGGCACCCATATCTCGGTCAGCCGATTTCTCAAGGCGGCAGACAACTCGCGCTTGCCATAATCTCCACCAGGATTCATGGTAGCAAGGAACTGAAATCCAGGCTCAGCAGCCACAAAGTTGTCTTCGGCAGCACCCTTCTCTGCAAGCAAGATCGTCCTCGCAGGCTCAAGAACACTGTTCATACGTTCAAGCACGGAGTCATCAGCAAGTGAGATTTCGTCCAGTAGAAAGTGCGAGCCTGCTCTCATAGACCGAACCAGACTGCCATCACTCCAGACGAACAAAGATCGATAGGCTGAAATGCTATCCTTGACTTTCTTGACGGCTTGTTCACTGAAGCCCGATGTGTCCATCGACCTGAATTGTGTGATGAGGTCTTCAATGTCCATGCTTTCATCGGTACGTCTGATAGCATAGTCCTCTCCAAGAGCCTGCAAGTCCTGGATGATTGTGGCGGCTAGTTCTGATTTGTGCCGCATAGGTCTCTGAGAGCCAATGAGGTCGCCCGTTTCGGTGTTCGAATGAGCATTATAGATGTTGAGCTGTCTTTCAAAAGCATGGGCTATGCACTGACAGACTTGAGTTTTACCACATCCTGTCTCTCCCACGAGCAGAACAGGCTCATTGTTTTGCAGTGCTGTGGAGACCAGCACGAATAGCCTCCGCATCGCTCTCGTCCAGGTAATCTTGCCGTCGGATTTGACGTTGTTTGGTATCTTTATGTCTCCGTACATGACCTCTTCGTCGATCTGGACCTTGAGCACGTCTTCAATCGTGCGTTTGACAACCAGCTTCTCGGTCGGGTCTCGCACGCGTTCAGCCAAGAGCATATACCCATGGTATGCCAGCTGTTCACGATCATCAACAGGTCTAGACGCCCATCGAAATAAATCTCTCAGCGTAGCAAAACTATTCTTAGCTTCAAATAACCTTGAAGACTGTCTCTGCAACGTCAAGCTTTTATATACGTCAACAATGTTTTTGCAGAAAGATGGAGCAATACGTGCTCGCTCCTTGAGAATGACCTCAAGCTCATCTTCAGGAATATCAGAGACATGAATCTCGAGGAATCGATTTCGAAATGCTCTGGATAGCCGCTTTCGTCCGCCATAAATTCCAGCAGGATTTTGAGTTGCGAAAAGCATGAAGTTCGGATGAGGTCGAACGATTTCCTGAGTCTCTGGTATGAGCAACTCTCGATTATCGTCAAGTAATCTGTTCAATGCTTCGAGTACATCGCTTGGTGCGAGATTCAGTTCATCAAGCACCAACCAGTGTCCTTGACGTAATGCTTCAACAAGCACTCCTTCACGATAATCGAGTGTCCCATCTGTTCCGGAAGCATAAGTACCAAGATACTCCTGCAGGTCAGTGTGTTCGTGATTGTTGATACGTACAAATTTATTGCCTGACAACTTGGCTAAATACTCGACCATGCTGGTCTTGCCTGCTGACGTTGGTCCCTGCAGAAGTACGGGGAATTTTCGCATCGACGCGGCTCTGACGAGATTAGTCAAGTTTCGTCTCACAGACTTGGTCACAATGTAGTCCGGCTGAGCATCAGTTGAAAAGGGTCCTTTAACAATTTCGTAGTGCTCGAATCGAACGTATCGATCTGCTTGAGATGAGTTTCTAGGCTTGTGAGAGTAGAGGGCTCTCTTGGCTTGTGAGGAGGACAACAAGCTCTGCTCGACGACATCCAATACCAGTTGCTGAGATTGGCTATCGAGAACAGTAAAGAAGCTCATCTGCAAACCTTCATGCATTGCACGGCGCAACCCGTGCCTTGCCTGATGCTGTTGGACATACTGTAAACATCGAGTAAGTGATCGCAAGCTGAAGTGAGGTAGTTCCCCAGCTCCATCTGTCAATTCATGTCGGCTGGCAAGTCTCTTGATCCCCAGATATGCTTTGGCAAGATCGGCTGCAGCTCGTTTGTCATTAGCGAGATATGCTCCTAAGTAGGCTTGAATGATCTCTACCAAATCGTTTAAATCGTCATCTCCGGCATGCACAAAACTTTCGGTGAAATGTGCTCGTAGGGCTGGAGGCAGATCTTTTTTGCCCGTATCAGTGGCCGGATTCATTGCCGCAAAGAGTCTAAAGTTCGGATGAGCATTGATTCGCTCGACACTACCAGCTTCAGCCAAAAGTAGGTACGGGGTATCATCTTCTCCGGTATGAAGCAGACTGAGTAGGTTATCGAGAGCCTCGGACGACGCGAGGTTGATCTCATCAAGAAGAAGCCAACCACCATTGCGGACTGCCTGCACTAGACGACTTTCCACAAATGCAAAGACCTGTAAGTGGTCACCTTTCTGCAGGTGAACTTTCACTCCGTTAATACTGTCGCTGAATGCCAGCCATCTATCTCGCAGACTTTGTCTCTTGCTGGTGTCTAGCTTTCGTCGCTTAGATACTTGTTCCCGCAAATGTTCCCGTTCTGATGGCTCGGGCATGTTTTTCAACGCAAGCTGTATGGCTTCTTGCCAATGGCGAAGAAGTGCCGACCATTTCTCTTTGTCGAATGCCTTTGCGATCGACTGGCGGAATTTCGCATTCTTGTTGGCTGCGAAGGTTTTATCGAACAAGAGATTAAACTCATCAATGAGCGGCACCATCAAAGAGCGAGTCGTTACTGGCTTCAGTCCCCCAAGCAGGTCTGAGGCCTCACTCTGATTCGAAAGATTGACGACAGTTAGATGCTGTTGGATAGAAGCTGCGACGTGTTGTAAAATTGTGGTCTTACCTACACCAGTCTCACCTACCAGCAGCAAAGGCTCCCTCGCACTCGCAGCACACATTATTGTCTCCATATGCTGCAGAACCTGTCGTGTCGTCGCAAAGCTGGTCTGCCTTCCCGACGACGGGTGAGACGAGCCATTTTTGGTCAATGATGCCCTTCCGACCTGTATCCTTGATTTGCTGTCCTGCATAATAGGTTTCTGATGCTTCAGAGTGTGCTCAACAGCGGCAGGGGCGATGTTGAGACTTGCGGCAATTGCTGACGCGGCTATATTAACAAGCAGTTTGTCGGCAAGATGTGCAGCGTAGCAGTCGACACCATCTTTGAACATGTCGATCATGAAGGTGTCCGGAATCTGATTGTCGTTGCTAGTCTTCCGCAGCTGTCGTACAGTTCTTCGACACCATTTTAACAAATCCTTGATGTTCGGCAAGCGACTTTGGCATGACTTGAAGGCTTCATTTGTGGTAAAGACATCAACAAGGCGAGCATGAGCTGATAGGATTCGCAGCAAGAAAGACGTCAAGTCTGGGAAGCGCTTGCTCAATAGTATTTGGACCTCCTGAGCAGAATAGGGTTGTACTTCTATAGCCGTCAATAACCTTCGGTTAGTCAGCATGGGTGTGCGGATAGCCAGGGCACTTCCAGGGCCAGACGTCCTGATGGTTCCGAGCAATCTGAACCCGTCCTTTGGCCTCAGTCGCTCCTTTCTGTTTGAAAGAAAGAGCTCATTGTTCTCGATCAACGGTCGTAACAGGCCCATTACTTCGGCTGGTGCGCGGTCGATATCTTCAATCAACACCCACCTCCCTTCTTGTATAGCTTTTGTGAGAACTCCTGGCTGCCACTGAAATCCTGTTCCAGATAGAGACGACGTATAAATACCCAACAAACTCTTAGCGTCCGTTTGCTCGTTGAGATGTAGAGTGACAAGTTCAGACAGAGTGCCGACTTTATGGGCAAGCTCACGAATCACAGCTGTCTTTCCAGCATCAGCCGGACCGTATAGCAAAATGGGTTTGTGGTTTCTCAAGCCAAGTGCAGCTCTTGTAAGGTTGTCCTCCGAGGTCGGAAAAAGGACAAAAGAGGATAATGGAGGCGATGTGGCGTGTTTTGTGGGCAGTAGCACACCACCTATCGACACCACGTACGGAGAGATATCGCTGTGATGGTCGAATTGATCTTTATACTTCCTGTTGCCCAGATTGAAGTCTGATTCAAGCAACTTACGATATATCCTCGTCCATCGTTTCTCTTCGTGAAGTTTGAAGAGCCTATAATCAATTCTGTCCACTTCCTCCCAAGGGCCATCGATGACTCCCTCACCAACGTGTTTGTGAATGAGGTCTTGTGTGATCTTATCAGCGGAGCCCATGTTCATAGCGAAGCACTGAATGGCCAGATATCGGATGTGTTTACGTTCATGGTTGAACGACATTATGAGAAAGCCAGGAGATAGGCAATCTCTGAAAGCGTCCAAGTCATAGGACAGAAGCCTGAAGGCAGCTATCAACGTTGTCGTCATGGTTTTGGAATTCAGCTCGGGCGTCAGAGGTGAAAGCTCGTGAAGGGAACATTGTGTCAGAAAGTCGCTGACAACAGGGCCAATATATGGCACAAACGGCAAAACCTTGGCCAAGCCAGATACTGTCGCGACGACGTCCACAAGACTCTTTCGGTCGCATCGTTGAATCCATCTTTGAATTGTATCGGCTGCAATGTCGAGGATGAGAGGAAGAACGTGGTCGGTATTGGTAAACGAGGCTGAAGCAATGGCGTTTAGAAGCGTTAAACCTTGTCTACTTGAGATCGAATGAGCAATTTGGAAAAGAGGACTTCCATCCTGTTCCTGTCCTATAGTATCAGCATCAGCGCTCCCACTCCTATACTCATCGACTCCCATCTTCGCTGCCATCCTTCGAAAGCGAGGATGAGGCAAAATCTAACAAATTTCATAAAAGGTTTCGACGAGGCTGCCAGGTCGGCTATTATCCCGGATTCGGCTGTTAGCGCATCAAGTCATCGCTTAGCGTGTCGAATTAGACCTCTAAGGCATCTTCTTAGGCCTCAAATCTTCTTGGCGTTCTTGTACGAGTCTGACACGTCTCACTCAGCAAGTGTCAGGGCTACCAAAGCAAAAATACAGGCGTGTCCGTAATGCCTTTGCTGGCCGAGGCTTGTCAGAGTGGGCGCGCCAAAAAGAGTGAGGTCGTGATGCAATGAACAAACCTCCATCCCCACTTCCGAAGCAGCCTTGTCTAGTCTCATACTCTTGATGAAGCTAAGCGGCAAATATCAACTACACCTGAAGGGGTAACAACATGCGGACTCACATATGCAAGAAAGGGACGTCAGAAAATGCTGAAGCACCTTAACCGCACTTTGAGAGTTCTGCCGCGATGGGCTCAAGGCCAACTTCGTGATCGAGTGGCTATAGTTATCATGGCAGTGTGGTCAAGGCGCAGCGCACGACGGATCAGTGTTCGTTTATAGCTCATTGAGAGCATAGCACAACGCGAGTTCAAGAGTCCGAACATGATATAGAGAAGCGTCCTAGGCAGGGAGACGGCATATCATATGAAGAGCTTCAAGAGCTTTTTCATACATATCCAGTCGTGCCAGGATTAGGGGCATACAAGGTTCGTAATTTGCGCGAGGACTGACCCTGAGATCGGTACTGCCAGATCCTGCCTTTGATCGGGATCCGAGACGTATGCTCATGTATAAGCAGATCATTTTTGTAGCATTGGGTTCACCAAATATCTACGTACTTGAAGATGCGATTGGACAGTCTTTGTCGTTTCGGAATGAAGAGAGCTGCCTCAAAGTATTTTGATCTCCTCTATGCAAGCTCCTCATACAGCTTCTTACATGTCCTAGTGCACTGGTGATCGAGCACAAAATTCGACCTGCTAAGAAAATGCTACGATGACGAAGCAACAGCATACTAGTAAAGAAGCGAGAGAAGAGCGTGCCATTGTTGTGTTTCTCAAGATTCTTTGTTAGACTCTCGAGTGCCTTTGTATATGCCGCAGCTCATGATAATTGTGCTAACAGTCTCGGAGAAGGCGTTATGCATGTTGAAGCACATACGCACTGTCACAAGCAAAGCACAGCCGGAATCATTAACTGCACACTAAAGAAGACATAGGCAGTGGTGCTCGATAGCTTTCGTGATTCTTTGGAGATCATTTAGTGGCTCTGTGCCCTCCACATAGGAGATCAGACGCGCTCTATCTACGGCATGGGTGGTAGTACTCGAAGGCGCGTGATAAACAATGAGATGTGAGTAGCCATTCAAGTTGTTCTCGAAGAAATTGCAAGGACGTTTAGTACGGTGAGGCATGCATACCCTTACCCTTCACGAAAGGTCATATCCGTGACACAATTGCTACTCCAGGTAAAGACTTCGCTATGTGACCAGCCATCAGTAGAAATCATAAACTCGAGGAGTGTGAACCGATTGTATTTGAAAGTGTTTGTTGAATAGTTTACACAACAAACGTGGTGCAAGCACGTAGTATCCAATTCCGCAGGGTGTACTCCAGTTGCAGTTTTATTCAACTTAACACGTCTCACATCCACCCACGCTTCGCCAATCGCAGACCCCATAAGAGGTCCCTCAAAAGGTGATTCGAATTTGATTACAAGGGATGACTCAAGTCGCTCCAGCAAATTCGCCTGTTATTGCTCTATCATGGGTATCGTGGTTCTACATGACACATGCATCGCTCGTGAAACACTTTTGCCTGCTCCCTCAGAAAAGATGATTACCTAGTCCTCGTCCCAATTTGGATTTTGACCCGGCGGCTTAGGACCCCCAGCTTGTCTTGCAACAATAATCTGGTCAACACTAAGCACTGTCCGAGCAGCATCCGTGGCAAGTCTGATAGCCCAGCTCTTGCTGACCAGCAGGTCTAAGATCTCATCATCCACAGCGTCCAATATGCCACTATTTGTTTCCAAGTCAACACCGGCCGTCCAGTAGGGCTCTTCGGACTCTGACGTATCTGTAGTTTCCTCGTTGGAGTCCTCGTCTTCTTCATCAGACTCTTCTTGCGTAGTGGCTCGTCGTTTTATGCTGCCTCGCTGCTGATGCGCCGTATATAATCGAGCCAGGATCTCGGTTGCATCCAGGCCTGCGCTTTCAGCCAATGTTCTAGGTATTATCTCAAATGCTTCAGCGTATTTTCGAATGGCATATTGTGGAAGACCAGGCGTCTTGTCAGCAAAAGCATTGATCCTCTCCACGAGCTGCATCTCTGTAGCACCGGCGCCTGGTACCAACCGTGGGTCTTTTGTGACAGCTTTGATCACATTCACACCATCATCAATGGCTCTCTCCACATCGTCAAGGTGATTCTGGGTCGCTCCTCGAAGGACAATTGTTGCTGTACGAGTTACAGCAGTATCGGATTCCTGGCGGAACACAGTGACTCGGTCACCACCAATCTCGCTTGTCTCAACAACATCAATGCTACCCATCTCGTCTGGCATGGGCGCTCCCAGCCGTGCCAAGGGAGTGGCACCACAAACTCGACATAATCTCCTCAGCTCGAACTTTGAGAGAATCTTGATGACCAGAATGTTCATGCGGTTGAGGTAGTGAAGAGCGAGCTCACCTACTGTAGATCCGGCAACAACGACACGAATGCCTGCGTCGTATAGCTCTTTGATGGCACTTTCCAGCTGACTCTCTTCGCCAGTACTGAAATCGAGCATCTCTTTTGCGTTGTGTAACAGAACTGTGCCTTTAGTTTCTGTCTGTGAGGTGTCTATAGGGCACGAAAAGACGCCAACTTTGGCCTTCTTCGCTCTCTTGACAATGCCGTCTGGTTCTCTGCCAAAGACCATACCCTTGACCACTCTCGATTGAGAGAGGTCACCACCCATAATCTTGACTACTCGTATATTATCGATGTTGAAGTTTGCTGGATTCTTGGGTAGAACTGCTTGCACCGCCTCTGCAACAAGCGGCGCAAGCACATCTTCAGAGCCGGATTGTTTCGAGGCAAGTACCGTTCTCAACGCTTTTCCTAGCTCTTCTTTCGAATGCACATCGGCGACTCGGTCGACCTCAAGTTCTATTCACAGTCAGTATTGATCGTAGCCAATCTAACCATACTCACCATCTAGTGCTTTCAGTGTAAAGTTCAAAGCCATTTCATAACCTGACACGATATCGCTCGTCTTTAGGCCCAGCCGCACCAGTTCTTCCGCCTTCTTCAGAAACTCTCCTGCCAATATCATAACCATGTTTGTGCCGTCACCCATTTCAGCCTCCTGCTGCTGACTAGCCATGACGAGCAGTTTCGCAGCAGGATGTACCACGTCCAATTCTTGTAATATAGTGGCAGCATCTGAGGTGAGAATCATCTTCGCTAAGTGATTGATAACGATCTTGTTCCTGCCGTATGGGCCCAGTGAAGTCTTGACTGTTTGAGCGATTGTGTTGCAAGCGTCGATATTGCGAATGACTGCTCCATCTTCGGCGTCGTAACTGCTGTAACCTTGCTTGAAAAGACCCGCCTGCGAAGCCTGTGGTATCGACAGCGACATCTTTATGGTGAGCCTTCTCACTGTAAAATTGGAAGAGAGTGTATTGGAAGATATTGAAATACAGGAGTGCAAGACAGAACCAGATAATTTCCTCGCCTGGCTGAATGTTTTGCGGAGTATCGCTCGTGTTGTGCTCGACCGACAGCCTGAGGCAGATATGGGGGCATCGCCGTGTGCCTGGAATTCGAGTCCAGGCACGCTTGTACACTGCTTACGGGCGGTTGCTACCTGAAACTACTAAGCAGGGCTGACAAAGGAGCAAATAGAAGTAGCCGGTACAGCACTAATATCCTGCAGACAATTCGCGCAATTCTGCAACAGCGGCCGCCTCCTGCACACACGCAAGTCGCGCCTGCCATCCACGAAGTGGACTGCTTGAGGAGTAGGCTCGACTCAAGCCTACTTAAAGCAGGCTTGTATATTCTTCCTGTCAATGATGGGAGCACTATGGGTGGTCTGAATCACAATGACTCCAATTCGGACCTCGATCTCTTTGACCAGGAACATGGTGATATATCGACCAGGTAAGAGCATCGCTCAAACCTGTTGATGGCTTGCTAATCCTTTCAGACCTGTTCCGCGTCCATTTGAACAAGCTTTAACAGGAGAAGAGCCGTTTCCCACCGTGGTATCTTCTGCTGCGTCGCTCAAAGATGTGCAGACCTGGCCCTTCACCCAAAGCGAGAAAGATGAGGCGCATGTGGATTGGAACATCGAGACACAAGGCCGTCGGGTTGAGTACGAGAACTTGACTGCGATTGACTGGATCTTCGAGTACACAAAAGAACGCCAGCGGCTGAGACGACTTCTGGCCACGAGCTCAGGTCTTCCGGGCACAGCCAGACAACTTCTTGATGCTAGTGTCGTCTGGATTGTGCTTGTCGCAACGGGCTTGATGGTTGGCGTTATCGCTGCCTTCATTAACATCGCAGCTGACTGGTTGGGTGATACCAAAACGGGCTACTGCAAGAGCGTAGGAGCAGAGAATCAGTTCTACCTGAGCAAGCAGTTCTGCTGCTGGGGTCATGACGAACTGTCGCAATGTCAGAACTGGACTCCTTGGAGGAGAGCTCTCCACATAGGCAATCTCGGAGGGGCGTATGTGGTAGAATACATCTTCTTCGTGCTCTTTGCGACCCTGTTCGCCGCTTGCTCAGCTGTTCTGGTTCAGTCTTATTCTCGATATGCGAAGCAAAGTGGTATCCCGGAAATAAAGATAATGCTGGGTGGCTACGTTATTCAGGATTTTCTCGGAATACAGACCCTTGCTACCAAGACGCTTGGAGTTTGTCTATCGGTAGCGTCTGGTTTGTGGCTAGGCAAAGAAGGTCCTCTGGTACACCTTGCTTGCTGTTGTGCCAGTCTTGCTATGAAACCTTTTGAGGCTCTCTCACAGAACGAAGCTCGAAAAAGGGAGGTTCTGTCTGCCGCCGCCGCATCCGGCATCTCTGTTGCTTTTGGTGCACCTATAGGAGGTGTGCTATTCTCGCTCGAGCAGCTATCTTACTACTTTCCTGACAAGACTATGTGGCAGTCCTTTGTCTGTGCCATGGTCGCAGCTGTTACTTTGCAAGCACTCAACCCCTATCATACTGGTAAAATTGTTCTGTTCCAGGTTCGATATACTACTGGCTGGCACGGGTTTGAGCTCGTTCCTTTCCTCCTTCTAGGCGTTACTGGCGGTCTTTTCGGGGCTCTCTTCATCAAGATCAATATGCTAATAAACAGGTTTCGAAGATCAGATGTATATCCACTACGGAACAGACCAGTGCTCGAGGTGTCCATTACCGCAGTCTTTGCAGCTCTCATCAATTTCCCAAACCTATTCATGCGAGCACAGTTGTCGGAACTAGTCTATTATCTCTTCGCCGAGTGCGCTGCTATTGGCAACAACGATATATTCGGTCTCTGCAAAGCCACACTTGTCGGTAACCTATCTATGCTATCTTTACTTGTGACGGCCGCTGGATTGGGTACTCTACTAGCAGCCATCACATTCGGGCTTCCTATTCCAGCAGGTATTATTCTTCCATCTCTTGCAATCGGCGCTCTTTACGGACGAGCCTTAGGTGTCATCGTGGAGCAAGTCCATAAGCACCATCCGGAGTCTTTACTCTTTGCTGCTTGCGAACCAGACATTCCTTGCGTCACACCGGGCACCTACGCCATCGTGGGCGCCGCATCTGCACTGGCAGGAACCACAAGAATGACTGCCTCAATTGTAGTCATTATGTTCGAGCTGACTGGTGCTCTGACGTATGTCCTTCCCATCATGATCGCCGTCATGCTTGCGAAGTGGATTGGAGATATCTTCGGATCTAGAAGTATCTATGATGCTTGGATTCAATTAAATGAATATCCATACATTGATAATAGGGAGGACGTTGGAGTACCACAAGTTCCAGCTACAAGCATTATGACTAGAGTTGAGGAAATGGCGTGCATCAACGCATCCAAGTCCTACTCGGTTGAAGATCTTCGCAATCTCCTGCGCAACGCACCTTCTAAGGGGTTTCCTATTGTCTGTTCCCCAAAGCGAGTGGAAGTTCCCAACACACGGTCAACAAAAACACCCACGATGCCACACGATAATATTCTCCTTGGCTATATTTCTAGAACAGAGTTGGTACATGCGCTCGATCACGCTGAGAGACTAGGAGAAGTCTCTAGCTCGAGCATTCCTGCAAAGACGATGTGCTATTTCATGCATTCGACTGATCGAGAATTGTTGACAAGCATCGATCTAAGGCCTTGGATGGATCAGACTCCAATTACTCTTCATGCAACCTCAAGCCTTCAGCTTGTTGTATCAATGTTTCAAAAGTTAGGTCTACGCTACCTTTTGCTGGTCGAACACGGATGTCTCAGAGGGTTCCTCACCAAAAAGGATATCTGGTGGGTGTTGAACGTCAATGAGGCCCAGAGGAGCTCGATCACGGCACAATTTGTCGCTGGTGCTGGCGTGCTCAGGGACGATCAGGCCTTCGATATTAATGAGGAGGCAGAAGGCTTACTTCGTGAAGACAGGTAAGAAACCCGCAGGCTGGAGCAGATCTGCAAACCTCTATTAGCAGTGGCAAGAAATTCCAGTATTGAGTTCAATGATCTTTATTGAATATCCGCGATCGACATCTGACTTACTCCGTTATTCCATCGCGACAAAATCGGGGATTTGCAAACACATGGCGCTAGCTTAACGGTCGCGCGTTGCTGGTCCATCTGAAACTGAAGCTTCAAAGCAACGACACGGGTAGCACGAAAGTATGCTTCCACATTGAATCGTGCGCGGCACCTCGTTTATCGTTTGTCCAGAAGAACTTAACAGGCACATACTGTAAGAGTTGTGAAGTGCTTCTGCGAAAGCTTTTTCAGTTGTGTACGCATTATTTGGCCAATCATCAACAGGCTCTTTCACAACTCGGTGTTTCCATGCTGAGTTCGTCGTTAGAATACCTAAAAACCGTCAATGGCGCAAGGTTGAAGATTACAGATGACCATGCCCTGCTTACTCAATGACGCTACTCTAGGGCATGCACAGCTGACCTTGTTCAAAGGTAGCGTGGAGGACCACATGACACAACTTTGCTACCACGCTAATGGCATCGCTCATAGAGACTTTCTTTTCCAAAGCTGCGGAGTGGTTGGTCCTTGGACCCAATGGAAATGCAATACTTTCAGGTCGAGGAGAAAAAAAGGGTACTGCGCCGAAGCATGGGTCGCACTAATCAGAGCTGAGAGTCAAATGCTTGGCATGAAAGAGACTAGCTCTCGCTGCGAAATAATACCGCTGCCTCTACAGTATCTGGAGTGCCGTGGCTAACAGCCTGCGAGAAATCGTGGACTACCAGTACATATGACGCTGCAACTTTCCATCCATCCATATCGTCCTGCAAGAAATCTGCCATTTCTGGTAACTGTATCGAACAAGCTAGAAGCTGCAAAGCTGCACATGTAATGTCGAACACCGACCGCTATCTTCTATCCCTTCACTTCATAGCTCTAGTGAGATTGGAGGCATCACTATCAATCCCAGTACGTGGATGCTTTCCTCGTGCGGCTAAGCATGGGTATGATGTGCCATGTGCTCGATGAAGCCCACAATACAGCAGCCGCCTATCCTTCGGTCTTTAGCCTACGACAAGTGATCTTAATCACAACCAAGCGTCTGCTTGCCGAGTCCTGCAATCCGGCAGTCAGATGGGTACAGTAGCATGTATATCAATCGCGTCGATCCAACTACATAGATAAACGTGGTGAGAATACAAGGCAATAGTGTAACAACATATGTATCGTTCCTGCACATTCAGCTTCGTTCATCCCATATCTGAGCGTCACCATTTCAAAACTAGTACATGGACGCAGTATCCACAAAAAAATGAACCAAGAGGTGGCAAGCAGTTGCACACGAAACCAGAGCATAACTTCACTACTTTATACAGTATAGCATTATAGTAGTGCAGGTGTGTGCTTGAAGAGTACTAATGGAACATGATCGTCACTGGTTATGGCAGCAAAGACGACTGCCGCTGCTCGTGCAGCCACCGTCTGTATGCAATTGACGGCCCATTATCGAATTTATTCAGTGATAGTATCATTGGGGCCAAGATGATTGGAAAACAGCCTACGATGGGGAGAACATGGTCGCGGCAGCGTGCTTGCACTTTCCTCAAGTGTAGCAACGTCGTAGATCGGCTACGTATTCTAGAAAGCTCGTAGTTTATCAACCCGATCTTTCCTTCTCTTTGCGTCGACTGACAGCACTCAACGCGACGCCATATGTTCTATTGACAACGAACTCTGTGTGCCTCTCGGTGACTTCACGGACCAGTGGAGAGTCCCAGCCGTCTTGAGGTAACAACGGTCGTGCCTGCAGCCCGCTACTGCTGACCCATGACCACGACCTCGTGTACGGCAGCCACTAACGTCATGCACGGCAGTACGAGTCATAAGATCTACGATATGTGAGTGTTGGTTGTCTGCAGTCTTACAGATGGTGATCGAGGAAACCAGAGACACTTTTTACTCTGGGTCTACAACAACAAGTCAGGACGATACAGTAAAGGGAGTCCGTACTCGGCCGACTGCTGTTCCAGCAAATGGGATTCGCTTGATCCTGCCTCCAGACATCACCCTGCTAAGCGAACCAGTCTAAAGGGCACCTCTAACTTTACGCTGCGACCATCGGCTGTTCTTGTAATACCAACGCACGGTGGACCATTTTGACAAAACTGCAGAGCAAGCAATAGCAGGAATACATAAATCCTAAGCTTCACAGATCGTGTCTCCAGTACAGCGCCATACTACAGTGGTTACTCGTACAGTGCTGGTGCTCCGGCATTAACTCGCGTAGAGATCGGAGTCAATGATCGATCTGCTGCCTTCCACTGCAACCAGCCGAACACCCACGAGTGCCCAAATAGGCAAGTACTCTGTAAAGAGCGACGATCATGACCTGAAAAAAAGGAATGTGCAGAATTTCCACGTTTCTAGTGTAGGTTCAGGTTAAGCTCGCCGCTAAGGGGCTGTCCAAACTTCCCTTGTCGGACAGCTCCTGTATGGGTCTAGTCAAATATTACTTCGAAGCTTCGACTCTAATACTTGAGATTGATAGATTGTGTGAAAGTATACGAAGCCACGCAGTCAATTCTTGTACGCATTGACCACATGGTGTGAATTCGTCGGTTGCAGGGCTGCTGAAGCACATGGCTTATGCCAGATGATATAGTCGGTAAGCGGAAGAAATAGAATACACCAATGCAGGTGCAACAAGAAACATAGTACCATACCTATGAACGTCCGTACTACGCTGCTCTTGATCAAGGGCATCTGATCCTGGATTTCTGTTCCTCGGACATTTTCCTTGTCCCGAAAGTCAGGCACGCGGCAGTAGTGTTCCGCCAACATAGACGGGGACAAGGCACAAAGGCCTACCAAGGATGTTCCCAGCAACTACGTGCAGCAAGTGATACTCGTTCCTCTCGCACAGGCAGATATCTGTCTCAGTAACTCTCATCGCTCCTGTTTAGCTAATGTCTATGCAACATAAACAGCATTGCGAGCCTCGAAATATCGACTGCTGACCTGCTGCCGATCCAGTATCGGACTCCCTCATCGACACGTGTAGTATTGTGCAATCGATCAAGATCCCGTGGCAGAAGATCATCATCTCCACATACTGACTTGCACATGGCTGAAACTTCAAGCCGCGTGCGAGCTATTCTCGTTCAGGAACAAGTCCTTGGCTTGCAGATACATGAGACCATACTTTTAGTCTGGTACGCTATCGGACACCGCGGCACTTCGTCCGCTCAAAGCTCCGAGCTTAGTCGCCTCCATTTACAGGCCAGCTGCACGAATCAAGACAACATTGGTGGCTGTCCACCTGCGTCGGCTATTGCTGTTGCTCGAGCACTTGGCATGTAGCCTGCAGCACTAGACGCCACGGACAAATCATGAGTCTCTTCAAGCTGTGGAGGTCAGGATCTTGGTTATCCACCATCATTTACTTGACTTCAGGCTAGAACGTTGACTTTGACCGGATCATCATCGCAAGCAGCCAAAGCAAAATACGACACAAGTGCAAGGGCTAAGCCAATTCGTAACAAGAAAAGCACGTTGCTGCACTCTCATGTAACGATATGCTTCAGATCCACGTTGTGGCTCCTACACTTTTTGCTGATCCCATGCCTCCCTGGAACGAGATTACTGCGACGGAGCTACTACTGTTGTAAAGGGACATCGCTAGGCGTAAGCCTCCGTTGCATCAGGCATTGCTTCACCTCATATTCGCATTCATGCCGTCAAAGCAGAAACACCACGCTCGAGACAAGAGCAAAGATTCAGTTGAAATCGAAAAGAATCTGGTCCAGCTGGGACTACTCTTTGACGGCAAGCCTCGACGACGCGAGAACCTTCCCTTGTGGGAACAATCCAAATCTATTGCTCCGAACAAAGGTGGGTGTGAATTGTGGCGGGATAGCGTCCGAAACAGTCTCATCGCTTGTGTTTCAGGCCTTTGACCTGTCTTCAGTCCTTGCGAGACAGTTTCAACTTATGCCTCCGACTACAGGTTCCTCCATCGCTCCTCCCAGAACCTCTTTACCTTCACGATCGGCACAGGGAGAGTCACTCTTGTTCAAACAATCCAGCATATCCCGCGGCACCCTGCATCGGCACAACGAAGGCCTACCTCAATATCAGCTTGCAAACGAGGTGATCGGTCCCGATAACCCAAAAACCGTCACGTTCGAAGACATACAACTGCATGCCGAACAGAACGGCAATATGACTGCATTGCTGGCTACGGATCGGGCAAGGTCCAGGCGTGAGAGGACCTTTGTTGGTGGTGAGTGCGCTGCTTGCGAAGAGTTGTTAGAACACACATTGCGAGGTGAAAGAGTCCTGCAGTTCTCCTGCGGTCACGTTGCACACGAAGCGTGCTTCTACGAGTATATCAAAGACTCGGATTCTCAGTATTGTCCAACATGCGATGCTCCATTAGGTTTGGATTCGACGAGAGGGGGGAGCATCTTGGATTTGAGTAAGCCGTGTTTCTCACTGGCTACCACATCTTGTGCTAACGAATAGCAGGCAAGCTAAGCAATCTGGTCCGCTCAATCGCTCAACAGAGCGACGCAGTATCCACTCGAAGTGCTGCCCCAACACCAATGCCATGGGACGGTCCGCATCCAGGAGAACAACTTTACAACGAGCCACAGCGACAACCTGACAAAGAGACGATTCGTGGACACAGAGACAGCCAGGCAGTGCGTATAGAACGACTTGGACTGGTTCCCCAGCATACCCGAACGCACAGTGGTAATGCCTCGTCTGGTGATTACCAGCCACACGACACGACAACTACAAGAAGACACGACTACGATCTGCATGCAATGGAGACTAGCGTTGCTGAACAACAACCGCACGCAGATTACAAACGCAATCTTCCGACGCCTATCGTGACAGTACGAAGCGAGTTTCCCACCATTAATAGGTCCCATCATCAGCAGAGCCTGACCTGTCTCGTAACTGTTGAAGTCCCTGAAGCGAAATGGAGACATCATCGCGAAGACCTTCTGCAGAATTCAACGCCCCTCGTGGCCACACAGGGCCTGTACGAGCAACTGCCACCACAACCGTTGGCCCCAGCTCCACTACAGCTCAACCGTTATCCGCAATCTTTGAAGAAATCTTCCACTAGTTCGCTCCGGCCTTCCCACGAGCTTAATCAGCTAACGGCAGATCTCAGGATCAGAGTCGACAATTGGCACGGATTGGAGTTCTCAAGGTTTGGAAACCTAAGACTCAATGGCACTCTTCGTGTGGGCAAGGATCAAAAATCCTGGCAGGAACTCGAGTGTTACCTATTTGGCGAGATGTTGATCTGTGTCAAGGAGAAGAGGAATGCCGGACCTCCCATCATTACCGACGACGATCGCGAGCTTACGAGATGTTCTCTCAAAGGTTCCATCTTGATTAAGAAACATCTTCAAGAAGTGCATGTACAGTCTGGTGTACCTGTTTTGACCCTCAACCTCTCAGTAGCTGAACTGCCAACTTTCCACCTGGCTTTTAGCAGCCAGACGGAACTCGAGGTATGGAGAGGAGCTCTTCTTGACCTGCATAAACCGGAGTACGCTCCACCACTTCAACCCTTCTCAGAATATGAACAGGATCCCTCCTGTACAGACGATGAATACGACAGGTATGGCCAGAACCTGCGACGTATGCCTTCGAGCAGTTCTTATGGTGCACCGAAAAGCACCACGACGGCACCGACCGAATATTCATCGCACAGAGTCTTTGTGGACCACCAGATGCCTCCCTCATTACATACTCCCTTCGACATTGTTGTTGTCATACCAGTATCTTCTTCTATGCAAGGTCTCAAAATCTCCTTGCTCAAGGATACCCTGCGTTTCCTAGTAAGCAATCTTGGAGAGCGTGATCGTATGGGGCTGGTCACTTTCGGCTCGAGTCAGGGCGGTGTGCCATTGGTCGGAATGACCACCAAAAACTGGACTGGCTGGAACAAGGTGCTTGCATCAATCCGGCCAGTTGGTCAGAAGATCTTGCGCGCTGATGTCGTCGAAGGAGCCAATGTTGCTATGGATCTGTTGATGCAAAGGAAACAGGCAAATCCTATTTCGACGATTTTGCTCATCAGCGATTCTTCGACCTCGGATTCTGAGAGTGTCAACTTTGTCGTCCAAAGAGCTGAGGCAGCTAAGGTCAGTATCTACTCATTCGGCCTGGGATTGACGCACAAGCCAGACAGCATGATCGAGCTTTCGACTAAGACAAAAGCATCGTATCTTTATGTCAAAGACTGGATGATGCTGCGAGAGTGTGCTGCAGGAGTTCTAGGCTCGCTACAATCAATTTCACATCAAAATGCCAAACTGAGGCTCAAGTTACCAGAAGGATCACCTGCCAAGTTTGCCAAGATTAGCGGTGCAATGTCAACCACGAAACGTGCCACGGGACGTGATGTAGAAACAACGCTGGGTGATCTGCGTTTTGGCGACAAGCGCGACATCCTGGTACAACTTGTCATCGAGCCAGATTCGTCAACCCAGGATCAGCTACCACAAGATCACTGGGAAACGATCGTATCGGGTCTGGAAGCTCTTGGTGGCACTCCTGAAGCCGACGACTCTCGAATACAAAGTGTGGAGGAAGTGCCTGTGTTGCAAGCCGACCTCTCTTACACAGACATGCACATGGAGGACCAAACGACACAATTGACGCGGCCATCGCTACTAACCATCACTATGCTTCCCTCTACACGGCTATCCCGCAGTAATGGTCGGTCAGCGTCACCTCTCTATCCGCCACATCCCTCCATTGTACAAAGGCGAATGGAGCTGTTGACTAGCGATATGCTCACTCGTGCCCTGACACTTGTTACAAAACAGCAACCCGATCGAGCACAACACTTACTCGCGGAAACCCGTCTAATTCTCAAGGGTCTTGCAAAAGGTGGCTTGCCACCCCTCCCTACCAAGGCCAACGCTGGATCAGCTGGCAGCGGCATCTCAAAACGTCATTCACCACCCGCTATTGGCAAACACTCCTCACGAAATGCTTCTCCTGCCACACGTTCCGAGCGCCACTCTGACAATGAGTCTCGTGCTAGCGACGACACCCCCGTCCCTCGCTCCTCGATGCCGTCGTCGTCAGTCATTGATCCAATTATCATGAACTCACTCGATGCCGACATCGAAGCCGCACTCGAGTGGATCGGTCACCCAGCCGTATTCAGCAGAGACAGTCGCAAGGCAGTGCTGCAATCTATCGACGTAATCAGCAGTCAGCGCGGATATACATTCCGCAGCGCAAGTGAAAGCATCTGGGCCGAACGCATCACCAGCATCAAGCGGATGATGGACCATTCCAGAGATTGGAGAGGCACCGAGGAGGGCGAGACAATGGCGGAAGAATAAAGAGTTGATGAAGATACGAGGACAACCGCGCGACATTAGATTACCACAGAAGAGACGACGAAGAAGATGAAGATGTAGATCCAGATGTGACGGAGATGGGTGACGACTGTACGATTAACTTGACTGGTTTTCTAGAGAGTGCACAGCTGCACGTTAAATCTGCGACAACAATGTTGTCCATGACTTCAGCTTCGCTGACTGGAGGCATTTCATATGTACTTATATATTTACTTATACAGTATTTACTGATCTTACCTGATCTTCCTCTAGCTACCTAATATTAGACGTGTCTACTTTGAAAAATTGACGTTTTGCGTGGGGTTGGGATATCACCCTAGGTGTGTCCTCGGTTGCTTTTCGAGCCACGTAAGCAATATCTATGTGTCCCTTCTATTAGCTTTGGACAGTGCACCCGTATCGTGAGGTGAGCTGGTCGACCTGCGCAGTTTGCCTTATTGAAAGTCTTGTGTCAGATCACGGAGTCTGGTGATTGTTGCTTTGATTCTTGTCATGCAGCAGCACGCCGATCAGAGGTCGTATAGCTGTGCAGTTCTCTGCTCGAAGTGCCATGATCACGTAGCTACAGAGTTTAACATCACACTCACGAGGCAGGAAGTAGGTATGACTGCGAGTAGTGCTAGAATTGGTCGATTCAAAGTGCTATGTCGTAGGTTTGCAGAATAATGGAAGCATCATGGCAGGATGGATTTTGTTGGCATACATATCTGTATGCTCTGTACCAAACCACTGCGTATAGTGTCGATATGTGAGAAAGACCTTTTTGTGTAGTGATGTCTCCTTGCTGCTGTGGTTATGTTGTTGTAGACTGAAAACTCCCCGAGTGCTTCACAAACCATAAATTCAGGTCCTGCTGCGTGCTGACCATATGCACTATCTGGGAGAGACCTCGCTCGCAATCTCGTAACAATGTCAAGCTAGTGCGCACGTCCTCAGTCGTCCCGAGTCACTGTACCGAAATCACCGTTCTCAGCTTCGTAACAATCATCATCATCATCCCTCCGTTGGTACGGGTGGTCATAGACTTTGGAGGTTCCCGTTGTATCTCCGACCACATACTCGATCTCGACTTCTTTGTCTTGCAGATGTTTGAACTTCTTCGGTCGATCGGCGATGTTATTCTTGGCTACATCCAGGTTCTTCTGTTTGCCAGTGCACAGCTTGACTTTTCCAATGCAATGTATAAGCATGTGCATGACGAGACCTGCCTAGTATATGTCATTAGCATTGTTATGTTGTATGGACAGTCTTTGTCAAGCTTACATCTGGACGGGACAGCAACCAGAAGTGACTTTCAAAGTCTTGCACAATTTGTTTCTCCAACCACGATATGCCAAGAATTCGTCGCAAAACTTGTCCAGACCAGTATGGCCTTCAGAACCTCGCAATGCTCTAGTTGCGGTAGAGAGTCGAACGTCGACCACACCGAGAGGCTATGCAATCCACTGTTGGCATATGGGAATTGCCGTCTCTTTCCTTTGCTGACTACCCGCCGGAGGAATGTTTCGTGTGCTGATTGATCATGACTTAACGCTCGATGCCCTGGATCCCAGATGCAGTTAGTGAGCTCAAACGTAGCGGTATTGAAGAATGGAGCATGTACCTCTTGATAGAATGTCCTACATGTTAGGTAAAGATTCGTGACTGAATGCTTATCTTCACGTCTCATGCCGTACTCGTGTTTGTCATTGTTTGTGATTGTGCATCCAACTGCATGGACATATATGAGCATGTCCTCGAAGTAGGCTTGGTAGACTTTTAGCCGAATCTCGGCAGGGATATCGCGAATAAGATTTATGGTCATTATCGTGGTTAGTTGAGTCTGTGCAGAGTGGTAGATTGAGAATCATAGGAGCCTATTAAGGCTCACGGAGAGGATCAGAAGAGGTGCGAGGCATCAGGCAGCCATGTAAACAACATGAAAGGTTACTAGGGAGTGAAGGTCTTCAGAAAGTGCGAGTGTGTGATGCCACATCTCGGAATTTCACATGCCGTGGTTAGAGTATATGTAAGCTCGCAAAGTCGTACTTCTTTCTGCTGCCTGAAGTTGAAAACAAGTGTTTAGTTGAGCTTGTCCTGTAACATGTTTACCTGGCTGATTCGACACTCAAGCCAGCACTTCTGCTCATACCATATATGTCCAGGTGTCTATCGGGAATCCGTGTCACTGGCAGCACGAAGTTGAGCGAAACATAGATTCGATTCCGGCTATTGTTTCGTTTGTCATCTGCTGCTACACTGGTAAGTGTTTTTAGACAAGGCATCATGGTCGTGCAGTTCTGTGTCTATTTCACCCATGGTTATGTTGCTTCGACAGGCAGTACAACCATTCAATTCGACACTTGCTGGGTCTCTTGACCGCTCAAATCTATTATCGTCAAAGTCGAAGTGCTGGCATCACCTATTTCACAAGTCATGATTCGGGGCACGCCAGGGCCTATGTTGGTTCAAGTCACTTTTATGGTTGAGAACGGTAAGTTCTCCGGACGCTGACTGCTCATTCATCATCGAAAGCTTTGTTTCATTCCAAGGCAAAGCTGAGTTTTACAAGCATATGATTTGTAGCCAGAACTGAAAGTCATACAATTGATGTACAATGCAAGGAAGTGTTCGGTGGCTGTTCGGCGATTTGACCTCCACCAGGATCGACGCGTTTGACGCGCATCCAACCAACGCCGCAACTTGAATTAGAAGGTGCGCAAAGCAAAGTAGCTCCTTCTTTTGCGCGCTCAGCTTTTCTCTTCACTCAATATTGACCAGTACTGCGCCCATGTTGCTATAAAGCAAACGATATTCTATCTCATTCCGAGACTTTAGTTTGACTATAGAACACCCCAGTCCATTGCGTACAAAACAGATACACCTCTCAGTCGCTACAATGGAAGGCGTTAAATCACCCTTCCCACCAGCTAGCGACGTGCCGTTGCATCGTAATCCCCCGTTAGCACCATCTCAAGAACTAGCATATAGAAACAAGTGCATCCAGCTGAAAAAGCGGCTGCAGGAGATCGAAACCAACAACTCGCAAACCAGAGCGCGCATATCAGCCGAGAAAGAGCGAATACAAAAACAGCGTCTCCTGCGGTCGATATTACTTCACCAGTTGCGGGAAATTATGGAAACTCCCGGCAGGAGATGGCGACCTGAAGAACTAGAACGACTAGGCATTCAAGTCAATGGCAATGCCGATGGTGAAGAAGGTCTTCATGGAGGACGTCCCGACGGGGAAGTCTTACTTGATGATAGCACCGATGACAGTGACGATGAATTACCAGAGGTGAGCAAATGGCCTGACAGAGTCCCACGGAAGCGCAATCACAATGTCAACCACAATGGATTCAGTCAACAGCAGTCCGATGCTGACCAAATTGAGTAGCCTGCAGATCGTCCTACCCGCCTGCGCAGACAGCAGAACAGCTATAGAGAGGCTGTCATGCCTACGAACCCAGGTCCAGTAAACCCGAGCCTGTATCAACCGCCTGGCTTGCCTATAATAGCTCCAGCACAACCGTACTCCCCAGCCGCCGCTCGTGAGCCTCTCCTTACAAGCTCTCTACAAACACCAGTCCCAATCGCAATAGCCTCTCCACAGCAACGAACTGCACCAAAACCGGGGTTTACACCTAGTGGATATGAGTGGATGAATCCTGGAAACCAATCCTCACCAAACCACCCACATCCTGCCGCTCAAACTGTTGGTCCTGTAATCCATCATCCCATTACTACCACGACGCGTTCGAACTCCGTGTCCCAGCCTGCGCAACTTCAAGTACAGGAACGAGAAGAACCAGCTTCGAATGGTTATGAGAGACTGATCAATCCACCTTCCACTCATAGTGCTGCACAACCAGTTCGCCCATCGCCGCCTTATTTGCAGTTCTGCGAGCATATGCGCCCGCAACTCGAGGCAGACAACTATCCAAGAGAACATCTACAAAGTCGCATAGACGAAGAATGGCGGAAGCTATCCCAGGAGAATCGAGGTCTATGGGAAGAGAGGTACAATGACCAGATGCGGGATTACGAGGACCAAATGGATATTTGGAAGCGTACTCAGAGAAACGCTAATGCAACCGCTATGAGGAACATAAGGTAGCTTCTGTCGTGTGTAATTCCTCGGCATTGAAGTGTTCCGACTCAAAGAGACAGTGTCGTGCATTAGGAGATCAAGGATCGGAGAACGAGCATATGTATCGAACTCAATTATTGCATCACTTTCGTCGTGAGGGGAAGGCAGAGTCAATTGAGTACCATGTCCCAACTACAATGTATCACCATCCTTTCGGTCCTTTGAGATTCTCTCTTACCAGAGCTGCAGTAAAGATGCCGTACTCGACACCTCCCAAGAATGCGACCCTGAAAATAGAGCCATTTCAGCTACAAGTGCCTGATGAAGAGATCGAACATTTCAAGCAACTCCTAAAGCTCTCTCGGCTTGCTCCTCAAACCTTCGAGAACAACCAACCAGATACTGGCAAGTTTGGCGTTACTCACAAATGGATGACCGAGGCGAAGGATCGTTGGCAGAATCAGTACGACTGGCGGCAACGAGAAGCATATTTCAATTCCTTTCCCAACTTCAAAACTTCAATCAAGGATGACAAAACTGGTTTCACTTTTGACATTCATTTTGCTGCACTCTTCTCTGAAAAGACTGACGCCGTCCCAATAGTGTTTCTGCATGGCTGGCCAGGATCGTTTCTCGAATTCTTGGGTGTGCTAGAAACTTTCAAGTCCAAATACAAGTCCAGCGACTTACCTTATCACATCATCGTGCCTAGTCTGCCAGGCTATACACTGTCGTCTGGTCCACCTACAGATCAGGACTTCAAAACGGACGACCTCGCGCGGATTATCGACAAGCTTATGCAAGGCCTTGGTTTCGGCGATAGTGGCTACGTCGCTCAAGGCGGTGATATTGGCGCATACACCTGCCGTTGCCTATCCCACTATTCCAGCTGCAAAGCTATCCATCTGAACTTCTCTCTCATGGAAAGGCCAAAGAATTTGAACCAGGATCTCACGGTCGAGGAAGTCGAACAGCGCGGTCTAAAAAGAGCCCGCGACTTTGGGTTGACTGGATCGGCCTATGCTCTTGAACATGGCACTCGTCCATCTACCATCGGCTTCACTCTTGACTCCTCGCCCATCGCCCTCCTCGCCTGGATTGGTGAGAAATTCATCACTTGGACCGATACTACACCGTCTCTTGAGCAGATCCTTGACTCTATAACCCTCTATTGGTTCACGCATTCTTTTCCACGCTGTATATATCCCTACCGCGAGTTTCATGGATCGTCAGCAGGCGCAGTATATATCCACAGTGATCCGAAATACCATATCAAGCAGCCTTTAGGGTATTCTTGGTTCCCGCAGGAGTTGGCGCCGATGCCAGTGAGCTGGGTAAAGACGACGGGGAATCTGGTCTGGAGTAAGAGGCACGATGCGGGAGGTCACTTTGCTGCAATGGAGAAGCCGGAAGTATTGGTTGAGGACGTGGAAAGTTTTGTGAAGCAGGTGTGGAAAGCCTCGGGCAGTATCGCATCCTCCTTATAGACGGACGATAATTGTGTTCAATGACTTCTAGTAGCTTGGCTCGTATTCAGAGGACGGCCTGGCACTAGAACCCTGAGCATGCTAAACTGACTTCCTCCTCGCAATAAATTAGCTTGCGCTTAATGCCTCAGGCATAAATGTATAGCGTTATCATCTTGCGAGCTCCTTGCCAGCTCTGACCGTATTCCTCGTGTATCCGAGTTCAAAAGCTCGAACCTAGCTTCCATTTCGAAGTCGTGATACCGCAGCGGGGTGTTCCAGCTCTGACTACTCATTGAAGCAGCAGCAGTCGAATGGCTTGGACCTTGGTTTCGTCATTCGACTCGAAGCCGCCACAGAGCTTCATCGATGTTATCAAAACGCTTTGAATCTATCAATCATGCACTCGGCAGATAACATTCTAGCCAGCTTATAGTGAATGCCTTGGCACGATTGCGTAAAGTCTCGACTCGGTCGATCACAGCGATGGAGCGAACTTATCCAGCTGAGAGATATCTCTTCACTTCGGACTCAACACCTTCCCAATGAAGCCCTCCTGGTAGGACAATTTTCAGCATGCTCGGAACATAAGCGAATCACGACATGGCTTGAAAAAAGAAATCGTTGCAATCCACTGTACCATGCAGACAGGATATGCTAGATCTCAGATACATCACGCAAATCTTGGCATTGGTTGACCATGCTGCAGTTTGTCCTTCGATACTCCACGAGCGGGAGTGCGATGGCCCAACGTCGCATGATGGTCGTCGTGTTTCCTGTAGTCTGAGCGGGCAAGACCGAGAAATCATCAGGGTCCGTCGCCAACCTCAATCCACGCAGTCACGATATGTTACCGACGACCCGAACGTTTCTGATTCACCATACATTCGACACATGCCAGACCCAGAACGATGCCAAGAATAGCATTCAGAGATTTGAATTGGATGCGCCATGTGCGGCAAAAGTCCCGAGATAGACCGTGACATGGTACAAAAGCTTCGGGTTGTCTCTGTCGAGACAGAAGTCCTGAGCGTGAATCGACCAGACTTTCCTAGGAAGCGATACCTCATCGGCCAAGATGTCGAACAAAACAGGCGAACTGGTAGTAAAAACGGAAGCAAAGCATGCTGTCGCCGAGAAGATAAGTGCGGACGCGCGACATACTTCAAACTCAAGCTCGGGAGACTCTGTCGATGATATCGACGGCGACTATGGTTCTTATGGGTTTCATGTCTTCGCAGATCCAGCAGTCGCCGCTCACTGGGCGGCTGTCTATGACAAGGCTAGCTATGAAGGCAGGCACCGATTCGATCCAGCTTTTACATGGTCGGCCACGGAGGAGAAAGCCGTCCGAAAGAGAGTCTGTCATCAGTACACGCCGATTGATGCCACATCTAACCTCGAATGCAGGTTGATTACCGCATTATGCTGTGGTGCTGGTGGATGTTTGTGGCTCTCGAGCTCAACAGGCGCAACATTAACCGCGCAATCTCGGACAACATGCTACCTGAACTCGGCATGACCACGAACGACTTCAATGCAAGTATACCTTAACTGAAGGTGGTCAAATGCTTGCTAATCAAGGACAGTATGGGCAGACAATATTTCTACTCTCCTTCCTGGCTGCAGAACTACCATCCGGGCTTATCTCGAAAAAGCTTGGACCAGATATCTGGATACCTAGTATCATCTGTATGTGGAGCATTATCTCAGCAGCCCAAGCTGGTATCACGAGCAAGACTAGCTATTATGTGATAAGATGCCTCTTGGGCTTACTTATGGGCGGATTCATACCTGACACAGTAAGTCATCGAGATTTGGTATCTGGGTCCGATGTTGACGATCATCAGGTGCTCTACATCACATATTGGTACAAGAAGAAAGAGCTTTCCATCCGCCTTTCGTGGTTCTGGACGGTTTTGTCGGTCTGCAACATCGTCGGCTCTCTTCTAGCTGCGGGCATTCTTCAGATGCGCGGAATTGGTGGATGGTCAGGCTGGCAGTGGCTGTTCTTGATCGAGGGACTCTTCACACTCATCATTGGCATACTCTCCTGGCACTTCATGCCTGCCTCGCCTGCACAATCTGCTGGTCGATTTCGCGGTGGCCGCCACAGTCCAGGCTGGTTCAACGAGCGCGAGGAGAAAATCCTGGTCAACCGGCTACTTCGCGACGACCCATCTAAAGGTGATATGCATAACCGTCAAGCAGTTACACTTCCTCTCCTATGGAAGGCGCTCAAAGACTACGACCTATGGCCGCTGTACCTTCTCGGACTAACCACATTCATTCCTGCCACGACCACACAGAATTACCTGGCACTCATTTTACGCACCATGGGCTTCAGCACTTTCAACGCAAATTTGCTGACGATTCCCTCTCAATTCCTTTACGGGACCAACCTGCTCATCATTACCTGGTTTTCAGAACGTGTCAATGAACGCGCAATGGTAGCATCAATCGCAAACTGGTGGTTCCTGCCTTTCCTAATTGCCTTGGTCGTTCTTGGTACCTCCGCATCCAATTGGGTACGTTACGCTCTTCTCTCAGGTCTTCTCTCATACCCGTATCAACACGCCATTCAGGTTGCCTGGAACAGCCGAAACAGCAATAGTGTCCGAACACGTGCCGTCAGCGCAGCGCTCTACAACATGTTCGTCCAGAGTGGGAATATCATTGCTAGCAATGTCTATCGCGAGGAGGATAGGCCGTTCTATATCAGCGGCAACAAAGTATTGCTAGGTCTCACCTGCTACAATCTGGTGTTGTACGGGCTTGTCAAGTTTTACTACGTGAAGCGTAATGCGCATCGAGAAAGGATCTGGAACAAGATGACGGCTGAGGGGAAGAATGACTATATTCATAACACCAAGGATGAGGGTGCGAAGAGGTTGGATTTCAGATTCGCGCATTAAGACATGTCGAGGCGTGAATACCGGCTAGGGGCTCAGAGTCAACCATCCATAGGTTACTATGTCCTCTTTAGAGCACTTGGCACACGTATTAATTGATGAAGCTCGTCACCTGATAGGCAGCTACGATTTGTGTGAGACGAAAGCCTCACTAGGCAACTACTTTTTGTCTTCTTGAAACGTTGTGGATGCATTTACAAAGGTCGACGATCGCGAACGGCGAGGGATTATCAGCTCTACTTCCAAATAGGCCGGGATATTTGAACATACAGCCGTTCATTCTGTCCAGTGAGAGCTCAGTGTGGTCGTCGAATATACAGCCTAGTGATGGGCGTTCAGTTGCATCAAAGACCTGTCGCCCATCCATATGTTCTTTGGTTCTTTTGTTAGTAATCATCCCTGTATGGTAAGTAATGCCGAACTGAGCTTCATATGTTCGAGCCGGTTCGTCCTGTTGTGTCGTCTTGACGATGACCTGCTCGAAGATCTGACAAGTCGGTGTCGTTCGACAGAGGGGTGAGCAAGAGCGCTTCAAAAACGGTCGATAGTGGGAGTCCGAAGATGAGATCCATGCTAAGCACAAGCACAGGAAACGGCAACAGGATCAACAGAATATTAGAAGGACAAGGTCCAATCCTCTGTACTGACGCACCGAACAATGGCCTGGAAGAGAGCTCGTCGATCAACTTAGAAGATGAAGATGAACACTTTGCCTTGCACGTGGGATACCACCTAATGGACGACAGCGATTATGGTCGCGACTCTCCTCGAGATTCCGTAGCATGCTCTGCGGACGATGACGGCTACTGTGGAAGATGCGACTATTGATTTGGTAGTGATACCTAGCTTAAATTGAGGTCAGTGAGGACTTCTGTCGACATGTGTGGAGCGTGAAGGTGCTCAGGCTGAGCCATGGGACATGCTGTCCACCATGTAGTGGCAATGATACAGATCAGATCGACCAGCGATGCATTCGATCTCGTGTCGCACCTGTTGATATGGTACACCGCGAGGTACGTATGTTGTGCATGAATGTAAGCGCTATGCTTCGTAGTATAGTATTGCATCGTTCCTGCCTCTCGGTTCGACGTGGATGAAGCCGAGAGCGATTCCATGGATCTGCTCCTTCCTTGGCACAGTTTCATCATCCAGGGGCTTTCCAGCCTTAGACGTAATAGCTCGGCGCTAAAGCAGGTACCCTAAGCTCTAAGCGGAATTGGTAAGAGCCAGGCCACGAGTCAGTTCCGACTCGCTGCGATTCACTCACTCCAGCTTCAGGTCGCAGCTGCCACGACTGGCGACTTCGTTGACCTTCACTCTTGTCCTTCAGCAAAAAGCATTACTGCACAACCACACTCTCTTACACGACTTCTCTCGCGAACTTTGTCTCACTCGTTGCATCCATCAAAGGCCAATAAGCCAAAAATAGTCGTTCTTTGTCTGAAACGCGCTCGGATTCCTTAGCAGACCCTGCGTTTGCCAGGACTGTGAAACCCGACGTCTGCGGATCTGCTCCTCTAGCAAACAGCTTACAACACTTCGATCTACTGTGAACAAGTAGCAGGTCATCACATTCACTATCACCATACACTTTCAACTATGCATTGAGAGCGAATCATAACACTCTTTCGGTCGCTACGAGCTGGACTCAATCGATCGGCTGTGCCGTTACTGATCGTGACCGAACAAAGACTTTGATCCGAATTGGATCTAACCATCTGCCGGGTAGCAGGTTAGAATAAACACATACCTCGCAAGTTTGAGCAATGGGTTGTTGTGGGGGAAAGAGAGAGAAGGAATTCTTCCTTAAGAACGACGTAAAGTGGGAATATATTGTGAGTAAACATCTCCCAGATACCATAATAGAGCTAATGGTTCATTCAGAACCTCAATGACTTTAAGTCGTCGTCATGTTTTACCGCGATCGCCTATGGTTATCTGTGGATTATGCTCTTCGTTTCAATTTCGGTTTATGCTGTCGACACCTTCACCGCAATCAACTTGCTAGCCTTCAACAAATGGGCTGGTCAAATCGAACCTGAAGTCCCACTAAAATACTCGAGATGGGTGTTCTCTGGCTGCATTATTCTCTCTTTTGTGCTACTGATTTATCGCTGGTTAAGAGCACTCAAGGTCATGCGAGGAGGAAAGGTCGCAAAAGCATACCTCGATCCACTAGCTGTTCGAGTCGAGTGTATTAGGATGGGTTCTGAAGGTCGAGGCTGGAAGAGGTTTTTGGTCTTCGCAGAACTAACGAAGAGTCGGAAAGGTGCTGATTACGTGGCACTATTCGTATACTACTCATTCGAAGCCTGGTTGCGTATTGTCTTCGCCGAAGGACCACGAGTCGTTATCAACGGAATCACCCTATACGCTTATGCTAACGCCAATATCGTACCAAAAGGCGATCACAGTGCACCACCAGGAGAATCTCCGTTCGTGCAATTCTGGAAGAACTTTGGTGTGCTAGCTGAGGAGGACAAACTACAAGTCGCGATCATTTGCGGTATGATTTGGACATGTCTGATATGGCTCATCTCAGCCATAAGCTTGGGTGTGTCAGTCATTCTGTATTTGTTGTTCTTGTGGCATCACATTCCCAGTGATGCCGGCGGTCTTACTGGATACTGTCGCATGAAGATTAATCGACGAATGGAAAGGATAGTAAAGACCAAAACGGACAAGGCCTTGCAAAAAGAGAACGAACTTCGTGCCAGGCAAGAAGCAAAAGCGGCTCGTGATGGATCAGGTGGCTTTAAACGACAGCCTACGCTGCCAAACGTTGGTCCAGCAGATACACCCTCCATGCCACCACTATCCAGGCAGTCAACAATGACAACTCTGCCAGAATATAGCTCGAGACCAGGTACAGCAGCACCTAGCGAAGACATGTTGCCACCAATGCCGACATTACCGCAAATACCCACACTACCACGAATTGACACGAATCCTCGACCAGCACCACGTCGGAATCTCACTGCCTCTTCTGACGCATCCTGGTCAAGCTACAAGTCTGATGCTCCATTGATGAGTTCAGCTAGTGATATGGGTTATTCCCCCGCTGATCGTGCTCATACCCCAAGTTCGAACATGGCAGCACCGTGGTCGGTTAGGCCTGGTCAAGCCAGAAATACCTCTGACATGCCAACCTATTCTGATCGTGCTTACACGCCTGGACCATTACGACCTGGCACTTCTCAAAGTTATAGGGGGGCAGCAGGCAGTTATCAGATGGAGTCAATACCAAGACCAGGTACAGGCATGAGTCAAAGATCACGACCGACACGCATGTCAAGTGACTCGGATACACTTCCACTAGCGCCAATTCGAGGAATGACACCTGTATCAGCACATCCTCAATCAGCCGCATCGCAGTACCCACCAATGTTGCCTGATTCACAACGGACACGTACACCTGCCTCGAACTCCAATCCTTATCTGCCGCCGGTGTCCTCAATACCAGAAATGGGTGGCAGAGAATCCTCAGCTTTCAGCTTAGGAGCTCCATCTAGAACTTATACACCAAGTGGACCACCATCTCGAGCAATGACTCCAGGTCATGCACTTCCTTTACCACGTTCGCAGATGACAACCCCAATGCCTCAGTCGGGACCGCCTGGTGGCTATGTGGCGTTCAACCCAAATATGGGCAGGACACAATCTCCAGCTGCACAAGCACTGTACAGAAGTTTCACTCAACCAGAGCCAAATCGAAGTGACTTACCTTTCTCGGCGTACTCGAACATGCATCCGGAAGAGCAGAACAGAGGCTTCAGCCAGCCTTCGACACACCAATCAAGTGCACAGACATTCGGTCCACTGAATGGTAGTCGGCTTCAACCTCATGGGACAGCGCCCCAAAGAGGAGGAAGCTTTGACGATATACTAGACCATTATTGAGTGAGAGATGCGTGATAGACTGGAAGAAGATGAACAGATGATACCCAACTGATATTAGCGTGTAACTACCAATTCATTCGAAAAGACTTTCTTGTTCCTGAGCTGTATTTGGTGGCACGTCGAGTGATTGTTCTGGAGACATGGCCAGCATCAGAACCATGTAGCCGCCTTAAGTGCCACGTATGCACTATGAGCGGCTATTTCCTGTGCGGCAAATGCGATGGTCTGAGTTTCGAACATGTGGAGATGTAGACGTGCTCGACTTTCGTCCACTGAATATGTGATTATCGTCGCCGCTGCTCTTCTTGACTACTTTAGCTGTTGCTCACGTCTCCGAGACCTGTCAATGGCTTTCTCAAGCTCCGCGTTCCAGCAAGCCCTTCATAATGCCGCACCTCGCCTATCTAAGCGGTTCTTCTCTTGCCAGGCGCATACCCGATCATCCTCCCTTCGACATGTCCTTCCAGTAGCACCATTATCCCGAAGCTACCGATCTAATTGCAGCACAAGACCAGCACATGTCTTTCGACAGCACATACAACGTCAGTTTCGAGGCTTCCGGTCATCGGCGCACCAGCGACAAGCAGTCCAACAGATCGAGCAAGTCCTCGAGAAGGAAAGCAGTACCAATGCGGATATCCTCTCACAATCTACCAAGAACAAGAGATCCGGCTGGCCAGACTCCTCCTCTAATACTGTCGCATACTGGCTTCTTGCTTCCGCCGCCAGCGTTTTCGGCATAGTCGTCTTCGGTGGTCTTACCCGACTCACTGAGTCCGGGCTCTCCATCACAGAATGGCGTCCTGTAACTGGCAGTCTCCCGCCTATGAGCCAATCGGACTGGGAATCTGAATATGAGAAATATAGAAAGAGTCCTGAGTTTCTGGTATTGAATAGCAAGATGACATTGGAAGAGTTCAAGAGTATTTATTGGATGGAATGGATTCACCGGATATGGGGACGGGTCGTGGGAGTCACGTTCCTGTTACCCGGGATCTACTTTGTTGCAAGAGGCAGAGTGAGCAGGAATATGACAAAGAAGATAACTGGGATAGCGGGCTTGATCGGGTTTCAGGGCTTTATCGGCTGGTGGATGGTAAAAAGTGGTCTGAAAGATGAGTTTCTGGTACCTGGAGAGCGTGCTGGAAGAGATGTGCCGAGGGTGAGTCAGTATAGACTTGCGACACATCTGGGCACAGCCTTTATCGCATACCTGAGCATGTTATGGTGTGGTCTGGATATCCTGCGAACAAATCGACTATTGAGGCAGAACGTGGACAAGAGTGCTAGCGACCTGTTTGCGCTACGACATCCTGGACTTCGAAGCTTTAAGATCGCAGTTGCAGCGTTACTGGGTCTGACATTCACGACAGCCATGAGCGGTGCCCTGGTCGCAGGGCTTGACGCAGGCTTAATCTACAACGAATTCCCATACATGGGTCTCGGCCTAACACCACCACGATCTGAACTCTTCGACAAATTTTACCTCCGCGAGCGCGACACAGAGAAAGATCTTTGGTGGCGCAATATGCTCGAGAACCCTTCCCTCGTCCAACTTGACCACCGTATCCTGGCGACCACGACCTTTACCGCTGTGCACGCTCTCTATTTCTGGACAAAATTCTCACCAGCATTGAAGAGTATGCTTCCACGCGCCGCCATGAGAGGTGTCCACGGCGTCCTAGGCTTCGTCTGGCTACAAGTCATTCTCGGCATCTCTACACTGATCTACATGGTCCCAATACCACTTGCGAGCGCTCATCAAGCCGGCGCACTCGCACTGCTCAGCTACGTCACTGTTCTCGGAAGCAGGATCTGGGTGCCTAAGGCTGCTGTGGAAATCCTGAGGAGGCGTGCCGGTGCTGTTGGAACAAAGTACAACTTCCCTGCTGTGGAAAGGATCAAGCCGAACTATGGCGCTGCAGAAGGTGCGCCTGTGTTGCAAGCTAGTATGGCGAGTGCGGTGGTCGCGGCGGCAGGAAGTTTGGCGGTTGCTGGAAATGTGGATAGGGCGAAGGTTGAGCAGCAGAGAATGAAGCTTGGGAGGGAGCAGATGGACTTTCTACAATGGCAGGCGCGAAAAACGTTACACTCGAGTGTGAGGTCGTAGAAACTTGAGCTGTTAAGCTTGTTCTCGGCAGATAATAATGCTTTAAAGAAATCTTGGGCTTCCTGCTATAGTACAAAAACAACTTGAAGTTGTTAATCCGACTGATTTATTCGAGCCAAGCACTAACCTACCGAGCTCATCATGGAACGGCTCCAAGCTGGCGGCATCTTGTTTTTCAACCATTACTTTCTGCATCACATTCTGTACAATTTGATGCTGCAATACATCCTGTTGTAATTAGGTCCCTGCCACTTGAACATTGTCCTGTCACTCAGGCTCCGATGCTCTACCGTTTCCCATGAGTAACACATCTCAAGCAGTTCCTGCACAAAAACAAATGAACCTGTCGATGCTACTGATTTCCCTTCAAGCATGATCTATTAGAAAACTTAGATTGTCCTTGACAGTTCATCATGTCTACGCAAAGTCAGAGCACTATGAAGACCAGATCACTGGGATCAAAAGCTCGCTCATTCATCCCTATGACTCCCAGAAACGTGAAATCTACATCTGAAGCGCGAAATGACTTTGCAAAACAGGTTGCTGAACACAACACCAGAGACGAAGATGGCCAGCCTCCTCAGAAAAGGTTTCGATCCAGTGCGGCGCCGAGAGGAACCAAGTTCTCCGTTGGATACACTGATCGAGCGCAGCAGCGCATGAATGAGCAGGAAGGGACTGGCGACGATAAGCAAAAGCGCCTCGAGAACCTGGAAAAGATGCTGAAATTGCAGCAGATCGACCAAGAGACCTTCGAGAACCTACGAGACGAGATAGGTGTGGGTGGTGACACATCGAGCACGCATCTAGTGAAGGGATTGGACTTCAAGCTGCTTGAGCGCGTGAGACGAGGCGAGGACGTGACCAAGACTACTGAAGCTTCCGCAATAACCAATTCGAACGAGACTGAGATCGACGTCGAGGAAGAACTCGAAAGGGCGCTTGAGAAGGACGTTTCAGCTTCAGGAGAAGGTACACACGTGGATCTTAACGAAGAAATCGAGCAGAATGAGCACAATCAGGTGGGAGGTGAGTCAGCTCAGCCCTCCACGATCAGCCGCGATGAGATCTTGCGCCAACTGAAAGAGAGACGCAAAAATCCACAACCGCAGCTAGCAGCCCAGGTAGCACAACCCTCACTCGATCATTCCAGGTTCAAGAAGCTCGACCCTGTCAAGAAATCAAACAAGCACAAGTTTACGGAATCGGTCAATGGTCGTAGACGTGAGGTGCTAGTCGTTACAAACAAGGACGGCACAACTAAGAGAAAGACAAGATGGTTAGACCCTGCACCTAAAGCGCCCACTACAAGAAACGGGTCACAAGCAGATGCCGGTCAAGCATGGGGAGGAGATCTTTCAGAGGAGCTGTTAGCGAGACAGAAATTTGCAGCTGAGCAGGCGGCTAAGCAGGCCGAAGACGATGATGACGGTGACATCTTCGGCGGTCTTACTGAGTACGATCCTCTGGCCGGCATAGACAGTGGAGATGAAGAGAATGAGAAATCTGCGGCAAAGAACACATCGAAAGACTCCAATGATACGCCATCTGTGGTCACGGAAGCTACAGGGAGACCACTCCAGTCAACGGCTAAGCGCAACTACTTTGCTACTGCTGACGATGCTGAAGAGTCCAACAAAGCTCCTACTCACGATCCTGCCATCCTTGCAGCTCTCAAACGTGCAGCGCAGATTCGTCAGCAGGAGGAGAACGAGACTGAGGGCACTACAGATCAGCAAGCTGACCAAGAAGACAGAACAGACGAAGCACGTCGAAAGGCCCTGCTTAAGAAGCTACAGCATAAATCAGGTCAGGACGATATTGACATCGACATGTCCTTTGGCGGCGAGAATCGCTTCGACGATGAAGAGGATGATCGAAAGCAGAAACTGAGTGAGTGGAAAGGTGCCGGGGTGGATGACAACGACGAGGAAGGTGAGAGCAAAGGGGATGGCAAGACCAAGAGAAAGAGAGGCGGAAAGAAGAAGAAAGGCGACAAGAACAGTTTCGCTGATGTTATGAGCGTGATTGAAGGGAGGAAGAAGACTTGAGACCGTCGATCTTCGAGGTCGAAAAACCAGTCGGTCGCATTGGCCACAACACGTCCATTCAACCAATTTCGGTTGATACCCGATCGATATCTCATCGCCCACGTTGTGGCGGTGGTTCGCCTTTGTTAACGAAGCATATTGAATAACAGCGCTACAACTACAACAGCTTATACATTCACCCAGATCACACGATGATGCCGGAGAGTTGTGGATCAAGCTATATCGTAGACATTCGACCGTATGGCCATTGCTGTTCTGGTCAAGGAGTAATCTACAGATATTGAAAATTTTGCTTACTCATCATAGATCGAACGTGGTTCTAGACCCTGCTAGCCCTTCCTATTTTCAGGTACAAAAGCGACCGCAAAATCAATTCTGTTCATGCGCAATACAGGCAATGATACCTTGCGAACTCTCAGCCAGCGCCGTCTGGTAGCTCACAACCTCATTGTCCGTGTACGATTGCGGCAGTCGTAGAGAATGCACAGACGTCTGCTAGACTGCCAGTATTCGTAGTGTCTCATGATATTGCTTGTCAGTGCTCTGGGCCGAGCTGCACCACACCCTTTCTGTAAAAGTGGTCGATCATTGGCCGGCTGAGGCCGCCACCACCGCCATGGTTGCACTTGCAATCGCTGCGAGGTACAGGACTCTACTCAATCAGTAGATGGTTCTGCTGCAGGAGCCTCCACAACTCATTTCTAGACAAAATCAAAACCGAATTGAGAAGCCGTCAAACCCGAAAGACGAGTTCGTGCATAGAGCACTCCTCTTTTCGGGACGTGCCAAGTGACCGAAGCACGATTTAGGTCAATAACGTTCAATTTGGAAGACATACTTGACGCGACAAGACAACAGACACTGTCAAATGGCCTGTCGAGAACCACGGACATTCACCTTCCGATTGCAGCGGATATTCCGTCCATGTCGATCTGGCTCGGGGGTAGAGTCGATGAAGACTGCTGATTCTGTACTAGCTCGTAAGCGTTGCCAAGCTTCGTATCCAGTGGGGCACGGACGTTCGACGGACTGAACAGCCGCATACTCACGCAGTGACAAATAGGCCCTCAAAAACATATGGGGCAATCGTTATCGACTGGACGGCTTGACCGTGCGTGATGAATGCAACGTATCGGACGTGTGTAATTTCAGGCTTGCGCAAAGACGAGGAACATTGTTCCACGCCCTTGGGAAGGTCTAACGATATGGCAGCGAAACACGACCATGAAGGTCTAGACCACCAAGACTACTTGGACGTTCTACTGATACCCTGGTCCTCTTCTGCTGGTTGGGATCTCATATAGACTGTATGATTCTCCAGCACGACAGGGTCCACGAAACAATACGTGATCGACACCGCTAACTACACTCTGTGGATAGTCTAGAAACACACGTTCATACTCTCTACAGTCAGTGTAGTCGCACCAATGTCACAAGAAACGCCCAAATCGCCGGAGATGTCAGACAGCTCGACAGAAGGCTGGCACCATGTGCAGCTCGATATTCACAACGACACTCGAATCTCATTAGAGCTTTCCACCTTGACAGACAAGCCCTTTGACTGGGATGTCAGGCCAGCGCAACACCTACGCCCAAATGGCAGGACTCGCGCACTGATAAGAACAAAGTCGAGCGATTCGAACGTGGAAGGCGTCATTGGATACTCCCTGAAACATCAGCCAGAGCAGACCATGTACAGCATCTATTTCTCGAATCAGGATACTGATAATGACGATTACAAGGTTGACGTGATGACCTGGGATATGGATCATATTGGCGCTGTCAGCAACGTCGAGCCGAAGGATGGCAATATGACGCAGGTTGCGGTACAGCTTTGTAAGCACTCAAACCTGTTTTGACAGGACCTTACTCACAAATTTACAGCGAAAGTCCGCAGGAATTCATGAGGATACCACATGGGAAGATGGCTAGAAGACGCCTCACGTTGAGTTTGGAAGGGTCATGTCGAGCAGGATATGGACAATTTGCAACGACGGCTTTACGTCTTTCCACGTTTCTGTTCTTTGCGCTGCAAATGCTTGCAGTGCAGGCAAATTCGTGCTTGGAGGAAGTGGTTTCGCGGCGTTACAGCTTAGCACAGCCTCGGCTACTATGGTTGTTATAATTCGGCCCTTTGAGGGGTACCAGAACATGTCATCAGGATTGTTAAGGTCATGGCGGCTCGTCCATCCAGTGATACATTGCGTGGAGCGTTTTCGGTCAGGCAAGGACATGGGATTTCGCAAGGCTACATGGCTCGTGGTGAATACTGGCATTTGCTAGTGGTAGTGATCATGTGCAGAAATGGTCCATCGTCTTCTAGAGAAAGTGACCTTAGGAGTGATTGGTTTACCTCAGGTTCAATCGTAACGAGGTATGACACGCGCGTTACGAGATTGAACGTTGAGAAGTTGAGTCTGCACCTCGGACTCCCCTTCACCAGAACCCAATGCGGGCCCACGCGATCATGGTCATATCGACAATAACCACTTGACCTATCAGATGGATTCGTGCTCGATGTGTTGATAGTGTAGCTAATTTGGATCCGAGCCACCAGCATTTACATTGTAGCGGTGGATCCAGCGCTATCGATAATAAATCGACGAGGCTTGCTATAAGATCATGCACGAGGCTGCCACCGCGATATCTCGAGATGTCATGAACTGTACCTACATCTGGTCATAACTCAGAATTATTGACAGACCTATTTCTCTTGTCCCTCACTGAAGTTCTGTACCGGTCATTGTAGAATTTGTTCCGTCTCCGGGTCCGCAGGAAACTGATGGCAACGGACACCACTCCCCAAGCACAACAGCCAGTGGCAAAATCCGACATCAATTTTGCGGCAGCACTACGAGCTCAATATGCAATCGAGACACCAAAGCTCCAGCGAAGACGACACAAGAAGTTGACACGGGAAGAGACCGAGCAACCTCTGGTTGACGAAACTGCTGCTTTGACCCTTCACTCGAAAAAGACAAAACGTCAGCAGAAACAGCAGCATAGACGAGAACAGAAAGCTGCTAGCAAGTCTTCGAGCGCCAATCTACTTGATCTTCCGGCTGAGATTCTGTCTGAAGTGTTTAGCTACTTGACGGCGTCTGATACGTTCCGCATAGCGAGGACCTCACATGACTTGAGAGACTTCGTTCACACCAATGAGAAGACTATCGCCAAGGATATCATTCAGAGACGCTACTGGATCTTACATCGATGTTTCCCTCTGCCCGTACCTTTTAAGGATGTCCCCGAAGACTTCCACGCTGGTCTACTCAGCGAAAAACGCCAGGACCTACTCAATATACACCGAAAGTCGTACCATCAGCACATCGAGATGGTGGACCCACAGCGCGTCTGCACATGCATGACATGTGTCTTCGCCTGGAACAACTTGTGTCTCATAGTTGATCTACACCACTGGCAGAAAAACCTGGCGAACAGAGAGCCTATACCTATGATACCACGAGGCACAAATCCACAATGGAACCAGGACCTGCTCACCAAGAACGCCGAAATGGTCCGACGAGCAATGGAACACCCTCTTTACTACGCCGTCATCCTCGAAAAATACCTCTCAACCATCACCGCTACCATCCTGCGCTTCGCAAAATGGAAGAAAGGCACAACAGCCAAACCCCGTCTCTACCACATGACCGACTGGGACGTCGCCAAAGGCACAGACGCCTTCCTTGAAAGAAGTGGACCACCATCTTACGATTTCCCTTTCCACAGAGATAACTACTATTCGATTGAAGCGTACTTACCTAACCGCAAGTTTGGTAATGATGGGAAGTGGCACTATTATCCTTTGGCTCCGAGTCAGCATGAGAAGGATCTTCATTGGGTGAAGTCGTCGTTTTATGCTACGATGTCGTCGGAGGAACGGAGGACGAGGGCTCTTGCGAGTTTGAAGGATCATAATATTCGGTGGTCGCAGTATTTGGAACGTGTGCAGAAGGTGTGAGATTGGATGGATTAGAATGACATTAGACACGTCACAGCTACCAGCCTGGTATGAGTCGATTACTCCTCCCTTTTTCTTCGTCCGCGACTTTCTTCGCAGCTTCTGCGCCAAGCACAGGCAGATGCTGTACTTCCCTTTCAGCCTGGTCTTTCGTCTTGAACGACTTCGGCACATATTTCGGGTCCAGCAGTCCAACCTGCAACAGCGCACTTGCCTGATCCCAGTGTACGTTCTCCGCACATACCTTATCGCCTCGAATAGCCACGACCACAACGACCACAATCTCGACTTCCTTGCCAGTTGGAGGTACACCAGGCAGGATCCATGGCATCTCTATGTTGTGCGTGAACGTCACGAGCATCTCATCTACTATCCTATCAGTGCCGACTGTGCGAGACAGCAGTTTCGTTTTAAAGTCCTTCGGTCGACTCTTTGAGAAGAATTCGCTGTAAAATCTCCTCAGCCTGTTCTTGCCCACGCCTCCTGTCATGGTGGGGACGTGGTTGACTGCACAGTCTGGAGCCATGGTTTCCATCAGCTCGTCCACTTCGTCCTCGTCGTCCTTTTCGGGTATAGCGTCCCTCAATCTCTGGTGATAGTCCCAGACACTTTCAAGATCTGGATCAATACCGAAGCCTCGTCTTAGAGTTGCGAGGGTACGTGACCAAGCGACTCGTGCGGCTGGTTTGTCATATTCTCCCAGGTCGCTTTCGGCAAATCCAGACTGTGTACCAGGGTATCGGTAGTTTCGCTGATGTCTTGTGCCGAACTTCTGGTCTGCAGCCAGGTGTATGGTCAGGTTCAGCGAAGGTGGAAAGTTGGCTGTTGTCTTCGGCATGTATGGCGGGTAGTACGCAACTACCGCACATAGTTTCGACATAGGTCTCATAGCACTTTCCAGAACGAGAGCGGCCGCATCACCATACGCGACAATGGCATAGGTCTCTCCCAGCTCAAGCGGATCAGGTAAGTGCTGTAGCTGTTTCTGATATGCGGCTTTATCCCCACCGTATGGCATGTACCAGATCTGAAAGCCTTCCTCCTTGTAGTGTGACAGGATCTCCTCGTCGAAGTCGTCAGTGTCGCTTGTAATTACTAGACGAGATGTGACACTTTGAGTCCAGTTGAAATTGATCCTGCTAGAGTCGGTCCGGACTGAGCCATCTTTATTGGTGAAGCTGCGGGTCAGACGGGTGTTCTTGTTGATTTTACGCTCGCCTATGTCGACGCCTGGTATTTCCAGAATAGGACGTCCGCCGATTTCTACCTTGACCATTATAGAGAATGTGTTTGTGTTGATTGAGGCAGTGTGTGTTTGTACAGTTATGGTACGTAACGATGGTGTTTGTTCTCACTGTAAGAAGATGTCTTCATGGACAGAGTCATAGAGAGTATCTGTTCATGAGACACTTCTGTAAGCTCAATATACGACTACGAAGCTTTACTCATGCTTGTATTAATCCCTGCTATGTGAAGGAATGACGTAGCCTGGAGAGTGAAAGTGGAGGTGCCTCCATTAGAATTGTCCCACGGCAGTGGTAGGAATTCGGAGTTACTCGAGTAAGGTCGCGACGCGTTTGCAACATTTTATATCGGCGCTCCAATGGCTTAATTTGATCGCAATATGGATAGAAGTGGTCAGCAGCTACAGGCAAACAGACCGCAAAGATGTTATCACGGAGTTTGAGTCAAGCTCGTGCTCGGGTTTCCACTCTTGGTCCATGCCCCTTCCATATACCGCTCCCGGCTCGATGTATATCTACTCGAAGCAAGCTTTTTGAAGTCGCAGAGGAAGTTGAATGGGCTCTCAGCGCAGGAAAACCGGTAGTTGCGCTCGAAACAACGATTTACACCCATGGCTTTCCATATCCAGAAAACGTCGCGCTTGCGTCTCACCTCGAATCCCTCGTCCGAGTCAATGGCGGTGTACCAGCTACAATTGGCATACTAAACGGAAAAGCTCACGTTGGAATGAGACCTGAAAAACTGATTGAGCTCATTAGCACCGCTGGAAGCAAAGACACGTGGAAGATCAGCAGACGAGACCTAGGTTTCATTGGTGGACTAGGTGGCATACGAGGACAAAAGCTCAATGGAGGCACAACCATATCAGGTACCATGATACTGGCCCACTTGGCTGGAATCAAGGTCTTTGCAACAGGTGGACTGGGTGGTGTACACAGAGGTGGCGAGAACAGCATGGACATCTCTGCCGACTTGACTGAGCTAGGAAGGACTCCTGTGGCTGTGATAAGCAGTGGCTGTAAGAGCTTCTTGGACATACCTCGCACGCTGGAATACCTCGAGACACAGGGTGTTGGCGTTGCTACGTTCTCCGATGGCAGAATAGGCGATGTCGACTTTCCTGCCTTCTTCTCTCGAGATAGTGGTGTCAAAAGTCCGCGAACAATTCAGTCTGAAGCTGATGCGGCTGCAGTCATACATGCCCAATTTCAGTTACCTGTGCACTCTGGCCTACACTTCGCGAATCCTGTACCTGAAAGTGCAAACATGCCGAGACACGAGATCGATGGTATCATAGCAAAAGCAGTGGCAGAAGCCGATGCAATGGGCATTACGGGCGCTAGCAATACTCCTCATATCCTTAAGCGGATCAGAGAGCTGAGTAACAACGCTTCTGTGATAGCGAACAAAGCTCTGATCGAGGCAAATGTTGTACGAGGCACGAAAGTTGCAGTAGAGCTTGCTAAGCTCGAGCTGGCGGATAAGCAAGAAGGGACATCAGGGTGAGGTTTGGCACCACTCGCACGATTTGCAGAGGAGTCTGGCTAATTCACAGCTAGAGCTCCAAGAATAGACGCTTCTCGAGAAGCTAGGACAAGCCAACCCCCTCTCTTGCAAACACCAGATGCACTATTGCCACGATCAGAAAACGATCGCGTTTCGGCACGCCTAATTGACTCGGGTGCAGACGCCAAACACAATCCACCAGCAAACGATCTTCTCGTTATCGGCTCGATCGCAAGCGACACATCGTGCGACTATTTACCATTTAGTGCTGACACAGAAGTCTCACCCATTCTTCATACCTCCAATCCTGCCGTCATATCAGGTTCAGCTGGAGGCGTCGGACGCAACGTCGCAACGGCAGCACAATATTCAGGTGCTCAGGTAGCTTTGTCAAGTGTAGTGGCAGATGATCTACCTGGCAAAGCCCTCCTCAAGGATCTGATATCGTCAGGCATCGATACCACTCCGATGCATATACTCGATCCTTCGAAAGGTGCACGCACCGCACAATATATTGCTATTAATGACAAGAACAAAGATCTCGTTCTGGCAATGGGCGACTTCTCCATCTTCGCACGGCCAGAGCTTGACGACCCGCTCCACTGGGACAACTTGTTTGGAAGAATTTTTGCGAGCTCATCACGACCTAAGTGGATAGTCACTGATGGCAATTGGTCAAAAGCCGCACTTTCTAATATTCTAAGGCTAGCCGAAGAATCGCAAATTCCTCTTGCCTTCGAGCCAGTGAGTACAGTCAAGGCTTCCCGCCTGTTTGAAGCAGCCAGCGTCGCCTTTCAGGGCAGACGGCAAGTTGTCTCTCGAGTTGTGAACATCGCAACTCCCAATATGCTCGAGCTAGCAGCCATGCATCAGGCCGCTCAAAACAACAGGTTCTTAGAAGACGAGCATTGGTGGGAGGTAATCAACGACTTCGGTCTCAGCAGTGCAGGATCTCGAGACAAATTTGTCCGTATGCTTGGCAAGGACTTGACTGACCAAGGGGTACCTCAGCAAAACATACGTCTACTTCCATTCATACAGCACATCGTCACGAAGTTAGGGCCTCAAGGATCGTTGCTTACAATGAGCTTGCCGTCCACTGATGCAAGAACTTCCCATCCAGACTATCTACCATTCATACTTCCTGGTGGAAAGAGAAGCGTATACATGCGACTCTTCCCACCACCCACGTTCGTATCTCAACATGAGATCGTCAGCGTCAATGGCGTCGGTGACACTCTGCTGGGTGTCATGATGGCTGCACTCGTGGCAGAGGAAAAAGCTGGACAGCAACCACGACTGGACAAGATCATCCCCATGGCACAGAAAGCCTCTATCTTGACACTGAAATCGAAGGACTCTGTTTCACCTCTTATCAAAACCATGCCCACGACACAATCGTGGTGGCAGGAATCGTACCCAGCGGTTCGGGTGTAGATTGTCACCTCCGCGTGAGCTAGGATAGCGGTACAGCACAAATCCGTTGGCTGGATTCTCGATGGAGCTACCACCCACGAAAAGCAGGCTTCGAGTGCATCAAAGCCACACTATCAGTAAATTCGCTGACTCAATCAATTGATACGGCAGCGGACATATACACAACCACGGAAATCAGCGTTGATTATGGTGTTGCAGCGACTACACGGGCCTGTCTTGTTATCGCTCGGCTAATCAAGTCCTCACCCGAACATTTATCCCGACGAAGATTCTTGGCATGCAGGACCCATTGGGGGAGACTCGAGCTCCCATTCGTTGGGAGATCTCTTATCGCAGCTGCCACGTGGGATAGGCAGTATAGAGCTTGGCGACCAATATACTTCCAGCAACAATCGGGACCAATAAACTGTTGCTCATGCGTGCTTCGCGTATCGTTGCATGCATAGCCAGTCAGACCAGGATGGTTGAGGCCTGCTGGTGCCGACTACGCGAAAACACAGCAACACCGACAGCCGTGGCTATAAGAGTACCAATTCGGCAGTGGAAAGATGAATGTGCTTTGTTGCTCGCACAAGAATCATGAAGGGTATTGCTGTCGTCGGGCTTGTGGCGTCTCAGCTGGCAGCGGTCACGGCGTTACCGCCTCTTGGCTATGAGAGAAAGCTGGTCCGAGAAGCTTTAACCGCACGAGATGTATCTGGCATCTCGTGCAGTGACGGGCCGGCACCTGTAGCCACAGCTCCTAAAACGAACGTTTGGGCTCCTATCACCCCCGAGGATAACAGAGCAGTATGGGACCTACTATACAACCCTGCAACGGGTCTCAACCTGACACTGCCTGATGATGCTACTGTGACTGACAACTATATCTTCTGGATCGATACGATACATGCCAATAAAACTGGTGTTCTACCTTACCTTGACGGAGATGGACCTTTGCCTCCAAAGTATGCTCGAGTGGTGATATTCGAGGGTTCACGTTCAGATCCAGGCTCGCAGGAGTACATGGTCGGCCCACTACCAGTCGGCAACACAACAACAATACAGCCATATGACTATGTATGTATAGATCACAGCATAAACGTCAATCTTAGCTAACCCGATATCAGGCTTTTAACGGAGGATCAGGTGGTTATGTACCATTCAATGCACGTTATGTTGATAGCACCAAATCAGCCATTGTCACTCCTTTAATGACAGCGATCATGACCAACATCTCCGATATTACTCAGGCACTATTCAACGCGTCCTACTTCGGTCCATCGAATAGAAGCACAACCTTGACGACAACTGCAGGCACACCAGTGAGCTTTGATGGTACTCAACAATTCCGCAACATCATGTTTCGTATCCCAGGCGTCGCAAGCTACATGACACCGATCGACTTCTTCTTGCTAATCAATTGTCCTGGCACTGACCCAAGCAAGTTCAGTCTCAAGGGTTTCGTGACCAACGAGCAATTCTTTGAGACCGAGGCTGACCTCCGAGCTGCATTCGAAGCAGGCGAGCTGGCCCAGGAATACACACAGACTCTTGATCAATCCTGGGCTTTAGTGGACTACAAGCCAGAGCTGGGAAGTCGTCCTTTCGATAGACAACCTGCGCCGTCATCGATTGAGCTTGGCGGCAAACGTTATGCTATCGATATGAAGGAGAAGTACGTCGAGTACATGGGATGGTCCTACTATATGTCATACACACGACTTCATGGAATAACATTCTACGACATCAAGTTCAAAGGCGAGCGCATCCTGTATGAATTGTCTCTGCAAGAAGCGATGGCTCAATATGCTGGAAACCAACCGAAAGCGGCAAACACAGTCTACCACGACACGTACTATTCTCTTGGTGTAGACATCGCTACTATGATCGAAGGCTACGATTGTCCTTTCGGAGCTACTTTCATGAATGTCACCTATCATGAGCTTAACGCGTCGACTGTCAACCAGGACGCAGTGTGTCTCTTCGAATCAGACTCTGGCTACCCACTATCCAGGCATCGATATGGAGGCGGCAATACCAGTTATCCATTCACAAGATTGGGAGTAACTAAAGGGTCTTCCCTCACTGTCCGAGCCATCGCTACTGTTGGTAACTACGACTACATGTTTGACTACTCTTTTCACGTCGATGGGTCGATTGAGATTACGGTACGGGCTAGTGGCTACCTGCAATCCTCTTTCTACTATCCAGATCAGGGTGCTTGGGGACCACGTATCGCGCAAGCCACACAAGGCTCGCTTCACGATCACATCATCAACTACAAAGCTGACTTTGACATACTCGGCACGGAGAACTCCCTGCAGGTCAGTGAACTTGTTGTCGTTAACGTGACCCAACCTTGGTTCCCTGAGCTTGGCTCGTTCCCACAAATGCAGCTCAACAAATCGATGATGACGGTGGAGCAGCAATTCAACTGGGCACCGAATAACGAAGCAATGTATGTTGTTCTCAACGAGAATGTCACCAATGCTTGGGGCGAACCTCGAGGCTATCGTCTTGTCCCTGGCAAATCCGATCTTCACTTGACCATTCTTGACTCGCCTTGGTCTTTCAAGAATTCCGAGTTCGCGAAATCGCACCTCGCAGTCACACGTCAGCACGACACGGAGCCCTACTCAAACTCCTGGCAGAATATTAATTTGCCTATGGCTCCACAGCATGACTATAGCCTCTTCTTCGACGGTGAATCTGTTGAGAAGGAAGACCTGGTCGTCTGGTTCAACCTCGGCATGCATCACTACACCCGTGCCGAAGACGTGCCAGTGACACTATTCACCGAGGCGCAAAGCAGTATCCAATTCGCACCTCAAAACTTCTTCGATAGAGCTCAGGATGGCGACCTCTTGAACAGACGCTATATCGTAGTTGACCAGAGTACCGAGGAGGGAGTATTGAACTACGAGGACTATGGTGTGCCGCTGCCGCAGTGCATGGTTGCACCGAGTGAGCCTGTGTTGGAGATTAGTCCGACATTGAGCTACGAATTTGAGGCTGAGCTTTAGGTCGCTGTCCAGCTATGTAGCTGCTTTATAGTGTTTGAAGTGTCAAATGCGAGGCACTATAAACTCTCGCAGAGAAATCGAGCAAGCAGTTTCATTTCGATATTATATTTAGCAGCTCTGTGGACCAGGCCAATCCGCTGCTGCGCATGTTGTGGTAGCCGTCAAACAAAAATGCTCCAATTCTGTATAACTCATTCCGAGACTACTGGCACAGTCCAGCACAGCGAAGTCGAGCAACAGCCTTAAAGTATATCAAGGCGATCAATGAATCAGTTGGATCTTTCTCAATCATAAAGGGCATATGCTCCTCAAAGTGAGTCGCTGGACGCAGAACAGGAGTGCCTTTTCGTCTTCAATGCTCCAGCGTGTCCAGGTTTCAATTTCAAGGAAACAATAGTTAATGCCTGAAGATTACGAAGCATCTTCAGGCAACAAACTTCGACCCCGAGACCTACGCAATTGGCAAGCACGAGCTAAGAACACGCTTTCATACCATCGCATCAATTTTTGGTCTGTCACTCCACATTCGTGCTTTCCTGAGTGAAGGCTCTACTTTTCCAAAGTGCATTGTTCAGTCGCGTCTGCTGACCCAGCCGTACGCTGCTGCACTTGACCCGCAGCCTCTTCCACCTGTACATCGCGTCCAGAAGCCTTTTCCGATTCACTTCCTGGTTCACCATCACTATCGTCCTTCTCATTCGTCATGGAAGCTCGAGCCCATGTCCACAATATGTCCGTGTTGCCAGGATCGAGGTCACGTCTCGTGAAGGATTGGAAGAGATAATACATGCCCTTGTGGAATATCCACGGAGCCATGTGTTTGACCTGGTAAAGAGCATGACGAAGAGTCTTCACACCGAAGATGTAATTCAGCTCTTCCAAAGACATGGAATTAATCTTGCCTTGTTTGGGGCTGATTACTGTTCCCGCAGTTTCTGGAACAAATAAGAAACAGAGGATTCCAGCAATCACGTTCAGGACAGCAAACCCAGCTAGGAGAATTGTCTGCGCGTTGGGATAACTGGTGTTCTCGATCGAGCCAGGGACTTGAATGAACGGGACCGCTAGACTGAGCAGACCTGTCAACCGCACGTCAGTATTTGGGTAACTCCTACTGAAGCAATCGAATACGAACCCAGACCTGCTAAATTCACAAAGACTGAGAACGAGAAAGCAATTTCTCGATAGACTAAGGGGAAGACCTCAGAAGCATACGTGAACGCCACTGTTACTGGTTAGTGCTGCCAGATGTCACCGCTCGTTGTTTGTGATCAGCTTACCAGGTCCTTGGCCGATGGAATACGCCATAACGAACAAGAAGATGAACGTTATCACAAGCCCAGCTCGAACCGCCTCGTCCGGATGCCTCCATGATAGGGCTGCTGCAAGCATTGTCAAGGCCATGAACGGATACGTCGTGAGCAACAAGAACCGACGTCCTTTCGAGTCGATGAACCAATATGCCGGGAATGTAAACAGAAAATTCGCCAAGCCTACACCTAGATTGAGCAGATATGGCACGTTTCCATCGAGATTCAGTTGTTTGAAAGCCAGAATGTTGCTTGAATAAAAGATGACAACATTCACTCCACAAAGTTGCTGGCACAGCATAACTATGCTCGCCGCTTGTTGAGCACGCCTCGTGCGTTTGTCAAGAAACGATTGTGCCAGTCGAGTCCCGTAACTAAGATGCTGGATCTGATCCTGAAGCACGAATTGGACGGCACCTTGAGACGATCTTCGCCTACCTTCTGTGCTCGATCGTTTAGGTAACAAGGTTGTCTCTACCTGGATTTGAGCATTGATGTATATCATGTCTCGTGCTGCTTGAAGTGGTGTTTCATGGAGCTCACAAAAAGCCTTGTATGCTTCCGGATACTTGCCATGCTTAAGCAGATAACGTGGTGACTCTGGGCACGTGGTCGTGAGCGTCAGAAGAGAGATAAGCGGAAAGATGATGGAGGCAGTCTGCCATCTCCATGCGTCCTCTTTCGGTCCGACCTCGAATACAATTAGCGACGACGCGAAGCCGCAGGCGATCCCCAAAGCAACAAAGAGCTGCCAGCTCATTACAATTGCACCTCTGGTACCATGGTATTAGCGACACTTACTGCAGAGAACTCGGTCTTACCTGAGATGACTCGGCGAGATTTCAGCAGCAAAAAGTGGCGTTACACATGCCTTCGCACCTAGTCCTGCTCTGCCGAAGAGTCAAAATCTCGCCTTCATGGTCAAAACTTGTAAACACTTACCCAAAGATCACCCGAAACCCCATCAAACTCTGCCATGTGCGGCATGTTGCTGATCCGATGGCACCAACGATACACAAACAGGTAGCAAAGACAATCATGCCTCTCCTACCCAGCCAAGGTGCCCATCCTTGTAAAGGGTCTGCAAGCCCACATCCTAAGATGGCGGCTGCGAACCACGTTACAGAATTGACTCCTGCGAAGATGAGTCTATCAGAAGCAGAATTTTCAATATCCAGCTTGAAGTAAGCCGGCCAGGTGAGGTTGGCAACATTCGCGATACTTTCCGCCCATCCTTGGACAAAGGCTGAAAGGCAAAGCAGCACCACTGTCACACGTAGTGGTTTCGGCAGTCGCCAGATCTTGGTCTGTTTTTCTCGCTTCAAAGCCGCCTTCTCCACAGGATTTAGGTCATCGACAGTCTCGAAATTTGGCGGGTCGCGAGCAACTGCAGCAGCCTTACTGAAAAGCGGCTCGTCTGGGTTGTTTTCGCAAACTAGCTTTACAAATTCGTGAGCTTCTTGCTTTACCTGAGAAAGTGGCTTGGCTATCAGGGGGTTGTCGATTCTGATGGTGAGAAGATTAGTCTGTTGCATTTCGAAACCAACGTGATGAAGGATTGGCCATTTCTGACCACATCAGACAACACTACTGTTGAGTACCACTCGGTCTTTGCAAGAACTTACTGCAGAGAATCATTTTCACCGAACTCGAAACCTGGCGAGCGTGATCTCTCTCGTTGCTCATCTGCTTCAGCCATATTGGGGTAGTGCTGGATATGCCCTTTTGCTCAAAGTTGGGTCAGTATGGCGAGGTTGCTAGGCATTTCCCGCTGCTCAGCTGGATATTGCTGAAACACAAGTCCCGTGGGCAAAGTCTCTGGAAAAAGAACAGCATCGTGTGTCGAGAGTTCGCACGAGTACTTCGACCTCTTCAAAATCTTACTGAATTTGCCTACCCGTTGCAATGGCACAGTCACAAGACTGCCCTGCAGAATGAGGCTGGACTTCCGCAGTGGTCTCGCATGACCTTTTGCATGGGAAAGAATTCTCCTATTCACTTCATGCACAGAAGGTCAAGATTGATTGTAAAATATGGAAGATATACACAGCCTCTTCGCTGCCTGCTGGGGCCAACAAATGATGCGGTTGTATGCTAGGATGAACTTTGTGGTTCACTAGTCGATCATTTCGACGCCAGGGCGTCAGCCACAATGTCGATGGCGCAAGCCGACTTCGTGGCCATGTCAGAGCTTGAATCGACAGTAGGGGCTGAACCTTACATGACCGTGGTCAGTCGACATAAACCACAATCATAATCACCATGCAGCAAATCGGTCAAAACCTGCTTTTCAAAGCACATCACAGTTTGATCAACACGGCTCTCGAACGCGATAAGATCCAGATTAGCAATGTCGCTCACGACTTGCGATCCAGCTTTTGCCCCGATCGTGGTTGTTTTTTCTCCGTGCGCCTTACATGTCGGAGCAAGGCAAAATCGAGCGGGGTACCTTGCAAGCGCCTAAATCAGATTCGCTAGCACGTGGCAAGTTCACTTTGGCATCTTTCTTGTCTGCATAGAGACATCTGCTACAGGCGAAGTAGTGGCTGTGTAGACTTTCGCAGGAAGAAGGTTGTGGCTTCTACAAGTTTTGGTCGAATTGCTCTCGGTAGTGTATCCACAAGACTATCGTTGCTCAAGTCGGTACGAAACGAGTGACGAGCCGCCGAAGGACTTGCTAAGCTCTCTTCAGTACAACGTAACCTCGTGCTAGCAATTACACAGCATGTCAGGCACCCTGCAGACATTGAGCTCATCGTATCACGTTGGTGAGGATTCACTCGGTCCATTTACTTGATCTTCGTGGATCCGCTGACAAAAGACAGTCTCCCTTGCCTACGACTTGGTTTGTCTTGTCAAAAAAGTCGTGCACGCAAAACCTGAAGCTCAGAGATGGTTGGATCAGTGCAAAGACCTCGAAAAGCTCGCAATCGGGGTACGTCGTGAGCTCAAGGCCCGAGCCAAAGAGCATCAGCATGGACGTGAAACAAGCAAACACGACTTGGCAGTTGAAAAAGTTCTCCGAAGCTCAATTCGCCGATGCAAAATCAGTCTTGAATCCATGATCGAACAACTGCAACCTTTGAACGAGGTAAGGGAGGAAAAACTGCTCAAGAGCCTTCCAGATCGTGTCAAGTTCGTGTTCGAAGAGGATTTCATCAACTCTCAGCAAAACCTTATCGATCGGCAAATTCGTAACATTTCTTTAGCATTTCACTTACTTGCTTCTTCAGAAAGACGTGCTGATAGAGCTGAGAGACAAATTGATAGCGCACGAGTACAGCGCGTGGAGCAGTTGTTGGAACAACTTCTCAGTCAACGCTTGGAAAGGACTAGTACAGAACCTGGTTTCGGTAAGGACGCCACCTTGACCGAGCGTGCCATTGATGCCCAGGAAGTCACAGCGGGACCTTCCGGGACAGGTCAGACACATGCTCAGGCAGTCGATGCGGATGCGGGACACGCGTCAGAGGAGGGAGTCGTGGATGCATCCTCAATCGACCTTGATGATAGTGACTCAGACCTTGCCGATTCGGACTCACGAAACATCTCGCGTGAAAGCATACTCGACGTAGCAAGAAGTCCTCTTCTCGAAGCCATCAAGTTAAAGGATGTGGATACAGCGAAGGCCTTGCTAGCTGTCATGGAGGACGATGAGCTTCGTATCTACGATGAAGATGGGTGGACCTTACTGCACCATGCCGTCCTGGCACATCCCAAGATTATGTATGCGTTGCTCAAGAGGAGCACTGTGCAGGCTAGTGAATACACCAACACCCAGAACGATCAAGGTCAAACCGTTCTCATGGACGCTGCCAAGCAGGCAGATAGTGCACAAGGCTGCGAGATGGTCAAACTACTGCTCGAATATCAGTGTGATGTCAACGTTCAAGATGGCATCAAGCGGACTGCGCTCCATTTTGCAATCAACCGTCCGCCAGATCCCGAAGGCAACAGTGAGAAAGTGATTGACATGCTTCTGGACAAGGGTGCCAACGCCAAACTCATTCTCGAGAGTGGAGCGGAGGATCGACTTAAGCATTATCCGGCACTCAAAACACATGTGGAGGAGTCAGAGCAACCTTCTAGTAGCAAGCCGCGACGCTTTAGCATCAATCGAAGATTATGATGTGATCGTGGTGTCTGTTGTTTTCATTCTTCTTACCAGCCGTGGCTTCTATCACGGGTCTTTTGCTTCAGCAGCGACGTCAGAGGTTCATGTATTTGGATGCTGACAAAGTCATGGGACCTGTTGCCTTATTGCAAAGCCTGGAAAGTGTGGTAGGCATCAAAACTGCTGTCGACACGAAACGTAGCGTCGTCACGTCTTGTGCTGGCTATGAACGTGTCTCGTGCTTGTTCAAGGGTGCATTTCTGTGCTTACTTAACACTCCTGCCAAGTTCATAGAGCGACTTTTTTGCTTAGCTTCATTTAGCGATGTAAACTCGATCGAAAGCAATCAATCTCCCAAGACATTGACACATTGTCGCTTCAACGCCGTCTTCGTGATCACCATTGTGAATTACCATATTACAGATAGGCGAGATCTGTAAACAATTTGTGACGCTTGCAGCCTACAATTAGTTATTCTTCTTGGTCTTCAGATCCTCGGCCGCAGAATTAGTAGCCTTTTCACTCGTCTTCTGCGTGGATATGAATACCGAACCGATTGCAAAGAAGCTGCAGAAGAAGGATAGACTCGAACTCCAGGCTTTATTGCAGAGAGGATATACAGATACCGAGACGACGCCCAAGACGATAGAAAGCCATAGGACTATCTGACTGGCGAGATTGGCTGAAGATCCTCTTGTGATTTTCCAGAGCGGTACAGCAGCGTATACGTTACCGAAGATTGACAGGAGAGTCGAGGAGATGAGCCACTTGAAGTCGGGGTCGGCAGTTGAGCCGACTGCTGATTCTGGAGGGTCAGCGGTCCAGTATCCTGCAAAGCCCATGCCGAACGGGACCATTGCTATAGCGACGAAGACGAAGAACAAGGAGAGTAGACTGACTTTTTCCTGCGACCTATTAGCTGAAATCCACCAATAATCGGTTGGTCCGCACTCACGAGATCAGTTGTGTTTTCCGAAGCCACAGCTATGGCAGCTGGTAGCTTGACAATATCTGAAGATGGATCATCCGGATCGAGTCCAGACGTAGGTGATCGCTGTAGTGCTTGCACCTGCTGTTCTTTCAAGCTCTCGTACTTGTCAGATGTCTGAGCGAGCAATTCGTCGAGAAATCTGAGCCATCTTTGAACACCCTGCTCTATTTCATCTGGCAAATCCTTGGTCCACTTCTGCTCTGCCTGTTGCACTCGGAGCTTTAGCTCTCGGCGCTTGTCGTTTACGACACTAAGCACAGCATCGTATGTGAACTGGTCATTGACGTGATTGCTCCTGACGAAGTGAGCTGCCAACATGTTCCAATAAGGAACTTCTAGACCGTCCTGTAGATAGCAGTGCGAACGGATACCTGTTTCCCAGATCTGATATTTTTCCTCTGGAATTTGGGAACCCAGGAGGCTGCTGATACGCTCGCAATACTCACCGAAAGATCCAACGTGGCTAGTGTTAGGCGACTGACGTGCGCTGATTTCACCTCAAATCCTTAGCAATTCATCCTCAACACCTGGCAAGCGGCTGATCGCGATTCTGAAATATTCCGCGAATGCTGCGACAGAGGTGTATCGAGCCGTTGTGTGTGAGTATGCGAAAGCATGACTTTGTGTATGGTCCCAGTAGAGCACCGATGCTAGAAGCACTGCTAAGCCCGAACTGTGTGTGGCGCAGCAAGGCGTATCGAGACTTCAGAGCTGAACACCCTAGCGCAATGTGGTCAGGCTTCATGGGTTGTGCCCGAGTAAGATGTTTTGGCGTTCTTGAAAGACTCAAGGTTTCTATTGACCCTTTAGAATGGTATACTTAAACCACTGAGATCAGCCGTACTTCGATAGCGCTGCAAGCACTGGTCCATTTCAGCACCAGTGATGCTGATGATGCTCGGGGCGATGAGTGGTTACGACCAGGGTTCTATGCATGATGAAGCTAGTGGCTTGAAGATGGGCTGTGCCAATCCTCACAAGCAACACGAAATAAGAGCATGGCGAGATACTGTAGCCTTTCTCTTTCGAGGAACCTACACCATTATTCACCTGCCACAACGAGTGTATTGTCACAAGCCTCGAAACTAGCGCATCAAGGTGCGTCCATGAAGTCCAATCGCTGGCACATGAGGTTATGAGCCAGGTATGTTGACTATCCTTTTGACTAGGTGTGCGTCATTCGGTACCTATGGCTCTTCAAAGCCAAAAGTTAGCAATGAGTTATCCTCTCTCAGACTTCACAGCTATATTCTCCTAATCAAAAAATCCGTTGTATTTTCCCTTCCAAAGGTGCATCGTCAAGCCTAGGTGCTAGATAGTTGTTGCTAAGCTATTGAAGCTGGTCAGATGAATTAAGTTGCAGGATAATGTAGAACTTGAAGGATCGGAATTGGGTAAAGACGACATCAGATCAAAATGACCGCTGCTGCATATCTACTTGGACTTATTAAGCCGCCTGTTTTTCCTGTGTTCAACATCATCCAAAGACATAGAAGAAGAGCTTTTGACCAACATCAATCATGATTGAACATTGAGTCGTTTCAACTCTGCAATACGTAGTCTACCAAGTAGTACGCCCTTCGTAACTTCCATACACTGCCTTATTTCATCTGCCAACCATAGCAACCTTAGAAGGCCTGTTGGGGTCTTGTCCCGGCAGAAGAGCCAGTATCTCATAAATCGTGTCAAGCTTTGTTGCATGGGCCTCATGGTCGTACATGCTCTGATCACTCACTCATATTGCAACATTACAACTTGTGCTGCAGCTCCTGATTTTCGTGTCTGTGTTCAATGTCTTTCCAACAACGTGTGTCCACGCTTCGCTTCGTAAGTATAAATTAAGTCCAGTGCACCGAAGCCATCATTCTACCTCGCAATCCTGGAAACTGCGGTTGCCTTGACACGGACCTAAAAGTCGACAAAGAAGTGGCCATACCTGCGAATGTGTCAGCTCATATTTCCAGCGCATAACGGGTTACTCACGGGTCATCTGCTTTCTTTCCATACTCTTCAGTCTCCTCTGGATATTTGTCGAACTGACTTGCATCACCAGCACCACCTTTGACCGGTGGCACGTATGGAGCGTCAATATCTTTCTTGACTAGTCGCTCCCATGTTACCTCAGCAAACCAAGCGTGGTTCTTGATGTCGTTCGGCCCACCGTGCAAATTGCCCAATCTCTTGGTCAGATCACTAGTAATCAACTGCACCAGCAGATCTTGAGCATCGTGATGGATGTAAGGAGGATACTTGACGCGTCCTTTCAAAATATTCTCGTAAATCTTGACCGGAGAGCCGCCGTCCCAGAAGGGTGTGAAGCCGCATAGCATTTCGAAGATGAGGATGCCCAGAGACCACCTAGCACACGTTAGCTGAGAATAACTGAACCAAGCGGATTAGTCGAGCTTACCAATCCACAGACTTGTTATATCCTTTCGAGGACACGACCTCTGGCGCGAGATAGTCGGGAGTACCACAGAGCGTCCAGGTAATATCTGGTACGTCTTTGGCAAAGCCGAAATCGGTAATCTTGACATGACCATGTCGGTCGAGGAGTAGGTTCTCAGGCTTGAGATCACGATAGATGATGTTCTGTGCATGTAGGTATTCGAGAGCAAGAGTCACTTCTGCTGCGTAGAATTTTGCGACTGGGTTGGGGAAACGCTGACAGTGTTAGCTGCTGGTCATTTTGTGTTCGCTGTGGGCTCACCTGCGACTTCCTCAGCAAGCTGAAAAGCTCACCGCCCTCAATAAAGTCCATGACCATGTAGAGGTTCCTCGAGTCCTGGAAGGTGCCCCAGAGTGTGATCAGGAACGGATGCTTGACTCTCTGTAGCATTCTCCGTTCGTCATTTGTGTGTTCGATCTGCTTCATCTTGACCACCTGGGCCTTCTTCAAGACCTTGATAGCATAGTACCTCTGATTGTGCTTTGACTGGACAAGGTGCACCCGACCGAATGAGCCTGTGCCCAGTGTGCGCTCAATCTTGAAGTCTGTAAGAGTGTATTTGCCCTTGACTTGTCGGGGCTGGTTTTTGCTTTCGACCGCACCTGTCGCGGGGTTCACCAGATTGGCAACGTTCATATCGGTCTGCTGAGGTTCGCCGTTGGTGGGAACCCTGGTGGCAGGATCTGGAGTTCCGGTCACAGGAGCTTTAGCTGCATTGGCGGAAGGACTGGCAGGACCAGCTCTAGAGGGGTCGGCAGTAGGAGCCTTGGGCTGCGAAGTGGTAGTGGTGGATTTGTACTGTACGGGTTGGTAGTTGCTATGGGCACTGGCGTTTTTCTGCTCCTTCTCCTCCTTTGTCTTGCTTCTGCCCAATAACTTTCCGAAAGTAGGCATGGCGGGCGCGTTTGTGTCGACGCGGCCAAGTCGCTTGCGTTGGGAACCGTGCACCTGGCGGAATGTAAACGAATGACGGCAGACCACCTGGACCCTTCCTGAGTTCGTGGCACCCTGTCCCGCCTATTCAGCACTATTGTCACAGATTCAAAGAGACTACGATGTCGACTGCGCGTGCAATAAGCTCAAACGATACAAGTCAAGAACGAAGCACCAGCGACAAGGACGTCAGTGCATTCCAGCGCTGTAACCCATTCTAGACTGGGTATAGCAGCTCTGAAGAGGGGACATGCAGTCTATGGAAGTTGGAGCGAGCTGTAGACATCCCACCACTCACAACGTGGAACTGCTTTCCCACGAGGCAAGATGGAGTTCAGCTTGAGAGCCCGCCGCAAAAGGCCGAAGATGTGACCAGGTTTGTACTTGGGTTACAATCAGAGAGTCGCTACTCGTACCGACCAGCTTCTCGGACATGGAGCTATGACATACTTTCCGTTGGCGGAAGGAGAACATCACCCATGCCTGGCCGAGATTATTGGATCGTTTGCGGCAGCGCGCGGCTATACCTGCTACACGATAGCTGCGTGATGAAGCGGGGAAGGAGCTGGCTTCACCTCGTTGGCAATCGCAAGTCGCGAGATTGACGACGAGAATTTAATATGCAAGCAGTCGTGCCTGAACAAGGCCGGTCCACAGGGTGAAGAAATAGATAAACTATCTGGGTATCGCCTAGCCTCGTGCCAGTTTCATTTCCTTCGTGATTTCGTCAACAATCTCTTGCGCCTCGCCTGATGTTCGAGCTTCAAAGTCATATCTCTTTGACTCTGTACCTCTGCGCACGACAAGCCGAATTAGCTTGTGATGCTTGGTACTGACCTTGCATCGTAGCATGTCCGCAAAGGCAAAAGAGTTTGTCTTAGCATTGGAGTCGATCATAGTCTTGCCGGTGTCTGCAGGCATGTTGTGCAACATATCTCCATCGAAAACCAATACCCTAGAACTGCTTTGCGAGAAGGAGGTCACACGTCGCCTCGTGACATAGTACTTCTTGAAATTGGTTGCGCTCATCATCATGTCCTGCTTTTGTGCCAAAGGATGTAGCATCTTCTGCCCCTTCTTGCTCTTCTTATCCTTTCCTGTCGGGCCTTGGATGTCGAGCAGCAAAGGAGCATTTGGTGATGCGCTACCTGGAGACCCTGTCAGGTTATTTGGCCCTGCCCCGAACCTCTTTCGGACTAGATCCAGGTCAGATCGAGTACCCAGAGCTTCCACTGTTCGATCTAGTGCGGCGACGGTATTTGTCCCTGCAACCTTGAGTAAAAATCCAGCTTTATCCAGGTTCCATCTTCGGCAGACAAGATCAAGAATCTCTGCAATGTAAGTATCTGTAGACACCTCGACTTTCGTAGTCTGACCAATTGTGTCAAGGTCAAAATACTTGACCCTTATGGTCTTTGTCGTTCCAAGACGTGGCGTTGAGGTCATTGTCGCTGGGGCTGGTTTGTCAGCAGGCTCAAGTCCGGTGTTGGCCAAGGCGGATGTGAAGGGCTGGCCAACCAGTAATGCATTTGACTTGTTCGAGGGCCTCGTGGTAAGAGGTGGAGCCATATTGGTGCTGGGCATTGCTTGAGGAGGTTGTGGCCTTTGCGATCTCTGCGGTGCCATCTCGCTCTTTGTCGGAGAGAACATGGGTGTCTCTCTTTCGTTGACTTCAGCTTCTCGAGTCGAAGCTTCAACCAATGCAAACTCATCATAGGCCCTGCCCCGAGAGCGACCACGTGCACCACGATTGTTATTCATAGTAAAGTCTGCAACAGCGCTTGTTCGAGATAGTGGTGGAAAATCATACTCGACCTCGCCATCTTCGACTAGGCGAAGCACCCACTTGTTGACATTGAGCTGCTCGGGCTCCAAGTCTGGCTTCAGCTTCTCTTCGCAATAACGCCAAAGTGCTAGGCCAATGGCTTCTGCTACGATGACGGGTTCGCCATCTTTAGAAGTCTTCAGTAGGGGCATTTCAAATGGATCGTCTGACGCTTCAGAAAAAGGGGCAAAGACCTTGATCCACAACGGATTAGGCGAGCCCTTTCCAGATAGTCCAGCAAATCTCTGAACAGGGTTACTTGTAGAAGAGCTCTGGCGTCTGAGAGCCTGAGAAAGTAGACTGACAGGCTGTATCATGCTGATGGGCCGTGGGGAGGGTAGCACTTGCAAGGCTGGAATACTCCTCATTCTCTTGGGCGACTCCGAAGGTATTGGCCTGGCACCCGCAGTTCGAACACCGGCAAGGATGGGCGAAGAGGATCGCATGTGTGGGTCGTCGCTGGTCGTCAGTAGGTCGGTGGAGTCTAGTGTCTGGCCTAGGTCAGAGGAGGCGGCGGAGTTGACTGAATCGGAATCAGAATCATCAGGATCATGGTCAGGGTCGTTTTTCTGCACCAATTCTTTGGTCAAATCCCTTTCGGGTGGAGGGGCAGCGATGCCTGAGGACTTTGAGGGTTTCTGGGGTCTGATCTGTCGTCTCTGGAAATAGGCCGGGTCGATTTCGTTCTCGGAGGAAAAGTCGCTGCTGGTGGTAGTATCTGCTCTTGCCCGTGCCTTTACAGCTTCCACAGCACCCAAAGAACCAGTACGTTTTCTGCCGTCTGGTTTAGAAGGTGAAGTTACCATGACATCTGGCTTGGCTTGAACTTCGGCTGTCTGTGATGGAGATGATCCAGCACGATCGCGAGCAGGCATTTTAGCAAAACGAATCTGCTGAGCAGCTCTTCTACCGGCATCCTCGTCATCGTCGCTTTCATCACTCAAGTCACTGCTGTCGTCGTCCTCGATCTGTTCACGACGACGGCGACGCTTAACCACATTGATACCCGGGCCTATAGTGTCGTTCGATTTGCGGCCAGTGACCATACCGCCTTCGTCATCGTCATCACGAGACTCCTCTCTAAGTAGCACACCTGGTCGGCCATCCTGAAAGTATTCAGTATTGATTGCGGTTGGAATAGGAGGAGAGTGAGTGGGCTGAACGGCATCGGTGGTCCAACCCGCAGCTCGGAAACCATGAGTGTTGAGTATGGAAGAGCTCACACTGATAAGACGATCACCAATACCGTCCTTGCAACTGTTGAGGTAGGTAGTTCTTAGATACCATATGGCGAAACTAGACAGGTTAGTGAATTATACAGCATATGTGCCCAGCAAGCATACTCTTCTGGTTGTGAAAGGGCCATAGCGACGCCGTCATGACGACTGCTATCTCGTATGGTATTAGAAGTCCATTGTCCTCATTATTGTAATCCACAAACACATAGAAGAAAAGCAGCAACGACGACAATGGTCCCAGAAGTCCTCCGACAGGCTTTAGGCGGTTTGACGCTGTTACAGAAAGCGGATAGCGTGCCTACGATGCATGACGTTCGCCTAAAACCAGGGACCAAACCCAATCAGATTGCTGGTTGTTGGCAAGGCAAGCGCAATCGGGCGTGCTTGCTCCAGCGAAGCATTTGCCATACATTCGTAGGATACTGTAGTCTTTCACACATCAACCCTCGCTTCCTCTTCCTCTATCTCGTGCTACTGACAGATTTTCACAACAAACATGGCATGCCCCCATGTTCAATCTCAAGGTATGTCCCATCAAAGCCCAGCGAAGTGCTCCGTTGACCGAACCAGACCTTAACCCACCACGACCGAGCCGGTCTGTATACAGAGAGGATTGTACCCAATGCTTCGATTCCATTGACGATCCAGCTGGTCTGGACGTATGTCTGACATGTTTCAATGGAGGTTGCGCCGGTGACCATCAGCACAATATCCTTCACTATCAATCTACAAGTCATCCTCTCGTACTCAATGTCAAGCGGACCAGAAAGCACCTACAACGAAACGAACCACCTCAGAAGATCACGAAGCTCGAGGTCGTTGGCCAGACCGAAAGTGACAAATACGAAACCACCTCTCAAGTCAACTGCTTTGCCTGCCAACAACAGAACATTGATCAATCAGCGGGTCGATTGTCGCAGGTCGTGCAAGGAGTGCTGAAGGCAAATACTTTCGCTCAGCAGGAAGAGATTAAGGCATGGGAACAGGAATTCACTCCTTGTGAACACACACTGTGTCTAGAACAGCAGCCCGCTCGACAGATTGCCTCGCAGGATCTGGGTCACTGCTCAAAGTGCGACTTGAAAGAGAACCTATGGCTGTGCATGGAGTGTGGCAATCTGGGCTGTGGTCGAAAACAATATGGGTCTGATGTTGGAGGCAACAATCATGCAATCGAGCACAGTAAAGAGGCTGGTCATGGAGTTGCTGTCAAGCTTGGTTCCATTACTGCAGAGGGCTCGGCCGATGTCTATTGCTACAAGTGTGACGAAGAGCGAGTTGATACAGAGTTGGCCGCCCATCTGGCTCATTGGGGTATCGATATCTCGGGCAGAGAGAAGACCGAAAAGAGCTTGATGGAGATGCAAGTCGAACAGAACCTCAAGTGGGATTTCTCCATGACCACGGATGACGGTAAAGAGCTCAAGCCGTTATTCGGTCAAGGGTTTACTGGCCTCAAGAACATTGGGAATACCTGTTACTTGGCTAGCACTGTACAATGCCTGTTCGACCTTCCTGAATTCCAGCAGCGATACTACCACCCCTCCGAATCTCCTCCGCAAGCGTCAAATCCAGCTGACGACCTGGAGACCCAGCTTCGTAAACTGGCTGAAGGTATCCTCTCAGGACGTTACTCCAAGCCTAACTCCGATATTGTGGCGCAACCTGATACTCCAGAGGTTCCGCACCAGCAAGGTCTTAGTCCTGCAATGTTCAAGCATTTAGTTGGCCGAGGTCATGAAGAGTTCTCTACCATGCGACAACAAGATGCTTTCGAATTCTTGCTACACCTGTTCAAACTCATCAACGTCTCCAATCGCTCTCATCCCGACCAGGATCCGGTTCAGTCGTTTCGTTTTGCCATGGAACAGAAGTTGCAATGTATCAACTGTAAGCGAGTACGCTATCGAACAGACGAGCAAGACAATATTTCCATCCCAGTTCCTGTTAGGAGGATACCGCAAAAGAACGGCATGGACGAGAACAAGGACGGCAAAAAGGAGGAGTTCGAGTCTGTCAGTCTCAAAGAGTGCCTAGACATCTTTACTGCTGTTGATACGGTTGAGCTCACATGTCCAGCATGCAGCTCAAAAGACGGCTTCCTCAAGTCTAGTAAATTCAAGACCTTTCCTCAAAATCTTGCTGTCAATGCTAGACGTTTTGAGCTCGTCAATTGGGTGCCTACCAAACTCGATATTCCTGTACAAATTGGTGATGAGCCTTTTGACTTGGCCACCTACTTGTCCCCTGGTCTTCAACCTGGCGAGGAAGAGCTACCAGAGGAGGCTGAGGTGGGTGATGCCAGCGCCGCTTCGAACCAGTTTGTACCCAATGAGGCGGCCCTGGGTCAGCTCCAATCAATGGGTTTCCCACAAGTCAGATGCGAGAAAGCCTTACATGCTACTGGGAACTCTGACGCAGAAGCAGCAATGAACTGGCTGTTTGGTCATATGGACGATCCCGATATCGACGAGCCGTTGAATCTAGGAGGAAGCGCTTCACAGTCTGGAGGGGCTAGTGAAGCCAGTATATCGCAGCTTGCTGAGATGGGTATCGGTGCACCCCAGGCACGAAAGACCTTACGCGAGTGTGACGGGAACGTCGAGCGTGCGATTGACTGGGTGTTCAGCCATCCGGATGACCAGGGCGATTTCGATGCGGATGTCCCTGCTGAGCCATCTGCACCTAAGAGTGTCCCAGGCAGCACTGCAACTCCAGCAATATTTGAACTCGAAAGCATCGCATGCCACAAGGGGTCAAGCATTCACGCTGGCCATTATGTCGCGTTCATTCGAAAAGAGATACCAGGCGAGAAAGGGAAACAATGGGTTCTGTACAACGATGAAAAGGTCGTCAAGGCGGTTGACGTTGAAGAGATGAAAAAGTTTGCATATGTCTATTTCTTCCGACGACATTGATGATTGACGATAGACGACGTTATGACAACACGAAGCGTATTCAGGTCGACACTGCGATCAGTATTGGCGTGGATACAGGTATGAGAGGAGATAGTAGAACGACGACATCTTGCACGCTGTAGCCTTGCGGAACCCGAAGAGCTTGGCAAGGTGAAGAAGAAGTGTTGATGCAACGTACCAAATAACTGCATGGCCGTAGTGCCGCTCAGTTGTGGCATGGTCGATCGGCACATCTCTAAGCAGGATACTATTCCCAGTTATAATCAGCGATCATTGTGTCAAGCATTGACGGCAGCCCAACTCATCCTCGCCAGCACGTCTTGGCTGTTACAAAGCTAAAATGCTAAAATCAGTCTGAAATCGGATTACTTCACTTGTTACCTTGCAGCTTGATTCTTTGATTGATCCTGTGCTGTTTCCCAAATTTCTTTCTTAACATGTCCACGTCTTCGTACTATGGGTTTCAACTACTAATGGAACGCTTGTCGATGCTAGAAGGTCGCCCAATTGATATATACGTCAAGTCATGTATCGGCAACGCCTTACAATGCTCGACAACCATGTTCGGCGCATCCACGGATTTGTGTAGCCAACACATCTATAGCGCATCTACAGAACGCTTACATACTTGGACAGCAAGGCTGAGGTATACATTCTGGCATGCTCATGCATTCCGAGTAGCCTTGCCGGTTCAAAATGAAACGTCCTTTGCCGAATACGATGCATCAAGATTGCCAGTCACGCAGAACACGCTCGTTGACGTGCTCAATTCTAATACGACTCTGTTGTTCAATTCATAGGCGTGTCTGCGAAGGCATGGCAAGGTCCAGCCTGATAATCACTGCTGCATTTTCAACGGCGGCACCTCGAGCTTTGCGACATGTACGTTGCAACGGAACCAGTACACCTGGCGTTTGTCCCAGTGAGAGTGATATTCAGTGCTGCACGTATGGCGCTTGTGAGAGAAAGGCTGGAGTGTGTGAGGCGGTACGTATCTACGTGTACGAGACAATGATACATGGGCTTTGTGGCGGAGATGCGGATGATGCTGGCGATGCTGGTGGGGGTGAGTAAGAACAGATTGGACCTTCGAGAGCTGACCTTAATGCTTTCGAAAGAGAGAGCTGTCTGGTCCTGAGCTCATCAGAAGTCATAATAGGGAACAATGAATATTCCCAAGCAATTGGGGAAGGAGCTATTGATGCACCTTCCTTACAAGACAGTAGTCAGCTCGAGGGCACTTGGCAAGCCTGAAACCAGCAGCTTTCTTTTGGCAGTGTAGCTTGACCATAGAATTGACCATATGCTACTGCTTGAGTGGTGAGTAAAATATCCGCTGCATCTGATATGCGGCAATTGTATAGAATATTAGCAAGAGTATCCCTGAGTTGTGGCAGAGGACTCCCTTATGAATGCTTGTGGTCATGTGAGATTTGCACATGATGAAATGCTCGCTGGTCGTTACTCCTCACCGAAGATGATCCGACCCATGCCACTTGCAGACAAACTCAACCAGAACTCGAAAACTGCCCACACTCACGCTATCAATTTGTACGGATGCAAAATTATGGATTTCACTGATCACGCGGGACTTCAGACAGGCTTCTGATCCCCATGCTGTTTACTGCGCCGTGACTCTTCTTACTTACCCATCGCAACAGATCCTGCTAACTCCCAACATGTATGCCGTCGTTGCATACCCCGTCTATGGCCTTGCTGCCTATGTCGCCATTATGCTGCTGGCCTTTGTTGGCTACAACGTCCTGCCTTCTCCTCCCTTACTGCTAGGCTTCATTGCCCGCTCCATGAGTGCCTACCTTGCTCTGATGATATGCGCAGCCTATGGTACTATTGCCAGTGGCATCCTCAACCTTCTCGATCTCCACTATAAATATGGTCAGTGGACCACTGCTCGATCCTTCAAGTATGTCGGCAAGATCATGATGGGTGTTGAATTCGATATTGAACCAGGTGGACAAGAAATACTGGACAAGACGAAACCTGCTGTCATAGTCGCAAATCACCAAACCGAACTCGACATCCTCATGCTTGGTAGCCTCTTTCCACAGAGCTGCTCTGTAACAGCCAAGAAAAGCATTGCACGAATACCACTCTTAGGCTGGTATATGTTACTATCTGGTACTGTGTTCATTGACAGAGCAAACCGTGCCCAGGCTATGAAGGCATTCGAAAGAGCTGCGAAGACCATGAAGGAACGACAACAGAGTGTGTTTATGTTTCCAGAAGGTACGAGGAGCTATTCGAGAGAGCCCATGCTGTTGCCTTTCAAGAAGGGAGCGTTTCACATGGCTGTTCAGGGCCAAGTCCCGATCATACCAGCTGTGGCTGAGAACTACAGCTATATCCTGGATGTGAAGGCGCGAAGATTCAATGCTGGAAAGGCTAGAATACGAGGCAAGAAGACCCTACATGGATGTGATCGTATGCTAACTATGGTGCAGTCCTCAGGCCGATCGAAACAAAAGGCAAAACCGCTGCCGATGTCGACGCCCTCCTCGAAGAAACCCGAGGGGTCATGCTGAAAGCCCTACACGAGATGGCACAAGACAACGAGTCAAAGATGATTAGCAAAGTGCAAGAGAAGAAGGAGTCTTGAACTTCAAAATCACCCGACGATCAATATCCTATTGAATAGCTAGCTCACCGACCGAGTATTGTCTTTATTCGTCTTTCAGTATGTTCAATCCACGAGCAACAGGTCTCAGATGCTCAGGTGTGTATTCCTCATACCATGGCCGAAGTCCTAGCAGGCATCCCAAACCCCGGACACAACCATACAACAAATGCGTCGTCAAGTACGATGCTCTACCCGGCATGACCTCGATAAAATCGTCATACGTCGCAGCCACGTACAGCGCCTGCAGATATGTCCATCTACCCCAATAACTCTGAGCATCCTCCAAAATACTGAAGATATTTCTAAAGAATACGTGCTTGATACCATCAGCCGGGTCGGTCCATTCTTCCACAACTGCATCTTCGACGTCTTTCTCGTCATCTGATTTGTCTCGATCAGCGCGCATGAAGTCATGGATCACGAATTTCTCAATGCGAACTGGCCCATGTGCGGGCGTTGCGATCTGCGATGTATTTCCAAGTCTGACAAGAACGCGACCTTGAACGACGCGGAAATACTCGACGTGCTGCTCGTGCCAGTGGCGGCCAGGCGTCCAGATACTCTTCTCAGGCAAGGTGATTCGTGTTACGCCTGGTCGAGATGAGTCCGTGTCGAAGGTGAATGTTGCCCGGTTGTTTAGATTGGAAGTATCGGACCGGTGAAAGACTTTCCTTCCTGCAGTAGTCGACTTGGCAGCCTTCGTCGCCATTGCTAGGGTAGCGATAGGCCGGAGGACGTCTTTGCGTGGTCACTAATCTCTTCTTGAGTGATGGGACATTCGCAAGTTTCCGAGTTCTTCCACATCGACGAGTTTGCCTACAGTTTTCGAGCGTTGGCTACGTATACCTCTGTGCTCTTGGCTTGAGTTTCGCACCAAACCTAGCACATAGACTTCACATCGTATCCGAATATATATCAGCGAGCAACAAGGTTCTATATAGTTTAGTCATGCAGAGCGGAAATTCCGCTCCGCTTCTCGGCGCCGATGTGCAGTTGCAAGACAACATCTTCGGAGCCACTTATCATTGTAGTACTTCGACAGACATGCCACCAGCATTATTAACCTTGACTTCAATTGGTTTTACAAGTAAGTATTGTCCTAGGCCGATTTCACAATGTGGAAAGTAATTCGTGAACGTGGAGTACACTTGAAAACGATGCTATCTCAAAATTTCAAATTTTTCTGAGCTGCTCCTCCTGTTTTTGACTCATTCGAACGTCCACTCACAGAACACTACCACCAACCATGCCGACATAATCGCGTGATGATAAACAGAGCCTAGGAACAACACATCAGTATCCACCTGGATCGCACACATCCAAAATCTGCTATCATGCCTAAAGTCCATCTCCTCGATTATGTAGCGGGCAACATACGCTCCCTTGTCAACGCGATCGAAAAATGCGGCTACGAAGTCGAATGGATAAGATCGCCTGAGGATGTCAAGACCGCTGACAAGATCATCCTTCCTGGTGTCGGACATTTCGGGCACTGCCTGACATCTCTATCCAAGGCCGGGTACCTCCCAGCTCTACACGAACACATCAAAGCCGGGAAACCCTTCTTCGGAATCTGTGTAGGGTTGCAGGCCCTGTTCGCTGGATCTGTTGAGGCGCCTGGGGTTACTGGACTGGGACTTCTGTCTACGACACTGGAACGCTTCAGTCCGACAAACGGTGATGGGTCGAAGAAGTCGATTCCGTGTATTGGCTGGAACGACGCGACGATTGTTCATGAGTTCAAGGCTTCAGGACCTGTCACGGAGTTTTCGACCAAGTCGTTTTATGGATTGAACCCAGGCTCTAAGTACTACTATGTTCACAGCTATTTCGTCCCTTACGAACAGGGGAAAATGGAGGCAGATGGCTGGACTGTTGCAACGGCCAAATATGGCGATCAGACTTACGTTGGGGCTATTGGGAAGGAGAATGTTTTTGCGACTCAGTTTCATCCTGAGAAGTCGGGAGCTGCGGGATTGAGAGTCATCAAAGCTTTTCTGGATGGAAGTCAGTGGTCGGAACCTATTCCGCAACAGGGTGTGAGTAATGGCATCGCGACTATATCTCCTCCTCAAGCCTCACGCGCGGGCGGTCTCAATGGTCTGACAAGAAGGATTATTGCCTGTCTGGACGTCCGTACTAACGATGCTGGAGATTTGGTTGTTACTAAAGGCGATCAGTACGACGTTCGAGAGAAGAATGATAACAAGAACGTACGAAATCTTGGTAAGCCTGTTGAAATGGCGAAGAAATACTACACACAATCTGCGGATGAGGTGACTTTCTTGAACATCACGTCCTTCCGTGATTGTCCTGTGACAGATCTGCCGATGCTGGAGATTTTACGACAGACTTCGAAGTCTGTCTTCGTGCCGCTGACTATTGGTGGCGGCATACGAGACATGGTCGATCCAGGAACAGGAAAGGAGATCAGTGCGCTGGACGTGGCGAAGCTGTACTTCGAGTCTGGAGCAGACAAAGTAAGTATCGGTTCTGACGCGGTAGTCGCAGCACAAGAGTACTACAAGAATGGTGGCAAAGGGTCGGGAAAGAGCGGTATAGAAACAATCAGTGCAGCATATGGTCGACAGGCAGTCGTGGTGTCTGTCGATCCGAAACGTATCTTCATCAAGTCACCTTCCGAAGCACCAGAAGGAGTTGACCCCAAACACGTCATCAAGACAAAGCTATCAGACCCAAAGACAGGTATGGACCACGTTTACTACGCATGCACCATTCACGGAGGCCGCACAACCACAACTCTCACAGTTCGTGCCCTTGTCACCGCTGTTGAAGCTCTCGGCGCTGGTGAGATTCTGCTCAACGCTATTGATCGTGACGGGTCAAATTCAGGCTATGACCTAGAGCTCATTGCCGATGTCAAGAGCGCAGTTGAGATACCTGTCATTGCAAGTTCAGGGGCAGGTACTCCGGGACATTTTGAGGAAGTTTTCAGGGAGACGAACGTTGATGCTGCGTTGGGAGCGGGCATGTTTCATAGAGGAGAGTATACAGTGCATCAGGTCAAGGAGGAGCTGGAAAAGGCTGGGTATCTAGTCAGGAGGTGGGAGGGTGAAGATGTGTAGGCTCGGCAATGCATCGTGTGGTTGTGATCGAAGTGTAGTGAGAGAAGTCGTGTACACAACCTGTTCATTGCTGCTGTGTCCCATTCTCAAGCGTCGCAGGAAGTTTTGACCCAGGTTGACTGCAAACGCAAAGACTACAACGGCCACTGCTGGAAGTACTGTTCCGTAATAGACCTGTATGGACAACCAGCATCCTCAACCCTCGAGTCTATGCCATAGCGCTTTCGACTGTACCCAAAACAGTCGTACTGTCAAGCTTCAGTCTTCTCTGGTACCCAGGTACTAAACGCCATGCCCTTTGGTGACTCTTTCCACTGCCCAGTCTCACTATTGAGCAAGTCCTGGCTCATTTGAGCCTCCTCACGTATGATTCTGGCTTTGTCGGTACTTCGACACTCGATCCGACAGGTATAATGTCTAGGTTCGACAGTTATGCCACCGACCAGATCGTCAACATTGTAGGTGATTGGCTTTCCGTCTTCACCTATCGAAGGTGAAAAGTTGAAGCCCCAAGCCAGACGGGAAATTGCCAAGAAAAGCGATCTTTCGGCAATGTGGATGCCTTGGCAGAGTCGTCGACCTGCGCCGAAAACGAAGTTGTCGCGCTTGGTGCAATCACCCGTCGCAGATTGATACAACGTAGTGAAATCACCTGCGAAGCGATCTGGGTTGAATGTGCGAGGGTTTGGTGATCGTCTGGGATCCATGTGGATGGACCTGGCTATTGATTGGTACTGGCCTTGAAACTGGGGAGTAGGAAGGAGGACTCACCAGACATTGTTGATGATAGTGGCACCAGCTGGAATGACATACCCGTTATACGAGTCCTCTTTGATCGCTGCATGAGGTACGCCTAGAATGACAGTCGGCATCCAACGTATGCTCTCCTTGATGCAACAGCGAATGTACGGCAGATTCTCATAGTCCTCAATCGTGGGCATTCGGTCAGGTCCTACTACACGATCGACTTCCTCTTGCGCCTTCTTGAGCACTTCTGGCCAGACTAACATGGCCTGGATGAATCCATATATTGTTGCCGCGGTTGTGTCTGAACCTGCCTCTAGCAACGAACCGCTGATGTAACTTGCCTGAGCGTCTGTGAAGTTCTCTTTCTCTTGAGCGCGCAGGAGATCGTTGCAGAAGCAAGGCTGTTTTCCCAGGTCAGCAGGTGCTCCAAGTGGATTGCAAAAGATGGGTAGGCATCCTCACATGGCTGTCACCATTTCGCAACCCCTCTTTAGCTCTCATCCACATCCTAAGATAATGTGCACTTTCCTTCTTGAACAATGACTCGGCGTATTTCACATTCGGAGCTAGCCATTTGGGTAGCTTTTGAAGAATTGGGAACAGATCCAGAATTTGAGCACTACCACTGGCCGCCAATTCGCCCCAGTTCGCAAAGTTCTGCCCGTGTCAGCAAGTTTCGCAACGATTTTGGATTCGGACAACGTGCAACAAAAAGCTCTTTGAGATTGGCATCATTCATGTCCGGACACCGATAACCAAATATGAGTTGAGTTGATAGCGAGAAGGTATAGCGCCGCACGTGGTCTAGAAAAATCTGTGGCTCTTCGAGGAACCCCTTCAGCATGATCTTGTTCTCGAGGTCTTGGTAAGGGGTATACGTGACGGCAGCCTTCATGTTGAGGATATTGTGGATCATGCGGTGGATTCCCCGCCAGGTATCAGCATATCTCTGTGCAGACTCGGTATTAATACATGTTCAGACGACTTTCAGATGTGGTTGACCAATAACAAGTCATTGGAAGATACCTCACTCACCATGACTACCAGTCTCAAATCTCCACTAGCAACCTTCTGTCCAATAAACATGTCTGGACGGTCAGAATAGTTACCGCTGCGCTTGTCGAGTACGTCCTTCACTGCCAGATCACTTGATAGGACGATCATGGTTTTGGTACCAAGCTGGAGAGAAAACACGGGACTGCTGATGATGAGCTTCTCACCACGTTCCGCCATGATGCAGCTGTGCTCACCCATACTGTTCTGCCCACTTCTGAAATTGCAGGTGAACATCCTTGGCAGGCATCTTCAGAGGTCAGCAGACTCTTTCATATCCAACCCACGAGCGTCGACCTACTAGGTGAAGATTGCCTAGTATGGGAATGGTTGGTGGTCCGGGTGGTACCCCCTTGGGTCTTTGCCCAACATTGGCCAGTTTCGTCCAGAGGATGAAGCTGAGCCCAGCTAGGAAGGCAATGCCTAGATAGCTTCCAGTCATCGCAAACATATTTCGTTCAGATGTGAGCTCCTGACTAACTTGTCACAAGCAAAGAGCTTACTCACATATAGATCTCCTTTACAGTCAGCACTGCACGTTCTCACAACCTGCCTTGGTGCTCGGATGTCAGGGTGTTCGATAAATCAGAGACCCAGAGAATCGGGGTCCCCAGACTTCCCCGCGAAACACACACGAACTCCAGATCAGATGACGAGCATTTGGGAGGAGATAATTATTTAGTGTCTCCTGGCTCAGTGATTCGATTTGTTGCAGATGTCGGTATCTGCTGCAACTGTCCTACTCGATCACTTTTATGTGATCCGATTGGCTCACAACTCCGACCCAAATGGGAAAGTACTTTGCCTGTGTGCATTCGACTCGTCAGTTCACTGCTTCATCGATGTGATACAACATTCTCAACCTGAATTCGCCACAAACATCGCATTGTACCTATAGAAATGGATTGATTGCTCAATTCATACGTTCATGCTGACATCCTACTCTGCTTCAAGAGATAGTCAGAATAATGGGCGATTACAACACTAATCAAGATGGAGGTTGTGAAGAAGTACTTCAGGGCACCGTGCTGATAGCTGGTGGTGGACCAGTCGGGTTACTGCTGGCTCGAGTGCTTTCGTTCTACGGGGTCAGGTCAATCTTGTTCGAGCGGAATAAAACTACAACCAGCTGGCCAAAGATGGACCTAACTAATGCTCGTTCGATGGAACTGTTCCGAAAGATAGGCCTTGCAGACGATTTACGTCGTCAAGGTGTCCCTCCTCATCTAGATCAGCATGTTCTTATCTCGTCAGGTCTCTCCGTGAAGGAGCCATTGACGCGTTGGGATCTGCCCGGTGTCGACAAGTTTCGCCAACTTATCGAGGAGGTAAATGATGGCTCGCAACCTCGTGAACCTTGGCAACGCATGTCGCAAGCTATCTTTGAAAGATGGCTCCGCGCGATATGTGACAGAGATCCATTGATTGACCTTCACTACGGATGGCGTGTGGACAACGTTCAAGAAACGGATGATCATGTTCGGACTATCGTCGTGAATTGCGACACCGGTGTCACCAAAACATACGTGACCGATTTTGTAGCAGGGTGTGATGGCGCTTCCAGTAAAGTCCGAAGGTCATTGCAAATACCTATAGACGGTGGACCTATGTAAGCAGAAGCCATTTCCTTGTATGTTCGTTCGACTGACACCATATAGTCCTGCTTGCGCATTGCTCGTTCATTTCAAGTCTCGTGATCTACAACGTCTTCACAAACAGGGTCGCTTCTGGCATATCTTCTTCTTACAGCCTCATGGTGGGTTTGGTGCTGCTATCATCGCTCAAGATGAAGTGGAAACCTTTACAGTGCATTTGTTTCTACCTTTGGACGTCGACACAGACAAGATTGAGTCCAAGGATGCAGTTTATCGAGCCTTGGGTGGTATTTACGACGACTTTCACATTGAGATAGACGAGATTCTTGTCAGGTCCGTTTGGCGACCCAACATTGCCATCACTCGGACGTGGCACGGTCCACATCATCGTATCTTTCTGGCTGGTGATGCAGCGCACCAGAACATCCCTACCGGTGGTTACGGCATGAATATGGGGATAGGCGATGCCTTCGACCTGGGTTGGAAATTAGCTGCAGTCATCAATGGCAATGGTGGCAAGGGTTTGCTGACTTCCTACGAATTGGAACGTCGTCCAGTCGCCATGCGTAATGTGGAGCATTCAGGTGTACATTTCAAGGTCCATCAAGACCTGGAAGCTATCATCAATGGTGGAGATCCAAAGCGCGTAGATGCTACGACAGTAGAAGGTATTGCTTTGAGGGAGAAGATACACAACCATTACCAACAACACGATGGCGAGAACAAGGACTTGGGGATTGAGATGGGCTATCGTTATGATTCACCGGTGATCATAAGGGACCCAGGTGAAAGAGAACCTCCATGGGATGTCCGCCGATTCACGCCGACGACCTGGCCAGGAAGCCGTGCTCCTTCCCTCTTCCTCTCCGATGGCAGTGCTATCTACGATAAATTCGGCAAGCACTGGACCTTGCTTAGCTTTACAGTCACTGAATGTGGGAAAGATCACATGGTGCATGCTGCTCTCAAGCAAAGGCTTGTTCTCGATGTGGTTGACCTTTCTCGTGAAGATCATGCTAGAGGTATCTATGAGAAGCCTCTCGTCCTCATTCGTCCTGATCAACACGTGGCCTGGAGAGCATACGCCCTCGAAAATCTCGAGACAGCCATGAAGATTTTGGAGACAGTCAGCGGCAGAGTCGAGGGCTCTTTGCCCGTCATGAAGCAGCAGGAACATGTTGCGTGTGCTTTTACTTCTACAAGCCAAACTAGATCACAAGTCGATGAATTCACTCTGGAAAGAATGGGCGACTTTCAAAGGTAGATCAGGAGATGTTGATGGCGTTGAAGTTTTGGATTCAGCTTCCTTGACCGACTTTCTGTAGCTGACATGTCTATGCGATAGCAGGATTCTGTCAATCACTCAATTTCGACAAGCCGCAAGTGGTGGGTTTTCAGCTTTGCTACGGAACAACGAACATTACGAAGTGAAATCTTGGAAGAATTGCGATATCTTATGTACTTCCATGTATTGATTGCTGCAAGTGCTAGACAAACAGCGAAGATCGTGTCATTCTTTGGTTTGTTCAGGGCCCAACGCTCTCACGCTCTCAGAATCCCACGGACTGAGAGAAAGCAACAAATTGGTACACTTGCAAACTAGAAAAAGTCGGGCAGCCCACGAGGTCCCACTTCCTTTCTGACCTTGAGCTCATTCTCTGGTTTGCCAGCAGTAAGCTGTTCAATCCACTCTTCAGGGTCAAAGTCAGCACCAATGGGATTTTCACTGAAGTGCTTAGATTTCATGAACTCAGTGGCAGCATCCGGATCGTCAAAGTTGTCCACCTGTGTTTCAATCATGTTACCGTCTGGATCTCTGTAGTAAATCGACGTTGTCGGGCCGTGATTGACCGGCCACAACGGCGAGATCCCTTTCTGCTTTCGCTGTCGGTACGAGAGCAGAAGGTCCGTGAGCGAGCTGAAAGTGAAGGCGATGTGTTCCAGGCCGCAGGTCGTCTGCTGCTTCGCTTGAGTACCGGGCACACCCAGGATGGCGATACGATGATGTTCTTCATCGTAAGAGAGGAAGGCTAGCATCTCGTTCTCGTAAATTACTTTGGCACCAAGAAATGTTTTGTAGAAGGTGACCATGTTCTCCAGGTTGTTGGTCCGCAGCACGACATGAGCCAGTTTGCTAGGACTAATGACCCGCTCAACATCCTCGTCAAAATTCGCAACCATTGTTGCGATGAAGGAAGTGCGCGAAGTGCTCTGTGTGAGATACGATCGGCGCTGTACCAAAGCTGTTGCAATTTGGTATAACGAAGAGGACTGAAGTTATGAGGCCCTGGTCTCGTGCCAGAAACTCGTTCCACATGGCCATTATGAGAAGATCGTCATACTAGTTCGGGGTAAGACACAGATTCGGAAAGGTTGCAGAGCAGTGTGTTTTGCCCGAACACAAATGGATAGCCGTTCAAGAGCCAAGCTTGCTAAATTCACGTAACAAACAGATCAGCCAATACGTTTAAAGCGTACCACCTGTTCCCGAAAATCACGAGGTTCGACTACCACGCTTACAACCCGAATAATGTCCTAAACATAGAAGCACTTGGATGCAGGCCAAATCTTTGGGAGTCCAGCTGTCCTACTGTCCATCTCACTCACAGGAGGTCTGCTATATTCGACTTCCGCCTTTCCTTAGTTTAATCTTGACTCTTTGCTGCAGCAGTAGCGGCAGCTGGAGGTGGTGACTCCTAGAAAAGCTCGTATTAACATTGCACACATGGTCAAGTCGCAGATCTCATGCAAGGAGCTGGTTCTTTGCATCAGCTTCGACAGAGATAGTGTTTGACATACCGCGAAGGCTTCGTACGACACAAAGCGAACCATCCCATCTTCATTTTGCTCGACAGAAGCATTTGCACAGAACCGACTGTCCGTGACATGACCATTGACCTTTGCGAGCTCCAAATTGCCGAGGACCAGGAACTCATTGGCACCATTGGTATTTTTGTATAGCTGTTTCAATGTGTGCTTGCGTGACTCGATCCCGTTCCACGAACTCTGGCGTGATTGCAGGATTTCTATGGAAAACCCCATGTCAATTTGCTGCCGCGAATTCGTCCTGAAAGACATCACCGGCTTCAACTGTCACATGAAGGCTTCACAAGACAACGGAGCCTTTGATTGGAATGTGATGAGCTCTCACCTTTCTGACCACTGAATGTTCCGGCTGCAGTTCTCAACTGTGCATCTTGCACAAAGCATTGTGTAAAGGCTTCTGCAGCCTCGGAGCCTCTTTGATCCGCGGAAGCAAAAGCTTTGGTGAACAAGAGTCGCACCTTCTCGGTCAGATCATCAGGCATGATACTGGGCGTGACAAGTGAGCGGAATATTTGACTAGAGGAGGCTTGAGGTTGACAACCAGAGATAATGGTGGTCACAATTTCAGTGTAAGGTTCACGTCCTGCTATTGGCAACAGCAGAATAGGACGCTTGCTGCATCAACTGGCAGTAGAGACTGTGCAGAAATGAGCCCCACATTGGAGATGCCACCACTCCGTGGGTGCGCAGCTACGGGCGCATTTTCACTGGTCAGTAGAAGAATATCAAGTCAAGACTTCCTTCGTCCTAAAAACTGGGCTGAGCCGTGGTCTCTGGAACGGCGGGACTATTTTGCTGGCGAACATGCCCCTCTCCATCTACCATGGAGATGCTTCCGGAGTCGTCGGAGACAAACTGCAAAGACACTATAGTTGTGGTTCCACACAATGACGAGGAGGCCGAACAAAAGCGTTCGGTGATTCCTCTCCGGACCCGAGAAGCAAAAATGCGCACCACCTTCGTTTCTCAAAAGTCGATTTGGCATCTACCACAGTACAGTCTAGACATGAAACGCCTGGTAGTGTCCCGGCTGAGCAAGGATAGGAACTGACACGAGACTAGTATTAATAGATAGCCCTAAGTTTCCCGTACAAGTATATACTAATTGTAATAGGGTACGACATACATTCAGGGGTACAGTATCGAAAAAGGCTTTTTTGTGTTAAAGAGTAGGAAAGTGAGATTGTGAACCGCTTCTTCTGTTACAATCCGTCCGTGATACATACACTAGTAGTCTCCGTATCCCCACATCTCCACACCCACCCCACGCCTGTGAGAAAATTCTTTCTGGAGTGCATGGCGCGGGTTTCCAGGGCCATGCGCCACGCGCAGTAGGTTTCGTGATGCAAATCACTACAGTACTGGCAGTCACAATGAGCACGAAGAATGACTGGAGATCCTGCAGTCGCACTTGCCGTTTCTCGTCCTTCAACCCGTGGAGCGCGCCCGAAGCGGCCAACTGCTTGCGATTATTGCAAGTTGAAGAAGATTCGATGTCAGTTGAGACCATTTCTGGCACATTTCCAGAGGCCGATGATTTTCGCTAGGTAACCGGGACGATTCTAACTCCTGTGCTAATTGCCTCGATCACGCGAAGGTCTGCACGACGACTTCATCACAGCCGCAAAAAAGTCGAGCTTCCGGTTTGCGTAACAAATCTAGCAGGTCGATCGCTGCTTCGAAGTCGCTGGGCTGTGCAAATGTGCAGCCCCGAGCTACAACGTTCCTCGATGAGGCTGCCTTCCTCAGCCCTCCCGCATCTGCTGTTGCGACACTCGAGACTGCACGTCTTGCCCACGAACGACGAAACGATGATGCGTCTGTGGCTAGCGAAGGAATAGTGTCAGCTCACCAGTCTTTCCGTCCTGACTCGACACATGAATCCTTGTTCAGTCACCACACGCAACACTCCCAAGACGCCACATCGTCCACAAACACAGCAAATAGGTCGCGTCTAGCAAGTGGTGCTGCAATTCCTCCATTCCGGGAATCTTCAGACGTCGCTCGACAGGGGTCCATCAGTTGTGGTGCTGGAAGCAGAGCAGGCAGCCCCCGAGTCTCTGGCAACGATGGGCATTTGACCAGCGTCGAAAGCAATCCGTTCTCTCAGGCTGTAGAAGCATGCGAAGAAGACAGTATCCCATCAGGTGAATTTGTAAGCAAATGCTCTAGCTAGACCCTTGGCTGTATCAAAAGACAGTCACTGACTTATACAGGCAAACTGGGAGTATCATGGTAAATTCAATCTCGATTGCGAAGCTAAAGGCTGATTCAAGTTTGTGCTCAGGTCCACGATCTTGCTTGTCCCTCTGTTCTCAATCAGGCGTGCGATGGGTCGAGTCCAAGACCGGACATGCAGGCTTCCGTCAATCAGCGCAAGCCTTTACCGCTGATATCACGAAAAGGCTAAGGCTTTCGAAAGAACTATCTGTTCATCGTATGCCGGATCCGAATCCTGTAACAGCTTGGAAATACACCTCAGGTAAGAGTGGGAGGCTCATGATATTGAGTCTTACACGGTTTTGACGTTAACAACCTCTAGCATACTTTGACCATGCGCTGGATGCCGCGATGGGAATTGTGCATCGGCCTACTTTTGAAGCTCAACTAAGACTATATCTGCAGGGCGCATCTGCCGATCAGGATACGGCGTGGCATGCGCTTCGTCACACGATCTATGCGTCAGGATGCCGGATAATTCTTTCTGAATCCCTCTCCTTTCACGAAGCCAACAATACGGCATGGTCATACTTCGAAAACGCACTGGCACTACTTGCCGGGACAATTTTGTTTCAAACATCGATTACTAGTATTCAAGCTCTCACGGTGATGGTACGTGTCTGTTGCTCCAAATTGTGGGCTCCTCTGACACGGACAGGCTTACTATTCCCAAAATTTCGGAAGTCCTTGTCTGGAATACATGCTTTGCAACAATGCTCTGGCCCTAGCTGTTGCTAAGGGATTACATCGTCAGCCAGCACCGGGCTGGAATCTGTCGTCACATGAACACTCACAAAGAAGTTCTCTATTTTGGGCTCTTTACTGCCTGGAGAAGCAGATCATCAAGCAATCGGGAAGACCGTCCGTGAGTATGATTCACTTCATGATGCTTCCTTCAGCTTACCCATCATTCTCAGATTATCGATGACAGTGAGGTAACCTGCCCAATTCCTAAGGCGCCTCTGCTCCATGGGGCTTTCAACCTGAAATATGTGGATATCCTGATTCAATTAGCTCGGTTCTCATCAACCATATCCAAACGCCTATCTAGTATCAGAGTCCTCCAGACAGGAGCACAAGATTTGGCTAGAATCGTTGCAGAGCTGGATTGGCAGTTGCGGGATCTTCGAACGAGACTGGAACCGGAGATATCCCTTGGCAATCCAGTCAACCCAAATCGACTGCCGACTGGCATCAACCTGCAACAAACCGTCTACCTCAACTGCTTTTATCATACGACTATGCTAGATATACACAACACGTTGACGTATCCATGGAGCAGAACCTTGCTTGGACTCGTGTCACAGCCTGTCCTTCGTGCCGAAGCAGAAAGATCTTTCGTGTATGTGGTGGAGACGTGCCATGCTGCAATGCTAACACTGCATTACGTGCACATCGATGCTGCGACTCCAGTACCGTAAGTGTTATCACAACACTACTATCTTCAAGCATAGATAGCTAAGCGACATCATTTAGGCTCAGCTTTTTCACACCCATCTACGTTTTGGTCAATCTATTTATCTGCATCTTACAGAATCCCACACATAACCAGATTCCGCTGGCACTATCTCTGATGGATTTAGGAGTTGGGTTTTTCACGCGATTACATATCGCCACAAATTCCACAGTATCCATGCAATTTGCTAAAGAACTAGCGAGCCTCGCCCAAGGAGTCGCCGAAAAGGCCCGAAACATTGCTACTTCAGGTGAAGACCACGATCACGAGCTACCGGAAGTTGCTGAACATGCTGTTCAAAACGAAGACGGACAGGGCGAACACGACCCAGAGCTTTCTTTCTGTGATGATATGCATAGGGTAGGTCTTGCAGCACGCGTCCAACTTTGATGTATGAGCTGACCGTGTTAAAGCAGGATAATGACATTTCTCGAGACGCTGACATTGAGCAATGGAGCACGCTCGTGCCTGCAGATATGGATCTCGACGGGATCAATTTTGCATTTCCTGGAGAGCTTCATCACTACTAGCCGGCAGCCAATCAGCTCTCTGGTAGATATTCATGCCACGCATGTGTCTGTATAGTGCAAAGTTATGACCACTGTTTGCATATGTGGCGCCATTACCACTTCTATTCTATCGATTGTATGACTTTGCGATGCCAGAGAAAATCGTCTGTCTCATTCAGCACGTGCAAATGGATCGAACATTTATCCAGACAAGCGCTTGTATGGCTTGCATAATTTTGACATTCAAGATTGAATGTTCATTGTATTTCTTATCTTTCCAATTTTTGAGATTCCTATCTCAACGACGTCGCCATCGGCAAGCCATTTTGGAGGCTTCATGAATGCAGCAACTCCGCTAGGCGTGCCTGTCATAATGACTGTGCCTTTTCGCAGCGTCGTGCCCCTACTTAGGTGCTGAATAATCGTTGGAATGTCGAACAGTAGGTCACTCGTACTCGTGGTTTGTCTTTGCTCTCCATTGACGGTAGTTGTGAGTTGCAAAGTTGCTGGGTCATTGATCAATTCAGTGGACACGAGGACTGGACCTATGGGACAGAATTTGTCAAACGACTTAGCATAGCCGTGTTGTTGACCGGAGCGTTCCGGCATCTGCCAGAAACGAGAAGAGACATCATTGCCTACTGTATAACCGAGGATGTATTGTTGAATATTGTCCCCAACCTGAAAACCCTTGCAGTCTTTGCCGATGACAACGCAAAGCTCACCTTCATAGTCCATGTTTTTGCAATCTTGATCGACTTCGATGTCATCAAATGGTCCAGTGAGGCTGTCTGGCATGAATGCATGAGTACAATGACTGTCATTGATCATATTGGCGAACTTACCTGGTGGTTTAGTGAATACAGTTGGGTACCCGGGGACCGGAAACTTTGCTTCTTCTATGTGCTGCCTGTAGTTGAGGCCAATACCGTAGATTATCGGGACTTTTGGCAAAGGACTCAGGATCTGCAGTTTTAAATCTCAGCTTAGCCGTGCTAGAGACGCGAGAGTGCTGAATGTGTTTACCTCGGTGACAACCGCTGTACGATCGGTAGATTCGAGGTCCCATGGCATCTCGCCTTTGTAGACTGGCACTGTCGAGTCCAGTCCTTGTCCTTCTTCAAATTCGCCATAAAGTACATCCCCATCCGCAGTTCTGAAACGGCCCAAGCGTTTGAAGATTGTTCTCATAATGCTTGTCTTTTGCCGATGATTGGATCGATGCTTATTGAGGCTCTAATAAGCATGCGTTGGTCATCGAGTCTTCGACAACGTTTGCTAGCAAAATCACATGAAGAAAAGTGTGCTACTAAAGATTGTATAAATTGTCCGAAATGCCCCTCGGCTTCGTCGTTGCCTGTCTCGTTCGGCGAAAGCAATGGCAGAAGGAGAAACATTCCGTTCGTATCTAGATTGTGAACACAAACCCATGGTTATAAGGCTTAGCTATGATACTGATCTGCCGCAAAACGGCTCTCCGGTATTATCGAGTCGCATATCTGCTTCTTGTGCTGCTGGCGCGTGGTTTAGTAGAGTTCGCAGCATGTGTAGGATGAAAATCGTTGCGGCTCGGCGAATGTTTCTCAGCTCTAGGCTGCCAACACCCACCTTGCACTGAAAATAACTTTGACCGACTCAATCGACTCGGAAGACTGTTAAATTCATAACAGCGAGCCTTGATCTTCGTTTCTAGTCCAACATCAATGGATAAAATCTTTTCGTCGTTGTTTCATTTATTGGTAGGCAGGACAAAACGAGTCTGAATTGATCACCTCTTGATTCTCGTTGTCTGCTCCGAGTACACTTTTCCTGTCTCTCAATACCACTAGCCGTGCTTAGAACGAGAACTATCTACACTCTAACGTCGACGAGCGTACCAACATGCTTCAAGGTCCTTGAATCCTAATTATACTTTTGCCTTCCAAATGCTATCGAGCAGGCTCAATGTCACCATAGGTGAGAATGAAACGAGATGACCACGATGAGTATGCACTTGAATTCTTGATGACTCGAGTTCTTCGTGTTCTGAGTTCGGTGTGACGCGATCTGGGGACAAATACCGTGGCACTCATATAAAGCTATGTAGTGCATTGAGGCGGATGCGCACCGAGACATCAGAGAATATACTCAGCTAAAAGATCGTTCCAATAGCTATTCTTGCTCGAAAGATGTCCTTGCTTGGTCTATACGTCGTTGTCTCAAGTATAGTTAGTCACTGCAGCGAAGTGTAACGTGGTTGTCGCTTAGTGAAACCTATGTCACTAGGAGCAAACATCAGGTATGAGACGAAAGATTGACAAACTCGTCTATTCAAGGCTATTCTTCTCTCAATTTTCCACTACTCTTTTGTATCCCAGCACAAAGTTGCAGACTGTGAACAAAAGTCGTCAACCTTCATTACTCCAGATCAAATTCAACCATGTCTTCAAAGCAATGGCTGGTAGACATTCCAGCCGAGATACGGAACAACTTTTACAAGTACTTGTTTCAATCGTCCAACATCGAAATCAAATCGCCAGAGGGCAAGCGATAGACAAAAAATGCGCCACGGTTGCACCTCGATTGGATACATGATATGTTCTCTGTTATTGAAAGAGCTCCTGACACCAATGATGATGTCCCTGACAAGAAGAGAGCCGACATCAACCGAGATCAGTCTGAGGTCGTCGCCGCCAAACCTCGTCCTACGTTCGTTGATCTATTCCTCACCTGTAACCAGGTCAAAGAAGAAGCTGAGTATTGGTTTTGGAAAGAGACAACCTTTGAGATCCACGACCACTTTGTCAACGTCGGTGACCTCATGCATGGCAGCGACGCCCGTGTACGACGATTGAAGTTCTTCAACGCGCCATTCGACCCCTGGCAGGTAGGCGGGCTCAGCGACATGAAGCGGATGCACGACTTCCTCACTATTGGAGCACTTGAGTACTTAAGATTGAGTAAGAGCGTGCTGAAACTCTACGCCATCTTCGACACTGATGAGTGGGTCATGACGTGGCTGGAGGAAAGCCAGGCTCGAGTGAAGGTTCTCGTCTTTCATGTCGTTTCTGACGAACCTGAACATGTGTCCTACACATCAACAGTCATTAGCTCGGAGACTATTGTCATCGAGTCGAAGAGAGAGAAACTGTGTATAGAACATCTCGGATACCTCGTGCGATGGTTCAGAGCTGTATACGGCCAAGCCCTCAAGAAACTCGATATCACGGTGCAGACGAACAAAGGCCACAAGCGGTCCTACAAGCAATGCAAGAAAGCAGTTACAGAAGGGATGTTTACTATCAAGCAGAATGGGAATATCTCGCCATTGATCAAGCACAACCAGGAGGACGACCAGATGTGAAACATACTAGCACAAGCACTGCAAGTCGCACAACGGCGCAGTTTGAGTGATAGACAGTGTTAATGATGGCTCGAAGGGAGGATACAAGCAAGGAGCAATAGAACACCTGGTCATAAAGGTGATACTCAGGCTATCGGAAGCAGGAGTTCGGGTCAATTTGGCACATTTTTGACACGAATCGAATGAACTTCGACTTTGTTTTTTCGCCTGCAACACATATGCAGCCAATCGAAGAGACCCCGAATAAAGCATGCAACTCGGAGACATCTTCACCAGCATCAATTGCCAATGTTCGGGAGTGACATGTGGTCCGTTGACTTTCTCAGACGAACCACGCCCTTTTCCAACGTCAGGTGTTCGCAAGTGTGACTGGCCGTACGTGTAATGTTGTCCTTCGTTGGTCTTGCCGTATGATATACTCCCAGCTTTGTGAATCTGTTCGATGTTCTGCAAGTCTGTTCACGGTCACATGTGATCACTCGAGTCATCGTCGAGGCTGCCTGGACCTGTAGTGACGAGGAAGGTTGGCCGACTACACGCCCTGCATCGCCCAGCTGTAGGAATTGCGGCTGAGATTTGGTAACTGCGTTAACTTGGCTTTGGCTCGTCTCGATATGTCTGCCGTGCTATCGCAGGAAGTACGCGTTCATTACAGTATGACTTCGGCGCATGAGACGTCATGTCTGACAACGACAGGCGTAACCAGGTCTTACCGAAGTCCTATGGTCCTATCATCGCCCGTGACTCGGCTCACGTCCACGCAGGCGACATCAACTACCCCCGTGTAGTAGAGCACCTGCATCTTCACTCAAATAGTCGAGATGACCTGGTCAGTCTCCTCCAGGAGCTCCTACAACCATTGCGCGGAGATGCGGCCGCACCTACCAATGCTGCGCTTGAGTGGATTGCTGCGAAACCTTCGACCAATTCCACCACAGGTGTAGAACCCCACCAAAGACGTGATAATTGCACAACCACACTCAAGAGAGAGCTTTGCTTCCTCTGGCAGTATACCAGTCAGCACGGCTTGAATCCTTCACGACTCTATCCTATTCTGCAACGCATAGTGGCATATTTATATACACAATTTCCTCGACCAATTCAGGATAGGAGTGCTAGCACAGTCCAACTGAAGGACCTGCAGTCTTCCGAGGATGTAGCTGTCACTCGAGTTCCTTGTTTGTCAAGCACTCGACGCCGATGTAATCATCAGCCCAAAGGACAGCGGGCCATATTGGGAGATTTTCTGCTGTTGTTCACCGTCCTAATGTCGATGCTTGTGTTCAAAAATGCTACTTCTGCCGACCTTCTGGACACCATAGGTAGGCTGAAGACTCTACTTGACCGCATCAAGGACGAGAAGCTCTTTGTGTTTACGTCTTTGCTGCTTGCTGCTGCTCTGACAAACACGCTTCATTCAGCGAAATCGCTGAGATCTTTGACTGAATTCTCAGGGGACAGCTTTGTGTTCGAGGACATGTACGCGCGCGAGATGTCCGTGCCACTGATGATTCTGCAAGGACACGAGACTTTGAGAGCCTTCTTGTTAGACAGGTACAGAGGCAGCAACGCTGAATCTTTCGTCGTAGAGGGAAACTACAATATCACAATTGGTCGACGTGATGGCCCAACCTTCGGTCAGGAGTACCTCGACTCACCTGTCAGCTTCAGGAGTGTAAAACGTCTCATCCTAGCAGTTCAATGGCGTCAAATTGTCCGCAGGTGCCCAGATTGCAACCATGAGCTCAAGATATACGCCGGGATGTGGATCACCTGGTACGTCACTCATGACATCTATGCCCTCTGCTGACTTTGGCATCTAGTGTATTCTGTCAACGATCTTATTTTGTGCGTGCAGGTCCATGGTCAGGAGAAGCCACTTCTGTATATGACCGTCGAGACATCAGATCTGCGACGCCCCCAGCTGATAAACTGATACAGAATTCAGGTTTGCGACCCGAGGTTGCCCTTGCACATAGGAGCGATACACATAATATCTGCAACACCTCATTCGGTGCCTTGAAAAACATCGATTTTGATCTATCTGTCGTGTATCTACAAATGGCTGAGGACTTGGACCCAGACGATTGGTATTACGACAGCGAAACTGAGTGGGATGACAGCATCTTTGATTCACAAAATCCAGAAAACTTCTCTACCCCGCCGATACAGTTCTCTATGTACGACAGAATTAGAGAGCTGCAGAAGAACTTTCCAGAGCTTATCTCATCAATCGCAACAACCGAGCGAATTGATGGGGACGAAAGACTTGCTATGTTACCAGGACGAAACGATCTAGAGAACCAGGCCCAACAGCACAAAGAGGTTGACCTATTACTGCCGCGCAACCATCTAGAAGTCCCAAATGCTAGGGGGTTTTCATCGTCCAGCGACCGTATTGTTTTTAAAGGCATACGTCCCGAGAAATTCAGTCCTCAAGATAGCAGCAAGTCGCGCCTATTTAAGGTCTTCTACAATCACACATGCTGGTTTCTGGCTTGGACTTTTTTAGTCGTGGACGACGCTCTACCCTGTGCCATCGACTTTAGCTTTATGGGAGAGCTGTTCTCACACAGTGCCACAAACTCTGGAATTGCGTGGCATAGCCGGCCAAGATTCAGCCTCCGTCGCGGCAATCTCGATGAAGGGCTTGATGCAGAATTCGAAGTTCTACCACTTTCAAGCGAGACCTCAAACTTGCCAGTCATTAGACTCAATGCAAGGTTCTTTCGGGCCTGTCGTTCAGGATTGCTGCCTACTTTTCTAGTACATGGAATTCTTGAACATTCGGATGATTGGGAAATATACCTCGAAGCACTTGACGAATGACCTGAGGTAATGCGTAGTGTGCTTCAGGCTATATACGACCGACCTTCCACAACAAATGTCCACAACACCGAGCGAATTTCAGCTTGCCACGTGGGGCCCGTCAAAATCGTCCGGTCACTTCGGCGCGATCCTCATACATCTGACTGGACGGTTTTCACGAGCACCGCGTGCCTGCTAACGACAGTGGTCGGCAACGTACTGTAGAGAAGTGACAACCGACTTGAAGGCTATGCAAGTACTACGTAAACCTCGTCATACTCGTAGACTCAGGACGTTTGCACTCGCTAAGATAGTTCCACGATCGAAGCCAGTATAATTCCTGGTTAAGGACTGTTTGAATCAATGACCATGACTTTGACAGCTGTGATGGGTGAAAGTGGAACATGGAGTCGTTTTAGCGGATGCAGATTTCTAAGTGCATGAGTACCTTTTCGCTGTATTATCGAGGGTTCTGCGATCGTAGGTCCTAAAACAGCAGAGAAAATTGTTTGAACTGACAGAATTCTATTGTCTGTCTACGAACTCTTTATACTTCTAGATGCTCCCATGCTGTCTCTATCTATACAGTGAATCTGAAGAAGGTAGCATAATCGCCCTTCTCTCTCTCGAGATCCTTCTCAGCAACAGTATATAGTTCTGGTGCCTTGTAATTTGCGTTCCTTCGTGCGTTCTCTCGTCTGTAGTAAGTAGTCATAATTCCACTGAGGACGAAGCTCATGGCTTGAAGACCAATGAGAATCGACAATCCAGTCTGGAATCTGGGGCTGTCCTTTGGCAAGAAGACGAATGAGGCGATCATACCACCTGCATTACCGAAACCAACGTGCATAGCCATAGCAACACCTCTCTTCAAAGTACCGCCATTGTTGTTTCCTTGCCAAGCAGCACCTTGAGCGACATTGGGATAGACACCCATGGAGAAGAGGAACACACCGGCGTACTTTTGCTGAGCGTGCTTGGCGTCGGCGAAAAGCATGAGCAGAAGACCGACAATAGCAAGCAGCATGCCGCCCATCATGAAGAGACCTCTTTGTTGAGTCTTGTCACCGGCCCAACCTGTGAAGATACAGCATACACAGGCAACAACGTAGGGTGGAACGGTCATGAGTTGAGCGTGGGCGTTGGTGTAGCCAAGAGTTCTGACAATGGTTGGTAGGAAAAGGGCGACTGAGTAGACGCAAGTGTAAACACCGATGGTGATACACATATGTACCCAAACTTTCCAATCCTTAAGAGCGTCGTAGGCGTATTTGAGGTTGAATTCGGTGGCCAATCCAGACGAGTCAAGCGTGAGTCTCCTCTTGACCTCAGCCTTCTCCGCGCTTGACAGGAACTTGGCGGTATCCGGGTAATCGTGTAGGAAGAACCAGGCGACGATGGCAAAGATGAAGGTGAGAATACCCTCAAGGATAAACAGCCATCTCCAGCCTGCAAGTCCGCCAACGCCGTTCATTTCATTGACACCTCTCGCAATCAGACCGCCGAAAGCGCCTGCTGCAGTTGCGGCTGAGAAGAAGATAGCAATGCGAAAGCCACACTCGTGTCTGCGGTACCAAGTCGTGATCAAGAACGCAACACCAGGAAAGAGCCCTCCTTCCGCAAGGCCGAGGAAGATTCGCGCGGCCAAAAGACCGTGGTAGTTCTTCACTATACCCATGAGTGTTGTGACTATAGCCCAGGCGAACATAATTGTTGCGATCCATTTTGATGGTGTCCATTTCTTCAACATCATGTTGCTAGGGATCTCAATAAGAATGTAAGTTGGGTAGAAAATGGCGAGTGCGACCTGTTTCCGTTAGCTGATGTCGTTATGTGAGGGCGTAGGGTTGAGGGCTTACGTTGTAGTCAAGACCTTTCATGCCGAGATCCTTCTCGAGGCCGAATAGACGGGCATTGCCGATGTTGGTCCGGTCGAGGAAGGACAAAAGATAAAGGATTGTCAGAAGTGGAAGGAGCTTTCGATCGATCTTGCTGATGAGAGCCCTCTCCTGCCTTGCATCAAATCCAAGACCTGAGTCATTGGAGGCGGACTCGATGAGATCGACATCTGCCTTGATATCCTTCTCAGTGACGCTGACAGCTCTCATAGAGTTGACAGCATTGCTGAGTCTTCTGACTGAAGACATGCTGATTGTCGTGTGGTTGTTGGTGAGACCACTTACTGTGAGGATGTTGAGTTGGAAGGAGCACAGAGGTAGCCAGGAGTGTCGTGCCAATATACCTGATCCTTACCCCAGACTTATACTTCTCCAGACTCACGTCTCAGACTGTGGGTGCTACTAAAAGTCTATTAAAGGAGCGTCTTCGCCAAGAGATTCGAGATTCCTAGTGATGTCACTTAGCCAATTCGAGATTGCAGCATCTTTTCCCCCAGACTTCTTTTCTGTCCAGCTTGCCCCAATGCGGAAGTTTCTTGGAAAGGCATCTTAAATTCAACGAAGTAGACCGACCAATTGAGGAAGAGGTCGATGAAGCATGTGGGGGAAGATGCAAGTTCTGCTTTGAAAAGCCGGCCCAGGTAGATGGTCGCAGGACTTGGCAGAAGTCAAATTGACACCCATTGACCTGCGGCGCGGAATGGTCGCGGTCGAGAGGAAGACCGAGCAAGGACACAGAACACTTCCGTGACAAATCAGGTGCTGAAGAAGTTTGGCGAGGTTCGAGAGGCAGGTCTAGATTTTCCCAGATCCGGGAACAGCTCCGATGTTATCGCATCCGTTGATTATCGAGGTGTAACTCGCCATGTGGGATCCAGGTACTCTGATTCGCCGGTCTGAGGCGTGTGCAGGCTCAAAAACTCAACCGGCGAATCATTTCGGAGTCTCCGTGCTTGGCAGATCCAGTCAGAGCCTGGAGTCTAGTGCGAAGGCCTGGCTAATGCGGGGAGCTAATGGCCAACAAAATTCATTGACGAGGTCCTGGGCTATTAGTGCATGTGATATAGCGTATAACAGACGATAATAGATCCTCTGTTGAGTCAGTGGTCAATATTGATCAATGTCAGTTTGAGAAGTTCAATGTTTGGTTGACCAGTCAGCAGCATCTATACATGCTTGCAAATGGTCAGGCATCGAAGTTGCCAACGAGCCAACAAGATCAAGCTTGACTGCATCACAAGCTTCCTGAAGGTAGCGCCTGCTTGCGCGCATACTGTCAGAGCAATTGGGAAGGTGCTTAGATAAACGATCTTTGACGTAGGCCTATAGAACATCGACGGGGTTGAGCTCAGCAGAGTGTATAGACCACCGAAGAGGGCAAAGCCCATTGTCTCGGAGTTGTCGAGCACGACTGCGAACACTGTGCATCACAGCATCGTCTTATGTCAACATCAGTTCGTGGCTTCTCTCAGTATTGGGGGGCCACCTGCGCAGAAGATCCACGGAGTGGGATGGCCGTGTCCAATAGCGTACTGGACTGCCTTTACTCTGATCTGCAGACGATCTCGAGGTAGGTGTATATTGCGTACTAGCGGAGGGTGAAGACTTGCAGTCTCTGGTCTCTGATTAGTCTTTCAGTAATAGACAGGGTGGCCACGTGGGAAGGGGCCATAGTGAATAGTGGTGGGGTGGGGGTGGAGGGTGGGACATATTTAGGGTTTGGGTGGATTTTTTGAAAATTGCAGATTTGAGAGACTGATAAAGAATACGGTGCGGCGGATTTTCTTGATAGAGCTGCCAAGCTGCCGAGATCTGGCTGAGACCGTGAACTAGTCTCAACAAGGCAGCTGGCATAGCTATGAGGCTTTGCCAAGCAGCTATCGCATGATCCAGAAAACAACCGTACTTCAAGTTGTCCACTGAGTCATCTGGCTCGCCCCATTCACCAAACAAGCCGCCTCCTGCTACTCGATGTTGCAAAAAGTCTGCACCCGCTAGAATTCCATCACTTTCTCTTAACGAGAGTCCTCAGGATGTGCTATCAACCACAACTTCCACACAGACGTGCTGTGCAGGATTTGAGCGGGCGCAGGCTTCCCGGATCAATAAATACGGGTCGACTGTTCAGGCCCTCAGAAAGTTCGAGACCAGTGACAGATTGCACAATAGTGAGCTGAAGTGTCCGCGCCAAGTAAACTTACACCCACACATAAGGTTTGGATCCAACCAGAGCCCCAGATAAACGAACCAGAACCCCAGGTAAACGGAAATTGGACGAAATAATCACACGTGGCGTAACATTCTGACCATCGAGATAGCGTGGTAGTGTTTCACAGCTTCGGACGAGGAAATTCCGAGAAAGAGCCGCATGTGCAACAGTCACTGACACGATCGTGCGAGTCAACAATGTTGATTCTTTCATCGAGGTACTGTAAGTTCGATTTGCTCGAGATGCAAGGGTAAGACAGCTCCTTGCATTAGCTCACACAAACTTACGTACCTGGTATTCCCGAAAGAAGGAGAGATTGTTTGAAGATTTGACAAGATGCAGAAAAGCTGGTGTCACCCTGCTTGCTCCCAGCAGGAGCATGAAGTCTCAAAATGAGTTGGCGACCTAGCCTCCAATCATTCAGCAGCGCATGTTGCACCAAGCAAGTCATTGTGTTTGCCGTGCAAAATCTGGCGACAGGTACACAGCTTCTCGTGATGCTACCTCTCAGAGAGTCGCTGTACTTGCATTGACTTCACACAGTGTACGTCCCTAGTCGATGGGTTTTACAGGGGATAGGTATACACTGAAAAAGGTATGAATAGTACTATTGCTTGTACTCACGGAATACAGCACGACATCAGTCGCAAGAAATGCCTCCTGCTCACGAATTTTACCTACACGCTGAAATCCTTGTTTCGCAACAAACCACGAACCATTGTCCAAGGAGCGAGCCTTGGGTCTCTATGTTCCGCCATCTAACTCCTGCGTATTCGGCTTTCTCACGATGCCTAAACCATCGAAGTCCCTAACAACGAAGGTAGGCTCCTCATGTTCATCGACTTCGCTCTCGCTATCATTTTCGTCGTCTTCAGCACTGTCTTCTGCTTCGGCAGTGGGCTTTCTACTGTGCTGCTGTTTGGGGTCCTGGTCCTCCGCTGAACCCTGATTGTACTTATACAGTACCCTCGGACTGCTCTCGGCGCTGTGAAAAGTCTCACCATGCCCAGTTGGCGCAGTCACCGCCGAATAGGCGCTGAATCGGTTTGAGTCCGCTGTATTCCTTCGAGAGTCCTTAGGCAGGTCAGCAGAATGAAACTGTTCGTCTCTGTCTTCTTCGTCCACCTCTCGAACTTCGCACGTCGTCGGGCTAACATCACCACCGGTCATGCTTCGCTCACCATCAACCGATTTGCGGCCCGCATCGATCATACTAGTGTCAACGTGTAAATGAGCACGTGTGTCTTCAAGCTGCTTGCTGGCATCTTCACTAGCTTGCTCTTTTAGCAGCTGCTCACGAAGTTTGATTCGATCTTCACTTGACAATTGCCATTCCGGACTCATTGTGATGACGCTAGCTTTCTTGCCATGTAGTACAAATCGACCGGTAGGATCTCGTTTTAGTTCTTCGCTTTCGCCAGACATGAAGCTTCGATTGTCGTCGGTTGCGGCGAAGCTCGATCCCGAATCTTTCCCTTTCTGACTACGGGCATGATGAGGGACACGCATGTTTATGCTGTGATTCCCGGAGGCATCGCGGAGAGTGCGGTGGAGACTGCGGCGCACACTGCTCGTACGTTCTTTGGGAGACTTGGGGGATTCGACAAGGTGGAGTGGTTGTGGTCGTGTAGGTCGATCGTGTTCCGATTCACTACCACGTTGAAACCTGTGCTCAAACGTTCCATCAATGCCGGTATGTGGGGATCCCAGGAAGTCCTCAGCATCAATATCAGTGGCTGCCTGACTGTCGCCACCTGCCGAATAACGCCTAGAATGACTAGTCCGGATCGAAGGCGTCCCGTCTCGTCCTTCACTTGTGATATCTTCGTTGTATCGCGGACTAGGTTTAGGAGACATAGATAGTATGCTATTCGCGGACCGACGGCGAAGTTGTGACATTTCAGGTGGCTCTTCGGTACTTGTACTAATCTGTTCGAGGATCGTCTGCGATGGCCTTCTGCGAGCGCTGGCACTAGCAGGAGTAGTGACTGCTGATGATCTCGTCACGTTTGAGCGAAGAGTTTGATCTGTCTCGGAACGCACCAAAGCGTCCTTGTTCGTCTTCGTAGGAGTCGTCTTAGCAGGAGTGTTGACTGCAGGAGTCCGAGTCAGCGGTGCCGGGAAGGCTTGCGTCGCCTCAGCTTCCAGATCTTTAATCAAGATGTCCCGATGTGTCCTAGCACGCCATATCTCTCTTCTTGTCCATTTCAACTTGGCATTCATCCGTCCTGCAGCATAGACAACTCCCTCTCGAGTTTTCTGCTGAACCGGCAGCAGGACGAGTAGATGCCGAGCATTCCTAAGTAAGTAATCAAGCTCCTTCTGAGCATTGGCGACATGATCATCAAGCGCACTTATCTTCTCACTGACAAGCTGCCTTCTATAGAACATGATTTCCCAAGCTAGTTGTGGATCAGTCTTGCCTGCAGCTGATGGCTGTCGATCCGTCGTGTGGGACGTGTCGGTTCTGATTGAGATCTCGGAGTCTTTACGAAACAGATTGCGGCCTTCGTAATTCGTGCCTAGTAATCCTTGCATGCGCACTCCTGCAGTCCTAAAGGTCGCGGCATAGTTGAGCTTGCTGATCCAGTCTACAGTGTCAACTTCACTATTGGCCAAAAACACTTCTTCAAAGCCGCCATGCTTGATAAATGTGAATGCGTTTTTGTGCCTCTTATAGCTCGAATCCAGTAAAGCAACAGCATCTTCCAGTGACATCCATGCGTCAGGATCGAACGACGTCAACGGAGGCTTGAAGACCAAGGGCATGTTACGTGACGACGTTCTGGTGTGACCTTCGTATTGCGCGACAAGCTTTTTTGCCCAGCCAACATCCCTGAAGAAATACAACTTGGTATCGGTCAGGATGACGCCCCATTCTTGCCATGGGCTCTTAGCTTTCTTCTTCTTTGTAGACTTGCGCCACAACAGACCGACCTTGGCAACTTTGATGCTAACTAGCCCCACTTGAGCTTCTGCTGGATTTGTAATAGTTGCCTGATTCGTGAAGGCATCAGGCCGCGATCGTGCTGAGACTATTTGTATGACAGCGGCGTGTACGAAGGCTCGGTGGTTGTCGTTGGAGTCAACGGGTGCAGTGGAATAACTGTCCTCGGTCTCGATCACATCTTTCAACGACGGCCGCAGAGCCTCGAGCTTATTGTCCAAGATCAATGTATATGGATCCACAGGACCACGAAGCATTTCTGAGCTCTTTGCTCTTCGTAATCCGGTCCGTCGTCTTGGCACGGTAAGTCGATGGTTGTTCACAGCTACCTCATCGTCAAAGTGAATGAAAGGTGTGTAGCAAATATTGTCATAGAAACATTCGAGTACATCCTCGGCAACGGAGATACGACCATTTTGGGTATTCTTGATGTAGTCTGTTTTGGTCATCTTTCGCTTGTTGTTTTTATTGTGGTTGTCCGACTGCAGAAGAAGGATCGAAAATGCCAGGAAATTTGCCTCATCGGCATTCGTGAAGATACCCGGATTACATTCATGATAACGATCTGCGAAGCCAGCCAACAGTCGGTCTATCTGTTGAGTTTCTTTTGGCAGGATCACCTCCATGAGCATTTTCCGGATTGAGAAGTCGATCGACTCGCCAAAATAAGAAAAGCCTCTCATATACTTCCTCAAACAAGTTTTAGAGAAGTCGTCTGCGCCCTTACAGAGAACGGTGGCCATGGCGCCTCTGGGTACAGCCGCTTCGAGTCTTTCAAGGTAGGTGGCAGGGGTATCTTCTTCCTCGCGTCGTGGGTAGGTAAGTTCTGGCTCTGGCTCACGAGCAAGCTGAAAAGAATTTGACTTTGAGCCCGGAGTACTGCCTGAGCCAGAGCCGTGTCGTACAGGAGCAGAATCTTTTCGCAGGCGTTGAGTGAGAATATCGCCGAAACTGCGTCTGCCAGTTGTGGATGTGGAGTTTCTGCTGGATGGTGGTATGTCACCATAGCGATCGGAGGATCGTCCCAAGGACCCCATGGTCGACGAGCGGCCTCTAGCCCCGAGCCGAGGAGGTGCTAATGAGCTGGTAGGAGTAGTGTCACCAGAGTTTACGGACACACTGGATTGCATTCGAGAAATGGAGGGACCAGGTGAACCGAGAGGAGCATTTGTCAAAGCAGTCGCAGAGGCAGCTGGTGATTGGACTGGAGTATTGTCTCGATCTACGTTTGTGCGCCATCTTATGCCCTGAGTAGACCTCCTGCTCGGGGATGTGGATCTCTGAGTAGCGAAAGCATCATTAGAATCGTTCGCATTCGATATGCTTGTTCGACCTGAGCCAGGATGAGGTAGCCTCTCAGGTAGAGGAAAGAGAGGACCTTTGTCTTTGGATTTTTTCTTCTTATTCGGCTTTAGCTTGAAGATCGTGGTAGTGGTCTCAGTGATGCGGGTGGTCGTGGTTTGGGCGTAGAGTCTGTGAGAACCCGAACTGCCTTCGGAGCCTCCAGATTCTGATATCCTTGGGACAGGGGTGGCAAGCATGGAATTGCCTTCGTCTCCATAAGCAGGAGGTGACAGGACGTCGACATTGTTCTTCCACGGACTGTGCTGAGACATGGCACGAATGAGGTTGGGAGAGGACGAAGCTGTTCCGTCGTTGTTCTGGACAGACGACAAATGACTGGACTGGTATAGACCATCTTCACGTATAATCATGCTCTTTCTGAAGCTGTTGAATGTGCGTGGCAGCAGCCTCTCTTTCTTCTTGGGTGGTCTTTCGTCCAGCTGCTGAGTTGGCGCAGTAGTGATTATGCGAGGAGGTGGTGGCGAAGGAGCAGTTTCGATATCAGTGGTGGACTCCTTCTCCTTGAAACGCGTAGATAGTTGAGGTTCTGAGGCATGTTTGAACTTCATGAGGCTAAAGCGCTGTGGTTTGGGGGTGACTTCCTCCTCAATTCGTTGCTCCTCCTCTTCGACAGTTTTCCGCAACAAAGGCCCGGAACTCGACTGCGACTGCTCAATCTCGTCTTTGGGGGTAGTGCTCGTGCCTGGACGCGAAAGTGGATCGGCATCTCCGACCGCCAAAGAGTTCTTGCGTGAGATCTCGCCAGGTTCCTGAGTCAGGTATTGGCCAAAGCTGGTCTCATTGGAGAGGGAGTTGCGATGGAAGGACAGGCTCAGGCGGTGTAAAGATCCTATCTTGCTGTGATTCTTCCTTGGACTTTGGCTTGACTTCGAAGGGCTTGTTATAGGTAGGGCAGGCGCAGGTTCGCGAGTGCTGGACCTCTTCTTGTTTCCTCCACTGGACGAAGGACGAGTGAGGATATCTTTCAAAGCCATAGTCGCGTCGCAATCACCTGCACGATCCTTTCTGTTTCTTGCCTTATTTGTCGGCTTCCTAGTGCTTCCTTAAGCCTGATTGCACGCGGATTGAATGCAGCATCAGACCGGCTGACGTCGCATGTAAGGCTGGGCATGTGGTATTGTCCCTATTATTGTTGGTAACGAGCGACAGTGATGATAATGGCTAAGAACGAAGGGAACAACAGCTACGACATATCGATGTGATGCATCACTTGCACAGCGCAAGTTTCCAGCTCCTGTCTCGACTGTGGAGGGACCGCCAAATCGGTACTGCAGGACATTTGGATATGCGAGGATGAATGAGGTGGAGCATGTCTTGGCCTGACCCTGGCCGCGCAGGCATTGAAGAGTGAAGGCCGTGGATCCGGAGCATAATTGTCTTCGGACGTGGGCCACCCGTGACGAAGCCTATCCGCATACGTTTTCAGGGCAGCAATCAGGTTCAGCCCGCCTATTCTCTGTGGCTTGGGCAGGTTTTGCGACAATAAGCTGACTCGTTAATCCCACATTACAACCTCGACGGAATGAAACTCAACATCTGTGACATCCTACACGTTCCTTGACCCGGATCAACAACAAGATCTTGTTGCTCTCGCAAAACAAGGAGGATCTTGATCGATCTCGCCTATTTGTGAATTGAGCCTATCGTGCTGGACAGTACTAGCCAGCAACTCCGGCTTTACTGCAACACTATGAAAACGTCACAAGAATAAGCTTAGGTATAGCCTCTCAACGGACAAGTCAATATGACACGTTGGTCTAGCAACCTTGCGTGGTTAATTCGGCCATGGTCATGGTATCGTTTGCGCAAGTGAGCATCGTGAAAAATAGGGTCAAGGCATCAATCGTTCAAAGTGTCAAATACAATTGTTCAGTCATGCTAGCCTTCATCATTGCTCGCCTTCCTCACAGAAGCGTACGTCTTTGTCGTGATCGCTGAAGAGCTTGCCACAAGCGGGTCCAACGAACAAGCATCGAATTCTACTTCCACTAGTTTCGGCATTGATGGCTCTAAGGCTCTGGATGAAAAGTTCACATAGACGAGCTGTCTCGAGATTGGATGTGGCGACCGTTGCGACGCCTTCTACTATAAGAAGGATATCTTTTCCACTACTCAAACCAAGCATTGCTCTCTTCTTGAAGGTTTCCAGCTTGGATGTCAGATCTGTATCGTTCGCTGGCGGCATGTTCCGAGGACTTGTCTTCTCCAAGTTGATGGACTGTAGGTAATGTGTTTGCTGCTGAATCAAGGAATCCATCATGTTCGCAACGATGTTTTCACCGTCGATTCGAGACGAAGCGTTCGAAATATAGATGAGCTTGGGGCCCAAAGCATGGTAGTAGAAGTCAGCGCATGCCAGAACGGATTTCTCATCGTCGTCATCCCACGACGTTGCCGCACACATGAATGTGACGTTGTCGTATGCCCACCATTGCGTAAACTGCTCACATAAGGCTTCGTCAGCACCTTCCAGAAAAGCCCTTTTTGCAAGGTAGTCCGTCTGCTCAAGCATAGCGATGGGAGTCACAGGATGTACCAGAGTAGAAGCTGCATGCGCTGTGTTCAAGTTGTTAGACTCTCTAGGGTGCTGCTCAACGTGAACACGACATCGGAGGCCTCGAAGTTCTTCTCGGACATCAGCTGCTAAGTGATCCAATGTTTGTTCTTCATGTCGATGCAACACTGCAAATTGATCATGAACACATGTGAAGAAGTTTGCGTTTTGGATGGTGGTGTATCGGTCTCCTAACTGTGCTCGCGCGTACCCTGAAATGTTAGTCGCTGACCCAGCCAGCGGTGTGTTGGTCATTCTGCTAGTCTGGTGTTGGCCTCTTGATCGCAAGCACATCAGATTTCTGGTACTCCACCACGTAATGAGGTGTACCTCACACCATTCGAATGCCTTCTTTTCGCATGATTAGACCTCATGCACAGGAGACGATGAACGTACACCTAAGTAGTCTCGGTACCTACTCGAGTATGACTCAACATACCCATCGTACTAGCTAATGGAGGCGCGACTTCAAAAGTGCCCTTGGGCTATGCTCCAGTAAACGCCCGTGGTCAAGTGGGGCCCGCCATGGGTGGATTTGTGCTGCAAGACGAGCACACCGTTGCTCAAAGCCACATTTAGTCCATTGGACGATCGCAACATGCTCTCGCGATTTAAGCGCTTTGTCAGGCCCTCGTTCCCTCATCCAGGTATTAAGCGAGATGGAAGAGCGCCGATAATACCACGTGAGGTCGGTCTGTGAAGTCTTTCCGGTCGTTGTTAGGCACCGCTACCGCCACACGGGGCTAAATCCCTTGATTCTGGCTACTAGTATGGTATTTGCATGGTCCTGCCTTGTACTATCCGCCGGTACTCGAGTAACTAATCCTTTAATTGTCGCAGAAGGCTTGATAATGGTGGTTCCTGTTACGATATACTCGAGTACGAATGATGCCTCGTCTCAGGCCATCACATATGACTGCTGAGGCAATACAGTTGTCGTGCTCATGCAGCGTTCTCCCGAAGGGTTGGCCTTTTGGGATCACCTTGGACATGAAACGAATCCATCTAGCCGCATGTTCATTGATCGAATCAAAGATGGAGAACAACGATCTCATGGCTCAGCCTTTATGCACGAGTCTCGCCATGATCAGCCTTCCCCTTACTGTCGAGTCGACCTTTTCCTTCGCTTTCTGAGTACTGATAGGGTGGCCAGCCAAACTCCAATAAGACCACGTCCAAGCTTATAGAACGATTTGCTCGATGATGATGCTCACAGAACAGTCGCCTCACACATACCCCTCAACACATGCCCGGGATATTGTTCTAGCTGGTAAGGTCGTCGAAAATGTGTCCAATCAAGCTACCAGCACATCGACCTCTTCGTCTTTTCAGTTGAAGAATCACAACATCGTGACTTCGTCTTATGAGGCCACACCACTAACTGAGGAGAACAAAATCGATCGCAAGTCTTCTTGCATCGAGAGCTCATCCGAGACAGTGAAGAGACAAGACACGATCACCGAGGACCAGATTGAAGCGCCTCCCAAAGTTGACGTTCTGTACTCGCTCCATCTGCTCAGAGGTGATGGAGGCGGAGCGAAGAGCTATTACAGAGACACTCCTTTTGGCGGAGTCGACCTCGGATTCTCAGGATTCGGTGAACCGGAAGAAGACAACGATGCTGCTGTTATATACGCAAGTGCTGATATCAAATCTAAAGACCTCAACGACAAAGCAGGCAATACAGAACTAGACTGGTCCATGAATCGTGCAGACTTCAATTTCGGTAAAAGGTTCAAATTAGACAGCGTTGTTGGTCAGTACATTCGAATAAGGTCTGCTCGCTTAATTGAAGTTTTGGAGTCGGTCATAGACTACAACCCCGACTTATATGCGGCAGGACTTGAAATTCATCATCTCGACACCGGGTCAGGCTGTTACAATACGCTTGTGCTCTACTACGATGATCTATACCGCCTTTATCGCAGGTATGCGGGCACCCTCTCCACCGATACACAACGCGCTGATGCCTTTCGCGGAATCAATCTACGTGAAAACGCGCAAATTGATCAGTTCTGGGATCCCATGGCATCATCAAATCTCGAATGGAGGTGGGACAAAAGAACAGCCGCCGACTTAGCAGCTCTTCTACGTCTCATCGGACCTCATTATGATAGTAGAATTCCGGCGATCATACGAAGATTGCAACTAGATCAACCTCGGATACCATTCGAGTACTTGTGGTTCTTGTATAAGCCAGGAACCGTGGTATACATGCGCAAGGACGATCGATTACAGGGTCTGGTCGTGGCCGCTGCGAAGAGAGAAGAGAAGAATTTATCGTTGCGCTCCGAGGGTTTAAATCACTTGACTCGTTACGAGCTAGCGGCGTGGTATTACGAATACGACGGCAAGCTGTTGAAACGTACCACGGTTCTCAACCACATCATACAGTACGAGGGCGATCGCTCTGTGATGGATCTACCCTGGATCCCAACCAGAATGTATGACAAACTTGATCGTGGGGTAGGGAGAAGAGCCTTACATACGAGAGCTGAAATCTTATTACAGATTGCGAGAGAAGGTTTCGCTCATCGGAGGTTAGACCATTCTCGCTTTTCTTACAGGGGCGAAATCGTCATTGATCCGGCCGAGTACAACGAGAAGCTCTTACATCAATTGAATCCCCGTTTTAGTTTTATATATGCTAGACCTGTTGAGTTCGAGCCTGGAACGAGTGCTGTTGAGGCCAGCAGGTATCTGACGGCCAGTGAGCCTGAGGATGGAAGAGGGTACAGACGTTTCACGGACTACCACGAAATTGACCCAAAAGATCCGGAGAGTGTCAAGCTATTATATCCAGACGGTGTTCTTATCCTTCCAGCTCGTGTGGGCGGACTAGCTTTGGGCACCAAGCAATGGATGAGATTCCACGTCGAAGACATCAGTATGGAAGCCCCGTTTACTCGGGTGAAACAGCTCAGAGAGCGTCTAGTTATCAACGATGACGACAAAGAGATCTTACAAACTGTACTACTCAGAACCGCAGCCAAACATGCTGTGCAAAGTGACTTCATTCGTGGAAAAGGGGAAGGTCAAGTGTTCCTACTGCACGGTCCGCCGGGTACTGGAAAGAGTCTGACGGCCGAATGCCTCGCGCACGACACTCAAAGACCTTTGATCTCGCTCACACAAGGTGACTTGACCGAATTCAATCAGAATCTGATATCAGAAAATTATCTGCGAAAATGGTTCACACTTGCTGCTAGATGGGGCGCGATCCTCCTCATTGATGAGGCAGACATCTTTCTGGAGAAGCGCAATGCTAGCGGGGAACATAATTCTCTTGTTACAAGTCAGTATCGCCTCGTGTATATGGCATGAATGTTCACTAAAGTGTCTGCAGTCTTCTTGAGAACAATGGAATACTACGCTGGGATATTGTTCTTAGTAAGGTGTGCCCTGTACAGTTCTAGAACATTTCAGCTAACCTTGATATCACAGACAACAAATCGACCAAAAAAGATCGACGATGCATTCCTCAGTCGAATTACGGCGTCCATCCGATATTACCCCCTGACCAAAGACGCACGCTATAGTGTCTGGCAAAGATTCTTCGACCTGCACGAAAAATCCACAAAGCCAAAATTAAAGATCACCCCCAGAGCCAAGAAAGGACTTCGAGAGGATGACACCACCCTCAACGGTCGTGAGATACGAAACAGTAAGTCCACTATCGCCATACGCGACCAACCGACACTAACGTGCTCGCAGTCTTCCAGACGGCCATTAACCTTGCCATGCTAGAGCGTCAAAACGCGATAGACAACCAGGAGTGTGACGAAGAGTGTGGCCCACAAGTCACATGGATCGATTGGGATCATTTCTCCAAAGCTCTGGAAAGACACAAGAGTTTCCTGGAATACCTGACAGGCTTGAATCGTAATATGAACGAACACAAGCGCAATATGGTACGGGATAACTACTAGTGAAGCCTAATCATACTAGTACAGATACTGGATAGCTGTGGCAAGCTGGCCTCACCCCAGTACCAACCCAACTCCAGGCGAGCAAAAAAAGATAGATAAAGGCTATACACAGACAGCATACCTAAACTTCCATCATGTCATCATATAGTACTCCTGCACGACTATATAGCATCAGTCGCACCTATCTCAACTCATCATGCTAACACTCCGTACCAATAACTCATAAAATTCTCTCTGCAGTTCTCTTCTACAACGCCTCACCAAACTGTCCACGGCCCCTCGTCGTATCATACGCCGTCAACAATCTCGTCTGCTGCCCCATCTCATCCCCAGCACTAAACGCATACCCCCTCTGCTTTCTCATCCTCTGCACCTGCCGTACCTTCCTAACCGCCTTCTGGAACTGCTCCATCCTCGGCCTGTAATCCTGCACATTGTATTTCTGAATCTCCTGGATATGATGGTACGCCTGCGGGAAATACATCCTCTTAGCGTATTTCCAGGCAAAGTCACGGAGGAGGCAGGCAGGAGGGAGGAGTAAGCACATGGCGTAGAATTGTGGAGAGGTGAAGATGACAGGAACGATGCCGATGAGTTCGGTGCTGAAGCCGGTGCTGATGGCGGGGGCGGCGTAGGAGTAGGCGGGGAAGAGGACGAGCCAGATGATGATTGAGCCGGGGATGGCGATGACGTGGTATTTGGTCCAGATATTGGTAATGAGGGCGGCTTTGCCGAGGACGACGAGTAGGATGGCGGTGTAAGAGGCCATGCCCCAGACCCAGTGGCCGGCTGTGGTGCCGTTCGACATGGGTCCGTCGTTGTAGTAGATGTACGAGGTGAAGATGTAGGCGATGATGGAGTGATAGAAGCCGTTGCCGACCCAGGAGAAGAATGAGTGCATTTTGAAGAAGGTCCCTTTTTGGCCGAGTTGGTAGAGTTGTGGGTATCGGTCGAGGAGACGTGCGGAGATGAATTGGTCGAATATGCCCATGGCAAAGGGTGGGAGGACGGTGAAGAAGACGTTGTAGAAGGAGAGCAGCCAGGACTCGAAGATGACTTGGCCAGAGAACGCGTTTTGGAAGGAGTACTAAGACGTATTAGCTTTGTGTACTGTGGTTCGGCGTAATTGAGACTTACCCAGAATTGAGTCATGAACATGGCAATGTTCTTGTAGAACGAGTACAAGATGACCTTACTGACCCTTTGATACGCCCATATGCCATGCACCAGAAGCAGCTTCCTTAGATAACGGAACTGACCAATGGCAATATCTGCACTTCTCGCTGCCTGAAGACCTTCAACACCACTTATACCTACTCCGACATGGGCAGCTTGTATCATGGAGACATCGTTAGCACCATCGCCAATCGCTAAGGTCAAGGCCTTAACATGACGTTTGACCAATTTGACGACTAATGCCTTTTGCAGAGGTGAGACACGACAGCATATGACAGCCTTGCATTTGATGGCTAGATCCAAGAAAAGCTTCTCCATATCCTTCTCGAGCGCGAAGGTCAAAGACTTGCCGTCAATGACCAATGCAAGTACCTCGTGCTCAGCACCAAGAGATTGCTGACTATTGACTGCATCCAGTTTTTTCTGTATGTTCTCTCGAGTCGCTGCCGACGTCTCTTCGTTGACAATGAGCAGAGTCATATCCTCGCTTACTAGCTTGCAACTCATGCCGATATTGATAGCTGTTTCCTGTCGATCACCAGTCAATACCCAGACCTTGATTCCTGCTGTCTGTAGTGTGTGGATAGTATCTGGAACTCCATCTTGCAGCCTATCCTCGATCGCCGTCGCTCCCAACAATGTCAAGTCATGCTCGATGATCTCAGCGGCTTTGTCAAGTTCTTCAGCACGGTTACCACCAACAGTGGTTGCAGCTTTTTCAAATATCAGTTGCCACTGCCGGAATTCGGCATCTGGTACTTCACGCATTGCCAGACACAGCGTACGCAGACCCTCAGTGGCGTAATCTTCAAGGTGACGCAACGTTGCATCAACAGCCTGATTATTCTTTGAGAGCCTCTCCAGAATAACAGTATCGGCACCTTTGCAGTATATCCTAATTTTGCCATCGGGACACCTGAAAATGGTTGACATTCGTTTTCTGGTTGAGTTGAATTCGCAAACTGCAAGAAGCTCGTATTCCAGCTCCTGACCTTCAACTTCAACAAGAACAGATCTGGGTTTTCGAGCGACGAATTTGTAACCCATCAGGACTGCGCCTTCTACCAAAGCACCTTCATCTGGTGAGGCAGCTTGATATTTGATCGCACTCTTTTCGTCCTTTCGCTCTGGAATGACGGTATGACAAGTCGCTAGGAGAGCTATGAAATGCTGTATTGCGAAACTTGATTCGTGGTTGACCATGTTTGATTTCAGCTGTTTGAAATCATGAATGCCATCGAGATCGTCGGGAGTAGAGGCTCTTCGATCCTCCGGGACCACTATAGCATATTGAATACCTCCTATCGAGCATTGTCGGAACTCCATCATGTTACACGTCAGGGTTCCAGTCTTGTCAGAGAAGATGTACTCAATCTGGCCGAGCTCTTCTACAAGAGAAGAGGTCCGACATACAGCTGGCGTGTCGGTGTCAGGGTAGTAGATATCCAGATCGCTATTAATTAGGAATGCCTGGTAGTACTTGACCAGGTCAATGGTCACAAACAGTGAAATAGGAACCAAGTTCGAGTACAGAACCCAATAAGTGAAGATGTCGAGGAAGAATTGACTGGCGGCATTAAAGGAGCCTTGAAACTCCAGGTAGCCCAGCTTGTCGCGAGAGGTGGATTGAATGATAATGTCTCCTATCGTACTGATGAGACTGAGCACGAGGAGGATAACGACCAACATGAGAATCTGCTTATTGAGCATCCTCTCAACGTCAGTCCGTTTGATGGGAGTGGCAGTCGCATTCCGCATCAATTTGGTTTCGTGGCCTGTAAAGACGACGATACCATGTATCCAAGGTGTGTTTCTCAGGGTGGCACCTCTGAGCAGAAGCTGTTCTGGATTCAGAGGCATTTCCTTGTTACCACTTTGCAGATTAGCTGTCATGGTGGCTTCATAAGTGTAGAGACTGTTATTGGGCTGCTCGGACCTCAGCTTGCCCTGTACCCGACCTAAGTCGTTAGGGTTGAGCAAGTAGGTCGTCTCTGGAAGAGCCTGCTTAATCTTCAAGTTCGTCTCTCCATCCAAATTTGCAGTCTCGATGTAGCACAAGCCTTCAGGTTCGGAGCTAGTCAGCAGAACAATGTCAGCTGGGAAAGGCTCCTCTGATTCTACCCTGACAATATCTCCTACAGCCACATTGATCCATTTCGTGTCAACAAACATGCCACCTTTGAGTACTCGAGTAATAGAATTGTTCAGTTGGTTATCCGACGTCCTTCTTCTGTAGTCTTCGACCAGTTCCTTGATCGCGGAGACCAGTAATACGAGGAAAAGCGGTACAATTGTGGTATATCGGTTTGTTGGTGATACATTAGGAATCTGCTGGAGAATTGCTGTGAACAAGAAGAACGTGTTTGCGTACTTAGAGAACTGCTCGTACAGGAATTTGGGCAGGAAAGTCGCAACGTTATACTTGGCTGTAGAAATGTGGTTGTCAGCCCAGCCGTTGGATTTGTTGGTCGCTGGATCATTCAACATTATCATCCTGGGGCCGAGAGTGGCAGGGTCGACCTTGTTCCTTTTGAAAATGGATGCAATGGAGCCGATACTGAACTTCCTCTTCTCTTCCACAGGTAGTTGTTCGTCTGTTCCTGCGGTATCGACTCGACGTTCGGTCAAGGGTAGGTTCATGTCAGAGTAACTCTCTCTTTTTCCCAGCATGCCTTTCGCCCGATCTACCATCCCACCCAGGCTCATCAGACTGCTGCGATTTCTGTCGTGTCCATGGCTCATAACATGTACCTGACCACCAGGTATCTGGTCGTCCGAAGACCGACCACCATCGTAGTATTTGTATGTCGAGGCATAGTCCTCATTACTCGCATCGTCGGCATAGCGATTCAGGTTATTTAGGTCCGAGGTCTGTGAGTAGGCTCTATTGTTGTCGGAATAAGGTAAACGTGGTGGTACTGGCTGGCCTGACGGTCTGCCTCCCACGAAGTCGTCGTAGCTGGTCGAGGGTCGCGGTTGCGGCTGGTCGGAGTCGTCTATATCGAAGTGACTGAGTAATTCATTGTCATGTACAGGTGGTCCCTGGCCCGAGTTGTAGGCAGGCCGTGAGTCGTCCAGGCCAAGCAGGTCGTTTCCAGCAGCACGACTATCGGCATTGTCGGGCCTTGCGGCCATCGCTTGTGTGGTTCAAGATCGCGGTCCTCCTTCAATCATCATGCATTCTACTTGTGTTGTGGTATTGCGTCTGCGATGTGTCCCATATTATTGCTGTATCGTTTCTAAAATTAACCGATATGTAGATTAGCCAGCAAAGAGAAGGCAGTGCTTCCAGAGGTAACGTTTCAGCTCGCGACGCTACTGCGCACTCAGTCAGGGTCTGGCTGCCGCCCGTTGCACCTAGTGGGCCCTCTATAAGCACTGCTAAACGAAGACCATCGTTGATTGGCTAGGCCTACCACTAGGTAACCATCAAACCATCGACGCATACCTACTACGTTGCTAAGTCACAAGGTCATGTTTGTTCACGATTAACCACTGGGCCATTGTCACTGGAGATCTGGTTACTATGTGTGCATTATCTTGAGGCCACGTTCTATTGTGTTGGACCCGGCAGACAGGTCGATCGCCAGAATCTATAAAGCACACACCCCTGGTCAACCAATAGGTGCTTCACCACGTTCATTTTCTGCAGACTGACCACGAATATCTCTTTTAGCCAGGTCTGCTGTCAGCCTCGCTCGCATGGACTTGTTCATCTCTCGCGCTTTGAAAATGGCAACCTGAAAACACTTCACCACAATGGCTGGATCCACTGGCTTTCCTCCATGCTTGGCAATCTGGCAGACCTCGAAATCATTGGCTGTCACCACCATCTCAGCCTCTCGGACTTGTTCCTCCTTCGCTGTTGCATCCAGAAGTACTAGCTCGCCATCTGCATAGAAGCTGAAAGTTACACAGATCGGCGAGTGAAGAATACTTAACGGTACAGGGACACGCTCGGCCATGGTATGTATGGTGACACGCTCACCTTCGACGGAAACTTCTGGTCTTCGAAAGTGGTGTAATGCAGCCATCGTGGCAATGCAGCACGCATCGGTTAGGCCTCCGTCAAAGTCTAATACGTGGACGTCGGCACGGACTGACCAACACTTCTGACCTGCCACGATACACAACGACTCTGTGTCGATTGCTCGAGATCTTCGGATTGCCTTTTCCAAAATGCGCGACAACAGCACTTCCTGCTCCGTGGGTCGACCAATCTCGAATCCAGGAGAGGCTATCGGGCTGAGTTCCGTGGTGATTGTGAAGATGCCATCGAATTTGCGTTCTTCGGAAGGTTTGGTCACTTCTGCTGAGATTTGGACATTGACCCTTCAGATACATTAGTTAATCTTTCGTGCATGCTGCTGCTCTGAACCCACTTTGTCTTGCCTAATGTGACCGTAGCATTGCCAAGCTGCTGGCCGTATGTGAGGTCAATGGACCTATATTGATCGAGCTGGCGCCCGTCAAGCCGTAATTTGGACGATATTAGTGCTTCAAGAATAAAATTCTTCTCGACATTGGATACATCCGCGATTCGAGGCATCCTCTCAGCGTTTATCGTCGATTTCGAGATGGTAACGTGGTAAGCCGAGCGGTGGGCAAGAGGCTTTCAACATTATGGTTGGCCAGGCCTGCGATGACTGTGCATTTCTTCTCACAAAAGCCGCTTGCTATAAAATAAAAGTGTTCATAGTCCATTTGTGACTTTCATTTCTGCAGGGTTACTAAGTCCACCCACGTAGTTAGCCTGAGGCATCCACGCTACGTTTCAGCCTTTCGTGAATTTCCCTCTGAAAGAATGCTCATATTTCTATACGACCACAATTCACACGGAAGTTGCGCACAGGTTCACACAGAGGTGGCTTCACTGTATACTACGCTGTACTTGAGATACCCCACGACATCTTTGAACCTGTTAGCGCAAGATGACCACAGCACACAGACCAACGTTCGATCCTGCTCGAGGAAAAGAAGCACAGCGCGGACCAGCGTACCACCAACGTCTCCAGGCAGCACACACTCAGCTCAAATACCGCAAAGCCGGTCAAGGAGGTGATGCTGGGTTCCAAGAACGCGATCTGCGCGCAGAGCTTCTAGCAGCAGAAGCAGCACATTTCAGCAAAAAGAATGGCAGTTCAAGCACAACTCCAGCTGTCGCAGGCTCGAAACGTGCGATCGAGCAAGCCACAGACAGCCCAGACTCCGACCAGGTCCAAGAAGACGAAGAAGCAAAACGCAGACGTATTTTGGAAGAGACACGAGAAATAGACAAAGACGATAGTGACGAGGACGATGATAGCAGCGAAGAAGACGATGATGACGAAGAAGATGAGACAGCCGAACTCATGCGTGAGCTAGAGAAGATCAAGCGCGAACGTGCTGAAGCAAAAGCGAAAGAAGAGGCTGAAAAGGCTGCAAAAGAGCAGGATCAGCGCGAGGAGGAGATCGCATACGGTAACCCATTACTGAATCCGAAAAGTTTTGATTTGAAGAGGAGGTGGGACGATGATGTGGTCTTCAAGAACCAGGCTAGGGGCACGGAGCAGAAAACCCAGAAAGAATTTGTCAACGATCTGCTGAGATCGGATTTCCACAAGAAATTCATGTCCAAATACGTGAGATAAAAGTGACAACGCAGGACATGTCTGCACGAAATTACAGGTCACTAGCGTCGAAGGCTGCAGGCAACAAGGGTTGGCTATGATCGAGCATAGAGAAGGCACTGTCGTATCGCGAACGACACCCTTACGCCTGGCTATTCCAATATGTGAGCCTTTGACGTCTCAAAGATGTGTGTTCGATCAAGGTCGCCTTTCTTGAAAAGTTCAACCATGAGGTTGCACATAAAGAACACCAGAAAAGGGGTCGGCCATGCCAATGCGAGGCACGTCGCGCACTGATCACGCAACGACAATACCTTAATCCATGCAAGATTTTGCACTGATGCCTGGCGGCTTGCTCTGGCACTTGTGGTACTCAGGGAGCGACTGAACTGGTGGTTTGTGTGATTGTGATGGCCATGCACGCTCACCCGCTCGTACAGCCTTGTGAAACCGAGAAGCTTATTTTTTAGCCTATACTGCTCCGTATTTTCGTGGAGGATTCTTCTGCAAGAAGCGGGAACTATCTCTAAAGGCGCCCACACGTCATTTTGCGGGGAAACCAGCCTTGACTGGTTCGCTATGGTCTGGTTCCTGACTCTACGCTCGATTGAGGTGCGCAACAGACTGGCATGAAGCAGGGTTTTGCAAGCACATCAGCTCCTCATCTTGGCCTTGGTGAAACGATTCTTGCAGAGTTGCATGTCGCAGCAGGAATATCTTGTGTCAGATCGTTGTTATGAGGGGTCGAGGGAATCGTCTATTGGCCCTTTTCTGGCCTCATGTAGGGCATCGTGCGATCTAACGAGCATATGATCCTGTTCCAGCAACTCTTGTCTCTACAAGAGCCAGGTCGAGAGATATAACATCCGCTGCTCCGCTTCGCATTCCTTCCTGGCCATCTTCTGCTCCCGGTAGTTTGGAATCATTCATCTCAGTTCTACGTCCAAAAGCAGTAACAAGAACTACCATCGTCCAAAGTCATCATGAGCCGAACGAACGACGGACTAGACCCTTCCAGTACCACTGACGCCTACAGTAGCTTGCGCGGCGCCGATTCCCAAGGCGCTAACTACCGCAGTAATGACGGTCTGGATGCAAGCGGTACCAGCGATGCTTACGGCAGCACCACAACAAGCAGTCGAACTCGTGGAACCGATGGTCTAGACACCAATACTAGCGACGTATACGACACTGGCAGCAGTGGTCGTGGTGACTATGGAGGAGGTGCCTATCGCACAACCGATGGTCTGGATTCTGGCAGCACCAGCGATGCCAGAGGAGGTACTATCAATCGTGGTGGTGATACGCGCTATGATGGTATGCTCCTGAACCTTCTTACTCAAGGACTTACAGTGAGAAGTAGCTAACGACTCTGTGCTCTCACAGACCGCACGAGCGGTGGCCTAGGTGCCGACGACACAATCGGCTCGAACACTCGTACTGGCGGCGCAGGTCGAGGCGGTGACCAAGAGACGAGCCAATATACTTCCGGCGGTCTCGGTGCGGACGACACCTACGGCACTGAGGGAGACACAGGCGGCAACGATACAGGTTACGACCATAACTACGGTATGGGCACAGGCAGAACCGTCGAGCAGGAGAAAGGGTGAGTACCCAACCGCTCCCTATCTCCAACAAACTCCCTGTAACGCAACAAACACTAACATAACACTTTCACAGCGGCATCCTCCCCACCGAGCCAGGTCGCGTTGACTCACGAGGCGAAGAGCAAGGCCTGGGTCATAGTGACAGAGGCGCTGATACCACAAGTACCAGCCAAAGTGGTTCAGGCGGCGACTCCACCATGGGTAAGATGATGGAAAAGGCAGGTGGCATGTTCAAGAACGAGAAATTGCAGCAGAGAGGAGAGGAGAAGAGACGCGAGGCTGGAGCGGGTGGCTATTGAGTGATCGCTAGCTCTTTGGTTTGTCGGTGGACGACATTTTTGAGCCACAGCCATTGGCTTCCTTGTAAGAAGACAAGCACAGCATGAACATCAAACGTTAGAGTTTCACTTAGACCCGCAACAGTCTCGGTTTCTAGTAGTCAAAGGCTGTTGCAAGACTGTAATCTGGTTATCCAGCGATTACTACAGCCTACGCTCTGAAGAAGCGAGAGAATTTACAGGCTGGGCATTACGACGTAACAATATCTTCTCTAACTTGCAGGTCATACCGTACGGCGACTTTACGTTCCCAGAAGACAACGAGGGCTTCAACGAAATATGGTGCAGAGGTGCAGACACCGAGATTCTCACAGCTATGCAAATAACACGGGCTGGCCACCCTAAATTGTGGGCGTGGGTTCAGAAGAACATGGGCGTCCTCTCCGCATGTCCACACAAAAGGATATCTGATCCCTTGGACGAGGAGTCAGCATCATTCTATGACTCATAGTCGGACACATAGTCAGATCCGGTGCAGGCATGAGACTTTATAACAGATACATAACAGAAACAGAACAGAGAGCAAGAGCAGAGCTAGAAGAGAGCGCGGACAGACCTAGGACAGACTGTCTAACTCCGAAATCGCGTTTCCAGCGACAGAATCAAACTCATCGGCGAGATTGTGGGACAGCCTTAGGAGGAATGTTGCTGTGAGCTCATGGTTCTCAGAGAATTACTGAGACACGAAGAAGACTATGTTTAGGTGACTGCAATCTTGACGAAGCGGATGAATCTATTTGACACAGGGTTCCGTAAGAAAACTACTTTTCTTCACCACGAACGCTTCTGGTACCCTTCTCTGGCTAGGGGGGATCGTTTGGCATGCCGGTAGTCGCTCTCCTGTAGTCCGCAGCTGTCCTACAACCAAGTGCTTTCGATTCTTCAACCTGCTACGAATGAGCTCAGCGTCTACCATCGTGCAGGAATTACATACAAAGTCAGACAGAGCTTTACTGTCAGCTTCAGAATGTGTGTACGTGGCTAACGCTATTCCACAGGGTGATTGCTGTACTGGCTATTCAGTACTCATGTGACTATGCTAAGTTGACATTTTTATACCGAATTGTGAGTCTGGGAACGGAATATGTCGTGCTGGCTTAAGGCTTGACGGCACTGCTACCCCACTTAGCTGAGATTTGCCGAAAAACTATTGATATTTCCTTTTGTTTCTCGAGTGAAGTTCGTGTTAGCAGTGTCTTGAGATGTACAGTGATAGAAGGTCTGTATTCCAGCGATTTCGAATTGTCGTGCCAGCAATCGATAAGTACACGATCTAGTCCCGAAATGGCAAAATCACAATAGTGCGTCATCGCGTGTTTCGTGGCCCAGCCTCTCACTTTCTGCAACCACTTTGCTCAACTCCCAACCACGTCCTTCGTAAACGAAGGACAAAGCTCGGATCATATTACAGTCACCTGCTCTACTCATCCTGTTTTACAAATCATCTCAAGCACGATCAAAGAATTTTAGAATCAATTGAATCGCTACCTACGGCCAAAGAGAAGACAACCACAGGATTTTCGAAGCAGCCGACCGCGAGCTGTCAGCTCTAATATGGCACCTCTCAACAATCTCCTACATTCGTTTGACCTCTCGCAATACCTCGAATCTCTCACCCTCAAAGAACGCGAAGATTTGACCCATCCTCATCCTGAAATCGCACGAAGAGACGAGAATGAGGAACTGAAATCACCAGGACCATGGACTGCAGTATCGCCTTCTCCATCCACGACCACATCACTTTCCACTCCACTTAGGGTGCAACTTCAAGCACGAAATAACCCAACAGGAGCTCTACCAACCGGCAATGGTCAACCAACTCATGGCGGCGCTATTGACCCCAATGAGGTTAACATGGTAGCCGTCCAGTCTGCATTCGCTGTTATCGGCTGTGCTATGGTGGTTGGCATAATCTGGTTCTTCTTCTGGGCTAAGAATGGTGGCTTTCAATGGAGAAGGGGAGATTGGGACGACTATAAGTCGACTGTGTTACGACGAAAAGGTCCTAATGGCACGACTCTCAGTAACGCAACCAAGAGCACACGATTAGGTGGTGGTTCAGTCGTTGGACAAGGATTTTCAGACCGAGATACAAACAGCTACATGGACGATACGAGTACAATATACACCGGCACGATGACCGAGTTGAGCAGTAGCACTGCCCCAATCATCAAGGAAAAGCAAGGACAATACACTGGCGACAAGAGAGACCGAAAGAAGAAGTCTCGACGAAAAGAAGACAATGCCAAAGAGCGAAAACAGCGAGAAATGAAAGAAGCTGCCTTCGAAGGTGCTCACGACGACGATGTACGCGCCTACATGGCTGAGAAACCTGCGCGAGTCGGCGGCATCAACGCTCACAGCGACACCCTCCACTACGGTACAGACTACACAGACACCGAGCCAAGCGTACACTCCTCAGCACCACGACAATCTGCCCGCCATCAGCCCTCTGCCGCTGCTGCACCACCACCACCAACCGTACCTCAACACCACAAACAACCATCGTCCTCTCGAGGCGCAGCCAAACCTTCAAAACGTGACTTCAGCTACACAATTGGTGGCCACCAGGAACAAAAGCACTTCTCCATCGCACCGAGCCAGCGCTCTGCATCTCCCCCACCATTACGCGTGCCTGCGAGAAGTATTCAGCAGGAGAACACACAGGCGTATTTCCATCCGATACCTGGTTTGAGTGGTGCTGCGCAGGCAGGACGACAACAACAGAATGGATTCAGACGTGGTGCGGGCACGGATCTGGATGATTAGGTAGTGCTGTGCCCGTAATATGGTCTACACTGACGGGGTTGAGGTTAAGCGCTTCCTTGGATAGGAGCAGGGTGGGCAGTAGATAGACAACCTACATAGCATGATAGACCAATGAAGAAACGATTCACGACAACAGACCTGCTCGTTGTCAGTATGTATATTCTCCTCCGTATGTTATGCCCGAATGCTGCTGTTGTAGAAAGCACAAGGGTATGAGTCGATAAAGTTTGATGAGGAAGGAACGATTGAAAATATTAATGCATTCCTGCATAACTTCGTTATTGATGCACCCCTTTGCACCACTGACTGTGATCATTGCACAAAGCCATCCGCACACCCGTACTGCTTTCGAGGCCAGATGTAAACATGAATGTATGTACCTATGCCTCGGGCTGCCGTCGTGCAGGCGCATATTATACTATCATTCTGCGTATGTAGTAGACCCGTCCACCCCTCCTCATGTCATTTCATGTCATATCATATCGCATCATAACACATCGCAATGACTCAGTCACAGACAAGCAAGCAAGTAAGCTCACAGCTGCCACTTGCGCATTCAAGCACGACCATATCCATTTCAATCTTCACTTCCTCGTCCTCGCTCCCTTCCCGTCCGTTCCCCTCATCTTCTTCGCCCCAGCAGCTTTCTTCCCTGGCTTGTTCGTGATTGTGCCTTCAGCCTTCTCAAGCGCACCCTCGACTTTATCCTTGAGAGGTGGCTGTCTCTTGTGGCTGGTATTTGGAGCGCGTTTCTTGGTTACGCCTGCGCCTGTGGTGCTTTTCTTGGTGGTGGTGGGTCTCTTGGTTGCGGTGGTCGAAGTGGTTGTGGCTTTGCGCTTGCGCTCGGGAGTGGTTGAGACTGCGGCGGCGATGCGTGGTTTGGAGCTGCCTGTTGAGGCGCGTGTTGAGGCCATTTGTGTGGTGAGAAGTGAAGTGGAAGCGAGTTTGGGAGATTTAGTCGTGGCTGTGAAGGAGTGTTAGTTGTGTTCAAAGGTGGGCGCGTGATGAGGATGGGATGCGATATGGAAATTATGCCTGAGCGACAGCAGAGATGAGAAGAGATGGGAACGTAGGGTGGGAAGGGCGTTTATATAGTCGCGATCACGAAAAAATCATCTGGTCAGCAGGGTAAGGGGGATTTTGCGCAACTTGTAGGCAATGCAAGACTGACTCGATCGGCTGACTGGGACAAAAGCAAGATAAGACAACAGCGTAAGAACACATACCTTTTGATAAAAGCTTGCTGTAGACCTTGGAAGTCGATAGCAGGTAAATAACTAGTGCGGGATTACAATAATCCAAGTCGCGATCGATAATATGGCGGTGGTGATTTATTGTGGTAGAAAAAGGTGAGAAAAGTCGATCGAAAAGTGGGCGATCGAGCCAGTTCTTGTAAGCTGGAAAGTTGGAGGAGTCGTTCTGCGATCAACCACGCCCATGTCAAAACCACAACCACACCATACACTTCATTTTCTGCTTTCGACAGTCACAGTGGTTGTTTTGTATGCTGATTCTCGATTTCATGTTGTCGCGTCACTTATTCAGGTCGACAGAAGTGTCGCGATTGCTCGATTTTGGCTGACCTGATTGGATTCGAAGCTCAATTGCATAAGCGCTCATGCCCGAGAGCGCTTGTTCCAGCTTTTCCGTAAACCTTCCTCGTCGATCAACTTCACTCCGAAATCCTTCCTAATGCTAGCAATACTATCATGATGACAGTGAAAGCTCTTCTCACTTCTTCGAGTTTACTTATAGTGCGATGCATCTCTTGACCTTCGAAGATGATCAGGCCACCAACCACGGCCAAGCCAATTAGGATAGCTACGACCAATAATGTGTGGATGAGAGATGGAAAGAGCTGCAGTACTGTGATCAGGCGCATTTCGTCGAACGGCTGCATCTCGGCTGTGACATGTTAAAAACCTGTTCTGCCGTCTATCCTATCGACTTTGAGTGCATGGATGCACATCGACTCATGCTTCGCTGTGTGATAAAATTTGTTTGTGTATGCGAATGCTCAGTCATACCAATCCTGGAGAGGTTTCTCTTCAGGCATAGGTCCGCCTTCGAGATAAAGCGCATTTCGCACTTCCCATTCGAATTCGTTCAGTGCTCGTAACTCGGATCCGACGAACAAACCTCCGATAAGGCCATCCAATGTGCCTCCCAAGATACCGAGCGTGCTAATCAAAAGTAGGACAAATGCAACGTAGTTGTATTTGGACCACCATATTGCGACAAAGCTGCCGATTGAGAACAGAGCAGATCCTATGAAGTGCCCTAGTCTCCATCGTCGTTGTTTTCGCTCTCGCAATGTGTATTTGTTTATCATGGCCAGGATCTGCTCATAGAAGGACGGTGTGATTACACTTGTGGTGGGTTGATGTGATATCAGCTTTGCAAGGTCTGCGTCTCTCATACTAACGATGTCTTCCGTCGCACTACCGGACCTTGGCCGTTGTAATGGGCCTTGTGCTTCCACCTCTAGAAACGAGCTCGTAGAAGGTGAGCCTTGCGAAAGTGTTGCCTCAACTGCGAAGTGATCACTAAGCGAGCAACGTATTGTGGGATGTCTTTCGGTCAGAGCGACTTGTACTTGGTCGACTTTCCAACCTTCCTCGAACCCTCCAAAGAAGATGTAATCGAGTCGCTTGGCACGAGGGTCGAGCTCTGCGGGTAAGATCTCCCGGTCATGACCTTTCTCCAAAGCCTTTCTATGAGCCTCGTTCCAACGCCAGGTATTGACAATGCTATCGCAGGTATGTCCGTGTTCATTGAGGCTCTCCTGTACATCTGGTGTTGGTGCAAGCTGCAGCCGTTTTCGTCGATCTGCTTCGGCGACATCGATGCTGGCTCCGATACTGCTAGCAGGTTTGGCGTCTCGCCAAACATCACGCACCGACCCGCGACTCTCGATGAGAACATGCGCGAAACTCATAGGAACCATATTAAAATCACCAAGCCCTATCACAAGATGGCCCCGAAGTCTAGCATCCTTCATCAATTTCGCGATGTCCCAGGCTTGTGCTGTCCTATGACAGATGTAGCTGTCATTTGGTTCTCTTTCATAAGGAGCATGTAGATGGGTGTTGAACACTTCCGCAATCTGTCCGTCGGGAAGTCGCAACTTCGCACAAGCTACACCCTTTCCCACAAACCAGTCGCCACGGAAGAACGCTGTCGGTCGGCCATTCAGAGGGTAACGAAACATCGACGATTCAACAATAGGAAAGCGGCTCAATATGACCAATCCACCACCAAAGATGCCAGAGTGGTAGAACTTTCCATATGGTAAAACTCTCTTCGTGCTCTGTCGGATAGACTGATAGTCACTGTAGGTCCAGCATTCCTGAAGACCCACAATGTCCAAGGCTGGTTGATGAAGTGACAACCGCCTGCCAATTTCAGCCAGTCGTTCGATGCGGTATTTCGCTAAATACTTCAGTCCCCAACAATTCAGTGTTAAAATATGTAGAGATGAAACAATTTCATCAGAATCGAGGAGCGTCGTCTCCCTGCTGCGTGCTGCGGCAGAAGTTGGCGCCATCTTCACTAAATCTTGATCGTAGCTCTTATTGGCTGTAGCTGCTACTTTGAATGCCAAGCAAAATCTTTATGAACGAGAAGCTCGAAACTCCTGTTACTGAAAGCCCTGAAGGCATAACGAACATCGACTGCAAGCGATTTGCGACCTCGCAAAGCCAAAGTGAGAAAGACCTCAAAACAATCCTCAGGGTCGTGGTTGCAAGGAGTCAAAGAATCTCATCATCGATCGAGCGGCCACAATACGACAGCCTGATGACATCTACGCTAACTGAATTCGGAAAGCAAGGCTACACAGCCCTCCACTCTTTCCCTGGTCATCGAGTCCACCTCACTTTCGTATCACACACACATCATCCTCACTTCATAATGTACACGAACCCTCGAATCCTGTTGGTGAAGTACGTGTATGAAGATGACAGCCGTGCTTCCGGCAGAGTTGTTGTCCTTGATATGCCGCTTCGCTGGCCGAGATGAGCTTAAAGCATTGCGCTTAACTAACCACGCCTTCGCGGTGCCTGCTACAGAGCTGCTGTTCAGGCAGATCCATGTTTCGCCAAACTCGTATAGCTTTGATCGGGCTTACGATGTCGTCGCAAGTCAGAAGATAAGCAAATATGTCAGAAGCCTTGTCTACCATTTTGGTATGCTTGGAGACTACTATGCAGGATTCGACGCGTTCAAACATGAGTATTTCGCAGCACGAAAACCAGGCGAGAAACGCGATCTTTCTGAAGTCACAGCTGAAGTATTGTGGTGCTACAATTGTTGGCTCGAAGAGATTGATGCACAGAGGACTTTTGAGCTCAGGGACGAAAGAGAGGAGCTTCAACGTTTGTGTGCCGGCTTGCCCAATTTGGAGATCGTGAAGACACTACTAGACGATATCGATTCCCTTGATGATCCTCAAGACTATATTGGCAAGCGGACAGGCATGTTCGCAGCAGAAGATCATGGTGAAGCGCGTTTTGCTAAAACGTTCGATGCGACAGTTTCAAGATCTTTGAGGGACATTTCAGCACGATCTATCCAATGGCTGGATCTCCTGGAGATGGTTGAGGCCTTAGATCTTAACGTGTCACATACACATGGCGACTCTTTTCGAAAAGCGGATTACCGAAATGAGGCGCTGGAGCAGTCACAGCTTCTGGACAAGTACTACATTGGCTTGAGAGATGCGTCTGCATGGCATAGACTTGAGGAATCAAGCTTGTGGAGCAGGTTGCAGCGATTGAGATTCCTCGAACTAGGTATCTACAACCCTGTCAACGAGCAAGCGGTTGACGAGGATGGTTATGTTCGTGATCATACTAATGCCTTGGACGTGATATTACACGCCTCGAGCAATCTTGAAGTTTTGAAGTTGGATTTCGACGAGTTGCCGTTCGAATGTCATTACGAGTCAATGTTGCCGATTTCCAGCACTATTTGCAGACATTTCTGGCAGAACCTGAGAGAGTTGAAATTGGAGGCAATATGTGTCACAGAAAATGTTCTCCTAGAGTTCTTCCGTCAGCACACAGCTAGTCTGAAAATACTACAATTGGGCGACGTTGAGTTGACCCAGCTCGACGATACTGACCAGAAGCCGAACCTTTTACGTTTGTTTCGAGGTATGAAGGACACTTTGAAGCTGACATCCTGCACGATCACAGGCAACTTCACGAATCGTGTCGATCAGTCATGGTATGTTGATACTGAAGTGGAGCAGGCTGGTTGTTTCAGAGATCAACTACAGAATTTCTTGTGCAGCACGCGCAATACAGAGACTTATAGAGATATTGCGACCTGGCCTTTCCTCATTGATGTCACCAGCTGCCAAGAGAGCGATACGTTCCACGAATTCGACCAGCTCTGCGACGACTCGTGGTATTGGTGCCCAGAATTATTGGGGGCAGATGGGTCAGAAATCTCTTCAGAAACTAGCGATATCCCACAATTCTTTCACCATTGGGAAGATTGAGCCCTGTCGAGTCGTAATACCAAAATTACTCGTGTCTCTGATCAGAAAGTTCGAGGCAATAGCAAAGCAGTCATGCTTAGTGGGCGATCGTAGACGACATCGGAGCGAGAATGCAGGAGTTACAGGTATCAATTCGCAAGGCAGAAAGTATTGAGTGAAAAAGTGGTGACTTCGCCGAATTCGGGGTCATCTGCCACCTGTGCGATCAACAGCAAACATCAGTACACTAGTATCCAGCGTTTGTACAAGCCCGTGGAGAAAGGTGATACTTTCGAACTGACACTTTGACACTTTTCTACAATCTCGGGAAAGCGCGGTCCATGTCGGTAGTGCCTTCTTGAGAGTGTCAAGTTGTCAACGGCACCCGTCGTTTGAAAGTCACCACTGTGTTGGTGGCACTTTCTTACTGCAGCTTTCTTGTCACAACTCCAGTCCACCTGAACAAATTATCTTTCCTCTCAACAGTTTTACTCAATTACAATTTACACTGGCAACCAGCATCCTAAAGTCAAGCATCCCTTTGCCAGTATCACCATTGATTACCTGAATTTCATCTCTATCTCCTCAACCTATCAAAATGCCTCCTGCCGTTACGGCTATCGAGCGAGCCAAACCCGACGATGTCAACCAAGTCGAGGCGCCAGTGACCGTTAAAGCATATCTGATGTGTGCTTTCGCTGCATTCGGCGGTATACTATTCGGATACGACATTGGTTACATCAACGGAATAATGGGCATGCAATACTTCATTCAAGAGTTTGGAAACGGAAATGTTACAGCTGGAAAGAAGTCCCTAATTGTCTCAATCTTGTCCCTGGGAACCTTCTTGGGTGCTTGTAAGGTCACAAAGTGCGATTCTACGTCAGACAATTATAGCTAACAACACACAGTGGTCGCTGGTGATCTGGCTGATTGGTTTGGTCGACGAACCACTGTCATAGCTGGCTGTCTCGTCTTTGCGCTGGGAGCGGCCCTGCAAGATGCCTCGTCTGCCTATGGTCTATTAATCGCCGGCCGCTTCGTCGCAGGCTTGGGTGTCGGTTTCATCTCTGCCATCATCATTTTGTACATGAGCGAGATAGCTCCACGCAAGGTTCGTGGGGCCATCGTGGGTTGTTACCAATTCTGCATCACGATCGGCATCAGTAAGTCGGCTCAATAGCCCCGCTGTCGAATTTGCGCTACAAAGCCTGAACTAACTGTCTGCAGTGCTTGCTTCTCTTGTCACCTACGGAACTCAGCACCTCAACACCTCAGCATCCTATCGTATTCCGATCGCCATCCAATCTGTCTGGGCATTGATCCTCGGTCTTGGTCTTGCTTTCCTTCCCGAAACACCTCGATATTTCATCAAGCAAGGAAAGATTGATGAGGCTGCCAAGTCTCTTGCTCGATTGAGAGGTCAACCTCAAGACTCCGCCTTCATCGTTGTCGAGCTAGCAGAGATAGTGGCGAACCACGAGTATGAGATGCAAATCGTGCCACAAACCGGTTATTTTTCCACATGGTTGAGCTGCTTCAAAGGTGGCCTTCGGAATTCAAGCTCACCATTACGACGCACTATCTTGGGCACATCACTGCAAATGTTTCAGCAGTTCACTGGTATCAACTTCATTTTTTGTAAGTCATGGAGGCCTCGCCTCAAGTATGCTTTACTGACATCCGCAGATTACTCGACAACATTCTTCGCCCTCCTGAACCTCGGTGTCGATCCGTTCCTACTCTCTCTCGTCACCACGCTTGTCAATGTCTTCTCGACTCCCATCTCATTCTGGACAGTGGAACGCTTTGGTCGACGTCCACTCCTGATCTACGGTGCTCTCGGTATGGCCATATCTCAGTTCATCGTGGCAATAGCAGGAACCGCAGCCGGCACGAACAAGAGTGTCATCAAGGTAGAGATCTCCTTCGTGGTGATCTTCATCTTCTTCTTCGCTTCGACCTGGGGTCCGGGTGCATGGATTGTTATTGGAGAGATCTTCTCTCTACCTATCCGATCAAAAGGTGTGGCTCTCTCGACCGCAAGCAACTGGTTATGGAACTTCGTAATCGCCATCGTCACTCCCTACATGGTAGGTGAGAACGAAGCTAATCTGCGCGAGAAGGTCTTCTTTATCTGGGGTTCCATGTGCTTTGCTTGTATGGTTTATGCATACCTGCTTGTACCTGAGACGAAAGGTTTGACTCTGGAACAAGTTGATCGTATGTTGGAGGAAAGCAGCCCGAGAACAAGCAGCAAATGGAGACCAGGAATGAACGACTTTTACTCTGTTCGCAAGCAGAGCGAGAACACGGCGGCGAATGCTACCGGCCACGAACTCGAGGATATGTCAGCCAACAAGAATACTGTTTGACCTTGGCGCTGTCAACTATAGAGCGGTGGAACACCTTGCATAGCTATTGTTGGTACAACATGCGAGAACCCTTCAGTGGGGGATTCAGGACAGAACTTGTCGTACAGATTGTTTAGAAAGCGAAGATCCTGTTGGTGATGTTGGATGTTTGCACATGCGCGAATACGTTTAATGAATTCTATCGACGCTGCCAGATAATGCATGTGATTATGAAACTATGGTACATCCTTGTAGTGTAGAGCTTAGATTTCAGCCTCTTGTGAGATTGACTTCGTCAACTATATGAATCAGATTGCTCATGATGCGCCTTAGCACCAACAGAAATCAAACCAACCAACCACCTCATCCCGTCTGAAGTCCCCTCCTCGATGGTCGGATCCTTGCTCTCACTGCTATTCACCACGCTCATACTCGTCAACGAAGTATGCCCATCATCCGGAAAATGCAGTAATTCCGTCCTAACACCTGCATTTGCAAGCATTTTCTCATAGACTATCGCGTCGTCTCTGAGCGGATCTAATCCATTCGCAGCAAGATATGTCGGAGGGTGTTTCGACATAGTTCTAGACTGGTCTGGTGAAGAGAAGAGATTCACAGGACTGAACCAGGGAGACGTATAGTCGTTACAGCCTAGGGTGGAGAGCATCTCGTCAATTGAGGCGGTATTGAAGTCTTCGGCGTGGCGGTTATCGTTGCGCGACGTCCATAGGGACTTGTATTCTGGTGGTAAGATCTCCTCTACGAAGAGGAAGGGCAGGGAGAGGAAGATCCCCGATAAGGGGTGCGTCAGTGGATATTGAGTTGGGTCTGTCGTTGTGAGACCGGCTACTACGGCAGCGATAGTTGCGCCGGAGGATAAGCCACCTAGGATGAAGCCGTGGGTCAGATCAGCTCCGAAGTGATGTGCTTGGTTATGCGAGATGATCTGCGTGATCTCCATACCGTCCTTCATGGCTTGAGGCCAAGAATGTTCTGGTGCCAATCGATAATTCGGACATAGGACTGTTGCTTGAAATTGTTCCGCGAAACGTCTGGCTGGGAAGACAACTTGAGATGGCGATCCTGCTCGGAACCCACCACCGAAGAAGTACAGTATCATAGGCCGTTTTGCGCATGTCTTCGAGGTCGTGACGCGTGGGCTGTCTAGGAAATCAGACTTTGGCATCCTGGGACGGACGACGAGAGTCTTTGAGGTCCAGCCATCGGATAAGGATAAGTCGATCCAGAATTCGTGTAGATGAGGCGGACATGGCCCGAGTCTGGTCAGAGCTTGCTGACATTGGTCTTCTGTATGTTTGCGCGTCTCGAGAATCTCGCTGAGATTCGGATGCGGAGTGCTGGCCGCTGTTCGCCCAGGACCTGTTTGCTCTGCCATCCTTGGCAGTGACGAGTGAACAGTATAACGCCTTTGGGAGCTTTGGGTGGTGGTTGCGAGTCGTTGCCTAGCCCCCAGTAAGTGGCAAGTTAATCGTGTCTGAAATTTGCAGCGAGCAATGTGTGATATGCTCCAATGCAGCATGAGGATGCTATGCAGTACTGAAAGGAGTTAAATTGCCAGCAATGATATTGTTTGCAGGCACGTCAGAGGCAACGGAGTGCCCGCAGTTAGCTCAAACTCTCTTCGATGGATACCAACCTCAATCTTTCAGTGGGATGCAAACGAGGATTTCGTGCATAACGACTGCAAGGCGACACGAAGCCTGAAGTGGTCGCACTATCGTGGTGGACGAAATGCAGAAAGTCGCACCTCAAGCTACATAGGTCCTCTGAAATTGGCATGCGCCACCTTCCACGTCTCGTCGCAGTGATCGTTTGAGGTCGATCATGTTGTCGTTGAATTCCGACAGCAGATTGCTGCAAATCTGCTTAGTGTGAAGGTCTCATGAACCACTGCACTCTCGTCTGCAGAGTCGCTAATTCTGCTGATGCTTTGAGATCGAGCGGGTTAGCGCCACTCAACTTCGAGCCACGTTATCAGTCGTCAATCAATTCTCCGTCCAAGTCTCGCGATAGCTCGCTTGATAGCTAAGACACGTCCGGAAGTTGGCTTTGGGGGCTGAATCTGAAGTTCCTTGACAACTGTTCCTTGCCAATGCATGTTGCTAAGCCGGAAACGGAAACACTTCGAACAAGAAGACATGGGAGCCACGTGAAGTTCGGCCTCCCCGAGCCAAATTGCGGAGTCGATAGGAGTCGAAACTTGATCGTTGCAGCTGCTGTTCGCAGCACAATGTGAGTTTCTCCGTTCAGAACCATTGTAATGGGATTGTTCCTGGGATCTGCGACTGCCCGAATAGTATGAGATAACCACAACATGCGCATTGGCATGTAAGTTCACTTAGCCTATTGGATGTTAGTCCAACTCGTTCTTATAGGCGGCAGCTCTCAAGGATGCTTACTAAGTAATTCTGTTGATCGTGGGTCAGTCAACTTCTGGATATTCCTGACAAACTTCTGTCGATTTTCCTCTTTGAGAGCTCCAGGCTTCCAATATTCGTACTCCATCCATTCGCCTTCTTTCATCTGCGCCTCAACTGCTTCGTGCCAGCGAGCACCCAGCTCAGGCTGTAGAGGAACAACGCCAGTCTCGTCGCAATATTTCTCCCAACACACAAGGAGTTCCTCCAGTTTCTCTGGCATTTTCTGAGCCAGATCATCTGTTTCGCCAGGATCGGCGCTCAGATCATACAGCTGCCAGGCTGATATGCCTTTAGGAAATGGAAGGAAGACTGCTTTGTACTGACCGACTCGAATTGCAGCACGACCACAAAGTTCCCAACCAAATGCCTCACTGGGATGGTGTATGGTGTCAGAAGAGCCTTGTAAATATGGTATCATGTCTAAGCCACGCATTGGTACGACACTGCGACCTTTCCATTCAGGACTTGGATGCTTGATTCCTGCTAGGGACAGGAGAGTAGGTGTAATATCCATGACGGTCACAAACGTGTCAGTAATCGTGCCCTGCTTGTCTTTGTGCAAAGCTGGATATCGTAAGACGCATGGTACACGAACGCCTCCTTCAGTGGTGTACGCCTTGAACAATCGACTTGGTGCTGTAGCAGCCTGAGCCCATCGTGGACCATACCAAACAAAGGAATCCTTATTGCCAATATTGTCGATGTGGTTGTTGTAGTGCTTACCAAGATGATCCATAAGCTGACCACTTATCATCGGATATGCTTGTTATACATTAGTGGAAACTCCCGATGTGTTGACCGCCGAGCATATCCTCTGACAAAGGAAACGTGGGGCTTCAAAGTTACTTACCTTCATATGCAGCTCCTTCAGCACCGTTGTCGGAGAAGAACATTATGAACGTGTTATCGAGTTCACCAATTGACTCGAGGTAGGAAGTCACACGTCCAATATTATGGTCAAGGCACTCAACCATGCCTGCGTAAGCCTCCATCGCTCGAGACGACAATTTCCGTTGCGACTCCGACATCTCATCCCAGCCCTGAACCTCGTCGGCTATAACAGGATGTGGTCGAACGTCTTGTGGTATCATCCCCAGTTCAATCAGTTTAGTCAACCGTGCTTGTCGAAGCGCTTCTGGACCCTCGTTGTATACGTCTCTGTAGCGATCGACATATTGTTTGGGAGCTTGCAGAGGCCAATGAGGAGCACTGAAAGGATAATAAGCGAAGAATGGTTTCTGCTTGAGATCTGGTGAGTCGTGCCACTCTTTGAGGTATTGCAGCATTTTGTCTCCGTAACCATCACTCGAGTACCAACCTTCGGGCAACTCGTCGACGTAGTGGTCGTCCTCCATGTGCAGGGCGATGACAGACTTCTCGAGGAATTTCGGAAAGTCGGCATCTGGTCGGTAGTCATAGTGATTCGAACAAGCAGGTAGCAGTGCTAGACTTCTGTCGAAGCCACGAGCATGGGGGCTGCGTTCCTTGGTAAGACCCAAATGCCACTTACCGCTCATCATGGTGTGATATCCTCCATCCCGTAGAACCTCCGGAAGAGCAGCAACCCTTGAGTTGAGATAACCCTCATACCCGGGCATGCCTCTCTGAGGGGCTGTGGTATACTTTGAGCCCTTTGGAAAGTTCTGGCCCGAGAAGTCAGTCCATTCAATCAGGTTACCTAGCCCGGCGATGTGGTGGTCAGTCCCGGTCAAAATCATCGCTCTGGTAGGAGAGCAAGCAGCTGCTGCATGGAAACCAGTCAGTCGAAGGCCTGTGCTTGCGAGCTTATCAATATTCGGTGTCCATATCTCGCTTCCGAAGCAACCAGCATCGGAGAATCCCATATCATCCGCCACGATGATGAGGAAGTTGGGTCGCTTGCTGGTGGAGTTCATAGCGTAGTCTTGTACAATACGTGCTGTAGCAACAGAAAATGCTATACTTACTTCGAACCAAAGTGCTTTCCAGGAAGAAGAGATAAGAACGATACAGCGTCTGTTGTTTTGGCGACAGCACTTTGCCGAAACCAGACTCTCGACAAGCACATTGAGGCGATCAACCCGGAGCGTCGCTCTTGGCCTGCATTTCCCTTCAGGGCCACGCTGTATGTAAGCCATTCCATGTCGACATTATCGGACGTGACATCTCGAGACGGTTCAATCTTTGAGCCGTTTCAGATCGTTCCTAGAGTGATCGCCTGAACGAGTGCATTCGAGCGCGTCCCTTCTGAGGAATGACTATCGACTAACGCCTGAATTCGCGTTCTTTCACGCGTCGAAGCCTAAATTACTGCCTATACTCGACAGAGGCTAGCTTACAAAACCCACGACCAGCTGGTGAAGCTACGATCCTGTAGGAGGTCCAACTCTCACTTTATTGTCAACACACCTCCTTGACCGCATACCAACCGACGCGTATTCCCTTCATGTCAAAAGTCCCTTTTAAGGTCTTTCGAATGCAACCTCGAAGTCGTGCAACTAAACACCCATGCTATTCCACTACATATTATCGGATCGTTGGTTGCGAGGTTCCACGACTTTCATCACGTTGTTACAATCAGCTTGTCGGTCGAATTATTCGGGTTGGGTGATGTGATTACCCTCGTGCAACACATGGCAGCGCTCGTCAAACCGCATGAACTGCCTCATTTGTCTCCTGCGGTACGAGGTCTTCCTCAGCAGGAGTCTGAAATTCCCCTATGGAGAAACTCACCATCGAGCCTAGATTCTTTAGAGAACGAAACAAGTCGATTGAACATCAATTCAGACCTGACTATCTTGCAACATGACAGTATGAAGTCTTCTCTAGGCACTTTCCGTGCGTTTCACGTTGTAAGCCTTTGCTCAATTGACTCTTCCCTCCTCGCCTACGATACTGGAATCATCGGAGGCGTCCTAACACTCTCTTCATTCCGACGCGACTTCCAATATACAAAAGCAGAAAGAACACAGGTCAATTCAAATTGCGTTTCTATCCTGCAAGGAAGTGCTTTCTCCGGCTGTTTTCTCATCTGGCCAATTACTGCCTGGCCAGGGAGGAAATGAGGTATCATCGTATTGTCGCTGGTCTTTTGCGCGGGCACGGTTTTGCGAGTCATAAATGTGCATTCACTTGGGTTGTTCTACGCTGGCAGGGTCATTGCTGGGCTGGGTACTGGCGGTGCAACAGTCATGGTACCAGTGATAGCTGCCGAGTTCGCTCCCAAACATCTACGTGGCAGACTTGGAGCGTGCTTCCAGCTGTTTTTTGCTAGTGGTGTGACGTTATCGTATTGGGTCGCCTATGCTGCGAGTGCTGGAGTTTCAAGCGCATCTTCTACGTAGTGGATGATTCCTGTTGGTCTCCAATTCGTTCCAGGTGGCCTGCTCGGACTGGGAATGCTGCTCATCAAGGAAAGTCCATGATGGCTGGCGAAGAAAGGTCGCAATGAGGAGGCGTATCAGTCATTACTTTGGGTTCGTGGTGGTGAAAGTCCTGAAGTGGCTGTTCAATTCCATGATGAGTCAAATCATTCCCTACAGCATCGCGAATATCAGTTGGAGAACTTTCCCATGTTCGGCATATTTAACCTGGCGAACATCGTGTATGTCCGGTATTTTGTAAAAGAGACGAATGGAAAGTCTTTGGAAGAGATGAAGGTTGTCTTTGGTACTGTGGATTCTTTGCCTGCAGGGATGTCGAGAGTAAGAATTGAGACACTGTTAAGAGGACTGACGATGGCGGTGATCAGAGATGATATACTGAAAAGAAAGACAACTTTTATTGTATTCGGTACAAGCTACTTCTTTTCACTCTCACTTTCAGCCTCACCTCCACTCTCAGGATGAAAGCTCTGCTCCTTCTTCCACCACAACGAGCCCATACCAACCAAACCCGTGATCGCACTTCCCGCCATACAGATTCCGACAAACACAACAAGACTCCCATACCCCTCCGCTCTAAAAGCACTCAATGCCCTCGGTGTACCAAGCAGCAATAACGCCTGAGATATCGGACCAGAAACCAGACCTCCGACACCTCTTCCCAAACACATGTAGCTGTATATCGTTGCGGCATCACGTTCGCCGAACAATGTGCCCATTCGCGCCCATAACACAATGAAACCACCAGCAAAACAGCCGAAGAGGAATGCAAAGCCAATCAAGACACCTTGACTTCTCGCCCCTGTGCCGAATAATCCCCATAGTACGAATGTGGCAATGGCAGAAACACCGCTTGACAGGAAGATCAAAAGGTTGACGTGAACCATGTCGCTGAGCTTGCCGAATCCCAGATCACCGACGAGCATACCGATGTTGCCGATTGCAAGGATCAGCGCTCCTGTCTCCTTCGAATGGCCTGATTGCGTAGCGAAGACAGGGAGATAGATGAATGGTAGATAGGCTGCACATGCTTGAAGCAAGTTCGAGAACATGAAGATGTAGAATATGCCACGTTGATAGTAACGCTTCTTGGGCTGGCGTGCTGGCCATGTCGCTCTGTGCTCGAGTGAAGGCGTAAAAGGTAGGTCTCCCACCGTTGTCCTGGATCTTGTTATTGGGGTCAAGAGCGAGCTCCGCCTCCGTTCTGGCGGGCCGGGTACAGCAGAAGCCGGTTCAGCTGTCTCCTCTGGCCTCTCGTGCAGAAACACGATGGCAGGACCACTACAACAGAAGATGATCGCTGCAAATACCAGCAGAGTCGTTCGCAAGCTGTATTTGCGCAATAGCTCAGTAGCCAAATAGGTGTAGACAACGCCAAGAAGATCATCTCCACCAAAGACAATGCCGTATGCTAGTCCTCGATGTTTGTCAAACCATGTATTGAGGATGATGAGCGCAGGTATACTACAGAGAAGGGCACCAATACCGTAAAGCAGTCCTTGCGTGACGATCAGGCCGGGCAGAGTTGTGATGAAAGCAGATACCAACAAGCTAATCACACAGAGTATGAAGCCGATCAAGATATATACTTTTCGGGACAAGGCATAATGCTGACAACACCAGGTCACAAGCGGTGCTCCAAGGAAGACCAACGCGTTGCTGAGAACGCCTATCCATGACGCCTTACTGTGGTCGGCGAAATGACCCGTGTAATATTCTTGGTAAATTCCGAAGCTCAAAATCACACCATACGTGGTTGAGTCGACTAGAAGAACTGCAATCAGTGTGAATATGGCAGCTTTGCCTTTGTCCTTGGGGGGTCTCGGCTTGGTAGGATCGTCATCTCTCTTCAGGAACTTGAAGCTTTCGCTTGTGGTGTCGATAGAGATTGTCGGTCGTGAGCTGCGGACGATCTCTGTTAGCGTGATGTTCGTAGGGACGGGTGTACCCTTGGCGATTGTGTCGATATTGTCGTCGCGAATTTGACAAACTTCCTTGAGAATATGATCGTCGACTGCCATACCACAAGACGAGGTGGTTCGGGGACCTTGGACGATGAAGCTGCCTCTGGAAAAGGGATCACATCGCGAAACAAATAGTTTGGCTGAAGAATTGAAACCTCAAGCAGGACATTAATCGAAGCTTTAGACTTTCTAACGATTGCGCAAACGTTAACACAAGACTGTCACTCCCTGAGTCATAAGAACAGCATCTCGAGTTGTAGCTTCCACTTGCAATCGCCATCCTTGTGCAGGAGCTCCCGTATCCAGAAGGAATGACGGTTGTCGTTTTCACAGCTGTGCATGCACACGGCAAGAAAAAGATCGAATCTCCTCCTGGAGTCCTTTTGCTTTCGGAAAAGCAACGTGGCTGGCTGATCTGTGTCCGTGTGAGGCATACATAATCGACATCTAGACGACAAACTCTTCCAAAGCAGCAACGCTATGACGCGAATGGAATGAAGGAGAAAAGCAAAGGTGTAGAGAAGGGGGAACTGGGCAGCTGAGGCTGAAGCTCTATTTGAGCCGTTATGGATACACGTGCGTGTACAACCAATGAAAGCACATCTGTGACCTTCAGTCTGGCATGTTTTGGCGGAGGTCTTGGTTGTACCTTCTCCTTCGGGTGGAAGATATTTCAGCTTGCGGACCATGAGGGAGACGGGAAGGTTCAGCGATGAACTTTGAAGACGACCAAACCGATCGCCAATTTCTGGCCAAAATAGTAGCGAGCATTTTTGAGTCGCTTCGAGCTCTGCAAGTACTATGTGGTAAGCGTGCTTGAACAAGGACGAGCCAGCATTATGGGACTTTCAACCATAAATGTAATTGACGTCTTCGATACCTACCCGTTCCGACAAGATACGGTGCGATGGGGATGATACTGCTGAACAAGCTCGACAATCTCTCTGGCCGCCGAAGCTCGTCAGGAAGTTCTGCTTGTCAAAAATTGCAGGCTCCCACCAGAATGTAGATTTGGCTGGCTTTCTGAGAGACAGAACCATGACTTCTCTTCAGCATTAGGCCACGTAAAGATAGGTTGGGGTGCGATTGAGTACAATACCTTGGTATCAGCGCTCGACTGAACAAAAGTATACCCACTAGGCAAGGACTACGCATCGCCTTTACAAGGGCATACGTAGTCTTCAGATCTGCACCTTGACAAAAGTCGATTCACACAATGGTTGAACTCGACCCCGGTTTGTCTCTAGCAGCTGAACAACGAGCGTTGTCTTTGTCGTTTCTTGTGAGCCGGTCAATGCCCTGCTTGACTTCCTTTCATCAACAAAGATACTGGCATAGTCAAGAATCACAATGCGATTATGTGCCGTACATCATCGCTGCTCATATATATACTCTATACTTTCTCGCAATATTCAACTCGACATAATTACAAATCCAAAATCAGAGCAAGATTGTTGAAGCCGAACAAAGTTTCCAACCTAATATATCAACTTACAACCAGCATCGAAATCAAACACTAAATTAAGTCCTTGAGCCTCGAGACAAAATGTCAAAAATGTCCAGGAATAGCGGAATGCCAGTCATGAAGCTCGTGCGGAACCAAGACAAATCGCTGAACCTGCAGCCTGTCTCAGGTGGAATTAAAACAGAAGATATATCGCGGCCGACTCTGGTCAAAGCACGCTTGCCAGATGGCACCATCCAGACCATGCCTGAGAAGATTCCCTTGGCCACTCTGTGTAATCGTTGCCCAACAATCTACCGACTCTGCAGTGGTCGCGACCTGAAGAACTGTCTAGACTTTACCATCACTCTACGAAACCCTCAGCAGCTGATTGGTTTCCGCATCGTCTATGATATTATCCTCAACTCCCGAAGACTAGAGGTCAACGATACGAGTGAGTTGAACCCCATTCCCGAACACCTACGCAACGAAGAAGCCCCACTTTACACCCTGTTGCTGACCGCAGAAGTAGCTCTGATCTTAGGTATGGAGACTTTGTGTACACGCGCTGAAGTCACAATCAAGAGCATGCTCTACACCACAATGCCCTATCTCGACAAGTACAAAGACTCCTGGAACGTTTCTACCACTGACCTTAAGCACCTTTACGAGTACCTTCGAGGTCCAAAGGATCCGTACTACTGGATCCGTGTCGAGGTCAACCAGTCCTTGGCGCTAGCAACAACCCGTGGACTCATCGACCCACTCCCCATTACCAAGTATCTGGGCGAAGACCAGAGATTACTGATGAACCATACAGGACTCGAGCAGTTAGCAACGGATGGACTTCTACATCGCGAAGACTCTATCCTCTCCTCGAGTTCATCCTCGAATGGAGACGATTACGACGAAGAAGAAGGCATTGTGCACGTCATGACCTTGGACGGATCATACGTGAAGGCCAAGGTAGAGGACGGGATTTATGTGGTTAGGGATCAGAATGATCCATCTAAATGGTTACCCTTGTTGATTGGGGGATACGCCCTACAGCCGACTTGAGAGGGATGAGACCGAGTCAAGTATCAAATAGCAAGTGCCATAACAACACGAGAAAAAGTAAGAAGAAGAAAAAATCAATATTTGTCTTTTTTTGGACTTGATATACGACACGTCCTTTGAATGCTACTTCTATATGTTCTTGTGAAATGACCTTCCGATTAGTACCTGTAATAGAGTTCTGAGGCTGCTCACCGAGGCGTAACCTATATTTTCAATGTCGCAAGCTGCTTAGCACTGATCAGTGTTTGCAAATACCGTATGGCAGTCTCATAGAGATATCGGTTTGGAGCAGTATCAAGCCTCGGAAATAGGTTCGATTGGCCGTGAGTGTTTTCTAAAGTCAGCACAACAATGAGAGATGATCGTGCTGCTAAATGGTATATTGACAGACGAGTATTCAGCTTTCAACACTACAAGCATGGGATCTTGACTTTCAAAATCGCGCATGGTCTGCACGATGGATGCAGACACAAGAAAGAACACAGCTGATTGAATCAAATAGAATGTACAAGAAACTATGTTGCTGGATATCTGCCTGTAAACCAACAATACGAACTCTTACTGAGTGTTCCAACTCATCCTACCTAAACATAGCCGTGCTCCCCAAACGACCACTTCTCAGTAAACATACCTAAACTTGACGTTTTCCTTGTCAGTCTGGTTCGACCAACTAGTAGTGTCAACGCTGATATCGTGGGCGCCCGTAGCGGCCTCTCTCTTCTCCTTCTGAGCATTTGCATATCTGTAGTAGCCAAACAGCACAACTGAAACCGCAGCACCTGCCGCCTGAGTGGCAAGCACAGTAATCTTTGCAGGAATGAACTGCGGCGCGTCCTTTGCTTGAAATGTTTGCGGGCCAACGATATTTCCAACACTAAAAGCGCCGCTGATCAACGCCATGCTTACGACGCGTTTTGTTGAGCCGGCAATATTGCTTGCTATCCACTGGTAGATGATAACCAGAATGGGGACAACAAAGTTGATGAGGTAGATTCCGGCTAACAAGCCAGCCTTGTTTGCGTTGGTTTTGCCGGATGGAAGGAATGACATGAGAGCACCGCCTAGAATACCAGGAACACAGCAAACGACGATCCATGCCCAGCGATGACCTGAGGGCAGGTAACGAACACCATAGCCAACCATTAGTGTAGAGAATATTGAGATGATACCACTAGGCATATTGAGGAGAGCAGCTCTGGGTGGGGCGTAGCCGATATTCCTGATGAGCGTCGCACTGTAGGTTGTGATGATTCCGGAGGAGATGGATACCAGTATCGTGATCAACATCATGAGCCACAGTTGAATGTCCATCAATGCCTCAAGCACATGCTTGGGTTTGAAGTGCTTGTTTACGACGCCAGTCTTGTTGACCGAGACGTGTCGCAGAAGAGCAGCCTTTTCTGTCTCCGAGAGGAAACGTGCTGTCATTGGACTATCTGGAATGAGGAAAGCTGTAGCAATGCCGATGACGATAGTGACAACACCAAGGAGCACAAACATGGCTTTCCAGCCCTGGAAGGAGGGGTTTTTAACCTGCTGAAAGCCATAACTGACGGCACCCCCTAATATCTGGCCAATGCCGAGACCACAATACCAGAAGCTGAACCTTGGAGCTTGCTCTGATTTGGTGTAGTACTGGCTGCTGATAAGCATCAAGCTGGGTGCAATGGCAGCCTCAAAGATGCCAAGGAAGATGCGTGCAGCTAGAAGTGATCTGTAGTTATGTGCTGCTGCCGTACATGCTGTTGCGATACCCCATAGAACGACGTTGGCTCCAAGCCATTTCCCTGCGGGAACCTTGTTGAGGATGTAACCATTGGGCACTTCAGCTACGAGGTAAGCGATGAAGAAGGATGTTGCTGCATTGGTAAAGTCGTTGCCTTGTAGCTTGAGATCTTTTGCCAATCCCATAACAGCAGCATACTAGCAAACAGCTTAGCAACTTTTTTGGAACGAGAACGTGTAGGGTACTTACGTTCAACGAAACCTTATCAATGAATTGCATTGTGTAGCATAGGAACATTATCGGCACAATGTACCAGTCGATCTTGCGGCGCAACCTTTTGAGGTCAACCTGAGCAGCCGCATCGTCGGCTGCATTGACATGGACGAGAAAGTTGTATGCTTGATCGGGTTCACTGAGGTTTAGTCTCTGTGATAGATCCGAGCGGGAATCGGGTTCCTGTATGGTGACAAATCCTGTCTTTTCAGAAGGCATGTTGAGTTGTATCAGACCACTGACAATGGCCAGCGAAGAAGAAAGTGGAAATGAGAAACTGAGAGACTATTATCTCCTACAGTGTGTTAAATGCCCCTGCCAATGGAACAGCTTCCTAGATCTCGTGGGAACCATGAACGGAACGGAGACTTCCTAGAGCACGTTAACAAAGGTAGCTCGCGACGAAGCAGCAAATGAAGAGCAGCATGCTGCAACATCAGTTCGCTGACAAGCGGCCTGTTGGTGACAGGGAACGGATGTCAGTGGTGTCTGCGTAAGCGTGTGACGGTACAGGGTAACCTGCAATCTAGCTAGGATCGACAAACAACCATTGAATATCGGGTGTCAAGTGGAACCAGAATTTATGCCAGGCGCGACCACGGTACTTGTGATGACTCCTGCGAATATGTGGCACGTCCCGCAAGACGGGGTTTTCCGCTTCGATGCGGCATATCACCCCAGGAAAGCGGCAAGTTTCACGTTGGTCTGCGGTTGTGTTAGTGGGTCTTCGTGTCGATCTTTACCATCTCCTACCCGCCCTTGCAGAGCGCCGGAACCCCCATATGCAAGCCAAAAGATGTGATATCGGCTCATGATCCTGAAGAAGCTCGTTTATGCAAGGGCCTGCTCTACAACCAGACGTGTAGCATGTGATGGGTAGTTATCCAAGCTGGTTGCAGATAACGCCCACAACTGTCTTTTCTGTGGGAATAAGTACTTTGGGAGAGTTGTCACTATGAGTTCAGCATTTGCTTAATTGACTGGCGGAATGACGACCATGAGCACTATGCCCACCCCCAAGATCTGAGGCTGTCGTTCTTCGATAGGATAATGGCAACCAAGGAGGTATGTTTGGCTGCTCGAGCAGATCGATGCTTGGGTTGCAGACGTCTCGTTTGCTTCTTCTGTTATCTTGCAGGTAAACGCGACCTTGGCACGGAGGTAGTACTCTCTTTGCAGTACGTGATTCAACGGATTGGGACGGCATAATTCGTCAAGCTGCAAGTCTGACGCGCCATAGCCTGTATGTGGCTGCAGGATAGCAAAGCCGTATCTGCAAGCGCGAGTAAGGAGAACGAAGCTCTCATACTCGATGAGCCAAGTCGTGTGGTGAAAGAGGAAAAGTGGTGTGATGGTTCTTACGGGAACCTTGTCCGATTATCCGCCTGCGCAGTGCTAAGTCAGGATGAAATACTGCGCCGTCGATCACTAAACTACTAGCGTGATTCATACCCATCGTTCTTGCCGCGTCCACTTCCATGACTTCGCGTATTATTGTTCAAAGAGGTAGAGCAGACAACCCGTCTTCCTCAACTTTACCGACATCCAGCTCTTGACGAGGACGTTTCCAGCCGTGGTTGGATCCACCGAATGTCGAAATCATCCCTTGGGAAGATCCAAGATGAGTATCGACCATGTTCGTTGCTGATCCTCGTATCGAGCGGATACCCAGGATATTCAAATCTTTTCGTTAGAAGTAGGTGACAAGCAGGCTTTGCGACGGTCAACGTCGTATGGAGGTTTGATACTGCTGTGCCACATTGCTTTAACCCTGTGATATGAGGGCTGGCACGTAGGCTGCTTGTTGAACTCATATTTCTCTACCTAAGTTCATCCCTGGCCATGTTCTAATACCCGTGCCACATTCATGAAAGCTCTTGGGTAACCTATATCGAAGACAAAGCATTGGAGTCCCCCCACGAAGTTGTGTATCCTTTCACGTCCCGCAAAGTGTTTGAGAACTTCTTACAAAGATAAGCCCTAGAACAACTATGACTTGGGTCGAAAATGCCAGACCAGAAATTGAGGCCGAGTCGCAATGGCCGATGATCGTCGCGGTCTGTGTAGTCTTGACAGTGGCAATGGCCTCAACTGTTGGCTTGAGACTATATGTTAGGATACGCATGATCAAATCGGTTGGCATCGATGATTATGTGATGCTGGCCTCAATGGTAAAAGTCTACTGCTCGCAGAAGTCATCCATAGCTAAGTATCACACAGGTTTGCGCAATCATCTACAACGGGCTCTGTATCGGTCAAACAAAGTATGGGCTGGGACTCCCTCTCGCTGACCGTCCACCTGCCAATCTCAATAAGTACTCAGAGATCAACTTTGCCGGACGACCCTTCTACATGGCGGGCATACTTGGCTTCAAAGTCGCGCTCTGCTTCGCATACTTCCGAATCACAAATAGAAACTCACGAGTTGCATACAAACGCGTCATCTGGGCCTGCATGATTTTCTCAATTCTCACACATATTGGTGGCATACTTGTGCTTTTCTTCCAATGCTCACCAATAAGGAAGTCTGTGCGGCCCCGTATTGCTGGAAAATGTCTCGACAACGCCATCACCTTCTATGTCCTCGCGGCGATCTCTATCATCTGCGACCTAATCATTTTCCTGCTTCCGATTCCATTGTTGTTAAAGGTGCAGATCAACACGAGACGAAAAGTTGCGCTAATCGCGATCTTCCTGCTCGGATTATTCACCACTCTCTGTTCCATCATGAGAATGGTCCAGATCAGTGTTATTTACAAGACTGGAAACTCGACCATGTTGGTTCTTTGGGGAACAATCGAGATGAATGTTGGTGTAAGTGACTACGAAAATGAAATTGTACGGAAACGACTTGCTGATTCGCTGTCTACAGATCTTCCTCACAAGCCTACCATCCCTGACCCCACTCTTCACCTACTTCTCAAACAAGGCGAAAACGAGCAGCTACGGAATGTCCTCTTATGGCAAAGGCCGATCCGCCAGTAACACGGAAAATTCAGCTGTCTCTCAACAGACCTCAGGGAACTACGTCTACGGAGGTCCCACAACTGTAGAAAGGTCGGATTCACAAGAGCACATAATATCAAATACAGAGAAAGGCATGACCATTACGAAGACGACGGAGATACAAGTTCAGCGCTTGCACGACAGTATTGGTGCTACCAATCACAAGAGTTGGTCATGAAAGGATGAAAAGGTTTCTTCTGTATGATTATGCTAGATGGCGGTACGGCTATGTATGAATATTCACAACAGCATTTACTCCATTTACCCAGCGAGATACATAGGCTCTCAGTATGAAACAGCAGATGAATATCTCACGTTTTTCAGTCAACGACAGCCTGTCATCGAGCAGGAGGAAGTCCTTCAGCTAGCACCGTAACTGCGCGTGTACCAAGCTTCCTAACCAAATAATTCTGCCTCTGAGAAAGCACAATACCACCGCGGACTGCAAATGTCTTCGATGAGGAACACTGATACAGTAGCCCAACACTTGTTCCATAGCCTGTCAGACAACAGACATGCTTGGCCGTGACTCTGTGGTGTTTTGCTAGTCAGGGTATACCAGGATGTCGATCAAGGAACTTCTTGTCCTGCCTATCAACGCCATTGCTGCAAGAAGTGCCCACCCACATCGGATGATAGTCAAGTGTTGGACATAACCGAGGCGTTCCGGAATATGAAAGAACATTAAGCGAGAAATTGTTCCCCTGTATGAAACGAACAAGCATGCCATGCCTATCCTGCGTCGCAGCTCGTGCCAGGAACAGCGTTAGTACACACACCACTATATACTCCTCCACAAGACTCAAGATGCCGCCAACAGCAGAAGAAGAAGGAAAAGCAAATCACCCAATCATGATCCTGTGAACGTGAAACCAAATCGGAACCAATCATTCGTTCGTTTACTTAATCTTATACCCTAAAATCCTCGCATGCAAACCCCCCAACCTCGACAATGCACTCGACTTGGCCGACTGTTTCACGTAATCGTACTGAAACCTCGCTTCCTCTCTGCGCGAGGGTGGAAACGACGATGTTTTTTTCGTGATTGGTTCTGATTGTGTTGGCGTTGATGAGTCTGCGGTTGGGATTGTGCTGAGAGATGCGGAGGTAGATGATGTGCTTGATGATTGGGAGAGCATGGTGGATGTTGATGAGGTTCTTTTGTGGGAGTTTGGTGTCGTCATGTTGAGGAGTGGTACAGTGGTTTAGAGATGTAGGGGCTTGGGTGGGTCTTGTGACTCTTGAATATAAATGTGGTGATACGACTTTCACGTGGCCGAGTAAGAATTAAAAAGTCTTTTCACTTGGGACTTAGTATGTCTATACATATCAGTAATCAATGTCAGGATATTTCTATCTATATAGTCTGTCAGTATCTCCAATCTGGTCGCGAAAAGTATGTTGTTCGAGAAGTAAACTCCGACGTCCATGGACTCCAGCCAAGAATGGTAAACACTGCGACTAGCGGAGGAACATAATGTGGACTGCCATCAAGATGATGGCTTGATCGCAGGAAGAGGTGTGAGAAAAGTGCTTCACTGTCGCAGAATGTGCCGTGATAAGTATCAAGTGGAGCACCAGACCATCGGATATGCATCCCTGCTGAGGGGGCCTTGGGCTTGGATCTCTCGGCGCTGGTCATGGAGTTTGGCGCCAAGTGGAAATCCGACCCTGAGATCGAAGGAGTACTTCTTCTTCCCGCATACACAATCTATTGGAAGAGGTATCGCATTCATGAGTAGCAATGCGTTCGAGATCTCGAGATCGGTGGTGAGTTGAGACCATGCGCTACGGCACTTCGAGATACCACGTGCCAAGTCATCAGCCAAGGGCAATATATATGATCATATTTTAGTACTCGTTCACGAAGGCCTGACGCCAAAGCGATGGGCCTGAAGTGGTGAGGTCTCGTCCCGCTTAAATCCGTGGATGTTACACAGAGTGCACACGCATGCTCGTTATCAGTGAGAAAGAGGGTGATCTGCATGCTTGGTTGCCTGCGTTCGCGATCACAATGTGTTGCTCCGCCGCAGTGCCACATCTGCACGTGCCGGACGATCCAAGTCTCCATCGAATCCGAGAGCGAGACGAGTAATTGCAACACAATGCGGGTCCAGGCGTCTTTTGTGGAAAAGCAGCAATTCGACCGAAAGACAAGAAGTTCAAGTCAGCAAGTGAGGAAGAAACGGCAACTCGCAATCCTTCTAGAAGTGTTAAGCCAGCCTACCATGGCTTCTGCTGTCGTGAGTGTGCCTTTGAGTTCAAGTCGAATGCTTAGTCGATGCTCATGCATGAGTTCCGTGCAAGACGAGTTGCAGTTTCTCTCTTGCACTACAGCAAGCTTGTCGTCTAGCCATAACTGTTTCTGCTCCGAAATATGCATATGTTCTACGTCTCTTTAACCCAGCTGTCATCCTCCATCTTTCCTTCTCTTTTTGGACCCTCCAACTTCCACGTCTCAGCAATACCACTCTTGGGGTCCTCATCGGGGTAACCCCGTCCCCTCCTGACGTTCAGCACAAGGTCTCTGACACGTTTCGTACACTCTTTCCTCATTTCAACAACTTCTGGATCATATTTGAGCTTTTCACTGACCACGCCCAACTGCTGTTTGTACAACTGGTCCAGTAACCGCTGACGATGCTCTTCAACATGCAGGTCTCTACCTCGTATATTGTAGTAAGACTGTACCGAAGGTCGAGGTTCATGCTTGAGTTCTTGCAAGAGTTTCTCGTTCTCCTTGTCACAAAGTTCTCGCCAACGTTTCCTCAAATCACCGAATATGTCTTCGACGTCGACTTCATCGCCAAAGCTCACCACAACCTTGTTGAACATGCGTGGTATGAATCTGGGAAACGTCCTGCTTTCGTGCATTATTCTATCTGTGCCCTCGATGAACATAGGGACTATGTCGGGACACTCAACCGGCTCGAGTATTAGGCGTGAGACTCCCCATTTGAAGTAGCGAACGTTGCGTTCTGAGGGGTCGGTCTGGTGTATAAAACCTTCAGGGAAGATGTGCACCCAAGAATAGCTATTGACCGCGTATCGAGAAGGAGCGTTGTAGGCGCGAACATCGTATGGTTGGGATGGGAAGGCTGGAGGAGGTTGAAGAGGACTGAGAGGGTCGATCGCGTTCCGAGGCCATGACAAATGACCACTTCTCTTCACAATTGCCGAGTCCGCCTTCGGATCTAATGAAAACGGTGTATCATTCAGAGTAGCACAATGAGGGCTCCAGGAGAAAGTACGACTATCAGTACGTGACAGCATGCGTATTGCCTCAGTAAACGTAGGCTGGAATAGCCCTCCATGTTTCGAGTGCTTGATGCGGTGTGTAGGGAAACATTGGCCCAGCGAGAAGAAGTGGGATAACGGCGTGTTCGTAAAGCACAAGTCATGACTTGCAAAACTCCATCTGTGACTCTGATAGCCATAGAAAGCAGCGAATGATAGAGGCAGGACACCCCATATTACCGGATCATCGATGACAGAGATGTGGTTGCTGACGGTCAATAAACCACGTGTTCGGGTTTTGTAGTCTGCTCGAGCCTTCAGCAACTCGAGGAAGCGTGGCAGACCATGTACTTCTGTCTTATTGAGGCCATAGAGAGCGGCGCGACAAATAGCATGAATGCTTAGGAGGACCGAGTAGGAACCGCTGCGCCAGAGAAAGCTAGGATATTCTGTATTCTTGTACAGATGATTGGTCAAGTCATCTATCAGAACCATTTGGAAATAATGAAAGGACAGACGACAAAGTGTGCCGTCCAGCAGGAGAGGTTCAGCCCATGTTGAGTAAATTCGTTCAAGAGGGTTGAGATTTTGGTAGACAGGAAATTGAAGCATGCGCATGGCACGTGGAAGGAGCGACTACTCTGGAACGGAATGACCGCACTGAGAGAACATCACCGCACGCATGGCAGCCAGAGTTTGTAGAACATCTTTGCCGAACTTCGTCCGTGTGCACCTTCCTCTCCGATACAATCCATTTCACGATCAGACAGTCCATCACCAGCACGCTTTTCTCACACCAAAAGGATGCTGGGCATGTTCAGACCATCAGCGCCTCGTCTGGGTGGTCTGCTATGGAAGAGACCATGGCGGCTCAGCGCTCCCCAAAAACAACGGCAGCGCAAACGGTTAAAGCTTGTCGACCAGGTCGTTGATACTTTGAGCAATGCGTTGCAGAAACAGGTATGACCGAGTCCATCTCACTCTACGGCACAATGCTATGGCAGAGATACTGATCTATGTCGTAGGGCCTATCCGCCAAAGCAATTGACCGCTGGTACGCCGAAATGCCTCGTGAAGAGGAGATGCTCGCCAAGGATAAATACACTATTTTCGACAGGAAAGAGCGCAAGTACAGGAAGGGAATACACAAATTACCGAAGTGGACAAGAGTCAGTCAGAGATTGAACCCGGCTGGTTTCTAGATGGATGTATCGTTCAATTTTGAATGAAATGATGGTATTTTGATTACCATTTCACAACGAAGTGGATCGACGAAATATCGAGTCGATCCATGTGCAGTCAAAGAGAATCGAGAAGCTGAACGGTCTGGACTTTCGTCAGCAGGTACATTCAGCTGTTGAAACGATACGACGCGGCGAGGTGCCCCCTCTGGTCCAAATAGCTGCGCAAATGGCGAGCTTGCCCAGTCATAAGGAAGCCGGAATTAATAGTATAGCGAGCTTTAAGGGTCACAACACGTGCAGTGAGACTCGCACAATAGCAACAGATAAAAAAACTTCGGGAGGGAGAGACACTTGGTGTGGGTCATGCCTGCGGCTCAAAATGTACATTATCTGTACATGTATACTGTTTGATTAAATGGCTATCGGCCAGCGTCGGTGCTTGCAACAGGAAAATGCAAGCCTGCTACTGTACGTTTTCCATGCTACTTCGTACGCCAAGAGTTTCTGTCATCTAAAACGATATCAGCCTGCAATTTCTGTCATTCGACGCCCATCGCCTCGACATTCAGTGTCCCTCCAAAATCGAACTCGATCCAACGTGCACCAACCCTCTTTCTGCGCTCTTTGATCTCTCCAGCGACCTGCTTGGCCGTATTCTGTTGGCTGATGTAACGTTCGACGTCACGCCTGAAGTACTGCTTCTCGCGTTCGTGCTCAACATTCCATGGTGGATTGACTTCCTCCTCCGGCGGCTCTCTAGGACGACGATTGCCCAGCCGCATATTGGCAATTGCTTCCAGAGACTCCTGTATAGCCTGACGGCCACCATACAGGTGTTCGATCGCACGTGTTGAGTCAATAGAACTAGTCGTGGTTGATCGTGAGGCAAAGAATTCCTCCTCGCTGGGCGGTCTTCCCGGCAGCCATCCCACAGCGACTATGATAGTTGTAAGATTCCGCCAAGATCCAGTAAAGTCTGCCCCGAGTTCATTGCCTCCATCCGTCCAAGTAAGAGCCGGAAGCCACGGCGCACACCCGCTCAAGTCGAGCCAGGTGAGGCAATAGAGGTTGCGACTGAGGGAGCGCAAGATTCCGGCAGCCTCGCGCCAGTTGTTGTCAAACGCTGTATAGTAGTCTGATCCACCATATGTCTGCGTCGGTAAAGATGGAAGCGTCGTGTCTACCACTTTGACACGTCCTTTGGCTGCGTTTGGAGTATAAGTAGGATTTGGCCAGTGAGCGAGCGAGAGTGACACGAGGCGAGAAAGATGCGTAGACAGGCTGATAAGTGATGACCATGATGACGGTGCTGAGGAAGATGCTGGATTGAGCGCCAACGATAAATGTTTGAGGTTGGTGAAGCGCAAAGAGGATCGCATGCCCGAGGGCAAAGATGAACCTGGTAATGAACGATCCACCTCATCCTCCCAGGAATCTGGAACCGTCTCTAACGCACTCTGTTTCTTTAGTGATTCTGTAATGGTCTTCGTCTCACCGGTGGGCATGAGAAGTTCTTTTTCGATTTTTCGGACTGTGGCCCATGAACCCAGGCTGTTTGCGAGATCAAGCCGGTATACGGTGTCGAACTCATTTTGGTCACAGTCGGGTGGGAACAGGAATGGAAACGGGTTAGGCCAATATGCATCGTTGTAAACAGCGAGGTAGCTCAGCAGAGTCTCTCTCACCGACACAGGCAACGTCGACAAATACGTGTTATCATATTCTGCATGCCAATGCCAATTTGTAGCTATGTTTTTCAAACAGATATGTTGGAGACTATCTTGCCTGGGGAAATGGTCGCCTGGCAACGTCGCACCCTGCTGCTGTAACCTGGCTCTTAACCAGCGTAGTTGAGAAAAAGTACCTCTTGCATCATCCGGCGCATGCTGACTGTCAATCAACCATGATCGGGGAGGTGGGGGACCGGGAATACGTCGCAGTCTTCCTGAACCTCGTAACTGGGTTCGTGGGAGGGGTGGAGCAGGCGCAGGCATGTCGAGAATTGCTCTTACCGCAGGTGGTAGGGACGACAACGCTGCATTGTCGATATTCTGTTTGTCATCCCCTCTGGCTCGTCTCGCTTCGCGGATGAGTTCATTGACTGTCCGTTTGGATGGTTCGCCATGGCTACTAGAGGCAGGAGCTCGGTTTGAGATGAGATTGGAAGGTGCGCTGCTTGCAGGTTTAGTGAGTAGTGCGCGATTCTGATGCTTCTTGGGCATAGAGTGGTTGCCGTGGGTTTCGTGATGTGAATGCTCAACCTCGAATAGAAGGCAAGAATGAAAGTCGCAGTTGCTGCAGGCAGATCCGGCGTGACGTCATACTCTTTTATGGAAACCTCATGTTGTGATCTGAGAGTATGTTCGTTACCACTATTCTTGACCCGTTGACGCAGTGTTCGTTGGTCGACATGAGATTTTGTTCGTCATCTTCTCTGCTAACAGATTGTCAATGACCTCCTTGGGAACAATTGCGCGCCACGCGTGATAATTAGTGTACTTACATCCGCGATTGTAATCATAGCGATCGGCCTCTACACGCAACGTCGAGCAAACCAGGGCCTTGGTCCAAACTGTAAGGCTGACAGAACGATCATGGTGGTTGGGAACGCATTCTAGAAGCTGAATGTTTATCCACCAGCACGTTGAATGCCCTGCTCTGCTGATCGGACCAGACTTTCGAGACCTTTTTCTCTCAACTTTGGAATGATGCCTCTGAAAGCTTCCCGTGCTTGGATGGTCTTCCCGTCTTTCAGTAGCAAGTCGGCTTTGGTCATCTCTGCTGAAATCAGTCCGAGGTCGCAAACACTATCTCGATCTTCAGGTTTAACGACTTCTGCAGTTTTGATGGCTTGGTCTGCCCAGGCTAGGATCGCTTTGCGGGCAGCGGCAAGGTTCTCCTTGTTTGCTGGCTGACCATTTATGGTGGCTCCTGGTTTCTTCATTGCTATGTCCATAGTCGAAGCAATATTACTCAAAACCTGGACCTCCTTGCATGATCGGTTACCATTACACGCTTGTCGTAGTGGTGCAAGCGTCAACATGTATACCTGCACGGCATTCGACTCTTCACCAGTTGTAGCGTAGAGATCACCCATCTGGCTCAGCATGCTAGCTATCTCATCCAGTGGCAGGCCAGCCGCGTTATCCTCGCTAAAGCCTTTGGTTTGAGGGTTTTGTGTCTCCTTCACAAGCAGACCGATTGCATCGGACAGGACTTCTTTGGCCTTTGTGGTGTTGCGCATGTATTCACCTTCGTACAACGAGGCTACCTTGGCTCGGCAACGCAGGATAGTTCTCAGCATGCCACTCCTCAAAGACTTGGTTTGTTCTGGATCCTGCGAAGTTACGCCTCGATCAATATCAGCCACCTTCTCCTCGCACATGTTGATTGTTCCGTCTAGCACTTCGATAGCGCCCTTGGCCCTCCCGAACTTCTCCAGCATTTCTGCCAGTCTCGTGCGAATGCCGATGACTTCAGGGCTGTACGGGTCCATGCCTGACTCATGCGCCATCTTGAGAGCATGAGTTAGATGCATCTCCGCTTTCTCAGGATCGGGGGTGACGTAGACATGCTGCAGCCCCATGCGCAAGGCCTGCTCGACGAGTGGTGGATAGGCGGCATATTGAGGTGCAACGCGCGTGTAGTAGTCATAGATTAGGAGACTAAGCAGTGACACTGAGGCAACCGAGGCCACGAGTAGGGCAGGGAAAATGACGGGATAGTCCTTTCGTGCTAGTCGCAGCTGCTCTTTGAATCTTTCTCTGAAGGATGGCTGAGAAGATGCGCCGAAGTTAGACGCCAGTCGAGATTGAGGGAGCTTGACCAGCGACTGATTTGGTCTTGTGTGCAGTACTTGACGGATATTCGATGGTCGCAAACATGGCTGATGTGACTGTCGAGCAGTTCGATGAGCCAACACACGAAATGATTGCATGTTTGATGGCTCTGGCCGTGGGAAGTGAACAGCGACAGGGTAGTTGACATTATCCATTGACGATCTGAGCATAATTCCAGCGTCAATGAGGTCATTTTTATTCTTCGAACGCGTCTCCAACTTTCATCTCGCATTCGTCCTTTTGATCTTCCACGAAGCACCTACTACCACACAACATCCTCTAGCAGATGTGATAGACCATGTGTGGGCGGTATGCTTTGGGCATAGTAAGTTGCTTGAACTAGGCGAATTGAGTGCGATCTGACAGCGGCAGCGTGCCTCCTTCGTACGATATCAGCTGCAGCAGCAGAACATGCAGGTCGACAATGCGCCGAACGATGATGAAGCTCGAGAGACCTACAATTTCCCACCTGGTGCTTACGGTCTTGTTTATCGCGCCGAGGTGCCCGACAACGGGTTGAGCAACGACGGTCAAGGTCATACTGAGAACGATAACACTAACGAGGGAGCATATGACGAAGCAGAGGCGCAGGAGACCCAGGAGGAACCCAGCTCGCACAAAAAAGCTGGCTTTAATGGAAAGTACGAGCTCAAGACTATGAAATGGGGTCTAATTCCTTTCTGGACGAAGCGCTCTCCAGATTATGGCTCAATGATGCGGACCATCAACTGCAGAGACGACTCTTTGATCGAAAATCGTGGTATGTGGAACACTATGAAGCAGAGGAAAAGATGCATTGTGGTGGCTCAAGGCTTTTACGAATGGCTGAAGAAGGGCCCTGGTGGAAAGGAGAAAATACCTCATTTCGTGAAGCGCAAAGATGGTCAACTCATGTGCTTTGCTGGTCTATGGGATTGTGTCAAGTACGAAGATGCTCAAGACAAACTATACACGTACACCATTATAACGACCGACTCAAATAAACAACTCACTTTTCTACACGATCGAATGCCGGTCATCCTCGACCCCAACACTGATGCCATGCGACTGTGGATGGATCCTACCACCACAAAGTGGTCAAACGAGTTGCAGAACATTCTCAAACCATTTCAAGGTGAGCTAGAATGTTATCCTGTTCACAAAGATGTTGGTAAGGTTGGCAATAACTCTCCAGATTTCATTATACCTGTTGATAGCAAAGACAACAAAAAGAACATTGCCAATTTCTTTGGAAATGCTAAGAAGAATAATGCCAAAGTCGAGGAATTGAGAGAGACCATAGACCACGACAGCTCGGAGAATCATGCTCCTTTACCCATACCTGCTCAGAATGAGAATTTGAAGCGCAAAGCTGGTGTCGAGGACGAGGGACATATCGACAAGGCAATGAAACTTGAGTTCGACCCAGATACCAAGCCTCAGACACAGGCATCCTCCAGTCCTGCAAAGCCCATCACTCCTGCAAAACCCACTGGTGCGAGAAAGACAAGAAGCGCGACCAGCAATGCGGGATCCACGAAGAAACCAAGTCCTATTAAGACAGAAGGCAATCAACGCATCACGGGCTTCTTTGGCAAGGGAGACGCCCCTGGTTGAGCCTATATGCGACACTAACCGAGATCTGAAATCTACCGTTCGCAAAATCACTCCTCGTCGTTCGGCATAGGGAAAGGCGAAATATGAGAGACGCCGAGTCAATCTGCAGGCACTTCTCGCGCCGAGCTCCTGCTATTTTATAGCTCCTGAGCTATTTCGGAGCATACGGAGAGACCCCACCCAATCGTGGTGTAAAACGTGGGGTACTCCGTGGATCCACCTCCGGCGGAATAGGTTCTCAGCCGGCGGAACAATTCTTACACATCAGCATCGATTTGCATATCAATATGTCGATATTCACCAACAACATGGCGGATCTCCAGAGTCTAGAGACGACTCAAGTAACCATGACGACCACAACCGTGACTACGTCGCCGCCTGCTACGGTGCAGGCGGTTGTTGATGAAAACTCTCCAAATAATGGTATGGCAGCACGACCACATCCATCAATATATTGGACCGTGGATAGTCTGTTGAGAAAACATGCTGCTGAAGATGAAGATATACCGATGATTGGATATCCTGCCACGGGAGCAGCAGATTATGAAGTATACACCGCGAAAATAGTGAACAGATATGTGGACGCCGCATGTGTATGGTACCAGAAGCAGGGTTTACTACCAGCCGTGAGTCGTGACCCTCTATAGGCACGAGTCTTTCTCTAATCAATATAGGACGCCTCATTAGACAACGCTCCAGTAGTCGCTCTACTCACCCCTTCCTGCTTCGATGCAATAATATCCTTTTTCACTCTCGGTCGATTGGGTTATGCTGTCCTTTTTCTCTCAACTAGACTTACAGCTCCAGCATATGTGAGCCTAATGAAATTAGCTAATTGTGCCACAATCGTGGCGACACCCCAATACAACACCGTCATCGAGGACATGCGATTGGAGATGCAACTGACCTCTTTACCACGTATCAACCAGCAGGACTACCGCTCGATCTTCAATGTTCCCAAGTTTTCCCGACCTTGCGACGCAGAGAGAGAATCAAAAAAAGTCGCATGGATCATTCATTCGTCTGGCACGACTGGCTTTCCCAAACCTATTTTCATCACAAACTTCGGCTGTCTAGCAAACTGGCGTAAAGGACTCGGTTTTCGTTCTTTCACCGTCTCGCCCTTGTTTCACTCTCATGCCCTTCATGAGTTTGGTCGAGCAATTTACGCAAAACGGCCAATGTATTTCGGCAATCACCAATTACCAGTCACCAGACAGAACTTACTTGCGGCCATGAAAGTTGCCAAGCCAGAGATGGTATGTGCTGTCCCATACGTGCTCAAATTGCTAGCAGAAAAGGAGGAAGGTATCGTGGAACTGGCCAAAGCCAAGATCGTCATGTATGGTGGGAGTGCCTGCCCAGATCCTCTGGGAGACGAGCTTGTCAGCAAAGGCGTTAATCTGTCAGGGAACTATGGAGCTACTGAAACGGGCTTCATCATGAACTCATATCGTCAACCGGGCACAGGTGACAACGAATGGAACTACTTGAGACTCTATAAGCCTGTCGCAGACCATGTGCTGATGGACGAGATCTCACCTGGTATTTTCGAATGTGTTGCATTGGATGGTCTACCAAGCAAAGTTGCCACGAACACTGACGATCCGCCAAACGCATTCAGAACGAAGGATCTTTTCAAACGACATCCTGATCCAGCGAAGTCGAATTACTGGAAATACGTCAGCAGACTCGACGACAGATTGACCCTTGTCAACGGCGAGAAGGTCTTGCCTATACCAATCGAGGGGCACATCCGAAAAAGTGAGCTCATTAGAGAGGTCGCTGTATTTGGCTTTCAGCGCACCGTACCTGGTGTTATCGTCTTCCGCAGTGAGCATGCACAACACCTCAGCGACGAAGATTTCTTGGAAAGGATATGGCCACAGATAGAAGAAGCAAACAGCCAAGCTGAGACTTTCTCACGTATACCAAAAGACCTAGTTGTCGTGCGACCTGCTGACGAAGTCTACCCGAAAACAGATAAGAACACCATAATTCGAGCACAAATGTACGAACAATACAAAGATATCGTTGCACAAGCTTATCAGCAATTCGAATCAGGTGCGCCTGCACAATCAGACAAACCGCTCTTACAACTTGAGCTCCCTCAACTCGAAGATTTCCTCCTCACGAAATTCCGCAATGATCTCAATGTACCACTAGAATCGGCAAATAGCGATATCTTCTCAGCAGGCGTGGACAGCTTGCAAACAACCAGGATATGGACCATGATCAAGAAAGAGCTGGATATTGGTGGGAATGCAGACAAACTATCGCAAAACGTTGTCTTTGAGAGAGGGACTGTTCGCTCACTTGCACAACATATTTATAATATACGACTTGGGATTGACGATAGTGATACCGACGCAAGCGAGGCGAAGATTACAGTCATGCAAGACCTGCTCGATAAGTACAGCACATTTACGCCGCACGATCCTACTGGTAAGCCGAAAGTCAACGCAAAAACAGTTCTTTTGACAGGTGTCACTGGTGGTCTGGGCTCAATCCTCCTCGCCAATCTCCTCAGACGCGACGATATCTTACGCATATACTGCCTCGTCCGTGCTTCCGACCCATCAACAGCTCAGGATCGTGTATTCACAGCACTACATTCTCGCAACCTCCTCTCGTCCCTAACTCATGGCCAGACCGATCGCATCGTCGCTCTTGCATCCGACCTCTCCCAGCCCACCCTTGGCCTCGACGAGACACACCTCACCCAGCTCCTCAGCAGCGTAACACACATCATCCACTCCGCCTGGGCCGTAAACTTCAACCTGCCCCTGCTCTCCTTCGAACCACAACACATCCGCGGCGTCTACAATCTAATCGAACACATCGCTCTTCGCACCACGCACTTCACCCCAGCCAAATTCTATTTCTGCTCTTCCATCTCCGCCGCTTCAGGTACACCAAAACCAGCCACGATCCCCGAAACACTAATCTGGGACCTGCACCACGCACAACACATGGGCTACGGCCGCTCGAAACTCGTCGCGGAACGAATCACGCATGCTGCTATGAAGACCGCAAACCTTACCAGCCGTGTATTACGTATTGGTCAACTCGCGGGCGATACAGTGAATGCATACTGGAATGATACCGAAGCCATTGCGCTCATGATCCGGTCAGCGCTGCCGAGTTCTGCAGGCTGTCTACCTGCTCTTGATGAATCTCCTAGCTGGTTACCGGTCGATAAAGCTGCTGAAGTTATCGAGCAGCTTGCTTTTGAGGCATGTGAAAGGTGTGAGAGGAGGAATATAGATCTAGCGTATCATATCCTCAACCCAGCAACGTTGAGTTGGAAAAGGGATCTAGTGTCGATGTTACAGAATCATTCAACGATGCCAAAGTTCGAGGTTGTTGAGACCAATGAGTGGTTGGAGAGGCTGAAAGCGAGTGATGGAGATGTTCGACGGAATCCAAGTAGGAAGTTGATGGACTTTTGGAAGGGTAAGTATGGTATTCACACGAAACCGGACCAGGTTCAGCCGGACGTTAGTGCAGATGTGGAAGCTGGGGAGAAAACCAAAGAGGAAGGGGATGTTGGTCAGGGCTTGAAGTTTGAGACAAAGTCGACTGTTCGAGATAGCAGCGTGCTGGGTCAGGTGAAAGATCCTGTAAGTGGTGGGCTGATGGGTAGGATCGTGGATGTTTGGATGAAGAGGTGGAATGCTGAACTCGAGGCCCTGAATAGATAATGCAAGTAGCGTAACAACGTTTATTCAGGCCATGGTTGTACTTGTTCCAACGCCAGCGAGAAAACGCTTCTGCGGACTGTGATCGAGAGAATGACATCTAAAGTAAATTGCTGTGCATATCTGAAATTCTCAAGCTACAATGCTACCCATCCTGCATTCGTAATCCACTCGGTTCCTCAGTAGGCGCATCTTTCAATACGCACCACTGTCTTGACGCTAATACACGAATCGAGTTATCTCAGGAATCTCCTATTGCAACGTCTGGTATTTGACGTATCTGCTTACCAAGCCGTAGCCCTTCCGGAACATCCTTTGTCCGCCTGGCCCGTCATCCTATACACCCGTCGACATTATTGTATAAGCGAAGCTTGCAATAAAACAACTGGTTGAAGCTATTTGAAGGGGTATACTCATCGTCCGCAGCATGTCTCTGCGCGTCAGCTATTGGAAAGGAGCAGACGTACTGCTCCTAGCCAGTTTACCACCTTATGACTCGGTGCCAGCCGGGAATGTACACATGATCATTCTCATTTAAGTCCCACCACATCATGTACTCTCCATTGCAGCTGGGAGGATCTAGACCTGGTTCCCAGTTTTCGCGAGTCCGCCAGTTTTTGAGCGCAGAGATCAGTTCATCATTTGTTTTTTTAACTTGAAAAGCATAGTCTGTGGGATCCAAGTTCTTCCAATAGGCTTCTGCGTCCATTTGAAGCTGCAATTCATCCTTGAAGAGCCTGCATAAATCAGGGGTGAATAGTCTGTCAACGTGGTGGTAGTCTATAAATCCCTGGCTGTCATGCAGTAGCGTGTATACAGGCTTGTCCGGGCTATAGCTCAATAGACGCCACTGTAGACCTCGAAGGTAGAGGCAATATGAAACCAGTCGATTGTTTTCGACATGAAAATCGTTATCGTGTACTTTAGCCAGCATTCTCGTGAGCTTGCACTCATGACAAGTATCAGACACACGGCCAAAGTCGCGGCCCTCAGCGTAATTGTTGATAAGATGCAGAATATCAAGGCTTTGGTCTCTTGCCATTATAGCAGCCTCGAGGCCGCGCGCTTGGAGAACTTCCAACATGTAAGGATAACTATTTCCGAGTAGCAAGCGAAATTAATTATGCTGAAACTGTGAAGGCTCACCGAAGTCCCATTGCTTAACCTTGTACCGAAACATTCTGATAGTGGTCAACCTCAGACACCTCCTTACGTAAGCCGTACAATATTCCTTGAAGAATCTCGCAGCTATGGAGAGTCGGCTATATTTGTTAGGGGCATCACGAGTGGTGATTCTGTTGAGTAGGATGACGCCGACTTCGATAGCGTTACGTACGGCACAGCTATCGTCCACAGTGCAGAGCTTTTCAACAGCTGCCTCGACTTGTCTTTGTTTTATTGCCATATCAAAGAGTTGTTTCGTCGAGACGACTGAGGTATCGAAGGCAACAAGTATGGCTGGCATCTGATTTCTGGCTACCTCGATTCGGAATGACGCTGAGCTTACTATATCATTGAATTGGTGACATACTAGCCGTACATGTCTATGTGATCGTGGTGAGCAAGTGAAGAAGCTGAGTATCTTGGACACTAGCTCGTTGGGCAGGCGGCTGATGTCCGTCATCTTCTGCAAGATACAGAGCAGTGCTTTCTCACCAATCCCTTTCGAGCTGGGTGGTGGTCTGTAGTGGTGACCGACTTTCAGGTAGAGAGGATGCGATCTCAGGTCAAAGCTTGTCCAGGCTGGGGAAAGAGTCTGGATAGGCTTCGGGATCATTAGGGGAGTTTCAGAGTGGAAGGCAAGACTTGTGTATGGTCTTGCTCAGCATCTATCACAATATATATTCCCTCTGACTGTGTTGGTAAGCATCTCGATGGCCGTCGTGTCTCTAAACTCATATTGTTGACTCAACTTTTACAACAAACGAAAGGATGAATGTGTCGATAGAACTACCACCCCACTGCTCAGGCATACCTGCTCAAACTTCCTGTTTGGTGTTCGCAGGTAGAACCAAGAACAAAGGTAGCAGTGTACTATACACAATGTTATGTTTATACAACCGAGTGGCTGCCCTGTTGATGACATGCTGAGATTAGCCTCTCCGTTAACACTTCGCGAACATGACAAGTGCCTGGCCTTTCTCTGAACATGACTGACTATACAGCCATGCCTATGAACTCGTACCTGAGCAACTCTTGAAGTATGAAGGAGCGGATATGGCGTGTATCGTCTGGAAAATCATGCTTGGCACTGTCTGGAAAAGGGTTCAATTAACAGAATATTAAGCTCCCATTGTCAGCAGTTTCCAAGTGTTCGCTCTTCCACGGTACCGCAAGCGAGTCAATTCGCCGAAGATCGAACCACCGACGCCAGCCAGGAGACACAACGTAGTTCGGATGTCAAACAGTTTCCAATCCGAACAGATTAGTTGCAACCACGATGCAGTCGACAATTGGCCGCCCCTACCTCGTCTCAAATCCACCAGACTGAATGGTTGCGTCGGACTTGTCGCTTCTGCCGCGCCGCCATGCTTTCCATCTATGCGATTTCTCCTTCTTCGTACGTTCCGAAACAGCCGCTGGCCCATCTTCGGTTGCATTTTCTGTAGTCGAAGCAATATCAGTTGTAGCTCCAGGCATATTGTTGCTTTCGTCTCCGCTCCCCGCCGTATCATATGCTGGAGGTTTGTTGTCGTCGACTAGCAGCTCTTTCGATGGTGGTGAGTATGGTGGCAGGGACTCCTCCTCTACATTCTGGCCTTGGTGAGGTTGGCTACTGGTAGCTCGGTTGGACTCTTCAGGCACAAGCTGGGCAGTACCATGTGCAGCCAATTTCTTCTGCTTGCGGTCTTTGCGAGCTTTGCGGACGCCAGCAGTCACAGCGACTCCCACACCAATAACTAGAAGTACTTCAAGGCCTGACATGGTGGATTGTTGCTCTGCCTTTTGTCCTCGGAAAACGTCTTGTCCCTTCGAATGGTGAAGACTGAACTACGTATGACGGAGAAGTTGATAACGATGGATTGACAGGATCGAGTCTCTATATCTCCGTTTCCTCGCAGAACATGTACGATTGATGTGACTTGTGTCAATGCGCGTCCCTCGGAGGCCAAGATAGTAGCTTTCTGTCAAGACAGGGGATATTGTTCACGAGAGACTGATGCCGATTGGTGGTGCCTACGTTGCGTCTCATTGCGCCACTGTTATTGAGGACTGAGGTTAGGGCTTCTTTGTCCTTGGCATCTGGCATACTCAAATTGTGGTTGAAACACTGCCTTCAGGCCTACCATGCTGTGCCAACATTTGCATTTCTGGGAAGTCACTAGCAGCGGATCACCGCTTCGGGGATGATTTGATGTGAAACGTTCCAATCGCATAGCAAGCCCGGAAGTCCTGCCTGACTACTCACTCGCTTTCGCTTTCTCGTTAGCTCTATCCGAGAAGTTCCCAGGTAGCAACGATATGCCTGGTCCTTTGTGTTTCACACAAATTGTCACATTCGAAGCAGGAGACTGCAATCAATATTTTTGGTCAGACTCTACGTCACTATCATCATTGGTCTCGTTGTTGCATTGCGCATCCGGAGCTACCTGAACGATGGCTGATATCCGATTTATAGCTGAAGCAGCGACCACCGACTCGACGTGCGTTATGCTCATGACACATTGACAACCTGTGGGTAGTAAATACTCGATGTCTACCATATCCCGCTATGATATGACCACCAAACTCGCGAAAACACTCAACTTCGATATTGGCGTTGTGCCTTTGTGCATCTCAATAAACCTCTTCCCAATTTTCAAGAACAAAGGGCACGAGCCAACGGTATTGTTGCAAGAGGTAATACAAAGAAGTTTGATTGTATTGTTATTGTCCTGTCATTGCATATAATTGTATACGACGGCCTGAGCTATGTCAAGAATGAATCGTCCTCTCCAAGCAAAATCCATTGCATACTCTGAGTAGCAGGTCTGCCTATCTGTGATATTGAGAACTCCACAACTACTACTCCCTTCTCGAGCCTTCCCAAGAAGCGATCCTCGGTCGACACCTTACTCCTATCTAAATGGATCCCTACCAAGTCCTAGGCCTCGAAAGAGGTTGCACGCAAGCACAGGTCAAAAAGGCATATCACATTTTGGCTCTCAAGAACCACCCTGACAAGGTAAGTCTTGAGGAACGTCCGCAAGCCACTAAAAAGATGCAACAGATCAACGATGCCTACAACAGTATTATGCTCAACGAGCCGTATCATTCTAATAAACCACAGCGCCGCAGCTCAAGGTCCGAATCAAGGTTTCCTGCGCCAGAAACCATCGTGATGCAGACCGTGCTGGGCGTCTTTTTATGCCAATGTGCAGTGTGGATGCTGTACTGTCGATGGCGGAGGCTCACTGATTGAGCGCAATGGACGACTTCATCATGAAGTGTGTATCTTCGCGTTGCATCTGTCCGACGTATAGTAGCCACGCTGTTCGTTAGTTCTGTTTCGCAAACACGTTGATTTAGAAAGAAATTGTACAAGGCAACCGCTCAGAGCAGCCATATCGAATAGCGTGCAGAGTACCTAGTCTCGTAGCCTATTTCGCCAAGCCCGACCAGGTTTCGGGACGGCCTCCTAAGCTGGAAATCGGCTGCTCTTGTGGATTCATGAACACTGATTTGAGAATATACGGAAGAACACAGTCAATAATCCGAAACATTAGGAATAGGTGCTTGTGGAAACATCAATATACTTTCATATACGTACTTATACAGATTCGTTAATTCAGGTTTCGCAGAGCATACTCCTCCTCCTCGTAGTCGTCTATGGCTCCTGCATTAAGCAGCATCTGCACTACCGTCTTGTGACCTTCTGCTGATGCGGCCCCTAGTGCGTTGCCGTATTCATCTCCTCCTTGAGCATTAACATCGGCCCCCTTCTCGAGCAGCATCTGCACTATCGTCTCGTAACCACAAGCTGATGCAAGGATTAGTGCGTCACCATAGTCCTTTCCTCCTTGAGCATTAACGGCCCCCTGCTCGAGCAGCATCTGCACCACGGTCTCGTGACCTTCTGTTGATGCGGCCTGTAGTGCGCTATCGTATATCAATCCTCCTTGAGCATGGATGTCCGCTCCCTTCTCGAGCAGTATCTGCACTACCGTCTCGTGACCTTCTATTGATGCGGCCTGTAGTGCGTTACCGTATAATCCTCCTTGAGCATTGATATCGGCTCGTGAGGTAGACAAGATACGTGCTAAGACATCTTCGAGCCCGAGCAGAGCTGCATAGTATGTTGCTGAGGCACGATCTTTAGCGGAAGCACCGTAATCGGTCTCTCTCCGCCATGGTCGGTCCGGGTCGTGAAGCATGATCCAACGGTCAAGCATCGTGCGTTCTCCCAAAAACTTAGTCGCCTTGACTGACAAGTGCGTAGCAGACTCAGCATCGGCCTGCCGATAGTGCTGATACCAATACCTTGCGGCAAACATCGCGAAAGGATACTGTTCAACCAGGTCTGGCGTCATGGCTTGTCCGAGAAACTCGTCGTCACTGAGATAGAGTAAACATGTCTGGCTGATTCGCGCATGCTCGACGGCAGCTGATATGGCAAACCGAGCGGCGCGGCCTTGTTTGATGCGATCGGACACCAGATACTCCTGCACCGAAAAGTGAGCTATACGGACAGCTTGGGCAGGGGTGTCATCATCACTGAAACTGCTGTCAGTCTGACGCGTGGTCAGATGGACCTCGATCATCCCGGGGCAGATGCAAAGCAGATCGTCAGTGCCCTCGAATCTCCGATCAGCGTCGAAACCCTTGTCATCCTCGAGGTCGATCGCGAGCGCATCGATCAGTTCATCAACTGAAAGAGGTCGAGTCGAACAACAGAGCAGCGCCAAGATCCGCTGAGCATCATCTTGCGATGCGGCATCAATGTTGCAGAGCATCCGCTCGTACGTCTCGTCGAGGGACGGAGGCAAGTCCCGAAGACGTTTTTCGAGATGTCTCACGCTCCGAGGACAATCTCGCAAGGACTGCAGCTGGCAGTCAACCCACCGGAACCTGGTTGCAAGTCAGTCTCAACTCTTTGTTCGTCTCTACATACCACCGAGCTGGTACTTACACGCCATTTGCATGTTGCGCCAGGTAGTCCTTGATCTTGCCGCGGTGGTCACCCCATCGCCGCAGGCCAGGATCGTGGTCGACATGGTGGATGAGGTAATCGTGGATATCTTGGCGTACATTGTGGTTGCTCAGTGCAACGTACTCCCTGTCCTGGATTTGGTCTTGAGAATACAGATGGTCTCGGATGTCTGGCAGGTCCCGGCTGGTGACGAGTAAGTGCAATCCGGGCAATGACCATTGGCGCATCGTCTGAATCGTTGCTAACACGTCACGACGTACGTTACCAGCAGGACATTCGTCTAGTGCGTCCAGCAAGATGTACACATGACGACTTCTAGTCACCGCTTGGCGTAGGTGTTCCATCAATACCGGCACAGCAGGCGTGCCATGGTTGGTCGAGTCTTGTAATTTTGCTAAATCTGCCTCAACACCAGCGATCTGTCCTGACAACTGCAGCAACAGCGCCCGTAGCAGCGCGGATACATCCCGCTTGGACTCATCGTTGAAGGTGAAGAAGAAGAACGCGGTCGCACTTCCCGGGCGAGCACGTTGTTGACGAAAGGCGTGCTGAATGGCGGTGGAACACAGGACAGACTTACCAGAGCCAGCAAAGCCGTACAGCCAGAGAAACGAGTTGTCCCGCTGCAGCCATGCGGTAAAGGGCGGACCTTGCACAAACCATCGCCCGGTCCCAGCGTGACGTTTGGTGCACGCGGCATTGTAATCGACCGTCGCATCAGGTGCTCGCAACCATTGACGCACCCCAGCCGCCAGATGTTGTGCTTGTGCACTCTTGACAATGTGTTTCACTTCTTCGATGTCGTTCTGGGTGTTTTGATGTTCCTTCAAATGGAGAGCTTGCAGGGCGATCGACAGGTTTTCGCGGAAGGCGCCGACGTCTTCGTCGAGCTTCGCGAGAGTGCTTTTGCGAAAAGGGTACGCCGCGCACCGTCCGGCAGCTCGAATAGCTGTAGTCACATTGGTCGTCGGCTCTTTCTGAAACTTTCGTACCTCCTCTTGCAGATCCTGAATCACGTCCTCACTTCGGTAGATGGCGTTTTCAATGTTCTGTAGAGTCGTCTGCTCGTTGGACCGCCATTTTCGTAACCGGAGCACTTCGTCGATAACACCCAGAGTCTGTAAAAGGTCGCTCAATCGGTTCGTGGTTTTGGCTAGATCCTCCTCGCGATCCTTGTAGGCTGCATAGTATTTGTAGAGGTACTCTGTAGTCTGGAGGCCGAGGGAAACAAGACCCGCTACACTAGCGGTGACGGATAAAGGGTCGCCCATCACGCATATCCACCAGCGGATAGACACCAGTTCACTCGAGCGATCGCGATGACAGAATCACGCGATGACATGTCGGCAGGCCAGGGTGTTGTTGTTCTACTTCTTCTTTGTAGTGAGGAGGAGCCGTTGACGCAGCCCGGAAGTTGCAGCAGTCCAACCTCAGCGCTTACAGATTCAGCCTTAGGTCGACACGTGGGCAGACCACCTTCGCACGTGATATGTGAAATCCGATAAGAGCACGTGAGCAATTCTCGAGTATCCTTCGCCAGATGGCAGCGATAGTGTGGCCACCGTATCCATAAGCTCCACTTTGGGATCGGCGCCTGTTCTAGCTTGTAGAGTTAGCCTTTTGCAAGGGTCTTTGACGCAAGGTCTACAACTAATCAGAGATTACACTGTACACACTGCACAAGATTGCCCGCCTAGATGCTGTACACACAGCAATCGTATGCAACAGCATGGCGCCGAAGCTTGCGGTCTCAACGCATGCTCTCGTACGCGATATGAGATCTGACCAAACACTAATCCCACATGCCATCAGCATGTGCGAAACAAACACCACCCTCCCCACCAGGAGCACTTCCAACCCCCCAGACAGTAAATGCAATCGCTGCAAACTCGCCTCCGAAACCCCCCTCCTAGTGCAAACCAACTGCTGCCCCTCCAGCAGCCACCTCGAATGCTTCATCCTACACATGCAGAGCCACTGGCGAAGCACATCCTGCGTCCATTCTAGAAACGTCAAGCAACCACTTCACCACCCCACCCCCGACAACGACAAGCTCTGCTGCGACGCCAAGATCTCAGCCGAGGAGAGTTGTAAATTCATGTGTTTGGGGAGGTGGGACGCGGTGTTTCGCGCCGTTGAGCGCGGGCAGAATAAGAATGCTGTTGCTGCGAATAGTTTGATTGAGGGGTATTGGGGTGGAGTTGTTCATAAGCCGGCGGGAGGTCGAGGGTTTTGCGGTTTTAGGGATGGTCACAAGTGTATACAATACCATATAGAAGATACATTGATCCACATTTTAGCTTTGACGAGACTTCTGTTTCCTGCTTGAACTCTTCTTCTTCTTTCGAGTGATTGTTCAGCGTAATTCAACGAATAGTTTCGTAGTCCAGTGCTTGGTAGCTCACAAATTGTGTAGACGGATCTTCAAGTTAATGAGACCCATTCACTCCATCTGTATTCAATGTCCAAGCCTGTGGCGATTTCAACTCCAACTTCTCTGCAGTCCCTTCTGACCTCTTCGCCAAATCATTCACCTTCTCGACCTCAAATCCTGCAATCGCTTTATACGCTAAACCAATACTCTCCAGCTCCTGCTGCGGAATGATATCGTCGATGTGCTTGAACCCATCTGGTGCTCTCTCATAAGCAAGTTGCATGACGTGATCGGGTCCGTTGCCACGATTGGCCATGACGATCTTGGCTGTGACAGGTAGTCGGTCGTTTTGATATTGATGCAAGGCGCCAGGTATATCTGCGAGGCTAGTACAGGTAAGGAGGCATTTTGTAAGAGAGGCAGCGTCGAGAATAGCTTGGGATGCGCCGTTGCTACCGATGGGATACATCGGGTGTGCAGCGTCGCCGAGGAGGGTCAATCGTCCGAAACTCCATTGTGCTACTGGGTCGCGATCGCACATTGGGTATTCATAGACCATGTCAGTCTTCTCGATAAGGTCAGGGACATTAAGAAAGCCAAAGGTCCAGTCCTTGAAGGCGCCCGCGAACCGCTCTTTAGGCACAGACATTGTCCAGTCAGTCTTCTCTGGTGGTGTTGTGTCAGGATCATTCTCGTCCCTTATTCTCAGCTCTGCGATCCAGTTGACCAAGGACTTGGGAGGACTTGATAGCTGTGCGCGCTTCGATATAGGGTAGGCGATGAATTTCTGATTCGCATGGCCAGACCAGATCATGCTACCACCAGTAAGATAAGGCTCACGTTCTAGACATCCTCGCCAGAGTATGCGACCTGAGAAATGTGGCGGCCCTTCTTCCGGGTACAGGATACGTCGGACCGTCGAGTTAATTCCATCAGCGGCCACCACAAGGTCAGCTTCCACCTCCGGTGTCGACGCTGAAATGTTCGTCTTCCGCTGGACGAAATGTAATCTGACTCTCTCACTCGTATTTTTCTGATCGTCGAAGCTATTCAAAGCGTGGTTGAGGTGGACACTGTCCTTGCCTAGACGTTCCTTCACAGCTTCCAACAGCAGCATCTGTAGATGACCACGATGTATACTGAATTGGGGGACGTTGTAGCCAGCATATTCGCCTCTTGGTTCGCTGATGATCGGATTACCGAAACGGTCATAATAATTGAGCTCCTGTGTCTTTATGCCGGTGCTTTCGAGTGCTGGCAATAAGCCCAAATCTCGAAGCACTAGAATGGCGTGTGGCTGCACATTGATGCCAACCCCCAACGATGTCAGCTGATTGGCTGCTTCAAAGATCTCGATGTTCTTAAACCCATGTGCGTGGAGCTGTAAGGCAGTGACCAGGCCGCCGACACCAGCACCGATGATTGCCACTCGCGCATCTGTCGCCATGTTATCGAAGTCGTCTACTCATCATTCAATGCACATGTGCAAGATCGATATTTTCGTGAGGTACGCTGGCACCTCGTAAGTTTGTCGTTCTAGACCTGTTGAGTTTAACCTATTTCCCCAGCTCCGCTGTTGGGGAAGATGAAGATCCGTTCTGCATTAACTCCGCGGACCGTCAAAAACATCGGTCACCAAAAACATCACTTTTTTCTGCGCCAACTTTTTTTTGTTATTCTTATCGCATTCAATAACACCACGCAATATAGGTAAAGTAAATAAGCAGAATTTAACAACTGCTATCGCAGTATATAATAAAGGTATATATAAGTCGATTCGAGCGACTATAACTGTATTTAGCGTCCACTATAGTACGCTAGGTAGTAGAATTAAAAGTTATACGATAATCACAGAGTCGCAATAGTCGTAGCAGAAACTCACCGATATATAAAAGAAACGACTTACCTAGATAATAATTAAGATAGAAGTAACAAGCTAGGCTATTAGCTACTAGCGTTTATAAGAAACTATATCCTTTATTATAAGCCTTAACGGACGCAATAGCTATATTAGAAAAAGATAGGTATAACGATATATTACACAAACGCTAGCTATTAAAACTAAAGTAGGTAAGTCTATTAATTATAGAAGAGTATAGTATATTATAAAAGAGGGTATATTACGGTAGTTTAACGAGCTATTTATTATATACAACAGTAAGAACATTTAAGAGTCGTATATTTAGAATATAGACGAAGTTAGTACTACTTTAAACAGGTATAGTAACTAGAATATAGTTAGTCGCTACGATACTAATATATCTATTATTAAACGTCCTTATAAACGCGAATAAGTAACGTCTATTAAGTATATCTATATAAACGGTTAGTTAATCTAACTATTATTAATCTTTAAGGGTAAGTATATATAACAGCAGTAGTTTATCGCTAAAGAGACGCCTAACTAGTACTATACTACTACTAACTATACCTTTACAACGAATAAGATAACGCTTTAATAGCTAAAGCGTATATTCGTCCCTTAGACGGCTATTAACCTCCCTAACGGTTAATAGCGACTACTAGTCTACGACGGTTATAAATTATATATAACAAATAAGTTTATACGATATACAATTACTAATCGTATATATATCGTCTACCTTATTACCTATATAAGCTATTTTATATAGCCGCTTAATATAACTATATTCTCGTCGCTTAAGCGTAAGTTTCGTATATTAGTCGCTAGAGAAACAGTATATAATAACTAGTCGCCTTACGCGAAAGCTATATTTATAAAACACTTTATATAGGCGCGTAAGGACGCTATTATATCGTCTAATATTAAATTAGGTTTTAGGGCGACAGGGCTGTAGCTATATAAACCGTCTAAAGTAGTCGAAACTCGCTAGATATTATTATAACCGATCTAGCGACCTTCTACACCTAAACCACTAATTACTAACCCGTCGTTTAAGTAAAATATACAACTTACACCACGTAACTATACCTAAGCTGTTTAAGGCTTATCGATTATCGCTACGACGACGACCGTCCCTCGCGCAGTACGTACTATAGTTAATAAAATAGGTAAGAGATTAGAACATACTATATTTAAGCTAGCGACTACGGAATAAGAGAGGAACACACTCGCTAGCAAGCTGGCTGAGGCAGCTGGTAAAAACACTCGTCGATAAGCAGTTAATGTCAATAAGCGATTTATTGATCTTGTCGACGTTTAGCTAGGGTCACATAGTCCTCTAATGCCCGTACGCGACGACAGCAGCGACGACGACGACGATGACGAGGTGAAAGAGGTGGAAGAGGAAGAGGAAGAAGTATACGTTTCAGATCCTCATATGAATACAGCTATTATTCAGCTATATAGCAATATATAACAACACCAAGTAATGGCTAATATTGATGTTTTTGGTGACCGATGTTTTTGACAGTCCGCGGAGTTACATTCTGTGTGGAGCAAAACAGCCGACGTGAAAAAGCATCGATCTGTTAAGGAATTGAGATGTCGCAGTCTGTCTGGGTTCTATCGTTACGATGCTGACGATGGGGAAAAGGACGTTTTGAGTTGTTCTTGGTCGTCAGCAAGTCATTTCGACACGACCAATTATCTACCAATAATATTGCAAATCATGGCAAGCAAGCCTCAGTTCCAACCTCATTTTGAGTGCATATCGACCTTTGGTAATGGCTTGACAACGATGTGGCAGCGCTAAGCTAGGCCGAATCTGACTGATATTGGTACTCGTTGAGCTAGAATCTACAGCTTCTAAGTTCAGCCTTGCGCCTCTTCACATCATACTCTATCCATCGGGCCTCACCACCTCTCCGCCTAGCTGTACCCTTGTCTTCGTCTACGACTCGTCCAGGATTCATGACAGCACAGCCTTCGTATGTCACAGTAAAAGCTGGTGCTTCAGCATCACACACGACTAGTGCTGTGGGTAGTGGATACAAGCTTAGACTATGTCCATAGTCCCAGAGTGTTGGTCGAATTGATGTGGGGAAAGGAGCCAGGTGAGATTGGTCCAGAAGCAGTTTTGTTAAACGGCGGCCAACGAGTGTTGCCTTGTCAATATGTTGTGTGGTAGATTGTCCAGTGGGAACGTGAGAAGCCGCTGCCTCGACATCAAGGTCAGGCATTCCAGTATCATCGAGGTTCGGTTGGATACGTGAGATATCGTTTTCGGTCTCCATCTCATCGTCCTCTTGCTTTGGAAAAAGCACCGCATTCCGCCGTATTCGACTTGTTGTGTCGTCTCTGAACAACACCATCTCCTCAACTGGTCCAAACAAGCTAATTCGAGCTGGATTGCTCGTGAAGACTGCTTCGCCGGGCGTATCAATGTCCTTTTTTAAATGTGCTTCATTGTTCGCTGTATTGATGGCACGCCGTATTCGGCTAGTGAAGAGATCAGGTATGCCTTGTTGTGGGAGAAGAGCTGCAGCACCAGCTGAAAAAGAACTGGCCCACGGGTCATTATCGCCTGGCACGAAAACCAAGGTTGTGGTCGACATAAGAGAAGGAAACTCGGAGAGAAGACTAGCAAGGCCGTCAAATACTTCTTTGTAATGGATGCTGTCGCCGCCTTTGGTAGATCCTGCCATTGAAGCGGCTTTGACAAAGTTGCCGAACAGTATTATGGTTAGAGGACAATCGACCAGGTCCGTTGAATTGTAGGTGTTGAAGATAGCTTTTATTGCCTCAAGAGTTCGAGGACTGTCGAGGTTGCACTCCCCAATCATAATAGTCTTGGTTCGCTTAGAACCATCAATTAGCTCATCGTTGTTCTTGTGACCGAGCAACTGTCTCTGAACTCGGCGCATCTGTTGACCTATAGCCTTTTCACTGCCTGTACCAAGGAAGTCAAACCAGCCATAGCCTGCACCCGCGACGGTATGAACAGCGTCTGCCTTGTGGTTGTGGCCAGTACCCAAGGTGACCTCTCGTCTCTCGGCAGGTGGTCCAGCGATTGTGTCGGCAATGAAGCGTCCTTTAATTTGGCCTCCAACACCACCTGCTGAACCAAGGCCAGAATTGTTTGAGCCATCGTCCTCATATGTGCCTTCGACAAGGACAATCATGCCAGGACAGAACCAGGCATCTACATCGGGAATTGGTCGTGCAATACTGATGTCTAGTACAGTACTTCCTGTCAAATCGGTCAGAGCGAGATCTCCAGCAGCAGAATGCACGAGCAAGCCGAGCAGGAGATGAGAGGTTCCTGATCGGCCAAGCAGATTCGAAATAGGGGTGATCTTGTATGCTCCAGACACGCTAGCCAGGTTACTGGCCGAACGGGATAACGAGGAAGAACGAGTTGTGCTTGCGAAAGTTTTTTTCTGAAATGACTCGTTACGCAGCAGGCGCTGATGGACGAGGTGATATCTGTTGCGAAAAGAAGTGATTTTATGTTGTATAGGCGGCATTAGCGACGAGGTATTTGTGACGACTTCGAGAGTCTTTTTAGCTGTAGAGTAGGTCAACTTAGGTTGAGTGAAGGCTGATACGATCTTCATGTAGGACCGTGCATCCTGAGATGTATCGGCCACATCCATTTCCTGATCTTCCACGTCTAGCCCAGACATCCCAAAACTCGTCTGACTCTCATCTCTCGGCATCTCGGGTCTACCGAGTGAGCTGTCGGATCTCAACAACGAGCTGATATTGCTATTCGTCCTACTAAGACGACCAGTGTCCAACTTGCCTCCAGACATACACGGCTCGAGTGATTTGAGGATATTTTTCAGCTTCTTGTCCTGAGCATCGTCAAGTATTAAGCCACCATTGTCACGTTTCCATTGTTTGGATATCTCGTCAAGGACTCTTTCGGCGAGGCCTTCTTGTCGCCATCCTGCACCACAATATTTACCAACAAAGATTGCAAGAGCCGAGAGAGCAGCAGAAGTAATGGTCAGGTTGTGTTTTTTGGTCAAGGTACGGAAGGCGACTGGGCGTAGCAGCTGAGGTGGTAGACTGATTGGTAGTACTGTCTGTGCATTGGCAATCTTCAGCTGGGGCGCAAATACTGGCTGAGGCACAGGTCGTGTTTCTCGAGGCTTAATCGGATGTGCTGGTGTAGCGAACCCAGGTGATGATGAGAATACCAGGTCACTCGCAGGTAGTGGTCCAGCTTTGAATATATGCGGCGGCATCGGACTCGGTATCGGTTCCTCCATGGCTGTAACATCGACTCAAATATCTGAAGTTTCCAAGAGAGTGTACCCCCCAGCACGTTGGAAAAGCACACGAGACGCGTTGCGACGCGACAACAACCATGATCCTTGCTGTCCTCCTGATACCGTCACTTGTTGTTCGTGACCGGCAACTATTTTCGACACCGACGTCACGCGTTGAGATCAATCTATGGAAGTCGCGCAGGAGAAGACGGATTGCGCCTGCTTTTCGTCCTCACTTACCTCTTATTCACCTCACTTCACCGTTGCCTCAAGACGCGGCACTACTTTGTTGCTACTGAGCACTATTCAGTAATTGCGCAATCTAGCTCGAGCATATAAACTCGTCCTGGTCCATTCTTTGTAGCAGAATATTCGTCTATTGTTGTCCAAATACATAATCGCACAATGGCTGATAGCGGTACAACTGGAGATGCACTGGCCGACTATAATGGTGATTCTGTCCAGCCTGCCACTTTACCACAACATGATACACCCTCAACAGAATCGCCGCAAGACAAGCTGAGGGACCTGACCGCACGAGCAACGGCATTTTACGCAGTCAAGAAGTACGAAGAGGCAGCAGAATGTTACTCAGAAGCCACAGAACTCCAGGCCGAGGTCAATGGTGAAATGTCAGAGGACAATGCAGACCTGCTTTTCTTTTACGGACGTTGTCTTTTCCATGTTGCGCAAAAGAGCAGCACAGTTCTTGGTGGAACTGCTGCTTCGGTCCAGCTGAAAGGAAGTGACAAGAAGCCTTCCAGAAAGCGCAAGGCGAACGGCAACATCAAGCCTGAATCAAGTACTGCCGCTACGGACCCGCCTACTTCTCTCCAGCCTATCACCGAGACCTCAGAGCCTGCCGATGTCGTTCCTTCCGAGACTGTCAATGCAAACGAGACTAAGTCCGAAAAGCCCTACTTCCACATTGAGGGTGATGCGGCTGACTGGGACGACTCGGACCAGGAAGAGGAAGGGGATGACGATGCGGAAGGCGAAGGAGATGAAGACGAAGAGGTCGAAGACGACTTCAACAATGCATATGAGATACTCGATTTCTCTCGAGTTCTATACCTGAGAAAACTGGACTCACGCCTCGCAGAGACCGATGAAAAATCCAAACCGGCTGAAGAAACACGTATCCTAAAAACCAAGATCTCAGATATCTACGATCTGCAAGCTGAAATCAACTTGGAGGGAGAGAAGTACGCCGAAGCCGAAACAGATCTCAGGTCGTGTCTCGAGCTCAAGAAAGACCTTTATCCTCTCGGTAATGCAATACTGGCAGAGTGTCACTACAAGCTCTCTCTAGCTCTTGAAGCCGCCTCACAAGTCCAGCAACGTGATCAAGATGGAAACCCGGTAGGGGAAATCAGTATTGACTGGGACAAGCGGAAGGAAGCAGCAGCCCATCAAGAAGAGGCTATTAAGTCGTGCAAGTTGAGGATCGAACAGGAGCAAAAAGACCTGGAAGCTATACCAGCTGACAAGCAAAAGGACAAGCAGAAGGCCCAAGAGAACATTGACGACGTAATGGATATCATGCAAGCGATGGAGCAGCGTCTCGAAGAACTCAAAAAACCACCTGTCAGTATCAAGGCGGAGACTGAGAAAGATATGCAGCAAGAGCTAATGGGTACTGTTCTTGGTCAGATGCTTGGGGCTGGAAGCTCGAGTATGGACGAGCAGAAGGCTAAGCTGGCTGAGGTCATAGCAGGTGCCAACGATCTGACAGGTATGGTCAAACGGAAAAAGCCCAAGCCGGCTACAAACGGCGATCAGACTGTTGCGCCAGCTGAGACTGCTGTAAACGGCAAAGGGAAGAGGAAGATTGAGGAAGTCGAGTCTGACAAGACACAGCCGCACACTGATACAGTCAAGAAAGTGAGGATAGAAGATGTGATCGATTGAGATACTTTCAAATCCTTGAGGATCTGCCATCTTCAGAGTGGCACGAGCGCAGCGATTACTGCTTTTCCCACGAATACCCTTGACATACTTTAGCTTCTTTTGCCCATGATCAGCAGCCGAGTTGACTTGGCACCTCTTCATATAAGCTTACTTACCCCCTCCTGCTTCTAGCAGAGCTTTATTTTCTCATCCGCGACCGCTGAGAAGAACACTACCACGTCCAAGCATTCCGTGTCTGGCCTCATAGTACAGCATGGTTGTGGCTGTATTTCGTCTTGGTATGAGCGGCCCGATTTCACTTGTTTCTTTCTGCTAGAACAACAGTCCTATTCTTGTTCCGGATCGACTACCCAGTATACCTCGGTCATCATCGAGTGAACGGTCAGAGTTTACTCGAGCAGCAGCGATTTTCTACGATCCAAATCGATTTTGACAAAGTACGACCATGATTGGGTTATCTCGATTCATGTGCACGCGGGGAGGACGTGACTTCAAGACAATACAAAAGTAGCGAACAGTAAGGGAACTTGAGAAAACCGTTATCATAATCTCAACAAACCTATCAAGCCCAGCACCACAGTCACGATCACATACACACTCGTTCGCGTTCTCCACCCTTCACTCGCTGCATCCCGATCATCCGCACTCATCCCCGCTCGAAACGTGACATTCTCCGTCGTCAAATATTCCGCTCCCAGTCTCGTCAGATCCCCACTATTATCCAACAACGAAACGCCATCGCCCGTCCAGGCATTCGCATTCTCCCTCCTGAAAATCCCGAACCAGCTGTATCGCCCTACGTATCCTAAATCATCGAGGTAGGGAAGGGTAGTATTCATCATTACTTCCGTGGCCTGGGCACTCTGTTGTGGAAGCGCGAGTTCAGTGATCCAGATTGGTAAGGGGTTGGGAGTGGTACCGCTGTAGTATTCGTTCAGGGTCCCGAGCCAAGATGCCAGGGCCGGAAAGTCGCCATAGAAATGTGTTGCGATGAAGTCGATGCGGCAGCCGTTGACTGGGTCGAGCTCGTAGCATGAGGCGTTGAAGGCGCGGAGCCAGTTGAGGCCTGAGCCTGTGCCGGTCGTTGAAGGGTGGGAGATCTGCCAGCGTCCGCCAGCTTGGATGCTAAGCGGGTTAATTTGCTCGACGTAGGCGCGCGCAGCGTCTGGGGGAGAGATATCCGAGCCACCACCGGAAACGTCGTGGTCTGGCTCGTTGAAGGTCAGGAGATGTGTCGAGCTTTGCGGGAGGTTGCGGAGTTGGTTGAGGTCGCCGGACAGGGTTTCGAGATTGTGTAAAAGAGGAACGAATTCTATGTCTCGGAAGCTGCTGGGTCGACCTACGGGGTAGGGTGACCAGTTGTAATACCAGGTTATGGGCGACTGGCGGGAGAGGAAGATGTTATAGTCGCTTGAGTGTGGAGTGCCTAGGTAGGCTATACCACGTTTAGATTCTGGATCTGATGCTTGTGAGATGGCGGCGCGAGCCAGACAGCTTAGAAGGACGGCCACGCTTGTGAGAATGGATCGTGGGCCGCATGACAAGACCATGATCAATGGTCGACTTAGTGCGCTGCGACTGTCCTAGGGCGGGGTACGTCCTGGAATGACCAGGGCACTGAGTCGTATATGGTTGCTATCCTGATGCTGTCGTAGTAAAGTTTATAACTCGAATATATACACGTGGTTCTGCTGTATTGTCGAAATCGCTAAACGCTGCAAAGGGTATCTTTATCAAGCAAATGAACGACTGAACGTGCGAAGGGAAAAGGCTGAGCAATAGCAGGTGTGCAGGCAATGAGGAGTGGTGAATTTCGCCACGACAAGAAGGCATGGCAGTATATGATCTTTGGATATGTACGTGTACTCTACCACGTGTGCCCAGACACGAGATCGGTATCTACGGCATGTCTTGTATGAAGAGCCAATCCGAGCAAGACACTTCTGCTTGAGCGCCTAGGACAAGACGAGCTTTCGTGGCTTGGTGGTTGCTGATGATTTCGCCAGGACGAATTTCGAGTGAAGACGTCATATGCAAGAAGCGCCATCAGATCACCTATTTCAGAGTTGCATGGCTTGACGATCTATGCTTGGCGTTATGGCGGAAGCCGCTCCAGAGGTCTTGGTCCGAAGTAGATCTCTTGGTGATCTATCCTTTTAATCTCAAGCCTGCCGCTGAGTTAACTGCCTAGCCAACTGCCTAGTTAACTGCTTAGAAGCAAAAGACCTGGTCTTGAAGTTTGCTGACTGTTCTCGCCTTCTCAAAGCCCAGGCTCTCGGTAGCCTTTTTCATGGCGCTTATCATTGGTGGAGGGCCGCACATCATCAATTTCATGTCCGGGCCAGGCGCTGGCAACTTCTCTTTGATAATGTCTGGCGTCACGAAACCAACACCACCAGTCCAGCCAGGTGGAGGGTTGTTGAGCACATAGTATACCGAGAAATTTGGATCTTGCTTGGCAAGCGTATCAATATCCTCCTTGAGCAGAATATCATCCGGGTTAACATTAGCAAAGATCAGGTTGACCTTGGTCTTGTCACCAGTCGATCGTCCTCGTTGTATTGCTCGGACGATCTGAAGCATTGGTGTAATACCAGTTCCACCCGCAATCATACCGATGTGCTTCACCATGTTTGGAGAATAGGTCATGGCACCTTTAGGACCGCGAAACTTCATGGTGTCACCAACCTTGAGGCTGTCCATATGCTTAGAGATATTGCCCTGCGGGTAGGACTTGATCATGAAGTCCACATATCCCAGATCCTCGTCCGAAGAGATAGGAGTGTACGATCTTGCGACCTCTTTTCCATCAAGCTCTGCTGCAATCGAGATATGCTGGCCGATCGGCAGGCCAAGCACCTGCTGAGGATTTGGGAGGGCGAATCTGTATATTTTGGTATTGTGCGACGTTTTTGTGATTTGACTTAGAGGTAGGTTTTGAAATTCAGCTGGCTTGAGGAAAGGACCTGGCTCTGAGGGGTTGTAGTGTCAGTATTCGTCGTCGCATAGAGATGTTCGTACTCACTGCCTTTAAAGCCTGCCGAGATCACATATCCGACTGCAAAAACCGCAATCACCAGTAGAACTGCTGGAACGTAGGAGCTCGTTAAAGAACTATATTCATGTCAGTCACGCCCAATCAATAGGTAGGAGGCGAGTGTAACATACTCCATTGCGAAGGTCGATGCACTGGATCTGGCGGTGATCTTGAATCACAGGTCTGACTCTTTTGCTCCAGGTACGTAGAAAGATACCTCGACGGCGAATGTTTCTATGCTCAACAAAGTTTCCCCACAGTTTCTGGAAATGTTCGTGAGCCGCTTTTTATTCACTCACGCGTTGCAGTCAAGATATTAATACTGCCTGGCTCGGAGCTCGAATTAAGTGCTTCCCAAGTCCACTGCAGGCGCAAGACTATATTACAGCTCTTGGTCAAGGCTTCATCGGACGATCACGTTGAGTCGCGCCCAACGTTCGACCCCCAGCATACTAGTAGTAGATATGTAGGAGCGGCAAGCTTCCGCGAAACGGAAAGCGGCTCCTCTTTATTCATTTGGGAAACTGTAACCCATCTGGGCAATTCCGAGCAGGAAAGAGCGTCTATACCAGAAGTACCACTCGCCGTGCATTTGCCCCGAATGGACAAGCTACGTGAACGTTCTGTGTAGCAGAGAGATGCAAGTTTGTTGATCCGGCCCAAGCAGCGGCTCATTGTGTAGGCAAGGAAGCAAAATCAACCGATATCGGGATCTTATGACCTAAGCAAAAAGGAAATCGGCACTGATTCAGCAAGTGAATATCAAACATGGGTCGAGGAGGCGCACGGAACGCCGGTCCCCATTTAGAATCTGAAGACTACACGAACAACAAAAAAGAGGTGCTGCCGTTCCCATTGACAGTGGTGGACCGTCACAATCTTTCCATCACTGACGAACAGTTCGAGCCACATACATGGGAGGAGCTGAAGCAGATAGTTGGTATGCTGTTTTATGGCAAGTGTTAATATCTGGCTAATCGAAACAGCTGAGAACAAGTTGGAAGTGTTGCGAAGATGGCCATCTGACTTGAAACGCTACATTAGGTGGTCTGCCGCTACCAAGGAGGAATATGGCTCAATCATGGCATATGTCATGCAGAAACGGCTGAAATGGTTGCCGTCCGCCAACTCAACCCCTGAAACTGGTTTGTCGTTTGACTACAAGGACCCTGTACCCTTCAAGGACTCTTCTGACTGGCAAATTTTACCAAACGACTGGCCATATGGTTTGGACAAGGGAATCTCGCATCTCATCGTGTGGTTAAAAAATCGACTCGAGGTAGAGCCGCCACGAGGCGACTTGACGCCAAGTGCTCGAACCATGATCGAGCATTTTGTGCAGAAAGAATTCGTGGAACCTATCGCCGAGATGACTGGGGATGGCACCGACAAGGTCATTTGGTTCAAGAACTGGGTCTCGCTGCAGTCAGTACCTGGCATAGATCACGTTCATGTACTGATTCGAGACGTCCCACGGGACTTCATCGACCGTAGGTGGACCGATGGAGAGAGGCCAGTACAGGATATGACTCATGTATAGTTCTCTGATCATTTGGTGCGGCGTTCATTCCATAGACGGTCGAGTACCTGGAAAACAGCAGTGACGCCCTCGAGGGTGCTTTGGTCAACGTTCATGAACCCGTAACGTTGTTGAACCTTATCAGGATGCCACCTGATTCTCTCTGCCTTTAGTATCGAGGATATTGAAAGGGTATGACTGGCGTCATCGGCGTGAGCCACTTCTGCGACTTGGTGAAAGAACTTCTCAATCTCGTCAGAAGACAAGTCTTTTCGCTTACCAGATTCGACGGGCCATGCGATCTTATTCCGGAGGAAGATCTGTTCAATATCGTCAGCAGATGATGTTCTACTTGATTCATGTAGGTCCTGTAAAATTTTCCATCTGTTTAGGTAGTCTTGCCAGATATGCTGCCATCTCTTTTTCTCCTTGCGCTGCTGACCACGCTTCAAACTTGCCTCGATCTCAAAGTCGAACGGCGCGAAATTGTTATGTGGCGGACCAGTTTCAAGCCCAACGCGGCTCTGTTCTCGCCGCTGTCGCTGTTGCTGTTCCTCCTCTCTCTTCTCCCGTCTCTTCACCTCTTTTGCAGCTTGAATACCTTCCGCGCTTTTCTCCCACATCTTTCTGCGTACGTATTGTGCATACTGCTCATCGTCCATCGTCTCAACTTCACCAGATTCTGCATCTGCGAAAGTTCTCGGATACTGATGGATCGGCTGACCGTAAACTCCCTGCCAGAAATCGGCTCCTTCGTCATCAGCAAGCGCATCGAAAAGAGATTCACGAAATGCATCAGCTGGAGGTAGCTTGGGTTGAAAGGATATATCTTCATTAGAGAGCTTTCTCCTCTTGTGTCTGCTATGATGATGTCGACGATGTCTGTGCCGGCGACGCTCGCTTTCCACAGACACATCTACAGGCTCTTCACGCTCATCACGATCACGCCTCTTCTTGAAACGAAAAGGTCTAGACGAATCCACAAATTCGGTGTTCTGCTGTGAGTCGGTTTCCTCGTCATTGTGCTCCGACATACTGCTGCGATGTAGAATTTGGTAGATTACAATGTAGACTCCTGGAATGCAAGAAGAACGTGAAGTTGAGCTGCATAGTAGTCTATGCAGGTAGAGGCAAGACTAATCGCCGGACGTTGTGCCTTTTTGGATCGTCGTATCGGCAACGTTTTCTTCGACGTCTGTGAGCATCAGGTTGTGCCAAGCACGGCAGGGGCAAGTACAAATGCTGAAAGACGTGAATCACTTATGCATGGTCAAATGTGACTCCATTCCAGTAGATGTTGCTCTTGCGATTGCCTAGCATCAAAACTTTTTTTTCTTCTCAAGATTTACGTTCACTCACGAAGTTCTCTCACCAATCGAGGGTACACCACTACTCGCACGACGCCTTTGGACAGGCACGGAATTTCGCCAAATTTGATAGACTAATCTGCAAAAAGGTCGATTTACATCCCAACTCAGGCTTGTCAAACACGAAACTATCTCAATTCACAACCATGCCTGATTTAACAGACTCAATGAGTACATTAAGTACTCAGGATGTACAAAATCCAGTGGACTTCTACCGACACCATATTGCTGAAAGACTTTCACCTATACTCAACAAACCTATCGAAGACGTGACCAGAATATTATCATGGACACAGACACTTGACAAGGGCGATTTGATGCTGCCAGTGGCGGCACTTCGGGAGAAGGGAGTCAAGCCACCAGAACGAGCTGAAGAGCTGGCCAAAGCATTTCCTACTGGCGATGATGTACTCGTCACAGCACAACCTAATCAAGGGTTTGTTCAATTCTTCTTCAAACCGGCAGACCTCAGCAAACGTATACTTCCGATGATCCTTTCCAAGCGACAGATCTATGGAGCGAATCCACTACCAGGTCTCATAGATCCTGACCACCCTGAGAAAGGCAAGAAGAAAGTTGTTGTCGAATTCTCCTCTCCGAATATTGCCAAGGAATTCCACCAAGGTCACTTACGAAGTACAATCATAGGTGGCTTTATCTCGAAACTCTACGCTATGAGTGGTTGGGACGTCGTCAGAATGAATTATCTTGGAGACTGGGGAAAGCAGTATGGTCTTCTGGCAAACGGGTTCCGACAGTTTGGTAGCCAAGAACAATTAGCCAAAGACTCTATCATGCACTTGTTCGAAGTATATGTCAAGATTAGCAAGATCAAGGCTGAACAGGACGTGCCAATAAACGACCTTAAGAAGCAAATTAAAGAGAACAAGGCAAAAGGTGAAGACGTGTCTGACCTTGAGAAGGAATTGGCTCCACTCGTTGCAGAGAGTGAAGACGAGAAGGCACGAATTTACTTCAAAAGAATGGAAGACGGCGATCCGGAAGCCCTAGCTCTGTGGAAGCAGTTTCGAGACATGAGTATCGAAAAGTATAAGAGGACATACGCTCGTTTGAACATTGAGTTCGATGTTTACTCTGGAGAATCGCAAGTCAACGGCGAGGAGATTGACAAGGTATTGGCGAACCTGAAAAAGCTTGGGCTGGCGGAAGACTCCGAGGGCGCTGTCCTAATCGACTTCACGAAGCACGGTGCAAAGAAGCTGAACAAAGCCATCATTCAGCGAAAAGATGGAACACCATTATACCTTACCCGTGATCTTGCTCACATCCTTGAACGATGGGAGACATGGCATTTCGACAAGATGATTTATGTTGTTGCGGATCAGCAGAACGAACACGTTGCTCAGCTCTTCAAGGCCACCGAACTCGCGGGACACAAGGAGATCTCAGATAGGTGCCAGCACATCACCTTTGGCATGGTCAAGGGTATGAGCACGCGAAAAGGTACGGTCAAATTCCTAGACGATGTTATCCAGCATGTCAAGGATGTCATGATGGAAGTTATGGTAAAGAATGAAAAAAAGTACGAACAACTCGACGATCCCGAAGCAACTGCCGACATCCTTGCCATTACTGCGATTATGGTTCAAGACCTAATGGGCAAAGTCCGCAACGGGTATGAATTCAATTTTGAGCGAATGACCTCTTTCGAAGGAGATACTGGTCCATATCTCCAGTATGCTCACGCTCGTTTGTGTTCGATAGAAAGAAAGGCCGAGGCCGATATCAGCTCATTAGGCTCTGCAGACTTGTCCTTGCTGAAGGAACAGCACGCCATTGATCTAGTCCGATCTCTAGCCCAGTATCCAGATGTTGTCGCCAACACACTCAAGACACAAGAGCCTTCGACAATCCTAACCTATCTCTTCAAAATGTCACATGCTCTCAGCTCTAGTTACGACGTGCTGCAAGTAGTCGGCAGTGAGCCCGAGCTCAAGAAAGCGCGACTAGCTCTGTATGAAGCTGCCCGACAAGTGTTATGGAATGGCATGACTCTCCTTGGTTTGACCCCAGTGGAACGCATGTAATCTAGGTCATGTTTGTGCCACATTGACCCTCACTCGGTATTGTACGCCGGGATGAGCTTGTCAGAGCGGACGATGTCAGGAACCACACAGACTGCGCTACAGCGTGCTAGTCGCTGTTTTTGCTCCTGACGCTAGTATGGAAGCTTGGGTAGAAAGTCGTTACTTTGGAGGATCGGAGTTTGATACTACATGGGTGGAAGGAACTTCACAAGACATGTGTTCTCGATATCGAAATAGAGCTCACCATTCGTGGTGCTGGCTCACCTCATCTTGCTGAGTGTTGCTTTCACGAAACACAACGACAACATAGGACGAGAGGGACGAGTATGAGGGCGGCTGAAAAGCCTATGCATACGTCGATATGCTCCTAGCAGAGGTATGACATCGTCGCTGTGGTGGCTGCACAAGCATATCCTCATTATCAATTTGTGCTACACAAAGCTGATCTCGTGCGACAACGCCAACAAGCACCCGCCAACCCGTACCACTTAGAAGAAGGTAGAATTGCGCAGAATGGGCACAAGCGAACTTGAGACCAGGATGTAGACAGTATCCGAGCTTCAAGCCATTGTTCCCCTGCCATTCTGATATTGACACGTTTTTGTGTAACTTCGCGAACACTTTCCTTTGGCTACTTGTCTTAGCGACATCTGCATGGACAACCACAGCTTCTGCGATTCCTTGTAGACATCACGGTAGACATTGACGCATATTGTTGTCGTTGACTCAATACGTACGCTCACATCGAGTATGAATCGAAAAGATTGCCAGATCCATAAAGCTGTCGACCGGTTGCGTGAATTTGCTAGTGAAAGCTAAATATTGCATTTAGGCTGCAACACTCATTGGAGCTTTGGGCAGCATTCAGTTTCCATTCCCTTTGCATCCAATAACTGGTGGTCCTTGGCAAGCGTAAGCATGCACAAGATATTCGATTCCACTCCAGCCAAAAGAATGCTACACTCAATGGCTCTTACTAGTGCAAGAGACTGCAGCTTCTGCATGCGGTAGAAATCTTTGACTGACTTCACGGCCAGTAGAAGAAAGGACTTCACACACTTGAGCAACTCCTGCAGCCAACGCTCCGAGTGTGCCTGCCTAAAAATGGTTCGTCTATGCTTTTACCATGTCATCTCGCATGTGCTCGTCGAATGATAATGCTGGGTAGCACTCATATCAGAAAATTTTCCGCCATAACTCCCTGGCTGAGCACAAATGAACAGAATCGTGTCTAGTTTCTACCCTGCCAGCGATGGGGATGTCGATAGCACGTCAAACTCCCTGGTACACGGCTGCAGCAGTGCATGACTTGCATACGATGCGTTCTTGACCAATTCAAGTCCGGATACTTGCAGCAGAACACCACTGACGACTGTCAATGCCATTGTCCTCAATCTTCACCACAGCAACCAATACGTTACCCACCATTGAATGGTTGCGGTGCGTTGTGAAACACGTCTCGCATTCTGCGGAGGTGCAAGTCGTATTCGACTCGCCCTCGGCTGTTACATCCTCAGCATCGCAGTAACCTGGATTGCACTTCGACGACAAGACTACTCTTCACTTAGAAGCAACCTAAAACAGAGGCATATTCGGACGGCATTGCTTTTGATCACAGAGTTTCTCGTTAGACTGGCCGATCGAAATATCTCATCAACTATCCTTGCTGCTCTTGAAACGCGAACCATCGTTCTGGCAACAAAGTCCTTGCTCACCATCATCCAGCAACGATTGTTCCGAGAAAAAGACAAATCTGCGTCACATTCAGAGCCAGCAAAACGGGGCTAATCCTTACGGAGCCTCTAGGCTAGGATTGTCTAGAGTTGGAGCCTGGGGATTGCCGAACGGGAGCCACTCTCTCACCCCACACAGTCCAGCTCGTCTTGCCCTAAGCAACACAAGTCCAACTTTGTCTGTGATCCACCTTTCTCTTCATTCCGAACACTGAACTTCACCATAGAAGAGCCGGATAGGCTCCCGTCTAATGTCAGCTCTGCCTGCGAGCGTAGAGGACTGGGACGATGAGGCTCAGGCTTCAGTTCCTGGAACTCGCACCACTGCCAATGCCAATGTTGCAGTGAAGAGGCATATGTCCTCCGAGTCCGACTTTTCCTCTGATCTAATATGTTACAACTATGACGGTACAGATTCTGGGTACGCATCTAAAGCACCAACCGTCTCAAGTATGGCCTCCTCACAACGTCGAAAGTCGGATCTCAAAATAGATACTGCCATCGTAACCGAACGTGAACGGAAACCCTACACAATGACGGCGGTGGCTCGTGATACGGATCGTATTGCGACGCAGATCACGAAAGAGAAAGAAACGAAAGCAGTACCTGAACCAGTGAAGAAACCGTTCTGCCACAAGCCAGGTATCTGTTGGGTATGCGACCGATACGGATTTCATTTCGATCCTAAGGATCCTCCTAGTAGTCTCGACCCGAAGAAGGTGGCAGAAAAACCGAATACGTCTGCACCTCAAGCAACATCGCAACCTTCCAAAACTGCTGCACCAAAAGTGAAGACAGAAGAGCCAACCAGGCCACCATCACGACGATTGTCGTCAATTAAAACTCGACCCACAAGCATGTACGTTGGTGGTACACCTGTGCAGGCACCCTTTCCTGGATACGCCCCCATGCACCATGCCTGGCCAGTGTCGACTCCCACTACCGCCTATCCCGGCGTCGCATTTGCGCCCTACCCTTCATACGTTGTGCCTAGCACTCCGATAGGCTATATGCCCACGCAACAAATCTATTACGAACAACCTCCCGTATTTGAAGAGCCTCCACAACCGCCTGCCACCCTGTCACGTCGCCTAAGTACGGCACCTCAAGAAAGACCACCATTGATCAAGAAACCATCACGGACAAGCACACTTCAGGTTGTCGAGAGACCTATCTCGCGCGAAAGACCACAAATCGTATCCAGAGACTCAAAACGGAGTGTAGATATGGACCGAATGGCTATGCCGCCGCCACCGAAACCGCAACCATCCACAACCGTCACTACAACAAGACCACGGCCAGGCAGGTCGAACACGTATCACTCCAATGTGTCAGCTCATCGGCGATCGGTGCAGTATGAATATAGCGAGTCGGAAGATGATGACGAGGAAGAAGAAGTGCATCTCATGGATCCTGGGGCAATGATAACGTACAAGAAACCTCCCGCATCTCCTCGGCGACCTCCCTCTGCATACCGGCGACCGACCCTGGAAGGTATGTCTGACAGACCTCAGCTTGCACCAAAGTCCAAGTCATACCATGATGGTGGAAAGACTGTTTATGTGGCGACCGCAACCCGGGAGGGACTTATGCCACGTCGTCGCACCACTGATTCTGCGCCAACCATGTCAGCAGCTGAGCAAAAAGAAGTTGACGCAGAAGCCTACATGCGCAAGCGGGGTAGTATGCCACTGACCGACCTTACTGCTGAGAATTTGAAGACTCTCAAGAATGTGGTACCTCGTCACGTCAGCGACCAAAGGTCAGAAAGTGGAAGCACAGCGAGCCATGCCACACATCACTCTTCTTCAAAGGATTCCTCAAGCGCACGTGGGCGAGCCCCAACATCTTCTGGCAGTGCTCTTGGTCACACAAAGGGCACCAGTATGAGTATCAATATCAATGGGCTCAACCTCAATATTACTGATGATGGTCATGGAAATACCGAAGCACCACCGGTGAAGCTCGATCTAGGCGGTATTCAAATCAGCATGAACAACCGTGACAAGGAGAATATCGATCTGAGGCCCAAAACTGGCCATCTTCAGCGTGCACCAAGCATGTCATCGCGAACACCGTCACGTCGTAGTTTGACTCAGGGTAGCGCCAGCCTTGTTTCTGCTGCAACAAGCGGTCAAAGGCGTGAGAAGGAGGAATTGCTTGCTCTCGAAGCTGAAGAGCAAGGTCGCGAATACGTTAGGCGAGAAAGCTACGTTGACGATGATGAAAGGCAAACTTTACGAACCCTGGGCAAGCAGAGTTCACGGCAGGCCAGTCGCAATGGAAGTCTTGCGAGACAACCCGGTGAAGAGATGTCTGCCAGACCGAAAAGCAATCGAGCGAGTGTGGATTACTCTCAACTACGGAGGGACGATGGTATTATGTGAGCAAATGAGCAAAGGGAAAGTGATATTCTTTCTCGACACTTCTGATTCTTCACGAATGGCAAGGAGGGAATGATCTGGTGCGGCTAATTTCTTGGACTTCTACGAGCGTTTCATCAACATCTGTTTCGAATGATTTAAAAGCAGGCTGGTTATCTGCTGATTTGTCTTTTCACTTCTGCTGCTAGCGTTTGCGTACAAGGTCATCCTCAGAGAGGATGTCAAGAAAAGCACGAAAAAGTTAAGATACCCTATTCGCATTGTACGGCGGCAAAAGCAGCACTATCTTATTTGGAATATTGGCCGGTTTGCAGCATCTGTGTGAGCGATGAGATTGGTATGGACGATGGGTTCTTACGAATTTGATGTTAGTGATGAAGTGCGCGGAGACACGTAGGTGTAGCGAGGGTAATCGAAGATGATTTCTATTGGCACTTTGAGTTTAAATCTGGAGATGAGTAAGATAGATACCCCTTTGTGTTTGGGAGTTTTTCAATGAGAGGACTACCGTCTGTTTGAATTATGGCACTTCCACTACAGATCGTGTTCTGCTCTTTTGTTGCTTATCGCTGGCACCGTGGTGCTTCTCGATGAAACAAATCTCGTCAGGTAATCATGACAGTAGACTTCTAAACCTAAGCTAGAAGAACACTTGAGCTTTCACGGGTTTGACGAACTGGTATGGAAGGGGTACTCGAGAACTTCGCACAGCCTTCTTCTTCACACTCTACTCTGCAGAGATCGAACCCCTTCCAACCCCTCCATCCCTCCCCCTTTCTTTCCTCAAGCACATCAAATCACATCCACCCTCGACCACGTCATAGCACTCTCCCCCTCCCCTCCTTAATCTCCCATACCCCGCGGTCACGTACCTGACATGACATAGTACTACACACAGTCGTTGTAGCCTGCTCGTAACAGGAAAGAACGACACTACTCGACTGCGACTAATCCTGCTCCCCGCCAGATCATGTTTTCGGCATGTAGATGTATACCCCTGATCAAGCTAAAATCTCGCGTTGATGCGTCGATGCATGAGTACCCGACGGGTGCCCGATTCGAGACAGGGGTGGCCGGCAAGTGCAGCAGCAGGAGTGGTTTTCGGACAGTCTCGGGATTGATGGGTACGGGGACGGCTTTGTGGGTTGGTGAGGTTTGTGGAGGTGGAGTATCACGCTGTGTATTTTCGGGACTGCTCCAATGCAGCATCAAGGTATTTATGCTTGTCTGCTTGCTGCTTATGGTTCGCGCTACTCATTCGGGTTGCTGCCAGGCGAGATGCAGTGATGGGTTGAGGCGTTGGGCTGGTATGGATAGTGTCTGTAGCGTAATGACGATCAATGTAGATCATCCTGTGGCCTCGAATCGAGGTGTACCGGAATTTAGTTCTGGTCGGCTTGCTTCTAGCACTTTTTCTTCGTCCGTGGTTTGACGAGATCGTCTTCGAAAACCCAACTCTCCTTCGGGATACGTAATCGTTAGACCACTTGCCAATCGAGCATGTTCGATGCTTGCTTAGCTTGATTGGAATATATAGCCACAGTGACCTTCTCTTCGGATTTTCAAGTAAAGTGTATCCCTTCCTGGTTAAACAGATACAATAACTTCAAAAAGTCGCCTTCGTCACACATCCTAGCTCGTTTGTCCGCAAGCTGAGCCTTGTCCTCCAGTATGGAGCGAACCTTCTCCCGTACCAGCTCATGTACTTTGCCCTTCTTTTTACGATTCGCGCCTTTTGGCAGTTTGAGCTTCGATTCCTCTTTGAAAAAGGCGGGTAGATCGTCATCTTCGTCATCTAGGTCCATTATCTCGTCGTCGTTGTCGTCGTCTACTTCACCGTTGAAGCCGTTCCATGCGTCTTTCTCACCGTTGTGGTTCTCGATTTTCATGAGGGCATCTGCGGCATCAGTTGTCTCCAGTGGACCATCGTCTAGAGGAATGTCGTTTTGTGCACAGTATGTCCTGTAATTGGTCTCTAGCAGTTGCAGGACGCTGGTCGTGCCTAAGAAATTCGCGCGCAGCATCTTGTTCTTCCTAACGAAGCATATTCTGAGTAACCCATCCCACTCTTCATAGCTGATGTTCGGTCGTGGGTTCTTCGGCACCATTCTAACGACACTAGACTCGACTGCTGGTGGCGGCTTGAAGTTATTCTTGCCCACCTTCATGATGTGGTCGATCTTTGCCCACATCTGCGCGTTGACTGAGAGTCTGGAGTAGAGCTTGTCGCCTGGTTTCGCGAAGAGTCGTAACGCAAACTCCCTCTGAAACATGAGTATACACACACGTGGCGCAGGCGCAGTCGCCAGAAGTTTGAAAGTTAACGGACTAGAGATCTGATACGGCGTATTCGATATACAAACATCAAAGTACGGTAAGTCGGTCTTAATCACATCCCCCAGCACCACATCCAATCTCTTCCCTGCCGGCGTTCCTTGTACACGTTTCGTGACTTCGGCCGCCATTCGAGGATCGAGTTCGACTGCGATACACTTTTTGGCTTTCTCGAGAATGCGCACGGTCAAGTTTCCAGAACCTGGACCGACCTCAAGGACGATGTCGGATTGTTTCAGATCTGCTTTGTCGACGATTGCTTGCGCGACACCAGGGTTTTTTAGGACGTGCTGGCCTATGTCTGTGTTCATCTTGAAGATTGCATTGCTTTGCGCTTTTGCGGCTGGCTTCGAGTACGGCGAGGCCGCACTCGAGGAGCGTTTGTGGTGTAGTGCCTTTGGCATATTGGGTGACTTCGAACGTGTTAGTATGTAATCATGTTGTGCGCATGGTGATGGTTATTGTTCAAATTGAAGGCTCATGAGAGTTGAGTCGCAACTTGAACTCCAACATTTTTACGATTGCTCGTATCGATAAGCGGCTATTTTTGTTCTACGCGGAAAAAGTAATAGTGTTGTTTATCCTCGTTCTCGTCCACCAATCTGCTCTGTACACGATGGTCGACAGCTCGTCTTTTCCAAGACCAGTCTAGCATATCCTGCTAAGGCTGAATTTCGCTGTCAACAGATAATATGGCTTCAATCACAAAAGACCAATACTTGTGGTCGATCCCGGTGAACTTGCTAGAATCTGGTCAACGTTGAACCCCTGTCCAAGGATGTCACACAATCCAACCACTGGTACACCTTCCATCGTTCGTAGTCACCTCTGCGGCAGCTTGACCATAGTCGCATACGAGGCTGACTATGTCTGTCATGTGAGATCTACTTGGCAGCCTAACTTCCAAGCTCTCACTTCCGACCGCGTTCTCAACAACTTCCCATGATAACACATACTATTCCGATCTTAGCTCCGTAATATCGACGTACGTTCGATCCATGTAAGACGCCTCCATGTTGTTCAGTCGTTACACAATCTCGACATCGTGGACAAAATGAGTGCAGAAGCTACTCCACAGGCTGATATGCCACAACGTTACGGTGATATCCACATTTCCGGACATGCAAGAGTCCATCTCGGTAACCAATATGCGCTTCATAGCGACTTGTTTGAGAGCGGCACAGCACAGCAGAGAAGAACAGGTAGGTTCTGCCAGTATCCTATATGAACCGCTGGATAACGTGTGTCAGCCTTATACAACGCCCTAAACTACGCTGGGTCGAATACGAAGAGGGACCACATTGACCTGGTTGAGGTTGGTCCAGATTCCTTCAAATGGGTTGCTGACAGCAAGATCTTCGACTGGCTTCGATCGGGAGACACTCCTTTCTGGATCGCTGGTAAACCAGGTTCTGGTAAAAGCACTCTCATCAGATACTTGGTTGATAGCAGAAGTACTCTACAGCAATTGAATGCTAGTGGCAAAAATTGGACGATTGTGCACTTCTTCTTCGATTTCCGTGCTGGCAAGGATCTGGCAAATCAGCCACTCGGCATGGTGAATTTGTTCTTGCGACAACTCATGAAATCGGTTTCTGTCGTCGCAGAATACCTAGACGACCAAGATGTTCATCAGCGACTTCTCTCCGGTTCAGTCAATGACTCATTAGACGTCTTAGCCGAAGCGCTACGATCAGCTGATGCACATGTCTGTGCGTTCGTCGATGGTCTTGACGAATACGAAGGCAGTTTGTGGGAGCTTTGTGCGTTTCTTGAGTCACTACGAGATCGGACAGGCATGAAGATGTGTTTCGCAAGTCGTCCCGAGACAGAAATTTGGCAAGCGTTTCAGAAGTGGCCGACTATACTCATGCAGAAACATAACAGCATCAGCGTTGCCGCTTACCTCGATCGCAAGCTAGCGAAACAGATGCTGTATCTGCCGATGATACAGCAACTGTTTGACAAACAGGTGCGAGATAGACTTCTCGAGAAGGCTCAAGGCGTGATGCTATGGGCAAAATTTGTTGTGGATGAGCTAGTGGGATCATGCACGGAATCGACAACAATTCAAGCTGTGCTAAAGCTCCTAGAAGGCACGCCTGCGAAGCTCGATGATCTGTACGAACGTATATTGCAGAAGCTACCAGATGCCATGCTCGCCGACGCCGCACTACTGCTACATCTTGTTATCTCCCGCGAGAGGTGCGCTCCTCGAAACCTCGAACAGCCACTTCTTTACCAAGCTATCGCCTTTATACAAACAAGTCACGGCAAGACTGCGTTTCTAGGTAGCCGTCTTGAAGAATTTTCAATGGATTTTCGTACGAAAGCAATATTGGGAAACATTGTTGATTTCGTTGTCGACGTGTCTGGTGATGTCGTGGTTCGCTCAATTCACTTAACGTTCGATGCCTATTTGCAAGACACGAAGTGGATAGCTGCGCACTTGAGCAAAGACATTCAAAGTAGATACGTTGACCTGCCATGGTCGTGTCTTATCTGTGATGTCGTTCAGCATCTGGAGCAAACTAATACAATTGACAAGACCTATGCAATAGCAGCTCTTGACGAAGTTTCTCAAAAGACTCAACAGCTGCCGTACAACGTTTATTGGGGTCGAGAATTCAGTTATTCTACGGAGGATTTCTGGCAGAATTGTTTCAGTAGAACGTCTGAGAAACTGGATAGATCCACGTGGTGCAGTCTGTATGATCTTGCCATCAAACAGGGGCCCGAAGCAGCTGAAGCGTGCCCGCTAGAGGCCGGCGAAGATAGGTTCGAGAAGAAAACATCTATATCAACGGCAGGCGTCATGCTACTACATATTAACAAGTGCCATGATTGCCGTTGGTCTACAGATAATCCTGTTTTGCTCGTGCGACTTGCGAATCTGATAACATCAGGTGCTCTACCCCTTTATATCGCTCTGCTACACAGAGATCTTACGTACCTCGACAGAGCGCTCGAATCTAGCTCTTGGAGTGAAGGAACATTGAACGACTTTCTGGATATTCTCGTGTGGACCAACTACCCCAATGTCGTGAGCGATGGAGATTTCGGGCAATTCATACAGATTCTCGCAAACCGCGGTTGTTATGTTGAATGTCGTCACATCTGTGGGATGAACTTCGAATCTCGACATCCATGGGGTGGCCACGATAATTGGCGGAGGATGAAGCATGCTTTCGTGGTACAGAAAGGAAGAGCTTGGTCACGAGAACACGCCAGGGACTGCCAGTATTTCAACACGGGAGTAGGGTTCCTGTCTCATTGGTGCGCTACGAAAGCTCAAGACCATGTGGTATGGCTCGATCTTCTACGCGACCTTGGTGAAGATGTTACTGCCCTAATCAGTCCGAATCTGTCTGCATTCCATGCGATCCTCGAGAAGCCAAATGCTTTGGCAAGAAGCAACTCTATTCAGAAATTCTTGGCCTTGGCCGAAGCTGGTGTTACGCCACTGTATGATTCGTACACAGGCTGTGCACTGTCGTATGTACGTGAATTGAAGTGGAAATGGAGATGGTATCTAGACGCCAGAAATTACGAGAAGCATGTTACTGTCAGGGATCAAGAGCTAATGAGAGAATGCATAAAGATATATTATGTAGAGCTGGTAAAAGTCCTTGAAATCTTTGAGAACTACGCAAGGACAGGGTCATGGCCAGCCGACTTCCTGGAGGAAGCGAAAGAGTATTGCAAGAACGAAAGAATGAGCGAAGATGTTTTGAAACTCATCACTGATCTCGAAGAGAGATTTCCTGAGCAGCGGGATCTACTTGACCAGGAACGGGAGAGAGCGAGAACAGGAATCTACAAAAGGATCAGATATAGCTAGGTCGGGACCTGGCGTAGCTTGACTTTCGAGCATGTTTATGTTGCGACAACATCGATCTGGATTTTGTTCGTAGGGACATTCATGGTCCAATACACCGAGTACAAACAGCGTCTTCCGAAAGATATATATATACATCCACACGAGTGTCTCGAATTGACCACGAGAAAGCATTGGTGTTCACGAGCAGTCAATCCCTTCAACAACGACCTCGAGCATGTCGTGCGCCAGGAAGCTAAGTCTACCTATTCAACGAGCGATAACACTAGACATGTCGCCTCGAGAACGATCAGGAGCCTCTATGAGCTGCTGGAGTGCACCCTCGATGCTAATCATGTTCATCCACACTGACCAGAGCCTAGCGAGCGGTCGCAGCACGTCCCTATCAAAAAAGAGTTCGACTTTGGGCGTCCACCAGAGTGGTCGTTTTTTCTGATGGGAACGTGCTCGGCCTCGTTACGATCCTGCCACGCCCACTACAAGTCTTCAGCTAGCATACTCACCAAAGGGCAGCTGAGAGCATAATGCTATACGGAAATTTCTTTCTAGCTACTTCTGCCAAAGCTTCACACCCCAATCTTCTGACCCATCGATCGTCCTTCCTCCTTGATTCGAGCGTTACATTCCTTGGGCCAAGGTCGTTGAATTCCTTAACACGATTAGTCGATCTGGAATTTCGAATAAGGATATAGAGCACAATGAATTCCCAGAGTCTTTCGGTGGAACCAAGCGCCAACTCCCAGAAGATTTTGTCATGCGAGGACTGATGTTAACGACTACCTATTACGAATCAAGCTTCTTCAACAAGGATGGTCTCGTCGACGAGGACGAACGTCTTTTGCAGCAACTATATTACCAAGCACCACGTGTCGATCGATGTCTTTTCTGCGCCATCCAACTAACAAAGCTAAACGGTCGATGGATGAGCTACGATGCTGAGATCAAGCAGTTCAGCACGACAAGCGTCGCTGACAAAGATTGCCACGGTTCGTACAGTGCACCGGCTTGAGTGAAGTGTATATCTCGCACAGAAGTGGCAGCAGAGCTACAGTATATGACGCCTTGCAAGCGATGAGTACCCGGAAAAGCACGCAATGAGACAATGAATCATCTGCTAATCATATGATGAAAAGGAACGTGGTTATGAAGGTAGAGTGAATTGGCTGAGATCTTCTTTCAGGCATTACTGAAATGCTGCTTGGTCTAGTCAAAGTCGCACCTGGCCAGAATCGATGCCCACGAAACTCTAATTTCTTGATGCGACACAAGAAGAATGGGGATAAAGGGCCCAACAGATGTAGCCAAGCTCTATAGCTTGTCTTTGAAGAGACAAAACCATGTCCGTTCAACGAGTGATAACCATAGTCCGTTATGAGCTACTACAGACACGAAAAATCACGTTCAGACCTGCCCAAGGCGCCCTAATCACATAGATGTGTCTTCATCAGACCCTTTCTTGTCCGAAGCCTCCACTTCAACACTGTATATGCTCACCGCCTATGTTAAGCCTACCATACGAGCGACTGGTTCCCTGACAACGCGTCATAAATTCGTGGGGTTTCGTGCTCTTCACTCCCGTCGTCTGTAAACGTGTGGATGCTCCTTCAGGAAAGCACGTCCTTTTGTGAGTTTTTGCTTTTTTACTGTGTTTTTTTGTTGCAGGGCAATGTTCCGGCGCGGTCTGCAGAACTTTGAACCTTCGTCTTCTGCCTCAGCTAAGGTCTCACTCAACTCTTAGCCGAACGTCGTTCTAGTTCTCCTCATATCAACGCATATCCCCGGAGTCTTCTCTACATCATGCATCTTCTGCCGCGCTGCCTAGAGCACTAGAGCTTGTGAAAAACAAGCAATTCAAGAGTCATTATTGGAAGGAACACTTGAGTGTGTAATTGCTGCTGAGTCGTTTCTTGCCGTGTGCTGCCTCGAAGTCCTGCGCCAACAGAACAGGTGTAATAGAGAAAACGGCATGGTGTCTCTTAGAGTGCTTGTAGCATATTCGGACCCTACTACAGGCATTCATGGCCGAACCTTTGTCCTACATCCCTTCCCATCACCAGTGCCATCCCTATACCGATTCTTATACTCTCTAGGCGACTCTAACCTTCCTTTCTCCCTCTATGACCCTCTCCTCTTGCTCTTCGTCGTCTCTTTAGCAGCTCTATGACTCTCCTCGAACCCCTTCCCACTAAACTCCGCTCTCATCTTGTCCTCGTACACTGTCGCAAATCCCGTCCGTAACATCTGTAGTCCGACGTCCCTTCTTAGAATCCCCCTCTAAATATACACTATTGCCACCACTCTCGAGTACTAATCGGCTTTATATACGTAGTACCAGACCCTCCTCTTTCTCAAGGAGCTCGTTAGCCAGTCTGATGCCTCTTTGCTGTATGGCTGCGCTAGACCTCTAAAGTACGCGAGTTCTAGCGTATCGACTCTCGCGAAGCGTGTATAGACTATATTATTCTTAAGGGCTTTTGTATCGTCTAGGACGTAGCGTAGGAGACCCTATAGGCCGAGGCGACCAAGCGGGGTGTGGAAGAGACGGAAGTTATCTACATCGCTGACAGAGGTGACATGGCCGAAGAGGGAGCGAGTGAAGCGCTGTGTTGAAGGAAGCAGGTAAGTCTATGGGAGGGAGGTCGCAATCGGGTAGCGTCTGAGAAAGCGGCGTTGCAGGGCGAAGGGGGGGAGGAGTAGTTATGAGGATTGCAGTAGAGATTAAAGTGCTGGGATGGGTGAGAGATTGTAGAACGGAATATCCATTGTCATTGCTCGCAGTGGCATTTAGAGTTTGTGCCAGGTTTCCGGCTTCATCTTTAAGGGAAGATGCTGTATCTTGCGCTCGGGCTTTGAGTTGATGCGCTTGTGTTGATAGGGTGGTGAACTAGCAGAAGTGGTAAGGGGTGTCCTTGGAGGACGAAGACCAAAAGAATGGCCATGGTATCTTCTACCTTGCTGCGTGAACAAGTTCAAGAGAACTGATAGGACGGTGGAAGTCCTGAGCGAGGCTCGTGTTCATATTGTGGAGAGATGGACTGAACGAGTTGCAATGTGGAGCCAATGCGTGGCAGTGGGTGGAGCATCTCGTGAATACTTCAGAAGCTTCCAACCTACACAATATTCCGTACTATGAATGTCTGTGAATAGGCGAGTAACGTGCCTGCTTCTCTGTGAGCAGCCCTTGATTAAATAGGCCTGCTGCGCTTCATGACGGGCATGTGTGCGGTGTATACGACTATCTAGGACACGAACATGCTCCCATCGCTGACTTCTCAAACACAACTTGGAATCTTTACAGGTGTTAGTACATTCCAACGCGAGTTGAACATGGCCTGAGTTGATGTGAGCAAAACACAAGCTTGACTGCTTGGAAGAGCTAGGTACTGCGCTATACTACGAGTGACGCGAGACATGAGGACATTGCGAGAAATGGTAAGCTTGTTGAAGGGAACAAACGGAGCAGGTTTGCATATCAGTGGTAAGTGTACGACTCAAGAACAATATCCGGCACATCTGTGTACGGAGTAGTGAGGATTGTGGTAGTGCACGTGGTAGGACCCACAAAGGCAGCTGTAAGGGCGGGACCGCTCTGTCTTCAGGGCACAACTGTCGTTCGTCGAGCGGAACCGCAAACTCAATATGACACGGCCACCGGATTGCTAACTACAACCCCACAATTTGGCTTGGGTGGGCGTAAAGTGGGGAGGATACTTAGTACCATCACAATACGTAAGTCCTCCTTTAGTATCTAGTCGTGTTTGAGGAATAAACAAGCCTCTAGACTCGCATCGTGCAGTGCGGAACCATGGCTGCATTGACCTTCCTGGGGAGCGCCAAGCCCTTCACCTCTACACATGCAGATCGACTAACTTGTATATCTAGAAGCCTGCACCTCTCATGCATCCGGGAGCTTTACGACGATATACAGTACGAGCAGCAGTCACATCCGTCGTAAGGTATACAACATCTGAAGTTTTTGGTAACCACAATGTCGGGAATTCTCAAGTAGGTCCCTCTGTTGCAATTACTCTCTGGCGGCCGATACAGTCAACTGACGAATTTTCTCAGCATACTCGGTCGTGTTGCCATCGTGACAGGCTCTTCATCGGGCAATGGACGGGAGATTGCACTGATGCTGGCCTCCGAAGGTGCCTACATCGTTTGCAGTGACGTAGATCCAGCCGTACGAGCAGGAGGATATGAGGAGAGTCAGGTGCCTACACACGAGCTAATCCAACAACAAAAGGGGAAGGCTGTATTTCAGAAGGCCGACGTGACTGACGCGACAGACATTGAAGCCTTGATAGAGGTGGCAGTGAATGAGTTTGGGCGGCTAGACATGTAAGTGAAATTCTAGAAGACCTACACTAGATAACTAACAAGCACCGACAACAGCATGGTGAACAATGCTGGCATATTCACCGGCCTGGCGACCATCGTCGACGAGACTGTAACTAATTTTGACAAGACCATGGTACTTGCCGCTCGTCTCGCACAAACTTGACTGACTTTGCTCACACAATCATATAGGCTGTCAATTGTCGTGGCGTATATCTTGGCATGAAATATGCCGTCACCCAGATGATGAAACAAGAGCCGCTCCCTTCGGGCGAGAGAGGCTGGATCGTCAACATCGCATCCATTGGCGGTCAGGTCGGGCTTGCACTTGAGCGTATGTTTTCCCTTTCATATTCGTTGGATTGTTTCATTTTCTCAACGCTAACTCTAACCAGCCGCGTACTGCGCAAGCAAGGGCGCCGTGGTCAACCTTACACGACAGGTAGCCGTGGATTACGCGCCCCACAAGATCCATGTCAACGCTGTGTGTCCTGGCTTTCTCGCCACAGCCATGGTGCGACCGTTCCTCGATAACAAGGAGTCAAATGCAGCACTTCATCAAGGAAGCCCTTGGCCTCACCTGGGGACCCCGAGGGACGTCGCAAAGGCTGTCATTGTGCTTGCGAGTGATGCAGCTAGCTGGATGACAGGTGGGAGCTTACAGGTTGATGGTGGATTTGTGGCGAGGTAGCAGTCTTAAAGCACGATTGAATTTTACATCTAGTATGTTAGCCAGAGACTAATCTGTGGGCAAAACGAAGCCTATGTGTTTTGGTCCAAGGCTTTCACGTTGTCATCCGTAGATACTCTTTATGCAAAGATCCTTAGCCATAATGGTGTTACGACCATGTTGCACGTGTGACCACAACAATGCAAGAGGATAGCCCCTCCGACTGGGGTTATGTAATGATTGAGACCCTAGCTACTCTAGGTTGTTCACAGCACCAGTATTTCAGGGGCACCGAGCTTGTCTTCTGGGTCAGTTCTGTTGGAAATATAAACTGCCAACCATCTACAGAGCATGAATGACGGTACCACTAGCCCAATAGCCGGAAGCGATCTTGGCTCGGTAATGCTTTCTGGGAATGCTGGGATCTGTCCCTGCAGCGATTCTCCAACCCAAGGCTGGGGAACCCCGCATTCAAATGGGGTTGTTCCTGACACGCACAGTCGCGATGTTGATGATCAACACGTCCATTTGGTCGCTTTTGCTCATAGGTTTCGCAATTCAACAACAGCTATCCACTGGCTCTGCCATGCAAACATATGGACGACCCCTACTCAGCTCGCATCAGCCTATTACAACCCAACATTCTCATTCACCCCCTTCCCGCAGAAAGCAGTACCAGAGTTGCGATGCTTGTCGCAAGAATCGTAGGGCCTGCGATGCTGGTAGTAAAAGGAATCATCCTTTGTATGTCTCGGAAGCCGGCCTTGCAAGCTTTAGTTGTTCTTTGTGTGAGAAAGCTGGGAGAGAGTGCACCTTCAAATGGCTTCAAAATCTACCAGAGGCTGTGCTGCCTCGTGGACTTAGGCGAAAGAGGCATCTTTCTGTTCCATCGGAATGCCGTACTAACGAGAAACACCCCCTCCGCAACAAGATACGGAATGTGCCTCCCGTGATAGATATGAACCCTCTAGATGGTTTGGCCTGCGCTACGCGTTTGCAGCAACAAAGCCAGACAAAGATCTGGAACTGGAACTGGATAACGACAAACACCATCATCGATTCACCCAATCCGACACTCGATTACCCCAATGCTCAGCTCTACTCTTCGACTTTCCCGAACCGGGACGAATCGCTCTACCACCAATTCCCAGATGTGCCAAATGATGTGGTTACATTTCTCGAGGCTGAAGACCCGATTTCAGCATCCGACCAAGTTTTCGTCGATGTATTCGATGTCTCAACAAGTACTCTGAGTTCATCTTCAATTCATCGGCCGGACCTTCTGGCATCTGAATGTGAGATTGCCGATATCGGTTGGGAACCTATCACTGTTTCTTCCTCCTCCTCCTTCTCCTCTTCTTCTCTGCTGGACGAATCTCTTGACCAGGGCGGTACCGCTCCTGTTCATCCTATTGAAGCGCAGCGTGACGGCTTCGCTATATCTCTTGAAAACGACTTAGCAAAAACTGCGAACCAGAAATTCATCGCTGATGACTTAGTCCAGGTCTATCGTAATAGCCTGGAAAATGCACTCGGTTGTTGGCTCGTCGAAGAACATTGCCCCTATCAACGAACTGCCCGAGCGAAGCTACTGAACTATGGCCAAAGTTCAGCTGCACACCCCACTTATCTACAACGTGTGTACGAGCTAGACCATATATCGCAACCTTTGCGGCCGGAGAGAGTGTCAGTGGAGGATAATGCGCTAACCTCAAAGGCTCTCAAGCTTGTCATCATGTCTTTTGCGAGTCAGTGGACACACGGTATCGCACCTGCGACTCGAAAAGCCGGCAAAGATGTTGCTGGATTTGAAGACGATGAATTTTTACGTGGATTTGAGGGTTTGATGCAGCAAAGCCTATGGCATGAAGCACAGAGTGAGTCTTGCACCCAGCAGTCGATTTCCTGATTTAGCTTACCTTGTGGTATAACAACACCATATCTGGTTGTTGCAGCTGAGCCTATCACCTGTCTTTCAGTTCCTCCGGCGTTACTTTAACAGCCATTTCGACACAAAAAGAAGTTCACTAACACAATCACTAACAGGATACATCAAAGCATGCGCACACATCAATTGCTTCAAATCAATTTTCGCGCAAATAGTCTTCTCTCTTGTTCAGCCCCCTACGCTTTCCGTGTACGAGAATACCGCTTTACACCGTGCGCCGTCTACCTCGCCTGCACTCGGGTCTACCTATCCAATATCCAACATCGTTATAAGAGACGGCTCAATTTCAAGTTTAGATAACACCATGCACTCTTCCGCCACCAGCACTGCAAGTTCTAACATTCAGGAGCGGCTTGGCTACCTCCATCAAGCGCTTCGAAGTCTCTTGAAATGGCGTAAAACTCTACATCCTTGGTTCGTTGGACGCGATGTTGGTGGACAAGGAATTCAACGTGCAGAGTGTATGGCTTCTCGTCGTGCGGCTCTACAGATCCAGGGTAGTTTTAATGTGTTATTTTGGTTCGGACTGATGTGTGATACCACTTCTTCGGTACTCAACAACCACCCGCTCATGATTGCTGACCGCGAGTCTTGTGCTGTTCAGCATGTTGCTCCAACCTCCAAACCACTACGCGATATACTGCAACCTTCCACAACGATGGGAGACAGTATTGGAACCGATTACAGTTCATCCACCAACCACGACTATACTGAACAACTAGATGCCGAGCTCATCGACATATGGGATCTAGCCATGATGAGCTGGCGTCATGGTTTATCACTTGAGGCTGGTGCTGGAGCTGTGCTTCAAGAGGCAATTCCTACAAAAGTACTGCTTTGGCGCAGATTAGGCGCACTTAGATCTCTCATCAGAGGAGTCACTAGTTCAGCCGTTGTCGAGCAAACTATCTCGGTGACGTTGGAGGTTGCAGACTTCTGGAAGATCACATACGGACCACTTATTGATGAGTGTGTCAGGACCCATCATCAGCTGTCATTCAAAATACAGTCCTGGTACGTCATACTAGCTATTCATTTCCATTTGGCATGCCTATTCGTAGCCGATTGCATTGAGCAGGCAGATGGCAATTATCAATCCTGTGCTGAGCAACGATCTTTGCGTCTGACAACTTCGAAAAGCCTGGAAATGATCAAATCCAGCGCTTACACCATCACCAACATTGCAGCGGTTTGTCTTTCATTGCCTGAAAAGAGCCACGGCGAACAAGCGTCCTATAGCTTTGACAGAGATTGCGAATCTACCAACAGAGGCACGGCATTGCTAAGTGAACCATGGACTGAGGTTCTTATCGAAGCGTTTTCGAAGACTTTCCAGACTCTATTCAATTGGTCAATCTCCCGTGATCCAACGCTAAGCCCTATGTACAGTCCTATTCAGCTCGAGTGGTTGATGACCAACACAAATAGTCGAGATTTAGTGGCCAGGTGTCTGGTTTGTGCTGAGGCTCTCGAGCTCCTGGGCCACAAATCAAATCATGCTTTACGTGTCGCGCGTTCAATGAGAACTCAATTGACGGATTCAGTCGACTTACCAACACTGGTATGAAAAGGTCGCACTTAGGACATGCACCAAGCGATGTTTGAGACAGACGTACTTCCTACAACGACCTTGAATACGCGGTAATATCAGGAACAGGGTATGATGTGGTCCCCTTACATAACGCCTTTTCCGCCTGAAAATTTTGGCCGTTACACTGCAGTTGGGATCCATGAACTGATATTTCTCGCCAGATCTTTCGGGGCTACTGCTGCGTGAGACTTGAAAAAGCTGGAAAAGCTCTATGTCGCGGTAGTGGCTCAGATATTGATCTGGTTACTAAGGTTGAGACGGGTTCTTGTATATGCTTATAACATTGCTCAATACTCGAAGCTTTGGCTCGAAGAGATCCCATAATTCAATCCTCACGTGTCATACATCGCTGTTCTACAACGGTCGTCTGCACCTCGTTCTATTGGCGTTCGTTGCCGTAGCCATCAGCAGGAACTGCTCGACCCCACATTTCGCGAGTGTCGCCACTGACACTTGTTCGTCAGCCAGGGATGTCCGTCTTGAGTTTATGCGGTTCCGCATGAGGCTAAGCTCGTTCGGCTTCTATGTGGTAGAGTGCTCGCTATTCCGCAAGCACTAGCGTAGTTCTATCAGGGGAGCCGCATTTGAACCTTTATATAGCTCGACTTGGCTCGTGGTTGACTAGAGGTGCTGATTATCAGACACGACGCGCTCGAGAGTTTTCACGACTAGAAACATAGTAAGTCGTCACTTAAGATCATTCCATTACACAATGCCTCGTCTACAGGATAAGGTCGTTGTCATTACAGGAGGTAGCTCAGGCTTTGGCCGTGCTTCCGCCCTCCTTTTCGCTGCCGAGGGCGCGTCAGTTGTCGTTGCAGACGTGCTGGAAAAACCCTTGGCTAAGGGTTTCGAGAACGACCTCGAACATTCCACCGCTGATGTCATTCGCAGCAATGGCGGAAGAGCAACCTTTGTCAAGTGTGATGTTACCAAAGCAAACGAGGTCGATGCCGCTGTCGCGACTGCCGTACTGGAATTTGGACGACTCGACGTGATGTTCAACAACGCCGGAATCTACCGCGGTGGGAAGCTGCTGGATCAATTCACAGAGGCTGACCTCGATGTCACCTATAATGTGAACGTGAAGGGAACATTCTTCGGCGTGCAGTCCGCAGTGCGGCAGTTTCGGAAGCAGGAGAAGAACCCAAAGACAGCTCAGCGTGGCATCATTGTCAACCTTGTCTCGACTGCCGGCCTTCAGGGCCATCCCAGTCAGTCGGTCTATAACATATCAAAAGGTGCACAAGCCAACCTCACTCGCTGCGCTGCCATTGAATACGGACATGAAGGCATTAGGGTTAACGGCATCTGTCCAACTTATGCAAAGACAGCACTTACTCGCGATCTCTTTGACAACATGGAGTTTATGCGCACTTTCACAGAGTCAGTGCCGCTGAAACGTTGGGGCGAGACAGATGATGTCGCTAACCTTGCCCTGTTCCTTGCAAGCGATGAGTCTAGCTACATTCATGGCGACCTGATTCGCATAGATGGTGGCGAGACGCTTTGCCGTTACTCAGTCTGAGGTCAGGCTGACAGACGTACCCGTTAACGCTCCACTGTATGCTGTAGCTTTTCGTATCTAAGGTCTTTTCTCTGATGAAGCAATCTTTTTCCGACCTTGGACTAGTCGTGGCTGGAGTAGAGCCGGGAATTAGAACATCCGTTTCTGAGGACAGGACAAAATGTCTCTGGGTTGATACATGCTGTCTTAATGAAGAAAACAACGTTCAGCTTCCCAATCAATTACTTTCATGCTTCGATGGTGTCGGAATGCATAGAAATGCTATACATATCTGTCTTGACACAGCAGCTTCCTGCTACGCTGGTGAAGCGAACACGTGTATTCTGTTAGAAGCATTCCAGCGAGGTGTGAAATATTCGTCCGGTCTTCGATGGGCCATGAAACATGCCAAATGAATACGATGGAAAATTACGTTACTGGAATCAGCTTCTGCTTACCAGACTCCCACATATTGCTGCTGACGGTGCGATCACTTGCTGCCTGAGTCTTGGACACGCATGACTTGAGGTAATTGCGATTTCATCGTGCCTTCCATGATACTTCCTGACCCCTGACAAGTCCAGAAACAGAAATAGATGTGCATAGTACGCTAAGTGGTCAGTATGTTTGACAGGAGAATTCTTAAACACAGTTGGCTTTCCGAGATGTACTTCGTTAGTATGGGTTTCAAATTGGGGACTCCTCAGATACTCAGACCCAAAACTGGTCAGGCTAAAGTCGGTCCAGAGAGCTAGCATTAGCGTAATTTGCATGTGAAGCATCGACACATGACGGTGGTCAATCACGATGACCACGACTTCGATGTACTCGAAATTCTTGCACTCCTGCTCGTCAGCTGTTCCTCACCTCTACCTGAGTCCTCATAACATGGGACGTCGATAATGGCTAAGTACAATCAGTACTGTCTTTGGCGGACAAGTTTTCTACAACATCGACAGTGATGACCAACGCGCCTTCGATGATGAATAGAAGGTCAGAGGCACGACGGGTACTCAAGCTGCGTCCAGTGACAACAACGACCCTATCGAAAAACTAGGAATAGCAGCGCGTGCAACAACGGCTTTGACCATCGCAGAATGTTGATAATTGTTGGCAGACAGTTTTCACGATCCACAATGAGAGTTCAAGATCGGAGCCGCAATACGTGGGAGAGTGGAAAGTTTTGCGGAACCGATTGCGGGGAAAGGACCCACTAGAACTCCACCGATGTACTGACTGACCATTAAGCGTGGTCAGGCGTCTGCTCAGCGTGCATTACATGCATATGCGCAGCAATCAACGACCATGACAGGCATATAACATACCGCTCAGTCGACTTGTCTTGAGTGGCTGTATTCGACAGAGCATCGCAAAAGTCTCGAATTTTGTGTATCAATCCAACTCGATAGCAATTCCAGCCATGACCCGCGAGGACATTTCTTTCCAAACTGCGGACAATGTGACACTTAGAGGCTGGTTCTACAAGCCCGCGAACGGGTCAGGCCGCCTTCCGTGCCTCGTAATGGCGCACGGTTTTTCAGCTCTCAAGGAAATGGACCTCAATACGTTTGCCGAGTATTTCACGAGCAAGCTGTCACTGACGTGTTTGGTCTACGACAACCGAGGGTTTGGCGACAGTGACACTAAAGAAGGTCAGCCCAGGCAAGAAATCATACCTGCTCAACAGACCAGTGACTACTCTGATGCCATCACTTACGCTCAGACCCGAGCAGAGGTTGACAGCAAGAAGATCGGTATCTGGGGAAGTTCGTACAGTGGAGGTCACGTGCTCTGGGTCGGTGCTGTGGATAAACGGGTGAAGGCCGTCCTGTGTCAAGTTCCCTGTGTCGACGGATACTCGAACTTCAACCGACTGATAAGACCTGACTTCACGAGTGGTCTAAATGAGTTGTTCGAGCAGGGTGAGTGATAACTTAGGGCCCCAGGAAACTTTTGATCTCAACACTGACTACGAGGTGCGGAAAGATCGTCACGCGCGAGCTGCAGGCAAGCCTGCTGGAACCCTTCCAGTGGTGGACGAGAATCCTCAGGCACCTTCCGCATTGCCAACGCCTGACTCGTACACCTTTTTCACAGCATGGGGCAAGAAAAGCTCATGGAAGAACGAGGTAACTGTAAAGTCGTAAGCATTGCCACGTTGCAAGACGCTCCTACCACCAAGCCATACTGACCTGGACAGAATCGAGGCATTCCGCGAGTATAATCCATCCGCACACATACACCATATCTCACCAACGCCTCTCTTGATGACGGTGGCACAAAACGATGTCTTGACGCCGACTGATCTCGCGCTGGAGGCGTATTCGAGGGCACGTGAGCCGAAGCAGCTGCACCTCCTCCCTGGGGGTCACTTCGATGGTTATTCCGGGGCAAATTTCGAGAAGAACGCCAACACGCAAGCAGAATTCTTGCAGAAGTGGCTTTGCACGTAGGATGTAGCGAATTTGGTTTTATGACATATGAAGTGATGTGATTACCCACCAGTCCAGAGTGTACTAGAACCTCTACCTCGAACAAGTGCCGAAGGGGTCCAGTGGTGTGCTTGGAGCCACATCTGCCAGTCTCCTATAAGCTCCTCACGCCAAACCCTGCATGACCATATTTCCACAATCAATAGGCAAAGCTCTTGAATTACAGCCAGCCTCTTTCTGTGACATTCCGATTCATTTGAGGCGAGAAGAATTGCTTGTAGAACAGTCTCGTGGAGGAGTTTTCTGCTTCTTACCTCGTGAATTGCCCGAGAAGATCTCTCGCTATGTCGGCCTAGGTTACCAAATAGAGTCCGTCCTTCAGTGCTGACTGCTATCTGGTAGGTCTCGAGCAGGCTGCTTCAATTTGCGGTTTGCCTTGGCACATGGTCGATCTAGAGACGTCCAGTATGCCAAAATCCGAGTCAAAGCTTGCAGACACCTGTCAGTATGCTGTATCAGTTGTAGGACTTTGAGGCGAGTTCAACCCGCTCAGATTGTCTATGAACATTATTTGCGTTCATCGGAGACATTCACAGAGCCGTCTTGTCTCTGAGCGAGCCTACACTACGCTACAGCAGAACTGCGTTCGTCCATGTCTTTGTCCGCCCTTGAACGGCACATTTCTCAAGTCATCGAGAACGAGTCCGTCGGTATTCCTACAAGGCTCTATCACTGGAGTCGAAGACTACGACACCACTCTAAGAAAACCAGGCTAAGCACTCCGAGGCGTGAAGATGAAGCTGTCGCCTAGCACCTTCCAGTGGTTCTCAGAGCAGTTTCATTTCGGATGGGTTATGTCTTGGAATTACAGCAAATAGCAACAGACGTCCTCCAGGCAGAGCTGCGCGAGAGACAAGACGACAATATAATACGCAAAACTGCCTGTGGAACAACGGGAAAGCGTAGTACATAGAATGCTCCTCTACACATCTTCTCCATACTCACGGATTGCTTCGCCGAATCCTGGATCAACCCCATAAAACCAAGCTGTGTCTAGATGTCTGTAATCGACATCGAAGGCTGTTCTTAGTGCTGCTTTGATCTACTCAGAGCCTGCAGGGGAGGTCGGTGCGCTACCGTCTGATGCCCAGGTACCGAAATCAATTGATGGAATATCCAACATCTTCCCGTTTACGATCTGAACAGGGAATGTTTGAGGTAATGATATATTCAAACCCGGAATCCTTTGGCGTATCAACTCAAGAACGGTCTACAACAGCACGACGCGATTTGCGTATATCTGGGGGGGCTCGTTTTACGACCAACAGGTGCACGTCCTGCTGCCCCAAAGCCTTTGCACGAAGCTGTCTCTGCTGAGCAGCTATGTTTACATCCGCCACGAATCGGCAAATACCCGACCTAGGAAATGCGGAGAGAAATCTGGGGCAAGATTGAGTTCGTATTGTGGGCACGTTCAGCTCAATGCAAAGGTAGTCGAAAGCCGCTGTCGGGATCATGCGCCTCAAATTGACGCAGGCTGGATAAGATAACGTTCATCATATCTGAGCAGTGTTCCATGCTTTGGTAAATGGATTTGTTTCTCGAGTTCAAGGAGTTGATCCACTACTTTGTTAGTGCTAGACTGTAGTTGGGGTTCCAGACTTCTGATCAGGGAGCTGACAGGGCAGAGGAGAACTTGGTCCTCTGAGGTATAAATGTCGGCGGGTAATATACTCTTCCATCTAGTAGCAAATCGTTCGAAGATATCCTCAAGTTTGTCGTCGGTTCTGGATGAATGCTGTGCGAGCCACGAGATCGGCAGAACGCATGCTGCTCCTGCATGAACCATAATAGCAAGTGTCTGTAGAACCATGTCACTTTGTGCCTCACGATGACGCCGTTGTTCAGGGGTTTTGTTAATGAAAGCCGGCAGTGCGAACAGGTATGAGCCCCATATAGAGGGTAAGTTGTCCCCAAGAAGCTCGTTCGGGTTACTGCCGCGAGCAAGAGCAGCCTCTAGTAACCTGATGTCAGGCAATGCGTAACCACAAGATCCAGCCTGGACGTTGAACCTAGGCTGTAGTACATAGTCTAGAATTGGCCTTCCTTGTTTGTTTTTGATAGACTCACTTGTCATATTGTCCAGCACATAAGAACTAAGCTGAAAGTCAATGGCTAGAGTCAGAAAATCACTGCGTTCAAGGTCCCATGCTTCCAGACTGCCATTGATGTACCAATAGCTGTAGTCAGGGCCAGTGACGTCTGCAGCGTGCGCAAGCCATTCGATGGCAGGCTTGGCCAGTGAGGCAATAGCTGAGGTCTTGTCATTGACCTCATCAACGGAAAGAGCTCCAAGAAGATGGCTCGCAAGCCCGACCGCAAGATCATCACTGAAACCAATCGAGGTCAGAGCAACCAACTGAACGAGCCGTGCACTGATCAGATAATGTCTCGCATCGATGGCTCTGTCATTGGTGTAACTATACAGAAGCGACTGGTTCTGTGGCTGCAGCAGAAAGTCCCTCAATGAACGATGCAGAAAGACCAATTTGGTGTTGTGCACAAGCTCTATCCTTTCAGCGAAGGTCATGTCATCGGAATCTTGGATTTGTTTCCAGTGAACAGACTCCAGAAGGCCTTTGCATCTGCTACTCAACTTGCGCAATGATGAGTCCGTTCTGGACCGGAGGACAGCCTCGTCCGCAAGATCACGACAATAAGGTTCAAAGCTGGGTCCAAGGCAAAAATCCTCGTCGCTCTCGGCGACGAAGAATGTGTCGATCAGACGGAGTGAAAAGATAGAGCCGAATTTGTCCTCATTGAACAAAGCAAGCTGTAGCAATGTGGAAGCTTCCCTTCGATGCTCAAATTTGATGGAAGACAAGATGGATTGGAAGTATCTATCGAGGTCGGCTGGTAATAGCTTCAATTTTGCATACAGCTGGTCGAGAGAATCGCCATCCCGTAGAGCTTGAAGGAGGTCACGCATCGCAAGAGTGGCCCACAGGAAGACACCCGACGCCATGTAAATGATCTGCATTGTAAACTCGAATGCTCTACTCTTGTCCTCTGCCTCGATGATGACCCACCTGCGGCTGCGGTGAAGTTGCGACGTAATATAGTAGTGGATATCTGTAAAGGTCAAGTCTTCGACTCGGAGCTGCGGACAATGATGGAAAGCGTCCTTGAAGATATTCTCCGGCCGGCTTGAGACACAAATTTTGACATTGGGGAGTTCCGATGCTTGGAGAACGACATCAATGAGTTCATCCTGCCCATCAACTTGCTCACATTCATCTACACCATCAATGACAAGAAAGAGGTTGTGATCGACTACAAGAGCTTCTAGGACGTCGAGAAAAGCCTGCTGCAGATTGCCAACATCGGAATCAATCTGCTCTGAAAACAATGAAGAGTGCAAGAAATACCCGCGGAGCTGTGTAATTAGCTGCGGACACTGTTGAAGAAATTGAAACAGTAAGCAACGATAAAACCCCTTCATAGAGTTCTGGAGAGTATGGCCCGCCTTCCAGAAATAAAACCTCGCCCTTACGATCGGTCGGGTCCCTGCCCAAGATGACAGTAGTTCAGTAGCAAGCGAATTCCTGTCTAGGAACTTGATGATAGTGCTTTTACCGCTCCCAGGCTTCCCGTGAATCCAGTATAAAGCTTGACTCTGCTGCACGAGTAGCCAGTCCCGAAAGCAGGACCACGACCGATTTGACACACTCATTGGCTGAAGCAGCCATTGACACGTCTTTGGATAAGCAGATGAGATCTGCTCAGCACGCAGATTCATTTGTGGAAAAGCTAGGCTTTTGAGCACATTCTGGCGCAGGCTCAGACTGGGATCGGTACGGGAAACTGCTAGGTTGTCGCCAACATGAACGTTCGCATGACCGGAAACGTAAAAGTTCCCATGGCTCTGTGTAAGCACAGGAGGTTCTGAAGCGAGGGCTGCTAGATCGAGACGATCTACGTACTCATGATTTGTGTTGCCGCTGTTGGAGAATGTTGAAGCCATCTTCAATCATGGACACAGGAACCTGGCGCATTCGGCGACAGCCTTACCACAGTATGTTACCAGCCAAGCAGTAGTGTAATGCTGGTGGGGTGACGACGCGTATTTGAGACGAGGATATGCATCGCGCGCGCATAACTTTCACAATCTAGTATTTTGAGTGGATACGATTGCCCTCATACCTGTCGCTTCGTTCACAGCGCTGGAGAATTGCTAGCATGATAGATGCCACTGGCGACACTAGGATCTGTAGCGATGGTGGTTCGTGTTTTTCATACTTTTATAGATGGCCTGAAGGTATACCTGATTTCGTGATGCCTGGATGCCTTAAGTGTAAATTGTCTTTCTGAGATTCAATCCATCTCTGCCTTGCACATTCACTACTTTCGGCCAAACAATTGCAGTATCACATTGGACGGTGGTCAGTCGATGAGACCAGTTCCTATCGGACCATTCTAGCTATTACGATGTCGCGTCTGGACTTTCTCAAGCAAAGAGCGCCCGAGAACTATGTAGCAGGCCTTGGACGAGGTGCAACTGGATTCACTACACGATCAGACCTTGGACCAGCGAGAGAAGGCCCAAGCCCCGAGCAGATACAAGAAGCGCTTGCAAAGCGAGCTGCAGCGCTTGGAGCTGCACCACCCACAGCATACGGAGCGGCTGGCAAAAAGCCTGAAGAACAAGAAAACGAGGACGATGACCGGTTTCAGGATCCAGAGAACGAGACGGGACTTTTCGCACATGGTCTATACGATCGGGAAGACGATGAGGCAGACAGAATCTACCAAGACGTAGACGAGAGGATGGAAAGAAGACGCAGGCAAAGAAGGTTAGTACTATTCCATTCTCCCTCTTCCCTTTCTCTTTTCTCGAATGATTGTGTTTATCAATACAATTTGTATCGAACAGATTACCGACGTATACCTTCTTCGACATATAGGGAAGCACGAGAGAAGCAAGAGCAAGAAGAATATGATCGAAATAATCCGAAGATATCCGCACAATTCGCAGATCTAAAACGCTCCCTGGCAACATTGAGTGAGGACGATTGGGCGAACCTGCCAGATCCTGGTGACTTGACTGGAAAGAATAGACGGACCAAGTTGAACCAGAAGAACAACTCCAGATTTTATGCTGTGCCTGATAGTGTCCTTGCGGGCGCAAGAGATTCTGGACAACTCGAGACGACCGTGCAAGACGAGGGCACTGACCAGAAAGATGGCACCATCACAAATTTTGCTGATATTGGCGCAGCCAGAAACAAGGTCTTACAGGTAAGGATGGATCAAGCTGCTCAAACGGATACTGCCTCGGGCACAGCGACCAATATCGATCCCAAGGGATACCTAACAAGTCTAGCCACTTCCGAGCTCAAGTCTGCAGAGGTCGAAATTGGCGACATCAAGCGTGTCAGAGTGCTCCTTGAGTCAGTCATCAAAACGAACCCAAAGCATGCCCCTGGCTGGATCGCCATAGCTCGACTTGAAGAACTTGCTGGAAGGATTGTTGCTGCCCGAAAATTGATAGCACAAGGTTGTGATCAATGTCCGAAAAGCGAGGATGCTTGGCTCGAAAACATCAGAATGAACGATAACGACAATGCGAAAATCATTGCAGCGAATGCTATCAAAAACAACGACACATCTACCCGCTTATGGATCGAGGCAATGAAGCTGGAGTCCGAGCCCAGAAAGAAGAAAAACGTCTTGCGCCAAGCTCTTGACCATATTCCACAGTCAGTTGCAATCTGGAAAGAAGCAGTCAACCTGGAAGAAGATCTTGCTAACGCACGCTTGATGCTTGCAAAAGCCACCGAGACTATCCCTCTCTCTGTCGAGCTATGGCTGGCCTTGGCGCGACTCGAAACACCAGAACATGCTCAAGCTGTGCTGAACAAAGCGAGGAAAGCGAACCCGACAAGCTACGAAATATGGATCGCAGCTGCACGACTGCAGGAACAAATGGGACAAATGGACAAGATCAACGTCATTGGCCGTGCTGTGAAAGCACTCGCAAAGGAAAACGCCATGCTGAAGCGTGAAGAGTGGATCTCTGAAGCAGAGAAGTGTGAAGAAGAAGGTGCTGTTTTGACTTGTCATAGCATTGTCAGAGAAACATTAGGTTGGTCGTTAGACGAGGACGACGACCGAAAGGAAATTTTCAAGGATGATGCAAAGGCAAGTATTGCTCGTGGTCGTTATGAAACAGCCAGAGCTATCTACGCCTATGCACTGCGTGTTTTCCCTACTAGTCGGGCTTTATGGCATGCAGCAGTTGACCTTGAACGTGCGCACGGCACTAAGGATGCATTATGGCGGTTACTAGAGAAAGCGGTCGAAGCTTGTCCACAGTCAGAAGTGTTATGGCTGCAACTCGCACGAGAGAAATGGGATGCAGGCGAGAAAGACGACGCTCGCAGAGTCCTTGGTAATGCATTCAACCAAAATCCTGGTAACGAAGAGATTTGGCTTGCAGCCGTCAAGCTTGAAGCAGACGATGGACAGGTGGACAAAGCAAGAGAGTTACTGAAAGCTGCGAGAGAAGAGGCATCTACAGAGCGAGTGTGGTATAAGTCTGCAGCTTACGAACGACAACTTGGCAATGTTGATATCGCACTCGATCTCGTCCTACAAGGTCTAACTTCGACGCCTGTAAACGGCCGCGAAACGAGGTTCCCAAGAAGTGCCAAGTTGTGGATGATGAAGGGGCAAATATACGAAGACGAAGGTAAGATACCACAAGCGCGAGAAGCATATTCCCAAGGCACGAAAGCGTGTCCGAAGAGCATTCCATTATGGCTGCTTCGAGCTCGACTCGAGGAAAAGGCAGGGGTGGTGGTACGAGCTCGATCTGTACTTGACCAGGCGCGGTTACAAAATCCGAAAAACGCAGAGCTATGGCTCGAAAGCATCCGAGTCGAACGACGAGTATCACCCAACAACCCTGCCCAGGCAAAGACGTTGATGGCGAAGGCGAAGCAAGAATGTCCGAAATCTGGTCTTCTCTGGTCAGAAGATATCTGGTACCTCCAACCAAGGACGCAACGAAAGCCACTTTCGCTCGAGGCCATCAAACAGGTGGACAACGACCCGGTGCTGTTCGTGACCGTGGCACGCATCTTCTGGGGTGAGCGCAAACTGGACAAGGCCGCCTCGTGGTTCGAGAAAGCGATCGTGTTAGATAGTGATATTGGTGATACCTGGGCTTGGTACCTGAAGTTCTTGGGACAGCACGGAACCGATGAGAAGAGAGAGGATGTCATTTCAAGATGTATGGCTGTTGAGCCCAAGCATGGTGAGGTGTGGCAGAGAGTGAGGAAGGACCCGAAAAATGCACAGCTCAGTATTGAGGAGGTGTTGAAGAAGGTGGCAGATGAAGTGCAGTGAGCCTTCGGATCACGTACTGCAGTGAGTATATAGAATACTGCAGTCTGAGAACATTTTACGAGGCACAAAATCACCAGACGGTAGAGAAATCCAAACGCCCTGGCTGGTAAGTAATAATTGTACAATGAACTTGAATATTGCTCGATGAACTACTCGCCGTGGACCAATGACCAGACCTGCGTCTCTGCTACGGTTGTACAAGCGCAAACATCTCTACGGTGAGCCGGAACACTTTCTCGTGCAAGCCATCCTGAGGCGAAGTTACCCCACCGTTTGCGTCTTAGCGTTTTCTTTGTCAGCGGAAATCGGCTGCCTGCGAAGTTTGAAACAACTCCTCTTTTCTTCAACTTACCATCAAGTTCTCCTCCTCAATCAGTTTCCATCGTCTCTTTTCAACACGACCATCAACTTTCTTCTTCGATCTGCGACTCAAACTGTGTCCTCTGGCGACCACTACAACCACTCGTCGTTGGTAATAGTCTTCTAATTGTTGTTTTGTGGGTGGTCAAGTTGCATTCTGGGCAGGTGCGAACAACTGGTTGGCCTTATACTCGTACCTTCCCATCTCGATTGAGCCAAAAAAAGTGCTCGTTACCATTGAATTGAAATATCGGCCTCTCAGTTTCAAGAGCGCTTGACTGGGGTCGTTGAACGTTTACATAAGAGAACGGAATTTTTGAGGATCATTTGAGATTGGAAGAATTTGATTGTACTGCTTCAGCCAGATCACCACAGGCGATGAGAGTCGAGGTCACTACTTTTTCAAATACTCAATTGAACCTCCATCTTGATCACATTGTGCTTGTACCTTTGCCCAAGTACTAACTACGTTCCTCTTGTGTCGATCATCTGTCACTGATCGAACCACTGGTGGAAGCACAAACATCAAACCCGCAATAGTCGTCACTGTTACTCTCTTGACAGCCATACATTCGGGTGTTGTCGACCTCGGTCCTGCTATCAGATTGAGGTGTTGCTCAACGAAGCATTCTGAGCATAGTTATTATTGACAGTCCGCCACTATGTCGTCCTCTGTATACTTCAAGTTCAAGTCGCAGAAAGAACCTACTCGTGTAGCAATCGATGGACCTCACACTGATGTCTGGAACCTCAAACGTGAAATCATCACCTTATCACGTCTCGGAGATGGCACAGATTTCGACCTCAAGATCTACAAAGAGAACTCAGATGAAGGTAAGACAAACACAATCAAGCAACTAATTTATACTGATTCATACAGAATACACCGATGATACCGAGATAATACCCAAAGATTCGACAGTCATTGCTCGACGAGTACCAGCAGCAGTTCCTGGTAAAGGCAGGGCAGCTCGGTATGTCTCAGGAAAGCCACCAGCTAGTGCGAAGCCGACAGCGGCAGCTGCAAGATCTCAAGTTGCTGCAGCAATGGACAGTGCTCTGACCGAGGAGGAAAGACTGAAGGCCATGCTCAAGATGACGGATGCACAATGGCAACAGAAACAAGAAGAAATGTCACACGACCAGAGAATTCATCTCTCTGGCCAGAAACCTGGACGGAAAGCAAACGTGCCTGAGGGTGAGCCTCCTCATGGTTACGTCTGCTATAGATGCGGCGACAAAGGTAAGCACGAAGCAGCCACATATTTGAGGTTCATGCGCTAACATATCAAGGTCATTGGATTCAAGCTTGCCCAACGAATGACGATGCTTCATACGACAACAGAACAAGGATAAAGAAGACGACCGGTATCCCACGGTCTATGTTGCAAAAGGTGGAACGGTCAGAAATAGAGAACCTCGATGAGCAACAAAGATCAAATGTTATGCTTACGTCTGAAGGAGAATACGTGGTGGCTCAGGCGGACAAGAAGACCTGGCAGAAATTTCAAGACCAGAAGAATGCTACAGACCAAGCACAAAAAAATGTGGAATCTGGAGACAAGCAGTTGCAGGAACTTGGCTTGGAGTGCCCCATTGACAAACGAATGTTTGTAGATCCAATGAAGACACCTTGTTGTGGGAAGACGTATTGTCATGAGTGCATCGAGAATGCTCTTCTTGACAACGACCTTGAATGTCCGGGTTGTCATACAGCCAACGTCTCACTCGAGCGTCTCGAGCCAGATGAAGACATAAAAAATAAGATAAAGGACCATGCTCAGAAGAAAGATGGTGGTAGTCCTACTATGCCAAATGCTGCATCACCCAAATCAGTACAAGCTTCTAACGACTCTCGTCCTGGATCTCGTGATGGAGTAACATCGCCAAAATCTCCTGGCAGTATTGTTGGCAAGAAGCGTAGTGCTTCGGACGTTACAGAGACGAATGTCAATCTTTCAGTGCCAGCCCCAGCTATGAAGCGCCAGAAGTCAGGAGGTTCTGACGAAGGATCAACCAAGTCAGCTACTGACAATTCGATGTCTGCTTCCACAGTCGATCCCAACAATCCCACCATGGAGCAGATGCAAGCCATGATGAAGCAAATGGAAAACATGCCGCAAAACATGAATGGTATGAACGCCGGTATGGGCTTCTCTGGTATGATGCCATACAACATGCCGAATCCTATGATGCCAGTAATGCCTGCGATGCCCGCAATGAATCCAATGATGATGATGAACATGATGATGAACGGCATGGGTGGAATGCCACCGGTCAACATGAACGGAGGCAATGGAATGGCTAACGGCATGAATGGCGGGTTTCCAAACAACAATACCTTCAACAGCAACTTCAACAACAACCACAACGCCAACGGTCAAGGCTGGAATAACAACAACAACAATAACTACTACCATCAAAATCAAAACCAATACGGCCCAAATCGAGGCAACGGCTACCGCAACAAGAAGTTCCACACCCAGCACAATCATCCTCATCCCCAACAACACAACGCCTTCCAGCAGCAGCAAAAGCCCGCCTCATCCATGCAGCAACAACAGCAAAATACCCACGCAATCGACCTATCCAACGTCCCCAAGGGTCCCAAATCAATGAAAACTGGTGGCGGTGGTGGTCCTCCCGTCGTACCTGGTGCGCCGACAGGACCCAAATTCTCGAACCAGCAGAGACATGTAGGGAATGAGGAGGACAACGCGTACATGAGACAGCCTGTGAATCCACATAGGGCGATGAATAGGATGAACGGGAGGAAGGGGATGAGGAATGCGGATTATAAGGAGTTGTGACTGGGGGGTTGGAATACTACAGTAGGAGAGAAAGCAGGAAGGAGGCATATCGTGAAACGGGCAGGACTTTCGTTATGATTACGAGCATATCTTTGTGAACTCACATGGAAAATGTGGCATGGCATTACACGGCGTTGCATGGCAGGCGTTGTGCTGGAATGTGCTACAGTTACAGCCCGACTGAGAGGAAACAAGGAGTACGAAGTACTCTAGCAACTATATCAAATTAGTACTAGTTACAAACACTTCCCTTTCTGTTCAGATCCTCAAAATGAACTGTCTTTTACGAATGTACGTAGTTCTGTGGCTCAGCAGCAGGAGGTGAAGCCCAAGCCGTGACATGATAGCATGATCAACGAGAGGTGTAGGACATAACTTGAACATGATCGAAGTGAGCCGAACGTATTCCATATTATAGTGCATGTCAAACGCGCTGCTTGCCTTCGTGTTTTATCAAACAGTCACCCAGGCAGATCCGTCACTAGGGCAGCCGAACAGCAGACTGGGCACCATCAAGCTCGAAAATGGTAATGTCATCAGAGGGCCAACAATTGGCAGGCATGGTTCCGTGGGTAGAGAAGATTGCCAAGGTACATTCCCTGAGCCCCTGGAAGATACTGAAGTATTCGCATGCTGCGAGGCAAGCGTCGAAGCTCGGGACGAACGCGGCTGAGACAAGGTGGACGTGGTTTCCGCCATCGTAGCCACATAGCTTCCGATATCTGCCTGCCATTTCTGGAAACGAGTATATAGTGCCGTTGCTGTCTGGACAGTCGCTCGTCGCCACGAAGCTGGCTGTAGGTGCTGAGAGTATCGTTGAGGTCGTGAGCGAGGTGCTAGTACTGATTGTCAGTCGGTATAATTAATCTCGACATGCAATGGTCCGCAAGACTAAAATCTCGAAGACTCGCTTCGCCATTGATTGAGACGTGGACATAGTCACCGTGTTTGCAATGCCTGGGGACGATTGATCCCTTGTCACCTTGCTGCCCCCGACTGGGCCACCTACGGAAGCTCCTATCACAACAATGGCGATGATACCAATAGCCAACCAAATTTTTCGCGTTGACAAATCCCCAATGCTGGGTTCTTTCCTGCCCTCAGCCTCGGTAGGACGTATTGGGCCTGGGACTATTTTCTCTTCTGCAGCATTTGGAGCTACCGGTGAATGTGTTTGGTAGTGCGATACTGCAGGCTCAAGACCTTCTTGTGACGTGCGGGCCATTCTGAATTCACCAACACGTGATCTTAACGACAGTCAAGACCAGAAATATAGCGATACTTCGTGATTAGACATTAACTGAAGTAGTGGCTGTGGAGTGTATGGAAGCAACTCATGCTGCGCTTCTGCAAGGCTTCCGAACAAACTTCTTGATATCACCTTGAAACCGTGTAACTGACACAGGGAAGGTAGCCTGCGTATGTTGCGCGACACTGGCTCGAACTCCATATTGCTAGAAGATTGGAAAAGTGGCTGAGAATATTTCGGTCGGCGAATTCATGCTCCTAACCACTATAAGTCGTCGTCACGCGTGCGCACAAGGCGCCACGCGATCTACTTGTGCTTAGCATTGCCGTGTCGAAGAGGACATGGCTCGGGATAAGATAGTGGGCTTAGGGTTTGGGGGCGTATGCTCGGCTCTGCAAATCCTGAAGATAGTATAAAATCGTCACAAAGAGGCTGCTCAAGCTGAGGAAATTGCAACCGAGGTTTGTTCGTCGATCGATGTTCGATGATGCCCAATGAGGATATTAGTGAGAGGACTTGTCTGAATATTGTTGGTTTGGACAATAATACGGTAACGCAGTAATGCAGCGGAGGGTATGGCTTAACATTACTACATTATAGAATTCTGCTGGCATGTATCTGTTGTTGCATGCCTTTGATTGAGAGAAGAGATATACTGGTAGACCTCGAAATTCTGATCCTTTTGTGTTCATGTGCAGCTGCTGCTGAAGTGGAAGGAGGTAGCTGTGAACAGGAAGGGCGGCCACTTTCTGCGTTAACATGTGCGGGACTTTGCATCAGCAATTTTATTTTCATGCGCCTTCTTCGTTTCAACCCTGTGAGTTGTCTCAACACACTCGCCAATAATTCAGTTTACAGTGCTTTTCAAACGTGGTGAATAATATTTCCCGACTCGATGTTGTTAATGTACACAAGAGCAACTCCAAAGATGGGAGGAAGTAAAGAAACATGTGGCATGCAGCCTCACGTAATGAGCTGTATGCAACATGAAGCTGCACGAGCTAAACCTGCAAGTTGACGCTTCTTGAGCTGATAGCATTTTCCTTCTTCGTCTTTCATGAGCGTGATAAGGTCTCGATCATGTCAACGTTAGCACATTACCTGACTGAACAGCAGCACATATGGGATGAGGTGGCTTTCACTTCTGATACTGACGTATGCATATCAGAAATATGGCAATTGCCGAATGCAGCAGGCACTCAATGGAGCTTCACAGAAAGCAAGGACCTGGCTCCAAAGGTGTCAACGACTACACTAATTAATTCCGGAAGCACCACTCGTCAGCTCAGATTACGAGTGTACTGGTTACCATATCATGTAAAGCAGCGGAGTATCGCATTGGAACGAAATCAGTACACGAGGTTACTGCGTGATCTGAAGCTGGATCTTGCCACAGCTTATTGTACGTCATTACCAGCTGGTATTGGGAGACTCAATGAAACAGAAACATCAGTCGCTCAGTACTATTTCAGTCTACATCCAAAAGCTCGAATGACATGGCGTGCCGACCGAGACGGAATCGTGCATGTGGTATGTGTGGCTGAGGACAAGAAGATAGACGTTCTGAAGGATCTACTCAGCAAGGAATTCTTCCAGACCATCTGCGAAGAAGAAACGATGCCAGCACTTCTATGTGCCGTATTACTGGCTCTTGAGGTGGAGAAATCGCAAGACGAAATCAAGAAACAAGTACGCCAGGTTGAAGTACGAACAGGACATCACGACTGGAAGTCGCGCAAAGAAGGAGCAGCACTCGGCGATCTAACAAGTTTGTCGGCGAAAATGAGTGGATGTTCGACCCGTTGTGGTTCTGGCTTGAGGAAGGCGTATGTGCTCATCGATGTGCTCGATTTCGTTGACACGCAGCTTGCGAGTATGGTTTCTGGTGCGCACGACCGTGTAAAAGAAAGGAGGAGAAAGATCCTCGATATGGTCCAGATACTCAGAAAGCGGGCAAAGGTCTCAATTGGAGACAACGAGTTCATTCAGCGTCGAGTAGATATACAACTCAATGCGGTATGTTGCAACTTCTGAGAGGTGGTTTGAAGAGTACTAATACAGTCTCTAGCTATATCATTTAGTTGCACAGAACGATGCGTTCTTGGGTCAGCAAATGGCGTCGGATTGTCGACTCGTCGCTATCGCTTCCCAGCGAGATTCGTCCAGCATGAAAGTGATTGCCTTCGTCACCATGTGTTTCCTACCTGCAACAGTCGTGGCCACGGTCTTTAGCATACCTCTTTTCGACTGGGAAGCTGAAACACGGACAGACATGATCAGGCGAGAATTCTGGTTTCCAAAGCTCGTTGTGTATCTTGCTGTCACCTTTCCGCTTATGGCTTTGACGTTCGCTATTTGGGGACTGTGGCTATTCGCGCAAACGATCAAGGACAAGAAGAGAGCTGTAGCGATCCGAGCTCAACTTGGTCTTGACGCTGAAAAGGATGAGGCTCAAGCCCTGGCTCTCAGACGCGCAACACTACGTGCGAACAGCATGAGTGGAGAGTGAGTCATGTCACACCACGATATATTGGCAACGCATGATTTGTCGTGCATCATGCGAAACCAGCCGTTTTCATAGCATCGAATCCCTACTGGACAGTTACAGTGAAGGGTAAGCGAAGATCGAGGTGCACCAGTCGACTAGCGTGCCAGCACAGAGCTTGAGTCCACATAGTTCGGCATGCGTAGCTCCGATTGGCTCGAAGGTCCTGCACGCTTACGACTGACGAACTGCGGCCGAGCTCTTTTGCGAACTTCTGAAGCACCTTCCCACACCTTCGTACCCTGATTGGGATGGCAAGACTATGGTCTTTGGACGTATTGGAATGCTCGATCGGCGTTACGTGACCGAGTATCGTTATGGCTTGAGTGCCATGCAAATCGAGCAAAATATTTTCTCAGCCTTACTGGGACCGTGGTACTCCTCTGTTAGCAAAGAACTCGGCAGATCTAGGTTGTAACGGTACCATATATCATGCATGGACGCGCCCCGCGACACGAGTCTTCGTCAAGACAACGCGATGATTGGACATATTCAGCCACCTCTTTAGTCTCCTCACCATTTGGAAACTAGGTCAATATCAGATACAATATGCGGATACCTTGCCTGGAGTGTCCCGCTGGAAAGGCAAAAGCGATACCAGGGAAACTACCCAAAAAGACCTCGAACAGGCGCAGCTAGAGCTTCGCCGGCATGTCTTACAGCCCCCTCTGTACAACCACCAAGCATGTCCATCCTTGTGATAGTGACTGCTACACAATCCTCATAGATTGTCGCATTGCGCTCGATCAAGGTCACTGTCCACACTGGCTTTGATGCATTTAGTTTCTCTTCCTATGCGTGTTGAAACCTGCAGCTTCACGTGCCATTCAACCTCTGCCGCTGACCGTGCCTATAATACCAACCTCCCATGCACTGAAGCTGCACCATGCGTCGCTTCCACCATCAGCCTCAATCGCAGGTACCAGATCGAGAGGCTTCTGTCAGTCCAGCACCTTTTTCACCACTTCCATATCGAACTGCGAGCCCTCAACTTTCTCTCACGACCTCCAACGACCGCCGTGAGAGCGCTTCCGGAAGTGGCAGAGCTGAAATATGGCCTTCGAATACAGTTAGGGTCAAGAGGCTCGACAAGCGGAGAAGTCCCGAGCGTATCGGTGCATGGGACCTGGCAGCAGATTTCAACCTTGCAGAATTCGCTCTGTTGGGTAAAAGACAACGTGCACCACAAGTTATTGAGGACTACCTGAAGAAGGCGACACAACAATACCAAAACGATGTACCAGAGGCCTTCAAACAAGTTCCGGATCAAGAGGAGCCTGTTGATGTTGAACAACCAGCTGCAAGCAAATTGCAACGATCATATTCCTTCGACCATTCTGGCTCGACACATGATTCTACCTACGACTCCAGACAGCCCAACGATGAACCTAGCGAGGAAGCTGAGTATTGTTGTGATGACACAAAGCGCCGTGCTGCACAAGGGGTGGGCGGCGTTTACTTTTGCTATGCATGCAAGATAACCTACTGCGACGACTGCTGGGCGGCACAGATTCCACATAAAAGGAAGGTTCCTGGACATCGCATGGTGGATGTTACCATAGCCCGCATCATCCAGAACACACTCGATGTCGAGCTGACGGAACAGGAGCAGGCACGTTTGCACCTTCTCGACGAATGTACCTCTTGGTTTGGGGCCGCCAAGGACAAGGAGGGTGCAGTGTTTCGCGACTTTGGACGCTATGCTACTCTGGTCGCGGAGCGCAATTCTGACGAGCGCAAACGATGTTATCCTGCTCTCGTATCCTTTGTCGGAGAAACTGGTGCTGGCAAGAGCTCTTTAATCAAGCTACTGGTTAGTACCACGAGGCCAGGCGCATCTGCACCGACTCCAGTTGTTGGTAGTACCACAAACTCGGAGACGCCAACTTCAGGCGATGTGCACTTGTACGCTGACCCTCATACATTCGACCAAGATCGACCTGTGCTCTATGCTGATTGTGAAGGCCTGCATGGTGGCACGCTCGAGCCAATGGGTGTCAAGTTACGTGCCCGCCGGGCTGCTACTCCTGCGGTGAGTAGACCGCGAACAGCATCATTCGAGAAACACCTGCGCCGTCGCCATGAAACTGCTGAACGAGAAATAGCTTGGGCAAAGACTCCAGAAAGGACTACACGCAAGTACTTTGTGGAAAACCTGTATCCAAGGCTGCTATATACCTTCTCCGATGTCATCGTGTTCGTTGTCAAGAATGCGCGAACGATCGAGGATGTTGTCGAACAACTCATCTCTTGGGCCGATGCGGTCATTCAATCTTCTTCCAATCAGCCTGTGCTGCCTCATGCGATCATTGTTCTCAATGCCTCCGATAATAAAGACGAGCGCTTGTGGGATGTCGACGTATCGACTACTGCGCTACTCAACAACGTTCGCGTTGCAGTCAATCAAAATCCGACTCTAAAGAAGTATGCCGCAAAATGGGGTTATCGTATCGAATCGGCACAGTCGTTGTTACTGTCATATTATTCTAGTACTCGTGTGGTCAGAATACCAGAGAAGAGTCAGCCTACTCTTATACATCTTCAAATTCAGAGATTGTACTCAGAAATCAACGTGGCGTCTTCCTCATCCCATAGCGCCAAGCACCGAGTTCGCATGAAGTTGAACTGCGAAGAGCTACAGCCCTACTTACAAAGGGCGTTCGACCATTTTTGTAGTGATCTTGATGACGCTTTCGATTTTGTGAAGGCATCCTATGCTAACAGCAGCATACCCAGTGACTTCAGTGGGAACATCTTGAAAATCGCGGTCAGTATCATGCAAAGATGGCAGAACAAGCTTACGGGACCTCTGTTATTCAAAGAGTTGAGCTTCCTTGTTGCCGGTTGTGTGATGCTAGATGCAGTTCGGCAAGGCAAGCTCGGAACAGCTGCACAAGTTCTGCCTGAATACCTTGACCACTTCGACGAGGCCATAGAAGAGTTCTGTGACAAGTTCTGGCCCTGTGAATTTGTCACTCTCAAAGGACGTTGTGTCAATGTGAAAGCTGGCCACAAAAAGGGTCATCAGTCACGTAAGGGTGAAGTACTTGGTACCACAGCCTACCAATCATCGTTCACCGCGTCTGCATACCGCCAGGAATTCCTGGACGACATCTATGCTCATCTAAATGAGCTCTTGGAGGACCTCGCTGCTGAAAGCAAGAGCATGGCAAGCATTGAGCAGGAGGTTGCAGCAAGACTACATCGAACCAAAATCCTTGGCCCTTTCTTTCGACACCTTGGTGGAGCTCAGAAGTTCATCAGTCATTCGGCCTGCCTTGCCTGCTTGGTCGGACCTGCTGAGTACAGCTTGCCATGTGGGCATGTGTTGTGCAAGCCATGTTTGACAGACTTTGGTAACGTGAAGGGCCCTACCCTGGTCGAGATGAGGTTTTGCCCGCTCCACGATGACGAGACGAGCCATTTCCGATGGCCTGTAACGATTGTTCCTCCCAATGCGGGTATTCGCATATTAACTATCGATGGTGGTGGTGCCAGGGGCATCGTGCCACTGTTGATGTTGCGAAGATTGGAGCACGAGTTTGGACTCCCTATCCAAAATTTCTTTGACCTTATCATCGGAACCAGTACTGGTGGTATTATAGGTCTCGGTCTCGGGGAAAAAGGCTGGTCTGTGGACGAATGCATTACCAAATTTGAGCGTCTTGTAAAGACAGCTTTCACAAAACACAACTTCCTTGGTTGGGACTATATCGATTACTTGATCGCTGCTTACAACAATGGCAAGTACAAGATTGAGCCACTCGAGGCTCTGTTGCGATCAGAGTATGGAGAAGAGAGTCTGTTTGGTGGCAGTAGTAGAGACCTGAAGTCCACTGGAGGCATTGCCCCGAGCAAATGCAAGGTTGGTGTGACCACAACCACAACAGCAGGTAGACCGTGTCTGCTTGCCAACTACAATCGACCTGATGTGGACATTCGATCGACCCCTAGCACACCTCACATAGGTCAAGAAGACGAAGCTGTGGCGCCTTTGGAGGAGCGTGGAAAACCCTATGACTTCATTCGCGCTGAACAACCAGCTGACGAGATATCTACGTGGGAAGCTGCTCGGGCCACATCTGCAGCACCACGCATATTCCGACCATATACTCATGGACCAACGGGACAAACATTCATGGACGGTGGGATCTATTACAACAATCCGATTGAAGTAGCTCTGCGTGAGCACAGGCTTGTATGGCCGAACAATCGACCAGAAGGGCCAGATGTCCTTCTCTCGCTAGGAACCGGTTATACTGGGGCCAGGAAAGCACGTCTTGCTGACCCGCCCTCTCTAGGCATAGTATCCCACTTCAAGCAGATGTTGAAGATTGCTGTGGATCATGTCAAGAGCTCGCAGAATTCGGAGGAGCAATATCGATTGACATATGATCGTATACCAAACAATCTCAAGGCTCGATTCCCACGGCTGACTATCTTGGTTCCTGAGGGATTACCGAAGTTGGACGATGTGTCTGCCATATCTGACTTGAAGACAGTCACAAGGGACAATCTGAACAGCCGGTGGAGCGAAATTCGTGGCATTGCAAATCGTCTACTCGCGTCCTCGTTTTATTTTGAACCTATGTCCGGAACCACCAAGAAGAACGATGATCACTCCATATCTGTGACAGGTTCTATCAAATGCCGGATCGCGGCCGGCACACCCGAGATCTCCAAGCTTGGCGAGCTGCTAAGGCGTCGATGTCAGGAAGCCTACAACAATCGTGCTGTGCATAGTCCTTGCTTCGTTATCGAGGAGAAAGCAAAAGGAAGAGACGCTCAGCAAGTCCTCCTGGCGGATCATGTGATCCAGGGTATGATTGAGCACTGCCAGTTCAATCTTGGTCATATCAAGGTGACAATATCAAGTCCGGTAAGATAGCTCCAATCTAGTATGCACCATATGAAATACTGACAGGTTTTGATACAGAATGCCATGTCTGACATTCACCTACGGTTTGGTAATGAAGCGACAAGGGCCCAAAACAATTCGATCAGCGGATTCCCCCGTTTTTGGGACGAAGAAGTGATTAAGCATTCAAGGAGAAGTCTGACGTTGAGCTTGAGTCGACAGCGCCAGGTTTCTCGACGTCACCGTCCTACTTGGTCTGTGCCGGATGTCAAAGTGGCTCGTGTACTGGGCAGATATGCAGAGCAGAAGAATCCAGGTCTTGCGACCGACGAGGATTTACAAGCCGTAGAGGCGAGGTTATCAGAGCCTACAGCTGCCCAGCTAACGACACCAACAGCTCGATCGCCAGCATCGTCTAGTAACGAAAGTTTGATTGTGCACGGAGGTGAGAGTCCTTTTGGTCGTCCGCAGGGAGACTGGGCTCGTGGGATCAAAGTCGACCCAGATGCACCACCTGGTTACAGTGATCCTAATTACGTCTACAGCGGAGGGAATTCTAGCGCTGGACCAGCAGAGTTACCAGGCCACTCGACTGCAGACTGGCGGCTGACACCTGCAGAGCTCGAGGAGGATCCATTCCCTCATATACGACCCGACAATGACCCATTTGGACCATCGCTGGGTGCAGGCGCTTCACATCTACAGATTCCTGTGTCGCCATCACGATGGTCCTCGTCTCATGGGTCATCGCGGACGAGATACTCCAATGCTTCTGGCAGGTCTACACAGTCAGTGCGGATGTCTGATTCGAGCTTACATTTTTCTGGTCGGCCAAAAGGACATGCTGGGAGGAAAAGCACTGGTACTGTTAGGGAGAGTCCGGACATGTATGGTCCAGGATGAAGACATTGTTGTTCTTGTTTAGCGATAGGATGGATTCTCTCAAAATTCCTCAAATCTGCCAATGGCGCCTTACAAAGTGCAACTCGCTATATACAATGACCAGAGTCATGCTTTCATACTTTCCGCATATTTTCATATATTATGCATGATCGGCAGCCACGACGTGGGCGGAATTATGGCGGGGATGTTCTCAGTTCCGGCCGAGGTCCCCAATTTGCAAGCCCCACCTGCGAGGATGACTTCACCAATGATGCAAGCTCTATCAACTTCCCAGTCGCTACGTTGTTGGAAAGAACATGAAAGGGGAGTTCAAATATTTGAAGACATATGCCCGACTGGTCCTGCATAACGCGACTTTACAGGCATGGAGACTGGATCGTCGGACATGCATGACTGGTCGAAGAGAACGTGATCCCTCTTCCAACGCGTCACGCTTCGCCTTGTTACACGACATGTGATCGACTCTTGACTTCGTTCGCCTGTTGCGACTGCGATAGACTTCGTATCATTTCGATCTTGTACTTATGAGTACTTAGAAAGAGTTCCATTATCTCCCAGACGTACACTTTTGGCTCAGCCTAGCATATCTACTGTAAGACTGGTTGGATATCGGTCCGAATCATCACCACTCCTTCGACTACTCCATGTCCTTCCTCTCACGCAAACCCTCTGACCCACCCACCGTCTTCCCTACCTACCTCCTCCCATCCAACCCTTTCCGTCGCAGCAGCCACGCCAAATCTCGGCATGGCTCAAACGACTCCGCCTGCACCACTTCCTCCAGCGACTCCCGGTCGTCCGCCAACAGCAACATATCCTCCATCACAACCAACACCAAGCTAACATCCTCCACCTCCCACACCCACCTCTCCATCGACACCTCATCCACATCTTCCAATCCCTTCTCCCGCTCCCCTACCCCGGTCCCAATATCCCCTTCCAACGACCCCATCCACCCCCCAACAGACAAATACCTCCACGGCCACACCTCCCACATCCACTGCTCAAAATGCTCCACAGACCTCTGCCTAACCTCACAAATCATCTCAAAGGGCTTCACCGGCCGCCACGGCCGCGCCTACCTCGTCTCCGGCCACCCTTCCTCAAAGTACTGCACTACTACAAACAAAACAAACGGTGTAAACGGGAGTTTGGCGAATACCTTTCTTTCAAAACCAATCGCGCGGAATCTTGTCACGGGCCAGCATATGGTGAGTGATTTGCTGTGCGGGATCTGTGGGACGGTGCTGGGGTGGAAGTATGTTGAGGCCAAGGAGGAGAGCCAGCGGTATAAGGTTGGGAAGTTTATATTGGAGACGAAACGGATCCGGATCGGGACGAGGTGGGATAATGGGGAGGGGACGGGATTTGGAAATGCGGCTGTTGAGGGGGTTGATGATGATGAGGACGGGCAGGATAGTGATTTGGATGCGTTGGAGTTTGATAGTCAGGATGAGGATGAGTGTGAGGATTTATTTGCTGGGGTTTGGAGTCCGGGGTTGGCGAGTAGGAGACGACAAAGGAAGAGTGAGAGGTTTAGGAGGAAGGCGGCGAAGGTGTATTTGCCGAGGGGGAGTCAGGAGAGTCTTGCGTAGGTGACAGAAGGATAGGATCTATCTATCGCGTATTCTGAGAGATATTGGGAACATCGGACACTGGATCTGAAGTGAAAATCACGAGCTGAACGGTTAATGTCGAGGAGAACTACACAATAAGCACGCCTTATGAGGCCCTTTAGCTAGGAGTTCGGAGTCACGATATGTTAAGTTATGTGAAAAGCTTGATATCTACGAACCATGCTCAGTCAGCAGAGTCGTGAGCACGAAAATTACCAGTGTGATTGGATCGCAGTACTCAAGACCTTCAACACAGGATACATAAGAGACTTGCACATTTCCGAGTCAATAAAATGAGCGTATGGTCAGTTTAGGAAATTGTTTGAACAGAATAGCTTAATTTGCTAACTGCGCTGAGTAGTTGGTGTTGCTCGTTGCAGTGAGAAGGTGTCTGTGGGCTGATCCAGCACGTCTCACGTTTGTGCGCTTAGCGTGCGTGCTTGACCGTAGTAGGGTGTGGTCGAAGGTGTGAGTTCGCGATTCATCTATTTCACACCATGCAACCTCGATACGACACGTTGATGTAGTTCACTGACTCTTTCATCATGCCTCTAGTCTATACCTTACTCCCCAAACTTGTTGACAGCACTGTGCCACGTGTACACGTTGAGCAAGACGGGTCGCGCCGATGGCAGCACCACTGCTGTGACGTGTCATGTACCTCGTATCTGCACATTCCTGTTTTATCCTGAGGCTGGTATAGCTATGGCCAGATGTCTCCCTTGCAGTGTTGATCCTCCTATCCAAGTCGCAGGGTGATACCTAGCCGGCTCTGTTTATTACCAGTACACCCCCCACCATGGCGAAAGCTTTGAGATTGTGCGTTTCTTCGCCCCTTTTGTTCTGCCGAACCCAGTATGAAGCTCCTTGAAGTGCTTGCTGTGGTGCTTCTTGCCCAAGTACACGCACAAACTATTGTTTCGATTTGTTTAAGCTACCCGGGGACGATCACTTTCACCAGCTACACCACCGTGTATGAGACACTTCATCTGAACGAAACCTCTGTATCTTCGACATTTGCAACAGCTAGTAACTCAGAGCCTTTAGCTACAACGACCACAGTGAGTCAGACAATCGACGGCATAGATGGGACCTCGACCTCCACGGCGACGTTTACAACCACTTCCAATGTTTTAATCCCTACCACCACCATTACAACGTCTCGGACAACGACGTTTTCAATCACGACGGAAGATGTTCCAAGCACTACCACGACCGCCAGCAGCACCACTACCACTACGTCATCCGTGAACCCATTAGATTCTTCCAGCACCCAGAGCATCTCTGATGTGACAACGACAACTACTTCAACCTCGACCTCTTCGACCACACTCGTCCCAGAACCTCAGAGCACTTCAGTATACATTACTGTTGGTACTGCGGACATTGTGCTTGCACGACGAGCTATACAATATGTCGTCTTCAATGGGACTGTTAGTCACCTAGTCTACGATATCGAGGAAGCCGCATTGGTGACGCTATTTCCGAATGGGACAATGGTCTTTCGGGGACTTTACGTAGCTGGCGTCCTGTCCGGCAATCAAACGTTACTGGGCCTCTCGGATACCATGTCTATGACTCTGGCAACCTGGAACACAGATGACACTGGCAACGTTATTATTTCCGGCACCGAAGGATTTTGCATAGATGCAAGCACGAATGTTGTCGTTAAAATATCGTTCACCGAGGCCACTTGTACAACCCTTCAATTGGCTATTGTAGCAGAAAATCTATCTGTATCTACCACACCTTTCTTAAGCTCAACAACGACCTCTTTGACGACCTCGGACATCTCAATCACAACAACCATGACGTCCACTAGTGTGAGCAGCTCAGTTGACGTCTCTTCTGATAGTACAACCACTTCAAGCTCCTTTACTTTCACTAGCAGCGATGAGTTCACGACTACCAGTACCAGTCTAAAGAGCACCGAGACAATGACATTAAGCAGCTCAACTACAAGTTCAACCAGTACAACAAGCTCAATACTGATTTCAGACTCCTCCACCTCAGAGAGCACAACAACCACTACCACCACTACTACTTCGGCAGCCCCGACATGTGCCGTCACAGATTCCAGTATGCTTGTCGTTGCTAACGGGGACATTGACCTATCTGCTTACACAAATCTATTCATCTCTACCACAGCTGTCCTTAACTACGCCGATGCTCCACCTGGTCAGCATGCTGTCTCTATCCAGATCGGAACCATATACCCTCAAGTCATGTTCGAGAATTCTGCATATCTGACACAGATCTCTTGTCAGAACGGCATGACCACTACCGTGGTCACTGATGATTTTGCTTCCTCTTTTGTTGCAAATTGGCCACAAAATGACTTCATCATCATCACGAACTCAGAAAGCTGTAACTCGCAGACACAAAGAGGTGTTTACCTTGTTAATAGCCATACTTTGGATACTCTCACTTCGACTTTCACATTTTCAGTTACGGCAGCAGAATGGGGGGCAGTGTCTGAGACTATGACCATCAGTTATGGGACCACAGCCTCTTCGTCCGACGACGTAGACCCTGTGTACCCATCCACTTGTACCAATACCCTAAGCATGACCGCAACGACGGCGACAACCTCTGTCACCTCTTCGTCGACGTCTTTGTCTCCTGGTGCACAAGCCATGTTGGATTTTATCAAGAATCAGCTAGCCTACGATCCTGAGGAGAATCAGATGCTGATTACCTCAAGTCCAGAACCTGTGGTTGTAGGTGGTGGCAATGATGTGGTGACTGATCCAGAACTACTCGACCAACTCAAAGACATCTTGCAACAGGACGGTCTTCCCGATCTGGATGACTTACTAGATGAGGCAAAGGATGCTACGGACAGCGGCAACAACTGTGAAACACCTCCAGAGCCCCCACGTATATGTGCGTGGCACCAGCCTCCTGCACTACGTCTACTGGTGCAAGGAGGCGATCGAGACGAAACGCTAACATGTCGGTCAGCGCCCTTGACCTGATGCCTCGGGACTTCCATTCGCATTTGGAGGAAAGAAGCTTCAAAGATGTATTGGAATATGTCTGCAGCGACTGGGCCGAGATACTGCTGTCGCCGTTCGAGCAAATAGCTCAAATTCAGGAGATCATATGTGGCCTGAAGGAAGCTTATGATGCTGCGCAAGACCTGTACAAGCTCATCAAGTGCTTGGCAAATCCTTTCTGCTTCAATCCACCTACCGTCACAATAACAATCACGTATCCACCTTCAACGAGATGGACATATACCTACAAATGGTCCGCGTCCTGGTCAGGTCTTAATGGTTACACAATCGTGTATGGAAATCCTCAAAACTATATCAGATGTACAGACTGCTCATTCTCGATCTCCGACCTCACTATCGATGGTGCAATAACATACAATGTATCAGCACAAACAGTCACTGAAGCTCGTAATACGCTGCGGATGTCTTCTGTGGCTCGGCTTATCATGAATCTCGAAACAAACGGCCCCTGGACTGGGAAAGGTACAGCCTTTCAGTCTAGTCTCAGCCTTGGCAACAATCAGATTGACTCGATGTTTTCCTTCTCACCAATTATTGTCTTTAGTATCGGGGCTCAGGCGAGCGCTAATGCCCCCGTCAGCAGCACAGGTGGCGTAGTCTTGAGCTTTAACGGTGCCACTGTTGATCTCAACTACCTGAACAAAGCTTCAAGTAATGCAAATGGGTGGCAACCTGCTATTCAAATGACCTATCCTGGATTCAAGAACGATGCCAAAATCAATTTCTCACCCGTCATGGCAACTGATATCAGAATCCAGATGAATGTCCTCAAAGGTGTCCTGAATAGCTATTCTGCTGTTACAAATCAGCTCGCAATCGGTTTTGACGCATCGTATTCAGAACTTGCGACCAGCAGCTGCGGGGCTAAGCAATTGGCGCTCGTGTCTTACGTTAGCTCCCAAGGCAACGCAGTCTTCGATGGAGGTGCACCGCAACTTCTCAACAAGGCTGTGAGCAACAATCCCGTGAAATGCTACAACGTGCCACAGTACTTTCCCACAAGCGAGGAAATAAGCTCATTGGCACAAGTTGGGGGTGATTTCTGCACTTCATTTATTGCTTACCGACCTCCTATTTCAACTATTGTGACTGGCACAGTGACAAGTCTACTATCGCAAACGGTTGAGACGACTACGTCAATTTCAACGACCACCGATATCTCAACCTCTACCATCACAGAGACCTTGTCCACCTCTCTTGTGGCAACAGTGTCTGTCACTGACAGAAATACAGTATCGGTCGGAGGAGGCTCGGACTCGCTCGTAGCATTGCAGAAGCGCTCTCCTCCAACTGCTGTACCTCAATTAGTAAGGCGTGATTCAGTGGCGACGCCAGCCTTAGTGACAACATGGGAAAACGACAAGATCTCTTATGCTTGCTCACAGATCGCAACAGGGACTAAGACAACAACGCTGTACACCTCAACATCAACCACGTATACAAGCACCTCAACAAATACAGTGACCGCAACACGATTTATTGGGGTAGACGGGCCTGTCGCCTCGGTGACAGTGACCACGACTCGATATATTGTGACATCGATGTTATCAAGCACGATTGCTCTCGCAGATCCAACGACAGTTACTACGGAATGCCCCCTACAGACACAAGCGGCTTGTTTCAAGGTCAAAGCTCATGGAGTTGACCTCATCGAAGGTCAATACCTAGGCACAGGATTGTTTCCTGACCGTGGCTTTTCCGTGCTTGGTGCAAACAGTAACCCTAACGATGGCATATTCTACCTTGACAATACCGGAAAACTTATCTCCGTTATGAATCGAGAGCCAATGTCCTACATCCAGACTACGGTGGCCTTGGACACGAATGGGGATTTCTTAGGGGTTCCGTGCAACCCTGCATTTACATACGGTACTCCTGGTGGTTTCCCTGGGGCTAGTGGCTGTTCGCAGAACTGCCCTTGCGATAGGAGACCTGGAGGCGTCACAGCTATCTGTGTTGACGATATTTTCCCGAACAGTGTGCAGAGGATACCTTGTACAGACGATAGTGTTTGCCCACCAAATACGCTATGCATTATTACTATCGGCGCTTGCGACTCATACTCAACTTGCACTTCGACGTACGGAAATTATGTGGAGTCCTTTTGGCCAGGTGAGGCATTGCTGATAGATTTCAACAGTCCTGCAGGCGCTTCGCAACTGCAAAACACACCCATACCTGGCGCACAACCTGCGACAGCAACATGCCAAATAGACTGCAATACTTTCGTACTAACATGTACTGGACCACAAGACTTGACGCAACTGTACGTCTTCGACCCGGCAGGAAAGATTGCGAACAAGAATTACGTGCAAGGATATGCGGGTTGGCCCAATGGTCTGTCCGACATGCCGTTCAGAGTAATGTGGCAGACTGTGCCTTATGGTTGGGAGATGTTGCCTATCTATCTGACTGCGGAGGAAGCGATATGCCCTTGTAGGTATTAGAAGCCACCCTTGGCCATATTCTCGGTGCCAGATAGTGTCTCTGCGTAAATCCCAGAAATGAAAATAACGTTGTCAACCAACATTTGCCTTTTCGCCTGACCCGAGCTCTTGTCCGAAACCATGTATCAATCCATCTCATATCATTGTTGCGCTCTATCCATGACGCGCCCCCGGTCATAGCGTTCTCGCGAAGATCAGGTCTTTGCCCCCATGTTACGCCGACCACGTCTCACTGGTTCTGCCTTCCGCAACTTCGCTCGATCGTGCTGGCTCCACTACCACCTGGAACCCTATTCAATCTGAGCAGATTACGCCGCCTTTACAGAAGAACGGTACTACCAGCTCCAGTCAGTCTTCATTAACCTCTTAACTACCAAGACTGGTTTTCTTGGACAGAGAAACAAAAAAACTCACTCTCTTTCACACCGTCTCACTTGAACATACTCGTATTCACCACCAATGATGTCCTCTCCATCATATCCAATCACATCGCCCACATCCCGCCTCACCTCGACATAATATACCGGCTCACGACGCGCCATTTCCCGCTGTACCTGACGCGATATCTCGCGCAACTCGTTCGTCGTCAGTGTTCGGAGGTTGATGTTGTGTGCCTGTAGAGGCGATTGGTATTGCCTTCGTGGAGGAGGTTGGTAATGTTCACCGTAGAGACGTCTGTTTTTGCGGTAGTTGTACTCTGCGCAGGCGATGATGGTGAGGGGGAAAGAGAATATCACGGTTACAAACCCAAGTACCATCGCTGTATCTTGAACGATGGTGACGACAGTGGACCACATGTTGATTGAGGTGTTTGGTTGATGGGCAATTCGTTCAGTGGGTAGTGCTGCGAAACTAGATTGGGAGTGTAAAGTGATGGAAAGAAAAGATGAGATGGTAGGACTTTCAAGGTGGCAGAAGCTGCCTTATATAACCTGTGCCTCCATGGTGTCCTTGGCACAACCACGTGTCTTTCACTGCCAGGTCCTCAGCATCCGATGTCTCGCAGCCTGATATCGGAAATCGTTACTGCCGTGCATGACCTTCTCGAAATATCCCAAGAAATGGGATCGTTCCTGCTCGCGCCAGGATCGTGCTTGCCTTGCATAGCCATGCATGTTCAGTCATATCGCAGTTCTGCTTCGCGCTCCTCTATAGTTTCAGATAGTGAAATTGAAACATCTTGAAGCATATCTTTCTCAACATAAATTCAATCTCATCTTAATATCATTTCATTATGGCATCAATTACTTCCATAATATCTTTACTCGAGCTTAAAGATCCCTCTCCCTGGACCCGCCGCTACCTCATCTTTCTGGGCTGTGCAACACTCACCCTGCCAGTCATATCCCAAGTCCTTAATTTGTAAGTGTCTCTACTTCTCTATCACATCCATTCCAATATCCTATCCTTCTATGAACACCAATAGATGTTGGTGTCTTTTCACAGGACTGACATCTGTGCTGTAGGGGCGAAAGGATTGTGCGTCTCTATGATGGGTACCTCGAACGGGTAGGGCGGTCCAAGCCACGAGAGGACCGTGGTGACAACAACGCTCGCCCTACCTGATCGTAGGTGACCCATCAGGCGCATGGCAGGGTCAAAGGCCCAGTTGATCCGGGGGTCAAGGGAGGGGGATAATTTTGGTTTTTTTTTTTGGAGAGAGGAAAAAAAAAAAAAAAAAAAAAGCAAAAACCCCCAAAAGGTTGTGGTCCTTATGGTCTGCGGTACAGACAGGCTGCAGGAGGAGCCTTGTGACGGCTTAATGCCGACAATAAAAAGGTCGTGATACCTGATGATATGTGTGTGGTTGGTGGCCGGAAGGATGTTTCTGGTGGCTCGGTCAACGACCCTAGCATGGTGAGTCAACAAGATCCATGTGCTTGAGAAGTCAAACGCTAACCACCGACCAGAAAACTTCAGCTTCTCCAACTGAGGGTCTTTCGCAACACCAAGATGACTTGCTTCGAACGGCAGATTGACCTCCGACCTTCGAGCTAGCGAACACATGCTTGTGAGCACGACTTCGGACCAGGCATATATTTAAGATACCAGTGCTTTGCCAATATGGATGGGCTTGAGGGGCACTTGGAGGACAACGACATGCCTGGTCACAAAACAGGAAGTCAACTTACATGCCTCATAAACAGTGCAAGAGGAACAATGCTGGAGATACTGCCGCTTCTGGTAAATAATACTTCCAAGCTTACCGAACAGATGAGTAATACTGGTCTCACCTAGCACAGAGGACAGAGGCAAGACCCAGGACTTCCACCACTATCCCAAGCCATTTACATCTCGCAGACCAAGACTGAGGCGGGTATGACCACCGTGTCAATTCAAAGAGCGAGTCAAAAACAATTTGAAACCCCCAATAGCTTGGGGGCCGCATACTTCCTGGACCGAGGCACAGCTAGCTCGTTTCCAAAATCTCAGACTAATTCAGCTTCATGTTGATCAGACATCAGCGACCTGGACATGGAGAATACACCGAAGCATTGGAGAGAAGGAAGGTGAAGGGTCTGTGGCGTAGGGAAAAGTCCCAGATGGACGTCTGTTGGTCGTGACTGAGTATGAGACAGCGAATGAGGTTTGAGGACAATGTGGGACTGACGAGTCGTTGCTTGGAAGGTAGGAAACAACCAGATACATCAGGAATCCTGTACCACGGCTGCAGGTATATCAAGCAGCGGTGCAATTCCTACATATAGCAAGTCCTGCGACATGGACTCGAGAACTGTTCGGAAACCTATCATCTTGTGTTTGCTGCTAGGGAAAAGTATATGAAGAATTTGACACTTGAGTGAAGAATAGATGAAGAAGTCCAGGGTGTGTTCCTACTTCGATACCTTTCACCTTACTCCCTCCTTGACTGTTTCTCATGCTGTCGCCGTCATATCAGAGCAATCGTCTCTTCCTCACACTGTGGTAGTTGTTTCAACCTTGTAAGAGCTCAGCTTATTGATGATGTGATGTGCAGAGGCAATGGGTTTAGCTGTCTTGGGCTAACCAAACGGCTTTGAAACCATATGGCCAGACTTCGAACGATGGTCTGAGTAAGATATGTTGAGGATAATCAAAAAGCAAGATGATAGTAGGTATCGGTTACGAAGTGGTCAGAGGCTTCCTGCGGTACGTATCTCTTTATTACCCATAGCTAGACAGGTGTTTTCACGACACCCAGCTGACTGAATAGAGCTATCGGATTGGAAATCTCGCTGCAGCAGTGGACAACCCAGTCTTGGTCCCTGGTACTGCTGCGTCGGTCGCAATCTTTCTCTCACTTTGTGTTCGAGGCTCTGGGTGTAAGACGTAAAAGGCGGGCTTCGCATTCGAATCCTGTGAAGATGTGTGTCAGAGGCACAGTGGAAAGCGAAATGTCGAAATTCATCTCGTCTTAGGCCCAGTGAACTGGCCCACAGCATGACCTGAGCACTAGGATGACCAACTTCGAAGACTTATTCTGTTGTCCTTGTCTGTGATCCCTGCTGTGAATTCGGGCGCGGCTAACCCTTTGACTGCAAAGTTGTAACCAGGTGAAAGGTGGACTTCTTGATCTCTGCACGGTCCAGTATCTGTCAGTTGCGCATGATCCGATCGTGTTGGCTAACTGTAAAGCATAAGTCGGCTGCAGTGCTGTTGAACATGGTTGTCGATGTCAACTCCATGGCGGTAGTGCATGAGTTCCAGGCACAAAAATGCGGGCGTTACCCCAACACTTTTGCTGGCCGGGACGTGCCAGGGCACTAGATGTCAAGAAATGACACCTAAAGTGCTACGTGTGCATGCCTGGGCATTTGGGGTTCGTCTTGCGACGACATGGAACACCGTACTGATCGATTGCATCCACCTGCTGCACCGTACTGCTGATATGCTCGAGCGAAGAATCCAATCTTGGTAGAAGAAAGCCAACTTCTGTTTCACTATGGTGCTTCCATTGGTAGTACCGTTCTTAGTACTCACACCGTGTCGATCGTCATTTTCGAAGTGAGGTTTTTCTTATTGATCGAGACAATGGCATCGTCCGGTGGCGCAGAGCTCAATGTCTCCGGACAGATCAATTTTCTCCCACCTCGTCTCACTCTGCGACTGATCAACCACGCCTCTCGTCATGGTAGCAACCACAAATGTGTCTTCAAAGGCTTCTATTGTAGTGTGCATAGTATGTGCAATCTTCCTACCTCTGAACGCCACTCCTAGCTTAGCGGTCTGTTCATCGGTCAATAATTTCCAGGCTTCCGGCTTGTTGACCTCAACCCGTGGCGGTACTGGTACATCTTTGAATTCCAGCTCTCGTAACCAGGGTGCAAGTAGGCCTTCTCCGACCATTTTGATGTATGCTTCCTTCAACGCCCAGTATACGTAGAAGCGACGTGCTTTCTGGTCCGACACAGTCATACCATGTAAACCAGAAACGGGCGTATGAATCATATCGTGCTGTTCCTCTTTCGAGAACATCTCAGCAAAGACATCGACCCATTCCTCGAGTTTCTCCTGAGTGCATAAATCCGGGGTTCTCGGTGGCTCCCAGGTACAGGCTACATCAACACCGATCCTGACGTCTTCAGGTTCGTCTTCGTCAATTTCAGATTCTGCCTCAGCTACAGCTGTGGGGTCAGGGTTGATCACAGCAGAAGTGCGAACGTTGATTTGTGCGAGATCGTCGACGCGGGCGTCTCGAGGACGGTTAGCTGTACGAGCACCAACGAGCACGACCAAGCCAGCCTGATGCGAGACATTGAATTCCAGGCCTTCGAATCCCCTCTGACACCAGTGTTCTGGAGGATTCCAATATGGTCGTGAATGCGGTTTTGGCGTCCGAGAGATCTTGACTTCTGACCATGGTATTCTGGCGGTTTTATGGATGAAGGTGTACTTCAATACCGCCGAGGCCAGCGCCATGAAGCGATCCGGCTTACGTACATAGCGACGAATTGACTCTTGGAGTTCTATGGGTAAGGTGTGAATTAAAGGTAACTGTTCGCCTTCACGTTTGGGAGGGTTGAGATGGATTGTTGCGCTGATGGGTGCATAAGGGCGTATGTCGGCGTAGTAGCGAATTATAGGCGTGCAGAACGTGTCGCTACTGTCGCTGTACGCCATGGTGACAAGTTCTTCCTCGAGTTGTTGGTATTGATGTCTTCGGACTCGCGTAGACCTAGTAGATACGATATCGAGACACGTTCATTGTTTCTGAAGAGCTGTTGAGTCACCTCCCAAGGGATCGATAGCACAAGGACAGCTTATTTGAACAACGTCATGAGTAGGCCTCAGTTCACAACGGCAGGGTGATACATGTCCTAAAGTCAGTAGAAGCTCACACGAGCAGGGACCCACTTGCGATCTATGAATAGAAGAAAGATTGGCCCTGTTCGAAGGAGCAGGTGCAAGAACCGGAGTTGCGCTAGGACCGACTAACGGAGCATGACACCATCTGTTTGGAAGAAAGTTTGCCGTCGAAAGAACAAAATCTTGCACCAGAAAGGCAACAAAAAAATGATACATAAAAGCTTGCCTATTGCTTGAGTTTAAGCTTCTGTTGAAAGCAAAAACGTTTTCAGACTACCCATAAAACGTGCGTCTACATCTGGTCTGATGACGATTACAGTGGGTGTGCTCGCAGTGCAAGGAGCGTTTCTCGAGCACTTGACGCTGCTACGGAAAGCGGCTAGCCACTTCGGCACGGACGACACTTCATTCTCATTCGTTGAAGTTCGCACCTCCCAAGAGCTGACTCGATGTGATGCTTTGATCATACCTGGAGGAGAAAGCACGACCATCTCCTTGGTGGCCGCCCGTACAGATCTGCTCGAATCACTCCGAGAATTCGTGAAGGTGGAAAGAAAACCAACTTGGGGAACATGCGCCGGACTGATTCTTTTGGCTGAGGCAGCAAATTCGACCAAGAAAGGTGGCCAGGAATTGATAGGAGGGCTAGACGTCCGGGTCAATCGCAACCACTTCGGTCGACAGATTGAGAGCTTCCAGACCGACCTTGATCTGCCGTTCCTCGCAGAGGTTGATGTCCCGTCCACATCATTTCCTGGAGTCTTCATCCGAGCACCAATCGTGGAAAAGATTCTGGCGAATGTCGAAGGAGCGCAAATAGAGCAACAATCAGTGCCAGATTCGGTAGTGGCACCGTCCAAGCAGGTTCGTGACGAGAGAGCGCGAGCAGCGACCAGTGGTGAGGTAGAGGTAATGGCAACACTGCCCGGACGGATGCGCAGAGCAGCTGAGAAGGGAGCCGAGGTAGTAGTGTCGGACGAGGCGGGAGATGTGATTGCAGTGCGGCAAGGCAACGTGTTTGGCACAAGCTTCCACCCGGAATTGACAGGCGACATTCGCATGCATGTGTGGTGGTTGCAGCAGGTGCTTGCAGGGACACAGCGAGAGTGATGCTTGGTTGTTCATTCGTATTGGTCTTCTTTGTCGATGGCTCGGCCATAACCACCTCGGCCAGGATCATACTCTTCACGGTGCTCATCTCTTACTTGACCACCAGATTTGCCTCGTCCATATTGACGGCCCTCTTCAAACCCAGGATCGAGGTCGGTTCGGACCAGGCGTTCATCGAGCTTTGTACCTCCAACGTATTTCAGGCAATCGAGGGCGTCTTGGTGGGTGTAATACTCGACGAAACAGAAGCCACAGGGCGTCTTTTGGAATCGATCCAGACCCATGACGATGCGCTTGATCTCACCACATCTGAAGCAGATTAGTGATAGTACAGCGAGAGCTGAATCAAATGCTAACGTACTTGGAGAATAACTCGTGGATTTGTTCTTCGGTGGTGTAGAAGGACAGATTGCCTACGTAGAGAGTTGTCGCATCTTTCAGAGACTCGTCTTCCGCAACTTGTTTGTTGTCGTTGCCTCGATCGTCGCTGTATCGTCGTCGCTTCTGCTGAAAATTGTTAGATAGTGTCAGCACGTTTTTGGGTAGTGATCCTGCCTTTGAGGTATGATAGGCGCTTGGCCTGTCGAGACGTTCTACAGTCGTCATGTTGAGACAACAAGGGAGATAATGTAGACGAAAAAATGGTATCGCTATGCTGCGATAGAGGATTGTACCCGTTAGTGATTGCGGAGGTGGACAGGAACGCGTCGCGTCGCTTGCCCGAGAAATTGTTAGTGCGCGCTCTGCAGAACGAACTCCTGCCTGTAGTCAAACAAACAGACCCCTACCAGCTCGCTATATTCCCTACCATGAGCTCAGTCTTGACTTCTGCCGACAGCTCACAGCTCTCCTCTGCATTCTGGATACCAAAATAGTCGTCAGAATGCCCAAGGTAATTGGTCACACACCACCATGGTTGTCTCAACCATCGCCTGGAGCTCGCATATTCTCAGATCCAGAATCACGACCCCCCGCCTCCCCTTCCAAGAAGACAGATATCCAGCGCACTGCCAGCTTGCGATCATCTGGTCCTCGAACAACGATCGCGCATAGAGGAACTGAAGTATTCACTGTGGTTGGGAACAGAATCCGATGGGCTGATTTAGCACGAGTCAAGGACGACTGGGAACAACAAAGTCACAAGCGCAGTCAGGATCAGTCACCAAACAAGCAATACAGAACCCTCAAAACTCCTGTCTACTACGAGATCACGGACATCGCAGTTTCTCCTTCTGGTCACTTCTTGGCCGTAGCGACCGAATATACTGTTCATATTGCCCTACTCCCTGCCTCATCACGCCTGCATGATGGTGAGCAATCAGACATCAGGGTCAAGACCCATCAATTGGGTCCAACCACCCATGTCATAGGCGAGGCTCCTCTTGCCACCGTTCTCTGGCACCCATTAGCTGCCTCCACATCTACCGCAGACTGTCTGGTTACTGTTACAACTGATGCTGCTGTAAGACTCTGGGAGGTCAACCAGCTAGATAATTGGTCCTTTGAGCGACCAACTTTACCGATTGATCTGCGAAAGCTGGCTGATGGCACTTCGGAAGATCAAGACTTTACTCCAGCTGGCCTCGGTGAAAACCGTGGCTTTTCTGCCGACGATGCTGACATGGAAGTCGCTGCCGCATCCTGGGGTGGCATGGCACACAACAACGAAGATCCTTGGGCCGCCATGACTTTGTGGATCGCCATGACCAACGGCGATTTATATGCTCTGTGTCCTCTTCTGCCTACCAAATGGAGACCAGGCCGTGAGACTATTCACGCTTTGACTACCTCAGCCGTCGCTCAAATCACCCTCGATACTGCCGACGAGACTGAGAGACGGGCTGCCGACCACCAATACCAATGGGCCAAGGAGCTTGACGACGAAGACCTCGCCTCTGCTGATAGCAACGATTCTTCTATCCGCTTTCGACCTCACCAACCAAGTGCCATTCCTCGACTGCAAGGCCCTTTCGAAATGCCTTTCTTCGACAGCGACATCTCAGACCTGCTTGTGATTGCCGCAAATCTTGACGAGGAAGAGCTGTACTCAGGTGAGGATGACTACGATCTTGTACCCACGCCGAAGGGCTTGCCTTTCACAATCCTATGTCTTTCGACCACTAATCATCAACTGCACGTGCTCGTTGAGCTCAATGGTATTAGTGGACAATGGCTGCCGAGGAAAGGCAAACACCGATTCAGTGCAACAAATCTTCCTTCGGCCGACTTTATTCTAATAGACACCACCTCCTACGCTACTGAAACCCAGATCGATGACAGCTGGTCTAAGTTTACAACAGATCCGTCGACTCCTAATCACTTCTTCGTCACTAGTCAGGCTGCAATCTACTCTATCTCACTTGATGAATGGGCATCACGGATTAGCCTCGAGGTTTCTGAAGTCGCCGAAGATGTCGATAGTGGTCTTCTCGGTCGTCTGAAATTGGCCTGCCAAGGTTCGATTGCCGCGAAACAGCAACTGATATCTGCTCATGCCGACGTTGGATCAGCTCAGCAGTCACTTTGTACCACCATCCTCGTGGAGAGTGTCGACCTAGGCATGATTCTCCTGACTCACACTGACCGAGCTATCGCCGCTCAACTCGATCAGTCCTCTTTGCGTACTTCGAAACTTGTAGCCAACGATGCCACCTTTTCATCCTCCATTCAGTCTCCTTTCAGATCTTCACAGGCTCTTATGAACGTCTTACAGGAAGATTCGAGGCCATTGTTCGATCCACCACCTGTTCGTGCGCCATATGCGCCGTCCCCCGTCTTCACACCGAATCCTGCGAGTCGTGTTGATCGACTCAGATCTCAGCTACCTCCTCAACGGCGGGCAATACTCACGCAAACACCCGTTCGACTTAGTCCAGCTTGCCTCGAAATTATGACAGCTGCTCATCGTAACTTCTCTCATCAGACGGGTGATGTCGAGAAGGCTGCTGCTGAACTTTTCCGACGATGCGAACGCTTGAAGGAAGAGATGGCGGACCAAGTGCGTCAGATGGCCGAATTAGCCGAGAGACTCAGCACCTTCAGACAAAGCAACGACGATGATCAAGAGAAGCGCCCAGAAGCACATGCAAAGTCTACAGATCCTTTGGGAGACCGTATCGAGGCGGCAAAGACACGCCAGTCAGAACTCTTCCGGCGATATGAAAAAGTCAGACGCAAAGCAGGTCAAGTGGGTCATGCTAAGCAAGAGCTGAGCATCAAAGAACGTGCATGGATTGCTGAAATTGATTCACTCGCCGCTCAGATTGGTGCCAGCGATGCCGGCGAAGAGCCATCCACCGAAGCACTCAAGACGCGTCTGAAAGCCTCCAAGGCGATTAGCGAAGAGCTAGTAGCAGAAGGAAAGAGTGTCAAGAAAGCGGAGCAGGAGAGCAAGGAAGTCTCAGCAACGCCTGAAGGTAAGTTACGATCACGCCTCGGGTCAGGAGGCATGAGTCGGTTCCAGAGAGAAAAGATTAAGGAAGTCATGGAAATGGTCAGTCGGGAAGCGGCTGTTATTGAAGCCGTTCAAGGTCGGTTGGATCGGTTAGGTGTCAAGGCTTGAAGAGCTATGTTTCAAGAGTCTTCGCTTTGACTTTTCTACGCTATATGCAGGTAACAGTTGTACACTGCCACTTTATTATTGAAACAAAGCAGCAGTATTGTTGTTCGACGACCGAGGTGTCAATGTAGTAACTCTTGCATCCATATACCTTGCTTCAATGAATCATACAGCATTCGTATATGTCAAGTCAAGCATGTTATACAGGGGTAAAGAACCTACTTACCACCTCTCTTCCCGAAATTGAACAGCCATCCCAGGAAGACTGTGATGCAAGACTCCAAGTCACTCATATACAACAAGTCCAGCATGAGGAAAATTGCCAATTTCCATATCCTTCTACACAAGTCGCATTCAATCAGCTATACTGCAGGGATGCCAGCTCGATTGCCTGTTGCGCCTGTGACTCTATGTAGAGACGTAGTACGTCTGGACAATCTGCTAAAGTGGCTCAGAAGTGCGCCGCATTTCTCGCACTTTACCTGTATTTTGCTCTTTCCTGCGAAATCGATCCTCGGAAACCATTTTCATAGGGAGGCATCTCGAGTCGTACGTATGTATTGTCACACGACAGAGGATGTATACACTGAGTTACAAGGAGTGCTGATGGACGAGGTAAGAGATGAGGCATTTGAGACACATCTTTCTTGTCCCGAAAACCACGTGGCACATGCGACAACAACTCAATTTTCAATCAGATCCACTGACCACCTAGGCCGTTTCAAACTGATAGGCGAGAAGTACTCGTGCAACACTATAGACGTCCGGCCACGGGAAAAGATTCCGTGCTATCATCATCATGTTGCAGAGAAGGCAAAAGGACATTTTGGCCCACCAGTCATCGTGTGGGCGCCCCGACCAGCAATTGCAAAAGCTCTTCAAGGTCAAAAGTTTCAACAGCACCATGGTGAGACGGCTGACCTGGAAAGTTGAACGCACGAGTACGTAACAGACCCGGGCCTCTCAAGCAGGAAAGACTGATCCACAATTGATTTGATGAAGAGGCCCGGAAACTACATGCGGAATTCGAATTCCGGGATTGGCGGGCAGCCACTAATGATCGATCGACCATGAAACCACGACACATTGTGGGTAGATAGTGGAGCGCTTCTACAGTTCCGCCACCGCATCACACGCTGGCAACTCAGGCTTGATCGAAGGCTGTAGCCTCCGTTCATGCAATTGTGCGCCATACGAGTTTCAGCCATATCTCCGCGTCAAATGAGGAAACCACATTGTTCTCACACAAACCCCCGGGCACTCTGCGATTACATGCCGCTCTGCCATCAATCGGCCAAATCAATACGCTACATTGTGCCAACTGTTGACTTGTGACTACTGCGCAAAGTGCGTCAACACCATGCAAAATGACCCGTCAGAACCCCTGAGTGTGCCATTCTTGCCTGCCCTGCCTTCCGAACCACGAGTACTATTACCACGCGAGACAAGAAGGACGAGGCACGTGACGACTGCTTGCCAGCAGTGCAGACAGAGCAAATCCAAGGCATGTAATCGACTATCTTCTCCCATGGCTCAATCTAATTGAGCTTCTCGGGCAGTGCAACGCAGCAAATCCATGTTCAAGATGTACGACCAAGAACGTCAACTGTACCTATTCCGACGTGGAGGATCAACGTGTTCGCGGCTCGACTAAGCGGAGACATGAACAGAACGAAAACCAGAACCGAATTTTTCAAGATGTGATTCAGACTATCCGTGACGTTGATGATCCTGACCTGGCTCAAATTATCGCACTGATTCGAAGTAATGCGCCCATCGAAGAGGTTCATGTTAGTATCACGCAAATGCTGCAGGAGGCTACCACCAATAAGCGACAAATCACCCCCAACCTTGAGCGAGTACGTGATGGCATTGAGAGAGAAAGTGGTTTCGTCCCAGCAGTCACCAGCTCTATACCTGGACCATCCTATACACGGTCTAACATACCACCACAGCACTACTCCCCAACCACTCCATCCGAGAACACGCATGTTACTCCTCCTCGAAGCCAACACTTTGCTGATTACTTAGCGCAAGACCTTCAACCGTCATACACACCAGAAGAGACTCTCAGACAGACGGACAAAAGGAAGTCTGGTAGTCTGGCCGCGCTAAAAATATCCCGGCTCATAGATACACCGTTGGTCACTGTCTCTGCCTGGCCATGGACCACCGCCACCGACGACGACACCCTCATCTCCCATCTCATCTCTATGTGGCTGACCTGGGACAAACCAATGTTTGACTTCATAGAACGAGACCTGTTTATTCGCGATATGCAGACTGGCCACCATGATGTTACATATTGCTCACAATTTCTGGTCAACTCATTGTTAGCCGTTGCGTGTCCATACTCGGATTTCCCAGAAGCTCGATCAAGCCATGGCAGAACTTCGGAGTTGATGCGGTCCTTTCTCAATGATGCCAAGGAGCACTTGAGCAACGATACCAGCATATCTATAACCAAAGCTCAAGGACTTGGACTGCTCTTCATCGCCCATTCCGTTTTGGGCCAAGATGCACTTGCTGTTGAGATCTTCCAGCAGGCCGACGATACGTGCCGAGCATTGGAAGCTCAATTAACAGCCTCTTCCGGTGCAGGAGTCTCGAAGGTGGATAGCACTTTTCGCAAAGCACTGAACAAGACGCGTTGGGGTCTTTTCAATCTCTCGACGCTTGTCATCAATGCGTTGCTCGTTCCTGCAAAGATGTATCCTCCTCTCGAACCTCCGCCCGAGTCAACGGGAGTTGCTGTGACATGGTCACCGTACCCGCTTTCTGTGGTCCCACATTTCCACTTCATGGACGAGCTTTTTGCTCAGCAGTCACGCCTTTCGCTTATCGTGCTAGACATCAGTTATCTGACAACTACGAAGAATAGATTAGTGCCACTCGAGGCAGCCGAGATATTCCTCCTTCACGATCGACTTCCAGAATGGCGTAACTCGATGCCGGCTTTTCTTCTGCCTCATTCAGAAGCCTCAGGACCAGTATTGACACTTCATTGCTACTATCTCACTGTGGTCATGAGCCTCGACGCCATTGTCAGAAGCCAGGGCATAGAGATGTCAGCCGACCAGACAGCACAACTGAACGAGAAAAACACCCAAGCCGCCCTGGGAATCAGTGTCCTGTGTGACACTCACACGAAACGCTATGGCAACGCGCACATGGCCGAGTATTGGATGCAACCCATGATCAGAGCACTATACATCCTCGTCACCTCCACACAATCCGATCAGTACAACAAGCAGATGATTTCGTTAGCAATCTTCGCAAGGTCAATGAGTCGTCGGTGGCCATTGGCCCTGGCATCTTTCGTGGCGTTGAATTCGTCAGTGCACGAGTTGGGTAAACGGTTTCCGCCTGAGACAGACAAGCTCTTTGAAGATCTCACAGTGAGAGAATGGAAAGAGCGTGGTCCGCTAGTGATCAATAGCAAATATCCAGTGGTCGGTGATCACGAGTAGGGACGTCCTGAGATTCGAAGTCTGGGGGATTTTCGGGGAAAACTTGATGTTGATGGAACAGATAGAGCTTGACGGGACAGAGCCTGGTGTACCTTGATCGCAAGGCTTCGCATATTCTGTGGAGGAAGATCTCATGATGACAGTTGTGGAGAGGCTGTTCCGCCGACTGAGCTGACCAGCCGCATGCCAGATTGCGTTCAAGACTTCACCTAATCATGATTATCACTATTAGAAACTTCTTTAGTCGCATGGCATCGTCCAATCACAACAGAGCCTTGAGCTAGGGCACAACAATCTCAATAAAGACAAACGCCGGCACAAAAGGGTCATGGTATGCCTGGCTGGCGAAAGGGTGAACCTTCACAAATTTGGAAATGACCGGCATAACCATAGTAAGCTCTCAATCAGCCGGCTGATAGTACGAAGTACTCGTTTATCAACACAGTCGCTACTGTTACAAGTGCACACTGAAGGCGACTAGGCCAATGGTCATGCACGAGAACCAACAACAGGCTCCGCGATTGCTGAATCGTCTAACAGTGCGACGATACTTTTACCTCTGCGTTGGATGATCGCGGCGTGGTCGGTGATGGACATGTCAGTTCAAAAAGCTGCCCAGCTGGGGCGTCTTTTTTGTAAGTTTCGTGACCTCGTACGGCTCGCCGAATGTACAGCATCTCAGCATGATCTCGAGTACCATGTATCGAACCAATCTCTCTCATCTCGAATCCCCACCATCGGCAATACGATCTATAGGCTTAACGTCTTCTGTCGCGAGGTCAATGACTCACGAAAGGAATTCCGAGGACACAGAGAAGATCTCGACCAACACTCGGTGTTTTGCGGACACACCCTATCCCTACAGCATCACAGTCGACGATTTAAAAGGCTCCTGGGTCGACCATTGATGTGTCAAGCGGTGTAGAGGAAGTCAGGGTGTGGCATCACAGAAGCTCATGGGAGGCGGATGGCTGTTTGTTGCTGATAGCCAGGAAATCACGGGTAGTTCAGTGTCTCTAAAAAAAAGGAAAATAGAAGAATACATATTCAACTTGACTCTTTGCCTATGAAATCGACCTGATTCCATCACTTCCGGCAACGATCTCGAGTTCTTCTAGCAAGATATCTCAGTTGTTCGAACCATATCTGGATTGTCGGTTCCCCTGACGCTTGATCGTGGATCCGCGTAGTCTCTCTAGAAGCAGCTCATGACATTGTCTGAGCCACAGAACATGCATGTAGAACATCTCTGAGCGTCTTCCCTGTGCGATACAAGACCTCTCCTGAAAGCCCACTAGTTCGGACAACCTGGATAGACAGTAGATAAGACTGTATCCTGGTCCATTCATGACTGTAAAAGCGCATCTCACGAGGCGCTATCAGCTCTTTCAGGGTCTATCAAGAGTGGCATGAGCGACGGGTTGATCGAGACCCAGCCGCATTCATGAGACTGTTTTGATTCGCTGGTGCTGACCACATCTCTTTTCCTTAGATTTGGGCATTGGCAGCGTTATCCTGTACTATTTACGAGGTACCCCCAAAGGCTACAGAGAAACGATCGAGGAAGAAGTCATAACGAGGTCATTTGCAAAGTTGTGATTGATTTGTATCGGAGGAAGATGAGCAAGAGCGATCAGAGCCAAGGTTGAAGAGTGTTCGGTAAAGTTTCCTCGACACGAAACACTACTCACATCTGACACTCGGCTCTGGCATCGTTCCATACAGTCGTCACTTTCTCACTCAGCCTATACTGTCGACATACACAGCATCACTGCATGCCTACACAGAGATGTTGCGATGCTCTTATTTGACCTTCACAGGATTCCCTCGCCAGTAAGCGCAAATCACAACCACATGGCCTGCAGTCGCTACCACAATGATTTCCTTCCTCGCCTCTTATAATATGAAGCTTCACTATCATCACAAGGCTTCAGATGTTGCCTTTAAGGTGCTATATCGCTCTATCCCAGCGACAATCCAACGCTTAGGCTCCCTAGACCTCTCACATGATGTTGATGGCCAAGTCTGCCTTCGTGGTAGCGAGTTTGTACGCATAATCATACATATTCTCATTCGTACTAGATCGTAATCGCAGAGACACGAATATGCCAGCCTTCAGCGGCGCACTCTTGCAGGGACGTATCCATCGGCACACTGGTAGATGCAGATGGAGCTGAGGAGGAATTGGACCGCCATGCCGCACCTGGATGAAGCGGGTGAACGTGTGATGGTTATGAGCTCCGCCTTTGCTTCTTTCCAATTGGTATGTTCGTGATACCATCTCTTACTGGGTCGATAATTCGAAATTGTATTTGGTTCGTTAAGCTGATATCTCAATTCACCTCCTCTCATCATCAATCCCAACGACATCCTCCGGCCTCGGATTCTTCATTTCATAAAACACCCCATTGAACGCATTGACAAGGAAGTCATTCAACTTCCCATAGACAACATTATTCGCCCCATGAAAATAGATACTATGATCACTATCCGGAAAGAAATGCACATCATAATTCTTTATCCCTTGCATATCGAGCTTATCGATCAGGGTCAAAGTATTCTGCACATGCACATTGTCGTCGGAAGCGCCATGCATCATCAGCCAGCGCACGTTCTGCGATAGAGCGCTGACGTTTGTGATTGCTGTGTTTTCGTAGCCTGTGGGGTTGAGTTGTGGTGTGAGCATGTAGCGTTCGGTGTAGATGGTGTCGTAGAATCGGAAGTCTGTGACGGGTGCGACTGCTATGCCGTACTGGAAGGTCTCGCCGGCGTCTTTTTCGAGTACTTTGAGGGTCATGAAGCCGCCATAGGACCAGCCCCAGATGGCCATGCGGTCGGCGTCGATGTATGATTTCTGAGCCCATTCTCGTGCGCACGCGATCTGGTCGATGGCTTCGTAATGTCCCATGTTCTTGCGGATTATGGTGCGTGCTTTGCGACCGATGTAGCCTGTACCTCGGTTGTCGAGGGTGACGACAACGTAGCCTAGACTGCTGGCGACGTAGGATTGAAAATTCACTTTGAAGCGACGGTCGACTTGCTGCGATCCAGGGCCGCCGTAGAGCTGGAATAGGACTGGGTAAGGGTGTCTCGGGTCAAAGTGTGGTGGTCGCTGCTCGACAACATTCAGGACGGTGCCGTCTTCAGCTGTGAAGTTTGTGTGGACTATGTGCGGCATTTCGTGCTGAGCAGCTTGTCGTGCCAGGTCTTTGTTCTCTTCGAGAACTTCTTCGTAGGTATTTGCATTCGATGGTGTTGAGATGAGTTTCTGATTGGGGATGCCTGGTCCTTCATGATTGATGATTGCGTAGCCTGCCTGAGCACTGAAACTAGCACTATAGTATCCGGGCTTATCAGTCGGTACGAGGGATTTGATCTCTTTGCCTTCCAGGTCGACACTATAGATGTGACGCTGAGTAGAGTGCTCTTTTGCTGCTGTAAAGTAAACAAGGTTGTTCTTCAAATCGAGATGAACCGTGCCTTGCTCAACCTCCCAGTCTCCCCTGGTCAGCATGAGTGGTTCAGAGCTGTCAAGTGGTGAGAAGTAACCCAGGTGGTCTCCATTGTCATAAATGACAGTGTCAATGTAGCCTTCTTGTGGTCGACCATTCGCAGGATCAGCTGGAATATACCTATTCTCTTGACCAGGCTCGACCCAACCACCATCAAGCTTTTCCACATCGAGGGTCCTGACAGTCTTTCCACTCCTGCTTTTGACGTCAACGAGCACGACTCTGACCTTGTCAGAAACCCGATTCAGCTCTTTCACTATGACTCTCCCGTCGTCGGCCCACAACACATCAGCGATAATCCGATCGTCATCAGCGAAACCATCGGCAATATTCACATCGAACATCTCGTTCGCATTGAGGTCGTAGAACAGCATATGCACAACCGGATTTGGCGCGCCTGCTTTAGGATATTTGATCCTTCTTTCTTCTGGATAAAGCTCAAGGCCCTTTTCGGGACGGACGCCACTGGGTCGGCTGAGGTAGTAATCGATAGGAAATTCCGGAACCATAGTCTCGTTGGTCCTCATGAAAGCAATGTATTTACCTTCGCGATCCCACCACGTCGCAACATTGCCTTGGAAAACCTCCTCTTCGTAAACCCAATCGGGTATGCCATAGAAGAACTCGGGACCACCATCGTTGGTAACTTGTCGGACTGCCGTTGTTGGACCTCCATTGCTGTTTTTCAGCATCCGCACGAAGAGGTTGTTGTGGCGAGTAAAGACCACAGCGTCACTGTTCGGACTCCAACGTGCCAATTGAACACGTGCATCAGGATACTCCTCGTCTAAATATTCCGCAGTCTGTGTTTCCACATCGAATATATAGTATACGCCTGTGAATGAATGTCTGTAGACTTTCTCCCTCTTACTCAACACCAATACCTTTTTCAGGTCCGGGCTGGGCCAGTAATCCTCAGCGATAACAGCACTGTCTCCTCCCTTGGGAGTAAACCGATTACTTATCATCAGTATGTTGCTCGGATGCTTCTCCCCATTCGAGTCTGGCTTTCTGGAACGAACGTCCTCAACAACCATAAAGTCTTTGCCTGGCTGTTGTATCTCCAGTAAGAGTCCGTCTTCGCCACTCGCGCCCGCGATCCAATTCAATGCAGCCCTACGAGGATACCACATCCCCTTTTGTATGCTGTCCAAGCTGATCTTACGTCCTGAGCTCTTTCCTGGTGATTCGTGATCGTAGGCTTGAGTCGAGCTATGCTGGTAGTTCTTGTTAGACACGAAGGTGAAGAGTGCGAGGACCCATCCTGCGACCGCTACTAGTGACACAAGCAATACCACTCTTTTGAGGTTTCGCGACATTGAGGTTTGGCTGCTGAAAGATAGGCTTCGCTTATGGCTCGACCATTTCGTCCGTGGAAGCTCGGGATCTGATTCATCGTCGCGGTACTCGAGAGGCTGACTCGGTCTGGTCTTGTAATAATCGGCGTTTTCGTTGAGGTTCTCGAGGACTAGTGAGGTGGTTGATGCGGTTGTCACAGTATCTACTGATGATCGAGGTGAGGACGTTGACTCGTGGCGCGTTCTGTTTTCTGAAGGAGACTCGTGAAGCAGGGAACTCTTTTCTTGCTCGAGTAGGTCATGACCTCGAGGTGCCATGGCTGCAGGTAGTACTGGCAGAGGCTTTCTGGCCAGGTCTGACTGCCACGGATCACGGAAGAATAGCGTCGTTGGCGATCGTGGCGAGGAAGGAGCAGAAGGTGGTCTGCTACCAGTACATAGTGACGAAGCACTATTCTTCGGTGAGTTCAGTCTTTCGACATCGCGTTCAGGTGATGATGAATGTGGATTGCGAGCGTCGCGTGTGTTGAAAGCTCGTCGTCGCGGACTTTCTGGAATAGATGCGTAGCGGAATTCCAGTGCAGGGATCGTGATAGGCTGCATCCTGCTTATGGTTCGCCTAACTTCTGCACCTTCCGGGCGCTACGACCCTTATGGTTACCGTTTCTTGGTTCTGCAGCAACACAGAGCTGTGCTTTATGCTGCCGTTGAACATATTGTGTAGCGACATGCTGCCTTTTTCGCGATCGCTGTATTGCGGTCATCCCAAGAGCATGTCTGCGGTCGTCCAGACTGGTGAAGACTCTATCCGTCTTCAGCGACTTCGAGCACGGACCAATATGTGTGATCGGGCAGAGTGGAATAAATTCGACGCTTGGGTCAAATCGCAGAATGTTACCTGCCATCATTGAACAACACGCAACTTCTGACTTCTGAGAATTGTATTGTCGTTCAGTTACAATGTCAGTGCAATGTATATGCAGGCACATAGACCTTAAATAGTTTATTAATCTGTACGTATATCTGTCTATATTATGTTATGTTTAGTCTCGCCGAAACCATGCTCTTGCACATCGAAGAAATACTGCCAGCGGCGGCAATGTCTCTGAATGCGTGGTGATCGGCACATAGGCCTTCTTGGTAGCATTTCAAAGATTTAAGTCGTCTGTCTAGCCCCACTCACAGGACAAGCCCCGTGTTTCTGGATGCTAGGTGCTTGTCTCTGCGGTGCCTTCGGTTGCATGAACGCGGGACACGCAAGACCAGCATCGCATTGTACGGGTCCAGATCTTGACTGAAGCCTGAGTTCGGAGAGGCAGGGAGCCTCAGTGTAATCGAACAACTTCCGAAGGATAACAAGCTGATTTCCGCCACACAGCCATTTGTCTTCTCCTTCACACACCTTCTACTCTTTCCTCATAATATCTTTAATTAGCATGATCGGAACCATCATGGTCTTAAAGCCTTAATACTTCATGGCCCCGAGTGGTGGTCGGCTGCGTGACCGAGGGCTAGTCGCGAGGCGCTCTTTGCCGAAGACACTTTCCGGTCATCATGTTCTTGTTTTGTTTTTTGTCTTTTTTCTTTACTTTCCGTAGATGGCTTGATAGATCTCCAACCCCGGTGCCGCTGTAGAGACGGAGCAGGATGTCTGGGTGATGTCGTAGCCATATCACAGTCCGGTTTCATGAAGCCAAGCTGACACAGATGCACGTGGAATAAGAGGGCCAGCTTCTGGCGATAGCTGCATGACCCAGACCTCTTCCAGTAACGTGGACAGCCCCGCAGATGGTAAGAACCCCGACAAAGACGACCACCGGACAACCATAAACCAAGAAGGTGATCTCGTCTTTTCCAGCACTTGATCACGTAGCAGGTCGCTTCCTTCCTGAAGCGTCTGCAGTCATGTCTTGTACACGTCGACGGCTGATGCGACTGATCTGGTCCGAATGCCATCGTTGCCCAACATTGGCCAGTATTGCACAAGCGCCTATTTGCTGGAGGCTATATCTCTGAATGCATTATGACGCCAGAGTTGATCCAGGAAGGTAAGCAGACACTGCGTTAACGAAGATCCGTGTAGAGCTTCAGAGCGAGACAAGAAAACGAAGCTGGGTTAAGGACATCTTGCAAGGATGCACAAGCCGAAGAACATGTCGCAACTCTTTTGAGGATGTACTGGACGTCCGCTATCTCAGCGCGGGGTTGTAGAGGCCCGTGACCACAACATCTAGCAGGACTAACGACTTAGTACCGTCTTTCGGGGTCGATGCGTGTTTGGTTACCCGATATCGTTGGTTAAGGGTCTTTAAAGACGAGACAGAGAGGTTGACCGGACCCGCAGTCAAGGAGTCATGATTGTACTCGTCCAAGAACACGATGTGCCATTGGCTAGTCACATTCCGACATTCAGTACTTGACTGCCGTGTGCCAATAAGACACTGCACAGATGCAAAGTTGTCCGGCTCGAGTATATCAAAAGGGCTCCTGGTCACTGTCTTCGTATCTGTACGCGAACAATGTCGATCTGCAAAAACGGGTCAACCTTTCACTGCAGTGAGTATTTCATACTGCTGATGATCAGTCTCGTGGTTGTTAATAGCTTGGATCTGAGTCCTAAGGCAAATCACCAATTCCTTCAATGCTGCAATGACTCTTTTTACTGTGCACGAGGCATCGGATTCTGCTGAACTTTGAGCTCAGACGGCACGATTACAGCCTATATGCTGACACGAGAGTAGGATAAGAAGTGTAGATGACAAGATAGAGCTTGAAGCCCATCACGCTCGAGGCAGTGTGACTTCGTACTCACCTGCTGCATCTGTGGGTGTTGACGGGCGCTTACCCTGCCATGAACAGTCTCGAGCTGCATATCTAGAGATTTTTCCTAGGTTATGTCTTCACAAGGACAATTGTGCTTCGTTGATGAGCCGTCCCATCAATGGTAGATGGACCGATGGATCACACTATCTGGACGAATGCGTTGCTCGATCGCGAAGAAAGGTAGGAAGGATTGCCGACTCCGACTCACTCGTGCCTGCCTCGTTATTTGGTAGCAACTGCGGCTCGCAGAGTCAAGCTTCAACGAGCAGCCAGTACTTATGGAACAGTCTAGTGAGCATGGGGTACTCGAGCAGGCGACTGAAGAGAAGAACAAGCTGATAATAATACATTATGAAAAGCTCTAAGATGGGCTTGAATCAAGCTGCTGCAGTTTGTTCAGTATTCCAATTACTATGCACACTGGTGTGCCTATGTAGACAGACTCGCTAACAATCACAAAATCAACCACGTCGACCAAACGTTCGTCGGTGAGCGCCATCACCAAGACCTCTCTTGAGGTGACCATCTAGGTAATGACGAGCAGCATCATCGCGTCGCACAACAGTATTGAATTGCTTGCTGTTCTCGGCAATCAATTTGTCAAAGTAGGTGGGCTCTCTCTTCTTCAAACCGGAATTGCCTGAGAACTTTCGGTACTTTGCGTCCGAGGCCTCATAGGACGTGTACTCAGAGCACTCTTGCTTGAAGGAATCCTTGCCAGCTAGGTCAGCTTTCTTGATATCGTCTGGTCGCTCGATCCACTGAAGGGCAAGGCCACCGTCGACGTGCCAGGCGATGTGGCAGTGCATGAGCCATGCGCCTGGATTGTCTGTCTTGAAGCCGATGACTGTCCAGCCTCCATTTGGTGGAGGTGGGTTCGAAGGAGGAGCTCCAGCAAGCATGGCTGTGTCACGTCGGATTGGATTGTCGAAATTGAGGGTATCGACCATGTCAGAGGTAAAGAGACCTGTGCCTTGGCCTAGAACCGAGAAGTCGTGACCGTGCAAATGCATTGGGTGGAAAGCAAAGAACTGGTTTTGGATGACGAAGTATACCCACTCATCTTTTTGCGAGAGAGTGATCTGATTAGCATAGGCACTGCTGTTGGCAATGACAGGTGCTCCTTCGTGAATCGACTGAAGAGTGGGTGTAGTGTAATTGACGTACATAGCACCATTGTTGAGAAACCATCTGAAGAGAGAGCCGTCATCGTCAGTCTGAACTCGTTGAACCAGACCGCCTGGAAGAGTGGACGCAGATGCTTGAAATGCGGTCTTTGTGCCAGCATCCATCTTGAGATGAGGAACGAGGCTGGCCAGAGGTTCATCGATGCAAATCGAGAAGTCAGTGGCTGTCTTGTTGCCATTCATGGTCGAAGTAGGCAGAGTATAGTCGCTCTCCTTGTAGGCGATGACACCGTTCGCTTGGCCAAGACCGCTATTGGCAGAGCCTGATGGGCACAATGTCTGGGTAACAGCTCGCAAGAAGTAGGTACCTACGTCTTGGTTCATTTCTATCACAACGTCGTATCGCTGGCCAATGCCGATATTCAGCCACTCAGTCGTGTAAGGAACGATAGGGACAAAGTCAGCAGCAATGACTTGCATCTTGTGTCCATCAATGGAGACGGAGTACATATTCTGGGATGCGGCGTTGATGAAGCGGAAGAGGTATTTCTTGCCCTTCTGAACCTCCCACAGGGCGTGTTGTCCTGCAGAGAGGTCGGTCTTAACATTCTTGCCATTCAGCAAGTAGTTGTCAACTGGAAGAGGTCCTTTGTGAGCAATCAGGTGTCCGAAAGCGGAAGCACTCATGCCGTAGGTATCGGAGATCATGACTGGGCCAGCATCGACATCATAATTGGCAGTAGCAGGACCATGGATGATGATAGGACCCATGACACCATCACCGTATTGCAGGTTCCAATGGGAGTGGTACCATGAAGTGCCATAGGACGATGCACGCCATGTATAGGTTCGAGACTTGCCTGGTGCAAGACCACATTCTGTAACACCCGGTACACCATCCTGATCGTTGGTGCACATCTGTCTGATACCGTGCCAGTGGATTGCAGTACCATTGTTGCTAAGCTGATTGTGGACATTGATGACAACGAGATCACCCCAATTACACTCAATAGCTGGGCCAGGATATTGTCCATTGATAAGAATCATGTCGACTTCGTCGCCATCTGTGTTTGCCTTGCCTCGAGACAAGACAAGGTCGTATTCGCATTTATTGCCACCAGTGAATCCAGCTCCGAGGCCACCCTTACCGAAACCCTGGCTGCTAGTGCTCAGGCCTGTCGAGCTGCAATCGCCGAAGTAGTCCTTGTAGTAGTCGGTATCAATATCGAAGCCACCGCACCACTTGGATCGATCAGAAGCAGAGTTGCAGTTGCTCTCCTTGAGGAACTCAAAGGGTTTGGTGAGATTGCTGCTAGGCGAACCAAAATCTGGTCGGGTACCATTGATAGGCTTGGTAGAGTTGTTTTTGCTGCCACCACCATTGTTGTCACCATCGCTGGTACCGTTGTTTCTGCCACTTCCGCCATTGCCATTGCCGTTGTTTCCGCTGCCTCCGTTATCACTGCCATCTTTGTTCCAGTCGCGCCAACCTCCTACACCTCCCCATGGGGTACCACGGTAGGTACCATCGGGTTGTGCAGTATAAGTGGGTGCAACGCCCGACGCAGTATTGGAAGGTGTGTCTGGCACCCAATGGAAAACATCGTCGCCTTCTCCAAGGACGAGACCGCCAGTGCCCTTGCCGCCCCAGCTGCCAGGACCCCAGCCACTGTTGCCGTTGGAGCCACTATTTCTGTCTGCGCCTCCACTTTTGCCATTGTCGTTGTTGCTGGCGCTACCTTTACCCCAGCCCGAGCCCGAGTCAGTGTCAGAGCCCTTTCCTGACCCTGGGGCAGAACCGGAGCCAGAAGCCGAACCAGATCCAGATCCGTACCCAGAGCCTGAGCCTGATCCTGCACCAGTGAAGCCACTGCTGGAGCCTGAGCCCGAGCCTGAACCTGAACCTGAGCCTGAACCTGAACCGGTGGCACTCCCACTTCCTCCATTACCCCAGTTGTTCCATGCTGCATCGGGGCTGTCAGAGACTTGAGCGCCAACAAAGAGGACCGACTTGGTGACAGTAGTCGTGCCTGGAATAGTGGAAGTGATTGTCTTTGTAGATGTGACAGTCTTCTTTGTGTCGCAAGTAGTGGTAGTAGTGGCGGCGTTACTGCTGCTGCTTGTCCACTCTACCCAATCAGGTTTGATAGATACTGAGGCTGGAGCACTTGGAAGAGGTACTACAACCGTCTTGAGGTATACTTCGGAAGTAGACTCGTAGGCTGTGGTGGTCTCTGTCTTGACAGATGTAGAAGGTGCTGCACAACTGCTGGTAGTAGTGCTTGACCACGCAGACCAGCTGCTATCTTGTGCAGCGGCGGTAGTTGCAGCGACCGCAAGGGCTGTAGAAGTTGTGAGCTTCATGTTGAAAGAATAGAAATTTTTTGCTTTTGAAAAACGAGTGAGGCAGGTTTTTGGGCTGTCTTGCCAGACAGTAAATGAGAGGCTAGGCTTAACGTCCCCAGACGATCAAATCAAAAAAGAGGGAGAGGAAAACTTGGTGCTCTCACAGCGGAAGATGGAATACAGCACATGAGGGAGGAAACAAAATTTACAATATGGGGAGGCCATTCATATTGAAGATGGCCACGCTGCATCGAGGTCGTATCTTACCTTACAGAGGCTAAACCCCTGTACTGAAACGCTAAGTTGACTGTGAATCTGGACCGTTGATGGCTCGAACGTGGTGTTACTGGATGTGGAGGGTTACACAAGCTTTCTACGCTAGAGCGAGAGTTCAGGCCAAGGTGTAGGCGGCCTGCTGCTTGCAAGGTGCCTGATGACGCGGGGTAAGCTTATTTATGAACAACAATACTTATTGGCTCATTTGCAAGCACAGCTCGTATTCATGTGTGACGCGCGTGTACTTGCAGTAACTGCCCCTGGTTCGCATCGTGGACGAACTGCGTGTCAGCATGAACATATTGGCCTAGTTGAAGTTAGACAGCAAGAAGTTGCGTAATTGTCCCAGATCACAACACCTGCTCTCGAGTTTCGAGACGCACAAGCAAAAATGAAGTCGATCGTCAGCAGTCAGACAATCGTGACTACCACAACGGGGAAGGAGCCAACAAAGAGGCAGGAGCGTAGATCGTGCTTTCGATTGGCTGTTATGCCTGCCAAGAGTAGACCAAGTCAACCAAGCTTTTATCGCCAAAAAAGCATAGCGTATCTTTGCCAAATCTTGTGCCAGCTCAGGGGTTCCTGCCTCATTCCTCCTGCACAGTCCACTTCCCCAGCTTTTGAGATTGTCTTATTGCTATTTCGCCGATACCAGATGTCCTGTGAACAATTGCTGTTGTGCCAGCCGTCCCGAAACTTAGTGCTCTGCTTGTCTTACAAATACCTGCAAGCAATTAGGTATAGATACATCGTTTTCTCAAAAGCAATTTTCTACGAGGTACAAAAGTGGTAACCTTCCCCACACAGATAATGCAGCAGAACAGCCACGTGCACAGCGTCAGTAACATGTTCGTGTCCTAGTATTCGTACGGTGATACCAGTACAATCCTTATGCTTGTTACAAGCAACTTCTTCTACCACCTCTGCTGTCCACCATTCGAGACATGTGGCGGCTTCGATCTCATCTGAACCTCAAATCAAGCAATTTGCGTGCGCAACACTACGATCTAGTCTTGCCAGTCTACAGACAAAGTTTAGACAATCCACAAGCACCAGCTCGTAACTTCTCGCGCCGTTACGTGGGCTAGCGCTTGCAGATCCACGCTTACTGTTTTGTCATAAGGTCTTTGGTCGGCGCTGTCAGACCGTCCGCCACTGCTTGCAGCGCCCCACACAACTTCTTGTTCGAGAACTGGCGCTTCCTCTTCTTTAGCCAGGTACTGAAAACCATACCGTCTCTCCACCTGATTTCATTGTCAGCTTTGGGTATGACGATGCAACAAGCTATCAAAGCATATCGTGTGCTAGCAGCAGATCATCACATCTCTCATCAAGGTGCGCACGCGATCGAGATTGCTTCATTAAAAGAGCACTAGACAACAACACATCTGAACGTAGGTTCTGCTTGCAAACAGGAAGAAGCTGCACTATCACTGCAGAGGGCAATTTGTCGAAGATGACAAAAGGATGTAATTCGAGAAATAGGCTTCAGCTGCGCAAGTCTATGGGGGGGTACTGCAGATTTAGATGGGTGGCAAGGCTCGCTCTTACCTCACCACTGTAACTCCAATGCTGCCACGTCTGCAACAGCGTTCGGACTTACTCCGTAGGCATTCCCCTGTCTCTGCATATTGTCCAAGGCAGTAATACCCAAAATCCAAGTCCTGCGTGCAAGTCCGCATGCGACTCCTGCATCCTCATGCCATAGCGAAGTCGAACTCTCCAAGGTCCTCCTTCCAGGCCTCCGCGTCCCTTCCCTCATCTCCGTCCTCAAGTGGTACAGATCTCCAGTCAGCACGATTCTCAAGCTTCAGCAAACCAGACATGACTGTGCGGCCGAACTGAACGTTGAATCGCTGATCGGAGGGCAATTCGAAATACATAGAGGTCTCACTTGTGCCTGGCGGTACGACTGACCTCTCATCAACGCCCGCAGCAATGGCATCTGCCTGTTCGACAAGTGAAGATGTTATTGGTACATCTTTGTTGCCGTTAGCATTACCATTGCTCGCCTTATTGCCGTTGGCTAACAATGATGCTTGTGATGACCAGATCCAGACTCGGAAATAGTCACTCCCACGATCCAGTAGCAGCTGATCCGGGTCACAGATGTGGAACTTCTCGTGGTCATTCTTCTCTGCTGCGATCTTGAAGGCAGCCTCCACAAGACCTTTGCCGACCATGTCTTGAGGACATGCAATCCACTGCCAGTGAAAATGCCGAATACCCGTACGGTTGACTTCCCAGCAAACAGCGCCCAGTTGACTGTTACCTCGTGCCTGAAGCATATGTTGAAGTGCATGCCGATATCGTGTCATTTCCCGAAATTCCGATTCCATTTCTGAACGTGCTCGCTTTCCATGCGAGGTCTCGTCTGCGGCATGATACATGGGAATAATCATGAGGTTACCAGAGGACTTGAGTTGCGGGAACGTGCTTTGGGTTGGCAAGGTGCCTCGTAAAGAGGTAATGAAGGATTCGTCAGCGATCGAGACGACCATCTCTGCGGCAAACTGTGGTTTACCAAGACACATAAAGCAGTTGTTGGGGTCGTAACTCTGCTTGTGCTTTTTGTTCTTGCGTCCATGGTGATTGTTGCCAGTCGTGTCGAACCGTCGGCCTGGGTAAGGGTCTGCCTCAAGCGCATTGCGCTTACGCTTCCCTCGTGGTGAAACAAGTGTGAATGGAGCGGCACGCTGAGCACCTTCTGATGTGGCAGGTTTCGAAATGTCAAGCGTGAACGCTGATATCCAGTCTGATGCTTTTTGTGAGATGTCGCCGAGAGCCTCGAAGCGCGTGACTTGTGTCTCTGCGTTCTCGGAGTAGTCCATAGGCCAAACAAATGGCTCGCGTTTCCAGCTTGTGCTCGTAGAAGGACAAAATTGATATCGAGGTTTCAACGTTGCGCAAAGGTTCGCCACCGCTATTGATGATTGAGTTATCTGGACATCTTCGGGAAGTGGTATGTTAGAGCCATTTTCAATTCTCGCACACCACTGGTTCGTCAGCAGAATATGAGCAGAATGGGCACCTTGCAAGGCTCGTGCTTCATTCTCCAAAAAGAGAGGGTCGTACTTCCCAATCGACTGAGTTAAATTATCTTCGTTCTGGACCTGCTTGCCTCCTAAGAAGATGATCTTAACGCCTTCGGTAGTCGTGAGAGTTCCTTTCCGTCCAAGATACAACAGATTGCTGCAGACTTCCCCATTGGCTTCGAGTCTTTCTTGTACTGTTTGTGGTAGAGCTGTATCACCAATGGTGAAATAGGTAGGTAAGGGTATAGATAAACTACCAGAAAGGAGTGCTTGTAGCTGACCTTCCTCACCACCTGGCCCGAACAAATTACCAGCGACAAGCGCAAAGGCGAAGTCGGTCTTTGCATGTAATTTAGAGATCTTCGAAAATGCTTTCTCGAACTGTCCATTGACAGGGCCAACTACCAATATCTTTGTAGCCATACTGCTTTGGTATACTGGACGACCTGATGAGGTTATACAACCAGTACAGTTCAGATCGGAGCAGTAGGAACGCTTGGTTTGCTTGGAATTGCGAGATAGCTTGCAGAAACGAAAGTCTAGGATGGGTTCGATCTGCATGCGAAAGTAAAATGAAGTTGTGAAACGAACATTTTGAGTTATTCGTCCTATGGTGTACCCGATCCAACGCAAGCACGCGACAACCTCAAAGTGTGACGGACAAGCTAATCATGGTTTACCAATTTACTTTGAACTTCCACACCTCTTTATACATATTCACCTTTCGTAGGTGAATGTGCAAGCTGATATTGAAAAGTCGCGACTCGAGGCTCGTGGCAAAAAAGAGTGGGTTTGTTGACCGCCTCTCTCTATCCTCAAAAGCCTTATAGCGGCCAATAAATCAATATCATGATCCCAATAACGCGTCTTTTACACTAGCTCGAGTAGAACGTGTTTAGAAGAAAGTGTAGCGAGGCTAAGATAAGATAGAGTACCATTTGCTGGTCGCAGTTACCAAAAAGTTTCTGGAGTTCGCAGTTTCGAGCAACACGCTCACAGTTAACCTGATGTGCCACTTACCATAACCCAGTCATAACCATGGCACCAATATCGCCCGGAAAGGCATCCGGCCCGCCTCGAAGGCCACACAAACCTACAGAGACAACGAAAGCACATCGTTACGAACCATTTACAAAACGACTGGCGAAGTTGAAGATAGACCCAGTCCACAAGGTGCAAAAGTCGAGGCTTAGAGAGAAAAGCGATGATATATCACAAAGCTACTTTCGTTCGGCCTTGGAGGAGTGGTCAGAGCTGAACTTAACCACGACTTTCACTTCCTTCTTGAACCGTGTCCTTCCACTGTCGGAGAGTCTACCACAGCTACTTCACCATGCCGACGAAGTCACGTCAGCCCTTCTCGAGCACATCGAGAAACAAGATTCACTGGCTCTTGAGCCTCTCTTGAGCCTGGTGGCACATCTAGCCCACGATCTGGGTCAAGAGACCGAAAAGTACTTTGCACAAATTGTCAGCTTAGTGGCCAAGGTCTCTACAACACAGGATGACCCGGCTATTGTGGAGGCTTGTTTCACGTGTCTAGCATGGATGTACAAATATCTGTCCCGCTTGCTAGTTCACGACTTGAGGCCATTGCTCGATGTTGTCTTTCCGTATTTTACGGCGCGAAAAGAACATGTTCGAAGGTTCACTGCTGAGGCGCTTGCTTTCCTGCTGCGCAAAGCAGCTGTCTTGTATCCGAAGAATTCGAAACCACTCACACTGGCACTGACACACATTCTGAACTATGCCGCGCAGTTGTCCAGACGTGGCGAGCAAGAATTGTTCGCCGAGACAGTCATGAATCTGCTCTCAGAAACCGCTTTAGGCGTTGATGCTGCTCTACATTCAAGCGCCGCCGACTTATTCCAATGTTTTCTCGAGCTCACAACACTACTCAAGACATCATTCGATACAGCCCACAATATTCTGCAAGGCACGACAATCAATCTGGTGCACAGAACGGACGCAGCTGGTTTCAAACCAATTGCTGACCTCGTTCTTCAGTTCGCTAGTATCACTGCTGAAGACGACAGCCAAACTCTGCTGAGTTCCCGACTGATGCTTATAGTTGCGGCGACACGTGGCGGCTCGAGAATCAGTCAGTGGAGTATATTAGTGAAACTGCTAGCTGAGAAACTTCCTCTTCACTCCGTCGAGTCTACCAACGTTCCTTCTTTTGTACCTGTCCTCACAACCACTGCTGCTGCAGCCTTGTGCTATGCTCCATTGGATCAAATGCTACCACTAATACCAACACTAGTCAATTCAATCACCAGTGGACCTCACCCAGCTCAATTTTTCGCCTTCTGCGAAACAGTCGCGCGACTGAGCAAGGCGAGGCTCCAAGACTTGCTCCTCTCTTATCTGCAACAATACATTGTCTCCCACTGGAGCACAGATGAACCTGGCCTCGTGCTCCTACTGAATGATCTTCACCAACTCGGATGTGTACACAGAAATTCTGGAAAGCCTGGATATTTAGCTATCGCCCGCGAATGGGAAGCATGTATCCGACGAGAATGGCAGGAAACGACGCAAGTCGTCGACCATCAGTCTCAAAGGGACTTGTTGGACTTGCTTCTGGCACAATCAATACACTTCCCTATGAGTCGTGAAGTTGAATTCGAGCTCGAAAACCACCTGCAGCACAAAATCTCGCTGGCACTTTCTGATGCTGACAATTCTTCTGACCTTCAGAGGCAGGTCGTCTTGGGTTGGGGGTTGCAGACTCTCGTTGCGCTCAAGAAAGGACGTCGCTATTTTGATGAAGCATTATTCAAAGACGCCTTGAACGTCTCGAAGGACACCTTCAGACTCCTGCCATTCGTTGAGGCTATGGCAGAGATTGCCCCTGGTTTTAGCGACACAGGCGTGCTATCGACACTGCCTGATGTTGCGCTCCTCAGTCTACAGGAGAATTTGCTCAGTACTTCAATTCCGCTTCGTAAAGCCTCCGTCCACCTGCTTTCAAGCTTGCAGCTCACAGGCTCTTCAGAGTGGCTTGTGCCAGCTTGCAGATTGTTCCTCGAAATCCTCAATACGGAGTACACGATTTCCAATGCTCGAACGCTGGCCATGCTTGTGAGAAAACTTCCCCAGACGCATGCCTGTGCCTCTCAGAACTCGAAAACGACAATGATCGTGCCACACTTCGCTCTGGGACTTCTGTCGAATTTTCACGATCGACTAAGAAAGGACGTCGCGCTGGCAATTGGTCAAATGATGACTGAACCTGCATTGGAGGAAGCCATTGTGGACATACTGAGACGCTGGTTGCAGCAACCTGCTTCAGGAGGTGTCTCCACTGCGTCCACGACTGGACCCAAGGACAATTTACCTAGTCGTGTCTCACCTTACTCTTGTACACGTCTAGAAGCTGTCCAAGACACTTTCGAGGAAGCCCGCAAACCGTTTTGTGATGCGATGCAAGAGGTTATAAGTCGTGTCAGATCTGCACATGCTCCTCAATTGACAGAAAGTCCGTATGAGAGTCGCCAAATCGCCCTGCAGGTCCTGATCGAAATGCCTTTAATTGCTGAAAAGAAGTCGAAACTGCTTGTTCCAGCCTTTCTTGCTGCTCAAAGAGGGCGTTCCGGGAGTCGGTTCCTATTCGTTGATGATGCGAACTCTGTCAACACTGTAACCCCAGATATTGAGGAACAAACTTGGAGCCTAAAAGAAAGAAAGCTCTTCCTAGAACTGCTCAGACAATTCAATAACCCCAGGGTTCTGTATCGGGCCGACGACGTGTATCAATGCCTGCTCGACTTGCTTGCGAATGGTGATCCGGAAACCCGAAAGCTTTCGCTACAAGCTGTTTTCGGCTGGAAGAGTAAGGCATTAGTTATCCATCAGGATAACTTACTGAAAATTGCCGAGGACAAACAGACCACATCCGAGCTGGCTTTGATGCTCGACGCTAACGATGAATCTAGCATGATGAAAGACGAGGACAGAGCAGAAGTCCTCCCTGTATTGCTACGCCTCGTGTTTGGACAGCTCATTGGCCGCGTTGGTGTTCATGGCTCGCAGGAAGCTAAGCGAAAGGCACTTCTACGACTTGTCTTTCGAATGCATGATGAGGAAGTATTGACTTTTCTCGATATTGTCCTGGGTCGGTTGCACGATATCTCTGCGTTGTCGTTACAAGATGATTCAGGACATATCCTTGATCAAGACTTTCTTCCCCTCGATCAGCAGTATGGGTTCCTGCGCATGGTTCTGTCAATGGTGGAAGTACTACAAACACGATTCAGCCCATTCGTGCTGAAAGTCTTTGGCCCTGTCGCATACTGTACCCTTCGAGCAAGCAATCAGATCAACCTGCTGGAAGACACGGAGACCGCACCAACACTGCTGCGTAACATTCGACGAACTGGTATCCAGTGTCTAAATTCATTGTTTGAAACTGCTAAAAACCGTGACTTCTCACCTTTTATGGAATTCATCTATGGCAGCTTGATCTCCCCTCGGATATCTAGATTCGTCAGTGAGAATACTGAAGGAGTATCCGGCCTCTTGAAAATGTTCGCAATATGGGCGCGCTCTATTCAGACATTGGATTACCTGCGCCTTCATGATGATCAGATTCTTCATGCTTGCTGGGGCCTGTTGGCTTCCGAGAATGCAAAGGCTGTGGTGAAGATCTTCGTCTTTGAAGAAATCATTTTGCCTGCGGTAGACCTGGCAAGCCAAGATGTGGAGAACCATGAGACAGCCGAGGACATGCTTGTCGCACAGGCTCCATTGATGCTTGCTAGTATCTCGACTCTTCTCCAGCAGAGTCCTTCGAAGGAGCTCCTATTAACGACAGCGAAAGCCACGCAACGACTGGTTTTCTATGTCACGGAAGATACTGCTAAGGTGAGGACGATCGATCTGCTAGTCGAGATCTTGGGCGAGCCAAAGCAGCGCCTGCCCCCTTTGATAAAAGGTCAAATACTCAGAGCAGTAAAAGAAGCTTCTGAGAGGCTCGAGATAGGGAAATACTACAAAGGCAAGTTCTTCGAGCTACTCTCCGGATTCCTCGACTTCTTCCGAGACAAGCCAAACAGAGAGATATGTGTTCAGATTTTGCAGCATATAGCACATGAAGAAACAATTCTAGCTGCACCCACGGCAGTTTGTCAGCAATTAGGCACTTCTTCGTCTACTCAGCTTGGCGAAAAGGATTACGAGCAGCAAGGTGAAGCTTTCGCGAGGATCCATGACTTGCTACAACACCCGGAACCTCGTTCTTTGCTACCCGTGCTACACAACTTGATTTTCCTGCTTCGAACAAGCGAGGAAACTGCCACCCGTGGCAATGCTCTCAGTTGCCTCAAGCATTCCGTGACGGCTATGGCAGAAGTTGCTGTAGACGTTGATGTTATCATCCTGCGGAGGATTGTACTCGATGCTATCCGAAAGCACATCAAGGACGATTCTGAACTAGTTCGTGCCGACTTTGTTGAGTTACTTGGAACTGTGGTTGGAAAATGGAGTACCGAGGAATCTCTGCAAGACATGCGAATCTTACTCGTTGGCAATGATGAGGAGGCCTCATTCTTCACGAACATTCTACATATTCAACAGCATCGGCGACTGCGGGCTATGCATCGACTGATTACTGCGGTTCAGACGGGTGCAATTACTGCGCCCAACATAGCTGGCTACTTTCTACCTCTGCTGCAGAAGTTTGCAGATGATGAAGCTACCAATGAGACAGCGCAAGCCACAAAAGGTCAGAGTATTGCATCTATGACAACGCTCTTGCAGTGGCTCGACTGGAAGACTTTCCGCTCTGTCTTTCGACATTACCGGCAGTCGTTACAGCACAAGACAGACGATGCAAAGATTGATGTACGTCTCTTGAGCCATGCTGCCGATGCACTTACCATAGCTATTGAGAGGAGGTCACAAGACAAGCAGAATGACACTCCATTCCCACATCTGGCGAAAACGTTGCTGACAGAAGACACCATTGCGCAAGAGTTGAAAACCCATTTCATACCTCAACTTGCTGAGCTAAGTCATTACAAGGACGAGGGAGAGCTTAGTCAAAGACTACCTGCCGCAGTAGTGGCCATCAAACTAATCAAGCTCCTGCCAGCAAGCGAGGTCTCGCTTCTCGCGAGTCCTGTTATACTTGATATTGCGCAGGTCTTGCGTAGTCGCACGCAAGAGACACGCGATATGGCCCGAAACAAGCTTGCTGAAGCGGTCAACATACTTGGCATTTCAAGCTTGCAGTTTGTGCTCAAAGAACTTCGAACAGCTTTAACTCAAGGCTACCAATTACACGTATTGTCGTACACGATGCATACAATGCTACTCGCCACGAAAGAACAAAGACAGATTGGCGATCTTGATTATTGTCTGGACGACATTATGAAGATTATTCTGGACGATGTTTTCGGTATTGTTGGTCAACAAAAGGAGAATCAAGATTACATAAGCAGCATGAAAGAGGTCAAGGCGAACAGGAGCTTCGATGCCATTGAAATAGTGGCGAGTGGTACAACAGTCCAGCACCTTTCCAAACTTGTGCTACCCTTCGAGCCGCTTCTTACTGGATTTCTGACTTCAAAGCAGGTCAGACATGTTGATGAGCTTCTTCGCAGGATTGGTGTCGGCATATCTCACAGCCCAGCTGCAAGCAGCCAAGACTTGCTTATCTTTGCTTATGAGTTGATCCAGTCTTTCTACAAAGCCAAGCCCGCAGCACCTGCAAGGGTATTGACTAATGACGAAAAGAACAGAGATCGGTACATTGTGCAGAAGGACAACGTAAGGAAGGTTGGCACAGTATCAACGGCATCACTTCTCTTCAAAATTGCAAAATTCGCCATCGATATTGCGAGGTCAACTTTTGCGCGACACCAAGAGCTGATGACGTCTGAAAACGTTCATGGCTTTATACCTGTCATTGGTGATGCTCTTGTTGAGGGACAAGAGGATGTGAAGATTTCAGCCATGCGCCTCTTATCGACTGTGGTCAAGCTGAAGCTGTCTGAACTAGACATTAATGCTAAGCTATATGTTATCGAAGCAGTTAAGCTGGTGAAAGGAGCAATCAGCACGAACGAGGAAGCGGCGCAAGCTGCACTGAAAGTTGTGGCGGCTATAATCAGAGAGAAGCGTGACGTCGAAGTGCGCGATTCTGATATTGCGTACTTACTCAAGCGTACAATGCCTGACCTCGAAGAGCCAGATCGACAAGGTGTTACCTTCAATTTCATCAAGGCTGTCATGACTCGACAAATGCAGATGCCTGAGGTTTATGAACTGGTCGACAAGCTCGGCCTAATGATGGTGACCAGCCAAAGTCGGAACTCAAGAGAAGCTGCTCGAGGAGTGTACGTGCACTTCATCCTAGACTATCCTCAAGGCAAAGCCAGATGGTCGAAACAGGTCAAATTCTTGGTCAAGAATCTCGAGTACCAATATCCCGAAGGCAGACAGAGTGTCATGGAAGCAATAAGTATACTACTGTCGAAAGTTGATAGGGGCGCCGCTAAAGAGCTGGCCTCGGTAGTTTTCGTTCCCACTGTCCTTCGTATGGCCAACGACGAGAACGAGCGGTGCCGGGAGATGGCTGCGGCGTTGCTAGCATTGTCGTTCCGGACAACTCCCAAGGATAGCTTATCAACTATGTTGGAACCTTTAAGAGCATGGCTTGAACAGGAGGATAACTTGCTATTACGAAAGATCAGTTTGCAGACATGGTCTGTATATCTGGAGTCAGTCAGCAATCAATCACATAGCGAGATCACCTCCATCAAGGAGCAGTGTCTGTCGATCTTGAGAAATCCCTACGACAGCGATGTCGCGTGGGAGGTCAAGTACCACACGCTCGAGCTCTTGCGACTGATGGTCAAACAATCTCCTCAGAACATGTTAACCAAGCAAGAGGATTTACTTTGGGACCACATTGTTTCCAGCCTCCACGAACCTCACACCTGGCTACAATACTCTGCCTCGTCACTTATAGCGCTGTTTTTCCGAGAGTGCATCGAAGCATCCAGTACATCTGTGCCGCTCCTATGCTCTTGGGGACTCACTATGAACGAGACCAGAATTGTAGAAATCTTGCGTTTCTCGCTCAAGATTCTGAAGCATCACTCCACAGGTGTCGATCTCGCCGAGATTGTTATGCAGAACCTGCTCTTCCTAGGGCGTGTCGTCGATAGAAGCAACACTCAAATAGCACTCAAGAGTCTCCCCGATCGAGATGAAGATGCGGACGAGGACGTTGTCGATGGCGTATGTGATGAAGACATAGTCGCGGAGCTTGAGCTCCATGGACACCAACCCGTCGACGACAACAAGCAATCGCATATTGCGGCAACAAAATATATCCTTGATCAGAGTGCGCGCACTCTTCGGCGCGAGCCAGCCAAACAGACAACAGCAGTACTTCAGCCTAAACTCTCTTTCACAAGTCTGCTTACCCACATGGTCCCGCTCCTGTCAGAAACCACTCTATTGAACAACAGCACTGCGATAACACAAGTCATAATTCCATTACTACATCTCACATCTCCGAGTACACCAACTCCACGCTCCTCGGATCCCTTGTTCGCCGCGTCATACACGACTTTTGTTGAACGCGCGACAATAACACTTGAGACCATACAATCGGTACTTGGCGATCAAGCCTATATGAAATGTGTGATGGCGGCAACGAAAATGGCGAGAGAGAAGCGGCAAGAGCGACGACAAAAGCGTGCGATTGAAATTGTTGCAGAGCCGGAACGTGCTGCACAGGAGAAGAGACGACGACACGAAAAGGAAAAGAGGCGGAAGAAAGAGGTCAAGGGAGTGTACAGGTCGAATAGGCGTAGGGACTTGGGGTTTTAAGAGCAGGCTCTATGTTCAGTGTTACGATTTACAACTGAATCAATGGAGCCAGGACGTTCTGCATATAGGTTCTTTAGCATAGCGTAGGCGTAGCTTTCCGCAGGCGTTGTCAGGAATCCCAGGCGAATGAATAATTGACTTATCTCATGATAGCAGTACTGCTTTCCCAATGAATCGGTCGAGTGAACTATGACATGACATGCCTGCTTTCGGTACAATCATCGCACACAGGCCGCGTCCAGAAGTACTATCTTACGTTTGCAGAGATGAACTTCGCCAGAAAGCTGCCAATCCACCAACGAGAGGTCGGCATCCTGTCGCCCGTCGCGTACTGTCGCGTTACTTCGCCTTGCAACAGCGCTTTCTCATTTCGCTTTGTGGAAACTTTACTTGCCCCATCAAGCAAGAGGAACGGAATTCATCCTCCGCGTCGCGTACTGTCGCGTCCTGCCGTGACGACGAGGAGCGATGGTGCCGCGCTACATTGCTACTCGTACTTTATCCTATCAATCTATCTCTCCCACGACAGAGAGGCGGAAGGTTACGTGATGGCATGCATGTCATGGTCCTCGTTGACGCGAAGGGGAAGCAAACAGCTTGAATTTCTAGTAGCATCAGAAGATGCTGGGACGACCTTTTGTGCCTGGCGCTCGGCATTCATGAGCTCAGCGAGGAGCTTGGTATTCTATTCTCTGCCGACATAATTTTTGAAAACCCAGACTTCGGAACTGTAGAAAGCTGGGGTACATATTTGCGGAGTTGAGTTTCATGAAATTGGGGGTATCACCAAACTTCCGATGTGAAATGAGGAGCATCTGATGTAAGCATGAAGTCTGAAGGTGGTGGTCCGTAGTGCACGATTGTAAGTTATGAGAGCTGCTGTGTGCAATCTCTGCGCATACTTGGTTGAGGGATGGTGAATGAATCGCGAGTTGTTGGACTGCACGGCTAAGGGAAAGAGAGCGAGAGATACTATCACTGGAAAGGGTAAGTATACAGAATAACTCAGCAGGATCTGCAATAGCTTCGTGAGGACTCAAAGTGCTCGCATAGTATTGCTGTCTTCTTTACCCAGCGCACGTCAGTCGACGAGACTCTACTTCGAACAACTATAATGATCGCGACCATCGTGTTTGCTGGTTTCGTGGTCGTGGTGCTTGGCTGTCTGTACATCACAAATACGCCAGTCAAGGTACCTGCTGGCGCACAGTTACCAGACGGGCCGGCGGGAAAGGCTATCCTTGGTAATTTGCTCGACATACCTCCTGCCCACAGCTGGTTGAAATTTCAGGAGTGGAGCAAGACATATGGGCCTCTATACCGACTGAATATCGCGGGTCGAAATCACATTGTTGTATCAACTGAGGAGATTGCGAATGACTTGCTTCGAGAACGAGGAACGATCTACAGCGATCGTGAACAGCTGCCGATGGCAGCGCAACTATTGAGCGATAACCTGAGACCACTTTTTCTTCCTTATGGTCCGATCTGGCGCAATGTTCGCAGATTGATGCATAACGTCGCGAACGTGAACGTCGCGACGAGTTATGAGCCTGTACAGGAGGAAGAGAGTCTTCGTATGCTCTGGGACCTTGTCAGACAACCTGAAAAATATGAGACTTGGTTTGAGCGCTACTCATCTGGACTCATTATGAGGCTAGCATACTCGAAGCCCGTGGTTACTGGCGGAGAATCATATGTCAAACGCATACTCGATGTTGTCCATACTGTTGAACGGGTGGCTAGTCCTGGTGCGTACCTAGTTGACACGATCCCTGCTCTCATGCGTTTACCATTGTCTCTGGCTCCTTTCAAACGTGAAGGCGCAAAACTTCACCAAGAGGAGCTTAATCTGTTCACAGAGTTGTTGACGGAAGGAGTTTATAATAGCCAGAAAGATTCTGGTAAGGACAACTTCTGTGGTAAGTGGTACAACAATAAGGAGACCTACAATATTAGTGATGCCCATGCTGCTTATGCGATTGGAACGCTCTTTGAGGCTGGTGCTGGTACCACGGCAGCCGCGATGATGAGTTTCATGCTTGCAATGACGCTGCACTTGGATGAGTTCGTGGAGTTGCAGGCAGAAGTCGACAAAGTCGTCGGCTCAGATCGCCTGCCATCGTTCAGTGACATACCTGATCTTCCACGAGTTCGCGCCGTGGCCAAAGAGACATTGAGATGGCGTCCAGTGACGGCTGGTGGACTTCCACACCAATTAACTAAAGATGACGTATACAAGATGGAAGATGGTCGTCCGCTCTTCATGCCAGCAGGTACTAATATACACCCTGTTCAATGGACGATCCACAGGGAGCCGAAAAGATATCCTGATGCGGACAGCTTCCGACCTGAGCGATGGCTTGATAGTAAGTGGCCGACGTATCGAGAACCTCTCAGCGAGTACCCCAATTTACAGAATTTCAGTGCTTTCGGTTTTGGAAGAAGGATATGTCCAGGTCTGAATATCGCCGAGCGCTCCTTGTACATTCAGATCGCTAGAATTGCCTGGGGCTGTAATTTGTCAAGGAAGAAGACAGCTGAAGGAATCGACATCATACCGCCATCGTACGATTACGTTGCTGGCTTCAATGTAAGTTTGCTGTCTGCTGCGCAATGCATGTCCGGGACTGACCTGTTCTAGACACAACCAAAACCATTCGATTTTGCACTTACGGAACGTCAAGATCGCCAGCTCACACTGGCCGACAACTACAACCTCGTATGGAGTAGGCAGTAGCATGGAGGGTAGGATGAGACTGTGTATGCTCTTGTTGCGCTTCACGAGAGTGATGCTATTGCCAATATTCGCGTTGCCGAGTTTGTGCACGATTCATGGGAGGCAGGGTCAGGTCACAAGCTTGCATTACTGCCTGGGACATCACCCAAAATAGGGAAGGAACGACATCCGGCGGCAGCATGCTTGAGCAATAACTATCCCCACCTTTCCATGCAAAACTTTGCGACTGCTCAATCCACATCATTTCATCTCAGCAGAGGCTCTTCCTCACCTAATCTACCTGATTCTGCACCTGTTCCAGTTGCCTTTGCTTTTACACCTCGACCACTCAATCCCTGATACATCGGCGGTCTACCACCTGTTCGCAACAGCCTCTGCTGCTCAACCCAGGCGTCGTACTCTTCTTTTCGGATTCTCATAGGGTGTAGACGCTGCTCTCGAGGGATCTTCTTCCAGTGCTCCTCGAAGTCTCGCTGCTCTTGCTGATCCTGTAACAGTCGTTCAGATGATGGTTCTATTTCCGCCTTGGCATGAGACTTGCGTTTCCAGAAGGGCATGGTGGCTCTGAAGGAGAATATGTCTGATTGGTCTTGTGGCGCTTTTCGAAGTGTGGGGTGAACAAGAATACTCATCTTCAGTCACAGTGATAAGATACTGAATCCGCTTCGGACTTCACAAAGTGCTTTGTTTAAGATGATAACAATGGCATACATTCATGATATTGGGATAGTACATGTTTCATATGCTTTGTCTCATAATTAGAGGTAATTTTCGACCTTGCCGAAACTTCTGATCTTGACCGCAATCACTTGCGCTGGTCGATTCACCTAGGTCTTAACGAAGCAGAAGCCGTGGTAAAAGGAAACAGCCTCTTTCTCCTCGTCGGACATCTGAAGTGGGCCTCCAGGATGTCTAATAACTCCCATTCTGATACCGAGATCTTCTAGCTCTCTTGCTACAGCAGCAGTTGAGTCTTTGCCCTCAACACTAGGTTCTTGACCCCATCCACCACTGCTCGCTCCAGCTGCAGCCGCACCAGTGTTTGTAGCTCGTTCGGGATCTGTCTCGCAGTTCCAGATGTCTAGAAAGCCTTTGCGGTATCGTTGCTCCAGACCATAGTTCTCGGCGATCGCTCGAAAAGCCTCCCAGGGCACCACAAATTCCGGCACGTCGACCGCCTCTGCGATGAAGTAGGTGTACTTGTGAGCAAAAGGTGGACGAAAAGAGCCGTCGGGATTCAGCGAGGGCAAGTCTGCTGTTGGCGGCGGAAATTTGACAGAGTAGATAGAATTGCCCCAGGATGGTGCTGACGGCTCACTGCCGTTTGTAGACGCGACGTTTGGATGAGCTTCGCCATTTGGAGGCGTTGTTGATCCATTACTGGTAGCGTTTTCTGGTCTATACGTACCGGGGTTCTTGGTAAACCAGTCCTTAACTCGTTCCGAGATGACATCGCTGTTCGGGCAGACACCTATCAACCGACCTCCTTTCTTGAGGGCTCCCGAGACATTCCTGAGCATCATTTCGACCTTCTCTTGGCTCTCGAAAGAATAGTGCATGGTGAACATCATTGTGACGATGTCGAAGCCGCCACCTTTACCCCATCGATTCATGGTGTTTGGAGTAGGATCGATACCAACTTCTTTGACAATTGGCACGTCGCCGATCCATTCTCCGAAGCAGTCTTTCGTTCCGAATCGTGCATCGAAGCGAGGGCGACGACCTCTCCACATAGAATGATATCGTTCTTTTGCCTGGTCAACAGAGATATCAGCAGGATCGAGGCCAACATATAGCCCGACGGGCTGAGGTGCTTTGTCCCACTTCTGTAGATCACCTCCCTTCCCGCAACCCACATCTAGTACCAACAGAGGCTTGATCTCTTCTGGCTCTTTTGCAGTCTCGCCCCAACCAAGCTCTTCTTCCTGCTCAACCTTCTTATCCTGTGGACTGAACTTCTGTATTATACAGCTCTTGACCCAATTGTTAAAGCTTCTTAGACCTTTGATCTGTGACTCGTTCCTGCGCCAGTCTCTACCCTTCTCCTTTACATATTCAGGGACAGCATTGTAGAACTGGTTGACGACACCTTGTACACCGCGATTAACGGTGACACCTCGTTCCTGTTCTCTCCGAGCTCTTAATGCTTGCTGTTCTGCTAACACATTCCTGCCTCTGCCACGACCACCACCTGGTCTGGGAAGTAATGTACTGGGCGGAGGAGAGTCGCGAATGGGTGAGGGAGATCTGCTTGGGTCACGCTTATGTGCAGCTCGTGGTGGAGATCTTCTTCGATAGGCGGATGGCACTCGTGCTGTGGGTGACCTTGACCTTCGTTTTGGACGATCTCTTACACGGTCGTAGTCGCGTGGTCGTTCGTCGTCGGGTCGTGTCCTTGTCTCTCGATTGACGTCTGGCCTGCGGTTGCTGAAGGCTGCAGGTGGTCGTGGCGGTCTGCTTCCCACTTCTCCTTCTTCACGCGCTACCTTTGGTATCTTCGGAATTCTTGATGCACGAGCTGTCGACTGCTCGTCTCGTTGTAGAGTAGAATTGCCATTTTGATAATTATCTTTTTCGGCCGATTTCCGTCTTTTCTGGGGAGGTTCCGAGTCTTGTGTCTGATTTGTGCTGCCATGGGTTGGCGTGGCTGATCTCTGTCGTTTTCGCGACTCTGGAGACTCGTTCATGGCTTGAATCCTGTTACTAGAAGGGGAACTTGATACAGCCTCTTCGACAATAGTGTCTGGAATTTCGGTGAAGGTATCTCTCGCTGGGTCATATGCTATTGAGGACCGACGCCGAGGAGCAGCAGTAGGACCCGTCGCTGGAGAAGGAGATTCGTGTGGATCCATAATGACCAAGTGAGCCGTCTGTCAATTTCGTATCACGGAGAGAGTACAAGGTGGAGGCTCGGATCATGCTTGAAATTTCATCTCAGTCTCTCTTTTGAAGCTAGCAAGACATCAGTCATCCAGGGAGTCACAGTGTTCGCCGGACATGTTTACAACAAAGGGCTCGTTCCTTCGTTCGATTGAGCGCGATGAACAGACACCTAAACAGTAAGGCTCTCAGGCAGGACACGGTATCATGTGATCGGCCAATACTCGAATGACCCCAAAGAGGATCGCTGTTTGATCGACTCGTTACCGCGCGAACATTGCACGACCCCTCAGACACTCCCACTCAATTCTCCTAGCTGCCTTCACTTTTGGCAACGTGCTCCTTGACCCTCTCGAACTTCGACATTTTGCCTACAACTATGCTGTCAAGCTATGCTCGAAGTCAGGATTGAATTTTCAACAGACTTTTCATGCTTTTCTTCAGCGCCGACCTACACTATCTCTTGTAGGTTTGTGGCGTGTAGGCACTGCCAGGTTGGGATGATTTGCAGGCCGCTCATCCAAGTATTCACCAGACAAGCCATATGAGTATTTCGCCGTCGCTTAACAGCTAAACATCTCTCCATGGCCTCAACAGTCCATCCTTGAAATTTCCAACCAATCCTAAGTCATACAAATTATCAATCTCATCCAGACTCTTGACTCTCTTCCATCTTTCATCAATCACCTCTTCGACTTTTTGTCTCCCACTACTCTCGTACTGTCCTTCGAGTGGCTTCCATCTCGTTGGATTCACTCCTCCCCGTGTCCTGATGATCCACCAATGTGCCTTGCGTCCATAGCCCCAACTTGGGACCTGCCCGCTTCTGCTTGTGGCGTCTCTAAAGTTTCGGGAATCATACACAATCTTCTCGTCCAGTGGTCCGGGATACTCCGTCTTGACATCGTCAATCCGTGCTTGCCAAACTAGATCATCTTGGATGTCCTCACGCAGATCGCTCCACTTTGCAGTTTCGTTCGTTGTTGTTCCGGCCCAGATGAGATAGGCGTGGTAGACAAGAAAGCCAAGCGCGAGTGGACAGGTCATACTTGCCAGTAGTGTTACTGCCCCAATTCGTGCATTGGTCGCAAGGCAAACGGTATACGCATTGAAATACTCCATCCAACTGAGACCAGTAGACCATCGCTTATTGGTAAGACTACCAGCCGTTAGGCGTCTAGGGACAAACATCTCCTGCAGAATCTTCTCGAGTATGCCAAAGCCAGTGAGAGCACCATAACCTAGAAGTGCTGCGACGGTGACGAGCAGCGCAATGAAGTAATGGTAGTTATGCAGACCTACACAGTTGTTGATCCATATGCAATGGTGGTCTTGCCGTTCGATACAAGCCTTGCAGATGGGACAGTGCTTGCTTCGTGCGGGCTTTGGATAATGACAGGTTCGGCACATCCGATGAGGATGGTAGAGTGTGTAGTCATAGGGATAGCGTGTCAGTGCTTGAGGATATGACTCCGGAGTAATATGGTGAGATGAGGTCGAATAAGAGAGGTAAAGGGTGGAATAGGGTAGGGTGATCAAGACAGGGAGTACAAGGTACCGCTGAACGTTTGATGGAATATATGTCCACGCTGGCGGCAGGAACAGAAGCTCGGAGCCCAGCTGCAAGAGCACAAATATTATGAGCACGACTGGGTGCCGATCGTACATAAGATAATTGTACACTCGTGTTGTGGTTCGGGTAATGCGTCTGCCTGTCAATTTTTCATCAAGACCGACGAGCGCGTTTGGAAGATATACCATCAGCAGCCGATAGCACCATCCTACAGGTGTTTTCCGGAAGACAGGTAGGCGTCCAAATAACGCGACAAAGACGAGAAAAGATATCGAAGCCACAATAAGGATCAGCGTCTTGAGCATGTCCATCATAGGATCATCTGACTTGCTCCTCGCGACCTTGTCTACAGAAGGCATGGTCAATGAATGCTCAACGTAAGGCACTAGCACTTGTCTCGAATCGCTGGAGACGAAACACTGCTGCTGTATATGGATCTGAATATTGAAGCACTATCGCTACTCAACGAGACTTTCGCGAGAACTGCCTCTTAGGAAGGTTTCGAAGTTTGACATGTCATAAATGACTTCTTGCACGCATCCGCGTTCCTCTGTAAAGATCTAGAGCAAAGTGAAGATTGTGCGACAGGAAGTGGACGTAAAGGTCGACGGTGGGAAGGAGCGATTCGCTGTAATATGTCGATTCAGGTGTGCCATCAATGCAGAGCTTCAGGCTGCCGCGAGTTCTCTCTTTTGGTGGAGGAGTCACCTTGATTCACAACATTAGACTCATAATCGCGAACTCCACTCAACTCGATGAGAAAACGGTCTCTCGCTGTGTGATCCTACAGGTTGATCTTCAGCACTACCGCTTGCGACTCGTATCTGTGTGACGTCCCAACAAGATGGCAGTGAACACCGACACAACTGGTCACGTATCTAGATTGTTACAGCTCCCTGTTGAGCTCCAACAACGCATCTTAGAGCATGTTGTCCACCCCTTCGACGTCGATGTATGTCTTGTCAGGCAACCAGATAACCACCAGTACGCTGCCATAACACGTATTCACTGCTCCCGAACTCCACATCTCGAGACTACTTTCAGAAACCTGAGACGAACCTGCAAACATTTCAGTGCTGTGCTCGCATCGTTAAGAAGCCGTCAACGCGATGTCTATAGCAGCAGTGCTTTCTTAGGGACGTTGACACTATACGGTAAGCTAGACTATGGACAAAAGGATCCATTCTTCTGGCTACGGCAACGTTCCCTCCTATCAGTCGAGCTAGCTAAGACACCAGCCTGCCTGGAAACGACAAAACTTGCTACATTGACACCCTTCGTAAGAGTGTTGGATTGGAGGGAACCCGTCCCAAATTCGCGGCTTATGAAAGCCCCTACTCTTCTGCGTACACTACCGAATCTAGAGACCGTCATAGTCCATACATCGTCATACTGGCTACCAGAAAATCCAAGAGCTGTGACAGGAACGGCGGCTGGCTCAGTAGAGAGAATACAGAATCCGTGTGCCGTACCTGGAGACGAAGCATGCATTGACACGTACTGGTCAGGCCAGCTGCGCCGCACCGGCGTCTTTCGATCTTGGAGAGATTTGCTCGAATGGATGGAGACGCTGCATACGGACAGCAAAGGCAAAATTGCAGTAATCAGCTACCACTCGCTCGTGCACAATCATCGAGACTGGACAAAAGCGTTCACACCAGGCTTCAACAGGGCAGGAGGGTACTCCATGGAACACAAACTGGTGAGTTCATTTTTCTAGTTGTTGAAGAAAGTGAATAACCTACTCCTTGATTACTGATACTGCCGCCTTTCCAGCTGCTCGTCAGCCAGATTATCGGTCCCGTTTCCACTTCTCCCCGAACTGCGAGGCTTCTCCAGCGAAGGTGCATGGACAGAGGAGATGATGTAGTGAACTATGAATTTGCCGAATTGAACGTCCACCGAACTGGACATTAATGGATGAGAAGCACTATCAAGCATTCGTTTGAGCAGAGAAGTCCCCTAGCATAACAGAATGCGCCGCAGTAAACGTGGTCTTTTCATCAGGAACATCGTGCTTCAGCGTTAAAGATCTCGACGGACTTTGCCCTAGAGCACTGCTCAATGACTAGCCTAGAAGTAGGCAGATATTAGATATGATGAAAAGCTTTCACTATAACAAGACCCTCAGCATGAGCCTCTAAGAAAATCCATCCTACTATCGAAAGAACCTCGAAAGCGCATCCCTCGCGCTCCACCATCCCTGCCCAGCAGTATTCGATCGATACTGACCACCGATCGGCCATCCCTGAGTCACATCAGAATATGCACCACGTGAAGGGTAATACTGCATCTCGCGCCCTCCTCGACGATAAGGCCGACCGTCGTATCGCGTAGGATCGCCGTCGCGCCACGAGTAGTCGTTTCAACTAGGATAGTATTCTCGATAGCTTCCTGCAAAACGACTGGGACGTTCGTTGACATAGGAGAATTCGGGTTATCTCCAATTCTGGTTGCGTCGTGTTGATCATCGGGCAGACATGGTGGCAGCTGAGTGGGGGAGTCAAAGTCGTTATGTGCTTGCTGTTTGAAAACAAGATGGATTGAAAGGCTGTGGGTTCCTGCTCTTGATCAAGTGACATAATGTGGACGACTGCGAAAAACAGAACAGCAGCTGCAAAGGAAGATGGAAAGCATGTTTGAGTCAAGGTGTACGCTCTCAGTCGTCCTTTAGTGTTGCCGCCAGGTATGCGCTGTGAAATTCAGTGTCACCAGTAGCCCTCGTATACCTGTTGTGCAGGATACTGCATCACCTCACATACGAAGTATCACACAAGGGCTGCTCGAAGTACGTCGATGTATCGTCTCGCTCTGAGCATCACGCCAAAAGACTGCAGTAACATTTTAACCCAGCTGATGCAGTTTTGTAAAGACAGTATGCGGGACGGCATCGCTGCGAGGGAAGCACCGTTGTCGCTGCGGCAATTGAGGCCCCTATTTCTAGCGAGGCCGAATGTCAAAACTGGACGCATTGTTGATAATAATCACATATCAGTGTTTAGCAGATGCAGGAATTGCGAGACGAGGTGCGGAAGATGGAGATAGAAAGTGTGCCGTGTGGCATTCCCCTGGCAGGCGAGAAGCTTGCACAAGAAGAGGCGCTTTGTATGGACCTACCAAGCAGAACTGCTGTTTTGGCATGTGAACGTAATAGCAAAGGGGGGTAAGCTCTGAAATAAAAGTCAGATTCGTTGCTCGTTTAGGAGAAAGATACTTGTCCATGATGCTGTAGTTGTGATGTTTCGATTTGAATTCTGCCCTGCATTTCCAGCAAGTTAGCTCGAGGTTCAGGTGTACAGAAAATGAGTACTGCTCGGGCAAATCCAATGAATTACAACGCCAGATGCAGCAATATCTCTCAGTCGTCAGGCCCATCTTGCTCGTAAATATGACGGCTCTTCTTTGGGTCGGCTCTCATGGTCTGGCCAGAGCCAGTGAAGCCAACTATACACCTGTTAGCGTGATATCCCCGCGATATGGAATTACTCACCTCTCGCAGATACTCCGTCTCCAGTCCTGAACATACTGTCCTTCTTACCATGCTTGATTTTGGACTTGGCAGCGAAATCTTGCCATTTGTTCTTGCCCGCTTCTAGTTCGTTCTTCGCTTTCACCTTCCTCGGAATTTTGGCTGGTCTTACTGGACCATCGCTGACTTTGCTGGGTTCACGCTTCGCTTGTTGTGCTAGGTTGGGATCAACTGTCGAAGCAGCAGAAATGACGCTTGGGTTTGCGGCGGCTGATGTGGGTGTAGACGAGCCTGACATGTTATCAGCTTTCCGCTTCTGTGCACCACTTGACAATGGCCGGATATCCTTCGAATAGCAAGTCTCTGACGTCCCGTAATTCTTGAACTGCACTATGTAAACAGGATTGGCGGAAGAACCTGTGATGGAGGTGATCCTCGCATTGTAAAACCCGCCGTCCCCAGATTTCCATCTCGCCAGCACAGTGTCGTTAACGGAGAAAGTACTTTGCGTTGGCTGCTCTTCCTGTTCTGCTTGTGCTTCTGGCGGTCGATAACCAGCCTTGTAAGCAGGATGGTTTTCGCGCGACCACTTTTCTTTCACCTGCGGCGTCGCAGACTTGGTAGGTAACGAAGCTGGAGTAGGCTTTAGTTCTGAGATGGCAGACTCGGTCAGGGCTATAACTTCTTCAAGTTCTGTTCTGAGGCTTTGCAACTCTGTACTATCTGGGTCGTTCTGCAAAGACAATGCGACTGTTTCGAGTTGTAGTTTGTACTCTCTTACTTCTGCCTCGAGGGCCGCGACTTCGGAGCTCATTGCGGATCGTGGAAGGGCTAACAGGATTCTAGCGATGAAAGAAGGTGTAGTCGGATCTCTAGAACTGAACGTGTCTTGGATCAATCAAGAGAATGAAAAAGACGTATGTGGTGAAGTGAAGAGGCGATCTCTGAATGGAAAGCAGATCTCGACCACATCGCGACTGCCACAAGTCGCAAGCACAGTGTGGTTTGATTTGTTTGCACCGCACCTGTACCTGCCACTAATCGTCGGGCACTTCAGCCTCCTGATTAAGCCCGTTAGAATGCCTAAAGTACAGTCTCTGGGTGTGCTTCCAGCTGGAGTGCGACCATTGCAATGATAGCATGCTTCGTCCTCGGGAAGTGACAAGGAGGTTAGATTGTCGCACATCTTCACCACGACAATAAGGATGAAAATTGTCCTTCCTAAATAATGGCGGATGTGGCACTATCAGTCGAATACATCTGTCATTGCAATTTTCAAGGCAAATAATGATTATTCGGGACGAATGTTCAGATGGAAATAGAGATGTGATTCTATACATACTTACAAGGTCGGCTGAGTAGGGATTTCTACCTCGTAAATGAACTCCAGCCATGGCAGTCAACTTCACCTATCTAAAGTCTGGATCTGACACATGGCATGATATACACCTCGCTGACCCAATAGCTCCTTGTGCGTGCCCATCTCCACGATCCTTGTCCCTTTGCGTCTGTTGATATCTCTCTCCCCGAACACGAAGATGACATCGGCTTTTTGAATCGTTGCTAGTCTATGTGCGACAGCCACAACAGTCATGTTTCTCTGACCAGCAAGACGTTCAATAGCACCTTGGACAAGCTTCTCAGACTGCGAGTCGAGACTGGACGTCGCCTCATCAAGCAGTAGCAGCTTTGGCTTTCTCAACAAAGCCCGCGCCAGGCATAGACGTTGTTTTTGCCCTCCTGAGAGTGCAGTTTGTGTGTTCAAGCCAAGCTCTGTCTCGTACCCATCAGGAAGCGAGATGATGAAGTCGTGGATTTCAGCATCGCGACATGCTTGCACTATCTGGTCTTCCGTAATTGTTGATCCCTCCACACCAAGAAGTAGATTCTGCCGAATTGTACCAGAGAAAAGACGCGGCTCTTGCGCGACCAGTGACAGATCTCGCCGATATATTTGCGCGTCGACAGTGGTAATGTCTTGACCGTCGAGCGTGATCATGCCAGAAGTAGGCTCGTAGAATCGTTCTAGCAAGGAGACAACAGTCGTCTTGCCGCAACCGGACGGTCCCACGAAAGCAACAAACTGGCCAGGTTCGATAGTGATGTCGAGATGTGTAAACAGCGGCACCGATTGCTGAGGGTAACTGAAGTTAACGTCTTTGAACTCGACCTTTGCGCCGAGTCTAGCGTCGTTCGATGCAGTGACTTGTGCCGTGGGCTGCTTGAGGTTGCCAACCTGACTTCGGAGCTCAAGCATGCGGTTTGCTGCTGCTGCCGAGCGAGCAACATTCGGAGTGATGCTCATATACATCCCAGCTGCTTGAGCACCTTGGATAATTGCTGCATAGACAACGAAGAATTGCAAAACATTATACTCTCGAGACGCTAAGAGCTGGCCACCATACCAGAATGTAAGCGCCATCCCACATAGGTCGATGCTGTCGGCAAACGCATAGACCAACTTAGCATAAGTTGACGTTTTGGTCGACTTCCGCACTTGCTCCTTGAGAAGATATTCGTATTGCTGCAGAATGCTCTCTTCCATGGTAAGAGATGTGACTGTCCGGAACGCGCCGATAGCTTCGGTGGCAAACTTAGAGCTGTTCGCAAAGACTTTGGCGTCCATCGTCTCAAATTGGAGCTCGTACCGCATACGCACAAAAGACGCAATCAGAATAGCAGGTGCAGCTGCAAAGAAAGCCACCAAAGTGAGCTTCCAACCAAAATAGAAAGATATGGCGATACTGCCTATCAGGTTGAATATCGATATCGTCGGGAAGGCGCCGTTTATGCCAAGGAGCTCGGACATCTGTTTTGGATCGCTTGATAGTCGTGACATGACTGAGCCAGAAGAATTGTCTTGCCGATCAAAATAGGAGATTGGCATTTTGATAGTGTTTTGGAAGTATTCTTTCTTGCAGGTGCTACCAACATGCTACTACACGTCAGCTAATCAATAGTGCGATAGTCTTCAAACTTACAGTCGATGATGTCGCTGCAAATAGCATCAAAGCACCATAAGATATGCCGACGACCAAAGCAAGAATGAAGAACATCAGGCTCCAAAAGTTAGCGGCACTGACAAGCCTCTGACCAGTGTACTGAAAGACCTGTATCAGCTGAGCAAAGATCCAGCTCTGTATCGCGTTCGCAGCTGCAAATGTGTTAGTCTGGGATAATGATTACCAGACCGCAAACTGCTTACCTCCACAACTCATAGCTGAAATCAATATGATGACATAAATCGGCCACTGTGCACGTTGTTCCGAAAGCAGGACGCCCACGCTACCAAAGAACCCTTTTCTTTGGTAGGACGTAGTCTCAGCGGCTTTCTCAGGGTCTGTAGCAAAAGAACTGGCACGAGACTTGGGGCGACCAACTTCATCGAGTTGTCTTTCCACACTACCCAATCCTTCCTTGTTCATAGGATGCTCATTATCTGGGTCAGTCTCTTGTTCTTCGATCTTTTGCGCTGCTGTCAGACCACTGTACAGACTATCAGCTATTGAGAGAAGCTGCTCATGAGTGCCTTCTTCGATCTTGATGCCGTCTTTTAGTACGATGATGTGATCAGCCTTCTTAATTGTGGAAAGTCGATGAGCGATCATAATCGTCGTCCGATTTCTCGATAGGCGATCGAGGGCTTCCTGCACAATTCTCTCGCCTTGTACATCGATAGCGCTTGTCGCTTCGTCCAAGATGAGGATAGCCGGCTTGCGGACAATACTCCTTGCGATGGCGATACGTTGACGCTGTCCACCGCTAAGCTTGACTCCAGCTTCGCCCACGATGGTCTGATAGCCTTGAGACAAATCCACGATGAACTCATCAGCGAAAGCCTCTCTGCAGGCTTCTTTCACCAGCTCCTGCTTTTTCGCTTCATCTGTATGCTCCCATTCAGTGCCAATGAGCCCATATGCTACATTCTTCTCGATCGTGTCATTGAAAAGAAAAGGTTCCTGCTGGACGAGACCTATCTGAGAACGCCACCACTTCAAATCAAATTGTTTGATATTATGAGAATTCAGTCGAATGGCGCCAGTGGCAATTCCTGCATCGAGACTTTCTCCAGCATGATTCTCACTGCCTTCATTACTCACGCTAGGAGGAGCGACCGTGTCTTCGAGCTCGTACCATCTCTCAAGCAGCGCAACCACGGTACTCTTACCTGAACCTGACGGGCCCACCAGAGCCGTAGTTTTACCTTTCTCAAGTCGCGCACTAAAATTCTTGAGCACCTGCACTTCAGGGCGTGTTGGATACACGAAGGTAATGTCCTGAAGCTCGATGTCGCCATGTGCAGTCACATCCGGCTCACGCAAACCACTTGTCGAGACAATGTCTGAATCAATCATGTCGAAGAACTCCGACGACGCACTAATAGCCTTGGTAATGCTCATGAGAGGCTGGATGATATTGCCCATCACGTTAGTCACGATGAGAACCGAGAAAAATACACTTCATTTTAGTCAGTCGAAAAAGTCCGGGTCATGAAATTGCTCAACTTACATGATGACTGTGCCAACGTTGCCGATGTGGCCTTCTCTGAACAGCTTGAGGCCGAACCAGAATGCCAGGGCATACACTGCGTAAAGTGCGAAGAACATGAAAGCCATCTGTGATGCGAACCACGGTGCCTGTTTCAACCCTTGTTTATGTGCCTCCTCAACCCATTTTGAGTGCTTCTGTGTCAGTCTGACTTGTGCTCCTAGGGAGAAGACAGTCCTAATCGAGCTTATGACCTCGGCAGCAACAGTGGCATGTTTGGCATCTGTCTCGCCCATCTGCTTCTCAAGCTTGAGTAGACGTGGCGCCGTCACTCCAAAGACACAAAGCATAAACAGCAAGGCAGAGCTTGTAGCTAGTGTGAGTGCCCAGGAGTACCGGAATGCTATTGCATAGGCACTGATCATCAAGGACAATGACTGAAACAGTAGGTGTAACCTATCCGATATGCTCACCTGAATAGTGTTGGAGGCAGTTGTGATAGTGCTGGTGACTGTACCAGCAGATACTTGATCGAGCTTTCTGATGGGTTGAGAGAATAGACTTTGCATGTATGCCAATCGTAGTGCTGCTGAAATGCGAAGTCCTGTAGTGCGGAAGCAGAAAAGCGAAACATAGCTGAGGAAGAATTTGCCAATAAAGAGGTAGACGATGTAGAGTGTGGCTTGTGATACTTGGTGCTTGAACTGCTGCTCCGTGACATTGTTACCAGGAAGAAAGTATTCCGTGAAGTCAGCTGTGAGGTTTCCGAACACAATGTTCATCAACGGAAACGCCACTCCCGAGGCCGCCGCACAGGCAATGGCAACGAGGATGCCGGCATGTTCAATGCGTGTACCAAATGCTAGAATGCGCTGTTGAAGGTCAGGCAATATCGTTGATAACGTGGTGGTGACCTACTCGATAATTACTAAATGGCGGAGTCTTGGTTTCCTCTGCATCGAGCTGGGACGCTTTTGTGTTGGCCGTGTCCTTGAGTTCACTGTCTGTTCCAGTTTTCATGGTACCCAAAAGCGCAGATGGTTTTTATCGGGAAGAGTGGTGTCCATCTTCGAGCACAGCAAAGGTTAATGTAACGGCTTTGATTGATGCCTATGTTCAGCAAACAACAATCCCTGTCCATAGAATTAGTATACGCGAATACGAGTATGCGATGTTGCCACAGTGGAAACGGACTAGCATCTGCCTCGCCTGGAACGCCTAACAGCTTGCGTACTGCTCATACTCGTATACTTCATGAGGTTCGGAGCCTATGAACAACGTCAATATCTCACAATTACGACACATGGTGCAGGAACCTGTGAAATGGCTGAAAATGCCAGCTCGTCGAGGGACGATGCCTACTACTCGACTGCGCCTGTAGTCTTGGTATAAGCTAGGCATCAGCGGATCTGGAGATGAGCTCCCTATCAAGCAGTGGCAGTCCAGTTTCTCAGTGGGCAATCACGGAATTTCATGATTGTAGTATGTCTTGGCACGGATGTCCTAACATCCGACTCGAATAGTAACCACGTATTCAGAGGTGCCAGACTTGAAGTACCCGTTTTTGATGCTGAATTGTCTATTTTAAAGTGGCCACTGTAACATAGTAGTCTTTCGATTCCAAAGCGTACTGAATGCGCGACGTTACAGCTTCTGCGCATGCTTCTTACGCGTATCGCGTCCACCGATCAGATTCTTGATCGGTACAAGCACATTGACCTGTCGAGCCGAAGCAATGATCTGGCCCGACTCGTCGAACAACGTTACGTCCTCAATATATCTCCTCCCATCACACTCCTTGAGCTCCGCGCGCCCGAATACCCACATGTCGTCCTTCGATGATTCCTTCTTTGCCATTTGACACGATATACTTTGTGTCAGAATAAAATATTCTACTCCTTGTGGAAAGTTGAGATGCAGTGGTAAAAATGAGTCGATAATCACAGGAAGACTGCCTGCGTCGAGCGACTCCCCGAGCGTCCACCACGTATCTCGAAATCTTGGTCCCAGTGCTGGATGCGGTACATGCTTGCTATTGTGTAGGTCTGATTCTGGCGGCAAATATGCTCTGGCCTTAGGTTTCGTTTTGAAGAAAGGATTGTATTCTCCGATTTGCCTTGATTCCCATCCTTCAGCTTTTAACATTTCTTCCGTGATTGGACGTTGGAGGTTGTGGAATGGCAGCTCGTTCATTTCTGGCCCTGGTAAAGTCACATGCGAACTAGGTGCCTGTGACTTAATCTGCTGAACGGTCGCTTCGACACATCGCTTGCTGTTCTGCCATAATTCGGCTCGTACGATTGTGGATGCCGAACTGGAGCTCAAAATCGTTGTTCTGATCTCTGCTTTGCCAGGAACGCCAGGTTTCAAGAAGTGGGTCGTCCACGAGGATGTATCACTCTGATCAGGTCGCTTCTTTATGCATTCCTGCCTTGCGGCTGTGACGACTGTAGAGATGAGATAGCCACCATGCGATCCTAATTCGATGTTAGCTGATGGTTACAGACCTTTTGAATCACTCACGGGGACCATACGTCCAGTCCGGCTTCAGTTCAATCTCGTAAACCCCTGGCCCGGTCTCCACGAGCTGAGTCGCCTCTGCTAACGAACTTGGTTTCTTGATGTTTGGGTTCAGTGGGATACTGTTGATCATTTCAAGCTCGATCGGCCGTGGCATGGTGACTTGGCTATATTGAATTGTGGGAGCTATGGCAAGTAGTGTCTTTTACGCTTCGAGGAAGTAACTCCCTGTAAACGAGGTTCCTCGAAGAGACTATATATCAATCTCGACTCCTTCTCAGTCTTGTTCCTGCAAAAGTAGCCTGATGAGGTGTCAATCCAACACGCTTATAGATAAGATAGCAAGGGTCGTCGTGGATTGGCACTAACAACGTCAAAGCTCCCTCAACATTCCTTGCCTGGAACCTCGTGGTTATCGACATCCAATAAATGTAGTCTCGTTCCTGCGTTACCCTCAAAAAAGCTCGCCGATCGATGGAGCCCTGGCCTCGAGAGCGATTGCCGAACTTTCCACAATCGGCCTTTTTCACGTACAGAAAGGTGAAATCTCGAATACGCGAAACCTAAAATGGAGCCTCACTTCGTCACCGGCAAGCCACACATAGGCACTGTGACCTCAGAGTGGGCATTTTTATACATAGAACTGGACCATCCACCTCACAACGCTTCCACAATGTGCGCAGTCTTCGTCACTGGCAATAATCGTGTTGAGAACACCATCGATATTCTGTGGGGGAATGTGTCGATTTGACCATGTCTACTCACGATAGGTTTCCTCATCCAGGATCTGCAGTAGGCAAGACAAACAGAGTGTCGCCATGGACGACATATTGCATACGCCGGTGCTTGCTGCTTGGCCAAGCGGTAAAGTAATGCTGCTCATGGACGGACGAGAGATTCCATCCTCGCCGGCTGGAAAGTACACCACAAAGAACACCACAACTGCAGTCGCTCAAGCTGGAAAGCAGTAAGGTGTCTTGAGTAGTGACGAGCCGAAGTGTGTGCTACCGGCAGGAGCGAGCGATTTCTAGGGTGTGCCAGCTTACTGTTTGGGTCAGTCAGAGAACACAGGCTGACCTCGCTTAAGAACTGCCAGGGCGGACGCCGCAAGGGAGTTACAGGGAGGGCCTTGGGAAGACGATATTCCTGAAAGTCGAGGAAGTTAAGAAAGAGCAAAGAGGGAGCAGAGAAGACGTCGCTGCAAAGAACAGAGGTTCCGTGGGGTAGCTCATTCCACAGTAAGAGATTGGTACAAAGGTACTCGCCTGTGGCTGGAGCATTGACCTGGTGAGGTAGCATGTTGTCAAATTTCGATTCATAGCTGACCATGGAGTATACATGGACCAGGTATCTCCACTGGAGGTTGGGTCAAGAACAACATCTGCTCCGGGACACTCTGCAACGTTGACCTGAACACTCACAATTTGACATCTACTGCCTCTCCTTTCATTGTCTTCTCATCTTCCATGTAATATCTATACATGCCCTGCAGCCTGCTCAGACTAGGTTTCATCATCACCCATTGACCTCTATTGTCGTCGTAATTCCAGTCGAGCGGATGTACGCCATCCCGAAACCTCATCGACTGAACTATGTTCTGCCAGTATCGACAAACTTTGGCAATGCGGATGGGTGCAAAATACCTCCACGATTCACCGAAGTAGAGTATGTTGAAGATGGTCTGCAGTATCTCTGGAGGCAGATTGATGATATAGCTTTCACGTTCTAGTTGTTTGAGCAGAGATTTGTGTCGCTCGTGGTGCCGGCTGAGGCGGGCTCGTCTTGATAAGGCGCGGCTGATTTGCTTGTCAGCCATGCTCTGTCTGGTTGTGGGTTTAGTGGTCAACTCAGAATCTGATATCGTTGGTGATAAAGATTAGGAACAGATAGCGTTAGGTGGGGAGGAGCTTCGGTTACCGGTTGTCGAAGCTGACAATGCCGTCTGCATTGGGCTTGTTAGTCCCTGCATTAGTGCTTGTTTTATCGCCTTATTGTTGGGTTGTACTCCATATCGTCAGCTGAGATACTGGCAAGGCAGGGAAGTACGCCTTGGCTCAATGGACGTGGTGCATGTTCCAGTCGGTACGACTGTACACTGCAATTCGAAGTTAACTTCACGTTTGTAGGCATGAATAGTATAGGTGAGTTAAGACGCATTCTGTACTCTTCACATGTAGCATGACCAGGCGGACACTTGGAATTCGGGAGCTGTCAGAACAGGCTCTAGAAATAGTTCAAACAGTACCACGTACGAATGCATCGCAAGGCAAACCAGGTCTCGAACGAACACTTTTCGGAGGTAATAGACCTTCGCAGGTGCGGAGTGCCAAGTTACGGCCACTTCGCGACAATGACAGGCTGACCAGCAATTTTATATGCCTGAGGCAATAATCAGATTTGCGTTATTGAGCTAAATTTAGAAAGGCGTTCGACCACTAACAGAACTCAAAGCTAAGCGCGGGAGATATCGCTGGGTGGCCATGTTAATTCCCATAATGGAGTGATGATTGATATTCCTTCGATCAAGAACGTCTTCTTTGTGCTGTCAAATCAAGATTGTCCTCGGGGATACGCGACGACACTCGTCTAGATCTCGAGCGAACAGCCACGAAAGCATTGCTATCAAGCCTCAACCTCTCAGCTGCCATGAGTGTTTGATATGGCTGTGCACCACAATCACTGCACATCATTTTCACACAAGAAGGCCAAGGGACTTTTGCTCACTTCGTGGCGGAGCCGGAAAACTAATGCCGAGGCTGTGCCTCTATGTTGCGCTCCAATCACGATCTGACTTTGGAGATGCCGGATGAACGAATGGGGTGAAGGATGACGTACGCCAGGGTGTACTCAGCCAGTCATCCGTTCACCTGTTCGTGGCGCGGGGTTGTGTCGTGTCCTTGTCACCAGATGCTTCCAGTCGACTGCTGTAAGAAATTCTGTTGCTTACTATTTAGTCCTCAGCTGATCCCGTCTTATTCTTTTTGCGTTCGTACACAAGACACCTCGCACGTTCTTACAGTCTCAAATCCTAGACTCTCAACCACCTCAACTATTCGAATAGAGACCTATTCGAGATGTCCGGCCCATACAACCAAGGCGGCTACGGCGGCTACCCTCAACAGCCTGCCTACGGCCAAGGCTACACCGATCCCAATGCCTACCCACAAAACCCTCAATACGCCCAGCAACAAGGCGGGTACGGTGCTCAAGAATTCGCACCTATACAGCGACAGGACTCGTACGGTCCCCCACAACACGGCGGCTTCCAACACGGCCAAGCAGGCGGGGTATACGGACAATACGATGCTAGTAACCCCCAAGGCCATGCAGGATACTATGGTGGCTACCAGCAACAACAGCCACAATATGGTCAGCCTCAGCAGCAGCAACAGTACCCTCAACAGCAACAACAGCAATACGGCACCCACGATTCATTCGCCGCAAACCAAGCATACCAGAACCAGATGGTCGGTCAGGGTCAGGCACCTACAGGCGCCCAGCCAGACTACCAGTTCCAGAAACAATCTTCTGACCCAAATGCACCGAACTACGATCCCAATGCTCCTCCAATGACTGAGCAGGATCGCGGTCTACTGGGTGCCCTCGGTGGTGGTTTCGCCGGACACAAGTTTGGTGGAAAGCAAGGTCATGGGTTCTTGGGAACTGTTGGCGGTGCTATTGTGGGTAGTTTTGCGGAGGACTTTTTGAAGAAAAAGAAGAGGACGGGTGGGAGCAGTCATGGTGGTAGTCAGTGGGGCGGTGGGTCGAGGTGGTAGATCGTTGATACTAATGGCACATGCCATTAGATACGATCCACTTAATGAAGGGTTTTGTGTCTTGGTGAATGGCGTTTAGCTCAATGACGACACGAAGACTTGCCAAGCATATATCTAGGGAATGGTTAGGATGGCATATCGAAGGGGAGTACATATGGTGTTTCTGCAACAGAGTCTCCCGAACGCAATACTATTCATTCTCAGGGTTGTTCCACAAACTCTGCTCAATGTCCTGCTTGCTTGCTCATGTATTCATCGATCCATCGCTGTCTCAAATCTTGCAATATTCTCGCGTTCCTCCTCTACCTGTAATTAGCTTGTTGTTGCAGATTACCGGAATGTCCTGTAAAGACATTCTCCCTAGCAGTAGGTACGACTCTCTTCTGCCTGACTATTTGTAGTGTCGATCAAAGTTATGGTCCACGAGCTGCGGATTACCTCAGCTGAGCTACCAACAAGCGTGCGTGCGGCAGCTTTCGAACTTTATTGTAGCCATCATTGTAGCCATCAAATCACCACTTCTTGCAGCCCGCGATGCTCATGTCTGCCAGCCCTGCAAGTACCTCGTCCTCGTCTACTTCTCCTAAGTCATCGTACACATCTGGTTCAGGGTCCTTCTTAGCATGCTGACTGATCCACATAATCTCTGCACCCCCATGCAATACACAATGATCAAAACCTTTCGGAGGCTGTCGTTCACGAATGACACGAAGAATTGTTCGGTACGATCTGCTGGAGTACTGTGCGACATAGAAATCGTTCAACTCATAGTAGTCGAGAGCTTCGCGGTCAGCCTCTACATCTTCTGCTTGACCTGTCACGTCTGACCACCATTCTGCTGGACCAGGTAGTTCAAGCCACTCCGATTTGGATTGGCCCCAATCGAAGCGGAGTATCTGTTTGTCGTCCTCGTCGAAGCAAAGGTGAGGTTTGTGGCGATCTATTGAAGAAGTGTCAGGCGTAATGATTTCGAATACTATGACCTTTTGCTTACCATCAGCAAAGCGAAACCAATGTGAGTTCAGTCCAACATTCCTATAGTTATCACTCCCGTCGTCGATCTTCCAATACATGGGACCGATGACAGTCTCGAGATAGTGCTTCTTGGCCCAGCAGGTAAGAAATTGATCGAGCATGGCCACACTCCATATTTTCCATCTAGAGTTGAGCAATGTTCTCTGCACTGTGAACTTTCTGTTCGCAACGTCAGTAATGCAAGATGCGACCACAAAATGATGAGAAAAATTTGGCTCGCTTTATAGCTATTGCTTCAGCACTCAATTTGGTCTGCTCGTATCTCTGCTCACTTCGAACTGCGATCTTTTCAGAATCAACGCAAGTGATTCCATGCTCGTCCTCTTGATCGATCTCATCCTGCCACCATCGGGGGTCACCATGTGGAACCTTCTGTACAATCATACGCTTGAATTCTTCCAACTGGTTGCAGTGAAGTCTGGCAGCAAGCTGTGGTTCACATCCACCAAGGAGCTTGAGAAGCAGGTTGTTCTCACGATCCTCGAATTCCTGTTTCCTGAACAGGAAGTGAGTAGATGCATACAATGACGGTGACAATACCTTACCTCTGTTGCACAAACTTTTGTTTTTGCTCAGCTTCTCTTGCTGGACGGTCCTCGACTGCGATTCCTGAGTACTCTTCGCCCTTTTTCCATTCGCCCATCTTCCGGGACACCCATTGAGCCGCAGCCCTCCTGGCACGCTGAGCTTCATCTCTGAACCGATTTCCAGTAACCTGTCGCTTTCTTGATTTGACTGAATGGGGATTGGTGGAGTATTCTCCCTCAGATTTACGCTTTTCGCCAGCGCCGCTGCCGGGTTTGCGTCCACCTTTCTGCGTGGGATTCAGTAGGAAGTCCCTTACACATGGTCAGTTGGAGACACTGAGAGCCGGACAACCTACTTAGCCTGCTCAAGATCATTATCAATGGCCTCGGCTGAGATTGACGCTGAGTCAGGATCGATCTCCATTTTGACATTCGGCGACTGGCTCTCCACAGCCTCCACAGGCTCAGCTGGATCAGCAACGATATCAGTGTTCTTTCGCTGGCGCTTGTTGGTTGGAGCGCTCTTCACCTTTGCCATGGCTGATAGTCGTGCTGTGCAAAGGGTAATGGGAAGTATGGTGTTGATTTATCGGCGAAGAAGGATTTCGAGGCACAAAACTGAGATCTTCACTGCCAATAGCTGCCTGCCATTTTTTCACCCGAACCTCACTTTTCAACCTCAACCTCACTTCAAGCTCAAGCTCAAGTGACACCAGGAAATGACTCAACCTCTTCCCTCATCCTGGCCTTGTCCTCACTTTCTAACTTCTTAGTCACGCTCGGTCCATGTATATTTATCATTTCCTGTTTACTTGCTTTTCCGTGTGCCTATCGGCGCATTACTGCTTCAAATCCTGGACTAGTCCTTGTGTTCCTTCTCTGTTTGATATCAGCTTGTTGCATGAGATCACTGGGCTGCTACGGAGATGGCCACATCAATGTCGAAAAAGGGTGCTGTCGGAGCTATGCTCGTCGATGACAAAGAAGGACTGGAAAATTTAATCTGCTGTCGTCCGGAGCTCCGGCTCCGTGTCCTGCTGTTCATGTCTTGCCATGATCCCAATGTGCTTACCTTCTAGCCATGTGTAGTTCTGCGGCTTCGAAAGGATGTCATATCTGTTTCGAGTGTACTTCCCCATGATTTCGCCGGCTCCTTCGCTGCGATCATGTATTTCATTTATCTTCCGTCGCCATGTCTTACGTGTCCACTTTTCCAAGCTTTGCCAGAACCTGACTAGGCTCCCCATCGGCCCTCGGCCTCCGACTGAGCGTTTCCTTTCAATTCACGATTGGCCAAAGTGGCACGGCCTGGGGCGCGCCTCATTATCGTAAGATTATGAGTTACAACTTCTAAGTTTGCCTCCCAAGCCGGCTCACACATGAGTTCGAAATTCCTGGAGGTTGATCTTCCGAGGACCGCTGGCGCAACGGTAGCGCGTTCGACTCCAGCGATTGGAGTTCTATCGAAAGGTTATCCGTTCAAATCGGGTGTGGTTCATGCTTTTTGCCGTCAGCAGCGACGTGGTCGTCGTCGTGGTGGTGTAGATGGATTGGTTTTGGGTGGTGGTGAGGTTGGACGAAGGAGTGGCACTTTTTTGAGTAAGAACTTGCCGAGATTCGCGTGCAGAGATGCGGAGAACCGGCAATTTCCATCCTGCGAAATGCCAAACCCATCGTGTTGTCTACAACGTAAGTAACGGTGTTGTGTCAAGGCGAGTCGTTGCTGGTGAATAGAATCGTTTTGAAGGACGCGCAGATGCCTGAGCCGACTGAGAGTCTCGCAGCGTGGTTGTGTCGAGAGGAAAATTTGCACAAAACCTTTGTGAGTATTGACCTGAGACCAGTATGCAATGGTACTACACCACCAACACCTCGATTGACTCTGGAACGTCGCTTAATTAGCCAGTAGATCCTCCTACTCGACGAGCTCGAAGGCATGATTCTGGCCAGGAGGTATGGCATACCACAAGGTATATTCAGGGGTAGTCATCATCCAAGTCGTTACCACTAGGAACGGGTTCTTTACGACCCAGTGAGATAGCGACTGGTGAGATTGGCATGGAATGCAACATGTTTCATGAACCCAGTGCGCAAGTATGCTGCTTGGGTAGCTGCAGACTGGGATGTAGGTGTTGCGCGACCAGGCCAATATTGCGCTCAAAGTAAGGAGATATCGAAGATCTGACTTCTGCGACCTGGGCTTCAAAACGAATTGGTGCACAAGATGGAAGCAAACAATTACAGAGTACGGAACGCATACGCGACGCGATACAGTAAGAGGACGATGTAAACAGTGACGTTGTGAAAGTAGCGACGAAGTTTTGAAAACCGGAGATCAAACAAGACAGATACCCACGACTGCGACGTACCTAGTATGCTCGTCACGCAATGGTAGGCACTACACTTTCGATGGTTGTACTGGGAGCATGCAACTTGAAAGTGAAACAAGACCACCTGCTTGCTTCACTGCGTCCTCCTGAGTTGTCTGCTAGAAGCCTTCGACGATAGCACGCGGGCAAGTGTGTACAAGGAAAACGTGTGTCAGTTGAAGACATGTTATGCGAGAGACACTCTTCCAGTGATTTCAGCGATCCTCTCAGTCAAGAACAGACGCCCTCCAGAGGTTGGCTCTGCTTCTCCTCCAGACCTTCAACTGCACGTCAAATTCATAGCCTTGATCATTTTCGAAATCGTTGTGGTCGTTCATGACACTAACAGCCTCTTCCTCCTCATCCTCGCTCACTACCTCTGCTAGCCTTCCACCATACCTACGATGCCGACCTCGTCTTCTTGAACGTGAACGTAGTGCGTGTCTTGTGATCTAAGCAGAAAAAGAAAAGCTGTTAATCATATTGCTCATTCAACTGGAGAAGCTCGAACATCACCGAGCCGTAGATGTTCTGCCCACCTTTCGACCATTCACGACCTCAGTCTGTGTATACGCTTCATCACCCATCTGCTTTTCGTGGTTCACGACCATCTGTCTCACACGTTCTATGCGCTCAACTGCCTTCTCTAGCCTTTCCAACCTTCTCCTCTTCTCTCCGTCACGAGTTTCTAGCAATTTCACCCTCTCTTCCAGCTTAGCCCTAGCTTTCCGTTCTGCCGCGACCATCTCGTTGGCCTGACCAAAGAGTTGTGCAGTCAGCTCTTCCAGCTCATTTTGCGATTGCGCCAGGGTAGTTTCAGCTTGTTGACGAAGATTACGCTCTGTTTCTAGGCTGGACTGTAGACCCACGAGTGTCAGTGACTGCCCTTGCCGACCTGGATCTGTAGCAAATGGCGGAGGAGATGAAGCTCTCATGTACTCGGTGGTTGGAGTCGAAAGGTTTGGCGTTGACTGATTGAGACTTGTGTTTAGAGGTGGTACAGGTGGTGGGTCTGACGCTGTATCTTTGCGCCGTAAGGGCAGGTATGAAGTCAAGCTGCCTAATCTGGAGAGACTTTGTCTATTCGGGGGTGCTTGAGTAGCACTCTCTTTCTCTAGTGGTGGAAATGGTGGCATATCCTCCTTCGACCTGCCTGCATTCTCTTTTGAATTTGTTGCTACAGCACTGTCCTTTTCCTTTTGTAGCCTTGTGCATTCGGCTTGTAATGAGCGTATTTCGTCTTCATAGTCTGCTAGCCTGTCGACATAGGAAGAAGCTTTCGAGTTAAGTAGTCGCACTTGAGTTTCGAGGTCGGCAATTCGCGCCTGCGCTTCGTTCGCATCGGTCGAGTCGAAGGCATGCCCACACTTAGGGCAATGGCTAGACATCTTTTGCGATTTCTATGCTCGGCTTGTCAGCCGCAAGTAGAACAACAGTTCGCGGCAACTCACACTGCCATGAAATGAGAACCACAGCAGGACTCGAGAGACGATATCAGTAGTATTATGACGATTTGCACGACGACCTCAATGCCGATCTTCTTTTTCCAGGAGATGGGGTCTCAGATTTTTGCAGTTCTGGAGGGCGCCTGGGGTATGTCTTGGTGAAACATGGATGTCCAGTGAGGTGGGCAGCAGTGATGGAGCATGACTGGGCTAGACACACTACTACAACAAAAAGGGGTACCACGCGACATCTGGGAGTTGTGCATTCAATTCGTGGACGAGGAATGCTAAGCAAGACGAAGCGTGCATTCCATTGAGCTCGTGCAGTAATTACCCAGACATTATCGGAGTGCAGATGATTGAACGGCATGGATCTGCAGGAACAATCATATTCCTTCACTATGAGGTCACGCAGTCACATGAGCTGGCTGTTCTGCTCGGATTGGCGGCCACCGCGGCATCAAGCGCAGAGAGTGTACAAATAAGACCCATGCTTGCGGGACAACTTAATGAGCAGCCATCAAAGTGAGACGATCAAGTCGTCGCTCATCAAGCTCATTTAACTAGACTGCTCCGAGCTCTAGATGACTTGGACTTCTACACAGCAATTCATGTAGTAAACCCGACCATTTCATCCCATCAGCTCCTCCATAAAAGCAGCTAACTTACAACATCATAGCAATTAGTAGTGCCTGAGAGCTACATCTGCGAAAGCTCATGATTGCGGTCTTAGACATGATATGCCAATGGATCCAAACTCCCCTTTACATGGAAGCAGAGGAAGTGAAAGCCTATCATGGACTATGTGTAGCCTCGCGCCTGCTTCAGTCAACCCGATCGCGGGTGTACACCTCAACTGCCACTCCCTGACGGCCTCAGGTATTTACAGCAGAGCCACGTAGATTCTGGTTCAAATCACAATCTAATATGACATAGCATCGGTGTCCAATATGTCAGCTCTGCGCTGGGCCAGGTCTCGTCAAGAAGCCGAGAACCAGGCAATGCTTGCAAGATATAGAGGTAAACAAATCAATCTCAACGCAGGGAACAGCCGTCACATCTCCCAACCTCTATATTCCGAGCGTCCAGTCTCCGGACTTTCACACATGGACCATGACATTTGGCGCAAGGCTTGCATGTTCGTCCAGATAGACCCCGAATCAATTGAGGCATTGCCAGAGAACACAACTTGCATTGGAATTTAGGGCTGCCCAGTCAAACTCTATCCGCCCCAACTTTACGCGGCATTCTTATCTGCTGATTGGCGAAAATCGAGGTCGACATGGCTTGAGTTCTTCTGACGATACAGGCCTTGGTAAGTCATTGACCACCTTACTCTACGCCACTGGCTATACTGGTCAACATAAATGTGCAGGACTGTCAGGATTACCCTGGTGAACACCTTCGAAAGAAGACCAAGGCACACATATCAGCACCAGATGACCAGTGTCCTTCACAATTGCTCGTCAGAGCTCGAGCAGGCCCTTGATCTCAGTCAATAGAGCCAGAGACAAATGCAGGATCTTATCGAGGTCTCAGTCTTCACAGCAGACTAGTCAAGGTTTTCGTGGTATCATACACCACGAGGGACATGTCGAGAAGGATATCGGTGACGGCTGGTGAGAACAAAGATCAATATTCGCGCCTAGTGGTTTGGGAACGTAGAGTGAGCCCATAGACCAAGGGAAAGCAGCGGTCGAAATTAAGACTCGCTTTCGTCATATGCTGTATACTCTTGTCAGCAAAAGGCAGACCACTCGAGAGTGCTTGGGTTCGGTGCGTTAACAGAGAATACTACAAAGCACCACATGGACACAACTCTTACAGGGACAGGGCACCCTCCTAGCTTCTGTCAACCTTGATCCACTCTAATAATACGTTCCGTATGGTCTCCATTAACTGCGAGAATTTCAAAAAGAAAGTACTATTAGCATTCTTAGAACGACCTTTCCTGTACTTGAGTATTACATTACACACCACTTCGAGCTGCTGGCTAGTACTGCACAAGCTCTATAGTCGCATGTGTTTGTGTTGGCGGTCCGGACCAACCTCAATATCCTCAAGTAGACCCCGTAGTAAAATCACTTGCCCGTCAATTGGACTCGGAGAGCGTCTGCCTTGTCGGATAAAGCACCAAAACCACTATCTCATTGGTTGCCTTTCTCTTGAGCCATTGCCATGTTCGTTCACATCTACGACTAGCATTCTGAGTGCTTGTATGGGAATCAAGTGATACCAGAAGCGAAGCAAAATAGTACCTTTCAATACGTAGGGACGACACGCCAACCATGGCGCTAGTCCTTCGTCAAGCTTGACTAGGTTACCGTGCTGTATGATATGTGAGCCATGATTGGCCTTAAAGACTATTTTAATACCCCTTCTCGCTGGTACAGCAATTCATGCATCGTCCCAACATGGGTCATCATACCCTTTCGCCATAGATTCAATCCCTTTGCACCACATATGCTCATTACACGTAAAGCTTTCCGATATTTCCGTAACACCAATGATCATACATGCAAAAAGGTATATTGATAGCACTCCGTAAAAACAAGCCTTCATTATACTTTTGTTGCAGCCTGAGGAGACTTCTTCGAAAGCCATGTGATCAACATCGAATCTAATTGTGATTGCATGTCCGCTAATTTTGTCCTTTCTGACGCAAAAAGTCCATTCATGAGAGGATGGTCGGGTCCAACTGGAGTCACATTCGTCTTGTCATGAACGATGATCAGCAGATCGCGTATGTCTTGATCATTGTCCATGTATGACCGCAACGATGCGTCTGACCAGGTAGGTGTTGACCGAGACGTGGATGGTGTGTGAGTGGGTATCGAAGGTGACTGCTTGGATGTGCTCACCGTCTGATCACTAGGGGATGTTGGAGTAAATGCCATGTTGCCCACTTGGTTGCTACTTCTTTTCTCAGCATTATTAGATTCAACCACGGATGGCTGTAGGTTGGTGAGTGGATCCAACGGCGACACTCTCACATCCGAGTCGGGTCTTTGATTGATGTCGTTGTTGTCCAGAGGAGAAATACTGCGATGGTGAATTGAGGATTGCGCCGTTGGAGTGCTGTCGTCATCTGAACCACTGTCATCGATAGCAAACCTCTCCTTTGCTCGTTTCGCATATACAGGCTTGATTGTTGTGTCTGCCATGTCTTGGCTCGAATTCTTGGAGCGCAGTGCACCAGCAATAGGCGCAAAAACCGAACGCTTCTCTTGCAAGGATGGGAACCGGCTTGGATGCTGGCTTTGCGGCTCAGGATTGAGGCTGGAAGGCTGTGGTGCTTGAACAGGATCGGTCTGCGATCGTTGTACTGGACGCAACGTAACAGTGGCGGGTGTGGAAGTTGAATCCTTCTGAGGTGTACGAGTTTCAATTGGCGAGCCTTTTGATATTCCCGAAGCAGGAGGAGATTTTTGAAGTTTGCTGGGTTTTCTTTCAGGTGCCAGATCCGAATCCATAGACTCCTTCGATTGAGGTGAACGACCAGAATCTTCGGAGAGACGGTCTGCTTCATCTGTATCACCTTTACTCTTGCCGGCTTTGTCTTTGCGCTTGAAGATCCCGCCGAACATTCCTTTCTTCTCTTTCTTCTTGCTGTCTTTGGACTTGTCATCTCCAAGAACCTTGTCAAAAGTATCGACGCTCGATATTTGCTGTCCATTTTGTGCTGCAGCAGTAGTAGAATCGTCACGAAGTAAGCCAGGAGTAAGCGAAATTTTCTTCGTCTCAACAGTATCATCTCTAAAGAAAGAATCTGTATTGCGCACCACGCCTTTTCTGGATCGCTGTACACCTTCTTGCGAGCCCGGTTGCAACGGAGCTAGTGCTTGGGTTTCAGCTCGAACAGGACTCGATGGCTCTTCTTCATCCGTATCTTCGTCTGCATTCACACGATGGATGGTAGCAGAAGCTGGCTGTACTCTTTGTGGCTCGGTAATGTCATTGACCTGCTGCACCTGCTGACCTTGGTGATCTTCTTGCACCTGTTGCGGATCTTGCGAATGTTCTTGAGTTTGCTCAACTGTATCGTCCTGAGTTTGTAAGATTGGACCATCTTCATCCTCGTCATCTTCTTCGTCGGACCAAACACGCTCTTCCGGCTCGAAATAGGTTGGAGGAGCGAAATTGACTGTTTTTGCGTTTCTCCTCCTCATTGCTTTTTTCAGAGGGTTTTTAGATTTTTCCGGATTATCACCAAGCATTGCAGCCGAAAGCTATAAGACTTAGCATTCCTCAAGTGACGAAGTTCAGGCCTAAACTCACGTCGATATTCCTATGTTTGTTGAGACGTGCAAGCCTTTCAGTTGGTGTTTCAATGTGTTCAGCAGGAAGATAACCTCCTCCTTTTAGCACAATACCAACACGCGTGGCAAGTAGACTTACCTATACTACCGTCTTTGACCACACGAACAAGCCACCAATAACTGTTGCTATCATCAAGCAGGACCATAGTGTCACCTTTAGTGGCATTGGCCTGACCTTCGACTGTGGCGACAAAGGTATGTAGGGCGTATACGAACTCGAAGTCGATGTCCTCTGCGTCTCGTAAGCATTCGCCACCCCAACCAGAATCAACGAAACGAGAATCAGCATCGAAGGGGATATCATCATGGTCGTCGTCAGAGCTCCCAGCATATCCAAACGACTCCTCATCTTCCCAGTCAGGATCGAGATCATCGAAGTTGATTTCGTCCAAACTTAGACCTGTTTCGTTGTCAAGGAATGGGTCGTCGAGAGGTAATAAATGACGGCCTATATTCTCTATAGAGCTTGACTGCGTGATACCGGACTTTACAGGAGATAGTTTCATATCTCCAAACTGCTTTGGCGACAAACTTGGCAAGTCGTTGAAGTCGATTCTTCTCTTTGGGCTCAACTGAGTGCTCTGACGACTTCCGGGATCTCCTCGAGCGGAGTCCTCTTCAACAGGGCCTGAAGGAATATAATGGGGAGAAAAAGAAATGCCTCGAGTCGGCGCTGACCATGAACCATGGGGGAGTTCATGACACAGAGAGTCCGCTCTTGCCGGCCAGGGTGGCTTACCATCTTCGATAGAGGGTGAACTTGAAATTTTATCCATTAGTTCGTCGTCCATATCTTCGTCCTGGGAATCGTTGCCGTCTCCATCATCATAGGCCTCTCCGTGACGAACACCATTGACGCCGTGGTGGTGGGTGTCGTCCTCATCTTCGTCCTCCTCCTCATCGTACATATGCGTCTGACCGTCAGAAGTGTGGTGTGCATGGTTGAAACCACCTAAACGGGGACTCCTCTGGGCCTCTTGATGTGATTCGTGTTTTGCATTGCGGAGAGCTTGAACGTGGTGGGGACCAGGCTGCAAGCCATGCTGGTTAGAGCCTGTGTGATTGTAGCCCAAATGATATTGTCCTCGAGTATGGTCCTTGGCCGAGGGATTCTCGTGTGACTGAAGATCGATCGTATCTAGTCCTCCTGTCAGCATCTGTCAGCACTGTCGCGACATGTTTTCGTATACCTGCTCTCAACAACAGTGGCTTCGGGGCCAGAGTCGTCATGATCGCGTCGGCCTACAACCAGCAGGACGCCCTCCACGGACTGAGCGCGAAACACGAGACTGCAACCGTTGATACTCGGTGCATTGATGGGTAACCTTTATCGCAAGTCCTGCCTTCGCCGTATTGACTATAGCATACGAGAATGTCTAGCCACTTGTTACACCATGTCTAAAAGAAACCAGGCAAGCGCGAAGTGAAATCAGGTGGTAAGGACAGTCGGTCGTGGTTGCCGAAGCACTGGCAGTGGTGCAGCTTGAGTAATCGCAACAAGGAGGGAGCAATTGGTATCGATGCGCGTCGCAGCAGGGAACGAGGAAGGTGTCCAAGGTTGAGTCGCAGGTCCCAAATTGACCTTGATCCTGGGTGCTAGAACAAATCGTCGCAGAAGGGGGTAACTGGCATGATTCCAAGATGAAGCGCGAAACCGAGTCGCAGCCACTGAGCTGATCAGGGGAAAGGAACTAAGACCTTGGCGGTGTGGCTGGTGTTCCGAGCGTCGATCAAATCGTTCCAGTTCTCACCGCTGCTCCGACCATATGGAAGGCGCAGGAGACTCGCCAGCAGCGTCATTCATGGAAACTTGAATGTATTACCTGGCCTTGGTCCACTCATTTGTCTATCCTTGGTATCACTCACTTGCTGTACGCTGTGTATAGCAAGCGTTCATGATGAATGGTTAACGACGATGATCAACCTCAGTAAGATTTATGCCTTTCGGCCAGGAGCGTGGGATGATCCTGCGCAAATATTGGCAGAAACTGCCCGCCGGAATATCCTCGTGGTTCAAAGTTGTGTCTGCTTTCTGAGTTGCTCACTTTTCACAATGCCTGTTCGCTAACTACAGCCCTTACATGACCAGCTTTAGCACGTCCAACATTCTACTCCTGCTCAGGTGCTTGTGTTCAAGGACCTGATATTCTTCTTACTGAGTCTTTCGCCAGCGTGGCGCCACGAATGGCGCACAATCCTCACGATCATTCGTCGCGATTTCGAGGTCTGAAGCTTGACACGCATGCGGACGAGCATCGGCAGTCTCAGGATTCTACTAACTCTGAACAGAAGCATCTACAGCGCCCTGGACTCCGATCCTCTACACAGAGTGAAGACACTATCACGCGAATTTGTGCGACACCACCTATTGAGATACCCCAGCCAGACTACAAGCATGAAGACTTTGTCGCAGTCGAAAGCGCATCGTCGCTTCAGGAGTCTGACTCTTTCGTTGATGATTACTTGAAGGAGAGGGAGACTGCCATTACTTTCAGCCCCGTCGTAACAACCAGCACTGGCCATAGGCACAGTATTCTGGAACCCCCGGGAAGAGCCGCTCAGGACAAACCTCGCGGACGAGCACTGGCACAAGCCCTCTCAGACCATCACAATGTGCGACCGCACAGTGAGTCGGATAAGAGTCACTATGATCCACGTACTGGCAGACATCTGCCACAATACACAGATAGCCCTCCTAAGGAAGAGCCTCGCATAGGTGAAGCCAGGTTTCCCTTACTTCAACAAACAGTGGACACACTAGCTCGCCAATATTCCCGAGATTCGGACCTTCCACAGTCTATGACATCCGAGGCAATAGTATCCCCAGTAGAAGGAGCCGTGATAACGCCAAGTGACAACAATACCACTTCACCAATTGGTATTAGCCCTTCTCTTGTCCGACACTTTTCCTCCTCCTACGATTCACCACGTGTCAGATCGCAAAGAAAGGCGTCGGAGAGATGGCGTGATGGCGAGGCTGCCACTGATTTCTTCTCGCGTGCAGGTAGTTTGAAGAAGTCAGATCGTGATTCTGGAAGACGAGCTTCTCGTCGCGACACGCTCAGCTCTACAAAATCTCCTCGCTCTGCCGCCTCCTCATTCCTTCGCGGCTTCTCCGTATCGAGTGGAGCTGATACCGAAAGCACCCCGCTTCCTGTAGACGCGGAAGGTGCGACAATAGGTGACGACTATGTGCTGGGCAAACAAATTGGCTACGGCGGTTTCAGCATCTTTCGGGAAGTCAAACAGATGAATTCTCAGACTGGTGAACAGCGGACCTTGGCTGTGAAAATTGTTAAGAAGCAAATTGAAGGCAAGAGCAGGACCGAGAACGAAAATGCTCAGGCTGATTTTGAGCACGAAGTTGACTTGTGGCGATTGTTGAACCACAAGCATATTCTGTCGCTCGAAGCAGTCTATGATCTCGAAGAGGCCACCTTCTGTTTCGTACCGCTCAATGTCGGTGGCACACTTTTTGACGTTGTCAGCAACAACCGACAAGGCCTGCCACAAGATCTAGCCGCCAACTACAGCTATCAACTTGCATCCGCCCTACGTTATTTGCACCTTGACGCACGAGTTGTTCATCGCGATGTTAAGCTTGAGAACTGTCTGGTCGAAACCACGAATGGTAAAGGACCTGGTCTGCTTCGACTCTGCGATTTTGGTTTGGCAGAATGGATCTCAAGTGACAGCGATAGTGCTGCCTCCCCTTCTACATCATCGTCCGACCTCGGCCGTGGCGACAGACCATTAGCTAAGTACTTTGGTCCTGCCGATAGCAGCTCCTCCGCTTTTGCTGGTGGTAGTCTGGAGTACGCAGCCCCAGAGATCTTGAAAATAGCTTCATCTGCATCAGGCAACGTTCACTCGAATGACATGCCTCCTGAGAGAAGTATTGTCTCTTCTGCAGTCGATATTTGGGCCATGGGTGTCTGCATATTTGCATTGATCAATGGCCGTCGACCCTTTCAGGATGCATTTCAGCCTCGTGTTGTCATGGCTATCTTGGCGGGAGACTGGAACAGAGAGTCTTTGAAGGAGAAGGCCAGTGATGAGGCGTACAGACTTGTGAAGGCTTGTCTGAATATGGATGCCTCTCGACGACCAGGAATTGGTGAGGTCTTCGACAATCCGTGGTTCGATGACGCGAGAAGTGTGCATGAGGGCAGTGATGCAGGAAGTGAAAGTGGTCGTGCAAATGGCTGGAGGCTTTAGGTGAGCAAAGCCCTAGGAGATTTGACGGTTGGTCTGCGACTGCGAGGGAAGAGCTAATTGTCATTGTTATTGCTGTGTTCGATGTTGATGTACCGTATGATACCCTTCGCTTACCATTTGATCAGGTGCATAATTGCATTTATTCTGTTAACGTCCAACTGCATGCAACGAAGCATTCATTTTCTTCCTCAAGTATGATCACTTCAATAACTCCTCGGTAGACCCAGCACCTTCTCGCCAACGTAGTTGAGAATCATCCTGCTCCACAGTAAGTACCAAAATTCAAGCATATCAATATGCAGAAAACTTACTCTCGACTAACAGGCGCAATACGAGGAATCAAAGACTCCCTGAGATATCTCTCCACATGATACTCTTTAGCATACCCATTCCCACCCAAAACCAACACAGCTCGCTCACACGCTTCAAAAGCTGCCTCTGCTGCCAAATACTTACTCGCATTAGCATACTCACCCGTATCATACCCCTGATCATACAGCCTCGCCGCAAGATACACCATCAACCTCGCTGATTCAAGCTTCATCCAAGAATCGGCGAGCGGATGCTGAATAGCCTGGTTCTTTCCTATCGGCCGACCGAACACGACACGGTCCTTGGCATAGATGCTCGCGTGACGGAGCGCGGCGTATCCTAGACCGAGTGCTTCGGCTGCGATCAGGATACGTTCGGCGTTCATGCCTTGAATGATTGATTTGAAGCCGTTGCCTTCTTCGCCGATTAGGTCGGTTGCGGGGACGTGCCAGTCGTCGAAGAGGAGGATGTTGGTGTCGACCGCTGCGCGGCCCATTTTTATTATCTCGTTGACTTGGACTTTGGAGCGGTCGAGGTCGGTGTAGAATAGGGATAGGCCGTGGGTGGGTTTTTTGACTTGATCGAGGGGGGTTGTTCGGACTAATATTAGGACCTTTTCGGCAATTTGAGCGGTTGAAGTCCAGATCTTGTGGCCTTTGAGCACGTAGTGATCGTCGCCTTCTTTCTTTGCCGCGAATGACTGTAGCTTTAACGTGTCGAGGCCTGTGTTTTCTGTCACTCCAAAGCACGCTCGCTCCTTACCAGCAATCAACGGGACCAGGAATTTTCGTCTCTGTTCTTCTGTGCCGAATTTTACAACTGGTTCCAGACCAAAGATATTCATGTGCACACAACTGGCCCCAGCCATTCCAGCTCCAGACTCTGATATCGTCTGCATCATCACTGCTGCTTCGGAGATGCCTAGGTCGGATCCACCATATTCAGAAGGCATGCAGATGCCAAGCCAGCCGTCTCGGGCCATGTCTTGGTGAAGGTCGTGCGGGAAGGAGTGGTCATTGTCCTTCTTCAGCCAGTATTCAGGTGGGTACTTGGCGCATATCTTCGCTATTGCTTCGCGTACAGTACGTTGTGATTCAGTCCAGTCAGGCTGGTTCGATTGTAGGAACTCTTGAGCTTGAGCGTGAATTGTACGCGTTGAGTGCCAAGATGTCTTGGTCAAGAGACGCTGACAATATATTCGCGATATTGATGCTCGAGTAATTGCGCCGAAGACGTGTCTCGTGTGCCCAAAAGTCGCCATGTTGAGGGTATATACCACATTGAGGTTGTGTTAGTGAAACTTTCTAACTGTTCAGCTCATGCTTTCGTAGTATGCGTTTGAGATCACAGATATTCAAGCTCTTGACAAATATCAGCAGCTCCTCTGCCTCGTGAAAACATTTCAAATGAAGGCACTCAAGGTCTCAGAGATGGGTTGACTGCCGAGGTACTTCAGGTAGATTTGGAGATGACACTGGACATTCACCACAACATTCTGATTTCGAGTAACACGTACAACTTGAGGCCTTTGAACATGTCTGATGTCCTTGTTGGCGATCCGAAACGAATACACGTCATTGGCAAATATTCTCCCAGCAAAGCCCAGAAGTCTTTGTATCGGGAGCTACCTGGAAATCAGATGAGGTCGATACACTGGTGTGCTCTCGGTACAACGTGAAGTGCCGTCTCCCTTCTTTTGAAGTTGTGACAGACGAGAATTGCAACATTCCCGCGAACTCAAGATCGCAAGAGCAGAGATGGCCATATAAACAGATTTCAAAAATGAGTGTTGCTAAGCAATTCGGCTGCGCGACTGGTTTCCTGCTTCGCCGGAGTTCAGGAATAGCTGTGCTCTCTTCGAGTTCCAGGCCTGCTCTCCAGCTCGAAAACAACAGAAATACACGACACCTAACTACGAGCAATGGCGGCCAGCCGAGTAATGGAGGTGCACTGGCTGGCCTCAAGGTTATCGATCTCTCGAGAGTGCTGGCTGGACCAATGTGTACACAGATTCTAGCTGATTACGGTGCCGATGTCATCAAGATTGAAAGTATTGGGACGGGAGATGACACTAGACATTTTCAAGCAAAAGGTGAGAAGAAGGCTTGGAAGGCTGACATAGGACCCATGTCCGTGAGTACGAGATAAAAAGAGCTCGAAGAATCACTGATGAGTGAGCCAGAACTATTTTGCGGCGATCAACAGGAACAAGCGCTCGTTGACGCTGGACTTGAAATGTGAAGAGGGACGGAACGTCTTTCTGGACTTGGCCAAGAAATCGGACGTGGTGGTAGAGAACTTTCGGACTGGTACTATGGAGAAACTAGGTATTGGCTACAATGTGCTCTCGAAAATCAATCATAGGATCATTCTAGGTTCCGTCACTGGCTATGGCGCTTCCGGACCTGACTCGCAGAAAGCCGGCTATGACTCGATCGTGGGAGCAGAGGCAGGAATGATGTACCTTACAGGTGAAAAGGATGCGAGGCCAGTCAAACCAGGACTTGGCGTTACTGACATGTCTTCTGGCCTCTTTCTTCATGGCGCTATTATGGCGGCATTGTATGCTCGCGAAAGGACTGGTCGTGGCCAGGAAATTAACACGTCCCTCTTCGAAACACAAGTGGCACTTTTGATCAACGTTGGCATGTCGTGGCTGAATTTAGGTCAGGAAGCAGAACGATGGGGTATGTGTCGCTATGCAAGAGGGTGTCCTCCCGAGCTAATGGGTCGCCCATAGGAACAGAACACCCGGCTCTAGTCCCCTACGGTGCATTCAGAACCAAAGACCTCTACTTTGTGTGCGGAGCAACAAATCAGAAGCAATGGAATAAGTTCTGTGAACTTCTCGACGCGGAGTACCTACGCGAAGATCCAAGATTCAAAACGAACTCAGACAGGGTAGAGCACCGTGAGGAACTGTCTCCGATCATCGAAAAGATCTTCGAAACCAAGACATGTGACGATTGGACAGCAATCTTTGAAGGCAGTGGCATGCCCTTTGCACCAATTAACAATATGGAAAGAGTGTTTGCACACCGTCAGACGAAAGCAAGAGATATGGTGCAAGAGCTTGTTTTCAAGTCAGCAGTAGCTGGAAGTTTAAATGTCATTGGTAAGGAGGTCATCATAAGTGTTCAAATTAGCTAATGATTCGGAGGTCCAAGTGTAAAGTTCAGCGAGAACAAGGCTTCGATACGGCGGAGACCTCCTCTTCTGGGAGAGCATACGAAGGAGATACTCAGGGAGTTAGGTAGGTCAGAAGCCGAGATTGAGGAGTTCGAGAAATCGAAGGTGATCTAGCATCTCCTAAGTCTAGAAATTCTTCAGATTAGTCCGTGGCTCGAGCGTTACGAAGGAGATCGCCCTGATGACGAACACAACGGCTTGCCACACTATGAGCAGGACAAACAGCCTATATCAGCAGGTCCAGCGAGCATGGAATATTGTTATCACTCTACTCAGAGTCAGGCTCGTCGCGGTTCACTTCCTCCACAGAGACACTAAGAATTGTATCCTTGTGAGACGAACCAACGTTGATGTTAACGATGTCCTCCTGTGTACGATGTGTCACAGTTTTAACGCACGACATCGCTGATTCTCTGCCTGGCAAGGCGTCATTTAGCAAAGATATAAACCTCGTCACACCTTCCTGAGACGACTACAGATCAATTCTTGGGCTTCTCCGACTACGCAGTGCCAGAAGTCCGATACTTCAGAGGGCAACCACGTATAGCAGTTCAGAGAGATGTGACGAGGTTTATATCTTTCCCAGTACGGCTCTGCTGGTAAAAGGTAAGATAGAGGTGCCGTGGTTTTCCATAGTACGATTGCGTCATTTCCGCGCTTACGGCACATCAAGAAGTCTCTTCGTGACCAACAATGACGATCGTGCAGAGACAACCAGGTACAAAAGTAAACAGAAAAGCAAAAAGCACGTAGGTACTTGTTCAGCATTAGTGTAACCTTTCTAGACTTCGACTTATCAGGTATACGCCCGAGCATATCCAAAGACTCTCAGCAAACATGGGTCAATCTACCTACGACCTCATTGAGACAGCACTCATTACTGGTGGCGCAGGCGGCATCGGTCGTGCTATAGCTGAGAATCTGATCAGTAAAGGCAAGAAAGTCGTCATTTGTGGTCGCACCGAATCGAAACTTCAGTCAACCGCCAAGGAGATAGGGGCTGACTATTATGTCCTCGATACCAGCAAAGTCGACCAAATACCAAACTTTGTAGCAAAGCTGCTCAAGGACCATCCAGATATCAACACTCTATTCAACAATGCTGGAGTTCAACGACCATTTGAGATCCCAGGCTCGAATTTCAGCAACGGCGATTATGGCTTCGATCTCAGCAAAGCGGATCAAGAGATCGACACGAATATTCGGGGCCCTATGCACCTCATCGTGGCACTTCTGCCACATTTCACATCTCTTCCATCTGGCAAAAGTGGCGTGGTTGTGAACGTCAGCTCGGTGTTAGGCTTCATGCCTTCTAGTATAATAAATCCTGTCTATAACGGGACCAAAGCATGGATTCACTCTTTCACCGTGAACATGAGAACACAATTGAAAAAGAGCGCGAACGTCAAAGTGATCGAAATAGTTCCACCTACTGTTTCCACCGACTTGCATCGTGAAAGGACGAACCCAGACGACAATAAGAAGGCCAATAACCAGGCAGCGCTAGAACTACCCGAGTTTATTGCCGAAATCGAAAAAGGACTTCAGAGTGGAGAGGATGTGATCAGCGCAGGTACCGGGAAGGCGTTGGTGAAGATGTGGGACGAAGGTCTGGGAAAGAAGTATGAGGAGGCTGCTAGAAAGTAGTGGTCTTCGTGATGACAGTTTGAAGATTGTCTTCAAAGCTCTGCTACCTGTAAATCTCGACCACGACGCTGTCTAAAATCTGGTAGGCGTCCTTCAGAGCATTGTCCTTATCACAATGATTTCTCGCGGCCGATCTCGCCCTCTTCAGATTTGAGCTTCTCTTGCCTGAGCATGTTTCTCCTACTGAGTATCCGTAGCGTCCGTTCTTTTTCTGATTCCGCCATACTAGCCCAATTTGCGATTCTGCTCAATGTGCCATCGGAGTTCACAACCAGCGGTCCGAAATGGTCGAGCTTCACTGTATGAACAATATCTGAATTGTTCGTGGGCTGTGGTGGAGGAATCCCTGAAGTTGAAGGCAACGCGAGAGGTTCATTACGTAGATGCGTCTCTCTGGATGCCATGACTGTGGGTGAGCTGAACATGTGCTCGTGGTGAAGACCCAATGCAAACAAAGAGAGTCAGAACGAACCTTAGGCGCCTGTGGATGTGGAAAGAAAGTGTAACGAGGCCAACCTTCGATATCCTAGCGTATATCATGCTCATGCCTCAGGCAGTAATAGGACGCATCCAGGCACCTGCCACTAAACTTTGCTCGAAACAGTAATTCTCGAAATTGGCGACTGCTTTGCATTGACTGTCACACCCTCCTACGTGATGCATCGTGAAACTCACAAGGATGTCTGCCTACAGGAGTCAATTTGTGCGCTCCAAAAAGGTGTAAGCTACTATATAGGGGTTTGCTAACTCGCCTGTCGCCTGGCCATTACGAGTACCACGACCTTGACGATTCCCGGAAATATCAGCTCGACCACAGGCATCGTCCCTGGCTCTCCACGAAGTGACCAATTACAGCGACCTGCCAACTGAATTTGTCGTACCTACAGTGTTTACTACATCTGCATCTGATCCAGCTTATGCTAGCTGTCGCAAGAGTCACGATAGTCGTCACCTATCGCACCGGCAGAAATGCGCCACATTCGGTCTAGCCCCTGAGACAAGCGAGCAGACGTGGTTTCGTACCAATGACCGTTGTTTCAGCACTAGGGCAAAATACGAGATATAAGACACACAAGTTCAATGCTGATGATCAATTCGCAGAGCGGTTCGTATTGTTCCCTCTGGTCTGGTCGTGTCTTGAGGTTCTTCTGTTGCTATCATGCGCCGAACTTGATCGCGCATTCGCTTGTCCGGCCTTCGTGAGATGACAGGGAAGTTGCTCCACGAGTCAGTAAAAGCTTTCATATCCTTTCCTGACAATTAAACCGAACCACGAGCCACAGGACTACATCACTCCTTGCTTTTATCTTTCACCTTTTTACTCCCTGTATATGTCACTAGCCTGTGTTTGACTGACTTTCTCTGCTGATTCTCTATATCGTTGTATCGCCATCATGGTAAGTCAGACGTGTTTCAGTTGAGGGGTGTGCTCATCGTCGTGTTAGTCCTATCATAGCGCCTCTGGAAGGCTTAGACAACACCAGCAGCACGAGTATGCTCTTTGAAGTTGGTTTTCGCAGAGCTGATTCAGAACAGCAGATATCCTATGACACCACAGGCCCGCCCTCGAGATACGAGTGCTGGGCACATCCAGCAATCTCACCACGCTGCAGGCTCAAGTCCATACTGGTCGTCGCCTGATCCAAGATCTTCACCTCCACAGGCCCATACATATATTAACCAAGACTCGTATGCCTCACACACTCCGGATACATCTTACCAAGGTAATTCAACCTGGACTTATGATGTACGTGAAAACAATCATCCGGGATACCATTCGATGAGACACCAAAGAGACGTGCGTTCCCACGAAAACCCCAAAGCTCTTCATACAAGAATCGACTGACCGCCCTCAGGATATCGAGCAGATACGTGTGGACTATGAGCCTGAAGACAACCACAGCCACGACGCAAGATCTAATTATAGTGCTGTAAGACTGATGAACCGATTTCCAGCTCCCACTAACAGATTTAGGCACATCCAGAGCACACACAAGAAGAAGCTGGTAAACCGATCTTCACTACCAGTGTCCGCGAAGTCAAGCAGAACAGGCGAGGAGGACACCCAGATACTAACATGAAAGCTATGGACCGAGTTTTGAACAGACTAATGGACGCGATCAAAGCCAAACACTGGCTATACTGGATGAGTTCCAAATACTTCCACCGGGACGCGGTCTTCAGCACAAAGAACCCCGGTTCGTATCAAGCACCAAGTCGAACTCCACAATCGGAAGGATCCAATGACAAGAGGTATGTACATCTAGATGTGTTCCGTCGCGGCAGAAAGTTGAACAACGACGATTACTACCTGGACCCGCTGAATGGCAAACTTCGAAAACTCTTTGTGCAGACCACCGACACAATCTACGAAAGTAATACCGATGCACGTTCCTGGCGCAGAACTTATATCAGGAACGTCAGCCCCCGCTTGATACGTCTGGCTTTTTGGCCCTATAGCGCTGCACCAAGCTCTCGGGCCACCCATAAGCTAAAGAGGCGTGACATCTTGGACAAAGTCAACTCTAAGACTGCGGACTGGGATCAATCACATTGGGTTGCGGTGGGCGCCCGTTGGCTGCCAGCGTGTATCGGTCTCCTTGTCTTGGTAAGCCCATGATGAAGAGGGTTCTTCAAACGTCGTTCCTGATTCGATTTCGCAGATGTGCTTGCCAACTGATGCCGAGGGTCAAGTCAGAAACAATGGCTTCTACGATCCTGTTCCATACAAGTGGTGGAGTTATCCAACAGCTGCACGCAATATTTATGAGGATCGCAACGTGCAAGCCTTGAGTAAGACGAAGCACGTGCTTATGGAACGACGACATCTACCTCGATTCTTATGTTTCACCGATCGCGTCAGAGACAGAAACAAGTATCCTCGAGGTAGAATGACACCTGAGGAATGGATGAAAGAAACGGGCGAAAGCGTTCCGCCTGCATATCTCTTCGTCTCGTACACTGGTGAACATTTCAAGAGGGCCTGCCCCGAAGGGTGGAAGCAGTTTGGACAACGTGGAAAGGTAGAATGCAATTGTACGTGGTAAGTGTTTCGCGCAAGCCAAACTTTGACTGATATTGACCTAGGCGAGCAATGCCAGAGTCACAAGTCTGATGTAGAGTTCCTGCATGAGAAATCGCGCCAAGCAGCCAAGGAAATTGGTGTCATCGCTTACTGGACCGATCAGAATTGTATGTCTACAGATGAGGTTGAACACAGTCAGGATGTTTACAGTATATGTGACATCGTGCGGGCAGCATGTTCTATTGCGATTATCGTTGGGCAGGCAGGTACGAACGAGCTCCCTCAAGACGTGACAACATCCGATCTCATGAAGGAGTGGGGCGAAAGATTATGGACATACCCTGAAATCCTGCTCAGTCCGATCGGCAAGCCTATTACGGTCTACACTAGGGGCTCATCAAGAAAGCCATGGCAAGTATCCAAAGCGCATTTTGCGAAGCTGATATGGAATGACGCCGACTCCAGTCGCCAGCTGATGGAGCACTATGAGAATTCACTGACCCTCAGTCGGTTAGAACTGGTTGTGATAGCGCTTGAATGCATGACGAATCGTGTTCACAGGGGCACAACGAATTACAAGGAGGGCGATCTGGCGTACTGTTTGATGGGATTGCTTAGACAACGTCCCAGGGTCGAGGCAGACGATACTGCGTTCCAGGCATTTGCTCGCTTGTCCTTGTCGAACGATAGCGATCAGCTTCTCGAACGTATGATCTGTCTGTTGACGAACACGAAGAGTGAGGACCAGCGGATTGTGAAGAATGCAAAAGGTGACGAAGAGATAAACAATCGACACTGGTGGACTAACCTGGAGGACGCCTGGGGTGTCAGATTGTGGGACATTGAGCCACTTTGCCAGGTTGCAGGAATAGCTGATAATGACACCGTCATCCTCGATGGAGCTTATGGCGCCACTGTCACCTGGGACTCTTTCCAGCGAGTTGCGATCACGACACGTGAGACCTGGTCGAGGATGCTGGCCAGGCTCTTAGTGCGCTTCAGCCCTGTTTGGTTCCTGACCGATCTCATCATTCTTGTCATTGGCTCTAGTAGCAATGACCCAGGTATGATCGCCTTCGGTGTCCTCCTCCTCTTGCTCGTCCTGACTCTCATACTCTTGTCACCTATGTTGGTCTTGAACATATATTCTGGCAAAGTCTGGAACGCGCAGCCTTGGCTTTTTGGCTTCGAAGGATACATGGATCTCGACGCGATTGAGAGGAAATTATTCGGCTTCCCTTGTGATCGTCTGACATGGGCACCATATTCTAGTCCCCTGTCACAACACACCCTGAACGAGCAATTTCTTGACGATGAATGTCAAGGTACAACGCCACTACTAAGCGACACAGATTCACAAGCAGGAAACTCGTCAACAGCTCATGAAGTCAACGGTATGAGACTGTTCACAATCGTGGACACACATACTATGTAAGATAAGCCTGCATATACTAACTTCTGAAAAATGCTAATCAGGCTTATAGGACTGTATCAGTTTTTCGAGCAGAGCGACCACCCGTCGTTGCCCTGCTGTGCGGCTCAGGAGGAGGCATGCAACGGGCTGTCATGTGCTCGTATGATTGGACTACTCAGACATTTTATAGGGAGACTGTCTTAAGAATGGAAACTCGCATGTTGGACAGGACGCCTAGGATTGGTAGGGTTCGATTCGGGATGAAGAGGATGAAAGTCGAGATGTGACAATGCAATATGTCGGAGAGAGGTTTCGTCATTCTGTTGTACTTCGGGCGTTAATGACTGGAAGGAATATCGGGCGGATGTTGTGAAAAGGCTGAGGAGGACGCCCCGTTTCAATAGGTACTAATCTTCTCTATATGCTTAAGATTCATGCTATTTACTCAGTCACTCCTCGTGCATCGTTGTGACTTGATACTACTCTAGTAGGAGCTTGCGATAGAATATGGGTACACTCTGCTCCTATCGTGGAACTCATCATGATCAACGCATCTACTTCCAATCGAGGTTGTGCTTGATCTGAATACTTGAGTAGATTGTCAATTGACAGTCTCTGAAGGACCTTTTTCGCCATTCTTAATACAGTATCAACTGCACAACAAGCACATGCGATTCAGAAACACATATACTTGGTACAATCTACGTAACTTTCCTCCAAACCTGCAATTTCACCTGCCAAGCCGCCCAGAAACGTCGAGGCGTAAAACATGGCGTTCGTGAGCGTCAGATCCTGCCGAGAACTCAAAGCTCCGCCCCTGAACGCCGAAATTTCCGGCGTCTAAATTCAGATTGCATTTTGAAAAAGCCCCTAACGTGGATCGGTTCGTGGTGGCTGAAGTACGTAATGTACGGAGTACACGACTTTTTGAGGACTTCAAACATTGTATCTATGATCTACTGTGGTATTGCAGCATGCGCCGATTAAGCAAAGAGAACCCCATAAGCTATGATGAACGCCCGTAGGATAATGAATTCAGACACTTGCTCTGTGTGGCGGTGCTGAGGACTTATAACGTTGTTCAGGCCGTGTTCAGCTGAGACGAATAACGGCATCATGAGCTTCAGCCATGGCTTGGACTGATTTCGTAGTTGACTGTAATAGTATGGCGATGCTGCTTGTAGTGGTTTTCGATCGCTGGAAGTGTTCAAAACCACAACACCTCTGCTCATGTCATTGTTTGCACTGGTGCCCTCCTGAAATGGCGTAAAACACCATTATCGCATCCTGTAAATATATCCGTCTATGTTGTAAGAACAAATGAAAAATCCCTGGGTAAATTCAATGCCACTCTATTGTCGTCCAAATCTAAATCTATGTTGTATATTGTATTGCCGTGTTATGTCGTTTCGTCGTCCCTAGTAGGGTCTGTGCATCTGGAAGGAAAAGCTCGAAAACTACAGAATTGCTGTATGTGTGTGTATGCGGGGATGCCTTTAGCGATACGCCAACCCGTCGGCCTGTGGGATGAACAATGTACGATCGCCTCTTGATGATTCAAACTTCGTAGGTATTTTGCCCAGGCTATCCAGCTTTTCAGGTCGATTGAGTCCGTAACTGACAATCCTATAATCGTAGTGCCAGTCGTTGAACTTTGGTTGATGCCCGCCGTATACGAATGCGACCCAAAAAGAGGCGACCATCGCTAGTGCTAGCAAGAAGACTCTATGGCAGGTGTTGAACGCCATTGTTGAAGTGAAAGGTCGGGGTTTGTGGAGGAAAGAACGTGAGGAACAAGCAGAAGCATCAAAGAAAGGTACACACGTACAGGGAACGATGGGCATATAGCAGTATACGCAGCATGACTCGCGAAAGTGAGAGCTGAAACTTATCTTGAATTGGGATGCACGTGCCGGAGTTGATGAGTACTATAGATAACGCCCCTGAAATTCCACATGTACCATGATACGCAAGCGATGGACAAAGGTATTGGAAAATGGGCGGGAACATGTCAATGCCCAGAATAAATGTACAGGGATTCTGAGCGCAGCCAATCGAAGACCGGGACCCTTGCTGGTCCATTCATTGGCTGGTTCGCTCGCGGCATATGAGTGGAGTGAAGACAGGAGATTACATTGTCGTGCCTAGACAGTTACGAAAGCCACAAGCTGAAATAGAGACAATGACTCGCAGCACTGATGATTTTCGATTCAGATTCAATGTCGCATTTGATTGAGTCTGAATATTTGTGGTCTTCCAGGTCTTCCAAGTCTTCCACGGGTAAGAGTTCGACCCGTCGGCCCTAATACTTGGCTCCGACAACCAGCGTGCTCCAGGATACACAAGAAGAGTGCTTGCCTGACTACGACCGCGGGCCGTGAACCGCATTATCTCACTCAAATGACCTGCCTAGATCTTGAGGTCTTTCTCCTTTCGGGCGGTTTCTGGATGACTGTCTTGGAGGCCATCAAAATACTTCCTCTTCTTCTCATCCATCTCTTTTTCCTCCATGCCATCTTCGTATTTGACAACAACATTACCTTCGTCATCAAGGAGGTTACTCTTGTTGTCGATTCCCTCCCACTTGACAAGCCCGTCGCCTGTGAAGTCAACTGTACGCTGGTTGTAGAACATGTGGCAAGTCGGTTTGAAGTTGTCCCGAACCTTCTTCTCTGCAATATTGTCGATCAGTGTTGGGAAGAGCAGGATCATGTTTCGACCTTCATCCATAATAGGAGTTCGGCAAAATGCGCACTGCACCTTGCACGGAAGATGATGTGTGTTGGACTTGTTAGTAGGATCATACCAGCCAAGGTCGTGGATTCCGTTAGTAAAATTAATTACATCTTTGGGAAAAATCGTGGCCCATTGGAACGGAGCCTGGGTCTGTTAGCAAGATTTTCGACCATCAGCGACGACGAGGACGTACTCCGTGCAACTTCCTGCAGGTAGAGCAATGGCAGAATTTCGCTGCGAGAGGCTTCTCTTGACTCAGTTCATATCTGACCTTGCCGCAGTGGCACCCTCCCTTCCATTTCGCAGGGAACTTGGAATCATCATCGTGGATCTTGTATGGCACTCTGTGCTTCCACTCGTCCTCCTTTCGGTCTGACCGATTACCAGCTTGAAACTGATGAGCTTCATCTGCGGCACCAGATTGGTCCTTTCCAATATGCTCGTTGACAGCCTCCTTGTTGTTGTGTTTGTTCGGCATCTTGAGAAACTGAGACGACGAGAACACTCGAGCGTGTAGAGAAGCTTGAGGCGATCTGAGATACGAAGAACTAGTTGTAAAGTTCGTGGTACAACGAGATAGACGTAGAGGTGAAGTTCGAAGGAGAAAAGTCATGGGCGGAATTTTGCAGGTGTTTTTCGGAGAGACAGGTTGGAGAATCCAGTGCGCATGGACCTGTTCATCAATTGATATCACAGCTGCAGCCGTACGTCAGTCCAGATGTGTCGATGTCTTCACTGGTAGAGTGCGTGGGAGTGAATGCGCTGGCTTGCCTATCACAAGCTGTAATCGCGAAAGCAGCACGCGAGAACCCCACAATCGCGCCTCCCCTCTGAGGTCATCACTATGATGCTGACATTGTTGATCTAGATCTGATAGATTGAGTTTCAGTCCGACCAATCACGAGACAGTACAGTAAAAGCCAAAAGTGACCGCTTCTCGGGCGATGACACAGCATCTAAGGCCATGTTTATTCGTTCGGACTTCTTTTAGCCGCACTACTGTAAGGTACAGCTTAACGTCTTGAGCTTGAACATGATGCAGTCCTGCTTGTGCATTTACTCGTGCACAAGAAACAACCGCGATGCGTCGTAGAGTCAAGATTAAGTTTGATTATGCTAGATCAAAGTATCACTTCAACCCGGTGGCCCGAGCGATCCTGTTACTACCGAAGAGTTCGAAGAGTTCCGCAGATGAGCTCTCGAACCACGAAACAAGCTTTGCCAAATAAAGGCCTCACTAAGCAACAGCTCGATGTCCTTTTCCGTCCAATCTCTTGTTGGCAGCGCCTGTAGGAACATCAGGATCTCCTGAAAGTTCATCTTCATTAACTGATCTGACCACTTCACCAGGAATGCAGCACAGACATAGAGGTGAAATTGTGAAAAGCCATCTTCTTCCGCCTAGCACCATTCGTTAGAGCACTTCTTCATAACGTTTTGCGTACTTACAAGATAGGTGTCCCACATCCGAATAATACTACGCATGCTGAACTCACGCATAAGCAAGCAGTTCATCCATCTGAAACTGAACTGCATGTACTCGACATTTTCCTCTTCAAAATGCCTAGCCAGACGATCGTCGATCCTTGCAGTAAGGTTCCTCAATGCTGCGACTTGACGATGAATACCCGGCTGAGCCACAATGTAGTTGTCTTGTATGCCGTCAAGTAGTTTGGATAAACACCAAAACGTGTCGGCTTCCACAGCGTCGAGTACCTGCTTCGGTAGCTGGCCAGGATCCATACCTCTTTCGATGTTTGAATCCGTAATATACACTGCCAGAAAGACTTGCCAGAACGGTGTGGCCAGATCATTGATACCTTGGACGTATCCACTGGCGGGATGTCGTAATGACCAGACGTACAATATTCGCTCTAGCGACCTCTGGGTGGCTTCGTACTGATAGAGAGGAATATGTGGGTTCGTGCGAGGCACGTCAATAACGATTTGATGCCAAAGTGCTTCGTCCAACCCACGACCGCGACCATTCGTATACGAGGAATTGGAGGCAAGGCCAGAACTGTTGTAGTTTCGATGAGCAGCGCTCCCTTCCCCAAAAGCTTGCCTAACACCATCTAGATATTCCTTTCGCTTCCTGTCCAGCGTGGTAATCCTTCTTTCACTTTGAGCTGGCAAGTACCCAAGGAGAAGCTGCCAGGTCATCGCACGCACTTCTTCAGGAATACCTGACCATGCTGCTGATCTCAATTCTGGAAGTGATACCGTACTGGTCTGAAGTATTCGTTTGAACTTGTTTATCCTCGATATACGAGTGTTGTGTGTTTCGACTTGTTTTGCACTGGCGTCCGACGACAATGGCGGATGTCTGATGAGGTGTAGCGAGTTCGCGGGATCCGACAAGACCTCCTTGTATTGTGGTCTCAAAATCTTTCCTTCAATCCTACGTGCACTCGGGTACGATAATGGGTTTCTTTCTTCTGCAATGTCGAAGCTGCTGGATCGCTCATGTCTCGAGGTTGACGGTACTAGCAAATTTGGTGCTGAGCTTGTCCTCTCGAGATCCGTGCCATATTCCAGCATGGACAATCTATTGTTTTTGGCCTTTTTGCTCTGGAAATTAGCTATACTTGGTAGTCCAAATTCGTCTTCCTCATCCTCGTAAATCAGCCCATCGTCCTCTTCGTCAACAGGTGCAGGCCGATCTATGACACTCCAGCCGCTCGGAGGTGAGGAAAGGCGTGTCGCAGGCTTGCGCTCGGGCGATTGGTACTTGTTTCTATCGAGGGATGGAGTAGGTGATGCTCGTGAGGAAGACACTGGCGGCGTTCGGGGTCTCGAGGAGGATCCAATAGAACTACAGCTCTCAGGGCTTGCTCTCAGGCTACAATACAATACTTACAGAGAGTCAAATTTCAGCATATCAGCGTGAGAGTATGATGCTCCCACTATCATGCCTCCCCTGCCCGAGGCATTTCTAGGTGGCTGTGGTCGGCTACGCCAGAAAGGTGATGACGACCGGCTTGAAACAGTCAGTTTGACGACTGGACTCGAGATTGAGATTACATACGTACTCTGGTCTGTCTGCAAGCCTAGTATGTTAGCCACATGTTTTCAGGTGGAGGAAAGAGGCATGTGCACAAAATGTGGAAATAGGTGAACCCACCTGTACCATCTCCTAGTCAGGTGTTAGCCATGTCCCTCTATCGAAAACAGCTTGCGCACCTGCTGAATCTTCTTGGAAGTCATCTTGTTGTGTAGGTACTGCTACAGCCTGATCAGGTGCTGGGACGAGCTGGTTTGTGCCGCTCGTGGTATGCCCGTCCACATTGAAACCAGATGTTCACGTTGCGCAGTATTTGCTGCTTCTTGATCGATGTTGTACTACTGCTGTAGAAGCGTGTATTGTTCCACCACAATGGACGTCGTTCCTGCCTATTGTTGCTCCTGCGATTATGGGCGACTTCTAGAGGCAGGAGCGGCCAATTACGTTTGCCAAGACTGGGGATTTAGGGTTCGGTTGGCAGTCGCTTTCACCTGAACCAGGCCTGCATACCACGCCGTTTTTATCACTCCCCTTTGCAGTCCACCTTCCCTTGACTTGCTTCTTTCAACCACAGATCAGTCTGACGCAGTACGCGCACCCATCAGGGATTCAACTTAGGGATCAAAATTATCTAACGTCCACCCCTTCCGTCATATTGTAGCACAATCTTGCTTCGTACTATCTTTCTTTCTGAGCACTCCAGCACGAGAAAGCTTTACAACGCTGACTGTACCTGTCGAAATTCGATCGACACTCAACTTTCAAAATGGCAGAAGAGATGGAAGAGGATCTCTTCGCTGATCTATACGACGGTGATGAGACCACGAACAATACCAAACCAAATCCCCCTATGCCAACAGAGACTGTCGAATCGAAACCGACACTACCAGAACCTGCAGGCGTGAAGGTAGAGCCTGGTTATGGCGAAGAACCAGACACAGCAGGTGTCCCGGATTCTTTTGAAGACGCAGGCAATGATGACTACAAAGAAGAACCTTTTTCTCCTGGTGTTCAAGATTTTGACAGACCACAAAGCACGGTAGATATGTCCTACAGAGACGAGCCGTTACAGATGAAAGAAGATGGGTAAGTCAATCCTCCTACACTTTTACGCGTTGTAGTCTGTGATCGTTACAAGAAGTGAGTTTGCGAAAAGCCGCATGGTACTGCATACAACCCAATCTTCGAAACCTTGATGGGCGATGATTCGGCTATCAAGAGAGAAATACGTACTCTTTGGTACCAAGCCGTTTTGAGGTTTGAAGGTCTCAAAGCGTCCACTCGACGGACTTGATCGAGCACAAGGGTGGGATATACAAGGAATCAAGCGAATCTGGACATCACGCTATCAGAACTCAAGAAATCTTGTTTCATAAATGGAAGTCGGGTCAGGATTGCGAAATTCTGCGATCGTATTTGCGAACTAGAGAGTTCCTTTGGTGGAAGCCTAGACATCAGATACAGGTGTCAGTGCAGACACAACTCAGCCATAGCATGTCTGATATGAGAGAGTGGCACGAATTACTTCGGTCTTCCAAAACGAAACTCAGGGCGGAGCAGTCATCTTCAAGTTCAGACAGACAACACAGTCCATAACAGATCGATCACCATAGAATTCACGCTCGCCAGAACCATGAAGGATGGTATCTGCAACAATAGCTCCCGTGCTCTGTTGAGCCAGGCCTAGCAAGTACGATTATAGAAAGAGCAGTATCTATCAGTGATCATACGAGAATCGAGATTTACTACATCTTGACCGATCATAAAGCTGAGCATATGCGGCCAGCAGAGCTAAACCAAATGAGGAATTGAGGCAATGAGCTCTGCAGGCATATAGACATAAACCACACATATGTTTTGCACACACGCAAGCAATTACTATATTGAGCCAATGAGGACTAGAGCGGGTTGGCGCTGGTACAAAGACTTTGTATTGTTATGGCCTAGGACTTGTACCTCCGTTCCAGCCTGCTCAGCTATATGACCAAAAGGCGAATGGCATGATATGACCTTGAATGATCAGACTCTCTGTTCCAGCGAGGCGCGGGCGACGACGACAATGCCCACAATATACACCTGCACCGGGCATAGATATGCAGACCACATGAATATGCGAATGCAGTACCATGCGGCTTTGTTTGGGTGGATGACGGCAGCAAATGATTGTTTCACGTTAGATCCTGGATAGGTTGATAGCTAACGTATATTCTTCGCAGAAAAATGTTCATTGGTGGCCTCAATTGGGAAACAACTGATCGTATGTTCACAAGCAATAATTCTGGTATATCTTGGTTGTTACGGAGTGTATCTAACCAGGACAGAATCCTTGCATGAATACTTCTCACAGTTCGGCGAAGTCCAAGAATGCACAGTCATGAGAGATGGCGCCTCTGGCAGATCTCGAGGCTTCGGCTTTTTGACATTCAAGGATCCTAAAGTCGTCAATACTGTCATGGTCAAGGAACATTTCCTAGACGGCAAAATTGTAAGGCCCAATTTCTTTGAAGATTCCCTGGAAAAACAAGTTTCCCTTGGTTCTGCCCCCGCAGAAAAACTTGAAAAGCGTTATCGTTCCCCGAACAAAAGACCTTGTAACAGAAGCTTACAAAGAGGTGTCCAGATCGACCCCAAACGGGCCATCCCACGAGACGAACAGGAAAAGACCTCCAAGATATTTGTCGGAGGTGTTTCGCAGGAAGCTACTGAAGACGACTTCACTGCATACTTTGCACAATTCGGGAGAGTCGTCGACGCGACCTTGATGATGGACAAAGATACTGGCCGACCACGAGGCTTTGGATTCGTTACGTTCGATAGTGAGGCTGCAGTTGAACGAGTGTTGGAGCATTTTCCATTAGAGATTATGGGCAAGGCAATCGAAGTAAAGAAAGCTCAGCCACGTGGCAAGATGGGCGAGGAGGAGCATGACCAGCGAGGAAACCGCAAGGGTAAGTTCGGCAGGGATCAAGGTTTTGACAACCAACCACAACAACAAGTCCAACCAATGCAGAATCAAAACATGATGGGTCAGAGCGGTATGACTCCTCAGATGATGGCTCAGTATTGGCAAAAGATGCAACAGTGGCTCGCCATGATGCAACAGATGCAACAAGCCACCATGGGCGGCATGGGCAACATGGGAGGTATGGGACAGATGAACCCTCAGATGATGGCACAGATGCAGAACATGCAAGGCGCTGGGATGCAAAACATGACTCCTCAGATGCAACAACAGATGATGCAAATGATGCAGATGCAGAACGGCATGAATATGGGTAACCAAAATGGTGGTGGAGTAGGAGGCGGTCGATCTGGCTTTTCAGCAGCTGAACAGCTCGCGTTTGAGCAACGAAAGTATGAGCAACAAGCATCCCGGAAGTCCAGCGGCTTTCAAGGTCGAAACAACAGCCAGAACCAAGGTGGACCACAATCCTGGGAAGGCATGTATGACGGCGAGCCTCAGCCTGATGGTGGTAGTCAAAATGGACGAGCTTCTGTCGGAGCAGTGAGACACAATACACCTCAAGGCAATCGACCTCCTAAAGGACCAACACCACAGCCTCAAAGCAACGCTCCTGTTGGTGCTCCAACTGGCCCAAAGAATGCCGGCAAGCCTGGGTCGAACTTTCGGGGCGGACGAGGTGGTGGCCGTTACCATCCTTATGGTCGTTAGAAGCGTGCTTCGACCTCTGTACTATGACTTGTGACAATTCCACATTAGTAAAAGGAAGGGTGTGGGACAAGGGTGATCACGTTGCTTGTGCTGGTATGGTCCAACATTCCAAGTGTGATCAGATTAGGAGTTCATTCCATTTTATTCAGCAGTAATGCTCAACACCAATGTTACCACATAACGTAAAGAAGAAGCGCCTGGAGTCGAATTTGGGGGTCAAGCCCTGTTTCAGAGCTGACCATGCAACCAGCTTGTACGTAACGAGATCGAGCATTCTTGCGTTAACAACTCTTGTTGAAAGCCATAAGTAAATCGTAGAATTGGTAGCGGCTGGAGCGTCCGCAAAGTGATGCGGAGCCTCGTCGCGTTTTATGCCTGAGGCAGACATCTTGTCACAGTATTGGTGCGCAAATCTGAGTGAAGCAACATGAAAGCGACATCACCAGCTCTCATAAAAAGGGACTGATCTTACTGTATCGCAGACAGTACACTTATTCTGACTGTTTGCTTGTACTAGCCACTACAGCCATCATTATTTGACACCACATCCGCTACTCACTCGAGCCCTGAGATCCTTCTCCCCAACCATGAACGGCGATTCATATGGTGGAGGCCGTGGTACGTCTCTCCTTCTAACGAGTTGCCTTTGACTAATAACTTTGTAGAATCTGGCCGGTCGCGAGAACACTATGTGAGAAGACCTGCGACGACGGTATGCTTCGCTAACAACTTTCTACAGAGCTCGCGACACGAAAGAGACGACCGAAGAGATCGCGATCGGGATAACAGAGACAACCGACGGGACGGTCACAGAGACAGAGAGCGCCGAAGAAGTCGATCCCCACACGGACACAGATCACGAAGAGAACACGACGATTCCTATTCCTCGAGCAGAAATTACAGAGAACGCGAACGAGAAGAGCGATACAGCAGCCGGAGAGACGATAGAGGAGATTGGGATAGAGATCGTGGTCCACGACGTGGAGGTCGAGACGATCGCCGCGATAACCGCAGAGGAGACCGTGATCTATTCGACGACCGCCGTGGACCTCGTCGAGGAGGTGGAGGAGGAGGAGCAGACAGGCAGGATGATCAAGGTTTAAGGGAAGATCGTGACGAGTTCGCAGCTCAAGCTCGCGGCGCAAAAGCAAGCAGTCCTCCTCCCAAAAAACGTGAACCAACACCTGATTTGACTGATGTTACACCTATTCTTGAACGAAAGAGACGTTTGACGCAGTGGGACATCAAACCTCCTGGCTACGATAACGTGACCGCGGAACAGGCGAAGTTGTCTGGCATGTTTCCTCTTCCTGGTGCGCCTAGGCAGCAGATGGACCAGGCCAAACTACAAGCTTTCATCAATCAGCCAACGAATGCCGACAAGTCTGCGCTCAAGCCTGCTACGGCTCGACAGTCGAAGAGGTTATTCCTGCACAATATACCGGCCTCGGCCACGGAGGAGAGCATGCTGGGTTGGTTCAACTTACACCTGAACGGATTGAACGTGACACAAAGTAGTGACCCTTGCATATCTGTCAACATGTCGAACGACCACAGTTTTGCTATCGCAGAATTCAAGACACCACAAGATACGACCGTCGCTCTGGCGCTGGACGGTGAGTCCACAGAAGAGCATGTGCGTGAAGCAAACGGAAATGCAGAGCACGGCGTCAAAGGCCTGGAGATAAAGAGACCAAAGGACTATATCGTTCCCTCGCCCGATCCAGAGCAGTACAATGCTCTCGGAGATGGAGGAATATCGACTGAAGTACCCGACTCGGAGCACAAGATCTGCATAAGCAATATACCCTCCTTCCTATCAGACGACCAAGTCATAGAATTAGCCAAATCGTTTGGCGACGTGAAAGCTTTTGTGCTTGTCAAGGATCGAGGTTCTGATACTTCAAGGGTAAGTACACTGTTTCACTCCCTTTATCATTCTAACAACGATACCAGGGCATTTGTTTCCTCGAATACGCCGACCCTGAAGCAACAAGCATCGCCATTGAAGGTCTCAACGGCATGGACATCGGCGACAACAAACTGAAAACAAACTTCGCCTCAATCGGTGTAAAACAGGCAATCGGCATGGAAATGGGTGCTCAAGCCATGTCAGCATTCGCAGGCACACAAGCAGCCGACAGCCAAGAAGGCCGAGTTGTACAACTTCTTAACATGGTAACAGCAGAAGAACTGATTGATAACGACGAATACGAAGGTATATTCTTGTCCTACTCTTTCTCCAAAGCCATCATACTAACACGACCCCTTAGAAATCTGCGAAGATGTCCAGGAAGAATGCTCAAAATACGGACAAATCATCGACATGAAAATTCCACGACCAGCCGGAGGAAGTCGCCAGTCCAACGGCGTGGGTAAGATATTCTTGAAATATGTGGATGCAGAAGCTGCGAAAAAGGCGTTACAGAGTCTTGCGGGTCGGCAGTTTGCGCAGCGGACGGTTGTGGCTACCTATTTTGACGAGGCTAGCTTTGAGGTTAATGCGTGGTAATAGTTCAGTGCGGCAGCACGTTTGCAAAAGAGTAAAGCGGAACTACGAGAGAATTTTTTGTATGGAACGGGGATACTATGAGCCTGAGAAGCTGCTAGGTTATATCGTGTCGTGTGTGCGTGAAGGCTACAGCTGGCCTTGGGGAGAGAGCTGAGGAGAGCACACTGCGGCTGTGAAACCTGTGCAGGCTCAAAGCCTTCACTGCTGAAAAATGCAGGCTCGCAGGTGAAAGCTAGTGGTAGTGATGTACAACAATGCTTCTTGGCCTTCTGCGAAGCTCGCTACTTAATTGATTCTTATGCCTGTCTTGTACATACTGCCCGCATGCGAGAACCTATGTACGTTTCATGCCACAGTATTCCCCCTGATGCCAATATTGTCCCACCAAATACGTGCACCAGGACCGTCACAAGCCACTTCAAATCTCAGAGTCCCACTCGAGCCTGCGGGTGTGAATGGTATCCACCTGTCAACCCACACCCCAATGTTGGAAGGCATCGTGAATGTGTCAATAGCTGTGTCGAAGAACTTGACGTTGACATTACAAGAAATCGGATAGAATTGTTGGTAATACGAGTATGAGAGGATCAGACTATTCGCTGCATATCCGGAGAGGTCGACGTTGTAGCGTTCAAAGGTGCTTTGAGGTTGATCTAATGTGACGAGAGCACACTGGCCGTGGACTAGGGTGACGGGGTCAGGGCGGAAAATCCCAGTCTGTTCGCCTATGGACCAGCCGCCGCGAAGGCCGGGACCTAGGACTGCTCGTTCCTCGATCGGCGTATCTTCGAAGTCTCCGTTGAAGAATCGTGTCTGTAAATTAGTAGTGAGCGAAACTGTTCTGATAAAGTAGAGGTGAAATCGAGTAGGAGAACTTACAGGACCGGATAGGGTTGCCTCTGTGATGGCGATATTGTCCCAGAAAACAACAATGAAGCTATCACATATTATGTCCCATTGCAAGGTACCACTTTCACTGACTGGTATGAAATCTATCGTTTTAGTGACCCAAGGAACTCGAGATGTACCAGAGGCTTCGAAAGCAAAGGTATCGAGAATGGCCTCTGCAAAGCTAACAGCAAACACGACAAGGATGAGTGCCATCATATTGCTGGTACGAGAAGGACAGAGAAAGCGTATTGCTGGAGAACTCCGCCAAATCGACGTTGTCCTGTTTGAATGTGTATAAGTTGTTGGCATAAGTAGCGATGATTTGGATACCATGTTCCAAAGAATTTTCGCTGAAATCGTCTATCCAGCTGTACGCATCAAGATCCCAGCCACCACGTAGCCCAGGGCCGTTGAGTTGCCGTTCGTCTGGTGGTGTGCTTTCAAGGTTCCCATTGAAGAGTGGCGTCTACGAAGATGTCATTGTTAGCGTATGGTGTTCAAACGGCTTTGGGAGAAGGTCACAGAGAAGCAGACTTACAGGAGCTGGTACAGACGAAGTCATCGTAGTCGTTTCTTCTGTCGTTGCCGTCGTTGATTCTTCAGTCGTGGTAGTGGTTGTGTCCTCTGTCGTAGTGGAGAAGGAGGAGGTGGTGGTGGTGCTTGTTTCCGAGCTGGAAGTCGTGTCGTCTATCGTAGTCGTTGAGCTTGTGGTAGACATCGTGGTCGACGTAGTGTCTATGTTCGAACTTGTTTCCGAACTTGTCGTAGCAGAAACAGAAGTAGCTAGTGAACCTTCGTCAGCTTCTGTACTTGTAGTCGAGGTAGACGTCATGCTGCTGGTAGTGCTCGTGGTTGTTGGGGAGGTAGTCGCAGAATATCTAGTTAGTTCTGTGGAGTACGTAGTACTGTCTACATTGTCCCTAAGTGTTATGGAAGTGCTGACCGTGGAAAGCATGGATGAAGTATCGTTAAAAGAGCTAGTCAAAGTGGAAGTGGTCATGGTTGTTGTCAATCCATCTTGAGTTGTGGTGGAGCTTGCACTGAGATACGGTGGCACAGTAGTAGTGGTAAATGTCGTTTCCTGATTTGTGATAGAAGTCGTTCCGGTGGAGGTGGCTGGTAGACTCTCGCTGGACGTGTTGCGGTCAATTATGGGAACCAGTGTGACCAGCTCAGCTTCAGCTGGGGCTGACTGGTCTATTGGGACTACTGCGATGAATTCGTTGGCGGCGTAGAACACGAAACCTGGGAGTGCAAGAAATGAAGAGGCGATACTCCAACCAGTAGGACCAGTGAAAGGCTGGGATCCTCCTAGATATGCTCTCATCAAGGATGATTCTGCAGAATCGAAAGCAATGATATAACTGGTGTTGAAGATAATCAATGAGCCAGAAGTAGATATCATCAATGGTGAAGCTTGAGTAGGAACGCTGACAAGAGTTGCAATATCGCCGATAAAGCTGAGGAAATGAACGTCTCGTTTAGCGAGTTGGTCACCATTGTTGAAGATGATCTCGATCGAGAATGGTCCTTGGGCCACAGAGCTTGTTTGCGAGCTCAACGTGCTTGTCGTGCTCGAAGTAATGCTGTCTGGTCGCGACGACAGCCCGGTAGTCAAGCTGTATGCTGATGGTGTGGATGTCGTGTCTATAATCGACGAGCTGCTCGTCGATGTCAGTGTGCCTCTATCCGTGTTCTGAAGAGTCGTAGATGGACTGGAAGAAGCAGAGAAATCATCATTAGTGTTTGCACGGGAGGACGTTATTGTGGTGATGGCAGTGGTCGTGGTTGTTGAAAGTTCGTCAATCTCCCTAGTATTAGAAACCGTTCCTGTAATCCTTGTCGACGTAGCTGACGCAGTCACGTATACGGTTTTAAATTCAGTGAAGGTCACTGTGTATGGATATTCAACACAAGTCGTTATCATAGTTTGGGCGTAGGTATGCAGTGCGAGCAGCCGAAAGAAAAAGAATACAAACAACATCTCCGATGGCTTCACCAGTACATTCGACCAGTCCTTGTGGCAAGTTGCATTCGTCCATCTCGTGCTTACCTGACTTTTGTGGTTTTCGACGCACCCTTGGTTTCACATTCCGGAGACTTTGACCTCAAAACACGTCGAGCATCCCTTGCTTAGCATTGTCCTCGAGCACAGATGCTCTTGTCTGGCTCCTGGAATGGTCTCGACCATAATGGGTCGCAGTACACATATTCAAAGTACAACACTCAAATGAGCTTCGGGTATCACATGAACCAAACATGCATGTTAGGGGACTTGCACAATATCGAACGACTAGAGCTTGGTACGCAGATGTGGCTCAGCTTCGTCTCTCCGTGATAGACCTGTGGCTGCGACTGTACGTTTCAAGATTGGGAACACAGAGGTGCAGGTGACATCTTGCATGAACCTCGACCAGTCACGAGAATATCAGCAGCCAGCTGGCCACATCCAATGCAGTGCGTTGGTCCTGTAGTAACTTTCTGGCTCTAAGCTGTTTGGTCGACCTCGCATTCGTCCCACAAATGTTCAGCCAATTCGGGCAGAGGTGACATCCGTAGCCCAATAAAACAGAAATCTCTGCAGAACACTGCATACATACTGCTTCTTCTGCAAGCGTTGGGCAGCAATATCGTGCAAACGAGTATATTAATCACACAACAGCTTCATGATAATCTTTTGTCTAGCTGTCAATGAAATATACAGACCGAATACTCACACCAAGTACTTCACCCGGAATTTGGGTGGTATTCCGTTTGTCTCGATGAGTAACGTTTTCGCGTGCCGAGGACCACATGATCCGTCTATGTGAAGTTAGTACTGAGCGTCTTGTTCTCGACGGTGCCTTTCAGGACTGCGCAGTCCTTTCTGAACACCAGTATCGTCATGCTTCACGTTCCCGAATGAACGTCCTGCGATCTCGAACCGTGGATGGTATGATGGCGTTCCGCTCGGACAGATTCCGCAAAGGCATCGTTCGATTTAGACTTGAGGCATAGGCTTAGCTGTTGTCCCGTCTCAAGATAGATTTGAAGAGGAAACCGACCGAGGCAGAGCTCGCCGAAAACGCCGAGCTTTCCCGTCAGCAAGACAATTGTGCCCTTCTGGAAGGCATAAGGCAAGAAGCTACTAAGCACGAACGTTTGAGCTTAACTCCAGAGCCATCCAACAGTAACCATGGAACCAAATCTTCCAAACCGAGGTATACAGCCGCCCAGGATGTTGGAGCGCGATGTCACTCTGTTATGGGGGACTCAGATGCTGTGGTTCTGATGACCTTGACGCAAGGCAGAATGTCTATACTGAACTATGTCTGCCTCTCAGACGCAGTCGTTGTCTCGCGGGATCAGTCTTCCAGCTTCAAGTCTGGCTGGTCCATCGGGATTATGATTCGGGAGTTTGCGGCCATCAAGTTTGCAATATCATCGTCGTTTCCTCAAGCATTTACTAGCCAAGCGTCTAACGCAAGTCTAGAAGCTGCTATCCACTTCAACGGCCGTCACTCGAAGCCAGTTCAACAAGTGATCGCGAGTCCATTGCTTTGGCCTACCGCTACCTGCGTTCTAACTACGTTTCAAAGTGATGCGCAGTCTTCCCTATCGATGGTGGTTCTAGAGTAGCTGCCTCACTTTCTCTCGGCTAGGTCCGACGGATCCAGCAGGCGGGTGTGGTATTGTTACATTCCATCGTGAATCGGGCCGTTGGCGAGAGGCCCAGGTTTCGGTTGGCGATGCGATCTCCTATTCGGATCTACCTTTAGTATCCGGGAAGGGAGAACAGATGTGATCAAGAAGACCAAGCCCAAAGTACAGACTGGGCCCGTTTGCGGTGCGCACTAGAATGTCTACAAATGAAGAGCGATAGTAAAGAACTGACAAGCCGTGTTAGCCGCTTGTCCATGCACGGTACTTGCTTGCATCACAATTGCACCGAGAATGAGGTTAAGCATATTTAACTCTACTCGTGCAGCACTGTTTGGTGCATCAATACTTCTGACCTGAACCGTGTCAAATTCGTGACAACGACTTACAGAAGCATTGACAATACACAGATGAGTGACTATTCCAGCCGACACGTGCGTTCAGCGATAGTGGAGGACGAAAGCAGAAGAAAGAAGAGTTTGCAACGACACAGCTTTCCGAAGGACAACATCTCAGGTAACATTGGATCGTTGTAGGCCACTGCCCCGAGTGGAGCTGACATTGCTGTGTAGAAGTGTTGTGCTCGCACTCGAGCCGGAGAAGAAGTGAAGTGAGAGCCTCAAGTCTCGACTCTCCTTCTCTTGCCACGGACGGACGAACATCACTAGCTGAAATCAGCAAAAGAGATAATGCTAGTGCTACGAAACAGCAACATCGAATCAAGGCGATAGACACGGTCAAGAGCCACGACTATCCTCAGCCTTGGTCGTCCGTTCAAGCAGGCAGCACCAATCCTCGCATATATACTTCTGGGACTTCACGAAACAACTCACAGGGCTCACTCTACCATCAACAGAGTGCTACACCTCTATCTATCCAGCCCTGCGAGCACGTGATAGTTGGTGTGGGTCGACATGTTGATGAACATTACTTGGCCGATTCCGATTGCTTTCTGGATAAGGGACGAACTGAGATTCATGAATGGCTATTATCAGTGATGCGTCCACCCTATATCACAGAATTTGCCCTCGCATACCGTCGAGCCACTGATCCAGGACCTTGAACGCAAAGTGACAGCACATACAATGCACACGCCATATGGATCTTCTACCCTTCAATGCGTCTGGAGTTTGACACAGGCAACTTACTTTTCCCTGGTTCTGTATTACTGGATTACAACCCCTGACTTTTGGTTTCTCGTCATTTCTGGATACTGTATAATTACGATTTCAAACGTTATCAGGCGTAATGTTACTGGCACAGACATCATAATCTTGTGAACTCCTGAGGATTGATATTAATTGTCGCAGCTTGTGCACTTTGCGTTCTCTCTCTCCGTTTGGATCCTGCCTACTCGAGGCTGTATTTGTACATGTGCTTGTATACTATACCAAATTTTATTTAGAGTTCAATCACATATGCTTAACATTTCAGAGCATTGTGATGCCTGAACAGTCTCCTGGCGAGGAAATTTTCATCTTCTGCGTCCACACGATGCTTTGTTGCTACTAGTTGTCGTGAATACAAACTGCATGGGTGAAACGAACAAGACTGAGAATCATTGTTGGTGCCTCGAGAGACAGGCTGCAGCAGGCGACAGCCGAGTGAAATCGAATATGTACCAATTTCAGGGTTTCCGTTCAGTGCTCGTGTCGTCACATGCCGCTAAAGTGATTTCTTTTGTTTACCTGCCGAGTTCAAGTTGTGACCCTGCAACCATATTTGCCTTACAGAAAGTGTTGCGATGCGCCTCCTGTAGCAGTTTCTTACCTTTCAACTTAGCTCCTTGTTCTTGTGTCTTTCTCACCTTGCGACGATCGCGATAGACTTTTTTGGCTACCATGGCTGACGACGAATTGTATTATTTGCAACCAGGATTCGACCTGAACACCTTGACTATCCCAAGACTCAGGCAGATACTGGTGGCGCACGACATTAATTATCCTTCTTCAGCGAAGAAAAGTGATCTAGTTAGCATCGTGACCCGAGATTTACTCCCACAATCGCGAAAACTCCTTCGCGAACGCGATAGAGTACGAAGGACCAGTAGAGGCATCACGGATGTGCCCAGCAGCCAGGAAGGTAGCACAGTAGACGACTATGAGGATGAACGAGAGCAGATGCCACTACCTGCGCCTAAGACGCCCAGGAGTCGGAAGAGCAAGAGTCAGCTCGTCCAAGAAGAGGTAGAAGCAACGCCCAAAACATCCCGAAGGTCAAAGACACCCAGCACGCGAAGGAGTACGAATACGCCTGCCATATCTGAAGCAGAGACAACCGAGACTGAGCAGGAAAGAGCACCGAGGTCAGTGAAGAGGACAAGGAAGAGTATGCCTGCACCAGATCCTGCCGTGAAAACCCCAGGTGTGCGATTGCAAGATGCTACAGACACACGCAGAGCTTTGGAAGCCGATGAGAGTCCTTTCACTCAGGACAATCCATTTCAGTCGGGCTCCAGTCCACCATCGGATTCGAGACGTGTACCCTCGAGTTCGCGTACCAGAAGATCGCTAGGCACCTCTAAAACAAGAAAGAGCACCAGCCGCAGAAGAACCTCACCCACAACCATCAAACGAGAATCGATTGAGTTCCCAGTCTCGCATCTTAGTACGGGCGTTGACGGGGTCGAGACCACCGAGGAGTTTACAGAGGATGCAAGGCAGGAGTTGAGTCAAGAGATGGCTGCCGATCGCAAACTTGTAAAGGCTCGAACGAAAGATGTGAAGAAACTGCAAAAACGGCCTCCTTCTACGGCTGCAAAAGCCGCACCTTGGACTGTACTTGTAACAGTGCTGAGTGCGGTTGCGGCCTGGTATCGCCAGGAGAAGGTTGCTGTAGGGTATTGTGGCGTCGGCCAACCACAATGGTCCCTGGCAAACGTCGAGGCTATTCCTTCATGGCTCCACGAAAACTTTCAACCAGAATGCGAACCTTGTCCTCAGCACGCGTCCTGCTATCAGGACATGAAAGCGCAGTGTGACCACGACTTTGTACTGAGACAACATCCTCTGAGCTTCAATGGTCTGATACCATTCCCTCCTACCTGCGAGCCAGATAGTGAGAAGGAACGAAGAATTCACTCTGTCGCCGATAGAGCTACTGAACTACTTCGAGATCGAAGAGCGACATATGAATGTGGCGGTGATCTCTCAACAACCACTTCTGGCACAACGTCTGCTAGCAGCGTAACTGTTGTTTCTCCAGCCAAGCTTGAAATTTCAGAAGAAGCTCTCAAGGAAACACTGTCTAAGCAGAAGCGTAAAGGCATGTCCAATGACGAGTTTGAGGATCTCTGGAACAGCGCCTTGACGGAAATCAAAGCTCGCAACGAAATTGAGGTAACCCATGACAAGTAAGTATCCCTATTCCCCAGCCACAACCTCTTTCTCGGTCCTCGAAAAACATCTCAAGCGAATCACTAACTAACAACAGCCCCGACATAGATCCGGACGAACTCTCCTCTCAAGCAACAGCTTCGCCAACCTCCCATTTACATGCGCCATCCGACGATCCGCCATCAGAGCCCTGGCAGCAAATCGAATCCCTATTTTCCTTTTAATCACGATCGTGTCCGGCGCCTTTTATGCGTACCGACGTCTACTGCAATTCCAGGCTGCGAAAACCCAGACTCCACAGCTTGTGGAAATGACACTCGATCGACTTGCCACTCAAGCTGCGCTACATGAAGATGGCAGGGTGTCCGAGGCCTACCTCGCTGTCGGACAATTACGTGACGACGTGTTACGGAACGTTTTCAGTCGCGCTGAAAGAGAACGTACCTGGGAACGAGTAAGGAAAGTAGTCGAGGCCAACAGCAATGTCCGAGCCGCAACGAGAGAAGGCAAAACCGGCGAATGGAGCAGAGTATGGGAGTGGATAGGTCCTGTCAACTTCGTGCCTGGTCTCGAAGGCAGGAAGAGTGGAGGTTTGATTGGAAGTTCTCCTGCTACTGCTTCTAGGGAAGGCACGCCGCCAGTTACTAATGGAAGAGTTACGGATCGAGAGTTCAGGAAGTGGGATGAGGGAAGGGCGATATATTGAAGGAGAGTCTTCCTTGTAATTGCTTTTACTTCTTTTGATGTGATACCCGTGTAATAATACTTGATCGTCTTACTACCTTCGGTCGATGTTCTCCAACAACTTGAAGCTGAAAGTGGTCGAGTGGTGAGCACGTGACACAGGGATTCGTGATTTGGTCGTTCCTTCCCGGACTTGCTGCTTGACAGCATTAGATATTTCGACATGCGCAAGAAAACAGGGTTAAACGATTCGCAGTCCCTGTCGACTGCGGGAGTGAAAAGACGAAAAGATTTTCTTTGCATGCTATCCAGCTTTGAAGACGTGCATTATGCTTGCTTGCAAAAAAGGTTCATGGAGAAGTACCTGACCTCGGTTGAGGAAATGTACTTTGTACCTACCATCGGCGAAGCACCGTATATGCCGTTCTCATTGCTGAGCAAGCTATTAGTACAGTAGGAGTATGTCTCTACTAATGTACTACATTTCTGCACCAGAAGCATGAGCATCAGCACGAATGACCATGTCGACAAACCCAATCTGAGACTCATTGATAACCCATGGTTCCAAAAATGCCGTCCTTTCGTGGTAGGAGGTTGCTCTGGCATGATATCGACGTGCATCATACAGCCCTTGGATCTTCTCAAGGTACGACTACAGCTGTTCGGTGAGGGTTCCAGTGGCGGACCGAAGCCTACTCCGGTCGCATTGGCTAGGACTATCGTTGCTCAAGATGGGGTTGTGGGCTTGTATAATGGTCTATCTGCGGGTCTCTTGCGACAGCTTGTGTATGGTACGGCACGTCTGGGGTTGTTCTTCACCTTTGAAGATACGCTGAAGCAGAGGGCGGAGGCAAGTGGGACATCGTATGGATTTGGACAGCGGGCTTTTGCTGGACTTGCCGCGGGAGGTTTGGCTGCTTTCATTGGTAATCCGGTCGAGGTGGTGCTGATTAGGATGCAGTCAGACACCTTGAAGCCACCGGCTCAACAGATGAGATATCGGTCTGCGTTCCATGCGCTGTCTCAGGTGGCTAGAGTTGAAGGTATTCGAGGGCTGTGGACAGGCTCATATCCGACCATCGTCAGAGCAATGGCGACGAACTTCGGGCAGCTAGCTTTCTTTTCAGAGACAAAGAATCAGCTATCCCGACACACAAGTCTCTCGGAACAGAGCAATAGTGTGATAGCATCTGGTGTTGCGGGGTTCTTCGCTTCGTTCTTTTCATTACCATTCGACTTCGTCAAGACGCGGCTTCAAAGACAGACTAAGACCGACGCTGTACAGTATCGCGGTCTGGTTGATTGCTTCGTGCGTGTAGCGCGACAAGAGGGACTTCTTCGATTCTATCGTGGATTTGGAACCTATCTGTTGAGGATAGCGCCTCATACGTAAGTGTGTGATCCTCTTATACGTTATCAGAGCTGATGGTTGTGTAGTATGATCACCTTGATTATCGCAGATCGTATCAATTCGTTGCTTCGACAGCGAGAAGACGGAAACTGAATAGATCGACCCGTTTCAGCGGATGAAGTGTCAAATAGACTGTATATTGGATAGGTAGCAAACATTTGCCCTACAACTACTATGAACAGTCCGGTTAGTGTAGTTGTAGTGGTCAACACGTCTGAGTCATGTATAGTAGGAGTCGTCGTCGGTATAACATTGGCTACTCCTCCTATAATCAAGAGTATCAGCCTGTGGCTAAGAGAATGCATGTCTCAGAAGATCGCAGGTTCGAGTCCTGCACTGGACGTTTTTTTTGCTCGTTCCTTGATGTTCGTGTCGGCTACTGGTAAGGACGTCGTCGTGGAGGATCAACCATGGACGAATGCCCTGACCTTGCTGACAGCGAAGTAAGAGCTCGGAATCGGAGTCAAATGCTGGTTAAATTATATCGGTTGGTAGTAACTTGCACGACTGGCACGATGACAGTAATACCGGCTGATTGGCGCGCATAGTTAGGACAAATAACCCTTCTGTATCGCTTGTTGTTCATGCTGCCGCTTCATTGTAGCTGTATATATTCAATCTACCATCCTTGTCATCATTGTAAACCATAGTACGACGTCCGGTCTTGCTCCACGGCCACCTCGTCTTTTATGAATACTTATAAAGAAGATTAGAGCCAGTGTATTTCTTTCGCCGAGGTAGCGATAGTGCGGCGTCGAGTAGGTCTCTCTCTCGTCTCATGCTGGTTTGTTCCTGGCTTGCGTCTGCATTGCTACAGGTTTTCTCCATAGAGGACTGCCAACGAATGTTCTCAAAAAACAGTTCTACAGTCCACCATTTTTGAGAGGCGTATAAGAAACTTGGTCCACACCATTCCTTTTTGGGCAGCATCGGGCTTGCAGCCGCCGCATATAGAAACTCAAAGAGCTGGCCAGGAACGGGTCAGCCTAGTAGACAGTAGCAACGGCGACCATGGCTGCCAGTTGCTACAGTAAAGTACATTGAGGTACAGTCTCAAATCGTTCAAGCAACGGTAGTCAAGCCGACAATGCTGTACGTGCAACAACAAGCAGTGTAATGCGGCACTTGCCACTGCGACCTCGTCTCTTTCCTCTTTCTTGAGCGTTCACCAGCGCACAACTTTTTCAAATTCCTCGTGCGAGCTGGCTGCATGCTGCTATGCCTGGTCTACCCTGTACGTGATTAGTTACGCTGCAGAACTTCAAATACTGATATGTACAGCGAGTATTGACCTCGACCAATGCATCGAACAACTTTACCGAAAACAGCTTCTCGCTGAGTCGCTCATCGAGGCAATATGCGCCAAAGCCAAAGAATTGCTGATGAAAGAGAGCAATGTCGTACATATATCTGCACCCGTTACTGTCGTCGGCGACATTCACGGCCAGTTCTTTGACATGCTAGAGATCTTCAAGATCGGTGGCTACTGTCCTGATACAAATTACCTGTTTTTAGGTAAGTACCTCGCCACTGAGTGTCGTGGCACTGGACTGACACACAGCATTACAGGCGATTATGTCGATCGAGGCCTCTTCAGCGTCGAAACCATTTCTTTACTCGTTTGTTTGAAGTTACGATACCCCCAACGCGTGCATTTGATTCGAGGCAACCATGAGTCTCGAGGCGTTACACAATCATATGGCTTTTATACGGAATGTGCCCGAAAGTACGGTAATGCCAACGTCTGGCACTATTTCACCGACATGTTCGACTTCCTGACCTTGAGTGTGGTCATCAACGATCAGATCTTTTGTGTACATGGAGGACTAAGTCCAAGTATACATTCGGTGGACCAGATAAAGATCATTGATCGATTCAGAGAGATACCACATGAAGGACCCATGGCTGATCTAGTATGGTCGGATCCAGATCCAGAAAGAGACGAGTTCAGTCTATCTCCAAGAGGAGCAGGATATACATTTGGAGGAGATGTGGTCAAGAAGTTCTTGCAGGTCAACAGCATGTCACACATCCTTCGGGCACATCAGCTTTGTCAAGAAGGTTACCAGATCTTATACGATGACAGGCTTAGTACTGTGTGGAGCGCGCCAAATTACTGCTATAGATGTGGTAATCTAGCATCGGTATTGGAAGTTAGTGATGCTGGCGATCGGTTCTTCAACATCTTTGATGCAGCACCAGAGAACGACATGCATCGAGAACAACAGCAGATGCAACAGCAACAACAGCAAGGAAAGGATGGCATGAATCCGATCGCTGACTACTTTCTGTGAAGGGAAGAAGTGGTCGAAGCCCAAATGCTGAACGCTGGATGCTGAAATAAAGGCCAATCCATGCCTAACCTATCGTGTCCTTGCCGACACCTGCTCATTTCCAATCTTTAGCGATCTCAAAAGACCAGTCGAATCTCAAGTGCTCCACGTTATCATCGTCCATGAATCTGCTCACAGCATCGTACTTGCCTCTTACCAGCATTCCACTTGGCGCCTCTTCAGGGCTAAATGTCTTGCTGTGGACTGGCTTATCGGTTGTGCTCGGTGGAAAACTACCAATCATCTCTTGGTCCTTGCCGACAGGAAGGCCTTTTCGCTTGACCTGCTGAACATATTTCAGGCCTGAAAGGACTTCGTGCTGGACGACAAAATCGGCTTTCATGCGATACGTTGCGCCTTCCTTGATAATGAAAGGTTTCGACTTGAGCTGTTGAAGGGCGCCAGGTGTGGAAAGATCGATTACAATGTCGGGACGGCCATCGACAAGCTATTGATATATCAGTCGGTGCCTGTGTGTATCGAACTGGCTGTGTGGACTCACCAAAGCCAGTTTCTTGATAATGCATTTTCGTGGGTCACTAGGATCTGATATAGATTCACCAGTCCCCAAACCTAGAGAAGCCTTCCATCTGTTCATGGCATCATCGTCCTTGTCTAAGTAGATAGAGTTAGTGGTATTCTCCCACGATGCAATCAACTAAACACGGCCAATCTTGAGGTCATCGTGAGAGCAATATTGAAACATTCATGATCACGTTAAGTGGTCTTCATGAAAATAGTAATGATTCGGTGTATTTTAGTCAATTTTCAAAGTCCATGTGTGCCACACAGTCACGACCTACCTAGTTGATGATATTCATCCATCGTCTTCTTCTCACCGACCTTGAAGCCGGGAGTCTGGTCGGGTTGTACTTCGTCCGCCATGGCTGCTTCGCTGTGCTTCGATGGTTCTATTCGTCAAATTGCGTATTCTTATGAGGTCGTAAGGAGCGTCGTGAGATACTAGCAGAAAAACAAATTGTATATTTGTAGACAATGTCTCAGCTGAAGTTGTGCTTGGACAGAGGGGCAAGGCTGAAATGAGTGTATCTACAAAAGGTCGGTGTAAGCAGAACTGTGTGGGGCAGCTGGGAAGAAGCCGCCCGAATTAGGGCTTGGCAATTGAGACGCGTCTTTAAGAACTGGTGACAAGCTCGCGTCAAGCGCAATTGCTCGAGAACCACCAAGACCGGCTTCAGATGGCTGATTACTGTACCTGTTGATATTTCTGCTCGTAGCTAGATTCGCAAAACTCTCCCGGCGTCAATGATGGCCGCCGCTTTTATCAACAGGATATTCAGCCCAACCATTTCTGGCTGGGTTCCTCGTACCATTTTTTAGATTATCGAGAAGCAATGCTCGATCTAATTTCCAACTTCATTGTCGTAAGCTCATCGTAATTCTGCATGAGACAGGATGCTAGGTGGCTAGACGCATGCCATGACCTTCGGTCTCTGGTGATAACCACTGGATGTCTTCACTCAAGCACGTCTATTGATATACCTCGATAGCATGACCTAACGAGGACTCTGCAGTGCGGACATGCCCAAGAAGTGATTAAATCAGCAAATATGAGCTATCCAGAATCAGGAGTATTTGAGCCAATAAGAGCTTTGTTAGTTCACTCGCCAGCCATGCTTCCCGCCATCTTGTTCGTGAAATTAGTGGAAGCTTTTCGTCCCCAGACTTCGCTACACCCAGCAAGGTCTCTTGTGTACCTACAGCTACATCATTTCGTGTCGCAGCTTCCTTTGCGAACTTGCATAATCGCTACTCGTGTAGTTTCTTCTTGTCTATCATTTTTTTGCCTTTTAGTCCCCTCTTCAATCAGTGGTGGTCCATCCCTGCGCGTCAAGAAGCTTATCCTTGTCCACGGTCACGTCACTGCAAACCGCATCGGCGCGACATCATCGTCACCCATCTGCTCTTCACCACCAAGAATCCTTTGCGATAAATCGCGTTTCATTACACTCTACATACAACACCATGTCGCGCACATTACCCGAAAAGAGAAATCCTCTCATCGCGTCGGATTCTGACGGCGCACCTACCCGTACGATTGGTCGCAATAGCGCGTAGATAACAAGCTGATTCAAGATAGACGAAGAACTGCTCGAGCGCAGACGACTAGGACGTACTAGGCTATCAGTGAAGCCAGGTCTGGTCGGAACCACCAATGCGACACAAAAGGAAAACCTTGGTCCAGTCGAGTACGCGCATCTACGAGCACCTCTGCCTGAAGACCTGTCTGCATCAGAAATCTTTGCGCCTCAAGAGGGACAGCCACATCCACAAACATATTTTCTGATGGTGCGCAACCTCGAAGCATAATAATGTGATCGCGACTAACGTGTTAATATAGAGGCGTAGCAAGGATGGCTTTGTTTCGGCCACCGGCATGTTCAAAATCGCGTTCCCGTGGGCCAAGCATGCAGAAGAAAGAGCAGAGCGCGAATACCTCAAGTCGCTTGAAAGCACGAGCCACGATGATGTCGCCGGCAATGTTTGGGTCTCACCAGAATCTGGTATGCACACGTTTGTAATAGAAGGACGACACTAACATTTACAGCATTGGAACTTGCCGAAGATTATGGGCTTGAACACTGGATACGCGCTCTTCTAGACCCTGCTGACATTCAGTCGAGCCCTACGAGCGCTCGAAAGAACATTTCCGAGCCTCCCAAATTCGAGCTTTCAGCTTCACTCAAGGAGAACGTCAAATTATCACCACCTGCCTCACTCGGCAAGCGTGGCCGCGGCGCACGATCCTCATCTCCAATGAAAGCCACTCCTCAGCGAGTCAAGGCCTCACCACGGAAACGGCAGACGAAGAAGGAGAAAGAGGCCAATACTGCTTATGCGAACGCGGCAAGTGCAAGCTTACAGTCTGCGCTGGACGATGCCGCTAGTGTTGCTGAAGCGACGCCTGCACCAGAATCCGTTGTGAACGATACAGAACACACCAACTCAGAACTGGACGGAGAAATTCCAGCTCCAGAATCACCAGTAGATGAGTCTAAAGTTCGAGTCGAGGTCGATCAAGAGGTCGAAGTCAATGGCGATACCGAAGTCACCCATACGAACGTCACAGTAGAAATGCCTGCGAGCCTACCGGAGCTTTCGATACCGCAAGACACTGAATCTATGCTACGTCAAGCAAAAGAAATGGTTGAGAAGGCGAAGGAGCTAGAAAGTTCACCAAGACCGTCGAGATCAAAGAGGAAGATTGAAGAGGTCGAGCCTTCAGATGTGGATGCTGAACTACCTGTACAGCCGACAAAGAGGGCGAAATTACTGGAGGAGAAGTTGAAGCGAGAGAAGGTCAGGACGAGGGCAGTTTTTGGAGTGGCTGCCTCTTTGGCTGTGGCGTAAGTTCACTCTATCCTATCAGAAAGCCAAACACTAACACACAGACAGCGCCGCCATTCCATTCTTTCAGACGTTTTTCTAATGCTTCATATAATACCTGGTGCGCGTTTAGGAGGATTTACTAGGGTTGCTTTCTGTACTGAAAATAGGTTGTCGCAGTCAAGACAGAAGATTTTCGTATTTCGAAGTCAATCAGAAGATGGGCTCAAGCAGGCGAACATTGCGAATCTGCTCGCGCCACGTTACTATGCTACCTTTCGCCTCACTTCAAGCTCGTCAATAAACACAGTCAATGTTCAAAGCTATTATTCTCCGAAACCAAACAATATCTTAGAACCGAGCGTCATGTTCCAGTCATCTTGGATGCCACGAGTCCGATTCATCTCTACTTTCGCCGCGATTATGTCCTTCTGAAGCAATGCCCAACAATCTCACGCGCGCACTTGGGATCCTTCCCAGATCGTGGGCTCATCCACACGCTCGGCGTAAGTTTCGCCACAAAACCGCCCGTAACTCATTTGCTACCTCCCCTCCCCTCTCCTCTCTTCTTCTCTCCTATTCTCCCTGTCCCTAACCTCAACCCTCACTCCTTGCCCCTTCCTTTCCTCAAACCTCCCCTTCCTCCCAGACTCCCCCCGATATGCCTCCCTCCCAGCCACTTTACCGATAATCTTCCCCTTTCTCTGCTCGGCTTTCTGCTGATAATAATCTGCTGCTTCTGTTTCGATCACGTTGGAGGTGAGGCGTTTACCCAGGAGACGCATGATGGCGCCGACGAGGGGGAAGCCGTTTTCGCGGGTGTATTGTGTGCCTGTGTAGGGTTGGGAGTTGCGCATGGTGAGATGGTTGGAGGGAAGAAGTGGTCAGGTGAGGCGTGTTAGATTACTAAATTCAAGTTGGCTAGTATTCGCAGTAGCGACCAGGCTGAGCTTGGGCGATGCAGCAGTAATAATCTCGTAGTACCTGTATAGTAGAGTGGTAGCACTTGAGTATATCAAAACATTTGACACGATAAGCACGTCCGTAGCAGAACTCGCTTCTCCTCCTTGAGCATAGGTCTGTCTGTACGAGTACGATGGTTAGTGCCACAAACAGCCAAATAAGCGAGTCGTAGCCCTGCAGAAGCTGTGGAGTGCGTACTACATCGCGATAGCAGTGCTAGAGTACATCCAAGGTACGACGATGCTCAATGTGGGAAATGGTGATTGCACTAAGGGTGAATTACGAACGTCAAAGACCCTAATAAGTTGCGGTCTCTGTCCTTGGTTTCCTCGTCGTGTCGCTGCTGAGTTTTACTCAACCTGTTCACTTCACGTGCTGCGGCAGTATGTTCTCGATAATTTGGTTGCATGTGTCAGGTAACCAAAGCCTTGAGGTGCATCATATTGGACGAAGCAAGACTTGGCATGGCTGGAAAGGAAGCAGATGAGAAAAAGGTGATCTTGCGAGAGGTAATGGTAATTTACGGACTTCGTGGCAGGAATAAAGTCGAAGTGGTTATAATCTCTAAACATAATATAAGAACAAACGATGAACTCAAAAGCAAAACATGATGTTCTCGGTACGCTCCTAATACTGTTCACATGCTGCTGAATAAAATTGCTCGCTTTTGAAGTTTGGTAAATTGGCACTAATCCAACAATTTCTTGTGCGGACAATGATCAACCTGTGACAACTATGCCCGCCCCCAAGAATCAGCAGTCGCATCTACCCAGATCTCAACTGAGATCTCGCAACCCAGAGTTCGCACGAATTTTTTCTCTGTGAGTCCCTGAAACTGGCGGGAATCCACAGACACTAACCAGAGCTACGGTAAACCAAAAGTCGGTAGCGGATTGAAGCCGTAAGATCAGACTGTTCTGCCTGCTCCGCCCTAAAATCAGCGTCCTTGCCAGCTTTCGGACGGGTGACAAGGACTCCGTAGGAGAAGAGCTGATCTCGATATGCAAATTCAAGACGACGATGTGATTATCGCTTAGTCCTCTTCCACCCAATCCACCGCGCCTATAAATTAACTGGCGTGCTTTACTCCACCCAAAGATTTGTGTTCAGGCTGAACAGAATTTCAGATCGCATTTCGGCTGCTCAGGTGGTCGGATCTTAAGTGTCGGCCGTGCAAGCTGACAGGGAGCACGTTTAAGCGTGTTCGTTTCTTCCATAAACACGATGTTGCATTTGGCAACATCATGTGTATTAAAGCACTAGGTCTTGTGTCGCTTGACCATACCAAGGACCACACTGATATCGTCCAATTTACCACCTTCAGCAGCAAGACCTTCATCAACAGCTCGGGACATGTAGGGACTGCCAGCGTATGGATCTAAGGCAATCTCTCTCGCCGCGTTCATTATCGTTCTTGCAACGTAGACGATGCCATCTTCTGCCTCCTTTTCATTGGCCTTCCACTTCTTCATTGCATGACCAATCCATTCGGTGATCTCCTCTTCCCAAAGATTATCAGTGACACCATCGGAGAGACATAGGACAATATCGCCCTCCTCAACGTCCACTCTGTCCATGAAAGAATTTTTTGTAGGAGTGTCGGGGCTATTCGTCCCCAATTGTCTCGGGCAATCAAACCAATGCCAGTCCTCTTTACTCTTGTAGATCATGCTCTCATTCCTCGGCCTAATAACCATGATTGCGCAGTCACCCAAACTTGTGGCCAGTACTACTGGCTCGTCAGGACTTTTGTGATGAAGAAGCGCTGAACTTGCTGTAGTAGTGCCCATGATCTCATTCTCTTTGCCGAAATTTGTAACGTCCTTGGTTCGACTGAACGCATTCTCAAGATATTTGACCGTATCGAGTTCATCGAGTGAAGGTGTACGTCCATCACTTTCGGCCTTCTCGGGATTTCGGAAGGCTTTCTCAGCTTCTGCTGCCCAATAGTGCGCAATCAAACGGCTCCAAAGTGCAGCATGCCCACGTTCTTTCTGAGCCCAAGCACCCACACCATCGTTCACAGCCAGAAAGTTCTGGCCATCTATGATTATGGCATCATCGCCGTTCGTGATTCCTCTCAGCAACTGACCGTCAACCTCAGCTTGTCGTAACCTCGGACGGTTATGAGTGGTCAACGGATCAGAAAAGGAACCAGAGGGATAGGACACGAACGGAGGAGGAAACGGTCTTGTGGGTCGTTTCGCAAAGATTGAGTACGCAGTATCGAGGTACCAGGGTGACCGCTGAGGTAGTTTAGGAAGAGGCGAGTCTTTTGGCTCGGTATTGCGACCTTCTGAGATCAGATGTCTACGGGCATTTGCACGACTTGAAGAGTAGCGGAGGGATCGCTTGAAAAAGGATGTTTGCAACGACGCTACATGCTTAGGCAGATAAGAATGGTTCATACTGCGAGAGCAGTCATACTGATTGTGCAAAGCTACAGCATAACGAAATGCTTAAAGAGCCAAAGAATAGGTGAGGAGCATGTGTTTGTCAAATCGAAGAGATAAGATTAGGGTTCAGAACAATAAGCGATCGTAGCGCGTGCCCAGAAGCTGTTCTTTTGGTATGGGTAAGCAGGAGCGACCCTAGCGCCTGAATACTCACACCTCGCCTGTGTTTTTTGAACAACCAAACAGCTCCGACTGTCCCTTGACATTGAGTAACGAGTCCATGGCGACTGACGTCTCAGCTTACCAGACATCAAATACATACCGAATTTCGGCTGCTAGGAAACGTCTGCAAATACTAGCACGTCTGCCTGTCGTAGCCTCCGGCTAGTCTGCTGGTGCTGTAGCTGGAGCTTAGTAGCAGCCATCCGCAGAGCGAGCACGAACGCCACTTATTGAGTCAGGCTTCTTCAGAGGAGTTTGCCAACTTGATCGATGTTTTCTTTGCTGGCCGACAATGAGTCTTAACCACAGAAGGCACACTTAACGAAGTTGTTCCATATAGAGGAAGTTCACAAAAATAGGATTTACTGCATTCAAGTTCAACATACCCAACAATTCCAGCCTCATGTTTCGACGCAAAACATCATTCTTTCACGTACTCATAAAACACTAGGCACGACATTCAAGGAGTCTCAGGGATGGCCAGCATAGATACTGTGCCTTCGCCTGGGCTAGAAAATACAACCGTGAACACTTCCCTCCTCGATCTCCCATATGAGATCCGCGAAATGATCTTTCAACAAGTCTATGGTCATCGAGTGGTGATATATCTGCGCGTGCACAATGCCAGTGCTCCATCTTCTCAGCAAGCGTACTGGAGAAAGAGAGCTCGCATGGATTGGCGAAACTATATTGATTGGAAGGACCCCTGCCCGCAGCTACTTCTTGTCAACAAACAGGTTTACTCTGAGGCACTGGAGGCTCTGGTGCATGCGAGCGTATTGGACCTATGGGGCGCGACTCAGATAGGCCAAAAGACTGCAATTCCTGCGCACATCGCTGAACATATAAGAAATGTTTCTGTCTCATTCGATCGATGTAAGTGGCTCAATATGCCTTTGCATCAGACCATAGAGTGCTAACATGTTTCACGCAGTGCCGGATCTGATGAACGTGTTGCCAAGCTTCAACAGCTTGGAAGCACTATTCATCGATAGCTACAACTTGTCAGCTCAGGACTTTGCAACGGGATTCCGCTCCTTACAGAGACGACGAGACCACGGTGTTAACCTGGTGAACCAAATCGAGTCACCCACCAAGGCATTACGTTCCCGTGATGCCCTTTGGATGGTGTTAGCCGATGTGCTTCTTCACCAGGGTCCTTCAGCAGATGAAAATGCGGCACCAGTCAAGGTCTATGTACGTTCTATCACCTACGAAGAGGTCAGTGATTGTACCAGACGAAATCTGTATATATGTGCTGACGCAGCCATCAGGAAGTCGTATTGCGCGTTACGGACAGCAAGACCCCGACTGAGAGGGTTGTTGGGATTGTACCCAGGTTTGAGTACAAATTCCCTCAGAGTAAGGCAAAGGGATCGTGAATAGAAGATTTTTAGCTCGAACACGGTCTCCAGAGAATCATCTGCAATTATCCTGCTCAGCAACGATGTCGCAAGAAGAGTCTTAAGGCCCTGGCTTCCTCCTATATATTGTTCTCCGACTTACTTGGCCTGGACTCTCTTTCTTTGCGTGATGTTATTCTCTCAAGTGAACTGTGGCCCCACAGGTGTACTCAATACTGATATCAAATTGTACTACAGCACGTTACGCTGAGCACTGGGCTGACAGCTGTTAGCTCGCATAGAGCTAGCTCAGAGGCCAAAGACAGCACCTAGATCCTCTACATGCATTTCACTTCCGCTTTCTTCCACCTCAGAAAACAGATTTCACAATGGACAACATGCCACACACCAGACCTATGCGAATAATCTTGCGCACTCGAGAACAATATGAGTGGGATTCCGTGGATATTATCGAACAATGCTTCAATCTCTCCCAGCTACAGATTGGAGAGGACTACTTCTGGCACCTTGTCCCCGAGACAGACTCGCCCGTCGTGCATATCGTTCTCGATGTTTTGCCCAGCGCGCACCCTCAAGTTGATCTAAATCGTATTGAGCACACGATGTACAAGGTATACAAACGTGCGGACTTGTCAGTCCGATGCTATTTCGTTGGGTGCTGCTAATGGATCGTCAGCACTGGCTCTCCTCGGCCAGTCGAAATGGACTTACTACGTCGTCGCTGTGCGGCACTGAAATGGGGTTGCTAGGCACGTTAGTCGGATGAGTTAGGTGCCGATTGTCCTGTACATTGTGGACAGTCGCCTGTCACGTCTGTGTCTTGAACATCCAACAAGAGTGAGAGATCCTTCATGTTGCCTGACGGAGGAACACAAGGTTTGTGGTTGGGCCTAGCATTTGCCGTGGCACAGCGAAGGTATATGCCGTGTACATTGTGCTTGAGGGTACGGCCACAATCTCGATACGTGGTTATCCTAATCTCACACATGGCTTTTGATCTCCATGCAGACGTGGTTTATCCGGAATGCGAACTGGAGCCTGACTGACAGATTGTACGAAAGAAGGAATAAAATCTTTGGCAACAAGAAGATAAATATACGGCATGGTCGTCGTTTGTGCTCATTGTTGTGACTGAGGTTGTTCGTTGGTCAACTTGAATCATCTGCTGAGATGCTCCTGAGCAGAGTCTTCAGAGCAGAAGAAACAAGCGGGATGGGGCGAACCAAGCATCATTTCACTTCGAAGACACAGCCTAGCTCGCGCTGCTGTACCTCATTGAAGTGAACTTTTGATATCCTTGAATTCTTTCTCAAAGTCACTTTCCGGAACGATCTTTCGAGTTTCGAATTACATGATATCGAAATCCTTGGCAGAACAAAAACAAAGGTTTCTCACCTTGCAGTCAAATACAGCTTCCGACAAACGCAGTTGGTAAAGCGCTCTCCATCGACGAGGAGTGTGGTGGTCGACATGGTCCTCAAGGAGTGTATGGTATTTTTACTATTCAAAGTTTAAACACGACAGTGCTCAACTTACTTTGTGGTGACCGTTCAGTGTCTCTCCGTTAGCACTGGCCTGCGGCTTCCTCACGAGTTCTGGCAAGTCCCAAAAATGTGGCCAAACTGTATCGTACTCGGCGTGTTCTCCTTTTAGGATGTGACGGAGGTGAATGCCCCACACTATGTAGCAATACGCACCTAAAGTATCGTTAGCATGTGTTGGTTCGGGTGGCTTCTTGTTGTCAAAGTGACTCTCCGTACCGTAACCTGTAAAGATATGCCACCAGCCGTGAAGTTCGAGTAAGACACCCCAAGGTAAACCCAACTCGCGCCGCCATGACCTTAGAACACCACAATACTTATTGTCCAGCCCCCAGAGCGCGAAGCCTCCTAAGAATACGCCGACGCCCCAGACTACCAGGACCCACATGTCCTGCAGAATCCTAAGATCTCTCTGGTTGACTCGTTCTTGTTCCTCTCTTGACATCACTGGCAGACCTTGCTTCGCTTTCCGTGCCCTGTCAGGCTCAAGGCTGTGCCTCCAACTTGGCCTCAAGGATATCTCCATTTGGTATACGCTGCGGAACACGAGCCATACCGTCATAGCTGCGTAGATGTTTTGATGAAAAGTAGGATCCTGCAGATAGTGGTAATAGACAGTGATAGCAGCACAGAACACAACGCTGCCAGCTGCCAGAAGTCTTCGGAACTGACTGGATCGGTCGTAAGACAAATTCGCGTATATCATGAGGCAGGTGGTGTAGATCATGTTAAGCTCGTCCACCAATTGCCAGGGGTACTTCAATGTTGTATGGAACATGAAACTTCCGAATCCGACGAGGAAGTACCCATAGTAGCCGACCTCGAAGACTTTATCATGACCATTCTTGCGACAGCTCTTTACACCTTGCCAGGCACAATACCAAAACATAAGGTTCGTCAAGGTGTTTATGATCTCCGCAGAGTAGTAGGTGGCATAGTAGTCCTGTCAATGTCTGAGCTGAGCAACTTAGAATCTCTCGTGATCAATACCTCTTCGCACCATTGCAACGTCGAAGTCACAGGAGACCAGAAGCCGGTCTGATCAGGAGGAGGGTAGGGCCATGAAGGCAACCACGATGGCATGCTGAGTTGTCCCTATATGACATTCAAATGCTCATTCGCAAAAGAAGAGAGGCGAACATTGTGCGAAGAAGTATGACTCCTTGTTGACTATAAATGGATTCTAGGTAGACCAGCTATCACAACGGCGGAATGTCGCTGGAGGCAGGTGACAGTATAAATTTGGTAGTCATTTTGCTCCTTCAGAAACCGCGTTTGGGACGCAGAATGCACCGGAGTCAAAGTTGTGACGCGTTGCGTCACCCTGGAGAGCTTGATGAGCTTCGCTTCGGGGCTTTGACCCACCGAGCAAGCCTGCTGCTCCTACTAACACGTGCTTTTCGTGGTTGGTACCAGACTGCGATTAATCGTCTGCTTCATTGTACCAAGAGACCTCTAGAACTCGCACCATTGACTCTTGAACGGAAGTTCCAGAACTATGGCATTGCCCAATGCTGCGCTACAGAAGGTCCGTACAAGTCACTGCAATAGAGAAAATCACTGACTATTTTGCCAGTTGCTCGAGGAAGTGCAAGTTCAGTCTATACAATCCCAACAGCAGATCGCTCAGACACAAGCCGAAATCAATGCTCGAAAACGCGAGACAAGGTTGAACCAATTGACCTCCACTGAGATTAGCTCACTGCCTAAAGACAACCCTGTGTACGAAGGCGTCGGCAAGATGTGAGTCGATTCTTTGTATTATTCCTCTCAGACTTGCGCTGACACAAGGAGGTTCGTCGCGGTCCCTATCAGTACCTTGAACAAACGCCTTGCCGGTGAATCTTCCACGCTGAAAAAGGATATCAGTGATCTGGAGAAAAAGCTTCACTACCAGGAGACCACTTTTAAGAACAGCAGACAGCACATCGAGAAGTTGTTACAGAGTGGCGCTAGGTGAACACCATATCGAGCACGCTAAACAAGCTTTGTCTTCAACTTCGAATACTTAATGCAGCAGTATGTGCACACTATCGTTGACAAGAGACAGAGCCTCAATACGTTTCACCATCCAAACCAAAGTTGTGTCCTAAGGCCGCACATTTTCGTCAGTGGAGCGAAAAAGCGACCGCAAGGTGGACCGCAACAGTTCCCTGCCACTTCCCACCGGTTGGGCAGTAGCGGCTTCAAGACGTCGTAGCGGAATTGTTACTCGTAGACTGCTATGGCTCTTTATCCTCGTCGTGTCCAAAACAGCCTCATCCGAAACGAATGCTACATACCTGAAGTGGCCTTCTGGTAATCAGCGTTGTCTGAATCAAGTGCTATACGATAAATCGGGACTTTTGAATGGAGCAACAGTACTTGACGATTTGCTTGGTGACAAAAGTGCTTCTTTCAATTGCAGCTAATGCCGAGGGTACACTAGGCTCGCGTCGCGACAATGTATCGGCCTTCTCATTGGCTTCTTCACGACCTGGCCTGTACTGCGAGCCAATAAAAGAACCAGAGCATATCCTTTTCGAATGGACCTGCCGACTCAAGCTGTGTTCTTGTATGCAAAAGTCTGCGACTTTCGCATTATGGTCGTGCCTGGATCACCAAGTCAGATGCTATCGTTATATATTGGACGTTGTGACCTTCTCAGAAGACACTATCGCACGACTCATGACAACTTCTGCCTGCTTAAACCACCCTCTTCAGCTCGCACACAGGCTGCTGGAAGAGATATGAACATGTTCGACGTGACTATCTCGTGTCCTGATCATTGTCCTTTCAATTCTAGAGCTGTCACGATCTCGCTTAGAGCTCGCTAATGGAACTATAGGTGGGGCCAACGTGCGTGAAACAGCCCGAATACACTTGAAAGAGGGGCCAGTTCCCGATAGTCATTGGATTCATTCTATCGCTTGTTCGACCGCTGAGATGCACGGATTTAGTCCATGTTTCGTGTATTTTTAAGGCAGCAGCCACTTTCTCAGTCCAGTCATGACTTGTTCTTAAGCAGGGCGCAATCGTTTCTCACTCGATCTCGCTTCTAGTTTCATGGCTCATTTGTTCGCGGAACTTGAACCAGCATCGAAGCAGGCACAACGGGTTCAAGTTGCCCCCGTGTGCTAGACGTTCTGGGTTAGATCCACCAGAGATCGTCATCTACAAAGTCCTGAGTCAGCAACTACAAGCAGAATTATAGCCATGCCTCCAAGAGGTCGCCTTGCTGAGCCTGCCATACGTTACGAATATTGTACCGATGACGATGAAAGCTACTACGAAGAGTTGCCGACCGCTTCGAGGCCGGTAAAGAGAAGCTCAAGCAGGTTAAGGGTCGAGTTTGACGATTCCCACCGACAGCCCTCGCCTGTCCGACGAGTGAAACGCCAATCAGTTCACCACCACCACTCTTATGCTGCTCCGTTGTCGGCAACCGATCCAGCCGACAACATCATAATAGAGAATCACCTCAATCTGCCGCCTCAGCCACGACCACGAGCTTCTAGCACCGGAGCAGCCCCACATCCCAACTTGATCTACGTCCAAGGACCACCACGAGAACCGAGTCGCGAAAGAGTCAAGCACTACCATCATCACAAGCACTATGACTCGGAAGAGTCAAGCGACGATGGCGGTAGCTACAAGTCGTCTCACCGAAGACGAAGACGATCCAGTCATCGCGATGAGGGCCAGCTGCCTGCAGAAGTCCTGAGGAAGCTGGCAAAGCTTGAGCTGATCGAACAGCAGAACGAGAGTCTTTCGCCTGCAACGGCCGAGAAACTCGCGCGTTTGAAAATGCTGGAAGAGCAGCGGAAGAGGGAGGAATATTCGCCCGCAACTGCTGAGAAGCTAGCGAGGCTCAAGGCACTAGAGGAAAAGAAGAATAGAGACGAAGAGGAGGCTGCGCTACGTGCTCGCATTGAAGATCGAGAGAGGAAAGAAAAGCTTCGAGAGGAACAACTTCTCCTCAGGTATCAAGAGAGGCAGCGACAGGAAGAAGATGATCAAAGAAGAATTCTTGCTGAAGCTGAAGCCAAACGTACGAGGAAAGAGGTTGAGGCCAAGGCCGAAGCTGACAGGCTGTTAGCTCGTCAGAAGGAGAAGGAAGCTAAGGAAAAGGCGGAGAGATTGAGGATCATAGCTGAAGAGAAAGCCAGGAGCGACAAGGAGAGAAAAGAAGCAGAGGAAGAGCGCAAACGTATACTTTTGGAAGAGGAGCTGCGACGAAAGAAAGAGAAGGAAGAAGCAGAAGTGTTACGGAAACGTATCCTAGCTGAAGAAGTTGAGAGAAAGAAGAAGGAGAAGGAGAAAGCTGAAAAGGAAGAAGAAGAGTTTCAACAGAAGGTGAAGGAAAAGTTCATGAGAGCTGGTAAGTTTGCACATTGCACAGTGTTTGAGTTGGTGACTGACATGTTTCAAGGTTACTCGCCAGATTATATCGAGGACATTCTCGACGAGAAGAAAAAGTCAAGTTCTTTGGCTCGAGTGGGCTCGAAGAGCCGCAGGCGCGAGAATCAACTTGCTCTCGAGGTTTCGCGCCCAACATATATTCGAGTCCAGGTCCGTCATCTAAGCGAAGACACTCTGGACTACTATGGCCTACCATGGGAGTACGACGAGAATGATCGTCGATATATTTTGATTAAGGAATACATTGGTCACGATTTCCAGCAGGAGCTTTTCGAGCATACGAGGAAACTCAGGGTCAAGAAGCAGAAGTTACTCATTACCGATGGGTACGTGAAAGATACTGTCACCACTTTGAAGCCCAAGGACGTGTACAAGGATAGCAGATCTGACGAGATGTTCGTCGTACGGCGGAAAAGTGTGAGCAAGAGTCCTTCGAGGAGGAGCTGGATGTTTACATAAATTCAGTCAAATTGTCTGAGAAGTCCAGTAGCAATATGATCTATGACTTCATTACCTGAGCTTCGTGCTTGTTTGGTCACAGCTGGATGTTCCTCAGGCAGTCGCTACCAGCTTCTACGAACCCAGAACAGTTTACCTGCGCAGCTATGAGTGCACCTTCGAACTTGGTCTGCCAGCTGTCATCCTGTCTATCTTACAAGAGCGAAATTCGTAATACGCGTCTTCTTGTCGTGCAGCATCCAAGTCTAGCTAAGCATTCGCTTGTCAATGAGACTATCCAGTTACCTCCAACTTCCGGACCTGCCAAGTTATGCAAGGGGGGTGATCTCGAGGAATGCCAGTGAACAGGGTCAGTCGATTATGACCTTTGTAGGAGCGCGAAGAACACATTGGTGTCAAGTACTACTCCAGACGATCTCTCGTATTATCAAATTGCCATTTACAAAGAGACAACAGGACTGCAGAGGAATTAACGCCCAAAAGTAAGGACAAATCAAGCTCTGGGGAAGCCCCATACACCACACCGACCTAGCCGGGTGGTGGATTCGTTTTGCTGACTGAAGAACAACTTGCATTTTATGAAAAGAGTAATGATGGGATCGGCCCGAGTTTCTGAAGTATATTGCAGCACAATGTTGATTTATCCTGTGCACACAAGCACGAGTTTTCCAGGGACCTCGTCACCGTGTCTCCAGATCGCACTCGCTTCTTCACATCAAAAATGTCCTAAGACATCGATAGTCTGACATACGGCTAGCATCTGAAGCACAACGCCAACTTCGGTTTACCATCAGTATGGCAAGCAGCGGCGATGGGCAGAAGCCCAATTTCTTCAAGCGACAATGGCAAAAGCTCGAGATAACACCGTTCTTTATCCTACTCGCCATTAAAGGTGGCCTTCCAGCCACAATTGCCTTAGCGGCATATCAATCCTATGAGTTCGCTGAAATATACACAACGCTTGGCTATATCATTGCGATTATGGCACAATTGAGTCTAGCAATTCAACCAAGAGCCAAGTTTGTTCAGTCGATGCTAATGAATGTATTTTTCATCTGCGTTGGCGCCGCAACCGCACTCCTGGAAATCCAATGTGTGATCGCTGCTAGGTCAACACCACCAGCAGGTGCCATGACTGGGCAGTCTAGTGCACCAGAAACTCCTGTATATGATGCATCGGCCTGTACAGTTGCAGCCGTCTGGTTGTTTGTCGAGATTTTCCTTGTCAACACTGTCAAAGCTGTACGGCCTCAGCTAACAATTTCCGTCATCCAATATTCAATATTTACCATCGTTGCTTCAGTCTATGCTCCAATGTTTCCAAATATGGCTGCGGGAATGTCGTTCGTAAGAAGATTACTCATCAGCTTCCTCACAGGACATGCTATAGGCACAGGGGTTTCTCTCTTCGTACTTCCTGTCACGTCTCGGGGCACAGTGTCAAAGCAGCTCGCTGGCTTGATGAATCTGCTCAAAGCCTGTATAGCGTCTCAGGGCGCCTATCTAGGCAGTCTATCTCATGACGGACAAGAGAACGAGAAAGAGAAGGCAGCTGCCGCAAAAGTGAGGTCAACATTGACAGCAGCTTCTGAGCTCCTAGGCAAGGTAAAACTCGAGTTGGGGTTCGCACGTAAAGAGATCGCCTTTGGAAAGTTGAGTCCTGAGCACTTTTCAGGAGTGTTCGAAAGAGTGAGGTCTATGTATCAGCCTGTCATGGGAATGTCCGCATTCCTGGAGATGGTACAGGCTGTAAGAGAACATCGGCTTTCCGCTGCCGACACGCCTGAAGCAGAAGACGCCCTGCAAGCTATACAGAAGTTGGAGATTGAAGAATGGAACGACGTCGTCAATTTAACAAAAGAATCTCATCTCGAGCACGAGAAAGTATTTTTTACAGGTCTTGAGCACGTCTCGCTCCAGCTTGAGCTTGTGAAGAGACCTAAGAGTGCCGAAGAACATAAGAATGGCGATCCTGAGAAAGATGGAGGAAGTACTCCTCGACCAGGAAGTGCTGGTTTTACCAAACATTTCGAGCAGCAGCTCCATCGATATCAACGACAGCGAAATGAGATCATCCAGGACTGGGCAGAACACAAGAACCTCGGTCTTCCACAGCGCTTTTGGCCAAGCTCAGGGGAGAAACCAACTTTGCAACGAGAAGAAACCAGAGTTATGAGAAGAAGACTAAACCAGCATCAATTATACTTGGTACTATTCCTCAACTTCCTGAGCTTCTCAACAGGCGAATCGATCCTGAACTTGGTCAAGTATGCTGACAGTCTGGTCGACGATGGCACAACGAAGAAGAACCGTTTCATCTGGCCTGGAATGCGTCGCATACACAAGCTGCTCATGGGTGGCCTGACAAGAAGTTCGCAAGATGAGACATTGACTGCAGATGTGAATGGTGGAGGAAACATTTACCTTGGTGATGGTTTCAACCAGAAGAAAGACCCGGAGCATCTTCCACCAACCGACATCTATGAAAACGTCACAGACCGCATTCGCATGGCATCAGGTATGCTGAAATCGGATGCAGCCAAATTTGGCTTTCGTGCTGCTTGTGCCGCGATGAGCATTGGTGTTGTCGGTTACCTACGTGCTACCAGGCCATTCTTCTTGCAGCAACGGGGACTATGGGCCTTGATCATGACTGCCATATCCATGGATCCTCATGCAGGTCAAGGAATATTCGGATTCGTAACCAGGATCGGTGGAACTGTCGTCGCCATGGTTGCATCTATGACAATCTGGTATATGTGTAACGAGAACCACGCTGGAATTCTGGTGGTCTTCGCCATTTACATGAGCTGCTGGACTCTTTTCATGATCAAGAAGCCGCAGTACGCTGTCGTGGCAATGATCTCATCGATAACTGTCATTCTCATCATCGGTTACGAGCTTCAGGTTGAACGTATCGGCATTCAAGTGGCTGAGTCGAACGGCCAGGAAGCATACGCCATTTACGTTCTTGCTCCTTACCGGTTAGCCACCGTCGTCATTGGAATAGGGGTTGCTTTTATCTGGACATACTTCCCATACCCAATCACCACTCATGGTGCCCTACGACAGGATGTAGGGGCGACGCTATACATCCTCGCCAATTTCTATTCATGTGTGCACACAACCCTCGAAGCCAGGCTAAAGATGGGTCCCGCTATTCACGATCTTGCTCCTAATCATCCTATCAATAAACTGGACAAGGCGCGGACTAAAACATTCGGCAAAGTGCTGTTAATGCTGACAGGGCTACGCAACCACAGCAACTTTGCGAGGTTTGAGCCACCGTTTGGAGGCCGCTTTCCTCGCGAGACCTACACAGAACTCACCAACAGCATACGAAATGTCTTCACCTACCTTGCGCTAATAACGTACTCATCACAGGCATACATACGTACCCCTCAGGGGTCTAACCAAGAAGAAATAGACGAAGAAAATGAATGGCTCGACGAATTTCGCAGCTTTGCAGCAGACACCAAAATCACCTCTCACGAAATTACCACTAACCTATGTCTCTTGTCCGCTGCAATCACGAACGAGCAGCCCTTACCACCATACTTACGCTCTCCTCGACCTTTTGCCACTGGTCCCAAGATGGACGGAGTCGATCCAAGCATACTAGGTGTACAGCATTTTGCTCACCCCTGCTACGCAGCATTCGCGGTAGGAGAAGTTGCGAGCGCATTCGTGACGGCAGAAATGGCGAAGATTACGAAACTGATCAAGCAGCTTGTTGGGGAGGTTGACTTCAGCTTTCACGTCGTAAAGACAACGGACGATGGGTCTAGTACGAGTAGCACGTTGTGGGGGAGTGACACGTCGCTGAAAGCGCCTAACGGTAATTCGAGTAGTAAGAAGTCGAAGGGCGAGTGAGATGCTGGAGAAAGAGGGAATAGTGCGATAGCTACTAGTATTGTGTGATTATGTAAAAGTTATGGTGGATGTATAGCGAGCATGTACTATATACTGTCTACTTGGAAAACCGAGATGTAAAGACATCAAGCATATGCGATCTTCAACGGCGGAGGCCCGCTCAAATCAAATTTACAACTTGCATACAGCGTTACAACTCGAGTTTCGGAATGTTCGCCGAATCGGCTTTTAAAGCGGGAAAATAGTGTTTTAGTGGTAGGACTTGCCCGAACGCTGGTGGGTGATGGATGCCTCAGGGCGTATCGTCAGTCCAAATGTACCTGTAAAGTCAGTCGCGGCAGGTATTAATACCTTCTCTGGCATCGAGAATGATAGTGAGGACTGTAGCATTAGCGCTTCGACTCAGATCTTTCACTGTTCGAGCTTACAGTATGGCACGTGAGTACACGACCTGACTTCGCTACCGATTTTGTTCAGCTGACACCATTTTTATCTAGACTCAACATTCCCAGCAGACCTACCAAAACCAATTGACGATGGCGCGTGCAACCACTTGACAGGCATGACCGTCCCCAGCATCCGTCTCCCCCCAACAAGCGCACCAGACTCACCAGTTGACATCTCCAAGCTCAACGGCCTGTCCATAATCTTCTGCTATCCACGGACCGGCGCACCAGACGAAGTCGTACCCCCTGAATGGGATGCAATTCCTGGTGCTCGTGGTTGCACGCCCCAAGCATGCTCTTTTCGGGAGGCATTACCCGATCTCAAGAAGTACGGTGTTAAGAACCTTTTTGGCTTGTCAACGCAGGACACGCCGTATCAGCAGGAAGTTCGTGAGCGTGTTCACCTACCTTATGATCTTCTTAGTGATGCGAAGCTGGAATTCTTGGAGGGATTGAAATTGCCGTCGTTTGATTACAAGGATAAGAAGCTGATCAAGCGTCTGGCCGTCGCGATAGAGGATGGGAAGGTGATTAAGTACTGGTATCCTGTTTTTCCACCTGACAGTAATGCGTCGGAAGTTTTGCAGTGGTTGAAAGAGAAGTCGTAGATGGTTACCTTGGATGTACATTACTTGATAAATACTCTCGCACGCGAGCATGATGGCATTCCCCATATGTTCTGGAATGCTGCAATGCAACGCGCCTCGACAAATATCTGCACAGCACAACACGTGGTAGCATAGTAACGCCAAGATGAAGACGTGACCTTGGTCGCGGACCGGCTCCTGCTAGGCCGAAAATCCCCGGTCTCAACCAATCTTCTTTCTACAGTATAACCTGTTCATAAATCGTGTTTCAACGCCACCATTGCGTGGTGATCGACAAATACCATGATTTTATGCTTGAATAGCCACGATAGACTTTCAACCAGGCAAGTGTTCGTCGATCATGCGTTTGGCCTTCCTGTCTGCCGTCTCTGAATGACTTTGGCAAGTCACGGTTTGTTGTCACTTGCTTGTTTGCCTTTGAGCTTTGTACCTACATATCGCCCTATTGTTCGCGCTTGTGACTGATATTGATATTGTCTGCCTGTTACCATTACTTGTTATAGAACGTGAGGCATCCTTTCACAACATCAATCGCCTCTTTGAGCCCTCTCGACCGAACAAGTTGTACTTCTCAACTCCTAAGGCCACCACATTTGACCCCATCTTGAGAGACAGGCCGAATTGCCATTGGGCTTTAAAGCGAGGAAGGATGAAGCCGGCACATGCTCAGTGCCAGGCACAGCACGCCTCAATGGAATTGCAATCACTGCCCTCGTCCCTTCAGGGTGCGCTACATTCGGCTACACGCAGCCTCCATGCCCAGCTCAACAAGACCATTATGACTCGATTCCCTCTATGCCTACCACCCCACGCTACAGACCCTATGGCCTACCATCTGGGCATGCTAGTGTTCAGCCAGATCTTCAAGCAATTCGAGCGTAGTATCGACCTTGTCCTCGCAGAATTCGCTCAGTCTCGGACCAGCTTGCTCAAAGACGACTGTCGAGCACGGCATATACGCGTTGTGAAGAGACAGTATACCAAAGAGTTACTCCGAAGCCAAAACACTCAGCATGATCAAGAGTTCCTCAGTCGCAGGCTAAAACGTACAGAATCTACAAACGAACTGCTCGGGCAGCTAGAAGAGAAACTGAATACACAAGCAGAATCGCATGCAGGGTACATCGGATCTCATATTCAGGAAAAGCCGTACCTGGCTCTGGCTTATACATGGACAATGTACCTTGCTCTTTTCAATGGTGGCCGCTACTTACAGAAACTACTCGCAGCTGCGGGTCCCAAATTCTGGCGTGAATCATCGCGTTTCGACTCTACGAACCAGTCCTCGGAGTGTGAAGTGACGACCGCATACTCAGCACTGTCATTCTGGCACTTCGATGAAGCGACCGAGGACGATCCGCAGGCCGAACAACTGAAACAAAAATTCAAGCGCAATTTCGACGAAGCCAGTCTTCTCCTAACTGCGGCGGAGATCGAGGAGGTCGTTCAGGAAGCCAGGTCAGTATTCGAGTTGTGCTTAAGGTTGATACAAATGTTGGACGAAGCAATGTTGGAGATGGAACAAATACAAAACCAACCAGAAGATACAGTAGCATATGCCAGACCACTACAAAGTGGTGTCTTGGAAAAGCTATGGCAAGGTCTAAGTCGTTCGATTGTGGGACCTGCTTGCGATTTTGCTGGTTGGCACTGGACAATATCAGCGGGTAGTGAAGTCAAAGTCGCTGAATGACAAAAGCTTGCATTGCCTGCGCGCTAAACCTTTCTCCCCCACAATTTCCTCGCTCAGTTGCCACAGGTAGTTGTTCGGGCCATCTTGGGGTCCGTAAACCACCTAGGCGCCTAGTCGGCGAGTTGACAGTCGCTCAAAAAAAGGGTCTTTGTCACTAATCCTAGGATCCAGAGCTGCCACAAGGGGAGTGGAACATCCTTGTTCCAAATCCTTGAGGACAACAGATACACTTCTCTTCTTGACACGCTCCGTTGCCAGCTTTGTATCTTCCGGGTCCATGTGACACGCCTAACTCTGTCGTGCTCACTCCAGGATGCAATACAACAGAGAGGATACCACTTTTCTCGAAAATCCTCTTGTTCAATTCTAGACTGAACAACACGTTCGTGCTCTTCGGTTTCCTGTGGGGCTGCTTGTGGAATAGAGGCTTTATCTTCCGTTTTACCCAAACTGAGCTGAGGCTAGATAGTTACTGTTGAAATAGTGTGATAAACGCAATCGAGTATTCTTCTCACAAAGCAATGAGATTGACGCGGAAGAAAACACACACGACGACTTCGAGACTTCTTATACCATCAACATCCAGTCTTGCGGGAAGTGATCCAATCCTCGTCCGTCGACATGCAGCAGCACGGATACATAGTGGACTGGAGTTGACGACTCTCGCTCGCCTCACACAGAAAACATCACAGCACGACGGCGTCACCGTACGCCATATCTGGACCAAAAGACGAAGCATTATCGGGAGTACATGCTCACAGAAGTGCGATGATACTTTCGACACATTTTACGATTCAGCTTGGAACCTGCATATGCATGAAAGCGGAACAGCCGGAACTTAGATACCTGCACCTTGTAGAGAAGGAAAGCCTCATGAATGCTATTCTCGTTGCCAGCAGTGCACAAGGATCGTGGAAAACTTGTATGAGCCGTGTGAATACAGACGAGTGCCTCGTTATAGCAGTGGTTGATCGTGGCGATCGGCGGTAAATCAAAACATGATCGACGCATTCGTGTCGCTCAGGCATCGAATTCGCAACCGGAAGTGCCAGATTAGCGAGATATGATGCCTCAGGCTACACATCCAGATTCCTCCACGCGTCGCGTTCGCTGTCTAGTACTGTTGGATACTGCTTACGAATAGATGTGATTGCCGTGGACATGTACGCCGACTTTATCAAGGAAAGATCTATACAGCCAGATTGTCCTGATCGAAGTGTCCAAACACAAATTCAACCAGGAGAATCTGTCAGCTCTCCTTGGCCAACATGTTGGTTGGCGAAGATAAAACTACGACCAAGTACCTCCTGCTTGAGTCACGATTTCTGACCTGCATCAAGATGATATACTCAGAAGCTATGTCGACCATTAACAGCAATGGGGACACGTGTCAGTGTCCGACTCCCGTTAACTGTTCTCAGCTCAGTACATTTTCCGTTTCGGGAGGGCTTTGTATGCCAGGTTCAAGGTCAAGACAATGGCCACTACCAGAAGCGGTAATGGGATCTAGTACGAGAGTAACACGATGATTACACTCAGCTTGGGATCTGTTCTAATGGAAGGTCCTTATGTGGTAGCCCTACTTGCCCGCGCCTGTACGTGTCGATATAACAGAAGCGACAATGTCCGAAAACCGCCAGTTCATGCATAAATTACCACAAGCATCGCGACGCTCCTCCAAGCAGGCTACTTTTGACAGACAAACTAAGTCTTCGGTGCACGATGGTGTGGTAGCACATAGTTTTCAGAAAAGGACAACCAATGTTCAAGATAGACAATTATCGGAGTCGAGCTCTGCTAGCTCTAGCTCGAACACATACGACTTATCTGACAAGCAGTTTCAATGTCGCAAAGAGTCTTATCCACAAGAAATATACCCGTCAGCACGATTACGCTCATCTACTAGTTTGGATGACCCAATCGAAACGCCTCTTACCAGCGGGATTCCAGAATTTCATGAATCCTTCGAGAATCCCCTCGATAGTCCTCTAGAATCATGGCCAGAAAGAAGAAGTAGTGTTGCAACCGATTCCGACGAGGAGTCACAACCTTTTTTGGAAAGACTCGAGGACGAGGTTACGAGGAATAATGCCTTCGACAAGAAACTGGATCAGCTCAGAGATGACTTGATGCAATCCGGGGAGAAGATCCTGCTAATGGACAAGATAGGGGAAGCCATCTTTATGTACTACGAAGGACAGCTTACTAAAGAACTCCTTGAACTGCTGACTCAAACAACACGCTATGCCCAGGAGTGGGGATACAAAACAGTGATGATACGTGCACAAATCTGGAAGGTTGCTGTTTTGCACGACATGGGACTAACTGACAACATCCCTCTGGCTCTTGCGGATATACTTGCAGTGGAGCCGGACGATGAGCTCAACGCGACCGACTGCTTTCAGATGAGGAAGTTGCTCTCTGGATATGTAGAGGATGTTTGGGAGGAGCTGAGGATCAGGCAGGTGCAGAGTTATCCTACCGAATTTCGGGATGTCGCGAGAGCTCATGTCTTGGAGGACGAAGAGGCCGCACGCATAGCTTGTTCTGATTGGACCCAACGAGTGTTCGCTTCATTTGAAGCAGGTTTCGACGCTAACGAATGGCCTGACCCCGATCAGGCCATGAGGGGTGTAATAGTCCAGTCGAAGCCCAAGCATGGTTGGTGCGCAACAGACCAGCAAAATGGGCTAGGCTGCCTCGAGCGGGAAGTCGATGAGCTACGCATCATTAACGAGCGCCTGATGGTGGAAAACCGTCGTTATCGCGAGGAAATGGGACTATCTGACACCGCAGACACGCCTGTCTCAGCAGCACCACAGGCATCCTGGCATGCGAATCCCTTCTACTCACCCCTGGGTTGGGCACATAAGCCAAAACAAAAGGTCGCCTCGCCGCAACGTGATGCTAAAGCTGAACTTCTTGATCGCAGTCAGATGGTCAACAGAGAGAGCCAGTCATCATGGTCGCCTCAATCTCCGGATCGCCAGCCATGGGGTACACCACATATCTCTGAACATCCTTCAGCGGCTTCAGATTCGATGTTTGGTCGGTCAATGAGTATGAGGTCCTCCTATCATGACAGCACTCAGAGACCTAAATCTGTCTACCCACCTAGTCCTCTGCACTTACGCAAGAAGATCAGGTTGTCGCGAACTTACGCTTCGCCTTTAAGGTTTGCACGCAAATCTAGATCGACGCAGGTCAACAAGTATCGTCGTTCTGAAGACTTGTCTCTTGATGAATCTCAGAAAGAGAGTTCTCAGAAGAGTACGAGTGGGATGCCCATCGATCCCACTTCAAAGACTTCTTCTTCGGAGGAAATATCTGGAGATTTCTTCTCGCCTTTTCTGTCACGATTTGATGATCTTACTGCAGCAGTGATGGCTATCGCTCAGCCAGGCGCGAACGCAGAGGCCAGTACTCCAATTTCAGAGATGCGCAGAGGCAGCGAAGTGTTGAGTCCTCACGCACGACCGCAGACACAACCTACTGAATCAAGTTTTAGTAAACCTGCTCGTATACCACGAGCAGATACAAGCAGACATCATCGAAAGCCTTCAAGCGCCTCACCAAAGTCTCCACTCGAAGGGTCTAAGTCAGAGAACCTGTCACTAACTGATACACCATCTCCAACCAAGCTCGAGGAAGTAGCACCTCATTTTCGTGAGCATCAGGAACAGCGACGAAGATCACATACCCGCTCACTAAGCCTACCAATATCTCCAACATTCAGAAGCTATGAGGACGAGAGGAGTCATGTAGTGATTGCCTCCAATACTCCGCTCCATACTAGTGGTGAGGTCAAGCAGCAGCCAGACGGGACCATTCCTCATCCGTACACTGGCATCAGAGAGTTTGCGAAAGGTTTCGCCGATTCCACTGCCGATGATTCGGGCAGCCCTTCTTCCAACAAAATTGGAGCATTCAGGAGTGATTTAGGAGATCAAGTTGCTGGAAGTAAGATCGATGAGGCACTCCCAGTCAACATGTTCAGAGAACGTACCCAAGAGTTCCAATCTGGAATGCCAGCGAGCCAGCGGCAAGAAGGTTCGCAAGTCGTGGATTCGACACAGGCAAGAAGATCCGTCCGAGGACGTCTGTCAGATCGTCGTAGCCTGACTGACAAATATGCTTTGGACAAAGTGGCACCATTCACGCCGAGTTCGAAATCCTCAGCTTCTTCTGCAATTTCCAAGCCCAAATTACACTCAAAGATTCTTAGCACCTTGTCGGATACAGATTTTGGTGATACACCCTCAATCCGGGATAAGGCATCGTTCGTGCCAAAGAGCTCGCGTCTGGCTAGTGACGAACTGGGTGAAGATTTCCTAGATGACATGCAAAATATTCCGAATGATTGGGTTTTCAATCCAGCACAGCGCAATGCACCATTTGCAGAACGCCTCGATGACAGCCGTGAGCTATATGGAGATCGTTATGGTAGTTTCGATAGTCAGTCCAGCATCAGAACAGCAAGTGGCTATACTGAAGGCGCACGTCTGAGCAACCTCTTGTCGAGGCTACAAACTGAACAGGCCATCGCGGTAACCCACGAGCGTAGATCGTCCAAGCCAGCAATTTCTAGTCCATTAAGAAGAGGCTTTCAGCTAAGCGAAGATGAGCAGGATGACTTGAGGCAAGAAAACATTCCAATAAGTAGCCGAGGCGGAGTGTTCACTGAACCTGAACATGCTAGCATCACCAATGGTGAGGTAGACGACCAGGACAGTCCAAGGAGCAAGACTTTAAAAGCTCTGGCAGGACTTGGCACTGCCGAAGAAGCCCTTGTTTCAGGGGTAAGACGATCTGCAAAAGCAGCTCGTGCTGCACTACTAGCCAAGACGAACGCAAGTGTTCATCTGAATAGTTCGGAGCAGACTTCGTCCAATGGTATCCCTAACAATGCCGCCTTCAATCAGCTCACTTGGAAAACACACACCACTTCGCGCGACTATGGCCTCGACACTCCTGCCCGAAGAGAACGGCAACGCAGCATTTACGATGAGATAGACGATTCGTATCCTTCTCCTACAGGACCTCTTCACTCTCAATTCGACACCGCATACGGTAACAACGACAGTGAGATCAAACATATCAGTGACACCGCAGCAAATATTGCCGACATCGAGGGTTTTCGTTCCATTGATGGCTTAGAGGCATCCTTGGCTGAAGATGTCGATACCACACCTCCAGACTACCCCTTCGGCGCAGGATCGGATTCTGCACCTGCTTCGAGAGAAGACAATGACGAAAGTGGTGGTGATAGTGGCGTCTCTTTGCCCGAATCTTCAGGAAGTGACCCTGCCAGATTCGACGTGTCGGGCCGACGAGGTCTCTTGCCAATTACCAGAGGTAGAAGAGAACAGCAGGAGGCGCGCAAGAAGTATTCAAGGAATCACAGATTGCAGGAAGCCAAGATGAACAGTAAGAAGGAAGGAGGACACCAGATTGAAAATCTGTCCATTGCAACAAATTTCTAAGTCGAACTCATAACGACTTCTTTGGTCCGCAGTTCTGGCACGGACGCGGCCCGCAATGATGACTGGCTCCTTAGCTCAGAATTTCTTCGCAAGCTAATGTATCTGCCACGTACCAGATTGACGGTATTCTAGATTACCTTTCAGGGAGGGGTGGCGAGAACGTCGTAGTATATTCACCGAGGTCGTCGGGTCGAGGACGGCCGGAATCGAGGGGGGCAACCTTCCGAGTACTATATACACAGTAGGATAAGCTGGAGGCAGCCTGACTCTACATTTGCACAACATGAGTGGATGTAGAAATATCCCACAAATTCTAGTACGCAACTGACTCTGCATGCGTACTGTACTGTAGTTGACAATCAAGATAAGCTTCCTCGGTATTTGTGAGCAATAACGAACCTACTTCTATGCAGGGTCAGTCACAGTAGTACCAAGGTATAGCAATCCGGATGACGGAGGTATTGTGCTCTGCGGTGTTACCAAGTCGAGCACAGCTCCCGATCCAGCTTCCGCCCCCATGAACAAGTTGGCGGTACCGCAACTTCCATCATACCATCACGTCGCATGAATCGTGATGTCCCTCAGCAAAACCTGAAACCGGGCCCTGAGTCTCTTTCTCCTACCGGAGACTTCTTGGCACATCCTTGGACGATCGGCAAGGGACGACACAAAGAAAGAGCAAGACTCAGGGGTTGTGAAAAGGTTTCAGATTGGGGACTAAACGCGGGAAGGACAGAGAATGGTCGAACCAGCGATGTGTAGCGTGTCACGCGTGGACAACTCCACCCACAGCCAGCTCTAGAGTCGGCTAGCGCAAGGTCCGGGTTGCTGCTAGCCAGGGCGCGAGCTGTTTCTATAGGCTTATGCAGAGCCGCTCACAGATCTGGTCTGGTCGGGCTACGATGAGCTCCGTTTTGTTGCTTCTGTCCAGTGAGCAGGCTTCGTGACCCTCACTTCCGCAATCTTCCCTTCTGCGTCCTGCACACTCTCGTTCTTTTCACACTCATTCATCCGCCCAACACTCTCCTTCTCCGAACACTGACTGGTCGACTAAACACTCATTTTTTCGTTCGCTTCTCACTTTCGATCGTCGACTCGCACACACCAGTTCGGTTACCCTCCTTCCTTCTTGTACAACGATAGATTCGTTGCGCAATCCAGTCATTCATTTCCATTCCCTTCTCATAGTCTGCAGCTCGGTCTGCATTCTGACATAAGCAAAGAACTTCACTGATCACATAGAGGATTCTACCCTCCACGACAGCTCTTTCTCGACTGACAAACAATCTCTGTGTCAGCATACAACAAACAAACAGTGACCACGACTCAGGCAAGGAAACAGACAGGTTCTACAAGTGCCTGCTGTGGAAGACCATCATCAGCCTCTAGATTTACGGACCTCTACACTACACGTCATTCCTTCATACCATGTCTCTGGTCCGCAATCTTACCAGGCGTGCTCGCGCGCACACTCGTGGTGACGAGGCCCCTAACGTGCCGCGTTCTTGCACAGTCAAGTACGCCCCAGGGACAATCAACCGCGCCAAAATCTCTCTGCCAACTGAGTTTCTGTCCACAACTAACGTGCACGCTTTGACTGCGCCAGATATCAGAAAGGTCTCGGCTGAATCAAGCACCACTTCTTCGTCATCAGACTCGATCCACTCTGACAATGACTTCTCAAGTATCGATAAGAGCTTCCTCAGTGCCGACAACTCGTCTACCTCCGATCTTTCGCCTGTGACCCCGCTTACACCCTTCTCGGACTTTGGCCTCAGTAGCGACACGAAAGACTTCTTCTCGAGCAAGCCTACTGTCAGCCTAACAACTTCGACACCTGCCTCCGAGCCCGTTCCTGCTATTCCACAGCGTGCACCAAGCCACAGCAAGAAAGCACACGTCGAGCTATCCAGACAACGCTCTCTCAAGAGAAGTCTTTCACCTCCTCCTACGGACATCAACACTGTGACCACCCGTGACACAGTTGCTACGTTCTCCACTCCTGCCTCGAGACCTACCTCGGAGAAATCAGCTCATCCTTTCGGTCGTGAACTGGCCAAAGTGGACGAGGTCGCAGAGAGTTTCCGTGCCTCTGGGGCCGGCGTCATACTCGATGAGGAGGAAGAGGAGATGCTAGCCAAAGGACTACACAAATTCACCGTCAACGATTATCTTGCCGAGATTACAGGCATGACAGGCGGAATCTACGAGGACAAAATCAGGTTGAATCCTTGGATCTAAGCCTCTGGTGAAAGTTAGTGGATGGTCATGATGGCACGAATCTCTTTGGTTGTGGTATTTGTTTTCTTGAAAGGTGTAGCTTTGGTACCAGATCTGGCTCTTTCTTGTCTATATTTTGATCTTTCTTTTCGGGCGAGGGATATGCAAGCAAGTACAGGAGATCTGAACTGTCATATCGTTTCAAGAAATGAAACATCTTCAAAAGCTACCCAAGGAAGTTTCGGTATAGCACAACATTATGGTCTTGACTGAACTATAGACTTTCGATATAGTCTTTGTTGCCTGACTATAAGCAATCGCCTGTCGCGTGCGTGAAGTAGATCATGCTCTCAATTTGGCCAGGCAAGTGTTAGTCGGATGTTGTCCATGGAATGCTTGTGTTCAGCGGAAATGCACAAATCTCCCGATTGGTAGTATTAAACGGCAAGATCCAGTGCGCCTTTATGATTCCAGATTTGCTCCTTCGTGCGCCACTTACGAAAATTATTGACCTTCCTAACGCGTGTCGATAATGGATACTGCGGCAATATTTCACTGAGCAAAATTCACCCAGATCCGACCCTTGTGCAATGCACTTCTCTTGACTCTCGAAGCAAAAGCATTCTTACACAACAACACAACAGAAGCTCAGCTTTTACTGAACTTGATTGTTAACAGCTGCGAAGTATAGTAGCCCATTTTCCTGTTCTTCGTCGTCGAACTCCTGGGCGCAACGTTCGAGAATTGTGCACCAGCATTACCTCCACTACTGGCGCCACAAATATTGTCATCGAATCACCAGTCATTGTGACCAGAAACCAGACCAAGTGATCGGTTCACAAATGACACCCGCGAATGTGTAGAGTCATGTCAGTGAGCGAGACAAGCAGTTGTTTGCATTGCCATGCATACTGTCGAGGATTCTCTCAAGGCAGGTGCTTTTGAGCATCAGCCAACTCCAACAATTGTGCTTTCTGCTGACCGAAACGTTGTTTCAATCAATCGCGCTTGCCAGCGCCTATTTGATCACCCGTATGCATTCGTTGGCAGGAGTGTGCTGGATCTCCCTATACGGTGGCAGGATGGCACAGAAACCGCCTTTCATGAACATTTGACACTACGACAGCCCAATGGTGGTAATATTCCCATTTATCATGAGAATGCTGGATCTAGTTCGGTAATGCTCAGACTACGAGTCGAGCTGGTCAAGCACACCGATCAGACGCTGATCACTGCCAGAATGGCCGTCGTCGATTTTGAGGTATCGGGTGCTGTTCATCGGATGTTATCCTTCGAGAATATTGAAGAGACACACGTTGTGCAGGCTCGTATGCGCAGGAGTGGTATTGGGCGTCAGAACAGCTCGCATATCGACGCTCTATCATCTTCTGCAACGCGGCGAAAAACTCATACTTCCAGCAGGGCTGGCTCTTACGCCACAGCTGAAGAGCACCTTGAGTCTAAATTTGCACAGTTACGTGACGCCATATACTTCAGCACCAATGATAAACGCGCTGGCTTCTTGCTCTCTGCTGATGAAACGTTCTGCTACCCGAGTGTCTTCACGGGAGAAGACCCTGTTACACCTGTGGAGATTGATGACTTCGAGTTATTCTTCGAGGGATGGGAGATGTTCGATGCGCATTTTACGAAGAAGATATCGGTAGAAGATTATCCTGTACCCTGGCTCAGTAAGAATCGCACGCCGTTCCGCAACAAGAGGTACGGCATCAAGGAAGCTGGCAAAGATCTTGTCATCGAAGTTGAAGGACAACCTCTATACAACAGAGAAAAGACAGAGTATATTGGCTGCGTGGTGTGGGTTACAACGCTTGGAGAGTATGCTGATGTTGTGGCTGCCGATCTGCAAGCTTCACTGTTGGATTTTCGAACAATTTGCGACCGCTTGCCTCATCTCTTGTGGACAGTCGATGTCGAGGGAAAAGCCAATTACTTTTCACAGAGTTGGTACGATTGGACAGGTTTAACAGAAGAAGAGTCGATGGGTCTTGCATACACTTCCATTATAGATGACGAGCATACGAAGACAATGTTCACGGATTTTGCAGTTGCCGTGGAATGCAAGTCGGATTTCCGTTGCGAATCCAGGTATCGCAGGAAAGATGGGCAGTATAGATGGATGTCCGTTCGCTCAAGACCACTCCTCGACAGCAATGGAAAGGTACTCAAATTCTATGGCACCTTAACTGAGGTTCATGATATCGTGGTCGCACGATTGGAAGCAGAAAGGAAGAAGGCTCAACTGATGGCTATTCTTTCACATGCGGAGATCGGATTGTTTGAGGTTACCGTCGAGGACAATCTACGAGTACTCGAGGGCAAACTGGGTTGGATTGACGAACACAATACGAGCCTACCAATTACAAAGCTGGAGGAAGCACAAGGTCAAGGAGTTACTATTCTCAAGAATAATCTGCAGAGTATCATGCACACAGACAAATCATCTGCGGTATTTGAAGGACAGATTGGGTCACGGTGGTACAAATTTCGTCTTGTCGGCGATGGCGAGCTTGGAGACGACCTGGTTCGACCCAGAAAAGTTCTTGGTTGTTCAGTTGATGTCACTGAGCAGCATGAAAGGGCGAACCTCGAGGCGGAAAATGCTCGCCTCAGCGCAGAAACATCTTTGGAAACGGAACGAAATCGATTAAAGACTGCCTTTCTTGCACATGTTTCACACGAAGTGCGTACACCAATAGCAGGAATTATTGGCACTGCCGATGTACTAGCTGAGTCGAACCTCAACAGTGACCAAATGGATAGCTTAGCAGACATACGGACATCCGCGAATAATCTGCTTGCCATCGTCAATGATATCCTCGATCATTCCAAGATTGAGGCGGGCGAATTGCAGATGGAGAAACTTCCTTTCGATGTGAACGAGCTGATCGCACAAGTGAGGAAATTGTTTTCATTCACTGCTCGAGCCAAATCTATCCAGCTTTTTTGTCGCGTGCCAGGAACAATAGAGATGCTTAGTGATCCGAACAGGGTGACACAAATAGTGACGAATCTGATCTCGAACGCGCTCAAGTTCACTACAAAAGGCTCGATAACTATTTCCGCCGAACAGCAAGGCGCCAACGCTCGAATAATAGTTGAAGATACTGGGGAGGGAATTGACGCACAAACCATGGGGACTCTCTTCAGACCTTTCGTTCAAGGTGATGCATCAACCGCTCGTCGACATGGTGGGACAGGACTCGGCTTGACAATCAGTCGCAACCTCGCGCAAAGAATGGGAGGTACGCTGGTACTTGAATCGACGCCATCCGTTGGCACGAAAGCTATCTTAACACTGCCCAAAGAAATGGGCTTCACCGAACCTACAAGATCGAATGGATCGGAATCTAAACAGTCACCGACGAAGAAAGTTGCGATAGACATGACTGGAGCTTCGCAAATGGCACTCGCAGCAAGCCACGTCCATTTACCCACCGAATCCGCTTCGGCGACGAGGCAGCCATCGCCTGCACGTGGACATCATAATCAGTATCACGTGCTCGTCGTCGAAGACAACGCCATTAACCAAAAGATCGCCATTAACCTAGTCAAGAAGCTCGGGTACATAACCCAAGCAGCCTGGAACGGCCAGGAAGCACTTGATATACTAGAGCACCTCACGCCCACGGACTCGTCAGCACCATCGATAATACTTATGGATTGTCAGATGCCGCTCCTGGACGGCTACGAGGCGACACGAAGATTAAGGACCGACGCTAAGTATGAGAAGATGAAGGATACTCCCGTGATTGCGTTGACTGCGAGCGCTATACAAGGCGATCGAGAGAAATGTCAGGCTGCTGGGATGGATGACTATTTGAGTAAGCCAGTCAATAAGGCGTTGCTGAAGGCGATGCTGGAGAAGTGGATACCAACTCGGAATGGGACCTGAAGAACTACTCGTGACAGTATACGATCGGAACAAAGAAGAAGGGGCCATCCTATTCCCGACACAGGACCCCTCTGTGAAGACAAAATGTCATGTCTTCACGGTCAACGTGCTCGGCTTCGACGCCGTCAAAGACATCTATCAACATTCGCCAATAAACAGAGCGACGAAGTATAGCTTGGACTGGCCCTCTATTATTATATAGGCGTCGTCCCGAGCGCTAACCACAACGACACATGTCTCGAAAGCGCAAAGACACATAAGCGACAAACATATGTGCATTCACCCGCATAATACGACAAAATTGACCAATGTGTTGGTTCTGTCAAAGGGGTGTTTATATTGGTGGATCGGATACAGACGAGCTCTCCTTGCAGGGAACAAAGGACACATGATCGAGCAGGGGGTATGCCCATACATGGAAGCACACCAGTAGTTTTGGGCCTGGGTAATTCGTCAAGTGAAAGAATCCACTGAATATACAATTCTCACAGGTGACCGTCATTATTATTGCACGTAAAGAGATACCGTCTCAGTCGATGTCGCAAACAGTGTCTATTGGCGAGCACTATGTTATGGCATTCATACTTCTATAAGCCCCGTCGAGGCTGCTTAAAAGGGAGACTTCAAGGAGGAATGAAGGCGCAGGAGGCAACACAAGCAGGCCTGATACGAACAATATCTCGTATATGTAGAATTTATTCATATAGCAAGCGTTTTTGGAAACGTAACAACATTTGGAATAGAAATTGGCTATGAGCCCTCCCACGTCTAAAACTTGTCCAACCTCAGTCATCATCATCCAAATCCACGTTCAATGCATCCGGATTCGTCACGGGCTGAGTCTCTACCACAGTAGCTTGTGATGGCGGCGGAGGTCGATTCCCACCCTCCGGTCCAGTACTAGCAGCCACGAATCCAACAGGCGCCCTCGCCTGCCTCTCAAGTTGTGCCATCGCATCGATTTGTTCCGAACTTACTTCTTGTTCTCCTTCTCCCAACTCCTCTCCATTCGCCATTCGTTGCTGCTGCTGCATCTTCGCAGCTCTAGCGCGCTCAACAGCCTGGCTGGCAATATACCCAACATCAGTGTTAAAGCTCGCCGCAACACTTCTCTTCACCCTCAGCATCTCTTTGAACGTATCCTCATTACCGTGCGCAACCTCAAATTTCTCCCATACCTCCCAGAACTGTGGTTCAGTCTTCGGGTTCGCAAACTGGCTGCCGTGGCCGTAGATCGCCCTTGCGCGATCAATCTCACCGAGTCGACGCTCCATTTCCGCAAACTTGAGACACATTTCTTTTGCTTCTCTGTCGGGGAGAGAGCCGATGGCGCGCTCGTAGATGGAGCGGGTGGATGTCAGACCGAAGTTTGATGCGGCTTTAGTGGTGTAGAAATTGAACATGGATGCCCGGTCTTCGTCTGAGACGGCACGGGTGGCGCGGTCGTAGATACGCATGGCGGAGCGGGCGAGGCCGCGCTCTTCTTCGAGTTCGCCGTACATGAGGTAGATTGGTTTTGCGAATTTCGGAGGGACGTTTTCGACGGCTTGTTCGAAGAGGTCACGGAGACGCTCGATGGAGATTTTGCGGGCGACTGCTTTGGTTAGGTAGAAGTTCCAGAGTTCGAAGGCGACGGGGTAGGTGAAGAGGTCGAGGCCGCGTTCGTAGACTTTGAAGGATTCTTCGAAGTAGGCGTTTTCTTCGAGGAGGTTGGCGTAGTTGACGACTGTTTGAGGTGTGGCGATTTTGAGCTCGAAGATGCGGTCGTAGACTGCTCGAACTTCTTCTAGTGTGCCGACTGATTCGACCATGTCGACGTAGAAGGACCAGACTTTCCACGATTTGTGAAGACGTTGCTGGGGAGATAGTGTCTCATCAAAGTAATCGACTGTGCTTCGTTTTGGAGCTTGAACAGCTTTGGCCATGACTGCCATTGCTCTGTCAAAGTTTTCGTTGCGCAGTTCCATTTCAGCCCAACCGATCCAGGTTTCGGCTAGCTCAACTACCGACTTGTACGGTACTTTCACGGCTTTATCGAGGATGATGCGAGCAGTGTCGAGGTCGCCATGCTCTTCGTAAAACTTGGCGTAACTGATCCAAAGTTCATGAAACTTTCCAATTGCTTTCTTCGGTTCTATTGCTGCGATGGCATCGGCATAGGTTTGAACAATCTCTTTCTCGTTGTCGCCCCATAACGAGACACGCTTCTCCCATTCAGGAACGTTGTTGTGGTTTTGGCGCAGTAATACATCGTTCAGGAGGAAAGGTCGTCGATCCATGAGATATTCGAATCTCATCAAGCGCATGTCCAAGTCCAAGTCCTTGTCGGAATCTGTTTGACCTTTCGCGGAACGAGCTTGAGCAGCATCCATTAGTGTCGATATTAACGACTCCTCAAACTCTACGTATGCATCGAAGATCATGGTAAAATCTCGAACAGTCATAACAGTAGTGATACCCTCCTCGAAGACGTCTCTTGCACGGTCGAAATCTCCCACTGTGATCCAATAAGTAGCCAGACCAGCCCAAAGCTTTCCTCTCTGGTCAGGAAACCTCTCAATACCACTTCGGATGATACAGTCGACATCAACGCCGGATACTGAGCTATCGCCGATCTGCCGGGCTTTGCTGACCATCAACTCGATCATGTCGTTCCACAACTGAAATTCGCTCTTGACGTTTTTTGACTGAAACTTCGGATTGTTGAGGATTTCAATATATCTCTTAACAGCTTCCTTGTAATGATCAGTTTCGATCAGCAAATCGATGTAGTCCTCGGTATCTTCTGAATGTAATTGTACATATCTTGCCCAGACCCTGACTGCAGTCAGTCCACCGGCAGAATTTGCGAACTGCTTGTATAGCTTCCATATGCGATTGTGTTGAGTTACAGGCAATGCGCGCAAAGCTCGATCGAAGGTGTGTCGTGTCTTGGTGACGAGAGGCTGTCGTAGCAGAAAAGCCAGATACATCTCCCAGATGACTGGCATCTTATTGAGTAAAACCAAAGCCCGTTCGAAGAGTGCATTAACCTTGTTGAAGTCGTCTCTTGCTCGAGCAGCGTTTTTCTTTTTCAGGTGCTTGACACGGAAATCAAGGTACAACTTCCATAACTTGTACGATCGAGGTAGATGTATGCAAGCTCGTTCCATAACGAATGCCTGCTCCAGTAGGGTACCATTACGCATTTTTGCATCGATATAGGCCAGCCATGGTCGAATACTGCCTGCATTGCGAAAGAGGTCCTGCTCGTATACAGTATCGTCACTACTGAGTAGAAAAAAGTCAGGACGAGGTTCCTGCTGCGTAGTGAGAGTAATCGAGCCCATCGTTAGGGACTGGTCGAAGAGAACGACGGCTGGTTCGCATCAACAAAACATAAAAGTCAGGGCGAGCACAGTACTTTTCTTAAGCTCAAGATTTAGCGCCCGCCAGACGTGGTGGAGCCTAAACCAAGGGCAGGATTGCGCCTGGCACATGCATTTTCGGGGAAGGTTCCTGCCTGAGCGCACCAGAGTGGGTTTTCCGAGGACTGACGACAGCGCTTTGGCTGATAACGAGCACCCACTGCTGTCCAGCTATACCAAGACCATATTCACAACTCCGTCGCTTCTGGCCATAGTCGATACCGCGAGCCAAAATGTCGTCAGGAGCAGGCGTACGTACTCGTTCTCTTCAACTTCGGTCAAGACTAACGAGGGTACACAGCGTGAGCAGGTCTTTCCCACCCGACAGGTGCTGGGTCAGATGAACAGCAAACTCAAGGGAGCTCAGACAGGCCACAGTTTGCTCAAGAGGAAGAGTGAAGCCTTGACCAAGTATGTGTACATCCAGAGCCTATGTGACTGCCACTAATCTGTGCATAGACGGTTTCGAGGTACGCGGGAAAGGACGAAGCAGTGGACTGCCTCTAACAAAATCTAGAAATTCTCAAGCGAATAGATGAAGCAAAACGGAAGATGGGTCGAGTCATGCAGATTGCCGCCTTTTCCCTCGCTGAAGTCACCTATGCTGCTGGAGGAGACGTGGGCTACCAGGTTCAAGAATCAGTCAAGAATGCTCGCTTTCGCATACGGACCAAGCAAGAGAATGTCTCGGGTGTCTTCCTGCCTCAGTTCGAGAGCTATACCAAGGAGGACATCAATGATTTCCAGCTAACTGGTCTCGGCAAGGGTGGTCAGCAGGTCAAGAGATGTAGAGAGACATACGCCAGAGCCGTCGAGACTCTGGTAGAGCTGGCCAGTTTACAGACAGCTTTCGTCATTCTCGACGAGACCATCAAGGTGGTCAACCGAAGAGTCAATGCCATTGAGCACGTCATTATACCCAGGACAGAGAACACGATCAAATGTTAGTCGTTGCCCTTCACGATAAGCCCAGGCTAACCAGATCGCAGATATCAATTCTGAGCTCGACGAGCTAGACAGAGAAGAGTTCTACAGGCTCAAGAAGGTATCGAACAAGAAGCAGAGAGATCAGGCTGCATCGGACAAAGAGATGAAGGCAAAGAGGCAACAGGAGCAGCAGAATGGAGTCAAGAAGAACGACGATGAAGACGAGGAAGAGGCCAAAGATGTCCTTGGTGAGCACGAGGATGACGATGTCATATTCTGATACGGCAGCACTTCATAATGCCTGGGTATCTTCTGGTTGTGTAGTACTTTTAGCGCCGTCCTTGAACCTGTGAACCTGAGAAACGACATTCTTCCCTGTAATAGCACATTTCTGCCACATATCTATGCGCGTTGATATGTGACCCGTATGCCTTTCCCTTCGTCTCCTAGTTGCATCCCACTAGTCGCCTCTTTCGCACTGATAGCACCGACCTCAGCCTCGTACTCAACAAAAGCAATTCCCCTACGACCTGGCACAAGTCGTACCTCTTTGAAGCCTTCGAACCGACTGAATATCCTGCTCAGTCCATCCGCGTCATAGCTGTCTGGTATATCCCTCAAGAACAGAATCTTGTTCGGCGGCAGATACTCATCAGGTATAACAGCACTCGCATTCGCACTGCTCCCCTTCAATCCTGCTCCCTTCTGCGTCTTCGCCGGCCGTCCTCCGTCCACAGCAGCAGCTGGCTGCGTCGGCTGCCCACCAAGCGGCCTCTTCGCTCCCGCCGCTGACGCCGTCACACCAACCTTCTCGGCCGCCTGCTTCCTCTCCTTCTCCGCTAACCTCCCCCTCTTCCACCTCTCCAAACCCCCATCCCCTTCCTGCTGCTTCACTGTCGCATCGCTCCTCGACCGTGCAAAATCCAACTTCATCGGCTTCCCGAACAGCTCGAACCCGTTGATTTCCTCAATCGCTTTGGCGGCGCTGTCTGCATTGTCAAAGACTATGAATGCCTGTCCCTTGGATTTTAGGTTACTCTTTGCGACGAGGTCTATTATTGTGCCGTATTCGGAGAAGATTTCGGTGAGGGCTTCGGTTAGGGCGGGGATTTTTATGCGCTCTTCGAGGTTTTGTGCGTAGACTGTAGTTACTGGCCCGTTTTGGAGGGCTGTGGCCATGCTGGGTGAGGTAAACGACCACGGAGGAATAGTGGAGGAGGACCAGTGGTTGAGACTAGGTGTGACAGATAAGTCCTTGAATAGTTGAGGTTGATGTCGCGATTTGTTTTGGAATTGACTGATTAGTGGGCCTGTTTGCTACTGTTTGGGCGTACTTAGAAGTGTTTGTTGCGCCAAATTTTGAGCATGCAATGGTGTAGCCTATACGAAAGAGAGTATGAAGTTCAGTTTGCTGTCTACAGCCTACTTGAGTACCGAATTTCAGCCGTGATGTCCTCTTCAGGCTTTCGACGCTAGTACGCTAGAAAGTAGTATGTCTCCCGGATTCTATGTTCTTGCCAAACACTACATATCACGCCCACGATAGCCGCCCATTCTATATCTCCACAATGCCAGGTTGTGGAGTTCGAATCAATACCATGTGCTCCGGGTCCTGTGATGTGGTAATATATCGTCCTTTGTGCCATCTGCCTTGGCTTGCTCTTCCTGTTGCTTGCAAAAGTCGTACAGGAAAAAGTCGATCAGAACAGCGTTAAATCTCTCTTTCACCTCAGGGTGCTGCCGGACCATCTCTCTCCTGAGCAATTCCACAGCCCAAATACTACAGCCTCTTACCTCAATTTCCATGTTTTCACCAGATCGAATCTCCTCCCCTCTCTTGATCTTCGTTTCGAGACGCGGTGAGTACCAGAGCACGTTCAGAGACTGCAGAATCTGTGGGATCCTGTAATCTGGAAAGATAGTGATATGCTGAATATCGTCGAAAGAACCAAAATCTTGGCCGTTAAAGGCTGCCCACAAATCCGCAACCATGATTTGCGCTCGTTTGTAGAACCGCACAGTCTTGCCATGAAAGACATGCTCGTCTCGAAAGCCTGGGAAGTGATCTACCAGCAAGTTCACGAATCGAGCAGCGGAATGGTCAGCCTGTTTGATCACGTTGATAGGCAATCCATCGAATTCCTCTTCTAGGATTGCACCACTTTCGCGAAGTAGATTAATACGATCATCAAGTAGGGGCATCTCTTCATCGGTGGAGGAACGAAACACGTATCGAAGTTGCGAGTCTGTAGCTGCTGACCAAAAAGATGGAGTAGTGATGGGAGTGCCTACTTACCTATATAAGCCACTGCCAGCCACAAACCCATACAGCAAAGTTGCAACTCACCTTCCTCAAGAGCCCGCTGAAGAATTGCGACAAGTGACCAATATCCAGTCCAGCTTCGACCTTTGTAGTCAATCTGGAACCGTTTGTCCTCGGTTAGCGTGGACCAGAAGCTGAAATTAAGAAGATCCATGGTGAAAATAAAGTTGACAGTACTTTCGTCCTTTGCCTTGGGATGTAGCTCATGTTCGGACCAAGTATTGGTCGAAATGTCCTTGTCTTTCATCAACTGCCATATTGACGCAGCAGCAGCCTTCGTTGCTCCTGACACAATACTAACATCGATTGCATTGTCATACACAAATTCTGCTGTTTCCAGCACCCGTGTGTTGGGAGGAGCTGAAGCTGATACAGGTCCAAGTCCCAGCGTTTGACGCAACAGAGCTAGTAGCTCTGGATCGGCCTCATCGTCAGACATACTTTTCTCTGAAGCGTTTAATGGCAGCGAGCTGGACTACGAGATTGTGCGACAAAAATCGTGAAGCGAGTTTTAAGCCATGCAGGCACAAACAGGGGAAGTGCAGGATGATGCAGCTAGGCAATCGATGACGGTGCCTAGCCAATCAACTTGAGCGCACCCCGGAAGCTTTTTGCGTAATTAGACTTTGGGCGGTAGTTGCTCTCCAGCATGAAAGTGCCAGCGCAAGCGGCTTCACTTCAATCTCTAAACCTTCACCATGATTTGCTCCTTTCTCGCTCTCTTTTGACTTGAAGCTCACTTGCGAAAGGCCTCAGCTCATTCTCGCCTGAGCGCTGTATATAATAGATTTTAAGACATTTGCGCCATCACCCGAGCATGGATTTATCTCTTACATAACCATTAGCCTATTTGCAGCACAAGCACCACTTCGATACCATGACCGACTCTCATTCGACATCGAATCCGAAGCAAAAGCAGGTGGTGGCTCGGGAGCGCTTCCAGCACCGTGCGCTAGGCTCTACACACGACCAACTCAAAAAGGTAACCAGATAAAAGACTAGACTAGGAGCAGGATACTAACACCAACAGGCACGAGTCCTGCTTGTTGGCGCAGGAGGGATTGGCTGTGAGCTTCTGAAGAATCTGGTGAAGTCCGGATTCAAGGAGATCGTTATCATCGACCTCGACACGATAGACCTGAGCAATCTCAACCGCCAATTTCTATTTCGGCACGAGCACATCAAGAAACCCAAGGCACTGGTAGCGAAAGAGGTGGCCCAGAAGTTTGATCCGCGCGCGACGATCGTAGCGCATCATGCGAACATCAAAGACGAGCAGTTTAACGTGGAGTGGTTTGCTGCATTTACCATTGTGTTCAACGCCTTAGACAACCTCGATGCGCGCCGACACGTCAACCGCATGTGTCTGGCAGCTGATGTGCCTCTGATCGAATCAGGCACTACTGGCTACAATGGCAATGTTCAGGTCATTCAAAGGGGGAAGACTGCCTGCTACGACTGCAAAGAGAAACAGGTACCCAAGTCGTTTGCGATTTGCACGATCAGGTCTACCCCAAGCCAACCAATTCACACCATTGTCTGGGCCAAGAGCTACCTCCTACCTGAACTATTTGGCGTCAGTGAAGCTGCTGCGATGAACCTGGATACTTCAGAAAGCGCCAACAATGCTGAAGAGATTGAGAAGCTGGAAAAAGAGACGGCGCAATTAAGAGAACTGAGGGAGGCCATGGGATCCGATGACTTTGTCCGGAAGGTCTTCGACCAGGCCTACAAGAAAGACGTTGAGCGTTTGCTCAGCATGGAAGACTACTGGAAAAATAAGAAAGCTCCTATACCTCTCGACTACGAGACGATTGCAAGTGGTTCTGAAAACATAGACCCTTTGGTTGCCAAACTTGATCAGGATGTGTGGACACTTCAACAAACCTTTACTGTTTTCAAAGACTCCTTGTTGCGCCTCTCAAAACGTCTTGCGGAAGAGCGAGCGGCGGCGTTAAGGGAAAATCAATTGGAACCTGTCATCGAGTTCGACAAGGACGATGAAGATACACTCGATTTTGTTACGGCTGCGGCCAACCTCCGCTCAGCTGCCTTCAACATTGACCCGAAATCCAAGTTTGACACGAAACAGATGGCAGGCAATATTATTCCAGCGATAGCAACTACTAATGCAATGGTTGCTAGTTTATGTATATTACAGGCTTACAAGGTCATTAAGGGCGACCTGGGCCGGACAAAGGAGCTTTTCTTGTCAAAGGCGAATATGACTGGTGATTCTAGTGACTTACCAAACCCGAACTGTATGGTTTGCAGCAGGGTAATGATGAGAACGAAGATCGATCTCGAGAAAGCTACTGTAGGAGACCTGGTCGACATCCTCAAACTCGAACTTGATTATACTGGTGATATTACGATCACCACTGAATCATCGCAAATGACGGTCTTCGATTACCTGGATGACGACGACGACGACGAGGATTCTCTTGCTAAGCGACGGGATATGAAATTGGTTGAAGTCGGTGTCGGGAATGGGACGTCATTAATTGTGCTAGATGGAGGAGATGACGAGCCCCGTGTCGATCTCCAGCTCTTCGTTGAAGACATGAATGCTGAACGAGAGCAAGCACTAGTGGTGAAGTTTGTGTTCAATGACGGAGAAAAGCCGGAAATACCACGAAAGCCTGCGAAGAAGCCCACAGAGATGAATGGCACAACGACTTTGGATGGTGAGGCTCAGTCTGCAGCCACTGGAAGCAAGAGAAAACGAGGGCAAGACGATGAAGTCGAAGAAAGTGCGCCAGCCAAGAAATTACAGACAAGTGCCAATGGCGCTACGCAGGAGGACGATATAATAGTGATTGATGATGAAGGCGCGATTGTCCTTGACTGAAAATGTAACATACAGAAGAAAGTGCGGCATCAACGATATATAGAACAACATAAGACTCCAGCAGCCTGGAGATTGTCATATATGGCATAAGCGTCGGCTGACGGAGAAAAGCTGTCAATTCACGAATCGTCTTGATTGCAGCCAGCACCACAAACTCAGACACAACAACACAACACACCTCGTCCACGGCTATGTGCTTACTGGGCCCAAGTTCGAGCCCCTAAGCCACACGTTGCGTTTCCGGCGGCGAACGACCAGTTCTCAGTCATTCGTCGCCGACAACAAAATGTGCTTCTTTCGGTTCTTGGCTATTAATTTTGAGAATATCCTGAGGGCAGGCACTCATCACAACAATGCAGTCCTGTAAGGCCCTGAGCACGACATAATCGCCATCCGAGCTTACTGTCGGATCGAAGCTCACGTCACCACCCGCCGATACCAGTTCCTTCCCATTCGAACGAAGTTTTACTGGAATGTTCATCCACAAATTCAAAGGGTCAGGAGGACTAGGGTGGAAACCGAAGATACCACAATCCCTCTCCAGTCCTCCACGAAAATTATCTGAGCAGTTGTCGTGATATTCAGCCTCCGGAACACCGAGCTCGTGATAGCGATGGATGTCACACGCAGCGATCAGTGTATCGTGAACACATTGAGGATATGTCGTATCTTCGAGAAGCTCAAGGATCGGCTTGCGAGTATTGGTAAGGAGTTTGTCTCCTGGCAATGGTGTTAGGTGAAGAGTTGATGCTCGAGTATGACACATGGACATGTATTGGAAAGCTGGTTCCTGTTTCGCCGTCCTGCTCATCAACGTAAAATTCGTTCGTGTTGGCTCTCGAGCCAGCAGTATCGCCCAAGTGTCCACGACTTGTGTACCGTGGGTGTTCACGATTTTGATGGTCTGTCCCTGCTTCAGAGGCACGGCCACTCCCGACCGAGCTGGAATTGCATGGAGTTCACCGTGTGTATACTTTGACGCTGGGAGGTTTGGCATGGCAGATAGTTGATGTGAGTTTGAAACCTGAGGGAACAAGTTTCAAGCGAGTTTTAATAGTTATATAGAGAAGAGGCTCGCTATCAGTTTTCCATAGGACATCTGCGTTGCTTGTGAGCACGATTTGGTGACTACTATCTTGCGTGGAAGTCCGTGCTCGATACTGGCAGTCATAACCATACTCGCAGAGTTACCGCATCTACACAACCGTAGAAGTTAACCGTACTCTTACTATGCCAACTCCGAACTTGATTGGTTAGCGACCATCTCCCATCCCATGGCTCTTTCCAATGACAATAAGCTCATCAGATGAAAGTCACTCATTCTCGAGCTCGTTCGCTGTATTGCCCACATTCGTAACCATCTCAGCCATGACTGTGCCAACACCCAAGTCAACTAGGTTCATTGCCTGGACTGAGGACGACGTGCCAACCATCGACATCAATGAGGACTTTAATGCTGTGGTTCAGAAATTAAGCCACTATATTATCAAAGCGATTGACGCAGCATACAACTACGAGCAGCTTCGAACAACTATAGCGGGCCATAGTTTGCGACCCTTGGTGTTTCAGCTTGGCGAGGAGTGTCGTTATCCAGCTATTATTGCTGCGTTACTGTAAGCTAGGTGTTCAGCATGACCAAATCAACTAATAGGGGTAGTGCTGCTCGGTACTCCTTTGGGAACATCTCAGAAGATCCAAGATTGGCTGAAAGTCGTGCGCTTGCTTGCGAGTTAGTGGCGTTCGATCTTGTGTTGACGTTGTCTGAGAAAGAGCTCATTGATCAACTGCTGTATGAGCTACCAGTAACTAGTGAAGATGATGAGATTGTTGGACTCGGTATCGGTGTCACGACACCAAATAACCACACCAACAACGAGTCAAGTCCTTTGCTTGAAAACCAAAGACACAAAATTCACCCCAGTCCACTAAGACCACCCCAGCGACCAAGCAGAGTCTCAACTTTGAGTTCTAACAGCATACTGACACCCAAGATTGGCGCTGACCAAGACGACCTTGCAGACGAAATGGCAGGGTTAAATGCGCTCGAGATCGCAGCTGTAGCAAATTGCAAGAAGTTCATGTCACAGAAGCCTGTTCAAGCGGTCGTGGAGGATATCTGGAACGGCAACATCATATTTTGGGTGAGCACCCACGGACGTGATGGTCTTTTAGGAGCTGATATTTGGGCAGGACTCCCTTAGCACAAACGCAAAGAAAAGTGCAAAGATCTACAACAAGAGAACAGCCGACCCATTCTCACGCCTCAGGGTCCCCAAATACCAGAAAGCCTTCCAGGTAGCTTTCTTTATCGCCTTCCTTGTTCTATATTATGCAGTCCTGGTGCAACGGAACCCTCGATCAGTAACCGTCACGGAAGTCCTGCTCTACGTTTGGATCGCGGCATTTGCTTACGACGAAATCGTCGAGCTACGAGATGCTGGCTTTCTCTTCTATCAGACTGACTTCTGGTCGATATGGGACCTCGCCATTATACTTGTTGGGCTTGCTTTCTTCATCACCAGGGTTATAGGGCTCGTCAAAGACAGTAGTTACATCACAGATGTGGCATTTGACATCTTATCAATGGCAGCACTCTTCCTAGTCCCAAGGTATCTACAATTTGCATTTCGCCAGACACTGCCAAGACTAATAGCGAACAGGATTTGTTCGGTGGCGTCATTAAACCCGTACTTCGGCAGTCTTCTACCGGTGCTAAAAGAAATGGTAGGATCAAACACATACCATGAACTGAACAAGAGCTGATATGCGATGCAAGACGACCGCTTTTTGCAAATTTCTGCCCGTCATACTTATCCTATATCTGGGATTTTTGACTACTTTCACTATGCTTGCTCGAGACAGACTCACTCTCAATGAAGTCAGCTGGCTTTTGATCAAAGTCTTCTTTGTGAGTGATCCCTTCACGAGCACTTACCGTGAACATGAAAACTGGTTGGTGCAATTCTCGCTGACAAGATTACTTACATAGGGATCGAGCTATCTCGGATTTGTAAGTGTTAATGCAGTGTGCAGTTAGAAATGCGATTGCTGACAGGAGATTGATCAGGATGTTGCCGTTCAGGTAAGAATTACCCGGTGGTGGCTGCACTTGGAAGAGGCCATCTCTTGGCTAATGAAGACTAACGGTGCTGCAGATCTCGCCCATTTTCGTAAGTTTTGCGATAGTCATTCCAAGTTGTACTTCTGAGAACTGACAATTAGGAAGGGCTATACTCTCATGTAAGTTACGTCGACCTTCGAATCCCGATTGCTTATGACCTCGAATCTATCGAGCTTCAGTCGTGCCAATCTTGGCCCCCTGCTCGATTCAAGCACCCTTGCCGATTTCAGCCTAGGCTCCACAATTCCGCATGAACTGGAAGGCACGGGCACGCGGCAAAAACCTTTCATGCTTGCACAGTATCTGATACGTTCCAATAGGGTCGTATTTGTCGCATTGACCAACATCCTGCTGCTAACGGCGCTCGTGTCGTTGGTCAGCAATTCTCTCACAGAAGTCATGGTAAGCAGTACTTGAAGCGCTTCTCAAGCCTGATGGACATGAGGCCGCAGATACGTGTCCAGGTCGGCCCCACTAAGCTTGAACTAGTGGCCCTCGGACACCAAACTGGCGCCATTCCCCTGTCCAAGATCCTTGGTAGCGTGATATGCTGATTAGCTATAGGCTCATGCGAGAGAGGAGTACCTCTTTCAGTATTCCATCTACGTCCTGGAGAGCTGCACGTCGCGACGACTCACATATTTTCTTCCACCCACTAACCTCATTCCATTACTGTTTATTCGTCCACTCAGACTGGTCCTGCCCTCGAACACAGTACGTCAAATCAGGATTATGCTGTTGCGTGCTGTATCAATACCATTTGTTCTGATCATATGGTGTTACGAGGGATCGTGCCGTCTCCTTAGCTATGGTGATCGCAAATCACCGCTAGCAAGGATGCGGTCTCGACCATTATCTTCAAGCAAACCATCTAATGGTGGATTAGGGATGGCTCCGGCGCGTAATGAGAGTTCAGCCATGGCAGTCATCTCGAGCAACGGGTCAGCCGAGGACGGCCGCACTAACATAGGTTATAGCGAAGTTGTTACTCTCGTGCAGAAGTTGAGTGCTCAGGTCGATGAACTTACAGCTATGGTAGCTGCACAAAAGTCAGATTGACCTAAAAGCAGGAACGTGGAAGAATCCTGGTTGCACATGATGTGGCCTCGAAAATGGTTACAACATACATCTGATTGGAGCTTCCTGTACTGCGCTTGTTCTGGTTTTCCGAGAAAACAATTGTGCATCTCGAGCCAATATGTCTGTGCATCTTGGATCTATGCGAACCGAACTTGTGTCCTCGGTTGTCCTAGTAGCACGATAAACCTTGCTCACTGGCATACCTCAAACTACGGTTCTTTCTTTCGCTGCAGCGCCTAGCAATTGTGGATCTTGCACAGTGCCGGAACTGTGCTTAACGAATCGTCTCAGTGCTGCCCTGCTAAACTCCCCTTTGTGGCTTGGTATACGCACCTGAGGATCCTCTGACGGCGCTCCAAGTCTAAGCGTCTCTGCTAATGCATCGAAGTTCAGTTATGCATAGATACCTGTCATTTCCAGCAGCTCCAGATCCACACCGCAATCAGCCTCGGGGCCTGTTAACGGCCTTTAACCCACCAGGGCCATGCTCTCAAATCACCAGGACTTAGTCCAGAAGCACTGCACTCCAACACCCATAGTGCTGCAGCATTGAGTATAGTGGGCCGTTATAGCGAGAATTGTTCTCCAGATGTTGCACGTAAATTATGTGTTAAAGCAGCTCCTGGACGTCTCCTCCCTTCAGCTTTTCTTTCGAAAGTTCTGAAGTTCTCGGCCTCTCACCCTCGTCCGTGGAAACCACATAACAAGAGTTGCGTCACTACAGCATGGCATCGAACCATCTGCCATTCCGCTCTAATGACGAACAGCAATTTTGTATGTCCAAAGTCGTTCCGATTAAATTCGAAGCCCTCAGAGCAGATACCTACCAAGTCGTTGATCAATGCTCGCAATTCTGTTGTCAGCCTCCGCCATATGCTACGCCCTTCATCATGCAAGCATCAGAGCACTACCTTGACCTGCAGCTCGGCTTACTGCACCAAGGACCATGGTGCAATACTACACCTCAACAAGCGGCACCCCATGAACAGCAAAGCGGTCTATGGGTCCAGACACAACTCCCGCTATATTCAGCTCAAGAAAGCCCGTGCCATGTAGGTCAAGTACTCACTTCCGATGCATGTGCTGATCAGGGAAAAAGTCTCCTCAAACACCACAAGCTGCCGTTTCTCTGCCTCCATTTATGTCACAAACTATGTATCGTTCTTGCTCGAACTTGACAGCAATCTCGTCTTCGTCGTGCGAGAGTGGTGCCGAAGATTTAGTCGAACATTTGTATTCGAGCCCGCAGCAGGGTGATGTCTGTGGACAGCCCTCTGTGCAGCCTGCTCTTGCACACCCAAAAGAGGAATGTCTCACACCAACCGACTCACAAGGTGCAAGCGACCATGAAGGGCCGAGTGGCCATATGCATCTGACCAATCCTCACAAACTGTCGAGTCCAGCGCGAGGTGCACGCCCGTTGGCACCAGGTTTTACGTGCAGAATCTGCTCGCGAACCTTCTCAAGGAACTCGCATCTGAAGCAACACCAGCAACGACATGTGACCGAACTCAGCAGGCCTTTATGCTCCATCTGTGGCAAGGACTACGGTCGACGAGCCGATCTTGCCCGTCACGTCCGCAGTGTAAGTACTATATGTCTCTCTACAAGCATTCTTCAAACTAAAGAGTTTTAGAAACACGAAGAAAACAGGTTCTGGTGTCGGTATTGTGGCAACATCTATAATAGAAGTGACATCCTCAGAAGGTAAGCTACAGTCCACACCCTCCTTAAACCCACCATTCTAACTGAAGACAGACACGAGACTGACTCTTGCAGAGGCAAGAGACCTAAGGATCGTGAAACACGCAAAAATCGAAGGCAGCAATTTGCAGCAAAGCTATGAGCTGCAGCAAGGACATAAAGCGCAAAAGAGATGCAATATAGACAATCTCGTAGCTGCAAAGCAAAACTCTGGTAGTAATGGCGAATGCCTGGACGGAGGTACCATGGCTCGTGAAGCTGCAAAGATGTGCCCAGGTGGTTTTTTAGTCATTGGTCTACAAGAAGAGTCCTCGCCTGCTGCTGGTCAACTCATTTCTCTTCATATCATCCGCCCTTTCGTTGAGCTTCCGATGTACTCACATGTAACATGTGGTATTATGTTGGTAGATGTCTTGCTCGGATGTATCTTGTTTCTGGAATTTAGATCTTGGTCCAACGATCGAGGCATGGTACAACGTACTGTTCCCAGGTTCTGACGGCGTTTTTGATACTGCTTACACCTTTGGCCGTTCATCCGACACTTACGATGTCGTTAGCATGAAAGTCAATTCAAGCATTAAATCACCGCTCATACGTTTCAGATGCACAGGCTGTCAAGGCCAACATAGAACAGGCCTGGGACGCCTTGCCTGTTTGACCATTAGCGTCTATAGCTGACCAATGATCTTTACGAACTTTTTACCGTGTCGCGCCTGCTCATTTCCTTTGCTTTGAAGGAGAAAAAGTCAGGCCACCTCATTGAGAAGTTGTAGAGCAAAGCTACGTGTGAATGAGAGAGGAGCACTTTGCCAAGTGTGGTCCTCGTCTTGGTGAAGCCAATGCAGTGGCTCATGTCTGACTCGCTACTCGAGTAAGTCAATGCTCAATCGCAGCACGGCTTGTCATGACGTCTTGGCCGCTCGTTCAGAGTCAACAACCACTTCCCAACGAATTATGCATTATAGAGGTAGCCTCGGGCGAGTTCAGAATCAATCACATCAATCGCTTGTCGAACCGAGTCAAACGCGATGCGTCGGATCGTACCAGATTGGAAATCGCTGATCATCACAAGGAAGAATGAGGACGATACGAACATGGGCGGTAACACTCAACAGCAATAGGTTACCACGACAGTGGTACCAATCAGCAAAAGGCTCGTTGCTTCAACATTTGTCACCATTATCTCAAGTCCATCCACCACAATTCCACATGATGTGTCACTACTGAATGGCTGCGGACAGCCTACTCATTCTTGCATAGCATGTCTGATTGGTCTGGTCACGCATTTCCGCGAAATGATTCCCATTACCCGCAACTGCTTGAGCCCGATCTACTCGAGCTAGCATCCTACGCCTCCCCGATTGAGCTTCAGTGTTGCTTTGGATGTGCATAAGTCGCAGTGTCCCGATATCATCCTCAGATTCAAAGCTCAAGGCTGTTAGACAAGGACGTGCCGTGAAGCACTCATCGTTTAGATGAAAATTGGCTTTACGTCGCGTGCCGTTCCTCTGTCGATCAGGTCACAAAGTCAATCCTCTCATCGTTCTTGCGGTACATGGAAGTATCTTCCAGATTTTAAACCCGTGTCTTAAGCGAGCAAAATACGTTGGCAGCATCTTGGTCATTTTACACGATGGATACAACCTAAGTCGGGATCTTCGGCACTTACTACTTGTTCCTCAAGCCTTTCGGCTCACAACGGTGAGGTCGACGGGGTGAATTCAATAAGCCGATACTTCGCATTTTACCCTGGCACATTGCAAGAGGCAACCTATCTAGTCCGCTCTTTCTTTGCACCAATGTGGTACAAGCAGGCTCTATTCTAAGAAGCCGGTTGACTTGCTTGACACCGCTAGTCCACCAGAGCACTATGAGCTTCGCTTGCGAGCAGTCCCAGTGCCGGTACATGCACAATTGCATGCAGATGAGGTGCTTACCAGTGGCTTGACAAACGCTGAACGAGCGACCCCTGAGAGGTCCGATGGACAGCGTGGTGCACATGCCTCTGGATTCGGGATGTGACGAGTCAGGTCCTGAAAGGAGACAACTTGTCCCTATCCTCATCGATCTCGTTCTATTGCAGACAGTTCAATACGGCGAGCTGTATACTCTTGGACTTGAGCACATACGGACCAGCACGGCCCTAAACTTGGCTTCCAGCCATGCATCCTAGGCTATACTCACGTACAGATCGACATCAAAACCACTAGGCCAGTTTCCTTGATGTCTCTCGGGTGCAAGTTTTCACAGTAGCTACACGGCGAACCGCACAGCGAACAACAACCTCGTTAACCTGCATCTTCACACAATGACCGATTTGCGACTCGGAAGCTGGAAATATGCAAGCACTTGATGCATCATCTCGTCTCGCTCCAGACCGCCACCTTATGCGGTTCCAGCAATCCCCGTGACTAGCTGTACAAGCACTGAATTTGGTCCATGCCCCATGCGGATATGTCATACTGGCATCAACGGAAACAGTGTTCCACACTTCATGTTAGCCATGACAATCGGCTCTTTACTGGAATGACAGGTGAGAATGCTCTGCTTCTGACCGATACCTTTGCCTCGCCTTTACCTGGAGTCGATGCTCCTCTACATATGGATATGACGCATAGTGCGAGGTTTTCATACTGTAAGTGGGTCATACTGTTGGTTCATAATTTTGTCAATATTATCGCATCGGAACTGAAGCTCGAATCGAAGTTCTGATAAATACTGACTCCGATTAAAATGTGGAATTACGTAAAGGTTCGACACAAGAAGCACACAGCTGTAGCCATCGCGCTACAGTGTAAGGCTCATATTGATGTGTTGAAGTTGATGTTCATTTATACTTCGGACTTACTCCGTGTATGTTACTGATCTGGCATAGCACTTGGATCTCACACCAGTATGGCATGGAATTGCGGCGTAGATTCGCCTATTTGGCGACCGAAGTACATGTTTTTTTTCCTTCCCGTTATGTATTTCGTGCACAGAAAAGTAGCTACACTACGTATGTATTGAATCTGAACAGTGGCTCAGCTAAGTATGGCTGGCAATAGCTCTTCAGTTTCGTAACTTGCAACGTGCTTGATGACCAGGATTGCTACAGAATCAAGACTTCATAGGAATAGTGATATCCAGGATGAAAAAAGCTTACTGGACTTTACGCGAAAAATACAAAGCCAATAACGGTTGTGCATGACTTTACGCGTGCCTAAATTAGAGTCATTATGGGGAACATTTTGGGGTAACACGTAAGTACACTTCTACGCCAATTTTTTACCAATGCGTGCCTGATTGTCTGAATTTGTTACCTCTTCAAGCTCAAACCATGGCAGATGCTGACGAAGATCTCATACCTTCTCTCGATCCTTCTCGACACTCCCGCGCACGACCACAGACCGAAGATGCCTCAGACTCAGAATCAGACTCCGACGCAGCTCCTGACTACCGCTTCCTCGCAACCACTACCGTCACCAAGAAACATGCCCTGCCGTCGCGAGGCACAAAGGATTTCGAGCCCAACCCGACGAACAAGCAAGCTAGTTCTCTAGATGTCTCGCGCAAAGCTATGGTCGATGCGCTCAGTGTCGTCAGGGTACACATTCCGCGAAGAGGTGAAAATATAGGTGTTTATTTTCCTGACCCACGAGACTGGGATGGGCAGAGATATGAGGAGGTTGCGTTGAAGAAGATTGAGGATGAGGAGAAGAGGAGGAAGGCTAGAGAGTCGAGTGTGCTTCTGGCTGGGAGTGGGAGATGTGTGGCTGTGGAGAGGTTGACGAGCACGTATGCGAAGACTATGGGACGCAGTGATAGGAGGAATTGGTTGTGGTTGTTGCCGGAGGAAGCGTTGTTCTTGCTGGAGAGAGGGACGCTGGATTTACGTTATGCTGTGGAAGGGGAAGAGGAAGACCTCGAGGCAATGGCTGTCGATGGTGAGAGGCCGAATATCGTTGATGAAAAGACTACTTCACCTGGTCTGGAAAGTGGTGGGCAAGAGCTCAAAATCGGCGACATTCCTCTGAGCCTTCAGGGAGCATACGCAGCTTTCATTGGCAAGAGTGGTCTCACACTGGAGCGCTATAATGTCTTTGCAAACCTGAGGCGCGCGGGTTACATTGTTCAAAGAGCGCCTACGTGGCATGGGGCACTAGAAAAGGAAGCTATTGCTTATGAAGACCTGTCGTCTACATCAGAAGATACAAGAGCTATACACGAACACTCTCAATCACCAGCATCAACCTCACTAGTATACCGCCTACTATCCTGGCTCTTCCAACCAACCACCAAACCCACAACCATTCCCTGCCACAATATGATGACTGGCCCTCTCATCTCTCCGGGCCTGTTCCGCAGCTACGGCGACATCTTCCGCCAGCTCTACCTCATTCCCCAGCACAACACTACGATCCCTCCCCCAATCTCCGAACCAATAATCAGCTTCTCCAATTCCAACACCCTATCCCAACCTCCCTCCGACACCCGCCTCCTCCCAACCTACCACGTCTCCAAACCCTCCGCTCTAGCCGGCTACAAGAAATCCTCTCCTCCCTCACCACACTACACCATCGTCGTCCTTGACGCACGCACCTCCACCATCCCTACATCAACACAGATCGGCGACCTGCTAGCTTCAATGCCAGATGAGACACTCGAGAACGCTGGTAGGAAGCGGCTGGAGACAAGGATAAAACATGGGAAGAGGAGTGTGTTGTTGGCAATTGTGGATAGTGGGTTGGTGAGTTATATGAGGTTTAGTGGTGGGGGGTTTGGGGTGGAGAATTTGTTGTGGGAGGAGAACGAACGGAAGGGGAAGTTGAGGAGTGGTGGAAAGGGTGGTGGTGGTGGAAGAGGACGAGGGAGGGGGAGGGGGAGGGGAAGAGGAGGTAGTGGTGGTGCTGCAAGTGGAAGAGGTGGTTGATTAGGTCGTATGTTTTACGTTGGGGTCGAATGAGGACGACTCGTGTTGGTGTTAGGGATTACGAAAGGGGTTTTACTTTGAGGATCACGAAACTCATGCTGACGATTGTACGATATTATAGATGAGATACCCATTGTTGTTAGAAGCAAAGCTCAGGCACGATAGAGAATATAGCACAAGCGATTGGAGTTAAATACTTGACCACGTTTTGAAACAGTGAGAGGCAAAGATGTACAATACAACATAGGATTGAGACATGGAAACGGCGAATTGCTATAATCTGAATCGAGTTGAATATCTATAGCAACTCTATGAACCCCGAAAGCTTGTACATTGTAAGACAATTGTTTCCCTACTGGAGAACGTCCATATCAGTCTATTTTCTGTGATCTGGACTGCGTGACAAAACCGGGAGCTGCTGTTCTTCCACCTGCTATAGACGTCTCTACCATTGAGGAAGAGGGGGTTGGACGTATATGCTTGAGGTGGTGTTGTGCTTTCAGAGCTTATGCCTACCGGCTGCGCTGTGACTTGTGTGTATAGCTCATTTCATGGTGGAGGTAGGACGGTTCACAATCACAAGAGACATGCGCGTATCCTTGATTGCGAACTTTGCACTTAGCGGTTGTTCAGGTTTGCATTCTTGTAATCCTTTGGTCTTAAGCACGGTCGTAGGTTACAGCACATATTGACACCTGTATAGATGATCGGTGCGTCTTCAAGTGTCAAGGTAGTCAGCTGCCATCAGGAGCTCGAGGCATAGATCAGCAGGAATATCCATGTCTCCTACACCTTGGCTGTCTTTGTGCTTCTCATTATAGTAGAAATATTCAACGACTTTCTCAAGAACAACTCCACTGAGGCTTTCGAAATGACAGATACCGGTCTGAGCTTCGCTGAAGCCACCTGTTCAAGTCAGTTCTTGCCTCGATAGCCTGGAGAATCTTTGCACAAACTCTTTGGATCCAGCATGCGTCGAATATGGCCTGAGACACAAGCAGCTGAACGACGCACATGAAATTCAAAGCCATCGAACGAGACGAGTGTCACGTATGACGATGGCTGCGTCGCTGAGTTCGCCATCTCTGCTGCTGCCGCCTACCCCGGTACTGCAATGCAATAGGAGAACGGCGCGGAACATAATAGAGTAGGAAGGAAGAGACTGCGACAAAATATGGAAAAGCACGACAGCTGTGCCGCTGTTCTGCCGACGTGCGTTGGATCACGTGGTTTCACCTTCTGCTTGAGATCAAAAGGGAGTAAGCACAAACAAGCTTCTCTTATTACTCGTACTTGAACTTAGCTCTCGTTCAAATCGAGACCAGGAGCAGAGAGTCATAGGTCTAAAGGTTGAGATGGTAATTCAGTACACTATTGGGTCGCTAATGCGGAGCTCAGGCACACATTGCTGTCGATAGATACTGACAGCGCGAGAGGTCCGTAGAGTATTTTGGGTCTACGATCCACGTAACGATGGTTGTGTTCTCCCCTGCCAGCAGAAGGAGTGTTATGCAAAGCAAAGCATGGAAGGAGCTATGTCGACCCAATTTCCGCCTGAGTCAATCTTTGCGCAGTAAATTTACGACTTCTACTCGACTATGGTCTACCCCAGACGACACAACCTTTGACACTAAGCAGCTATCGTCACGATCCGGAGGGGGTCGGCTAGGACGTGACTGTATTGTCACTGGGGGTACGTTCATCAATTATGCTCCAAATGCGGCCAGTGTCTGAACAAGGGGTGTAGGTGCTTCTGGTATAGGCTATTCAATATCCAAGCAACTCGTCCTCCAAGGTGCAGCATCTGTGGTCATTGTGAGTCGTGGTTCAGATAAAGCTCAAGCCGCAATACAGCGCATCAAAAAAGAAACTGGAATGCACAATGCTCCTCTCAGCTTCATCGCACACGATTTCAAGCAGTCCGTGGAGGGACTTCTCGAGCAATGGCATGTATCTGAAACAAATACCCTTATTAATTGTGCTGGTGTGTCACAGACCGAAGGATTGCTAGCAACTCATCCTACTACAGTTTCCGACATCCTAAGGCTCAATCTTGAAGTACCCATACAACTCTCACGGCATCTGCTAAAAGATTATTTCTCTCGTGGTCGACGCCAGAAACCGGCTTCGACCGGAAAGCACGAGAATCGCCAGTCCCTGTGCGTTGTCAACGTCTCGTCCTTGTTGGCTACCCGAGGTGGATACGGGTCTTCAGTATACTCTACGAGCAAGGCAGGCTTGATCGCTTTCACACGGACGCTCGCTCTCGAGGGGGCAGCTATCAGAACAAGGTTCCCTACGCTGCCTAACTTCCGTGCCAATGTCATTGTGCCTGGTTATATCGATACACCCATGATTTCGAACTTCTCGCACGCGCAGAAGGAAAAGCTGATATCCGAAATTCCTCTGAAAAGATATGGAACTGCAGAAGAGGTCGCAGATGCTGTCATGTTTCTGCTTCGAAATGAGTACGCAAACAACACAGTTCTAAATCTCGACGGTGGTCTCAGTGCAGTGTGACTTGCGTTTAATCAACTACCTGCGACGATCAATTGCTGATCGCTCTATCGAAATCCTCAATACCTCGCGTTTTGTCTCGAATCGAGTGTTTCAGCAGGTCTTTGACAGGTACCTATCAAGGCTCTGCCTCCTCGAGTTCATCCTATTTTGGTCGGCACCACTTTTTGTTGCTCAACAGGAGAACTTTGCGAGCTTTCCTCGTCGACCTCGATTGCTAACATGGGAGTACCATGAATTGTATGTGGTATCAGTGTGTTCTTCTGCGGCCATACGAGATTCAAAACAGCATAGAGCACCACACTCAAAACGAAACCATACAGCCAATTGATTGCGAAGAGATGTTTCAGCCCGTCAGGGATGGCCACGGCACGCGGGTTGACCCTGTTTGCCAAACCTGGCATCATCTAGAGATTGTCAGAAAGCCGACCTTAATGGTGATGGGTCAAAGAGAGGAGGTACTCACTGGCACAATAGTCACGACAAGAACCAGTAATGATCTCCAATTGCACTTCCCATATATGCCATTGGGATCGTACAGGGCAGGCACGTCGTATCGTCGTTTTTTGACTATCCAATAATCGCAGAAAAGAAAGCCAGCCAGGGGAGCCTGGGACCTTGTTAGTCTCCACTCTTGCGGCACCTGAAAGAAGTCGACGCTGGACAAAAAGCATGTCTCGGACACTCGAAGGCGAAAAGATGCACTTACCATGAATATAGCGTAAGCTGACATAAAGTTCAAAAATGTCTGACCAGACTTCAAGATCAACCAGGGACACAGTGCCCACCCACCAAGCAGGAAACATAATACTGAACCTCGGCGAATATTGATATACCTTGGGAGCATCGAAGTGACATCGTTGGAGAACGACAAGGAGTTGGCCGACACGTTGAGGCAAATTTGAGCCAGACACCAGCAGACAGAGCAGAAGAATGCCGCTGCACGCCCACCACTGGTTCCATGCCAATGGTCAATGATCAGAAGAGGGTTCCACAACGGTGTGCCCCAGATCTTAGCAGAGGCTGACGCCGATATAATTCCACAAGCCCCGATCACAACCTTGAAAATTGGTATGAAAGGCAGCTGCCATATCTGTGCCCCGGGACTCTTTGCAAATCTGCTGAAGTCAGGTATATTGACAGCCAATGTCGAATATGACCCAGTCACAGCCGTCATAGAACTCAGCCAAAGCCAAACTCGAGCATTGCCGGAGACTGTGGATGGCGCATCGAAAAAGTCATTACTGCCAGCTCGGGTCGCAATCCAGGCCACCATACCTATTGCAACTGGTGGCATGACTATTGCTTTTGCCATGAACATTGGCTGCAATTTGTGCATCGGAATAAACAAAAACGGCAACTGGACGAGGTGGTAGAGTACGTAGGACACCATGCCCTGAGTTGTTATACCGGCAGATGCTGGAAGATGGTTCGGCAATCTGGCATACGAAGGCCATATCGACTTGATGATCTGTGTCACTGCAAGTCCGCCAGCTGAGAATTTTAGTGAGCGAGTCTCTGTCAGCAGGATCTTGCCTACCTGCACTGTTCACGCCGAACCAAAACAACGCTAGAACACCTCTCGAGACCACGGCGAAATAGGACAGCCAGTATCCATATGCTGCCCTAGCTGCGATCGGAAACGGTATGTGTAAGTTGCTGCCGATCGCGCCGTTGAGGACTATAGGGACCGCATTGCACAGACTGGCAACGAAACAGATAAGCATGGCGTCTGTCGCCGATAAGCCTGCCGCCACGACTGAAGAGCCCTGCGACCATGTCGATACAGTCACTAGATCAGAGAACCAATACAGCACAAACGTCCATGCTGTCCACGTCCGCCGTTCAGGGGGTACAGGATCCTGATCAGCATTACTCCAGACATTCGCTGGTGCGACTGAGCTGACTTGCTTCGGTAATGTCCAGCCAGAAGGTCGACTGTAGCGCCCCACAGCATCTTTTGTTGGTAACTCAAAACTCCTCGACCACGTCATGTTGGGCGCAGCAACTATGCGAGGGAGATTGCTACAAAATCAACTCGATGCATTTGCTGAGTGGAAACCACAATATCTTATGACTTCGGGAACGTGTTGCGAAAGATAGTCTCTATGCAACACCCAAGACAAGCAAAGCGGCCGGATCAGCCTGGCGTGAACCTGAAATAGTCGAATGTTATCGGCGTAGTCGTGGGTACTACGTTGCTATCGGAGTGCTATCTTGATAAGTATCCGATAGATTTCTTGGCACTGACACCCGATGTCGTACGATCAAAGGACGTGCATCAAGCTACGCCTGCCAGAACTACAATGCCAAAACCACGACGAACTTGCACTGAATGCTCTCTACGAAGGCAGAGGTGCGACAGAGCGGCCCCATGTGGACGCTGCATCAAGCGCGGCGTTGCGGAACGTTGCACTATCTACTGGCCGAGCACTGGTCCAACGACGGCCACTGTCCGAAGCTTGCATACACAAAATTTCGAAGCAACAAAGACAAGTCTACTTGAGCATACTACAGGAAGCGACGTCGATTTAAACCATGATGTCAATTTTAGTGGTGGAAACAGCCTTTTTGAGAACACTACACATCTCGTCATTACTGACCTGCAAGAGCCACGTCAAAAGTCAAGACCGACACTTTTGGGTAATGACTTGCAGGTGTGCAGCGATCCGACCGACAGGCTCGCTTCTCTTCAGCTATTGTTGCCAAACCTGATTCTCCTAAAAAGGTTGGTGAACTACCACGAGAAGCGACTGCTGTGGTATCATGGATGCTTTCACGGGCCAACCTTTAACACAGAACTATCTAAGCGCATTAGTGCTCAGCAACCAGTTGTCCATGACACTATTAAGCTCTGCGTGGACGATCTACAATGGTTCGCTTTGCTGTTCGCAGTCCTCGCAGGCTCAATTACGTGTGCGAATATACCAACGCTGATGGATTGGGAGGTCGAGCAGCAGGAAGCGGCTTCTTTATCTCGACACTGGCACAGGGCGAGCACAACGTGTCTCGAGCTAGGTCAATACCGATCACACCATCAGCTCCATGCCGTACAAGCGATAGCCACACTTACTATGTGTGCTCACACTCTTGGGCGCTCGAATGAGCACTACGTACTGGTAGGCACCGCGATCAAGATCTCACAGGCCTTAGGTCTGCATAGACTGAGTCTTGGTGGGGACGAGACCGTTGTCCACGATTCGACATTGAAGGTGAGACGTCAGGTCTTGATGAGAGAAACTGGTAGACGGCTCTTCTGTCAACTTTGTGTCCAAGACTGGTTTAGTATTCCCTTTGCTGGCGTCCACACAATACATCGGAAGGAGGTCAGCACAATTAAGCCTAGTGACCGCGACTTTCAGACGATGGAGCCTTTGCAGGTGGGTGAGCCTAGTTATGTGAGCTACAACAATTATCTGTACGAGATTGCAGCACTCATCCTTGAATTGCACGAGAGAGCAATAAAGTGCAATACAGAGTTCACGAGGTACGAACAGGTCATGTCCATTGATGCTCGAATGCGTGAAATAGCTATTCAAGCGCGACCTCGTTATTTCGATGTGACTGTGCCACTGGATCGTGACTGGCCATGGTTCATTCCGTGGGCTAGAAGAAGTCTGACAATTTGTTTCGCGCACAAAGTTATTATCATTCATCGTTCTTTCCTGGCACGCAGTTTTGAGAACGCGACATTCAGCTTCTCAAGGAGAACCTGCATTGCTGCGGCCAAAACGATACTCAATGAAGCCAATCAGCAACAAGATGTAAATGAACCAGTCATCTGGATTGATCAGGTAATTTTCCGAGTGCAGCTTGTTGTATGTACTAGTTACTGACCTTAATCAGGCATTCTGCATAGCCGCAGCAATCACCCTTTCCGTCGATGCCATTCATCGACATCCACACGAGCTCGAGTTGAAAGTACACCGCAAGCTCGTTCATGGATGTATTAATAGGCTCCGTGAGTACCACAACAGCCCATTGGCTGAGCGAGGTATTCGACTGCTGGGTGTGTTGTTGCTGATTTCCGACCCCACACGAGCAACAAACACAATTTTGCAGAGGACGAGACTTGAGGTTGACATTTCCAAGACCTTGGCTTACGCTTATCGTGGCCCCTCAAACGATACTGTTCATCTGGACGCGTTTCTCAGCCCGATTTGCCCAGACTCTGCAAGGTCTGGCGACAATGTGGACAATGAGATGAGGACGCAATACCACGTGGATGCAGCGGACCTTGTCGAAAATAGCGTGCCTGAATTGTTTCCAGCTCAATCGGGTTTCTCAAATGCCTTTATCTTTGAAGAGCTTCTAGCCCGAATCTAGGCTGTTGGCTGATTGTCGCGCTTCCCTGTCGGGTCTTGGCGTTGGTTATCCGATAAAGTCCTTGTCGAGTATCACCAATGCGGTAATAGTCCTACAACGGTCAGTCTATATCTCATTCAGCTGACAGGCTGGTGCAAGATCTATAGATGAAGACCTTCAACGCACATCATTGTTCCTTGTCGACATCCCCTTGACAGCTTATCCAAACATGACGGCCACAAAGTACCTTGATCGGGCAATCCCCCAAATATCGCTCGCCAGTTTTGAATCACGCACTGACGAGATCACCCTCGAACTTGTCAATGCAGCTGAGAACATTGGCTTCTTCAGTATCATCGACCACGGTATACCTTCGGAAGTGGTTCAAACTATGTTCGAGGACTCAGCACGCTTCTTCAGCCAACATGATACAGTCAAAGCTAGAGTACCATTCTCAGCAGCGGACAACGCTGGCTGGGAAAAGAATGCGCAGATACGACCCAGTACAGGCGCGCCAGACAGGAAGGAATCTTACCAGATGCAATTCGGCGAAGGTATGAATGGCCGCTGGCTCTCTGAGGAGAGTCTACCAGGCTTCAAGGAGACATCACTAGACTTCATGAAGCGTGTTCAAGCTGTATCAGAGAAACTCATGATCTGTTTCGCACGAGGTCTTGGCTTTCCCGACGACTTCTTCATCGCATGTCACAACGTCAGCAAACCAGACTCCCAGACTGTCGCTCGCCTTCTTCATTACTTCGAGACCCCAAGGAGCACATCAAGTGGAGAATGGCACAGAGCCGGCGCACATACAGATTGGTCTTTTCTCACCCTGCTCTTTCAAAAAGCTGGCCAATCAGGTCTCGAGATATGCCCTGGTCGCGAAATCTCAACCTCGTTTGGACATGGCGACACCTGGACGAAAGTCGAGCCTGATCCAGAGTCTAATGCTATCATTTGCAACATAGGCGACCTGCTGATGTCATGGAGTGACGATAGATTCAAGAGCACTTTCCACAGAGTTAAGGCTCCTTCTGAGCCTGGCGACTTCTATGGCGAAAGATACAGCATTGCATTCTTCAATCAACCACGGAAGAGTGCGAGAATTCAAGGTCCGCTGAAGAAATATCCCATGGTAACTGGAGAGGAGTTCACAAGGAATGCTATGCAGAAATACTACCAGGCTGTGCTTGACAAAACACCCATGCGAGGAAGGAAAGATGCAGGTGAACCAAGATTGGTGGATTATCGGGTCACGCCGATGATTGTTGCCTGAGCTTGGCTTTCACGTTAATTGGAGCTAATCTAGAATGAAGACTTTTTCTGCTGCCAGTTGTTGTGGATCGTTGAAAGCTTCATCATCCATGATTCCGTGGACATAGCACTCACAAGTGAACGTTCACGTTGATTCTTGATCCTTCGCAAGTGAAGCAGCATCATTGTCCCGTGGCCGTAAGACGAAAGGTACATCAGCACCAAACATTATACATATCCAATCGCCCACTTTCACATCCACAGAAGCCAGACAAATATATTCATCATCAGGCTCCTCGCCAACAATATACATTGTCCGGCTGCGCATGACTTCACTTACGTAATTTTCATGCTCCCGAAGCACTTCGTATGGTATGTCTGGCGTACAACCCGCTCTTGCCCACTTATGCATACGAGGGAAGCGATCGTGCCACTGCCCTTTCTTAAGGCGTGACTCGTGGGTGCGAGGGTGGGTGTCGGCTGTCATGACGCGGCGTAGTGTTATGGCAAGCATGATCTCGTTGTAAGGGTGTGTGGGTGAGGATTTGTGGTAGAGGATGTCGCTCGATGTGTCGTGACTTGAGTCGGAGTCGCGTGTGCAGGATGGTGGTATGCGAAGTCGTGCTACTTCTGCCCTGTATCTCTCGCATCACCAGGCGTAATCATATGGCGCTACGTCTACAAGGGTACTATAGTCGCGGATTGCGATCGAGTCGTTGATCTGTGGAGTAATTCTCCGAAACTGGATGCCTCGAAGTGCAATTCGACGAATGTTATCTATAAGCACCATTTATGGAGACGTCTTACGACTGGCATTGTATAGTCGATCCCCTGTCGATTTCCCATACCGAGATCCAGCCCATAGCAGTTGCGTTGCTCGGCAAAGTTTGGTGTCTATGAAGGCAAGTCGATGAGTGTTTCGTCCCTCTTTGCACTGACTCCAAGATTTCCATAGATTGGTCCACGATGATAGTCGCTTTAACAACACTAGAGTGGATTTCTGCCACTGACTTGGTATAATCCACAACCACATGCTGCAGCATCTTCTGGTCACACAGACCCAATAAAGCGTAGATCCTGTCTCCGCGGGTCTTTGCAGTTTGATACAGTAGTGCTTCGAGGAAAATTACTGATGGTACGGAAGTCCTTTGTCCCTGACGGCGGCTGTATCGCACATCGCTAATGACATTAGACATTCAATCGCCAACGAATGCCGGGGTCTTCCAGGTCAGAACACTGGCGCATACACAAAGACTGAAGGCCTGCATGGCTGCGTTGAATCTCTCAATGTTGCAGCGATAGTGGCCACAACGATACTCCGACTGCGAACTTGCCAGAATTGCTTCCTGGACAATCCATAATCGACTAAACCAGGCCCTGCTCAATAAATCAAGATAGCTTGCAAAGTCTGTGGATTTTACCAGTGGCAATGCTGACAGGACCTGTTGAACACGTTCCGGCTGTGCTTCACAATGACGTTTTCCAGTAGCCTCCATATCATCTGCTGTCAGTACGAAGTCGACATCTTGCTTACGCAGTCCGCACTGTTTGACGTCAGCAAGCTTCTCCAATACATCAAATGCTAGTGCAGTGGTCTTAGTCGCCTTGCCTAGCCAGATCACGGTTCGTTGTGCATTAGCATATATGTCACATATGAGGGCGACTTGTGCGGCTCTTTCAATGTCGTCTTGCTGGTTGATACAGACTTGATCAATCCAGATTGTCCTTGCGTCCGACGTGGAGCGTAATTCAAGCGGGGCATGGCTGACATTCGGTGTTATGAGTAATGGCGAGCCATTGCACCTAATTGAAGTCGAAGGCACTTAATCATCCCATGTATACGACAAAGCTTCGTGTACATTAGGATTGTCGATGGAAACGGTTTCTAGATCAGCTTCCACAGGATCTGGACGGCTACCAGCTTGAACCTGCAGTACGCGAATGTGTCTGGCGTGAAGCCCCTCGTAGATAGCCTGATTCAAAGTGATTGGTCGGCCGGACTGCATAGTACTCTAAGCAGAGCGTCAAGTACAGTCAATCAAAAGGAAAGTCGATGTTCGTGATATCCTACTCCAATTCTGTCAATGGTAGTCTTTTTGATGTGTACTCTATAGTGAAAGACGATGAGGATGTTCTCGTCGCTCATCGAGAGCACGTTTTGACTACATGGGCAAGTGACTGCACGCCCAGCAAAGCGGCAGCTTGCCCTAATATCTGATTCATAAAAAATGTGCGACTCTCATGTAGGCGAATTCAAGTTGTGGTGACCTTGCTCATTCATGCACCTAGATGCTTCGATGTGAAACATCAGGCCCTAGACATGTGCACAGGCACAAGGCACGGGGTAGAAGCATCGCGAGGTCAAGTGCTCGAGTCTTCCACGAAGCGCATGACGCGTGAGGTCATTGGACGCGTCGTGGCTATCGCGTCTTTTCTCAAAGTGGCAGGAATGATCAGAACGATCCCGCCTAATACGAATATTATTCTTGAACCCAGACAAAAGCATTATTGAAACACAAAATGGGTATGTCGATATCTTCGTACGTACTAGACTACATTCGCTGACTGATTTAGATTACAACGGCTATAGTGGCAACAACTACAATACCACCAGCTATGGCGCTCAAGGTGCAGCCAACGGCGGCGGCTTTATGGGCGGCGAGGTTCAAAGCAGCCCAGCAGGAGCAAAATCTGGATACGGGAAAGATACAGTCAGACCGGTGACTGTCAAACAGATATTAAGAGCTGAACATCCTCATCCTGACGCGGAATTCAAGATCGATGGAGACATTGTCACACAATTGACCTTCGTCGGCCAAATACGCAATATTAGTACACAAGCTACGAACATTACGTACAAGGTAGACGACGGAACTGATATAATCGAGGTCAAACAATGGCTGGATAGCGAGGCGAATCAAGATCAGATGGACATGGACACTAAACCAAAATTAGTGGAAGACAGCTACTGCAGAGTCTGGGGAAGATTGAGAGCTTTTCACGACAAGAGACACATACAAGCGCACATTATCCGGCCGATAACTGACTACAACGAGATCAATTATCACCTGCTCGAGGCTACAGCAATGCATCTGTTCTTCAAACACGGTCCTCCAAATGGTGCCGCTGGAAATGATCAAAAGGCTGGTCAGAACGGTCAGACAAATGGCAATGCGGCAGAGACTGTTGGAGGCGTAGAACTGCCGAAACACTTATCACCCAGGGCGGTCGCAGTCTACAAATACCTACGAAACTCACCTCAGAGTAACGAGGGTCAGCATGTGCAACTGATTGCCAGCAACACTGGTATGGAAGTGGATGCAGTCTTTAGAGCTGCAGAAGAGCTAGTGGAAGCAGGATTGACCTTCACTACTGTGGACGAATCAACTTGGGCTGTACTCGATTTCTAGACGTCGGATCGACAAGAAGGGAAGGCGGAGCACGTCTTGTGGAATGTGACCAAGAGTTATGAGACACTAAGGATTAATGAACACCTGTATGATAGTACATTCTGGAAAACGATTCACGTATGATCGTGTGCATAGAGACCAGGCTTCCTATGAGCATTTTTAAAGAGCTCGATGAGCCTCCAAGCTGTCGAAGGCGCAGTTCGGGTAGCATGGAACCATTGCTAATGAAGATACGAAATGCTCTGCGTGGAAGCTCTAAGCTATGCTCTTGAGTGTTCTTGCAGAAGGACGGTTTGCTCAATTGCCTCAAGTGCTATGGCTCTCGACAGTGACGCAGTTTATTGAAGATGGGAAATTCAAACATGCTTCAGGTGTTATGCCAAATTAGGCATCGGTAACTCATCCAGAGCCTCAAGGATCTGAAACCGTATGTGATAGCCTATTCTTAGGACGGACCAGCTCACCTGATACCCTATGAACCGTCTACGCTGGTTATCTTGAATGACTATGATCAGCACGGTCGCCACGATACGCGCAACTTTCCGACTGAGGAGAGACGACGTTGGTCAAGGAAGGCATCGAATGGAAAGGCACGCTCAACGGAAAATGTTTGCAATTGGTCAATATCCCAGCTAGGAAAGTCCTTGCGAAGTACGCATCCCACGCCTTCCTGGAGTCCGCCTCTTTCGTATCCCACCTGCCAATGATCAAGCGAGAGTGGAGAGTCTGATAGCGGACTCCGCTCGGATCAGCCATTGCCAGTGCTTTGTGATATATCAGGCGTTCCTGCTTGCTTCTTATCCTTTCCACGTTCCGCGTTTTACGCACTTGAGCAACCTTCTGCCTCATCCCATACGTGCCAGATTGCAACTTATTTACTTCGTGCTGCGCTCGAACTTACCACCTTCCACACAGTTCACAGACCATATCTTCGACTGATTATCTTTGAGGCCTCTACAGGCAAAACCTCACGACCAAGATCTTGCTCCCGAAACAAACAACCTTAGTGTGACACTGCTGCACACATCAAACCGTCGTCCTTCCATTCACTCTTCTTCCCCTTTCTAGCCCAGCTAGAACACCCACATACAAGCTGATGTCGGTTGAAGTACGAGAGTGTTGTGCAAGTCTGCGTTATCCTTCTCGATACGTCACCGTGTCGAGAGCTCAGTTGTCCTCGGTGCATACGGGTGATCTTACACGTCCCGCTGAAAGTAGTAATAGTCGAGGTTGAACAATCAGACAGTAAGTGGACAAACTTCCCATCCGTCGAATACTGAATCCTTGTGCCAAGGAATAGCAAGTCTAGTATTGCAATCATGGCTGCCGCAAGCATTCTTGCTCCAGCCCTAGACTCGACTATCGTGATCGAAAAGCGTAGTTCGACGGCTGATCGAATCGCCGCCGACCCTAGAAGCAATTCCATCCGCGTTGTTGCCCCTTATGAATACAAAGAAGCTGCCAAATGTCTTGCCGAGGCGTTCAAAGATGACCATGTTGTCCGATACGCGATTGACACTCCTGACCGAGCCCACTGGAGCGAAGAAGAGAAATATGCGCTCCACTTACAAGCCATGGAATACGTGACCTACGCCCACTGTCTGAAAGGACTTGTGACCACCGTAGGTCCTGACTATGATTGCGTTGCTTTGTGGATGCCGCCCGGCAAGAACATCGATGATCTGCTCACCATTCTCCGCAGTGGTATGTGGCGCCTGAATTGGCAATTGAGCAAAGAAGGTAGGACGCGTTTCTTCAAGGAGTTCCTTCCTCTTCTTGCAAGCACCAAAACAGAGGTGCTAGGTGAACGTGATAACCATGCCTGGTATCTCAATTATATCGGTACTAAGGCTGGAAGTCGCGGTAATGGTTATGCTCGACGCTTGATCGAGCACGTTGGAGACGTGGTAGGTTGACCCGTCAACGATCGTAACATGGTAGCTGCTAATACACACTAGGCTGACCGCGCAGGACAAGCTTGTTACCTTGAAAGTTCTCATGACATCAATATCAAGATTTATGGAAAGATGGGTTTTACCCTGCGAAAGCAGATCTGGCTTGGTCTTGACGAAACCATCAGAATGGATGTCATGGTCAGGGAGCCGAAGGGTGTTCTCAAGGAAAAGATATAGAGGAGAATTCAATAGTGTTCAATTGAACTCAATGGAGAAATAGGAGTCGATGATGGAGAGATCGAGTGTCCGTGGAATTCAACACCACGAGCCATAGGAATGCCTGAATAGCCCACCTCAACGTGGGCTACAATTAGTACACCAACCAATATTCATTCGTTAGCAACAACAATAGTTCGACTCAATGGACAAAAGCACACAAGCATGTTATGACCACAGAGCTTGTCCCTGTAATGTCGTACCGGCTCAGGTCCTATTACAAACTTGAGGCAGACTCTACGTGCGCGTTGTACTCGTGTTGATTGTATGTCTGGAAAGGTCCACTGCGGCTCGTTTCATTAGCAGTCGGGGCTTAGCTTTGCACAGTGTGCGTCACCCCTGTCGGCTGACAACCTAGCCCGACGCCTCTTAGAGGAGCAAAACAAGCGGCAAGAACAGCAGCACAGCGCAATTCAGACACAACTCTTTACATTACTAGTATTCTGATATTGAGCTGATTTATCGTTATCGTTATTCTTGCCTCTCCTGTCTGTCCTTACTGCCTAGTCGAACTCGATCCTCAGAAATTACTGTGAAAATTTTCGCTGCCACATTCTCTTCTACGCTCATCGATTCTGCAGGCAGGACCCAAGATGTGCACACGAACGAGCGGGCAGTGATTCAGACGCGCCTGATCAGAAGTCAGTAGATCGCAATTTCGAAGAGCCATGGCTCCTTCCAGGTCTCCCTCTCCATCGCCTTCTACGTCCTTCAAGCGTCGTGTGCGACCATGCGCTCGAAAAGTCGAAAGAGGCTGTTGTCTGGTAGCGACCTACTTTCCACTGGCCTTTGTGTACGGCTTGACAACGTGGGCAGTTTCAGTGGAGGCCAGTATAGGCATACGTACGACTGAGACAACGCCGAATGTGCCATGGTCGAGGAGGGCTCTTTCGCTTCTAGGCATCCTGATGTATATCATGCTAAACAGCTGCTACACGATCGCAGTCTTCACAGACCCTGGTTCGCCTCTGAAAGGAACGAACAGCAGCACAAGAGATGGGAAATACTCTGTCTTACCGACATCGGAAGTCGCATGGGATACCCGAGGTGTTGACACAATCACTGTTTCCTCTACTGGTGGCGCTCGATACTGTAAGAAATGTCAAGTACCAAAACCAGACCGAACTCACCATTGTTCAACTTGCAAAAGATGTGTTTTGAAGATGGATCATCATTGTCCCTGGCTGTCGACGTGCTTGGGATTGCACAATTACAAAACGTTTGTTCTGTTCCTGATATACACTTCGTTATTCTGCTGGGTATGTTTTCTTAGCACTGGATTGTGGGTATGGACAGAGGTCTTCGAATCGAGGCAATATCTTTCTGAGTTTGCGCCTGTGCAAGTGATCATACTGGTGGTATTGGCAGGCATTATCGGGCTCGTCATTACTGCATTTACGTCCTGGCATATGTACTTGTGTGTACGCGGGCAAACGACCATCGAGTGCTTGGAAAAGACACGGTACCTGGCTGGTGTGCGGAAAAAGGTGGAACAAAACCGCAATGAGCAACACTACCTGCAGCAACAGCACAAGACAGGAGGTCCAGAAGGAGGGATATCGGAGAGCTTGCAGAGAGCTGGGGGACAACTACTCGAAATCCATGCCAACGCTGTACCTGGCGCTTTCAGGTACGAGGAAGGCGAAGAACATAGTTCTCCTACTCCCAGCGTACGCCATGCTTTTCCTGCGCCAGCTGCGACCATGTCACAATACAGTGATTTCCCAGCTGAGAGCGACCATTCACCAGCGCAACAGGCATTGCGAAAGAACTATACATCCTACGAGACAGATCGCGAACGCGAACGCTACGAGGATTATCTCGACGACAAAGAAACCGCGAAGATGCCAAACGCGTTCGATCTAGGGTGGCGCAAGAATTTGATACATGTCTTCGGCCTTAACCACTGGCTGTGGCTGTTACCAGTATGTAACACTACTGGTGATGGGCGAAAATGGGAGGTCAGCCAGAAATGGATGATTGCATCTGAAGAGGCGGCGAGGAGGAAAGAGCAGCGGTTACAGCAAGCCAAATTGCAAGGACACTGGTCTGGCTCGCCAGTACCTCAACGAACAGCAGCGGGTGCAGGACGACATTACCGACAAGAGGAGAACAGTCACAGCTACGACGATAGTTCTTCCGTGCATGGACATGGTTCCATGTCGATGCAATCACTCCGTAAATCTCGCAAGCAACGTCGTGATTACGACCTTGCTGGAGACGATGGTGACGTCGGCAGTTTTGAAGTCAGCGATTCTGACGAGAGCAGTCCCGACAGTGGAAGTGACGATGAGCATGATGCTTGGAAAAAATAGTCAAGTAGACGAAGTATATCAATATCAGCTTACTCTTGACATGTGGACCAACGAGATTGTGACTCGATCAGAGAATCTACGGCAGCAATCCATGCTCAGTCGTGCTAGCACAACAACCATGTACCGAGCCTGTATGAATCTCAGGAGCGTGCCGCAAGACCCGAGGAGGGCCGAAGCTGGAGTCAGGTCCACAACCATGGTGAACGACCTGGTCAGATTACAGACGCTTCAAATTAAGATGGTGTATGTGACGTTCGTTTGGAAGCCAGGTGCATGAGTAAGCTGGACCAGCAACCGGTCTCGACAACCAGTTCTTACCCCAGTACAGCAATGGTAACTCTGGAGCACGAGAAAGCTTCTCCTACGGGATTGCACAAGGCGCACGAATAGACCTGCTAGGAGGACTCAAATGAAGCCTGGCGGCATGACGGCACACGCGGAAGAAGGCGGAAATACAAACGTCATGCGTATGAGCTAATCAATCTTAAGGACAATGCGCGCGCAGAATGGCTCTTGAGACTATCGAACGTGAGCTCTATAACGACCATACTCTTGGTCTCTGAACATGAAGACCTCGGACTCGCCTCAATGACTGGCTTTCCCAAATGTGCCAGCTCCTCGTCAGGCGTGCCGAAGAGATCTGAAACTCGTATTTGCGCAGTCAGGTTGCCGAAGGACCCGAGAGTGGAGACGCCGTGATCTACGTTCGCGTGTTCGCATAAGCTTGAGGCCTTTATCATCATAAAATTTTAATCTGCCTCACAGATATTTAAGGCCAACCCCCAGATTTGTGGATCTCAACTTCCCGTTGATGGTCATGGACATTGGCAAGACGAGGAAGGTGTGATTCTGTCGTGTTCTTCTGTCCAACTCATAATCCCAATGCTTGTTCACACTTAATCGTTCTACCGGTTTGATTAGTACCTCGTCCCTCCTTATTGATCACAACAGCACTCGGAAACAGAACGTAGCGGTAGTTGCAATACTCGTCAACAGCTGTATATCTTGAACTACACCTTTGGTGTTTCGATGAAAATAAAACACCACAAGCATATGAAGACGATAAGTAAAATTACACCAAAACCGCTAAGCCCGAGTTTTCGGCTGCCTTCCGTTACAGCGAACACAAACCACCACCTGTGAATCAGTCAAGAATCATTCCTCCGCCATCATGTCTTCCACCTGTCACGGCCTCGAACCTTTCCCACTCTTCGTCGACTCAACCAGGCCACCAACACCTGGCTTGCTCTCCTCCAAGATGACGAGTCCTCTCAGTCTTCTCAGCCACGATCCATCCACGACATCAAAGTTTCGGACGAGCAGCATGATACCGACCAAGATATCCAACTACTTTTGGTTGCGATATTACCAGTACGAAGTGACCTTCGGTCTGTATATGATGACACTAACGGAGAAGATCGTGCTGAACACTATATGTGTTTGCATTTTCGCATGTCTAACGTATGGGATCTGCTTTGGTCTGCAACCTTTGCTGGTGCGCTTATTGTGCCGACTGGTCTGGCTTATTTCAGGCACATATGAGGGGGTCGAGGATATCTGCACGGGCAGCCAGATTGGAGGGAATTGTACATGACAATTCTGAACTGAGGTTTTGAGGGCGTCTTCAAAATGCTGGGGGCAGTCTCCTCTACCCAGCACACGCCACATGGCCATCGAAATGAGCAAAAATCGAATCGAGCATTTGCTAGGAGGTGGTCGGACCTTACTGAGCCAACGTTGGCTCAGGCTGTTGAATTACAAGCGTAGAATTTTTGGAAACGAAGTGGTTGGCTGGGCTAGGTATAGTCTGCCAAAGGAGGTTGTATGACTACGATTCTACGAGTCAGCTTGGACGAAACTATACGTTGGTCGTGATAACCTTTGGGCAAGCGTGGGGATGATTTACGAAGTTCACGATCGTTACGAACCTAATGCACTTTTTACTCAAGTCACGAACATCGGGCGTGGTTTTTGTTTGCGTCTGGCACAGCGTTCAGCACTGTATATTATGGATCTGTGGAGCAGACTTGCCCACTGCTATCGTTAAGAAAGGTTGTAATTGCTCACCTTGTTTAATAAGTTCTGATATTGAGGCAGAGACTACAGTAGTACGAACTAGAACCTTTGTGTGCTCGACCACGCAATCTTCCAGTGGGTTTAGTAGTATGCTTGCCGTGCTATGATGTAGAGCTGCTGACGATGGAGGTCAGTTGTGGTAGCTGATGGAGCTTCCTGCAGGTACCCATGCTGCTCCGAAACCTTATATGCGGTCTGGCCCGTCTGGCTTTGTTGATTGGTTGTTGCCCCTGTACTAGGCACAGATTTGCTTTGGGGCGTGAATTGGCTGAGTGCGTCTCCAAGCCACCTTCAGGCTGCACGGTCTGAAACAGCAATCGGTCGCTCGTTCACAAGCACTGTGTTCCAAGTTTGGCTTTGATCTTCTGCTCTCGTTGCAGGTTCCAGCATTCTCTGGGATCTTACGATAGTTGCAGGCCAGCTTATACCAGTTTGTTTGCCTTGTGGAACATTGCGAGCACATGTCCACGACGAGCCTGATCCAACCATTGCCTTCTTTGAACTGCTACTACAAGCAGATGGTGGACAACGACTTCACAAGTGGCGTCTGAAAACCACATCTCTACCTGTATCGTCGCCGGGAATGGCTGCTCAAGACTACTACCAACCTTCGACGCACCAGTACCAACCCTATACCTCTCAGCCATCTGTACCGTATCCTCAATCTCAGTATGGCCAAGCACCATCGTACCATCACAACGAGCCTCTGGACCACAGACCAACACCACCACCACCAGCTGACCTCCATCCTTCGAGCATGTACACCGACGACATTCCCTTGAAGAACCAGAACCGCGTTCAGACAAACCAAACAGAGTGGCCCGCAGCCCAACACACAGCATATCCTCCCTCTCCCGAATCGCAGCATCCTGATCCTGCCCTATTACCATCCTCTGACAAAAAGAGACGGCGGAAACAGAAGAAGAAGGGTGGATTCTTCTCTGGCAAGGTGCCATGGTTTGTCTATTTCGTTTCTCTTGTACAGATCACAGTCTTCATAGCAGAAATAATAAAGAATTGTGAGTACATGCCGGCTTTCCCAGGCTTCAGCACTGACAGGGGTTATAGCAACAATGACAGGCTCACCGATAATGATAAAGCCCTCATTCAACCCTATGATAGGACCCTCTACCTACGTGTTGATCAACATGGGCGCACGATTTGTGCCTTGCATGAGAACTACATACCAAGAAAACAGCAACCTACGTTATCCTGAAAGTCCATGGCCATGTCCAAATACTACAAGTACTGCCACCACCGACCCGAACAACAAATGTACCCTGGGAGAGCTTTGTGGCATGGGTGGCTTCGATTACAACCACCCCAACCAGTGGTATCGCTTCATAACGCCCATCTTCCTGCACGCTGGCATCATACACATTGGTTTCAACATGTTGTTACAGCTGACATTAGGAAGAGACATGGAGAAAGCAATCGGAACCGTGCGATTCATGATCGTCTACCTGAGCAGCGGCATTTTTGGATTCGTCCTAGGAGGTAACTTCGCAGCACCAGCCATCGCCTCAACAGGTGCTTCAGGCTGCCTCTTCGGCATCCTTGCCCTCGTCCTCCTAGACATCTTCTACACCTGGAATGAGCGACCATCCCCTGGAAAAGACCTCCTCTGGCTCCTCTTCGACATCGTCATCTCCTTCGCTCTCGGCCTCCTCCCCGGTCTCGACAACTTCAGCCACATCGGCGGCTTCCTCATGGGGCTCGTTCTTGGAATCTGCATCCTCCATTCCCCAAGCACTCTACGCAAACGCATCGAAACTCGCGGCCACAAACCATCATATTCTCAAATCGGCTCGGAAACCAACATCCCAACAACACTAGCCAGCGGCGCCATCCCTCCAACCGACGGAAAAGACACCACCACCACAACAACCACAACGACAATAACCCGCCCCGCCTCCCTAACCCGCTTCACTAAACAACCCGTCAGCTTCTTCAAAAACCGCAAACCCGCCTGGTGGGCATGGTGGCTTATTAGGGCGGGCTGCCTGATTGGCGTACTCATTGGGTTTATCGTGCTACTTACGAATTTCTACAAGTACCGCGATCAGTGTTCGTGGTGTAAGTATTTGTCGTGTTTGAACATTACGGTTGGTGGGCACAATTGGTGTGAGTTGGGGAACATGACTTGGCAGACGACAGAGGGGACGGGGAGTGGGAGTGTGAGGAGGAAGATGGTTAGGAGGGTGGTGGGAGGGATAGTTCGGAGAGTGTTTAGGGCGTAAAAGGGTTTAGGTACTACAGTGGGAAACGTGCATTGTATGCATGGCATATGAAATGGAACTGTAACTGAACGTTACGTGGAGTTTCAATGGTCCTGGCATTACTAGCATGAGCACTGCATAGCAAGAGATTCGCTGTGCTATCACAACGAAACATACGACTACCAAGAGCTTACTCAGCCTCACCTCCTCCCTCTCCTCACAGGTCTCGCATTTTTCTCTCTCCTATTATCCTTCAACTTCCTCGCCTTACGAATATCATCAACTGAATTCGTGATCTTGCCCTTCTTCACACCCCTGACATCTTTCCTATCATGGCGAGCTCCGCCAGCATTATCACTCATGCCCATCTCCTTCTGCTCCTGCTGCTTCTCCCTAAATTTCTTACTCTTCTTCTCATAGTCATCTCTAAACTTATCGGGCCTCTTCGCCTCATCGGTCTTCTTATGTTTGTATTTCTGCTTCACACCCAACGTACCCGTACCAGCCCCCGCAGAACTCGATTCCGCCTCACCAATCCTTGGCATTTTGTGAATTTTATTCTTTTTCTTCCAATCTTCAAAACGGCCTGATTTGAAGCTCGCAGCGATTTTGGCGCCGCTTTCACCGCGGATGAGGCGTTGGCCGCCCTTGGAGCCGTCGTCGTCGTTGGTGCGGCGGACGTATTTCTTGTGGCGTTTGTCCCAGCGCATGATTTGGGTTGGATTGTTGGAGTTTGTACCGTCGTCGCCTGCGAGGTCCATGGTAGCGGTGCGGGCGGCGGAGGTGAAGTCGGAGGAGCCTTGGTTGATGGAGTAGCCGGCGTCTTCGGCGGAGTTGTGGTCGGTGGGGAGGTAGGACATGAAGTTTCCGGAGCGGAAGCGGGAGATTGGGTCGGGATTGGGATTATTGTTGGTTTTGTTCTTGTGGTTGCTGAAGGTGACTTCCAGCTCGGAGTCCGAGGCTGAGAGGAGGGCTTCGGGGTTTTGGATGGTTATCTCGTCGTCGTCTGTGTCGTCGTCTTCGTTTTTGGCTTGGTCGTTCTGCTCGTCTTCAGGTGAATCAGGGAATGGGAGAGCATCTCTTGCGGTCCTCGCAGCTATCGACTTGTGCTTCTTGACATCTAGACCTGATCTGATCTTCCTGATAGCCTCAATTGCTTCTTCGTTGTGCTTTTTCCCACCTCTTCTATCTGTAATTTCGAAGATTGACTCGCCTGGTCGAAAGCCACCAACAATTGCTAACATCTTCTCCCGTTGTGCTTCCATATCGTCGGCCTGGTCAGCAAAGAGAGGATGTACCTCGCTCCAACCTGAAGAAGTGATAAAATCTCTGGCTCGCTTAGCACTCTCTGCGGATGCTGAAGGTCTGGTCTGCTGATATCGCTTGTCGCCATTGACCGCAGCACCCCTAGCAGTAAACAGATCGACTTCAACCTCCAACAACTTGTTCACGTACTCGCAGTGTGACTGCATTTGGTCTCTCTGCAAGGTGCCAACCACAACTTCTTCAGCCATGTTAACATCCTCGATGCTAGCTCGACCGACACTCAGCTTCTTGCCCAGGAACAGTTGCAAGTCCAGCAAATAAGGAGCATCAGCATCATGCACGATGCTGTAGGCCCAACCTTTTTGTCCAGCTCGAGCAGTTCGACCGACTCGGTGGACAAAGATTTTTGGCTGGGATGGGAAGTCGTAGTTGATAACGTTGGCGAGAACGGGAATGTCGATACCTCTTGCAGCTACATCAGTAACGACAAGGATATTCGTTTGGCCGGATCGAAATGCTTGAACCTGTTCCTTTCGGGCAGTCTGGTCGAGGTTACCATACACGTGTGAGACCGCATAGCCAGCCCTCTTCAGCATAATATCGAGATACTCGACGCGATGCTTAGTGGCTGCGAACACAATAGTCGAGTAAGGATTCGTAGCAGGCTTCGTGGTGCCATCATCACCATCTCTCTTGCGCTTCTTTCCTCGTTGTTTGCCATCCTCGCTGTTTTGTCCAGAGCCTAAAGTAGACCTTGTTGGAACGTGTATCACGTCCTGTAAGATATGCAGTAGAGCTCCTTCCTTCTCGGATGACTTGACTGTAAAGAATGCACTTTGTAGATCTGGGGAAATCTTGCTTTCAGCATCCAGACGGACCAAGACAGGGTCCTGTAGACCAGCTCGAGCGAACTCGACCAAGGACTTTGGCAAAGTGGCTGAGAAAAGCAGAGTCTGCCTTGAAAAGGGCAATGCGTGTAGAATCTCAGACAGTTGAGCAGCGAATCCCATTTCAAAAAGGCGATCAGCTTCATCGAAGACGACGTATTGCATGGAGTATAGATCCAGGTTCATCTCGACCATTAGGTGCACGAAGCGACCAGGAGCGGCAATAACAATATCAGGATTTGTTGACATGGCACTGAATTGGTCCTCAAGACTGTCGCCACCAACGAGGAGAATACATCTCAAATCTGTACCTTTTGCCAGCTCTTTAGTGACCTGCAGTGTCTGTAAAGCCAATTCTCGAGAAGGCGACAGAATTAGAGCTCTCGCTCCAACTTGAGTTTTGTGAGCCTTCAATCTTTCTATCATGGGTATAACGAAAGCAGCAGTTTTTCCAGAACCGGTCCTTGCCATACCAACGACGTCTTTCCTGTCAAGTAGAAGAGGTATAGTCTTTCGCTGAATAGGAGTCGGCACAGAGAAGCCCTTTCGAGTGATAGCCTTCAGTAAGCTCGCATTAAGACCCATGGCTTGGAAGCCACCACCTTTCTTGACCGTTCGACCTTTGAGATTGGAAGCTTTACGATTCGAGGCAGCTTGAGCTGCCAATATTGCGGCATCGTCGCTATCGGGATCTTCCCCCAGTACATATAGACCCTGTGTTTGTGTTTGATTCTGCGCGACCTGATTACCTAACTCTTCTGAACTGGCTCCTCCACCAAATAATGCAGTGCTGATGTCCAACCCATTCTCGGACAGAGCGGGCGAATGTGCTCTGTGAGGCATTGTCGATCGAGATTTTAGATCCGCGGTGTAGGAGGAGCTAAGGCCTTCATGTATGCATGCTCAACTTTCTTGGGTAATGCTCGCAGCCACAACACGCGCAGCAGATAATTTTCGCAGGCATTATAATCCTTATCGATAACTCCAACACCCGGAATTTGCTGCGCTTACATGTCACGACTTGTTATGCGGCTGGACCAACCTGGACAACCCCACATACATTTTGCTGCTGTCCAGTACTTCTTGGCACCAGAACACACGTGACTAATGGTCCAGTGACATCTTCAACTTGAGGCTGAGACCGAGCGCAATAGAGGTCGCGCTTTTTGGTTCTTTCCATCGAGGAAAAAGAGGCTTCGAGCCCACAACGCTGCCAGCTGATCAATATAGCCCGATATGGCTCAAACAACGCTGAACGACATAAGAAGGCACCAAACGCTTCGTGGTGATACTTACATCGCAGGCGATGCACGGGTGCACATGGGTGATGTATACATGACCGGTCGTGAAAGCGGGAATGCCAAGGAGAATGCTAAGATATGTAGGTAGTCATTGCATTTTTCACAACGAACTGACATACAACAAGCCTTTCTACAATCGCTGTGCTTCCCTGAGATGGAAAGCCGATATCACAATGTCGACAATGCTATGCCAAACACCTGCCAATGGTTTGTCAACCACAAGCTCTATAAGCTGTGGGAACACACAACTCGGGATAGTGTTTCTCACAGGATTCTTTAGCTACGAGGAAAGCCCGGGTCAGGGAAGTCGACAATCATGAAAAGTGCTGTGCTAGATGCGCGGTCAAAGTGTAAAGTGTAAGGAAGTTAGGCGGATCGCGCTGATGTCGTTGCGTGCTTCTTCTTCAACAACCGCGGAACCTCTCTCGAATCCACGGCCTTAGGCTTCTTCCGTGCAATACTTATTCAGATATTCGAAAAAGAAAATCTCGATCTCGATTATAAGCCGCTGAACACATTCTCAAGGAAGCAGCGACTAATGTCAGGTAACTGGGATTAGACCCTAGCTGAACTTCAAGCTATATTTTGATCAGCACTCGCGACCCTAAAATCCAAATTCGTGCTTTATATTAATGCCCTTAATAAATGCGATGCCGCTACGAATAGAGACCTTATAGACTTTCTACACACAGAAGTGAGCAACGTCCATTCCTCTAGTACGAGTTAGAGAATTTATATCTCAAGTCGGCATTATCCGAATATACATCTTAATAACTGTCTTACGCTTGTTGCTAAAATCTATAACCGTACAGATATCGAAAAATATATAGACGGAAACGTGTATATGCTCGGACGCGATTCTCTATTATTACAGTAGATTACAGAGCAGTGCTGCGGTGTATTTCTTTAGGCAGTTTTGGTAATTCGTAAGCTTCGTAAAGCTATTAAAGATGGCGAGCCTAGGTCGAGGCTCTTAAGTATCCTCGGTTCGACACTAAAAGATTTAGGAGAAGTATTTCGCACTCTCCTTGGCTTGATTATAGAAGAAAGTGAACAGAAGTAAAGTCTACTACTCTTACTCTTTATCCTTTATGCTAAGCGACCTATAAAGCTGCGAGAACTTAGGCTCGCTCTCGCTTTCGCAACTCGATATCGATTATAATAGGAATACCGAAGCTCTACGGAGTTTATAAGCGATGAACAGTAGTAGAGACTGATAGTGAAATGGTCGAGAGGTCTTGTTAAAGTTACTTCCATCTCTAGCAACGTCTAATTCATTCATACATCTATAAAGGATTTTTTACGCGAGAACAGCACCATACTCATGCCACATTCATTATACAGTTCCGAGGTTTTTGCGCAAGCTAAACATAAGCTTGCTCGTTCCTACTTCAATTTTCTAAGTATCAAGGACTCGTGGGATTTTAAGCTACACCAAAGATATCTCGATATTAAGCCGAGAACCTTTCGTTAGTCTGATCATCATCCTTTGCTGTCTTACGCACTTAGCTACGGTTTTAAGCATGCCGAAGCTGCCGAACATGCAGGCGTTCCCCAGACACACGTCGCAGAAGCGCTAAATCTCACGTTATCGCGAAACGCGCGACCAATTGAGCTGACAGAGGCCAGCAACAAACCTTATCGTTCACGAGACGTATATGGAACAGGTGACTCTTAGAAGCTATGGATCGGAGAGTCATGGCTCACTGACTCAGCAGTCAGGAGGCCGTGGATGCAGGAATCAGGCCTGTGTGACCCAGTAATGACATCCTTGGCAATCTGTTGTTACCATGGGTTAGCGTCCGTTGTTGAGGCTCTCCCGAAGCCTATCTCGCTAGAACAGGCTACGCAATTAGATATATACGAGGCTTTGAGTCTCGCCATTCATGAAGGTCATGGAGCTGTCGTGCAGGCGCTGATCTCTATAGGCATCAGTTTCGACACGGGCCCCGTCCCTTCTGTGTATGTAACGGTTGCATCGCCACATGCCTATATTTTATCTCTGCTCTTGGAGAAGGGAGCGAATCCCAACCGAAAAGGTGAACGTGGAAGCGCCTTGAACCTTGCAGTAATGGTTGGAAATGAGGAACACGTACGTATGCTGCTTAAATATAATGCCAATCCTGGACTTGGCGACACCAAATATGGACACCCACTTCTCAATGCTGCGTCTGGAGGCTGGACGGAGATTGTTAAGCTGCTCCTTGCTCATGGAGCCGAAGCAGGATTGTATGGAAGCTACTGCTGCTGGGGGTTCCAATACTACGGGAAGACACACGCCCTTATAGAAGCAAGCTCTCGTGGCCACCTCGACACCCTATCTGTTCTCCTTCAAGCAGCCGACCGAGAATCCTTACACGAAGGGTTCTACGAGGAAGCATATTATGCAGTATTCTCACAGGATCATGCTTCATGTGCTCTGCTGATCAAAGTCGCTGCAGAGGAGCGAGGTTTTGCGGCAATTTCGACCAGATATGCGATGTCAAGTTCCTCACCGATCGATGAAGCCAGACAGGCAAGATTAAAAGGCATGATAACCGTGCCAGTCAAGAGATTGACTGGCCTACGTAATTATATCCAGATCTCCAAACATGCCAAAGGCATTGTCCTCAAACAGGCTACCGAACAGCGTGGAGAGTTCCCTTCTCACCAAATGGCTTTTATCGTCTTGAGAACGTTTCCTTCTCCTGTCTTGAGACCGTTTCACCATATCAGGGACGAAGAACGCTTGTGTGATATTGGTATGGATGGTGACTCTGTCGAAGTAACGTTTAAATTTAAAGCGACTTGCTACTGGGTTGAGGACAGCCTGGGCATCAAGCGTGCACTTCGACTTAGTGCGCAAGAGGCACAGCAGCACGAAGGACAACGTCTTATAAGGTAGTAGATAGATCCTAGCGTAGTAAAGTTGATGTCACTATTTATACACGGAGGAGATCTAGACAGAGTGCCTTAATAGTCCGATCCATATTCTTCATGGTAGAACTCACATCGCACTAGTCACTGCGGTTCGTTGGTACACAAGTCAGATCCGAGGCCCGCGTTCTGCCCGAGCAGTTCAGGGGCAAACACGTGGCTTTACCTTGTGCTAGACATCGTTGTATGCAGTGAGCGTGGGTCCTGCCATCGTCAGGTATGATGCTGACAGTACCGTATATCAACACAGTCTCTGTATGGAAGATTGTGTCAGTCACATGAAGAAGGGAAGATCGGGAATTTCATTGTGGTCGTAGGGGAAGTCGAACAGTCTTGGCACGGATATCACCTCGTTCGAGCAGCTCTTTACCTGGTACATACATTCACGTAGGTTCATAGATACCTTGCTTACTTGCCTCGCTTCTTACGAAATTGGAATGATGATCTAGATGAGGCGACTGCAGACAAAGTAAGACTGAAAAGGCTATGGAAAGAAGCACGCCAGGTTGATGGAATTACGCCACATTCGGAATAGATTATCCTCTTTTTAGCCTTGACATCATCTTGGCACGTGTTTCGAGGGGGCCTGTACAGGCAAGTGGAGAAGAGCATCTTGCATGTGACGTCGTACATGCGATCCTGATCTCTAAAGACTAAGAACCATGAATGTGTTGGCGGGTGTGCCATCCGATTGACATATGATGACACGAAATGCTGGCAATATACGTTTCGCTTTTGTATTTCCGCCGACTGCAAGACACGCCATTCGTCGAGCTTCTTCCTCCCAACATGCGGAGCAGTACACATCCTCCAGAAAATTACATGACTGAGAGAAATTGTCGCTTCAATAAAAATCCCTCAGAGGGACTTCCTCGGGAAACATCACGCCGTCGACGTGCTGACACGAAACATGTGACTAGGGCCTGCTTAACGTGCAAAGAAAGGAAAAGCAAGGTTAGAGGCTACAACATAACTTCACGTCCAAATACTAACCATTGCTTAGTGCGACGGGCACAGGCCCTGTCAAACGTGTATAGACCGTAATATTCATTGCAAGGTTAATCCGAAGGAAGACGCCAGAACTACAGCTGGTAGGAAACGAGATCTAGATACCGCTAACGCTGATGACGTCCTCGCAATCCTAGGCAGAGTTAAAGACTTTTGTCAGGACGAAGATAAGGCTGCAGTTGAGCCCCTTGTCCTCAAGCTTCAGCAATATGTCAGCCGTTCGTCGAGACCTACGAGCGCTGCTGTGCTAGATGGAACGTCAGAAACGGTTGTAACTGTCGAAACCCCGGGTCTGGTTCTCGAGAACAAAACGAATCGTAGGCCATCTACACACGATTACATACTGCAGCCCCCAACTGACTGCAGCGGCGATGCGACTCTAAGCATGATCAACACATCTGTGAAGCTGCTCTACAACGACCTTTCTACAGGCTCCTGGACGTCCGTAACCAATGACAGCCATTTGATCCACCATTTACTGAAGCTATTCTCTACGTGGTACAGACGTTACATATGGTCCACCATTGATGTCGCACAACTCGTCAGAGACCTGCATTCTCAGGGTTCGGATGCAACTCCTTGCAATCTTTTCCTTTTCAATATTGTACTGAGCGAGGCGTGCATCTATTACGATCATCCTGATAACATAGAGCTAAGTATAAAATTTTCCGAGGAGGCGGAACGGTTCTGTGAAGCTGGGGCCGGCATAACATCGATAGCTAACGCTCAAGCACTCATGTGTCAAGCTGTTCGACATCAGATGATGGGTAACGACCGTCTGGGTGAAGCTCGAATGCTTCGTGCTCTTGACATGCAGAAAGAGCTGGAGCAGTCCTCCGTGTACGAAATCTTCGATGGTGCACACAAAAAATCGAAGCAGGAAATTATCACGCGCATAGGTTGGGCGATGTTCAACGGTTACGCCAAGTCAGCGGCAGTGCTTCTGTGGCCGGTGAAGTATATCCCATCCAGAGAGCTAGTACTCGAGAGAGACTGCGATCGTGCCGCAACTGACACATGGTCACCATATCCTGTTGATTCTACGACAAGGTCGGATCATCCTCATTGTTTCTTCCGGGCAGATATTGAACTGTCCAAGATCTTCGCCCGGATAACTCAGGTCCTCATCGACGATTCCCTGGACTTTCATCGATTTGAACCCGAGTTGGAGAGTATATGCCAGAAGCTAAATACTTGGAAGCGCAACCTCCCCATATGCCAAGCGCTATGCCAGAACGCTCCCGCTGATTATTTTGCCCAGCATGCAGAATTTCACTGGGCCAAAATCATGATTCAAACTTTTGTTCAAAAACAAAAGACGCGACTTCTGTCCGAAGGCCTCAAAGTGAACTCTGACAAGCTCACGAAATGCGTAACGAAGTCTGACGCTATATACTCAGCGCAGCAGATAGCAATCATCAATCACGACTATATGGAACAGTTTGGCACCAGGTATATGCAGATCTTCATGATCCAGCCCACCGCGATCGCTCTGTTCCTGCTTCTCACGGATCTGGACTCTATTGAGAACCAACAGAGTTTCACAGTTCTTAGTGAGGCTGCAGCAGCAAATGCACGATTGTGGAAATTGTGCGAGGCCATTCTGACCATGGTTCGACAAACAGCAGAGGCATTGAGAGTCACTCTGCCTCCGCGAGCAGAGCGTTTCCTCCATCAAGACGCAGGAACTGCTAATCTTCACGGTAGGAACAAGTTCGAAGGCGACTACCCTAACTTTCTTCTTGCATCTGGGCAGATTCAAGAAAGCGAAAAAGTAGCTGCAGTCATCAGTGATCTAAGTAAGATGTACGATGCGCTAGATCTCAATTCTGAAAATCCGGCCCTGACGAAAACTGCATAGCTGGAAAGCTATCGAAGTCGACATGTGTGTAGCCAGTCCTTCTGGCTACGATGGTTAAATCACAGGTGTCACTGCGTGGGTTTCGAGCGAATCTTCTGGACAGTTGCGATACCGCGGACTGTAGACCATTGTTATACTGACGTTCGGTCGTCTTATTGCCTTGGTGAATTATCCTGCAGCATTGCCCCTTACTACTCTTCTTGTCGTAATATATGTGAAGACAGAAGGAAAAGATTGATCAGAATGACAGTATCGAAAGCTACACCTTCTACCGCTTCTGTAGCCTATTCCAAATAACAATATCAAGTTCTTCACTATAAAATAATAAGTTATATGCTTCCCTTACCTATCTAATATATAGTATCGTAAGGTTTACGGGTACAACAAGTAATATCTAAGTTAATAGACTAACACCTTGAGTAGAAGAGGAGCCTTTGGATGATTGTAGTTGCAATAGCCCTGGTGGATGAAGCGCAGCAAATCCTGGGTGGTGGAGCCAAGCGACAGAGGAACCGAGCGAGGTCGTGCCGCAGAGCTCGAGCTGTTGCCTGGCTCTACCAGCCACTAAGTGCTCCTCCTCATTACGCGTTGACTGCACGTCCGCCAGGTACTTTACGCGTGGCGATGGAAATCGTGATTGCTTCGAGTCCTGTCACAATCCCTTCACTTCAATCTGTACCTGACTACCTTCGATCATATTTAGTGTCGTTCTCAAAGACAGTGACAAAACCCCTCGAAGTACTGCAACTCATGGTGTTGGAGTAAGAAGCCCGAGCATAGTGGGAGCAGCATGTATAGCAGCAATGCTACACAGTAATGGAGGAAGTGGACTGGGCGAAAATGCTGTTCCCGTTCAGTCTGAAGGACGCCTGAGATGGACACCCGAAATACCAGACATCGACTGCGACGAAATTCCCATCCTTCCTGATACCATTGTCTACGCCGAAAGTTCCGATGGGGACGTCTACGATGCAGCCACATTTGCAAAACACAGAGCCGAGAGGGAGTGGAAGACTAGACAGAACGCCAACGCATACCTCAGAGGCGAGAATCTATGCATATCTACAGCCGAGCTGAGAGGACCCTTCAATAACGGCTGGCAGAATCCGTGGGCTGCTGGACCGCGGGACAGAAAAGACGATAGGGCCGAACGAGCACAAACTGTATTGACCTCGGACTTTGGTGACGAGACTCCATGGAGGAGGAAATCACGTCTACGATCCCAACTTAATGATTTGGCCCAGCGCCGCAAAGAGAAGAGCAGGGATCACCACTTCGCCCTTCTTGCGAAGACATCTATCACCAAGCAGATGACCCCTGATGAGAAGATTGATTCGTGGTTGAGGAAAGGCCATGCCTACTCTCAGCCGTCCGATGAGGAGAACCTTGACGAACCTGGCTCACCGACACCTGGAAGATCGAGGCGCCTATTTTCTACTCGCGACAGAACTCCTATAGAACAGCTCATCAATGTCAATAGTCAACATGCTCGAGCTCCTCTCCGACTACCTGACAACGAGGCCACGGACTCTTTTGAGACAGCAGTTGCCATTCCACACGAGCCCGAGAAAACCCACCTTCGCCTACAAAGTGCTCTTGCTGTCGAGCCACCTACCAAGAAGAGGCTGCGTGCGGACATGGTCGGCATGGATAGAGCTGAGGCTGCCATCAAGAGATACAGAATTACTGCTTCCAATATTCACGAGTCAACGACCACGAGCACGACCCCAGTACGTCACGACTTGCAACCAGTAAAAAAACCGTCATCGTCCAGACAGTCACTACACCAAACTGCTGGTGTAGCAAAAGAGCCTGAGATCAAGTTTGAGATGCTTGAAGTTGCTATCGATGAGCAGCGAAAGTCGTTATCGACTTCAGAGCAACCACATTTGTCATATGATTCTACCGACTTTTACTTCAGCAGTAGGTCAGCTGAGGCCTCGGCCCTGACTACTACGTCGGAGAGTAATCCTACTAACCTGATACCTTCAGCCCAGCCTACGTCCGACGTGCAAGCCTCAATCTTACCTTCAGAGCCTCTTCTGCCCGATCGACCAATGTCCACGCGAGACACTGTTGTCGAGCACGTGCTTGAGGCTTCAGCTCCGGGCTCAGCTTCCATGATCAAATCTAATATTGATCATGAACCTGTTCGACGGATGCAGAATGGGCAAATGCAGAGGTCTACTGAAGAAATGCGCCTCGAGAAAGACGGTACTGCAAGCATTGATAAACCATTATCTCCCCAACCCCTAGACACACAGACGCTAGCTCATGATGCTGGCACAGCTGTATGTCCTGCTGGTCCGACCGTGAATTCATCTCTACCAATGTCGTCAAAGCGAAAAGCTACCAAGCCCGCTGGAGTTCCTCCGAGCAAGAAGCGCAAGTCAGCAACCTCTGCAGCTGAAGCGGAGTCGTTCTCGTCTACTGGGTCCATTAAGAGTGTTCTCAGAGTCCGAAAGGTGGCGGACCAACCTCCCGACTATGTAACCTCTCCACGTCTTTCCTTTCAGAAACCTGGTCTCGACATGGAGACCTCTATCGATGAACCGAGCACGATTGTCCCGACTGCTAAGGCTCGAAATTTGAAAAGTATTTTGAAGCCGAAGCATGTATTCTCCCCTCACCCAACGCCTCCTTACGCTGCTGCCTCCTCTCGTCCTTCGCGACAAGATACCATGGCTAGTGGTCAGGGTGCTCTTGTACACAATAGAGGGGACAGGTTTGACCTTGACGGCGCAATGGACGAACTCGGGAGCTTTCTAAGCTCTTGGGATGCCGAGAAGAGCGCATTGCATATATGAATTCGATGTTGATATACAGGACATGTATGATATGGTGGGAAATTTCTTATACATCCACTCAGCAGGATCTGGGCTTCCATGATCTGTACGATATTGTATCTCAGCGACGGTGTTATGGTTTGGTGGACATGTTTCTATTGGCGTTTTATCTAGAAGATTGCAGAGTATCGTGGATCTCTACACATTATCTCTTTCTGCTCAAGAGAGGAAGCAGACGAGCAGACAGGCTCACCTCAGTCAGGACTATATCACAAAATGTTCATATCCACAAGTCACAAACTGTTTTTGAATTCGTAAAATTGCTGTATGTTGATGTCTGGTGAATAGCTGCGAAGGACAACCGAATTATGCTCTCGATGTCAATGTTGTTACGCGATGCTGTATGCCAGGCCGGGACAAGACATTAGTCCCTGCTTGGCAGCACTGACGACAACTTCAAGCAGGGAAGCTGCCACACAGCACCTAGCAATCTTGCTTTACCTACCTTTAATTTAATTTTAATATGCTCGAGTCTTACAAGTAGCAATAGCAGGCCACAACACAGGACTTTTGTATATTGACCGTGGAGCGTCCCCATCTATCCGTGTCGACATAGAGCTTGTATAGCACGTGCCTCAGCCAGATTCGTGTTTCTTTTGTCGACTTACAGTACACGCTACCAGAGTCGCGCGAGAGCTTGCAAACAAGAGTGACAGGAAGTGAACATGGAACGCCTTGGATCACAACCTGACCATAACAACGAAGTACAGGATTCTCGCACCAACCACCACGATGAGTCCTCACCCTTATTACCATCCATCCTTCGAGGTCACGTCGCCGAAGAAGGTGAATCAGGACGCCGTGGCTTTCATGTCCGCCACTTCCTGAACGTGTCTTACACCTCTTCCAACATTGTCTCGAAATATGTCAACCTTCTCTGGCCATTCGTGCCAATCGCCATAATCCTGCGTTATGCCATGCCAAAGGCACATCTGTGGATCTTTGCCATGAGCTATATTGGCATGATACCTTCGGCGAATCTTTTGGGCTTTGCGGGTCAGGAGTTTGCAAAGAAAATGCCAAAGGTGGCAGGTATCCTGATTGAGACGACCTTTGGCAGTATCGTTGAGATTATCCTGTTCATGGTTCTGATCGTGCAGCATAAGAACCAGGAGGATGATGAAGGGAGTGGTGACGAGGGAAACCTGATTCCCATCATTCAAGCTGCCATTCTGGGCTCGATCTTGACTAACCTGCTCTTGTGTTTAGGTCTCTGCTTCTTCGTGGGAGGCATCAGACAACAGGCACAGAAGTTTCATGCTGTAGTCTCCGAGACTGGTTCTGGTATCCTGCTCGTTGCAGGCTTTGGCTTGCTGATCCCAAGTGCCTTCTACAGCGCTCTAAAGGGAGAGACAGTCACCGAGGTCTCTGGAAAGCTGCGAATACTACACGAAAAGTTCACGCAGGAGACTTTACAAAGGGACATCTTGAGAATCAGCCAGATCACGAGTATCGTGCTCATTATCGCGTTTGGATTCTTCTTGTGGTACAATGCTCGAAGCTCGCACAGTCTCTTCGACGAGGTCATTGAGCAGGACGAGCACGCAGACTTGGATCGACACCATGATGAGGCTCGAATGAGATTTACAGGGACTGAAACGTAAGTTGAACCATCACTTCGCCTTCCTTCCTCTACTGTCTATTTCGAAAGACGACACTAAACTCTCCTACAGCACCGTCGCCCTCATCCTCTCCCTTGTCAGCGCAACCCTCCTCCTCATCTACCTCGTCGAACAAATCGAACACGTCGTCCATACCGGCGTCCCCGACCAATTCCTCGGCCTCATCCTCCTCCCTCTCGTCGAAAAAGCCGCCGAACACCTCACCGCCATCGACGAAGCATGGGACGGCGTCGCCAACGTCGCGCTCTATCATTGTCTTGGACCTTCAATACAAACGGCACTCTTCAACGGCCCGCTCGTGGTGCTTGTGGGCTGGATGCTGGGGAAACCGATGGATCTGAATTTCGAGATCTTCATGATTGTGTTGTTGGTGTTGAGTATTATTGTTGTGGGAAATTTCTTGAGAGATGGGGAGAGTAATTGGTTGGAGGGGGCGTTGTTGGTGGTAAGTTGACCTCTGTTTCCCATTCTCCCCATCTGCCCGAAGCCACAATCTCTTCTGAATTGCCTGAGTGAATGAGTTTATGCTAACAGAATTTCGCAGGTCGTCTACGCCATTATCGCAATCGCTTCTTGGTACTACCCGAATCCAGACGTTGCGACCTCGAACGGACTAGGCGACATGGCAGGTCAGAACGTGACGATCAGTGCTGAAGTGCTTAGAGGTTTGCTCGCCAAGCTCAATATGTGAGCAGAATGATAGCCGAAGCAGATTTTACATGCTATCACGTAACAACGACGAACCTATGTCTGAATTTAACATATAGCGTCGCACGAGCATGGGACAGGATGGAATGGGTGAGCACTTTGTATATTCACTTCTCAAATAGGTAGATATTTACACAGAGTAGAACAAGAATCAGCACCAAGAGGTTGAGATATCCATGAAGAGATGAAGCCCCAGACCCAGACCAGTGTTGATGTCCTAATCGCCCGTCAAGTCAATAATCTCGGTCTTGATACCAGTCTTCATCCTCTTCACTGCATCGTTCTCACCACCCTCACCTCCGTCCAGAGGTCGTTTTCTTCCTATCCCAGACCCAAACGCATTCTGTACGTTAGCACCAGTCGGCTGTAATGGTGTCCTTTGCAGATCCGCATCGATGGCTGGTAGACGCTCGACGCGGCAGGACATGATGGCGTCCACATCCTCCTCACCCAGAAATCGTCCGAGTACTTCATTTCGTGGTCCGGCTAATTTCTTAAGATGGGTTTGTGCCTCGATGTGTCGGTGTTCCCACTCTCTGATCAATTTCCGTTCTACATTGTGGTTCTTGACACAATGCCAGGTGTACGGGCTCCTTCCAGTGATGGTGTTGATGGTATAGCCCAACTTCTGATCGCGCCGGTTGGAGCTCCGCGAAAATAGAGAATAAGCATATGATGTGTATTCCTCAAAATGTCGGCTCAAATGTTTTCTTCGTCTCTCGACTGCTGGGAAATGTAACTCCTTCTGGTGTGGGTTCGCCATGAATTGTGCGACGTGCTGACAATCTGCACAATTTCCACAACCTTTCTGTGGTCTGGACCAATTGAGGTTTCGATTGGGTTCAACCCCGACATACTTTCGAATGTATGTGCAGAGGACTGTGGTGATGTACGATGAGAGCGCATCGTAGAGCGCTTGATCGTCTTCGAGAATCAGAGCATGCACTTTGTTGCGCATAGCGGATGTGATGAAAGGCAACAAGGTCGACTGTATGTACTCTGGCTTTTCATCTATGGCAGCTGCTCTCATGTTATGAAGGGCATCGACCATAGTCACACCGCCATTGTTCTTTGTTGCATCGAGGATCCTGGTCGGGTCGTCAATGGATATGCTGTCAGTCGCCTCAATATACGTAAACTTGGACCACATCGTTGATATCACTCCATTAACCAAGTCTTCTGGTAAAGCTGTAGCTGAAACTTCCTTCTTTTTAAAAAGCTCGAAAATAAAGGCTGTAAGAGATGGAAATGCAGCTCGAGCGATTTGAGACATGTGTTTGTTCGTGAAGTCAATCTGCATTGGCCACGAGTGCTTTATGACAACTGCCAGTGTTGTGGCATCCTGCTTGCTAATCCTGTTTTGTGGCAAACTGTCGAACAAGATGTCCAGGACGCTAACGAGTAGTTTGCCCAAGTCTCGTTGGTACTCTTGATTCTCGCAAACTGCATCAAAAGCGGTGACCAGATTCATGATCATCTTGTATCTGGCTGTGACAGTTTCTCCAGCCTTAAAGATTTGCCTCAAAGTTGCGTTCCATCTTTGTACACCATGTTGCGCCAAATTATGCGCAAGACCCTGTAGAGACTTTTTGTCCATCTTCGTTGTAGGAGGAAGTCTGTTATAGAGGTCAATCCAACTGTATTCCAACAAAGCAGTAGTAATTCTTTTAGCCAATGCAGAAACTTTTGCATCTTCTCGCGCTGAGAGAGTATTCCTGTTTGGATACATATAGCTGTATGTTGTGCTCGGCCTTGACCTGAGATTGAGAAAAGGTAGAGCCTTGGTACATAATTCATACAATCCAGCTATGTCCAGCGGCTTGCCCGTTTTCGCTCGGCCTTCAATGTCGTCGAACAGTGACAAAGCAGCACTGATGCTGTCTGAGCTAGCGAGTGCGAAGTCAAGCTTTTTAGATGGTGGAACGAGTACAACAGCACTTGAGCGATACCAATATGTGGCAGGAGCACCTTCGTTGCCGGTCCATCCCTCGTGTTCGGACTCATCGTAGTCTTCGTCGTCAGTGTCTGGTGGGTCTAGAAAGTATGACTTGTCGTAGTGGTCAGGCACAAACGCACACTTGTCCCCATCCAGTGTAGTGAGTCGCGAGAAGCCGTCATCGCGGTTAAACACTTCGTCGCCACAATCATCATCTTTATGAAGGGCCTTTTCGACACTTGCTAGGTAGACTTCGAAATCAAGTTCTTGGCAGACATCCCGCAGACACTGTACCTGCCTAAAATTAGAGCCTTTCAGTGAGCCCAATTTCAAGCCATCCTCGGTGTAAGGATGCTCAAGTTTATGGATGATATATGGAGGATAGCCTTTTTCGTATCCCATGGCAGCCTTCTCGTACTGCTTAAGATGTCCTGCAATCACATTTGTCCAGTCGCTCAATGGTCCTTTCGGAACAGCTGTTGATCCTGTTTGGACCAAGTTATAGGTCAAAACTAACCTATAACCCGAAGTTACAGGTGTCACCTCATGAAGGACATCAGCATACCAGGCTGCGCAGGAAGTACCAAACTCGGATGTCGTGGACGAGTCGTACTGAACCCGCTTGCCACTATGAGTGAGAATAACGGAACCTCCCTCATGCTTCGATGGCAGGCTAACGACCATCGTGCCAAACATACCGGGAGTCTTTTCGGAGTCCTGATGTGCCTTGAAGAAAGCACCTTCCTCGTACAAGAGCAGCTTGTACATCTGAGCTCCGATGTTGTTGCGTTGTCCAGGAAGACTTAGTCCCCCGTGCACCTGATTTAGTAGATTGTTGATAAAGCCTTGCCATGCCACATTCCTGATTGAGAATTGTCGCGAGTCCAGCTCCCAGGAGTTGCGGACTGATTGGTCGACCAGAGTTTGCTCTCCTTTGCCAAAAGGACTTTGTCAACATTTTGTGATGATGGTTTTCGCTTCTCGTTCTGAAAGTGGTAGACCGATGATTCCTAGCCCCTCAATGGTAAGTCCAGGGTTTGGTGCTTCGAATTTGGTTGACGAAAGTGCAAAAGTTCTAAGTAGTAGTCATAGTCAGTCGATGAATGTTTCTGATATCACAGAGAAAGTATAGACGGACCCTTCATTACGTACGACAAAGCTCAAGGCAGATTTGAGATCTTCGCAAAAATCCTCGTAGCAAGGCAAGTTGTCGCCGTCGCCGTCATCTTCCGTCTCCTCCTCCATCTCTTTTTGAGCTCTACATTCGGGATTGTCCGCCTCGGCTTCATCGTTTTCATCACTGCTTTCTCTAGTGTGGTCCCATTCGTCACCGTAACTACTTTCATAATCGCTTTCGTCACTATAACGGCCCATACCTGGGACAATACCAGAAAAGACCCACTCAAATCGGAGTGTTACCCGCAGCAGTCACTGCTTCGCGCGCACAGACTACACCGTCGCACCTTCCAGCGCTTATGCCTAGCTGGAGCTCGGTGCACGTGTTCAATGTGCCTTCCATGCGTGGACGACGATCATTGCAGTCGATCGAATGGCAAGTACGACCCCGCCTTTCTGGTCCTGTTTACGTGTCGCGGACGCGTCGTGCTAAAGTCACGCATTTCGTACCTTATAGTAGAGATGGTTTCAGATTCATGTGCTTTTTTTTGGTCAAAAGCTAGAAGACTTCGTTCTCATGCGCTGTGGACTTGAAATAGTCAGCGGTATAGGGCTGCACAGGGCGAAGCACTGAATCGGAACTACCATGTGTTTCACTACGAGAACCACGTATATACACAACAAAGGACATTTAGACTTTTACCGAATTGTTATACAGATAATCCAGCCATCCCAAAAAGTCATAGCCATCATAACACTTCATTTCCATCGTCCTCATTACCACGCAGTCACCGCTGCCCCTAAAAACTCCATTGCCTCATACCTCAGTCACATGTACACTCGCTTCCTTTTCACGTTCCATTAAAACCCCTTTCCTCATTAACCTTTCCCAAGTCGACTTCTCTCGTTTCAGGACCTCCCTATCAAGAGCTAAGCCGTCGATCTCCTCGACATGTTGACAGCGATCAGCAAGTAGAAGCTCCATTGCTCTCCTCCTCAACCAGGTCACTTCGTCCATCAACCCTAGCCATCTTTTGTCCTGTTCTGGTATTCTTGCAGGTAAACACTGCGGGATATGTTCGTCTCTCTCTTCAGCTAGTGGTGCATAGAAACCAACTGTGAGGGGATTGTCCCTGAGGTCCACCTTCTTCAGTGCTGGTAGACGTGATATCGTGAGGCAAGTGCGCCTCATTTTCTTGATCCTGTTTTTGGCCACGCATAGCTGTTTCAGCTTGATTGCACCTTGCAATGGCAAGAGATCGGACAAGGCGTTGAAATTGAGGTTAAATACTCTCAAATTTGGGAAATGGTCGCCGAACCTTTGAGGAAGAACGTGTACACCACAAGAAGCAAGCTCCAGGCATCGTAATGTGAAATTTGGTTGTCGTGGGAGTACTATCTCGCCTTCTGTTAGAGCATTTGCCGACAAGTACAGCTCAGTGCAATCATGAGAAGTCCCTAACACGTCGTTGACAAGACTAGAAGCCACTCGCTGGTCACGCGCTGAGAGCACTTTCAGGTGCTCGGCTTCGGGAAGTCCAGGTAAGTGCTTGATGTTGTTGCAGTCGATATTGAGTCGTTCGAGCAATGGGAAAGCCGTCAAATCAAGCTCGGCAATCTCGTTCTGTCCAAGGCATAACGTCACTAGTTTCGGCACGATCTTGTCCCCTTTGACCACTAATTCCTCCAGCAAATTTTCGCTCAAGTCTAGATACTTCAACTTTGGCAGTTCATACAGATTCTTGGCATGTACAAGATTGTTTCTGCTCAGGTCCAGCTCTTCCAAAGATGTCAGCTCGCAATCGACAAAGTCAACGTCTGGAATGTCGTTGCCACTGAGATCAAGCGTTACAAGACCACTCAAGTCGAGTATAGCCTCGAGATTGTGGATTTTATTGTCGCTTGCCTTGAGGTGTCTAAGATGAATGAGGCCACTGAAGCACTGCAGACTTTCGAGCTGGTTGCCAGATACATCAATGCTTTGCAGATTATGAAGGTGTGTCCACGAAGTCATGTCAGTGATCATGTTTGACGAAACATTCAACGACCGTAACGATATTGGCAAATCCGTCAGCTGAGACACCTTGTTACCTCTCACATCGAGGTGCTCTAGCGCTGAGCAATAAGTCTTCAGCCCGTGTAGTGCTCCAAGACCACTCTTCTGCAACGATAATCGACGTAGCTGCTCCCAAAAGAGCTCAGATGGCTCAGCGTCAGTGATGGCCTTGACCACGTCGTCCTCGACTAGGGCATGCGAACCATGTGCCTGTCTCAAGGCCTTCGGATTGGCTCTTTCGGCAACGAAGCTTTCTTCAGGATGGTTCGCTTTGTCAGCCTGATGCAGGGTGAAGTCCGATAGGGGCGTAAGACACAGTATACTCGACTCTTTCCGCGCAGAAGCTTTCCGTAGGCTCATCTGTCTCTCCGGCAGTGGGGTCATATCAGTATGCTTGATGTGAACGAGTGACAGCTCCCGATTGTCCTCTTGGTCCTCACTATACTCATCTATCCTTGAGACAGGCCTTCTATTCAGCGTCATTGCTCGGTATTGCTCATGGCGCTCGGTGGACCCAATGATTGGACGCAGACGTGATGTCCCATGCTCAGCCAACGGATCGATTTGCTCTGTAACTCTGGCAGGACTACTGGCGAGTACAGAACCCTCATCGTCCAAAGGTAGAAGACTGGGATCGTCTTGGTCCAGATCCGCGTCAGAGATGCTTGGCGGATGTGTATATGGAATCTCAGAAGCAATGGGTGAACTAAACGCGATTGTGACGACTCTCGGTTGCTGTTTAGCGGACGCGCCAACATCCTCAGAGGCAATACCATCATGTAGGCGTTCTTCATGCTTCGAGGCTTCTGAACCCTTCGAGATAGGTCGACTCTGTTCGGTAGTGGGCCGCAATTTGCGAGGAGATTTCATGGATGACTTGCCTGGTGTGAAGATTGCCGACACATTGCGTGGGCCGTTGTGCGGGTCCTTTGGTTGCTGGACACGAACTTCCACGCCGGACTCTGGTGCTTGTTGTCGGCTATTTGGTTGCTTTGGACTCTTCTTCAGATTTGCTTCCTTTGTCTCGTCGATACTGAGATCTGGTATACCATCGAATGGGTCTGCCTCGCTATACTCCCTCCCAGCTTTGCTTTCAGGAGTAGCACTTGGGGCAGGGATTTTCTTTGTTCTTATGTTTTGCTTGACCCAGATTTGCCTCTCTTGATCAAACATCATTGCGCCAATGGTATCAGGAATAGTCACGGTACCCTGACTAATCATACCTCTTGTTCCAGTACTGACAGAAGAGGTTGTGTTTATTGTGCGTTTAGAATCGCTGCTGTGTATGTTTTGTGAGAGGTGAGCATCTGCCGAGTCAGCGTCCGAGAGAGAGTATTTTCTCTTCCTGTCGTTAACATCCAAGATGCGAATACCTGGTGGATCGCTTTGGAAACTCTCGCCAATATCGAGCTGGTCATCTTCTGGGACAGGCACAAGTGCAGCTTCTTCGACAGCTTTATTGTCAACAAGGTGCAGCGTTCCTAGTGCAGAGGTGCTCGCGAGGAGTTCGAGGTCATCGGGGTCGCGGAACTTGTTCAGATGTTTCGCTGTCTGAGCATCATGTAGTGCATATCTTCGATCCGGTTTGGGCATAACACGACCTTCTCGAGATGGCGGTCTTGAAAATGAGTCTTTTGTGGAATCGTCGACTTCGAGATCGAGTATGGCATCAGGGTTGAGCTCCGAGATATCCTGAGGCTCCTGTATGTCAGGCAGGGGCAGCTTCGGCTTTCCTCTTGCACGTATAAACTCCATCACTTTGTTTGCCTCTTCCATATAATCCTTGGTCGCCAATGAAGCCTTCCGGGAGTCTTGCTTTATCTCCGCTGCTGTCTTGACGAAAGATTCTAGCTCGCCGGCCAATTGCTGCGCAAGGTCTGTAGGAGGAATTGCATCGTTGAGCAGAGCCTCGGAGGCTGAAGCAGTCCTAGTATGACTATTCGAAGACGACTTCCGGGAGCCTGCAGGGCGTAGAACAGGCCGGGAAGCCATCGTGTCGGGCGAGGCTTGCTCAGGGTCTTTACCAGGCAGAGCGTCCCGTCTTTTCTTTCCAGCCAAGCTATTACCAGCTACAGTAGTAAGTTTGACCTCGACTTCCGTACCATCTACCACAATCTCGTCCTTTAACAAAGTTCTTCGTCTCTTTGTAGATCTTTCTCTGACAGGCGAAGATTGAGCCTCCGCCTGCGTCGTAGTGTTGTGTTGTGCGACGTTCGAAGAAGCAAGGCCTTTGAAGACTTTCTCAGCCACAGGATTGACTTGCATCTCTTGTGGCGGAGGACGATCAATCTGCTTGTCGAAGCCAAAGGCGTCCAGCTCACCTTTTCCAAAGTTACTCATACGAAAAGCAGCGGCCTCCTCGGGCATACTTGGCTCGGACCGATCCTCTTCAAATTGACTTAGAACACGCATGAGTTTGTTGTTGGTATAGGTATCTCGGTTGCCGAATAACTTCAATGGACTTCCAGCGGTGCTATACTGGGTTGAGGTTGGGGCATGATGTACGACACTCGTATCTGCAGGACTAGAAGGTTCGCTCACTGTAAGTCTGCTGTCTTCGATGTTGTTGGTCCGATATGGAGGAGGTGAACTGCGGAAGTTTCTATTGTCATCAGGATGAGACGATGTTCTTATGGAGGTAGCTTTCCTATGAATGACCGAGCTGCTGCTAGCTCCAGTGGTTTGTCGCTTAGTCATGACTTCGAGTATACTATTGGGCTGGTAATTTTGCGTGCCCATTGACAGGTCTTCCGGCAATGATTGTGAAGTCATCTCTGCGGCAAGCTCTTCTGGTAAAATCGACTCTTCCAAGCTGTCCAGACCTTGAGCGTCGTAGGATATGTCGTGATCACTGCACGGCGACTTCGACCTGTCCCTACTCGTCTGTATCTCTCGCAATCTGCGCCTCAGGCCATGGGAATTGGTGTCAAGCGTCTCTTGTAAAGCCTGCTTCCGAACACTGCTCTTTTCCGAATCTTCGAGTGGAGAGAAGACTTCATCGCTCATCTCCTTGCGACCGCTAATCGTGCGTAGGCGTGGATCGTGAGAAGTTCTTGGACTGTTTCTACTGTGAACTAGCTCCAGGTTACTAACCCTTCGTCTCACGATACCTTCGACTGGTTCTCGTCCAATGATAGACGATATGGCTGAGAGGTCAAAAGCTCTATCCTCATCTTCTTCCTCGACTTCCTGCAGGGTGCCCATGCCTGAAGGTCTATTCTTCGACGTTCGATATGAGGCAAAGTTCTCGGAAGGAGGTGGGAAAGCGGTGTCGTTGAGGAAGTTCCAAGGCCTTTTGTCGGTGGTTGTGATTAACAGCGATGCATCGTTCTCTTCGTCCTCAGGGTCGACAGGACATGACGACTGTTTGAACATGCCTTCCAGTTTCGAAGGAGAAAAGAGGTCGACTCCATCACTAGTGAGTTCAGTTCCTGCCTGCAAGCGCTTTTTCCACTCTGGTGTTTCGTGTATACCGGACGATCGATCCATCGTGTGATGCTGGACCGATGTTTGTGAGGCGGACATACTAGAGCTCGAAGATCGACGAGGTAAAGGAATGGTGGATGGTGCTCGTCGTTTTGAGCCACTGATTGGGGAGGATATTGGTAGGGCGTTCAGGCTAGACGGTGACCTCTCGCCCAGAGCATTGTTCTCTTTCTGTCTCGCAATACCACGAGATGAGCGTGGCTTGAGGAAGCTACTGTTGCTAGCATTCCGAATATTGTGTGCCAGGTGAGGAATCCGACTCTGTGAGCCGTTGCTGGAGATTTGGCGACTCGTATTGCTCCTACCGCCCATGCTAGAGCGAGGTGAAGAAGGTGCATGCTCCGACTTCCATTCTTCTGACAGTCCATCCAGCCATGGCTCCATTATATCTTGCTTTGCTTGTGTCGCTCGTGAAATGCAAGGAGACTACCTCCTGTATTGCTATTTGTTGGTCATGAAGGAATAGCTACTATGGCATACAGAGTGATAGATGCGCAAAGTCGTGATATTGGGGTCATGTAAAATGAGGGACACAGGGCACTTTAATATTGCTACTAGTCGGCCATATTTCTTGGACACGAACGCGCCGTTGAAAGTTGTGTTGTGGTTTGCCCTAAATGAGGAAAGTGCCAGAGATGGGTCCAAAGCTATATCCGGCTTTCTTTCAGTATTGAAAAGTAGCCGCACATAGGCCCGGAAGACTATCTTAGCGGGTAAGAGTGCCGAACGGAGTGTTTTTGGTAAAGGAACGTCGGTATAAAATCAATACTTCATGCGCGACTGAAACTGTGTAGGTGAATCCGAGGTTTGCCTGAGAACGTTCAAACGTGGAGCGAAAATTTTAGACTGTTAACAGTCTTATTTCCACATAGACGAGTACTCACCCGTCGTGGCAAACTACTGAATACATGCTGCATCAAATGAATACGTACTAGTATACTCTCAGCCCTTGGGGATCAAGTGTAAAGGCCATGCCCATGTCTGCAAAGATATGGTGAAATACATAGTAATCAAGAAAAAGGCATCTAGTATAGTAGCATTTCAGAACTTGTATACATCGTAAGCATATTAAATCCAGAAGCACCTCAATATTCACAGATCAGAACCAGTCCTCCACGTCGGATGTCTGCAAAACATCGTAATCTCAAACAATATGAACATAAATGCTATTCATCTTGCGCCACAACACCTTGCCATCCGAGCAATATCCTGCAGATCGTGCTGGTTCCATCGAAAAGTATGTCATCAAAATCCTTTCTCTACACTTCAGCAAGTCGACCTAGTCGAGTCGACCGTTCAGGCATGTGCTTCTTCTCGACTGGCTCGCCGTTCATCGAACCACCCATGTCGCCATCCACGCCATCCACGCTCTCGTCGCTCACGATCTTTGTGCGAGCTGCACCATCTCGTATGCTGTCACGAGCTGTGTAGGCTGTAGGTGCTGTACTGGCCATCGACAGTGCTGTGCTGGATCGTTGGTGGACAAGCTCGGGCGTGGGCGGGACCGAGCTTCGGTCACTAGTCGGTGTCACACGACCGTTGTTTCGTGATGTCGAGCGAGATCCGCCCGATGACTGTCTCTCGTCAGCTGACAGATTAGCATTGCTGGTTACATCCGTTTCTGCTTCACTCATGCGAGCAATTTCGGCGGCTTCATTGGCAAGCTGCAAGCCTTCGACTGCTGCTGCACACTGCTCGCTAATGTTGCGAATGATGTCTGCAATCGCATCCGTCTTCTCACGAAGATGTCTGTCAGCCACATCATGTACATTCTGGGCCGAGTATCTCTTGTTGGCTCGGCTAGAAAGACGTCCGTCCAGAAACTCTTGTCCGTCGTTAGATGCTGAAGAGGCTGCACGTCGGGCCTCTCGTCTCCTGGCGTGGTTTTCGTTGCCAGAAACAGCCGAATCTTCGTCGTCTGCATCTTCGAATCCTTGTCTGACGTGCTCGGCAAGCTCGTTAGAGGAGCCGATGGATCGAACGATATGCTCCATGTGATGAGTCTGTCCGCTGATGAGACTTCTGAGGTGCAGGACCACTCTTTGTGCTTGATCACGTTGCTGGACAAGTGTGCCGTTAGCGTGTTGCAGAGTGGCGATTTCTTTCCTGTTACGATCTCGCTCCTTCTCAAGGTCTTCGGCAATACCTTGTTGAAGCACGAGAGCTTCCAAAGCATTGTCACGTTGTCGCTCTGTACCGCTAAGACGAAGCGCAAGTCGTGCTTGGTCGTCCTTCTGCTGATCGATGATACCAGTAAGACGACGTTGCTCCCGCTTACCAGCCTCGATCTTGACTCGAAGCTCGGCAAGCTCTTTGTTGAGCGATTCGACGAATGCTTGGAATTTCTGGAACTGCATCTTCCATGTCTCTGCTTCCTGTTCCAGGACGTTGTTGCGCTTGGCGACCTTGGCAAGCTCGGTATCCATACGACCTTTGAGGTTGATGAAATCTTGCCATGCTTCCAATGCGTCGCGAGAGTACTGGTTGCGCTCCCGGACCATCTCGTTCATGTGTCGCATAGAAATCTTCGTCATGAGCGGCTTCTTGTTTGCACCCTGGAAGATAGCTTTGATGCCAGAGTTGCGACCTAGCTTCTCGCAGACGTGATCCATCACAGCCATGACAGCGTCTTGGTTCCACCAGATCGGATCAACCACTCTTTCCACATCACCTCCACGCAGGACGATTATGTCACCAGCCGGAATGAGTTTTCCACCGCCATAAGCCGACTTCAAGTGCTGAGGCACGCCTGCGAGCTCAACATCCGAGTTCAATGCTTGCGTTAATCGTGTAACCATCTTGGTTCTTTGACTTGGGGAGAAGACATTTGGTGGATGATCTGTGATGACCAAGTTCCTATCGAGGTCGACAAGCAGTGCGTCTTTGGGCGGTGTGAAGAGGGATCGGCACTCGGTGGTAATACCAAGGATGTATGGACCAGGCTCTTGTACGAGATCGTGCACACTTCGTGCGTGGGCGACCGGGACATACAACCCTGTCCAGTCGTAAACTCGAGTCGAGAAGCGAATTGTTTCAGCTGCTATAGTAAGCATCGCAGGATGATGTGACATTAGGATAATGCGTCGAGTTGGTGAGACAGCTGCTTCGATCAGCCCAACAATGTTTGGGATGGTCAAGCAGCTAAACAATGGCCACATCGCGAAGTTCTGGAACCCTGTCGGGGAGGATGGAAACTGGTAGCACAGTGCGTAGTCCTTCATATCGATGCGGACAAGGTCGTTCAACCGTGGCGCAGGGAAGCTTAGTATGCGAGATACCTCCTCAGCATGGAAGAGATTCGTCGCTTTGTTCCAATGGATCCACATGCCTCGAAGGTAGTCGCCGAGCAGGTTGTACAGTGGGTATCGAGAGAGGAAGCTGAGACAGTATGGGATCCAGTATGTCTCGTCAGCCACGTCCCTATAGTCAGGTTCTGTCTTTCTTCGCAGGTCTCGGATGGTCTCTGCACGTTTCTCGTCTGCTCGCGACCAGACACGCAATGCTATTCCGTACAAGGTGTGAGACGAGTCTTGCTGTAAGACGAAGGAATGGTGGACACAATGTGGCTGACTACGGCCTGTGCAGATCTCGACGTCGTGAGGAAAGCATGCCTATTAACGTTAGCTTCGGTAGAGTCGATGGACTGGTAGTCTTACTCGCATAGCACCATGAAGCGACCTTGCAACTTCATTGTCGGATTCAAGACGTGGGCTACTACCCAAGATCTCAGGTAGCCAAAATTGACCTACTGCCCCTCGCATATGTTGAATCTTGCCTTGACCTGGTGTCGCGGCCTTGACCCATTGTGAAGGTTCACGACCGACACCACAAACTAGATAAGCGTAAGTAAGAGTCTTGGGTGTAGGTCGTTTTCCTGCCGTCATCGTGCTCGGCATCGGTTGTGTAATTCGTGAATGTAGCGACGACGCTCTGCTAGGTACAACATTGTCACCAAAGCCTCCTTGTTCACGCGTCGCTGGTCTGCTTCTGCTGGTTTCGCGAGTTGCTGGTCGCTGAGCAGCCGACGAGGGTGCTCTTACGGAAGGCGCCATGGTCCAGAGAATGCCTCGCGGTTGCCTGTTCCGGTCGTGACCTCTCAGCACGAGCTACTGCTCGTGCACAGCAGTGTCTCACGAGCAAACACTACACGATATTGTGTACCGTGTAGGCGATGTCGATCGTTTCAAAGTAGTATGAGCGCCCAGTGAAGTCGAAATCACGACTGTGTGAAATCAGGTCGTAGACACGCACAGTAGCAGTGGTGAGATCAACCGAAGAACAAGAAGCAGGGGAAGGCGAAAATGATCATGGTGCCTATGGTGGAATCATGCCTGTCGCAGCAGAAAAAGTACAGTTCTCTACTAACGTCAAATCGAGCCCAAAGGCTTGTAAGGAGTGGAGGAAGGTCATGACAGCAACGCCGGCTCAAAGCTACCGGATGGATTGGCAATGCAATAATTTGGTTCAGTGGAGCAAACATCGAGCAGAGCTGAGCAACCCTTGACTCTTTCAGGTGTCAAACGATGCATGGCTCCGATGAGATGCAGGATGTGACACGACTATCGGGGCCGGACTGCATGGTGGCGTCTTCTTTGCATGGTAGCGTGTGCGACGGACATGGTTTTTCTGCCACAGCATTGCTGACCACACTTACTGGATCAGCTCTAGTCTCCATTAGCCAGGAGAATTTGACCTCGTAGATCTGGAGCTCTGCGCCAGCTTCTTCTTGAACAACGCTAACTTGCGTCGAAAGATTTGATACCACAGTTGAACTGGCCCACAATCGATGCACTAATACCTCTGAAGAAATTGGTGCTCGAACTTTGTATCCAATGGCTCGCGAACCAACGAACCCTCGACCTGATCTGGGGTCGTCTATCAGAGATAGGCATACGGCGGAGACAAAGAACAACCACATCCATGCACTGTACCAGGTGTCCATTTGAATGATGATGCCCACGAGCGTAGAGCGGAAAATGCAGAACAAAAGGTCAGATATCATGTGTCGGTCTTTCACCGGCCACATCGACTGCTCGATTATGTTCCATCAGTCGAGATGCATTGAGCACACGGAACCCCGTAGCGCAAACATCGTCTGGCCGGAGGTCCTCCTCTTACACAAACAAACTTTCGTTCTACAAACTTTCGTGGAGCATCACGATAAATCGATCTCTGTGGTGAAACATGCCCCCTGCATTTCTACTCGTTCTGCACTTCCAACTCTCACACACTCGAGCTGGCACCACGTGGATCGTCAGAGGACCGATTGCGCAACTGTACTACTAGTATTCCACAAGAAACTCCTCAATTATCAACAAATCAGAAATACATAACGACGAAAAACGGAAAGTCAGGAACTTGCATTTCCTTCGCCGAAAGCGTTGATGCTGCGAATATCTCCAACGTCGCGGACATACACACAGAAAGCATACCTTGGCGATTACCGACCTGCGCATCGCACCACCCATGCAAATCGCAGCTCGCCTGTTCAAAAGTCTCTACCAGCCGGGGTTGTATCTGTAAACCCAATGTCTTCCTTGCCCTCCTTCCTTCCTTTCTCCTCCACACACCGATCTGCACCGCGCTGCACCAGATCTATACCCTTTCCTGCCCCGCCGTGCCCAAGGATCAGACATCCAAAGCACAAAGAAATTCCTCTCTCAGAACGGTACCGTGCGGAGAGCGCTAATCCGACCGAAGCTCAAAGATTCTGTAATGATGCAACCGTGCATGAAGACCCTAGTCTTAAGTAATCGTGCATTGTTCTCGACCATCGCTCGATTGCTGAACCATCTCTGATTTGCTACCCGTATCATCGAGCACCACTTACGTCGAGCTGGAAGCATGGCGTTACGGTACACATGTTGTAGAGTTTGTCAAAGAGCTGTAACGTCCACTGTATCCATGTCGAATATCGTCAGTATGAGTACATTGTGAGTAAGCGAGCTCGCTAATGCATGGTAAGGTAGAGAAGTGTGCATCGTGACTCCCCACAAAGAGCTGCGGAAGTTGTTCCCGTCCTTCTCTGATCGTGCGCAGGCCGGAGAACTTTTGCGACGTTCGTGACCGTTAGATGCAGCTTCAAGGGGTTCATGCAGCCGCGTACTCAAGTAGTGAAACCTGTGCTCCTACAGTTGGCAACGAGTGCCTTTGCATCGAGCTTTACAGTTCATCTAGGAAACAAGCTTTGCGGTAAGCCACACACTACACAAATCCGTCCAAGAGAGCTGTGCATGAAGAGGATATCTGAAAACTTTGAGCAAGTCTACGAAAACCAATGCATCTTATCTGAGACTTTCCACCGCTTTTTTCCTTCGATCGAGAACATCCGTGCGCTTGACCCGACTGCGCAGCATCTCACTGGCGTTGATAAGTGCGTCGATAGTGATGTTGTGCGCTGTCATGTTGTGATTTAAATACGTGTAGACTTGAGCTGGAGAATCTAGTGCAGTAATAGCCTCCTCATTTAGCTTCAATAACGCAAGGCTGAGCTGGAACAAAAACGGCGAGCAAGTCCCGTCATGGTCCCCACCTGATTTAGAATCATCAGTACTGGCCGTGAGAGTTGACGGCGTGGTTGGTGTGCTAGGCTGCACAGCGTTCAAATAGCCCTCCACGCCTAGTGTCGCAGCCGCTGACCGTTGTTGAAGAGCTATTGGTGCCGAGTCGGAGCTATTGAGACACAAGGTAACGTCCCAAGCGCGGTAGAGAGCCTCACCTCCTGTTAGAACACCAGTATACAGACTGAGAAACCAGTGGAATGTGCAGGCCTCGAGCTCGACCCCAAGTTCCTGAAGTTTGGCGTCCAATTTAGGGAGCACCTCGGCCACATACTCCCTCAAAACAATCTGATCTGCTCGTGCTACGAGCAGGTTCTGGTCGAAATACCCGCTAGGCAAGATGTAGTCGATGATAGCAACCAGTAGCCAAAAGCAATCTTCTGGTGTAGCGCATATCAGTAGCAAGGAAGCTGTGATCAGATTCATGCCCTGACAATAACCGATCCGTGGGTTGTGCAAAGAATATGCTCTCAGTAGCTCTTCCAAACGCTGCGCGCCCGGCGCTGAAGCATCTCGAAAGAAAACATTGTCTTTCAGTGTTCGTTTCACGTCGGCTTGTATCTGCTGCAGAATATCTGCTTCCATCTCTGAATCGTCATTAGAGCGTGCTACCAAGTCTTCGTAGTAACCAGGAACACGTAAAGAACTTGCGCCAGAACACTCAGCCCAGATCTTTGGTCGGAGGGAAACTGGGATTCCTGCAAGTACTAACGACTTGAAGTGCATGTACTTGGCCTTGGTTTTGCTAGAGCGGCCAAGAGAGGCAATCCCAATGAGCTCTCCATTCACCAAATCTGCTTCCGGCGCGTTTTTGCTAGGCTTGTCCGTTGTGGCTGTCGACCTTTCTGCTCTAACACGGCGCAAGAAATCGTTCCATTTCACTGTTCGTTCAGCCTGTAGATTGTCATGAACTTCTGTCAGCTGGTCCAACAAAGCTTTTGCAGCACCTATCTCGCTAGCTTCGTCCTCAATATCCTGCGTTTGACCGGTTGAAACCGCAGTTATTGCAGATGTCTTGGCGCCACTTGGGAGAGCCTTCTGTGAAGTAGCAGACACTGAAACAGATGTGTCCTTCATTCGGGGTGGTGTAATAGTGCCTTCCGCCCCTGCCGTGCTTACGGTGACCACTGCTCCTGCTGAAGGTGTATGAGCTAACAGCTCTTTTGGTCTCCTCATGTTGGACGCTGTTGAAGGCAGTAAGTAATCCTGCCAAGATTTCTTTGGCGAATCGTCATCTATCGAAGCTGGTGTCACTGGCCTATTGGCGTGCTCAGTTGTTGCAGGACCGTCACCAGAATGGAAACTTTTGAGGCTCGCAGTAGCCGATGATTTATATTTCTGATGTCGTTGGGCTTGAACGTGCTGCCTCTTGCGCTTACGATCATAGATGAAACCAAAGCGATCGACCAGCACTCCCTCAGTATTGTAGTTTGACATGGTAGGAGGCAGTTGGGAGCTCTCAATCATGGCATCCAATTCGACAGTAGGAGGAAGGCTACTAGCATTGGAGTCCTTGCGAACATGAGTCTGACTCTGGTTGATACGACTGAGGGTGGCGGATCGCTGAGGCTGGGGTCGGCCTGAAGAAGCGGTAGGACCAGGGTTGCCTCTGGCGGCAGTGCCTCTAATCTTCGTATGAGCATTGGTTAGGGAATCGTTGGGGGGTGCATTGGCCTGGTCAATGGAAGAAGCTCTGGACCTGCCAGACTGATTGCGAGTGCCAAAGATACGAGTCCATGAAGTGGCGGACTTCCCAGACTGTGTTGACTTTACGCTCATTTCATCACCAGCCTTTGGCTTAGTTGAGATTTTCTTAGAACCACCGCCTATGAAGTAACTCGTTGTGGTCGATGGAGGCTGAAAGATACTTTGCAAGCCGGTGACTCGAGAGATGGCAGAACTAGGCTGTCTAGGTCGAAGAGTTGACTCCCGATCCCCATCGTCGCCACTAACGATACTGTTTGTGCGGCTGGAATTACGGCTCATCACATTTTCGTTCTGTAGCTGACTTACGGACGCAGAGCTTTTCAAACGTCTCATCATTGCTGCAGGCGGACTAGGCAAGCCTGTAGCTGCAACAAGCTGAGGAGACTGCTTCACAGAAGACGAGTCGTGAACGTCCACTATGGCATCATTGATCATTGAATCAATAGACACCGAAGAAGTTCTCTTTGGGCCCGAATCACTTCCGCCAACAGTGCTAGTGGATATGTTGGGAGTTTCGAGGCGCAACAGACGCTTCTCAACTTCAGCGGATGAGACATCTGCCTCCCTAAGCAATCTCTTCAGTTCCCTCTCTCGCTCGTCCGCACGAACCCGGAGAGCAGACATCTCAGCATCCCTTTGTGCCAGATCTTGTGCATACTGTCTTATGAGTTTGACAGCTCCTACTCTTTTAAGTAGACGCTCTATATGTTCATCATTTGTCAAATGTAGGGAGCCAGGAATATCGAGTGAAGATCGTGGGGAGTCGTCGAACAACGCATTCGAGGTGTTGAGTAGGCTAGGCTTGGTCAAGCCAGCTAAGGTGGCCTTCCTGGCTCTCACTCTTTGTGAAGTGGTTCGGGTAGGCTTGTCAAGGTCCTGGTTGGCTGGAGGTACATTCTCATCTGGTTCCGGTGACAGCGAGGGAAAAGAGGTAAGGGATGCATCCTGGCTGGATTGACTCTTCAGAACAGCACGAGAGGCTCCCCTCTTAGGACCACGAATAGTCTTGAGTCTTTTGCTGTCAGCCGATGCTCGTGAGGCTTGCGAGGACGATCGACGAGACAGTGTACTTGTTGAGTCTGAATGAATTGAGGCAGCGGTAGTAGCAGCAGTAATGCTGGTTTCGGAGTTGTCAGTCATTCTTATCTGATCTCAACATCGTTATGGTACAAGGTTGACTAGCCAGAGTCATGAGCCCAAGCGTACTGGTTCCTATGACTTTCTGAAGGGATATAAAGTCAATCGAGAATAGAGCCACAAAACAGATTGCATAAGCTCAGAACCAAGCACTCTTGTTTCAGCGGCTCATTCCGTGATATCAATCTAGGAGATCAACTCCTAGATCTGACTAATTTGGAGCTGGATAGTGCAAAAGAAAGCAAGCAAATAATGTACGAGGATGGGTAGCCGAATTCGAACGTGCCACACGACACCTTGCGAGCGGGAAGGGCAATGAGGTCACAATGCAAGGCACCTGGGCACGAATTGAGGAAAGTCCGACTGCGTGTTTGTTATGTTTGTTGATCTTCCTCGCTCACACGTTTACCTATCCACCTCAAACCATGTCCTGCTGTAGGCCACCGTTTGTAGTCGTCCGAGCCGTTTCCTTCTCAACAAACGAGTCCCTGACCCTGTCCACGGTCCGTACAGATGTGTTGACCACTGTACGCTTCGACCGCCTTGCCATATCCTCATGTGCTCTTCCAAGAAGCAGCGTTTCCGTGATCATGTGGCCTTGAACCCAGGCTAGTATCAACCATTAATCGCGAGCTCAGCACCATTCTCCCCAAGTCGAAATATTGAGCAGAGGCAAGATGGGTCAAGGATATTCTATGGCCACGCTCTCGGCAGCGTCGGCCACTATAGATGTTCCTGAGCTGTCTGATATGACCCAAGACAAGGTTCTTGCTTCTTCCAGATTCATGAAAAGCATCCGTGCCAGGAACCAGAATGGCTTCATCTTCGTGAAAGCTTTGATGAAACCCTACTCCGCATTCGATGTTCGTGGATATGTCAAAAGGCTGATCGACGAGCGAAATATTATTGCAGCAATTCCGAACGCTTTGGGCTACCAAAGAATTGTTGAGGTCGCAACAGGTGGCTTTCTTGTCCGCCAATACATGTTCAGCTCTGTCTACGACCGACTGAGCACGAGGCCATTTCTCGAAGATATTGAGAAACGCTGGCTCTCTTATCAGCTCCTCTGCGCTGTCCGCGACTGTCATGCACAAAATCTACACCACGGCGACATCAAGACCGAGAACTTGCTCGTCACCTCCTGGAATTGGCTATATTTGACCGACTTTTCCTCCTCATTCAAGCCTACTTCCCTTCCTGAAGACAACCCCGCCGACTTTTCCTTCTTTTTCGACACCTCGAGCCGTCGTGTATGTTATATTGCTCCAGAACGTTTTCTGTCAGAAGCTTCTCAAGATGTCGCTGATGAGCTTAACTGGGCTATGGATATGTTTAGTGTTGGGTGTGTCATTGCAGAAATGTTTCTCGAAGGCCCCATCTTCACTCTCAGCCAACTCTTCAAGTACAGGTCAGGCGATTATAATCCGGAACATGCTCATATTAGCAAGATCGATGATTCCGAGGTTCGAGCAATGGTCCTGAACATGATCGAGCTTGATCCGGAAAAACGTTATAGTGCTGAACAACACTTGAGCTTTTACAAATCGAAGATATTTCCAGAGTACTTCTACAGCTTCCTTCACGATTACATGAAGGACCTCACAGATCCTGCCTCCCTGGACACTCATATCACCCTGAACGAGGACCTACTTCTTGAGTCTGATCGGAAAATTGATAAGGTCTATCAAGATTATGACAAGATATCGTACTTCTTAGGCTACCCAGAGACCTTGATTACGAACGAGAAGTCACCCTCGCTCTTCAGTAATAACAAGAGCATACCACATGATCCAGGGAAGCACATCGATAATGCTTTGCATGATGGGACTTTACTGTTTCTCACCATTGTGTCATCGGCAATGCGAAACACAGCCAAAGCATCTGCTAGACTGAAGGCTTGCGATTTGCTTGCGTCTTTTGCTCAGAGATTGCCCGATGAAGCAAAGTTGGATCGGATCTTGCCTTATGTGGTGGGTATGCTTGGCGACAAGAGTGATGCCGTCAAATTTGCAGCTCTACACGCTACAACGTCAATTCTCGCCTCCATTAAAGTTGTGTCGCCAATCAATGCATACCTCTTTCCCGAGTACATCGTCCCAAGACTGCGGCAGTTTCTAAATACTGGTAACGGTCAGCCCAGCCCTTTAGTACGCGCTGCATATGCATCATGCCTTGCCTCGATCGCGTTGGCATCAGGTCGAATGCTAGACATGATGCAGGCTGTTCGCGCAGATGGTAGGATGCCGTCCGTGTCTGCAGACGCTAGGGCGCCTGACTCGCCTTCTCATGGGTTGTACGATATAGCTCGAGCTGAACTTGTCCCGTTCTTCGAGGAAGCAACCAAAATCTTGATAACCGACCCTGACACGTCTGTACGTAGGGCACTCCTAGGCTCGATCTCACGCCTTTGCATGTTCTTTGAGAGCACAAAGTCGAGTGATCTCATACTAAGCCACTTGAACACTTACCTCAACGAAACAGATTGGATCTTGAAATGTGCCTTCTACGACGCACTTGTCGGCGTGGCCACATATGTCGGGATATCAAGTCTGGAACAGTTTATTGTGCCGATCATGATCGGATCGCTCACTGACGCGGAACATTTTGTGGTTGAAAAGGTCATTCGGTCTCTGGCAAGAATGGCCGCCCTTGGTCTTTTCCAGAGGTCCGTCCTATGGGAGCTTTCTGGATTGATTTCAAGGTACCTGGTACACCCTAGCATCTGGATCAGAGAGGCTGCTGCTCAGTTCGCCGAACAAGCGTGCAAATTTCTCTCGACTGCGGATCGTTATTGTATCGTGTTGCCCATCCTTCAACCATTTTTAAAGGCACCGCTACTCGAGTTCTCTGAAACAGGCATCCTGGACAAGCTAAAAGCCCCATTCTCTCGCGCAATATTTGATGCCGCTGTGCTGTGGGCCACGAAGCGGGAGAGAAGCCTGTTCTGGACAGCTGCCAGTCAAGATCATAATTACATGATAGCACGATCGGACTCATCGTTTGTAACATCGAACTTCACTAAACGGTTCCCTCACCGCATACCACCATCTCATAAAGACAGAGACGACCAACAATCACTAGAGACATTGAGGAATTTCGGACTGACTCCTGATGATGAAGTCAAGCTCATGGCTCTTCGTCAATACATTCTCAAGTATTCTCAGCACAGATTAGACGACGACGCGGATGACAGGCAGCGAATGCTGAACAATATAGTGTCGCTCTCCCAACTTGATATTACACCTCAGAATGTCTTTTTCGATACGGTTCAGCCGTACCGTCCAGCAAGGAAAGGAAAGACTCCGTCTAAAGTTGCAGACAAAGAGACATCTCGCAGTATTGCTGATGCTTTGCTGGACGCGTCTGTCACTCTTGATCAACAGCGACGTTCTGATGACCCGCCGAGTCGAGATTCGCGTGATAAAGCACAGTCTTCCAATGCACACGCCAGTGACGTGGAACATTCCCCAGGTGACAGCGCAATACTTTCAGCCAGAAATGGTAGTTTCGATAGACCAAACATCAGAATTGAAGGTCTGAAGGCTGAGCCTGCGAGAAGGTCGTCTTCTGTGGGAGGAAGACACGCCTTGCTTGATGCTGATCGTCTGTCAGTCGATCGTCGAGGTTCGACAGAGGTCAAGCACAAAAACAGTCACTTCAACCTGCTCGGCCGTGCAGAAACTATAAAAGCTAATCCAGAAATTTCAACTACGCAAGAAAACGCTTTCGGTAAACTTGACCGATCCCCGTCAGACATGATCGGAGTCAAGGAATCGTCTTTGACACGAAGCCTCAGTGCTATGGAAAAGGCACGGTCCGGGTCTCCTGGAAGTCAGACGTCTGGCCTTGAAGGCTTCGAGGCTAATCACTCATACACTGGCAAGGAGCCTACAGTCTTGCGACTGTTAGGCAATCATCTGCACGATAATTTCCCTGTAGATCTCTTCGACTTCGGAGCGCCCAGAAATGCAAGCCAGATCGAGACGCCCATCAAATCTGCAACGACGCCATCGCCACCACAGACAGCTACTGCTCCTGCATCGCAGAATGGCAACAAACATCCTTGGCAGCCTTCAGGCTTGTTGCTTGCTCAATTGGTAGAGCATACGGCCGCCATTAACAAAGTTGTCGTCGCACCAGATCACGCATTCTTTGTCACAGCTTCCGACGACGGATCTTGCAAGGTATGGGACACGGCAAGGTTAGAAAAGAATGTCTCTGCGCGATCGCGTTATACCCATCAGCATGCTGATGGAACACGAGTCAAGTCGCTCTGCTTCATCGAAGACACGCACACTTTTGTAAGTGGAGCTACAGATGGAAGCATACATTGTGTTCGACTTGAAGTCAAACAGACCGAGTCAAACGACGTGACGAAATTTAGTCGGCCAGTCCTAGTTAGAGATTGGCAGATACCTCAACAACTAGACACCACAAGCGGTGAGCTAGATGGTGAAGTCGTTCAGAAGGAGTATGCTGTATGCATGCACCACTTTCGAGAGCCCAATTCACAGAGTATCCTGCTCATTGCCACTAGTCTCTGCAGAATCCTGATGGTTGATATGAAGAACATGGAGATTATTCGTAGCATGCACAACCCATTTCAGCACGGCACGCCTACCACGTTCTGTATCGACAAGAAACACCATTGGTTGCTCCTTGGGACAAGTTACGGTATCCTTGACCTGTGGGATTTACGATTCAAGCTCAGACTTCGCTCCTTTGGTATTGGTGGCCAAGGTGCTGGTCAACGAGTCGAAAAACTCCTTCTACACCCTAGTCGTGGCCATGGTAGATGGGTGATCGCTAGTTGTGGAGGCGAAATCAGTATCTGGGATATTGAGAAGCTGACATGTAGGGAAGTGATACGTCCTTCATCATTTCAGGACGACCCTAGCCGGAAGGTGAAGAACTACGAGCCGTGGTTTCCAGACGAGGAAAGCAGTGAAAGCTTGCTCAAGCGTTTCTCAACCAGGTTGGCGAGTGATGAGGCTGTGGTTCAACCATCTATGACTTCAAAGGACGATGAAAAGGTCGTTACAGGCGCAGGTGCAGAGGAAACCTCCGCCCTAGAAAGTGCTCATTCTCAGAGTATCACATCACTGGCTGTATTCACAGATTATATCATCAACCAAGCTCAGCCTGAAAACCCCAGCAAGGTAAGCCTGATGCTCAGTGCTGGGCAAGACCGGACAGTGCGATACTGGAACCTGGCAAACATCGACCAAAGCACAATCGTTAGTGGTCCCGTCGTTAATGTCGTCGGCGAAGAAAACAATACCAAAGCACGATATGAAACCAGCTGGCCTACAAGCATGAGTCTATCCGGACTCGTTCAGCTTGTCGAGGAAAAGCTCAGTGACACAAGTCAGAATGACCTGAAGGACGGCGCAGGGAGTGCTAGGAACACTCCTAGGAAGAAGCGGGACGCGACCGCTAGAGGCGGTAAAAATAATGGAGACGCCGCTACTAAGGGTAGCACGAGCGGTAAGACACCTCGGAATGCCATCATTAGTGCAGCGCAAGAGCAGTTACTTAAAACTCATCTTGATGATATCACGGACGTTTGTCTGCTGCGCAGGCCGTATGGGTGTATCGTTAGTGTTGATAGAGGCGGAGCTATCTTTGTGTTTCATTGATCTTGACCAAGTTCCTAGAATAGAAGCCTTAGCAAGCAATATAAGCGTTGTGAACTTCACAAATCCAGAGAACCGCCTGTACTCAAGTCCCAATCATTTGCCGCAATAATTCAGTAGTCATAGGTTCACTATCACTATCTTCCTCATCTGTCGTTTCCCACTCCACACCTTCTCCTGTGGGTGCCGCGTCTTCATGCCAGAAATCGTCGTCCCCAGTAGACAAGCCCATTATACCCGTAACTTTCATGTACTTCTTCAACCTACTTGAGATCTTGCCCTTGCGAATAGACTGTGCAACGACAGCCATCAAAAAGCCCGTCTCCTTCAACTCGCTGAATTTCGCACCCCGAGCAGTTTTGAATACCCTTTCTGGTTCTTCGAAGAGTTGATCAATCAGACCGTCCGCAACTGCTTCCGTATGTAAAGCTCTATATATCTCAGTTTGGACTTCCTCTTCCCCTGTCATTTCCTCTACGTCGTCGATGCAAGATAACATGCGCCATCGTTTACTTTTTGCAAATTCGATCGAGTGCTCTTTTGTCACTGGTCTAATGTCGTCTAATGTCAATCCACTCTGATTGTCTTTTTCGTCCATGTGGTATAGAGCTCGACGGAGTGCGAGGTAGATCATTATCATGTCGCTGTCGAAGGTCCATGTTAGATTCTGGTTGATGATGTGAGTGATGTAGCGGTGGCTGAAGTTTGTTAGTAGGCCGGTCTCGAAGCTACGGCGCTTGATCGTTTTGGCTAATTTCTTGTTGATGCCCGTTCTACTGGCTTCCCAGGCATCATTGAGGCCGTAGGAGGCGGCGAACTCTGCCTCGGTGGGGAACATGGCTTCGTAGATACGGCGAACTGTGTACCGCATTGTCATCATCCAGTGTTTGTTGAATAGATCCTTGACACAATAGGCGATAAGGTAGAGGTTTGTATCGAGGTCGGCACCCATGAGTCCAGCTGACATCTTGTCGAGGAAGTAGATTCCTAGAGTGACGGCTTCTATCGCCTTAGGCGCCTGTGACCCTGTCGACAACACTTTGGCAATAGCTCTTCGTGTTTTAGCATCATGAGCCGCTCGGTTGGTGAGCTGCTGGCTTGTGACGACGTGAGATGGATAGTGATTCAGCTTGGCCAGTTCGGGCATTTGCGTCTCGTATACTTTGCATCGCATCTCGTTTGAGTCTGCAAGTTGGTGAAGTCGTCGATTGACGAGCTTCACGTATAGGTGTGGGCATTGTACAGTCGTGAATGTGGCTGTGTATGAAATATAGGAGATTATCTGGAAGAGAAGCTCATCGGGCAGGCTGTCTAGTGAGGCCATGGTTCCAGGTTCAACCACGTACTGACCAGGAAGGACAAGGTACTATTGGCGACCAGCGCCTGCAAAGGTATTGTGCCACACGTGTGCATGGGTATCGATAAACCACACGCTTGATCTGCCTCCAACATGAAGCACGCGTTCACGTGATGCGTGATGTCCATGAAACTCGCCAGCTTCCCTACCGTGCCTACCTCGAAGTATGCAAACCGCCCGCTTGATACGATGCGCTTACTGGGTGTGAGGCAGTCACTGATAACGAAGCAAGCACGACCGTACCCGTGAGACTAAGAAGATGCTCCAACGACCGATTCCCTTCGATCAACGCGTCGTCAACAGCGAATGCCAGAAAGAAAAAAAAGATACGCGATGAACACGACCAAAATCGCCAAGACTGATCGAAACCCCATACACTTATGGTTGGTAAGCCAGCAGAACATCGCTACCATCAGACGGTCAATATGGCACAACTCGAAACGATCCATTACTCTTAGCCTGAACTACTGGCTCCGTAGAGGATACGTACCTAAGCATGTGAATCCTCCGCAATTCGTTTTGAGTCGGATGTGAAGGTTGTTTCAGCCGAACGCATCTTGCTTTGAGGCATGACTGATGTTACTGTATAGGAATCTGGCACAACTGATTCTGATATGCGATTCAGGACAACTGTCAGAACGTACAAATACCTGAAATTACTGCCCGTATTTTAATCTGATTTGACCTCGAGCCAGATGGAATCGAGACTGTATACAGTTGAATCAGGCTACGCAATCTGGTACTTACCTCAAAAACGTGGCACCCGTTGCGCGGAAAAGCTGAACGATGGCGATATGTTTGTTGAATCTGTCGAACTAATGGACCCAGAAAACCTCATCTCGAAGCTTGATTATGAGGAAGGAATGATTCGCAGGCTTCATCTTAAAGTCATTGCGGTTAATTATGTCCTCAGATTTTACTTCACTTATCCTCCCTGAAACGTTCACTTTACCCTTGACATCCTCACTACTTGTTTAGTTCCTGCTTCACACGATGACTCTTTGGGGCACTCGAAAAGGTATATAACGAGCGTCTGCCTTCGACTTGTTGCAAATCCTCAATCACCTCAAGGAAACCACGATCACTCGTCCTCTCTGAAGGTCTTCAAGGAAATCACGATCACAAGCCCACAAGCACAATCGCTAGCAACAAGCATCCCATCTGTCACCTAAGCAGTGCTCAAGATGAGTGGACCCAAATCCCCTGCAACGTCGACACCTGCATCTCCTGTACACTCGGAGCGTGGCGCGTCGCCTTCTGCTCATTCACCACGATCAGCCCGTTTAGATACCCTTCCCAACATTGCTTCCCTGACCACAAAAGATCCAAATGCCCACCAGCTAGCTTTGAGACCTGGTTATGGCAACGTGGGCAAGCGTACCAAGGCACGAGCCAATTTCATAAGGCTCGATCTCTCGCATTTCCAGGACATGGTCGCTTATTCTGCTGAGCACAAGGAAAAGAAGACAGGTCGCGGCGCACGAGGCCGTATTGTTACACGAGCGGATTCCCTCCTCTTCCAGAACTTCCAGAAGGTTAACTCTACACGTTTCGATAATGCCGCAAGCAACTATGGCAACAGGTTCTACAGTCGACAGGCTCATCCTCTTGTCCAACCTGGAAAATAAGTATACACTTATGTCGTCGATTACTATGAAGTAGAAGAAAGTGGACCACGACAAGGAGATCGGCAGTATGAGATCTCTGTGATTTTGCAAATCGATGGCAACTTCATAGCGGCACCACTACAGGCCTACATCAACAACCCTAACAACTTCAACTTTCCTCGATTTCTATACTATGTGGCAATGTTTAACACACTTCTCGATCGAGCCGTATCCGAAAACACAGCTCTAGCAAATCATGCAAGACGGACCAACTTCTTCAATATTACGAGCAATAACGGCAGGTAAGTCATTCAGCAAGTCCCTACACTGATTCGATACGAGAATCAGTGATTAGGTTATGATGTTAACTTCGTATAGAGCGGCACTTAGTGCAGGTCTTGAGGCGTACCGAGGCTACTTCAAAAGTGTCAGAGACTGTATCGATGGTCTCTTTCTCAACATTAATACCTCCGCCTGCGCGATGTTCAAGCAAGGTAGGCTCGACATGATCATCAAAGAGCTAGGTAGCGATACTCGTTCCCTAGGAGCCGTGCTGAAGGGTTGTCGAGTCAGTACAGGATACTCTGGTCAAACTCGCATTAGAGCTATTGCAGGACTTGCTCCCTCAGCTAACATCAAAAGGGATCCAACTGCAGACAATGTCAGAGTTCAATGTCCTCAGCATGGCAGAGAGACTGTTGCTGATCACTTCAGCAGAGCGTGGCCACGGGCACCCAGGCCCAACACTTCTGCTCTGGTCATAGATTTCGGAAATCAAGTTTATATACCTTCAGATTTGTGCACAATCATAGCAGGTCAACCCTACCGAGGCGATTTGTCTGCCAACCAAACAGCCAACATGGTGAATTTCGCCTGTCGAAGACCGACAGTAAATCACGACCTCATCCTGAATGATGGTCTACCTTACCTGGAATTCGACAATCAAAATGGCGGGCCGTCCAAGAAGTTCGGTATCGCCTTGGCTTGTCGCAAACCAGAAATGACGTTGGTGAATGCTCGACTGTTGCCGCCTCCCGATGTCTGTTTTGCTAGTAAGACAGAGAAGTTCGCGGAGGGAAAGTGGAATTTGAGGGGAAAGAGGTTCGCCCGATCCACGAAGAAGGACTTGTTGAGCCTATCTTATCTTGCATTGCGACGTAATGGTACACCTCCTTGCCGGAACACCGACCAATTTGTCAAAAGCATCAACGATGGTTTAAAGAATTACTTCAACTCTAGTGAAGTGGTCAAGGTGATCAAAAATTTTGCTCACGACCAAGCTCTACTCGAGGCTTGCAGTTCTGATGAGCTTGCCAAAAGGCTTGAGGAAGCCTTCAAATGGTTACAGCACCAGAGGATCAAGCTGGTGCTGATAATCTTGCCAGACAACCAAGTGAATACATACTATTCTATCAAGAAAGCCGCCGATCGCTTGACTGGTATACACACTGTTTGCATTGTTCGAGACGCTAAAGGTCTTGTGAAGACGGATCCAGGTACGGTTGGAAATCTCATGCTTAAGATCAACCAAAAGCTCGGCGGAGTCAACTGGGGACTTAGAGCTGATCAGGTTTACGCGGATGTCATTGGCAAGAACGCAATTTTCGTTGGTGCAGATGTCACTCATCCGGGCCGTGCTGCGATGCTGAACGCACCTTCGATTGCCAGCGTGGTCGCTACTTGTGACCAGGATTATTTCCACTATGCTGGAAGCGTGAGGCTTCAGGCGTCACAGGACGAAGAAAAGAAAGCCCTTGAGATGATCGAAGACTTCCACGGTATGATGGTCGAGCGTTTGAAGCTGTATCAACACAAGAATCAAGGGCGCCTGCCCGACCGCATTTTCTACATCCGGGACGGTGTCAGTGATGGACAGTTCCAGCAAGTCCTTGACCAGGAGCTCTCTCAATTGAAGCGAGCTTGCAAGCAGATGTACAAGGTATGTCTCATTCTTCGTCCTGAGTTCGAGTTACTGATTATTAGCAGGATCAGCCGCTGCCCAAATTGCTTGTCCTGACAACACAAAAGCGCCATCACACTCGGTTCTTCGCAGACCAAGGAGACAAGAGTGATTCCATCGATAATAACCGAAACTTCCGTCCTGGTCTGGTTGTCGACACGCAGATCGTCAGCAAGCAGCACTTTGACTGGTACAATACTAGTCATGCCTGTATCCAGGGTACATCCAGACCATGCAAATACGTCGTACTCTACGACACAATCGGCGTCTCTGCAGATCAGATCCAGATGATGGTAAGCTGTGCTCTCTTCCTATCGAATGAAAATGTGGCTAATTCTTGGACAAGATGTACCATATGGCATACACATTCGGACGAGCGACTCGCTCCATCAGTATCCATCCAGCAGCCCGCTACGCTGACTTGCTTGCTGAACGAGCTCGACTCCACTTCCGGAGCGTATATAATCCTCCACCCACCCCGCAAGGACAAAAGAAGCCTACCTGCAGCGTATTGGGCCGCCATTGGACGGGGTCGTTCCACGACGACGTGAAGGACACGATGTTCTATATCTGAGACAGATGGAGGGGAAGTGGCGGCAAGTCTCAGTGTTCATGTGGTTGTGAGATTGGTGTAAACAAATCTGAGTGCTTGCCTGAAGGTCTTGGAGCTCGGTGAAGATCTGAAAATGGCTTGTTGATGGATTCTGCAAGACGAACACACAAAAGGAGTTTAGATTAGTGATTGGCGGAGACAGATCATTGATATCGATGTCCTTTGATGACATTGGCATCTCACAATGCCATGAAGGCTGTTGTTTTGAGAGCCGCAATAATTTCTCACACAAATGATCAGCCCATACATGCCTGTACTTAACATTCAGTGACGTAGTAAGCTTGAGATGGTAGAAGGTGGCCATCCTTGCCGACTAAACTTGGCCAGAACAAGAATCTGAATACGAAACAGCAGATTTGTACTATTGATAGTCAATTCGCACATCTTTCCCAGCGATGTGATGTGAATTGCTCACGTTTCTACAGACGAATCCATGTGGTAAGCTCACTGCTCAGGCCGTGCACAGCGCGAATTTGAGCTCTATATTCTACACCTCGAGCGAGGTACAATGTCAGAAACAGATACTACTGCTGTTGCACGTCCTTCGGTTGATGCAACGGCAACTCTCAATCATCGATCAGAGACACGTCATGAGACGAATGACGGAGCCCATATAGGCCATCCTACAGCACAACTTGACGTCGAAGACACAGCACAACCCAATGACGAGGACATCGTATGACCAACCGGATCCAGGGTCTGGCTCGCTATTGCAGCCACCTACACAGCGTTCTTCTTGAATGGCCTCGTCAGTGTATTCAGATAGCGACTGCTAAAGCGTACTGAAAGAAGGCAGGATATCACAATCGTGGCCGTTGCGGTTCCTCGCTTGACAGACTATTTCAAAAAGGTTGATGATATAGGATGGTATCCTGCGGCTTAGTATGGGTCGCCTGACCTACTGTGTCATGGTTAGCTGCTGATAAAAGAGTAGGGGTATGACGGCCAGTGCTTTCATTCCCTTGTGAGTTCTTGCTGATCGCTGGACGTGTCTTTGCTTGACCACTATACTCACTGCCTGCTCTAGCTGCGGGAAAGCCTGTACGGTTTTCACGCCAAGATCTATCGCTCTGACTGGCCAGATTGCGTTCCTGCTAGAATCCATCATTTGTACATTTGCATCACAATCCGGCACTTTCATCTTCGGTCGAGCTTTCGCTGGTCTCGGAGCGAGCGCACTGAACGCATCATGCTTGACACTGGTGACTCACGTGTTCCCTTCGCACAAAAGGTCTCTCTGGTTGGGTCTGGCCGGCAGTTCCCAAAGTACAGGACTCTCTTTGGCACCTGCTATAGGTGCTGCCTTGATTGACAGGTTCAGCTGGAGAGCCTGTTTCGGGATCAATATACCTCTGTGTTCTCTCGCTATTATGTTTTCGTACTTCTTCGTCACGGATCCGCTCCCACCGCCAGGCCGTGACGCTCCACTTGCTGAGGAAGTCAAGAAGCTCGATATTCCTGGTACCCTGGTTATAGTTCCATACGTCATATGCTTGCTTCTCGGACTTCAGTGGGGCGGCATCAGGTATGGCTGGTCCGACGTTCGAATCATCGTACTCCTGGTCGTGTTCGCAATACTCGCTTTAGGGTTCGGAATTTTGCAGTATCGTCTTGGTGAACGAGCTATGGTGCCACCCAATATAGCTAAGAAACGCAGTACGATGGCGGCGATGTGGTTCGCCGCGTGCTGTAGTGGGACCCTGGCGATCACCGAATACTACACCTCGATCTACTGGCAGGGCGTTCGGGGTGATACTCCGACGGTCGCGGGCTTGTTGTCTCTCGGTCTTATTGTTGGATTGAGCTTAGGCTGCATCGTCTCAGGATTTGGCATTAACATCGTCGGGTACTATACACGTGAATCACTTCAAAATAGAACTGTGTTCTTCCTACTGGTTCCTGACTCCAGCTTTCATGATCACTACAAGCATACTTGCACCTATAGCCTCAGGACTTCTCACCACCATCGACCTGGACGAAAGCAAGACAAAGGTCGTTGCAATCTTAGCAATGCTCGGATTTGGCGTCGGTCTTGGGCTCGGTGTCCCTTTTCAAGCGATGGCAGCCATTCTGTCTCCTCAAGAAGTGTCCCTTGGTATCGCCATGGTCGGATTCGCTGGAGGTCTGGCGTCAGCTCTTTTCATCTCAGCATCTGCCACTCTTTTCCAAAACAGGCTCGAAGACGAGATCTCGAAAGTTGTCCCTGGAATCGATTCTACTGCTTTGAGCCACGCTGGTCTGTCTGACATAAGAGGATTGGTAGGTCAGCAAAATCTCAAGGACGTTCTGACTGGCTATAACCGTGCGACGGTTGAGACATTGTATATGCCACTTGCTTTGTCGTTGTTGACAGTGGTCGGGTCAGCAACGATGGAACGGGTTTCGGTGAAGAAGAAGCGAGATTGATCAGATGTTCTTGTTCTCGGAAGAGCTGGGCAATTTCATGTATACTCATGTCTGAATCTCGTGGTTGTAGAATCCATTTTCTTCGCAATCGAGAAGTAGTGCAGATCAATGCATGCACTGTCCTCAAGAAAGGGCCATACCTTTATCCAGAAGAGGTCGTTGTAGAAACAGAGCACTTACAACCATCTGCAGTGCTTGAACTCGCCGAATATACAGGTTAGTACGTGTTTTGTAGAAACGTTGTACGGCGAACCATTTGCCACACCCAGTCAGGACTACGGCAGCCTTGGCAATGAGGTGTCGCCATCCTGCCGCCGGTCAAATCATCGGCGTCCATGCGACCTCATTGTCTCGACCACCATTCTATCTCTTGCTCAAGAATTGTGTACTGCTCGTTACCGTGAGTCGCAACGACCACCGAGCAGTAGATGTTCAACTCTTCACTGCGCCGTGTGGCGCGGACATGTCCCAACAGCGTCCTCTGCAGTCGACCCTCCCCAACAGCCTCTCATGGACAGATAGCAGCTACCTTTGCTACGCATTGTCATCAACGACGAAACTCCTCTTCTAAGCCACCGATACCGCCTAACAATGGTTCTCCACCTATACCTGCCGCCTCAGTGAAGCAGGTGGGCGCACCTCGCTCTACAGATAAGCGACCAGGCGTTGAGTCACGCTTATCGAAGCGTAAAGTCACAAAGACTGAAAAGGTCGAGGTTTCCAAGCCGAAGGAGGACTATTCGAGCGAATGGACGAGATCTCTGCCGAGTGTGCCGAGCACTCAGCATCTCAATCCAAAAGGTAAGATAGCTAGAAGTAGTAGGAAGAAGACTTGACTAAGAACATGACAGATGTCTACGTGGCATCCTTCTTTTCAACACATCGACCAATCTCTATATCAGGTCCGCTTCCACCTGAAACCTCCATAGAAGACATCGAGAAGATTTTCCAAGTTCGACCCCGAAATCAACGGAGACCGCAGGATGTTATCTATACCATCTCGAATGTGTTGCAGAATCTTGACGAGAACGTGGCAACACAGCAACAACAGCAGCAAGCTGCTCAGCACGAAGAAGGTGTCACTCAAAGAGCAGATATCATCAAAGCACTGACACAGCACAACAATTCTGCCACCAACCCAGCAGACTCGAATGTCATTCATCTCGATGGTCAGCCACAGCAACAACAACAAAACACAGCAAACCTACGAGTTCCACCGAACGTCAAGCTCGTCATCCAAGCCCTAGCACGCCAATTCCGACCCTTCAACCCCCCACCAGCACCTGTAGCTGCTCCAGAAGTGGAGTTCTACCCAACCGAAGAACAAGAAGCAACCACCACCACATCCCGAACTTCAACCACCCAAACAGCTACAACCACTCAAGAATCCGCAACCCAAGAACAAACCGCAAACACCTTCTTCACCCCTTCCTTCCAACAAACCTCCCGCCGCACCCACCGAGCTACACTCCTCCCACGCCACCTCCGACAACTGCACCACTTCCGCATCAGGGATGTCCGCAGAATAGGCGGGATCAAGGAGATACTGCTGATCAGCGTGCGGAGACAGAGGAAGCTGAAGATGAAGAAGCACAAGTATAAGAAGCTGATGAGAAAGACGAGGAATTTGAGGAGACGGCAGGGTAAGATTTGAGTTGGCGAGAGGATACATGGCGATGGGCACACTTGTCGGAGCATTCGTATACGCCTCATATGCATAGATTTGTGGCTTTGAGATACTCTGTCATCTAATGGAGCTCTCCAGCGAACAGTCAGCCGCTTCGTGTCAGCTCGAGGTCTCGTCGAGTTGAACAATGCATGAATCAGTCAAGTCGAAGAAGGACCAATCACTATGCTTCCTGTCATTTGGGGTTTTGCAACAGCGACCGTTCGAGTTGGAGAAGGCATGACTTGGTCGAATAGTCGAGCGTGCTGGACTGATGTGCCTTTCCAACACGAGGAAGGACTAGTTAGAACAACTTACTGGACAAGCAGAAACGCATGGCATGGCGCAGTGCAGGTATTTACGCGAATGAGCATACATTTCTCTTGTTTGCGGCATAGATTATGTCAGTAGTTTTGATGCACTCCAATCATATCCATTCATCAACTTTTCCGAATTGGTGTTTTACAGAAGATAGAGTTCTCAAAAATGGGTCTGTACAGAAATCCATTGATTATCTATTGAGGACTGCCGGTAACAATCCTGGACTACTGAAACATATCGAGGCTCATGGTCACATATTTGCGTTCATGACCCGACTATCCATTGCTCCTGATCTCCCCGTCATTGTCAAAGTCTAATATTGATTGAAGTCATACAATGCGAATCCGTAAGCAGAAAGAGAGCCTGTTCCTGCGAAGGTTCTTGGTGTGCTGCTGGTATAGGCGCTAGCTGTTGTCTGAGAATCGCTCTGAGTTGTTGATTTTATCTCATGGTCCGAGGGCTTGTAGATTGAGGTTGAGAAGGTTGCTATGATCTAACGGTTGCCTAACATCTGACATCGGTCTCGGCCTTCGAGTTCATCAATAGAGCGACGATCAGACCGTATAGACCCAAGACTTCGGCGAAAATGAGAATCAAGATCATACCGACGACTGTACCGTGTTAGCATTGTAGTTTCCAACATGTGGATGTACATACAAAGTCTAGGTTGCTGAGCGGTTCCTCTGACACCAGCATCACCAACAATACCGATGGCGAAGCCAGCAGCAAGACCGGCCAGACCGACTGACAGGCCAGCGCCGAGCTGGATGAAACCAGTGAATAGAGGCAAACTCTGCTTTAAGCCGTCTGAGATCAACACTGAGACGACCAGGCCGTAGATACCAATGATACCAGCCATGATGACGGGCACAATGTCTATGCATGCGCGTTAGCTCTTGACTTTTCTTTCCGCCCCATGATTGAACATACTCTTGACGATCAAATCTGGCCTGAGAACACCCATGGCTGAGATACCAACACCAGACTTAGCGGTACCATAAGCGGCACCGAAGCAGGTGAAGACGATGGCAGACGTGCAGCCCATGGCACCAAAGAAGGGCTATCGATATCAGTCAGCATCATCGCACATGTTCATATGGTTCGAAGCGCGCAAGGTGAGGAGGTTAACTGGCGTCATAGTTTGGGGATCGTTGTAGGCTGCAAGGTGAACATACCGCATAGACGGGGCTGTAGGCACAACGATGTTAGCATTCTTTCGTGCAACAGCCAACTTGAGCCATGAGATGCACGCATCGCTTATCGTGGATGTCGTGCATACTCATGCTCAGAGGCGAGGGATTGGAGTATCATACCAGAGATCAGTGGCCATTGTGTCGGGTTATAGGATGATCTGCTTCTTCACGAAAAGACTGGTCGGCAGTATAAGTCGGTTGAGTTGTTCAAGAGCTGTATACTATCAAGCTCGATGGATGGCGACGACAGAGTGGGATGAAAGTCAGGATCGAGGTGCAGTCAAACGATGATGAGGCCAAAGATTGACCTTGGAAGCTGCAACTCTCCCAAGCCAAGCCTTTTAGCGCCTGCTGCTGCGGACAAAGTGCAAACTGCACAAACATCTCGGTTCCGATACCCTACAGCCAATTTTTTTGACCACTCTAACATTACTCGAAACCAGCAATATTAATTAGTTATCGCAAAGCAGAGGGCGAGCCAACGCAAGGAACCCTTTGCCAAACAGGAGTTCAGGGAGTAAACCAGGTCAATCTACCACGTCATCCAGCCAACTGTTTCGAACATATACATATTGCAATAATGGCTGAAAATCCATCCGCTGCCTGGCCAGTCGCAGACGAGGCTCTGTCGCAAAAGATTTTGGATACTGTTCAGCAGGCCTCCCACTACAGACAACTCAAGAAGGTAGATGGTATGCATTCTCGACAACAAAGACTTGCTGACATTCAACAAGGGTGCCAACGAAGCCACCAAGACTCTCAATCGAGGTACATCAGAACTTATCGTCCTGGCTGCAGATACTTCTCCTCTAGCCATTCTGCTTCACCTACCACTTCTCTGCGAGGACAAGAACGTTCCATACGTTTATGTTCCTTCGAAGACTGCCCTCGGCCGAGCTTGCGGTGTTTCACGATCTGTCATCGCTGCCAGCGTTACCACAAACGAATCCAGCGACCTCATGCCACAGATTCGAGAGCTTAAGAACAGAGTCGAACGATTGATGATCTAATTAAATAGTATGGGCGGTACAGGTCAAAAGGTCGACAACATCAGCTGAAGTCGTTGGCCGCTTGTTTGAGAATTGGCCTGGGGTTGCCATGAAATACGACTTCTTGAACAACCCATGGCCAACAGCTTGCACATCTTGATTGCTTTGGCTTGCACCGTGTCGGATTTTTGGGACGACGCAAACCACGGTCCTTTCAAACTCTTTTGTTGTTGTTGATGAGTTCGGTACAAGTGTCTTGTGTCTTCGTGCCAGCCGTTCTTCTAACCTTGCATGCACTATAATTATGCTATATGCTTGTCCCATCATATGTCCGCGAAGGCATCCTTGTTGGAGGATTCGATATCTCAAAGGTAGGTGTCTCTCACCGCGTATCCATGTCGCTCCCTGCTTAGGACAATCGATATTGTCCCCAACAAAGCGATTCGTACTTTCAATACTCCTCGTCCTGACACCCTGAACAGGCGCTGTGGCACTCCCAGACTAACACACCTTACTGAGCTGCTAACTGAGTCTGCAGAGTTGGAGCTTCATCTTGCCGTCTCAGCAGCATTTCCCGTCAAGACTAGCTAGCTTGTGTTCGCAGTCCGCTCAAGCCAGGCACTTTACTATTCAGATAGCAATATTCTGGAAGTCCGTTTGTTTTTCAGTGACACGGAAATCTACAAACATGTACTTGCACTTACGTTCAGTGACTACGTGTTCGACTGAAGTTTCGGATATCGATATGTCACCACGACCGTTTGCTGAGCCGCGTAAAGGATGTCAACTTCAACAACATCATACATCCTGCTGTTTACTCTCTGCAATCTCCTGTACACTATCTTTCTTGCACGAGTCTTCTTGCTCACATCCCTGCCAGAAAAGCTCAAGCTTTAGTCATCACTTCCGACCTTCATAATATTTTCAACATGGGTTTGAGATCAGCGCTCAAGGGCTTGGCCACAAAGTTCCAGTCGAGACAGGATGCCTTCAAGAATATCAGTGACATCTCTGCTTACGACGAGCCATCAACGCCGGTGGCTCCTAAACCACGTGTTCTATCCGGAGAATTCATATCATCAATCGACAATAAAAAGTCGAAATATCCCTCAGGCTCAGCCGTAAGTCCTCCAAGGAAGTCTAAACTGCCACGATTCCTTGTCAGGCCAAACAAGCACGCCTGCAGACCATTTCCAATCAGCCGAGAGCCAAACGATGAGACTTGTTACAATCGAGCAAACACAGCAAGGACTACAGTTGAAGAGGAAGAGGAGATTGTTGGGCAGGTCATGCCAATCTATGACATAACAGCCAAACCCAGCTCTGACAGAGAGACATCTGCAGCGGACGAACCAGAGACTTCGAATACCGAGTCGGATCTGCCAAAAAGGAGCACCGAATAATCCAAAGACCTGATTCACCCAGTCACACCTTCAAATCGATCACAAGCTGAGGTAGACGAAGAGCATCTGCAAAGAAAAAGACGATCTTCCGTCAGCGTGCTCGAGGCTCTCGGTCGGGCATCTTTCTGCAGTGCTTTCGACGCGAATGTGATTGACACGACATTCGTGTCAACACCTACACCTCCGGCGTTCTCGTCCACGCCTCACCATGTTGGAAGAGCTGGAAATTCGGCGGCCGACCCTATCACGTTTCAGTTCGGCGAAACGAATTTTGGATGTGCCAATGCTGCCACCGCTCAGTCAGTCTTCATCGACACAGATAACGAATCGGTCAGGAGTCATAGGACTCTTGACACCTTTTTCGAGAGCAACGCTGAGGTCGACACCGACGCTGAAGCTGAGACTGATGCTGAGGCCGAGAGTGACGCGGAAGCAGATAATGTGCGAACCGGCCCGAGGAAAATCGGTCGCGCCTGGTTCGAAATCATGCTTGACAAAGAGAAACTCGCTCGACGGGTTGAGGCGCTCGAGGCAGAAAGAGAGGCCGGCCTTCGATTTCTACAGCATGTCAGGACATATGGTATGGCACTATCCGATCATCTCCTCGCGCAGAGTAATGGCTTAGATGCTTACGCTCATGATACCCTTGTGCTTCGAGAGACAATAGCACATCTTCGAGAACGATCGCGGGCACAGCAAATCCAGTTGGACCAGACCTTGGAGGCTTCCAGGACGTCGGAAGGTATATTCCAACAGGCTTATCGCCTAATCGGAGGCTTGACTGAGCAGAACACCGCGCTACGTTCTGACTTGGAAGAATCTCGTGCAAGAGAAGAGGCGAAGGACGCTACGATCTCAGAACTAAGAGGTGACTTTCTTGTGCAGGTCCAGGGGTTTGAATCTGTCAACCTCCTGCTGCAGCAAGAGAAGGAATCGTCCAAAGAATCGGAGACGCAATGGAAACGGGCCTACGATCGACAAGCCCAAGAGATTGAGGAGATTGAGGAAGAGCTCCGCAAGGCCAATCAGGAGGTCGACTCGTTACTCGACCAACTCGTCGCTCACGAAAACAAGAGCGAAACGAGTAATGGAGACGAAGTGGAACGTCTTCAAGAAACGATCAAGGATTTGCAGCGACAAGTGGCATATACAGAAAGGCAGCGTGACGCTTGCAAGGCTTTTCTGAAGGAGTCCGCCTCTGCCCAACCTTCCTCGAGTGGCAATGAGGCCCTGAAAGACAACTTCAACCTCGTAATCGACGAAAACGTCGACCTTCGCCAACGCCTGTCTGAGACACAGTATCAGAACGCTGACCTTCGCCACTTTCTCTCTGGCCATATTGACCAAAACGTCGAACGGGCAATTGATCCTGCCAACGCCGATCCGCGGGACATTGCGCGCTTCCAAGAATCGGAGCGCTGCATTCAATACCTGCAGCAGCAAGTTGAAAGGGAAGTCGCTGGCAAGAACGCCCTACATAACCAATCGGACGACCTCCGAAAAGCATTGGGCAAGCAAAGGAGGGAGAATGCGGTGCTACAACGAGAGAAAGAGCACTCTCAGCCATGTAAGTCAAATGCCACAGTCACCGCTCGAGTTGGCAACGAAGACCACGGTCTCTGCCAACACTACATCGCTCTGAAAGCCTATCCTTGCTTAGTCCAGAATCTGGAAGACCAACACAAGGCAGAGGTAGAAAAACTACAGCATGAACTCTCCGAAGCGCAAGAGTCGGACTTCAACCACTCTGGGCTCTTCATGCAAGAGCAACTAAGAGCTGACAAGCTCGAGAAGGATAACAAGATCCTGAAGGCCGTGAATACTCGGGATTTGAAACTGCAGAAAGAGCTCCTTGAGCAAGTCCACAGGCGAGCTTACGGTGATGACAAGGCTATCGTCGAAGGTCTTCACCGACAAGAACTTAACGAGCGAGATAAGTTGCTCGAGACCTACTATCGAGAGATTGGCGAGCTCCAAACCACGATTTCGAATCTGCAGATGGACGCTGCAAACAACACGTGTACGATATACATGCAGCGATCTGAGAACCGTGGGTTGAGAATTGTCGGTGCACGGAACAAGGAAATTGTGCATGCGATGGAGCAGAGATTTGGTGCTGAGTTGAGGGCGAAGCCGATGTTGGTAGACCTCCGGCCTCATCGGGCTCATTTCACGAAGGATGAAATGGAGAATTTGGCTGAGGTAGACGAGAGGTTGTATGAGCTCGTGGGTATGGAGGCGAGTCGGTCGGGCAGAGGAAGATATGATGACGTTATGGAGTAGACTGGCTCAAGATGCAAGGTCGAGGGAAATGAAAGAGGTGAAAGTACTGTGGTTAGAATATCTATGTCGTTGGTTGCGGGTTTTGAGTATCGGTTGAAATATCTATCGAAGCACGACAAAGGATTCGAATTTATCTATCTTATAATTGAAGTCGTGTTCCTCCCAAAGCTCGTATTTCTTTTCGTCCTGATTAGCTTTTATCAATTTGTTGCAATGTTCTCAGCCTGTACTCTCTCACAGAATGTTTCGACAAGAATGAGCAAGAGAGATGGATGGTGAAGATAATGTTGTTCAATGGAATTTTTTCTGATTGCTCGCTTTCGAGCTTGATCTACTTATCAATTACTATATTAACTATCTAAGGTTGTCTGTATCTGTACACCTCCTCCTCTATCTACCTTTTTTCCTTCTTCCTGTATTGTTCTCCTTTGCTCCTTTGCTTCGTACTTGCCATCCAAATACTGTTCAATTGCGCCGCTTTTAATCCCAAGCTCCCTTGCAAATTGCACTGTGCCAACCCTGTAATTCTTTTGTGAAGTGTCGTTCTCATCGAAGCTAGTCGTAGTCATAGAAAGTCGGAAAATTCCTGTGTCTCATATTTTCATGTTCATATGTAGTCGTGGGGTCGATCATGGTTCAACGAATCCCTCATAGAGCGTAGAAAGCAGCACCGACAAGGGCAGCAGCAAGAGCCATCACCTGTTCTGGAGCCTCAATGGCGGCAGCAGCGCCTCGGAAAGGAGTTGCTGATGGTGTTGCGCTGGTGACTGCGGATGGTGTTCGCGAAGCGCTTGAGCTGGAGGAGATAGCAGATGTAGTTGTTGGTCTGACTGAGGAGGATGAAGAGACTGTAGTGGTTGAGTTCGAGACTGGCTTTGGTGAGGCAGTAGTGGTTGAAGTTGACCAGACTTGCCATTGGGAGCTGCTCACGGCAGGGGCAGTGCCAGTTGTGCGGACAGTGGTGGTGTTTGCAGCAGGTGTCCAGACAGACCAGATTGGAGCTTGGCTTGTGGTGGTGGTAGTGACGATGGGCACAGGGGTCTTAGTGGTCGTGGTTGTAGTTGTGGTAGTGTTCACAGCTGGAACAGAGGACCAAACTTGCCATGCTGAAGAGGTTGTGGTGGTCGTAGTGGTTGGGACTGGTACTGAGGAAGTCGACCAAACTGCCCATTGACTTGATGATGGTACGGTAGTGGTAGTAGTGGTAGTAGAAGGTGTAGTCCACACTTGCCAAGGAGTTGAGCTCACTGCCTCTGGAGTTTTGGTTGTTGTGGTAGTAGGAGGGGGAGGAGGAGGGGGAACGGTCGTCGTGCTGCTCTTTGTGGTGGTTGTGGATACAGTTGTGCTCGAGCTTGGCCAAGGTGCCCAGACATGCGAGGAAGAGATAGCTTCTGGAGTCTTCGTGGTTGTTGTAGTTGTTGTGGTGCTTGAGCTCGAGCTGGTCCATGGAGCCCAGACCGAGGTAGATGAGGTGGCTTCTGGGGTCTTTGTAGTGGTTGTGGTTGTGGTTCTGCTGCTGCTAGAAACCCACTCAGACCAAACAACACTTGAGGATGATGGAGGGGGAGGGGGAGGAGGAACTGTCGTGGTTGTGGTGGTTGCAGTAGTGCTGGAAATGGCCTCAGGAGTGGTCTCTGGCCAGTTACCCCATCCGCCGTGGTTGCCTCCATTGCCTCCGTGGTTTCCGTTGCCCCAATTACCCCATCCTTGTGGTGCAGCCATGCTCAGAGGCAAGAAAGCTGCAACGAGGACTGCGGATCGTGATCTGGTATGCATGTTGAGAGATTGATTGGTGTGTTGGGTGTGTTCAAAGATTGTACTTGTGTAAATGAAGAATATTAATGTAGATTGAAAAGATGGTGCTGCTGAGTGTTGCAAGCTTGATGTGATGTAGAATGAAGTGAGAGATACATCGGATTGGTAGCACGTCTATATACCTGAAGCTGTCGTGATAGCAACGTGCATGAGGCAGGACAATCAGATTGTCCAACCTCTTCGCCATGTGCTAATTGCCATGTTCGTGTGGTCGGAAAGAGACTAAGACAAGCTAAGGCAAGTAAGCTCAACAAAAGGCAGGAGGCTAGCGAGCTATCAGCAGCTTAGTAGGAGGCAGGAGGACTTAGTCTTCGAAGACGATACGCTAACGGATGGTTAGCTCCGGAAGTGAGTATAGCCATTGGCTGGTTCCAATACCAACCACCATTGAGTGAATTTGGCTTTCACTAGTGCAGAGATATCCCGGTGCCATTGCTCGGTCAACCTATGAGTGACCAGCTCGACATGAAACAGCCGAAGCCGACATGTGGATTGCGCTCCACATGTACGTGAAGTCAAGTACAATTTTCCGAGCGGCAGGAAAGTCTGCCAATCTGTTGTGAGCATCTGCGATACTGTCATTTTAAACATGAATTCCAGGAAGATGCCGCAGGACTGCTGTCAACACTGGACGCACCCTGCGTAGCAGCATCTGTACCTCCTAGAGAAGTCGCCTCTTGCAAAGATGCCATGTGCTCAGAAACCCTGGATCGCCCACCTGAATTGACACGCTCCACTTGGGTCATCGTATACAATGTTGACCAGGCAATATAGTTCGCCAAGAGAGCCAGTCGAGTTCGAGATCCAGAGCACATTCATATCCGTTCCGACTACCTATTCCTTGTCGTGGCGGCTGAACCACGAGATAAGACGAGCTGATATCGATGTCTGGTGGTTGGTTTCCTAGCCAACGTGAAAACTGACCAATCACTATTGTGGTTGGCTTTGGCTGACCCACAACTCGGCTGTTTCAGGCGCTTCCAGCTTTCCAGCTTTTTTTGTGTCATGCTATTCAAGTACAGTATGTCGTTCTTCTCATGTGCCGCTGTCGCCAGAGAGGGCAGTGAATCAAGGTGAGAGTCGCACAACTTAGCTGTCTCATTTCAATATCCTTCTTGTGCTGCAAAGTTGCTTTCAGTTGAACACAGGATGAGGACTCCTCCACTTGCTGTGCAACCATGTCCTTGCCATCCGGTCTTCATAGACTAGACTTCGTTCTCGCAACCACTCAGCGATCGATGAAAGGTGTACGATGAGCAGAGACATACGCGCCTGGGATAGAGAGGTGGTGCCAGTGGCCCTTGCACATCAAGCGCAACAAGAATGTCTGTCTTGATCTGCAGGCATCAACAAACACGCTGCCCTGAATCAGTCGTTCCTGTCAATTCACTACCTCACTCAATGACGAACTCTACGGGCAACCGCACATATGGCTAATTCTGCTACTGCGCTGTCTATGTCAGGACTTGAATTGCGTGGTCCTACAGCCGTGCCATGCGACATTACGTGCGTGTTGACCTCAACTCAGCTTCATCAAACTGAAGGTTCTCGTTATCTCTCACATCGAGTCGCTGACATCGGTCTATCCTGCAGTAACCGACGACCATGAACCTATGATGCAAGCAAGCCGCCGTCAATGCGAGCTCCTTCCAGATAGGCGAGATACTGTCATTCTTGCCTTGCGGTGGTCTTGCTCTCGTAGAGATACAGGTCTGGGAACCGCCAAGTGAGCCGTATTCTCATCTGCTCCTGTTTTCGAGCATCGTGACTACGAATGATAGCAATCATCAGAATACCTGGCCTTGTGCCAACCAATACTAGTAGCTGAAAATCGGAGGTGGGGAAGCTTCGGCATTATCGATGCATTGCTTCGCAGCTCGATTAACTTTTCAGCAAGAGTATGCGCTGTGTGAAACTGGTTGACTAGAACCACAACATCGTTTCGTGAAAGGTCAATACTTCTGCTATCCGGATGTACAGGGAGAGCACAAGAATTGCTGGACCAAGTCTCTATCGCCTGGAAGTGAATCGCGACCACTGCCGAATGCTGCCTCGGTAAATGCGTGATGCCCATTTACAAAAGTCCAGCTTCGCCAGACAAACAGAACGATTAGATGTGAGACACTGCACTACCTGAGCTAATATACTACCTGCAAATTGACTTCACAATGTATCCTCCGTCAGACTCAGTCGAGCTTCCTGCGTCTTATGCTAGTCTAGACCTCCCTCATATCAAGATTTCTCATGTTCCAGAGTCCTCGAAAGAACCAACACCAGTGTTGCTCCTCACGCTTTACAGACCTCAAAACAACAATGCCTTCACTAGACAGATGCAAGAGAGCATCACGACCTTCTATACCCTCGTAAACTCAGATGATCGTGTTAGGGTTGTGGTTTTGACAGGTCATGGAAAGATGTTCTGCGCTGGCGCTGACCTAGATATTGGTTTCCTTGGGGGCGCAGCAAAGGCAGGTGCTAAGGCAGTAGCGAAGAGTGAGAGAGACATCGATCACAGAGACGGGTAGGTATAATTCAATTGAAAGAGCTTCCACTAATACCTGCAATAGGGGTGGTCGTGCATCCTTAGCAATTCACCAGTGCTCGAAACCCACCGTTGCCGCTCTACAGGGTTCAGCTGTAGGTGTAGGCATTACGATGTGCCTGCCCGCAACAATTAGGTTGGCATATGCAAAAGCAAAGATCGGCTTCGTGTTCGCGAGACGAGGTATAATCATGGAGGCATGCTCCCATTACTTCCTACCAAAACTTATAGGACTGTCCCGAGCACTGCACTTGACCACTACTGGCAGTGTCTACCCAGCCGAGCACCCTCTGATGCGTGAACTCTTCTCTGAAATACTCCCGACTCCGGAAGCAACCTTGGCACGAGCTCTCGAGCTGGCCGATGAGATTGCGAAGAACACGTCCACAGTCTCAACCAAGCTCATGAGAGATATGATGTATCGCGGTCCAGCAAGTGCCGAAGAAGCGCATTTGCTAGACTCGAAAGTCATCCACGGATTATTCGGTAGTAAGGACAATACAGAAGGCGTGAAGAGCTTCTTCGAGAAGAGGCCGCCAAACTTTACAGGCACTATGGTCAACGATGCACCAGAAGCCTGGCCTTGGTGGTCTCAGGTCGATGTTGGGAGTGTACCTAAAGTCGGCCCACGGACCAGCAAGCTATGATAGTATTGATATGTGATGACCATGAATTTGCCGAATCCTCTTTGTATTGCCCAGCGATCAGTTGTTCTATAGTGAACTGCGCTCAAACGTGCTATTGTGGACACGAGTACGGAGTAAGCAGCATGTACGATGAGGTAATCAGATCCTATCACAGATGCATTGTTCATGCGTATCAAGCTCACCTTTGTCGAAAGAGCAATTTACAGTGGCAGTCTTCGGCAACCTTGATGGTTTCCTACAGCGGTTTATCTAACGATGTGTCTGGCCCAGAAAAGTCTCTCGGACGGGATTGATCAGTATTTGAGTTGAAAATTGCATCATTACAAATACCGTGGTACCGTGTTTGAGGTGACGATATTCCAACTGCAGTAGCGAATTTTAGTCACTTGTGCTTTCCGTTAACTTTCTATCGTTCTTGACATGTCGTCTTGCCCCTCGTTCTCCTCCGTCCAACATTCTGTTCGTGCTCTCAGTAGACGATCGAATCCTCTCAGCGCATCCCAATCCAGAGCATCCACACTGAACTCATCTTCCAATTCACCTGCCTTGCGCCTCACCAGTCTGTCAAGGCAGTTCTCCTCGACAAGAACCACTATGGCCCCTACTCCGAAGCAGTATGACTATATTGTCATTGGTGGTGGTAGTGGTGGCTCAGGCGCAGCCAGAAGAGCCAGTGGCTGGTATGGCAAGAAGACTGCCATTATAGACGCTGGCCTCTCTGGCGGCTGTTGCGTCAATGTTGGGTAAGAGGAGACATGCTGCTTGGATAGACAGCACTGACGATGTGCAGTTGCGTACCGAAGAAAATGACCTTGAACTACGCCTCTATATCGGAGGCCATATCAGCTGGAAAGCACTATGGCTACAACATCGAAGGAGTTACTCAGGATTTTGCCTCGTTCGTCGAGAAGCGCCACGCACGAATAAAAGTCCTAAACGGAGCATATGAGAGCAATTGGGCAAAAGAAGGCATCGAGCTGATTAAGGGAACAGCCACATTTATTTCCGAACACGAAATGGAAGTCAAGCCTAAAGATGGAGGCGAACCGTTCAGGATAACTGCCCCTCACATCACCGTTGCTACCGGTAGCCATCCTTCGAAGCCAAAAGATATCAAGGGAAGCGAACATGGCATATCGTCTGATGAGTACTTCTCCATAAAATATCCTCCCAAGAAGATGGTCTTTGTGGGTGGTGGCTACATTGCTGTTGAGCTTGCTGGTGTCATGCACGCTATGGGCGTCGAGTGTCATCTGTTCATCAGGCATAACACTTTCCTACGGAAGTTCGATGAAATGATTCAGGAGACGTTGACAAATCATTACGAAGAAATGGGCATTCACGTTCACAGAAATCACCCTGGCATAAAGGAGATGGTCCAGCTCAACCCAGCCAAGGACGATACCGACCCTAGAGAGAAGAAACTCAAACTCATCATGAACGATGGTAGCGAAATGGAAACTAACGAGTTGCTCTGGGCCATTGGTAGAGCTCCCGAGATTGAAGAGCTTGACTTGGACAAGATCGGCATGAAACGTGGGAAGTCAGGCCATATCACTGTGGACAAATACCAGAACACGTCCGTCGAAGGTGTCTACGCAATCGGCGATGTTACTGGTCAGGCGGAGCTTACCCCTGTGGCCATTGCAGCAGGCCGCAAACTTGGTAATCGCCTGTTTGGTCCTCCTGAGCACAAGAACGACTATCTCGATTACGACCGCATCCCATCTGTCATCTTCTCCCATCCAGAAGTTGGTAGCATAGGTCTGTCGGAATCAGAAGCCGAAAAGAAGTACGGAAAGGAGAATCTGAAGGTGTACAACACCAAGTTCTCCGCTATGTTTTATGATGTATACCCACCAGAGGAGAAGAAAAAGAACCCAACACAATTCAAGGTCATCTGTACAGGACCTAACGAAGAGATAGTTGGCTTGCATATACTAGGCAAAGGTTGTGATGAGATGATGCAAGGCTTCGGAGTGGTGGTAAGAATGAGAGGCACGAAGCAAGATTTGGACAACTGCGTTGCTATACATCCTACCTCTGCGGAGGAGTTGGTGACGTTGAGATAGACATAGATGTATAGACGTCTTTTATTACTTGTCAATTCGTACTATCACTAGGTATTCACTGAATTATCGGAGCATGCAAAGAGTGTTTTTTGTCCAAGTTTCAGCATTGATGAAGTTTTGATAAAGAAATTGTAAAGAGAAGAGGAATAATCCCAGTCTGGCAGTGTTGCCGATGGCTCTTTACCAGAGACACGAAACGCGCCACTTCCTTCCAATCCGGGCACGCGTCAAAGACGCTACTAGTGCCTGATACGTGCCTGAGTTATGCAAGCACTAACTTTGTAGTATCGACTCTGCAATATGCAATACAACACTTCTGAGACTTGATAAAGATGCTACAGCAGCTGTAGCATCGAATCTGATTTCGACTTTTACTTCCGTCTTGCATGACTGCATGACTTTCGAAGCACAATGCCATCTCAAGTTAATGGCACGGCAGACACAATACGTATTCTTGTCGCTACCGACAATCATGTTGGCTATACGGAGCGAGACCCTATACGAGGCGATGATTCGTGGAAAACATTTGATGAAATTATGACCCTGGCCAAAGTTAGAGATGTTGATATGGTTCTACTTGGGGGCGACCTTTTCCACGACAACGTTCCTTCCAGGAAATCTATGTACAATGTAATGCGATCACTACGTCTGAACTGCTATGGAGACAAGCCCTGCGAGCTGGAACTTGTTAGTGATGGTACCGAACTCTTCGATCCGACTATTGGCCACGCAAACTACGAGGATCAGAACATTAATGTCGCGATACCAGTCTTCTCTATACATGGCAACCACGACGATCCCTCTGGTGAAGGTCATCTTGCAGCGCTAGATCTTCTCGAGATGTCAGGTTTGGTCAATTACTTCGGTCGAATTCGTCAAAGCGACAAGATAGATGTCATACCTGTATGCCTTCAGAAAGGCTCAACCAAAGTTGCCCTCTATGGCATGTCGAATGTCAGAGACGAACGCATGTATCGTACTTTTCACGACGAGAATGTTGCCTTCCATAAGCCTAGCATACACGACGATGATTGGTATAGTATTGCTGTGGTGCACCAGAATCATCATGCTCATGGTCCAACCTCATATCTGCCGGAGAAATTCTTGCCACAATTCCTTGACCTTGTCATTTGGGGCCACGAGCATGAGTGCGTGATTGAACCCTCACTTAACCCGCAGATGACCTTCAAAGTCATGCAGCCTGGTTCATCTGTAGCCACTTCGCTCGCTCCAGGTGAGGCAGTCCCAAAACACGTCGCCATACTCAGCATTACTGGCAAGAACATGAAGTGTGAACCAATCAAACTCAAGACAGTACGGCCATTTGTGTACAAAGAGATTGTCCTCGGCATGAACGAAAAGGCCAAGGCAATTGCAGAAAAGCCAGGTCATAGACACAGACTTACCGAGTGGCTGATGAAGCAGGTCGACGATTTGATTGACGAAGCTAACCAACAATGGGAAGCAGATCGTGAAGAGGATGGCACAAATGATGAACAAGAACGACCACTACCACTCATCAGACTACGGGTTGAACATGGGTCAATCGAAGGCTTCCGCTTCGAGCTCGAGAATCCTCAACGCTTCAGTAACCGTTTCTCAGGTCGAGTTGCGAACAATCATGATGTCGTACAATTCTACATCAAGAAGAGGACTGTTGTAGCCGCACGAACGAAGGCTTCCGAGGAACTCAAGCAGTTAATGGATAGACCAGAAACAGCAGAGAGTGTCAAAGTCAGCAAGCTTGTGGCTGAGTTCCTGTCTGCGCAGTCGCTGACGATACTACCACAAAACTATTTTGGCGATGCTGTAAATCAGTACATTGAGAAGGACGACAAGCACGCCATGGATCTATTCGTGGACGACTCTTTATCGAAACAGATACAGGCCATGGTCGACATGAACGCAGAGCAAGACGAAATGGATGATGACATGACCGCTGGATTTTCCGATTTTCGAGCCCGTCTGGAAGAGCAATTCATGAAAGGAGAAATCAAAAGAAAAGCGGGCGACAAGTCTATATACAAACCTAAACCTCCCGACTACGACAGCGAAATGGACGGGCCGTGGGAGGAACAGGCAGCAGCGCGCATCACAGTCGGCGCTGATAAGGACGGCGACGCAGAATCGGATAACGATAGTGACGCGACTCCAAAACCGGCACATGCACCTGCACGAGGAAGAGGACGTGGAAGAGGCGCAAGAGGTGGGACGACAAGCACGAGGGCGAGAGGTGGTGCAGCCGTCAAGAAGACGACAGCATCAAGATCCTCCGCTACTACCAGTACTCGCGGCAAAGGTCGCAAGAAAATAATCGAAGAAGAGTCTGAGGAAGAAGACGCCAACAGCGACATAATTATGCTCGATGACGACGACGGCGACGACGAAGACGCCGCTAGTCCCAGTATTGACTCCGACTCACAAGCAATGTTCTTCCCCGAAGTGAAGAGCGTAGGCAGTAAACCCACGGCAACAACCAATGGGTCAGCGCGAGGATCTCGAGCAGGTTCCCAAACAAACAATACCACAGCCTCGAAACCAGCAACTAAATCAGCAGTTCCTGTAGCGTCAACGAGGAAACCCGCCGCACGTGCGGCTGCAGCGCGAAGCAACAAGCAGAGTACATTGAGTTTCACGAATAGTCAAGCGAGCGTGTTTGGGAATGGGGGAGGAGGAGGGCGAAGTCAGCGAAATGTCAATGATATCGAGGATGATGACGACGATGATGAGGATGCGTTTGAGCCGGCGACTACATCTAGAAAGAGCACGAGGAGTCGGAGGTGAGGAGGGAGCTTGCATGTCTGATGTTACTGGTCTACACTATCGGATTAGGTGAAATGTAGGATACAATGTGGCGCATGCTCAGACTTGATAGCTATGGTGTAAGGGGAATAAGTGCAATTATGGACGTGGAACGATCGATACTCGGACTGATAAAACAACGGTATCAATGCACATCACATATTGGCGCCATCATGGACTCTTGTGGGGGGTAACATTGCGCATACACAATAAGAATGCATGATCCGCGTGTCCTTGTCGTAACCCTTTCAATCCACCCCACCACTTCCGTCCCATTACAGACGTATTATTCAATTCACGAGTTGCAGCCTAGAGGGATTGCTCGGAGACCGACTGGGATCTGTGAACTTCGATTCTTGGATCAAAGGACTCAATTTCCTTGGGTTATCACAACATGCGAATGTAGTGCATGGTTTCTCTTCACTCTGCTGCGGACGCGTTTGTGTTACCCTCTGGTGTGTAAGAAAAAGCCCTTCCGCATGATATAGAAGGGTGGTCAGGACTTCGTGGCCCCTAAAATAACATATCAACGGCGACGTCCAGTATCGTCGGGTACACTGGATCGGGCCAACGACAAACACTCTCTGGTTACGACCACTCAGGGTCTCTGTAGCAACGACGTACTCGTGGTATATATGATGTGAAGGTCGCGACACTTTCGGAGAGGCACATCTTCGAGATGCATCGTCGTCATCAGCAACGATTTTGTTCGTCGCTGCGAGTGAAGCCAAGAAGCCAGGCCACTGAGTCGATGTGCCAATCCTGCCACAGTAAGAGCGGACGTGTTCAGACTTGATAGTCAAGACAACGTTATGTCGTGGCGCATGGCATTGTGTTTTTCGAACGTCAAAAAAACTCCCATCATCGTCCGACAGAATACGCGAAAGCTTTTCTAGGTCTTGCCGTTCGCAGCAGGCGCGGCTGGAGTGTTAGTCGCAGCGTTGGGATTAGGCGAGCTCGCGGCACGATTACCACCACGAAACTGTCCTCCTTTACCACCACGATAACCTCGACCTCGATAGTTTGCTCGATTGTTGCCACGAGGCGCTGACGGAGGTGCCGCCGCCGTTGAGGAGGAGGGACTTTGACTGGCATTCTCCGACAAGACATTGTTTTGAGCCTTGTTCACTGCAGCGGGAGTGGCGTTCGTCGTGGGTAAGGTTGAGGCTCTGATAGCAGCAGGGTCAGGTTCAACGGACTGGACGAGTGGCTGTGTGGGCTCGATCGTGGCTGAAGGTTGAGCCTGTTCTGCAATATTCGACAAGGAAGCCTGAACAACTCTTGGGGACGAAGGGGTGCTTGGGTTAGGTGTCGGCGAATTGGTATTGCTCCTTGTAGCATGTTGTGAAACTTTCTTGTAAGGTGTTCTGTTCTCTAGTACCACAACTGAGCCGTTACCAATCTTAATAGGGCTTGCACTCATGGCCTTCTTCAGAGCTTCTGATTCTGTAAAGTCAATATAGCCTAGCCCTTTCTTCCTGTCAATCTCACATCGTGTAATTGTGCCGTACACCGAGAACGTCTCACGCAGCAAAGCCTCAGTTACCCCTTGCGAAGGATTCGCATGTTTGAGGAATGCTGATCTGGCACCAGGAGAAGGTTGCGGTACGGACTTCGACTTCGAGGGTTGGAGCGTCGCTACAGGTTGTAATGCAGGTAACTGAGGTGGAGCATTGCGAAGATTTCGTGGGCCTGTAGGTGGTTGAGGTGAAACATTCAATGTTTTTGTAGCATTACTGGGAGCAGGCTGTGGTGGAGGGGGCTTGGCAGCCGCTGGGGAATTGGTAGACGGGTTAATATCAACGGCAGTAAGAGGCGCCACAGGGGCAGGAGCAGGAGAAGTCACAGCTCGTTGTCCTCTGGAAGCTCGACCTTCCTTCGGCACAAGGCCAAGGTCACGACCGATGATTCGTGCTGCAGCACTGGCATCACCTCTTTGACGCTCTCTTTTCGGTGTTGGCTGATTGGTTACAAGTTCTTTCTTTTCCATGGGCTTAGGCTCCTGCTTCGGTGTGGTCTGGCCCTTGATCTCAGCGACTGACTTCTTGATGGATTCCATGGCCTGTTGAGTTGCTTTGGCCACCTTAGCTTTGTCTACTTCGGTTGCCACACCCTTCTTGGCTGCAATAGCCTTCTCAGGCTTCGTAGGCGGTGCTGCTTTACTGTCCTTATTTTCCTTGACATCTTTCATCTCTTTGACTTCCTGTCCTTTCTTTGCACTAGCTTTGGCAGCTACAGCAGCCTCCTTTTCCTTGGCTTTGTTGGCCTTCTTCTCTTTGATGTATTGGACGAGTGGAGTGATAGTGGCCTTTTCTTGCCTAGCCTCCAGGGACTCTTCGTTAGCTGCAGACTTTGTGATAGGTTCTGTCAGAGACTGCAGAAAATCTATGAATTCGGGATCTTGGTCGATAGTGCCCTGGCGTCCGTCGTGCCTGAGCCTAGTGCTTGGTATCTTGTTGTACGGGGCGAACTCCAACGATGGCGGGCCGATCAGACAAGGGTCTCCGACAGAGTTCTTCGCGTCGTGAAAGTTGACAATTCGGAGTTGGGTGGATAGCTGATCAAGGTAGGAAGGATCCTTGACCTTCAGATATGCTCGAGCGGGTCGTGAAGGTTTAGCAAGGTCTTTCGAGATCTTCCCTGCTTTATAGGCGGCCCAGTCAACCTTGCCTTTTCCAACTTGCCAGTCGACTCCTATGCAGTTCCAAAATTCGGTTTCCGTAAGACCAGGAGGTAGCCGTCTGATGATGAGTCGCAATCTGGGTGCTGGTGGACGAGGTTGCTGTTGTTTAGGAGGTTTCTTGGTCTGTGCGGCAGTCACTGGCAATACGCCACGTCCTTTTGTGTTAACAGGCATCGTGTTGGATTTGGTCTCGTATTGAGAATAGCCGGGTGCGAATGTGCACTGTGGAATTAATGAAATGGCAAGGGTATGCCAAGTAGTTGGATCTCAGGTGAATTGGAACCAGCAGCGTGGTTTTATCTTCAAAGGTAGTCACCGCGCGAGATGGTCACAAATAAGGTAATCGCCTAAAAAGGACAATAACGAACCATACAAACTCGACGTAGAACTTCTCGTAGAGATCCTTGGATATTCGAATGGCCAGAGTTTGAAATGGGGTTCTTACGCCAGTATTGGCAAAGTTATATTAATTTGTGTCGTTTTTGCCTGTCACAATCTGGTGACACCAACAAAGTGATAGAATCTTCCGCGACGCATTTGTTCAAGTACTGTTAAAAGTCCATGAAAAGTAATATCACGAAGGATGAATGTTTGGCTCGAACTGGTGGACGAGGCTAGTGATCAGGGTTCGGACTGTGGCGCTCCGAGCCCGAGGGCGGCACACGACGACCACACGCCTCTCACAACCGTTTACTGATCACGAACCTGTTTCCTATGGAGAACTAGACATCGATGCGCGCAGCTACGGAGTCGACATATTGAACGACCCCTGCTCTTCCCTCCTCTTGCCAAAACCGCAATTACTGCATACGACGGCCGTATCATATATCCTTTAGTAAACCGTCCCGACTGTAGCATCAGGTCGCCATACTCGACACTATCCACATAGGAACGTGGCCTTGAAGCAGCGGAATATGGCGCCAGTAGGAGGTGTCAAAGTGCCTATACCAGGTCCTGCACGCTTGAAAAGGTCAGCAGGACCAGATGAATGGCTGGAAGCAGCAAAGAACTGCAAGTATCTTTCAGAATACCACATGAAACAGTTGTGCGAGATTGTGAAAGAATTTATGATGGAGGAATCCAATATACAACCAGTCGCAACGCCTGTGACGATTTGTGGTGACATACATGGTCAATTCTACGACCTTCTCGAACTCTTCCGTGTCGCAGGCGGAATGCCTGGTGAGACAGCCCCAGAAGCCCCGACAACAATAGACAACATCATTACAGCTGCTGATATTGAACCTCCGTCCACAATAACCAACCCGAAACTGAAGAAGAAGATAAGGCTAGGAGGCTCACAACACCCGGATCCAACAACACCTTTGGAAGAAGTTAGTGACTCTTCCCTGGTAAATTCGACCGCCGTCTCAGAGCTAGGATCAGACCAAGATGCAGATGAGACCATGACTAGAGGAACAGAGAGGAAGCAGAGTGCCAATTTCGTATTCCTGGGAGATTACGTCGATCGCGGTTACTTCTCTCTGGAGACTTTAACCCTTCTGTTGTGTCTGAAAGCAAAATACCCAGAACGAATAACACTTGTCAGAGGCAACCACGAGTCGCGCCAGATCACACAAGTTTATGGCTTCTATGAGGAGTGTGTGCAGAAATATGGCAATACAAGTGTCTGGAAAGCATGCTGTCAGGTCTTCGATTTTATGACTTTGGGAGCGATTGTTGATGGGAAAGTGCTGTGTGTCCATGGCGGCTTGTCGCCGGAAATCAGGACGCTTGACCAAGTAAGAGTGGTCGCAAGAGCGCAAGAGATTCCTCATGAAGGTGCTTTCTGTGATCTTGTCTGGTCCGATCCAGAAGACGTGGAAACTTGGGCTGTCTCACCACGTGGAGCTGGCTGGCTTTTTGGCGATCGAGTCAGTCAGGAGTTTTGCCATGTCAACGGGCTGAATCTTATTGCCCGGGCACATCAACTGGTCAACGAGGGTTACAAATATCACTTCAAGAGCCAGGATGTCGTTACTGTGTGGAGTGCACCAAACTACTGCTATAGATGCGGTAACATGGCCTCAGTTTGTGAGGTGGGAGAGGATATCAAACCCAACTTCAAGTTGTTCAGCGCTGTCAAGGACGAAATGAGACACGTGCCTCCTTCGAGAGGTGGGCGGAATGAATATTTCCTATAGCCACGGACTGTGGTCCGCCGCAACGATCTGCAGAGTATATGCAGGATCACTATATTGTATTATAACAGCATGCATGGGAGTAATGACTTGAAGATTTTACGAGATTGGAGCTGGCGACCTGGTAAACAATCGTGCGTAACTCAAGATGTAAAGACTTATCGTCAGACAATCAGTATACGCAATGTGTGAGCTAAATCCGTATAACAATACTGTACATCACACTATGTATTCGTAAATTGAAGATAGTTGACCTGCATCGTGCCTGCCTGCCGGCCTGGCTGTGTCTGTTATTGCTTCAAATTGTGCCGAACAATTTCCGAATCTGTGACGAGCGTGACTTCCCTCGAAAGTGGCAGCCCTCTCCTGGAAATTCCCTCAACAGACAGATAGAACACATCGGCCTTGCCGTGAACAAGACACCTCGTCCATCACCCTTAAATCTTTCTTTGACTGAATCGCCCTTTGGTTCAGTCCCAGGTATCTGACCCAAGTTCGAGCAAGACTTTTTATGCAATCTGCGCCTCATCAGGATCCTCCAAACGCGACTTCAACGAACACTCACCCGTCCTATTCCACTAATCAGCATGGCCTTTCAACAACAGACCAGTTCTCTGACAGTCGCTCACAGGAGTCGGCTGTCAGAGAACCCACGTCGATCGACGATACACCCGACGACGCGTCTGTTGTATCTTCAGCAACGAGTCGAGGTCGAAGGGCAAATCTGCACCGGGTGAGCACTGGTCGTGACTCCCAAGAGAGCTCACCTGGCAGTCGTATCGACGCCTACGAAAAAGCAAACACTATACCAAGAAGACCATCCGATGGGATGATCTTTCAGCTTGTGCCTTCTTCTGGTCAGCCAGGATCAGGGGTCTCATTGTTAGACGTGCCAAATGGTTGGTCTTAACATTCATTACTTGGATCTATATTAACGTGCTACAGAGGTTCTTACGCATATTCTGTCTCACCTGCCACCAGAGTCATTGTCCTTGATGAGCCTTGTTAATAGTCGGCTCCATCGGCTTGTGACCACTCCACCTGCATGGAGAATTGCCTTCGCTCGCTTCTTTCCTGGCTCCGAGTCTTTAGAAACATCTTCAGCTGCGGGAGTTGCAGATGAGACACAGAAACCACACCGAAGAGCTTTCACGAGAGTGAGTGCTCTAGCATCATGGAGAAGCGAGTACATTCTACGAACACGCCTGCTTAGATCACTTACTCGTGGTCGACCTGCCATTCAGATGACCACAGATAAAGGACAAAAGAGCAAAGCACCGGCTACCGCGACCATTATGTACAATTCTGGCCTGATGTATCCTGGTAGCCACATCCATGCGAACTTTGGTGTGGGATTAAACAAGAAACAGCCACTTTTCGTTCACGGAGCCGTTGAACAGGGAACGGTCACGTCAAGTGATCCAGCAACCGGTAAAGCCTCTGGTTGGGGATTAGCTGACTTTGAGGCATTCAAACACTTTGCAGATCTCTATACTGGTGAGGCACCTTACGGCTTGGGTTCTGGTGACGTTGTAGGTATGACCAATGTCATGGATGTCAGCCAGCCTTTTGGAAAGCTATACGGTGAGGCATGTCCTGGCGGTAGACTTTTCTACACCAACACTGCTGAGCAGCGAGGTCGCTTTCTCATGGTCAGTTCACCTGCAAGCTACTCGGATGGTATTCCCGAAGTGAGCCCAGTCAATGCTGCCATCACCTCAGTCTGGCTTGCAAAATCAGAAGGTATCCTGAAAGTCACCAACGGTCTCTTCGGAGCTTTAGCTGGATCTTCTACTGGCGTACTCTCTGCCTATGCTATAGGCACCAACCCTGTTTATGACCGTCGATTCGACCGAGGCGAACTCACTGCACGATGGGCTATCTGTCCTGGCGTGCCTATTGTCGCGATCAGTGTCGACCACAAGGTATCTGCTAGAAGAATTGGTCGACAGCGCATTTGGGCTACTGTCCTGAACGCTTTAGGTGAGGTTTTCTACCTGATCAATCCTCCTATTCGCCCAGATACACGTGGCAAGCTATCCGAGTCAGAACTTGACCGACTGGCTTGGCAGACTGGTCGCACTACTGAATGGCAAATGCTTGAGTTATCTCGACGTACAGGCAAGAATGATCCCTTTCAGTTCAATACTATCGACGGCAGCTACACACCTCGATCGTCTAGTGCTGCTCAAGGCTTGAACCACTTCCAGCTAGAAGCCGAAGCCAAAGAATTGACCCAATTTCTCAAGTACAAGCCGAAGCACTTCCAGGCTCTCTGTGATGGCTGGGACATGCGTCGGTCCCTACTTGCCGACTATGGGGGTGATGATCACCATGGAGGAGGAGAGTCTGTCTTCGTGGTCAGTCATGGTGGTGAAGATCACTTGCCAGCTGCGATCAGAAGATACACACGCCACCGTACAAAGCTATTGTCCAGTTGTGACCAAGATGCATATCCTGCCATCGCTGCACCTCAACGGCAATCTATATTTGGAACACCATCTCAACGATCCAGTGTCATGTCGTCCCCGGGATACAGTGCGCCTCGTTCTAGAACTTCCAGCACTGATGATTTCGAGGATACTCTATTTGAAAGCTCTTGGCGCCTTTCGAACCACAGCTTTGGACCGCTCAAGACCATTGAACTTTCTGCATTAGCTGTTGACGACTCTGACTTTGCCGTATTGTCTGTAAACGAGGACCCTTTGTTGGGAATGTCTGGTGGCTCCGACACTTCATCTCCTATGACCTCGCCGTTTGGCAAGACAAACCTAGCTGCAACTGCCGCCGAGATCCCAGGTCATCGAGCCCGCTTGTTCGCTGTTGGCACAACCACAGGCACAATCATGTTGTGGGATATGCGAGCAGCAAGTCCACCAGCAGCTGACATTGTCAACACCATCGCACCAGTCCGTGTCATCTATACCCGGTCGCCACAGATCTCATCACTTGCGATGACATCCCTTTACCTTGTCCATGGTGGTAACGATGGTCTAGTGCAGGCCTGGGACGTGCTGGCTTCTACGACCGAACCTGTCCGTACTATCAATTCTCGATTCTCTGATCGTGCTCGACGACGCATGGCACAAGCTGACGCAGCAGTTCAAGATGTTGGCATCAATTACTATGCAGCCGGGGCCGTAATTCTCGATCCTGATCCAACCATGCTTCGTGGCATGGTGACGCTGGGTACACACCTCCGTTATTGGTCATTTAGTGCTGGAGCTGCAGACGCTTACAAGAGCAGGAAGCGTGGCCAGTTACGTCGTCGTTCCAACAGAGGCAGCACTTCTACGCCGGAGCAAAAATACCATCACACTGGTCGTGGTGTGTTGAAGGATATCATTGCTGATGAGCGCTTCGAGCTGGAGCATGAGAAGACAATTAAGCAGAAGGAGGAAGAACGACTTAGCAGCCGTTTCGGTACGGCTTTGCTTGGCGAGGGTATTAGCGAGGAGGAGATGCTTGCTTATGCTGCCTTGCTTAGTGAAGAGAGCTATACAAGCGACCAACTGAAGAGAAACACCAATCTACCAGCTACATATCCTTCTGCTAGCACAGTTGCACCTGCAGAAATAGACGACGAACTCGAGGAAGCTATTCGCTTGAGCTTGCTTGATACCGATATTGCTGCAGAGTCTCCGCAAACCACCGAGCACAACGTTCCCATCCGTTATGGGAAGAAGAGCAAGCAGAGAGCACCCTTGAGACAGCAGCAAAGCAGTCCACCTATGCTGGGCCGCAGCACATCCGAACAAGATATGGAATTCGCTTTGCAACTGAGTATGGCGGAGCAGGAGAGCCAGAGGCTGGCTGACGAATACGAATTCCCGACTCTGCAGAAGTCCCATTCTGGTTCGAGTGTAGAAGGCAAGGGAAAGAGCCGGAAACGCTAGGTACAGTATAGCTAGAGAAAGTCGATCCTTTGCATCTTCGTCTTTTGACGAACTGTTTGGTCGAAGAGTCGGAAGCGATTCTCGAAGATATGTATGGTGTTTCATTCTTATTAATGTCAAGAGCTACACGAGCACGCGATGGTCGAGGGTGCGGAAGCGGGACCTGGACTCATTGCTTGATCTCACGTGTTAGCAATCTTCATCAACCACCTTGATTATAGGGTCTTGAGAAATAAGATTTCAGCCACGCAACCATAACAGTTGGTTTTCCTGTTCATCATCAAAATTGGAGGTGTAGAAGGGGACGTATGTTTGGCTGAGGCGTGTATGCGTGACCGATTCACTCGCCTCAGTACGTATGAATGCCAGGGCTAAAACAAAAACGGGAATCGTACAATGATCACGTTCTCGTATCCTTTTCGGCAGTGTCGGTATGCTGTTGACTGCATTTTGACTGTGTGTTGAAATCATGTCAACACCATGTCGATAGCAAGTCAACCATATGTCGACACTGTGTCAACACCACGTAATATTCGTTGGTACTCTGGCAGAGACCACCTCTAAAGACTTTCCCGAGCCCGCACGGTCCTACAAGCTGTGTACGTATTAGAGCATAGTCGTTACAAAGAATGCATATGTACATATCTAGAGCAGAATAATCCGTGTCATTAGGAAGTTTTCGTAAAAGGTTGTGCTGCTCGAGAAAGCAAGATGGAGAGTTTGCGGGGTCTAAGCTGCGTGCATGTAGAACGGCTCTCTGAACGTAAGTCATGACGCAAACGGACGTAGGATGAAACTACTATGAGCAGCTTTTGGTTTAATCACGTACGGAATGTCCCTCTGTGCTGGGAGAAAACTGTGGATTATGTACCTGAGCTACACGACGCGCAGTCTCTCATGTCCTAGCAACAATCGTGTCGCGTTCACACCTACACGTACCGTCCTGGTCGCGGCTACGTATTGTCGACGAGTACGTGCGTAGAACATGATTTGAAGATGCTCCTGAGCAGTCAGGCATTACCAGAATAAGAGCTGCCTGGCTCGTCTATTTGAGGCAGCAAGCCACTTACGTTCCGCCGACAAGTGGGTCGAAGCACGCATCAGAGAAGCTCAGCTGGGTTTATCGATTAGCGACGCCCATACCCGGGCATTATGTTGGTGGGGTCATGGAGTGTATTGAGCCAGGAGTTTGATCCTATAACTTTTCTGGTAGACTGCTTCAGCTGATCCTGCCAGAGTCGTGTGGGTTGAGGAAGGCTTCTGCACTTCCGGCACGGGATGTGTGGATCTGGAGTAGGGGAGCGATGGTGAAATGCACATTTGCATTGTGATCCGCTGAACTTCCCCATGGGGAAAGCCTGGAGCAGCTAATCGCTTCGCAGGACGAGGTACTCATTCGACGATGACAGCGGGTCGATTCTTAGTGCAGGGCACTTGTATACATTCGATCTAGCGTTAGCAGAAAGGAGGTCATGGGAATGAATTCAGTGTGATAATATCCTTACCCTTCCCCTGTTGAGGCGAGTGAAAATCAGCAATACGTAGTCACTAGCTTTTGTGGTGGCTCAAAACACTGACAGCGAGCGGGAGTGATCGGCCGCCTTTTGTTCGATATTTCGGAGGATGGCCTACGTGAGACACAATACTCTGGGGAATCGAGCAGCAGCTTCGGATCGTAAGCCATGCTGACCGGTACGTTTGTAGTTCCACGTCATATGATTTGCTCCTGTTCTATACCAACAAGATATAGGCGATCGTGACAAAGAAAAGGATTCTCGTATGCCAGGCGAGACCGAAAAAGTGCTTCAGTGCAAGGGAAGTTCAATTCTGGGACGCTTTCCGTGATGCATGACGATTCCTTCTGATCTACATCGTGCTTGCATATCTTCGGAAAGTCGCAACCGCACCATTCGATGAGGCTCGAAAGTGTCAAACAACGAAGGATCGCAATGCTTTTCTGCTGGAAAACATTTTGAGGAGTCATTAAGTCGAGCATCGTTTCCACGTAAAAACATATTGCAACATCTACCCACGTAGTTAGAAAGCCTCTAATAGCATGGTGATATCAAAAGTGTACTACAATTTTGGGAATAGGTGGGCCACGTACTGAAATCGACCCTACTCACGCTTGGACACCAGAGGCCGCTGGCTGTTTTGTCAGGCGGACTCGCCGTTGTTGTGGGGCTGAGTGTATTCTCTCAAACGTCATCCAGTCGTATTTTGTGGTGGGTATGTAAAGTGTGCCGCCAAGCAAATGTCGAAGGGAAGCGAGCTTCTGCTCAGTACAGAAGGACATTGAAAGCACGAGTGGACTGACAACCGATGCCAACAATAACGAGGATGAGGCAGATGAGGTGCAGGAAGATGATCAGGCCAGAGCTTGCGCAACAAGACACGAGCGATGAAACCAATGTTTGACGTTGCGGATCAAGTGGGCAATGGTTACCATATTGAATGCCTAAAATGTCAGCTTTCACGTTATACATTTTTCGCGTGTTGACCAGCAATATCGAGTAGACCAGGCTTCCCCAGTTCCGTAAGCATAGCTGGCACTCGTCAATTCACGATTCAGTGCCCGAGAATAGCCGAGAAGTTCCCATTTCATCGCTTACTTGGGCAGCAACGCGAAAAAAAGGCGTATCTGTCTATTGAGCAGTGAGACTTTGTGCCTGACAATCATGTTCTGGTAAGCCTTGCTTCAGACCATTTTCGGGCTGCTCCACATGTCACGCTTGCGTTGCACGTCGCATATTGCTGTGACTGACAAACAAAGTATTCTTATCCGCAATTGTAGCCTGTACAAGTCGACATGTGTTAAATTGCGGGTCAAAGAGACAATTCTATGCTGACAACTCAGGGCATCAAGTATTGTTGAGGCTGATGGTGTGCAGAGGTCGTACTACGGAGCGCCTGTCGCACGATGCGTGTGGTAACACAAAGCCAGTATTCTCCTGTAAAACTTTGACCCAGTCGTGTGGCACGATCGACGGACTTTGTTCTGGTCCTTGTCGCTAGCAGTATACGAAGTGTAACACTCGCTAGCAAATCGTTGACCACACCTGTGAGACGTGGATTTGAGACAAGGTGCAACCAGGAGACATCAGTACTTCGTCAAGCTGTAGCATCGAGAGTAGGCCTCCTCAGTGCCAGGACTCGATAGATATTTAGGTGAGCAAGGAGAGGATTAGAATTGCTACATCGACGACGAAGCATTGAGCTAAGGGCTTGTGGAAAATCCGGCTCTGCTCACGAAGGCTTCCAGGTGACGTCCGCTTGGCATCCAGTAGACCGACACGAGGCAAGCAATTGGTCGCAGAAGTAAACGAGGTCGATGCCACAAACTCTGGAAGATCGATTAGAGGATATATGGCTCACTCCATGAAAAGATTGGTTATCATTTTAAAGCTCGGAAGACCAACGGAATGAGTCCGGGGTGTGGGCTCTACAAAACCTTCTTGCAACGTTCGCTTACGGTTATCATCCTTAGCGGCGGCCGGGGAACTTCATCGTGCTGCGCATTTAGATTCTGGTCATGGAAGCACTACGATGTATTTCGGTTTCAGCTGAAGCGTTTTGAGCTTCTTAGTCTCGATATATGCCTCAAAGGGAGCTACATAGCTTCCCTTGCCGTGAAACGCAAAACTCGATCGCATTCCAGAATGTCGTCTGGCCAGCATCTGAAAACAGGGCCAATGTATTATGCCAGAACGCGCCGCTCATGGTAGCTGAACAACTATTCGTGTTCGTAGTGTTGGCCAAAGCTCTACCTATCATCGTTCTCAGTGATCGAAGATGCAACGATACAGGTCATCATCATTATCCTCGCAACCTGCAAGCCATCACAGTGACAGCGTGGGATGTGAACAAATTCGAGCAATGAGAATTGCGATCGGTCTCCTTGCCAATGCAATTTAGGCTTGGTAAAAAGCCACGGACCGCAGACACGTACCCCATAGCTCTTTAGCGCCCCCAGCTACCACGGGGGATGTGCCAGGGCCCCATACTGGACCTTCGTGTCTGTAAGTCCTCCGCATATGGGTCACAGTGGATATTCTTGTGACAGGCCTCATGTCAGGGTCATTTCAGACAAGGAGAAGTTGGAAACGAATGAATCGGATGTCGAGTATTCGGGACCGCGTTGACCGCTCATTTAGAGCTTGGGCATCCGTGTGGTATGAAAACGATCAATTTATGACATTGGAAAAGGACGATAAATCGAGCAAAAGCAATAGCTGGTATCTCGTTGCGGCGATTTGACACGGCATTGCTCCAGCACATTCGGTCTTTCCCAAACAAGGAAAATTCCTGACATCCCTTCCTGCCTAGCTTTCTGAGATATTTCTATACTTTGTTCCTGGCCTTGCCTCTTCCAAATTGTTTGCTTCTTTCCCTACACAACTACAGTTACTTGTGAAAGTCCCTTTCCAGTTTTACATCTCCTGTTGAGCTTGTAAAATCAGAACCACACTTTAGTTACAGGCATTCTCTTTGATTCAAGGGATAGTGAGTGTACTTGTCGGTTGTGCCTGACTTTTGCTGACCTCAAGTCAGACCCTACTCAGCAAAAACCGCCATGCCTTACATGATGGAAAGATCTTGCTATCGATCTTCTGTATTAAGCTCTGAGAACTCCTCCTCCGAAATTCACAAAGCCGTGGCATCACGACCGAAACCAAAATACATCGATACCGATCGTGATGAGGTCTCCGAAAGCCACCCACCGCCTCCACCACCAAGTCCAGTCTCGTGGCGAAGAGACAAGCAGGACCGCAACTAGGGCACAAAAGAAGTCCTAACAAGTTCCCAGGAATTTGGCACCTGTTGTGTCTGTGCGACAGTATTCCGTACGACGTAGACGATTTGATCTCGAGCTATTGCGTTAGGGCGTTAGTGTTTTTCTTCAACCATTGTCGTTGTTTGCTACTTCGGGATTTGGGCCAAGAGGCGGAACATAATTTGGACTTTGGAGTCTACTGGAAACATCAGCTGTAATCATTCCGGATTGAACGTCAACTTCCACGTCAATCTCATGTTCAGCATCAGTATCATGCAGCTCAAGCTGCGAAGACGTATTCTGTGGTATTGCTGGAGCATCAGGTGTGCCGTCCTGCAGAGACCGGTCATTGGTTGGACACCGAGCAAGATACATTTTTTCAAGCTTTCGAAATGCTTCACCATCACCTCTGACTGCTTTTCTGTTCAGTTCTTTAATTTCTTCAGGCTGCACAGAGGCCGTTGAGGCGATCTGACCTGCAACCGACATCTTGTCGCTCACAGCAACCAACACATTATCACTCTCGCCACGATTCTTCTTGATTTTCATTAGCTGCTCGAGAAAACTGGCCTGTTTACGAAGGTCTGCATTAAGCTTTGCGTTTGTCCTTCTGATTGTGCCGAGGCTTTGGCCCGGACGAGGCACGTTCGCTTTGTTGTTCTCCTGGCTGGTCTGTGGTGCTGGAGTGACTTTAGCAGCCGTCCCGACAAGCTTGATTCGAGAGGTACCGATCATGTCAAAGTCAGATGTAGATAGTAGAGGCTCAGACAGTGGTGTATCTTGGTCCTGACTGAAGAACATTGTCGTACCCATCATGTCTGTCCATTTGCAGCTGAAAATTTGGCCCTGGTAGGATACGATGGGGTTGGCAGTATGCAAATCTAATACTTGCAAGGTGTGCTGTCGGGACATAGTATCATCTTGACCTTCGCCCAAGCTGGGTGAATTTTGCTCTGGGTCTAGGTGCTCTTGTTCAGGTTGGTCGTCGTTTCTGTCTTGAATTACTTCGGCCTGGTCGTCAACAGTTGCATCGTTTCCTGATTTTGCTGATAATTTCCTCCGCTTTGAAGCAGGCTTGTCCGATATCTCCTTCAATTTCTTGTGGCGGTTTGCCGTAGTTGATCTGATTGTGCGATTGACGGTGGTTAGATCCAGATCAATAAGAAAGACCTACCTCGTGTAAGAATGTATTATCTTAGGCTAGATTTTTGCAGCAGTCGTGCCGCTAACCCACCTCAGTCTCGTTCTCGTCGTATTCGTACTCCCACTCCTCGTCTGGCGACCTGCGTTCTGAGGCCATTCAGTCAGATCGATTTCCGATCTCGATGTGCATTGATTATTATTTATTGCGCACGACAACTGTCAATTACGTTTCAGTCTACTGTGCATGTGGTCATCTGCTCAAATCATACAAGATAACACGGCGACTGCACAATGCGTTCGAGTACACTGATATATGGGCATCTCAAAAGTCCTCACGTTTGCTTGACTATGACATGGCTCAATAGAACTGGAAACACCCACTCCAATTTCCATAATGCCTGATTTGTGCCTTATCTCTATGCCTGGATCAGGCAGTAGGATCAAGCTACGATCGCTTCACTCGGCAAGTAAGCTTCCCGAACGCCTAAACCACAAACCAATGATGGAGCATAGATGGAGCACAAGGAAGATCTTCGAGAGAGAAGCGGGCGCTATTTGTGCCAGGGTCGCACTTCTCCAAGCCCGCTTACAGTTGTGGCTGTCATCTTCAGCAACACGATGTTTCTACGATAATTGGTCATCTGAGCATCAGAGATGCTGAGAATATGGTATAGGCTCAGCTTGTGACGAGATTACCTTGCGTTTGTGTTTCCATCTGCTTGCGACCCTCAAAGACCACTATAACGACGGGGCTATTAAGGTCGTTTGCCTCAGAAGCGGTATATGCTTGTAAGGACATTTTAGTATTAGTAAGTGCTTCGTATCTCACCTTTGCTATACGTGGTATGTTTCGGAACCCGCGGCTCTTTGAATAGAGAGAGTCTCCAGAGGTGGGACACAAAACGCGCGCTTTTGAAGACTTATTGTCAGCACTCCCTCGTTCCATATCACGTTCAGTGAAGCTGATCCGCAGGCTTCCGCATCGACGATAGTAGAATCCCGTCCTCGATTTACCTTTGCGACAGCACGAGGTTATGAATATGTTCCAAGCTTCGAACATAGCTAATGGTTCTGCTTGCTTTATTTAGTGGAAATCTCATACCACCATAGTTGTCCACCGTACATATCACCTACTCAGCCTTCCTCGTCTCTTGCCTTGAACCCTCATTGCGGACACGGAATTCCGTCCTCCCTGGATGGCTCGAAGTTCCCCACGGTACAGCTAGACCGTCACGAGAGTACGTCAGATCAAGAGGCGAAACAACGGAAAGGGAAAGAGACGGAGGCATTCACTGAGATATGGCATGACCCTACAGACAACCTCGAAAGCCCGAAATTATCAGAAGCACAGACTATGAAGCAAGCTAAGACAAAAGCTACGATTGGAGCCCTTGCGACTCTGATCTCATATGTTTCCTTGAACAGCTGGGCTCACGCCTATCATCCCGAGGCATTTATCTGGTCACCTCAAGATCGAGAGAATGCGGAATGGGTAGCAACATCTAACTCCTGGCTTGACAGAAAGGCATGCCGCTGGCTCGGAGTCTGTGGGGGTTCACATATACACTTCTCGCGGCAGCCAAACCAAGCACTGGTCTCACATGAGCCAGCTCTGAAGCATCCAGGGAGTGAAGGCAGTGACGACTGGCAGAATGCCTGGAAAGAACCCACGAATACATCAAAACATTGGAATAAAGACGAGAAGACGTTACGAGAAATACCAGAATATGTCTTGGAATATGCCCCATTAGTGCATCTGTTTTCTGGTGAACGATATTGGCCATGCGATATAGCTGAACACTTGTACCACGTTACGCCTGAACTTAACTACACAGCCATACAGTCCGGATCTGTTCATCCTGCGTTGACTGATTTGAATAAGTATAACGAGTACCATGGTGGGGGATGGGTATATTTGACCAGCAACGACAACCCGGAAGAATATCCAGACTGGCTAGGAGGACAGAAGAACATTCCAAGTGTACCAGAAGAGTTAAAGGACGACTTCAGTGGTAATGACGGCTGGGTTCATCGACCTGGCAGGACATATTTACAGGGCATCAAAGACGTCATAGCGGACATGAAAGAGTGGTTCGGGTCTGATAGCGACAGTGCTGCCGATCTGAAGGAATCTGCTACTGCGGCCAAAGAGTACGCGCGGCTCCTCCTAGAGCAAGGGTATCACCAAGAGTTGAAAAGAAAAACGGCTGATGAAGATCCAGAAGGTCGATTTCGAGGAGGTCGAAGTGAAGCGCCAGCTGTGCTAATAGCTATCGACAAGGGCCACGGAGTCGTCGATGCGTTTTGGTTTTTCTTCTACAGCTTCAACAGGGGCAATTCAGTGTTCAATGTTGTTTTTGGCAATCATGTCGGAGACTGGGAACATACTGCTATTAGGTTCCATCATGGCGAACCTAAAGCTGTTTTCTTCAGCGAACACAATTTCGGGTCAGCTTACAGTTATGATGCTGTCGAGAAGATCGGCAAGAGACCTGTTATCTACTCTGCTACTGGCTCTCATGCCATGTATGCCACTCCCGGGCTACATCCTTATGTTCTACCATGGGGTGTTTTGCACGATCAAACCGACAGAGGGCCACTGTGGGATCCTACGCTCAATTCGCATGCATTCACTTATGATTTCGAGAAGGACATCTTGAGAGCCTCGAATATCACACCACGCGCTCCGACGGGTTGGTTTCACTATGCAGGCCGCTGGGGGGACAAGTTATATCCATTGGGTGACAAGCGCCAATACCGTTTCGCAGGACAGTATCACTATGTCAGTGGACCTCTTGGGCCTAAGTTCAAGAACCTTGGCAGGAAGAAGATTTGTGGTGGGCCAGACAGACAGCCTTGCATCATCAAACATTGGTTGGGGGGAGAATCCAAGATAGGAAGATTGCAACACAAAGGAGAGGAATCTGATCTTTACACTGAGGAGGAGCGTCATCTTGGGATATCGCAATAGGAGCCCTGGTGCACTGATTGGACATTTATTCTGGATTTATGATACCCTATACCCATTGCGCGATAGAATCACGACTGTATTACTAGCATAGACAACAGAAGCTATGTTAAATAAAACGATGCGTCCATACAAACAGCAATAATGCTCTTGCTCAAATTGTCCTGAAACTTCCCCAGGATTCCGAGTCGTGCCAACGAGAGCCAGGGAAGCCTTTGTGGCTAAAGTCCGGAGTCCATGGGCTCCGGTGCGCCACTCCGAGTTGACCTCTTTCATCATCTCTTTATGCATGCGGCAACCTGATCGATAACATGCATTTCCTGGATTAATACGCATCTCATTTTCTGTAGCAGCTGGATCTTGGATAGATCTATATCCTGAAATTGGATCTGATCGTCGCAGCTGTAATCAAACCGCGACAATCCAAAACAGCACGTACTACAGGCATCAGTCGACACAATGCATCGGTAGCGTCCGCCTGATCTCTGCTTCCATGGCTTCGACATCAGCGGCCGCATTGGCTGCCACATCCGTCCACGCCCTTGCAAATGGGACGGCGCTGCTTGCGACCTCGACAGTTGCTACCACCTTCCCTACCACGTCGATGAACGGCACTGCTCCCGATGGACGTCCCGCAGATACAGGGAAATGCCAATTGCTGGGGCCCTTTGCTATTCTTGTACAGGGAGCGTTAGGAGCACTCGCTTTACTGTCGTTGGTATTCAAGAGATGGCGAGAACGACCACAAAGGCCTGTGAAGATATGGGCCTTCGATGTGTCCAAGCAAGTCTTTGGGACATTGCTGCTTCACATGGCAAACCTGTTGATGTCCATGTTCTCCGCAGGCGAGATAGAAGCTCAGCTGGCAAAGGCTGCTGCAAAAACAGTGGGAGCAGGAACAGACGATGACTGGAGTCCAAACCCGTGTTCGTTCTATCTACTCAATCTAGGCATGGATACGACAGTTGGTATCCCAATATTGCTCCTGATATTGAAGGTCCTACACATCGGTGCTAGCAAGACACCTCTGGCGAATCCGCCAGAATCTATACAATCTGGTCATTACGGCAATCCTCCGAGGGTGTCCTGGTGGCTCAAGCAGAGTATATTGTACTTCGTTGGTCTATTGGGTATGAAGGCGTGCGTTTTCTTCATCTTTCAGCTCTGTCCATGGATTGTGGTAGTGGGAGACTGGGCCTTGAAATGGACAGAAGGCAACGAGGCTCTGCAGATTGCATTCGTAATGCTAATATTTCCTCTCATCATGAACGCCTTCCAGTACTACGTTATTGATGGCTTTATCAAGAAAAAGCCGGAAAGTGGTGATAATGCATCACAGCATTCTCGCGCCGAATCAGATGGTGAAAGAGGAGGCTTGTTGGCTGGCGACGAACACAATCAAGCCCACGAGCACGATGACAACCACGGAAACGTGGTACGTGAAGACTCGGCTTCTAAAGCCGGTGTTCGTGCAAACGCAGCCGAGCCTTCGGATCGTGATGGTAATCAGGAAGATCAAGACAAGCAACAACACGACGAGAGTGATCAATCGAGCAGTAGCTCTGCGACAATTACGGAGCGACAAGCCGATCAGCAAATACGGGCATCCAAGAGCTTGAACCTACAACCTGACGGCTCGCCTTTAACAGGGACGTAGGACTTGAAGTTGCGACGTTTTTGGATAGCGGGCCGTGCTCTGAATTTCGTTGTAATTATGGCTCTCTCCTTCAAACAAATCTCCTTTGCTCTTGCCCTCTGTTTGAGCTTGTTCCGATCCTCGGTGCTAGCTTGATTGGGTATTATCTACCAGTGCCAGTGACGGACTCTACCCCTGTAGCACGTTCCGGCGTCGTGGCGCTCTTGAAAGCTGCGGAGAATAAAATTCATTTCTCTTACCCCCAGCTTTCCCCGGATTGCTACATTTAACTCTGGGTTTACCTAATTACTCTTCCTTCGAATGCCGTAACCCAGAATACTTGGGCCATTTGATACAGTCTGCGCTAGAACGAGAAAATTTGTGATCAAGTGTTCTTCATTTGAGTCTTTTATGATCCAATAATGATCCGCCTGTAGCCGTGATGAGAACCATGCGCATTTGGGACGCATAACCAGGGCTCGAGCTTAAGACAATGCTCCATTGTGCTTGTACCAATAGGCACTAGCTCGAGGCGTACCTGAACCCAAAGTGACGTTTTAGTGGGACATTTGTTATGGTCACGGCTCATGGTTGGCGATGCGGTGTTCCAATGTTGCATAAGTTTATGAGAAAATACTTCTCCATGGTGAAGATGTTTCTTGCCTTTACGCAACTCAAGAGGAGCAACGTGGCTGCTGAGAATCTCAAGAGATATAGAGGCAGGGGTGCTTGTGATTTCTGGGTAGCTGCATAGATAATTACACAAAATCCTGTTCCTGACAATCCTCCTCGAACTTGTCTTTCACTGCTTCAACTCCCAGGCACTTTGTTTCAGCTTGGACGAACGTGGTGCTTACCTCTTTTCGGTGGCCGTACCAGATAAGATCTTAAGTACAGGTGGCTTGTTGACGGTGAGACGACCCGATCGAGCAAGATATCCGTACAGTATTGTCCTGTTTCATTGTTGCTCTGCACAAGTAGCTTCTACTACTACATGATATAATCGACGCATGAGCACGACCATTGAGCAAATTTTAGATCATGGCGCAACCTCAGGTCAACGGGACAGCTCGTCCGCAGAACAAACTGGTGGAACAAGTCATTCGAACACCAGATAGAAATCCTTCACCACAACCTACATTGCTAGGAGTACCAGGAGCGTCGCAATCTAACCAGTCCCTACACAAGATCTTAACAGATCATGGCTCTGGATACGTGGCTCCTAAGTTCGAGGGTAAGAAGCAGCAGATGGAAGATGGTAAGTCACAATGTCTACCATGAGATTCACGTGTGCTGACCAGAGTAGTCATGGACATCATAGAAGAGAAGGGCTTTCTCCCGACCGAGTTCGTAGCCTCAGAAACCGAGTGGTTTTATGGAGCCTTAGGGTTTGACGACATGTACTTCGCAACCGAGACCGTCGAGGCAATCGCTAGCAATATACTTTCTCTGTACGCAGCCAAACTCGCAGCATATGCCAGAGATGATAAGAAGCTGGAGATCAGACTACAAAAAGAAGCCTCAGATCATGCAGTGTACATTGACACGAGCAAACCGGGTATTTCAATACTCGAGGGTCCAAGATTTGAACAGAGAATCGACGAGAAGTACATTGACGGCTCAAAACCTTCGAGAAGCTACAGAGTCGAGTCCTTCCGAGCCTCCAACGCCTTACCCGAGAACCCTTCCGAGTCTCTGCGATGCTATTTTGTCTACCAGTGCGATTTCAAGGAGCCTAATGTTGGTCCAAACGAGACGGATCTCGAGAAGATTGGCGAGCGACGATTCTTACAAAAAGCCACAAAGAAGACCAAAGAGATCTACCAAGAAGTCATAAACTATGCCGTGGCACGAACTGGTCCTGTCATTGAGATGTTCGATATAGAGGGTACTCGGGAAAAGAGGATGGTTATAGCATATCGTCAAGGTTCGGCCATGGGTATCTTCAGTGCTCTCTCCGACCTGTACCACTACTACGGCGTTACCAGCTCAAGAAAATACGTCGAGCAGTTCGCCAATGGCATCACCATCATCTCGCTATACCTCCGACCCGCCGAAGGTGTTAGCACAAAGCACCCACCGATCGAGGCTGCGATACATCAAATTATCAAGGAGATCTCATTGCTCTTCTGTATCCCTCAGAACAAGCTGCAAAACCAGTTCGCTAGTGGTAATTTGAGCCTGCAAGAGTCAATCTACGCTCACTGCGTACATGTCTTCATACAGCAATTCCTGAACAGACTGGGCCCAGAATACACATCTCTCGTTGCGGCGCTCAAAGGCGATACGACTGGCAACGCTGAGTTGCTTTCCAAGATCAAGAAGCGGTTGAGGACTGAAACTTTCACAGCAGAGTACATCCTCGAGATCCTCAACAGATACCCGGAGCTCATTCGGATTCTGTACCTGTCCTTTGCAGGTACCCACTATGTACAGACACGAGGTGATCGCGATGATTTCATACCGACTCTCAGCTATCTGAGGCTTGATGTCAACCAGGTCAAGGACGAGGAAACCATTGCCGAAATGATCTCAAGAACTGCAGCCAACCAGCACGACCAGATGGTCATGTCATACTTCCTCATTTTCAACAAAGCTGTGCTCAAGACTAATTTCTACACACCTACTAAAGTCGCACTCAGCTTTCGTCTGAAGCCCAGTACGGATTTCTTGCCAGAGCAAGAATATGCCCAGCCGTTATATGGCATGTTCCTGGTCATCGGCTCCGAGTTCAGAGGATTTCACCTTAGATTTAGAGATATAGCTCGAGGTGGCATCCGAATAGTCAAATCGAGAAATCGCGAGTTTTACAACATCAATGCTCGGTCACAATTCGACGAGAACTACAATCTTGCCAACACTCAGCAAAAGAAGAACAAAGATATTCCAGAGGGCGGCTCCAAAGGTGTCATCTTGTTAGACTACAATCACCAAGATAAAGATCGTGTTGCATTCGAAAAATACATCGACAGTATCATGGATCTGCTTCTACCACCCACTAGCCCTGGTATCAAAGATCCTATCGTCGATCTGCACGGCCAAGAAGAAATTTTGTTCATGGGGCCTGACGAGAATACTGCTGGACTTGTGAACTGGGCCACAGAACACGCACGAGCAAGAGGTGCACCATGGTGGAAATCGTTCTTCACCGGCAAGAGCCCAAAGCTTGGAGGTATTCCTCACGATGCCTATGGTATGACCACCTTGTCGGTACGAGAATACGTTCTAGGTATCTACAGAAAACTCAACCTCGATCCTTCCAAAATCCGAAAAATACAGACAGGTGGTCCTGACGGCGACTTGGGCAGCAACGAGATTCTGCTGAGCAATGAGACATATGTTGCTATTGTGGATGGTTCAGGAGTCCTTGTCGATCCGAATGGTTTGAACCACGAGGAGCTTATCCGTCTGGCGAAGAAGCGAGTCATGATATCCGAGTTCGATGGTAGCAAGCTATCTCCACAGGGCTACCGTGTACTTGTTGACGAAAAGAACATCGTTCTGCCTGATGGTGAGAAGGTCAACAACGGCATGGTATTCCGGAACACATTCCATGCTCGACCTGGTCATCTTTACGACCTATTCGTGCCATGTGGTGGTCGTCCGGAGTCGATCAACCTTGAGACCTGTCGAAGCCTTATTCAGGAGGGCAAGTCGACAATACCTTATATGGTGGAGGGTGCCAATTTGTTCATCACGCAGGATGCCAAGTTACGCCTTGAGAAGGCAGGCACAATCTTGTACAAGGATGCTTCGGCAAACAAGGGTGGTGTTACGTCTTCGTCCCTGGAAGTGCTTGCCTCGCTCTCATTCGACGACCAGAGCTTCATCGAGAACATGTGTATCGGGTCTGATGGCACAGTGCCTGAATTTTACCACACATATGTCAAAGAGGTACAAGCTGTTATCCAACGCAATGCACGACTCGAATTTGAAGCGATTTGGCGAGAGGCAGAGAAGACGGGCAGACCTCGATCCGTTATCTCTGACGAGCTGTCCCTGGCCATTACCAAGCTGGATGAAGAACTTCAGCATTACGAAGAATTATGGTCAAACATCGCCCTGCGAACATCGGTGCTGCAAGAAGCACTGCCACAAACACTACTCAACAAGATTGGTCTGGAGAAGATCTTGGAACGAGTACCAGACAACTATCTGCGAGCTATTTTTGGAAGCTATCTGAGCTCAAGGTTTGTGTATGAGATGGGACCTCAGCCAAGTCAATTCGCATTCTTCGAGTTTATGAGGAAGCGTATGTCTGCTTAACGCGAAAGCTATGCAGTCACATTGATGATAGGTTTAGGCGTGTGAGGCGCAGACATGATGTCCAAGAGGTGAACAGTATTGCTGAGACTGCCAAGTGTTTCGGATATGGGTACTGGCAATCGAATAGATTGAGTTTGTGCCACAATGGCTGCTTGAATAGACGATTCAAGGCAACTTGTTATGCTGCATAAGACAGCCATTCTTGGTAGCTTGCAATAATGTGTTCCGCTGTTGTCACCATTTCGATCGTTTCTGCATAAGGTTGTAACTCAACGTAACTTTAATAGGCAAAAAGTGACAGGCAGGAACGAACGTGCTTGGTCCTTTTCGTCAACCCGGCAAATGCCCAATCGACCCAACATGATATACACCACAGCCATATATTCGACGACTACGATAGTATACCTAGGACTGCGTGCAGTATGCCAAGGTCGCGATGAAGACAAGACAAGGATATTTGTGCTGAGCAAGTGTCTAATTATAGCCCTAAGGTACATGGACTCCACCCTGCGTCCATACACACTGTGTTCACATATAATACTCAAGAGACGGTGAAATACTTGCATAGCCAAAGTGTGAGAGAAAACCCACGTCCACAATCATGACATCTCTTCACGACCTTCCCGACGAACTCTTGCGGCTCATCTGCGAATATGTCCAAGAACACACAGCTCTACGCGATCTGGGCTTGGTGTCGCGAAAGTATCATGCCATCACATTACCGTACATATGCAAGCATGTAGACACCCGCAGGATATCTGTCCCACAGCTTATCAATTGCCTGCACAAGAGACCTGAAGTTGGACAAGGCATTCACGCGCTTGACATAGGCGACTGGCCAGCCTTGAACGATAGTCAAGATCAGGTAAACAAAATTTGCACGAATGTGCTCGCCGACAGGAGTACCTATGGCAAGCATCTATCATCATATATCAAGAAAGAAACGAGCACCTCACGTATGCTGTTACGAGCTCTGCTAGTGTTAACACCCAATGTTGAGGTAATCAATTTCCACATCACTCCTTACAACACCTTCTCTTACACTACAATGTGTGCACTGGCCTCCTTTATCACATCATTCCAATTCTTGGAAGAGATCAATGTATCTCACGAAGAAGGAGGTCTCGAGTTCAGCATGGAGTTGTATTGTCCTTTGTTGAATATAGCGCGAGCTCTTTCAAAATTGACCATCTCAAATTGTGTATATGCGGAACTAGAAGATCTTCCAAGGGGAAGCTACCCTCATCTGCGCGAACTGAGGCTGAAGTCTGTGAAGCTTTATGGACCTCAGCTCATATGGATCATGAGGGCATGCTCTCGCCTAGAGATCTTCGAATATGGGACAGATCATGATACCAAGTTCTGGATGACACCACAACAACTATCTACGGCTCTTCAACCCGTGAAGAATTCCTTGAAGACATTGATCATCGATCTGACAGCGCAAGACAAGCTTTTCCGGGGCATTGACCCAATCAAATCTCTTCGCGAGTTCACTCAACTCGAAGAACTTGTTCTCTCGCAAGAGGACATCGTCGATAATACAAACATACAAGTTCGTGAAGAATACCCAGACCTTATCAGACCATTCTTTGTCACCATGCGAAATCCTATAGCTGACAAACTGCCTACATCACTACGAACCTTGCAAGTCAAAAACACAGACCAGACGTTTGACTATGAACTGGGCAAGCTTGCGATGGTGGTAGAGTCAGACCTGCCGCATCTCAAGCTGATCAGGGTTGATCACGACTTTGGCGAGGATGCGGAAGTAATGTTCTCCTTTGTCGGGGTGTTTCTGCAGCTCCTCTAGGTATTAACGTCGTAACGAGCAGCCTGGCTCCTTCGTCCGCCTCTATCGGCGAAATTTATTGTTGTTTACAGGGCACCGTACGGACATATACCTCGTACATCTCACGCAAAGATATTTTGTGCGGCGAAGATTTCGCAGGGATCGGAATTTGTTCAGCAGTAACACTTCAGGCCAAACAGGACCTATATGCGAAACGACGATGAACATTTCGCCGACGTATCGTGAGTTTTTGGATGCAACTTGGCAGTAACGATATTGGTTTTCATGGCGCGCAGATAGCGAAGCCGGAAAGAGAACAACGCTGCATGGCTGGACGACCGAGCCGTGACTCCATATGACCATTATGGTAGGCTTGTCGTGAAAGCAGCGCCCGGAAACAGCACAACTGGATAGATATGCGTATGAACTATAAGGTGAAATTGCCATCAGCACAACTGTGTGTATTCTCGTGTCACATATGCGACCTAAAGAGAAAGAACCATCTAATTCCTAGACCGCAATGACCTATCTCGCCATTTCTCAAGACTCCGAGAACGCTCAAATACTACTGTACCATGGGTATCACAAATCAACCATTACAACAAATCAGAACCCCATCCCAGCAACCAGGATCCCACCCCTCAAGCCTTCTTATAATTCGCCCCCAGCATGACCACACCTCCATCCCTCACCATCCCCGCCAAAAACTCTCTTAGTTCCTCGTTACTAAACGGAAACCCACCCGGCACAACCATTCCCAACATCATCGCAATCCTCGGTAACGGCATAGCACCCTGATTCGTCAGCATCGCCATCACAAATTGCTGATACACCGCCATCTTAGCCCGTTTCTCCTTCGCCTCAGCTTCTTTCGCCGCCTGCTGCGCCGCGAGTTCGGCGGCGCGGTCGGCGGCTACTTGTGCTGCGGCTGCGGAACTAACGAGATCGGCGTTGGTGTGGGTTGGGAAGGTGGTGGAGTTTGTGGAAGGGTCGAGGGCTGTGGTGAGGGTGCCGGGGATGGGAGGGAGGTGTTCGAGGACGGTGAAGGCGTCGTGGATGTTGGAGCTGGGTTGGAGGATGCGTTTGGAGACGAACAGGAGGCAGGCGGAACGGACGAGGGTGGTTGGGAGGGTGAGTTCAGTGGAGAGGTCGGAGACGGTTCTTGTGATTGGTTCAGTTAGGGTTGAGTCTTCGTCCTCGTTGTTGAAGGCGTAGATGACGCCGGCTTGGTAGGGGAGGACTTCGTCGTGGTAGGTCCTGCCATCGGCGAAGCTGAGTTCGATTTCGACTTGGCCGAGATTGTCGTTCCAGGTGAGTTTGCGTGTTTGTTTGAGGTTTTCGAAGCCTTGCTCGTATAGGTTTCGTTGATGGAGGATCGATAGTGGTGGTTTGAAGCGTTGCTCTTCTTCGGAGTCGTCGCCGTAGGCTGGAGTAGAGCCAGGCAGTGAGGGCCAAAACAATCTTGACAGGATCTTCGCATGTATCTCCGGCTCTTGTGTATCTTCTGTGTCGCTATCGTCCTGTAGAAGTCCCTGGTCCTTTCTGATGACTTGATCTAGTCGTCTCGAGTCAAGTACGTCCTTAAGCATGACTTCGCAGGCCTGCAAGGCCGCATCACCAAAACGTATCTTCAAATGCTCAATGACTGACGTTTCTTGGTCGTAGTTTTCCTTGTTCCTCAACAGCCTCTCCGCAAGAGTGACCTGCAACTCTTTCACAAACACATCCTTGCTCTCGAATAGACTAATCACGCTGCCGATCACATCCATGTGCTTCGCCGATTTAGCTTGGTCTGGCACTGCATCAATGGGTTCAGGCTGCCATTTCATGTTGTTCCAATCCATACTATTTACGTTCTTGCCAGCATTCAGATCTCGATGCTGCAGCTCCCACGCAAGTTCACTGAGCACATCAGAGTTCTGATCGGAAGCCCGCTTTTCAGCTATTGTCGAAGGGTCGGCGAGTAGTCCTGCTACCACAAGCTTGATCGTGTCATCCCTTTCGCGCAGGTATTGTCTGACTCGCCCGCTCACTTTGCTTAACAGCACACCACGTGGATCCAGTCCCTTGAAAGCTCGTATGGTGGAGATATATATCTGCAAGATTTCGACAGTGCTTGCTCCTGGATGCAGCAAACGTGTTTGTAGGGTTGTAGCGAACTTCTGGCTGACGTACTGCCGTGCCTGTGGTGTAGTCAGTAATGGCTTGATATCGTCGATACCGGCAACTGTGTCGTCCCAATCAACCACAATATCGAACAGCTCGTTGACCCTTAGTGCCCAAAGTCTTGAATATGCCATGTTCTTGTACCGCTCAACTTGGGCCTTACCAGGTACTGGCACATTGATTGGCGCAGGCACAACACCACCCTGATCAGTGACACACAAGAAAACCGAGATCCACACAGAAAGCACGTGCTCAGTCCAGTATCGTAAATGGTCTTGAACTTCCTCATTGTACGTGCCCGCGTACGCCCAAGCCACAAAATCGCTCATCACCTTATCGACAACAACAGCAAATATCTGCTTCATCCTGACGGTTCCCAGTTGGGCAATCCATAGACGCATCGAACGTTTAATCGAATCTGTACTCAGCATTTGGGTAATCATATTGAGTCGTGCCTGCCTATCTGGCGGAGTAACGACCGCCATACTTGGACAAGACACAAAATGTGAACGAAATGCATTGTTGTGTTGGGAAGACAGGCTGAAGGATTCATCGTTCAAACCACAGACACGTCTAGTGTCTGCCTCGACCTGTTTTGTGGCTTGCGCTGTCAACTTTGGTACATCTGGTTGGAAGTGTATCGCGTTACGTGGTGGAGTGATGGGTGTGCTAAATACGGATGAAAGAACCCTTGAATTATGAGCAGTTACATTCGATAACTCGAGAGTGGTCATGCTGTTCATACAGTGTCGGTGAAACACTGGAAGACTGTGGTTTAAATGACATCGAACAGAGCCAAATGCACCTGGATTCGCGTCCTCTCACGAGGTCACGTGGATCAAAGAAGTGAGGGTCGAATCAAAGGCAGCTGCGACCCCTTGTGTTTGCCTCACCACAAGAAGAACAAAATAGGACAAATTAGTACCATTATGAAACTTATATAACGTGCTGCGTAAGTATGTATATCATTCGTCGTAGCAGTACTCGGGAATCAGATACCCAAACTGAACCAGTGCTCGTGGCGCCCATAACGTATCGCACGCCACTGCATTCACGCTCAATCGCTTTTTACCCACGTTTGCCAGAGACACTATCCAATTCCTTCTCTTTTCCAGATTTACAAAACAAACCGTTGACTTGCTCCTTTCGCCTATATCACCGACGCTGATTGATTTCCAATTGAAACCAACGATCGGCATAGCCCAAATGTACTGTCCCAGCCAAATACTGTTCCTAGCTAGGGCTGGTCACTGCTGCTTCTTTCGTTTCCAATTCTCCTTACTTTCCCGTTAGCATCGACTTCAGAGCTGTCGTGAAACCGGCGCTGCCAGACCTTCTCATTCATCATCACTGGCGTCCTCAACCCAGCTACCACCGCCACTACGATAATATTGTAATGCAGCAGCAACTTCATCCAATATGTTTTTGATAGGTCTTGCTTGATCAGCGATAGAAACTCCAGCCCTGAGCGGCTTCATCATATGCCGCAACTGCAAGGCAGATACGCAATTTTCAACTCTTGTAACCTGATGCTCCATCAAGTTGATCATGAAGTTGTCACCGATTTGTCCTCCTCTTTCTTTCATGCTTGTCAGCAGACTCATTTCGGGCTTCTTTAGCCCTCGTGTCCTGTCTGGATCTTCCAGAGTCGAACAAAGCATTTCTAGTCGCAATGCAAGATCCCATAGTTGCCATACTGCTTCCAAGTCTAAGCCTTGTCGGAGAGTGCTGTTTTGATCAAGCGCTCCAGGCTCAGTCTTCTCATCGGCTGATGGTCCGAGGTTGAGTGGTAGATCTCCAACACCTGGTGGAATTGCCATGCGACCAGCCAAACCATGCGGGTACATCAGGTAGATGAACTCGGGATTCTCAAGTCCTTTCAGCTTTTTCTCACCAAGCTCTTTGACCTCAAAGCCAAGGCTCTGAATCTGTCGCATCTCCTTGCGGAGCTGCACAGTCATAGGATCATCGACGGTATCTTGAGAACCGACACTATCTCTTCTCTCATCGTCCTCTGCATATGCCTCAAATGTTCGTCGTATTTCCGAAATTGCATCTGTGCTCACCGATATTTGCCCACCATCTGCAACAGCTGACACTCGAGCAGCCTTGTTCACCATAGGTCCAAAATAATCCATACGCCGAGTGATTGGATCGGGTTCACATACAGGTCTACCCCAGTGAATGCCCATCCTGACACTAAGGCCACGGTAGATAATGTTTTCATCTGCATCACGTTTTTCCTGGCAGTGAACAGTATCCAAAATCTCTGTAGGCCATTCAAGATCGAGCAGAGCGTTTTGACTTGTGAAACACCAGATCAGTGCTGACGTAACCGTCGGGAACGCACACATGAAGGCGTCACCTTCCGTCTTGACTTCGTATCCGCCGCAAATTCTTAGTTGCCGCCGCATGAGTTGATTGTGTAGCTGGATTGCTCCTCGCATCGGAACGGGGAGGATCTCCCACAACATGGTCGAATTCTTGATGTCAGTGAAGCAAATAGCAATCTCTCCTGTGGGTGCGTCGGGCTCTTCCATTCGTGCCAACTCAGAATCTGCAGGCTGATCACGACCTTTCCGTTTCCGTATGGCGCTAGGGAATATCTGTCCATCTTCCGCTCCAAGTTCTCTGGGGAGGGCGAAACTGCCAGCACGATACTTGTGGTGGTTCCGCTTCCTCAAATCAGATATACCAAGAACCTGAACCATGATCTTGTCTCGTGCCCCAAAAGCGATAGCGATATCTCGCAACTTTTGAGCTGCAATCATAAGATCGACCTTTTCAGCTCGTACCAGGTCGACTGCAAGATCGACAGTGACGAAGTCCCAAAACTCCTTGGTGGCAACCACTATAAGTTCATGAGTGTCCAAAATTTGCATATGCTTGGTCCAGGGGGCTGCTATGATTGAGGGCATGGCACTGAAGTACCCAAATGCACGACTGACTTCGATGGTGTCGTTGAGCTTCCCTTGTCGTGAAACGTAACCTCCTGCAGCTCGAATACGTTCCCTTTCTTCTGAAGGAAGATGCTTGCTGGTTAGTCGAGTATATTTGCCGTCAGTCGAGATAGTATATGCTTCGATATCTCCTACGTTGGCGATATAGAGTTCAATTCCGTTGAGGTACAGAACTGCTGCAGTACAGCCAGCATCAAGATCGTCGGCACTGAGTTGGTTGGCGACTGAAGAGGCACGATGGCCATTTTGTAGTCTTTGCTCTCTGTTCTCGATGGCACTGCTTGCATAGTTTGCCATCTCCTTGTTCAGTGAGAGGAAGGAACGTCGGAGCGCATCTTCCGGCGTTTCCTTTGCTTGTTCTGCTTTGTTCAGTTCGGCCATGAAGTTCGAAGCGAAGTGTTCGTGAAGGTACTTGGCAACTCTACTGCCGCCACTTTGCAATGTTTCACCATCGAACATTCCGACAACAACTTCTGCTTCGTGGCTTCTAAAGTTTGGCTTGAGCAGATCCAGGGTGGCCAGATGATCGTTCTTCCCTAGTGTGTCAGCCATGCCATAAAGCAAGGCACCAGCAAGTGAAGCCGATGTCCTCACACGTCTGTCTTCGTTGTCATCAGGTACAGTGTTGGTCAAAAGTGTGACATCCATCAAACCGAGCACGCGAAGGTATTTCAAGCTGTTGAAACTCGTCAGGTCTTGCATCTCTCCACCATTCATCGCTGCAAATTGGTTCATTGCATTTTGCTGGGCCGGCTTAATTTCCAGCCTGCGGTTGGCAGAGAAGTTAAGGTACTTGAGGTTTTGATTCCTGTTCCAATTCCAGTCATAAGGCCAATTGGAGACATTGTACTTCAATGAATTGCTACCAACATCTAGAACAGACAATTTATGGACATTGCAAAGCTCCGCGGGCAATACCTGAAACCTGTTCACATTGAGGAAAAGACTTCTGAGGTTGCTGTTTTCTTCGAAGTCCTCGGATGGCAATGAAGTGAGAGTATTTCCAGAAAGGTAGAGGTCTGTCAATTGAGGCCATCGACGCAGCACGCCTTGTGGGAAGTCATCAATCTCGTTGTACGAGAGGTTGAGCATTCGCAGCTCCAGCAAGTAAGCCAGTTCACGAAAGATGTCATCTTCCAATCTATTGTCGGCAAGATAGAGGTATCGCATTGATCCTGCAAAGGTGTTTTGCAAACGTGCTTGGGATAAGTTTGAGTCCTTCCTGGTTGCAGTGGCCATCGAGTAATCAGTATTCGTCCTACTAATCTGAGACATCTTTCGACCGCCCGAGTTGGAAACCATGGAGTTCTTACGTCCAGTGGCGCCTGGAGAACTGCCGATGCTCAACATACCAGTAGAGGCCTGACTAGGCCGGCGAGCTTGAAAGTCTTCGAGCTTGCCCAGCTCTTCGAAGCTAGGAGAGTGCGTGAGTGTCGCGTTAGACTCCTTTTGGATTTCAGATGGTGGTGGCGGAACGGCGTTCATCTTAGGAAATGCGTCCAGCACGTTAGATGATAGGTTAAGCATCTCGAGACTTCTGCAGTACCAGATCTCTCCAGGCAACCTATTAATGTTGCATTCACGTAAGTTCAGATGTTTCAGTTCAATTAGGTTGCCAATGGATGCTGGCACTGCACCCATGCGGTTCTTCGCCATGCTCAAGTGCTGCAGCTTCGTGAGTCGCCCAAATCCAGACGGCATGTTCGTGAAGTGGTTCTTGTCCAGTATCAGCTTCTGCAGATTAGCCATGTTCTCGAATATACTGTCCTTGAACTCGACAATCTTTGCAGAAGCAATGTTGAGGTAGGTCAACGTCGGGACGGGCTCTTCGAGGTCAAATGCTGTCATAGGATTATGATCAAGGACAAGAGTACGCAATTTCTTGAACGAGCCTTTGAATGCAGAGATTGAGTTATGACCAACGAGCAATTGCTCCAGATCCGGTAGACCCGCGACGTTGTCGATGTTTGTAATACTGTTGAACCTGGCGTCAATCTCCCTGAGTTTCGATAACTGCTTGAAACCTTCATTAAAGGGTCCTTTCAAATCGTTGTTAGTCATCCATAACTTCTCCAGGGTGGTCAGCGACGAGATTCGAGGTAGCGAGGATATCTTATTGAAGCTGATATCGAGGTCGGCTAAGGAGCGCAAGTTGTAGACCTGTTCTGGCAATTCCTTGAAATTGTTCGATGAGATGTTAAGTGATCGTAGTCCTCGAAATTGGACAAAGTTATTGGGCAGCTTTGAGAGATTGTTGTTTGCCAATTTCAGGCTGACTAGATTGGTCAACCTATGCAATTCAGCAGGCTCAAGTTCTTCGAGTCTATTATTCGAGAGATCCAAGACGTTGAGTCGTGAAGCCCACGCTAGACTAGCTGGTAGCTTTGAAGCCTCATTGCCGGTGAATCTTATCTCTTTCAAATTGATACAATTTGTGATGAAGTCCTTGGGCACAGAAAGAGCCAGATTGCGCGACAGATTGAGAGATACAATATCCGAGGCTTTGGTGTATAGAATGATGGGAATAGTGATCAAAGACTTTCCAGACAAGTCAACGTGACTAAACTTCTGCATCCTGTTGAAGCTCGGATCGTTGTCTAACCCCGAGCCGAAGCCCGTCTGCTTTTCGTGACTAAAAGTGAATCGACACAAATAGCTGTTATCTTCCCTTCCGACCTCTTCAAGATGATCGTTCTCCTGATAACCAGCTTGTGTTAGCATCTTCTTCTGCATGGCTATCGGTCTCTCATTTGGACCCAGCTGCCTAGAAAGCTGATTTTTGCGCAGAATCAGATGATAATTCTCAATCGCGTCGTGTAATACAGATTTTTTGGCCAGGGACTGTAGCACTTCTGCCACAGTCGCGTTGACGAGCATGGAGAGGGTAGCGAAGGTGCCGTCAGACCTGAAAACACGCATGAAGTATGATATTCCGTCCTCCTCTTCAATAGCCTCCAGGCCATTCTCTGCCACATCGTGAGGTTGTGTCCCTATGCCGCTATCTTGACCTTTTACAGCCCAGCTATCGGGAGCATCCCATATCGGAGCAGATATCTCTTGTCCCGGAGTTGCTGGTAACATTTTGCCATCTTTGTCCAGAAGCTGGTCAAAGTATCCTGCACCTCCTGGTGGACTGTGCAAGACATCCGACATATCTCCCAAATTGGTATCTAGGTGCCATAGTCCTGGTGTCTGCAATGCTTGGTTCTTAAAACTATCAGGCGGGAATGATGGAGCGTTACTAGAACCCCGATCGCGGTTCCTTCCAGTCAAGCGGTGACTGAACTTGCTGGCTTTCGAGTTCGTGGATAGCTTCGTGTCTGTCCTACCGACGGAAGGCATTTCAGGTCCCTTGATTGTTTCCACTGAAGCCACGCTACTTTCTCTGTCTTTCCGCTCTTGGCTGGACGTACTCGATGGTACAATGGACGGATTTTGCTGCGACTTTTCTGAGTAGCCTCGTTGTCGCTGTACAGGTCCGGGAACTGGTGGCTGAGCCTCTTGTGACTTTTCGTCAGGACCTTCTTTGTCGCGGTGTCTATGTCTCAATCTGGAAAGTAAGCCAGGTTTTTTGCTCGAGGGTCCATTGGCCTCTTGTGGGGTATTTGATTGTACTTTGGTTAGCAGAGGTGATTGAGAGCTCATTGAAGTAGAGGAAGAATTAATATTGTTGCCAGAAATCTCACGGCTAGTGGCGGGACGTTGTGGCATAGTAGGTGGTGCCAGTGAAGGTATCTTGGCCGAATCGTCTTTGCTCTTTGTAGGCCTGTGTGCAGAGTGCAAGAGCCTATTCTTGAGGCTGCTCGCACCTGACTTTTGGGTCGTGCCATTCGATTCTTGTTCTTGTGGACCAAGCTCTTGCCGTATTGGAGCAGAACCGTACTTGCTGACATCCTCAAAACTTTGAAATGCCCAAGGTGTTACACTACTCTGCGGTTGAGGCTGAGGTGTTTTTGGCCGATCTTCCGAGCGAGCAGTCGTCACAGAATTATTTCTCACAGCTCTTTCATTGTGTGCAGCCGGACCATCACTTTGTGTGAGGTAGGTTTGTGACCCTTTCCTAGGGTTATTGCTCGGATCGTCACCGAAAAAGGCCTTCAGGGCTTTGCGTTGAAACTTGCCATTGGTGGCGCTATGCTTAGATCCCAAACTACTGACAGTTTCATTGCTTGCGACCGATGGTCTTCTTGCGTCGATGGAAATGTTTGGACTTTCTTCAGAGGTATTGTTACTGCTGGGAGGCCACGGTGGCAACGAAACATCTCTTGCATTGTCATTAAAGTAAGACTGATTGAAAGGCCGTGTACCACCGATCATGGCCTGTGGATCTTGTTCGAGGGGTGAAACTTCTCGGTCTCGATCTCGAACGAAGTCGGAAGAGGGTTCGTCCCATGGCGCTATGGTGGTCGACCTACTCAATGTGTTGTTACCAGGCTTGTTGTGCGGCACGATCCTGGTTGAACTCATGACGGGACCGTTCCTTCGGGTGCTCATATTCAGACTCTGAGCAGTTCTGAAAGAGGGTTATCGATCTGCTAGGGTAGATCAGTGAATCGACAGCATTCGCCCGAAGTCAGCTCTAGTAATGGGCTAGATATCGGAGGGACTGCCGTTCACAAGGACTTCACTCGTCGGTGTTCATAAAACGGCGCGACTCAAAACCTCAACAATATTCGTACACGACTACAGTTCGGCCTCAAATGTCCAACAGCAGCCAACAATTTCATTCACGGGTTATGTCTTCAACTCTTCCCTTGTAACAGCTGCAGAATATCGGCGGGTCGAATGGTGACAAGATCACTGCGCCATATCACAGTGTTGTATAAAGCTCGATCGGCAGGCAAACAGATGGGTCGAATGCGTCGGGCGAATCTTCGTCTTCAAGCGTCAATGAAGAGCTCGAATTCAAGAAGCGCGTTCGGCGAGGAGTTGACAAGTCTCAGCAGCTCGTCGAAGCAAGAGTGACTCGGCATGCGCAGAGCACGGCTTGTTGCATGGTGCAGTGCCTTGGAGTGGGGTGTCGACTGTCGAGTCTTCGATGAACGACTGACTGACAGGGATGTGGAGTAGTAGGAAACGGAAGCTGATCGATCAGAGGTTTACACCTGCAGACGTCAATGTAGCGTTGCAGCAAGACAGGTGGCGACGACGAGCACAGCAGCTGATGGTTGTCGCGTAGGCAGTCAGTGATATTGACGAGTCCGTCGCTCCAAGGCAGATCGCAGTCAAGACCCAAGACCAAGACCTCCGACCCAAGCAAAGCACTGGCAGCACACGGCCGAGACTCTTGTCTGGATGGCTCGCCTGCAATACCCGGATTTGCGCCAATGAACCAAGTTCGGACAAGACATGGCGAGAGTCCAGGCAAAGCATTGAAGCTTGAGTCAATACGTCCAAGCGTGGCTCGTGGCTTGACGATCGGTTCTTAGGGTTCACTGCAAGTGGAGGGAATGCTTGGACCGAGCCTAAATACCGTAGGCTGTTTCTCCTCAACAGGCCAATAATTGACGCGATGGATTTGAAGTGCATTTATAGACGTTGCAACGTAGGATATCATCTGACGACTTCAATGCTCGTACCAAGCTTTTACGTCCTGCGACTGCTTTCTCATTCTCAATCGATCACCTAGTAAAACGTGCAAAGTGAACACATATATTCGGTTTATTCGAAGGTCGCGGACACCTCCGCTATATTGACCTTATGGTGATCTCGGCACAAGATGCACCAGAATCCAGATCACCCGATCCGGACGAGGCGTCAGTCATGCTCCGATCAAATATAGCCGTTTCCGGTAGTACAGATCGTATGTTAAAGCAGCTAGACTTTCATCGTCGAAGTTGGGCCCGGCAAACCCCGGTCATGCCCGAGCACAGTTACTCTACTGTGTATTTTTAACACATACTCTGGTACTCTATAATTACAATGTTCTTCCAAGCTATTCGTATGGAGTGGCATTCTCATCTACGATGAAAAGGTTATTTCTATTGCACCTTGGCATAGCAGAGGAGTCACATACATGACGTTGTTGTTCAAAACAGTGCAGCGTTGAAGGATACATGTAGTCATAAGATATTGTCTCATTCAACGTAAGCGTTCAGTACATACACATATATTTACAGCAACACCATACTCACAATATTGTGCTCACTTCCCATCCGACACGATTAAGGCGTTGCTCTCGCTCTCGTGAGTAGTGCTGATCCCAAGTCCATGTAGCCCGTCAACAGGTGCAACTTCTTCCACTTGAATAGCCTCTGTTAAATCCTGCTTGCCGTCTGACCCGGGTCCTGACTCCTCCACACTCTTCCCTAGCATTGGCGTTGGTGGAAAGGCATGTTTGCTTGTTATCGACGTTGGACTGAGAAGGCTCGGTGACTTCTGAGATTGTCCATCTATCAGCGATTCACGCCGGATACTCCTGATGCTAAGATTTGATCCAGCTGGTGATGGCTGACCTGTGAAGAATGCCTTCCATTCGTTCGTGGCATTCGATGGTTTTGTACCTGTCTTCTGAAGCTCAGAGGGTCTACGTTCACGAGTGATCGACCTATTTGTTGTTGTGACAGGTGTTGCGGCACTCTTTGCACTTGTCGTGTTGCTCGTTATCGTGCTCGAGGGCTCCTCAGAGCTGACCGCCGTTTGTGGGAGCTCACCATCATCAGTGCTTGCTACGAACGTCGATCCCGTGTTCTGAGCATCTGATGACGACTTAATCAACACTTCCTCGGCTGCCGTTGCGACTTTTTCTGCAATAGAGTCGCTATCTTGTGTAGAGTACTGCTGAGCTGCGTCCACCCTCGTCGACGACGACGGAGACTCAGACGTACGACGGTACGTAACAGGATCAGGGGGCAGTCGTGGCGAAATAGGTGGTGCCTTGTATGTCAGAGCAGGAAGGATGTACAATGATTCTGTTGCGCACTGAGTATTGGCAGATTGGTGCACTTCCTCTTGACTCCAAGACTCTCCAAATGGTGAAGGAGGTATCGGGATGTTTGGCGTCGACACGAAGACGACACTCGACGATCGTGCTGGCTCTTTCTCGCTGTGAACAACCTGTGGTATAACATCGATATCTCCGTCTTGTTTTGTGTCGTGTATGGTCGCAACTTTTTCGGATCCTCTATCAGCAGCTTCTAGCGTCTTTGACGTTGGAACCTTATGTTTATCTGAATCAACACTGTTCTCAGCCACATTCTCACCTATTTTGCCCTGACTTGCAAGCTGATTACTGAGAGTGTTCGTCTCCACTCCGTCACCTGTTGCAAGCTGCCCAAGCCCGTCGCAGGGAGATACTGAGTGTACTGGTATCCGTGGTGGAGGCGGTGGGGCCAGCTCCTCCGGCTCTACAAGTTGATTGCTCTGTGCCGCCGAAGATGTAGGCATTTTGGGGTTTGGTGGAAGGACGAAATGTGGTTGGTGGACTGACTGTTCCTGGGCATCCATTTCCGCTGTCTCTGTTCGAGACAAGGGCTTGAGTTGTGGTCGCGGAGGCAAGACGAAATGCTGCCTCGGCGCCTCTAGCTCCATGACCATATTCCGTGTCGAGGCCACATTCTGAGCTGGGACAGGGCTACTGCCTTCCATCTCCGCTATAAATTGTTTGCTGGGTACTGGCAAGGGTGGAACTTTGTCCACTACAACCTCGGGCGCATATGCCGATGCTCGTTTATCATGGTGTCCACGTCGCCCAGAGTGCGCCGAGCCACTCTCAGAAGCCGTTACCTCCGGACCAGGTTCTCCTAGTGTGCTCTGACCGGCGCTTGAAGAGCGTGAGGGTTGTCTTCTGGCTGCAGCAAGGGCTAATGGGTTTACAAAACCAGGTCCTCGATTCAATGGTGGACTTCCGAGAGGAAGATCCGGTGGGTGAGAACTGAATGCACCCCTTTTCAGCAATTCCTTCTTCTTTTCTGCTTGCGCAAACGTCGTAGTGGCCCAAGCAGGTGTTCCTGGGAGACCGTCTTGTTCTCCACTTCCTTGCACGGTGATTGTGGTCACTCTCGGAGAGCGACCATCCTGAACTGAGAGACCTTCGCCAATTGAAGTTGTATCGCTGATCGAAGATGATGGCTGTGGTGGAGGTAACATCGACGTTGTACGCCTGACATCTGGCGACAATGTGTGTTCGGTGCTCACGGTTCGCAGCGTTGATACTCTCTGTGACATCTCAGAGGACCTAGATGTCGGTCTGTTGGCAACGTCTGCCTTTGCTGGATCCGAGCGAAGCAGATCGACCAAGGTAGAGGTCCTCTTTCCTAAGTGCCGATCGTCTTGCACCACTGTGAGTCCCATGCTAAGTCGGTTCTGCTTCGACATTGGTGCTTGACGCATTGTCTCTTGTGGTACATGAGCTGGAAGCTCGACTGGTGGAAAATGTCTCCCTAGTTGTTCCTCATAATTGATGATTTGTGGCTCAGTGGGTGTGCCGTCTGTGCTGGGAGAAGCATCAAAAGCTAATAACGAGGGCACCATAGACTGTACGCGGGCTTGAGAATTTGAGCCTATTTGTACTATCCTTGGACTGGCACCTTTATTGACCTGACGTGGGGCTGGTATCCCATCTTGAGGAGTTTGCGCCCTATTCAGCAAAGCATTGTGCCTTAAGCTCTCTTGAGAAGCAGCGGCACGTAGGGGTGGTGCACTCCTCACAGTGTCATTTGAGGCGGCCTGCCTCAAAGGGGGTCGCGGCATACCCGGTAATTGCTTGGTGGGCTGAGTCTGAAACCTCGAGGTTGGCGTACTTCGTCCCGTTGGTCTGCCCATGATTTGTTGATGCTGTACTTTTGCCTGGTGAAGCAGTCTCCGACTGACTTCTCCCGCTCGGGCCTGCATTTCATTTATGATATCAGTAAGCCTTTTCAGAGAGCCTCCGAGCTTGTTGCCTTGCACATGTAAGGCTAAGAATGCCTTCCGCCAGCCTTCGACATTTCCGAGCATGGCGACAAAGACTGCCTCGTGTTCGACGGTGGACCTTCGCCAAGTAGAACAGAGGCTTTGAAGATAGAGCTCGAGACAGCTTGTTGAATCAAAACCCTTCTGTACATCTTTCAGTGAATCTTTCATTGCTTGCGTGGTTCGCTCTACAATGTGCTCGATCTTCTCGTTTCCTTCGACAATGGAGAGGCGAAAGTTGCGGTCCTCGAGCATTTTGTCGAACGTGCCTGGATGTGAGAGGGGCAGTTTAAGACAACGTAGTCGTTCTTGAATGTCTTCTGCAGCGAGGTCAAAGTCCTCAGTGGTTCGTTCGAGAAAGCCGTCGATTTCGTCCACGTGAGCTTGCAAGATCTGCATCACATCGTCCTCCGACTTGGCCATTCTCTCAGCCAACAAGTGTATTCCGAAAGCTATCTGGGCGATCAATTTCCAAAGAGGGTGGAACTGCTCCCCCGGCTTTTGTTTCCATCTTCCAGCGACTACTCTTTGGTATACTGGGGCTTCGAGGAGGATATTTCGACGGGCGATGGGATTGAGGAAATTATCTGGGCCGGCCTCTTCGTGAACGGACTCAAGCATAGACTCTTCAAAGGGGCCTTGCAGTTGAGATACAGGGTGTACTGGTGCCGAAACAGTATAGGAGCCATGATGAGGTCGATGAGCCATGGAGGCTCAAAATTTGTAAATCAGCCTCTTTCAGTTGCACCTATTCAATCCTGACATGGTCCTTGCTTCACACGAATGTAGTATCACAGCATCAGCTCAGTCCCTCGCGCTCGGTTGGGATTTAGAAACTGTTCTGAGCCCTCAGCTGATATACGACACAAAAGGCTCCTAGGAGTTTTCGATACAATGTCTGTTGCTGCTTGCGATAGACGTGAAGCAAGACGCAGTTCAACGCTTGAATGAGGTGCAGTGTATGGAGATTGGACTTGGTTGATCTCGTGTCGGTTCTTCAGGGAGGATTGACTAAAATGGTGCCCGCATTGGTTTCCTTAGATTAGAACATGATCTGTATGGTCCATCTTTATACTGTACCCCTCCTTAGCAAAGCGAAGAGGGTGCAAGACGCGGGTGGCTTGCGATGCTTCGAAAGCATGCACGAAGAAGATTACGAGCCTTAGCCCATTGTGCAACCTTGACAATTCGTCAGCCATTTTAGTATACAAGGACTGAATGCATTGTGGAATCTGGAACGCGTCAATTTCGAAGGTCTCCAGCTAGCACGTCCTCGGAACTTTACTTGCTCCATCACGGCGGCAAAATCCAGCAACATTGCGACAGAGACATGGGTCAATCGGTCTTTGTTGCACTCCTGGAACAAGAACCATGAGCGCGGTAAATTTACCGGAAGGACGTGCAAGGTCAAACCGGGGAGCTCCTTTCGCCGAAAGGAACTATGATCTCAGAGGTCGTCCAGTCTGTACTTGCAGTGTGGCACAAAGTATACGACCAATCCTCAGGCGACTTGTCCCGTAAGCCCAATACAGTACAACGTGAAGAGCTGCTCGATGCATCTGGATGAAGTTCAGGGGTGACTCCGTCAGCATGTGGGGCGCGGCACGCCTAAAACAAGAACAATAAGGCTAATGCAGGTCCAGCTTTTAGAGTCGCTCATCCTAAAGAAATGCCTCCAATTCTGGTGATTGGAAGTATGGTGGAATGCACGTATGCACGTGCCTGTGACCAAGCTCAAACACGATCGAGAAGGACTTTACCGTACAGGTACTCTTCTGTACTCTTGTCTTCCCAAGAAAGTATGCAAACCAAGGAACGCGCCTAATACGTATGAATCATCCACGCCTACTAATAAATATACGCAGCTAATCCACCTCACCCAGATGGGACCAATCAGCTTGCCGACAGGGTGTTATCACAACTAACAAGTATTGAAGAGTTGGCTGCAATGGAGCAGAATAAATTGTAGAGTTGTCCCAGCGAGTGCAAACTTCCAGGATTGTCGACTACATACGAAGAGATCTATAGACTCGATGAGAGAGAGCGGGCCAACCGGAAGTTTGGGGTAATACATTCACCCGTACTATCAGCCTCCACGAATCCCGTGAGTCAACGATATACTGTGAGAGACAGAGTATATAGGTAAGTACAGCTCCGGACGTCGTTCATTGTGTTTCAATTCGCATTCAAAACATCCCGACATGGACATCACAAACAGTTACCCACTCCCAGACAGGGCTTCGTTGAGCTCAGCCTACGTGGGCAAGACACTAAAGGATGTACCATTACCCAGTGCTGTTCTTGACCTAGCAAAATTAAAGAAAAACTGTGCGTTGATGCTCGATACGGTAAAGACACTGGACGTCGATTTTAGGGCTCATGTGAAGACACACAAAACGGCAGAACTTGCACGATATCAAGTCGGCGGGGAGTGCAAAGATGTGCGACTCATTGGTTCTACTGTCGCTGAGCTGGAAAACCTCATCCCACTGATGAAAGACTATCAGAAGGCCGGTGCTCGCGTGAATGTTCTCTACGGTATACCTGCTGGGCCCTCTCACGCGGCTCGTCTAGCTGGACTCCTACAGTCTGTTGGACCCGGGTCACTATCATTGATGATTGACAACCCAAGGCAGCTTGATACCGCCACTCGAGTCTATGAGCTAGCTGGTTCTCTTCAGGTCAGAGTGTTTCTCAAAACAGATTCTGGTTATCATCGTGCCGGATTAGCACCGACTTCGGATCGGATGCAGGATCTCGTCAGAGAGACATTATCATTCGAGGCTCAAGGTATCGTTCTGCTCGAAGGCCTTTACTCCCACAACAGTCTCAGCTATGGCGGAAACTCCCCACTCGACGCCATGGACAACCTGCGCACCGAAGTAGACGCCTGTTCTCAGGCAGCTCTCGCCAACACTCCAAACGGCTACATCTCATCGCGTGACCGGCCACTCAGCATATCATGCGGTGCATCTCCCACAGCCCTCTCCCTGCAAAACTTGCTCAGCAATGGTTCCGGTACAGCAGCCACCAAATCGGCAGATACCTTACGTGCATCCCTCGCCAAAGCACGAGAAGCAGGCATTCACTTCGAGATCCATGCCGGTGTGTATCCCACATTCGACATGCAGCAAGTCGCTGCCTCCTCCCGAGAGCTCGGAGAAAGACCCGAGGACAATATCGCCTTGACCGTCCTGACTGAAATCTGCTCGACCTACCCGGATCGGACAGAAACTCCAGAAGCACTCGTCAGTGTCGGAACCATCGCCCTCGCAAGAGAACCATGTAAGTCCTACCGCGGGCATGGTGTGGTCGCACCATGGAACATGTCCGCGGAATATGATCCGTACAGCACTCAGAAGAGGATTATCGTAGATCGTGTCAGCCAGGAGCATGGGCTGCTACAGTGGGAGGATAGAGGTAGAAAAGAAGCACTGCCTGTTGAGTATGGTCAGAGAGTCCGAATTTGGCCGAACCACGCTTGTATCACGAGCAGTCAGTATGGTTGGTATTTGATCGTTGATAGTGAGAGTGAAGATAAGAATGTGATCAGAGATGTCTGGGTTAGGTGGAGAGGTTGGTAATTATTCTATCAGCTCTTCCAAGCTCTACATATTTAAGAATAGAAGAACGGTATAGACACTCACGAGCTCCACATGCTGTTCGACTTTGTCGCTGTTTCTATTGAACACTATCTACCTGCACAAGCTCATGAGCTATGTGGTGACAAAAAGAAGCCTTGTATTGATTGATTGACGAAATAGCTGATCTAAATCGACGCTCCTGATATAGCTGTGTCGATTTGTCAAGCTTTCATGGTATTTTCCAGTGACAAGCCTGTACAGCCCACGATCGGTGCTGGGGCACGAAAGTGAAGTCGTGCAAGGCGAACCGTACGTTGCTGAGCTGGCTTGCAGGACAGGATGAGCGCCCAGTATTTATGCCTTCGCCTGCATTGAGTCCTGCCCGTGAGTGTTGCCGAGGTGCTCAGACATCAACACGTTATCTCTCCTTCGTCCGGTCTTAGTCGCAGTACCAGTGCCCGCAGATACCATAGCGCATTCTCGCCTATGTATCAGCTCAGGTTTGACATTTCCTTCGACATGCTCCGCGACAGTTCTCCTACTGACCGAGGCTTCTGGTGTGCTTGGCTTAGGGTCTAAATACCACCCTGCAGTGATAGACTCCTCGTCTCCCTTTTCGTACATTCCAGTTGGGAAAGAAGATGTTGGCCTTACCCTGAGCAAGTTCGATACCACCAGAATGTTCGGATCGCAGGCTTAATCCGACACAGTCTTCGTAGCCACCAGCGATGATGGTGGAGACAAATCTTTCAAGAATGGCTGGTATTGCGGGATGGCGAGATCGATGCCTTTGTCCTTGCTCAGAGGTCGGAACTCGAATTCGAACGGCATCACGTCAGGAGATCCCGGGGTTTTCATGACTCGCCAGCTGACTGGCACGACCTGACCACCGACGAGCTCGTCATCCTGTAGCCTGCAGCTCGTAGCTTGGTTGTTATAGTCCACCAGTTTTTCATCCTTGTCGAGGTCGAAATGGCGATGAAGAAGCACGACACCAAAGGTATCGCTGAGCTTGTATTCGAAAAGAAGAAGTCGTAGGGAGCTAAGGACAAACGCTTCGCCTTGCCGATACTGAAAGTCTTGCGCAGAGGTGCCAAGGACAGGCACTTTGTTGTACTTCTCGACGGAGTATGGGAGGACCTGTACGGACATGATCGGGTTGGTGAAGGTGTATTCTTGTACAGATTATTCTGATTCGTGCGGAGTGTCCTACGTGTTAGCGAACTCTCCAAGCGTCAATCTATCAATAGAGAGGATTGAAGTGGTAAGAAAAAAGCAGACGTTCTTATATGGGTGTCCATGTTGAGAGACAACGCCTTAGTGCCCATTCAATGGTGACGAGTGATAGCGACAACCTGACTTGTGAAGCTGTTAACCTCGCAGTACGTACCACGAGCCCTTATGAGCCGTCTTCCCCGTTGGCGGTCCATGTCGTCGCGGTTGCTGAAGCGCTTAGCATGATAGGTAGACGCGTCATGATAGAGGGGTTTGTTGTCGTATGGCGTGTACCCGAAACACATGCTACACAAGATAGCCGTAGTTCATGAAGAGTAGAGACTGCCTCAATCCTGCTCTGTCCAGAATCCTCATGATTAGCAGCAGAAGTCTGTACGTTTATGAGGGCATCGTGAACAGTTTTCGGATGACTACAAAAGTCACACAGATTCTGCGCGTAAAACCAGTATACACATGCTGAGACGACTCTATACAGTCGAGATTTGGGACGAGCGTTTATCTCACTGACGGTAATGTCTCGAGGAGTACTGAGTCAGTGCTTCGAGATGACTTCGTCGGACTGCCAGTGGCATTAATCACGTGCATACGCGACCTGTCTCCTTAGTTCGCCCTAGAACATCAAACACGAAGTACGAGCTAACTCGCTCCGATCCCTTGGTAGATCTCTTATTATCAGGCTGTGATTAGCTTGTAATCGTACACTGATATATCAAAACACTGGAAAGATTGGTGGATAATGCTACGAGTCAATCAACAGCTGCTCGATATCTGATTTTGCTACCTCGAATTTCGCGATATTAGAGCGGTCAGATCACCTTCACCTTGTGCGACAGACGTGAACGCGTCCGAGGCGGAAATCGTAGGGCGCGTGCAATTGTCTTAGGATAGACTTGATTGAGTTGTTGGCAAACACGACACGCCAGTATGGCGAACTATAGAGACGACCAGGATTTTGATGCTTTCAGGAAACGAAGACCAAGACCTGTGACCGATTATGGATCGTCAATGGTACAGTGGGTCCGACAACGACAGCAACCTTGGAAAGGACCGTTTCATTACGAACAAGAAAGGCCCAGCATAAGCTATATCTTGGACGTGCTGCCACCCTCAGCTATGCTTGACCGTCCTGCAGAATCAATACCGACACGCTTCCTGCATCAGTCACTTGGTAAATCAAAGAAACCCGTAACAATCGTACGATGGATGCCCGAAGGTAGGCGTTTGTTGGCAGGTGTCCACAACGGCGAGTTTATGTTATGGAACGGAATGTCGTTCAACTTCGAGACAGTCACTGCTATGGGCAGCTCTTCATTACGCACAGCAGAATGGTCGCATAAGCAGGATTGGTTGGTAGCAGCCAACGACGAGGGCTCAGTCTTTTACCTACAACCAACGCTTAACATGACGCATCAATTCAAAGCTCATGACTCCCCAATCCGAGATGTGGCTTTTAGTCCAACAGACACCAAATTTGTCACTGCGTCGGACGACAATTCGCTAAAGATATGGGACTTTACATCTTCAACCAATGAATCGACATACAAGGACCATGGATGGGATGTCAAAGCTGTAGATTGGCATCCTCAAAAAGGGCTAGTGGTGTCTGGCTCGAAGGATCACAGTGTTCGTCTTTGGGATCCACGTACCTGTCGCAACTTGACCACACTACATGGCCACAAGAATGCGATAAGCACGGTTTCCTTCTCCCGACTTCGACCTCAACTTCTCGGTACTGCTGCACGAGACGGACAGTCGAGGATCTTCGATCTCCGCATGATGCGAGATGTAGCCATATTGCGTGGTCACGAAAAAGGTGTTACTAGCCTATGCTGGCATCCAATACATCCGAGCATCATCTCCACAGGCGGAGAAGATGGCGCTCTTCATACTTACCTCCTCACAGAACCAAACACACCTGCAGGAATTACCACATATACGACTTCTCCTTACAACACTCCCGATCCACGTTCCGCACCTGCACAATCAATATACCCTGCCCACAAGATCACATACGCACACGAATCCTCAATATGGAGTCTAGACTGGCATCCACTAGGCCACATCCTCGCCACAGGCTCGAACGACCACTACGTCCGCTTCTGGTCCCGCTCTCAACCCGACGACCCACAGAACTGCTTCAAAGACAAATACCACCTCGGCGAAGAAGCAGCCGAAGCCCAAGGCACCTACGACAGAAAAGCCAACGCGCGACAAGCCCGAGAACAAGAAGAACAAGAAGCAGAAGACGAAGCAGAAGGTCTCGAAGACCAAGCCAACGCAGATAGAAACCAATTCAGCATACCTGGACTTCCTGGACTGCCGGGTCTCGCACAACCAAGCGCACCAGTTCCAGGCGCCACATCCGTCGCACCCACCGGTTTCCCCTCCTTACCTGGCATGGGAATGGGAATGCCAATGCCTGACCTCCCCCACCTCCGAAACACATCCCAACCACCCAACGGCCTCAACCACGGCCACGTCGTCCCTCCACCCCCAATCCCAGGCATGGACCCCACCCAACTAGCGCGCTTCATGCAATCTCAAGCCCAACACCACCAACACCGTCCAGGAAGTGCTTCTGGCCCTCCTCCACCCCCACCCATCCTCGGGAACATAGACTTTTCCAAACTCAACCTCCCACTACCCATGCCTGGCGCCAATGGCTACCTACCACCGCCTCCTCCGCCGAATGTTTCTTCTGGTGGTGGCCCGCCGATGAGTGCGATTCCGGGCCTGGGTGATTCGGGGATACCGGGGCTTGGGTCGCCGGGTCCTGTGTCTGGTGATCCGAGGATGATGAGTAATGGTACTGGTGTCAGGAGACGAGCTCCATTGCCGAGTCAACAAGAGGGGTTTCAGGCTGAGCAGGCGCAGGGGAGATATAGAATTGCTAGGTAGGGGGAGTGAAGTTGTGGAGTATACTTGAGAGGATACGCGAGCGACGATGAGTTTCAAGTATTGGCTAGAGGCCTTTATGTTTTGAGTAATGCCACGAGAGGGAGCGTTCGAGAGAGATGGTTGAATTTACGACACTAGAGAAACAACATAACCGAAACTACAGCTAGCATGCACATGCTGATGGTCGCCTTCATTGGACCGACATTGACTGCCAAATTCTGCTTCGATCCACCGTTCCCATTTTCGTCAGAGCTCGTATCAACTTTCTGGAGTGGAACCGCCTTAACCAAAGACTCAACCTCATCATCCCACATCAAACACTGTACGGGAAGCACAATCTCCGTCTCAAGCAACGGAACAGCCTCACCATGCTCATAACCAACATTCAACACCTCGACCCCCACATCCCACTGCGCACCTCCTCCAAACATCGCGCTCGAGCTAACGCGTATCAATCCGTCCTGCGCGTCTTCCGATACCGACGGCTCGCAATTCTCATCCCCTCTGTCGACCATGTCTACGGTAGTGGCTAGTTGAGGTAGATCGAGGTAGACGCCGATCCCGCCGTCGGCGCTTGCATTGAGAGTGTCTGAGCCAATGCCTGCTCCGAGTATGAGTTGGGGGTTGAAGCCGATTGTCAGATTGAAGGACAGTGCTTCTGTATTGGCGGTGAAAGGAAGAGCTTCGAGCTTCGTCTCGGAAAGACCAGATGTGAAAGAAGAGTTTGGTTCGCTCATGTTCAGGTATATTTTCGTACTAGGTGGTGCAAATAGATTAAAGCCAGTACGAAACACCACAGGTGAATTCAGTGTGATTGCCATAGGAAAGGCCAAGTCCAGGACAGGACCGAATTTAAGGACTCCAGCGATGACTATCGCACCTAGTGGTATGCTCGGAAGTTGCGCCGTGTATTCTAACACGTTCAACCCTGGCAGGAGCTCGAGCTCAAAATCCATCATGGCTGCGATATTGGTTGCATCGAACTCGAGAAAGCCATCGTCGAAGAAGTCCATCAGTACTTCAGGGTCGGAATCGGTTACTGAGAAGCCACCTGCTTTGAGTTCAATGTTCCCTGTCATGGTGCAGTTTTGACATGAAAGACGGATGTTTTCATGAATGTTAGCATATGGTAGGAATTCCACGATGGAGCTGTCGGGTGGCAATAGGGTCGTGTTGAGTCTGGAGAAGGACACGTCTGCTGCAAGCGAGGTTCCTGTGGCTAAGGCAGTGGGAGACGGGTAATCGAACGTTGTGCTGAGTGACGTGGAGCTTTCCTGTTCGATTGTGCTTGTAGCAGCATCTTGCCGGGCAATAAGGGCCATTGTATTGATGTGGTCTGTGATATGGTCGCCGATTTCGACATTTAATTTGTGTGTTACCTCCCTCAGTCGGAAAGACTGCGTCTTAAAGACTATAAGCCTTGCATCTCTGTCGTGATTCGCCATTTCCACACTTTGATACAATTAGCACCGCAAATCAAAAATTCGAACAGCTTACTGATAGACCGTATGCTCGTCACTGGTACGACAACCAGCATGGTTCGTTATCATGACAAACGTGTCGTGCAAGGACCACGCCGCCAAAGCAGAATCGAAGCTCATGTAATCGATGAGATATAGAGCGAGCGTCGATTCCGAGCACGAAACCGAATGCAGAAGCGTATCGAAGTCCTCCAAAAGCAGTGTTGGGAATTTTGGCTGAAGCTCTACCTTTGCGGCCTTGAGCGAGTCTTTCCGTGTATCAGTACTCAGCGAACAGTGCTGGTTGCTAGCGACCTACCATCCGCAAAATAAATGGATAGCTGATCATAATTCGGTGTAAGACTTTTGACAGCTCGTTTTCGAGTTGGGTGTTTGGGCGCAGCACGGAAGTGTCTGTCAGTCGAGGCAAGGATAGGAAAGATAAGGGCAAGCAGAATGGTCAGCAATTGAAGTTCTTTGGATGAAGCCATGGGTCATAGAGATGTGGTTGAAAGCAGTGCAAGCAACCCGTTGTGCCGCACCTTATATATGCCACCACGCTCCGACCTTTCCTAGCATGTCCACCTAGCCTAACAGCGATCGGCCAGCAGAAGCTCGAGAAGTATGTTTCGTCTCGCATTTTCGACAAGTGAGGAACTAGTCTGCCGATAGCATACCAAGGACAAAAGATAGGATAGTGCATATGATTCCAGCCAGAACGGAAACTTGGGCAAGGCTGTCCGGTACTGCTCAATGCACTAAGGCAGCCACACAGGTCGCAGCCTCCGGTGCAACCAATTCCGAACCTTGCGAGCCGTCCGCCAAGGTGATGATCGTGGGTCCAGATCTTGTCCAGGTAGTTGATAACCATGACAGGCATGGGGTATGTGACAGAAAGTTGCAGCTTCGCATAGTCGTGTACACAATATATTGTGCTGCTGGCCTGCGAATATCAAGCCAAAAAGTCATATGCAGGGCTTGTCTGTGATAATGTAAAGTTCCCATAGCAGGAAGTGCCAAGACACCGGAATGCCATGCGGCAAGTGCCGAGCCATTAGCTAGGTCGAGTAGCTCTTGTGGAAGCGCCTTCGAAGCGTGCAGTATGTATGTGTTTCAGGCTGGCCTTGGCACGACCATTTTCCACTTCAAAACGGGCTTGGCTGCCGCAAAACGCCATGCATCTCGAGTGGGCTGAAATCCGTCCGCTTGGTACTAAGCAGGCGAGAGATAAGGAACCCCGATACTAAGTCAAAGTTAGATCAGGCGTTCAGGCTCGAATCACTTTGTATGAAGACAAGAAATGCTCGTCGATCATGCCTCCATTTCGGTATCCTCCCTCTTGATTTCAAGCTGCACGGTGTGACCTTGCCCGTTGACGTTCTCTTTCACGACTTTGGATTCATCGTCGTTGTCGTTGATAGACCTAGGTTCAACATCTTCTATCCAGACTTTTAATGTTCGGTCTTTACCCACACTCGCCAACATGCCTCGTCCGTCCTTCAGTTTTGCCCAGTCGACAGACAGAACAACGTCGCTGTGACCACTTTCGTGCCATAGTATCTCCTTGCTATTGATATCCCAGACGAATATGTCACCATCTTCACTTCCACTTACGACGAACCCTTCAGTCTTTTGCAGGTCTGTTTCCTCGTCAATTGTGGTGTATTCTCCAATTGTGCCACTCAGCGAGTATGCAGAGTTGAGGTGACCTTGATACGTCTTGACACAGCCACCACCATCGGCGCCAAGGTATCGCCATAAGCGTATGCAGTTGTCCAATGTCCACGCCAGCACATAACGACCATTAGGCGAGAACCTGACTGCAGTGACTGCCTTCCGGTCTTCATGTACCAAAGTCTTCAGGCATTGACCGGTTCCCGCATCCCATATGCGTATCAGCCCATCACTCGCACAACTGCATACCATTGTACCGTCTCTTACGAAGTCCACACCTGAAACTGGATCTGAGTGTGCGGGGAGTTGACGCATGACCTTAGCACTGCGCACATCCCAGAGAAACACGGCCTCATCGTAGCTACCCGAAACGAGCATGTTGCCCTTTGGTGAGAAGGCCAAGCTGTAGACATAATTGCTGTGACCCAGATATGGGCTCGGTGGAATAGGGAAGTCGCTACTCAGAGGACTCCATATCAGGATACTTTTATCATCAGATGCTGAAGCGAGGGTGTAGGGAGGACCGGTCTGAGACCACGATAGAGCGTTGACGCCAGCTTTATGGCTGCGTAGTGTTTTCAGAAGTTTGAGGGAGGGCTCTGTTGTGGGTTGACCCAGCACAGAATAAATATTGATGCTTGCATCGGCAGACGCTGTCGCAAGCAGAGCGCCGTCTGGCGAGAACTTCGCAGAGGTGATGCCTCTTGCGTGAGCTTTCGGTAGAGAGGCTAGCGACTTGAAGCGTAGTTTAGGTTTGCGATTACGCGAATGGCTACCGGAAGACGAAGGTTGCCTGGAGGGGGATCGTGATAGCGGGCTATATCCATTGCTTGGGCTACGAGCTGGCAATGACTCTCCTCTTAGGTCTCGTTGGACTGATGTGCTGCGCCGCCCGTTCCTTGATCTGCTTCTTGAATGAGATGATGCACGTCTTGCCGAGCGGTCGACGGGGCTTCGTTCTTGAGATACTCGTCGTGGGGAATAGTCTGATCCGGCTGAGGAGGTTCTCCTGCGCTTTCTGGGAGGTTCGTTGTCCATTGCAAGTTGATGTCTAGCCAGGATTCTGCTAGCTTTCACCAGCAACTGGCAACTTCAAATTGATCTCAACGCGAATTTCATCCTGTAGTACCCCAGAATTGAACGCGTCTAGCTTAGTTAGCGTGTTCATATGCGACCACTCATAGTGCTCTAAGGGGTTCTTGGATTCAGGTGCACCTAAATTTGTACCAGGGAATAGTGCCTAAACAAAAACCATTCAATACCGCCCGTCTCTTTACAACAAACACCATAAGAGCACGAAAAACCACGCATAAAAGACGTTCGAAGAGCCTCATCAACACAGGGAACTTTGTCAAGAGTTGAAGCACATCCGGGCCAGAGGAAACGGTATTGTTTCCACCTGTGCTCATCCCTTACTACTAAATAAAAAGTGCATGAGAACTTACGGAGTACCTATCGTATTCGTATAGCATAGCGCCTCGATCGACGAGCGTTACATCTGGCTCAACTTAGCATGGTATCAACACATGAACTTGCTGGGTTGGCAAGGTTCAGGCACAGGGATGTCCCAGAGAGCGCAGATCGCCTGTTATGAGCATAGCAGTGGGCTGATCTATAGGCTTGGGCTCATAAAAAATGCGTCTGCCTGCACGAGTAGGACATAGGTGTGGTCGTGTATAAATTTGCATATGCTGTCAAACGCCGTTATCTGCAATGCTATCTACGGCACATGTGAACGCAATAACTTATTGAAGTGAATGTGATCTCTCCAATATTGTCGTATCTTCAGTTGCTTGTCCTGACCACGTCTGCACAGCAATGCAAGACGTACCCAGGTGAAGCTGCCTGGCCAAACGCAACAACATGGCAAGCACTCAACGAGACTGTATCAGGCAGACTGACAGCTCCTCTTGCCTTTGGCGCAGTATGCCATCGACAAATGGATTCTTTCAACAACGATTCGTGTAATACACTATCAACTCAGTGGAGTAATACCTCCTTCGTTGCCTCGAATCCCTGGCTGGCAGACTACAACGATGAAAGCTGTTCGCCCGCCTCTCCAGACTCTCCATGCACTACAGCTGGCTATCCGGCCTATATCATCACTGCCGCCGAAGTGGCGGACGTGCAAGCTGGATTGGACTTTGCACGAACTCACAATATTCGTCTTGTTGTCAAAGGCACCGGCCATGACTTTCCAGGTCGCTCATCCGGGGCCGGCAGTCTCTCAATATACACGCACAACTTGCGTGGCATGGAGGTCAACATGTCTGATCAGACCGCAATGCGCTATGGTGGTATCGCAGCAGTGAAGATAGCGGCAGGAATGCGATTTCGCGAGATCTATACAGAAGCCGCAAAGCACAACATTACCGTCGTTGGTGGTGCGGACCCTGGCGTGGGCATTGGAGGCTGGATACTGAATGGAGGACACAGGTGAGTCCGATCCATTCCTCGGAAATTATTCAGTGAAGGGTGTAGAGCACCTCGCGGGCTCTCAAGCTGACACCTCGCAGTCCTATCTCTTCCTTGTATGGCCTCGGTGCTGATCAAATTCTGAGCCTTGAAGTCGTTACATCAGATGGTCAGCACAGGATCGTCAACGAAACATCCTTTCCAGACCTCTTCTGGGCTCTGCGAGGTGGAGGTGGATCAACCTTCGCTGTCATGCTCTCAGTCACTGTCAAGGCATATCCTCAACTGAGAGGAGCAATCAACTCGTATTCGTTTGCCACGACTGCAGACAGCGAGACCTTCTGGTCAATGTTGACTTATTTCCACTCCGAAATTCCTAGGATTTCCGAAGCCGGTGGCATGGGCTATCACTACCTTGTTCGTGGCGTGACTATCGGTATACCTGAAGTAGATATGCTGACCGGCGGCTGGTTCTTTCCACAAAAAACAGTGGAGCAGATGAACGTGGTTCTTAATCCAATTTTGGCCACTATCAACGCATCCTCTTTGGGTCCAGACACGATCCATGTATCAAGCAATGATTCTGTCTTCGAGGCCGCAATGTACCTTCTAGCACGCTCGTCAGGTGAAACAGCGGGCATTTCGGGCAGGCTCGGTTCATGGTTGCTCACTGGGCCGGCCCTTACGAACAATTTTGAGGAGCTCAAGAAGGGTCTCAGGACGGCAACTCCACAGCCCTGGAATTTGATCAGCCACGTGGTTGGAGGTCCAGGCGTGAGAAATGCTGTGGCTCATCTGCCCGGAGGCAGCAACGCTGTCTTGCCAGCTTGGAGGATAGCCTATACGCATGTTGGTAAGTCCACCCTTTCCTCGTGCCCTTTTAAGGCCTTGCACATGGCAAGCTGAATGTATTGACACAATCTAGTCCTCCCTCGAGCGTGGCCAACAGATCCCAGCAATACCACACTGAAGCAGTCGGTTACATCAGCTCTCAGGGACGTAACGGTTCCAGCTTTGAAATCGCTTGCACCTGTATCGGGCGCTTTCATCAACGAAGCTGATCCCACCAACCCAGATTGGAAGCATGACTACTTCGGTAGCAACTATGAGCGATTGCTTAAGATCAAGCACACCTATGATCCTCGTGATGTCTTCTGGTGCAAACCTTGCGTCGGATGGGACGAATGGGAAATCGTTGATGGTCCGGATAATCTGCCTATGGCAGAATGGGGCGTCGGACAAAGTAGTGGAAGACTGTGTAGAAAAGTCTAAGCTCAATAGACCGAGTCGAGAGTTTGTGCAAGAGCATTTCCACCTGCCGCAGTAAACAAGGTAGAGCAGCGTAACTGCGCTGGTCCTAATATCAACACTCTAGTTGCTGGATCAGGGCGATGAAGAAGCAGCCATGTTGACCCGTGTATGACGTGCGGCCTCTATATATCGATAGAGACCTATATCCACCGTGATAGCTTTGATCTGACGCCGAGAGAGTTTGAGGTGTAAACATATCTCCTCTGTCTCAGATGATGAATCAGAGTAAGTCGATCTCTTCTCATCCATTTCTTCGGATGAAGATACCAGACTCAGTGTGCGCATTAGTGGACTTATATTGTCAGCTGAGTCTTGCACTTCGTCCGCGACACGCTCGCAGATCCAGCAATAACACATTGATGCTTCTGTATTTGAATCAGGGCGTTTGCCTGTCAAGCCACCCGTATCTACTTTCTCGTATGCAGGTGGGGGTACTTCGTTGCTGTTGTGGATATTGTGAATATGTGCAAATGCTTTCCATGCGCTGTGATAAGCCCTATGTGTGCTGAGAACCAATTGAGCCACCAAATCTAATTCGAGGTCGTTCATAGATCTTGCTTCTCCATCGAAACTCACGACTGGTATTTGTTGCGTGCCAAATATGGTTTCAGCTTGGCTTATTGCAACTTTCTGGGCATACCGGACTAGCGCTCGTTGAATAGTGCCTCGCAGGGCAGGTGATCGCAGCCAAAGGTTCTGCTGTATCTCTCTCGTCATTTCAGTCTGTCTTACCACAAGCTCGAGGATCTCGTCTTCTGTACTTGTGAAAGCCGCTCCTGACATAGTCAGGTCGAGATGGATGCAGCTCTCACAATCTGCAGGTATGCCGACCATCTTAGACCATAGTGCCTCTGCAGCGGCTGTGAAGTTGTACTGTAGATTGTCTTGATTGATAGCAAGCAAAACAATATCCCAAGGAAAGCATATTTGGCTCAGAAGAATGAGATTGTTGCTCGAGATCAAACGTTCGTAGGCAGCTGGATCTTGGAGGTAACAATACCAGATCAGTAGCACATCAATTGGGGGCAAGTAGTTAGCCGTAAAGGCTCCGTATAGATGGCTTGTATGAGTCAGCTCACATTCAGTAAGTTTCATTCCGAGAACAAGGACCACTTACCTGCCGGTACCATATTTATTGAAAACTGCCGAATGTCGTATTATCGAGTCTGCTCTCGCGACCCATAATCTGAACCTTTTAATTGCCAGACTTAGGAATAGGAACCATGGCGACTGTAAGGTGTCACTGCCTCCTGGTCCGGACACGAACGACCTAGGACTACTCCGGTGGGCTAGTGACGAGGTTTCGATGTCACATCTCAGCCGATCGAAGCACTCAATCAATAAAAGATGCGATGCGACATGGCCGGCTGCAGGGTACTCCTTCACTGTTGGTAGTATTGGTACGTGTCGTGATAGAGGATAAGGTATCATAACATCGCGGAATATCGATGGGTTTGGTGCAGCGACATCGTAGCTGGAGGAGCTCGATCGGTATCGTCGTCTTCTCGTAGTTGGTTCCGGTTCTGGAATAACCCAGTGGTGTGGATGAAGGCCTGCCTCCTTCCGCCTTTGAAGTGGGTTGATTTTGTTCAGCATGAGCTCTGCGCCGATGAGTGTAGTAATGCTTCAATTGTTCTTCCACTCGAGTAATGTCTACGACAGGCCAGAGATCTCGACACTATACCTTCGACCTGACGGAAGAAGCGTATTCAAGTACTCCGCCAGCTGACTTCGAGGCATGGTGCTTTTTGCTTGTCCTTCTCGGCATCCTCTCATGCCTGGGGAGGCCAAGCCCAGGTTGCCGATCGGAAGAGCTGTTTGGCTGTGGATTCAGCTCCAAGCCTGTCTAACTTTAGCAGGTGACGTGGACCGATGTAAGCCAAGAATCACGCCGGTACAACTTTGCCGAAAGTCCAATAAGTCCTTTTGCAAGTATCAGCTGCAGGTATGACTATCGCGGAGAGTGAGTTTCGCAATACCTCAGGTGCGATGGCATTTGTACTGAGTGGCCACGGAGTTGTGGGCTTGAATAGCAAGACCTAACGTCTAGCCATAGAAGTCCTACAACGATCTTCGGCAGGCTTCTCTTCCACGGTGCTGGCTGTACCAACGCCTATACATTTACCATTACGAGCAGTTCGAGACATCTAAGCCCAGGAATCTTTCCCTGCATAGACATGACAGTTCGAAGAAACGATCGACGGAGATACAGGCCGGGCACAAATGGAACTAAGCAGAACTGCTGAATAGCAGTTTCTGCGGTTAAGAAAGGTAGGTTGTCTTACGATCAGTATCGCCGTACTGACAAAGATATCAACCGTACCTACACATGGAGTCAAAGATTACTTGGATAACAGCAGAAGGACTTGCAACAACTAAAGGACTTTTGATTTGGCCTAGGCAGGAGTGATACATATCTTCACGTGATCCAGATAGACTCGTTTCGTGCTAGGGCAAACGCGTAGCGGCTGCGATTCAATCGTCAGCCAAATCAGCCTGCTACAGGTCGTGCTTGGAGCGTTCGTCAATTCATCCCCATCACGCAAGCAAATCTTCACGCGCTGTTGACCTCGATTTACCTTTGCAACGTTTCTACCGAAGCTCACACCTGTATCGTCCACTATATTATTCCTCTCTTAACGACAAGCAAAATCCAGCATGGATACCCTAGTGGCCCAGTACACGCAGCCGCCATTCTCTCATGAAGGCTATACTCAAGACGAACAAGAAGACTATGCTGAATCAATACCTCCGCTGTCCCTGAAGTTTGCACTGCCGCCAGTAGACAGACCTGCACAGTTCCTGCGAGCAATGACAGATGATCACTCTAACCCAGATTGTCCTATTAAGATAGCTCACGGCACGACCACACTTGCATTCAGATTCAAGGGAGGCATAATAGTAGCAACAGATTCGAGGGCGACAGCTGGAAACTGGATAGCTTCTCAGACAGTGAAGAAGGTCATTGAGATTAATCCAATGTTGCTGGGAACTATGGCTGGTGGTGCTGCTGTATGTTAACGTTCATTGATTGAGAACTGAAATCCGTGCTAATACTTTATCACAGGATTGTCAATACTGGCTCGCGTATTTGGGTATTCAGTGTCGACTTCATGAGCTTCGCCACAAACGCCGAATTTCTGTCGCAGCGGCGTCCAAGATCCTGGCCAACCTCGTCTACTCCTACAAGGGTATGGGTCTTTCGATGGGTACCATGATCACTGGTGTCACCCCGCAAGAAGGACCAGCTCTTTACTACATCGATTCAGATGGGACAAGATTGGCAGGCAACCTATTCTGTGTTGGTTCTGGTCAAACTTTTGCTTATGGTGTGCTCGATGCTCTCTACAAGTACGATTTGGAGGACGACGAGGCTTTGGAGCTGGGCAAGAGGAGTATCCTGGCCGCTCAACACAGAGATGCATACTCGGGTGGATATATTAATTTGTATCACGTAAAGGAGGACGGCTGGGTCAAGCACGGTTTCATGGACTCGAATCCAATCTTCTGGGAGACCAAGCTGGAGAAGGGCGAGTTCTCCAACGTCACAAGTCACCTATGATCGCCCGAGCAAGGAACTCGTGGCGTTCAATCATATCCGCTGGCTATTGAATGGTAATGATGTACACTATCGGTTCTTCTCGAAGCATTCCAGGTCGCTGGAGCAGGTGTATTACCACAGGTTACACATAGATGGGTCGATTTCGTTGACTCGAACTAAGGCTGAACGAAGCATGTTCATCGCTTCCTGTTTCTCCAGCCGTACTCCTCCAACCCTTTACTCCCAGTCGTGCCAGTGTTTGTACCATAACCATTATCGAAATAGAGTGAAAATTTGCCGCTATATACAGCTGACACCTGAAATGTGCGGCTATTGGAACCTTGACAGAATCCCTAACGGAACTCAGAGATTTGCTGTGTTTGCGCGATCGCGTCTCGTCGCGCAGGTTGAAAGTCGCGAACTTCCCCAAATAAATTGAATATCTACATCTCTGCATTACCAACTTAAGTCAACCTTGTTATTGTATTGTGACGGTCATGGATCAACGAAGTCTGAAAGACCCGGCTGCGGGTATCCCACGAGAGCTGGTACGACGATATGTGTAGATGAGGATGTACAAATCTGACATTAAGACGAATAGCTTCCACATCTGCATCTGGTCTCGAGACACCAGTTTCCTACTCAGCCGAGCCCACCGCTAGACACCATAGTGCAATACCTTGTCGCAGCACCAAAGATTATGCGTGAACAGGCACCTGTGCAATGGCAGTACCTCGATGCGCCATCAGACGGCACGTTATACCTAGTCTGGCAGCCAACTGAATATATGGGTATGAACTTCGCTAGTGATGGTTATGTATGGGGAGACGCCGAGCAACCTTTTAATAGTGAGGTTCGAGGATATGTATGACTCACTCTGAGTATTCTCAGGAACGATGTTGCTAATCAGTACAGACCCTGCAAATGTTCTGGCACCGAGCAGGATACAAGCCTCACGCTGAGAGTGTCGCAACACATACGAGAAGAAGATATCGCCTTCTGCCTAACAATCAGATGGGCATGGGCACTCCCGATCCACACTTATGGCTTGTCCATTATTCAAAAGCACAACCTCGTGATCAGCATCCTGCGACTTCGATACAAATGCTACCTCATATTGCACAGGTCTTTCAAACACGTCAGATGATTCAGCGGAGTGGACAACTACCCAGAAAGGAATTTATGCTGCATGATCGGTCTCAGTGGCCAGTAGTTCAACTCCCCACCGGAGTTGGCAGATCAGGATCGTCCGGACAATTGGTAGGCGGTCACCGTCGGGGAGCCAGTCTTGAAAACACGACTATGGAGGAAGAGGAGGATGTGTCTCGAGGCGATGTCTTAGATTTCATCACACCAAGGGAGATCAGCCGCATGCGGTATGAGCAACACCACGAGTGGATGGAAGAGATACTCGAATCGCCATATGCAACGAAGCAGATTATACCTTCTGAGCTTGGTCTAGGTAGGAAAGGAGCGCTCGAATCGTTCACCAATGGCTTCTTCACTGCTCCTGTCTCAACTGCTCATGAAGCGGTGAATGGGAAAGTCGGCAAGTTGGATCTTGCAAGGACGGACGAGTTTACTAAGCATGCCAACGCAAAATTGGCTGAGATGCAAGCAGATCTCGAGAAAATGAAGCAGCAGCACCTTCGACGAATGGAGAAGTTGAGAAAGACCACTGATCTAGGTAGTGCCGAACGCAAGCTCCGAAACATGAACCCAAATGACGACAACTACAAAAATGTCGCTGCTCAGGTGCAGAACATGATGGGCAGGAAGATAGAAGCAGTCGAGAAAGTACAGCAGATTGCACGAGGTGGCTTGCAGGATATCAAGCCAATCCAGGAACCCCAGTATAATGTGCGACAGGACTACACAGCAGCTCTTCAAGCACAGAGTCAAGCTCTATTGCAAGCACAGCAGCAACAGCAGCAGCGTGTCCAACAAATGCCTCAACAGTCACAACCAAAGCCACAGCCAAACTTGCAGCAACAAGTGCAGCAACAGCAACCTCAGACTCAACAGCCAGCCCAGCAAGCGGCGCAAACTCTACCACAAGCCCAGCCTCAACCGCAGATCCAAACGCAACCACAACCCCAAAGCGTGACACCAAGCAACCAGCCCGCAGCTGTCGCACCGCCCACTGAACCCGCTCAGACACAGGAGTCTGTAGCACAATCAGAAGCACTAATACAAAACAACGACGCTGTGGATAGCAACGATATCGACATGGGTGATCTGGGAGATCCAGAAGGCAATGACAATACAGATGGAAATGAATGGGACATGGTAAACGACCAGCCAAGCGGCAATAACAGTCAAAGTCCTCAAGGGAATGTTAACAACCAACAACAACAAGCGCTTCAATCGGATTCAGAGCAGCAGAATGTTGACGAGTCTCAGTCACAACAAGCATATCAGGCTGACAACAACACGCCAGCAGGTGAAGCCAATGACTTCGACATGGTAAATGACTTCGATACGAATATGGACACGGCTGGAGATGCATTAGCTGATTACAACGTGGACGACGATCTGAATTTAGACGACTCGGCATTTGGCGATGCTTTTCATCACAACCAGCAAGATTTGTCCTAGGACGACATATCAGAGCTAGGATCTTGGAAGTCTTGACACTTGCCGAGCTGTTCCACACTAATAGCTTGCAATCTATAGACAACTTCATACTTTTTGCAATGTTTCGTACTTACCCATTCTGTGATTGGCTTGTGGAGTTGCACGTGCATCACAGAACACGAATTTTCATAGTTGATCCCAATCTCTTTCCAAGCAGCAAACTTTCGTAACGTATTAATGGCTAAGACAAAGACCAGCGTTGAGCTTGTTGTATTCGACCAAAGATCGGAACAAGATCTAGGTCAACTTTCTACACAGAATCCCCGGAAACACTGAGCAAAATCAGCCAAGATGGTGGAGAATGTATCCGACCATCTGTACGCAATAGTGGATATGGGAAGGTAAACTCAACACCACATATACCCAATTGCCAAGCACGTACAATCGTCCGAGCTAACATATGAACTGGACAGTAATGGTATACGATTCTCAATAACTGATCTAGCCGCTCCGACGACTCGATCACTACCAACAATATATCAATCGCGGCTTGGCATATCGCTGTACGATGCCCAGTACTCCCGTGGGCAGCAGGTCCCAATACCGCCAGATGTTATTGATACCATCATCTCAGCACTAAAAGACTTTAAGCGAACCTCGCTCGACTTTGACGTTCCTCAAAAGGCCGACCATGTACGAATATTAGCGACAGAAGCAACGCGCAATGCTGTAAATAGTCAGGACTTTATTTCTGCTATCGAAAAGGCACTTGGCGAGCCATGGAGAGTCAAACTGCTGAAAAAGGAAGACGAGGGAAAGATTGGAGCATTAGGTGTTGTCAGCAGCGTTGGTGGAAGTGGTGGGTTAGAGGGCTTGGTCATGGATTTGGGAGGTGCGTATCTCCCTCACTACTGGATACTGGAACATACTATGCTAACCTGAATTGTGCATACAGGTGGCTCGACTCAACTCACATGGGTCATTGCTCGTCCAGGAGAACCACTACAGACTTCCCGTATTGGCAGTACCTCATTTCCTTACGGCGCCGCAGCAATGACCCAGCTTCTTTCCGAGCTTCATACCGACAAAGACCGCGCCAACTTACATGCCAAAATGGTCCAACAATTCCGCGACACATTTGATGAACTCGAACTCTCACAGTCTTTGCTAAATAAGGCAAAGCAACGTGGATTGACACTCTATCTGTCAGGTGGTGGCTTTCGGGGTTGGGGATACCTCCTCATGTCTTCTCATCGCATTAGACCCTATCCTATACCGATTATCAACGGTTTCAGTGTTTCGGTAAAGGACTTCAAGGATACAGCTAACGTCTCGAACATCGCTGTAGACAGTCTTCAAAGCGAGATTGGTGTATTTCGAGTGTCGAAGAGGCGAGCAGCCCAAGTGCCCGCTGTGAGCTACCTCGTCGATGCTCTGATCGAAGCCATACCTGTGATTCATGAAGTGAGGTTTTGCCAAGGTGGTGTCAGAGAGGGCTGGCTATTTGATGGATTACCTAACGAGGTTAGAGCGATGGATCCACTAGAAGCTGCGAGTGGGCGGTTCGCGACCGATGCCGAGTCTGCGAGGAAACTAGCGACGCTGATTGCGGCTTCTTTGCCAAAAGATTGTGATGTTCTTGATCGAAGGGTGCCAGCTGCTATCAGGGAGAAGCACTTACTGAGCAGTTTCGCCAATCTGATGTACTTACAACAAGGACATAGCAAGGAAAGTGCAGCTGTGAATGCACTGCACGTACCTATCACAGGCGTCCTTGCTTCTACTCACGGTGTTGGACATTGCGAAAGAGCATTGTTGAGTCTCATGCTCTGTCAGAGGTGGGGCGGAGCAGGAGAGCTACCAGCACCTCACGGTGAATTGCGGAGTCGTGTTGAGCTCCTGCTCACGCAACAGGAAGTGTGGTGGGCGAGATATCTAGGTGTCATTGGTTGGACTTTGGGTAGGGTATATCCTGCTGCTAAGATCAAGGAAGAACGAGTCAAAATTAGTACGAGGTGGGCCGAGGGATTAGGGAAGAAAGGAAATATGCAGGGTGTCGTAATGGACCTGAGCGTGAACAAGGACGCGCAAGGAGAGTTACTTTTAGGTAAGGACGTCTTGAGAGAGCTCGTGGAGGACATTGAAGCAATCGGTAAGAAGAAGAACCGTGTAGGTGGACGAGATTATGGTTTCGGAGTCCCTGTGAGAGTTCACTGTCACTGGTGAATCTTACCAGTGTCAGTTGATGTCATTGGACCTGAGACACTGCTTTACAATCTTGTCGCAACCAAACCTGCAGCCGAGCACTGGTCAGTCCCGACACAGGAGGGCCGACAGCATAAGCTTGGCATATCCACCTCGATCGTTCAGAGGAGGCAGACCGGCATTGAAATTTACTGCTAAGTACAAAACGTTCTTGTGAATTCACAAAGGCTGAGTGTGAGAGAGCTATCCGGGGGTCCTCGCTACCTCTGCTTGTTGCTAAGCACTTACTACTCGTCAACTAACTATTGCTCACGGTTCTCGATGTCTACCTGGTCCTCTTTCGGTGGATGGCGATCACTCCAGCTTTCGTAAAGCTGTGCGCCCTTCAAAAGTCCACCAGCCGTCTCCCACAACGTTACTAGAACGAACAGTGCCATGACAGTCATCACAAATTCCGTCGCATTGAGGTGCCTGTGTGTTTCAGGCATCACAACGAGCACAACCGCAACAACCAGCCGAGGAGCAATCCTCAGCCATCGCGACATGATCAGTTGTCCTTCGTCGTCACTTCGAAACAGCATACCGAAGACCCAGAGACAGAACATCCCTATACCTAGTCCGCCACCTAGTAACCATCTCTGGCCGTATTCGAATTCCTTCAGACGAACGCTTACTGCCAGTATATGTCCGCCGATCAAGAAGGACATGGCTAAAGGTAGATGAAGCAGGAAGAAAGCGAATGCAGTCCAAGCCGACCTTCTGATCGGATGCGTCGCTTGTAGACTGCCGTCACCTGTAACGTAGATCCAATTTAGACAGAAGGCGATGACCAGAGTACCAACTGCTTTTGCGTACCTGCTACTCAGCCCAGTTCCTGCTGGGTTACCCACAATGATACTGTACACGAACTCTCCAAGGATGATGATAAAGAAAGCCGCCATTCTGTCGACCTCGTGCGCAATGTCGACTGCAGTGCTGTAGGTCAGCTTGAGCTTCCTCTTAATCCAAGGAGAAAGCGTAATCGCCCACGTCGCCTCCTGATAAATGATCATGACCACTACAACCATAATCTTCGTCCAAATACTCACACCCTCGAAGAAAAGAGGAACCACAAAAAGCAAGCCAACAAACATAAACCCCGCCAATATCCTCGCCTGAACCCGATGCTGATAACTTGCAAAACTACTAATCAAGAATATCATCATCGTCGTGAACCTCGCCACCACATACGCACCCGCCGCCGTCCTCAACGCCCCAATCTCCTCATCCACCGCATTCGCATTATTCGCATACAAAACTAACAACGCCATAACAAACAAAATCACCAGCCTCTGCACAATATCATCCGTATAATACGAATTCATAATCTCGCGCAGATCCGCCCAGATATGCCATGCCGGCGCGAAGATGAGGACGTATTTGGCGAGGTGTTTGGGGTTAGGGTTCTCGGCGAGGTCGTCGGAGAAGTTTGCGACGAGGGCGACGTAGAGGAGGTCGAGGAAGAGTTCAAAGCGGCCGGCTTGGCGCTCTTCGGAGGAGTCGGTTATGAGGGTGCTGTGGTGGAAGTATTGGAGGGCTTTGGGGCGTTTGATGAGGTAGCGGGTTGGTTTGGTGGATTGTTGGAGTTGAGCGCAGTTGACCATTGTGGTGGTGGTGGTGGTGGTAGTGGTAGGGGGGAGAGGAGGAGGAGAATGATGGGTTAGATGAGGAGGGAGAGGGTTGAGTGAAGGAAGCAGCAGAAAATCTTGTTCATTGCTGTGTAGATTCTGGGAGGAGATTGGGAGCTGTAAGTCGTGCTTGGCAATGTCAGTAAGCGGTATGGTAGAGTGGTTGCGTGCGGGGTCTCTAACTCGTGATGTCCAATAGGAAAAGAGTTTAAGCGAGTTGCAGGCGATGTTGGTAATACTCGAATAGCTGAATTCTTGCATCCGATTTGGATATCGTGACCGGTAGACCTGCTCACCAGTCATTAGGTATTCCGTAGGAAGTGCCCCTCTGGTAGAAAAGATAAAAGCTTGAGGATGATGGTGGCAGTGAGGCTTCGTTCTACAAACAGAACAGGCTAATCGAATGGCAAGAGCATATATACAGCACAGCGCTTGCCGTAGCAGTGGCACATTTGCTATAAGCTCACTTCTTTTCTTCCTTCTTTTCTTCAGGTTTTGGTGTAGGTAGCTTGAACTGCGCTGGCTTGCGGTCAACACCAGTTCCGACTTGTTCCCAAGCACTTGTACCACCCTCAAAGTTGCGGAATGCCTGAGTCAGCTCGAGTGGCTCGACGACTATTCTCTTCTTCTCTTCATCGTATCTAATTTCGGTGTATCCCGTGAGTGGGAAGTCTTTCCTTAGTGGATGACCATCAAAGCCATAGTCGGTCATTATCCTTCGCAAATCAGGGTGTCCTGTGAAGAAGACGCCGAATAAATCGTAAACTTCTCTTTCATACCAGTTCGCGCCGTCGTACAGAGGAGTAATGGAAGGAACGGGAGAGGCTTCGTCTGCATAAGTCTTGACCCGTATGCGCGAATTGTGTCGTACGCTGAGCATGTTGTACACGACTTCGAATCTGTTGGGCTTCGTAGGAAAGTCGACGCATGTGAGATCTGCTACCATAGTGTATTCTGCTGCAGTATGGTATTTCAAGAAGGTGAAGGTTGGGATAACACCATCAGGCGCAATGTAAATGGTGAGTTCGTCCTTCCAGACACTGAATTGTTGTACGTATTTTGGAAGACAAGACATGATGTATTGGCCATACTGGTGCAGTGGAACTGCCTTGTCGGCATATTTGTCGGCCTCGTTTACGATCGGAGCAGTCAACTTGCCCATGGCTAAGTAGAGGATTAGCTTCACGGTTATACAGAATCTGGTATGCTAGCAGAACATACGTGGTCGAGACGCCTTTCTGAGCTCTCCTAGCAGATCGTCGCCAGGTTGTCGTAGTTTCTGATCGTCGGTTTCAGTCGTATGGATAGGTAGACCTCTACCCTTCTCAGTCGAATTGATCTGGAGACATCTTTTGGGGACGTTGGAACTACGACAAGCTATCGAGGTGGCCCGTCTGCTCACGCGCAGCAGTGTATTTGAGGCTGACATAGTTACTTTTGTGTATGTTATGTGTATATCGCCGTTGATGCAGCCATTGAAGTCGATGATGCTTGTCGCAGCTCTAAATCACGTGTTACTGCTAAGCCGTATGTATACTAGTGGCTTTACGTGACTGCCGTAGCAAGTGGTTGTGCTTCTTGCGATCTTTGGCTTCGATTGCCAGTGACACATCTCCATCATTTTCGCCTTCTACCATTCACCAATCTGTACCAACTCTTAATCAATAATAACATTGTCGCGTCGCTGTAACTTGAGCGCAACCCTATCCTCTAATTGTACAATACGACGATCCGACAACCACTTCTTCAGTTGTGTATGGAGATCACCTTGAACAACTCATTCGTGGAGCAGGAGTCGAGAGTCGAGGCAGGCCAGCGTTACCTGCGAGCATATCCATTATGAGTCGATATCAGGATACAGTGATCGACGACGATGATGAATCGTGTCCGCTGTGTATAGAAGAGTTCGATCTGTCCGACAAGAATTTCAAGCCCTGTCCGTGTGGCTACCAGATCTGCCAATTCTGTTTCAACAGTCTGAAGAATACCTACGAGAAGTCCACCTGTCCGAATTGTCGCCGACCCTACGATAATTCTACGATAAAGTATAAGGTACCGACCGCAGAGGAATTGAAACTTGACCAGCTCAACAAGAACAAGAAATTGGCTGCTGCGAAGAGGAGGGAGACCGAGAAACGTGAAGTTGAGACCTCCAATCGTCGCAATCTGGCTGGTGTACGAGTCAAGCAGCAGAACTTGGTCTACATCATTGGCCTTGAACCGAACAAGAAGGATGAAGCCACGTTGATGGAAACATTGCGAACTATGGAATTTTTTGGTCAATACGGTGAAATCGAGAAGATCGTCGTCAGCAAACCCAAGCCTGGTGCCATCAATCAAGGCGTAGGAGTTTATGTGACCTTCAAGACAAAACAGGCTGCTGCTGACTGTATTAATGCTGTGGATGGGAGCCAAAACGGTGACAAAACTTTGAGGTATGTTGTTATGCGCTATCCATCCTGTCTGTTACTGATGACCCTTTAGAGCTCAGTACGGTACTACCAAGTACTGCTCGACCTATTTGCGAGGCGACGTGTGCCAAAACAAAAACTGCTCTTTCTTACACGAGACTGGTGAGGACGGTCACCAAACATCCTTGCAGAACGAGCCTATCGAGTCCAAGACGAAACCTATCCCTGTGCGCTCTCAGCCAACTCCACAACCTCACGCTACATCTCAAGCTATGGCTCATGAAGGAAGCAGAGAAGGTGCTACAAGCAGGCAGAGCAGCCATGATGCTTCGGCCCTGCCATCAACCGTTGCCTGGGCAAACGCACCTGTTGCCAAGGCCCGTAGAGCTAGCCTGGCCGCCTCGACATCGACTGCAAGCCCTCAACTGACTCAGGCCTTGATCGTGAACAAGAAAGCTGAGCCTGCCAAGCAGCCGGATCCACCTCCACAACCTATTCCATCTATCACCACAGCCACAAGCTTGCAACTTTCGCAAACACCCTCACCTGTATCAGCTACCAAGCATCAGACTCCTCCATCCGACCCTCTCAACGACATTCTTCAGCATTTAAAAGCGGCCATCAGTAACGATGCATGTGCCTTCCACTTCGATGATTCATCCTTGTCTGAGGAGGTCCGAGCTATGGTTGCTGCTCTGCCGCCACTGATTGACCCCTATGGCGGCGCTAAGCGACGTGTGATGCAAGATAAGCGCATCGCAGCACGAGCCAAAGAGGAGGCTGAGGAGAAACAACGCCTCGAGGAACAAGCCAAATCTGCTGCAGAAGATGCTATGGACGAGGATATCACTGCAACTGGCAGTCTTGCTCTTGGTGGCGAACCAGAAGATATGCCCAGAAGTGCTTCAGCACGAGGCACGATCGGACGACCATCCCAGCCAACCCCCTCGAACATGTCCGTGGATCAGCTTTCGAGTCTCAGCCTCGGTCGAAGTATGACTCCACAGCAACGACAACAGTTCGCCATGATGAGTGCTGGTGGTCGCCTGCCTCAGCCCGCAACACAGAACACCGCTTTTGAACTATCCGACTTCGATCGCCGAGCTCCTCAACAATTTAGCCAAGCACAATACGATCAAATGAGCAGTCATGCACGTCATGGGTCTCGCTATTTCAATAACGATGCCAAGGCTAATAGTGGACGTTTCTCAGCTTCGCAACAGCAACAACAAAGCCTCTTTTCGAGCGGTATACAAGGACCTCCTCCAGGCTTACCTACCGCCGGCACCCCGTCTGTCAGTGGAGGAGGAATGTTTGCGCACGGGCAAGGATTTACCAGCGGCTTTAGTACTTCAAAAGATTCAGAAAACACGCGCGTTCGAAGTGGTACTAATACTGGACACGATGTCAAACGTGAGTTACTCCTTTCCTTGCAAAACACCAATAACCCCTTGCGTTCACCTCTTACCCAAGCCTCTGCTCCTGGTGCCTTGAATGGCATGTATGGTCAGTTCCTAGGGTCGTATCAAGATCCAAACCTTGTCAAGCAAAAACGGAAGGGTGGAAAAAAGCAAAGACACGCTAACACTTCCTCTTCAGGAGGCGGTGTCGAGCATCTTGCTGCTGATCCCAGCATTCTCTCAGCCAGAGTCCACCAAGGCACAACAGGTCAGGGGCTTTTCGGAGGCAACCAAGGTGGGTACAACCAAAACAGTATGGCGGCGTACAATGGGAACTTCACTCGGTGGTGATTGATTCTCTAGAGTTCGATTTTTGTGCTTTTCGCTAGGCGTTGGTGGTTCGTCCCTTTGATACACCAAAAAGCGAGTAACTATGGCGAAAGCTTGCGGGACCTTCGATATGGGACAGTACGATTGCAATGTGAAAAACCAGATCTTCGATTTGAGGTTGCCGACTTTTCAGCAACATCACTTTCGCAGAAACACGGGACATGTCATTCTTGCAGATCACGGTTCGGAAGAGATATTATGTATGTTAGGTACGAAAGACCTGATTTCGGTCAGACGAAATGGAGACAAATTCTTACTTCCACTATAGGTTCTGGTTCCTAGCAAATACTAGATATCCTCCGATCGTGATCTGTGAGAAGACATTGTGACGTGAGAGTTTTGTGTTTATGTATTTAGATTGCTTGAGCGTTCCACAAATTGGCATTCATCCTTCTCGAATCTCGCATGGTCTCGGCTAACGATCTATTCTTTAGATGCAACCAACGATGTCAATTCAGCCAAATTCACTGAACCACAATCAGCAATTCACTCTCGAGTCTCATCATTCCATAGCCTCTTCGGACCACGAACAAGTACTCCCAAGGTACCCCCAGGCCTTGAACGAATTCCAAGCTCTATCTCTCGAAGTGCCACGCCTCAAGTACCACCTGGTTTCGAAAACTTGCATGCACATCCCAGCCGTACCGATGATGTGAAAGTCAAAGCTTCTCCTAAAAAGGATGTGGCAGTGATGGGAGTCATGCCTGTGGTACCAGCTGTTCCGTCTTTGCCACGATCCAGAAAGTCGAGTCTGCGCGTAGATCAAAGGACGGAGGTAAAAAGAACCTTGGATGCTATTGCCGAGCCAACGAAGCAACAAGAGCCTATCATGAACGAGACGAATAATGAGGATGTCGTGTCGGAGGAAGCTCATGTCAGTGTTCCCGCAACTGAAGCTACCGACGAGGAGGTAGAAGAGCCTACACCTATGCCCTCCTTCCAGGCTGAAAAAGAAGAAGTCATCGAGGAGGAAGCTACACCGACGCCTATCGTGGAGATCAAACCGCTCGAGAAGATAGATCCTCAAAGTGAGGTTGCCCAGAAAAAGTCCGCCCAAGATGACTCGAAGCAACAAGCAAAGACCGAGTCTACAGAGCCTGCAAAGCCTATAGAGCCTCAAGACATCACAGGCAATACGCGAGAGCCGAAGGCGGCACCTGTGCTCGAAAGCAATGATATCGTGGAAACTCCTACTGTCCTCAGCCGACCAAGCACTCCACCTCCACAGAAGCAGGCCGATACGAAGCGACCGACCTTACGCACACTCAACATCACGACAGAGATGATCGCACGCAGTGCATCACAGTCTCAAGCACCTGCCTCAGCTATGACTGAACGTTCATTGGCTTTTCCAACTCTTTCGCAGATCAGGCAGAGTTCTCGACAAGCATCAATCTCTGTTTCCACAAACTTCAGCCGACCCTCCACGCCTGCGATTTCCGAGCAACTGATGTCACACGATGTTTCACGAGCTGGAACACCACCTCCTGGCGGTAGTGTCGTAGGCTCTGCACCCACACGGCAGAAGACAAAGAATCAGCTCAAAAAAGAACGAAAAGAGAAGGCCAGAAAGACGACCGAAATGTCAGAGACTGGTAGTATCAATGCAGCACCTACTCCGCCCGCTGCAGAAGAGGTCGGACCGATTGTTGCTAGACAGAAGAAGCAGAAGAAGCAGAAGAGTGCGAGCGTTGCGGAAACAGTCCCAGTCAAGGTGGCAATACCAGAGCCTTCAGTCGACAAGGCTACTACAGAGGAAAGCAAACCTATCGAGGTAGTCAATACCCCGAAAAAGAAGAAAAACGAGAAGAAGACAGCGAAGAAAGAGTCGGTAGAGCCGGTACAACCATCACCGAAGACATCGACACCACCTCCACCCTCGCCACGTGTGGAACGAATGCCTGAACCAGAACCGGAGCTGGAACCCGAACCACCTCATTCCTATACACTTCGAGATTTCTACAATGATGCTGGCAGAATTGAGGACAAGTATGAAGGGGATGAATCTGATGCTGCCGATGCAGAAAGACATAAGGAGATACAGGATTTACTCACAAGCAGTATCTCGCCATTGCAGAAGCTTTTATCTGAAATGATTACTTCTGGTGATTTGGCCAAGGATCATGCCTTCTTTGCTTCACCTCCATTCACGAGCGCTGCCTACAAACTGCCGTCTGACAACCGAAAAGGCCAAGCATATTTGGACGGCAATGGATACAGTCCTTCAGATGTCTTTGGTATGGTATACCTGCCGAATAAGGAAAAGCGGGCACTATACAATGGACATGCTGTATCTGTGGCTGACAGCGGAGATCGTAAGGACGATCTCTTGCGAAGATGTCTCATCACACCTAACGGCGCTGTCCTGCGACATTTGAGCCGAGAAGAAGGCGAGAAAGTGCTCGACTTGGAAGAGCGTCGGTCACTATACGTCGAAGAATATGGCGATCTGGGACGCATGGACGGTCTCGATAGACTTGAACCTGAAGACTTTATCAATCTGGAAGGTGGTTTTGACGAGCTCAGTCGTTTTGGAGACCGTCATGGAGTATGCTGGGTCGTCAATGATGCTGAACGAGCCAATGCAGCAAGACGAACAGGGTATGGAGTACGCACGAGCGATGGGAATGGTCTTGAAGATGACTATGGCCTTGGTGAGATGCCTGTCGATGCCCACGAGTTTGATGATCAGTTCGATGATCCAGAAGACGACGATGACGATGACGACGATGACGACGAAGAACTCGAGGGTGAAGAGATGGTTCTTGAGGCTGACGGTGCTGACGAGGTCGAGTACATTACTGACGACGATTTGGTCTTCGATAATGTGCGTGGCAGCTTCCAGAACCTACCTCCTCTACCAGACGTCATGAACATTAGCATGCCTGGTTCCTGGGATCCGGCTTTCAACACGGCCACGTACCCTGTCCGTGTCACGCCACACCAAGCAGCACAACATCACAGCATGTACAGCTCTCTCGGACCCGCATACACGACAGATATTGACCTTCCTCCACCACCTCCTCCACCTACCAACGCAGTCCAAGCTGCTCGAAATCCGAATACTTTGCCACCTATAAGACACCCATATACACAAGGCAGTAGGGATAGCTCCATCAACCTAAGAGCTATGACGGCCGAGCAATTAGACAAAAGAGCGAGAGAAAAGGCGAGAGAGATCGAAGCAAGCAGAAAGGAGATGGAGAAGGCAGAGAAGATGTTGAACAAGAAGAGTAAGGATGCTGGCAAATGGCGTGACGGAGTCTTCAAACTGGTCAGCGCCTAGTGGTCCTGATAGTTGAGGGTCGAATTGAGAGTCCATGCTGAATGTGTCCAGAAGAAGTGAGCTACTTTTATCAGTCGTTATGCGAGTGTTGTTTTGGATGGTAGGACTTGGGCTGTCAAGCAGTCGGGAGAGGCTTGATATTCTACTCAAAGTTGTCATAGGTTATCATTTGTTCATATTATGATAGTGGATGTACTCGATGGCAGCAGATATGCAAGCAGAATTAGAAGAAGTTGTCAGCAAGACTTGCTGTAAAGAAACAGCATCCGGATTTCGAATTCACAAATGATTGGCGAGTCGCGTGTCTCCGTCGCATCGCCTTGAACGATGACTATTCCATAAACTGTCCAATACTCATCACACAAAACACCGACTCCACACTCCCTAGCCTTCCACCTCTCTGAACACGCGCCACTACCACTACCCTATTCATCGAATCATTCCCAATCACCATCTTCACCTAAACCCCGACCAGAACATCGTCAACCACTACCAAACCACCAGTCAGCAAATCCTGCCTCTAGCCTCTAGAACATCTTTAATCTGCCTTTTCTGCCTTTGGAGGATAGCTCTTCCCGCCAACCTCGACTTTCGGATCACAATCGCATCTGTCGGATTCTGCGACCGAGTCCATCACCATTGGGATGTGTTGGCCGCAGCCCCACCAGGTTGCTTTACCTATTAGAGGCAACAGGTGTTAGTGGACAGAGAGTGGAGGGCAGGAATTGAAGGGGGAAAAGAGATGTGTGGTGAGGCGGGATAAAGGCATACATACCGCAGTTGCTGCAGGTTGCTCTTTTGCACATTTTGGGGGAGTGGTTGGATGTGAATGTAGGAGTGGTTTTAGTTGATCTCTTTGAGGCTGTCACGTATCACTTTGGGGCTAATATGTGTCTGAATTGTAATCGAGTGGTTAACGTCAGTATGCTCGAGTTGAATAATGTTAGCATGGCACGTTGATGACACGAGGGGTCTAGGAAGGCTTTCGTCGGCGACCAAAGTGGGGTAAGTTGGCCTGACTCAGCTCGCCGACCCGATCTTTTCCAGCTTCTGCATTGTAAGATACAGACACAGCGCAGTCAGCTGGGTCGAGAGTATGTACGACAGCACGAGCATAGGGAGTGTTTGGAACAATAGTAGATCAAGGGTTGAGGCTCCAAGTGCTATTCTTATAGAGTTGTCTTGCTTCAAGGTGCTCATGCTTGGCAACTTGTCTTCTACGTCCAATAGCAATCCAGGATGACCTTTGGCACTACTAATCTAGAACTGGCTTCGTAGGAACTGCTGGAATATATCTGATCACTCGTTTTTTCAAGAGCACAACTTCATCTATCAGGAATGACTCGCGAAAAGAGATAAATCCTTCACAGACTGTAAGTGTTGAAGCTCTCGATACGTAATGAGTTGTCGCTCGGGTCACGACCTGCAGCAATCTGATGAAGGCCTGTGCGAGTGACAGCATTCCACCCAACACTAGAGGCTCTGCCGCTCTGATCTCTTCCAGCCTCAAACTAAATTCAGGATGATGTGAGTACAGGTGCCCTTGTCGAGCGTGTGCAGCATGGTCAGTGCTGATCTCTTCGACGGTTCGTGATGTTGTTGCTCGTGTGTAAGTCACTCGGCGTGAATTACATGGAAGTTGCGACCAGCAAGTTGGTCAGACTCATCTGTTCTTGCTGCACCAACTACTACGCGCTGGTTCTCATAGCTCTTTCTTCCTCGAACGTTCTTTTTTTATCCCTGCTGTTGTCCTCTCCTCGAAGGTATGACCAGTCACGATCACTTTCATTCAGCTCACCGTGCTAGTCAGTCGCTACCAAACCCAGTCCAGGCATATATTCTGGTTGTTTATCGTCGTGTCTTGGCTCAACGACCATGAGCTCCTGCAGCGGGTCTGTAAGGAGCTTCTATGATGACAATGAAGTCACTCTTTTGGCAGAAAATTTGGATAGTTTCGAGGCCGAATCAGCCAGTGAGACCAGTGAGGCCTGGTCATACGACAAGCAGAAGCCGACATCAATATATGTTTCGTCCTCACGACACGCAATCAAATGCATGCGTCAACTAGGTTGGCTGCTCCACGCAATCCTACCTTCGTTCCTTCAAACATGTTTGCAAAAAGAGTCTGGCCACAGTCATCCAACGAGCTTGCATGCTACAGCCTATCTGGATGGTATGAGAGGACTGGCCGCTTTTGCGGTGTTCCTCTGTCATTTGAGCTATGTGACCTTCGATATCGGCCATGTGTGGGGGGCTGGTGAAACGCTCCAGGAGATGGAAGGCAACATGAATCTTTTACAACTCCCTATCGTCAGGTTGTTCTATTCTGGGCCACCTATGGTCGCCATCTTCTTCGTCATTTCAGGTTACGCTCTGAGTTACAAACCGCTGAAGCAGATGCGCAAGGGAGAATTGGAAGGACTGATGAACACTCTGACATCTTCAGTGTTTCGACGAGCTCTTCGGCTGTTTCTGCCATGCCTTGCATCAACGTTCATCATTGTATGTCTCGCACGACTTGGTGCCTACCAACTCACTGAAGACTTTGCAGAGGATGTAAGAGCTGTACATGAAGTGCATTACGGAACCACTCCGGATCTGTCGTCACAGGTCGTTGACTGGTCGCAGAAGATGCTCAACTTCGTCAACGTGTTCGATTGGTCATTGTATGCTGGTGCGAATGACATTGATCCACATCTATGGACGATACCTGTCGAGTTTCGGTGCAGCATGGCACTGTTCGGCACCCATTTATTGGTGGCTAGAATGTCATCACTTACACGAATCTCGACTCTGACTTTCCTGCTTGCTTGGGGCACATACTGGAACAGATGGGAGATGATACCCTTCTGGGCTGGAGCAGTCGTCGCCGAGCTAGACCTAATCAAGTCTTCCAAGGAGGAACAGCTCAAAGAACTGACAGCTAGTGATTACGACGACTGCATCAGCTATAGGTCGCTATGGAAGAAATGCATGTTTATGGGAGTATTTGTCGTCGGCTTGTTCCTTGCATCATATCCCGATGCTGACGGACATGTTTCTCCTGGGTACATCATGCTCACCAAGATGATTCCCAAGCGATATTCGGAGAAGCACCGGTTTTGGGCCAACATTGGTGCCATCCTAATCGTATGGAGTGCTGGCAACCTGTACTACATCAAGCAAGTTCTCAATACGAAACTCATGCAGTATCTTGGCACCATCAGCTTCCCTCTATACGTCTGCCACGGGTTTGTCATACATACCTTCACCTACATGTCACTTGACTGGATATGGGAGGTTACTGATGCTTACAATGACTGGGCACGATTCGTGAAAGGTTTCACGATTGTGGCTCTGTGCACGATCACAATTGCTGTTTGGATTTCTGATCTGTTTCTCCGATTTGTCGACGCCAGGTGCGTCAATTTCGCGAGATGGTTAGAGAAGCAGGTCTTTGTCCACTAATCTGTCTCAGTACGGGTGCATTCCTTAGCAATGAGAAGCCAGCAAGAGAGCATGCCGAGCATGTGATACTCCGTCGCAGAACACGATAAAGGTTTCTTGAGCTTTGCATAAGGGGAAGCGGTCAAGCATGAGGTGCATAGACATTCACATACCGAGCATACTATACGAATGGCCACCTGAGTTGAGGCGCATGATTTCACGAGTCAGACAATGCTTGCAAGGATGAGGTCATGATGAGGCAGACACAAGTATGTCATATTAGCTTGCGTGATACAGGAATACAATATACTGTAGCTCTCACCATCGCCGCAACTCTTTCACAACCATAAACCAAGTAAGACGGACCATCATAGATTACAACCTCTCTTTGAGGCTCTTCGACCGTGCCACAGCCACGGTGGTGCCACACTTGACCCACGTCATCAAACCTTCACCTGCAGAAGCGGATGTGATTGCCAGAAAAAGTGGCATACTAAAATTCTCCGTCGAAGATCAGAGAAACCACAATACAACAATCTGAACACCACCAAAATTTGAGTAACTTGTTCTCTACTTTTCACAGAAACGTCCAGCATGTCTTCACGACCAGGCGCTGGTCGCAGGCCAAAATCAGAGCTGTCGATCCCTCAATTCGAACCTCTACCAAACGACTCCTTTCTCAACCGCATAATCAATAAGCTGCTGGCGCCTCTGTTCTACCTAATCTTCACAATCATAACCGCCATCGTAGTCGTCCCTATCTACACCATCATTGAAAACTTTAAGCAAGGACGCAATTCGAGAGGTGGGCGACGTGTTCCAAGGAACGAGGATCCAAACAAGCCGGAGACGAGCAATCAGGCAATGGACTTCCTGAAAGGTTATTCCAGCAGTTACGGAGGAGCAGCAAAGCAGCGACATCAGCACCACCACCACCACCATCACCATGAGCAGGAACAAGACCAGGATCGCAAGCAAGAGCAGGAGCCTCAACCTCAGTCTCAACCCAGACGACAGAGTGCATATATGCAGACAACTAGCTAGCGAGCCTAGCACTGGCAAATGAAGTGTCGCAAGAGTTGACCACGTTTATTTGTTACTTGCAGTACGGGCTGTGAAAGAGCAAGCACATGTGAAAGAGCCTAAGAACCGTGGTAGCGAGCACTCAGACAATGCTGAAAGCTCCACTACATGGTGGCACCAACCGAGTTGAAAAGTCATGTTTGATGACGCCTGTGGAAGGTCTTCTGGCCGGAAACAAACCAGTCGAGAGCACCTGTTTCGTGGTCTACATATTCTCTGCTAAACTATATCCTGTTGTGTCCGGTTGACATGAATGCACAAAAAATACCGGATATCAACGCAAACCTTCTGTGACATCTTCTTTGCTCACATCAATGTGCCAAACGATATTGCGGTTTTCTGTGAGCACTTTTACGTGTATCTCTGTTTCCGGCGAGAGGAATCTAGAGAGCGATATCAAAGCGAGGCAGTTTCTTTGCCAACCGTTGCTGTAGGTTTGTACCACACAGAAGTAGATCTGTGCGACTCAACCGAAACTCAGATGAAATTGAACCACCATGTCTGACCTGTTCCTGCTCTTCTATCTCGCTCACGTTGTATAGGATCGGACGAGATCACAATAGTAAGACGTTGGTGATAACCTGTCTTGCATGTGCTCATATTAACAATGAAACTGTTGAAGTCAGCTGCGTTTGCAGTTAGCAACGTTGTATCACGCAAGTTCCCAGTCCTAGGGTAAGTAGGGCTGATCACAGGCAGTGGGTGGTATGTTAGCTGGTTAGTAACAAGAAGTGTGAACACGACACAGGGAAGGTACTTTGGAAGGTACTAGTAGAATTAGTAAGAGAGATTAATTATAGGGAACCTATTTAAGTAACTAGTGTCAGAATCAAGCCTAGTATTCCCCAAAAAGGTCGCCAAAATATCACCAATGTTGGTGATAGTTTGGAAGGCTTGGCATATAAGGCTGTTACACCGCTAGGCGCAGTCTCTGCGCACGGTCGTAACAACTTGGAAGGATTCCAAGTACAGTGGCGACGTCGGTACGCAGGTGATGTGCATGCGCACCTCGCCCTAGCTATCTATGGTGCACCCTAGTAGCACGTGGCCTGTTCCGACTAATGTGTGTATAGTCTGACAACTAAGTATAATAAGCTTTATAGTCTAGCCTCACTAGACTTTCCTTCGTTATAGGTTTTGGTCTAGACTAACCCTACCCTAGCTTAGTTCTTAGTCGTTGTATTTCAGGTCTGTCCTGTTTTAGTTTAGTCCAGGCTGATTCGGGTTTAGGCCACCTGTGACCTGGCCTGGTCTTGGGTATGGCCGTAGACTTGGCCGCATGATAAGTCGTGACACGTTGTCTACCGTCCTTTGTGCCTGATGCTATACTGGCTACACGACGATACTAGTATAATCAGTCCAGGCAACCAAATATGCGATGTCGTTGCAGCACATTCTGCTTCAACCAAAGCTGTTACTTGTCTCCGTCCTAATATTTCTGGCGATATTTTCTCTGCATGCACGACTAGGGACCTTGAGGTCCGCGTATGCTACAATAGGGGTGCAGGACGATGATTCCCATCACGAACCCGATGGCCCTGACTGGCAGGCAAGACTGGCTGATGTCCAGAACTCAACACTAGGAGTACGAAGGCTGTCCACAACTAGTAAATACTGCTAACAATCGACATAGTTCCAAAAAGTCTTTGCAATATCCTTGTCTGAACGTACAGATCACCGAGACACACTGGCCCTCACTTCCGCCTTGACCGGCTTCGAAGTTGACTTCATTGATGGCGTCAAACCTAGCGACATCTCCGAGAAAGCCATGCCACCGAATCCGGGTATTGGAGATGGAGGCGCAAGAGGCGCCTGGAGAGGACACATGAACGCTCTGAGAAAGGTCGTTGCTGAGGGCATCGGAAGCGCTTTAATAGCAGAGGAGGACTTTGATTGGGATATACGACTCAAGAACCAGCTTCAGGACTTTGCAAAGGCCTCGAGTTCTTTCCTGTCTCAATTCGGGACCGATCAGGTTCCACATTACGCTGAAGAAGCAGGTGAAGCGATCGAATACTCCGAGTTGTTGACCTGGTTTCAAGACAATCAAAACTCCATTCCTGTTCCTAGGTCTCCATATGGTGATGGCTGGGATGTTCTCTGGCTAGGAAATTGTGGTATGCGCCTCGAAGCCAGACGACAAGACTGGCAGACCTTAGCTATCGTGCGTCACAACGATTCTGCCACCGTTCCAGCCAATCAGTACTATAGCTGGGACTGGGACCGTCCCGATCCACATCCCTACAAAAGCTACCCGAATCGAACACGCCTCTACCTCAGCCAGCCTACCGACGGAGTGTGTAGTATAGCATACGCAGTCTCTCAACGTGGTGCTCGCAAGCTTCTACTCGAGTTGGGTCTTGAAAGAGCTGACAAAGCGTTTGATCTGATGTTGCAGGATTTCTGTCAGGGTGGATGGTATGGTGGTCTCGCCGAACCTCATGCTTGTTGGGGTGTATTGCCTTCGTTGTTTGACTCGTACAGAGCTGCTGGACCGGAAACTAAGGATTCTGATATTGTGGACGGTGAAGCTGGGAGAGTCAGGGATAGTGGTTATGTGTTGAATATACAGCGGAGTGTGAGGTTGAATGCGCGGAAGTTATTGGCTCAGCCGCCAGAGGAGATCTTCGACCAGTATCCTTATGCTGAAGGAACATGAAGATTCTCCCAACGTCTTTAGAGGCATACAAGGCGTATGGCTATTTAGATCACGAAAAGCTGAAGGAGGCCAGCACCGTCACAACCATAGTTGCCACTGCGCCAACTAAGAATCATTGTGCGAACTATACACCAGAAAGGGTTATGTTTTACCTAAAGCTTCAGAAAGAAAGCACGACTTTGGTGTCTGCAGCTAGCCGTTCAACTTTCTCCATGTCGCTTGCATTGAAGTTGATCGGAAAGCTGGGGCAGGATCTTCTACCTCAGCAGGCACCTGGGTGATCGCTCACGCATGCTGCCTTTGAGCTTCACCGGTCGCTATCTCTTGTTTGCTATGTAGGACGATAATGAGCCCCTTGCACGGATCGACCTGGAGCTTGCTGGACGTACATGTGCCTACTCTGTGCCTGGACACTAGGTCGACAATACCGCTTAATCACAATACTTGAGATTTCCTGTGTTATGGTTCAAATGGTCTTGGATTATATATCCGAATAGGCTTCTAGCATTTTTGATAGGCATCAGCTGGAGTGAGTAAAGTGCACTCGAGCCACTTCCTTTCCAGGGTGACTCGAGCGACTCCTAGCGCTAAAGCTTTAGCAAAGGTGCCTTTGTCCATTCTGGGAAGCTATGCCGTCGAAGCCTCAACGACTTTTGGTGTTGTTCGTGTTGCCACCCATCCCGAAAGATATGCCTGTACTGTGCCGCCTTGTGCTCTTTCAGCATGTGACAACTTCTAGTGTTCGTTCAACACCAACAGACGTTGGCCAGATCATCTTGCGTACAGGCATTCGACATGGTTGTACTAGGCAACTGTCGTGCTATAGAGAATGAGAGCCTGGCCATCGATCTTTGCATACGCCCAGGATCATGTGCCTCAGAGCGCGAAAGTGCCTGATCAACGATGATCTGTGTATGAACCATGTCGAACCCTGCATCTTCATCAGGCAGAATCGCTGGAGTGAGATCATGGCTTAAACTTATATACTCAACGGCAATGCCAGTATCAAACCTGAATACCCATCTGTCATCCTGCCCCTCAGTCTCTACTATAAGATCTTGCTACTGAATCTTCTTTCTAGCAGCTATGCTAGACGTCTCTTCAGGAGATTCCAATGGCTGCAGCACTGAACCCGCGGCCGAGGCTAATGTCCCGCCAAACAAGGACAACGGCAATGAACTTCCCTCAAAAATGGTCGATGCTCTCCAGACGGATGTCGATGGCGCAGTAACCAACTCGACCTTGACCAATGGGGACGACAAGAAAGGAGAGGACACCAGGAAGAAAGAATCCCAGAAGTGCGAGGTTCAAGCCTACGAGGCCCGGTTCGACAGCGATGGTAAACGTGACCTGAAAGTCATTGATGCTGCTGCCGCAGAACAGCAAGATGCCGACACCGAGAACGAAAAGCGCAAGCATGCTCTATGTTCCTACAAGTGGTACAAGCGAGATGGAGAGATCGAATGGGAGTCAGTGGAAGTCATGTCGCCCCATATTATCCTTGCCTTGCAAAAGGTCATCGATGACTATCCTGGTGAACACTTTTGGTCCGATACAGTCACAATTGACGCACCATATCGACCCATCTTTCACCACCGAAAGGAGCTTGCAGAGTATGCTGAAAAACTCGACGACAAGGACGCCAAAGCCCACATTGAGCTCATTCTTAGCTTCCAGGAAAAAGAGAACCGGAGAGCTGTCTCGGAGTACGACTCGAACGTCAAGAATGCTGTTGATCGACCTTCAGTTAGATGGTCCAACCTGTGGATGGTTTACCGGCCCGGTCTACTGTGTTTTACACGTAGTGCCAAAGGCTTGAAGTGCATGGAGATCGTCAACTCGTATGAACGTGGCGGAAATTGTCCAGCATATGTTGTTGTGGCCAAGTCGTTCACTCACGATGGCAAGACCTTTGGTTACGATTTGACACAAATCGATCAGTGTCCCTACAAAGGTATGAGAGAGTTGAGCAAGCTCCACTGTATCCCTCACGACTATTATACCGAAAATCGAGAAGATGCGAAGAAGGCCTTGATCCTTCGTGGTCGCAAATTCTGCTCCTTGAAAGGTAGCCATTATCGGACTTACGCTGGAACTGTTGCGGCTCTTGCTAATGTTCGTGACTGGGAAGATCGTGGCCGCTTTCGAGAAGAGACGATGATCATCTCCTCCCGCATCATGGTTGACAGCAAGATGTTCTCCATCATGAAGTCTCCCAACCGTATCTATTTGGACGAGGCCAAAACTATGCCAAAGGACTGCAAGCCAGAAGAAGAGCACGAATACATCACCCAACGCGACTTGCTCATTTGCGACAATCGTATACCAGGGTACGCCTTACAGATCAAACGGTGGTGCTGGTTCAACATCGATGACATTGCTCCTGTCGACTTCAATAAGGACGCCTTTGCTGCACTCTTGATCCCAGCTCGCCAGAAGTCTCTAGTTCACAGTCTTGTCAAGACACATGTTAGCAAGACTGAAGAGTTCGATGACATGATTGCAAACAAAGGCAAAGGTCTGGTTTTTGTGTTGCATGGTTGTCCTGGTGTGGGCAAAACATTTACTGCAGGTATGTCACAGGCTATCCTCTCCAACACACATCTGACCACAACTAACACATCCTGCAGAATCAGTCGCCGACCATATCGAACGACCTCTTTACGTCCTCAACAGTGGCGAGCTCGGTATCCAGCCAATGGAGGTGGAAGACAACCTCAACAAAGCCCTCATGCTAGCAGTCGCCTGGAACGCAGTCCTTCTCATCGACGAAGCCGACGTCTTCCTCGAACAGAGATCCGTGCAAAACCTCCAGCGCAACTGTCTCGTCTCACTCTTCCTCCGTGTCCTCGAGTACTTCCAAGTATGTATCTAACCCCCCAACCACATCCCTACCTCTCAGCTAACATTCCACCCCCTCCCAGGGCGTCCTCTTCCTCACTACCAATCGCGTCAGCACCTTCGACCCAGCATTCAAATCCCGCATCCACCTCGCCCTCAAATACAACGCCCTAACCGCCACAGCCCGCAAAGAACTCTTCGCCAATTTCATCAGCCGAACGTCCAAAAACCCACCGATCTTTGACGACGAAACCTTAGGACGCCTTGCGGCAGTAGACATCAACGGCCGACAGATTAAGAATGCGGTCAGGACGGCGAGTGCGTTGGCGAGGGATCAGGGTGTAGAGTTGAACGAGGACCATTTGCAGGTTGTGATAGAGACGATTGCGGAGTTTGAGCAGGATTTGGCGGCGAGTACGGATGAGTGGTCTTCGTGAGTGATTGGCAAGTGCAGTGTTATGAGGTGTGTTGTCCTGTTTTGTGGATAGATATGCTCTAGATTCGACTTTAGACTCTGTCGCAATGTTGGGTATCAAAAGTGATAACGAAGACGATGTACTCTTACTTGTTTGCGAGAAACAGACATGCCTGGGTCTAGTTCTTGCCATCAAATTCGAGCATCTGATGTACCTATACTTGCAACTACGTAGGAAGCGGAAACGGAAACACAGCAACCCCCCTAAACCCATCAACACTTCTCGCCCTAACCCCAAAAACAACATTATCCTTCCCTAGCCCAATCGTAGCAGCTCTCCTCCCATTCCCTCCAACAACCACCTCCCCCATCCCAACATCAATCACCTTCTGCCATTGTGGTGCCGTCGTCGCCCTCCAAACAATCTCATACCCACCCACACGCTCCTCACCATCAACAGGCGGATCCCAGAAGAACTGGCTATCATTACTCAGCGTCGTGTTAATATACACATTTTGCGGGACACCAGGCGACTGTGCGAGGCTATACATCCCTGCGAGGTTTACTTTGCCCACACGAGCTGTGTACTCATAGTCGACGAATTCAGGGAGATCGCCGTACTGCACAGGACCTGCGTCCGGAAAATCTGGGTCGATGGCGACGCGGACGTCCTGGTGTTGATGTCTGTAGTCTTCGTAGGGTTCTGTGAAGCGGACTGCGGAATAGCCAGCGGCGAGGAAGGAGCTGTGATCGCCGCCGCGGAGGTAGCGGTCTTGGCGGTTGATGATTGCGATGGACATATTTGTTGCGGCGTTTTCGGAGACCTCTTTGAGGAAACGCGCGAGGTTTCGTGTTGGGCTGTCGTCTTCGCCGCCAACGGTGATTCTGCGGGCTCGTATTGTAGCGTTTTCGACGGTTAGAGAGGGGAGGCCTTGGGCGAAGAGGCGGATGGTATTGGGGTCGGATGAGGAGGGTGCGTTGCCAGTGTCGTAGGAGTTGCGGGCTTTGGGGGAGCCGATGATGTCGTTATCTAGCATGCCTTCCACGTTGATGGGTTGGGTGGAATTTCGGTAGGTGAACGCTAGGTTGTTGGAGCCGTAAAGATTCTGTTCTTCGCCTGCAACGGCCACGAATACAAGTGAAGCACGGAGTTTTGGTACGTCAGGACTGGAGAATATGCGCGCGAGCTCCAAGGATAGAGCTACACCGGAAGCATCGTCGTCGGCGCCAGGCGATGGGTCAGCATAGTTCAACGGATCCGAATTTCGAGAGTCGTAGTGACCAGAAATTACATAGACGCGACCAGGTTCAGCGGCAGATCTGTAGGTTGTGCCTGGCAAGAAGGCGACAACGTTGGAGATGTTGACTGGGAATAAGATTCGGCTTCCATCTGGTCCTTGTATATAGGAATTCAGAGACACCTCGAGGCCAGACTCGGGATTGGCTAATGCATAACTGTTGAACTCATCATAGAGCCAATCTCTGGCTCCTGCTATACCGAATGTGCTGTTGGAAATGTCAACTGACAGAGTAGCTCGAGTTACGAACGAGACAAGCTTGACAATGTGTGACTCGATGTTCGCTACCGATATTCGAGAAAGCAAATCGGTGAGGAGGCCATCTGGGTCCTGTAAAGTGTTATCAAATCCGACTGTGGTCGGAGGCCATGCAGAAGCAGGACAAGTCAAAGCATCGGGCAATCCTATCTGACGCTCGAAAAGCACTGCTGTAGGATTTTTCGAGGCAAGTGGTGCGGCATAAGATCCAAGAGCTGAGAACGGCAACAACTTGAGGTAGGAACTCGTCTTCATATTCGGGAAGGTGTGGAGGTAAGAAGGACGCACGTTGTACCTACCGTGTCAGCTCTTGCACTCTTATATAATGCTGCAACATGGTGTCGACCAATACGACCTTCCAGTTTGTACCTAGTACGAACACTGGACGCTCGAAGTTACCTGGATTCAGGCGATACATATTGGTCGCATTCTGCTTTCGATGCCTGCTGATGGACGTCACTCATTTCTGGCAGTCACTTGGATAAGCATCTCGAGGTAAGCTCTTGTCAAATAGAAAAAGGCAGGAGTTCGCTTGGTGGAGGTCGACGATCTTCTCCTCTGAAACGACATGGGTTGTGATCAAGGGCTAAGCTCGAATTGTAAGGTCGTCAGCACGCCAAGAAGATCGTGCCGTGTTATCGATGAAAGACGCGCTCAATTCCGGTTGAGTTCAGAGCGATCACTTTTCGGTAGGGACAATTTCGACAGAACACTTCCCAGTAACGAACTCAGCGAGCTGGACCATGGAATCTACGTAGGAACGTAGTGGTAAACTCCTCCTAATTATTTGCAGTGCAATATATACCAGCACATTAACACATATATGCTCGTGTCCATTTCCAACGACCTGAGATAGCCACACCAACCTGTTGCTTTCTGGTACAGTCCTCATACCATTGACCTGAAAACACCTCTGGAACAGTTTTAGACACGGCCTCTCCAGCCGTCATATACAAGGCAGAAAATTTAGAACAATAGCCATGGGTACCTCAAAGACATCACGTTTGATAGTGACGCAGTAGGAGACCTCGATAGAGTCTGAGCTTCCAAGCTTCGACAGTCCTTTCTCACCGCTTATGCCCTTCTTCGCATCTAGCGGTCGTGACATAGCAAAGGAATCCATTCGTGTCAGTCCTTGTCGAAATCGTTGTAATTCGGAACTGGTCATACGATTATTTTCGTTGTGATCTGTGCCGTTGTTTTGTGACTCGTGTTTCGCCTTTAGCAGGTTCGCCGCCAATACGTCGTCTTTGGTCATGTATTTGAGCAGCTTCCCTTGTCTCATCACGCTTCCACGAGAATCACCAAATGCAAGTCTTGCAAAGTCCTCGTAGAATTGCACGACAGATTCATCGTCGAGAACCTCGGCAAGAAAGACAGGCTGATGACGACCCGAGGCTCCATCGACGTGTTCATCTTCTAGGCGTCGTCGAGCGGGTGTATTCATACCCGTGCCGCGACCCTTGGAATTAGCACCACTTCCTGCCTCGCTCGGAGTGCCGCCCGAATGACCAGTATTGACATTCAAATTTGGCTCACGTCCCAGTAGAACATTCTTTTTCCATCCAGTCAAGATCTGGAACTCCTTCCCGACGGCAGCAATCTCTCCTGTTCTTCTTGCAACGAGGGTAGGTGTACCGACACTTTCGATGAAGCCTTCATACTCCCAAAGGGTGCGTTGGAAGCACTTTTCCATGAATATTAGATCTTCTCTGTTCAGCGTCTTAGTCGTTGCTATAAAGGAAGGCCGAATGCTGGCAAGGGATTTAGCTATTGCAAGTGTTTTCGATGGCGAGGCAGCAAAGCGACGTTGTAGATAGGCGATCAGACTGTGAAATCCAGTAGTGTAGGGATAAGGAGACGTGACGGAAGTGTATATGGAGGATGGGTCTCGTGGTCTTTTCAAAGTCGATGGTTTTACAGGCAGCTGAGACTTGGCTTTCAACTGCGGTGTCGAGATAAGAGCAGGAGGTGGTGCGGAAGTTTTCGTCTCAGCAATGTTGCCAGAGGTTAGTGGGAGGAAGTTCGTGGCGGAAGACGTCGGTGGTGGTATGTGAAGTTGCTGCTGGTTCTGCATGTTCACGTTCATCGTGGATGAATCCTCGTGCTTTACGCCTTCTGGAGTATTGCTATGGGCTTCAGGCGATGTGAAATTATGCATGTTAGACTCAATGGCAAAGGCATTCGGCCCGTTGTGGTTGTAAGGTATATTTCCATAGAAATTGACTCCGTTCGTCCAGTCGACTGCTCCTTCCCCGTAGCCAAGTGATGGACTTTCGCTTATACTGCCAAACGGCATCTGATATTGACCGATCGAGCCTCTTTGTGTGCCCGTGTCACTGTCAGGGGTGTCTCCAGCTCCTGTGGCCATCTTGCCAAGCATGCCAAATTCCAGAGCACCGTAACGATTGCCAAAATTTAGGCCAGCGATGTCGAAGTTGAAGACACCAGAATCTTCGAATAATGCATCTTGCCACCCAGCAGAAGGCATAGAGACGGATTGAGCATGATGGCGGACAGATGTAGGTGATGGCATCGTTTGAGACATGGTCGAGGCGAAGGACTGCTGGCCAAAGGAGGCCGTTCTTTCGTGCATGCTAGGCGGAGGCATCGCAGACAGCTGGGTCGGGGTAGTGGTGTACATCTGAGGGAATGGCTGTGGGTTCTGAAAGAAGGATTGCTGTGGTTGGAGATTGTCGGTCTGGATGGAAGGTCTGTTGGCTAATCGCTTCGCCTCTCCATGGCTGTAGTGATTGGCAGCACCAGGCAACAGTGCTTCATTAGGAGCGTCGTGAAGGTATTTCGCCTTCTTTCGCACACCATCTTGGCAGGCATCAGCAAGGCCGCGCTTGATGCATCGCTGGCATGGACGTTCATCACCTACACACCCTCGAGTCAGTGGCAGAGTTTAGGATAAGGACAGGTCATATCAATAGCCCAGAAAAGCAGGATCAGTACATACCACATGTCAAATGAGCTCTCTGACAGGCGTAACAAGCCCTCCTTGCCTTCTTCCTCTTTGGGCGATTAGGATCCTTTGCATTGCTGACAGGCTTACCAATGCCATTTCTTGTGTGAGAGTCAGCAGCAATCATAATAGAGTCAGATTCCAGATCCTGCTCGTTGTCACTGGCATCTGGGGAGATGGATGGAAAGTCTTTGGAATCGACATGGTCATGGACGGCAGACGGCAAATCCATTATACTCCAGACCTTATAGCGCGCGGGCGCATCCAGCTGAAAGAAGATTCCTCGAGTGCCGGGCGAGCCAAGCGCAATTACTACGAGACCAAGTCTGGCTGAGTGCTATTGGGTCTGTGATACCTGCCGAACCAAATTATGTCCAGGGTGGGTATAGATAGTATCCTGCTCTTCACAACTGCAGCAGGGGGTCCAGTGCTGCTCAAACGCTGAGACGATCGTTATGACCCACTCAATTGTTTGAGACAGGCCTGGACGGCACCGAAGCAGCGGGTCGTTGAGTTCTGCAGCGGCAGGACGTGCATACGCGAGAATCGAAGCTGACTTGCTTCAAGTTTTCCTGTATTACGGAATGATGTTTGTACCAGGATGAGTGGTTCCTGACGTCTTTGGAGGATAGATGGTGAGTGCAGATAGTTCCTCAGTTCAGAGAGGTGGTGCGACCTGGCCTGCTCTTGTGTGACGGTGATGGAACATGCATGAACAAGCAGCAGCGGTGTTTGGACTAGGATGTTGATGTCAGGAACGAGCCGAGTGGATAGTTTCCACCAATTTCAACAGCATGCAAAGGTCGAGCTCTTGTTCACAGTCGTTAAGGTGGCTGATAGCTGTACTCGTGCAATGTAGCGATGGTCGTGCGAGAGGCACGAGAGCTCCTGCAAGCTATTTTTGCAGCGGGGACGACGAGGTCAATCTTTCCAGCTTGTCGCATTGGCTGCTGGTATCCTGCGACCATCACTTAGGGAACTGAAGGCGCTGCGACGAGGACATGAGTGAGTGTGTATTGTGAACATGGCCAGCTGCGCTTCACCCCACAATGTCAGTCAATTTCAACTCTACTTGGGGTGGACCTGCCCAGTCTGCCCCGACATGAACCTGGACTTTTGACAGGTCTTTAGCTCGCCGAGGCTGGAACTCCTCCGACGATAGGCTTGGTGATGGCTCAGCCACTGCTAGGTCACCCCTCTCGGTCGCGTCTGGACCACCAATCATCTGCGCCTGCTTACTGAGGCGAGCCTCTTTCCTATTAGTTGTTTCATGTGCTCTATGCAATTGTGCAGCCATCTCACACTACCACGTCTTCACCACGCGATCACACAAGGCTCGTCTACGTACAAAGTACACAAGAAAATTTTCACATCGAAGCCACGTCTAGGTAGAAGTTTCTTGGGCTAGCTGAGATCACAAGCAGTTGTGTACTACGAGTACAAATACGTATGCTCTGCTCGTTGTCCGCTATACCCCCCCAATCTCATGAGTCGATGTTGTCGATCCAGGCACATCTTTGACTCTCACCATTCTCGTGTCATCGAATGCCCTTTGTTGTTTACCACACCTGCTAGATGTCAACCATGGGGAGCTAGAAAAATGTCCATTGAGAATCGCATCAGACTACGATGTTCAGCAATGGCTATGAAGACATGCGGTCAATCCATAACGGGAGCGACTGGTACACCAGGTAAATATGTAGAGAACCGTTGACTGGTCGGTATCTGTACGTCGTCCAGCATCACGAACGATCAACCCATCTGTCTCCACCTTTCATTGAGATAGGCGACAATCTAACCCGGCAGCAAGGTTTCTTTCAGATCGCCCACAGGTACAATGCAGCACCAGATAAGCGAGCGTTTTACCATGCTGATGGAACGATGACTCGACCTGGTGGTGGTGGGTGGTGGGTGGTAGAATGGTTCGTGAAACACAAGAACGGCGGTCTGCTCAGAACTGGTCGAAAAGAAAATTATTGGTCCACACGTGCCATCGTTGCAAACACACCTACCAGAAATCCGAGATCCTTCAGTCCTTCCTCTGGAAACGTTGTCCTCAGTATGCAAGTCCTCCAGCAAAACCCTTACGAACAGGGTTTCCTCGCGTGTTGCAGATCACGGTGAAATCTTCCTCAAGCATCAGACCGCTATCCACGAAGACGAACCAAGCTTCAATGAGCGGCCTTGCTGCGAGCAACTTATTCTCCGACCCACTGCACTTTCGGCAACTCCCTTTCCTTGCGTACGCTCATGTCGTCAACAGCATTTGAAGTGCAGATCTCCAGCAGTCGCCTTTCGTTTACGGCCTATCAGTTCGCACCTTCTTGACATAAAATCAGAAGCGGTACAAACCAGTGTGCAGACGACCCTTTGAGGTGATATCGATACTGCACATGCCCAAGCGACCTCATGCCCATTTGGATATTGAGTGGTCCCCCAACTCCTTCATGTTTGAGAAGGGCTGAATCGGCTCTTAGCTCGAAGCCGTTTGCCGTACACATAGAACAGAAACGGAAACGGCGCCATCACCAAAGTCAAACAGGCCAACAAAGTACTCGCCCAATGAAAGCCGAGAGTCGTGTACATCTGCCTTCCGAACAGAGGGAAAGCACCGGCAAAGGAACTTCGAGCGAATGAATTTGCCGACAGTGCACTGGCCGCGTACAATGGAAAGGCCTCGACCAGAAACGTGAAGATGCCTACGTAAGTTAAGATAATGCCAGTACCGAAGAATGCCGTTCCTATGATAGGAACTATCCAGTGAATTGACGAAAAGATTGTCCCTAGACCAGTCAGCTTCTCAGACCGAATTATGATCGCATGTGCGAAGCTCGTAGTGGCTGCACATACGTACTCTCGGTATACTCACATGCGAACCAGAACAGCCCAACAACACAGAACCAACTTCCGACCACACTCGACGGCAATCGGTATTCCGGCTCCGACGCCCTCTCGCCATGTTTTCGTTCATGCACGTCCAGCTGATGAATGTACAGATAATGCCAGATTGGATCTGAGGTGATCCCTATTAACATGCCAATCAATATGCCCAAAAAGGCGAGACCGTTTTGCCAGAGGTTGAAACCGTACACGTTGGCGAAAACCAAAGGAAACGCCCCAAAGAACAAATATAGAATTCCCAACAGAATGGCGGAAAACAGACAAAGACTAAAACACATCGGGTCGAGGAATAAAATCAGGAATGGCCGATAAAGAGAAACCATCACGGTCCGGAGAATGGATTTGTCGCTGACCTCCAATTGCGATTTCCAAGACTCGTCGCCAGTCTCGGCTCGAAGCTTACGTGCTTTCACTCTGAGCACAGCTGGAGCGTACGTTTCAGGTACCAGCACAGAAATCGCCACAAGCATGACGCCAGCCCAGATGAGGAGGATGTAGTAAGTCCAGCGCCAGTGAATATTGGAATTGACAAAGCCACCCACAATCGGACCCTGTCATGGTCAGTAATGGTGTTCGAAAGAGCTCACATACGTCCTCGGACTCGAGCAAGGTGTACTTACTATACCAGGACCCAGGAACGGAGCAGCGGAGTAGATCATCATTGGCGCCGACAACGTTTCCTTTGTAAACATATCGCCCACAGTTCCACCAGCTACACTTAAAAAAGCCGAGCCAGAGAAGCCATCCAGAAATCGCGCAATTAGCATTGTTTGGATATTCTGTGCCACCGCACTTGGTATCAACCAGACCAGGAACATTGAAAACCCAACGATGTAGATAGGTCTTCGACCGAAGAATTCACTCAGTGGTCCAAGTATCATCGGCGATAGACCCAACCCAAACACAAATAGCGATAGACCCAATGTCGCCACGATGCGAGAGCTGCCAAATTCCGCGTTCATCTGGTCATAGGTCGTGGTGTAGATCGACGAGGTAAGCGTGACACACATTGAGCCCAGTGCTAATGTCAAGACGATCATCCATTTGCGCCAGGTTGGGAAGTTCTTCGGATTCAATGGGTCGTCGGGTCCGTCCCAGACAACTTCCTTGTACCCTTTCTCATCTGCAGAGTCCTCTTCAGCTTTTGTGTTGTTGCCGCCGTTGACATGGTTCTCGTCCACAGAGGGACGACTGCTGTAGTAGCTGTGACCATCGATATGTGAACGTGTGTGCGTGAGCTGACTTCGTCGTGAGGCGGAAGTCTGCACTGGTGTCAAGTGACTGCCGTACGAGAAGATTGGCGCTTCCAGCTTCTCTGCCACATCGTTGCTGGCGGTAGTGTCTTCGACCATCAAGCGCGGTATCGAAGCTGTCGCCGCGTCATGGTAAGTCTGAGAAATGGCCATCCTGAATGTACCACCACACCTGTCCGTGAGTTCTCCTTCACAGCTAGACAATAGCAAATCTTATCGACAAAAGAGCCTAAGCTTTTGATTCTCGCGTGATTCACAACGTCCTCCTGCTGTTACCAGCCAGCTGATCGTTGTACGAAATGCGCTCCCAGGCTCACCATTACCACAGCAAGACAGTTACAGTACTAACAAACATAGCACGATAAACTTGAATCGGCCACGAACCTCCTTATCATTACAACTCTTTTTCCATAATTCGTTAATAAGCTCTCATGGTTCACTAATAAAACTACAAGTCAACCACTGCATTACTCATCATAGGTCGTCATAGGCACAAAGAAGATTTCTGTGCTCTACTGGGGGAGGGAATGGATGTACGGCACTTGAGACTTTTAGCTCCACTTTTCTAACGGGTGAAGGACGGAGTTTAGCCGATGGACAGCGGAGCGTTGATGAGGCGGCCAGGCATCTCTATTGTGGTGAATAGTAGTACGTTGTTCGTGCCGTTAAAGACGCGAGGTTCGTACATCCTTATTATAGAAGATCGTTTCGATCGCAGAGTGTGACTATAAGGACAATGTTGATAGGGTACGATGGGGCTTGTCGAGAGCGTATAGAGAGAGCCGGGCCAGACGAGAGACAATTCTGCTGAGTAATTCGGCAACGATTCAATGTGCATTGGTATCACACATGACAAGCTATTGAGACACAAGATTACCCATTCGTACTGCTGACATATCACATCCAAACATACATACCCACAGATTACTTACTATCTGTCTACAACGACGGCATCCTCCCCATCCCCGTCGCCTGCGCCTTAGCATCAACATCCTCATTAACACCCCCCGCACTCCTCTCCTTAACATGCTTCCTCAACAAATTCAAAATCTCACTGTCCTTCCACCTCTGCGGCACCGGCCGATAAGCAGGCTTGAATGTCCCCACCGTCTGCGCCCACTCTCCACTCTTCGGCGCACCCTGCTGCCAGGCTTTTGTCTCTTGCTGTTTCGACGGGTCAGACGGCGCGTTATACTGTGAATCTGTCGAAGGTGGCATGTTCGAGACCGAGCCTTCGGCGTATTCTAGGGATGTCGGAGAGCCGCCCGCTGCGGTCTGTGTGGCCCAGTAGTAGATGTCCCAGTCGTTTTCGTCGAGGAAGCGGTCGTATTGTTCAAGTTGGCCTTTGTCCATGTTGTTGAGGTGTTGCGAGGCGAAGGTGGAGAGGAGGAGGTCGGATTCTAGTGTGCCTCGTTTTCTGCTTTGGTCTGTGAATGAGCAAACTAGTTAGCATATTTGATCTCGGCTCTGAAGTAGTGGCAAGACAGTAAGAAATACGAACATAGTAATCTGGCTCGCATGGTAGGTGCATCCTCGCCCGTCCGTCTTATAGGCTCAATCTTGAACTCGGCGCCTTCCATTTCACCCACACCAAACTCTCCAGGAGCGGCAGTATTTGATTGGCTTACTTTGTCAGGGTCACCTGTCTGAGTGCCTCCAGTCATCTTCTCTGTGTTTTCTGGATGTTTGTCCTTTGGGGTATAGTTTCCATCGACATGGCTCAAGAAGTCTGCTGGCACGTTGAGTTTTCCTGCTGATGGAAGTTCGTTCTCGTTGACCGCTGCTGGGTTGGTGTTGGTCATATGAGGGTTGAGAGGTCGTTCGATTTGAGCTTTGCGGTGCTCGTCAACGTTAGGGTGTTGCCGCTGGGCGGATGTCTGCTGAGGCGAGACATGATCGGTTTCTGCTTTGAAGAGTGCTCGGCTTGAAAGTGATAGAGGTCGCTTGCTGAGCACGCTTGCGTTCTGCCGAGTCAAAGCTCGGAAAGCGAGTCTGGTGTTGTTCATCGTGGACGCTGTATTGTTGGAAGCTCGATTGAGGTAGGGAACCAGAGATTGTTCGAAATATACATAAACTTGCACTGGAGAACGACCTTGAGATTGAGCTCAGACTGACATCATGCAGAGCATGAGTTCCTTTCAATGGCTCATAGATGTCCATTTGATGAAGTGACCGCCTCCATCAATGTCAGTGCACGTTTGCACGGTTAAGCATCACCCGCATCTCCATCTTACTGTAGTATAGTACCAACCCAAGACATTTCTCGAAGCCGTTCCTAAACAATTCGGTACTCGTTGTGGCGTAAGTAAAATTTGAAGTGTAAAGTAATGGAAATACTTCGCGTGGAAAGGACTCAAGACCAAGAGCTGTCCGGTTCAGTTCTTGTACAGTCTATTCTAGCTCATGCTCATATGACTGTATACAGATATATACTATGCAACCATGCTCCTGTACAGGTATCTCAAACTCATGTTTCATCAGATTGCCTCTTCGACCCAATAACCAATTCAAGGATTATGCCTGCCATCCGAAACTCCTTAACACCATACAAAATCTGACGTCTTGGTAGTCAAACAGCCACCCATGCTTCATAACAGTTCAAGAAATTCGTTTACCATGTTTCGGCAATGTATTGTCCAGCTTCCTTCTTTTCTTCCCAGAATGCCTTGGCCTCATCCTTGTTGAGACCACCTTTGCCAATGGCAACGTCGATGAGAGCGGCCTCCACGCCTTCACCCATACCCTTCGAGCTTCCACATACAAATACACGTCCATCAAGCGCATTAATGATGAACCATACCAGGTCCGCTTGCGCTCTGACTTCTTCCTGTACATATCTCGATTCCGCCTTTCGTGACTGCACGACTTTCTTCACTTTGTCCTCGTGAACACCCCAATCACCGGCGTAGAGCTCATCCACAAGGCTGTCACGGACACCTTGAAGAACCCAGACTTTGTTGGCGCAGTTGGCGGACTTCAATCTCCTGTGTACAAACCCACGGAAAGGTGCGACGCCAACACCTGCTCCGATGAGTAACATGGGCCCGTCAGTCACAAATTGACGGGCCAGAGGATTGGCCATTAAACCTCTGAACATGGGCACTCGCAGATCGAGGTCTTTCGGGTCAATACCGTTCTTCTCAGCCTCAACCACTTGCATAGCCAAGCGTTCTAGAAAACCAGAGCCTACACCAGTCCTGTTGCCTCCTTGCCAATCCGCAGACTCGTGGACGGATACGGCAACCTCGATCAGACGTCTACCCTTGTCACCTTCGCGCTCGTGTGAGACAAGCGGGTCCTGAGAGAGTGAATAGAAGCGAGGCATAAGCTGGTTCAAAGTACCCAAAAGGTATTCCAATGGAGGCATCGAGGATGGAAAAGCGTGCAATAGCTGTAATAGGGTAAGGTAGGGCCCGGTTCTCAGGTCACAGAATGTTGCTTGACCTTGGGCTGAGCTCAGGTAGTATAAAATTTGCTTCTCGTCAGCATCAGATGCATGTTCGGCAAAGAGGCGGAAAAGCTGTTTCGTAGGAGGGTATGACTGTATATCTGTGCACCAAGTGAGAAGTTCTCGTCGTGTTGTGACCAGTTCACGTGCTTCATCCTCTCCCCAGATTGTCGGCCACCGACCCTTGGTTGTCTTGAGCAGTACTGGCTTATCCCGCACAAACTTTGGGACACCGAGTCTGTCAAAGATCTGATCGACCAACTTGGGGTCATTGGGTGCACACACACCAATAGCACCTCCCACACGAAACTCGACATCTCCTCCTTCTTCTGGATAATCTGTCACGTCAATATCGAAGTGAAATGTTCTCTTTTCAGCTCCAGCCTTGGTAAGTTCTCTTGCATGGTAAAGTGGTGCGGAGAAGACGTCATAAGGAGGATGAGGTTTCACAAAATTTGGGGGGTGTTTGTCGTGCTGAGTGGCTTGTGTAGAGCTGTCTGCCTTTAAAGACTCGAATGAAACAGTCTTCTCAGGCAGCTCGGCTAATTCAGTCAACTCGCTTTCCAGACCTAGCGCAGCATTGAGTCGTAGGTTGAGGCTTGTGTATGCATGAGTGTTTGGCTCACGAACCGAGTCACGCGAAGTTAGAGCGGGGCGCTGCTTGAGCTCTTTCAACATGCAGCAACCGCCCCCGCAACAGGCTTTCTGGAACATTTGAGTAGCACCACCTTCGCCTTGGAGGAACAATTTTGCATCTGGTGTGTCCTGCGAAACCAACATAGTGGAGGCACGCCTTCTTCTTCGAGACTTCTGTCCATGCTGTCGATCTGAGAGCTCTTGCACTGACCCGTCCGAGTCTTGGTCGCTCATAGGTGTCGAGGGCGTGGTGTCGATATCTGAAGAATTGTCGTTGGTGAAGACAGTGTTGAGACTCGACTCTACAGACTGCTGACTCAATGCTGTTATTGACACGGCACGTGTTTTGAGAGGTTCTTCGGGGATAGGGTTGGAGGGATGTGACGAGTCTGTGTGAGGAATGGGCGAGGAAGTCGCCATCGTTGCAGTACCAGCCATTGCGGCACGACGTGGTACTAGAGAGGATTTGCTGTATGCTTTGAGCGCGTCTCGAGTTAGCAACTTCGCGTATATCTATAAGAGAATAAGGGCAGCGACGAAAGACATGGTTTTGACTTGAACAACGCGCGTTGAAGGGAGCAGTAGGTTTAGGTAAGATTGTGTAGAAGCTGAGAAACTCACCACGGAAAGCGTTGGTCAGGATGACGTGAGTGTTAACTTTCGGTGCGGAATCAGAGTGCTGTCTCTCAATGAAGGATCCAACCACCGCTCTTTTTACCTGGCCGAACGAGGACTTGCTGATACGAAAGTTGCGTGTCAGGCTCATTCGAGCATCGAGACTGACTTTGCCAATGCAGACACGTGAGAATATATCAATGCAGTTCAGGTACCACAAGAGGAGTAGAGGCGGTCAAAGTGGCTTACCACACAAAGATTATCAGATCAAGAAATCTTGAGGCGAAAGCGCAGGCAAGCCGACAGTTACGCGGGGGCCGGCGGCACACATGCCGAAATTAGTTGGGTGAAAGGTCACCCTGGGGAACATTCGATCCGATGGGAAAAGATAAGGCGGACGCCGCGCTTGCTTGCCTCTTCCAACTCCCGAAACACGAACCGTCAGCCATGGACCTTTCTTTATCTGATCCGGCTCAATTTCGTCTGTGCTTCTATCCTCAGCAACTCACGCAATGATCATACAGAAAGCACTGGCACGGTGAAGCTATCAATTGCGACGTTGGAATAAGGCCGTTGGTTGCATGTCCATAGATTACTGTTAATAATGCTCGTCTATGATATCAATGTAGGAGTTGATTGTCCGTCAGACGGCTGACACAGTCCTGGTCAAGTGGAGCACATGAGGGGAAAGAAGATAAAGGACCTTCGGCTAACCAAGCGATGCTGTTTTCAACAATCCTTTCGATGGTCAACACTATCCGGTGCTTTCCAGTACCTTGTGCTGAATGCTTATAATGCAGCTCACTCAATACGATGTAATTCGCGACATGAGTCTAGCTGTTTGGCAAAAGCTGAGTCGAATACATGTTGTATATAAGCGACGAAATTCAAGTGTGTACCCACTGCATTCATATCGGCCCGGTGTCATTGTGCAGCTCCTTCCACCAAATCCATGCCCCAATCTGGAATATTTTCCCCACGATTGGTGTTGACAGCCAACGCTCCTATCTAGCTTGAGTACTTTTGATGACTCCTTATTAGCTGTATTTGACCAGGCTTACAGTGAACATCCAACGTAGCTATATCGTACCATTTCTTTCCTGTTGCAGCTGATTTCTGCTTACAGAAGCTTTCCTGCAACTGCCAAGCCTTTTCGCGTCTGGATCGTTCCATCAGTGCGGATCAGATAAGATCAGAGGGCTCAAGATCATCGCCAGCTCACTGGCTAGTAGTCATCCATTGCTCGATGGGAAGGTGGGACAGCCAAGGCTGTTGATTCGATCTCGGAGTCTGTCATGTCTCAGCCTCCTATACTGTACCTGCGTGCACCATGTTGCTGACCGGTACCGGACTGCCGACCTTCTGCCTAGGCGGATACATCATGAAGACTGTAAAACAGTGTGCCTGCAATCATTTAGGGTCGAACTTACTTTTGACCTCGTGTATGGTATGGAGGGGCGACAAGTCAGCAAGATGTACCAACCCCGTCAACCCGATGTTCGTGTCATGAAGAAGTTAAATGATGTCGCTGATGAGGTACGTCTACTATAGGCACGCTTCTTGGTTGCAGGCGATGAAGTATCAGAGGATGAGTGCGGATGTTTCTCAATTCGCTGTATTTGTGGTATGACCATAGCCCGTTTGCGGTTTGCCCGCCTCAAACAAGCTGCTCTACCTCAATAAGCATACATGTACAACTGACTGACCGACTGTGCTTTCTGCCCGAAAGTCGTGAAAGCTACGTACCTCCCTCTCGTGTTCTTGGGATTTGGTTCACCCCATCGTAGTAATGCTGACATGGATATCGAACTCCTATATGCTAAGACTTGACTTATGCTGTACCAACAACAAATGAACAGTTTTCCTTACACAAGCAACATTGCCTTGGTATCTTTGTATATGCTGTGGACGAGCGTTGCGCAAAATATGATCTTTGTAGTAGACCGAAAGGGGACCGAAAGGCGAAACGAAAAAGCAATGCTGAAGCATCCCGAGATTGTTACATGTATGGTGGTTGTCGTATCGACAAGTCACAGCTTGTGGCTGGACATTGTTAGAGGTGCCGACCTAGTGGTTTCCGCTGCTGCGATCTCGCCTCTTTCATTGATGGCCAGTGCCGCCGGCGAGCATTGATGAACCAATTGCTTATCTATATTGTCTGTCAGTCAACGTTGTTGGATCTGGACTGAGGATTGCTCACCTGTTGGATAGTCAGGTTCGTCTTCGCCATTAGCATCTGCTTGTCTTCGTCTGTTGGATATGGATGCTCTACATGGTCGGCAAACCATGACTTCAGAATATCCGTTACGTGCTTGGGTAGGTTGCCGCGCCGACGTCTTGTTGAGCCGATGCTAGCTGTATCACTGCCAACATAACCAGAGCCGCATTGTAGTGATGGTGGCCATGACGTGCCGTTAGGATAGCAGTAGGGATCATACATCGAGGAGCTATAGTCGTTCGTTGCCATATTGTAAGGAGTTCTGGGAGTCTGGTTGTAGATCGAAGCACCAAAGTCATTCTGGTTTGTCTTTCCATACGATATCTCTAGAGGCTCGGTTGGTGAAGTACAATAGTATGATTGGCGATTCAGCTGTGTTGGCCGCGAACCATAGGTGGGCGTGCTTTGACCGAGATTCATCTCTGTCAGCGAAGGTAAATTTTGTTGGCTGCGTCCCAAGGGTAATGGTGCACGACTGTAATATCCTTGTGGGGACGATGTGCTAGACGCATACGAAGCAGGACCATTTGAATACTGGCTCGCGGAGCCCCAACCTCCAGATTGCGAAAGCATCTCGTCGTTGTAATTGCTGAGGTTAAGCTCTTGATAACTCGAACTCAAGGATGGTATTGACGTGCAAGGCGGTTGCAGCGGCGATGTCTTTATTGGACTGCTTGATTGAGCTCTGCAGACAATAAAGGTATGCTGATAGTCCCAATCGTCCTCGTGTTTCGTCTTCCGGCCAGGGCTGATATTTGTCTCCGGCTTGATTATCTGTAGACAATTAGCTCATATCCAGAAGACCAATCTCGTCAAACCCACGTCTTGCAAAGAGGGTAGCTGTCTCTGTCGTTGAGATACTGATAAAAGTTGATGTTGACTGGAGTTGTATTAGTGCTATATTCCGAGTTGTTTGTGCTGTAGACGGCCAATATGTGTAGATATCAGTTCAACCTTCATCTGCGGCATGCTTTCATGTGTATTATGCCAGCAGCCTCCTGTTGTGGCTTGAATTGAGGTGGATGGCAAAGCTGGCGTGAAAGTGGAGGTTGATATCCTCAAGGATTATGGTCGTGCTCACCTTCGAGAAGATATACTATGTGGCAGCTGCATGTCAATGACACATGGCCTGGCACATCAAAAGGCTGAAATCTTGATTGTTGTACTCCAAAAAGAGCGGTGAAAATCTTTGAGTTCCAGAGGACGAGATTGAAGACGGTCCCCAGTTCAGCACAAGGACGAAATGTTAATAATCAGGTAGCATGAATTTTAAGAAAAGATAAAAAGCAGGAAAGTTGAAATCTTTGTGACGACGGGCACGAGTTAGGGAGTTTCAGCTGTCATATACATTCTCTGCTCACCTCGAAGGGTCCCGATACCCCAGATGTGTTGTTGCATAGAATCAGGTAGTGGGGTTCATCCAGGCCAGATTTTAGGTCAGGGGTGTAGGATATGACGAGAAGATGGGAACCACAAGTACGGACGCCTCTAGCACCTGGTGGCAGAACTTGGTGATCACGATGGTGCAGGCAGCCGAGCCAAATCTGCGGCTCCGGTAAGTAAGTAGCGCCACTCATGGGGGAGTACAATGCTAACAGCATTGACACTATCGGTATACGATAAGCCGGTGTGAAGTGAATGAAAATTGTGGTCGTCCAAGAAGTAGGTAAGTGGGAGCTCTACGCCCACGTTCCTGCGTAAATCTCCCGTCCAAGCATAATCAGCCAGGAAGTATAGAGTACTTGGTAATGCTCGGAACCATCTTGAAGTGTTCTTCGGAAGCAAAGTGCAGCGAACGCACATATTCTGCTAGGATCAAGCCGACCTAATGGCAATGTGGGCTGAAAACAGAAAATCGTGGTGATGATGTCGAGATAGTGGATAAACCAGGGAATGCTTAGCGTGTGAAAAGGACAGTCCTGCACCTCTGGCTTAAAAGTGTTGTCGGCTGCACAGTAGCTGCATCCTTAGTCCCAGGTACCTGACCCGGAGTCCTTCAGAATTCCGGACTTTCTGAGCATCTCGGTGCTCGCTTCTACTCAGCTGGCTCTGACCAGTCGCTTGCGAGCATCCAGCTGCATGGCGAGATTATCGAGCAGCCAACTCATCAGGTGAGAATCGAATATCTAGCATTCAAAGACCAGCATGATGTGGGACGCCCTATGGGAGTAACCAGCGACTCGAAAGCCACACCTATCACACTAGTCGATAGGATCTGCGATCTAACTAAACACTCTTTTGGCTTGCATAGGGGCTGCGTAGGTGACAGGGTCGGCTCAACGACCGAAAGCCACTCCATTGATGCGACAGGCACCACAAACGTCAAAAACGACATTGCGCAATCCTTACATTACTAGCACATGGTCTAAAATATGTTCTATTTCTGTGTTGTTGAGCAGACAAGTCATCTCAGCAAAGTAGTCAACCGGGAGGTCATCGGCGTCGCGAAACGCAACGAAATTGATAAGAAGCTGCGGTGAGGTAGTTCCGGAAGTTTGGATCATGTCGCACATAAGTTCGTCCGACAGGTCCTTCAGTCCAGATGGTAACTCGCGAATCGATCGAGAGTGAAATCCAGCGCCACATTGTAGGGATACCTTGCTGCTCTGCACCAGACCATGCGAGATCCACGCTTCCGCCACTAGGTTGAGCGCAACTAACCGAAAAGCGTCCGCAGCGAAGCAGGTGGTTGGGTATGCCGATCATGCCAGGTCTCCACCACGACTCGATGCAAGGGTCGTCGTAACGTGCTAAGACATATAGCTTCATGTAGTCGCCCGTTAGTGACCGAGACCTTGGGACGAAGTTATGTGATGTATCGGAAAATCGTTGGCATCTGAGCAAAAGTAGTTCCTTGTGTATTGACCAAACAGAGGTGAACCCAGACCTTGCCTGTAGAAGAGACGACTAGCGACAATAGTTCGTCTCATCTGTTATCCACAGCCGGGAAGAGCCATCAAGCTAATTCGTACCTCAACAGCAGAGCGAGTACGACGTAACAATGCTTAAGAAGCGCTTAGACCTACTGAAACAGTCCGCCCGGCCGAACGTCAAGCGCAAAGACTCGAGGCACAGCGCTTACTGGACCGTTACTGCACGCTGTTAAGACGACTTCCTGCAACACAGTACCTGGCTCTGGCACCTGACTGCATCTTGAAACTGTTGTCCATGTAGTTCTGCACGAGAACCGAGATTCGAGCTGACAGAGAGGTGCATGGTGCTTCTTTGACAGTTGACAGGCTGGCGACGTCCGCGTAAGAAAAGCTCCGAAAGTCGAAAGATGTTAAGAGATCTGTGTGGTGAGTACTCAAGTGTACCTTGTTGGCACGAAGTTCGGATCCACTCTTCATTTCTTACAGTAAATTGCCGTACAATATCTCCGATATGTAGGTATATGTCTAGCACCTGGGGAGCGTTAAGCTTGCAGCGTATTTGGAGTACTGCTGACTTGGGCTGTGTTGTGTTGACGAGCACAACGTAATAGCATATGTGGTACGAGCTTTTGACTTCCCGGTAAACCACGATAGCTAAGAGACAGAGCGCAGAATTGAGCTAACAACGTACGCCGGTCGAGGAAGTCCACGTTCGGTCATACACGAGCAAGCCGTACCGGCCTGTTTTTGCAGAGCCTTGGCTGGTTTGACTAAAATGAGTTACACAGACTGCTTGAGTGAGTGTTCCTGGTGGTGTGTTTATTGTGTGTGCTGGAGAACTCGCTTCTGTCGTGACGAGAAGGATCTTCGCAAGCAGGTACCCATGACCATTTTTGCTTCGACGTCAGCATCATCGGTGGTTGCCAAGTAGCACCTTAATCGAGCAACCTCCCCCAAGATGAATACTTCAGGCTCACCGCAAGCACGTTTTATGACTCGTCATCTCTTCTGCAGTCAGAGATCGCTCCGAAAGGCAATTTCCCTGTCAGTCTGTAGGGCAGAACTTGTTTCGTTCGAGACAGTCAGCATGTTCGTTCGCTGCAATGCAATGTCCACCAGATTGGGCTTGCCGCATCCATCGCGGTAGGCAGTGTGTATTCCCTGGTGACGAGACTCTCAATAGCACTGCGAAGCCCAATAGCTCACTATCTTCGAGCCCATCCAGCAATTTTCGTTGCTAGATACAAATACTGGTTCGGTATATGTCCTTGAGCTTCTTGTTGGGGTATCGTTACGATATTCGAGGTTGCTCGGTCAAAGGAAAGACATTGTGTTGCCAAGGCAAGCCTGCAAATTCACAGGCAGCGACAGATCAGATGGTAGAGGCCATGATTGACATGAAGGTGCAACCAAATGACAGTAAAGCTTGTGGAGCTTTATTCCAACGCGGTTCACTGAGCAGAACTTTAGGAGCAAAGTGCGACCTCGCAAGGATTGCCTATTCTCGCCTTCTTTACGTTCAGATGCCAATCCCAGACCAAGCAATAATAATGCGAAACTGAATTCTAACTTTCAACGTACACATGATTGAGGATCTGTGTGGCTCCCAGTATCGCAAGCATCAAAAGGAGACACGGCAGGAGCGAATCCTCTTTCCTTATACTGGCTGCATTTCGCGTTTGGAGCACAAGTGATGCGGCAACTGTAGTCCTCTGTGCTGAGAAGTGGATGCTAGCTATTCTCAGTACAAACGATCTTTTCTTCGTCTTCGACCACTCACTGATCAAACCTACAATCATTTAAACTGCCCCTACTCCAGTACTCTTCTATATGGCCTCTAAATCCGCAGAAGACACGACTGGCACCCTGTATCTGATCGCCATCCAGGTAGTGTCAAGAGGACTAACATTCATAGGCAATCAAGCATTGCTCCGTTATGTGTCTCCTGGACACCTAGGCCTTGCAGTACAGCTGGAGGCTCTGTCCACATCTGTCCTCTACACAGCTCGTGAGAGCTTGCGTGTTGCTCTACAAAGAAGCCCGCGAATCGCGTTTGAGAAAAAGAGCCGTCGCATAGCAGTCGCAACGTCTCAATCTGCTGTAAATGCTGCGTGGCTCGTGATCGTTCTTGGTGTGGTACTGGGTAACCTCTTCAGCTTTCTTTATCTATACCCTGCTAGCACAGATTTGTTAAACTCTCCAGATTTCAAATTAGCTTTTTGGCTCTATGCTGTAGCCACGATATTAGAGCTTCTGTCCGAGCCCAGCTTCGTTGTCATACAACAGAACTCGCTTTTCAAGAGCCGTGCACGTGCAGAAACTTCGGCTGCAGTAGCGAGGTGCATCAGCGCTTGCTTGACTGCTGTGATTACGTATCGAAGAAAGATGCCTATGTCCGTGCTCCCATTCGCTGTTGGCCAAGTTCTTTATGGACTGTTTCTGTCCAGCATATATTGTTGGACGGCAGCTGTCAAGGCCTCCTCAGCAGGCTTCTCTACTCTGCCCGAAAAGGTGGAAGCCACGTCAGACATTTTGTTTTCCCGTTTCTCGAGACCACTTCTTGGTCTCGCTGGAGCTTTCTACGGACAGTCTATCTTCAAGTGGTTGCTGACACAAGGTGATACACTAGTCCTGTCTCTATTCGCTGACCTAAGTGCACAAGGCATTTTCGCACTTGCCAGCAACTACGGAGGACTACTTTCCCGACTTCTATTTCAACCAATGGAGGAAAGCAGTCGCAACGTGTTCGGACGACTCTTGGCTAACGAGAAGTTGACGAGGACAGGAGACTCTACTGGCAAATCACCCGACTTGATTGACAAGCGCAAACAAGCACTTCAATATCTGTCTACAACCTTGCGCGTGTACAGTCTAGCTATTGCGATACCATGTATCACCCTTTTACCTCAAATCTTTCCACTACTTGTGCAGACACTCCTTGGTTCCAGGTCACAATGGAATTCAGCACAGACTTCGGCTCTGTTATCAGCATACAGCTATTACATTCCGTGCTTGGCATTTAACGGTATCCTTGACGCCTTCGTTACCAGTGTTGCTACAGAAGCAGAACTTGGGGCACAATCACTCATGATGATTGGCACAACTATGATCTACCTCAGCTCTGCTTACTTGGGCATGACCGTCATGCAGCTTGGCGCGGTCGGTTTGGTATACGCAAATATCCTCAATATGCTGCTGCGGATTGGCTTCAGTATATGGTTTATCGCTGGCTGGATACGAGGGTATCTGCCTTTGAAGAGGGCTAAGCATCAAAGATCAGTATTTAGACAATTTGTGGACAACAGCATTCCAAATCCGTCTTGTCTATTGGTATCGGCGCTTATCGGCGCGGCGCTTCTGGCAGAGGGTAACGTGAGACTCGTCTTGGGAAAACAAGAGAACCCACAAACGACTGCTAAAGTCAAACTTGCGGGACTTTTCTTGGACTTCGACCTCTTCAGCTTGAGCTACTTCCTGACATGTGTCGTTCTACTCATCAGTTCTGTAGCAATAACAGAGAGCACTTTCCTGCTTGAAGTGCTGGAGCCGATCGTACCACAGAGAGTCAAAGCATGGCTCACGTTTCTATTCCCACCTCGGCAGGACAGCCTTCGGACGAAGCCAAATGATACCAAAATCAGCTGAGACGGAGAGCTTCATTAAATCAAGAGGTGCAGCCAAGACCCCAATCTATTCGTCCTATCTTTGGCGGTCCGGTGCTGAGCTTCAACAAGAAGCCAGGCTCAGACCGGCAATGTCAACAACACAACCAGATCAGGCCACCAAACAGCAGGTACGGAAATACATAATGCTCCCACGCAGGGATCCAGCCTCATGTAAAGATTAGACTGCCAAGTCAGGACGTCAGACCAGGATATGGACGTGCTGTCAACGTCTTTTCAGTTTCAGACACGCAGCAATGGCAAATAACGTGGGTTGGACCCGAACAGAGCGATGAGAAAGATAATCACCATGCTAGAAAAAAAGAATCATATTCGAAGTTGTCTCTTCCAGAACTCCCGCTATACCTCTAACCTGGAACACTTTTGCGACACGCCAATTTTCCCACAAATAGCAATTTCAGCAGCATTGACATGAAAACTCAGTCATCAAAAGTTACTTTCGTACTCTTTCTTCCTTCCATCCCCTCTTTCGGACCAAAAGCACCATAAGCCTCATGCTGCTTCTTCTTTACTGTCGTACCAAACTTCAACAAATCGTCTGGAACAGGTTGTCCGGCTCCCTTCAGTACATTCACCAAACCACCCGCGAGCTGTTTGTCCTGCTCTGTGAAGAACGTGATCGCTGTGCCGTCTTTACCTGCACGTCCCGTTCGGCCTATTCTGTGGACGTAGTCTTCGGCCGTGAGTGGGAAAGTTACGTTGAGAACGAGCTTGACATTGGGTATGTCAAGACCACGAGCAGCGACATCGGTAGCGACGAGAATCGTGCTGCTGCCAGACTTGAATGCGGCTAAGGACCGCTCTCGAGCTGCTTGAGCGAGATCACCGTGGATTCCGGCGACTGCGTAGCCATTACGGCGGATGAGCTCTTCGAGCCTCGAGGCTTCTTTCTTGTATAGTGCAAAGACTAGTATCTTGTCGTCTTTCGGTTGTTTTCTCAGTATTTGCAGAAGACGACCGGTCTTATCGTATCCGTCCATGACTTCGACGGTCTGCTTGATACGTGGATTTGCCCTCAATTCGCCGTGGTCATCCTCGTTCTCATCGTCGGCTGAGGCAGCTGGACCACCACGTCCGATCGTGATACGTACTGGATCTGACATGAAGGTACTTGCTAGTTCGCGAATCGATCTAGGCCAAGTGGCTGTAAACATTGCTGTTTGACGCTTCGAACTAGAAGGCATAGAGGAAATTATGTGCTTGATATCGTCCTCGAAACCTTTATCGAGCATGCGATCTGCCTCGTCGAGAACAAGATAGCGAGTCTTGCTCACGTCTATTGTGCCGTCGCTCATGAAATCTTTTAGCCGACCAGGTGTAGCGACTATGATATTGCAACCTTTCAGGTTCCTGCGCTGCTCATCTTTGTTGGTTCCGCCATAAACGCAAGTCGCTTTCAGCTTCGAGGACGAGGACGCCTGGCTGAGTTTGTCGATCTGCTCGAACACCTGAATAGCAAGTTCGCGAGTAGGCGCTACGACGACGGCGCGAATACCCTTCTTTTTCTTGAGACTGGTAAGACATTGTATAAGTGGCAAGCCGAAAGCTAGAGTTTTGCCAGATCCTGTCTCTGCAATTCCTACTACGTCTCGCCCAGAGAGCAAGAACGGCCAGGCAGAAGATTGGATAGAAGAAGGTTTTTCGAATTGCGATAGGAACGAGGAGAAGAGCGTGGTGATCTCGGCTGGGAGGTGGCTGAACTGCAAGATAGGTCGTAAGGACGTGCTCTGAGGGTCTGTGATCTGAACGTTCTCTGCCTTCAAGTAGTTATCTACGTCGGCTTGTGGTAAACCTGTAAGAGCTGGACTCTGCTTGTATTTGCCATTTTCCTCGTCTTGCTCGCCTGGTGCAGGTGTGCTCTCGGCGGTGATGTCGGTGGATTCGGGTGTAATGTCTTCGTACTTGAGGGCTTCTTTGCGATCTTTCTTCTGTCGCTTCTTTTCGTGTTTTGCGGAGGTTCCGTCGTCGAGTCTGTGCTTGCCCATTGTGTGATGCTGGTTCAATGAGGAGTGTTGGTATCTGAGCGCATCTGAGAAAGTTTTCGGATCGAAAAATTTAGTGGGTACTATATCGTTGTCCGAAAATTACCCGAACCACCAACAAATTCTGCTCACAGCAATTTGAACAAGCTTGAAATGTTTCCCATCGATTACAATCGAATGAAAGACGCAGCATATTGCGAGACTTATTGCAAGAATGTCGGTCTCACCCATGGACAGCGTGAAAGCATGCTGGGAAAGAATCCAAGCAGGAGCACCCATCTACAAATTTCTTCTGGTAAAAGTTGAGTTTGTCAGTGCCGAGAACGGCTCTATGGTAGCCAGGTTACCAGTTACTGAAAATCTGCTGAACTCGAAGAAAGGCCTGCATGGTTCAGTCTCAGCTACGATCGTTGATTGGGCAGGTGGCATGGCTATTGCTTCGACTGGAATGGAAAAGACTGGAGTAAGCACTGATATTCATGTTTCTTATGTGAGCTCTGCCAAGCTTGGTGATATCCTTACCATTGAAGGTAAGGTTTCGAAAGTTGGTCGGAACCTTGGTTTTACAACTGTGACTATCTACAAGGGTGAAGGAGACGATCAGCAGATCGTTTGTCACGGCACACATACGAAATATGTGCTTCGAGACCAGCCGCCAAAAGCTGCAAGTTGAAGCACGACCAAATACTGAGCAGCATATGTGGTGTTGTTGTTTCCCTCCTCCTGCGAATGCCTAGTCCAGCTGAAAACGTCAATCTTACGAGTCTGTTCAGCTAGGTGATGCACATTGTATGTTTTATCTCCTGAGAACACTTTCGGGTATAGTTGCATATTGCACCAAAGGAACAAGACAGTTCCTACTTCCCGCTATCTCTTTGCGTCCAGCATGCGCTTCAAAGCGGTCATGTAATGGACTCACTCTTATAGCGAAGATTGTGACCATAGCTGGCCTTTAGATGTTGCTCAAGCTCTCGGTTGCTTGAGAAGCGTGTTCGGCGTGGGAAATATGGGGTCTTTGTGCTCAAGCATTGAATCGACCGTCGGCGATCCAGGCGGACCAGAAGCCACCAATCTCTTTAGCCAAATCCAATGCTGTCATACCATTGTCATCCTTCAGTGTACGTATGTCTGGCTCGGCCTTGCGATCGCTTTTGCTTAGGCCCAGGCTCTGCATCGCCTGCAGTACAGGTTGCGGAAATTTGGCCCAGTCTAGGTTGGAGGCGATGGCGAGTAGTAGCCATGCGACTTCTTCCTGCTGGTAACGTACAGCGACATGCAATGCAGATCCAGATATGCCTTCAAATGTGCCAACATACCTCAAGATGTCTGTTTCCTCCTCGTCCTCCTCTCCGATATCGTTGTCTGGGTCGTCCTTGATTAGGTGCAGGACAGCGTCAATGTCACCTTCTCGACAGAATTCTAGGAAAGCATGTCCCCGTCGTTCTTCTGGAAAGGCTCGTAGATAGGCTTCCTCGGTGGCAGTAGGTAGGATATCAAAGTTGGGTTGAACGCCTCCTTCGTTGCGGACAGTGCAAAGGACTTGCTGTTGGCCTTCAGTAGTGGAAGAAGATATATCTTTCGAGCAATTCGGACATTGAGTAATGGTATAGGATTCCAAAAAGCACTCCCTACAGCTTGTTAAAAACGAAGGCAGGGAGGAAGGACTTGTACGTACCAATGAAAATGGCAACCGCAGTTCAATTCAACATCATCAGGAACGCTGTCCGAGGTATCTGCACTCTGTTTGGAGTCTTCTGCTTCACTGTCTGACTCGAGCAGAACCACTAGTGGCTCTTCACACACTGCACAACCGCCAGACATTGTTTGTTTTGAAACTTCCACTTGTTCCGCTGAATGACTTGCTTTCCTTTCAACCACTTGTTGCGATGCTCGAGCAGAATGATGGAGTTTCTCTTGTCGCGTATCGTTCAACTTCCTCTGCTTTGAACTTTTTTTAGCGACCAAAAACTAATCCCACCACATTATCGATTGGCGTCCAACCATTTGCGGAGCTATCAACTCCACCATCTGCCCAAAGTATTCAGCCGCACCTACCCTCCTGTTCATGTCTACTGAGTGCCAAGATGGTATCAAAGTGAACACAATGTCGACGCAAGACTCGAGTGACGATGCATGTGGTCGGAGTGAGTCTGTATTGACCGAGAAACCGACCGTTGAGCATGATGTATCCGAACCTGCTGCCGCAGATTCTGTCAATATTCCAGCTTCGCCAACATCCACGAACCCGCTACCAACCACATCGGACCGCGTCAGATCTCTAACGAATGACATCCTGCACTTCATCGGCAACGCAAGTAACGAGACTCTTGGAGCTTGTGCTGTGGGCTTAGCAGCCTCGACATATCTCGTGCTCGGAAGGCTCGGCCTTGTGCTTATCGGAACATTTGGAGGGATCATACTTGGCTCAACCTGGAACCACGACACGATCGCTGAAGGCAAAGATGCGACTAAATCTGGGCAACGAAAGAGGGAGCTCGGTATAGAGGTTGCAAAGAGAGCGTTGGACTTGAGGAGTCAGGATCGACAGGGTGAAGAGCGTACACCTCAGGAGAAGATTGAGGCATCTACAAGTCAGGAGATACTGGACTTCTCTCAATACCCTTCACAGACCGCCGCTGCTCTGACATCCTTCTCCGATGCTGTTGTTCAGGACTATGTCAAGTATTGGTATTCTCCGATCCTACCCACCGATCGTTCGTTCCCTACCGACTGTCAGCAGATCCTGATTGCCTTCATAAACTCGTTTTCGAACCATGTCTCCCGAAAGAGAGCTGCCGATCCTTTTCTCGACTTCATTGCAAATTCCACTTCTGTAATAATTGTCTTCCTACAAGAATTAGCCCTCGCGTTGAAAGCTTCACAAAGAGCAGAAGCCGAAGAGGCTCTAACAACATATCTGCAATTTCAGCCCGATAGTAATTTAGCGAACGTGTTGAACAAGGAACAGCAAAAACGAAAGCTGCACATAGTAGCAGATGACATTCTACAGAATTTCTTGGACTCCAAAACGTACAATTGTCTTCCGGCTAGGACTTTTCTCAGTGAAATCCTAGCCGGGCTGATCCTGGATGGTACTCTAATCTCCTGCTCCAGACCCGAATGGATCAACGAGTGGATCGTCTATCTGCTTGAAGACAATGAACCGGCACTGCTTGACGCTATTGATGCTGGTGTCACTGAACTCGAACGAAATGCTAAAGTGGCCGATGCTCCAGTCGAGGACGTTGCTCAGAAAGCTCAGCATAAGAGACGTGTTAGTAGAGCGGAACAAGCTATGCAGGATGCTATGATGGAAGCACAGCGGATAAATGAAATGATTGCGCAGGACGAAGCTAGAAAGAGGCAGGCGTTTCCTACCATGGACAGTGAAGATGCTCTTTCAACCACAACTACTACCGATACGGGTGTCGCTACTCCCATCTCGTCCGATGAAGAGCCTCAATCTCGACCTACTCGCGCCGTCAGTAATCCTATGGTTTTCGACAATGAGGGCAATGCCATTCCTTCTGTTGCTCCGAGTCCTGCTAAACCAGTACGACTACAATCTACCTTCACTGACTTCGATCAGCTTGAACAGCTGCAATCACCTATACCAGTTCAGCCTACCTCACAGGCACCCTCCAGAACAGAGAGTATGATTGCTATTCCACTTACCCTTCACAACGCATCCATCAATATCATAGAGCTAGGTATGGACAACCCCCAAGTCGTCATGAGACAAAGACCCGATGGCGATATGATGGTGCAGATAGAGCCGGCTTCATCCAGGTTTCCAGGATGGATTGTGACTCGCCAATTCGCGACCTTCGAGCCTTTGCACGAGACCTTGCGTCGCATTGCCAATATCTCAGGCGCTTCAGAATTCAATATCGAGTATCCAGAATTACCGTCGTGGCGAGGTCAGAAAAGAGAGCTCTTGATCCACGAATTAGAACGCTACTTGCGAACAGCCTTGAAATTTGAAAGACTTGCAGAAAGCGAAGCCATGAAACGCTTCCTTGAGAAGGAGACTGGTCTTGACAAGATTCCATCTTCGCAAAAGAACGTCTTCATTCAAGCTGGCAATGGACTTGAGAACGTTGGTAAAGGATTTGTAAATGTTCTTGGTCAAGGTGGAAAGGGCCTTCAAGCTGGGGGCAAAGTCTTCCAGACAGGTGGTAAAGCAGTACTAGGTGGTGTCACAGGCGTGTTCGGAACCGTCGCAAGCGGGCTGGCAGGCCCAAAAAGACCTGGTCTGTCGACAAACAATTCGTCCTCGTCGGTCACAAGGTCGCAGCAACCACTTGCCATGTCTGCACGTCAAAGTCATGACTCGAGCCGTCAAAGTACCGACCACACCAGCGCACGTAGACAGTCACCACAACTATCAATGAGCGTGAGGAGCTCCTTGGAGCAATCTCGTGCATCACAGGATCTGGCAACGAGCACGTCTCCACAACCAGACATGGAAACGATGAATCTTCCACCACCTCCCGACATGATGACTGACGAGTATGAAGCCGCTTCTATCTCGTCTCCGACCAGGCAAGGGCTCAACAGGCAGATAGCGCCACAACCATCCCCTTCATCTTCTACAATGAGAGCGAGCACAAGCGAAACACAAATTGCACCGAAAACACCATCCATGCCCACAGATACAGGATCTGTACCACCTCGAACTAAACAGCGAACTCAAGATGTACCCATCTCAGACGAAGAAACTCGCATGACTGTGGAACTTATGTTCGCACTGATCACGGAACTTCTCTCCTTGTCTTCAGCATGGACCTTCCGCCTGTCCTTGCTCACAGCTGCGAAATCTTATCTCCTCCGCCCTAACAACCCACAGTTAAAATCTATTCGGGCTCTCCTTCAGGAAAGTCTTATCGACGCCAATACTTCCGATGCCGGTATAGCAGCTCATATTCGGAAATTACGTGAAAACGCATTACCTACAGAGGAAGAGCTGAAGGAGTGGCCAAAAGAGCCAAGTGAGGAGGAGAAGGAGAAGTTAAGAGTCAAGGCAAGGAAGCTACTGGTCGAGAGAGGTATGCCACAGGCTCTAACCACGGTCGTGGGGATTGCCGCGAGTGGAGAAGCGTTAGGAAAAGTGTTTGATTGTCTGCAAAATAGGGATGTAGCAAGAGGTCTGATATTCGCGTTGATGTTGCAGGCGTTGAGGACGGTGATACAATGAAAGGATGACCTGTGTATGAGTAGATATGGATATGTACGATTATGGTTACGACTATCGCTGCATGGGCTTGTATAAATCCTCTAGCATAACGTGCAAGGAAACTAAATACGAAAGCTCCCAAATAGCTGTCTTGTGCCTGGTATTTTGCGATGAGAGGACGGATTTGCTGGAGCATTTCAAGCTGAAGCAGAAGTGGCAATAGTTTGCTGTGTTTGCCCAAATAATTTCTCGGAAAACATATTGCCCTCAATTTTTGACATTGCCTTTGCACGAGGAATTGCTAAGGTCAGTGAAGCTTTCGTATATGCCCTAACCCTCGAATGTGATGCTAACAATACCGTAAAGCCGTCGAACCCTTTCCGTCAGCATCGAGTCCGCTAGTCAATGTCATGAAGCTCACTAACGCCGCCGTACCAGTCTATACAGTCGCAGGCTCATCCGCAGCTGGCAACATTCCAGAATGGGTCAAGAACAAAAAGCGCAAGAAAGGCCACGACTATGCGAACCATATCGAACTCCTGCAAGACTTTGAGTTCGAAGAAGCTTCCCAATGTATACGAATTAGTGAAGATGGCGAATGGGCAATGAGTACAGGAACATACAAGCCTCAGATACATACACATTATCTGCCGAACCTAGCACTCTCGTTTGCGCGACATACCGATACAATTAACAAGACGTTCTTGCTCTTGAGCAGCGATTACTCGAAAAGTGTACATTTGCAGGAGGACCGGAGTATTGAGTTTCACACGCCCGGTGGATGTCACTATAAGTTGAGGATACCACGATATGGAAGAGATTTAATATACGACCGGAGTTCAACTGAGTTGTATGTGCCGGCTGTGGGTGTGAATGCGAATGGTATGGGCGAAGTGTTCAGGATCAACCTCGAACTGGGAAGGTTCATGAACGAATTCGAGATCGATGTGGGTGGCGATGATATGACTTCTGCAGGAGGTGGAGCATTACAAGGTGGTATTGGAGTTGGAGGTGTCAATACTGGAGCTGTTGCTGAGGCGTCACATGGTCTGCTTGCGTTTGGCACAACTTTGGGAACAGTCGAGTATTGGGATCCTCGAGTTAGGACACGGGTGGCAAGCGTGACACTGCCGATAGAATTTGGTACGAGGCCAGAAGTGACGGCGATCGACTTTCATAGGTCAGGCATAAGAAATGCTGTGGGCACATCTAGTGGTCTAATCTACTTGTACGACCTGCGCTCACCTGTACCGACACTTAAGAAAGATCAAGGCTACGACTATCCAATACAACACGTTCAGTTCCTCACATCCAATTCCTCCACACGATCCACACATTCCGAGCCCAAAGTCCTATCCGGCGACAAGCGCATCTTGAAGATCTGGGAAGAAAGAGATGGCACACCGTGGACAAGCGTTGAGCCAGAGGTAGATATCAACTGCGTGGCCTGGTGTCCTGATTCTGGCATGATTCTTACTGCAAACGAAGGTAAACAGCAGCATGCGTTCCTGATACCCCAGCTTGGTCCTGCGCCCAAGTGGTGTGCGTTCTTAGACAACGTGGTGGAAGAGATGGCAGATGACCCCAACGATCCGAATGCCTACTCCGCTGGATCGAGGCGAACAGGTGAGGTGTACGACAATTTCAAATTCCTCACCACGGCGCAGCTACGCACGCTCAATCTCGATCATCTGGTCGGGAAGACGAATCTGCTCAGACCATATATGCATGGCTTCTTCGTGGCACAGAAGTTGTATGAGGAGGCACGACTGATAGCCAACCCTACAACCTACGAGGAGGAGAGATCGAAGAGAGTGCAAGAGAAGATTGAGAAAGAGAGAGAAAGCAGGATTCGTGGACAGAAGAAAGTCACTGCGAAGGTTAACAGGAAGTTGGCTGAACGTATCCTGGAGCGCGAGGCTGCTAATGAGCGCAAACGAGCACAGAAAGTACTTGCGCAAGGTGGTGATGAGAAGGCTGTGGTACCCGAGACAGTGGTCAGCGACGAAAAGGGCTTGCTTGCAGATTCTCGTTTCGCGCAGATGTTTGAGCAGGATGAGTTCATGGTTGATGAGGCGTCGCGGGAGTTCCAAGCTATCAACCCTAGCACCAAAGTCGCACCACGTTCGAATCTCGACCACGAAAGAGGGTTGACAGCTGTGGAAGAAGACATGATCGATGAAGTACCTGGCTCCGACGAAGACTCTGACGCCGAAGATTTCTCCTTCCGCAAGCAAAATGGAAGAGCAGAGCGTGTATCGACGGCAGATTACAAACGCAGACCGGAAAAGAAGAAGTCGAAGCAGAAAGGAGGTGGTCTATCGATGCAAGTATCATCGTCGAAAGCTGGGCCGAGAGCTGCAGGACGACAACAACAAGATCGATCTTTCGGAGACAGGGCTGCAAACTTCAGACCCGACACTAGGGAGAAGAGATCGGGAGGGGTGGGCGTGGTTGGAGAGAAGACGATTTCGTTCGCGCCTGCGTCGAAGAAGAAGGCAAAACCCGATTTCGACTCTGGTCGATCTGTACAGCGAGGCGATAGGAGGAGTGCTTCGAAGAATCAGTTCAGGGGGATGTAAGAGCGAGTGAATACCCGATGACGTGCTTGACGGCTTTAGCATGGTGTTCAGGTAGACCACGATTCACGCATATTTATGTAGCTGTCTCTTGTTGTGAACAAAGTGGCCATCATTGATGTATTAGTACGTGTGTAAGAGGCAACAATTGGACCCCAAAATGTCTGTAAATAATCCTTGAATTCGATTGTCCTGCTCGTTTCTTGATACACGCAGTCCAGAATCGAGATGATGGAACGATATCATGATATTAGCAATACAGATATGATCTTTCAGAAGTCCATGATATGACACTCGTTATAGGACACTTGGTAGGGCGGTGAAGTTCAGCATGGCTCTAACAGAGCTTAGCGCATGGGTTGGCCCGGCTGCAATTAGGTTGTTGACATGCGATGCGGCGAACTTGTGGACTACTCGTACCGTTTGCTAGTCGTACCTACTCTACTACCACACTCATGGACTGATATTCAGCTGCAGTATTCGCTCACCCGATCATACTAACCATACAGGAATACGTGATATAATCCTAGACGCCACTTTCCGACAGCTGAAGCCGAGACAGTAGAACACGCCGACGATCTCGATCAGATCCAGACTAGACACAGCACGACGATATCCATGGACGCCATACGACATACCAGAGCATAGCCCAGTACGGTATACACAGCTGCAGAACAGAAAAGCCACAATACCAACCAGTAATGACCGGCTCGGATAGGTCGCTGCCCTCGTCGCCAGCGCCAGGAGCATCCCCTGAAGAGTCACTGAAATTCTACAAAACTCAGTACGAATTTCTAGAAGCAGAACTCGCCGAGTTTCAAGCCTCGAGTAAGGACCTCGAAGCAGAACTAGAGCGCGACGTTGAACAGGCTGAAAAAAGGGAACGACAACTTAAAGAACAGGCTGCCGATTTACGCTACCAGGTCGACGAGTGGAAGGAGAAACACAAACAAGCTAAGAGCGAGGCTGCCACTGCCCAGGCCTTGCTGGAAAGAGAAATCAAGAATCTGCGACAGGAAAACCTGACCCTAAGACAACGAGTCCGAGACATTGAGGTAGCCAATGACGATTATGAACGCAAGCAAAGGACGACAGAGGTGTCGCTGGAGGATATGGAGTCGAGGTATAATCAGGCTGTCGAGCGAGCAGTCATGATGGAGGAGGAAGTAAAAGGAGGGGAGCAAGAAAGAGAGTCTTTACGTATTGAGACACAGCGACTCAAGGACGAATTCTCCGACTTCCGTATAGAGACCGACGTTGTGAGGAAGAAGCTGGAAAGAGCAGAAGAGGAATTGGCCGTCAAGAGAAGGTCTCTGACCATCAACCCACACATTGTCGCAGCATCACCAAGGTCCGAGCTATCTCCAACCACAACAGACGCATCCGCACCATCCTTCGATACTCCACCTGCGAAGACAAAGACCTCGTCGAGCATCTCTGACGCTCCTACTCCACCCTCACCACCTGCATCAAATAAGATGGCTGTAAATACACCATCCTTTGCTACACCTGCTCCAGTAAAAACAAGATCATCAATAGGAGCAACACCCAGACAGCCGCCCTTATCGGCAAAAGGTCATGCACGAGGCGCATCAGTGGCTACGATGGGCAGACCACAGCCAAACTCGACTTACCGACAGAGTCTTGGAAAGCCTCTCACGACTGGTAGGCAGTCCATTATACCCAGTGGCTTACCTCAATCATCATCCATCGTTCAGCTGCGCAATCTGCGAGGAAAGATGCAGAGTCTTGAGGAGCGAGTCCACAAAGCTAGGTCAAGATTACCTGGTCCAGCTGACACACCTCCTCGTGGCTCGCCCAGAAGTGGTTCCGCTTTGAGCAGCCACATGCCTGCTTCAGTAACCATGCGTAGCAAGCGCAAAACGGGCAGTATTTTTAGTGCTCAAGATTCTGAAGAGACTCCCTCAACACCATCTGCCACGCGGACGAGGCCGAGTCGACCGTCACTGACAGGAAGACCAGCATCGCCTGTGAGAACATCCATGGCTGCACCGCCACGGCCCTCCAGTCGAGCTAGTGCTGTTTCAACCCGTACGTCGATGAGCCAGTTTCAGCCAGGGCATAGTCGGCCCGCGAGTCGGGCAAGTATATCAGGTCTACGAACCCTAGCAAATGGGCACCATGCACCCAATGCGAGCACAGATCGAGTACGGCCACATTCCAGTCTTAGCAGTCACGGGGGCTACGATGGGACTTTCGAGGAAGAGCCAGAGTTAGACAGCAACGTATCAAGCCAGGTAAACGCAACACCTCGACGGACGACATACACAAAACGCGTCAGTGATGTCAGTTCCGGTATACCGACACCAGGAACCACGAAACGGCATAGTCTAGGTGGAGGCAGTCGACTGCCAGCATTGACCAGGCGGCAGAGCGGTGGTGTAGTACCGACTGAAGGTCGTCCACCGTCTCGGCAGGTCCTGGACGGTGTCAAAGAAGGCTTTCAGGATGATGATAACGAAACGTTTTGATGCGCAATGACACGACCCCCTGAAGATCTGACGAATGTAAAGTGAGCGAGACCTATTCGCTTTGCTGTATGAATGGGATTTATGAACTACTTCCAACTTCTTTCCTCCTCGTATGGCGTGCTCGCATTGTTGGTGTGAACGTTCTCTTCGTAGTAGGCCAATGGTACCCTCTGGCCAAACGCACAGCCACCCACCCACCCACCACTTTGGTCGTGGATCAGAAAGCGTGTGACAGATCATTTCAATCGCAGAGCCAATAACTGTAGATCGTGAATTTACGGCAATCCACTTTCTAGTGCAGATCGAGCCGCTAAATTGCTTCCCTGTTCGATGAAAGGCAGTGATGTCACCTTGGCTCCAAGATGGTAAACACGAGAAGTTGAAATGATCTGCCCCTCAGGCTGCTGACCAAAGTTTGTGCTGCAGAAAGGACATATATTCACACTTCCAGTCCTGCGACCGAGATCATTCCGCTAACAACCGAAATACTCTATACCTCACATATACTGTTAGCCTGCAAACATGGCCTCACACAATCCAGCTACACGCACCAACACTGCATCAACCTCTGGCTATGGCTCCGACGACGATGCTGTACCAGGAGGTGATCCCGGCACCTCGCTCGGTCTCCTTCAAGAACGTCTTTCGGCGTACAAGCATATGTGTGCCTACCTGGAGGACTACGTCAAGGCCGTTGCGAAAGATCAGAAGTCACAGAGCAAAGACAGCGAGAAAATACTCAAGACCCTCAACCATCCTCTGAAGGAGGGTCACCACTTCAACCAAGAGCTCGGCGGTATCGCAGGCCTATTCGAGAACCTCAGAGCCAACACTCAAGCCCAAAGTCAGCTCTATGCCGAGACCGAACAGAATCTCGAGAAGAGTGTTCTACCCATCTTCGAGAGGCTACACAAGGAGGTCAAAGCTAAGAACAAGGAACTCTCTTCTGGAGCCGGAAAGCAAAGCAAGGCTGTCGAGCACGCTCGCAATGCCTCTCAGAAACACATCGAGCTGCTTGGTCAATATACTGCCACTTTTGATTCGGCGGGAGGAAGGACAACCGCAGCCAATGATCCATATGTCCTTCAGAGAGGTGCCTGGTACCGTTTGAACAAGCAGCTTGCTGAGGAAAACAACCATCGCTCCGATCTTATCAACATCCAGAACAACTTTCAGGCGTTCGAGAACCATATCATTGCGACCGTCCAAAGTGGTATGACCACCTTCAACCAATACATGGCTAGTTCGCTTGATCGTTCCAAGGCCATGTATGGTGATATCGCACACACGGTATCGAACATCGACCAGAATGTGGAGTGGAATGGCTTCCTCAAGAGAAATGGTCACATTATGATCTCGCCCAATGCTCCACCACGATCTATCGACTCAATGTCTTTCCCCAACATGAACCACCGCGCAACTAAGGCACTTATCGAGGGTAGTCTTGAGCGAAAAGGAAAGCTCTCCGGCTACAAGGTTGGCTATTATGCTGTCACTCCAGCTGGATACCTGCATGAATACAAAGACAATGACAACTTCAGAGCTGATCCGGAGCCAGAGCACTCCCTGTATCTTCCTGACTGTGTCATCGGCGCCGTCGACGGTCAAAAATTTGCTCTCAAGGGCAAGGACTCCTCTGGCAACAAGCTCGTCCAGAAAATGAGCATGAGCACCGAATACCATTACAAGGCACATACTCCACAAGACGCTCAGCAGTGGTATAACGTTATCCAATCAGTCTGTTCAGGCACCACCAATAGTCTGCCGAGTTCCCCAGTCAGCCAACAAAGCTCAGCCACATATCCACCCATCGACACGGCCGGTCACCAGCAAAGTGGCATCACGTCAACTATGAGTCCTCAGCACGGCCAACCAGGTATGGCGGGTCACGATATGGCACATCAGCCTGGCTCAGCCACTACCACGTCTCCAACATACAACACAGGTGAGATCCCTCATACCATGACAACCTCGCAACAAACGCGCTACGAACAATAGGCTTGGACTCGAGGCTGATACAATAGTTCACAGGCGAAGCCCAGCACTCACTGGCACCTCAGGGTCAAGGTCAGGCATTGCCTGATCGTACAGCCGGTGGTTTACAGGCTCCACAGAACCAGGGAAATCTTGCGAGGACGCCTTCTGGTTCATACCATGTTGCGCCCATGACCAATGAGTTGGAGCCGAGGAAGTACTAGCTATCCAGGCAGGCGATGTAGTGGGGGAGTTGCAAAAGATACCAACCGGATTGTGACTGACGAGATTGTCTGTGTCTTGATATAGGTAATATTATCTGATTTAAAGTGTCTGTTGTCATTCTCAAAGTCAATCACTTGTTATATTGCTTACCATACTTCTCGCGCAACTAACGGCATGATTCAAGATAAGACGCAAGAAAAGAGCCATGCTAGGCTTGCATAGCAGCCACAACCCTGCTAAAGGACACGATAGATCACTGACAAGTTGAATTGGATCTTAGGAAAGAAGGCTCATACTTGGTCTACCAAACACTCCATCCATCTTCAAAAGTTGCGACGATCGTGCCTCCAACAAATCGCTGTGCGTGGTCAGACGCGCAATATGTGAACGAATGAGTGATGGCAAAGGTCAGACGTATACACGTCCACACGCGCAGACACACACACGCGCAAGCACCAATGTGAGAACACAAGTCACAACTTCTTGACACATCTCTACTGCGTTCGTCTTCAAAAGGGTATTAAAAGCCAACTAATTCCTGCATCTTCTGTCCAGAAACATCTAAATATACAATCTACAACCAAATCAACCATACTTATCCAACCAATACCAAAATACATATTACCAGAAACCCTCCTTATCCTTATATGCCCACCCAACCACAACTACGAATCCTAGTCCTCAACCAACCACTACCATGGGATCCCCTCCTCTCAACAACAAAGTCCTCAGCGGCCAACCCCCTCGCCAGCCACGACCACGAACACCACCTCCAGAACGACCACCACCACGACAACCCAGACCACAGACACCGTCTCCAGAACGACCGAAGCAGCGTGAGCGGGCGTCGTTGGGGCCGAACCCTCCGTTCGATAATTGAGGCGTCGAAGATCAAAGCTGAGCGAAAAGCTGGACTGCTTCAGCCAGCTTCGAACAATAAGGACAGCCACAACGACGATGAGTGTGACGATGATAGGCCAAAACCGCCGCCTCCAGGACCAGATCCTACAGTTGACTGTCACTATCAATTCTTCGCAGAGCCGTATGTAATTCATGACGATGACGAGAATCTCTTCGTGAATAGACCGGGAGCTGATCCGGAGTGGTTCAAGCACGTTTCTGAGGAGGAGCGATATTTCTCGTTAGGAGAGGGAGTGGTGCCTGGGACTGAGAGTGGGAGGGGGCATGAGTGGGTGGTTTATTATTGAGCTTTTTTGTATGTGGTGCGAGACGGAACTGGAGCTGGAGCTGATTTGATAGTGTGGGGAAGGGGAGATGTATTCTGGCTTTTCTTGTAACGTATAGTTTTGCGAGTCAGTTAGCTTTTTGAGCTGTGTCATGAGGCATAATACATCGTTTTTGAGCTATATCTCGTGGTGGGCTTTTGAATTGCTTAGGCCGTGTGCTTCTTTGCTTGTCACTTGTCAGCTTGAGCTAGGCTTGCAGGCAAACATTGCAAGGCATCGGATATGGCCAAGGATTGTGTTGAGCAGTAGCAGCAGCAGTACATTACCTGTGTGGCAGTAATGCTTGTGCTTGGCCAGCCAAAAGCATTTGCTGGCTGTGAGTACGTGGTTCTAAATATTGCTGCGCACCAGATTTCTTATCACCACGAGAAGCTGATGACAAGCAGTTTTGTGTAACATGTAGGATTTGTACAAGTCTTCTTGTTCGATTAGACCATCCGATCCTAGATTGTCTTCTTCTTCCATTCCAACCTAGTTCAGTAGTCCATACCAGAAGTGAACGTCTACCTCTCTACGATTGTAAACATGTTCAATCTGTCAAAGGTCTTCGGGCCACAGGACGATACTGCTCCTTCTGTGCAGGGTCACAAAGACCAGGACTCTACCTGGACGTCTGCTAGTTCCTCCTCTAGCTCTTCGTCAGACGGTGATGAGCACCAGAAGTCAAGATTTTCACCACTTCTACCGCAGGACATAACCACGCATGCTTTCAAGCAAGGTAGCGGATCCGAAGAGCAATATGATCACCACTCTCCAGCTCGCCATGCAATCGACATCGTGAGGCCAGAAGGCAGAAACTGTACGACTGATCGTCAAGCGGACCGTAAGACCGTATCAGAAACAGGACTTCTGCTTCCTGCTGAAAGCAAACACGCTGCGTGTCCACAGAAGAGGATGGCTGGAGACGAAGAGAACGTCTATCTGCTTACCCCCCCCCGCGACACACTCGTTTCATCCTCCTATTGATTAAGGCACTCTTAGCCATCGGGTTCCTCGTTCAAGGAATTGTATTCTTCTCCATCCATGGTTCACAAGATGAATCCAAGCTGACCAAGCGAAATGAGCAAGAAGCAGTGATTGGCGGAATTATTGCTGGAGTGTTTGTCTTGGTGGTCATTCTGACCATCTGCTTTTACAAGATGTGCAATAATGTTCGAGGGCCGGTTTGGGGTCGTTGAATGTGTGCTGCCTATAATGGGACTTTGGACTGAGGTCGTGCGCAAGACTGAGCTATTTTGAAACCAATGTGAAGCTCTGTAGCTAGGTCAATACAGCAAGTTCTCACACCTGTGACATCATATAGGTCTCCTATGAAAGGCGTTCAAGCTCAGGCCGTAGTTGAAGCCAGGATCAGCTGGCGATACCGAAGGTCGTCAATCACTTTGTGCAAAGATTTCGATTGTTTTGGATCGATCGTTCTGTGGCACTTCTTGTATATGGCTGTGCCGACAAACTCATACCGCACGTTCGGCAGATGGCTTCTGTATGTTGCTTGACCTCGACCATTTCCTCTCCTCCACACACATCTTCAGCAGCTTGTACAAGAAGTACAGCGGAACCCAGCCTAGGATCAGAGGTACGACGAAGATGATCTGTGCCCACAACGGCCAATCGACGAAGAATGTCATGGTTGAACACTATTTCTGAATCTCTTCTTCTGTAGTTGTCCTCGTCAAGTCAACACTGCACTCCTCTGCGGGCTGTGGTAGTACGTATCCGGATTTCGAGGTTGTCAAAGCCTTCATCTAGGTATTCTGTTTCCGAGCTCGTGTTTTGAAACCATAAATTTAGTAGTCAAATTGAAGAGACTAGACGTGTTCGTCATGTCCAGAACAGTAAACAGGAACGAACACCTGACATTTCGCGACTTTCACACGAGAATGACTGGCTTTGTTTCGAGCTTCCGCAAACGGAAGGCCAATTGCGTATCTGTGTGATAGAATGCAAAATGTGATTTCCTCAAAGCCATTTCCTGCCAGCTGCTGCTACTCGAGTACGGAATACAGGGCTCTTGATCTCATCGCCTATCTTATAGAAGGGGTTCATTAAGGTCTTGACCCATATCTCATAAACTTCTGTCATAAATTGGCGAATGGCCTCCTCAGTCTGTGGACTGGTGGGATTTTGAGCAATAGAGCTTGATGACAGGGTCGAAGTTCTACTACCAGCTGCTGCAGCAGGACCGCCAGGTTGATGAAGCAGCATGAACCGTACGTTGGTGCCAGTCATGAAACAGCTAATATGAGAATTGGTTGGGGCATAGTGGTCGATCACTTTCAACCACATATTTGGAGTCAACCATTGAACTTCTTCGACGACATCAATAGCTGCGTGGATGATGAACTGATTCATATACCTTGAAGACTCGCCATTTCGAAAGTGTGCTTGGCCGTTACCACCAGTTTTCGAGGTGCCAAAAGTATACTCAAACAACGGCGTATCTGTCGGCGACACTACCACAAAATAGTATGACATCTCAGATCCTCCTTAGTACTGTTCTCTATGCAACTCGAAGTGAAGAATCAAAACGAGATAGCAAGAAGTCATACGCATCGTGTGTTTCGACTGCGGTTGCAACTCGAAGGTGATAAGGATAGCTAGCCGTTTTCGGCAAGCGCAACGCGTCACACTTTACTCTTTAGCGTGTTTCGGACTACGCGTTCGGATTTTCGCTTTCGCTTCACTCCTTGTCGTACTTACTTTCATTTCTGCGCCGAATGCAGAGAGAAGATACGCTGGAACAGTTCGCAAGATCTGTGTCAGGCATTCCTTCTGGGGTTTAAATTAGCTATGCCAGTATATTGATGAGCGGAGTGATGATGCGGCAAGTCACGCCAATATCAAGTGCTAACACGGCTCCTGCCATTGCCTACTGCCTGTGATGCCCAAGCGAAATTCACAAAGTCGTGCGAGTCTCATTCTTTCGTGCATGGAGAGCTGCGCGTTACTGATGTGCTATCTTTACACGTCAATACTCATTATGATCGATAGTCCTAGCATTCAAATTTCGAATAACAAAATCACTCACGCTTACGTACTGCAATCAATGCTCCGGCTTCGTGCACAAGCTGTAAGGTGGTATTCCTTTTGAAGTCGAAACCCACAATGCAGCGCTTACTCTCTCGATTCTCACACCATGTGATGAATCCTTTGCACGAAAGAAAGAAGAAGATGTCGCCAGGAACACCCTCGCTCATGCTGATGCAAATCGCTACTGACTGCAATGATGCGCCTTTTTCGACCGATCTTGAACGCAGAGAGGTAAAGATAAGTGATGTTACTGAACTTGGAAATGTCTTGAGCACTTCTACCTTTGTGAAACGCGACTTGGGCTTTCAAGGACAATTAGGGTCCTACATTCTACTCACATACGGTGATACAATGTTCAGTGACGCCGAAGGAAGTGATCAATTTCGTGGCATGACATGCAACTCAGTCGCCATTGCTGGCAAGCATTCTACGAAGGTTCTGGATACTCGCCTGGATCAAGATGGGTTTCCACACTGCTTTCTTCGACCATCTGAACAGTACAACGAGGACCCTAGTGTTTACGCGTTGGGGCTTACAAACGTTGTTGAGATCTCGCCTGGTAAAGGTATGAAGAGTCAAGTATAGCGGGCGGGCTTCGACTGATGTTTGCCAGGTATTGTCTTCTTTCTCCTCAACCATCGACCAGACTACGTGAACCATCTCATTGGTGCTGGCGTTGCTGATGTCTCGCTCGAAAGTCGTAATGGTGTTCCAGTGCCCATGGCAAGAAGACACGAAAGATTCTGGTGGGACGGTGAGACAGAGCCCTGGTACGGCGACGTCTGTGCTTTAAAAGCTGGGGGCCATGTCTATGCTTACGGTCATGCGAAAGACAATCCCTGGATATATCTCGCACGAGCCCGCACCGAAGACGCAACTGTTCTCGATGCTTATGAATACTGGAACGGGGTAGACTGGCAGCGCGAAAGACTGAGACGGCAGGAGCTAAACGAGAAGCAGAGCGTCTTCTGGCAGATCAACCAGGGTCAGGTCATCTGGTCTAGGTATCACAACTGTTTTCTATTTGTGTACTGCGACAATTTCTGGTCGTGTCAAGTACTGGTACGTTGTGAGCAACATTTACATACACGAGATTGACAATTAGACAGGTTAAAACAGCTCCTTCGCCAGAAGGACCGTGGTCAGGTTCTGTTACAGTCTACAAGCCAAGGCCTATCACTGGGGGAGGCAATGTGTATGCAGCTATACCTCATCCATACTTCGATCCATCTGGCAGGACGTTGGTCATCTCGTATACCAACCACCCAAACACTGTCCAGGCTATCAAAGTAGTAAGCGCATTCGATTCTCCGGAACCAGGTTCAGCTTACGTAACTTTGCAGGAGTTCTAGGTGTTTACAACGTTCATCAGACGTTCAGCGAGAACCGGAGATCGAGCTTGGAAACACTCGTACCACATGGCAGCCACCAGAACAAGTTCACAAGCGCGACATGACCTATGTACACCATGTCTCTGAAGACTCACTCCAACGATGCTTTCGAAGCAACCCTACGCGGCTGTCCATCTGTGATGTTGTCACAATGCTTGCAGGATATACCTCAGCGAGCGGTGCAGAGGAGCATCGCTGAGAAGCCTACACACCAAATTTGAATTCTTACAAACTACTGGTCATCTTTTCTTGACTGCCTTCTCGATTTCGTCCAGCTGCGAGATTTTCCTAAGTGTACCATCCAACGTGCCTACAGGCATATGAGTCGTGAGGCGGAGTACATTGACACTTTCTCCACCCCAAATGATGTATGGACACCGTACTCGCGACATCTTCGTGACCATTTGATCAGCCCAAGTATGAGCATCAGGTGTGTTCTTCGTCCACAAATGTGATCCGTCAGCATACATCGCCTTGAGCCCTCCAGGCAGGACATTGTAGATAGACTTCTCGGGCAATTTCTTGGGCGCACGATTGTTCAAGATGTTAGACTTGACCATCCCTGTCATCAGAGCTATGACCTGAACATCAAAAGGTGCGAGCTCTAGGCGCATCGTCTCAGTAAGCGCATTCGCGGCCGCCTTCGACGCATTGTAGCCGCCTTGAAAGGGAACACCAATATAGGCTGCCATGGAGATGTGGTTAATTACTTTCGCGTTCGGCGTCTTCAGGAGAAGAGGTAGAAATGCTTGCGTGGTAGACACCAAGGAAAAGGTATTCAGGTCAAACAGCTTCTTCATCTGGTCCAGCTCGGTATCCATCATGGGAAAATTGTCAGTTCCACCTGCATTGTTGATGAGAAGATCCAAGCGGCCGTTAGTGATTTTGGTGAGGCTCTCTGCACATTTTGCTATCGATTCGCTTGAGGTTACGTCGAGTTGTAGTTCTTCGATACCGGCATTCTTGGTCTCGGAGAGCTTGGATAGGTCTCGGGCTGTCGCGATGACTCGGTGGCCTGTTTTGTGGAAGCTAAGGGCAAGTGCTGAACCCTGTGCTCGTGGGTATTGTGAAGGTGTTTCGGGGTGATATGTACTTACCAGCCCGCCGTCAGAACATCCAGTAATCAGAACGACTTTCTTGTCTGCCGCCATATCGAGGCGCGACCGATTAATGCTTCGCGCATTAGATGCGAACCTCAGTGGTCAAGACTGTTGCTTTATATAGTGGAACGGAGATGTTGGTGCCAAGGATGGTAGCCAGGCGTCTGTGCACCATGGCATCTGGGCAATAAATCATGCTCAAGAGCTCTCTTCTCCTTGCACATCACGACGGCGGAGATACATCCTCATGTTGGCGCGATGGCTGACTCAACGATATCAGAATCAGCGTCTTCTTGGCACCGGAGTCAGAGTCGTGCCGCTGGATAAGAAAGCGGTGCAATATTTGCGCCGTGTAGACTTCTTCTGGTCAAGGCAGCAAAGAGAAGGTATGACCTTCGGTTCAGGTCGGCCGCGTGTTGATCTGCGAACTGAGCAGCTAACGTACGAAAACGACACGGCCGATTACCACTCTTGTTGACTTACCTTAGATTCAGACCGTAGTGATCTTTCACAATATGCTCGGCAAACTGTCCACAGATGGTTCGAAGCTGGTCTGTACTTCTCACACTAGGCTGCTAAAGCATCAAGCCTGATCATTAGGACAGGCACCGCGGATCGAGTTCGTTGCGAACAAGCTAGACAGCGGGTTTGTGGACGAAAGTTCGAACGAAATAAAGTGCTACTGTAAATGGCTGTAGCCTAATTACGATGTTCCCTTACCACATGCCCTAACCACATAACGTCCCAGTCGTCGCCGTAAGGTGATATTCTCGGGGTAGTCGAATGCTAAAAATTGCTAGCGGACACTTCAGTGACTTGATGATAAACTCGAAGAAGGAAATCGGATCCCAGAGCGAAGTCCTGCAGCTGTTGACGAAGCCGGACATCCCAATCCACGTCGTAATTGTGAAGTGGTCTTAGTAGCAGTTGATGGCGAAGCAGCGAGGCCATGTCTAAGACTTGCAAGCACATTGGATGCACTGCGGTTCAACCAAACGGATGGAACATCACCTGTCTGGAAATTCAGTTCTATGCGGGATAGTATCGTACATGGCACGGCACGGGATGGTAAGGGCAACGACAGAAGTACCAACCAGGACATGATGCATGTCAGCCAAAATGTGATTCTAGCTTGAGCAGTAGCTGGTCTACCAGTCCGAGCTCTTCTTGATTCTCTCGTTCTGGATAACCTCGATCCAGTAGTTGTCTGGATCTAGCACAAATGCGACGTTCTTCATACGGCCATCGGTCAGCCTCTTCTTCCAGTCCACACCCTTCTCGTCCATGAACTTGCAGGCTTCGTCCAAGTTGTCAACAGAGACGCAAATATGGCCGAATCCTTGCGGCTCATCGTTGCCGTTGTGATAGACTTGTCCAGACTCTTTCTCTGTTCCATGATTCCAGGTCAGCTCGAGTAGACCTTCTTTACCAGCTAACGGGTTGACACCATTTGAAGAGTTATCATCGATCTTGTAGCTACCAGGATATCCCAGGAAGTATAATGTGAAGCCTGCCTCTTTCTGTTCACTCGTCCGCATGAGCTTCATGCCGAAAACGTCCTGGTAGAATTTGAGGGACTTTTCATTGTCCTTGACTCGGATCATGGTGTGGTTCATGCGGTAGGCGGAGGTTTCTGTGCTGGTGACATCTTTGGTTTCGTCGACTGGCTTTTGTCCAATAATCTCGACCCAGTAGTTGTCTGGGTCTAGTGCGAAAGCTATGCTCTTCATGCGCCCATCTGTGAGTTTCTTCTGGAACTTGTAACCCGCGTCTTCGATGCGCTTGCACGCAGCCTGGATATTGTCTACACTCTAGAACACGTCCAGTCAGATCTGTCCATCAACTTCTTGCTCGGGATCACTCACCACACAGACGTGGCCGAAGCCTTTGCCTGGATCTTTGTTACCGTTGTTGATAACGAACGAATCATCGTTTTCCGATCCATAGTTGTGAGTTAGTTCAATAACACCTTCTCTATCGGTCCAGTGTGCGCCTGTCGAGGCCGAGTCAGGACCGTCATAAGCTGTGGATGCGTTAGCCACCAGTGCAGGTACGGTTAGAGGCAGTCCTACCCAAGAAGTACAAGCAGAACTTATTGTCTGGAAAGTCCATCTTATTGACCTGCGACATTCCCAGTAGTTTGTAGAAGTCTACCGACTTCTTGGGGTCTTTCACCCTCAGCATGGTATGGTTGAGCTTCCATTGGCTATGATCAGGAGCCATCTTTGCGTACTGTCGAAGGAAAGTGGTCTGGATGGAAAGTCGTTGTCGCGGAAGTAGTATATTTGATACTTGGTGCAGTCGTGTCAGTCGGGACCACATTCAGATATATATGTATGAGCAAGGTCGAAATCCTGTGTCATCAGCAATAATTCGTTCGTTCGCTCATGCAACGAACTCATCACTGGTGGTGCATTGCGGGGATCAACTTTTTGTTTTTGGAGCATGACATCAATATCGATCTGCGGGGATGGTTGAGCTTAAAAAGCTTAGCATTTAGCGGCCTGGGCTCTAGGGTTTCGCAGGACTTTCCTTCGAAACATCGGCGTGATTACGGGCCTGCACCGATACTCTTAACAGTCCTTTCAGGCATTCTCCCCGCAGAGAGCTCGTCACAGGAGCCTCGGTGCACAGAGAATGGAGGTCAACAAGCTAGGGCCTGGGCGACGCTGCAGGCCTGTTACTATACTCACGACAGCGCAAGACGTCCTTCATTCTTCGACTGCTGAATACTTGACTTCGTTGAAACAAGAGCAGATCCCGTAGAGCATCATGTCTGGTGCTCCGGCTATACGCATCGCTCGCACAGCGGCACAACGTTCGACGTCGTTGCTAAGAGCTGTTCAGTTCGGCCATCCTGCTACATGTCCTTGTCACTCGAATCCAAACCACCACCATGCGCCAGGCACATTCTCAGCTGCTAGAAGAGCCCTAGCGACCCCTATCGATCACTCCAGACAGAAGGACTATGCCTTCGAGATGGCTGCAAGCTCCATCCGTTTCGGCCCTGGTTGTACGAAAGAGGTCGGCATGGACATGGAGAACCTTGGTGCAAAGCGAGTTTGTGTGGTGACGGACAAGAATGTTCTGAAGCTTGATGCCATGAAGCAGGTTCACGAGGGCCTGGCAAAAGCAGGAATTGAATATACCGTGTATGATGAGTGTCGAACGGAACCAAAGGATTACACGATCAAACATGCCATTGACTTTGCTAAACCTTACCAACCTGACGCTTTTCTGGCTGTTGGTGGAGGCTCGGTCATCGATACAGCCAAGCTGATGAATTTGTATACTTCATTTCCAGACGCAGAGTTTCTGGACTTCGTCAATGCTCCAATTGGCAAAGGCAAACCTATTCCAGGTAGACTTAAGCCACTAGTGGCTGTGCCTACCACTGCAGGTACGGGTTCCGAGACGACCGGGACTGCGATCTTCGATCTTGTTGAAAAGAAGGCAAAGACTGGCATCGCACACAGGAACTTGAAGCCTACTCTTGGTATATGCGACCCAATCAATACCAGAACTATGCCGTCAGCTGTGCATGCCTCTTCTGGCCTCGATGTTTTGTGCCACTCGCTCGAATCATGGACTGCGATCCCATACCACGAACGAAGCCCTCGTCCTGAAAATCCAATTCAGAGACCTGCATATCAAGGTTCAAACCCTATCTCAGATATATTCTCGATGAGGGCTCTACACCAAACAGTTAAATACCTACCTCGAGCTGTGAGGGATCCAGATGACTTTGAGGCGCAGAGCGAAATGCTTCTGGCTGCAACATTAGCGTAAGTGCGCTGCCATTAAGGGATTCTATGCTAACAGGAAATACAGAGGTGTTGGCTTTGGTAACGCAGGCGTCCATCTCTGCCACGGTATGAGTTACCCCATCAGTAGCCAAAACCCAGGCTACAAACATTCTGGGTATGTCACAGACAACAACATCATTCCTCACGGTGTTAGTGTTGCAGTTACCGCACCTGCCGTATTCAGATTTACTGGAGCGAGCAATCCAGATCGTCATTTGGCTGCCGCCGAGGCTTTTGGTGTAGACATTTCACAGGTCAAGAAAGAGAGCGCAGGCGAAGTCCTAGGTGAGGCTCTAGCCGAATTCCTGGTCAAGCTTGGCGACCAACCTCGAGGTCTCAAAGCTCTCGGCTTCAAGGACAGCCACATTGACGACCTGGTCGAGGGCACCATTCCTCAGAAGCGAGTGCTGATGCTTGCACCAAGCTTATCCGAGGAGGTCAACGAGGAAAGGAATCAGCTTCGACAACTTTTCGAGTCGTCTATGTCTTTTTAAATAGGAAACAGTCATGGCACCATGCAGTATGGCGAATCTGGAGTCCGAACAAAAATTGTTATTATGTTTCAGCAGGTCGAGCCCTCACATACTATTATTTTACATTGTGGAGTCCCCGGATTCTGGTCTGGGAGTTTCGTGCGGGATGCTTGAGAGCCGACCACGGAGTCCATTGTGGCTCGATTGGTGAGGCGGGGAACCACGTGAAGGACCACAACCAGTCATTTTACCTGTCTAGCATTCGATCGTGTAAAAAAAAGAAAATCGCACGACTGGCAGTCATATTATTTGTCCAACTAATTTACAAGCTGTGCTTCCGTTACCAATATCGCCCAATTTTGAGTCTACCTTGCAACTTACCATTTTCGGCATCTCCTTATTCCTCCACTGTGGCTGATTCACGATGAACGGTACTAACGGGACAGAGGTCCGACCTAAGGTCCTTGTACCTGAGAAGCTTTCTCCTGACGGTTTAGCACTGCTTCGGAAAACTCTCGATGTTGACGAGAAGAAAGGGTTGACTCCAGAACAACTCATCGAAATCATACCAGAATATGACGCCCTACTCGTCAGGTCAGAGACCAAGGTCACTGAAGCCTTGTTACAAGCTGGCAAGAAGCTCAAGGTTGTGGCACGGGCAGGCGTAGGAGGTGAGTTGTTTGGGAAGCCCGTACCAGCTCCTGTTATAAGATAGCACGGCCGAGTACATTCTGTCCAGTGTTCGAGCTAACACTTGGAATAGTGGACAATGTTTCTGTACCAGCCGCCACGAAGCTAGGCATCGTCGTTGTCAACAGTCCTCAAGGCAACATACAAGCAGCAGCCGAGCACACTATTGCCCTCCTTATGTCGATGGCGCGAAATATCCCAGACGGATGTGCAAGCACAAAGGCTGGCAAGTGGGAGCGAAGTCGTCTTGTTGGTGTCGAGGTCAAAGGCAAGACCTTGGGCATCATTGGCCTAGGCAAAGGTATTTATACATTTCCTGAGAAGCATGACCTGTACTGATTGTCCCAGTCGGTCTGATTGTTGCTCGTATGGCTCGAGGTTTAGGCATGAACGTTACAGCCAGCGATCCTTATGCTTCTCCTCAAGTCGCTGCCGCGAACAACGTTACACTAGTCCCAACACTGCAAGAGTTACTTCCTCTCGTCGACTTTCTCACGATACATACACCTATGCTAGCCTCTACCAAAGGAATGATGTCGACGAACGAGATCAACCTCATGAAGCCCGGAGCTCGCATTCTCAACGTGGCCAGAGGCGGTATCATAGACGAAATCGCTCTCCTGGATGCACTCAACAGCGGCCACCTCGCAGGAGCTGCAATAGACGTATTCTCCTCCGAACCACCAACCAAAGACGCTGAAAGCACAGCCGCAAAACTGGTAGCACATCCACGCTGTGTCGCAACTCCCCATCTCGGCGCCAGCACAGTCGAAGCTCAAGAAAACGTCTCCATCGACGTCTGCGAGCAAGTCCTCGACATCCTAAGCGGCGCCCTCCCACGCTCCGCAGTCAACGCACCAATCATCCTACCTGCCGAATACAAAACTCTCCAACCCTTTGTCAAACTCGTCGAAAAGATCGGGAGCATCTACATGCAACACTTCACCTCTTCCTCCACCACCACCTCCCCCTTCCGCAACCACTTCGACCTCATCTACGAAGGCGACCTGGCCTCCATGTCCTCGACCAAACCCCTCTTCGCCGCCCTAATCAAAGGCCTCCTGAGCCCCATCAGCGACTCTGCCGGCCTGAACATCAACATCGTCAATGCCGAAGCCCTCGCCAAAGAACGCGGCATCTTCGTCAACGAGCAGAAATCCCGTGATCCCTCTGGCCCTTCACCATACAGCTCCCTGGTAACACTCGTCGCACGCCCACCCAGCCGTCCCAACAGCGTCACGCGCATCGCGGCCGAAGACCTCGCGAGCAAAGGCAGTAAGAGCCAACACATCATCTCAGGGTACATCTCCGATAACCGCCCGTTCATCTCCCGCCTCGACCGCTTCAGTACATCGTTCGTCCCTGCCGATGGTGCTACCCTCCTCATCTGCCATAACTACGACGCACCGGGCAAAATCGGTGTCGTTGGCTCGATATTAGGTCGAGAGGGCGTGAACATCAATTACATGTCTGTGGCACCTGCGTCGTTTCCGGGCGATAATAAGTTCCTGCCGGGGAGTGGTGTGCATACGCCGAGTTTGAGTGGTGGAGAGGCGGATGGGCAGAAGATGAGGGAGGGACAGAAGGAGGCGTTGATGATCCTGAATGTGGATGGGGGGGTTGGGCAGGATGTTGTGAGGGAGTTGATTGGGGCGGGGGGTGTGTTGAGTGTGAGTGTTGTTAGTCTATAGATCGCGAATTTGCCTAGTATCCATTCAGGGAGTATGCTCGGTGATAGAATGCTAAAACGCAGCTGCATTGTTAGCTACTCTGCTCCCTTGTGAGTTTGCGCCTTTTGGAGCGGTATATTTTCGGGGTTGTGCAATAATCTGCAAAACCCTGGTAAGATCTAATGCAGGGACCATTAACGTAGGCAGAAATCCTTGCCGAATACGTGGCTTCCTTTTTGCATCACTATTCTAAGATGTAAACCATAAATGTGGGTTTAATTACTGGCCACTGTACGAAGTGATCTGGCTACGATGCAGCACCAAACAGAGAATACCATAAAATCCTAAACACTATATTCTACACACTCTTCCTCGACTACATATCCACCACCACCAATCTACCCATCCAGCAACCATTGCAAATTACTCCTCGGCACCTGCTTCATCTGCTCCTTGGTATTCTTCCACCTAAAGAACACCGCAGCCGGGAAAAAGACAATAATATTAATCCCGACCCAGGCAAACAGAACTCCAAAATTCAAGCCGATTCTGCTGTGAGTGTCGAAGAGAATGGTCCGGGAAGCTTCGACGATGTTGTGGAGGGGCCAGGCGTAGCCCCATTTGAAGAAGCCGGGCTCGAGGGGGATGGCGTAAAAGGATGTGCTGACGTTAGTGATGACCCAGAAGATGAGCCAGAGGGCTGTCCACTGGATTGGTGGGTTAATAAAACGTGTCAGGCTTAGGGGGTGAAAGTGGGGCTTACCGGTTGTCCTATTAGCATAGTTACGTTCTCGGAAGCGAGACCGAGGGCTGCCATGCCCGTCCAGTTGAGCATCCAGTATACCACGAATGTACCTTTGCCGTATGCATTTGGAATATTCGCAACTGTGACGTCGTTGTGTGGAAAGGTGTTCGAGAATGGAATCTGAAACGACAGAGAGACGAGCGAATATGCCAAGCTGAGGAAGAAATATGTGAGTATGACCATCCCCAGTCTCCAGAGCATCAACTCCCAGAAATGCATGGGTGGATGACCCTTCGGAATGACAAATTGCGAATAAATCGGCAGGTAAAAGCCGAAACTGAAGAATGCTAGAATGATGAGATAGATCAGGCCAATCGTGACTGCTGGCGTCGCAGTAGTCGGCAAAAATGGTCGGAGGTTGAACGTGGAGAAACCGATCGCAGGTGACAGTGCTTGAGGAACAGTACTGTAAGTCGCTGGGTTGAGAGAGGCGTCGCCGAGCACCTGAGAAGTCCACTGGCTACCAACCATAGTCGTGACCATTGTCTGGAATTGCTGGACCTGCGGGAGGATATAGTTGGCATATGTCGTTTCGTCTCTGGCCTGTACGTAGACGATCTGAGCCGCACCAAGCGGATCGTATGAGACGTTGCCTGTCTGTACAGCGGCCCGAAGGAGTGCTGTAGCGTTGTTGTTGATTATCACTGCGACCCAAGCATGCTCATCATATATGTACTGGCGCACAGCAATCGGGTCGAAATTGAACCTAGCTGGGTTCATCACTTCCCATCCGATGGTCCCTGTTGGCATTCTAGTCTGCCTAGCAGCTTGTGTAAGAGCTGGTCCAACTATTGGCTGCACGTTCTGATAAGGAGCCGATTGACCATCGAAGTCGACCACTATAGCTGTGAGTGCGGACATGTTCTCTTCGACACGGAATAGCACTGCCCAATAGAGGGAGAGGACGCAAAGGATAAAGACCATCAGTATTATTGCTGTCCCTGATCAGTATTGTGAATATCAACCTTTCAAACACTTTGCTTACTCGTCAACACATATTTCTTCGCCACATCGATTCTTGTCGCGTGAAGTCTCTTGTCGAAGAAGCCGACTGGGGGCGGTGGTCCTGATTGTCCTTTCTCTTCCTGACCTTGATCATCTTCTTGCTTGCTCCGATCATTCTCTTCGTGGTTCTCTCTCTGTTCGTTCAAGGTACCGGAGGAAGTTCTGGAGCCATTTGCACCTTCTGGGCTATGCTCCTGTGACTTCGCAGCCTCACTACGTGAAGGCATCTCGGCTGGTGAGGAGAGGGTCGAAGGACAAGCGTATACCAAATCCAAAGGAATTGGTGCAGAGAAGTAGGCCAGACATGATCGTGATGTATTGTGTTCGGATGTTCAGGCTACTCAAACTCTAAGAAAAATGCCACCCACTGAGTCAGTGACGTGCTGAAGTGGTAGCAGTTCGAATCACTGCCGACATGAATTGAAAAGGCGATATTGATGACATCAATCAGCCTTTTAAGCTCACGCCATATCAGCCAGCGCCGTCACTCCGAAGCTTCTTATCGACAAGCTATTCCATGTGCAGCGGCACAGCGGCACACGTCGCCTGCATAGCAATCTTTCCTCACCACTGCTGATTCGCGCTGCTACTGGCGTGGTTGGTAACCACATCTTGCTGAGTTTGGCATGGTGTTTGTCACGACATGGTACTATGTGTTTGATTGTCCATGATAATGATCATTATTGATATCCAATAGGTGTATCAGGTAGGGTTATAGCTAAAATATCGCGATGTGCAGCACAGCCAGAATGAAAGCAAGCGAGGAGTTCCTCGAAATGCGACTAGACTCCTTGCGGGCATGGTGCCAATACCGTAGCGACGATCTTGAAAACGAAGAGTGCGCCTTTGCCATCATCCCAACACCACTTACTCAAAGCTCCTGCTCGAACGGCTTTATCCACAGCGCACACTGACAATTTGGCTGGGATTCCTAAATGGTATCTTCGGAGTCATCTGCGAGTTGTCGTTGGTAGACTGTTCCAGATATGGTGCGACATATGTATTGCCGCCCTCTGTAACGAAGCCGCATGGTCCAGTCTTGATTTTCGTGTTCACACTGGTCGCCAGTCCGATGGTATTGCATGGCACGGGTCCGACGTCTCCACTCGAGAGTGGAATACAGGTCAAGTCCGCGAGAAAACGAGTCCGTGAGTCGTTGGGTGCTGCTAGGAAGTACATGCTCCCATCATGTGTCGCGATTGCAGTATTATACCATGTTGTATCTGCAGAATCGACAACCCTTGATTCGAGGATGCCCGTAGGCAGCATTCGTGCTGTGACCTTCGCTCGGCCATGACTTGCGCTGTCAATGGTCTCGACACCCGTAGGGGGTTTTGGATCACGAGCAGAATCGTCCGAGTCGAGGAGGTCGGCGAAGCTCAAGGCAGGTGGCACGAAGTCGTCCTTGGAGAGACCACACTGGACGCTCAGGACCCGGCCAGGTGCAGTCAGTGCTAGACGACTAGATTTGTGGTCGACACGAAGAGCGTGGTTGTAGCTTGAGAGGTGGAAAGCACAGATGCCGGCTGACTCCGTAACTTGGATACTGTCGGCGACAAAGTCGCAGAGCGAGCACCGAGAGGGTTCAATTTCCAAAGGACCCGTGCAAGGCGAAGCGCCACCATCACCCAAATTTAGGGAGCTCTTGTTCGGAGGCACCGGTAAGAGATAAGTCGAGCTACCAGAAGTGAAAGTCACGTTCGAATCATCTGGGATCATGCACTCAGTAGCCTTGTCAGCAGCCTCGTCAACATGGTTGTAGCTGCGTTTTTCTTCGTATGGAGCGCAACTGATCTTGACAGGACGGCCAGGAGTACCAAAGCCGAGTCGTTGTGTACCATACAAATCATAGTGTTCAATTCTGCTGCCGTCGTCCTTAGTGATTGTGATCTCACACTGGCCGTCTGACATTAACTGAACGTAATCTACGTGCACATCACAGCTCACGCATGGGCCTCCCAGAGCAGAATTGTCCACACATTTTGTATCTGGTGTGGAACCTGCAATGGTATAGGAAGTGGAGGTTGCTGGTACGAACATGTCGTAAAGTTTGTCGCCGCCTGTGAATTTGAGTCTCTGGATGCCTTCCCCGCCAGAACAACCAAGGACATGCTGAGAAGTGTATTCTTCTGCTGCTGGCAAGGCAACCACCGTAATGGTAGCCGTGAAGATCGCTCCACAGATGAGGTGAGAGGTCTTCATGGTCGCTGATACGTATAGGTAGTAATTTATGATTAGTATTAATAGGTATAACAGTCTCGTAGTATGTAGGAAATCTGAAGAAGGACATGCACATTGGGCAGTTAAAATAGTCCCAAAGTTGTGGCGAATCGTCGTTTGTATCTGCGTGGGCAAGTTCAGCAAACGGGTACCGATTCTGTCGTCAACGTCTCTGCCCATACGCGATGACTCGTCCTCCAGGATTGCCTACTGACGGATAACAAGTCGATCACAACTCTCACCTGCACTTCAAGCACATAAAATCCGGTCTCGGCACTGGCAGGTGGTCAGCGTCATCATGACTAGAGGCACGGTACTATCCGTTGTGAGAGTAAGCAGGTGTAAAAATGTGTATATCTATGGCACTGGACATGGACGTATCCTCTGACGTCTTTGTTGCTGCTCACGCTGTTCGATGTGGCCGTCTTCGTTGTCCACAATGCCTACTCATCGTAAAACAGCAAGCGACATATTTGCTGACCGTCACTGCTGGTTTGAGAGTTAGCGCACTTCTTGGGCTATGTGTTGGGAAGTAGGTGCTTCTCCGACCACATCCCACGAGATTGGAGCACTTGATTCTGATGATAGGGCTGGAGGACTCAGAGTAGTGGTCATCTTGTCATCGAGGTTGACTTTCGAATTGGCTTGAGCAACAGTTTATGATATTAGTGCACTGCTGTCCATGAGGAGAAGAAATCCTATCTGTTGAGCTAAGCAGGACGTTATTCGAGGAGGTGATTTGGTTGGCAGTAATTGCGGAATATCGGGTCTGAACTTCGAGTCTTCTGTTAAGTTAGCATGCAAGGACTAGCGACAAAGTCCTGCCGTTATTACACATCTTGGACCAATACCTCTTCTGGTGGTTGAAACATCTCTTCAGTCAATCTCGCGATAACAATAGCTGGAATGAAACGAAAAATGCCGAGGAAGGTGAAAAGCGAGAGCGGCGAGTTAATCTATATCTTTGAGGCCTTCGACTCGATAGTGTTACCGTCCCGACTGAGCTGCAGTTTGTTGAAAATTGCATAGCCTCTGAAGTTAATGGGAAACAGTTTGTGCTGCTCATAGTGAGCACCAGGAGGAATTCGCAGAAGCATAAGCAACAAAACGAGCAGGTATCATCCGGCAAGATCGACTGTTCTACCTCACTGGCACTGTTCGCGTTAGAGATAGTCACGAGGGACGGATGGCAGTCGAGCCAATCCATGTCGTCCGTTCCAGCCGCCTCAGTATAAAACAAACACGATACCCATAACCAATCTCTTCTGACACTGCATTTTGAGCGCTTCAAACTATATCGATACAGGGCATATTGGACTGTTTTACATGTTGGACCAGAGTGTGAAAAAGACGTGGACCGAAACCTGGATCTTCCTGAATAAGAATTTCGTGTTAGGATTCACACGCCCACCGTAGATTGAATTTATGCCATCTCACACGTCTCTACCCAGCACTTTCATCTTTGAGTAACTGGCAGCTGATGACTTTTATCTCGGTCTCTACTGTGGACAGCCGCAGACTCATACAATGAGCTGTTCAAATTGATGGTTTCGAGCGCATGTGATACTTGCACGAACATGTTGATCGGCTTGCGAGACGGTCGACAGCTGAGCACAAGATCCCTGCCAGGTTCGACGTCACAGGCACCAGGTCAAAACCTGATCGATCACCTTGTGATCCCGGGCGTGTAGCACAGCGTTGCACACGAGTCGTTATGATGTCTTCCCTGCGCTGAATTTGTGTGATTGCTTTGGTTCCTGCACGCGCCGCTTGCTGAACAAATGACTGAAGAGACAGAGAATCGCATCAACCTCGAAGACAAGAGCAATCAAGCAACGAGCGACATGGCCGAGAATCAGGAACAGAAACAGGACGAGACACAGGCCCAGTCAAAAGAGGGCGGTGGTAGTATGGCCATCCAACATGTCGCGAGCTACAACTGACAGGTACGCAGGCTGGTATACCAAACCTGAAAATATGGGCAATAATGCAGGAGAGTGGGTGGAGGGCAAACTGAATCCTGTTGGAAAGTACACCGGTAAAGGTCTGGAAACAGTCGCAAAGCCAGTGGGCGGAATCGTCGATCCTTTAGTCGGAGGTGTCATGAAAGGAGGAGAGGCCTTTGGTGATCAGTTCGGCTTGGGCTTCGGGAACAAAGAAGGTGGACCGGCGAAGCAACAAGAAGCGGAGGGAGAAAGATTGAAACAGCCTACAGCTGGTCAAGAGCAAACCGGAGAGAACCCGCTTGGACTGAACAGCAAGGCTACGTAGGGATTGTGCTTGGTTTCAGCCGAATGCGCCGCGAAAGGAATGACTACGATAGCAATTCTCTACTGTCAATACACGTTCCAGTCGGGTAATGACACTGGCATGCTCTCTATACTCTCTACGTACCGGAATTGACATGTCCAGCTTTAGGCACATCTGTAACAGTAGCTGCAGTCGCACCTGCATCCACAGGCAGAATCACTCCAGTCAACCACCGTGAGTCTTCAGAAGCCAGAAACCTGACTGCCGCACCACAATCCCAAGGACTACCCTCTGTCTTCAACAGGCTTCGATTCTTTCTAGATTCTCGAGCCTCAGGACTCATCCCCTGTGAATACATCATAGGAGAGTAGACCATTCCTGGACAGACGCAGTTGACACGGATCTTGTCAGGACCGTGGTTGGCTGCCATGGCGCGAGTCATGTTCACGATCGCTCCCTTTGACGTCGGATATAGCAAGTGAGGTGTCCCTCCTCTCATCCCGGCCACGCTTGCCATGTTGATGATGCTGCCCCTGTATCCTCGTGTTGCTTCGTTTTTGCGCATTTCAGGAATGCAATATTTGGCGACGTTTACCATAGAAGTCACGTTGATTTCCAGTCCCTTTGCCCATTCTTTCATGTCGACTTCCACAGCAGTACCAGCAGCGCCTGTCTTGAGTCAGTCCCGTACCTCAATCTCAAAGGCATAGAATATTACCTCCAATGCCGACACAGTTGAACAGTATGTCAAGTCTTCCGTAAGTCTCGATTGTCTTCTGCACCAGTCTCTCGCAATCTGCCAATTGAGTGACGTCCACCTGTATTGCGATAGCTCTTCCCTTGCCTTCCGCCTCGATCATCTCCACAGTACGCTGGGCAGATTTGAGGTCCAAGTCAGCACAAACCACAGCACAGCCGTCCTCGGCCATTAGTATTGCTGCAGCACGTCCGTTCCCAATGCCATCCTCGAGAGCTCCAGCTCCAGTCACGATAGCTATCTTACCAACCAGCGACCTGTTCGGCCGGATTAACTCGTCTGTCATTTTATTAGATGGTATGAGGCGAGTGTTTGCTTCGGGTCAGTGACAGTACATAGAATGGAACATATCAAGATTGAAGCAGACGAAGGAGGCTGTTGTCCACGGTAGTGGGAGGAATACGTTGATCATCAGCATCAATGGACTCACTCCACGGGCCCTGATATCGTGGAGGTCTTATGAGGAGAAGCTTGCACAGCCGCGGTGCTTAAACATCACCTAGCTTTTAATATGCATCATGCTTGCGCCCATACTTTCGCTGTGGAAAATAAATCTTCGAGACGCAATTCAGATACCTTCACGTAGGACGCGGGCGGTGACGAATGGAACAAGCACAATGTACTGCAAGAACAAAATTTGTAGAACTTGAATCGAGGCGACAGCATCCGATATTCAAAGGAATTCGGAAGGGGCAATCTGGGGCCTATCGCTGTGTCAACGAAACTGCAGGCTGCCAGTGCGGCAAAACTCATCATCCTCCTCGGTCGATCGCTTGCCACGCCGATGAATAGCACGACATGCATTCAACAACTGACAATAAAATTCATATAGAAAACTATCAGGTGAAGGCATTCGTGGGTATGATGTCAGTGTATCTGGCCTGGTCTCCAGCCTCAAGCAAGTGATGGCTCAACCGTGAGCATCGATGCACAGAACCATCTGATCACATCGCCTTGAGCTTCAGCACCTCGGCATTTCCCGAACTGCAAATCTCCTACAAGACCACATACATCTGTCCGGCCAGCAGGATGACCGGACAGTCGAGTCAGCAGCCGTCTGATAGGCCCTTGTCTGTTGCCGGCTTCGAAGCTATCGCTAAGACCAAGCTCAAGCAGCAGGTCTGGGATTACTACGTATCTGGCTCGGATGAACAAACCACCATCAAACGCAATCGATCATCATTCGATAGGCTACTGCTGCGTCCTCGAGTTTTCCGCGATGTCAGTGTGATAGATACCTCCGCCACATTATTTGGCAGGAAGTATCTTTTTCCAGTTGGTGTGAGTCCAAGCGCGATGCAGAAACTCGTTGGTGGAGAAGGTGAGTTGGATGTTGCTCGAGCTATCGCCGCTCGAGGTACCTTAATGATTCTGTCTTCAAACTCAACTTCGAAGCTGGAGGACGTTTTAGATGCTGCTGGCGGTCCGGACGCGAGTTTCTGGTTCCAGATCTACATCTCACAAGATCGCGAGAAGTCCTCGAGGCTGATCAAACGCGCAGAAAAGGCTGGGTACAAGGCCCTAGCTGTTACAGTCGATACACCAGTACTAGGCAATCGCTACAACGAAAGGAAAACACAACTTGTCTTGCCCAAGCCATTGACTCTCGCGAACCTCGAGGATAACGACCCCACAGCATCTAGCAAACCTAGTCTCAACCGCGAGCTTCTGCAAGCACTAACTAGAGAAGAGGCTGCCCAGATACAGGATGCCGCCAAGAAGCGTGGCTTACTTAATGCTTCGGACTTGACATGGCATGAAACGATTCCATGGATGAAGCAGCAAACAAACAAGATGAAAATAGTGGTCAAGGGCGTCATGACTGCCGAGGATGCTCTGTTGGCCATACAGCACGGTGCTGATGCCATAGTGGTGAGCAACCATGGTGGTCGGCAATTAGATGGCGTTGCCAGCACACTTGAGGCACTTCCAGAAATTGTGGATGTAGCCAAAGGACGAGTCCCAGTGCTCATGGATGGCGGGATCACGAGAGGAAGCGACGTGTTGTAAGTGCCCGGGTAGAATTACACCAACGCTCCAGACTGACGTTTTACAGCAAAGCTCTTGCCTTAGGTGCGGACTTCTGTCTCGTCGGTCGTCCAGCGCTATGGGGACTGGCTTATGATGGACAGAAAGGTGTGGAGATGGTGCTAGATGTGCTTGAGCGAGAACTCACTCGAACCATGGCGCTTTGTGGTGCTAGGAATTTGCAAGAGATCGAGAAGGGAATGCTCGGGGTGGAAAGACGTGATGGCTTTGGGGTAGCAAAACTGTGAATCCAGTCACCACTAGTCGGTCATAGAATTCTGGACATTATTTCTCACCGAAGAAGGCAGGTTTACACAACACACATTGCATGGACGCCAAGTTTGCTTATGGTGCTTTGAGCACCTGTGATTGCACTTGTGAAGGGCGTGAATAGGCCGATGACTGACAAGATCGAGGCCGGCTACCTCAAAGAGGCCCGGACTATTGATAGAGGTGCGCGTGTGACTTCGACGAGGTGGATGCGAGTCCTAGTCTGCGCGAGTTGCATTTGCGGAGTCAGTGTCTCTTTTATTAACCTTCTATACCACCAATCCCAGCACTGTCAGTTTGCATCTTTGCGACATTGAATTTTTCACTGGTAGGCAGCTCGATGTGCACATTGTGTACCACGGCGACACCCACATTGACCTCACCTTTCGAGATCATCTCTAATATGTGACCTCCAGCCTTCTTGTCCTTGCTAATGAAGTGCATATGCTCGCCTGCTACCATGAATCCTTGCCATGCAGAGGGTGTTCGGAAACCAACAACCGTAGCTTCGACGTTCTCATACTCTTGAACGGCCTGCTTGCTACCTAGTTCCGCTAATGGTTGGTTTTCGTATTCTTGTCCCCTGACTGTTCGGGCCTTTAGATATGAGAAGGTACCATCAATCCGATAGCTCATAAACAGATTAGCTGCGTGGTTGTCGAATTCATCTAGCACTCTATCGAGGTCGTCTTTATTCTTGAAAACAGCTTGGACGGTCCGTTGTGGAACAAACTTCGTCGCTACTGCATATGGTAATTGTTCTTCTGGTTCGGCAACCCGCACATCCCCGGAAGCTTGAAGCTGATAAACTTGATCCTCAAGCAGGACCAGCTCTCCTTGTATTTTGGTGAAGGTACCGATCCCCAGGTTACCTTTGGTCGTGAAATCGGATACTTTGATACCAGTATCAGCTACACCTGCCATCAAGGCATTAATCAGTGAATACTGGTAGATGTGATTAGGCTCGACAGTCATATTGATAGGTTCTATCACGTGGTTGTCTTGAGGTGAAGTATAGGAGGTGGCGCAGCTGTCCTGGTTCTCTGGATTGCTTCGTGGCCTTGGTTGTTTCCTTTCCTTTATCTATTAGATTGGTGAACCATGAAACATCGTGAGCTCTCACTGCACGATTATGACTTGTTGGGATAATACCTCATAGGAGTGGTACCACCAAATCCGTCAGAGCCGCCTTCCACATGTCGTTCCTGCGGATTTTGAATTCTAACAAAAATGACGCAACGCCTTTCTATTTGGCGGACAGTGCCGGATGCACTTGCAGGATCATTTCTTCGCCAATCGCCTACCACGAAGTGAGCTAAGCTTTTGTGATAGACAGCATCAGTTCAATAAAGTTGTTCTCACATAAGCTTACCGTACTGCAATGATACATGTGTGGTGTGGTTACAATCGAGTTGAGGTCTTACCAGGTTCCGGATATAAACTGTTTGATCTTCCCACAGGTCTAGTTGATCGTGGGTAATCACACGGAAAAACTCGAGTCAACATGACTGAAAAGCAAGTCTCCCATATCATTGTCGAAAGCATTTACAATGCTGGAGTAAGAGTGGTATTTGGCATACCTGGAGCGAAGATAGATACCATCTTCGATACTTTGTCGTACGTCGATTTCACCAATTGACTTCGTGACCAACTGATACCTATAGGGATCATCCAGAGATCAAGCTGATTGTTTGTCGCCATGAACAAAATGCCGCCATGATGGCGGCAGCTCATGGTCGCATCACAGGCATACCAGGTGTCTGTATCGCAACATCAGGACCTGGTGCCTCAAATCTAGCGACTGGGCTAGTGACGGCGACGACCGAAGGTGATCCCGTTGTGGCACTAATCGGCTCTGTCCCAAGGAACATGAATACACATAGAACCCATCAGTCAATGAAAGCACTAGACATCCTCGGGCCTACAAGCAAGATCGCCCTAGGTATTGATGTGGAGGATCAAGCAGCTGAGGTCATTCTCACAGCGTTCAGACAAGCAGCAACTCCTCCGAAAGGCGCCGCTGTCATCAATCTGCCACAGGACGTTTCTAAGCTCAATAGCAAAATCTTGGCTTTCCCTCCTGAAGCATATCCAGCACCTCGATGGGGTATTGCTAATCACGAGCAGTACGGAAAAGTTTTAGACATGATTCAAAAAGCTAAATCACCCGTTCTCTTCTTGGGCGCCAGATCCTCAGCACCTATTGTGGTTTCAGCTGTACGGAATCTTTTGTCCAAGTTCTCCATCCCGACCATTGAAACCTTCCAAGCAGCAGGTGCTGTGTCCAAAGAATTGGTACACTTGTTCTATGGACGAGTAGGGCTCTTCAGAAACCAAGCAGGAGACAAGCTTCTCGCGTCTTCGGACCTTATTCTCGCAGTCGGCTTTGACCCCGTTGAGTATGACGCCTTCATCTGGAATCCATCCGGTGCTCGAAGGATAGTGCATATCGATTACCAGCCATCCGACTACGGCGTGTATTACCACCCTGTGGCCGAGTTGCTTGGCAGTGTGGCAGAAAACATCAATTTCCTGGCTGACAACATGAAGTCTTTGACACATGATATCTCTAACGACTTTCTTGCGGACCTGAAGAAGCAGTACTACGGATGGCAGTCCTTGCCCACAACTCAAAGATTCAACTCAAGCGATCCGGTCCATCCCCTCACATTCATCACCGAGCTTCAGAAACGTCTTTCGAAGGATACTACCGTTTGTGTCGATGTTGGTACAGTCTACATCTACATGATGAGATATTTCTTCGCCTACGAGCCTCGACGACTTCTCTGCTCGGACGGACAGCAAACGCTTGGTGTCGGTCTTCCGTTCGCCATTGCAACTTCACTCACACAAGACCCACCGTGTACTCAAAAAGTTATCAGCATGTCTGGAGATGGTGGCTTCATGTTCAGCAGTATGGAACTTGTGACTGCTGTACAACAAAAGTGCAACATCACTCACTTCATCTGGAACGACAGCAGCTACAACATGGTCGAATTTCAGGAAGAGATGAAGTATGGAAGGAGCTCAGGTGTGAAGTTAGGTGGTATCGACTTCAAGACATTTGCTCAGAGCTTTGGTGCTCGAGGATATAGAGTCGAAAGTGCAGATCAGCTCAGAGGTGTTATGGATGAAGCACTGAGCTTTGAAGGGGTCAGTCTTGTTGATGTGCGGATTGACTACAGTGAGGCCGGCTCACTGGCGCAGAATGTGATTCAGGATGAATGGAATTAGACCGATATAGACGCTTGTGGGCGTGCCTTAGAAGTCAGGCTGCGAAACTGTGACCACAGCTGCCAAACCCGAATGGTACCAATAGAGGCAAGATCAAAACATATCTATGTAAGATACGATCAGGAGGTTTCGCCTGCACAGCCAGGCAATTTCCTGTCCAAATCTATGCAAACCAATAAAGCTGCCCATAAATAATCGCACAAGCAACCGTAGTCTGCACCACCAACGGCAAGAAATTCACCACCGCAAACTTCGCCTGACTAATCCGAATATCCTTATCCGCCAACAACGCTCTCCACAACAATCCCGCCAAACTCCCCGCAAAAGTATAACTAAACGCCCCAAGATTACTCCCCAGCGCCGTGGCATATATCGCAGCAAGCATGATCCTCGGCTCGGCCCTCGCAACAGGAGATTCCGAGAAAGCAGGATCCCGCAGGATCTCGACGAGGATGATTGTCGCGCCGATGTTTGTACCCGCGAGAGGACAGAGGAATGCGGCGGAGACGAAGCCGAAGAAGAAGACTGTGGAGAGGGGGGTCGTGCAGGCGTTGCTGAAGCCGTGGGCGAAGACGTTTATCCAGCCGCGTTGGGAAAGGCCGCGGACGAGGATGAATTCGCAGATTGCGAAGGGGAGGAGGGGGAGAGGGAGGCGGGTGATTGTTAGGGATGTGCCGGGGAAGTGGGTCTTGAAGGAGCGGAGGAAGGAGGATAGGGTGGGTGAGGTGTCTGTTGTGCTGGTTGGGACTGTTTTGTGGTCTGATGGTGAGAGTACTGGAGTGTTTTCACCTTTCGAACATGTTTGTGTAGAATCTTCTTTCGAATGTACTTGTGTGGGGTGCGCATTGTGCCGCTGGTGTATGTCCGACGTTATGGATGGGGAGCGATCGACTGGCCTCATTTCCGCTGCCTGGTCCGAGAGACCCTGATCTTTAGCGACCTTACGCTGTTTGTGCCGCCACCAATCACTACCAAGGTCGAAAAGAAATGCCAGAATGCCTGCAGGTGCTGTGACCATCCACACTTCAACGGCATGATTAGGGACAAAGCTCGTTCCGATCAGCACTACCACTGTGACAACCATGAGCACGCTGAAGAAGATTGCGCCCGTAGGATCTCGTAGCTTTGACCATGGGTTGTCCTGAAGAGGTGCTATTTCTCGAGGAATTTTCTTCCAGAACATGGCCAGCAATACTGGGTAATTGAGCAGAGCAGGTACGATCGATGGCAACACAGTCCATTTGGTGAAATCAGTCAGAAAGTTGAGACCGAAACTCCCAGTAATGAGAATATTGGTGGGATTCGACGACACAAGAACGGCAGAGGCAGTGTTTGCTGCCATAAACTCACTAAAGACCCATGCTGTTGGTTCGATCTGTGTATGATGTGTCAGATATGCGAGAAAAGGAGTACCCGAGAGTATCAGTGGATCGTTGCCGACAATGCATCCAACACCCAAGAAGAACACGTAGAGATAGGTGAAGAGTCTGATGCCGGAGCTTCCACCACGTTTCGAAACCCAAAACGCGACTGCCTCTAATGCTCCCGTACCATCGAGTGCGATTGAGATGTAAGCGAGCGAGATGAATAGTACCAGAACATCGTAAGGTTTCACATTCTCGTCGCCTTTTACCCCGAGTTTGATAGTGCTGCCATCAATGGTTGTAGTCGCAAGAAGAAGGATGACTCCAATTACTGGCGCGGTCTCAAGTGACAGTGGAAAGCGAAGTCTCCTTGAAGCAAGGCGCTCAAACTCGCGTTGACTTATCACCCGACATATCTTGAGCACTCTTAGGAGTCCATGCTGAAAAGATCGGGCTAGTGGAACATGGACGGTGAAAATGACAAGGGCTGAGACAACGATAAAGACCGCAAGGATAAAACCACTATGGCCATTGAGATGGTCTTGAACTCCGCCAGTCGTGAACATTGGATGGTTGCGACAGGCGCAAGTCAAAGGCAAGGACAGACATGATACTCAATCGCTGCGAGAGTGTACAGATTATCGAAATAAAATTCAAAAAGCAACCTCCTGCCGAGTCAAGAGACCAAGAAATGTTCTCGGCGAATGACGCGGCTACTGGTTAGGCTTACTTGGACGAGTTTAACGCCGATGAAAGTGGGCCTGCCATGGCTCGCTCCTTCAGCACGTGGGCAGTTCGAATGCGAAAAGAGAATGGCTGCCACTATATTATACAATTCACTTATCAACTAGCGACAGCGCTCTTGTAACCACTGAAACTGAGGTGATCCTCTCGCAGAATCTCCGGCAGTTCGTCGTCAATGAGGCTCTGACGCCAATCCTTCTCGACTGGCGTCCACCCAAGCTCTCTCAGCCTCACAGCTCGACTCCTGGAGTTGAGACCGACAACAGCACCAGTGAAATCACCAAAGATATCTCCGTACAGGTCTTTCGGTATCGTTCGTGGCTGAGGGTCATCTATCTTACCAGCTTCGTGCAATGCACTACCGATGACTGTTGCGATCTTCAACCACGAGACCTCTTCGTCTCCATTCTCGCAGAAGTAGTATGGGTTATCCAGGAAGGTTGTAGCCGAGGACTGCTCCATATGATGTAGGAGGACCACATAAGCTCGTGCCAGATCCACGACGTGGATAGTGGACCAGATCGGTCTCCCACTACCCACATGTGCGGCGTAGCCGTGCTTCAATGCGAACCTTGTAAGTGTCGGGATCTGGATACTGAGTCTCTGATGTTTTGGGTTGACTAGAACACACAAAGTTAGCGAAAGATAGCTACAATACCTGTGCAGGCCTTACAGCCATATATCAGTGGTGGAACCATGATAGCGATCTTCGCTTTTGACTCAAGCTCTTTTTGGGCCTTGATAATAGTAAGGTCTATCTGTCGATGTGGTGCATTGTCGGATACAGAGTCAACCTCTTCACGGCGATTATCATGGTAGACTTTCTCGGTTGGTTCACCACCTTCAGTACCATCACCTAGAACTGAGGTGCCTGAGGTGTGGATGTAGATAGTGCTCAATCCTTGCTCGGCTCTCAGTTTGACACCATCAAGAATAGCGACAGCACTTGGTAAATCATCAGCAGTAGCGATGTGGAACACAATGTCGTTTTCAACAGTGTTCTTGGTGATGAGCTCCTTGTCCTCGAGTGAGCCCATTACAGGCGTAGCTCCCGACTTCTTGATGCCCCCAGCATGCTCGTTTCGGCGCACCAGGGCGCTCACGGAGTAGCCTTGTTCAACCAAGATGTCGAGTACATTCCAACCTATAAATCCTGGGCCGACGATGAATACCTTTTTGCCTGAAGACATCTTGCGTAGGAGGTTTCGGTCTAGAGGTTGGAGTGGTTGTTGAGTCTGAATACTAGTTTGCACTGAAGACCCGCGAACGTCGAAGTCTTAGGCTAAATGATGTGCTCGAATTGTTTTGCTCATGCACTCCATTTCGTTGGAGTGATGGAATAGCTACGTCAATATTGCTTTTTGCAATAACGCCACAATTTCGTGCATCTTATCGATCGTCAATTTTAGGTGCTATTCGAATAGTGTATTGCGGAAATGAAACGCGTCCCCTCTCTGAGTGCGCTATAGAAGCTCACTTTCCGTCGAAGTTAGCTGAATATATCTGAATACATCCTGCTTCCTCTTCGGTCGAGTATGACGGAGAGGAGTCTTGCAACAGCAGATTTCAAGCGACATACTGCATTGCGTTGCAGCAGATTTTGTGTCGAGTTTCTGTTCATCTAATTGTATACACTCGAAGCACTCGGGCGGAGTAACCAAGCACGTGGGGGTTACCAAAGGCGTCCCCCCAGATCGCTGTGAATCACACCAAAGCGAAGGGCTGCTTTTGGTGACCCCAACGTGCCAAGCTAATTTAGACAGATGATTTAAGCCTCTTTGACCTAGTAAATACTAGGCTGATGCCGCTCTGGCGCAACTCCGCCTCATCTATATAGCACCCAGAAAGAAACATTCGCTAAGGTCCACAAGCAAAAGAAGGCAACAGCAATAGTCACGACTTGCTGAGACAAGCACAGTCGTATGGTCTAATTCGCACACAACTTAAACAACCTCCCATGGCGTATCCGAGAGCCTGATATGAGGAGTCATTGCCTCGAGATCCTGGTCAACCTCGCCTTTGGTTCGTCCAGAACCCAGGAACGCCCAAGGATCGTCTTCCATGTATGTGATGTCGAAATGCTCCCATCGTGGTGTCTTGATCGTCTTGACATAGTGAAGAGACTGTTCTTATTAGCTTCAGGAGTCTCATGTAGCAAGGCAACACAAGCCACATACCGAACCACCCCAGCACATGATCTTGCCATTCACGGTGTTGTTCTTGTACCAACTTTTACAGTCCTGTGATACATGTCAGTAGTGCTTGACACAAGAACAATGGAAACTTACAGATGACCACACTCCGCCCTTGTGCCATTGGTCAACATGTCGGTTCAACATATTCGTTATGTTCTCTTTCACATCCATGGCCTTGATGCGATCGCTCTGCATTTTCTTGGCCATTTTAATTCCATATTCGATCTGCGATTCGAAGGAAGGCAGCACAGTACCATTGCACAAGGCGCCCCGAGGACCATTCATGATGATGTAGTTGGGGAAGCCAGGCGCTGCAATTCCAAGGTAACAGTTGGGGACTGGTGACCACTTATCCTTGATATTGACACCACCTCGACCGATGAGCGAGAAATGAGGTGTCCAGGCCATATCAAAACCTGTAGCAGCAACGATAACGTCTACCTCGTGGAAGTTTCCGTCCGCTGTCCGTAAACCCTTGGGGGTTATTTGTGATATCTCGTCAAAGACGTGTTCCACATTAGGCTTGATCAACGCTTCAAGGTAACCATCGCCGGGCGTGAGACGGCTACCGGACAGTCAGCACAGGTCTAACTCGCCAGACAATCGTATCTGGTTGCTACCCAGAAATACTTACCGGCAGCCTACATCCCAGCTTGGGATTAATTTTTTGCAGAGCACTGGATGATTCTCCAATCGGCTTTTCATACTCATTACCATGTAATCCTTGACCATCTTAGATGCCGGACTGTCTTTGTAGAAAATCTCAAATCCTTTGCCAATCTCAAACTCAATAGTTTTTCTGTACTTGAGCAGCAACTCTGGATTCGTCCGAAGTGCTTCGATCTCGTGTGGTTTGTAGAAGTATTGCGCAATATTTGGGTCGTCATTGTCGTAGTCTCTCAAGGTTTCGGGATCGATGTGGTCGAAGCCCTCACCCTTTGGCTTCCCCACTCCGAGGTCAACTGGCATTCTTTGCATAGGTGGTGAGATCCAGGTTGTTGATCTAAGTCCTGTTAGCTACGGACAAGTTAGGTCACCAAGAAGGAATCATTGACTAACCTCATGAAACATTTCAGATGACTTGCCACTAGAGATCGTGAGCATTACATCGCATCACTACTCCCACAGTACATACCTTTCTGCACTTGAGGTGTGATCTGAATAGCTGATGATCCAGTTCCTAGCACGGCCACTCTCTTGCCTTTCATGTCAACAGACGCTATCAAAGTTAGCACGGTTTGCTCTACACAATGAAGGGAGGAACATACCATCCCAGGCTGCTGAATGCAGTAAAGGGCCTTCGAAATCATGAAGACCTTCAATTTTGGGCCCTGCTGATGTTAAATCTGAAAATGACTCGGTAGCCCGAGGTTCTACTCACATCGCCACTTGTTCAGCAAGCCGGAACCGTTGAGAAGGATATCACAGAAATCCGTAAAAGTCTCACCGTTGTGCTCAACTGTAACTTCCCATTGGCCCCGATCTTCCTGCCAAACGGCACTCAGAACTCTGTGCTGGAGTTTCACCCATTTCATCAAGTCGTACTTCTTGGCAAAATTCACGAAATATTGCTGGATTTCTGGGGCGTACTTTAAGGAATCAAGTCAGCAAAGGTCAAACACGATAGATGTCAGGCTTGATAGAACTGACTGCATAATAGGAAGACCAATTTGGATTTGGCTCAAAAGTGTAGGTGTAGATGTGTGCAGGACTTCTGAAGGTCAACGATGCGTTTCTGTAGTGATAGCCATACCACACTTACACATCGCAGGCACAGCCTGGATACCTGTCTTGCCTTCGTTAGCATAAGTCGAACAGGAGACACAGAATCTTACTCTCAAGCCATGTGCCACCTATATCAGCGTTCTTTTCGTAGCAGACCAATTCGTAGTCTGTCAATTGTCTCTCCATCTTCCAGGCAGCGCATAATCCGGTAGCGCCTGCCCCGATGTGAATGATCCGCAGCTTTCTGGGCTGTGAGTGCCATTGTGGCAGGAGACCCGGATGCTCGGCATGGCCGTTTGTCGCGGTACCGTCCAGAGGCTGGATCATTCTGTTCGATGCTCAATTCTATCTCCTTTTCTTCTTCTTCTTCTTCTTCTTTGTGGTAGGAATAGATATACCAACAGTGCACGATACAGATACACTAGACCTCGTTTGACGCGACACCTCCATTTTGATCACAAGATTGACTCGTCGCTCTTTGTAACACTATCTCACTGAGGCAAGCACAACTGTAAAGGACGATGTAAGGGAAGCTGACATCAGGTCAATAAATCCACTCTTACCCCAAGTACATCCTTGGTCTCCTCCGCTTCGGCTGCAATTAGTTCAGTCTGAGCCTTGGCGCTTAGTGGCCTTGTAAAAGGAACTGGCAGAACACAACATCAGCTTTTTAACATATTAACTACGGCTAAAGACACTAGGATGGATCAGAGCACCATTCCCATTCCCGAGATCAAAGCAAGTACAGGCTGGTCATTGCTTGAAGCAGCGTATTATTATACAGGCGCCAGTTTACTACGCAATCTGGTATGGCTTATGACGGGAGATGGTCGAAATTTCGATAATGTGATCTGGATCAATACACCAGGCCTCGGATCTGGGAAAGTCCGGTGTGCCGTGGCACGACCGAAAGGAAGCAGGCCACACGACCAACAATTCCCCGTTGTCCTTGTACTCGAGGGTGGCGGATTCATCCTTGGTCAACCCGAGGATGGCGAGATCAATTGCCGTAGAATTGCAGATACTGTAAGACCACAACTTTGATATTGCTCGGCTGACACGTCTTATTCTGACATTTGAGTAGTGTCAGGCGATAGTCGTATCCATCGACTATGCAAAGGCACCAAGCTATCCGTTTCCTCATGCCTTGTTACAGATTCATAGCGTACTGGCCTGGTTGTTCTCACCTGAAGCCAAACAGCAAGGTCTATCTGTAGATCCAGAGAGGGTGGCGGTCATGGGAAATTCGGCAGGTGGTAATCTCACAGCATCGCTGTCGCTGCTTGTCTCATTCACCAAGGGTCCATGTGCACGTCTCAGACGAAAACTTCCACAAAACTTCCAGCTCAAGTATCAAATAATCCTGTATCCGGGCGTGGATTGTCACTTGTTATACCGTCACCGATACAGCGAAGCTGATGAGACGACTCAAAAGGCCAGCATCCCGATCGCGTTTGCGGAGCTGATGGAGGGTGCGTATCTGCCTCCCACCATCGACAAAAAGCAAATCTTCGTTGCCCCAACCTTGGCAGATCCTGCCCTGCTTCGAGAGCTCAAAGTACCTCGGGCTTTACTGCTCCTTGCTGGTCGGGACTGTCTTGTATTCGAAGGACAGAGATTTGGTGCGAACCTTAAGGCTGCCGGCATCAGAACAGTAGTCCACGAATACCCCGACGCTATCCACGGATTCAGTCACTACAAGAAGGGAGCTGACTTTCGGCCTGAAGACGTAGAAAACTGTTGGGTTCGGATCTGTGACGCTCTTAGTGAAGCGTTTCGGAATTAGGTGTTGTTGAAGACGGGCATGCTATACATCCTCCTTCGATGGTAAGTACCAGTCATGGTATGTGTATATGGTATTGGAAGGATGAAAGCAAGTGTGGTAACATGCTCCGCTTGACAGATCGACGTCAGCCCACTTCAAGTAGATTCATAGACGAGAATTCTGGGTGTGCTTTGAAAAAATCGGGCTTTAAGGTCCACCAGGATAGATCTTCGGCCTGTTTCTCGATCGTGGTTAGAACGTCTAATGATGCCGGTGCACAATTCGACCATTTTGTCTCGAGATGCTGCAACGTAGATGTCCCAAATTGTTCAGGATCCATCCTTGGGTCTTGAATCAGTTTCTGACGAATTTTTGGCCTATCGACAAAGAGTCTTAGCCACAACTTAGGCAAAACATGGAGTTGCTCACCATATCAGCATGTTAATGAAGGGTCGATGTGGTATAACACATTCCAAAGGTGTAGGTCGCATAAATATTGGCAATCTCTCGTAGGTAGACTGAGTTCTTAGTGCGAACCACTAAGATGTGGTCAGCGCAATCGTTCTAGAGACTAGTAAACACAATACTTACTCGCAAGACCAGATATTGAACCCAGAAGATTCCAAGTAGGAGGTGCAGTGGCATAGGCCCGTAGCTGGTGATGAAGTGAAACAGTCGGAATGACAGCACATCTGACGGCAGATCTGCCAGTAACTTCTTCAGAGAAGGTTCCGATGCGTCGAAGCGGCCTTGGAGATGTTCAGATCGAGCTTCCTCAACGAGGCGCTGCACCATCCTGTCGGCCTCGCCGACTGGAGGGGACAACAAAGGGAAGTGAAACTTAACCATTCCCGCACCACCAACAGCATACGCTGTACCTGTTGGCAGGAAAGGCTGATGTGAAGGTTCATATGGGAGCTGGAGAAGTGGTAATGGTGCGGTCGAGGAGAGATCGGGCATCAATTCGTAATCGACTGCTGAAGGATTGTGAATCTCCGGGTATTCGATTGCGATATTTGTAATAACATAGTTATCGACAGGTAACAAGCCAAAGTCATGGGCGTAATGCGAATTGTTCGCGACTGGAACCGAACTCGAGCACCCGGGCTCACCACCAACATATGATCCTGCAAAATGTCGATTTTCTGCTTGGGCAATATCTGTATCGGAAGCATCGGATGGCAGGGTACGAACGTCTGTCGTGTCAAGCACTTGATCGCGGTCGTGCTCCAGGACTGATTCTGAAGACTGTCTCTGCCTCGGCTCATCATCGTCCAAATCATGCTGCGTGTTGAGTGTTTGAGGTTCGACTGGGACGTTCAAGGCTGTGCGCACCCGATTGAGTTGTGCCTCCAGCTTCTCGCATTTGCTCTTCCACTCATCTCGTTCTCTTAGAAGTCCTTGTGTACGCTCTTCAGCACTGTGGTGTTCGTTCCATTTCTTGACAGTGTCTTCGAGTTCTTGCAGATATGCTTTACGACGTAGGCGGTGGTTGTATTGAGCTCGGCGGTCGGTGGCTCTCTTCTTAGCCCGTCTTGTTTCTTCGGCGCCTGGGGCTGCAGTCATTGCATGTGTCCAGAGAACGAGCCAGCGTAATAGGCTTCGCTGCCAATATGTACCTAGAAAGGCACGAGGACGAAGGACTCAAGAGGATGGCATGCGAGTATTGAAGCTTAAACAATCAGCCCAAGGATGTCTGAATTGCAGCCAGCTAGTGTCACGAGCAGGCATAATTGCACATTAACCCGTCTTCCTAACAGGCTCAATTCAAGCCTTCTTGATCAAGGTTCGTCTGGGGAACCTTCTCTGGGGAAGTGTGGAAGCAAGCACCACAACCTGAACTTGCATCGCCTAAGGCGGCCTAGACGGGTTATGAAAAGTGCTTCCGACCCCCGCTGTGGGGGCTTTAATAGCATGCTTCGGCAGTGCAGGATCCTCGTATTCATCGGTATCATCTACAGCAACCATGAACCTGCACAACACCGCTTCCTGAAGCTGTCGTACCTGACGAGCTTTATGTTGTGATTCTACTATCTTGCTCCAGAAGCGTACATGGTTTCTATACTTGAGTACCTGTTCTCGAATCACGCGAACTGTCTAACCACAAAAGATAGGTTCCATCCACGCTTTGTAACTCTGCTCGACCTCATACAAAGCTTTTCCTTTCACGAGAACTGTTCGCCCATGAATGTCGGCTGCTGGAGCCGTCGCTGTATAGAGTACAGCTTGTCCAACATCCTCTGGTGTGCTGGCTATCAGACCCTCCAATGCCGCAGGATTGATCTCCGCTGTCATAGGAGTCGAAGTCAAGCTAGGGCATAGTACCGTGGTTGTTATGCCCTTGCTCAGAACTTCAGGTCTCTGGCTGACACTTCGAATGAGCCCAAGTACTGCGTGCTTGCTTGTGTCGTAGATGGAATTGTAAGGAATGGCCATGTATGCATCTGCCGAAGCTGTGACAATGATTCGACCACCTCCAGCAGCTGCCAGATGGTGAATGGCCAGCTTGACGCCATACACTGGTCCTTTCACGTTTACGTCCAACACCACCAGTGGCGGTTCTTTCAACTTGGTCGCATCGCCTGCTTCATACTCATCTGCAAGGAAATTGGTTCGCACTTCGCCGATTGCCCGTTGTGCTTCTTCTCCACCCGCACTGACCTTCAATTCTGTATCAATTCCTGCGTTCAGAAAAACGATTGTAGGAGAACCGAAGGTCTTCTTCGTAAATTCGAACAACGCTACGTTCTCTGCCCACGAGGAAACATCACATCGGAACGATTCGGCGCCATGTCCAATAGCCGAAACAGCCTCTTTCAACCTATTCTCCTGTACATCAACCGCCACCACTTTGACTCCATTACTGGCAAGTAGCTTCGCACTCGCGAGTCCTATTCCAGAAGCAGCACCTGTGATGACGGCGACCTGACCCTGAAGACCCTGTAGACTCTGCGAATCAGGGGAGAAGTTGATGCGAGACATGTATTCGGCTTGCCGATCGAGTTGGCTTACTGCGAGGCCTTCGACGAAGAGAGCAAAGACCAAGTCTCTATTAGTACTCCATGCATACTGCTCTTTCGAGATCTTCGACCAATTCGTGTTTCCGCAGTCTGCCTGACGTCAGCTTTCCTGACGGTATGTCTTCTGCAAGGTAGTCACTCAAGTCGAATCTGCTACAAAGCGGATGAGAGTAATGCTCAATATCGCCAGCTCGTGCTCCAATATGTGTTGGTGGCTGAAGCAGATTATCACATGTGCTACTCAGATATGTTCATTCCAGATCCTTGACTATCTCTCTAATGGCTTGTACAATAGGAGCATAGGTCCTCTCGGGCTCTAAGATCATGGGAGTGTCCATATTGTTATGGCAAATTGCCACGGCTAGATCCTTTCTGAAGTCCGCCCATGCCAGGGACCCTCCCGCGCCCGGGCTGTATACGATCTCTCTGTGATCACCCACTAAAGGGTCTGAAGCCGTAGGTTCTCCTCCTAACCAATATCCAGCCGCGCCAAACCAGACAGGAATGGGCAATATCTTATCTTGATCATAGGCTCCTTCCCTGAATTTCGCAAAAGCTTCAACTCGCTCGGGTGACAAGAATTGGTGTCCGCCAAACTGACCTTTGCCAGCAACGATGCCGAAAATTGCGGCAACAGCACTAGCTGTAGTAATGGCTCCAGCACCTGGATCTACACCTTGCTGAACGATTCTGGTGTTGTGTATTTCTGAGCCAGGAAATACTGCCCTAGGACATATTCCATAGTCGTCCTGCATAACAAAGTCGTTGCCCCCACTGAGCTTGGCAACACGTTGTAGTTCTGTGTCTGGGACACCAAGGAAGAAGTTCTTGGCCCCAATAGGCTTACAGATCTCGTCATAAACAAATTGTTCAACAGGTCGATGCTGCGGATCAGTGCGCCGCACGACCTCTCCCACGATCCAGCCCCAAACCAGTATATGATAAGCATTAGCCTCGCCAGGTGGAAAGATTGAGGTGAACGACTCAATCTGTTTGATCATCCACTCCCAATTGGCCATTAGTTCTGGTGTGACTCCCTTTGGCATCTGAGGAATTCCTGCCCTGTGAGATAAAGCTTGCTCGATCGTAATGGTCTCTTTGCCATTTCGACCAAATGCTGGCCAATATTTTGCTATGCGCTCATTGAGATCAATTAGACCACGTTCAGCCTGTAGATGGACTGCCAAAGCTACGACTCCCTTCGTAACAGAAAAGACCGGGAACAGAGTATCTCTGGTCACTTTCTCGCCAGTCTCTGCGTTTGCAACACCAGCAACAGCGTCAATGATCTTTTTGCCACGATAATATGCTGCCACAGCTATCCCAGTCTCACCAAGCTCAAGTGATCGTTCTAGAGCGCGTATGATCCGTGGATCTTGTTGTGCATCTCCGTTCGACGGCATGGTGGTACAGTCGGTAAAGTTAACTGTTAGTGAGCAGGGAGTTTGCTACGTACTTCATGACTGTCGTGTGTTGATGCTCGTTGGATATACTCACTCGTATCTGGACGTTCTTGTGCAACTCGTACTATGACTCAGCCCTACTGATCTAAGCGGACGCTTGCACCAAGCAACCAGGGTTGTACATCAGGAGCTCGTATTTTGTCCATGATTGTGCTGGGGACCAAGCTCATGTGTCAGGATCGTGTTTGCACATTGTTTCGCAGTATTAAATTCGACTCACTCCTTGTACGATCAGTCAAAAAGATTCGAAAGCACCTAGCGAACAATAAGAACAAGGACCGCTGAATCCTCACCAACGTTGTCAATCGTCGACATGCACAAACTGATCATTTTGGCTGTACGAAAGCCAGGCATGACACCAGAGGAATTTAAGAACCATTACGACAACGTTCATGTACCCTTTGTGCGAAAGCTCTCGTCAGAACTGTTCCCTGCATCCCACAAACGCGACTATATTTATGCACCAAATGGGGAATCTACGTTCGACTGCATCGCTGAATTGACATACAGGGACGCGAAACATTTCCAGGACCATTCTGCTCTGCTCATGTCGCCAGAGCATCAAAAGGAGGTTGAAGATGACTGCAAGGCCTTTCTCGACATGACGAAAACTCAGCATCACGTGATTATGAGTACCCAGGAGGTTCGGGCATGATTCTGTTGGCCATGGTAGCCAGTCAGTAGCACATTGTGTGCAGGGACGACTAGGTCGAGTACACAAAAATACAGCATGTCAAATATCAACACGGAAGACTGCCTGGTGGTGTCAACGTAAAACTCGGATGTTTGGCAACAGCACAGCCGTCGGCGCTCCCCCACAACATGCAAAGTCTGAGGCGAACACGCGTATACGAGGGTGGATGCTCGATTGGGGTCATGGATGGGAAAGAGCCAATCATGTATTGGTTATCTCAAATTTAGCCCATCAGATGCGGCTCTTGGCTTCATCGATAATGACTTTTTTTTATGTATTTCTCGATGCCACCAGCGAGTGTTAATGGTACAACGAGCACCACTACTTAGTACACGAGCATTATTGATCTCCCCACCTAGATATCCAAGTATCTGTGCATGACAAACGAGATACACTACTGAATTGATGCAACCTGCCAGCTTCTGCTACCCCACAATGGATCCCTGGGCTTCAGCCCCTGGAAGAAGCGTGGAGAAGGCGGAGACAGTGTCTGACATACTTCACCTTATGTCAGTCACGATGTGTGTCGCGACTTACACCTGAGATCATTGTAGGGGAGGAAAACACATAGAAACGAGGTTCGCCAGGATTACAATGTCACTAACTGAACGTCATCAAATATTATGGCGGCAGAGAACAATACTCTGGGCGGCTTCGGTCAACAACCTGCCTACAGTGAGCCCTCATTCCTGAAGTCACTCGACAATGTCAGTGTTTCGAGATGGCAGATCTTCTTCGGCCTCATCACTGCCTATTGGTTATACTCAACCATCCGCTTTCATAGAACACAGGTACGTCGTCGATGAACATACCCTACCTCTCGTACTTCCGTGCTTACTGTCATTAGGCGAAGGTCCCAGGTGTTGGCTATCCCACTTCTCCCATATTTGCTGCTTTTCCACTTGTTGCATCATGGATTGCAGCCTACAGATTCATGCGCAACCCTCTGGGTTTAATGACAGAGGGATTTGCGAAGCACAGGCCGGGCTTTTTCCGCATCTCGACACTGCAGAGCGAATTCGTCATCGTTACGGACATCAAGAAGACCGCGGAATACCTCAAAGCTTCAGATGATGTCTTCAGCTTTCAAGATGCAGCAAATGAACAGCAGCAGATTCCATTTACCATGGGCTGGGGCATTGGTTACAGGACTTATCACACGCCAGTCATCCGTGTTCAACTTACACAGAGCCTGAAAACTCGTGTGCCATTGATGCTTGGCGAAATCCAGCAAGCGTTGGACGAGCTCATTGGAAGTCCGCAGGAGTATCAGCCTTTTTCAATGTATGGACTAATTGCAACGGTTGTGGCACAAGCCAGCAACATGGTTATGATCGGTCCAGAACTGGCGCATAACAAGCCATTCCTTGCTTTAGCCATCAAATATGCGGAAGCAGTTGTCATCTCGGCAGAACTGATCAGACCTTTCCCTGACTGGCTCAAACATATCCTGATACGAATTGCCCCAGTATGGGCTCGACGAAAAGACGCGAGACGCTATCTTGAACCAATTCTCCGAGCAAGGTTAGCTGGTGACTTCAAAGATGGCCAAAAACCAGATGATCTGCTACAATGGCTAATGGACGTTGCGCCACAAGGGATTGAGAGGTCAATTCCTGCCCTTGTCGAGAGATACATGGCAATGAATGTGGCCTCAATTCACACAACTACCATGGTGAGTGTTCAGATCGTTTCTCCTAAATTTCCTAGCGACTGACTTGTTTGCCTCAGACTTTCTCCGGCGCTATATACAAACTCGCGGCTGAGCCTGAAAAGTACGCGGGTGAGCTTCGAGAAGAGCTTGAACAAGTCCTGAAAGAGGGTCCTCTGAGCAAAGACTCATTACAGAAGCTCAAGAAGATGGACAGTTTCCTACGTGAATCAGCTCGTTTCAACAACTCAGGTCTACGTAAGTGCTCAACTTCATCACTACGGCTCATAGTGGTGGAACATGCAGCTAATTATCGCGCTCTCATAGTGGCTATGCAGCGCAATGCAAGACAAGAATTCAAGTTCTCCGACGGAACAGTACTTCCACCTGGCGCTCGAGTTGGTGCACCAACTCGTTTCATTCACCGCGACCCAGACAGATACGAAAACTCCCAAGAGTTTGACGGCTTCCGGTTCTCGAAGATACGCAGTAGCAACGAGGATGCAGCGAATAAATACCAGATGGTGTCTACTGAACCGGAACTGCACGTCTTCGGACATGGGAAACATGCTTGGTAAGTACTGTCTTCCAGACACTTTCCTCTAACATGATCTGCAAGTGCAGCGGTGTCTGCAGCCGGATCCTTAACGACATGAGGGCTAATCATGCATTTCATCTAGCCCCGGAAGATTCTTTGCAACGAATGAGATGAAGCTTATGCTTGCCGAACTCATTCAGCGCTACGATATGAAACTGGCTGAAGGTGAAAAGCCGAATGAGTTCTTGTTGGGTACCATGTGCTTTCCCGACACCAAATTGAACGTGTGGTTGAAGGCGAGGACTCGATGAGTGTTTCGGGAGCGATCGACCTGTGCTGTTCAGTGAAGATGCAGCACTATGGCTTACTACTAGCTATGTATTGAAGCGTTTGCTACATTAGTTTTACGACCTCTTTCTCGGATAGTCAGTACTCCGGAAAGAACAAAATCTTCGGCCAATCATCTTTCCCCGTGCCGAAGAAGGAACAGTTTCTCTTTGAGCATGGTATCATCGTTGCATTGTGGTCTGAGCTCTACTCGAAGGTGTCCTTCTTCTCACCCTCGATGAAATTCATCTTGAACACGATGTTCGTCGCATCGTCAGGCACAGTCACCTGGTCATTGACCGCTTTGCTCTCATCAGCATATCCCACAGTAACGATATACCAATCAACCTCGCCAGCATCCACTGCCCATCCATACTTGACACTCCCCGATCCGCTCTTCACATCGACGTCATTGCTTGGATTCTCCTTGCCTGCCCCAGCCTTCCAGATCACGACCCGCTGCGCAGCGTCCCGCAACATTCCAGGTTGGTCGAACTTGTAGTGCTTCACCAGTGGCATCCCTGGCTCGAACAGAGTCTGGATGGTATTGCTGACGGGCTCGAAAGCTGGTGTGAGCCAGAAGTCCCAGTGGTCCTCAATCTTTCGCCAGTCGAAACCTAGAATTACGGAAGATGCGTCATCAACTCCGCGACCGTATGAGACTAAACGGATACCGTCGCCAGAAGCGCTGGGCTTGGCGAAATCGTCTCTGATCTTGTTGAGTAGGGTGTCTGAATCCTGTGATATGAACTCTGGTAGGAGTTTGAAGATAACGAATTCGGTTACTGGAATACCTCTACTGCTAGGAGGCGTATACTGCTCGAGCTGGGCCTTGACTGCCTTCATATCGTAACCACTCGCCATTTTCGGAAGCTGATATGGGGTTTTTCTGGGTAGGGTAGCTGTTAATTCACTCGGGCTTAACGGAAATGCTTGGGGACTTCGACAAGAGACATTCCTGCTCTATGTTGGAAGAGCACAGTATTGTACTCCCTAGCAAATCCGTACTGCCCGCAATAGTGGGAAGAGTGCCATGGCACGATCCTAGAGCATCAGAGTGAACAGACGAATGTAAGGAATTACATAAGTCATACTGAACTCAGCACCCAAACCTCTAAACGCCGCTACTGATTCCACAAACAACTCGACTCTCCAAGAAGCTAGACAAAAGTATTTGGAGAATAACACAATACACAGAAGTCAAGCATAAGCACACAGCCTTGAACACATGCGAGTGGGCACTGAACAGCTCAGGCCAGCAGCGCCAAGAGGTACTTGACCGGCCCACTTGTATGAGAACGCCAAGCTTCTGCTTTGCGGGGGAAAGCGGGTAAACTTGGGCTCATCAAACAAACAGGGTTCAGGCAGTTTCGGCTCCACGACCTCTTGAGTCGCCGAGGCACTTTCGAGCTCGGCAAGCATCGAGCTCAGCTCGTTGTAAGGACGTACCTTGTACAGCACCTCCGCTCCTTGTTCGGGCGTGGCTTCTGTCGTGTTCCTGGCGTGCGCTGGCCTGGAATGAGTGGTTGCAACGAACACGAAACTGCGTGAGAGCCCGGCTCGTTCGAAGCAATGCTGCGGAACCTTGAACACAGGCACATAACATAGTCTTGGAGTGGTAACTTGGGAGTTCAGCAGTATTCTTCTTCTGTGTTCTTGTTGCATATCGTGGGTAACTCGAATCGAGCCGATCACGCTGATACGAACATCTTTTTCGCCTGAGCGTACTGCAGTGGTTGGGTAGGAACTTCTAACAGTTGGATCTATCAAGGAGGGAGTTACATTCCAGGACATTCGTGTCAGGTAGAACACCGACGCCATCGTGTCCAGAGATAACCCTCGTACGAACGCCTTGTACTGACATCTCGACGTCTCCACACAATCGACAGTAGGAGCAGCATCCTTCACATTCACATCCGAGTCCAAAACCTTGCAAGATGGCAGAACCAACCGCCTTCGCAAAAGCGACAAAAGCTATCCGAAGCACCATAGGTCTGCCTATCGCACTGGCGAACTGGATCGCGCGCGAACCTCTCATTACTGGCCCCTTACTCTGGGCTTTGACCCGTGGCCCACCAGAGCTCCGCGAGCGCCTCCTCCAGCCATTCCGCTCGAACTTGCTAGCTAGGGACGCAAATGTGCGACTTGGAAAGTTCATTACCGCCTTGAAGATTTGCGTGGCGCTGGGTACAGTCAAAAGAATAAATCGAGCGCTCGATGCGTTGGCTTTGAACGCATGGTATCTGCCAGGAATGAAGCCTATGGCGAAGTGGAGGTGGGACGGTAGAACGGAGGTCGTGGTCATCACTGGTGGTTGCAGTGGGTTTGGGTATGAGATGGTGAAAAGGTTTGCGGGAAAGGCGAAAATTGTGATCATTGACATTATGGCACTGCCAGCTGAACTTGAGAAATGTACGTGCTGTCATTACCTGCCTGTCTTTTATGCTGCGAGGTGTTAGTGCTAACTATCTGGCTTTTCTATGGCAGTGCCCGAAGTTCACCACTACCACAGCGACCTTTCCGATCTGAACTCTATAGGTGGAATATGTTCTGAGATTAGACATAGACATGGAAATCCAACAGTACTAATCAACAATGCTGGAATTGGCGGCGACTTCAACATGGTTCGACATAGTCACACCAAAACCGATAATGGTCTGATCGGAGACGGAAGGACCATTCTCGATACATCCACAGAGTTTGCGAGTCGAATCATGGCTGTCAATCTGACGAGTCATTTCGTGTTGATACGGGAGTTCTTACCGGGCATGCTTGATGCAAAGAAAGGTCATGTTGTGGGTATTGCCAGTATGGCCTCCTTCGTGTCGGCTCCAGGAATGGTAGATTATTGTGTCACCAAAGTTGGCGTTCTTGCTTTGCACGAAGGTAAGTTTACCCTGGAGAATCTTCTAGACGTCATTTGATGAGTGTGAACATGACTGACTGCACTCCAGGTCTCCGAAACGAACTGCTAAGCAGATACGAGAATGGGTACTGCATTGCTACGACATCAGTACATCCCTCCTGGCACGCGACCGGGATCATCAAGGGTTTGGAAGACAACTTGGCCAATCACGGCATCGTCGTCGACCCGCCTTCCAACGTGGCTGAGGCAGTCTTTGATCAAGTCCTGGCTCACCGAAGTGGGCAGATATTCATGCCCCGAAGTGCTGAAGGTGAGTCCGGCATGAGACGCATGCCGATCTGGGTGCAGGATGTGCTGTTGGGCAATGTCCAACTCAATCCCTTCAGTCGCAAGAAGTCCATCTCCGAATAGTCTTCAGGTGTCCAACTCGAAGCATGTGGGACAAAATGAACGCCAATTCAATTAATGTATCCCCGTTTTGATCTGTAGTATGCACCATATAAATAATCTTTCTGCTTCTTTTGACTTCTGGCCGTTACAAAAGGCGGAAAACTGGCCGGATTTCTTGTCTACTGCTATCACAACTCTTCTGCCAATTTGCTTTTCTGAAGAGGAGATCGTCGCCTGTTCGGCTGCTGGAGGAGGAGCTTTGTGACCATTTTTAAGGCTGTAATATTAGTCATTTCGTCTATTCCTTCAAATTAGTGTGTCGGACACGCTGGTCAAGAGTAGCATAGAGTGAGTCTGCTGGTCACCGTCCCAGCTATACCTATGATTGCCCTAGACCCATCCACAATATGCGCGAATATATACCAAAATCCACTGTCATCCACCGTCTGGCCCACTGGGTACCACATCTGGTGTCTCTGCGGAAAGAGCTGTTAGTGACCCAAACGACGCCATCCTTCTACTTCTGACGGAGAGGACTTCGTGTCGGCTCCATGAATGAATTACAAATCACAAAAAACTCGGCGCAGGCCTGGAATGGGCCATATACTGTCCAAGGGAAACCCATGACTACGGCTCGGAGGAGTGTTTGACGTTCTTACCACTATATCTCCGCTCCCGAAGAATCCGGTTTCATCTGTAGATAGAGCCCTTTCGAACTCATCTGGAGGTAAATTTGATTGTTAAAACATATTTATGAATATACCAATACTCGTGACTTCGGGCTTCAGGTGTCACTGACGACTCGGACTTAGGAAATCTGGAAACCAGTGATTGATGGTGGGTGTTAGAGGTAGACAGTCAAGAGAGTGAAGTGCCTCCACCAACTCTGAATACTCTCGGAAGCCAAGACATGATCTAGTGAGATGCCAAGAATTTGCTATAGCTTGGGACGGGTGAGAACAGGAAAACTCTTCGTCGTACCTGGTATCTGCGTCAGTATTCGAAGCCTTACGCTGTTCATACACGATGGTGTCGCAGTTACAAAAAGCCTCCACGATAAAATGAATTGATCGGAGGACGATTGGCTTCTCTGTTGGCCTGTGTAATTAGATCCACACAGGGAGGAAGTCTCAGACTCAACGTACGCCCTGCGAGACAAAAGGCACAAGTAGTCACTTGAGATATGTCGTTATCTCCTTTAATTTTGGACAGATCGGGCTATCATTGCATGCAACGAGTAGCGGCGGTGAGACTGTTTCCATTCCTCAAAAAGACATGCAGCGAGGATTTAATCTATATGGATAAAGATGACGATGATGTCCCTCCACCCCTGCAGATGTGGTGGCGCAAGCAAGAAGCTCAAAGATTATGAGTTCCAATTTTGGACTGTGGCTGCTGAGCCAAGACCCGGAGCTGGCGGTGGAACTAATTCTCGATGCTCAAGGTAATCATTGGACGCCTCTTTGCCTGCTATACGCGATATGTCCTGATAACGCTCTCGGCGTGCTGCGGCTTCCTTGATGGTGAAGTGAGAGAATACTTGGACTGCGCCGCGGTGTCGATGCAGGCTGGCATTGTTAGCTATGGATTTCGTTTCACGTCTCAGTGTTCTTGTCCGAATGGTGCGACATCTAGTGAACTTCTTCCTGGTTGAAACATCGATTCAGCAATACTTGGGCGTAGCGGGAAGCTCACCAGCCTAGAGATTCATACTGCGATGACTTCGAACCCGTCATTTGAGCCATATTGCCCATTTGGAGGTTCCTGGTATGCCTGTGGGAATGGAGCGAAGTTCACTGGATGCTGTGGTGAAGACCCTTGCAACGACAATGGATGTTCTGCTGGCCAACTATATGCCGCTAGCTTCCAAGCGTCCAACCATGGTCTCTTTCCGGATCAAGAATGCGGTGCAGGTCTATGGTATACCTGCGTGTGGGAAAACCAAACCGTCGATACGTTTATGGGATGCTGCCAGAGCAATCCTTGCTCGAACAAGGGCTGCCCAGTAGACTCGCTTGCTGCTGGGTACCTTTCCAGCAATCCCACCATAGCACAGCAATTTGATCCATTCCCGCCTCTGCCGACGGCTGTTTCTTCGGCAACGACCACTTCATCGACAGCGAGCAACACGAGTGCGGCCGCAAGTTCATCACAACGCCAATCGTCATCAAGCCCTGTTGCGATAATAGCTGGATCTGTAGCAGGTGGTGCAGTCTTCATTTTGGCGGTCATTCTGATAGCATGGAGAATTGCATGGCGAAGTCGGCGAAAAAGGGCTGCTGCTACGGCATCGAGGCGTTACGACGTTGCACAGCATGTTAGGCATGATCCACCACCAGGCCACTTTGACTCTTCCAAGGCTCAGCAGGCTCAACACGCCTTTTACGGTGAGAATTACTGATTTACATGCAAGACTCAAAGATGTTGACTAATTGCAGACTCACCTACTATACCTCCATATTCGCCTCCGCAGCCATACTCGCCTCCACAACGATACGACGCTCAATCGCCTGCCTTTACCACATCGCACTTCAGTGGTCGGTCACACTCGCCGAATTGGAAAAATCATGCTGGAGGAGGACATGGGTCAACCCGATGGGCAATGAGTTCCCAAGGGCCGCCCACTGAAATGGCGGACACCGCACGAGAGCACTTGCTCTACTATCCTTCGCAGCATCGTGGAGCCGGTAGCTTGGATAGAACAGATGGCGAGCCTGTGGAGTTGGATTCGCGATCAATGTATCCAACATAGATGAAGCTCATTAGGTATGGTCTTATTACTTGAGGCAAATGTTTTCGTCTTAGCGTTCTGAGCGTGTGATCAAATAGCGTATATCTCAATGAAGGTGTGCTTCATGCACTATCATAATTTTTAGACTTCAACGATAAATAATGCGGGTTCTGACCTGTCCCGGATTATAGGTGGCTAGTGACTGGACTTCTATTCGGATGATCCAACAGAAGTATAGTAAGGACCATATGAGCAGGACAGACAATATGGGTGAAAGGGATGAACAAGCCAATATTGAATGTGGAAGGTGCGACGATGCACCTGCCTCGGCTCCTGATAAACCTGCGCGAGACGCGTTTCGCGAGCCCCAGATCGGTTTCTCAGTAATGTGCTGACAGAGCGCAAGTCGCAGGATGGACAGGTCGCTGGCGACACTGCTGCGGTCGCTACAGACGTCGCAGCACACTGATGACGCTGCTCGGTTACTGCCATCTGCGACAGGTCTACTATCGCGCTTATCGAATCCGTTAAACGTTACCCTCCTAGCATCGCAACTGCTGGCGAACGACTTACTATACTCGAATCCAATCGATCTTCAGTCGTGCCGCAGTGTCTTAAGTGTTTTCTACACAGCTGCACTACGCTTGATCGAAGACCAAAAGAACGAGCAAGCACAGCACAGTCGAAGCAACCTGTCACAAGTAGAATGGACGAAGGCTGCAATACAGGGTGCAGACAACAAGTCGCCACGATGGAGGCATTTGTTGTTGTTAGGAGGTCTTCTGCTTGCACTCGATGCCCAAGGTCATCCTGACCTCCCTCGAGATTTGAGGAAGAAGGTTGAAGCTGCACTCATTACAGCGACCAATTTAGCACTGCAGGAGAAGGAAAGGAGTCATGCAAACAGTCAATTATGTTTGGTATTTGTACTCAACACTGTCTTTCCACTGCTCTCAGATCAGCAACGAGCAAGTATCCAGTACGATCTTCTACTGCCAGAACTGGTTGAATCCGCCTATTTCTCACGCGAAGGCCTCGAGCATGGATACTGGTTAGGCACAATCGATGTAGATGTCGTACAAGTCTCCCGGACACAATTTCATTGGGACGCAAACTCAGGCTCGGCGCAACGCATACAAGCAATCAAATCTAGAGTTCTTGTCAACTCTCTTGGTCCCCTGTCACGCCTTATCGCACACTCGATTGAGAATGCCTGCGATTCAGGTCTTCTGGTTGCCGTTCTTGCTCGCCTAGCTGAATTTAGTCGCAATATTTCACTCTCTTGGAGACAAAACAAACTCTCCGAGGTCGAACTGTCCGAGGAGGGTGATTTCTTGGATAACGAGACTCGTCGAACAACACTGCCGGAACTTCTGCAGCTATTGCGAAATACGATGTTCTCAATTATCATATGCTTGAGAGCAATTACTGGACGCATCATACTTGATACTGTGCTGTCTTCCGATCTCAAGGCCCCTACACTTGCTGTCCAGACATTGCACATCCTTCGGGATTTTAACTTTATTTCCCACAGATTTGGTCAACATTCTTCTTCACAATACATGTTTGTCAATTATACAGCTATTGATATTTTGAACCAGTTTCCAGCTCAAGCCGAATCGTTCCTGGCTTCCATTAGATCCGCCGAGGTCGGTAAAATACCTGCACACCCTCTAGATCGCTTGAACGACCTCTTCTTCCTGAATATATCAGAGCACTTTACCTTGACTTTACGGCCAGAAGCCAATCGCGATTTACTAATTAGTAATGCTCTGCCGTATATCACTGCACATGGCAACCGCAGGCTGAATGAGATTTATGAAGCCGCTCATAGTTTGCTTCTTGCAGTCTTCGCAGCACCACAAAATGGTGCTATATCTTCACAATACATCCCGTTTTACGCGGATACCTTACTCGAAAGTTTCCCATCAAGCTTGACGCCACGACAGTTTAAGCTCGCTGTGAAGTCGCTGATGCAAGTGGCCGCACCTCGTGCGTCTGTCGCTGCTTCTTTGCCACAGCTACAAGAAATCGTGCTCGACGTGCTGAGGTCGCGCCTGCCTTATGCACAGGAAACACCTCTTCCCCTGCCGGATTCATCCCTGGCCGAAAGCGACCCGACACTATCAGAGAAATGTGTCTTACTGCTCGCGATAATAGACAATCTAAGCTTTCTCCCTGTGCAAATACTAGAAGAATGGCTCACCGTGGCTGCAGAATCGCTACAGTCATTAAAGGACATGACGCAGCGAAGTGAGTGCCAGAAGAGGTTCTGGGAGTTGCTCAGTGGCGGGGAAATGGACCTTGAAAGAGCTGCTGTCTGTGTTGCTTGGTGGACTAACTGTGGTGGAAGAGGGCTGGTACTGTACGGGGACGAGCTGCTCGACCCGCATTCGCAGATGAGCGGGGCATTACAAATCGAAAGCAAGATGTGAGCACCGAATATTACTCTTGAGAATCTAGGTGATCTGTACCCCGGAGCAATCGATTTCTACGACTTTCAGAAATGCCGCTGCCTGACTACCACTTCATCAGACTTTGCCAGCCTCATCGCTGTCGATTGAGGACAATGTCACGACAATCACAAGGATAGTAATCACTGGCAGCATCACGAAATCTGGTTCGTTATCCGGAAAAGTCGTGTCAATCACGGGAGGATGAAGAGCAGGCCTTGGAATCTTCTATACTCGAGATGATCTACTGGTACTTGCTACCAAGATCGGAAGCCCGGAAGAGAAAGGTCAGGTGAAGGTGTGGGCTGGGATGGACTGATGATGACGACGACGTCAATGCCATGGGTGCTCGCATACTCGTGGTGGAAAGCGAGAGGAAACCAACGATGAGAATATAGCGACAGGGGGTGACAGCATCGAGATGGAGACTACTAGCATCTCCAACGGTCGCTGTAAGAGTCTAGCAAATTGCATGATCACAACCACGTCTGATGCAGTGCAGGTGTAGATAGAGCACAGGTAGAAGTTGTAGGCACCAAATGCCCGGAACTTGAAGCTTAGGGAGGCTTCAGAGGAGAAGCTGAAGTGTGCTGTTGCCTTAGGCATTAATCTGGATTTCGATGATCGTTTCGCACATCTGCTCCACCGTAGTCAAGATCGAAATCTTTCTCTGGACTAGAATATGCTTTGACCACTCTGAAATGTCATCGAGGAAGAGGAAAGCTGTAGACGCATTCCAGACAGGGAGTCCCAGAACCCCATCTGCCACACTTTCGTGTAACACGAGCGACGATGCAGAAACATCGAATAGGCTGCCTATTACAAATGGTAACCGAAGCAGCACCAAGCCGTCTTTGAGAGAAAAGGCGCAAGTACTTCGAGAGACACGCCAAAAACTTCCAATATGGCCTCACGCAGACGAGATTCGGAAGAAAGTAAGCGAGCACGACGTGCTTCTTCTTGTCGGTGAAACTGGTTCCGGAAAATCTACCCAGATACCACAATTCCTGTATAATGAGAAATGGTGTCGACCTCAACATATCGGCGAACGCCAGCAGCGTATGGGTGGTCGCATCGCCATCTTGCAGCCACGCCGAGTGGCAGCTATATCTCTTGCGAACCGTGTCGCTTCTGAAATTGGCACGCCATTGGGAACAGCTAGCCCTGCTAGTCAAGTTGGTTACTCTGTGCGTTTTGACAACAATGTGTCTGCGTCAACGCGAATAAAGTTCTTGACAGATGGTATGCTACTGCAGGAGTTACTGCGCGATCATTGGTTGAAGGAGTATAGCTGTGTGATCGTGGACGAAGTGCATGAACGAGGTGTCAACGTCGACTTAGTACTAGGCTTCCTTAAGCAGATACTGGATGCTCACAAATCAGGAAAGCAGGATGGCAGACAAGGTGTGCCGCTGAAGGTTATCGTTATGAGTGCTACGGCTGAAATGGAAGGCATTGAGAAATTCTTCCTCGACACACCCGAGTTGCAGCAAGCAGCAAATGGTGACCAGACCCCTGAAGCCGATGAGGACGACTTTGCCGGCTTCTCTGACGACGAAAAGCTAGTAAACAACACGGATCAGCAAGCTAAACACACTATTAGTGTAGCAAGCTGCCACATCAAAGGTCGCCAGTACCCTGTAACCCTATCCTACGTGCCCCAGCCTGTTATTAACCTCCTAGACACAACAATGGACAAGATCACCTACATCCACCAGCACACGCCACTGCCTGCCGATATCCTGGTCTTTCTCTCAGGACAAGAAATGATCGAGAATCTCGAATCTCTCTGCAACATTTACGCCACAACTCTCGTCGATAAGGAAAAGCAACAGAAGCAGAAATTGCCAGCCTTACAAGCACTTCCCCTCTTCGCGAGTCTACCGAACCACTTACAGGCTCGAGTCTTCCAGCCAGCTTCTGCTTTCACACGCCGCGTTATCCTATCTACAAATATAGCTGAAACTTCAGTCACAGTACCCAATGTCAGGCACATTATCGACACAGGAAAACACAAGGCTCGTCTCTTTAGACCTGGTCTTAACCTTGATACGTTGCTAAGTACTCCTATCAGCCAATCTATGGCACGTCAGCGTGCTGGTCGTGCTGGTCGAGAAGCTCCTGGTACTTGCCATCGTCTGTATACTGAAAAGGATTTTTGGAGCCTCGAGAAAGATACAAAGCCTGAGATTCTGAGCACGGACTTGAGCTTTCTTGTGTTGACATTGAAGGCTCATGGTGTGGCAGATGTGCTTGGGTTTCCGTTGCTAACCAAGCCACCACGACGAAGCCTGGAGGCTGCTTTGGAGGGCTTACTGAACCTGGGCGCGCTTGACGGGGAGACTGGTGATATCACGGAGATCGGCAGGAAGATGGCTACATTGCCTGTGCGCCCAGATCTAGCAAGATGTCTGTTGGAGGGCAGTAAACATGGCCAGGACGTTATGGATACAGTAATCGATGTTGTGGCTGCCTTATCACTAGAAGAGGGCATTTTCCTACCTGTACGCAACGGTCAGACAGGAAAACAGAGCATGAAAAAGATGGGAGCAAAAGAGCTACTGCTTGGTGAGAGAAACGGTCTCAATGGACATACCAATGGTGAATCTGCCGCCTTACACGACGATGCTGAACACCCCGACTCAGACGAAGACATCTCAAACCCAGTCGAAACTGCTCGCCGCCAGCTTCTAAGCCGACACTCCGACCACCTCACTCTCGCTAACGCGATCTCTGCATACAGCTCACCCAACACATCCGACCGTCGAGCCTGGTGTGATGCCCACGGAATCTCTCACCGAGCAATGTCGCGCATCATGGATGTTCGAAAACAGTTACGACAGATGATGAGTAACCTCAAATATCGGCTGGTACCGTCCAGCAGCAACAACCCCGATGGAAACATCGGAGCAAACGGCACACTAGCTGACCTAGTCAAGAAAGAACTCGTTCTCAAATGTCTAGTAGCTGGCTTGTGGCCCAATGTGGCTGTACTCTCCTCACTGGCACCGAGTCAAGCTGGCCAGGTGAAGCAGAACCCGAATCAGCGAGCACCATATACAACTTTATTGACGAATCAGCCGATACACATCCATCCGAGCTCTGTGCTGTTCACGCATCGTGGTGGTGGTGGTGGTGCGAAGAAGGACAAGGAGGATGAAAATGATAAGATGAACAGGAAAAGTAGTGGTGTTGGTGCGAGCACGATGCCCAGGACTATCATTTTCACAGATCTGATCTATACGTCTAAGCCGTATGCGAGGAATGTTAGTGCAGTGGAATTGAATTGGGTGGCTGAGCTGGGGAGGTTGAGTTGACGAGCTAGAAGGCTATTAGTACTTTGTGTATGTTGTGGCCTGATCCTATCTTGCATGTGGTAGGCTCATTTTTCCCGTACTCGGTAAAACTCTTTGTCCTAGATTGTGCTAAACTCATTCACTCCCGAATTGCTCAATATCAACAACCCCATATACGGAACTTCTTTCACCCCTTGTTTCGACAGGCTCTTCTCTTTCTCTAATATGTGTCCTTTGACCCCTGCCTATGCATATACATGTGCCTCCACGACTCGTCCTTACATCGTTGTCGGATCGAGAGTCCCTAGCTCGTAGCACGATGTGCAAAAGGACCTAGCTTTGATTCTCCTGACACACTCGTCTTTGACGCAAGAATAAAACCAAGCGGGACGACACAAGCAGGGAGCCTTGATGATGGTCTGCCCAGACCATGCGCAGAGGGAACACTCATAACACTCTTCGGATATATGCAGCCTAGCCAGATCGACTGCAAGGTCTGGGATTTCCTCAACCAGATCATACAGAAACCTCCACTCGTGCATCTCGTCAAGACGATCTAACCGCCACTTGACGTCTTTGAATACCACATCACGTAGTCCTCGATCGCTCTGTGGTGTGGAGCAATACACATGCCGAATCAAAGAACCAATCTTCTCAGGCTCTTTGAAGAGAGAGACTAAAACTCGCCGATCCCTGCCTAGATCGCAGTAAGCGTGGAGAAATTTGTTCCGAGCGTGTGCACGAAGCTCAGGCATATCAAAGCGGTCACCGAGAGCATACATCCGGCTGGCAAGCTCGAGAGTGTGAAAAATCTGGTATACAGAGTCTGCGACTGTATCAACATGAGGAGCCTGAAAGACTCCTCGGAAAATCTTGGTGTCGAGATAGAGTGGAAATCCGGTTGGCACATAGCAGAAAGTGATGAGACGTGCTACTAAGCTTGGCTCGATGTCGGCGAAGATGACTTTGGATTGAGCGACCTCCTGATATGCATTAGTGTGCTGTGGGTTGTGTGAAGGTTTGCCTACCCTGTTCTTGCACACCAGCAATTTTCTGAGATACCCCGACTGCATTTGAAGGAACGATCTATGGACTCTGATGCTGTGACCCTGAACCTCGATCGTGAAATCCGTGAAAAGACCATCTCTAAGCAACCTTTAATATCTTGTCAGTGAATTAACCGCAAGAGGCAAGGCTTTTTGGTCTGTCCTCCTAGCAACAGGCCGCGGTGGGGCATCTCCAGGATACGCAGCTAGTTTTCGATCACTTACGACAAGGCCGCCATTATGACACCAGGAACGGATTTGTACCCGAAAATGCTGGTGCTTGCAGGTCAGTAGATATGTCGAGAGGAAAGATCGAAAATCGTAGTCGATCGAATAGTTGTTGTTGCAAATTGCAAGAACGATCTTGGTTGCGTAAGAGAAGAATTGAGCTAAAATTTTGACCTGGTACTGAAACTTCACTCAGTGGAGTTCTTAGTATCTTGTTTGAGCTTCACAATGTGATCAGAGTCGTAAGACTGAGGTATGCCAATCAAGTACGCTCACTACCCCTCAATCTAACGTTCTGTCCATATTTCTGCAGTTTTGTAATCAAAGCATCACCTTGCTTCACCACATCAGCGTACTGTTTGTTCTTGTCGTCAGGTCGTGTTGTTTCAATTATTCCCTGTACCCTATCGATCGTACAGCTTACCCGTCCTCCTGCAATGAACTTGGCCAGATCTCGGTCCAGTAAGTCAACACTGATTCCAAAAGCATCCGCCATGGCCTTCAAGCCAACCACTCTGTACGACTGTAATAGCTGCTGATAACCTCGTAGCCTCATCTCTCTGACAAACCAGACCTTGTGCTCGAACAGATACCGATCCTGCAGTAAGAACGTCTCTTCCACAGTAGCCAATGCCAAGAAGAATGCTCGATAATTACCCTCATAAAGACTTCGAACCAATGACGCCAAGGAGGAAAAGTCAATGGGTGCTTCGGATTCTGCACTCTCCATGCCTTGACCTGTTCCCAGCGTGGTCAAGTTCACTACTGTTGCCTTTTCTGGTGTAGCTGTAGATATGTCTTCCATCTCTTCATCTTTGGGTACCTTCTCGTCGCCACTGCCAAGTATAGCCTTGATTTCAGGAGCATCCACAACTTTCGTCTTGAACTCTGTTCTCTTAAGAGCCATTGTTCCTGCTAAAACTGCATACATGACTAGTGCTGAATAGCTGCAGAGTTCGTAGCTGGTAAACGTAGATAGAGAGTCGAGTAGAAGTGGTGCAGCAGTATTGTAGGAGCGGACCGTGAGTAAATGCAGACCCTTGTAAGCCTTAAGCCTATTTCTTCGATCCCAATCACCACCACTTTCTACCAGAATGTTAGCTCGGTCGACCTGCTTCTTGACAAAGACTTTGTCGTTGAAGAAGAGGCCGATTCGTATTATGGCGAGGACAGTATCGATTTTCGCGCCTAACGGACCAGTCTTCTCGAACACTGCCTCGTAAGACTCTATGGCTTTGTCCTAGAAATCCTTGTGAGCAAAATGCTTCTCGAAGAGCATTACGAGCTTACCTTGTCTCCCACTCGCGCCCAGAATTCTGCTCTTTTACTTCGGGCTGCTTGTACTTCAGTTTCCCCAGCCGTTTCTTGGGCCTGTTCTTCCTCTTTCTGAATTTCCTCAAGCTCTTTGTCGTTCTCAGTCTTCAAGTCGTCATAGAGCTTCTCATCCCACGGAAGGACCTCTCCAGATACATTGCGCTTTGATGGTACCAGGTTGCTCGAAACCAATGAGGCTCTTCGATTGCGCTGAGTTGTGGGTGTAGGTACTGCTGATGCACTTCCCTCACCCTTCACATTCAGGATACCTTCAGTAGGATGAGCTAGGTGCCGATATAGCGGTGCCATTTTGTGGTCTTTAATTGCATCTTGAATGTACTTCAATGAACTCTGCTGGGTTTGTCGGGGCGAATTGTTTGCAATGTTGAAGATGTTCTGAGCGAGGGCGAGGTTCGGGTACTTCGAGAATTGAGGTTCTGAACCCATCTTGAAGATAGCCGATTTAGGTTGCTTGAAGACAGATTGTAAAGAGCCGCATACAATTCTACTGTTTGGATAACGGAAGAGTTCCTGCGTGTTTAGAAGCAACCAAAGCCAGGGTACTGACGCAGTCGGTACCTGCCTGTGATGAGTCGCCGATCCGGCTTATCTAAGCCAAACGAAAGAGGCTTGGCACTCCACGCGTTGAGCGCGTCCTCTGAACACTACGAATCCTCAAAACGACGGTCCTTACTGCAGTCCTTGTTGCCAGCGAGCAGACGGGAGCAGAATAGTGGAACATGATTGTACATACCAAGTGCAAGCCCCATGCCCTAGTCGCGAGGCCACATGAATGCAACAATATATTACAGCTTCGCTCTCGGAACCGCGATAGACGCCTCGTTCTTTGCTCTGTCCTTCAACAAACGTCGCAGAATCTTGCCTGCCGCACTCTTTGGGATCTCTTCAACAAACCGCACACCGCCTCTCAGCTTCTTGTGATTCGCCACCTTACCAGCAATCCATTTTATAATCTCATCAGCATCCTGCTTGTCGTCTTCTGTTTCAGGTAGGCCGGTTTCTCTGTTGCCAGCCTTACCACTTTTCTTTGCGTGCACTATATATGCCCTCGGCACCTCTGTGTGCATCTCCTTATCTTCGATCCCAATCACTGCAACGTCATTCACCAACGGATGATCCATTAGTTTGCCTTCCAATTCAGCAGGCGCAACCTGGAAGCCTTTGTACTTGATGAGCTCTTTCACACGATCAGTGATGTAGAAGTTGTGGTTCTCATCCTGAAAACCAACATCACCAGTCTTAAAGTACCTCAGTCCATCAGCTTCAACGATAGCATCTTTAGTGGCCTTCTCGTTCTTCCAGTACCCTTTGAATATGTTCGGCCCTGCCAACCACAGCTCACCAGCTTCACCAGGACCCAGCTCCTTCTCTTCTGCACTCATATACTTGGCGATCATGTTCGGGAACATCTTGCCAACACTACCCACACTGTCATACCATTCATTCCACGGTTGAGTATGTGTCATAGGACTGGTCTCACTCAAGCCGTATGCTTGGTTGATCTTGATCTTGAGTCTTTTGTGTACGGCGTCTACCAGCTCTTGGGTCAATGGTGCGGCACCGCTTGTGATCATCTTGACGGAGCTTAGGTCGTATCCATCAACCACTTTGTCCCTCGCTAACCTGACTATGACTGGAGGCGCAACATAGATGAAAGTGATCTTATGATCCTGAATTGTGCTCAGGAACAGCTTCAGATCAAATGCTGGCATGACGACAAGTTCAATTCCGCGATGCAATGGCTGATGAACGAGCCCTGTTAGGCCATAGATGTGGAAAAACGGTAGCACTCCCAAGATCTTGTCCTTTCCAGTTTCATACCAATGCCCGACCGCGCCCTTGATCAAGCATAGGTCCGAGATTACATTTCGATGGCTTAGCATAACACCTTTTGGCAAACCAGTCGTGCCAGAGCTGTAGACTAGGAAAGCAAGATCGTCATCTGGTTGCAGCTTCCTTCGTCGATACCTCAGTGCGCCGCTCGTCTTGCGGATGTTAGTCCAGTGCTTCACCCTGTGCTCTTTGTCTCTCGCCTCCCCGAGCAACAATATCCGGTCCTGTGGTATGCCTGCTTTCTCGGCCGCCTTCAGCGCATTTGGTAAGAATTGGACAGTAGTCACCAAAGCTCGGCTACCACTGTTGTTCAGTTGGAAGGCCAATTCATCAGGGCTATATGCAGGGTTTGCCGGACTGATGATACCACCAGCAAAGAAGACACCGTATATTATTGGGCCCACATCTATGTCGTTTGGCGCATAAATAGCTAGGACCTCGCCTTTCTGCCAGTCCCAGAGATTTTGCAATCCTTCTCCGAAGGACGTCGCAAGAGATCTCACGTCGGAGAAGGTGTATGCTCGTGACGTGTTAGTAGCTGACCGGTATATGACCTGGCTGTCTGGGAACTTTCGCGGCTCGGGGTTGTTGAACATGAAAGCCCACATATCAAGATCTGGAATTGACACATCTGGAAATGAAGATTTGGTTGGCATCTTGAAGAAGTGATAGAAGCTACGAGCTCTTTGTTGTTATAATGTTCGATGTTCAATGGTTGGGTGTTTCGTTTCAGTCAATCGCGGCTTACACTCTGACAGCATACAATGCTCCTCAACGCTCTTGCTCGGCTCACCAAAAGATGATGTTCATAGATTGAAATTAAGTAGATACCCCTGAAACCGAACGAAAACGGCTATTGAATGTGAGTAGTACTTGGATAGGACGAAAGGCATCATGATCATACCCATGATTTGGAGCTGGGGTACTCGTTAGCTTCCGTAAACGCCTCGGTCTGGGGAAATGTTCTAGATTAGGGTTGACGCGTTTAACTGTCACCACATCCAATACTCTACCATTTCCAACCACTGAAGACCGATTCTTGAACGGGCACGTTGAGCGCCCGAACATGAAGGTCTTCAATTCTGATTTGGTTTCTATAGACAGCTTTGGGACAAATTCGAACAATAATGCTATGTTTGCGAGTAGCACGTGTGTTACGGCTGTTCAGCCTATGGCCGGATGGCCAGGCTTGACTCCAGTGTGACCGGCCACATAATATACCTTCACCTTTCCTTGTACTCAGCCGTGCCTCGGTAGCTAGGCCTATCTTTTATCATTCTCCTGTAAACACCCTGCGTGCTTGCGAATTCAGCTTGATTGGGCTCAATCCTCTACCCATCTACCTCAAGACGTCGAACGCTCAGCGTGAAGCACTGTGATTATAGACCGTGCATAACACATCACCGCAATCATGGTGGCAGACGCGCTAATCCAACACCCTGTGGTCACCCACTATCTGCGATACGTCGCAACGACAGGTGCAACTACCCATGTTCTATACCACTACTAATTACTGACATGCCTCATAGTCGGTCGCGACAAGATCCTGAGAACGATCCAGTACTTTGCTCGTTTCTACGCATGGTACCTGTACAGAACCAACAACCCCACAAGCGCCATTCAACCATGGGCAACGCTTAAGAACCAGTTCGGCCTGACGAGGAAGATCCTCAGAATAGGGAAATTTGTTGAGCATATAAGAGGAGCGTCAGAACTGTATGATGTAGCCATGAAGAATGGCAGTGGGGACAAGATCGTACAGTATCTGCAAACCCTGCGACAGCTGGGTTATGCCGGATACATGCTTTTCGACACATTGACAGTGCTCGATGCTATGGGAGTCAAGAAATACGAAGGCGCCAAGCGATTGCAGGCGACTGCCTACAGATTCTGGTTTACTGGTTTGACAGCCAGTGCTCTAGCAGGCATCTACAGTTTGTACCAGCTCAACCAGAGGACGAAGCAGATTGACGAGAAGGACCCCGACGGCAAGATGGAGAAAGTGAAGGTTGCTAAGTACGTTTGTTGTCGCTGCCACACATGGATACTGCTAACGAAACTTCACAGGCAACGCAAAGTCGCAAACATTCAGCTTACTTCAGATTTGTGTGACTTGACTGTGCCATCAACCGCTTTGGGGTATGCCAATTTTGACGATGGTATCATTGGCCTGGCAGGGACGTTGAGTAGTCTGCTGGGTATTCAAGGAGTTTGGGCAAAGACCGCTTAGACTACGGAGGCCGATGCCGTATTCAATGCCGGTGCACCGGCGCAACCGTATAGTGAAGTCCCTAATATTTCCGACACAACTGCCGGATCGATCCAAGGTGCAAACTACTCAAACACGAAACTGCTAGCCTTTGTAACGACGAGAAAAGTTCGGAGCAGGCTCTACACATCTCGATACTTATCCATCGGCTTTCTTTCAGGCGTTCGAGACCACCAGTCGGTGGACCACATTAGCGACTTTCTGCGTATACTGCGTGCCAAGCTCATGAAATCTATACACAGTACAAATGTACTTCAATCTGATGCAAAGATACGGCTGCCCAGTAATGTGGCAAAGAATGATGCTCTCCTCATTATCGTTTCTGTGACTAAAACTCCAACATGAGGAGAGCGAGCAAAAGTCGAAATCGTCATCTTGAATCTTGAAATCTCGAATGTCTCGTAATCTGGAGGACATCGATGCATGCTGAGCCTTTCAGCAGGTAAGCTATAGCTCTCTCAAACGCGGGCAGAAACGGAAGTGGTTGCGGCTTGTATCCCAACGTCACTTTGGTAGCTTCCGTTCAGAGTTGAACACAAACAATAAATAACATCGAATTCTTCCCGCGTGTTTATAATTGTTACTATAACAGAAGTATCGACTGCATGTTAGCGTCTAGACCTTCTTGACTGACCTGCCTGAAACCCCATACATATCACGTCGGAACATCTCGGACGTCGTCATCATACACTGCAACTTCTGACCCCATCGTTCAATCCTACCCAGCGAGACGGATAGAGGTCCGAATAGACCCGTGAATTCGTGGAGAAAGCATTTCGGCAGTCCTCCTTGGCCAATACAAGAGAAAGGATACATAGGGAAGCATTACGCACATGTCTGCTCAAAACGACTTTGAACGTCGACTCTCTGTTGTGAACGGTATCTCAGATCGTCGAACGTCCACTGCAGAACCACGTCCTGCTACTCCTGGACCAGAAGAAAGTCAAGCTCGTGCAGAAATCGCCAAAACACAACTACGAAACTTCGATCCAACCATGGTTTCTCAATCTGTCAACAAAACAGCTTTGCACCCAGGTGGTGTTCAGTAAGATCTCCTACTGATTTTGCTGAGTACTTTCTTACACATCTATAGGCCAAGTCGAGAACACACAGAGCTCGAGGAAGAGCTACACACTCACGCTCATATCGACTATGACCGTGTAGCCATTATCGCCAACCCATCGGTAGCAGCTCTATACGAAGATGCTCTTGTCTACGAAACGGGCTCTGCCATGACCTCGACTGGTGCTTTGACTGCATACTCAGGTGCCAAAACTGGTCGATCGCCCTCGGATAAGAGAGTGGTCAAAGAGCCAAGTTCCGAAAAGGACGTTTGGTGGGGACCAGTCAACAAGGAAATGTCACCAGAGGTAAGCTCATCTTTGCTTTCAAGAACCGAACCTCTTCAAGATTGCTCTGCGGCTGTGGCATGCATCCTCCGGCTATTTGGGCAAGGACGTCTTATCACAATCCATCGGCTTACATCTTGCTGCTTTGCTGGCTGATGGTGTTCAAAACTTTGAAGCGAGCTGTTCCCCGCAAACACGCGACACTAGAAGCGACCTTTCCCCCCACATACAAATGACGTCGACGTCGCCACCCGTAGCCGAGGACCAAGAGCCGGAAAATATCGGGCTTGATGACGGATTCGTTCCGTGTTGTTTGGGTACCTTTGCTAATATGTGGTGTCCTAGGTCTGGAAGATCAACAGGGAGCGAGCAATCGACTACTTGAACACTCGAAACCGAATCTACGTCGTCGACGGCTATGCAGGATGGGACGAGAGATACAGGATCAATGTCCGAGTTGTGTGCGCTCGTGCCTACCATGCCCTCTTTATGCGAAACATGCTTATCCGACCAAAACGATCAGAACTCGAGCACTTCCATCCTGACTATGTAATTTACAATGCTGGTTCCTTCCCTGCCAACAGATACACTACTGGTATGACCAGCCCGACCAGTGTTGCCCTCAACTTTGCCGAGAAGGAGATGGTCATTCTGGGAACAGAATACGCTGGTGAGATGAAGAAGGGGATCTTCACGGTACTGTTCTACGAGATGCCAGTCAAGCACAATGTCCTCACACTGCACTCCTCTGCCAACGAGGGCGAGAAGGGAGACGTAACAGTCTTCTTTGGTCTGTCTGGTACTGGCAAGACCACACTATCAGCTGATCCTAAGAGAAAGTTGATCGGTGATGATGAACACTGCTGGTCAGACAAGGGTGTTTTCAATATTGAAGGTGGATGCTACGCCAAATGCATTGGCCTGTCAGCAGAGAAGGAGCCCGATATCTTTAATGCCATCAAGTTTGGATCCGTGCTCGAGAATGTGGTCTTTGACAACGAGACCAGAGAAGTTGACTACGACGACGCTACCTTGACAGAAAACACCCGATGCGCCTATCCAATCGAATACATCCACAATGCGAAGATTCCATGTCTATCTGACAATCACCCAACCAACATCATCTTGCTTACCTGCGACGCCCGAGGTGTGCTACCACCTATCTCTAAGCTTGACACCAACCAGACTATGTTCCACTTCATCTCCGGCTACACCTCGAAGATGGCAGGTACCGAGGACGGTGTCACAGAACCACAAGCTACTTTCTCATCTTGCTTCGCTCAACCATTCTTGGCGCTCCACCCAATGAGATATGCTAAGATGTTGGCCGAGAAGATATCTGAACACAACGCCAACGCCTGGCTATTGAATACTGGTTGGGTAGGTGCTGGTGCTACCACGGGCGGCAAGCGATGCCCTCTGAAATATACTCGTGCTATCCTCGATGCCATTCACTCTGGTGAGCTCGCCAAGCAGGAATACGAAACATATGACACATTCAACCTGAACGTGCCAAAGACATGCCCGGGTGTTCCAGATGAGCTGTTGAACCCCAAGAAGAGCTGGACCGGCAGTGCTGATTTTGGTGAGGAGGTCACCAAGTTGGGCAAGCTCTTCAAGGAGAACTTCGAAAAGTATTCATCTGAGGCTACAGAAGATGTCATTAAGGCTGGTCCGGCTGTATAAGTAGTTTCTTTGACAACTTTTTGACGAAATATATCTACCTTGCCAACGTTTATCACTATCAATCCTCCTGGCGTTGTATGTTAACGACTTGAGCGGTCTTGCATTGGGTATCAACAAGTATACGGATTGTTTCATTTCATCTCATTTTTTTAATGACAATGTACTGTTCTCGCTCAAATGTCCAAACACATCAGAGAATCATAGGACTATCGTCAGATCCTTGCGACGCGCGTCGTCTTGTTGTGATGCGTTTATGCTCTAGCTGAGTAATGCAGGTTACTGCTCCATTTTCGTCTTCCATTCAGCTTACGCTCACAGTGAACCTGACCGACACAAGTTCTATCCAGGTCGTACTTCAACAACATGACTGTCGGAGGGCTTGGAGATTCAATATGCTGACAGGACATACAGCCCCACGCTGGAGACTCGCCAATGGCACATCGAGGCATTCTCGGATATCTGTGAGAAGTCATTGCCATGTAGTTTGCCTCACATAGAACTGCATTCCCCCAAAGACACGGGGCTATAGGTTGTTGGACAGATCCGTTGATGTCTACGAGTGATTCGAGGTGAATTCAATTTTGGAGGTATTCTTCGTAGCAGTCTTCAAGAATCGCCATGCATAAATTTAGCAGCCAGTAGGGTTTAGTCAACTCCACTCACAGCACCGAATGTGCCTTCCTCCACCAGCTAACCAAAGAGAGGGCATCGCACTGTACCATACTGGACTTCACCACTTTCCAACTTTCTTCCTCCTTGTTACTTCACTTTGCACGGAAGTTGCCTCGAAGCAAATCAACAATATGGCAGACCCCGACTGGTTACTTTGACAATAAACTTGTTCTCGAACATTTCCTCTCGACATCTTTCACGTGGCTTTCAATTCTCAAATCTACAACTTTTCTTCTGCTCTGCGATACACAATAGGCTGGATTTATCTCGCCGAATTAGTACTTTTGCATTCAGACGACTTTCCTTTCTCTCGAGATACCCCATCGAATTTGTTTTACGGTCGTTTGGAAAGGGGGAGTTGGTATATGTGTGATTTCTTATAGAGTCCCGAGGATTGCGCCCGCATTTCGTCGGAGGCAACATTTTCCGCTTCTGCGGCAGAGCAGGACTCACCCATTGTGGCGCCGAGGCACTTGATACGAGATGCTGATCAACGGCGAGAAGTATGCTTGTGAAGCATGTGTCAGAGGCCATCGAGTGTCTTCATGCTCTCATAGTGGTTAGTCACTACTTGTGATGTGGACGTGGCCACGGCAAGCAGACTAACTTGTGGATTAGAGCGTAAACTACTTCATGTGAACAAGAAAGGCCGACCTGTGTCGCAATGTCCTCACTGTCGAAGTTTACGAAAGAATCGATCGCAACACGTCAAGTGCGAATGTCAAGACAAATCGCACGCAAAGGAGGATTGTCCACACTTGAAAGACCTGCAACAGGACGGACAAGGTGGTAAGTGAAAGATTTAGCAAGCTGTATTCGTGCTGACATCTGACGCAGACTCTCCTCCAAGTACGTGTTGCTGCGGTCATGGCGGAAAGTGTACTTGCTCACTGAAGAAAGAACCTTACCTCGATACTGTGCCTGAAGACCTCCCCTCCCTATTGCAGCAGCAGCAGAAAGAGAACAGGAAATCTACGGGACCTAATGTCAATCAGCATGATAGCAGACCTACAATATTCACCAATGGTCATCACAAGCCTGTGCATAAGTTCAACGACGCTCACAATCATTGTGGTGCTCCTTACAGGATACCGTCTAGATCACACAGCCATCACGGTCCTAGCCATAGGGAACTAGCTCAAAGGTCTACAGACAGTCTACCATCAATGAACCGCGCCCTTGTCCACCATGAGTCTCCTCTGCACAACGTTCTGAATGCGTCCCATGCACAACGCCAGGCTCGATCTGAACACAATTCACCACTACTTGCGCCTACAAGCAATCCTAGTATACCGTTTCAAGTCGAAATCCCGCCATTAGATCCGAACGCCTATTCGTACTCACCATTCGATGCGCAAAGTCCTAGTGTTGGGCCTGCGCCGCAGTTCCCAGAAAACATTCCCGAGGACTGGTTCACAACGCACGACGATGCTCATAATTATGGTCCACCAGCTGTACCTGAACTAGCATACATCGACTGGTCAAAATACGGGTTTGGCGGCACGCCACAGATGAACAGTCCAGGAAACATGAAGAACCTATATGGTGATGTTGCTAACAGCCAGGTTCCATCGTATGCTACATCCATGGAACATTTGAACCAGTTGACTGGTTCGGGGTTCAACACACCTTCAGCCGATGTTTCCGAAGTCGACGATCTGCCTACTAACCTTCGGCCGACCGCTTTTCGCACCATCAGTCATGCTTCCAATGATATGAGTAGCACTGGAGCCACAGAAGACGACATCAGCCATCGCTACAGCAATTCTTCGAGCTACTATGGCACACCAGCTGGGAATGCACTTGCCAATGGCATGGGAGACCTCGATATTGACAAATTTATCGCTGAGACTTCCCGACAAAACAGGTCGCCGCAGCAGGTGAACCAGTACGCTATTCCCCCTTCCACGTCATTGACGCCCGAGATTCAGCAACAACAATTCTTCCAGCCTCCATATCCTCAACAGCAACGGCAACATCCTGTCCAACAGCCTTCACCTCCACGTTCACAGCATCAATTGTCGACACCACCGGAATCGATACTAGGGTTCTCGATCACATCTCATCCTTCGCCGCCAGAGTCAACAGATCTCACAGCTCCGTACTCAATACGAGAAGCCCAGGCTCAGGCTCATGCTCGCAGCATGCCGAAGCCGAATCTGCCGACAGAGTTGCCGAGGACGTTATCGAATCCTGATACATTCGAAGATCCAATGTGGTGTGCACCTGACGTCGATCTTTATGGTGTTGCTAGAGGTTTCAATCTGGACGATGAGAGGGAAGATGAACAGTGGGCAAAATAGGTCGTGTTTGAGAATGAGAGCTGGGTCACCCTGGAGGTCTAGGCTGGCGTATGGAGTTTCAAGGTAGAGCAACAGTCAACCTGGAAAAGACAAGCTGCACATATGAACCATTCAAATAAACAACTTTTACACGACATGATGCGATATGAAGATGATTCGGAAACAAGTCTGACGAAGACTCGGCTGGCGTTGGAATGAGAAGCACGACTTAGCAACGTATATGGCAGGCACGATCGGTTGGGTAATGGAGTTCAAAGCTAGTGTTGCGTTGTTCACTTCAAGCGTATCTATTTTGGCTTCGGTCTGTGGCTCCACGAAGCCTGAGCCTTCCTGACACAGTATCATGGGAGCACTGACTTCTCTAACTTTTATTCGAGTTTGACATCGAATTACTTTGTCCTTCACAACATCCTTCTGATCATCATTCCGTCAGTACCATGATCGTGAATCTTTTCCCTTGTCTTGTGTACTACAGCAAGGTTGTATAAGAAGCTGAATGTGGTCGCCGTAAATAGCAAGAGATGAGTCAAAGTTGCAGCGCCACCAATGTAACCGTGCTTGTAATTAGGTACCCAGTTCTCAGTCTAGAACATGCGAGTCACAAACTGGCAGATCGAACAAATGTGGATTCAGCGAGCGTAATGAGAAAGACACATTTGATGTGTACTCATTCACCGCGGTACGCACTGTTTTAAAGTACTATTTATTGCATTGGGTCAGTATAGAGCTTGATACTACGGGTACTACGTAAAACTTTGAGTTGCGCTCCTACCCCTTACGCTCTTCAAATCGTATACACCTTGAACCCACCCACACAACAGCACAAATTTGCTACCAGAGGAAAAATAGATAGAGCAAATTAAACAAAAGAAATGACCACCCACACCACCCTCACTACACCCCGTCTCCTCCTCCGCGAAGCTCGCCCATCAGATGCAGAAGCACTCTTCGAAGCATTCAGTGACCCTGAAGTGATGCGGTATTGGTACGTTTCGTTAACTCTTTTCCGTTCAGTTCTTACCAACAGCCTCATATGCTGACTCGCGACCTTGTAGGAGTACACCACCTCATCCAGATATCGCATGTACGGAAAACTGGATTGCGGGTATGATCGAGTCGGCACAGAATGGTGTCACGGATTTTGTTATTTGTTTGAGATCTGGAGTTGAAGTTGAGTCTGAGGAGGACGTCTCGGGACCGATAGGTAAGATAGGGATCTATGCGAGTCGGCCGTCGAATGAGATTGGGTTCTTGTTAAGTCGGCAGTATTGGGGTAAGAGATATACGAAGGAGGCGTTGGGTGTGGTATTGGAGTATTTGTTTAGTCTTGAGAATCAGGACTCGCACGATGTCGGAAGAGCTGGTGGTGGTGATGCGAAAGGTCTCATCGAGTGGACGGTGCTTACGGAGGACGAGCTCATGAGTCGGTGGCTGTATCCGTCGATAACGGCAGACACAGATCCGAGGAATGCCGCATCGATCGGGTTGTTGAAGCAGCTTGAATTTGTAGAGAATGGATGCCAGAAAGAGAGTTTGGTGGTTGGTGATGAGATTGTTGATAGTCTGTACCTGAAGCTGGAAAGGGAGATATGGCTGCAAAGAGATGCTCAGTGAAAGAAGGATTTAATTCTTGTTTTCTAGTCTTTGATCCATCCTACCTGAAAACTGGCTATACTTTCGTAGCAAATCTGCTTACTTAGACAAGTCATAATAAAATGGATAACCGCTGGCTATTGAATACTGTGCACTTCGTTAGTGATTGTATATCCTTGTGAGATGATCGGACTTACCGCTCAATCAAATGGACACCACTCGCCGTCTCAACAATTCCGCTGATCTCACCTGGCTTCAATGCAAAAGCAGCATCCTCAAACTCCTTCTGCATCTGACCCTTCCCGAAGAAGCCCAGGTCCCCTCTCTTTCTCGCACTGCTGCAGTCCGACTCGCTCATAGCGAGGTCTCCTAGACTCTTCTCACCACTCTTGATCTGTGATTCGTAACCACGTAGCATCTCGATAGCCTCGTCTTTGCTCCGCGTGATGTTCGCTTGTTTCCAACTGGACGGTCTGCGACTGCCATTGTGTTTGACGAGGAGATGAGCAGCACGGATCTTGTTGTTGTCTTGCCCGTCGATTCGACCATTCGCGCTGCTGTGGTGTTGGGCCATGAAGATCTTCAATTTCTCAGTGTCAGCGTCTTCGGGAGGTTCCCACCTCGACTCGTGGGTTTTGTGGTTGAAGTAGTATGGGAGATTCTTGGAGTTGGAGTGTCGAACCTCCCAGTCTGGAGGAAGACCTGTGTCGGCCTGCTGAGAGGGAGGTTAGCTGGACAATAGTGCTAAGGCTGGAATCGTTGAGTTGTTTACCATTATAGTGCAGTCTGTTGACCTTGATCAGGTGTGTCTGTCAGAAAGTAACAGCACCAGCAAGCAGGTCTGAATTTGTTTCTTCTACAGCTCAGGTTGGAGGTTATGTCAATGAATGGTGGTAGTCTGATGGTCGGCAGTAAATGAGATTCAACAAAGATCTGGTGACCATCTGCGATCTGCAGTGGGGTTCAGTTGTACAAAGCCCTAATGATGTTGCCGTGCTCCACTGCTGCAAGGAACCGTGGAAACGTGCGGGCGGGGAATTCACGGGCGCGAAGTTACGCCCAAAGACTGGATTCAGTGACACCGCTTCCTGCGGATCTTCAACATGATAGAACGCAATACCATTCTGACAGCATAACAATCCAACCACGCGCCACGTCTTCTCGTTTCCTACGAACTGAATTTAGTTTACAAACGACAATATCGCCATCCTCAAGCGATCAACCGTGTGGACTGCATCTTGCCTAGTTCATCTCGCCGATTGCCACACCACATTCACGAAACAGAACGAAGGACGTCGGGTTACACCTTTGTCACACGTTCATCACACTCCGTCTCGTCGCAGTCGATCGATACACATAGCCCAGGATGTCTATGGCATCGCCTACAGCCAGCGAAGAGGGCGCAGGCAGCGGTGAGATCGCATACAGATTTTGCCAGGAATGGTACGAATAATCTCGTTATTCTACGTCCAACACTGGCTGGCCGAAGTACTTACGATTACCTATTTAGTTCGAACCTGCTGTACCCTCGTGAAGACCGAGCTATGAACAAACTCCTCTACATCTGCAAATCCTGCCACTCCGTCCAAGAACACGAATCAGCCTGCACATACCGACAGAATCTGAGTGAAGCTGCGCAAGAGTCTATGGGAGAAAAGGCCTATGTCGCCAATGATCCAACTGTGGGTAACCCCTCTCCCACCGACGATGAAGACGACATGGTCATGTGCACAATGTGTGGACAGTGTTTGAGGTGCTCGAAGTGTGGGCTACCAAACAACAATGAGTCTGAAGAGGATCAGACGCAATCCTCTCAACCTGAACAACGTGGCTATTGAGTTGCGCACTGTTTCGCCCACTTGTTGTTTGCTATAGTCTTGTGCTTTTTGATTTCCTGGAATTCGGCTGACCTCTTGGTCTACAGTTGCCGCACGAACAACGTGAGTGTCCGAAATGCCATGAAACCGACGTTGTTTATTTCCAGTCCCAGCAGAGGAAAGGAGATATTGGTATGGTGAGTGCTGGACCAAGATATCCCCTCCCAACCATTGTTTTGCTGACGTTCGCCAGACTCTGTACTATATTTGTACAAATCCGAACTGCAACCACGCTTGGGGCAAGGCCACGGAGCCAAAATGAGTGACGATTTTCAGCTTGGTTGGTCCTGAAGTGATCCAGATATGGTGACTTGCGTATGGCATCGACATTCGCGCGCAGTTTCCGATTCGAGGAGGACCTTGAGTTTGAATCGCTTGTAAGCGATTTTTCCTATTCTGAAGGTTGGACAAGGTCTTGAAAAATCCTGGAGTTGAAATTTGATCTGCTTTTTCTACACATGTAATGGTGCCAGACTCAAAATCTTAGACCACTTCTTCTCCCTCAATTCAGCTCCCACCACACCCGTCAGTCGCGTCCCTATCGGATCCCCACTCTTGTTTATCAGCACGCAAGCATTGTCGTCGAAACGTATATAACTTCCATCTTTCCTTTGCTGCTCTTTATGTGCTCGTACCACGACTGCGTGCCGTATATCGCCTCGTTTGACTTTGTTCGCGATGGATAGTGATGCGCCGCCTGGTCCGCCTTCACCAAAACTTCTTTGTTTCTGGACGACGACTATTATCCTGTCACCTGGGTATGGAATTAGTTACTGATATCGTGACGGATATTGAAGGAAGTATGTATACCGATCGAGGCTGTTGGTCGCATGCCGCGCTTTTTCATCACTGCTACGCATTCTGCTACTGCGGCGCCGGAGTTGTCTATTACGTTGAGGAGTGTCTAGAAAGACATCAGCATTCTTGAATGAGTAGGAAGCTCAGAGATGTGACCTTAAGTTGTATCATGATTGCGCTGAGGATGTGGATGAGCACTCGAGAAGGTCGAGGTCTGCCTGTATGCGTGCGTGGTGTTTGTAGTAGCTGATCTGAATCAGTAGAAGAGAGTTTTGCCAGCGATGGAATGTAGGAATGTCGTAAAGCACGTTGGTAATGTAGTGGGCGGATAGCAGCAGTTCGATAGTGAGGACTTTCGTCTACAGTCCCATCCTGAAAGCCATACGGTGTTGTAGCCAGATGGGGAAATATCGGCCTCCTCTCGGAGCCTTCAATTCACTTTCATCGCCCTTCCCTTTCCTCTTTACGTCTCACAGCACAATATCGAAAACGCAACCCTATTGTCGATGTTATGTATTTGCTATGAGACATTAATACCACAGCTCTGTCTAGAACTTCAATAACGAAGCCAGCTCTACCCTGTAAGCACCATATTCTACGCTCACGAATGCAAGATTCCCAACTGGGCAAATCGAGGTTGGATAGAACCAATATCCAGCCAAAGCAAAGAGGCTAAGCTCGAAATTACGAATGAATCTCCTTATGCTGTTGCCATAGCTTCTATCAAACTCAAGCTCATCATACAGACGTCTGTCCGTTGCGGGCAATGGTCAGAATGCTGTTGCGCCAGCTCTGCATCTCCAGCTCTCTGTGGGCACATCATAGCTGTGGATAAGACGTTCAAATCCACGAGCAGATTTCAGTAAGACTGATAAAACTCAATGCCGTGGTTCGCTTCATCGAAAATGCTTTGCGACGGCAAAGAAGCCAAATTGTATGGGTTCTGATCTGCCCGTCTTGCTCTTCGAGGTGACCTCCTTGTCGGCCTTCTTTGGCGGCGGTGGTGGCGGCTTCTCTCTGGCACTTCTCTGCTGTGCAGCCATGATGGCTCTCTGAGTGTTTCTGTCTGGCGGATTGGTGGTAGCGCGCTGAGTACCATTTTTGGGTGAATATGTTGTGGCTCCCTGGGTGCTCTTCTTCGATCTTTCCGCGGTGGCGCTCTGGGAGATGTTATACGGTGCATTCGTAATGGCTCTCTGAGGACTTCGGTGTGGTGCATCCTCAATGGCTTTTTGTGCGTTTCTGTTCTGCGCACTCATGATGGTTCTCTGGAACGGGCTATGGCCGGTCGAACTTTATCCTGATAAATAGTCTTCACTATATATATTGTTCTTGGGATCTTTGCTTTCTTGGGTGATGGTGGTAAGGACTGGCAGGGAATATTTGCTTTTATATCTTCTATTTCTGCTGTGTTTGATACACTGACTGGACCAGGACGTTGGCCATATCGGAGCGGTCATCCTACCTGAGTCCCTAAAGACATGGCTTTTGACGACGCGATTGTGCAGACGTATACGCATTCACCTAGACCCTACGGATCCTCCCAATGGCGCGACTTGCATCTACCACCAGACTGATGATCACCCCAGGGCAAGCGTTTTGACCACGTACACTATGAAGAGAAGAACCAGTTCCTGTGAGTAGAAACGACTTACTCAGCAATCTGGCGACTAAACGCTCACAACCAGTGATGAGAATGACAATCGGGAAGACATGCCTGAGAGTGCAAGTGGTCATGTAGTCTGCTGATTGACGTTCGACTGCCTTGACTAGTCAGAGAAATACTGACTATACGAGATGAGGCTTTTGAACGGCGCGGCGGCACCATCTGGTGACTCGAACAGAAATTCACAAGGAATCCGGAATATCTCTAATCAACTGATTGGGTTATACAGACTTCAAAAAGAAGATGTGAGGCACGGCACCAGGGACTTAATCGAAGAGAATGGATACCACGAACCAAATACTCGCGCTTGTCTGTTCACTTTCGACTACACATTCAACCTGGAAACGAGAGATTGTGTATAAGCCAAAATGAACTATCATTGCTCTGCCAGAGCATATGTGTATTAAACGGTTCTATGCCGAAAGCGCCTAGAAAAAGTTTATGCTGTTCTGTCGACTCCTCAGACGCTCAAAAGCCCAGACGTCTCAACCACAAACTCCAGACAACTGCAGTCCCTCTCCGTTCCTGCAGACCTCCTCAAGCTCGCAATTCCTCCAGACAGACACTACCTCCTCACCCACGATCTGCCTTTACCACCCAAGCTCTACAACCCAGCTCCAATCTAATTCCACCACCTCGCCCATCCCACACAGTCTTAACCTTCTAATCTCTGAATTACCCTCCCTCTACTTTAAGCACTTCTCCCCCTTTTCCCCCGTCGTCAACAGCCCGACCACCATTCCCCTCCCCACAACAACCGCAACAAGCGTCTCAAACGCCCGCACAGACATATTCGATGGTGCAGAAGTATTGATCTCAGCTTCTAGTTGGACGATGCTGGGGGTGTCGAGATCGAGATGATAGTAGTTGCCGTAAGCGTCGGCGTCGAAGCTGGATACTGAGGACATGATTTCACAAGAGAGTGTGGATGTGGATGTGTGAGTATATGATGTGGTGTGATCTGGTCTGATTAATGTATGGTAGTGTATAGTATTACGTTGCTTGGATGATCGTGGAGATTTATACTCTGTGGCGCGGTTCTTAGTCCCATGACTTGAATTGCTTTGCTTTGAATAGGATAAAGTAGGGGAGTGGTCGAGCTATGACTGTTGCTGGAGAAGGAGTTTTTATATGACTGTTCGGATGTGGTGTCGAGTAAACGAGGTGGTGTATGGCGTACGTAAGGCCGGCTGAGGACGTTGTTCAGCCGTGGTCGACATGTGGTCTTAGTGGTGTACGCACGGTATGTAACGGTCGTGATACCCATTGTCAACAAGGAGATGCGGTCAACGCAAGCATGGCGTGGAAGGCGGGTGCATACATAGCGCAATCAAAGGAGTTTGACTCAGATCACGCTGTGAGTCGACATTCAATTGTACCAGCATTGGCAAATCCTTACTCGACCACGATGGAAACGCAGAAGACTGGAGTGTCAATGTCGCTCGACTGTGCGGTATTGTGACACGATGTCTTCTTTTTCTCGAATCTAACTAAAACTTCAGAAATATCCCCTTCCGCTTCTCTTCTTCACGATGTTCAAACATGACTTGAGCGCCCACAAACAGAACAGAGCAGGCAACAGCTGTATATAACAGACCCGCCGTGCTCGAGATCATCGCAGTCACCAATCCCTTCAGGCCATCCAGTCCAACAGCAAAACCAACCAGATTCGCGGCCATCATCATCATGATATTGAAGACTGCACCGACACCACAAATCATACGATAGGTAGTCGGTCTGTCCCTCCATTTAGACTTCGGGAACGCTATCGTGGCTAGGATCTCGGGAAGCACGAAGAAGACAATCAGCCAACCCCAAGCCAACAATTGGAGGTTGATATCGTGCCAGAGTGCAACGAAGGTAAAGACTGCAAGCATATTGATAGTACCTCTGACTGCACCCGTGCCACCTCCCGGCCCTCCGCCGAGTGGAACGTAGAGATACCGCACGATCCATCTGTTGAAACTTCTGTGCCATGCTCGCCAGAAAGAGAGGGCAGAGTAGTTGTCGCTCATACATCTGACCACATTCTCGACAGGATCGATGCCGTCGATAAGTGACCAGAGTCTGAAGAAGCGCCACGGGATGAGCAACTTCAGCCAGATAACATGTAAATTGAAGTAGGCGAGCATACTCAATTGAAATGGAGTAAAGGCTAACCAGTCTGGATTGGACTTTGAGATAGCCACAACGTAGGTTGTATGTAGGAGAAATTCCATACAAAAGAGTGTCAGGAGGAAGCGGATTGCATAAAGCGTGGTGCGACGAGTGTTGATACTTGCTGATTGGTAGGTCGATTGAGAAATGTAGTCGTTGAAGTTGAGAATCGGCCCAGCAAGGTATAGCGGAGGATATAAAACATATGCGAGGTATGTTTTGAAGGATGTGAAGGCCGACTCAGGAGCTGGAATAGAGACTCTATCCCGTTCTGACAGAGCGGAAGGATCTAATTGTTTCTTCTTTGGTGTATTAGCTTAATTCACTCGAGTTGGACACGTGGGGAAGAGCAACAACCTACCTCAATTGGACTTCCAGCTCGATCTCGACTCAATGACCAAAAGTAATCCATGTTGAAAGCTATAAGTCGAAGAATGGTAATATTGAATAAGACCTCCCATCTTGGAATCAGACCCCCAAATGAATCTAAGAACTTTCCCACATCCTCTGCACCAGCGTAGAAAGGAGCCGTCGCTGCCGCGATAGAAGTGAAACGGTAACCCTGAGCCAGCTCATTCGCAAACAAGACCCCAACATTGAACATCCAGGTAGCTGAGGGCATGAAATCTCGAGGCAATCGCATGGCTATGCAGTAGTTGATATACAAGATGGTCAGTACCTTTGAAGCAGAAAAGCCATGTAGGGCAGTAATGAAGACAAGGCCAGAAACGAAATCAAAGTTTGCACGAGCAGAGAGCCGCTCACTTGCAGACGAGGTAGAAGAAGTCCTCTGGGTAGAGAAGACTAAGTTGTATGCCCGCCTCAGTAATGGGTGCACCACCAATAGTATTGCTAAGTAGGGTACATTGTCCCTAAACCCAGCATACTGACTGTCTGAGTTATCGACCTTGCGACCGAACAGCCAGCCATCAGACAACAAGCTCGCATACTCCTTATAATGCTTAGACTCTGGCTGAGAGACATCCCAGACCGCCTTGTACATCAATGGCACACTTATGACAAAGACCAAAGTGTACAGGCCAAACTCTGGGGTGGTCCATTTCGAGGGTGAAGCGCCTTCTGGTAAGTCCTTGTCTCTTTTTGGTCCATCTACTGCAGTGTCTGCGGAGATCTTGCTGGCATCCTTAGAAGGGGTCTTGGACGATGTGGTCAGGCGAGTGTCGAGCGTATCGAGGGAGTAGATGGCACGAAGAGATCTCCGAAGAGATGCGGATGTTGTCACTTCGGTCTCTTCCTGTGCATGATGGCCCACCATTCTCGCCTTCGGTATTGCGCGTCTGCGATCGCAGCCAGACTTCGAACGAGTTAACAAGTTGGAGTCGCGTGCAGCACACTCATAGCCGAACGAGTTGCAGGCAAGTGCTTGGCACGGATGGCTGCCTCTTAAAACGACGAGATTTTCTAGAACAGGAGCGGAGAGCGAATGTCAATGTGATACACGTATACACAGACTGGTTCAGAAGCTCTGATTTGCTATCTGCTGCTATTTCTAAATCATTGTTCAAAATCTTCACAGCAGCCACCAGACAATCCACCATGTATCGAAAGTTGAGCGCCGTGACGTGTCGTCGCATTGCTTTTGAACCCCGAGTTGCATTGCTGGCAGCATTCTATGCTTCAGCATAAAATCATCCCTGCTATACGGATGGGGCTGCGTCGCATTAATCGAGCCGATGATATACCTCTCTACCTCATCTTCTTGCTTCAACAACCTAGAATCCTCTTCCTCTCCCCCTACCTCTACCCATACCCCTTCCACCACCACCTCTCCCACCTCGTCCACCTCTCATACCGCCCCCAACACCACCACCTCTTCCACCTCTATCCGCATCTTTCCTCGCCTTATTCTTCGGCTTCGGCGTATCATCAATCAACAACGTATCTAACGGCAACGAATCCGGCAAAATAAAATGTCGAATTGTGCTGCCTCGAATATTGATTGTGTCGAGCGATATTGTCTCTCCGACCTGTCCTGGATTCGACCGGTTTTTCGTAGTCATCTTTACGGCGCGTAAAGCGGTGTTCATTTGTGGGGAGACTGAGGTGATTGTGCCGTGGACGATGGTGCCGTTTTTGAGCTCGATTGTGACGGTTTCGTTGGCGCATTTCATGAGAAATCTAGGAACTCCAGGTTAGCTGGGAGTCGCCTGTGTAGATGTGTTCAGACGAGTGTCCTTGACATGGGAAGGAAGTGCTTACCTGACGAGCTTCATCTTGGGGTTTCGCGCCTTCGCTCAGGCTGGCTGTAGTAATTTGGTTTGAAGGTTATGTTCAGTGTTCGTAATTTCGCGGGACTAGAGTCGCGAGTCGCAGTAAGATGATAGAGGATTACGATTTTAGAGCGCGCCTGCTTCTGGAGACCGCAACTTGGCTATTAGTCCACGTTTTTAGTTTGTGTTGTACCTGAATTCACTATAGAAAACTGGTGGAACATACAAGGCTTACACCGATCACTCATGTGAGAAGCAAGGGCAAGTTAGCCGACAACTATGTGTGGTTTTGTCTTATTCTAGTAGTCTGACGAGCTCTGAGTCGTTGTCTCGTTCTTGCTCATGCTCATCCAATAGTGTGATTTCTTTGTACATAACAACTCCATCTCTATTCCTCCCATAATAATCCAACAAGGACTGCAAAAATTCACCATGCAGAACGCACTCATTATGATGGTCCTCGAGCACCTGCTGGAAGACGCGAAGTCCTTTTATGTGCCTTCATCTCGGCCGAAAAAGCCAGGTCCGAATTGCAAAAAACATCGATGAGATTACCTGGTCGGGCCAGCACATCTTGCCCGCGATCTGGTGCTGAACACAACTTTTCAACTGCTCGAACGCAATTTTCTTTTCTGCGCCCTGCAGGTCGTCCTCTCTTTCGCAACCTTCGTGCTATCTGAGACCCAGTCCTCGTCGTCTTCATCATCGCCGAGGTGTTCATCGGGTATACCATTGGCTGAATCCTCGAGATCGTTATCTTCGGTTTCCTAAACGCGAGAGTAGATCTTGTCCGTGGTGATCCTACCACTTCTCCGCCTTAACTCGCCATCGGGTGTTAAGCTGTCCCGATCCATAACCTCGCTGTCGGTGATCCTGCTCTTGCTCTCCCTACCTAAGCCGAAAATTCCAATAAAGTTGCCTTCTCCTTTGAGGCGTTCGACTTCAGCCTGCTTCAGAAGCCCACTCCTAGCGACAGCCTTCTCGTCTTCCGGCAGCACGAAGCGATGAACGGTTCGATGGTCCATAGTTCTTTCCTCATCGTCGCCCACGCCTTCGACCCAGGTGCCCTTCCCCTGCTTACCTTGTCTCCGGTAAGCTGAGTACAGACTGGGGTCTTTCTTCTCCTTCGTGCTGCCTGGACGTTCCAATATCTTCCGAAAGTTGGGGTCCGTTTTTGGCCAAGCAAAACCATAGAGCTTAGAGTGTCGTTCACATCGAGGGCATTCCCTTCGTGTGAGATAGCCATCAGCTTGTAGGAAGTACCCCAAGCAGCGCTCATTATGACACTGGACCCATCTGTCATGCGGCTGAGCCAGTAGCTTTCGAGTTAGGAACCAATCACCTGGTGTTCGATGGAATTGTGAAAGCGGTTGTATTTGTATATTTGTGTTTGTTATGACATCGACCGAGTTGGATTCTATCGACTCAACCAGGACGTTAATTGGAGGTACTTGTGACGCAGAGGAAGCAATTGCTGTAGTTAGCTGAGTCGTGGTAACTGTAGAGATCGCTTGCGGCTGTGATGATTGTGCAGCCATCGGTGGGTTAGGCGCGACACTGTTCATATTCGGAACAGGCGTATCCTTCTCAAGCTTGACCACTTCTGTGGTCTCCATTTTGACGACGATAGTATCGTCCTCTGTCCTAGCCTCATCCGGATCATGTGGTGGACTATTGCTTTGCGACATGGGCGATGGTAAGGCAGGGTTAATATCTTTCCTGTCTTTCGGTGATTGTGCGGATAGTATATCTACCTTCCGTCTCTTACACGTTGAGAGTTGTGAGATTGATCGACTGCGTTTCTTGCTTGAGCTTGCATCTTGATCCGCCCAAGCTTCTGCTTTTGCTTCCAGCGAATAGCGAGAGTTTGCAGGAGAAGCAGGCACTGGATCGTTCACGGCGACCAACTCGACACTCTGTCTGCTCACACTGTCGTCTTCATCAACCTCGTTCACAGACGTAGCACTATCCGAAGGTGTCCAAGAATACTGAAGCTTGGATGGGGAAGGATTCGGTCTTTGTCGCTTGATCTTTGGCAGCTGCTGAGGCACGGGCGATTGGCTCTCCGAGTCTCTCTTTCGCTTGCTTGACGACCTCCCAGGTGATGCAGCAGCTGAAGGTTGCCGGCTAGAGCCCATATCATCTTCTCCTTCATTCGGCTTTGGGCTCCATCCATTCCGTATAGCTTTCTCACACGTCGCGCAGAAGCAGTCGATGTTTTTCGGTCCGAAGTAATCGTCCCCGTATGAGACAGTGATCTCCTCTCCAACATCAATGTTTCTCAAAGCCACGACCTCCATACTATCGTCGCCCTTGGGCACAAGTCGCGCATTAGCATCGCAGTCGTGGTTGGCAAACCGAGCAGGACCTAGGAAAATAGATTGAGCTTTCTTGCGACCAGCACAAACAATGCTGAAGTTACGGTTTGTCGCGTCCAACTGATTTGATTCTTCTGCAGTCAGTTTGACCAATGTACCGACTAAATAAGGGATTGTCTGGTGCTGTTTTATCCTCGTTCGAGCGGTTACAGCTGCTTCGAATGATGTAACTGTATATCTATTTGTGGTGGAGACCTCCCAAGGGCTGTCCGTCTTGTACATTGAGATGTATTTGCGCAAGTGTTGCATGAAGTTCTCCCGCACTGCTTTTCCTCGGAGCCCGCTAAGGTATCGCTTTATTCCAGACACATCTAGGAGAGCCTTCTCCGTCGCCCTGTAGTCTTTCTGGTCGATCAGTTTGTGTAAAAGAATATTGGGTATTTCTTCGTCCTTGATGCCGCGTAAGGGCGTGTATCTTGGTCTGTTTTTCCGTATTTGAGCTCCATAGAAGGCATTGTCAATGAGGGCGTCTGAACAGGCATCGTCATGAGCAGCTAGCTCAGCGAGAGCCAAGCGATGCGTCTTATCAGGCTCGTTCTTGCGCGACTTCTTCGTCATGGTTGCGACTGTCCGAGAGGGTCGCGTGAAAAATCACTTTGCGCCGATGTTGCCAAATCGTTTTCCAAACTGGGCGGTACGTTTTAGGAGAGGGCAACAGAGGAACGTGAGTGACAGTCAATTAGGATCTCGCGAGCAAGTGTTCCAAACATTAGTGTATATCACGTATTACAAACGCTAAAAGAGTGTTGTAGTATGCGCCGGGCAGATAGTGTCATTATTTCGGCTGCAAGCAAACGGTCGTGAAATTCGTCGTTTTTGTCGTGAGTGAGGGTTGTGAAGGTGAAAGCAAGAGAGGGGGGATAAGCGGCTTGGGTCGATGAGTGCTCCTTCCTTGCATCTGGCAGTCGCGCTTTCTGGTGCATTGGTGCAAGGATTTTCGGCCCCTCCCTCCAATCATGTTGTTTTGTGGCTGAATATTGAGGCTAGCCTTGTCTGCATTGGAAAAAGCTACATGACCCCAACTTAACATATGTTATGAGGCCGCAAGTGCTTGACAGTTTCTACATCTTCTCGCCGTACCTCAACACAAAGAACAATCACGTCTGGGAGGCCGAACGCTGCTACTGGTTATCGTATACATTGAGACTGGAGCATGTTTGGAATGCTGCTTGATGTGACCGAATCAATAGGGCTTGACGGCTATAGCAATCGACGACTGAGAGCGATTTTCGACCAATTGATACAGTCTCGAGAATGTTGCTAGGCTCATGTTACCAGCTCTGCCTGTCTGTTGCACCCACGTGCTACACCCTTCCCGAAGTCTAGCAGTCACTCATTGTGAGCTGTGCTCGACGCTCATTTCTGCAAGTTGCTCGCAATAACATTGAAAGAGAATCATCATAGTCGCCTGCTCCGGGTATAATTTTCAAAAACGCTAAAAGCAGAAAGATAGAGACAAGAAGTAGAGTACTCCCTTGACATCAACCTAATCATCACGCCATTCTTGGGGAGTCCCGGGACCTGGCACTTCTGACTCGTGGAAAGGTCGAGTAGTAGGCAGAGGAGGTGGTGTGTTTTCCTTCCCTTTGTATCCCTTCGAGGGACTGCCTAATGGACTCGCGAGTGCCAGACTCCTAGCTCTGGCGTGCAATTTCTTCTCCTCCTCTCCATTCCAGTCTTTCGTAAGATCGATGCGAACTGCTCGTAGCCACTCCATGACCAGATGCTCAAACTCCCTCAGGATGTCTGTGTCGGCTGAAGTGGCACTAACTGTAGCCAGTACATTGAGCTTCCTTGATATCTTAATCTCAAATCTGAGCTCTGCTGCCTTTAGCCAGTATCTGATGTTTTCTGCTCTTCGGTAGGGCTTGTTGACGTCGTCATGGCACTTCTCGATATAGTCAAATTGTCGCTTTGACTTCCTGACTGCGGCGTTGTGCATCTGCACCAGCTTCTTGCCATCTATCAAAGTGTGCCAGAATCTGTCCTGCAGAACTTCATACGTCTGTTCTGTGGGTGTTTCTGTCTCTCTGAGTAGGAACGATAGGAAATCTAATGTCCGTCCTGTGTCATCTCCAATCCAATTCGAGTCGTCGACCCATTGCCAGTGCTTCCTCTGCCGTCGGTCTGCCTCTTCAAGTTTGGCCTCTTTGTCTATCATCATGCCAACATCGCTAACCCATACAAGAATGATCAGACGTTCGTCTTCCCTGAGACCACCTGCGAAGTTCCTATTCGCAGCTCGTTTCAGCACTTCTAGAACGTCGAAAAGCTCTTTCCGCAATGCTTGGTCGGACCTCAACGAATTTAGACGTTTCGGATTAGGATGTTGAGTATAGTACTGCCTTGCAGCTCTAATGGCCAGGGTGGTTGTATCGAGAATTTGAATTCCTTCTAGTTCGTAGAATCCTTGAGATATCTCCTCTCGACTCTTTTGTGTCTTCTCAGATGCTTCCAGGGCGTGTAGAGCATTCTCCAATGCATCCACCAGCTCTCTTTTCAATACTTGCTGACTTGGTGGAGGAGGTACGTATTGTGTGCCACTGCGGTACGTGGATACAGTAGGTGGAAGCATAATGTCATCGCCGTCTTCCTTAGCAGCTTCGAAAAGCAGGGCACCCTCTTGCTCGATTGGAGAAGTATAGTCGTCAGTGTCTAGTTTTGCAAGTTTAGGGATGTCATATTCTCCGTTCTCTTTCTTCCTAACAAATTGACCGCTTCTCCCATCCAGCAAACCAGTTCTTGCGAAGTAATACTGTAGATGTGCTATGCTCCCCAGGCTCATCACGCTTTCTCGGTTCTTCGCAGAAGGAGCAAAGCTAGCACCTTGTGGTCGGACATATCCCCTCCTTCTCGACGCGTTGGAGGACAGTGAGGTGGCTTTCGAGTTTGAGGACGCGTTCGAGTAAGATGTAAGACTGGACGTACTTGAGTAGCCAGAGAAAGATCTTGTGCCCGAGATACGCGATGCCTCTATAGGAGATGGCTCCAATCGTGGTGAAGGTGCTGATGTTGAGACTGATTGCGCATCCTCGTTGTTGTCGAGGCTCGTGGTGAGAAAGAGACTCATGTTGACTGATTCACCCTGCCTGCAGGAATATGCTTGTCGTTGGTATTCAGACAATAAGCTCTAGATACTTCCTATCGTCAATGAAAGTGAATACTCTCCAATCTTCCTGCTGTTGCTAAAGTCAGCTTTGCACGCGGGTTTCATTGGGACATTTCTGAAGCAGATGCACGGACGAACGCATTGCTGGAAGGTGCACGATCTCTAACAACATAGAAAAGGGCTAGTGTGGTGCTAAGGATGGTGCCTCGAGATTACTGCAATGCCGCTAGCAGAGAAAGGGGCTTCGACGCGGGAGCCCAAACAGCCATTGACTACTAGTACGCTGGTGAAGTTGATCGGATCTAATGTGGTAAAGATGGTCAACGTTCTGAGACCCAAGTGTTGAATTAGATTTAACCATCAGTGTCGTGTGTGCTACTGGTACATCATGCATAGGGCGACGGAGAGGTGTATGATCGAGTCGTGCATAGTGGAACAAAAGAAACAGTAATGCATTCACTACTGCCGAACTCAATCTCAGATGGTCAATCCTCTTAACTCGACCTCGCGCACCTTGACCACCAGGTTATAGCCATTGGTCGTTATGAGCATGATATTCTCGATAGTATCTCACAGTTAACAGGAGCTTACTATGGTAATGCAGTGCTACCGTCAGGTCGCAGGGGGCAGTACGAGTATCGTCTTTCTCCACAGAGATCTCGAGCAGGGATCTGCCAGTGACAGGGGCTGCGGAGACTCCCCAAGCTTAACTACTTCAGGAAGGGTGTTTTGTCAATAGCTCGTCGATAAGATACTCGTGTGCACTTTTCCAAAAGTTAATCTACCATATCCTGCTGGGACGATCGAGCGACTGGAAGCCCAACCCAGTGTACTGGTAGACTGATTTGGTACAATCAACAACGAGTTGATATTGCTTGCAGAGGGAACCTCTACTGCAGCAAATCGCTGACTCATTCCCTGAGCAAGCTCTGGTGCTATGAAAATGTCGCAAGACTCTATGAGTCTTTCTCATCCTTAGAATCCGTCCCGTTCACGCGAGAGATCCGGAAGCAAGAGCCATGCAATACGGATGACCATCCTAGCCATTCCGTTCCCATCCCAAAATGCCTAGACAAAAATCCCCAGTCACTGAAACGCCTTCGCTATGCTTGCAATCCAGTATGATCGCATTTTATTTGGTCACCAAGTCCCCTCCACTCAGGTTGATACCTCCAAACGACCATTGACCGGCAGCATATATCCAAGCTCCTTTCAGCGGTTTCTTGCCCTCCTGCACTTGCTCCGCCAGATTTTTGACACCCACAAATCCACTATCAGCTCGGTTGGTGTCCGTGTCTCGAGCAGGTAGCGCAATTCGACCTGTAGGCGTTATGCCGTTGATCGCGTCGACTGCATTTATTGCCGGACCTTCGTCGAAGAAGTCAACAAGCACGAAAGTTGGTGCTTTGCCGTATGCTTGCTGACAAGTGCCCAGTGACGCTCCCAGCATGCCGACGGCTGTCGTACTTGGACTATTCGTGGTTGTGATATTGTCCACGTCTGGAGTTTGGATGTCGAGGGCTCCCACTTCGTACAGAAAGTGATTCATTAATGCTAAGCGGTTGGAGGAGATGGCTTGTTCAGTGTTCCCTTTCACCTCCCTAGGACGATCGGGAATGCAGCTGAAGTCGCTAAATTTTGTGTTTTCATAATTGTTTTCGAAAACAAATGTGAATTCGTCCATGAGATAACTCTGTTCCACGATGGTTGATGCGGTAGGAAGACTTCCAACGAATACCATCAACCTCGTACCTGCTGAAATCAAGGTCTGTAGAGTTGGCCATTGTACAGGTCGCGTCGTGGTCGAAACAGGTTTATATGCTAAGTCTGTGATTTTGGCTTCTGTAAATTCTCCATGAAGTTCCAAGGGAGTGGCATTGTCACTATTGACAAGTAATATGGTGATCACGTCGTTCGGATTCGCTTCCATCCATTCTTTGATATCTTTCAACCAGTCTGACAGTAACCCTGCGTCGAGAAGATCGCAAGAGCTGTGGCACAAATGCCAGTCTCCGTTGTTCTTGTGCACCTGTGCAGACAACAATCTTACGCCCGCGCTCAATTGTACTGTCGAGTTGTAGTATTGATTGCCACTGATTGAGTAGCCGGTTGAGGCATCGCGAACGAAGGGTGAATCGTGAGCTCCGAAATGTGTTATCGCAGAGTATGACTTGGAGCACAGAGCTGGGGAGTTATTGCATGCTGTGGTTTGTCTAGACTGTATCGAGGCTGCATTTGTCAAGGAGAGGAACGAAGTCAGTAGTAGACCAAACGGATGCATGATGAGTCGTGTCGATGCGAACAGGAACGAAGGCGGTAACGACAAGCGAATGTATAGGGTGCGATCGTGGAAGTAACAACAAGAACAACAGAATAGTGACAAGTGAGTGAACGATGCTGAATTACATCAAGTCAACACATGGGAAGTAAGCATGATCACCCAAGGCCGTGCGTTACTCATGGCGCAGTTCATCCTTCACGGAGGTGAATGGCTGCGTCGTTTGCCTCTTACAAATGTCTAGCACTGCCTTCCCCACCAGAAGGACGGAATCAGATCTGAGACTCTCGAAGCCAAGAAGAGACGACACAAACTGTTTCAACCATGTCACATCTTCCGATTCGTGCGGTTAATTGACCAAGCACTTCTTCGTGTGAACTGTCCTTAACAGCTTTCTTCATCGTGTTTGTGGAGTTTGCCACTCTGCCTGTACCAAAAATAGTTCTGCCTGTTAGACAGCCACGGCACACAATTCTACACAACATATAGTACAGGAAGAAGGATACCACATTCGAATTTGGAGAGAATTGCTATGGCTGGTATTCTAGCCTTTTACAGTCATTTTCTTTGAGTCCTTCCGTCTCTTTTTGTCAGCTTCCTTTTCCAAGAACTTCTTCTGGTCCTCCGCACTCATTCCTTTCATCTTCCGGTCTCTTTCTTCCTTTTTCAGCTTCTCCATCTGTTTCATACGGTCCTCTTCTGCTTCCTTGTCGGCTATCTTCCTGAGCTTCCCACTCTCCGATTCTCGAATCTGCTTGATCTTCTTAGTTACTTCGGGTCTGAAATGCGCGTTCGCAGCCAAATGATCGGCAAATCGTATGAACGTTTGGAACAGTGGCAGGACCTTTCCATAGTCGTTGTCGCTGGGCAAACGGAAACATATATGGATGCGCTTCCTGGGTTTAGCCTCGTCAATCGTGGTGGGCTTCTCAATCGGTTGATCTGTAACAATGAAGTACTCAAAGTAGTCGCCTGCAGTCTCTATTGCCTTGACCAGTTCTGCGGTTAACATTGTCTCTGTTATTTCGGCGGACTCAGACATGACACTGGCCCACACAGGAAGTTTGGCGTTGTCCTTGGTAAAGGTAAGGGACAGGTCGTAACGTTGTTCACGCAGCCGCTTCATAGAGAGTTTGTTGACGATCGCGAAAATGAACTGGTCGTAAGTCGAGTTGCCAATCGGTTTCGTCTTCTTGATCTCCTCCGACCCTGGCACTGGTGGTGCAACAAAATTCTTCTCGTTGCCATCAAAGGCGTAGGAAACACATTCAATGCGCTCTGGTTCGACTTTTAGGGTTTCGAAGAAGAGTCCCATTCCAGATTCAGCAAGAAGCAGCATCGGATTGTACCACTTCCACAAATTGACCTTGACGTCGACGAACGCGACGTTGGCACGTCCCGTCGCGTAACTTTCGAATTCGAACGCTGTCTTTCCCTTTATGACCTCTTCGGAGAGGTTTTCGCCAGTAAGCTTAGCAGATGCAGCAATGAGACTGTCGCCTTGCGTGCCTTCTGAGTAGGGAACATCTTTCGGTTGCGTGCCGAAACCAACAAGAGCAAACTCGTTCTCAAGAATAGGGCTTGCGGTTGCCATGAATTTTCGCGCCCTCCTTCTGTTGCGACGCGTTCCCCAGAAGTGAACGAGTAAGGCCACAACGAGGAAGGGTATCACAGCCAACTCGAAGTAAAAATCCGCTATCGTAGTGCGCTCCCATACCCGGTACCATTTTGTGTAGACAACCGGTCGTCCTCCTGAGCCCGACAAAGGAGTTTGTCCAGTTGCTTCAGCTGCAGCTGCATCGGCAACGGAGCTTGGTATTGAGACAGGAGAGGCAGCCGCTGGTGCAGCATAATCTGCGAACTCTATCGATGAATCAGTAGCTGTTGTGTTCATAGGAAGAGCTACCTACCGTCGTCGAGAACTGGAGCTTGGGATGGCTTCGCGCCAAGCAGCTTTTGGAAGAAGTCCATGTTGGTCGAGTTCAAACCAATGACTCGAAGAGGACGAGAGTGAGGATGTGAAGGTAATGAAAACTATTAGAAAGGAATTGTGCAGGGTGTGCAGAGGATCTGAGAACAAAAGTGCACTGTGCGGGGAAACTACTGTACAGTAGCTCGAAGACAGGTTCAAGTTGCACGTTCTCCAGTGCGATACTGGCGTCACATTCGGCAAGAAACCACCATTCTAATTCATTGTGGCTGAATAGCAATTTCGATAACATCAGCTTGCTTAACTGCGGCTTGGCTCGATTTCTAGCTGAGAAGTGCTTACCTGAAAACAGTCATGCCTGCTGGTGCAGACAAAAGCTACGGCGAAGTTGGTTTGCCTCCAAAATGTACGGCTGACTTTTGTTTGATACCACTTGGGACAGCAGAGGCTAGTGTGTCGAAGCAGATCGCGGAGGTACAGAGGCTCGTTCGAGGCCATCCTGATGTGAAGGACGGTACAGTCAGTTGGACAATGCACAGCGCTGGGACGACGCTGGAAGGACCTTGGTCAAGTGTCACCACGATTATCGGTCAAGCACATCAGATACTTCACGACCAAGGCATTGTCCGGATACAAACTGACATCAGAATCGGGTCAAGAACGGATAAGAAGCAGACCGCTAAGGACAAGGTAGATGCTGTGGAAAAACTCCTGGCAGCCGATCAAGGGCAAAGTAGCAGTACTGAGGAGCCTGGCATGGTGAGTCTCACAGCAGAGGTCGACTATTTGTCTACTGTCACTGGTAACTAATATTTCGTGCGTCTATAGAAGCATGAGAAGGATACCACAAGGGACGCCCCAAATTCAACTACGATGCCGGGCGAGGTGAGCGGCATCATTCCTGACAAATGAACAGTCACAGATCCTTCCTCTGAACAGGCCGGCTTCAATCTTGTGAAGCGTTTAAGCACGAGACGATTGAGTTGCATGGCTTCAAGTTTTTGTCGTGTAATTCTTGCTATCGATCACTGTGGCTCGAGAAAGTTATCACTCGGCATGAATTCTGAGGTAATCAGCTTGTGAAGCTGCGCGAGAATTGAGATGCGGCAATAGAAACGTGACGTCAATTGCTCTGCTTCGAGCTACCTGCATTTTTATACAGTGTCGTGTGACAATAACCCATACCACTCAACTCGAGTATGCCAGTAGATTGAGACGACAACGATCTTGACTCAAAGACTTAAACCCTGCTCGATAGAGCGATGCCCACTAAAGTTTCACGCTCACATCCTAAACTAGCAACATCTCTACTGCAGGAGATACCCTTTTGTTCTTGGTGCTTATGTCAGCTTTGAATATGGGTCAAGGTAGCCAATCAAGATCACGACCTGGACCACTTTGGGGAGTAGGTTCGCGCCGTTCGCGTACAGGACAGACACACTCGAAAATTTGTGCAACACTTTCGAAGTAGATTCATTAAATGTGTCAACTTAAAATATGTCAAACTTCAAACGTTGCAAGCGCTGCGATCTGCAGTCTCTGACCAGGTCTACTCATTCTTCTTTCAAGCAAAATGAACAAGAATGACGGGCCTGAGAACACGGCAGAGCTTACGCCTGTGCGAGCAAACCGGGTTGACGAGGTCGACGATCAGATTCGCGGACTCCTCCGGCGACTCTCAGTATTTTTCAGGGAGCCAGTTCCAACTGGCAGCTTCTCGTTGTCCTATTTGGCAGAAGGTGCAGCCAACGTGGTCTGGCTCATTCACTTCCAGAACTCGAATCTGGACCAACATGATTCTAGCGTAGTGCTTCGCATGCGCAAGGATGTTCCATCAACGCTCCCGATGGTTCAATTTAAGCGCGATTTCGAGGCTCGTATCGCGCCATTGTTCTCGTTCGACCCGTCACTGCTTCTGCCAGTAGAGCTGGTGCAGCTTTGTCCTCAGGTTATCGACCGCCTGAACAGGCAATTACGTCAGCTAGAGGGTGCAGAAGGACGTAGCGCACTGAGAACTGGAACGTATCATCCTGATTTCGCGGACGAACAGTATGCCATGGTGATGCCTAATCTTGGCCATGGTCCGGGTGTGATTGTTGAGTTTAAGCCGAAGTGGCTTACGCAAAGTCCTAGTGCTCCTAGAAACGCGCAGAGGTGTCGTACATGTGCGATGAACTCCATGCGGCGAAGTAAGGGTGGCAGCGGACGTGGAGATTCGGGTTTCTGTCCTTTTGACTTGCTGAGCAGGAAGGATGCAATTCTGTTTGGCGCATTGAGGCAGATATGGCGCGACGAAGACACCTTGTCAAGTTTTGCTGATACATTCAGATCTAGGGTCCAACCAGCATTAAGACAACTACAGAAGCTGCAATTGCGACATAACGAGGTCGGTCTCGAGGATTTTCAACAGCCTCAGGAGAAGGACTTTGCTGTTGCGATGGCACTAAGGGATTGTAGTATGGTGCTCAAGGTTGTGCAGTCAGGTTCAGGGTCGGCTTCACAAATTCCGACCGTCAAATTGCTTGACCTCGACCTAAAAGATTCAGGGGGTGGCAAGCTGGAAAAATGGGCTCGTATGGAGTCAGAGCTGATTGAGGAAGGTTGGTATACGAACGAGCCAGATCCCTCAGTACAGTGTGCGATGGTCTTCCACTAGATTTGCTAGTGATGGTACTAGTCATGTTGGATATTGAATATTTGATCAGCTTGTTTTTGGAAAACTGGATCGTTAATAGCCTTTATCTCGGCTCGAATACGCTGGACTAGATCTTTGGACAGACCACTCTTGTGTCGAGCATATACGTCAATTCCTGCTGGGGTAAAAAGTGTCTTCTCGAAGAACGTGACAACCCAGCCACCTTCATCTTCGCCATAACCAAGCACTTCCCAGTGGCTGGAAGCGATTTTTAACCATCCTTTCCCTCGCCAGTTGTAGGCAGCACTGATGTTGGCGTCGGGCATATCAATTCCACGGACAGTCTTCAATTTGTCAGATGTCAGCGGCAGGTATTCCACTAAGTCGTCGATGGCTCCTGGTGGTGACTCAAGTGGTGTATATGTTATAACAACATTGCGGTTCTTCCTCCACATGGGCAAGGTAGAATGAGTAACATGCCATGCTCCTTTCAAAAAGCCCAAGGATGGTACTGCAAACGACGAGGAAGGTCTCACAGCAGAGCTAGACGGAGGACGGAAATTGGTTGAAGCTGTTTCGATTGTGTTCATGGTCGTAGGGAGTTTGCTTGCCAAGCAGAATGTGACGTGGCACAATCTTCACTTCAAAATGCTTGCTTGTATACCCCCGTCTTGAAATGTAGGACAGTTGCTCAAGTATCTGCTTACCCCAGCGCATGCAGGCTATGATCAGGTTTTCCAGAGGTTACTGTATCTGCGAAAGGACAAGCTAATACTACCCGAGCGAAAAGAATCAGAATGTCAACAAAATGCTCGAATTGGTTTAGTGGATTAGTGGATACGATGTGCTTTTGCACTGTGCTAGCACATCAAGCGCAGTCAGATCGAGCAACAAGATGGAGTGTATCCAGACATGAGGGCGAGCAACCACTTGCACAATGTTTTGAATCTGACACAATTGTACTTTTGTCTATCAATTATTGTCGCGTGGTTGTTCAGGTCGTTCATTACGAGCCTCAGGCATGAACGTCTCCAAATTGTTGCTGCAAATACGTCATAAGCTGGAGAACTGAAGACGAGACCGAACCATACCAATCTTCAGCTCAGCCTCAAAAATAGAGGTATAGTCGCGTGAAGCTCATCTTGTGAAGTCCTTTTCTCAAAAGGTACTACTGTTAGTGTCTACTCGATTTACTCGACCTCGAGTAAAGTCCTTGGGATAATTCCTCCTGTCAGCAACATCTTAGTCTCGCTGCAATTAGAACCATGTCGAAACGCATCTCTTTCCTCGTCCACGGCACCGTTCAGGGTGTGAACTTCAGGCAAGCTAGAGACAGGTCCTTTGTTTGAGACTTTGGCCACTGACGCTAATATGTCAAGGTCGTTTACTGAAACACAAGCACAAACTTATGGGCTGACTGGCTTTGTCAAAAATACCAGTGATGACAAGGTGGGATATCTGTCACTGTCATCGATAATGTGAGCTTGATTCTGATCTCATACAGGTCGCGGGCGAAGCACAAGGCTCCGAGGATGCTCTGCAAAAATTCAAAAAGGATTTAAACGAAGGACCTCGTGCTGCACATGTCGTCAAAGTTGAAACCAAGGAGATCGAATCGAAGAGTGGTGAGTCGTCTTTCAGCGCATCTTAGTGGTACTTAGGGAACGTTGGGTCGAGTCTGACACACTCTTGATGTGCCTGTACTTCCTGATGCCTATCAAAAATTGAGGCTGAGTGTGGCGAGGATCGAAAAATTGCCTCTGCCACTTCCCATGGATAGCAGATATGGCTTGTGGCCAAACATTAATCCAATCTTGACGTTCTTGATTTGGGAGTACAAAGGAGGCGACGAGCGTCCTTCCGATATTTCTTCGCAATTTGCGCGAAAAGGCTCCCAGCTTACACGAGGCTGAAGCATCCCACGACATTTCCCGGTCGCTGAGTCATCTACTGCTCTGGTTTCAACCAGCATGCGGACATTCAGCCCTTTTTCCAAGTCATTCCTGTTCATCTGAAATGTATGCGGCAGTCTGATATGGCTTTAGTGGGTGACCTTAAGAGAATGCGACGACATCTTGTAGAATTCCAAAGCATGCGAACTCACATAACTGTATCGAAGATCCACCTTCGTGCGGATTGAGCTTAGTTTCCGCAGTGGAAAGTGGATTGGTCAACTGACTCAAAAAAGCATTCTCGCCTGGCTGACGCCCTTAGCTTCCTGCAGTTCGCGAAGAGGCACTCGACATGCAATGCAACTGTGACTCAATGTTACCAGAAATATCTCAGCCCTGATTTTGTGTCGCTGGTTTAGGATGATTAGTGTCATTTACATTGACGTTTGAAATGTCGACATTGGCTGTCAGTCTTCCGCTCAACGTCCATTATCCACAGGGACGTCTTTGTGTCGGAGGAGATGTCCATGCGCGTTTAAAATGCTCGAAGCATATGCTTTGTGTGGTCAGATATAAATCGTGAGAATGTCTTGCCACGCCTTCCTCATACCATCACATACCAAACACTTCCTAACCATAACCCGTATCTAAGCGAGCCACATCGTCACATTGAGAGATGAACACCACCCGAACTGTGTGCACAACATCTTTAGCGCCCAGCCTTAGCAGGGCCATTCATCAGACACTTTGTTCACAATCGTCCAAGCATGCCCTCAGAGCTAGTTACTCGATTGGACTCAACGCAAACAGACAATTCTCGACAAGTAGGCAATCACATATCGAGTTCTTCCCACCAGCCAAAGAGACACAAAACATCAAGTACACGTAAGCTTTTGAGTCCCGTCTACCAGCAACGTCAAACTGACACCAATTTAGACCACCAGCATGGCCACATCCAGAGATAACGGAGAAGCAGCTGAACGGCATCGAAGCTTTTGTACATCGTGACTGCCAGACTCTATCTGATAAGGTTGCCTACGGGATGGTCAAGACAGCCAGATTCTGGATGGATTTGTTCTCTGGCTATCGACACGATGAAACAAAACCATACGTGATGAACGAACGCAAATGGTTCACACGCTTCATCTTCCTCGAGACAATCGCAGCTGTACCGGGCATGACTGCAGGTATGCTCAGACACTTCCGCAGTTTACGTCGAATGAAACGTGACAATGGCTGGATCGAAACTTGTTTAGAGGATGCTTACAACGAGCGCATGCATCTGCTCACCTTTATGAAGATGGCCGAGCCAGGCTGGTTCATGAAGATGATGATCCTGGCTGCGCAAGGTGTCTTCGCTAATGGCTTTTTCCTGGCCTATCTCGTGTCGCCAGCTACTTGTCACAGATTCGTTGGGTATCTCGAAGAGGAGGCAACAAACACTTACACCATGGCCATACAAGATCTGGACAAGGGTCTGATACCAGCTTGGAACAAATTACAAGCACCAGATATTGCTGTCAAATACTGGAACATGCCCGAAGGACACCGAACTATGCGAGATCTTCTGCTGTATGTCAGAGCAGATGAAGCAAAGCATAGGGAGATTCATCACACACTCGGCAATCTCAACCAGGCCGAGGACCCAAATCCATTCGTGTCAGAATACAAGGACGCCTCGAAACCGCATCCCAGTAACGGTTTCGAGAATCTGAGGAGCAAAGGATGGGAGAGAGAAGACGTGGTGTAATGCGCAAATTCTTTTGAGGTTTGCATTCCTGTAACCTATGATAGCGTTGTCGTTAGCAGTCCTTCGTGAACTAGACATGGAGAGAATATTGAGTTCTGCTTTTATGTGTATCGCACGCACACAAGTCGTGCCAGGGTATGCTGCCAGCAACAATCAGAACACACGAATCACACCCCGGAAACACAGCGGTCGCCTGCAAAGTTCCATCGGACATTGAGATTCAATCGGCAGCCGGATACACGTTGTATATGAAACAGACGGAAGCAGTGGATGTAAATGTAAAACTCGACTATTTTGCCACTGACAACCCCTATCAGCACGAAGATCTGTTCCGGTGCAGTATTTCGACAGCCTCTTTCGACATAGAGTGTCTAGGCCAGCCACATCTGAAGCCCGAAACATTACGCCGATCTACTGGATATCTCTTGAATCGCGTAGAGTCATGAGATCACAATCGACAGTACACATCTTGTGATATACAATACCTCTCTGATTCAGCATGTAAACAAACAATCATGCAGGTTAATGGACACCAACGGAGTTGACATTCACGTTTAACGGGCTTCATGCAAGTCTGCGGCATGATTTGATTGAAGTTTGTGGTTTACAGGATGCAGCTAAACAGATTGCTGGTTAGCGCAGTGCTAAGCTAATGATCTCCAAATGCGGCCTAAGCGTCACATCTTAGGAGGAACCCAAGTCGTGTTTGCTACCAATTTGTATTGCATTCTTCTGTATTCTGTAATTCCAATAGTGGTCGAGGACCTTCCTCACACAATGGTAGAACGAATTGTTGGTTACTCACGACACACGATCCGCACGTCGGAGTCTTTAGTTCGAAGTTTCGTCTAATTCATTATACGTGCAGCATCGGTAATTGAGGCCCAACTGTGCCTTCCATGAAACAGGCACCTGCGGAACGACCTGAGCACGCTCGCACATACGACCCTCAGCTGGAGTCGCGAAGTAACGAGGTCGGTAAAGAGCAAGGCCATGTCAATGCAGGAAATGTCGTTCAAGGAACCCTCATTCGACCTCGATTTTCACCAACTCCTCGTGCCTAAACAACCTCAAGATCGAAAACGTCGCAAGAATGTCAAGGAGCAATCGACATCCTCAAGCGATGCAAGCTCTTTCTTTATTCCCGAGCCGCTGTCTCGAAGCAATTCCGTCTACTCCTTTGGACGCGCTTCGCTTAGCAGTCAGCTTGCAGGCTTAACGTCCATGAGCCTGCCAAAAGCCGAGTCACTGTCTGCTAACATCAGTCAGTTGCCTACTGCTCGCAAGGCATGCAAGGCATTGTATGTCGCTGCCGAACAGATTGCTTCGTGGAACCGCAAAGCATTGCGCATGCTAAGAGACCTTGACGGGGACGACGACGTGGAATGGGCAGCTGCGGCTGGACGCGATGCCCTTGACGACACAAATAAGACGATCGTCAAATTCGAGCATCTAATTAATGTGTACGTCCTTTCCATCGAAGCGTTGCAGAACCGGCCGGATGTAGGCGAATTGAGACCGGAAGAGCTGAGCACAGTAGTCGAGCAGATGGAATATATCCTTATCAGCTGGGACGATGTTCGGAATGGCTTGAAAAGGATACAAGACCAAGTCGAGGTCGCAATGGAATGGGAAGAGCTTTGGAACAAAGTCCTGGGAGAGGTAGGGCAGGAGTTGGACAGCCTCAGTCAGCTGGTTTTCGAGATGGAAGAGAAGAGACACATGGCGTACATGACTAAGTCAAAAGACGAGCCCGAGGAACAAATTAACATTAACGAGCTGGAGAGCTTCATTGACGAACCGTCAAAGAAAAAGGAAACCATCACAAATTCGAGGTTCAGCATGACTTTCGAATCCTCACCACTTGCATCACCTGTTGTGGAGAATCCTCAAGATGACACAAACCTACTAAGTCTCTTTGCACGTATGCAGCCATTACGTGCTTCTCTCGACTTCCTGCCTATGCGTCTGTCCCTGTTCGAGACTCGAGCGGAGCCATTGTTCCCACAAGCATGTAGAGAATTGCAAGATAAAAGGCAGCGACTGGAGAAGAGCTGGCAACAGTTATCTGAGGAAGCCGAGCGATTGAGGCAGGAACTGAGTGAAGACAGATGGGTTGTGGTCTTTCGCAATGCTGGAAAACAAGCCCATAAGATGGCCGAATCTGTTGAGAGGAGTGTGACCAAAGTGCAGGATGCCTTGCAAGCGGGTTATGCAAGGAGTAACCCGGCGACGTTGGCAAAGCGTGTGGAGAGCTTCGAAGCCAAGAAGATGCACTATATGCCAGCTATCATGCGCGTTCTCACCATCATCCAGAAGGGCCTGAAGGACCGGTTGACTGTGAATGGCGAGATTCTGCGTCTCAATAAAGAGTTGGGCGCCAGAATGAGAGACCTCGAAGATCGAATCCGCGAGCTGGCAACCCTACTTGAGCCTGTGACAGCCAGGTCAAACTCGAGCCTGAGAGAATCAATCTCGAGTATTGTGTCAGCTGATCGGTCTTTATCAAGCGGCACCTTCGCTGGGACTCCTGGTAGTTCACCAGCATCCTCCATCGATCTACCCACTCCAGCCTCGACGAAAATAACGCCCAAGTATGGTCTTAATGGCTATTCCAAACCTCGAGCTGCAACCTCAATGGCAGCACGTCCTGGACCGCCTATTTCTGCTAACAACAGACGCATTTCACTACAACCTCAAATCCAAAGGCCGACAACCCCTATGAATGGCAGCAGATCAATATCCATTCCACGACGAGCAATGTCGCCTGCGCCACCCTCAGTATACCAACAAGGACTTTATAGGCCGCAAGTTATGCCATTGCCACCACGAGCAGCTGACACACCATCCGACCGACCAAGATGGACGTCTACAATAAAGGCTAATGAGCAGGCTTTGACCGCTAACAAAAGAGCTTCGATCACACCCTCCTCTTACTATCGCCTTGGACCTAGATCATACTCGGCCTCGACGACTGTACCGCTACGAAGTCCACTCAGTCGCCAAGCAACTTCGTCGCCAATATCACAACCTACACTACTATCACATCGTTCGAGCCATTCGCACTTGAGGTCCTTTGCTGATCGCATACAATCTCCAGCACCAGGTGAGGCCGGATTACTATCACCAGTGCCATATTCGAAATCAAGAACTTTGCCAGTACCAACCACGGGCACCATCCGCTCACCTTCTGCTCTAACAACCAGACCCCCTCTGGCTACTGTAGCAACAGCTCCTGCTCGATCGCAGTCGTCACTTCGCAGCTCACGACCCACCACGAATTCGGCATTACGAGCAGGATCACCCAGCTACCACGCAGCTAGTTCGCCAATGAGTAATCTTGATGCAATGCTCAGAACACCACCGCGGGCGTCGGACGATAGTGCCATTACAGACGGGGAAGACATAGAACTACCTCGAATACCATCAGTCGATCATGATCAGTACGTCGAGTCACTGGACGACGACAGGACAACAGAAATGGGATCAAGTCCGCTTTCAAGGCGCACCATTACGCGACCGTCGTCGTCTGTCGGCAGTAGAGGAAAGAGGGTAAGCATGCTGCCGGTGCCAAGGGGTACAAGGTCGAGCTCCTTGGCATCCTATAAATAAATGCTCGCTGAGAGATGTGGTTGGCTATCGCTGATCACTGATACATTGGAGTACAAGTTTGGGGCATCGAGACAGGCAGTTTTTTAATCTGTCACAAATTGGTTATAAGCGTTCAAGCCAGCCTTGTCGTTGAAATGTAAACCGTTACAAGCCTTGAAATTTCACTCAAGCACTTCTCAGTCTGTTGTTTCGCTGCATAGTGTTTGAATTTCGATTTAAGCAGGGTGTTCATCATTGCTATATTAGGCTTAGCGGCCGTTGCGCGTCCGTGCACGCGTCGTGCCCGGCCTCTCAATTCTCAGCTCTTCCAACCACCCCAACCACCACCACAAGACTTTGCCACGACTCACTGCCCCACGAAAAGAGCGAAGCGAATCCAATGATGACTGCAAACAGGGTGCGTAGTAACACGCATATTTCCAACTTCTGACGAGACTGTGCCCGGCAACCATGAGTAAACAGCCAGCCACCACAAAGTAAGTACTAGTTGAACAATTGCATTGAGGCGACACTTTAGCTGCTTGCTCTCGTGCAATTACCCGTTTTCACTCACAAATTTCGTGTGACTATTGCTGTGTCCTCATTGTGTTTCGAATCGAGTTCGTCTTTGCATGCTTCTTACCGACGACAATTCAATTATGAACACAATGCTGGACAAGCCACTACCCCAGCTGATCGCCCTCTTGTTGTTGTTCTCTGTGGCATCGGCACAAACGTACAGCACTTGCAATCCACTTTTGTCGCCAGGTTCGTTCATTCATATGGTTGAGGTTACTACTGTACTAATGAAATCTAGGAAGTTGTCCAGCTAATTCTGCACTCGGCAAAAGTGTCAACATCGCGTTTACCCGTCCTTCTGATCAATTCACAGCCACAGGTGCACCAACCTACGACTCGAATGGAGCTGCTTTTACGGTCGCAAAGACTGGCGATAGTCCAACCATAGCGTCGAAATGGTACATCATGTTCGGTCGTGTCGACTTCGTCGTTAAAGCAGCTCCAGGCACGGGCATCGTCAGTAGTGCCGTGCTACTGTCCGACTGCTTGGATGAGATCGACTGGGAATGGCTTGGTGGCGACGACAACCAGGTGCAGAGCAACTATTTTGGCAAGGGTCAAACAACAACTGGCTATAATAGAGGCGCTTTCCATGGTGCGCCTGGAAACCACGATGGCTTCAATACCTACACCATTGACTGGACCGCTGAACAGATTGTTTGGTCGATCAATGGCAACACCGTCCGAGTTCTCAAAGCTTCTGAAGCAGAAGCCGGTCAATACCCTCAGACACCAATGCAGATCAAGGTCGGCAGCTGGGCTGGTGGTGACTCAGCTAATGCTCCTGGCACGATAGTATGGGCAGGGGGCCCAGTGGACTACTCGGCTGGACCATTTACGATGTACCTCAAAGGAATTGCTGTCACAGATTACTCGACTGGCTCATCCTACAGCTACGAAGGCACTACTGGTACCTGGCAGTCCATCAAGTCTAACGGTGGCAAGATCAATACGAGCGGATCAGGATCAAGTCCTGCCGTAGTGGTTAGCGACCCATCCTACAGTACGGCTGCAGGCAACCCATCAGTACCGTTCTCGACAGACGCCGCAGCCTCATCGGTATATGCCACTAGGACTGGCTATCCATGGGTGACTGCAGGTGCGTCTGCAGTGACAACAGTAAGTCCCACAGTAACTTACAGTTCCATCAATGGCTTGCCTAGTGGGTGGACAGTAGCAGCAGACGGCAAAGTCCGCCCACCGAGTGCCGGCGCAATCAGTGCGTAGACCCCTATTTCACATGTGTTTCTTCATTGGTCTGAAATATCGCTAACGGTTTGCCTTTCAGGAAATGCCCCAATCTACCTCCTCCTCGTCATCAGCTTTGCCAGTGGGTTCTTCATCACCTGGCCTTGAAGTCAAGACAACCTACAATGATCAAGGATTCCTCACGACATTGACAACTGGAGTCAAAACCAGCACCGACGCAGGTTCAGTTGCAGTTCCCTCGCCGCTAAGCTCGCTTAATGCGCTTGCTCAAGCAGAGGAGAGCCACACGATCATAGTCCATACCACAAGCTCGTCCGTCAGTGGAGTCTTTGTGACTGCGAGTTCGACTCCGTCGCCTCAGGTCGGCCAATCCAGCAGTAAGAAGACGTCGACGTCTCTACGAACATGGCTAGCCGTACTGGTCATTGCATTGGCCGTGCCAATGTTGTAATATCAACAAAAAAGATCATTTTGAGCATAGCGATGGAGTATGGGAATGATACAAGCAACAGATCTTGAGAAGGTACACCGGCCCCAGGTTTATTGGGAAGAAACGAATTATGATCATAACGAATTCTAGTAATACATGGACGAAAGATAGACTTGCATGGGCGGATGGACTTGTGGTCAGATTCTGGGACTGATCAAACAGATAATAGTGTACCAAAACTTCTAAGTACATAGAGCATGGAAATACAGTTCTATTGATAACAAGTACGGATGCAGTTGCCGAATATGCTGAGCAAAGCTTTTCACAATCCATCCCACGAATCTTTGCTAGTGTGCTTCTAGAAAGACTCCGAGTGTTCTAAGTTTGCCACAGGTTAACCAATGACGTCGGTTGAGCTTGTGTTTAGACCCTGCAGTCATGCGGCTAACGTTTCTGACGGTTCCTTCTGGCACAAGCCGTTGAAATGCAATATTAACCCCCACTCGCCACAAAACTTCGTATTATATGTTCCTGCATTACTTTGTGTGGTCTTTCGTTTGTGTCAGAGACTATTACCGCTTACTCCCACTTCCAAACTGATCTATTGAAGCACAGTGAACAACTTTTAGTATACCCAGCGAAATGGCGGACGTACTACAGACCCATCCCTACACCTGCAACTCATGTGCAGTGGCCTTTCGCAATAGCGATGCTCAACGAACGCACATGCGATCCGACTGGCACCGCTACAACCTCAAGCGAAAAGTAGCAGACCTACCACCAGTCTCCTCGGACGACTTCAATCAGAAGGTGATTACCGCACAAGCCAGCACAACTGCAGCTAAAGAGCAAGCCTCGTACACAAAATCCTGCACGATTTGCCGCAAGACGTACTACAGTGAGAATGCTTTTCAGAGTCACATATCCAGTAAGGCACACAGACAGCGAGCTTCTGCAGCTGGTGCTAAGTCGCCCTCTTTGGCCCCATCCCGTGACACGAATGGGGAAGAACCAATCTCACCCGAGGCAGAAGCCGAGTTCGAGGACGTAGTGGCAGGGATGAAAAAGACAAACTTGGTGGACGATGTTGTACCCAGAAGAACATTTGCACCGCCTCCAGGAGTTGATCGTGCAGAACATCCTCTTTCACCTCCAAAAGTTGTGCCTACAACCGCCTCCGCTTCACGATGCCTATTCTGCAATTATGACTCTCCAACTGTCAAATTGAGTGTTGACCACATGACCAAGATTCACGGCCTATTCGTTCCGGAACAGAACTATTTGGTGGATCTCGAGGGGTTGGTCTCGTATCTGCAAGCAAAGATTCACGAGAATCACGAATGTATCAGCTGCCACAAGCTGAAGAATAGTGCTGCAGCGGTCCAGACACACATGCGGGACAAGGGACATTGCATGATTGCTTTTGAGGAGGAAGAAGAGATGATCGAGATCGGTCAATTCTACGACTTCTCTAGCACATACTCGGACGAAGAGGAGGACATGTCAGAAGCGGATGGTGCGAAGGTCGATGGCGAAGATGCGGGTTGGGAAACTGATTCAGACGTGTCTTCTGTGGCATCAGAGGAAATCACAGCTATTCCTAACGATGACCGGACTGATGCGTACCAGCGAATGAAGCTCAACAGACATCACTCCAATACAGTAGAACGACCACACAAGAACATCGACGGTTTCCACTCGCATGCCCATAACCACAACAACGCGGTATTCTACGACGAGCACGAAATGCACCTGCCCTCGGGTCGAATAGCAGGTCACAGATCTATGAACAAGTACTACAGGCAAAACTTGCACAACTATCCTTCCCAAGCTGAGCGTATGGCTAGAACACAACAACTGCTCCGAGACGGTCCACCGACAACTTCTGACGAGGATAGTGATGAAGAAATGCAGGATGTAGAGGGACAAATCACTCCGCCTACACCGCCTAAGAGTCAGTCTTTGATGAGAAGAGGCGAGGCAGGTATGTTGGGTGTCACAGAAGTCAAGAAGCAGCAGGTCAAGAAAGCAGAACAAAAGTCGAGGACAAGAGCACAGAGAGATCAGAACCGATATCAGGCCAGGTTGGAAAAGCAGAACAACAGTCAGAAGCATTTCAGAGATCCTCTTCTGCAGTAGTCGGATAGACATTGCAGGAAGAATTATCGGTTGCGCCGGTACATGGCAAGCGTTATTCGACGTCAATTCTTCTGTTGAGAGAGATTAGAACTTGCATAGCTGGAGTACCACGGGTTATCGCATAGGGCTGCAATGCTCGAGTTGAGCAACTGGTTGCATAAGCATATCGATAGAGCAGCACAATAGAACTTGTCCAACTTTGTGTACCAGTGTCTGAGTACGAATGTGCGTCTTATGATTCAATAAGCTGTTTGTTAGCTAAGAAATCCCCTTGCTCTTTACTGTTCTTGTTTTCTCCTTCCTCGAGTAGTGATCTTGCGAAATGCGAATTCCCACTGAAAAGTGGCCGAATTGAAGTGCTTTGAACTCTAATGGTAGCGGCAGCACGAATCTGAGCCGGTACATCAGCCCGAAATAGCCTGGGACAGCCTCGTCGATCTCTATATCGCGAAATGATGCTATTCATCAGTGATCATTCAGGCATAAAGCGCGTGAAACAGTTCTGTCTACAACATCATCGCTCACCACGCATCACTCACCAACTGTGGTTTTAGTATCTGCTCGCCAGAATGGCAAAGAAAGGTACGTAAAGCATGCACCAACCGTCCTTCCTTCTTTCCTCACATCCTCGTACCACTACCCATCCAGCACAACCTCTTCAATCCAGCTCCAGCTAACCTGTTCCCACCACAGCAAAATCCCGCACAGTAGCCGTCCGCCTCCTCTCCATGGCCCTAACAGGCTATTTCAAGACCTACACGCGCCCACGAACGAGTAGGCCGCTGAGTATGTTAAAGTATGATCCTGTGGTGAAGAAGAAGGTGTTGTTTTTGGAGCAGAAGAGGACTAGTAAATAAAACAATCTAAAGGAGTTGTGATGGATAGATATGATATGATACGGTACAATACAGTTAAAATATGGGCAAAGAGATGGTTGGGGAGCTGGCTGTGGATTATCACGTCGCCTCGTCGGGGTTGGAGGGGATGCTCGATAGAATGTATGGGCAGGCTCACTGGTGTTCGGCACTGAAGACGTAAGAGGCGCGAGAGGCTTGGTATGGAACATATGTTGGATTCTGAAATGATCGTGGTTCGTGGGAAGTGCTGCTTAGCTCTGAGATCGAAGGCAGAAGGACATTAAGAGCTTGCGTACAACGAAGTGCAAAGGAGGACGGCAGAGAACGGTAAATCTTCCTCCAGCTCTACACCTTGACCACAGCACCACAGGACCAAGATCAGGACGGTGGAGGAGCATGGCACGGCAGGAACAAAGCATCGCTACCACTGTACGCGGAGTTGTAGGCACTGCGACACATCCAAGAAGAACGATTGAGGATGACGTTGTACCATGTCCGTCGATATACGCACGACAAAGCCTCTGCAATTCCTGCGGTTACACGAATGTTTCGATTGGAGGCTCATCTTCTTTCAGCTAAAGCCTGCTTATGAGCTGACGGCAGGAACTTGATGGGCGGGTAGCAAAACGGTTTGGGTCTGTGTAGACATGCATCAAGCACTGCGTCGTCGAACAGACTGCAATGGAAATCACAAAAAATTCGTCAAAGGACATTATGCAAGCTCGATAAAACAAGGTCTACGACCGCCAAACGTCAATAATGCTGAACTTAGCTGGTATCATCAAGCAACTGGCTTGACGGCTGAGGAGAGTTTGCACCCGAACATCCTGCGAATAGTGTGTGAGGCATGGCAAACGTTGTCAGTAGTGAAGCTGAGAGTGCTTGTGTGCTCTTACGAATAAAGATCATAACAGGAAACGCTTCTGCTTCTTCCACATCTATCTATACTTTTGACTATATACATATTTTGTCCTACATCTGTTATATCGTTGTGGACTTGCTACCCTTCTGACTCCCTGTACACTCGTTGCTGTTTAGCCCTGACCCCAATGAGCTACCCTAGAGGCTGAGTATCGGTGAACACGTATTGCTGAATGAAAATGGTTGTTTACCTTGGAAAGCTATTGCACATCAGCGCTGTTTCGATTTCTGACGATGCTGGCGGTTTACGAAGAACCTTCATTGAAACGAGCCTGGTATTGGGCATGCTTGGACGTCGTTTTCGCTGGAGCATTAGTCTTTTTTCGTTGTCCTGGAACAGGTGCATTGGTTCCGATAACACCACCAGATCTCCTGCTATTGTTCGACAGGTCATGCCAGAGCTGTGGTTGTCAAATCGCGTCGTCTTGGACGTATGCGAAGCTTGCGACATGCTTCTTCCCTCTAGGTCTGTTTCGTTGCCTGCCCGTGTACGTACTCGTTTCACGGCACTTTCAGGAGCGATAGTCGTTTGTTTACGCTTCATGGCCGAATTCGGCGCGGGAGACGCCCGTGAATTTGCATGTGGTGTTGTTGGGACTCTGCTCTGACTTTCTGGCATTGGCATTCCATGTTGAATCAGTGAACCAGCTCGAGTTTTCATGGGACTGGTAGTTTGAACGCCTTCAGCTACTCGAACTTCGGCAGGAGTCCGACCTGATCCACTTTCTCCTGTTATGCTATCCTCTGAGCGAAGTAGCATCTCATCACTGGCGGTTCCAGGCCGACTATGTGCTACTTCATGCTGGTTAACAGGCACGTTTTTTGCAAGCTGCCTCATGTTCTGACCTGAACTCTCCACAATTTGTGTAGCTGCTTCTAGGTCGAAAGCATCTTCGAACAACTCGTCGTCCATATCGAAGCTTGGGTCAGGCTGAACAGGTTCTGGAGGTCGCATATCGAGCCATTGGCTTTGAGAGTCAGGGACAACGGGTCCCTCAGCCGTCTGTATGATGCCTCGATTTGCTGCTCGTCGGGGTGGTCTCACAGCGTCGGCATCTGCTGACTGCTGTTCGGTGTCTTGAGTGGCTCGTCGTTCAGATTGAGTTTGGTTGATAACATTTTTGAACGAGAGGATGATCTCCTCGTCAAACTGATCAATGTGCTCCTCATCGATATAATGTCGAAGTAAGTCAAACTTTTTGTTGCTGTTCTCAAGCGCATCGTGGCTGCTTGTCATCTCCACTAGGCGAGTACTCTTCTGTCGTGCTTCATCCTGAAGCTGTTCTACCTGTTCCTCGAGATCATCGAGCTTTGCAACCCGATTCTGAAGACCTGTAACCAGCTCCTCGTTCTCCCTGTTCTTCATTCGTAGGTCTTCTATTAAGACATCGCGAGCCTTCATGCCCGCCTCGAATTCGGTCTTCAGCCTCTCGGCTATTTCGAGACTTCTCCGCAGTTTAGGTAACTGATCCGCAGAGTGCTGGGCCGTAATGAGCGACTCTCTTACACTCTTCAATGAACTCTGTGCATCTTCGATCTCCTTTTTGCACTCTGCAAGTTCGTGTTCAAGACCACCCACTTTCTGTGCCTCTCGGAAAGCATCCTGATATTTCGCTACAACATCGTTGTACTTGCTGCTTATGTCAAACTGAGCTCTCTGCAGAGTCTGAATTTCTGTAGGCAGGTGCTGGAGTTTGGCCAGCTCGTTCGTCGAGGCTGTGAGCTTGTCCTCCAAGGCTTTGCAAGACGCAGCAAGCTCATCCTTCAATTTCAGCTGTCGTTGAATCTTGAACAGCACAGACCCCTCCTGATACACGTCGCTGCCGGGCATTGCTTCTCCTCTATCAACACAATCCAATCGTGTTTTCAGGGCAGCCAGCTCGTCAGTGCTAACTTGCAGCTGATTGATTTGCTGATTCATGGTCGCCATGGTCGCCATGGCCTCCATCTGCTCTCTTGGGCTTCGTGTGTCTGACTCTAGGGCAGTGATCTGCCGGCCTTCTTCCTGAAGTTGATTATCTCGCTGCAACAATTGATCATTGAGCTCTGTCTCCAAATTTTCGAGCTCAGCAATTCGCGACCTCAATGCATCGTTAATTATCGTCTGTTTCTGGAGATCGCTGGACCTCTGTGACAATTCTGAAACTTTTGTGTCGAGCTGCTCTTGGCAAGAAGTAACCTCACTCTGATGACTTTCTGCAAGATCCTTGCGTTTCTTTTGCCATTCAAATTGCTTTGAGGAAAGTTGATCCTCCAGAACCTTGACCTTGTTCTTACCTTCCTCAATGTTATTGTTCAGCTCCACTATTTCTGCTGACTTCACTTGCAGATCCTCTCTCGTGTTCGCTAATTCTGACTGAAGTTCTAATAATTCGCCGGCTCTGGAAGACGCTAAGCTTTGTTCTTGAAGGTATCTAGACCGCCATTGTTCACTTGACTTCGCCTTCTCTGACTGGTCCTCAGCAACAGAGATTCTCCTGGCTATCTGTTTGTGAGCTTCCAACAATCCAGCAGTGAACAATTGTTGTGTGTTCTTCTCGCGCTGGGTGGACCTGAGAAACTCCTCCTGATCTCTCATCTTCTGAGCCATTTCGGCTCTATTGCGTTGCAAGGTTGTCATGTATTGCACATCGGGTTGCAACTTGTCGATGGCACCAACCAGACTCGAAAGCTGCAGTTGAGTCGCAGCTTGTTGATCATGCTGACCGTTTCTGATATCTACCATCGCCTCTTTCACTACTTCCTGGTTCTTCTCTACCAGAGTCTGAAGGTTTTTGAGCTCACCAGCATCCATGGTACCGTGCTCAGCTCGTTCCCGAATCTCTTCCAGAGCTTGAAGGATAGATGTCACGATGTTGATGGACATGTTCCCATCCTGCTTTTCAAGAGCAGTCTTGAGTCCCGTGAGCTCGTTTGTCAGTTCATCCTGTCTCTTGCTGAAACTGGCTTGCATGGCACATCGCGAGGTTTCGAGTCGTTCGATATAAAATGCATGATTCTTGTTTCGAAGCTGTTCCTCTCGCACTTTTGTTTTTTCTTGAGCAAGCTTGTCTTGCAACACATCAGATCGAGCTGATTCTGCTTTGATTTCGCCGATTTCGCTCTTCAGAATGCTGACCTGCTTGACAGCCGAGTCACAATCAGACAGCATTTTCTCTACATCAGTCCTGGATGCTGCTCTGAGTGTGTCGAGAGCTTTCAGTTCCTGGAAGGATACATCGAAGCTCTCTTTCAACTCTGCATAGTCCTTGGCAATGTCCTGAGCCCATCCTTTGAGCTTGATGTACTTGTCTTTGAATGCTCGAAGTTCTGCCTCGTGAACATGGTTCTCTTTGACGCTAGCATGCCACTTGCTGACAGTATCATGTAACTCTTGTTGACCCTCGGCGTTAGCAATCTTGAGTTGCTCGTTCTCGGATACTGCAAGTCGATATGATTTGAGTAATTGAGCACTAGATTCGGCCTGTTGTCGTCGTCTGCGGAACAACAACAACGTTATATCCTCTTCTGATAATGAGGTTGAGGATGGGCCGTTCATTGAGGGTGACGAATTACATACAGATGGTCTGCGTGGGACCTTCCTGACCTTTGAGTCTCTGTTCTGAGGCTTCAATACAGACTGTGGTGGACTTTGTGGTCTTCGCTGAGGTGTGCCTAGACATGAAGTGTCCTTGGATGGTATTCTTGAGCTAACACGAAAGTTCCATGGCCTGAAATTCATCATGTCTAGGCGAGGATCTGATGCGGATGTCTGTTGGCTGCCGAACTGAGTGGCACCACCACATGACCCTTCGAATTGTTGGTCAGTAGGCTCAGCCTGTGGTGTGCCATCAGCATGACTGGGATACTCTATAGATGGTGCTCCTGCTTCTTCAGCTGGCTCGGCGATCGATAAATTCTCGACATCAGGTTCGTCTGCAGCCAGTGGAGCTGCCGTGGTTGCCTCAGCTGCAACTAGGTCGTGTTCTTGACTAGTGATTGTGACCGAGGGTTCGTGGGCTTCGTGAGCTTCGTGTCTAAGACAGCATGTGAGTTCTGGTATGCATTGAAGTTGATGGCTTACTTGTCAAACCTTAAAGGGCTTGTTTCGTCTCGCCGCTCAGGTAGAGTTTCAGACTTATCGTTGTTGACCGAATTGCAACGTGCGAGCAAGGCTGGAACCATCGGGTCTGACTGATGCCCGACATTTCTAGGCATGTTCAATGACAAAAAATTGAAACCTGTATGGTTCATATGGTCTTCTAACGATTCAAGGTTGTATGCAGCTCTCTGCCGAACAACACTATGCACGGTGGAGGAGGCAGTAGTCTCTGGCAGATTGGCAACAGCATGGCCTCCAGGAATGTGCTCATATGGCTCATCGGAAAAAATCAAAGCATTGTTCTCGTCAATGTTATACTCTCCGTTGCCTGGAGTTTCATTCCAGTTCTCATGGTCCTCGTTTGGATTGTCGGCCATATTGCAAGATCTTAGAGTATTAAATCCTTGTCACAAATGCAAGCAAAGGAGGGGAGCTCGACGACGAAAGCCAGTAAGCTGAAACAGATGGGAGTATGGAAGTCTGGGTCCAGGAAGGTAATTCACGCCTGCCATGAGCCATTATTCTCTGGAGGGCAAGCACGCCTCAACCCCCATCGTAGTTACCTCGATCACAATTGAAGTTCGACTCCACGACTGCGCAGTTCCAGCCAGCGACAATGATCATAGGTCTGCGAGATCTTCGGGGTATGGGTATAGAAGCAATCGAGACCACGTTGCAAGCTCTTCACCTATCGAGCGCATTATTATCTGCTGGTCAGGAAGCGTGTGCCAGATCTCTCGGTCAAACACGTCAAGGTGTAGCGAGCAGAAACGAAGCCTAAGGGCATTATGAAGGCGAAGTCAAATTCGTGACTGGGGGAAATGAGTGAGATCAGCTCGTCGGCGACACTCAACTTGTCCTTGGCGCCTAATAAAGTTGTATTCAAAACTTCCGATCAACCATAATTGTCGAGACGCATTCCGCATGTTATTCGGCTTTCTTCTCAGACAGACTACCATGGTCAGGACACGGACGGAGACGTTCATGTACGGCTTGCTGCATTTTTTTTTTGGTAGAGCTACTGTCCCAAGTCTTTTCTTAATCGAGACAGGGGTGTGCAGTGCGATAGGTAAATGGCACTAGAATTTATACCTAGCTATTTGTGATCAAAACCAAAAGTTCTAGGAGCCTTCATTTACTTAGATACTGGCCTATCCGCATCGAGTAGTTTGTGCTCCCCGAGAACATGCTCGCCCAAGACAATGTTTGACCAAATTAAAGACGCTCGACATTCTGACGCGGTTCACATCATCACTCCATTCGAATGGCCGCCATTGATGTCATGTCCCTCGCCATTAACAATCACCGAGCTGATCGATGGTCTTCTCGAGGTTACAGCATCAAGCATGCCTGCACTAGCAGCCATGAAGCCCAGATATGGTGGACTGGGTCTCAGCACGCGACTCAGATATTCGGGGTGGAACTGCACACCCACAAAGTAAGGATGATCTTTCAGTTCCACAACTTCCATTCGCTCTGCCTTGTCATCCTTGCCAATAAAATTCAGGCCTGCTGCGCTGAGCTTGTCAATGTAAGCAGGATTCACCTCATACCTGTGTCGATGTCGTTCGTTGATCACTGGAGCGCCACCATACATTTTCCGTAACTTCGACCATTCTGAACCGTCCTGAAACAATGTTGGCCGTAATCCTAGTCGCATGTTTCCACCCATGGTCTTCGTGTCGATTTCAGGCATGAAAATGACGAGCTTATTGTCGGACTGAGTATCAAACTCCTCGGAAGTCGCATCCTTGAGCCCTAATTTACTCCTTGCGTACTCGATAACAGCAATCTGCATGCCTAAACATATACCGAGGTAGGGCTTTGGCTTAGTTCGAGCCCACTGGGCAGCCTTGATCATACCTTCTGTGCCTCTGGTACCAAAGCCACCAGGGACCAGGACACCGTCAGCAGTGCATAGCTGATGCCATGCCTTGTGGTAATTTTCTGGATGCGCATCAAGCGTTGCTTGCTCGAGCTCTGAAGCGTCTATCCATCTCAAATCGAGTTTCCGGTGGATTGCCATTGCACTGTGTTCCAAAGATTTGATAACAGACAAGTAGCTGTCATGCAAGTTCGTGTACTTTCCCACCAGAGCGATGGAGACTTTGTCTGTCTCTAGATATCGTTCTTGAGAAGTGGTTAGCGTTTTCCACGAGCTCCATATCTTCTGACCCTTGTCTACCAGAGACTGGGGTATTTGTGAATCTTGTAAACGAAACAAGCTAGAAAGTTGTTTGACAAACCCTTGCTTCTCGAGTAGCAAAGGTACATGGTAGGTCGAATGGACATCATGCACTGCCACTACCTGCTCTGATTCAACCTGGCAAAACATTGCCACTTTGTTGATGGTAGATTCCTGTAATGGTTCGCTGCATCTGCAAGCAATCTGATCGAGGTCAGCATAAACTCTCAGAAAGTGACGCGTGGTGTATTACCAAGTCAGGAGCCAAACCAGCAGCTCTGACATCTCTGATAGCTTGCTGCGTTGGCTTTGTCTTCTGCTCACCACTTATAACAGGTACCAGCGACACATGTATTTGTAGGAAATTATCCCGTCCGGCTCTTCTTCGTAATTGTCGCATTGCTTCAACGAAAGGAGCGCTTTCAATGTCACCTACCGTGCCACCTAGCTCGATTATGCAAGCATCGGGCTCTTCGCCTGTGTCATCCACAGGCACCTTTGCAACATTCTCGATCCAGTCTTGTATCGCATTGGTCAAGTGAGGCACAATCTGAACTGTTCGACCTAGGTAGTCACCTTTGCGTTCCTTATTTATCACATGCTGATAAATTTTGCCGGTGGTAATATTGTTATTGTGCGTCAGAGTAATGTTTAGATATCGTTCGTAGTTGCCAAGGTCGAGGTCGACCTCACCACCATCATCAAGGACGAAACACTCACCGTGCCTGTTCACAACAGTTAGACAGACACATGCAGAAGTTGGAAAAGAATTACTCCGTCGGTGCCATGGTTCCGGCATCAATATTGAGGTATGGATCGATCTTGATGGAGGAAACGTGCTCCTATTGTTAGCACATTTTTTTAGTGTCTCGGGCATTACATATCTTCAAACCAATTGTCTTCAGTAGCAGCCCTGTTGAAGAGGCTGTATAGATGTCAGACTTAATATGAGCCTTCACCAATACAAAACATACCTATTACGCCCTTTCCAATGCCGCTTATGACACCCACGATAAGTTAGTCAAGGTTCCGAGAGTCGGAATTTTGTGCCTTACCTCCTGATACAAGTACGTACTTCATGTCGACAACTGATCTGACAAAGACGATGTTACAATAGGACCAATTGCATAGACATCGTCCTGGCCAAAGCCAGGCGGGAAGAATCAAAAACAGAAGCCGTAGTGCCTGCAAAATTTCGAGTTTAGTGACTCGACGCGTTGAACACGCGCCTACGTCAAGGACCCACCTGGTATTAGTTTACAGAGCATGTGAAATTTCACGTTCGAAGAAACACGTTGTATTGCGAACGACGGTTGAGTAAATGTTTGAGTAGACTGAATTGCTTCATGTGCCTAAAAATCTATTTCTTAAGTGCCGATACTAGAGCCTCAACGGTCTTCTGCAAGATCGTTATCTGTCGTGTCTGCTGTGCGATCACGGTCTTCATGTTCCGCATCTCTCGCTCCAACGAAGCGATGCTTGTAGCTTCATTGGTGCCGGCTGACGATGTCTGGACATCCTCGTCCAGTTCGCTCGCCGTAGAAGTTGTTTGTGGCTGTAGATCAATCTGTTCTTCCTGCTTCTGGGTCGTTGACGTTGGAGTCGTATCCTTTTTGGGCGGCAGTGCACCTTCGACCTTGACAGTTGATGGTGTTTCGGCGGACACGGATTCTTTGACCACATCTTCTGGTACAGATTTGGTGGCTGGTCGTTGTGCTGGTTTTGATATTTCCTCAAACTCCGACTCCTCATCTTCCTCTTCAGTCGGCTCAGTATCTGCGAATCTGTCCACCATTGAGCTCATAGACGCGCCCTGCTCCTTCATGGACGCTGGCGGAGCTTTAGATGCTACTGACGGAGGTTCAACTACCACAGGTTCTTCCTGTTTCTTGGTAGCGGTTGGTGCAGGTTCTGCTTTTGGAGCAGGCCTTGCAGCAGGCTTGATTTCGTCCTGTGGAACTTCCTTTATTCCTTGACCATCGAACAAGCTCTCCATCGATATCTTTGGCGGCAAGCCTTCCGATCCCTCGAACCATTCTTTACCGCTTACTGCTGGCTTCAGACCAACCGTAGGCGGGTAGATGTCTTCTTGAAATGCTTCAGCTCGTCTCGGCACGATGAAAGAAACTGGTTCGATGTGGCTGTCGTTCACCGTCTTGTAAGCTCGCATAACCTCGTTTTCATGCGTGTTGACACCTCTTTTCGGCACAAAGGCGATTCCCCTCTGCGGGTCGGCAGATTTGTACTCGGACAGATACTCAAAGTTGTCGTTCTCGAATTCGTAGTAGCGAATATTGCCGTCACCTTTACCAGCAAGGTACAGACATTGAGTTCCATCGTCCCAGAACGGAACACAGACACCTGATATAGAGTCGAGCATCTGGAAACCACCGACTGGCTCACGGTAGGCCTTGATATCCCACAAGGCGAGCTGTCTGTCGCTCATCCTCGAGAAGCCTGTAGTCGCTATGCGATCGTGCTCGCCCATCCATACTGCTCTGCTGTTTTTTGCACCTGCGTGACCTGCGGTTTCTACAACAGGCTTCTCTTGTCTAGCATCCCATATTCTTAGCTTTTTGTCTCGGGATGTGGTAACAAGTAGAGATCCGTTCGCACTCCAGGACATTGATTGGATGACTTCGCCGACTTTCAGACTCAATTTTGCAGTACCAGCTTCTATGTCCCATAATTTGATCGTGAAATCACCGGATGAAGAGGCTAGCACATTCTCGGCAGCAGGATTAAAGAGTACGTGGCCGACTTTTCTGCAACAAGGTCAGTGTGTGTTCAACGATTGAAATTGCTCCTCCCACCTCGGGTGTCCAGAAAGCTTGCCAACGGGTGCAACGTCTTCGATCTCGTCTGGCTTAACATCCGGGTGTAGTGTAAAGTTCTCCGGCACGCGCCATAAAAAGACCTTTCCGTCATCAGACCCCGAAGCTAGCAGCGAATCGTTGAAAGGGTTCCTGTGTCGTTCAGTATCCCTCATCAGCAACAGCCCAGTAACCTACCAGTCAGTGTCAAGTACCACTGCAGTATGGCCTCTGAACAGCGGTATCCTATCTGGCACGCGTCCTCTTTCTTCGACTGGTATGACAGCAAACGCGCCGCCTCCGCTTGCTTCCCAGTTAACGGAGATATACTCTGGGTTGGCCTGGGATATTGTTAGGTATTGCGGTAGAAAGACGGACCGCAACGGCGTACTTTAACCAAATTAGAGTCCCAGGCGTTCTTTGAGATTCTCAAATTGTCGTAGCATTGCTCCTACACATGATTAGTACATCAGCGGCTTTGACCTGGCTTGTCTGGCATACCTTGCGAGTAGGGCGACCGAAAACATGGCGATACTTGGACGATCGCACAAAGCGTCCAGCCATGGTTCTTGTGCTCTAGTCGTGCATGAAAGGGTAGTCTATGTGTGGGTGAGGAAGGAGCACACGAGCATGCTGCGTGTTTGCCCAGTACTAGCAGGCGGTCGGCCAGGCCAGCATCATCTGTTTTCCGCGAGCCGGATGTTTTCACCTTTGGCCGGGCATCCTGATGTCTTGGCACTGCTGCGCCCTCGGCGTGACCAAAGCCACCTCCCTTTCAACCGTAGACATGACCTGAACAGAACGAAAGTGAACTGTATCACCATTCATGTCAATATCGATCAAGCGTAGCGGAGCAAAAGTGGTGTTGCCGGAAGTTTTCGATCACCATGGCGCACAAGTCATGAACATTTTTGACAAATTACATTCTACGTCAAAGCCTGTAATGAGCAACTCGGCATCATTGCGATGCAAGACCCGGCTAAATCTGAGCTCTTAGAGCTTGCTCTTTGGCCATTTTCGAGTTTGAAGACTGCCGACAAGCTGGTAAGTATGACCCTCCTTCTGGCATCGACTATATTGTTGATGCCTGTGAGCCTGGTTGTGCTTCAACTGCCAGTCCCCACCTTCCTCTACTGCAAACTCAAAAGAAATCTCCATTCCACGTGCACGCGTTCTGTTCGTTACCTCCAATCAGAACGAAACAATGATAGCCGATCGTCCTTTTGCTTGCTGCCTCGCGTTACAGTAACCCTTACCATTGAGTGTTGGTATCAACAGTTGTACGCTCACTTCTTTTCTGATGATCAGAACGCGGCTGGTGTGTTTCAGGCTAGAATTAATCACGGCTTAGATCTAGTGAAATGATGCGACACTATTGATAGGGTCCGAGTACGTGCCGCTCAACTGGTTGACAAACTTGTGGACAATCTGACAGAAGCTTTTCTCTGTCTTTGACTGTGGTAAAATGGAAGCGCAGCAGAGCCCTGTTGGGGGAGTGCCTGCACGTGCTGATGATGGGAACGCTGGAACGTTACGAGTGAAGCGGAGAAACCGAGTGATCAACTCGTGTCTGGAATGCAGGAGGCGTAAGTTGAAATGCGACAAATTGCAACCTTGCTGTACCAATTGCAGCAAATTCTCAAGAGACTGTATGTTCCTGGCTCCTACACTTGATTTGGTGTCTAAGAAGAAATTGAATGAAATCAAAGAAAAGATGGGTTCGCTAGAGCGGACGCTCGAAGAGAACGTTGCCAGACGGGGCTCAGACACCAAGAAAGACAGACGTACATCGGCTGCTGACTTGCCAGGTGAAGGAAGTGAGTCTGAGGATGATCCCGTGCCAGAGGACGAAAAAGGACTTGAAGCCACACCCCTGGCGACTGTCGACGCTATCTATGGAGAAAACGACGACACCAATGACGATATTCTAGACCTCGGGTTTCGCGTTGGCAAATTTCGCATGACTGAACGTCTAGGTGGATTATTCCGGCCGAAATTGTCTGAAGAAATGGTCTTTGCTTTGGTTCGAGACAACAAGCGTGGAACTGAACCGGAGGCACCTCTTAAGGACGATGAAAGCACCTTCCTAGAACCTGGACCTACTTATATTGCACCTGGATCGGGTTTCATGTTCGGCAACACAGGTGTTCGAAACAATATTACCAGCTTCTTGCCAACCAGAGTGGTTGCTGATCTGCTTATGAAGCGTTATCACACGAATTGTCACTTTGTTGCTAGAGTTGTACATTGGCCAACCTTTCAGAATCAGTATGAGACTTTTTGGGCCTCTATCCATGCAGGGACCCTGCCGCCTCCATCCCTACAGGCCCTATTTTTCTCTGCCTGTTTCTCAGCAGTAGCGAGTATGTCACACTCCGAGATAGATTCAGTTTTCCATCAACCTCAACGTCAAGTGCTGACCAATTTCCAACAAGCGACTGAGATAGCTCTTGCCAACGGTCACTTCCTCCGGACAACAAAATTTGAGACGTTGCAAGGACTAATCATCTATCTCGTACCTATGTGCCGGGGTGAAATATCTCGGGCTCATTCTGTTTTGGTCGGCGCTGCTATTCGTCTGGGCGAATGCTTCAGTCTTCATCGCGACCCAGTGGAGGCGTTTGGATATCCACCTATTGAGGCGCATGTTCGACGTCTTGCATGGTTTCAGTTGTGCTTTCTTGATTTTCGAACAGTTGAGGCGCAGGGGCCAAGACCTCACGTCAAGCGCGAGGATTACGATACCAAGATGCCATGGAACATCGACGATGATGAGCTGATTGCATTGCAGCCTACGACAAGTAATCCTGTGGTTCAGTTACAGGAGAAAGAAGGACAGTGGACTGACGTGACGTTGAGCAAAATTCGTTTTGAATGCGCTGAGATGCAACGCATCGTCTGGCACGATCGCATCCGCCTCGATAAAGGCAAGGTCAGCATCACCTACTGTCTGAGTAAGATTGAGTCGTTCAAGAACGCGATGGAGGCCAAGTACAAATGGCTTGATGTAGCGATAGCTATACAACACTACGCCAGGATCTTACTTGACTTGTTGCTGCTACGAATGCATATAATGATTCTTCACAAGTTTCATAATGCAACAACCACACGGATACCTGACCGGCTGCGGCAGATTATCATTAACTCTGGCACTAAACTCAGTGAGTCGGCTGTAAAACTGGATATTGATCCCAAATTCAATTGCTTCAAATGGTATAGCAGCGCATTGCAGCAATGGCATACAGCATTCCTCCTAATAATTGAGGTATTCATATTCCCAAATCGCAAGGAAGCAGACAGGATATGGAGTGTTATAGACCATGTTTTCGAACCAGATTTGACTTTGACTCGAGTCCAGAAAGCTCGGAGCATTTTAGGTGCAGTTCGAGATCGTGCCGCAGCTTATCGGGATTTGAGGAAGATGAAGGAACCGCTTAGCATGCAGAATAGACTCAACACCAATTTGCCGCCCCGCGCACGGATTAGAGGGCCAGACATGATATTGCCTGCAGGTGGACAAGCCAGACAGAGAGTCGGGACTGAGGTACAAGCTGGCTACAGCAACAAGGACCTGGAAGGCCTGAAGACGAGCACATCGGATTCACATGTACAGACACCAGTACCTGGTCAGGTAGGCACAACAAATACAGCATCGTCGAGTGACTGGAACTTTGACACACCAAACACGCTGTTCGTACGCAATCATGAGTCACCGACAACGATTCCAAGTCGACCCGGCATGTCCGCGAAAGCCTCTCCATCATACAATGGAATCCAATATTCTGGCGATCCTAGTCCATCGAACTCGTCTCATCACACCGATGCGTGGCCTCCGAGCGTCACGGCTGTCCAACAAGCAACATACCTCTACCACCAGAATTCAAGTTCTGTTTCACCTGCCCAATTTCAGATGTCTCCACCGCAGACAAGTCGTTCTTCCCCACCACTGTATGGAAATTCTGCAATGGGCCTAATGTCTGGCACATACATGCCTCAAAAGCAGCTTGACCCAGCCCGAACACGCGACATAGCGTCACAAGAAAGCGGTCCACAAGATGGGACATCTCGGCTTGCCATGATGGGCACGGTAGGCTCAGGTATATTGCCAAATAATACATGGAGCTCGGCACAGGTGTTTCAAAACATTCAGGATGTGCCTATGCTGGATATCGACTGGACTGAATGGGACAAGCTATTTCCAATCGAGATGAATAATGGGGAGTTGGACATGCCAACGACAAACACAGAAGTGGACACCGTATATTAGACGATGGAGCCTGGACATTTCTTCACGGAATAGACTCAATTTCACAATCGGCTTCGTCTTCATGCTTCGACAAAGGTTGTAGGAAGAGGAGATACTTCGAGTCTGCTCTTGCTCGTCAATGGGGCCCAAAAGGATTGCAAGCCGTTGAGTTGACTGGTAAACAACCAGGTCTGAACACACATGTCCACTAATATCTTCCATTTCACTCTATGCATCGCAGTGACCCAACAATTGACAATGATCATACACGATTAGAGTACTCTTAGGTTGTGGCGGCGTGCTCCGATTTCTTTTGGGTCTAATATCTCCACTTCGACCAGACAGTGCATATCAGCCCATGGCGATCGAGCAGATACCGTATACAGCAGGTGCGATTGCAAATTTAGCGCATTGTGGAATGGTCTTCACATTCACTTGCTCCCTTAAGCAGGAAAGACTGCTGTATCGAGCAGAGCACTAGAGGGGCATGACGAGCCTGACATTTTCGAACTGGATCGTGTGCTTAGTCGATACAGGGAAGAGCAGGAAGCGGACTGCGTGATAACTGAGCTGATTGTCAAGGCTTCCCATCTTTGCTGCAATGTTACAAGAGCGAATCTTGCCTTCAGAATGGTTCTTTCGAGGACAGCGAAGCCATTGACGAGTCAAAGAGTTGCTAGCATCATAACAAACACAGATTATATGACTTCTGAATCGAGGAGAAACGAGTAAGCTATATTGCGTATATTCGTGCAACCAAAACGCGGAGTGTCCTAAAATCAGTTCTTCAGTGTATTGAATGTCATTCGACTGTGTTTGTATGCCGTGTGTATTCCGACTGCAATACTCTCTCCTTTGTCACCGGCTTCCTACCGGCCCTAGCACGTACTCAGCAGATGTCCCAGTATTGATCGTCTGTCCAGGATCCACTCCCTTGCCCTTCCCATGCTCTCTGGAGTCTATCGAAATTGTGTCGATTGGTTCTGCGGTGACCTGAACCGTTCTACTTGCTTTTTCGGCGACATACCGAGCCTCCACTACCTTGTCGAGCTCTTCCTTCGTTATTTCCGCGGCTGCTGTTGAGGGTTGTGGTTCGCTGCTACGCTTTTGTATTCTCCTTCTTCGACTGATGAACCAAGTTGTGAAGGCTCCGAAGAGGAGGAACGCGACCACGCCAATCACTATACCTGCGATATGTCCAGCTCTTAAGTTCGAAGACATTGTCGTGGAGGACAGAGGTGGTAAGTAACCTTTGCGTCGGCTATTTGCGGTGTAGGTATTGTGTCTCAACCATCGGCAAACGACTCGTACTGGGCTGTCCTCTGTCGAGATCGAGTCGGGGGAGAATCGTGTTTGGGTTTCAATCCGGGGATGTTATAGTCGACCCTTGAGCGGTGTAGTTTGACAGCTAAATCATGACTCGCAATTTTGTGGTTTCACTATCTAGCACAGTACTTGAGGACGCAATGGATGTCATGCTCTTGATAGGCATAGTCAGGACTGGTCCGTATTCGCAAAGGGATAGACGATCTGATCAACAAGCAGCCGGAACGCGTACCCTGGTTCATTGGCAGACTTGGCAAACCAGAGCGGAAATACATGTTAACTACCAAGGATCGTCTTTTTTGATCCCATGGACCTTCGCCTGGTTCCATGTAAGTCAAAGATCTGAACATAGTCAATTCGCAATGCACAGGGCCATTAGCCTGACAAGGCTGCAAAGTGTGTCTGGTTGCTAGTGTACGGCAGAAAAGTTACTTCACGAAAGTCAGCATGCTTCCACTCGCTTCGTAAAGTCCCAACTCGTGACTGCCTGTATCTTGGAACTCTGTTCCAATCGGGCCATTCATCCCTTCCCCAATCAGTATCTTTCGCTCTCCAAGCCTCAACCAACCAAAGCACAACGTGAAATCAGCTTGCATTCTCACTCAACCTATATCGATCATGCGGTCCTGGGCGACTGACCTCATACGAGCCTATACGATGTGACGATAACTACATAGCGGCAAGCCGCTCATTCACCACAATCGCCAACTAGTGATAATCGATGCTTATCCATCGAGCTGAAATTGTCTATGTTCAAGTCATGCAAGTGTAGCATCTTTCACAGGTCTTCATCACAATATTGCTACAACTTCATTACCAGGGTTGCCAACCATGACGACAATGCTGGGGAGTCGATCAAAGTTTTTGCAGAAATCGAAATCATCGAATCCTGTCGTACAGCGCTACCTGCCTACACCATCCACTCCAATTATCCCGGATATGATCATTCCGAATCTCTATCTGTGTGATATGGGCACAGCTCGAGGCGTGTTGCTGCCCACGTATCCTGGTCAAGGACGACCAGTTATTAGATATGTCCTGAGCGTTCTCGATAACAGCATCTCTCAACCAAAGCCAAAGCCAGTGAACATGGACAAGTTCGTACAAAAGCTCATCATTATGGACGACACGATAGACGCAAACTTACTGCCTAAGTTGGGCGAGGCATGTGATTGGATCGATGAGATGATGAGCAAGGCTGACGGCGGAGTCTTGGTGCATTGTCAGCTAGGACAGTCCCGAAGCGCAAGTGTTGTGATCGCATACCTGATGCGGAAGCAGAATATGGACTACCAGACAGCTCTGTCTAAGGTCAAATACAGGAGAAGTATCGTTCGGCCTAATCCTGGCTTTCAGACGCAGCTTCAAATGTGGCATCAGATGGGCTGTGACATCTTTGAGCCTGACCCGCAAACCACCGGCCAGTTGAGGCAAAAGGAGCAGTATTCGCAATGGAAAGAGGAACAGAGGCTGCGAATACATAAGAGCATGACATTTTGAAGCACCGTGCTGCAAGTATTGCCATATCCTGTTTGCTGGCAGAGTGGATCGAGTCATGTTTCCCCTTTGAGCACGTGCTGACACCTTTACGCTTCTATCTGCATAATCGCAAGTCTTTTCTTTGGAATGTCATTACCCGAAGGGTTTTCAATCTCCCAAAAGCCTTTGCTCTTCTCGGCAAGGCCTGCATGACAAGGACAGCCTCGGACGGATTCATAGAGCCCATTCAAGACGTCACTGGCACCCGCTTGAATCAACGCACCTACATCAAAGTCTTCTGGCAGAGACGGCGGGGAACGTGGCCCCTCGTCCTCATCTTCGGGCCCACCCTCATCTGATACCATCCTTGGTGGCATTTCAGAGGCAGAAGCAAAGCGCGTCAATCCAAGGCCAGCTTCAGCATCCTCGTCCACCGCGGTATCATCCTCGTCATCGGCCGCAAGCCTTTCTCTTGCCGCGTCTTGTCGTGGCGTAGCCAACGCTTCCTTGCTCTCCACGAGACGCTCCTTCTTGCTCGCTATTGGAGCTTCAGAATCTTGCGTCTCCTCGATTTCCGCAACCCGATATAGCGCCTTGTCAAGGAGAAATGCATGCCCAAGTAGAAAGCGTAGATTACGGTCTGGATGACGCGCTGACATGTTCAGCTTACATTGAGCACTATGGGCGAGTGCAAAAGTCTGGTGGTCGGTGAGTTTGCTGGAATTTGCAGGCATAATGAAGATAGTGAAATTGTATTTGTTTTCAGGAGGTTCGATCTTGATAATGCTACAGAGGGCGATCGTGCTGGTTCTACAATCCTGTGTCCTTGTCGATGGGAGAATTGAGCGAGGGTGCCCAGTGGATATGGCAAGGCGTGCCACTTATCGTGAACTGATTCGAATCAGTTCTCAGCTTACTTGACACAAATCTTAGGTGGCTGCTCGATCAGTACAAATACGCCCTTAATTATCTAGATCGTTTGAGTCAATGAAGCCAATGGATTCGGAGAGAATAAAGAACACAATCCCATTATTTGGGCAGTCCAGAATCGCATATGCATGACCGAAAACATTCCAAGACTGGCGACTCTGGGCATGCGGGAGTCGCGATGCGTTTCCTTATCCTGTGCTTTTCTTTACGTGTCCTATCATCCTTCACGTAGCTCAAAACAGAGCTTACGTTATCTTTCGAGGAAGCTCAAGATGATAACATGCAGCACTTACGACATTGACTGAGCTCAAGGAGGTCTCATGATAGGTATTGAAATGCTTTTGAGGCTAGCAAATAACTTCTTTATGGCTTGATTCCATGAGAAGCTGCCAGGTCGTCTCCTTTCCCATATCTGAGACAACTCGCCAGACAGAGAGATCGAAGCACAGTGCTAGATTACATTTTTGCCATGGACAAGGCCTCGTCGATGCGTCGGCTTTTTCTTTGTGGTCTAGGCCACATCATCGACCCAACTCAGCTCGATGGATGAGTAAGAAGTTCGAGGGAGTGGGTTGATCCTCTAGCTCTATGGCAATGACGTAATAGAAGTTGTTGGAGAGAAACACCGAAGAGGTACAAATTTCGTCTGGAAAGTCATCAGCAGAGCTTCATTGGAATGCACATGCTGCAGGTGGGCTGATTGACTCCGTCTGCTATGAATTGCGTCGCCAGAAGATTTCGTCTTGCTCCAAGCACTTCATTTTCACGTTTCTATACATACAAACCTCAACGCGTCACCAGCTTGCAAAGAAGCACTGAAGACCTCTACCCGATCAGACAGAGCTCTAGAATACAAAGAGCTAAATTCTCTACCACGATGTCGTTCAAAACTCCTTCGGAAGATCCTCCAAAGCATGAGATGGCCTATTTCCCTGACATGACCACGTCCTTGCCGAGCACTTCAGGAAAGTTTCGACGAGTGCTATGGACAGGATTGTACTCGCAGCTAGTACTGATGACAGTACCTGTTGGTGGTGATATTGGAGATGAGGTCAGCTGTCAACGTGCGTTGAACGAACAGTACTGATGTTTGACTCAGGTACATACCGTCGATCAGATCCTCACCTTTACCTCTGGAATAGGCAAGGCCACAATCGCAGGAAAGGATCAAGATGTCAAGGCAGGAGACTTGATCATCGTCCCAGCTGGCACTCAGCACCAGTTTGTGAATACCGGCCCTACACCACTCATCCTATATACAGTGTACAGCCCTGCTGAGCACAAGCCAACCTCCGTCCACGACACGAAGGAACAGGGTGACAAGGAGGAAGAAGATGGCATTGATGAGGCCCCAGAATGGTCGCAGCGAAGCAAACAGGAGAACGAGAAGCTCGGGCTTGTCAAGGCAGAAGAACACTAGACATTGCGCCTCTTGTGCTAGCAACACTGAATAGACAATTCAACCGAAACTTTATTGCGTCTCTTGACCAGTGCCTGCGGAGATTACGTGTGGTAATTCCAGATGCATGTTGCTTGTTTCACTTTTTCTTCTTCCCTACAACCTTCGTGAAACCATCCTCATCGATTTCAGGTTCCGGTTTCTTTTGCGGTGGTATTGGTGGCGCATCTCCCATATGGACATCTGGAGTGTCTTTGAAACCATTCCAGGTCTCTGCCTCGTCCACGTCGTCCTCGTCTTCATCGGTTTCCTGATCGACTTCCGGCCCTTGCGTGAGTTGTATCCTCTGTTTCTTCTTTTGCCTCTCTTCCCATAATCCCATTAGTTGAGTGACTTCAGTGGTATCACCCTGCAGTAATCTTGCCCGGCCAGCCCAGATATTTCTTGCGATCTCTTCTAAAGAGCCATCGTCGACCACGACTTCGAACTCGTCACTCATTACCTGCTCTAGCACGTCCTCGACGTCTTCGACATCGCGCAGCTGGCTTTGCGCAAACATATCTGACAATGACCCGGCCAGCCAGGCACGCTTATCCTCACCTACTTCGGGCGATGAAGTTCCCCAGCCATTTTGAATAGCTGCTGTCAGTGCAGGCCATAGGTGGAGATGTAACGCTATTAGGTTGTCGATTTGTGTAGGTATGTCGGCCTCGTCGAGTTTGGCGGTGCTTAGTTGCGGCGCGGGACCTCCGGCTGTATTCATCGTTGTTATTTTGCAATCAACGAGTCTTGATGCTGGCGGCGAACAAAAGTTCACGGTTCACAAAATTCCCATGCGCATGAGGCTCAAAGTGGATCATGCTTGGCCTACGTTCGTGCTGAATGTGCAGTGGTTCTCCGGGCCTATGACCGCCGGGACCTCGGGCGTCCTACCCCGAAGATCTTTTCGCACAATTAAACGAAGCACGATGGTTGTCTATTGTTGACACGACGTAGAATATAGCTTGACACAAGCCATGGCGCAGTGTCAACGTGGACAATATCTTTTATGAGAAGAGAATCCACTCTAATGTCTTGAAACACAGCTTAGGTCAGTGAAGGCGGATACTTTCCTGGACGTGCACATCTTGCCGAGTGATAACCTTCACTGTCTGGTTTTTGCGTTTTTTCTTTAAAACATGCTATTTCTCAACTACAAGCCCTCAAAGCCTTCGTGAATATATCGTAAAGATGGGAGCAGACCAGACCAATGGTCAGCCAGCCGCGCCAATGGCCAATCCTGATGACCGTGCTGCTTTGGCTTCTCGAGTTCTGCCAACCATGACCTTGTCAACAGCTGATAGTCCACTTACAAGACCACTCGAACCGACGTCTGCTTCTTCACCTTCTGAACGAGCACTAAATAGGTTTCAGGTTGAGGGCAATGCTGTTATCACAGGCGGTAGCGGCACTCTCGCTTATGCTGCAACACGAGCTCTGGTAGAGCATGGATGCTCCCAGGTCACTCTGATGGATCTACAGCCTTCAATCGAATCTGCTAAAGAGAAGATGGCTGAGTTAGAGAGAGACTTTCCTGATGTGAAAGTTCATGTGGTCACTGTCGATGTTACTGATCAGGAAGTTGCTGAAGCAGCGTTCCAGAAAGCTGCAGAGATTATGGGTGGAATAGACATTTTGTGTTGTTTCGCAGGAATTGTCGGTTGTGTCCATTCTATCTCGTCAACTGCAAAGGAATGGAGGAAAGTCATCGACGTGAATTTGACCGGTTCTTTCATTTGTGCACAAGCAGCGGCTAAGCATATGATTGCGAGCAAGAAAGGTGGCAGCATTATGTTCACGGCTTCCATCTCAGCACACCACGTCAACTACCCCCAACCTCAGGCAGCCTACAATGTCAGCAAGATTGGAGTTACTCATTTGACCAGAAACCTGGCTGCTGAATGGGCTGTGCATGGTATTCGAGTGAACTGCATATCTCCAGGTTATATGGATACAGTGCTCAATGATGGCGATAACCTCAAGGAGGTCCGAAACATCTGGGCTTCTCGATGTCCTATGGGCAGGATGGGTGACGTGGAGGAAATCACAGGTCCGGTCGTCCTACTGAATAGCAAAAGAGCCGGAAGATATATTACCGGCACTGATCTCATCGTTGATGGAGGTGCCATGTGCTTCTGAGGGCGACCACTACGACAGCACAGCAAAGTTACTTTCGAGAAACAAAACTAGTTCAATTCTTTCGAGAGTTGCCCGATGCCAGAGCAACGTTGTAATGCGCAATCAGCCTTGCTGTTCGTCGACTTTGTGTGACGACCTGCACTGCACTCTCGGGAAGTGGTGGTGGCCACGAGTATTCAGCACGATCCACCATTATGCACACAATCTATGCAAGGCATTTAACGAGCCTGAGAATGACGTATTAGCTTATGAATAAGGTGTTGCCCCAGATATTCGGGGATTTCGAAGTGGAACTCCTGTAATTGTTTATGTATGCAATGCATTGCGCAGTCACTGTAATCTGTGAGACCGAGCTTGTTGACACTTTGCCCTTCAAGCATCCAGCAACGTGCTCTCTCTCTTTCTTTGCTCGCTATTTCAACATCAAGACATGGTCTTCTGAAAGGATGCCAAAAACTGTCCTCGTCCACTCGCAACGCAATTGTCAGCCCCTTGTGCTACAACAGATACACTAGCACCACACAAATGCCTATAACGACGATCGGTATCGGTGCCGCTGTCACACCGACAGTCGTCAAGACAGCATTCTCTCACGTAGGCTGGATCCATGCTACCAGGATAAATAGAGAGCATACGTACTGACTCTTTAGTACACAAACCGAAAACCACGAGCACAGAAGCCCACGGCACATATATCTTATGATGAAGGCCTACACCTAATTCGTTCGTTCCTTCTATACGCATCACACCACACAGTCGAAGAAGTACAAGCATTTACAGGCCAGTGGGTACCGCATCCACGCTGGACACGTATTGAAGATGTTCCAATCCCTGCTGCATCAATAGACAAAGCTGCAGAGTTGCTTACTGCACAGCTAGGCGAGGATGGTATCCATGCGATCGGCGGCAAGAAGTGGTGGTTGTGGCGCCGTAAAGAAGCAGAATTGAAAGGAGAATGGATCGAGATGCGCTCCGACTATACAGCTCGCCAAAGGGAGAAGCGATCATGCAGACGCATTATGATGTACATTCATGGAGGCGGCTATTTCTTTGGCGGTGTCGACGAGCATCGATACCAGCTTCAGAGGCACGCCAGAAAGCTTCAAGCGCGAGTTTTCGCACCTAGGTATCGGCTCGCACCACAGTTTCCATTTCCTTGTGGTATGTTGGATTGTCTAGCGGCCTACATGTACTTGCTTACCACTCACGATTCAAGTGAGATCATCTTCGCCGGAGACTCAGCTGGGGGCGGAATGGCCTTGAGTCTATTGTGCTTGCTGAGGGATCAGAACATACCACTGCCAGCTGGGGCCATACTGATTTCACCTTGGGTGGACCTCACACACTCCTTTCCAAGTTTGAGTAGAAATGATGGATATGACTACATACCCGCCTATGGGTTTCACCAAAAACCCTCTCGATCCTGGCCACCACCAAACGAGGATGAGCTGCAAGAACTTTTGAAGGAAGCGACACACACTGCTGAACCAACAAGCGACTCTGATAATATTGAAAAACCATTACAGCACATTAACACTACCGAGGCTGCACGTTCAGCCAGGAAGATGCAACCACCCATTGCTCTACAGATAGACGGCCAGCGAGTCGTGCTAAAAGACCAAGTTCAGCTTTACACAACGAATCAGCTCATTACTCACCCTCTAGTGTCTCCAGTCTTGCAGCCTTCTCTTGGAGGACTTCCTCCTCTTTTCATTATGGTTGGTGGTGGAGAATTGCTTAGGGACGAACAAATATATGTTGGGCATAAGGCTGCTAACCCACAAGAATACAGATTGCCAGAACAATATCGCCAACTCCACGACCCCAGAGATGAGATTCTATCGAAATACAAGCCAACCCCAGTTCACCTACAAGTTTGGGACGACCTTTGTCATGTTACACCAACTCTCTCGTTCACACGACCTGCAAAGTACATGTATAGATCAATTGCTCAATTCGGAGCTTGGGCTCTATCTCGAGCTCAGAAACGTGCCATTGAGATCAATGAGGAACAGAGTTCCGAAGATTCTTCTAGCGAGGAGGACGCTGATCCGAAGGCGGCGTTCACGAACGAGAAGTCTACCTCAAACAGTCCTTATGCGTCGGTAGGTAAGGCAGGAGATCCACTTCCACCTTTCAAAAACAACATGATACGACAACGAGTGGACAGACACGGCGACGTATATCTGTTGCCACGGGCTTCAGATTTACCGGCTTTGCAGATGGATCCAGAACTGGTTGGTGTGATCAAGGAGGGTCCCATTCGTACCTGGCTCAGTGCAAAAGCACAGTGGGACAGTAGATATGCTTCGACGCGACGCAAGGTTCACAATCAACGACTAAATGATGTGCGTGCTGGCAGAGCACGATGTATAAAAGGCGAGGACCCACCTCCATCGGCCTTGGCAGGAAGGTTACATGACGCAGAAACGTACAGTGCAACCCAGAAACTGAAGAAGAGTTGGGGTCTTGGTGTATGGAGTTCGTGGAGCTGGAAGCACGATGAAAGATCTATGCAGAAGGACGACGAGCTTGAGAAGGAAGACAAGGAATACCCAAATGATGATATATCAGAGAAGAGGGACGTTCCTAGCACTCTGGTCGATGGGACTTCGTCAACTCAACATGAGAAATCCCGCAGTCGAAGCAGACGGAGATCATCGGCAACTAGACGGAAAACAGTGACTGTTCGTGACGAAGGCCAAACCGAGGGCGACGGTTCTGCATCACAATCGCCAGAGGCAACAATCGTGCGGGACGCGGACTCCACAACACCGACATTGACACTCGATCCAGCTGCTTTCGACTCGAGGACGGACACGGCGAGCTCTCAGCACTTGTCTCCATCATACGTCTCAAAATGGAAGCACAGCAATCATTTGAAGGACGAATCTAGAAGCTTCTCCGATGCAGCGAGTACCTACACACAAGCAAGCCATATGGTAGCCGACAATGCGAGCACCAGAGCAGTCTTCTCTGCAGCAGGCGTGAAACGAGATCTCTCCGCGGAAACTCCAACACCAACCCAGGAAAACAAACAATTCGATTTCAGATCCGCGACACCTTCAGGTCAGAGAGATAATCTAGGTGGTTACGACACTCCTCAGAGCAGGCGAAGTCTAGAGCGACTAAAGAGGCACGACACGGGATTGAGCGATGGACAGAGTGTGCATTCATCTATGCCAGCTTCAATGCTTGGTGTTGACGGCACAACTGATGCACGCTTGCAGACGTTTAGGAACCCCAGTTCTATGGCTGTCGTGCAAGCCGAAGGTGTCATTGAGCCTATCAAATCATCTGTCGAGAACGAAGGGAGCCCAACCGCTGGTACGGCGTCATCGTCTTCGTCGGAAGCATCAACGGCGCAGCGTGATGGAACCAACATTCCCGACCAGAACGCGACTGTAATGGGCGAACCTCACATCGACGGCGTCAAAGCACCAACCACTTCTCAAAGGCCAGGCCTCTACGAGAGAGACGCCTCTACCTTTGTGACGGCTAGAGAGAAATTATAGCACACTATCAACTATGTTTGGACAACAGTCACGAAGATTGAGAATAATACCAGAACCCCATAGAGCAACTTAGAATTAATTCACGACAAGACCAAACAAACCATGTACTACTTCTTCTTATAGACATGCTTCGCACATTCATTGCTTTCGAAACACGACCTCTTCGAATCAGTTGTAACGGTCTTCATCCCCTCTGCTTTGGCGAATTTAAGACAGTTCAGCTCGCGTTTTAGCTTATCTTCTTCCGAAGGTCTGTAGTCTATTTGGCGCTGCAGGGAGCTTATGACTATGTAGTCGTTGAGTTAGCTGACGACGTATCGGTTCATGTTATATTGTTATAGATAGGAGGCAATTGGGTGAAGTAGCTTGAATAGTGAGGGTGTGCTTGCTTGCCTTCTTCGATTGTCTGTTTTGGTGGTTTCTGCTTGGATGAGGAGTTTCCCATCATTCGTGAGTCTGATTGGAGTTTCTAGCATATATATATATATATATATAGGCGACCAATGTGTCGCAGAGAGATCACGCAATGCGCGAGGTGGGAGACTTACGCCGAATATTTTTTTGGGATGCAGCAGCCTGTGTAATTGGTTATTTCTGGGTTTCTTCAGAAACCCAAGGAAAGGACGACTATGGTTAGCCCCACCTGCCATAAGACGATCTTACTGTGAGATTGCTGCGAGCCAGCCGTGGGACATACTCGAGTATTGAAGACAAACTTGGAATGGGGATGATAGGTAACTCTGCAGAAGGTACTCGTCTTGTAGACCGGAATACCAGGCGAAGACTAAAGCGTGATCTAGGTTAATATTGAAAATTGCAGGAGATAAAATCTCTTATTGTTTACATACGTCAAGCCTCGAGCCAAAGCCCAATAACTTGAACGCCATTATTAAGTTAGACATATGCTAGTTAAGCGGAACCAGCGCCCGCACTAACGATATAACCACCATCGACGGCGACGTTCTGTCCTTGCAGATATTGGTTTGTGGCCGCGAAAAGAATAGCATTCGCCATATCCTCATCCTTGCCTGGTCGTCTAGCTGGAACCTTGTCTTCAAATTTCTCCTTTGGTAATTCACTCTTCTGGTCACTACCACTTTCTGAAGCAGTCATCTCACTTGGGAAGACACCAGGAGCGATGCCATTGATGCGTATCTTGAGACCGTTGTTGGCGATCTCACTTGATAGCAAGCTCGTTAGATGAATAGCGGCACCCTTTGAGGCGTTGTAGGCAAAGTGGTGCTGCGCTGTCTTGACAATACCGGAGATAGAAGTAATGTTGATGACCGTGGCAGAATAGCCTTTTTTGTGCTCTGAAGACTTCTGTAGAAGTGGTAGGAAAGCTGTGGTCATGAAGAAGATCTGTGCCACGTTCGTCCTGAAAGTGCTGTCCCACATATCGAAGGTTTCATTCTCGTCGTCGAAAAGGTTCTTACTCAGTTCCTCAGCAGTCTTAGCCTCAGTTTCCTGGGTGTTGATGCTGATACCGGCGTTGTTGATCAGAATATCAAGGTGGCTCTCTTTCCCGCTGATTTCTTGAACCAGTTTCTTGATAGAGGCTTTGTCGGACACATCTGCTGTAATTGGGATGATCTCGCCTGCGATGTTCTGGCCGTGTGTCTGAATGACGTTGTCAAGTTTTTCTTGAGTTCGGCCGACGATGTACACCTTTGCTCCATTGACTGCTAAAGCCTGTGTAGCCATCAGACCAATACCTGAACCTCCTCCAGTAATCAAGGCAACCTTGCCTTTTACTGAGAAGAGGTTCTCAAGCTTGAACACATCATTGTTGGTGTTCTGGGAACCCATCTTGCTAGGAGTGGACGTGAATTGACGTGAAATTTGCGAAAGTCTGCTGTGACCTGCCGTGATGCTCGGTATGCTTCGGATTGAGTACGAATGTACAGCTGTCGAAGGTCGAAGTTTACAGGCTTTGTTCGTGATCTGAAGTGCACTCCTAACTCGAGGCACTGAGAACATTGGATCAGCTAGATATAGGCACTTCTTGTGATGGAGAGCAAAATATTTGGAGTATCGTCATGAATGAGGACTTTTGTTACTCGCTCCCACCTTTCTGACGTGACGTTGCCATGATGAAACGACCTTGACGATCATTGCCCGGATAGTGGTCCGGCAGCAGGAGCTATACACGAACGTGGTGCGAAAATCAGGCACGTCTCCTTTAGAATCGTTCTAGAATTCTGGTCATGTCATACTGCATTCGCAAAAACGTTGTCCTCAAAAGTACTGCGGTGAAAATATTTGTTACAGCTGAACAGCAACGCAGACTGACGGAACAAAAGGAAGGTGCTTTCTGAGAGCCTCATGACATGTGATTGTGGTGCCTCAGTCAGGCGGCCACCATAGTCAGCTTCACGGGCAGAGTCGCGTTTTGACCGCGTGGACTGGTGCACAGCAATCAACCAACTATTCGAGAGACGAGGCCGAAACATGAAGAAACTGAAGTGAAGGAGACAGCGTCCCAATCAATATCCACAATGTCCTATGGCGCGCAGCCTCTTTCCTACGATACACCCGCGTTCCCTTCACTCTACTGGCCTTTCGACACCAATCCAGCCACACCCAAGTACCTCTATTCGCTCACTGACATCTGGCGGTTCACGCTCTACTGGACTCTATTGACGGTACCAACCGCACATATTCTCGTTGCAGGCTGGGCCGTCATCATGCAGTTCTCCACCGCCTATCAAAGACATCGCTTCCTTCATCATGCGCCTGAAGGAGTGGCCTTGAGCAAGAAGAACAAAAAGCTCCTTGGTGAGAAGCCCATATATGAGTGTCTCACCTGGGTTTGGCTTATCCCGCTTGTGTACGCGGTGATGGCAGGTACTCTGGCATTGCTGAGCGGCAGTGTTGTAGGACTGATTCTAGGAGCTATTTACAATGCGGGTTACTTCAGGATGAGTACCTGGACCCCTTTGTTTTGGGGAATGGTGAACATGCTTGTACTTATCTTGGGAGGTTTCAGAGTACAGGGTGGTCTGTGAACTGTTTTCTTACACGACTCTGAAGAGTCACAATACTACACAAGCGACGATCAGAACCCCAATGTGCAAAGTTGCTCCATATGACCGTACTACTCGTGCTGCTAGGCGCTATAGCTGAATCGGCTTCTCAGGCTCGTCCTGCCAGCACAAATGCTCAGCCTGCCTCCAGTTCTACAAGAATTGCGCGACCTGGCCATCTTCATTCAATGCCTGCAGTGTCACAACACACTCAACGAGGGAACGACTGACTTCCAGTGTCACGTTGTGCCGACCTCAATAGGCCTTTTACATGGTGTGATTGAAGCGTAAGCATAACAACAGCCAATTCGAGGCGAAACTTTGATACCTACTAGGTATATTCCGACAACCTCGAAAGAGTACGGCCCGAATTGAAGAGACTGGAGATTGGTCCAGGCACGTAGCGAAACTCCGCTTCTAGGCAGAATCGGCTGCTCAAGCTCCGCATTCGACCTCTCTCATGCGTTCACACCTCGCTAAACTCGCTTTCGTGCAAGCCACCGAGCTCTGGTTATGGTCGACCTCTGTACACACTTGTCAACAACCAGACATCATGTCTGATTTCTCGGTTGTCAGACTGGGCATGCTTCCGTCTTCTCAACCAGATATGACTTTGACCAGTAGCTGATGCACTGGCTTTTGGCCCCGCCATTGAGTCTCTCGCAAGGCTGAAGATGGCTGCAACCACTTTTCTTCTATCGCAAGGGAAAGTCACTGACCATCTTCTGACATTCCGTTGCTCAGTCATGGTGTGCGATGGAAGCGTCTAAGGTGCCCTTTATCAACGCTCGTGGGGTAAAGCCGACGTTGCGATATCCTTTACGACAATACCGACCAAGATGTACACAACCATGGGTTCTGCTCCTCTTCCTCGTGGCCACGAGTGTCTGCTTCGCCATGCTTGTGGCCGTCAGCCTGATAGACAAGCAAACAAGTCTGGGCACAGATGCAGAGGTGACCCAACTCGTGGAACGTCACCAATTGCACCATCGACAACAATCTAACGCAAGTACCACAGTGTCGCGGTCGACTTCAGCCGTACTTAGCCTTACTGCTCAGGCATCAAGTGCTTCTAGTAGGGCGTCGGCGACGAGGAGTAGCAAAGTGCTTAGCCTGACTTCTGTGGCCTCAACGGCTACCGCGTCTGCCGGCTTATCGCTCACTTCTCAGAAGAGTACCATTCCATCAACAGTCACTGCTTCGTCGAGCGCTGTCCTATCTCTGGTCTCCCCGACTGTGTGTTATGTTACGGCGACAGTAACGCAGAAGATCTACACGGCAACGGTTGGAAGTGGTGATATCACTATTGAGACTGCTGCAGCTCCCACGTTCTCAACGCCGTTGCCTTCAATCGCATCGTGCCAGACGTTGACCATCATAACGCCCCAGTCACTGATCTTATCATTGACCTCACAAACGTCACCACGCTTCTCAACCACGACTGTTCGATTCTCTACGACTAACCAGCTCTCATTAACCTCAAAATTGACTAGCACTACTCCGTACGCGACTAACGCGGTAACGAGTACCCCAAGCAGCATCGCAACCCTTTCAGCGAGTGTACAACTATCGTTAAGCCTAGAATCTAGCGCAGAATCTCCCGGAGCAACGTTAAGCATTCTCTCAGTCACATCGGCAACTGCGCATCCCTTACCAACTCCTCAGGCGGCAACCGTTTCGCAGCTTGTCAAGATCAGCTCCTCCGATGCCACATTGAAGACGAGTGTTGTGCAATCCGCGTCGTCGACTACGCGGGACAAACAAGAAAGCACCCTAGTCGGTTCTACGACCCAGAGTAGATTCGAATCTATTTCTGTTACCTTGACCATTGATGGAGCAATTTCCTCAACTGTAACTGAGGCAAGGACGGCGTTGCTTGGAGCTTCATTGGAGTCTGGTACCTCACTATCGCCTGTTTCTTCAATGCCACTCACTTCCGCGAACAAGCACAGTGTATTCGTCTCAACATCATCCTTTCACCTGAGTACAGGCGGAGCTATAATTTTGCTAGCGACCATAGACTCAACTACGATAGATGGGTCAACTCTGCTAGGGACTCTCATGACGATAACCACTATGCCTGTTACTGGTACGGTCTCTACGACAGTCACTCTGACCGCCAACCTTGTACCTATCGAGACAGCAGCCGATTACACCGTCTTTGGCGTCTCTGTACCTGGTACCACAATTGCTCAAACAACAATACCTCCAACCATAGCTGCAAGTGTCGTTGTTGGTGCACATGCAGTGTCCATTACGAATACTGCAAACCCAACTCTGAACCCATCTTCAGGATTTAATAATAGCACAGCGGTCGATCCTGCTATCAATGATGACCTAGTCCTTCTAAGGATCGACTTTCACAAGTACGATTACTTCTTGGCTGTGTACTTACCTAAAATCGTTGCCGTCATCATGGCATGCCTCTGGAGCATCATCTTTGCCAGTCTCAAGCTTATGGAGCCTTTCTATAGACTCTCAGCCAAGTCAGGTGCTTTCGGCAAGGAGGTACTATTTGGCAACTATTTGTCCAGTGAGATCAATCTATCGTCTTTGTCAGCAATGTTTCAAGGACAGTGGGTGTTGATCTTAGGAGGCATTACATTACTAGCATGGGCAGCAGTGGTTGCTCTTACCTCGGAGGCCATGCTTGTTATATCGAAAGGAACTTGCAAAAACGAGGATGGAACCGAGTTTCGGTGTGATCCAGGCTGGGCGGTAGATTTACCAATTCTGAAGACGCTGCTTGTGCTACTTTTTTTGATCTTTGTGCTTACATTGGTCATGACATGGATGGTTTTCCGGCGTCGACGCAGTGGGGTCTTCGTCGATCCCTCATCCATAGCGGCAATGGCAGAGCTGTTAGGCAATCCGAATGTCATGCAAGACTTGCGTGATATCGATCCAGCGGCTAGCGATAAAGAAGTAGCAACGCTTTTGGCTGAGAACAGATATAAGCTTGGGTTCTATGACATTGTTAACGGCAAGGAGATGCACGCAGCAACACACGAAGAATCCGACCAACGCTGGGGTCTGATCAAGCTTACGGGTGATATAACCTCAAGGTCCCTAACACTGGACGGGCGAGTCACTTACGGAGCAGTTCCTAACCCCAGCATCAGCAACACCGCAGTAGGGATGGTCAATCGCAAGAGAAGGATATGGCAGGCGATTATCGATGCCGTAATGCTGCTGACAGAGCTGACAATTTTCGCAGTCGTGCTTGCATATTATTTAGATGGCAAGAGCGATCCTTTCAACGACTTCTTTAATAGTAATAGGTTTGGTCCTCGCTTCGTGCTCACCGCTCTGGCTTTAATCCTCTCAGCCGGCTGGCGAACAACTTCACAAGAGGTGACATTGATGGCACCGTACCGTAACATGGCAAGAGCGTTCCGGAACGACACAGGAGTACCTGGCAAGAGATCAATCCTTGCCGCAACTGCCTGTACTCCTTTCACTGCTTTTCACAAAGGCTTAGTGCTTCGAAATTATCTAATTGCAGCGGTGGCGATGTCAGCCGTACTCAGTGAGGTTCTGCTTGTTGCCGTTTCTGGAGTCCCATTCAACACTGGTCAAATCAAGCCTAGCCTTCAAGCATCGACTTTCGTCTCCCTAGGTATATTGCTCATCATGGCATTAACAACAATTGCAGTGATGCTACACCACAGGACATCAGCTGGGGGAACTCGACGTCTTCCTCGCAGCCCGAATACCCTCGCTGGTGTATGGATCTACCTATGCGGTAGTGGCTTAGCACAACATGACCATAGAGATGAAGAGGAAGATGGCCAATCTGCTCCACCTCTTAATCAGGAGGGATTGGTTGCAAGATATAGTTCAGGAAACTACGCCTTCGCCTGTGCTGTTGGAGTGGACGGCATTACTCGTTGGACAGTCGATGAGGCAGGTGAACTGCACTCGAGCAGGACAGAAACGCTTCAAGAGAAGCGCGACTGTCAGCAACGACCCTACCAGCTAGATTGGCCTGTAGGAGCTGCAGAAGGACGACCCCATACACCAAGTGCTTACTCAAGCACGGGCCCGAACAAGCCACCGGGACGTTCATCTTTGCGGCCTCGATCACACGAGGTCAATGCTCAAAATTATGCTAGTCGTCGACGGCGGCAGCGATATGACGACGAAAAGCCTCAGCCATCGGATTCGAGAGCGATTCAGCGTAGGGGTTTGGGAGGCGATAGTATGTTTGAGACACACCACCGAGGACAGAACTCCAGCATTGTGCTGCCCTATATCCACCAAACAGAGCAAGACGCGGCAGAACATGATTTGGGAGAATGTCTGCCACTTAGGAGTTTAGATGAGAGTGCTGAACATGGCTGGTGGGTCACGCCAAAGCGTCAGACAAGATTTCGTGATAGTTGACAAAGTAGTTATACTCATTAACATTGGTCGCGCCCTGGACAAGGCTGGCATCCAACCTGCTTCCAGTCTTCTCTCGCTCTTGAAATACTGATGAATTTCGCTTCTACTCCTTCACCAGTGGCACACATTACATAGCTACCTGCTCTGCTGTCCTGAAGCAGTCCATCGAGTCCGGTTCATTACCCATCGAAAATAAATCCCGTCCTACCTTCTCTGTGTGTGGCGTTAGGCGTGGTGTCGGGCTTGAACAGCCATAACTATTCTCTAGAACTTCATTGTTCTGGGGACTGTGGCCTGTGGCTCAAGTTGGAAGGTACCACGACACCCCCATTCGACGAGCGATCACCTGGCAAGTCTACCGCACCGTTTCACAGGGAAAGAGCTCGAGCGCTAAAAACCCCAACATATCTAACACCGAGGTATGCGTCCTGGGAGAGCGCTTCAAAAATACAAAAGAAATATGACCGCACCACTGAGAGAAGCATATATCATGAAGCAGTGATCCAGCAGTCACTACGTAGCTTAAAAACATATAGCATTGAATAGTTCTCGAACAAGTCTCCTAGTAACAAGATCTTGTTTTTTCGAGTGAATATCTGGTGTGAAGTGCGACATAGATGTCTAAATATGAGACATGAAGGTCCAACATGATAATCCTTTCCAATCTCGCACGATGCGAACCACCATCATCGTGCTCGTGATTTCGTTCAGAGAAGACAACAACAGCATAATCCTTTTTCTATAACTCGAAGAGGACAGTAAAAAAGCTTCTGCACGTCCCAGTTTCTAGAGTTCAGGGAGAAGGGGCTACGGTGCTGTCCTGGCTGTCAAGCAAGAATTTATACCTTCCTGCTTGCATCCATCGAGGTGTCGTGAGCAAGAGATGCTCGTCGCTTCTCTGTGCGGATGTCCCCAATAAGGTTCTCATCGAGTTGATATAGTGGCTTGAGCTGCGCGTTCTTGTTGAAAAAGACGTAGCGCTTGATGAACCATGGAAGCCATGTTCCGGTCTGATAAGACATAAAGCGGCGAGTTGGGACAGCGAAGATGTAGTCAAGTTCTTCGAGGGTACGTTGCTGAGCGAAGTTAGCAATGTTTCACATCGCGGGTAGTGGATGAGAGATGGACATACCTTGGTCTCTGGGACCCACAAAAAGATCCAGACAAAGGCAATCATATTGAGTGCGGCAAAGAAACCAAACGCGCCGGTTGGGCCAAATGCCTGTAAAATTTTTGGAAAGGTCAATCCTAGGACACCGGCCCAAAATAGACAGGTAGCCACGGCCCAACCCATACCGACCTCTCGGTGAGACAATGGGAAGACCTCGGCTGAATAAGTGAATGGAACAGGTCCCTCTCCTGGCGAGTAGAAGGCGCAGAAGAGATAGACAAAGAAGGCAATCATTCCAAGATGAGCGGTGCTTTCCCTTGGGATATAGAAGCAGAAACCGGCAGCCAGGAGTGTCCAAGCCATTTGTGGGAAAGTAAAGAGCAAAAGGTTTCGCCTGCCAAATGTGTCGATTGTGTAGAATGCTGGGATGGCGAAAATGAAGTTCACTGCACCAAAGCCGAAGGAGGCGAGGAGGGCGTTGAAGTATGATGCACCTCCTTCCACGAAGATAGTCGAGGAGTAGAAAGCGATAATGTTGATACCGCACATCTGTTGACCTATCATAACAATAAATGAAGCCAGTGTTGCGCGGCGATTTCGTGGAATCGTGAATAGCTCGAAGAAGCGTTTGATGTACGAGGACTCTCCGACTATCTCTCTCTCGATCTCAATCTGTGTGCTGATATAGTAAAGATCTCTTGCAGCGAGGATTTGGTGATTTCGAAGCTTAACCAGTGAATTCCAAGCCTTCCTGTGCTTGCCGTGCTTGATATACCATCGAGGACTCTCAGGACAGCAGTAGACCAGGATAGCGAGTGGTACAGCAGGAATAAAAGCAGAGCCTAGCTGGAGTCGCCAACCGATGGCTCCAGCATTGTAGACTGCAAGGTTGAAAGCTGTGCCGAGGAATATACCAAATGCTGTCCAAAATTGCCAGGTCATGACCAAGGCACCACGAATGGCAGCTGGTGCGTTCTCTGCAGCGAACACTGGCGTTGTAGCACCCTTGAGACCCATGCCTACACCCATAATAATACGGGTAGCAAATAGTTGTTGCCAACTAGCGGTAACAGCTCCTCCAATTGGTGTAGCAATCAGAACAATAGCTGAGACAAAGATAGTACCTCGTCGACCAAAATAGCGATTGAAAGGGTCGGAAATCCAGCAACCAACGAATGCACTCCCAATGTAGGGGGCAGCGTTGACCAAACCGACAATCCAGAAATCCCTATCCGATCCACTCGCCAAACCGAATACCACAGGGAATGACAGATTGGCACCATTAGTTCCAGTCTGATCCCATCCTTGCACCGCAGCACCAATTGAGCAAACTGCGACAGTCATGTACAGCTTCCAGGGATGGTTCCATTTCTTGGTGACTTCGATTCGGAGCGCATCTTTCTCGTCTGAAGAAAGTGCTGAAATGTTCTCGTAGCCAGCAGGATTTTGAGCCACGAGAGCACCTCTCTTGAGAAGGTCAATTTGATCGGTCATGCCGGTGCGACCAGCGAAATTCTCGACCTGTCGAAAGGATTAGATAAGACAAGGAGATAGAAGGAGTGGCTCACATCTGCGAAAAGTTGATCTGTTGTGAGGTCCGCAAGAGGATTCGAAATCCTGGTCGCCGTCAGTATGGACTTAAAAACAATTATCTCGGCTTACTCACTTTGCATCCAAATTTTTGTGCCGGTTGAGGTCCGCGACGCTGGAGTGACGTCGTGGAGCGCTGTCAGTTTTCTCTAGATAGTCATGATGGCCATCGCCATTGGCATAGCCATTACCCTTCACGTCCGCCATGTTGATAACTGAAACTCAGGTTGGACAAGAGGGTCGAAGGTCAAGTAAGAGAGACAACATCTCAGCACGGACCAGGAATTGGTAAATTTGTATATGAATTCACCTGGTCAGGCGACATCTGGAATGTGGAGTACCTGGAGACACGAAGGCATGGCGGAGGTGTCATCGTTCTATGCCAGAAGATCTTCTCCATCGTGCCATGCAGATGATGTGATTCATCGAAGTACTGTAGCGTGCCAGTATGTGCCGCTGTGGTGGACAAGTTAGCGCCTTGAAGCTGGACAGTCGCAAGGATCGCCTTTTCTCGAGAGTCCATTGCACGATCCTTCCAAAGCAAAATCGAGTTGTGACGGAGGTGGAGGTCGATTGCCTCTGCCCAGCAATGAAAAGCACTCGCGAACGAAGGTTAGCCTGCATCTTGACGAGTCAAGCCCAGGATCAGCCTGATAAGACGACCAGCAGATCTTCTTGGCAGGAAGTATAGCGGAGTGTGCCAAGACTCACCTGCTTACGATGTCACCTCGAGAAAGTGTGATCTTCCGGTGTGAGAGCGCCGAGCAGAAAACTTACAAGCACTGCTCACTTGGCGCGGAGAAACCCTTGCAGCTGCGATGGGTGGCCTGACGAAAGAATGGCCCTAGATAGCCGTATCATCTACGAGCAGGAACGGCTAAGTTGAAATTCATAGCCAAGCGCAGTCATAGGTGCCACAATCTGGGCAGCGCGGGGACGATTTTCACCCCATTTTCTGTCTTCGACCATTTCTTGCAGGCTTGTTCTTGGGCGTCTTCCAAATCTGCAGTCGAGTTACAGATTTCTCCGCCACTGACACGGTCCTGCATTCTCGTGTGCCGTGTCAACCTGCCAAGGACTTTCAGGTGGTACGAGTATTTGCAACAACGCAATTAGGATAGAGACGACAATAACCAAAATATGTAATCATATTCGTGTCGATGTTTACTGGAGCCCGACGAACCTCGGCTTCATGCTTTCAATCAACGCACACGCTTCTTGTTTGTTAACCACAAGGACTGTTGTGTTTTGCTAGCCCGTTTGGCTGAGAGAATTCTGTAGTCCACCTCGGCGCGGCCGAGTGACCCCCAGCAGATTGACCTTGCCAGTACATATTATGGAGTATCGTCGCATAGTTCTCAGAACGAGATATGACCTCGCTATTCGGGAACGTTTTGTGCGAACATCAACGCGCTTCTTCCCTCGATAGAATGATTCTGGCCTCTGTATCAAGTCCTTGCTTGAGGCATATGCAAAGACGCTGCGTCGATATGTAATTCTGGAAGAAGTTCATGACCAGAGTTGGTGGTCAAAATCGTGGCTGGCAATCTGGTCACGAGCATGAAAATTTGCACCTTGTACTATACCTCCGCAGTGACTTTGTCATTAGACGCCAGTGCTATGCAACCCCAAACAAAACATGCAGTTGAAGTCCGCTGGAATGTCCACGACATGAAATTCGTGTCGCATAAAGGTCAAGCGTATTCAGGAAGACTGTGACGAGCAACCACTTCCTATATTCTTCGATCTCAACGATGACATCAAGCAACACCATGTATTTGCTGACACATCTCATCGTATCTTCAGTAGAACCCAGGTTGCTTACAGTAGGTAACGAGACGTCCCGCAATGAATGTCAATTTTTAGGTTCCGGATAGCAAAGCACTGGTGGTTAGGGTTCAGCAAATTCATTCGATATCGTGATACATTGGACGTGAGTCGACATTCCACATAACAGCGTCATATCGTCAGACCGTTTCTATTCCGTATAGCCACAGCATTTGCTGAATGTGAGGGCGCACTTCGGCTGCGTAACGATGAATCGGATAGTCGTAGACCGGCTGATTTCGAAAATGTATTTCGAATATAAAAATGCAAACCACTGAAGAACAAACACATTGCGAACCTTGCCAATATCTAGGTAACACTTCGCGGGAAGTGTAGGTAATTTTCCACAGCAGACATTCTCTTGCTGCACAACAAATCAAGCATGTTTATTCTTCACAATTACTAATACGGACATGTTTGCGTTTCGCTGGTCTATGCAGGAGCACTCGTCAGTCCAGTGGCAGGCGGGCTGACTATTCTCTTTGGCTGAGCATCAGTGAAGCTTGCACCTCGCATCTGTGCCGTGATGCTATTCATTCCATCTCTACTCGGTGGTTGCACAGGCCGTTGATGGCGTACTTGTTGCGAGCCAGCTGCCTCGACCAACCCGTTCATACTTTGTCCACGGCTTCGGCTACTTCGCTCTGCTTCTTGCTTGACAAGCAAACTCTTGAAAGCACCAAGCCAGCTTTCTAGCTCGTCCTCGCTTTCGGTACGCAGCTTGTACGTCTTCTCTTCTCCGATGACCTGAAAACAATTGTATTTGTCTTTGCGCTCGATTTCTGCGGCCTCAATAATTGCATATAGTGGAAGAATGAGGATGGGAGAGTATTCGTTATTTGACTTGTAGAAGGAGAGAGAAGAGATGCGAAGTACCGCCCAGATAGATCTCCATTGTTTGACCCCGGAAACTGTTTTGCTCAGCTTTAGATAACCTTGGCGAACAACGCGAGATGGGTCATGCGTGGGTATTTGCTGCTGCGGCTTAGGACCATTTTTCGAACCAGGCAAAGGTTGTCCAGTGGTATCAGAGAGGTAGGATGTATTTCTGTTCAAGACAGGCTTCGGCGTGCTGCGGACATCATCCAGTATGGGCGCTAGTGTGGAGGGCTGTACTGGCGTGGAGCTCGAAAGATAGCTCTTTGGACCTGGAAACGAGCTGCCGAGGCCATCTGAAAAGTCTGACTGCGAGGTCACGAAAGATTCATTGCCTGATGGATAAGGAGCCAGACCAGAGAGTCTCCTCGGATCGGAATTCGCCTGAGGCATGAGACGTGTCTTTTGTCCTCTCATAGTCCACTGTGAGACTTTCGGTGAAGCTGGGGCGTCCAGATCCTCGTCGGCCGATATATCAGTGGTATCGTACCCTTGACCCTCCATGTGTCTGAAGCCAGCGTCTGGTGGGCTTAGATCGGTCTGCTCTTCTGTATGCGCCTCCAGCCGCAATATTGCAATCCAATCTGAAGTCTCGCGAGCATTTGCACCAGAGAAGTGGTAATTCTTGGAAGGCGAAAAGATGCCGAAGACATTATCGTGGTGTGACTTCTTCACAGTTGCGACAGCTGTCACATCTGACAAGGTGATGGAAGCCCTGAGCTCAGTTTCGTCGGTATCCTTATAGACGGACAGAAGATTAGGTCTGAGGACAAGGTAAGCCGGCTTCCACGAGGCCTTCCATGCGCCCTTCTTCTTCACTCTTCTCTCTAGCTTTCCACGTTTAATGATCCTGTCCCAGGCGAAACTGCCATTCTGATTTACAGGTGACAAAGGGCCGATATTCGAGGAAAACCGGTGCGTTGAGGTCTGGATTGGTACAGGTTGTCCTTGGGCAAGCACGCGTGTGCTCAGTAGTCGATGCTGATGGTTTGGTGTTGTCGGTCGCACAGAGGCGCCCTGTAGCCCTTCGGCCATGTTTCTGAGCTTGAGAAATGCGATATGCGGGTCACGGGCGACTTGGGCAATTGTGCTGTGTGTATGCACAAACAAGGCCAGACAAAGTTGTCGACATTCGATTTTAGTCGACCTGGAACGTTGTTAATGTGGAGAGGCGGAGCAGTTGGACTTTCGAGAGTACTTTTTGGAGCAGTGGTTTCACATTCGTGGTGCGAGAGACTTTGCTCTGGCAACGGTAAGACCTTTCGCCCCGGCAGCGCACCTTTATGGTCTGCAGACCAGATTACTGCGCCTCCTTGTAGCTCCGCAACGAGCAGTGATTCAATACTTCGTACTGTACATATGTAAAGAAGCTGTTGATGCCGGTCACGACCTCATGGTGAGTGGAAAAACAAGGGAAGCCTGGCGCTCGACGAGCTCCATTTCCGTGGCTTTGGGGCAAGATGGTGCCTGGTTAGAGAAAGCTAAAGGCTGGTCGCCACCTACCCGGAAGATGCGTGCGTGACAAGCTTTCGGCATTGCAGTGACTGTCGCCAGATGCAAACCTAACATCGCAACCGAAGCAGAGCGCAACTTTGGGTAGTCAAAGACTGCGCATCAGAATTATATCTGTCCTCTACGGCCACGAAAAGAAACTTCAGCTGCTTGCGTGTCGGCTGCTTGGCGTTCAATTAGAGGGAGCTTCGGTACAAGTACGGTGCCCCGAAGCCTCCTTAGCCCTGGTTATCCGACGTGCATCTATTGGTGCTTAGTAACTAGTTTGGCGAGTGATGGCCAAATCGTCCATCTCCTTATTTTTGCGATTCATCAATCCATCTGCGACTGACCACATGTTCGTGCTACAGTGACTAACTACATCGTTCGAACATCGAGAACACCTCCGTCTGATGCTCTCCTTTCGTCGCTAAATTTAGACACACCAGCACGACCCAGTCTGCTCGTTACAGAAGTCGGTAGTTACCTGCGATAAACACAACAATCACTTAGTCAACATTTTCCTCGGACTGGCCAAAGGCCTGGTTATGACCTTACCTTCCTTCTGAAGTACTAGACAATTGTTCACTTCTGATGTTGTCCCGTTAACGCCTCCGATTTCTGCGTCTTCAAGATGAGTGAAAAGGCCGCTCCAAACAACAGCTTCGTGCAAAGATTGCTGAAACGTGTGCCATATACCTCTGCTCCTCCCAACCTAGGCGAATTCAAAGCAGCGAAAAAGGGCTCATCGAGGTTATCTTGGCTGCAAAGACGCATACGGTTAAGATCGAATTCCACAATCTCCATACCACTCGGCTTCGTGCTCCTATTTCCCAGCATAGTCGTGCTTCTCATCCTAATATTGGTCGTCAAGCATCCGTCCTCACCGGGGCGAATACTCATTCCTGCGGGGACACCTCCGTCAATCAGAAAAATCAGCGAGAAACATGACAAGGTGTTTGCGACAGGATGCCTAAATCCCGAGGAGCAGGCCAGACAGCCAAGAGCAAATGCGGCCTTCGTCGTACTTGCACGTAATCAAGAGTTGGAAGGTGTAATACAATCCTTGAAGAGTATAGAACGACACTTTAATCGCTGGTTCCATTATCCATATGTCTTTTTGAATGACGGTGAGTTTACCGAGGAGTTTAAGACGGGCGTTCAGAACTACACCAGTGGCACAACTGAATTTGGTCAAATTGATTCCAGCATGTGGGGGTTTCCTGACTGGGTAGACCACGAGGTAGCCAGGGAGGGCATTCGAAAACAAGGCGATGCTGTCATCATGTATGGAGGCATGGAAAGCTACCACCACATGTGCCGTTTCTACTCTGGCTTCTTTTTCAAACATGAGCTTTTGGACAAATACGAATGGTACTGGCGACTCGAGCCGGAAATCAAGTACTTCTGCGACATCACATACGACCCGTTCATCGAGATGGCTCGGAACAACAAGACCTATGGTTTCACCATAGCAGTCAAAGAACTCAAAGAGACCGTGCCAAACATTTTCAGGTACGCTGCTGCATACAAAAGAAAGAACAATATCAAGTCACAAGGACTTTGGGAGATGTTCCTTGAGCCACAGCCCGAAAAAACTAAAGACACTGAAGAGACAAGGGAAAAGACGTTACCCAATGAAATTCTGCAAACCGAAGTTGGCCACCAAAACATCGAGGAAATCGATCCCGAGGACATGGAAGGTGAGAAGTACAATATGTGCCATTTCTGGAGCAACTTCGAGATCGCACGTCTGGATTGGTTCCGCAGTAAGGAATACAGTGATTTCTTTGAGATGATGGATCGTAGCGGAGGATTCTGGATGGAAAGAGTGAGTCAAGCACATGAGAAAGCGGGATATTCACTAACGAAGTTCTAGTGGGGCGACGCGCCTATTCATTCGCTGGCTGCCGGTGCACTCCTGGCACCACGTGACATCCACTACTTCCGCGACTTTGGCTATCGACATACCACCATCCAGCATTGTCCCGCTAACGCACCTGCTCGACAGTCACCACACATACCGTATCTAGAGAAAACTACAGAAGACGAAAAAGAAAGAATTGCTGAAGACGAATATTGGGCGAATGCAGATCCGCCAAAAGAAAATGGGGTTGGCTGTCGATGCCGATGCGATACGGATATCCGTGACGTTGAAGGAAAAGAAGGCAGCTGCTTGGCAGAATGGGTCGAAGTCGCTGGAGGCTGGGCCTCACCATGAATAAGCAAGAGGCTCAATATTTGAATATTATGTGCAGAAGTCGGCGTCACCTAGCTTGCATGCAACCAACCAGGGTATGTTGATTGTAGCGTTTTTCGGCGATGGGATCTTGGAATTGTGCATATCACATTTGACGACTTCGAAGATATTTACGTATTTGGATCGAGGAGGAGGTGAATGTGCCTAATACATGCAGGTTGCGTGGGCCGTGCTACAAGGGTGTAAGGACCCACGGATCAGCACACACAGCTCAACGTCGTCCTCGCCTTGGATGAGAAGCAGAAGTCTCCAATGCATCTGACGTGTCAAACCCGCCTGGAACTACTTCCGCCTGAAGTGGTGAGCAGTCCTCCTCACGAGAAGTCGGAGTGCTGTGGCCTGTTGGTGGTCTTCGTCCAGATGGAAGTATTCCAATAGTCCCGCTGATACCGAACTTGAGTGGAAGGAGGACCGGCACACCGTCAGTAACGACTCGTAGGAGGCTGTCGAGCACGTTTACATAGTGAGGAGTAGCCACCATGGTATGTGATCGTGGTTCAGACAAGACGTCGCTCCGAAAGGAAATAGGTTCGATTTGCACGACTTACGAAGAGAAGAGAGACCGTTTAGCTGCAACTGTCTCGCCCTGGCGTGCACATGCTCGTCGAGCGACCATTTCACCAGCAAGTAAGAGGCGGCAAAGGCGCCATCCAGACAGCTGGAAAATACACCAAAGTGAGCGGTCGCTTTGCTGGCCACCATAGCGTCGATGCAGATGAGACCTTTGATCTGCACATCATACCATAAACGAACAAGCGCCAAATCTAGTCACATCGCGTGTTACAGTAATGCGGCATGGCGGGGCAGTTGCCTGATTGTCCTGAAAGTTACCCAGTCGCTCTGACCATAATAAGTGATATTGATCGAACACGCTTTGCTGTCTCCAGGAAGTTCTGTGCCTCCTCAACTTTGAGCTCAAGTGCCGATCCAACGGCGTCGAGTGATTCTATGATTCACAAGCTGACTTCGCTTACGTACGGCATCCGATAACACTACTAGTTCGACATCAACCCCCAATCACTATAAACTGAGACAAGGCTACCAAGACTGCAATGACCTTAAATTGACCCCCTCAACTTGCCTTTTAGACTGCAGGCACCAAGGACACCTCAGGTAAAAGTGTGTTTTCTGGTCTGTAAGTGACCGTTTTCTTTACTACTTTTATCTTCTCTCAAAGTCGTCGCTCTTGCGTACTCAGAGCATTGTACTGTGCTAGAGCATGGCTGATGTTACTGCTAATAACATAGAAGAGACTACTCAACCTTCGTCTGAAGGTGCAGATCAGACGTCGGTCCCACTACGTTTCCCCACTATTGACCTTCAGACCTCTTTCGAATCTCTACTTTCCCACTCCAGCACTTCTTCGGCCCAAACTGCAACCATGGGACGATCTACCAATGTACCACCGTCTCTTGACGAGAGCTGGGCCTCACTTGACGCCTCCGACTTCTTCCAGGACGAAGAGCTGCAGTCAAACAATGCCGATACTGAGTCCTTGATCGACCTCGGTAGCAACCAAGACACCGAGAGTGCAAACAACGATGATACATTGAGCCAAACTCAACCCGAAGACGAAGAAGCCGAGAACATAGTTGCTGTCGAGCCAGCTGAGGTTCAACAACAAGATCGCACTGGACAAGAACCTTCAGAGGAAGACGAGCCTATGGACGATACAATTGTGTTACAGAAATCGAACGTCCAGCCTAACGACGACTCTGTCGAGCTTGAGTACAACTTCGTCTCAGCGAACAGCGTTCTACAAGCCAAGGAAACAAGACAATCAGTACAAGAAACCATCAGAATGACTGTCGCTAAATCTCCCCTGAATTTGGCTGGTCACCCTTTCAAGGTGGCTTATTATGGTGCGGCCTCAACCCGCGGTACGAAAGACGAGCTGTTAGGCAAAATTGGTGCTGCTCTGGTGTCCCCAATCCCTAGATCTCCTCGCAAGGCTAAGTCGTCGTCTGTCTATAGTGTTGTGCCGACAGAGTTTGGCCCTGGTTCCAGACCAGCTTTTGCAGATCTTATCCCTTCTCATGCTCAAATGGCTGTGGACGACATCTCTGTCAAGAATTCTATGCCAGAACAGCCCGGAAATATCCAGTTAGAGCTTGAGGAGGGCCTCACACTTGAATCCCGACCTCGTCGACTGCTAAGGCAACCTAGTAGTCCTCCTTGGCGTCCAGACCTTCTCATTGTTCAGATTAGCCGTGACGATATCGCAGACTGTCTATCTGCAGTTTCTGACATTCTTGAAGTTGCTCGGCGGCATCGGTGGCCTACTGTTGTGGTCACGACAGACACTGTACCGTCACAATTCTCGCTGCTGGTTGACCATGGCATAACGAAGTCCTATACCATTGCGACAGTAGATGGTACCTTGGAGAGATCTGAGGCTGTTGACCTGGACACCTTCCTGTCATTGGACACTGATCAACTTAACCACTACTTGCAATTTTTGACGGAAAAGTGTCAAGAGACCTCAAAAGTCAAGCCTCTTTTCGAAAGAGTCTGCGACCTTGCTCGTGATATATATCACACTGTCCAGCCATTGACAGCGGTCACTGGTGAAATACCAGGTTCCGACGGAAAGTACGATCTAGTCGTGGTGCAGCCTGAGCACAATCTGGAGCAGACTGATTCCGACGTCTTCAAGAACAAAGATTGGTCGTCGATGAAGATTCGTGACATGGTTAAGGATGTGCTTTTGAGCTGCACAATAATGTTGCTAGGCATTTACATCGCGATCTTTTCTCACAATCTAGTTTCCGAGGCGGTTACTTCTGTCGAGGCCAACACAACAATGGCTGCTGCCCAGAATCCGTCAACTTCCACAAGACTTGCTGCCACACCTTCAGCACTTATCTCTCCTGCTGTTGATGTCGCGCAGATCGAGCAGGATGTTGTTGTATATGGCCCTGTTCTTTTCGACCAAGTTTGGGAGCGTCTCACCGGGCGGACCTCTGCTGAGCAGCATAAGTCTACAGTCTCTGAACCAGTATCAAAAATCCCACAATCACCCGTAAGCATCGACATTGCCGATACTGCCAGAGAGACTAGGAGCTATGGGAAGAAATGGAAAGATGTCGTGGGAGCCATGTATGGGTCTTCGCATACAACAGACCAACCACAGGCGGCGGAAGAAGGATTCAAGGCTACTGTGAAAAAGCAGAAATCTCCTGCGCAAGGGGGTAGCCTGCACAAGGTCGGAACAGTGAAGGAGACGCCCTCTCATGCCTCCTCCGCAATCCACGAACCTAATCAAATGGTGACGAATTTCAGCCGTGCCGATAGTCGGAAGAGGCCTTTTGCGTTCATTAAGCAAGGATTTGCCGAGACGTTGTTGTTTGAGAAAATAGCTCGACGACATAAGCTGAAAATGGACATGCGGGATCAGATCCGAAATATACATCAGCAAGTGTCCGGTTTCAGCGCTGACGTGTCAAAGAAGATGCATGGCATCGGCCAGCAGACGCAGGATCAATTCATCGACATAGTCAAGCAGTCTCAGACACAGTTTAGACGAGCAAAGTGGGCTGGTGAGAGGCGATTGGAAACCATCCTGGATAAGCAGAAGAACTTGCTGGCCAAAGCACAGCAGCAAGCACACGTGCTTACTCACGAGGTACCGAAGCGGAAGAAGTCTTTCTTCCCAGGACGATAGGACAATTTTGGACGTTTGAATATACTTGGAAAGGCGTTGGGTTGAGTTACGGACAGGGCTTATGACGGAATCGAGCGCCGACAGTATGAATTTGGCTGAGTAGGTCCACTGAAAGATGGTAACGGCAGTAAATTGATGCACATACAGATACCCGGGTCCGTCATTGCTGGTTAACAGCTTGGGATTCCAACTATGACTGAATGAAATGTTATGCATGTACCTAAACACCTGCAAGGCGGTCACTGCGCGAGGAGAATGTAATCGAGTATTCATCTCTGGCTGAACTGAAAATATTGCACAAGTGGTCGTCTTGCGTGTCCGTAGCATTAATTACGTCGACCTACACGAGACTTACTGGCACTTCTAACAATCCACTGGTGGCTTCGTCTTGCAATTCCTGACTTTCGCCATATCGAGGATTTCTCAACAGTGCTACCTGATCAACTGGCCTCCTACAAGAGCGCAATCATGCCCTTCGCACAACTCGTAGTCGGCCCACCCGGCGCCGGCAAATCAACCTACTGCAACGGCATGCAACAATTCATGGGCGCAATCGGCCGCAAAGCCAGCATAGTGAACCTCGACCCAGCCAACGACCTAACATCTTACGACGCAGCCCTTGACGTGCGCGAACTGATTACGTTGGAATCTATCATGCAGGACGATCAGCTTGGGCCAAACGGTTCTGTGCTCTATGCGCTTGAGGAACTGGAGCATAATATGGAGTGGTTGACGGAACGGTTGAAGGAATTGGGTGAGGATTATATCCTGTTTGATTGTCCGGGGCAGGTTGAGTTGTTTACGCATCACGATAGTTTGAGGAGGATATTTATGGCGTTGCAGAAGATGGGGTATCGGGTGCGTACTGTGAGAACCACTACTTTCATCACATTGCTGGATGAGTGGGGAGTTCTACCGCTGCTGCTGCTGCTGCTAGCACTACGTATATCTGGAGAGACGGTCGCTGATCGTTCAATAGTTAGTCGTAGTAAATCTCATCGATTCCTACGCCCTCACGCTTCCCTCATTGTACATCGCGAACCTCTTACTGTCGCTACGAACTATGCTCCAAATGGACCTGACACAAATCAATGTCCTGACCAAGATTGACAACCTGCATAAATTTCCCAGCCTCCCTTTCAATCTAGACTACTACACCGACGTCCAAGATCTTGATTACCTCATCCCTTCGCTCGAGGCAGAATCTCCAATGTTCGCGACGGGGAAGTTTCAGGCCTTGAATAAGGCTGTTTGTCAGCTGATTGAAGAGTTTGGGCTGGTGGGGTACGAGACACTTGCGGTTGAGGATAAAAAGAGCATGACGGCGCTGCTGAGGGTGATTGATCGTGCGGGCGGGTATGTCTTTGGTGGTGCTGAGGGGGCGGGCGATAGTGTCTGGCAGATTGCGATGAGGCAGACGGAGGGCAGAGTCGATGTGAGAGATGTGCAGGATCGATGGGTTGATCGCAAAGAGTTTTGGGATGAAAAGGAGAAAGAGGAGGAAGAATTGGAGCAGAGAGCGCGGCAGAAGGAGTGGGAGAAGAATATGGTCAGGACGGGCGGAGGGTTGGAAATGGATGAGGATGAGTTGGCGGAGATGATGAGGATGCCAATGGATAGTGGTGTGAAGGTGAAGAGGTCGGAGCCGTCTTGAGAGATTTCTACTGTGGTGCAACCAAGACATTCAGTCACTAGCAAGCGGTCTCAATCCGACTCGTCATCGTCGTCCTCTTCACCACCACTCGAATCCTCAATGGATCGCATCGACACATCGACCACAGCTGCATCAGAGCCAGATTGAGTCTTTCGTCCCGTAAAACTCGACAGCAGTTTCGCAGCACTACCACCACCCTCAGCCAGCTTCGCCCTCACAACCTGCCTCCTCGCTCTTCGAATCAACTCCTCCTCCGCCTTTCGAATTGTCCCACTAACCCTCACGACCTGAATCACACATGGTATTCCTGCACTGGCCGCACTTGACCCTCCTGCTCCTCCACCTCCTCCTGCACCACCGCCACGTCTCACAGCAGGTCCCGGCAACTCAGTGATATGACTAAGTGTAGCCCACACGATTCGATGATGGTTCCGCGGCACGCGCAAGATCGCAGTCGAAGTCGCTGCGGAGAAGTATACGACTTTCAGAGCGGAGAGGGAGACACCGAGACCAAAATCGCCGAAGAGAAGGGTCAAGTGGGTCTTTAGGTGTGTGACGAATCGGCCTGCGTCGACATGGTCGGGTGTGGGAGCGTAGAAGGATAGTGTGGATGGTGCGGAGGATTTTGAAGTTGCGCTTTGGCCTGGGTATAGGATGTTGAGGAGCAGGTATCTATACTTGATACGGACCATGATTTGCGATGGAGATTGGTCTTGGTAGCATGGTGAGCTGAGTATCTACCCGCGTGTCGTGGGCTCTGTGCTTCAAGTTCTTACATATTGTACTGGGACAAGTGGGTGCACTCTCAAATTCGAGAACAACCCGCGATTTTGGGAGCGCGAAAACACGTGACGGAAGAGGTTAGGTTCCGAACGATCGTAATTCAACTCGTCGAACACTAGTAATCAAGCACTATCCAGTAACTGTGAAGAATGGACATCTGCGTCAAACAGCTTCTCACATCTCGAAATCAGACCGAAACTACACCCCACACCAACCCAACTTTGTGCTTTCGATGTTAAACAACAGCCATGTCTGAACCAGAAGAACAAAACTCCAACTCCGTATGATCACTGATTTCACTCTGCCATGTTCTTCAGATGTAGAACATAGTATCCTTCAAGTCTTTGTGTACTTGAACTTCCTCGCTCCTTGCCTCGCCTTCCGAAGCGGACGTTGCCTTGTCATCGAAGACCCGACTCAACCATCGTCGCGCTCTGTCACACACAAGATCGGCATAGTAAGCTGGCGGACAAAGACTAACCGCTTTGGTAGCACGTCCAAACATCTGAAGAAAAAGATTAGCGGGCTGGTAATAGTGAAGAGGATGCAGAGAACCTACATAGCACATGGCGTGCGTTAATGCTTCCAGATCATCCTGTGCATGCTGTCCTGGGGAACGACCATCTCTTGCTTTCTTGAAAGCTCGTCGTCGGAAGATTTCATCGTGGACGACAACATAATGACAAGGTTTGGCCGTACCTTGAAGAGCACTATGTGCCTGCAAGTAGAAATCCCAAACACGTGTCTCTGTGATGCCCCGATCAACAACGGTGCCAGGTCGAGGGCTGCCTGTGCGAGCATCTGCGCTGTCCTCGTCAGTTGGATAAAAGCGAGTATGATGTCGTTTGCCACAGATGACAATGGTGATGGACGGTATTCCAGCTTTGGTCTTTGGTGCTGGATAGACTTCTTGACATGCTGCTCGAATGAGTGGATACTCTTTAGTCATGACCAGGCTGTACATTGACTCGCCTACTCCATCACGATAGATGAGAATTTCTTCTGGTAGTTGAGAGTTGCGACTCTGCCATAAGCTCAGTCGTGATTTGAACATTTCCTGCAGACCTTCGATCATTTCTGTATACCCCTTCTGAAGCTTGACATCTGCTGGCCACTGCGATAGCCTATTGTCCACCGAAGCCACAATCGATGAAACACTGGGTGCGGAGGAAGTAGAACCAGGTGCAGGATGTGTAACGTCGAGACCAACAAGCATTGTCTTACCTTCACTGATGAAGCCAAGGTCAGCAGGTCTCAGCTCCTGGTTCTGGCCACCGAGTTTGAGATTGAATTTGAGGGCGACATTGGCAAAGTACTGTGGGTTGTCGTCTTGTATCGCTTTCGCAAATTTACGACCATCGGCTATGACATTTACGGTGTGGACGCCGGACTCGATGTCGCCTGCTCGCTTTACAGCATTGTAGATCACCGAGCTTGTGTTTGGCAACACCACGAGGAGAAGCTTCGTCTTAGGAAGAAGCTTGGCTTGAGCGGCGAAGAAGGCCCCGATTTGTGGCACTGGATCTTGAGCATCTTGGAGATCTAGCTCCGTGCCTACTACCGCTTTCGGAACCGCAATGCCACATTTTCCGAGCATTGAGTGGAATTTGTTGACACACGTGGCGACCTCTGAGATCCTAGAAAACCGTCCGCCGTAACCGTTGACTTTGATCCAGACATAGGACCAACGCAATGCTGACTGGTTAGCTCCTCTAGCAAATGTGACGTTCCTCATATTCCAGCTACCGTCAGATGGGTTGGCGTGATTTCCTCCCCGATACTCTGGGTTGACTGCAGGCAGTACACGTGCGCTGACAACAATCATGGATGGGTCAATCTTAACACCAAACGTGTTTAGCATTGCCTCGCTGTTGTGTTTCAGGAGACCGATGCCATTACTGACAATGGTCTGTGCGTTGACAGGAGCTCGTCGAACGGCATGCTTGATCATCTCAGCTGTCGCATCTGGTGACAACTTGTTTCTGTAGTCCTGGTTCAACTTGATCGTGCAGACTTCTGAGGGCATGTAAATGGGGTTCTTCCTGTTGCCAACATTAACAACTGGTCCGTGAACCGCGATCTTGTGCTGTTTCTGAAAGTAGTCTGCGACCGAAATGTATTGGTTGTCCTTACAAAACTTGACCTCAGTTGCTGTGGCTCCCCACTGCGGTACTTGTGGAGGGTCTTTGGTTCCTCTTCCGTCCAGTGGTGTCGCCAATCCTTCAATACGCTTCAAGCGGTTCTTCAAGCGGTTCTTCAAGTGTGAGACATGAACATAGAGACCTGCAATCATGCGATTTGCCTCTTCCCACCTCATTTTCTCACTGCGGAACTTCCTCATCAAGTCTAGGAGAGGCTGGGCTTCCCAAGCAATAATGTGTTGGACCTGGACATTCAGCAAGATACGACCAGTAGCTGCTCGAACACTCATAAAGAAGCCTCGGAAAGCTTCTAGTCCGCTAGATAACATCCAGTGCTCGACTAGATTGCTGCTCTTACCTGTGGGGAAATATTTGTTCCTAGACCCCTTTGTTTTTTTGATCAGGATATCAGACTTTGCTTTCATGGAATGACCTAGCACAATGTTCGTGGCTTGTATGATTTCGTCCTTGATTCCAGGCCTGTCGACTGTCATGTCGGTCGATTGGAGGTATGCAAGCAAGGCGCCGAACGTCAATGTTCCTGTGAATTCAACTTTAGCCCTGAATTTTGGTGATTTACTGTCTGGTCCAGATCCACCTTCGGAATGGTACACAACGAGGAATTCTTTCGAAGTGAAGCCAAGAGGTCGAGTAGAGAGCATGGTCGAACTGTGATCGGTTGCAAGTGGGACTTTTGGTAGTTGTTCCAAAAGAAGATGGACCAGTCTTTCCAGCTTCCTGCCTTTCGGCCCTTGGTCTTCGGCGTTTTTATCTTTAGTAGCTCCTGGTTTGGGCTCTTCCTTGAAGTGAATGGCGTAACGATTGAAAGGAGCATCTTCAGTCGGTAGAAGCTCGAAGTAGTTGGTCCACAACTTCACAGGTCTACCCTTCGTGCCGTACCCTGGTCGGGCTGGAATCAAGGTCTTCTCAGTCAGACTCATTTTCTGCAGGCTGGTTTGGAGGTCGCCAGCCATGGACTGTTCTTCGAGCTGCGCGATGTGTTGGCTGGGCTGATGCACTTGGCCATTTTGCCTATTCCTGTCAGTCTCTCGAGCCCTCGAAAATATTGAACCTACTTGAAGGTCGACGCAGATGCAGGTGCTGGTTGACTATATCCACCTCGACCTGGACCACCCCGACCTGGACCACCTCGGCCTGGTCCTCCACGCCCTGGTCCTCCTCGACCTCCTCTACCACTCCATCTGCCTCGGTCTGCCATGTTGTCGCCAACCAAGCTTAAGCAAATGTATGGTGTACCTAGGTGTAAGTTTGGATGCTCAGACGCAAGCACGAATAGTTACCTAGTTGCAAGGCCGTTGATGAGAAGAAGAGAGCAGATCGGATACAAGAAAACATTAAGAGATTGGTATATATGAATGAAACCTCTAAGATGTTATATAAAACTGAGATGAGTTTGTGTGAAGCAAATATGAAGCTGTACAGATGCACAAGCATCAGGCTGGTGGGAGGCAGAGTGAAAAGCAAGCTAGGTATAAAGGTCCGCAGCAGGAGCAACAGCCATGGTGCACAGACCATCCCTCCGTCCAGCAGGCGAACTTCGTCATGTTTCGCATATCTGCAGTAGGTGAAAAGTGCAGGTCACCGGTCGGTGAAGGTCTTGTTTCCCTGGAGAGAGAGGGACAGCATCAAGAAACATTTGCTGGATTGCTTAACACACTGGGAGAAATGCTGGAGCCCAGAGCAGCTCGTGATTGGAAGGATCAATTTCCCCACAAACTCAATTGACAGCACATCCGCCAGGTCTTTTGTTCAAAACGGCATTTGCTTGAAGCAATTGAAACACGAGCTGTGCAATCAAAGCTCTGAGATCTAGGATGTTGCGAGCGATTTCTGTACGTGCATGCGTGTGCCGTCAGCCGTCTCACAGCTCTACATCGTCATTGGGTGGGGATGCATTTTCTAGACGCTGTAGCTGCACGTCGATTGAGGGTGCTTTCACTTTGAGCACGATGACCTCTTATCAATCAGGCTGGAAGAAGCCCAAGCTCAGGCTCAGACATGTGATCGGGTCTGGTGAAGTCTCGGGTTTGGCTTGATATTTGTTCTGGAGATTAGTATACTGTCCTTTCTTTTCATGCTCGAAGCATACGAATTCAGCGTACCCCAGACGGATCACTGAAACATGGCATCTCGCAGACTCTTGTTACTCATAGCAATCTCCATTCTAGGTGTTGCTGCTATAATCTTCGCAGCTGTGGCATCAGCACGATCCAGAGAACTGTCCTTGCCACTTCCAGCTTCATTGGCAGCCCTTAACATCCTCATTCCGATCGTTACCGCTCTAGCTTGGCCACTGACACGAAGTCTAGCAACTCAAATACGGAAACATGCCTTGAGGCTAGCATTATCATACCTCGCCTCTGCATCGACTCTAGCACCATTTGCATTATTCATATTGTCCTTGGTGTACGCCATCCCATCTGACATCCAGGTATGCGCAGCAGATAGGCACTGGCTGAGCATGTTCGAGAACAAAGATGCCAACTCGATCAGATCGATCCAGATAAGACTTCAATGTTGTGGACTGAACTCGGTGCATGATCGAGCTTGGCCATTTCCGAGTCGAGGCGTCGACGCTCGTGCTTGCGAACGGAACCAAGGCTATACAGTGGCTTGTGGCAATATGTGGCGACAGGAGGAGTCTCTTGCAGCGACTTTGACTGCTATTGCAAGCTTTTTGAACTGGTTGATGATGGTAAGGCTTGTTGTGTCTCGTCAACATGTGCTCTACTAATTGACCGTATAGACACTAATCGTTTCTGCAAGTTCTGAGAGCGAAGGACAGATCCGACTTCCAGAGTGGTCTTCGAGCAGACCCACTCACCTGATCGAGGCAGGCGAAGGCCATGAAGAGTCTAGCCATCAGTGCAGGACGACAACTGGGGTAGAATCAGAAGAGGAGAGGATCTGGAACCAGGAGACACAAAACGGTTGTTAGAGCAGGATCAGCAGAGCTCGTTCGGAAACGAAACTCACGAGTACTCTGTGCTCCGCACAATACGCCATTCTTGTGTGTCCACAAGGTCATTTCCGAGAGCTCGAATTGAATGCTATACACACGATTGTCGTTGTGATATTTTACACGCTTGAACGCAGCACTGGAACAATACAAGCACATCTTCATGTCCTTCAACGAATACCCCGTCCGACTTTTGTGAATCGCTCTATACTGCGATCTTAAGAGGCAATACCCAGTCCTTGCCGAAGTCGACCCCCTGCCTTCGTCGACTTCCATTCCTCTGCCACGCCACCAGACTCAGTCCAATGTCTGCTACAGATACAGCCACTTCATGATTGATATTGCCAGCGTTTTGAGGCATATATTGATACTCCCCAGCCATGTAGGCTAGTGACCCGACTTTAGGTGCACCCAGAGAAACGATGTGTGTAGTGGCCATGAGCAGAGGAGTGCCATCGACCTCAGTTACAACACCCGAGGCCGCGGACACTCCTGAAGGGACGTCGAGTGAAAGGACAACAATTCCTGCTTCAGGGTTTTTGCTAGCCAGCAGATTGACCCACTTAATCATGCTGAATATGGTGGCTTGCTCGTCAGTCCGTAGCTCATCAAAAGCGTGATGTACACCAAGCAGACAGTCAACAACGAAATCTGGTGGCTGAATCGCGCTGATATTTGATGCTATTGTCGTTGTCATCGCAGCCCCGTTCGCGACCTTTGCTTGATAATCGTCCCATCGTTCCACGTATCCTTGACTTGCTCGATAGATCTTAAGCTGTTTGCGCACGATTTCAAGGAGGTGTTCTTCGCCACGTTCCAATCCTACAAGACATACTGTGACTCTCACTCGTCTGTTGCGGAGGTGTCTAGCCGCTGCCAGAGCGCGTGCCGCGGACTTGTGATTGCCGAGAAGGAAGAGGACGTTCTTGACCTCTGTCTGTGCTTGTGGCGCGACGGTATTGATCAACGAGGCAGACATGATCGAGGATGACTTCAATACTGCTTCAGCTATTGATCGACCGGCATTCTCACACAGCATGTCTTCGGTTAACCCAAGCTCCGATGTGCACAATTGCTCGAGTTCTAGCATCTGAAGTGGTGAAATTGCATGACACGGCTTGTTATTCGAAGCTATTCGAAAGGACGCCCTGTTGCCCGATACAGAACCGTTCAAGGGCGAGCCAGTAGCTATTCGAGTCAATGGGCGAGGAGAGGGTTCTTTTCGATCCAGGTGGCTCGGGATGGCACTACCTTTCCGTGTCTGCACTGGTCGTCTCGATGCCGCTCGTCTCGAGTTTCTGCCGCTGCTGTAGTTGTCGTCCCGTGGGACTTCATCCTCAGTCTCGCCCGCTTCAGACTTCCATCTGTTTGTATCTTGCGTGTCCGGTACATCAAGGACATTCTCGGTGAAGTGCAAGTTTTTGCCTCCGTTCGTGCCTGGACGCGGCTTGTTGTTTCTGTTGAAGCTGACTAGACGTTCTTCGTCGGCCGTAGTGTCATCTCTCCTGATATCATCGAAAACCTTTCTCTTGTCAAATTTCGCATGGTTGCCCTCGAAATCAAATTCGCCCATATCTGCGATGTCTGTAGCGTCCTCGGTAGCCCAGCCATTGGGGTCCTCAGCAGGATATCGACCTCGTTGCCTGCGACCTGGGCGAGGCTTTTCTTCTATGAGAGGTGTATTCCGCCAACCGCGTCCTTTTCCTGGCTGCTTCTTGCTCTGCTTCTGTGGCACGGGATGGACATCTTTCAGATCTATTATACCTGGGCCTGTCTGCGATATTCGCTTTTCCGCATCCTCTGCGTTTGGTGGCTGTTGCTTAGTGATCTCTAGCGCACTGAAAGGTTCTGTGAGTGTAGCGGTCGCAGTGGAATCTCTTCTGCTCTGTTTTCTTGCTGTGCCTATACTAGATATAGAACTTTGTCCACGGAGATTTCGCTGAGGTAGCGCTTGAACTGGACTTATTACAGCGCTGTCTGCTATCGTGATCGGCGATGTGGACGTCTGAAGTGTAGGTTGGATCTGTGGTTGCCGTGCATTTCGGTTGAAACTGAGGATAGCAGGATCGACGAAAGACGATTGCTGGAGGAGTGGCTGCTGGGTAGGGCCAGTCGGTGTGGGCAATTCATCGTCTTTGGCAGGGGCTATTTCGAGGTCGGCGATAGAAGTTGCATCAAGCGCATAAGAGGTCAATCGTTGACCTGTACTGCGGACAGTTACTGATGCGTTTAGTAAGGAAACGATATGTCGACTCGGCTGACTGACCGTCACGAAGGTATAACTTCTGATTAATCACATCTGACACAACTCCGTCCAGCTGGAAGCCAGGCGGACTGCGCAAAGTAACCAGGATCGAATAGCCAATAAATTCGGCGGCCATGCTGGATTTCAGGCTGCTTGCATATCAACGCGTGGAGGAACAACGAGAGGGATTGCTTCTTTAGTGATTTAACTAAACCGCAAATTGTAGACTGTGACCAATGGATATGGACAGGGAAAATGGTATATAGCAAATGTGGAATTGAATTCTGTCGGGTTCGCAATGTTCGTAAGGAAGACATGCTCCTTTTATCGACGTCATAGGCTATAGTATACAGAGATCTACAGGTACTGCTTGTTAGCGTACGTTGCGAGCTATACTAGTAGTATCGGGGTATCCTTGAGGCTGTATCGGGGCGATTCAAATATTCTCAACCATTGCGACCGTGCTGCATCTAGCCATACATGTACAGCTCTTGCTCTTCATCGATCGCTTCGCCAGATTCCCTAGTGGTCGACGAGGTAGTCGGCTTCGCAGTCTTGCCAGCAAGATCGTTATAACTGGTGAGGGCTTTATAGAACGTGATGACCTTTGGGTGCACCATGACTTTTCTTGCATCGAAACGTAACACTTGAAGACCTCCTTGACTAGTGGCACGACTGAGTGCGACATATGCCTGGCCACGCTCAAAGACTTTACCGAGATCAACCTTGACACGAGAGAGTGTTTGACCTTGAGCTTTGTGAATCGATAAAGCCCAGGCCAGAATCAAGGGCACCTGGACGCGCTTTGCCGCAACTTCACCAGTTTGTGTTTCGGTCTTCCATTCTTCAGGTTGACACAGCATATCTCTGAAAGTGCCGTCAGCAAGTGGGAACCGAATCATTGGCCAGTATCTTGTAACTGCACCAGGCTCTTTGTGCTTGTAACGTGCAGCATCAAATCTGGCTCTAGCAGCTTTGGTTTCTTCATCATCACTCATACCCTCACGGTAGGCTGTACGATAAGTCTCCTCATCTCCTTTGTATGTGGCATAAGTCGCTTCGTCCATAAACGATATGACTTTGCCCAAGGTGCCGTTGACGAGTTGCGGATCGATGTTCTTAATGAGCATGACTTGCGCACCTTTTTTCAAGGTCAATTGCTCAGGCGCTAGAAAATTGGCGAGAATTTTGGCTCGTGCATTAACCTCAGCCACACCACTATCTGTCGCTTGATATGTCATGACCTGGCCAGACAGACGTTGCATGCGAGTGTTGTTAGCCATATCGACCTCACCTCGAGTGGGAAACAGTTCGGTGGCATCCACGTCGTCAGTGAATGTAAGTGGTCGGGACAGTTTCTGAAACTCTTTGATCGAAGCAGGACTCAATTGACCCAATCTCATTTCGTTTAGCATATTTGCGAAAACAGGATCCTTCTGACGGAACACATGAGTCAAGAGGATAGTGTGTTGAATACAGGTGCTCCAGGTCGCTGCATCGAATGCAAATTTGGCAACCTGGTTCTTCTCAGGGACTGGCGGCAGCTGGAAGAAATCACCTGTGATCACGAGTTGAATCCCTCCAAAGGGCCGACCATTGTTTCTCACTATTCGAGCGACTTGCTCCAGTTTGTCGAACAGCTCGCCGTCCACCATGGAGATCTCGTCGATAATGAGAACCTTTGTTCTGGACCATTTCGCTCTGGTCTTCGCATTTCGCTTGATCTTCTTTACCAGTTCAGGGGCTGGTTCCTTGCCCAGACCTATTCCGGCCCAGCTATGCAAAGTTGTGCCCTCGATAACGCAAGCAGCCAGACCCGTAGAAGCAGTGATAGCCAGGCGATCAGGCTCTCGTCTGTATTTTGCTTTCAACTGTGTGATGATACTGCGCATCAAGACTGATTTACCAGTACCTGCTGATCCCGTGAAGAACACACTCTTTCCTTCTTCTACCACAGCCTTGGCAACTCCTCTTTGCTCATCGCTGAGATGTGATGCAGCAATCTTCGGAGTGATGACCGCGCCTGGGATGGCTTTGACTTTAAGTGCCGCCTGCCTACTCGTGTTCTTCTTCCTCAACTCTTTCTGGCCGTCCTTCACAGCGGAAGCCGACTTCTCCCATGGATATTTTTCACCATCAACTTTCGCCTTGGGTAGTGGAGTGAACGTGTTCTTGCTTGATTGCTGCAGATGAGTCTGCTCTTGGAGCTGGGAGTCGTTTTTCTGCTCCCAGGGAAGTGTCCTCCTCTTCTTTAACGGCTGCTCTTCCTGTACAGGGGCGAGAGTCCTAATGGGTTTTGGAGAAGGCTTCCTGTAGTGTGCTGCTGGAGAAGAGGACCACTCAACAGGTGCACTACTTTGCGGTACACGTGGTGATTGCGATGGATGAGATACAGGAGGAAGTTCTGGATAATGTATTTGACCTGCTGAGCCTAAACTCGGATACTTGATCTCAGTAGCCCTAGGTGGTGAAGAGGTTAGATCAATGGCAATATCGTCATCGAAATCATTCTCGTTGAAGACGACGTTCTGGTGCAGCGCACTCAAGTTGTTGGTACTGCTCATTGTGCGATCGAACTTGCGTTTAGTAGCATTGTTTTGTACTGATTGCCTCTGCATGTTCGTAGCAGCATTATTCAGGTTGAGTGGTTGCTGTACTTGTGGTCGATTTGCAGAAGCGTGTGTGCTCACTGCTCGACTCAACATATTGGCGCCTAGAAAAGCGAGCGTAGGTCGAGTCAACGCAGCATGAGGCAAGGGCAAGTTGCAGACAAGATGAAGCAGTGACATACACGAACGTTGAGTTGTACTTGCGAGTTGTTTGGTGGTCGTAGAAAGAGGGCCGTGTATCTTTGTGGTTAAGTGCCACAGGCGCGTTCGCGTCGCGCGCAGGGCCGCCTCGCAATTTCTTGGCGCTGACGGCCTCGACTCCACCAGTTTCGGATTGAAAACGAAGCTTCATTAACTATCGTTCTTACGAGATTTTGTAGCTCTAAGCGACGCACATGATGTGTTGCAGAAGAACGACCATTTATTCAGAAGCGCTTTCATGGTTATCGAGGCGACTCCCTTGAGTCTGTTATGGTTCAAAGTGTCGAAACGGCTAGGCGTTGTTGTTCATGGAATGAAAGAACATCCTAGGAACACAAGATACTGAGCGAAGTACTGGACAAGCACAGACGAACACCTATTCAGCTAAGAAACCATTTGCCGACCTATTGTGAGTCGAAAATAATGCTCTCAAGTGTATGCCCACCCATGTTTTGCGTCTTATGGTCAAAATATTGAGATACCTCGGCATATCGCAACCACACAATTCGCGGTCAAGATGGAAGCTTTTAATGTGTTCTGTAGACATATTAAACTTAGTAGGGTATGCTGACAACAGAACAACGACACGATGGACGACAACGAGGAGACTGTAAAGAAGTCGATATTACCAGATGGCATCTGCTTGATCAGCCTCAATCGACCACACAGACGCAATGCAGTAGACCCAGCCACAGCCAAGAAGCTCTACGAAGCCTTTCTTGCCTTTGAGGCAAGCACAGAGCAGAAAATTTGTGTATTCTACGGCGAGCATGGCACTTTTTGCGCTGGTGCGGACCTTCATGAAGTAGCCCAGATCAAGGATGATGAAGCCAAATCGCTGACTCCAGTACAAGATCGCAATCAGGGTCCAATGGGTCCATCGCGGCTGCAAACCAAGAAACCAGTGATAGCTGCTGTTGCAGGTCATGCTGTTGCTGGAGGTCTTGAGTTATCTCTCCTGGCTGATATGAGAGTTGTCGAGGAAAGTGCCATATTTGGTGTTTTCTGTCGACGGTGGGGAGTACCTCTGATCGACGGTGGCACTGTCAGGCTACAGCGCATCATCGGTCTTGGACGAGCGCTTGACATGATATTGACTGGACGTCCGGTCGGAGCTCAAGAAGCCCTACAGATGGGACTAGCAAATCGAGTGGTAGCTGACGGCAAGGCTCTGGATACAGCCATTTCAATTGCACGGCAGCTTGTGAAGTTCCCACAGTTATGCATGAATGCCGATCGAGAATCGGCATACTATGCTGCCTACGACTCAGTCTCGTTTACAGATGCTCTGCGCTACGAGTTTGAGAACGGGAGTAGGGTCGTCATCGCAGAGGGAAAGGTTGGTGCGGCCAGGTTCAAAGAGGGCGCAGGTAGGCACGGTGATTTCTCAGAGGCAAAACACTCCAAGCTATGATCTTGTCGTAGATGCAAGATACTGTACATGAAGGGGTTGCTCGTTTACCGCAGTTATCGTTGTCTGCCACAGGGTTTGACGTTACCTGTTCTGTCACACTAAGATCAACGATAGCAGAGCCGCGCGTCCAACTGGACTGCGATAATTGTTCACCACATAGCTCTGCAAATAGACCAAGTCAGTAAAGACTGTAGTGCCTCGAATGTGGAACATGTACTTCGAGGAGGAGGTCTCCAGGGCAAAGCGTTGCCAACAGGGTTACAGTAAGTGCGTCAGAAACCTCCAGGGATGGTTCCGTTCTGGGTCGGATTAATGAAGCTAATCCGTAGCCCAAAATACTCAAGTAACAGGCGAAGGTTTCTTGTAGCAGCGACTTCAACCACGGTTAATCGTAGAAGCGATAGTGTAGGTATAAGGACCAATTGTTGTAATCAGCGACCAGCCGCGAAAACGAAATCACCTTGTGTTCAGTCCATGGTTACATAACGAAGGAAGTGGAGAACAGGTGGCCCATTCCAATAGAACAACGACGTTGACGATAGGTCCCGAGTGTACCTAGAGTTTCGAGTTTCCATAAGGAAGGTGCTTCGATCAGGTTTCGAGAAAGTGAGTGGAGAGTACAAAGCTTAATTACTTAGCTGCACAACCCCATTTGGAGTCTCTCCACTCCTTCTATCGTTCCTCAGTGTTGTTCCTTGCTGCAGATCCCATCAAGCGCAAACCAAATATCCTGTGCTTTAGCGTCATAGTAGGGCGTGGTACCGTTTCTTGCAGCCTCTCATCGCCAGCACTTTTCGATCACCTTGCTGTGTTTTGCATACGCGGATACATCCGATCGTACGGTGGTGATGGAGAGGGTGTGCCTTGATCGAGGTCCCTGTCATCCTCCCTAGTCAGCTATATCGCGATATCATCGTCGCGTGATAGCTCTTCTGTTGTCGTATCAACCTGTATGCTGGGATTCAGCTACGATTGGAATGAGACGTTGCTTGTTTAGTGCATGTGGTTGTGCTAGCAACTGAAGAGGCTCAATTTAAATATTGGAGAGGCAGAGACTAAGTCGAAACTTGATCATGCAGACGTGCCTCACTAATGAGTCCACCTGCTCTATGAGACAGAATGTTGATTCGGTACGAGGCAAAGGAACAAGAACGAACGGTTAATGCGCTTCAATTCTGTCATTTCCATGTCTTTGGTCAAACAAACGTAGAGATCGCCTCTTACTGCCCGTTATCCTGGGAATACCTGCGCTGAGAACATCTCACATTTCTATCCGTAAACACCAGTGCTCACAAAAATATAATCTCTCAAAACGCCAGAGACAATGTGTCTTTATTATCGGAGCCGTAACAACAGGGTATCAAACTTAAGAAGTAGTACTTGACAACCCGGATCATTGTTGTGATAAATTCGAGGTCGGGTCAGATAACAGAAACATGTCGAACTCTTGAGGCGACTCAGAGTTATCGATCGAACTCCATGTATCTGTATGTATTGATCGTGATGCCGTGAGTTGGCTGCTCAAATCGTGTATAAGAGCTTTTAGCTTCGAGATCTCGTCCGCTTGAGCCGCATACGATGTAGATAGGATCTCGTGTTTTTGCTTCCAGAGTGCAACTCGAGCTTCCAGCTCGCGCTGGTGCTTCTCTTTGCGGTCGCGATATGCACGTTGCGATTGTCGGTTTTGTTCTCTCCTTTTCTGTCACAAGAATAAATGTCCGGTTCTCAAGCAGCAGGAGGATACTTACCTCGAACTTGTTCGGAACAACGTTACGAGATTCAGACAGGGATTTCGAGGAGCTGAGACTGGAAGACCTTGGAGAGGAAGCGGTCGAAAGGGGTGATACAACGCTTGAGGAGTCTACTCCAGCCCTGAAGTCAGGTGAATGAAGCATCTATAAGTCGTTAGGCTGGGCAATAATTCGTTGTATTCACATTACTGACTTGGCTATAATTCACTACCATCTGTTGATCAAACGGTAAGTCCCAACTTGTTGACTGTATCGAATTAAAGTCATAAGAGTCAAACATATTTGTATTCAGTTCGTTCATATTTATGTTCAGTGACGTTCAATCCTGTTCCTTGAAAATAGGTGACGACTCAAGAGAGTGGTAAGAAGGCCTTCAGTGATAGAGCAGAACGACATCTTAGATAGAGGATAACACTCGATATACATACCATTGCTCAATCAGATTCAAAGTCAAAAACTCGGAGCCGCAATGAGGTCCTCCTGATTGAAAACCCCTAGTACATCACCAGTAAAGTCTGTGTGACTACTAGTCGATATGACTGGGGTACGTCCGGATACGCGCCACGATTGCGAAGGGCGAGGCATCCTCAGAAGATCTACGCGATGCCTCCCGCATAGTGTCCGGTAGCTATTGCATGTGTCGATGCTTCTATTCCCAGTCAATGCTTAAAACGTTAGGATGCGTAACTTTCCACAATCCGTTTGACCAGGACACACAACTTACTGTAACGTCATGCACACAACGTTCCTGATATGGCCGAACTCCATGTGACATCTGCTCGACTCGGTCCAAAAAGCCTCGTCCGAGGATGCCGCGGCCCCGAGAGCGCGAATTGTGAGCCGAAGGTTCGCTATGTTTTTAATTGGATCTTATGCCTGCGCATGGGGTACATGATCGTCAAACTTGCCGAAGACCGTGCGGTACCAGTCTCCACTCGTGCAATTGGTACACCACAAACCCTTTACAGGTTCATGCGGCAATAGCACGATCTTCATGCCCCCCGTCCAGCACGCTGCTCTATTCATTTACGGCAAGACGGACAAATTTAAGAATAATGCGAACCTCCTCAGACTATCGAGGCATGATTTCGCCGCCAGAGAACTGCGGTCAAAGCATTGTTGATTGCACCTGCTGCAGCTTGAGAAAACATCTCTCGATGCAGTGTGAGAGGAAGGTGCGATAAGGGCAACTTTAATCTCAACGCCGCTTTGCACAAAGTACAAACAACAGGTTGGAAATACTGCAAGTAGTTTGCGCAGAGGTACATCGCGAGGATTTGTCTTGCGCTGGTTGAGTAGCTATAGCGAGCGACATACTTAAAAGCATTAGCTGTATCTCTAGATACATACTGTAAGAAACACGAAATACGGTCAGCCATCTGTCGGATCGATGCTGTTCCGCCTTTAGTCCTTATCGAAAGACCACATATGCTATAATGGCCTAACGGTCGGATAAAGTCGAGGAGGTGAGTAGAGGTCACCTATCCATACGTCGTCATTTCAGTCGAGCTAAACTTGCAGAGTAGTCCGCCTCAGAGATCGCCGCGCTAGCATCTAGCGTTATACAGCAGCTTGGGACGCACCTTCGTGGGGTAGTAGTTGGTACGTGCTTTTTATGGGGGTGCTGAGCTCGCCTAAAACCGCATGTACGCAATCGAGAATGAGTCAGCCATATATGGCGCACTTGATCGTGCTACGCGTACGTTAGTATGCCATCCCAACGTCGAAGTATACCAGCGCCCGCCTTGCGATCAGCACAGGTCTTGCAAGCAAATGCAAATGCAGAAAATTATGGCGGACATGCCATATGGAAAAATGTGGCTCTCATATGGTCATTCATATGTTGTGGTCCGTTCGAAATCACATAACCGAGCATAACATTGCACTGGTGTATGTTCGAGAAGGACATCGAAGAAGTCGCAAATGCTACTCGTGCGCATCCACCACGTCCTCGAAGTTTAATACTTGTAGTTCTTCGACCAAGGAGGCAATGGACGGAGTTAAAGTTCTTGGTTTCTAGATCGGTGAGGCGTGATGCTAATTCCGCTGCTCGTTGATGGTTCCTCGGTTATCGGACCTTTGGTTGTCTCCCAGCTGTGGCACCAAAATTAAAGAGTAAGATAAATGCCATGCATTTCCACAGAGCACCATTCCGACTTCAATGTAACAGCGCCGTCATGAACATGAACGACGGAGCTGGCTGTGTTCTGAAAGATATGGCACGTCAATCATTCGTGGATCGTCCAACTAGCCAGGTCAATCCAAGTTGTTTGGCAACTTCCGGTTGCGCTAGTGGCTTTCGTCTCATGAGATGTTTTCCTCTTAACTACAGTGGCTTAGGTCTCGTTCTCGCATTGTCTGTAGCTAGCGTTTCAAGAACACGACGTTACATCAGCGGCGATGTCGACCCACAAGCCTGTAGCAATGCAATCAAGCAGTTTGCGATAAGAGCTTTCTTGGCGCCCGTTTTGGCTTAAGCTTTTCTTAAAAGCTTGAAACACGCTCAGCTAGCTTGTGACGGTGCTGCAGAAGTGTTTCGACAGGAACTGCTCGACACGTACGTGTACTCACCAAAAACACCGTTGTATGCGATCACGTTCATGGTTCTCTGCACGAGAGTGTTTTAGCCCCGATAAGCAGTGTTCATACCGGCCATGAACCGAGCTCGAACCAGTACATTCTTGTGATCTGCGCTGCTTCTCGTCAATCATGCCAGGCGTAGATGTCCGCATAAGTTCGAGGATGGCACGGTGGATAGAAGTTAAATGTGTAGAGGCAGGCGAAGGTGTGGTGGTGGGTCGTGGTCGTAGGCATGGCTGGAATTATGGTAATGCGTGACGTCACATACCACAATCCGAGAACAGTATACTCCCAGAGGTTGTGAAAGGATAACGGACATTCAAGTTTTCGGTCAGACGAAGCCGACTTCGAGCAGAAGTCGCTTAAGGTTTGGGATGCCGACTACACGGAGTGCCAGCAAAAAGCAGGCCAGTCTAGATGATTTCACAGAGGGCAGCACGCTGAAGCCACAACCAAGCAGAAACAAGGCCGTCAGAGAAGAGCCCAAAAGCACAACATCGAAGCCTCCGAGTAAAGAGAACAGCTCTGCAAAGCGCAAATTGGATGGGGATGACAAGACGTCGCGACCTCGCTCGAAGAAGCTCAAGGAGGAAGAGCCCGAGAACACCAAGCAGTCTCACTTCGAAGAGCACAGTACTACCGAGCTCGAAAAGCCTATAGTCATTAATCGATCACCAGTGCTTCAGCTCTGGGGCGCATCAGTGGCGAGCTTTCTCCATCCGGCTGAGTCGTGGGAGACGTGCTTGAGCATTGGCGGGTCAATAGCAAGTCTATGCGCAATCTCGAAAGGCCGCGCCATTGGAAAGGTCGAGCCAAAGGATACATCAGACGAGGCAGAGAAAAAGCGCAAGGACCGCAAGCGGAAGTCTGAGGATGATTCGCGTGAGCTTGAAGTCATGGGCTTTCCCATGCACATCAAGAATGGCGTCGTCCTTGTCGATGGCAAGCAGAAACCACTGAATGAGGGCTCCTTGCGAAGCAAGTTTGGCGGCGAAGGTTCACTGAACGCTGCTAAGAAAGTAATGCAGGAAGCCCTCGAGACATGGCAGAACGACAAAGATGAGTTGGATAAAAAGGCTTTTCATATCTACGAGAAGTTCCGTCCCAATGTCGCCTCAGGCTCCGGTGGTTGGGGTAAAAAGGGCGAGCTCAATCTTCATGAAGTTCGGAGTGTGATCACAAAGTGAAGCGAAAATATGAACGGTCACAGCCTCTCAAATCCAGTCAACCAAGCACTTTGGGAATCTGCTCAACAAGATAATCGACGACAGCATCCGGGCCTCTCTCAACTTGAAGACCTTGCGGGATAGCGTGTGTTTTGATGTCCGGAACAATGCTTCGGGCAGTTTCTTGTATTTGTGCAGCTTGCTCAGGAGACCACATCGAAGCACAGAACTGGTCCAATTTTATCAGCACCCTCGCATATCTCGTGGACAGCACTACCGCAGTGCAGATCGTTCACTCACTAGCAGATTCGGTTTATGCTCTCTGACTAACGGCTCGACCTGCTCAATCGCTGGTCTTGTCAGCTTCGAATCTAATTGCTAAACTGCAGCTGACTCACAGTCGGCATTCGCAACATGCTGTATCGTATATTGATCTTTCAACGCCTCTGCGACTCTTCCAACCAACCTCTGAGCGCGTTCCGGCGCTGTATTAACAGTCACTAATCTCCAGGTGGTATCTGACATGGTTGGCCTGAGGATCTTGTGGTCAAAAACAGAAAAGCGCTTCGATTAAAGTAGGCTTATACACAACCCTATCGAAAGTAATAACGAAGTGCTGTAGTCTTCAATGTTGGTACTAGGATACAAACTTGAAGCCAGGATGCTTTAACACACACAGCCTGCTGCTCGAGCACGAAAGGTGCTTCTTACGAGTACCGAACCGCCCACGATCCGAAGTCGGCAACAAAGAAGCCCTCGGTCATATGCGAACCAAGTCTTGGCAGGGGCTGGCTGTACGATACTCTTGTACAAACTCGTACATGTGCATGGTTTCGAGAGAAAGAACTATGATTTGATCAACAACAAACGGTCGACTGTTTATTATGTATAGGTACTCGAGGTCTTCCAAACTCATTGTCGGTGACTAAAACGCAAGGCTGCGTCGAATAGTGGCTCGTAATTATCAGCTTCGCTGAGCCGGAAAGAGAGAACGAATGTTAGGGCAGTGACTTAAGCTTTGATGAATACTCGCGTGTCGACGCGTCGACTCTGGATCAATAACAAAGATGGTAGACTGAATTGTATTCCTACATGTGCTTTACAAAGGTATATAACACTACATTAAATCAGACGTCATGTCCGACGAAGTGTCGAGTAAATCGGGAACCATTATTGTGCCAGCATCCCACGTCCGTCACCAGAGACAGTGCTTGGAACGGTGAGGTACCAAGACTACGTCGGCTCAAGAGACCTCTTCTCCACATCTTCGACACTTGAGACTTGTACCAATTGTATGTCTTACCATGAGGAAACTCTCGCTGCCACATCTTTTGCATTTCAGCTCCTCTCCCTCGGAGTTGGCTACATTGTTGATACCAGTAATGCCTAGTCCACCTGGACCACCATGGCTTTCGCTCCGCTCCTCAGTCGGTGTCGTGGTGTTACTAACACTGTCTCGACTACCTCTTTCGTCGGACAGCATACTGACTGCACTTTCCAGGCGTTCTAACTCCCCAGCGCCTGGTGATAAGGCTGGGCCGGGCGTACGTGGTTGCGCGGTGACCATTGGCAAAAAATTGTGCTGAACATCATATGCCATAAAACTATGGTCACCGTCAAGGAAGAGCTCGTTGTCACTTGTGACTTTAACAGTGTCAACCTGATCGCGGCTTACAACAGGTGACACGTTCGTGAGAGAGATGTTAGGAATAGAATTCGACTCAGGCGGTTGCATCGGCGTTGTTGACTTTGTAGTCCTTGAAGATGTATGCCTTTGCGAATGGTCGGACACATCGTGATAATTCGGACTGACAGTGCTGCGGTCTGCACCAGGAAGCATATGCTGATCAGCTGTCGAATTCTGAGCAGTGTGTGACCGTTGTGAATCGTCCTTTGAAGGCTGAGAAGAATTTGCCAGTGGAGTTGAGCCATGTCGCAATGAGAATCTACGGGCGAATCCTCGTTTTCCTCGGCCACGGCTTTGAGGAGACGCGCTACGCCCGCGTTCTGTCTGAAGGGCTGATCGATAGTCGTCACCTGGTGCCACTTCAGACGTGCTTGTTGCAGCGCTAGGGGGCTTCGCAACCGAAATTGCATTGCGCCAATCGTTGATGTTGTCACGATTTGCAGGGTTTCTCAAGTCTCCCAAGGTTATCGACTTTCTGTACGTTGACGATCGTTCTGAAGTCTTTGTGGTAGTCGAACCACTCCTACCTAGCATTTTTCGTGAAAAACTAGCTGTATCCCAGGAGCCTTCTCTTCTTTTCTGGTAAGCACAATCTTGTCTAAACACCTTGATCTCGCCCGTATAATCACCTGTTACCATAATCAAACCCTGTGTATGGGAATTTCTGGCAGTGTATTGCGGACTTTCGTCTGTATAAGGACTGCTTGATTGCGCAGGAGATCCGCATTCATCGTTGTCGGCGGGTGCACGAGATGAAAGGACAGAATCGGTCCTGCTTAGCAATCGTACAGGAGGTGGATTGCACAGATCGTATATTGGGTCCCCGGAGCGCGCAAGAAGCCTGCGCGACTTAGTGGGTAGCAGCAATGCCGTCGTGACGGTCGATGTATGAGCCTCAAATATTTCCACAGGTCGTTTCTCAGGATCCTGGCGCTCCACAGGCCCAGTCGGCCAAACATACACGCGTTTATCCTCGCTTCCACAAATGACATATTTGCCGTCGTCGCTGAAGGAAGCCCTAATCTGGCTTGAGTTGTTTTCATTGCCGCGGAACTTGACCTCAAGAGAACGATCTCTAAGGTTGTACAGCCTGATGCGAGAATCATTGCTTGTGATTAGGATCTTCACATCGGGCGGCCCTACAGGTCTTGATATCTGTATGGTTTCTATACCTGTAATTTTGCTGCCCTTGGAATTCTTGCCACGATTGGACCTTACATGAATCTGCGAATGTGCTTTGAGTCCCTCAGTGTCGTATAAAATACAAATGCCTGACAGGGTGCCGGCGATCGCAGTCTTGCCGTCAGGCGTAAATGCAACAGCAGTAACCATGTCTTGAACTGGTGCCCAATAGGCGACATTCTTATCCGGGATCGACCACAACCTTATCTTGGAATCGAGTGAGCCGGCCAGGAAGAAGCGGTCGTCGCGGGGATGAAAAGAAATTGAGGTCACAAAATCGTTGTGTTTGAAAGCACACAAGCACTCGGGGCGGCTGATATGGTATAAGCGCACAGTCTTATCCATGGATGAGGACAACAGGAAATTGTTCTTGCTCCACGTCAGATCAAGAATGGCTGCTGTGTGGCCTTCATATTCCCGAACGAGCTCTTGTCCAAAAACAGGCGCGCTAAGTATGACATCCTGCTCGTTTCCTTTCAAGGGGCTCTCCCGATCTTGATCACTTGAGATAACACGCCATACTTTGAGTTTCTTGTCCTGGCCAGCCGCGGCATAGTACTGTCCATCTTTTGAAACTTCGGCAGCCCAGACTGCATTGTTCTTGAGACGTGCTGAATTGGGTGGTGGAACGACAGGGCGATCGTTAATGCCATGGATCTTAGCATCGACCTCATGCACGGAGCCCTTTCGGCTTCGAGGGGCGCATTCTGACAGTATTTGCGCTAGGAACAGCCGATCAAAGTCCCTCCTCTTCCTGTTCTGCGCTTTGACTCTGATGTAACGTTGCGGGGCTGGATAGTTGGGCTGGTAACCTAGACCAACGGGTTGCGAGAAGACTTCGGCGTGGTTACCTGGTTCTCGATTGTCCATAAGTTCGGAAACATTGTCAGGAGGATCTGGCTGCTCCTCTCGATTCTTGTTCCCCAATATGCGGCTTAGAAAGCCTTTTCTGTGCTGATCGTAAGCAAAAGCTAGCTTCAACATCTCGCCGCATGGAAGGCATTGGAAAAACGGAGCAAGCAGCATTGAACATACTTTTTCTCTTTCGGACCTTTATTGCTAGCTAGGCTATCGGACCGCCTTAAGGATTCTGACTCGGTGAGACTCGTGCCTTGGCGATTTAGTGACTGCGGCTCCTCCGAAGCAGTAGATAAGCCTTGCGAAGGCGGAGAAGTATATTGTGAACCAGGAACCCGATGCTGTGAGTTTGTCCTTGCCAGGATTTGCTGGAAATGTATTTAGTAAGACGATGCTGCTACAGGGCTGGGCCAACGGCGTACTCGGCTTATAGGGTCTATCGCAGGTGGTTCCTCCATCGCGTTGTCCATTTTGTAATGCGGTTCTGAGTCCAGGCGTGTGTGGCCCGGGACGTCAATGGTGTCAGCGTTCGGGAGGAAGAGCACGTCTGAAGTGAACAATCCCAGTCAGCATTATGAGTCCTCTCAGGTATGTGCAATCGCAATGTCCCTCAATTGAAGCAGAACAGCTTGCAACGAACAATTTCCTTGCAGGTACGGGTCATCGACCATTCGAAACATGACAACCGTACGTTGCTGACTGGACTGTAGTGGGAGAAAAGCTTACCTGAGACTTTGACATTCTGGCGCTTGCCCGCCGGAACTTCGGCAGCACCACTATTCGTTACAGAGGCAGTTGCATCATTGGACAACGGCTGATCGAACGACCTCCGAATGATGGTTGAACTTCTTTGCATCTGGTACAAGGCTTTGCCAACATCTTCGAAAAACAAGCAAGCATGGCGGAAGACCGATCACAGAACAATAGAGGTGCCTGATCTTTCATACCTGTCAAAAGGAGCTAAGCCTCACGGCCCCTTCACACCTGGTAGCAGACATTCTCTCAGAGGTCACGCAGGATCGATGACTATCCGGCTCGGCATGCTCGATGCTCCGTTCCAGCATGCTTCAATTTTATACTCGTACATTATTCGCTGCTATTCAGTCCTTCTGGAGCACAAGTCCTCGCTTCAAGTATGCGATCGTTGCATGGTTGGTCGAGCCAACTCGATGGATGTTCTCTCATACTGTAGCTACGGTCGTAGTATTGAGGTCATAACACCATGCTAGGCAGTATCTACCACAATGAGAACCGCGGTATTGGTCACGCCCACTCCGGTGGCTCGCCATCACGATGACATGTGTTTGACAAGATTCTGCCATCGAATATGCTCTACAACATCGACTGTGCTGGTAGAAGCACCTCAAAAGTTGTAGTGCTGCCGATCAGACACACTGGAGGTATGAAGGACACCTCGCTTGTGGTAGCCTGTGCATTCAGAGTTATGCCCAACAACTCATCGGGTTGACTATCTGAATACCTGTAGCAACCATGCCACATAGGAATCAGTGCCTCGTTCATACACAGCATCATGCTCACCCCAACCGAGTTCATGAGTTACTGTAGAGAGCGACTCGAGCTCGTAACAGGGTAGAACCATAGCCACGTCAGTCCAAGCAATAGTTCATTTTTTAAGGCACACTCTGATGTTGTGTCTTGATGGTCGCGACAAGAAGTGTCCCTTTTGAGTGACTAAAACGACTCGGTGCACATCTATCATGAAAACAAAGGATGCACGACCTGCCATGCGTGGGCTTCGTGCAGATTTCTAGGGATCAGCGAACACATTTTTCTCAGAAGTGGCAGTACTTTTAGATGATGAAGCCAAATCTTGTCAGAGGACGCCTGTGAATCATGTCCGTCGTGAGGGCTACATGTTTCCTCCAGGCTATATGGGTGATGTGAGTAAGCAATACGAAAGATGATTCACGGTCGGTCTAATTTAAGCCTCACGGGAAATCTATCAGGATCAAATATTAGCTGGCGCATTGACGTTTGCAACGAGTAAGGCCGGCTAGTGATCTTTGATTCTCACGCTCAGGGTTCACCCCCCTTTATTTTGTGTTTGTGTACAACGTGGGGTCTGAAGCTGGAGATGCAAATCGGCAGTTGTACGACCGCACGGACCGTCATCGGCAACAACTTCAATACGAGAAAGACAGCAGTAATATCTGTAGTGGCATACTGTGCTGAAGCATTGGGAGGTACACATGAGTGTATTTTTAAGGTCAAATAGTGCCATCTTCTTTCCACTCCTACGAAGCAGTATCTCAAAAGCAATTCCAGTAAAGTATCGGTATCAACACTCTTTAAGCTCGGACAACATGACTTCCTGGAAACGTAAGTCGGTCTCGTCCATCCTGATCTCAGCACACTTGTCGTCCTATCTGGGCATATATTTATGGTTTCTAGGTCTTGTTCGATTTGTACCAAAATCGGATTCAAGCAAGGTCTTGATCGGCCAACCCACAGACGAGAGTATTGACGTGGGTGTCGCTGTCAAGGAAGGAAAGGAGGTATTGGTTGATGTTTTCAGTGGCTCCTCCGTCCTGTCACCGGGCCAATCGTCAGGACAGAATGCAGTAATCGACAGAATACTATCACCCTTGACACAAAATGAAGTCGGCACAATCAGATGCATTGGGCTCAATGTAAGTTCACAACGTCGACAAAACCCACTTGGGATGGACATATGCTAAGTGTTTCCCTGAAAAGTATAAGCAACATGCTGCTGAGGCGAAGATGGACCTTCCTACAGTGCCAACTGTATTCTTCAAACCATCCACATCGCTAGGCGACCCCTGGCCAGCTCCGACAGTATTGCCAAAACAGACACTTGAGACGGACAGCGGCGACTACGAATCAGAACTGGCTGTCATGATTGGCAAATCATGCAAAAACGTCTCTGAAGCAGAAGCCTTGGACTACGTATTAGGATATACAGCTTCTAATGACATTTCTAGTCGAGCGGCTCAATTCGCTCAGACTCAGTGGGGTTACAGTAAAGGCTTCGATGGAGCATGTCCGATCGGTAAGTGTTCATGGCTTTCTAGAAAAAAAGGATTACAGGCTCTGGTGCTGATACAATGCAGGTCCAACGCTCGTCTCAGCTTCGGTGGTTCCTGACCCAGCCAAACTTCACGTCCGAGGGTTGGGCAACAAAGGTGAAGTCCTTCAGGACTGTGGGATAGATGATCTGATCTTCAGCATACCCAAGGTCGTCTCTTTCTTGTCACAAGGAACAACACTACCTGCTGGGACCTTGATCATTACAGGCACGCCCGCTGGAGTGGGCTTTGCGAAGAAGCCGAAGTATACGTTGAAGCCAGGAGAGGAATTCCGCGTAGAGATTTTGCCATACATTGGCACTCTCATAAACGTCTTCGAGGCAGAGAAATAGAGCTATAGACTAGCAAACGACAATCCTACTAGGATCTAGGTAGGTGCTATCATCCAGGCGGCTCACTTGGCCACGTAAAAAGCGTTCGGTACACTGGCAAGAAACTGCCACAGTTGTGAAATGATCGACCGTACCAAGTGAATTGGTCGCTGGAGACGGCGCTGCGTCATTTCTCGTGCTTCTTCTGCGAAGTGCAAAAGCACAATTTCATGTGCGCTGCCTATAGAATTGGTATTCTGATTTCTCTATGAGAATTCCCGTCGACACGACCTTCGACTTTTTCAAATAATGTGCGATTACAGACGGCAACTAATCTTTCTTCACACGCCACCATGAAGCTTGACACGAAATCTCTTCGATATTTGAACAATGCTGACTGGAAAGTCCTTACCGCAGTTGAGCGTGGCTCGAGTAATCATGAGGTTGTGCCCACACCTCTGATAGCCACGTTGGCAAAGTCCTCGCTGGGCGATGTTCAGCGCTCTATATCTCTTCTTGCCCGATCCAACCTGATCGCAAAGGTCGCAACAGCAAAATACGATGGTTACAGACTGACTTATGGCGGTTTAGACTACCTCGCACTCCACGGATTAGAAAAAGACAATGTGGTCTACAGTGTCGGCAACCAAATAGGCGTGGGCAAAGAGAGCGACATTTTCGTCGTCAGTGATAAGAAAGGTGAGCAACGAGTGCTTAAGATACATCGCCTAGGCAGAGTGAGCTTCAAGAAGGGAGTCAAGAACAAGCGTGACTACGCCAAAACTAGAACGCAGAAAGAGCGTGGCGCAGGAAGTTGGATGTACATGAGTCGACTGGCGGCTACGAAGGAGTACGCCTTTATGACTGCGCTGCGAGAGGCTGGAGTTGAAGTACCTGTTCCACTGGGTCAGAACAGACATCAGATTGTGATGAGTCTGGTCGATGGCTTCCCATTAAGGCAAATTGAGGAAGTTCCCGATCCAGCAGGACTTTACGCGGAACTGATATCCATCATCGTACGTCTGGCGCATCTGGGCCTGATTCATGGCGATTTCAACGAGTTCAATATTATGATCAAAGAGGTCGACGGGCAGGACAGCAAGGTCGACCTTGTGCCAGTGGTGATTGACTTTCCGCAGATGGTCAGCATCGACCATGCCAATGCAGACTATTACTTTGACCGAGACGTGGACTGCATCAAGAGGTATTTCTTAAGGAGATATGGATTCGAAAGCGATGAAGCTGGACCTTATCTAAATGAAGTGAAGAAAGCTATTGCCAAGGATCCTTCCAGCAAGCGACTAGACACCAAGGTCGAAGCCTCAGGCTTTTCGAAGAAAATGAGCAAAGACCTTGCTACATACATGAAAGAACACGGCATCGACGGTGACAAGGTCGAAGGAGGTGATTCAAGTGGCGATTCTGAAGCCGTGGAAGAAGAAGGAGAAGAGGGAGAAGAGGAAGAAGAGGGGCACGACGAACATACGAATGAGGCTATCCGAACTCACGAGATAGGGACAGAGGATTTCCTCAACAAGCAAGACACGTGAACCCAGCGAAATGTGCCATGGCAGCAAAGCTTGTGTCGCATTACAAACGAAGCAGAGGACCAGGAGCTACCTATGGCTGTGTTACAATATCCCGAAAGAAACGAGGAGATACGGCTCACAAATGTCTTCATGGCTGCCCCTCTATTGCCGTTTGTCCTCAACGACAGGCAGTTTGCAACAGGAGGCGGTAAGCCGGATATGCGTCTCTCGAGTACGCCAAACGAGGCACCACCAGAATGGACAATCTTGAGATTCGGTCTCTATAGGATGGATCACAATGAATGTCGGTGGAAGTAGATTGTTCCATTTTCTACGCGCTACGCGACAGGTGGTCTCGTCTATGAGAGACACACGTGCCAGAACGCGTCAACCTGAAGCCGTGGTTCATCTGCAATGCGGAGATACGACACGGTAGAGAAGCTACTCGAGTAGTGGGAGACTTGTGGACGATCCTTGTGACGGCAAGGTTCGAAACCTCAAAACTTTATCTGAGATCCTAGTTGAAATGTCCCCCGCCTACAAGATAGGAGGTTCAACGGATGGAAAGACCGTATTCACGAAGCACAATGATTGTCGTCAGGAAAAGAAATACATCTTGTACTATCTACAAGTTCATGACCCGACGAAATCGAAGGGAACGGGTATGCTACAATTAAAGGAAGAGGCTGGAATAAGCCGGAGCTAGGCATAGCCGAGTGAACAGCAATCATCTTCAGCTCCACAAGTGGTAACTCTTGCGCGAGCCTTTTTACGTTTAACATAATTAAATCTTTGACGTGAACAGTAATTAGTGTCGTGCTCTGCCATTACGCTTCCACCTTCGCCGCACAGCTGCGAAAGCGAGTCGATGTTTACGTGTGTGTGAGCACTCCCTTCGGTAACCTAGACCATCTGATCACATTATGCTTGTGCTGCAATTGTGGCGGTAGGACAGGTTTCAATAGTGAATACTGTAGTTGCTCATGTCAAAGGACTGCCGACCCGGGAGACGCCAACGATAGCAAGAGAGTGACGAAGAAGCAAAAAAAGGTGTGCTTGTCATCCTCAAAGCTTTTAGAAATAATCGACCAGATTGTCACACAACCATGGTCGGTTAAGCTCGGGGATTTCGAAGTAAGGTAGGCTAGTGGCTTCCAGCCCGTGCACGTAACGAGCCCGAAGCCCGTCAGTGGGGCATCTGAAACACACCTCGAAGCTCCATCTAGGACAACCTGGACTTAGCTTAATGGATTCGACAGGGATTAAAGACCAAATTTCACAGAACAATTCGGGGCTACCAGACAGCTGACGATCCCCAGTACCTGAACTCGCTAACCACGTTGGTTGTGACCCACAAGCACAATCCTGGTATTATCTGGACTCCTGAATTGTCCGGTACCGCGAACGCGTCGATCGCCCAGCCAGAATACCTTTCCTAATTTTTGTATACCATTCTGATGTCGTAAACAGCAGCTGGGGAAATCAGGCATCGAGCACAATCGTCGAAGTCACTTTTCACAAAGAAAGAAGTCCTCAATGTCACCACTGTCGATGAGTTAGCGCACTATTCCTATCGGCGCCTTGTATGCACGGCCTGGGCCTTCACATCTACACACGAATGTCCAACCCTACAGGTCGACCCTAGCATCAATTTCCAAGGAGCTCGAAGCTCACGACTAGACGTGGTTCCAACATCCCAGCTATACTAATGGCGACGTCTCCTCCAACCACACCAGATGCAGTGCGCAATGGCCGACCGCAAAGCATGTACACACCGAGCTTTTCGCCCGAAGCTGTACAAAAGTCTCGACCGCAGAGTATGATGATGGGCCGCAGCAGAAGTCGTTTGAGTATAGCGAGCAGCAAGGGGGGCACAACCCGTAATTCAGATGAGGATTCCAAGACTGCAGTCAGAGTCGGTAGGTTCGAAAGGCAGGCGCGCTTTTAATCTGAAATTGACTGACCCTCTTCCTAGTGGTTCGTGTCAGACCTCCTCTTCGCGCAACGGATCCAGGCTACGATCTTATCCCACAACGCTTTCAGCGCTCATCTGTCAATGTGCCCACTGACACGAGTCTGTCCATCGAATCCCCTCAAGGACGTAAGATCTTCATCTTCGATCGCGTTTTTACTGAGGACACGACGCAAAGAGGTATTTGGGATTACCTCGAGGACAGCGTCGACTCTTTTCTCCAAGGCTATAATGTCTCGATATTGGCCTATGGGCAGTCGGGCTCTGGCAAATCCTACACTATGGGTACCTCAGGCCCAGCAGAACAATTCGATCCTAGCACCAAAGGCATCATCCCTCGCGCTGCCACACATCTTTTCGAGAACCTCGACGGTCGTCCCACCCTACATAGCCGCCAGAATTCGGCACTGAGATCACCAACGAGGTACTCAGTAGGAAATATAGGCTCGACCCTGCAGAACGTGCGCAATGACGCCAACAGGACGTGGCAGATGTCCGTCACCTATGTGGAAATCTACAACGAACAGCCTCGCGATCTACTATTACCCGAAGGTTCGAGTACAAGTGAACGAGCTGCCGTACAAATTCGCGAAGATCCAAAGGGCCGTATTTTCATTGAAGGTCTCCGTTCAGTCCCTGTAAACAACGTGGACGAGCTCATGGCAATCTTAAACCATGGCTCTGCCATTCGTCAAACTGACGCGACTGCCATTAATTCGCGATCTTCGAGATCACATGCTGTCTTTACGGTCAATTTGCGCCAGCTGAAATCCCAGCCTGGCACTTCTCCACTCAAAAACAAGCACATGTCCACATTGTCAGATGTCGGAACCTCTTCTGAGAGCATTACAGTTGATAGCAAGCTGCACTTTGTCGATCTTGCAGGGAGCGAACGTCTCAAGAACACTGGCGCAACTGGCGATCGTGCTCGAGAAGGCATATCGATCAATGCAGGTCTCGCAAGTCTGGGAAAAGTAATCTCACAGTTATCGTCTCGATCCGCTGGCGGGCATGTGTCTTACAGAGATTCCAAATTGACCCGCATGCTACAGGATTCATTAGGCGGAAACGCAATCACGTACATGGTGGCATGTGTCACCCCTGCAGAGTTTCATCTGAGCGAGACGTTGAACACTGTCCAATATGCGCAAAGAGCGCGAAACATTCAGAGTAAGCCCAAGATTCAACAAGTCAGTGAGGATAGCGACAGACAAGCCACAATTGAGCGACTGCGATCGGAGGTCGCTTTCTTGAGACAACAGATACGTAGTGCAGACAACAACGAACGAAAACCGGACGCATCACGCGAGCGCAACAATGCAGCCGAGGTCGAGTTGCAAAATCAGCTGCTAGACGTGCAAGAAGGTCATCGGGCCCTCAGTGAAAGACATGCTAAGCTGGTCGCCGAGCTCTCCAGGAACGGTAGAGAGTCTGTCGAGCTCAGTTCTGAAACGCCAGCAGATCGTCTGAAACGTTCACAGAGTAACCAGCAGCAGATCGAGCAGATCATTCTCGAGTACGAGAAGACGATTCAGAGCTTGGAATCTAACCTTTCGTCCACAAGATCGGCGTTAGCCATGACAGAAAGCAGCTTGCTTGAGCGCGAAACAAAATGTGCATACATCGAAACAATGAACCAACAGCTCAACTCGAGAGTGCAGAAATTGATGGATCGAGAGTCAAGCACAGAGTCTTATCTTCACGAGCTCGAGGCCCGACTCGAGAACTCGACGTCTGGAAGTGCGTCCCATGATGCACTCGTCTCAGAGCTTCGTAAAGAGATGGCACGAGTACGTGAGACTGAGACCAATGCCGAAGACTATATTTCGACACTCGAGGAACGTTTGGCCGAGGCTGATCAGGATATGGAAATCATGCAACGCGAAGTTGAAAGACTGGAGCAGCTGGTAGAAAGACAGCGTAGTCTTGGAAAGCTCGACAATCTTTTGTACGAAATTGACAACGTACAGAGAAAGCATCCACAGGAGATCGCGAATGATTACGAGGTCTCATCTCGAGCGGCATCCATTGAGCAAGACGGGTCTTCCACAGCCTCTTCTGTGAACGGTGTGCACAGAAGAAAACAGAGCGAGCCTATGGAAAGCATTCGCGAAGCTAAAGAGCACGATGCTACTCACTCTGTTACCAATCCCTCTTTCGAAGACCAGCCACCGAATGGCACCACGCCTGCACCTCATGCACGAATAGGCGATTTGCGCGACGACGATACTAATGAACAGGAACCTAGTCCAGCCCAGTCCAGGTTCATGCAGGATAAGTTTGAATCAGTGAGCCAAGAGCTCTTCGATCTTCGTCTTGAACATGAATCGACCGCGAACGAACTAGACTTGATGTCAGCAAAGTATCAAGAAGCACTCCGAACTCTAGCGGAAGTGCAAAGACACCTTGACGATTCGCGCAGCCCTCCCACTCAGACCATTTCGCCCGAGCCACTGTTGCAGAGAGGGTCATATTTCGTTGATACCAAACATGGGGACGCCACAGTGACCGACCTCGATCAGCATTCTGCATCACTCTCACCGTCCTCGGAGTTGTCGATGATCGAGGATTCCGCTACCTCAATTGAGCCTTCAGACTCAGTACATACTGCAAAAGAGACACCATCGTCATATTCTCATCGACTTGAGATAGAACGTTTGCAGGCTTTGGTCGCAGAACAAGAGCAAAATCTGAATACTGTACGTCAGCAATACACAAATTTGGACGAGGAGCACAAAGGAACTCTTGATACTGTTGAGCGCTTGCGGAGTGAAGCACACAGAAGTCGATCTCCATTACCGTCGTCCCCGAGTCCTGGCATAATTAGAAGGTCGTCTACACAGCTTGGTGGTGGCGTCGATCGTGGACAGAGATCCATTGCCTCTTTGAGAGCTCTATTGGCCGAAGAATTGGAAGGCAAGCCAGATCATATCGAGAATGCTGAAGTGCATTTGTCTGCAGCGACTCACGAGCTTCAATCCCGTTTCGCCCGTATACAATCACTAGAATCAGACTTACAGAACATCAAAAAGGAGATGGAGATGAAGTCCACTATCATCTCAGGTCTAACTCGGGAGCGAAACAGCTTGAAATCTGGCACGCCTGTAGATTTGTCCATGGTTTCTCAGATGCGAGATCAATTGATCCAGAAGGAGACTGAGCTCAAAACCTTGCACGACGGTTACGGTAAGAGAGAGCAAGAGCTGCAGACTGAGCTATTTGAAGCTCGACAACAAGGAGAAAAATTATCGGCAGATTACGACAAAGCGAAACGCGCTCTAGAGGAGTATCAAACACGCCTGAAGGTCACCACTGCTGAGCTTGAGGCCGCACAATCGAGTATAGAAACCCTCAAACTACAGCAAAATGTCCCAGTCGAGAAAGCTTTGGGTGAGAGCGATGCAGTTTTCGCACGTGCCGCAACGGCCAAGGCGATGGGAGATGAGCGAGAAAACTACCAGGTTGCGATCGACAAGTTAAAGCGTGATCTGGAGCAACAAATCTCGACGAATGCATCGCATACGGAAAAGATTGAAGAACTTACACAAATGCACGAAGCTGCGAGCAAGGACATTCACGAGCATTCTCAGATCATACAAGAGAAGAGCCAGGAGATCGATATGCACAAGGTCAGGATTGCGACCCTACAATCCAAGATCAAGGAAGCAGAATCAGCTGTCGAGTTTCACAAACATGGCCTGAAATCGTTGCACGAATCGCATACAAGTGAGATTGAAGAGATAAAACTGTCTCATGCTGGCATGCTTGCTGGCTACGACGATCAGATTGCGGAGCTGAATATCAAACATGGAAAGGCTCTCCATACAGCTGAGGTAGAGAGAGACTGCGCCAAGGCTGCTCTGGGCGAGCTGCTGAAGGGTGCTGCATCTGCACTCGGCCACGACACGTCCGTCGATATGCTTGCCAATCATATCACAGATATGGCAGAAGAGAAGAAGCACGTTTCAGAAGCTAATAAGAGGTTGGTGTCAACCAACGCCGAGCTGGAGGCACAATTGAGTGGCCGACAAAATCTGTTGGAACTTGAAGAGGCTCAAGAAGCCGCTAATACAAAGATTGCTAACTATCAGGAAACAATTCGCAACCTCGCGAATGAGGTTGGCAATCATGAGGAGACTATTCGAGAAAAGGAGTCTTCTATCAAGAAACATGAAGAGCAGATGAAGGCACTTCAAGCAGAGAACCAGAAAAAAATTATCTTGATCGAAGAATTAGAACAGCAACTCCAGAGCAGTTACGAACAACATCAAAATCGGTTGTCTGTGGTACAACAGCAAGGTTCCAGTGCTCTGAGTGAGGCTCAGCAACGTATTTCTCAGCTTGAGAAGGAGGTGCAGCGCAGCTCCTTCGCCGAAACCGAGGGCGAGCAGAAGAAAGCCACGGGTCGTCCACAATCACCTCTCGCTGAGAACAGTGGCCGATCAAATTCTATCAACTCTAATTTGAGGAAGTCGTCCTCAATTGTCTCCTTGCCTTCGCCACCACCAGCTATACCTTTGCCGCCACTACCTACATTATCTGCAATTAACGCTGGACCTTCGGGCAATCCGTCTCCGCCACAGTCTCGACATACTTCGAAGGAGGTGGCAGTACCTCAGGTACCTTCACCAACCACTGTCACTAGAGACACACAAACCATCAAACGACAGTCAGCCATGATCGAAGACCAGGATTCCAGAATACGAACGATGGAAAAACATCTACATGCCGAAAAGCAGCTCACTGCCACTCTCGAGGAAGCCCTGGTCGATCTCGAGACGCAATCCAATAAGCTTCGTGTCGACGCCGAAGCATGGAAGAAGAAGGCATGGGCCCTGGAAGAAGAGATGACACAAGTCCGCAAGGAAAGTCGATCAGAACGCCTCTCGGTCCAAGCCGTAGAGGAAGAGGTGAGAAAGAGACGTGCCGCCGAAGAGGCCCGAGCTCAACTCGAAGAACGTATGAGAGTATTGAAGCAGACCATGGATGGAGGAAAGAAAAAGAAGAAGAGTGCCCTTAACTGTTTCTAGCCGAGAAATCTTCGTCCAAGGTGCAAACATCTTCGACTGCACTTGCACAACTTCACTTCATTTCGGATCGAGCAGACATTTAGTCCTCGGTTTATTTTAATCTTCTACGACATGGTGGAAGAACCACACTATCAACGGCTAATGGTACAGAACGGCGAACAGCTTACACGCGACGAGTCATGGCACGATTTCAAACGACCATTTCGAAAAGATCTTCTTTTTTTGTCCTCTTCTTTATACTAGGACTTTTCTTTTGTACACGGAGGCTATTTTCTTGTTATTCGAACCTGATTTTTTGAGCGAAGGAGGATGGGTGTATATGTATTTTTCCATTACGGGGACCAGGCATTGAATTATGCTACTTGTAGATAGCGAGCAGACACAGAGATGGCAGACTTGGTATATTGCTAGACAGGGCACCCTTGCACGACAGAGTGTTGCGTGCTGAATGACGGCGTTGGTGTGGCTGCTACTACCTGACATGGAAGACGAGACACCGCTGCTGAGTTGTAGCGTTAAAGTCGAGAGCAGAAAGTGTTGTATAGTGGTCCCCCTGCTTAGGACGAGGCATGCCAGTGCGTGCTATTGTATATTCTAGTCACAGCAGAAATCAAAGAAAATTGCTCTGCATTACTTCACAGACTTCTTTCTCATTGCGATTGTCCTAATTACGGGGAGGTCGTGCGAGAAACGTAAGGTATTTTCTCTAATTACTGATTAAGTACACTCCGGCAGTACTGTTACTATTAGTGGTGACCTCGTGTCGAATACTCTTTTCGCTTCTCTTTCTAACACTGGGATAACAAACTAGGAAAGAGGTCTCTATCAAGGAAGCGACGACCAAGAATCTGCAAATTTTGGTAGGTTGCCTACCTGATCCGGCAGTGTGCAAGCACGAATACAAATAAGAAGGCAGGAGCAACGTGACCCAACTAACTCGTCTGAGAAAACGAACACCGGCGATTTGCCTGATGTGTTCAAATGAGCTGTTCACTTGAGAAGCCTCATTACGCTCATTTTATTTGACTCGGGTCTTCCATCTAGCAAACGCTCAGGCGGGCCTCAGTAAGAGAACGATTCATCCTTTATGTAAATCCTTGTGAGTTATTAGAAATCATCACCGCCATCAGCCACGCTCCTGTTATTCCGACAATTTTCGGTACGCCTGCCCTTCTGTTTTTCCACAATATTCGCTGTCTTACATACTAGGTAGACGACCACAATTTCCCAACTACTATGGACAAGGGACAAGATCAACCAGCCTCAGCCTCGGCCGAAGAAAACCTAGCACTCATCGAAGGTGTTCTCGAATTCATCCAGGGCAATCTCAACAATATCGCCAAAACCTGGGGCACTTCCTCGACACAATACATTGCGGCTCGAGGCATTATGGAAAAATACTTTGATGAAAACTTGAAGAAGTTGAAGATTGATGGCGAGGAAGAGCACCTGAGTTTAGATGATCTTCTGGGCAAAATGTCGCTAGATGAGAAGGCTTCTTGAGGTGAAGGATTTGCTGAGTTTGGCTGAACCTCTTCGTCCACGTGGTGGATGTCGCGACGTTGTCCGTCATTGTCCGATAACGTAAATTTCTGGTCTGTATACTTGTGTTCTCCACGAAGTGCCAGTGAACTGAAAGGCCTGCCTAGCACAGTGGATCGTTCGTGTAATGGAGTGGTAGCGTGCGGCTCTGTCTAAGCAGCTCGTGTGTGTTTGGACTCTGATTCTCGGTCCGATACAGGGCTTTTCGCTTTTGTTCGTGTGAGGATATTACGACAGGACTTACGGTCAGAGGGTGAGCATTTGGCTGTTGGTTTGTTGTGTAGGAGGTGGCTCTCTCAGTCGTGTATTGAGATGTACCAGGTCTTTTTGAAAGTTTAGCTGCTTGAATCTTTGCTCGGCCTCACTCTATAATCGGTCTCTTTGCACCACCAACAACAGTCACACCCAGGCTTTTCAGTGCTTCTGGATCAGTTGCTCGTACGATCGTCGCCAGGGGCAGCATAGGATTCTCCGCATTCACATTTGCAGCATCACGAGCAGACTGCTCAATAGCTTCCATCTCGCCTTTGCAGCTTGCATGGTCAAGCGGACACACAACAATAGGGTGATTGACCTCGATATCTTTGGCACCACCCAGATGGGCCTAATAGAATTAGCAAGGACAATGAGTAGAAGGGAAAAGGAGCATACCTTGCATTTCATATAGTACTCAACCTTGTACAGACCAGCTGTGGTAGTAAAGCTTTGTACTGCAAACTGTGGGTATCTGGCATGAGATCGTGGTAAGATGCCATTCTGATCACGCAAGTCCACTGATGGAAACATCAAACCAATATTGGTAAAATAGCCTGATTCTGGCATTTTGATCCCAACGACTTCGGTTTTCTTGGTTACCTGAGTACTCTTCCGCTGGGGTTCGTCACCTTCGTGGTTGTAAATGATTTCCTGTTCGATACTTATGGTGATCTTTTGTATTGTGACCTTTTTGGCCTTGTTCATCCAGTCTTGATTAGGCATTAATTTTATGTAGATGCTGACCGGATCCAATGGGCCATATGACCATCGTGGTAAAGATACTCCTAGAGTGACCAGATGATCTGACACTTTCTCAGATGCTTCCGGCCTGTTGTACATACCAAATGTGGACAGCGTGTCGTAGCGAACCATGGGTACTGGCCAGGCATATCTTTCTTGACTTCCTCCACTAAATCCAATCATTACCACTAGTTCGTAATAGGTCTCTGCAGTCCTTCTAGGTAGTACTATGCTTCCTGGCGGTACTCTTCGAGCGGTTTCCTGACCTCCACGACCGAAGGGGATAAAGATGACGAATGGCAGGTCCATCACCATAATATCTTCGTGGTCTCTTCCGGCCTGACATCGGAACAATAGCATTTCTTTTCCAACAGTCTCGGTAGACTCTTTGCGCGGAGCCGCCAGGTGTTTCTTCGTAACAGAGTCGGCATGAGGATGTATAGATTCTCTTCGCTGTAGGGATATGGTGACTATGCTCACTTTGACTGGCGCTGTAACGCCCTTGTCTGGTCTGACTTCAACAGTACCTTCTATTCGAGGCTGACAAACACATGTTAGTGCTCATGGCCTATAGAGAAGCCAGAATAGGGGAATGCAGCTCACCAATGTCGCAGATATCCCTGGATAGCCTACAAGGAAGTTTGTATTTGGTCTACCCGTAATTCGCACGAATGCGCTCATCTTTCGAGGCAATTGTGTTGTCGCCCTATGCGGGTCGCATGGAGCTGAGCCTTACGAGCAGGAGGGGCGACAACTAAATGGGAGCGAGGTCTGCGTGCTATACGACAGCAAAGGGACAGTAACAGGCTCCTCTGGCGCCTTTGGATGCCCATAGAGAAACGAGTTCATCAAAGTAGCTGCCAAATCAGCTTGGGGCGCATGGACAAGACAGTCTTTGTTCGTGTGGATGGCCTGGTCCGGACGATTAATGGCGTTTGACCCTTTGTGTTTTGTAGGTACGAATGGTTTAGGGATCTTAAAGTGGGACTATCTCGTTGCTGAAGTACGTGAAGGTTAGGAATACTATCGGTGAGAATGAGCACCGTTGAACACAATGTGTGATTGTTACGAATGACCAGGAAATGACTTGTTGGTCAGCTTCGTTGGTCGGACTTGCAACAGGCGCCAAATGCCTGCTGCGGTGATCCCACTCCACACCTGCTCTGCCGGTGTGGCCTCTATTGCTTAGCCCCCAAACATGCACCCCACCATAAACCCATAAGGTGCACGATCTTCACAGAGCTCATGCTTGAGGTCCGATTGAACACGTGTAGAGACTTCTGTCGTTCCGGCTCCTCAATTTCGCTCAAATCGTCCTTAGGCGTTCATTGTACCTTGGCCTCCGAATGTGCTTCAATGTCACTGCTCTGGCCCCATAGGGACGAACCTAACGGTTTTACGAGCATCATCGTGCACAACTCCTTATGGTCAGCATTCGTACCCTGTGTTGATTTCCCCTTTGTTGCTCGTATCAAGTCCGCAGTTTAAGCATAGAGTCGATTCAGCCTTGTTTCTCTTATGTCTGACTGATCCACGGAAGTGATGTTGTCTTGTTTCGTATATCGCAAAGCATGTCTTGGACTTCTTCGGTCAAGCCGATCCTTCGCAAGTTCGGTCCATGTAATAGCCAGAATATACGCTACAACCAAAGGCCTAGCTTGCCAATGGATTGGCATGTATTGTCACGCTCTTCAATACGACCTTTTCAGACTTCGGCCTGTACTTCTTGTCCACTTCAATCGACTCTAACCTCTCTAGTGTACCACCCTCTTCAGCACCATCTATTACCTTGCCGAAAATTGTATTCTTCCCGTCTAGATGAGGCGTGTCCTTGAGAGTGATGAAGAACTGGCTTCCGTTCGTGCCTGGACCTTTGTTGGCCATGGACACAACTCCTCTCATATTATGTCGCAAAGCAGGAATCCTGATCTCGTCCTCGAAGTAGTCATTCCAGATCGAAACACCACCTTTTTGTACTGGATGCTCTTCTGTATTTTCAGGAGATTGCGAAGTGTCTCCTCCTTGTACCATAAAATCAGGTACTAGCCTGTGGAAAGGAGTTTCATCGTATGCGCCGGAAGCACAAAGAGCGAGGAAGTTCTCTGCCGCTTTTGGTGTGGTCTCGATATAGACTTCGATTTTGATGTCGCCATGAGAAGTGTGTAACTATCAAGTTCAGTGCTTGAGCCACAAAAAGTCGAGGTGCTTGACTTACTGTGACCGACATGGTATGCTACAGAGTAAGTGCTCCGACTTTTGAGACTGCACCGGGACTTTTGTTGCAAGATCGTCCATCTTATCGCCTAGCGCGTTTTTAAAAGCGTTGCCCGCATGACTTCGCTCCACTAAGTCTCCTCGTTTTTGTGTACAACTCGTTCGCGCAAGTCGAAACTGTATCGCCAGCTGGTACTGCCGGCTAAATCATGAATAGCAGAGCTTCCATCTTCGTGTGGTGGAGATGTTACAAGAAGCTCATGCAGCACACTTGATGTGCCTGGACCTCGCTTGGAGAAGTCTCTCCTCCAAGCAGTTGATTGTCCCTCACATCTTCAGCTAATTACAGATTCATAACTCGTGGATTATGTTGTCCTTGGAGGACAATGTCCGTATGGACGGAGATCTGCGTCACTCACTTCTCTATCTGCCGAGTGTTCCAGTAGTAAGTCAGAAGATGACTTGCATTCTTGCTTGCAAGGAGCAGTTCAACGTTCAAGGTCAACGTATAGAGATCTAGCTAAAGCAACATAATACTTTCCAAGATGGCAGGCGCAGACTATAGAGAGATCTCAGCCATTGCACACAAGAGACGAGCAGCTAACATTAGTGCCTACTACCAAGTCCCAGACATCGACCTAAATACTTTGCCCAACAATCTGACGGAATATGCTCTCAAGTCTGGCTACTACGACCCTCGTGAGCTAGAGATACTCGAATCCGATGCAACAAAAATCGTTCGGAACATTGCAGATCAACAATGGACGTCCTTGGAAGTTGCAAAGGCATTCTGCAAGGCCTCTGCATATGCCCAAGCATTCACCAACTGCTTGACTGAGACGTTGTATCAGGAGGCTCTGGAACGAGCCCAGTCTCTCGATGAACACTTAGCACGAACAGGAAAGCCAGTCGGCCCGTTGCATGGACTTCCTATAAGTCTGAAGGACAACTTCATTGTCGCTCCACATCCGGCCTCGATTGGCCTAGCAGCGTATGCAAATGAGCCAACAACGAAAGACACTGTCATCGTCACTATTCTGCGTGATCTGGGTGCTGTATTCTACACCAAAACGACAACGCCAACAGCTATGATGATGGCTGAGACTGTCAATAATGTATGGGGCGAGACCATAAATCCGTTGCACAAGGCGCTCACTCCTGGAGGCTCGAGCGGTGGTGAAGGTGCTTTACTAGCTTTTCACGCTTCTCCAATAGGTATTGGTACTGACATTGGCGGAAGCGTTAGTAAGTCTCAACTTTCACTTCTTCAATCACGACTTCCTAATCTTCACCAGGAATACCGGCTGCATGGTGCCACCTCTATGGTCTAAAGCCATCCTTCGGCCGCTTCCCCGTCGCAGGCAGCAAGCCATCAATCCCCGGCCAAGAATTCATCCTCGCCGTCAACGGCCCCATGTCCCGCTCCCTCTCCTCTCTAAAACTCTACTGCTCCTCCATCCTCTCCGACCAAGTATCACCCTGGCTCCTCGAGCACAAATCCCTCCCCATCCCCTGGCGCCACAACATCGTTCAACCCCCAAATCGTCCCCTCCGAATCGGCTTCATAGGCCCCCACGACAATCTCGTGCACGTCCAACCCCCCGTCCTCCGCGCCCTAACCCAAACACAATCAGCCCTCTCCACCTCCGGCCACGAAATCGTCCCCTTTGCCCCAACCCTCCACCCAATCATCATCAAAAACCTCATCGCGTCATTCTACGACCTCGGCGGCACAGCCATAACTTCCCTCCTTGAACCGCACAACGAACCCGTCTTCCCTTCAATGCAGGGGTACACCATGGCCGCCAAAGCCGAACTCACCGTATCTCAGATGCGCGCAAAAGTCATCCAGCGCAATGAACTCCAACAAGCGTATCTCGACGCGTGGAACGCGACAGCAGACGGGAACAAACCGCCCATGGACGCCATCATCATGGCCGTAAGTCCCTGGGCCGCGCCTCGACTAGGTGGATGGCAGGCGACGCCCTACGTCGGCTATACAGGTGTAGCCAACTTCCTCGATTTCTGCGCTTGTACGTTTCCTGTTACGTTTGTGGACAAGGAGGTGGATAGGGCGGTTGATATGCGGGAATTTGAGGGGAGGGCGTTGAGTGAGATGGATGGGAAGATACAGGCGGACTATGATGCTGAGTTCTACCATGGCGCGCCTGTGAGCTTGCAGGTGATGGGGAAGCGACTTGAGGAGGAGAAGGTTTTGGAGATTGTTGAGGTTGTTGTGAGCGTGTTGAAGGAGCAGGGTGTTAGGTAGTCATGTAGGAATGCTGAGAGATACATACACAGGTAACATGCCACGATCGACTAAATCAAGCTCATCGAGCAGCAATGCGATCCGAATCTACGCCTGTTTTCAATAGTTAAGTCGTGTATTCGCATTACTATATCAGTCGCTAACTAGCAAATATCCACGCTCGCAATGCAACAAATAAATCTAATATTACAGTTTGACCGCAACTTGCAGTAGTAGCAGCCCACCAGAAACATGCCAGTTGTATCCAGTCTGGTGCTGTTCAGCTAGTAGTAGGCCATAATCCAATCTTTTGTGTTTCGTAGCCAGTCTGATGCATGGCACCAAGACTGTTCTGCTCTTCGTCATGCTGTGCATTCTGCTGCTCAGGACTCGTCTCATCGTCCCATTAGGCCATACTGGCCACAGAGCCGCTTCTTTCTTCTAAATGCACAAGGTATCCAGAAAACAAAAATTAGTACTCTAACACACAAGTAAAATGAAGCCAGCGCAGCTGATCAGCGAACAGGTAGTCGTTGAATCAGCAGAGGACAACGATCAACGGTCCGTCAATCAATGCGAAGCAGTAGCTCCTCGAACTCAATGTAACCTGCTCAATGCGCCGACCTCATGTTGTGCTCCAAACAAGAATATCGATCACCACCTTATACTCCATACTCGCTGCGTTGAACGAGTATAAAACGATGAGAGGAGATAGGAAATGAGTGAGCACTGTATTGTACTCAATACGCTGTCCCAACCTCCATCATTGGCTGGGCAGTCATTTGTGCCATGTCTGGCATCAAATCAGGATTGATTTCGTCCATGTATCCGACAAGTGCTTGCGAGTGCAACTTAAAGGATTCTCCTAAGGTCTTGGCAATGCCGAAAACAACAACGCCTCCGTCCAACATAGTGCCCCAGACTCGAGCTACAGTAGAGCTCAGCCGCGAACCGTTGGCGTCGACAGCGTCATCATCGAACAGGCCTCTGACTTTGATATACATCTGCATCTCTTCATCAGTTGCCTCTATGTCATCGTGTTCAATGCGGTAGAGCCACAAGCTCAGTATGGTGATGAGTTCTAGCCCACAAAGAGGATGTTCGATGCTCCAATTTGTAGCGGAAGTTTTGGTGACCCAGTTTATGCCTTGCATGGCCACGATCTCCATGCATTCGTAGCACTGCTCGATGACCTTGACCATTTCTTTAGTGCGCTTGACGCTTTCTCGTGCATTGGTCATGGCTGCTGCGATCTCATAAGCATTGTGGTAGCGAAGTGCTTCTTGAACGTCTTTTAGGTCCACCTCTAGGAATGCTCTCGTGTTTCTGTAAACAGCCATTGCGTTGAAAATCAAGGGATGACTTTTGTGCGGAGTAGTCAGCGGCACTACTACCGTCTCCGGCTCACATAGATCCAGCGACCGTTCCCAGGTTTCCAGAGCAATTCGTATCTTCCATTCGAGAACGACGTCTTGCAACGACTCAAAGCTTCGACGTAAATTCCACACTTCCAAGTAGAGTGCATTTATCATGACCCGAGTTGCGAAGGCGCTGTAGCGGCAGGTCTCGCCCTGGAACAAACTATCGTGGGCTTCCTTTACTGTCACAATCAAGGAGGAGGCATAAGTCTCTTGCCATGCGTCTTCACTGTCCGGGTCCAGGTTCCACAAGCTCTCTGTTGATGGCAATGGTAGAGCCTCGAATTCGTTGAAACTGATGGCGGGCGTATGGTTGTAGGTCATGGTCAGCATACCGAAGAACAGATAGACTGCGAAATATGTTCTTCTAGACCCTTCTTCGTTAATCCACTGAGCGTGGGTGGGAGCGGCATGGCCTCTTCCTTCTGTACGTAGTTTGAGTTCGTATTTATTTCCGGCAACCATCTAATTGTTGTCAGCAATCTAGTAAAAGAGATAAAGAAAAGTACTCACATTGGCCAGTAGGCTCTTGATCGAACATGCCCATTCGAGCCCGGTCGCGCCTCCGCTCCAGCTTTCAAACAACATGTTCAGCAAAGTGCTTTGCATTGTCCATAAAGGACATTTCCTGGAATCAAAGTTCTCCTTGTTTTGGAGAAACTGATTTACGAGCTTCTTCGAGCCATTGTGTAACCGGTATGCTTGCTCTGTGTCGAAGTTGTAGAGCGATCCAATCGACAAGACTGCTAGAAGTAGGGCAGGCTCCGTCTTGCCAGGTCTGAAAGAAGTCGGATGCAGGAAGGGCAGATGGTGATGGAATAGATTGAAGTAAGTCGATAGGTAAAGGTTGATATAAGCAAGGTTCGGCAGGGGCAAATCACTGCCTATATAATTAGCGATTTTCTCTCTTTCAGCCTCGGTCGACATCTGAGGAGCTCTCGGAAGTGTCAATGCCTGGCTTGGTCCGGGAGAACGTCGATAGTTGACAGGTGATACAGGCCCGGTCATGGAAGGAAAGGGTGACAAGCCGTTTGGTGTTGGCGAGCCCGAGACTGGAAAAGTGTCAGCTAAGGTCGGAAAATTCTGTGCTGTCGAAGTGCCTATGGAGTTTTGTCTTTCCATAATGGCTGGCAATGTTGTCTGATTCGTCTGAAAGGAGCCTATGTTGCCGAACGACGGCTGTTGGGAGAGATTGTCCTGGGAAGATACGTCGGAGATGAGTGAGTGAGCTTTTTGCTGTGCTGGATTTGTGGGCATAAAAGCGTCCCAGGTTAGATGAGGAATCGAGGAAGCGCCGGAGAGGAAGTCTGAGGTTTCGAGGACGGAGCTTCGATCAGGCGAGAAGTCGGGGAGGGAGCCTTCGGCGTTGTGAAGGTGGCTGTTCGCCGCCGCTGCTGCTGCCGCTTTGTGTTGGAAGTCTGTCATCAACATGGCAGCAGTTTCAAGGTCAAGCATACCATCGCTGCTGGCCTCTATCTGCTCCAACGTGCCCTGATCAATGGATATGGTCGGCTTTGACGAAACCGCTGCTGCAGTAGACGAAGCCGTTGAGGGCTGTTGCTTGTTCTGGTTCTTCTTACGGCTCTCGGGTTGAAGAGGCTCGCCCAGGTTGTCTTTGGCGTGAACAGTTCGATCGTGCCGTAGGAGCAGGTCGCGCCGTACAAAGGTCGACCGGCATTTCTGGCATTTGAATGGTCTCTCCTTGGTATCTGTTGTTGAGGAAGATTAAGTCAGCATACATATCCTGAGATGATGTGGAGGGGGAGGGGCATATGTTGGTGGGGAGGTGGCATGAAGACAGCCCACGTCTTAGTGCGGTTTCTTTGGTAAGATTTTGGGTGGACGGGCTTCAGCAACGCAGGATCTGTGTCGACTCGGGAATCACTTACGACTTCGCTCGTGCCTGCTCCTATGTTCGCTTCGACTGAATGCGCGATTGCAATACTGGCATTTATACTTCTTTTCAGGCGCGCTCACTGCCTTTCGAGGAGAGGTGGTCGCCGCAGCCACATCTGTTGCCATCTTTCATCAACGACAGTGGCGGACGTCGATAATAAAGTGTCACAATTCCTCCGACCAACCATCCGCCTCTCGCTTGATTTCAAAGAAGGAAAATATAGGGAGGGATGTTGTTCTCATGCTGATCTTCTCCAGGTTGGCGCAAGGAAAGTGCACTTGGACGCGCAGTTGCCGCTTGATAAATGATCACGTGAAGAATTGGAGTGCGTTTTGCAGCACTCAGGCTCGTCAAGGAGGTCGTCGAAGATGAATCGACTGCGATCTCTGAGATGCAGTTTTGTCACTGTTGCGCAGTTTGTTGGAGGGATGAAAGGAGGGGAGAATGATACGAGAGCAGAGGGGCGGCTTCAGAGGTGTCCAAACAGGCCCGAGCCCCGTGGCACTAATTAGCCATCGACATCTTGAATGTGCCACTACTAACGAGCGTCTCCGTTACGACTCAGCGCCGCTCGCTCCTCCTTTGCCAGATTTCTGGTCCATCCGAACATCTACAAGCTAGTGCGCTTCGAGAAGTTTTGCTGGTCATCTCTCTTCACATCACTCTGTCGAAGTAGTCCATCATTCGTCAGACACGCACCAATTGCAACCATCTCCAGGCCTATGATGAATCTCTGCTGCGTTCAAGCACACAAGCTGATTGGATTCTAGTCACCGGACAAGCATTCAACCACGTCAGGAATTTAGAACTACTGCGATGAATGTGAGGCAACAGTGTCCACTTTTGGTCTCAAGAGCTCCCAACCTCTCCCTTGCAGCTCCATCGCTCTTAACTCGCAACGGTCCTTCCGAACACTTGCCTTGTTCTTGCTGCACGACCACGTGTCATTCTGCTGCCTCGCGACATGCTAGAGGATTATCTGATACTGCTGCCGTCGAATTCGATTCGTGGCTTTTTGCCCAATATCCTTCAGAGCACTCTGTCTTGTCAAAGTCGAGCTTCGGAAGACTAGGTCACGAATATCCCAGTGTTAAGGTCGAAAATTGCTTGTTCCCGCATTCTCCTGTTCCAAGTGGATTAAATCATATCCATCCTTGCGCGCTATCTCGTTCCGCGAAACTGTGGACCTCAACGGATCTCCACAATCCATGAGCTACTTGTACAGCTTCAGGTTGATGCACTTTCTGGCTTCCGATCTCAAGAAACGTGAGCATTGCAATTTCGGGAGCTCATTTCAGCCAGTTGTTACCACAATCATTACCCCGCTGTCGAGTGTTTGCCTGTTTGCAACGAACACAACTTGAATCATCGCTGTTTAGGGGCTCACGTATGGGCTGTGACGAAAGATGTGGTGCCATGGGCAAGTTTATACATGTTCAGTGTTGTGCATCGAGCTACAGTTGGCTTGTCGAGATCGCGTCATTACTCACAACAACGTACCTGGCGGTCACCACACCGCTTTGATAAGAAGCGGTCCTCGACTGAACCTTGACAAGCCTTGACAATGTCTGTAAGGGAGATACATATACTCGTCGCTCACCGTCACTCTGAACCGTCCATCGTAACCTCACAGCGACATGGGTACCTCAATTGACGTTACTTCAGCAGATGTTAAACTTGCAACGAATGTATCCATTTCCCGAAAAGCCGATGTCACGGCTTATGGGGCTCGCGGCTTCATTTCCTAGAAATCTCCATTACAGCTCGATTTCCTGCAGTAGGTTCTTGAGATGAATTCTTCATGCAGTCTCGTCACGTGCAATGTTGGTCTACAGTCTGTCGAACATACAATATGTTTGTCGACAAGGTAAGTATTGTTTACGCCAACTGCGAATTCAATATGTAAAATAGTTCGTACTCGATCACCACGGTCACTTGCGTGGTCGTACAACCTGAAGGGTTGTGTTCGGTGGGTTGCTAATATGCTCAGCCTCGATGGTAAACAGCAGCGAGGACTGGCTTTATCTTTGACCTGGCTTGTTAATCATGCGTGAATGATAGTGTAATATATGTTGGCACAAACGTATGGACGAAGCAGCAAGCCACTTACTTGGAAGGGAAAAGAACCAGGCAAACTGCTCGCCCTTCACACAGACATACAAACAATATCTCGTAGATAAAAGCCCAATTTGATTTACCGGGAATGACTGTGCATCTCAGAATGCCCTCCTTGAACGAAGCATTCCTCCTCTTGTTCATCTCTAGACTCATATCCATCTTCACGATATTCAGCAGAATTATTCCCTTCTTGTTAGATCCTTCTTCAGGCAGTGATATGTGTGCTAAGATGAATTGATCGGTGATGCATCACATCCAAGATATTTCAGCCACTAACGCCAGTCTGGGGGTATATAGATGTCCCATCTGTGCTGTTCCATTACAAGGCCGTATGCTTGTTGTATTTCTTCGTAATTATGATAAGATATAGAAAATCGATTTAGATCAAATGCACTGTTTGGATTTCCTTGCGGCTAAGGTTCCGCAAAGCACTGCGAGTGCTGGAATACTTACTGCAACATCAAAGACTCTTGCATTCCACCATGAATTGCCGCATTAAGGTGGGGATTTCATGTCCATGATTACAGGTCGTTCAAATATGGTATTGCACACGGAGACGCGCGACCTCAAAGGTTGGGTAGCGTCTTTGTGCTCTCAACCACGCACGACATGAATAGGCCAAGTCAATGCTGACTGGTGGTTCATTTTCCTCTCGCTGGCCGATACAGTTACTCTCAAGCCGCGTATTGGTTGGTCTCGATACACACGAGTACAAGACGCCCAATCCTCATTCGCCAATCTGCGAATCAGGAAGCACCACTTTCGCGTGTCGGCGGCTAAACAGAAGAAGAACCGAACGTCTTCCAGGAACGATCCACCACTTGACAAGCTGCCACTTTCGCAACTATCGTCGTCGTCCCACTCAAGTCATGCGTCCTATGGCCTGGTAATAGGTCATATTGGGTGACGACTTTTTCATCAAGGTATCGCATTGCCTATATCGGCCGAGTTCGAGCATGCGCTATGCTACGCGCAAATCTTCGTGAAACACTCTTGCCGAGATCTTTCCTTAAGCAAAGCAGCGCCTGATAGAGACATGTCCGCAGGCCGGAACGGTGGCCATGCTTCCCTCTCTGCCCGACGGGATCTGAAAGGCCCAACTCATCTAGCAACTGCCTTTCAGTATGACGAACTTCCTGGCCATGGACGTTCGCAGACCTCCCCTCCCTATACAGGCCTACACAGTCTATCTCCAAGAAGAAGGGCCGCACAGATGGCTGGAATGAATGGTTACAACGCCAGCACCGACCTTCCTCCTCCTCCGTACGTTCGAGCGCTCTACAACTACGAGGCCGATGACCCTACCAGCTTAAGCTTTCAGCAGGGAGATATCATACAAGTTATTACACAATTAGAGAGTGGGTGGTGGGACGGTATAATTGACGATGTGCGCGGCTGGTTTCCGAGCAATTACTGTACCGTCATTGATCCTGACAACCCGGATGCTACTGGTGGCCCAGACGAGTCTGAGATGAGTGAACAGTCTGGTACAGAGGAAGATTACGATGACGAGGACGATTCTGATGCTCAGACTCAAGATGAAGATGACTCAGATCTGCCCATCGAGGGTACAGGCTCGAATTCTCAAGAGGAGGCTGGATTCTGGATTCCTCAAGCCACTGCTGACGGTCGTCTCTTTTACTTCAATACCCGTACAGGCGTCTCGCGCAGAGAGTTGCCTCTGGAGACTCCCCCAATTGGCGACGATCTTCCACCAGATTCGAGCAATTTTCATATACCTGCACAAACCAGACCTCCACCTGAGATGATGGCTGGAGGATATCACAACGAAGAGGACTACGATGGCTCTTCCTCCGAGCTAGATACCGAAACAGTTCGCAAACCGAAAAGGTCCGACATTCTTCCTGCTCATCTCACTACGACGATGCCGCCAAATGGTATCACTTCAACATCCTTCTCAGTACCAATACACCGATACTCGAGAAGCTCTGGCGTGCCGCGCCATTTCAGCGACAACCCAATCACTACTGTCACGACGTGGGAGAGCTTGGTCGAAAATATGCGTACTGCTATTCAGGCATATCGTGCTGCTATCCATCAAGGCGAACGCGCTGAATATGTCAGACGAGCTGAGGATATCTCTGATCACCTCAGAATGCTTCTTGCAGCTGGATCAGGAACTACTGACAATCACTCAGGAAATCCGTCCATAATTTCAACCAACAAAGCCCTCTATCCACATTTCAGAGAGATGATGTCCAAATATTCAAAGTTGGTCCTGTCGTCCCACATTGCAGCCGCCGACTGGCCAGTTCCAGAAACTGGGGCAAAATGTTTGCAAGAGGCTGATGGTGTCATGCACGGTGTCTATGGATTCGTCGAGGTGGCTAGGCAGCAAAGAGGCGACGATATACCTCGTCTGGTTCCTGGATTTGTGGCTGGTAGCTCGCTCGGTGGTTATTGGCAGGACAACAATATTGATGACCAGTCTATACACGAAGGGAGTTCATTCATCCACCAGAGTGAGGATGACGTTCGCTCAAAACCTGGCGTACCACTCGACGCTTTGTCTTTGCGCAGCGTAGAGGAGGCACGTTTCTCTCTCTTGAATAGCTTACAACGACTCGAAGACCAACTGCAGTATAGCGAGAGGATCGTCACACCAATGAGACAAGCCGAAATTGGGGATAATGTTTGTATGGGTTGTGGAGCTTTAATCGAATATTTCAGGCCGTGGATTGCTCTAGTCGAGTCAATTGACCTTGGCAAGGTTGGAAATATCTTGCAGAAACCACTACTTCTCGACTTTGGTAACCAGAAACAGAAGGTGTACGACTCTATCGGAGAACTAGTAGCCGCTTGTCAAGCAATCACTGCGCCCTTGCCTGATGAATGGGCCGAGCTCCGAGACGAGTCACTGGACACAAGATTGTCAGCCGTGCGCTCAGTCTGTAAGCAATTTGACACCCACGTTTCGCAAATCAACTACTCACTGCAACTTCTCGAATCTTCTGTGACCGCGGCAGTCACTACATCGAAAAAGGATCATCGAAACACAGCACCTACTGATGCCTTGCAGGTTAATGCCCAGCGTCTGAATGAAAGACCACATTTGGCTGATATAGGCCATTCGAACTCCTACAGTGCTGGACAAGACACCACAGATTTCAAACGGCCACCGAAGAAGGACAAAGCGAGGGAGTTCTTCGGCCAGGTGCCTCCTCTGCTGAATGACGAGAATAGTCAAGGACGTGTCAGCGACCAAAGACCGTGGTTCTTACAAATGGAACACGAGAACGAAGTGCACCGAGACTTCAGGACCAACCCTCCGCAAGTGAAAAGTGGAACTCTCGCAGGGCTTGTGGAACAGTTGACGAGGCACGATCGGCCAGATCCAACATTCAATGCTACTTTTCTCTTGACTTACAGGTCCTTCATAACAGCTTCTGAGTTGTTCGAATTTCTGATCAGTCGGTTCAATACCCAGCCACCTCCGGATTTGACACGTGACGAGCTTCTCATCTGGGAAGAGCAGAAACAGAAGCCTGTCAGATTTCGAGTTGTGAACATCCTCAAAATGTGGATAGAGCACTACTGGATGGAGGGGAACGATGCAGAAAGTCAGCAATTACTTGAACGTATGAATGTTTTTGCACGGAACACGGTGACGAACGCTAAGATCCCTGGTGGCGCCCCTTTGGCCACAGTCGTAGAACAACGGTTGAAAGGTCAGGATACATCAGCAAAGAAGCTTGTCCTGACATTGACTGGGAATGCGCCAACACCAATCCTGCCGAAGAATATGAAAAAACTCAAATTCGACTCTATTGACCCAATGGAGTTTGCTAGACAGTTAACGATTGTGGAGTCCAGGCTGTATGGTCGAATCAAGCCTGTTGAGTGCCTAGAGAAAATCTGGGAGAAGAAGGACAACGACGAGGCAGGAGATCGTGCGCCCAACGTTCGAGCTCTAATATTGCATTCCAACCAGGTAACTAATTGTGTTGCCGAGATGATTTTAGCGCACAGCGAGGTCAAGAAAAGAGTGAATGTGATCAAACATTACATACAAATTGCCGACGTAAGTCCTGCAGCCACCTTTCTAAAGTTCTAAACTAACCTTTGCAGCGGTGTCGAGCCTTGAATAATTTCTCCTCCTTGACCGCCATCATATCCGCCTTGGGCACCGCACCTGTACTCCGTCTCAATCGAACTTGGGCAGCCATGCCAGCTAAAACGAAAGATCTTCTAGAAAGCATGCGGACTCTTATCGCCAGCACGAAGAACTTCAGCCGATATAGAGAGGCTCTGAATACAGCCCAGGCACCATGCATTCCCTTCCTTGGTGTCTATCTGACAGACCTGACATTTATAGAAGATGGCATCGCTTCAGTGGTCAAGAACACAGAATTGATCAACTTTACGAAACGGACAAAGACTGCTGAGGTAATTCGAGATATACAGCAATATCAAAATGTGCCTTACAACTTGACCGAAGTCCCTGAGCTGAAGGAATGGATCTTGGACAATATGCGAACCGCGTCTGATGTACATGAGATGTACAACAAAAGTCTAGCAATCGAGCCGCGAGAACGCGAAGAGGAGAAGATCGCCCGGTTACTGTCAGAATCTGGTTTCCTCTGAGAGTTTCCATTAACTGGAAATTTGAAACTATATGGGATGCATTAATTAGGTGACACGAAATTTCGACTATGCATCTTGGACATCTATTTTTCGCATTTGGTGGCCTGATTCAGATCGACCTTCTGTTCTCTGGTGGCCTTTTGGCTGGTACAAAGGTTACAAAACGTTTTAGCGAGGTATGAATGATGATCTAATGAACCAATCAAGCATAGTATCTACTATTGACAGGTAGCACAAGAACTCCACCAAGTCAAGTCAGGTGCACAAAACTATTGAAGTCTTCTCAACATTTGAGCTACATACAGATTAAGAAATTATGACTTCAGACAATGCGTTGGCAAAGAGGTAGGTTTCACACTACTCACCAAGTTCTTTCGTAAGTGCACCAAACGTGGTAGAGAGTTCTGACTCGTATCAGTTTTGATGCAGCCCTGTTGAGGATGTTTTGCGGGCTGGCTTTCCATTGCCGGGTGTCCTTGGCAAGAAAAGAAGACTCACAGGCAGCTGTGTATGCTTAACCAGTGTTTGATCACTGGCGCGACTGAACACCGCACACCTCAATGACTGTCGTACAAGGTCTACCTCTTCCCTTCTGCTTTTGGTGCAAACCCCGGCTACACACTCATGCATGTCTTTCCATGCATGTAACCGTCGGTCGTGATTGTCGACGTGCACATGGCTCTGCACATTCCAGTTCAGGTGAACACGGCTATTGCGACATCCTCTAAACTCCTCATACCCGAAGCCATACGTCGACCTGTCGTGTCTTGAATTGGTCTGCCATGTACAGCGGACATTGCGAAATAGACATTTTCGCCTTCCGAGATTTGTTGCAAAGTCCATCTATCATGCAGACCTCGCTTCTTCAGGAAGCAGTATCACATCCTGTCCATCTTGTCGCCCCCATTCGTTCCTGGTCTTGCGATGGCCTTTCCCCTGACAAGAGAACATTCACGCAGTCATCAACCTCTGTTGGTGGTTGTCAGCTCCCAATTGTGCCCCATAGTCTTGGCTAATTGGCAACTCATCTCTTGCATGCGAGGGATCCTTCACCACGGCTATACCGGTCTCCATTTTGCTGGACCTAAGAAGTACATCAATCCTTCTGGTTCCTCATTTCCTATCCGTGTCCTTGCCGCCCTGCCGGAAAGCCCAAGCGACGATGACTCTCAACACAACAAAGGACATATGACTTCTGAAGTGCCCCTCAGCCCTTGTTTATGCTAAAAGTTCCTTCCAGAACTGAGACTTGTGTTCCAAGTCGTAACTTCCCACTTCTGTGACACTGCCGAGACTTCCTGCTTTGTGATCGCATTTCACGACATGGTGTACGACAAGTCGGGCCGCTCAAGCAGAACGTACGGCAACAGTGGTCCTGGAGCAGTACTCAATACGATCTGTTTCATCGGCATACCACTTGGCTTCCTCTTGATAGTGAACAGAGTATACTGGAGGTGGACAAAGGGTGTTCCAGGCAAGGATGATATTATAATCATCCTTGCGTGGGTGAGTTGTGCTTCAAGTCTGCTGCTGGGAAGTTGAGATGGCTAACAATTTTATAGGTCTTCTTAGGAGTCCTAGGCGCCATCCAGTATGTTGCCGTCGACTATGGCTATGGTCGACGTATTTCGGAGCTGACGCCAGACGAGGCCTCTGATGCTATTCGAGTAAGTTGCATTCACCGTTGCAACCAAGGTAGCGTTGAGGCTGACCTTGATATGTTCACAGATGTTCTATCTCTACCAGATCTTTTACAAACTTACTCTCAACCTGTCCAAGTTGTCTATCTTGACACTATATTTGCGCGTCTTCGACACCCGCGACTGGTTTGGCAAGATCACGAAATTTCTAATAGGTCTTGTGCTTATATTCAGCTTCTCAATCATGTAAGTGATTTCTTGGGCACATCAAGTCCTTTCTCAACCTGCAGGAATCCGCAGATTGTGTCTTTGTCAATTACTAAAGTTGTTAAAGCATTACAAACATATTCATATGCACTCCGATCTCTACATACTGGAATACCTCACTACCCGACGACTCTCCTATTCGAGTCGAGAAGTGCGTCAACATTCTCGGCTATTGGTACGCTTCCTCAATATACAACATTTTCAGCGAAGCTATAATGCTCTTTTCTGTACTCGTCCGTATTTGGACTTTACCCTCTCATTCTCAGCCTCCGATCCTACATTTCCGCCAGAAGGTGAACTTGACAGTGGTACTAGGTCTTGGTATTTTTACTCTTCTCACCTCGATCTTGCGGGTCACGACGCTCGATCAAGCTGCATCAGCTAAAGACATAACAGCTAGTACGCTACGCAGTACAACTTGGAGCAGCGCAGAAGCATGTCTAGGGCTTGCTGTGGCGAACCTGCCTATGCTCCGCCAATTGTTACGCTGGCGAGGCTGGTGCGGCAGGCATTGGTTCGGTAGCTCAGCAGATAGGAGTCGCACTCGCATTGACTCACATTCAAGGCGGCGCAGTGAGTTCACAGCCGCAGGAGCACGCAACGACAACAACAACAACGACAGCAATCTCAACTCGCAACGATCAGGGACGAACTCCCATCGTCCAACTACAGATAACATCCACGGTGGCATCACAGTAACACGCGACTTCCGTCTCGAAATCGTCGACAACGACGGCATCAGCGAAGACACCCCAGCCTCGGACATCGAAGCCCAAGCTTGCCGGCACATCGAGTTCTCCAATCAGTGCAAGTGGAGATCGAACTCCTGCTGCAGCTCACCCGCGAAGAGCCTCAAAGGCGTACCCCCGATCAACAGTACCGATATCAGCAGTGGTAGCGCAACACCGAGCATTGCCTCCACGCTACGATCTCCAACCGAACCTCTGTCCATAATACGCACCTCGACCGAACCCAACACCATAAGCAGCAGCACCAGTCTCGCAAGCTTGAGCACGAGATTGGGAACAATGACACCACTTTCCCCTGTCGGGAGTCTGCAGCTACAGCCTATGAGTGCTTGTCGCGTAAGAGAGGAAAGGCATGAATTGCCTTAGTACGGAACGAAGATATATTATGGCAAAGAGACAATTGCGATATTTCAGGATATGAAGTTGCATATATTCATCACATACACGCTGATTGCTCCAATCCAGGGAACCAGGGGTAAAGAGCGAAGAAATATACAATTAGACAACCATGGAGCAATAGTGATAAATTTCAAATGGGCGTCCTCCCGAGACATCCATTGTTGTTTACCTCGATACAGAAAACACACATCCTTTCATACCGAAGATTCCACACAAGCTGTAGTCGTGCTCTATAGAGACATCAGGTTTCCAAGGTCAGACTGCACCGGCTCAATAGGGTCTATATTATATAGATATTTGAGGATAGTCGAGAAATGGTAGAGATTGAAACATTGACTCCTGCATTGGCAAGCTACATCGACCTCTTTCAGTCATCGATCAACTTTCACTGTACTACTTTCATCACGTCGTCTCATGTCAATATCATAACGCTTCAAACAAAGTGCTTTCGCATCACAATGTCAGGACAGAAGGACAATCGTCGTCTTTACCTAGAATTTAACCCTTGCATTTTGTTTCACCATTCTACCCGCTTAACAAACAGAACGCCAGACATGCCTCCCTTCTGAGATGCAATGGCCATTGAAACATGATACGAATTTCTTTACTCCCAATGAGGCAGAGATTGTATGCAAATAGCTTACATGCTGACCTCGACACGACCTTCATTACCTGGGCCACCTTTAGCCAAAGTTGGGAGCAGGTAGGTGATATCATCCCAAGGATGTCTGTAAAGACCAGTTCGCAGCCTCTTCTGATCGAGGTAGTGTGCAATAAGACCAATAGATCGACCAAGAACGAATAGACCGTTAAGTACACCCATTCGAAGGTAATCCTCTGCTTCTTCAGGGGAGAAGGCACCGCAGTTCCGCATAAGATCAACAAAGCAGACAGCGATGCAACCGTCGACGTTCAAGATCAGGTTGTCCTTCTTCGAGGTGGTGACGGTCTCGACAGCAAGAGCATAGTCGAGCATCTTGTGAGAAGTGAAGTTCTTCTGGACGAACTCTTTGACAAGCTCGACACGGAGATCAGGGTTGTTTCGAGATTTGATTCTGTGGCCGATACCTGGGATGAGCTTGTTCTCCTTTCGCATGGTGTCAATAAATTCCCTTGGGCTCATGCCCTTGTCGAAGGCCTTTGTGAACTCTTCAGCAGCGCCGTCGAGAGCACCACCGAAACGAGTACCAATAGTCAGCAGACCAGCGACCAAGGAAGAGATCAGATCTTTGCCAGCACGTGTAGTGATGATGGTGTTCATGGCGCCAGACACGGCTGGACCGTGATCGGCGGTAAGCATAAGAACCATTTCCAGAAACTTGCTAGCGTGGATAGGCAATCTGCGTCGGAACCACAGCAGAGACATGACACCACCGATACCAATATCCTCTTTGAAAACATCTGAAATTGGCATACCAGCGTATAAGAGTTCTTGGCCTCTGTCGTCGGAGATGGTAGAGATGAAGGCAGCTGGCTTTCGGATGAGACCCAGTTCCTGAGCCCATGAGTAGTCCATTGGGATCTTGGGAACAACAGGTTCGGCAGCAGGTTTGATTGTGCCGTTCTTCACAAGCTTTTCGTACACAGACTTGAGCAGTTGCGGCATCTCCTCGAAAGTGTCTGGGACGAAGAAACCAGCCTCCTTCATAGATTGGTTCTTCACCACAGCAGTTTCGAGCTGAGAGTTGGCAGATGCACCAGCATGACCAAACTGTACCTCAGTCTTGAACATGCTAGCGCAGGTACCGATAGCCCACGCAACAATAGGCTTCGTAATGACGCCCTTCTTGACTGCCTCAATCACGCGGTACTCTTCAACGCCACCGACTTCACCGAGGAGAAGCAGGATCTTGCATTCTGGATCGGCTTGATATCTGAGTAGATGGTCAATGAAAGTTGTACCTGGGTACCGATCACCACCAATGGCAATACCCTCATAAACACCATCTGTGTTGTTGGCTACAATGTTGTTCAGCTCGTTGGACATACCACCAGACTTGGATACATATCCGACGGAGCCTTTTCTGTACAGCTTGGAGGCGACAATGTTGTCCATCATACCACCAGTGTTGCCAATCTTGAAGGCACCGGGCTTGATACCACCAACAGTAGCAGGACCGATAATCTCAATACCTCTCTCTTTTGCAGTGACCAAGATCTCTCGAGCTCGTCGCTCAGGTACACCTTCGGCGATGATGGCGATCGATCGTATCTGAGGGACATTCATAAGCTCCATGGTCGAGCTGTATACCGATCGCGAAGAGGCGAAGTTTACAATCGTGTCAACTTCAGGGTGTTTCTCGAAGGCCTTCTCTACTGACTGGTAGACAGGTAGAAGAGTTTCTGAGGTGCCCCAGTACATCTTACTGACGAACTGACCCCCGAAAGTATAGATGATACCAGCTACTGAGGGTGTCGATCTCTTGCAAATGAAATCGAAATCGAGCATACCCTGAACTGCCTTTGGCTGCATGCCACTGTCTCTTGTTAGGTACTGCATCTGGAGAGACGTGAAGGGTTTCTTACTAGACAAAGCACCTCGACTTGTTGTGGAAGAGGGCATGCTGCAGAGGGCTCATTACTCTAGAAGGAGCGTCAAATCTGCGGATGTTGTCGTTGGCTGACATAGGCGTCTCTGATTCTGGGGTATGTGTACCATTGACGGTAACCTTGGGCGCAGGGCCCAGCTGTGATGGCGCACTCATTGTGCTTGTGTTATACTCTGCAAGACCCATGATGTGTTAGCAGGCAAGTCGCTAAATTCGAATACAAAGTCGGTCTGGAGATGAATTGAAGAGGAAGTATGAAATGAAGTTGACTTACGGTCCTTCTGGTTGTGCTAAGCAACCGAATGTTGGGGTGAGGAGGCTGTTGAACACCACAGTCACGGATGCTGTGGATGGAACGGAGATTGTTGGATGTTCTGTAAACAACAGGATCTGGTAGCAGACTTCCAGATATTGGCAAGAGTGATCCTGCATCAAAAAGCTGAAGCAGTGACGAGGCTAAAAAGTATAGCGGAGACAGTCTACTGCCTCACGATTGTGGTGGGCGGTCACTGGCAAGGGGAAGGTGCAGTTGGATTTCTTAGCGTGAGATGGGAGAGTTCACAGTCCCGCACTGTCCCTGCCGACGGGCTTGTTGAGAGTCTTCTAAGTCCGCCCTAGCTTGTCTAGCTGCATCCTCACAGAAGGACGAGTCGAATAATAATACCAATAATAGCATAGCTCGACCCCAAGCCACGAGCTGAAGGCCCACTTCCAGGCACAATGCGTTATGGCCACCACCGATTCTCTGTTTCACCGCCCGAATATGGCTTCCGTACGATGATGCAGAACCACACGATAATTCGGAGTCCGAGTTCTTATCGATATGACCTGAACTGCCATCGCAGTAGCCCACTATTTTACGAGATACGATGCAGGCTGGGATGCAAAAGTGATAGTTCATCTGAAGATGGATATGTAATTTGTTCGTCGCAGCAATTGTGGATGCGTTTCTCGATTGTTGAGAGATGAGAAGCGCCGAATAGTGAAGATTTTTAGATTGTATTGCAGTTAATTCTCTCCAACCAGAAATCCAAGCAACAGAAAACGTATTCGAAATGCTACCAGATGCGTCATACACGCACAATTGAAACGCAACGAGGTTTGTTGACCGCCTGCCAGAAACAGCACCACAGAGTGACGGGTTCCGAGAAGGGTCTCCTAATTGGCTTTCAGGCCTGCAGCTTATGCCGGATGGAACGATTTCAATCCCGCATCTTCCTGCCCCAACGTGCTCCACTAACAAATTAGCAAACCACTAGAGCGGATCGGTCCCCTGCAAAAAAGTGGCAGAGGCATATGGTGAGCCCTCACGAGTCCGAAGACCAACGAGCCAACGTGTATTGATCGTTGTTGTTGCAACTATTGCTTGTAAGGTCTGACACTGCCAACACTTCGAAAACAGCCTCGTCTGTGTGCAGTTCGCTCCTTCACGATCTACCTGTGTCGTGCTTTCATTCATTGACTTGTTGTTCCCTCTACTTGGACAACCTCAGGTCTTATACACCCTTCACTTACTTCGACCACATTTCACCGCTTACAAACTGTCATGTCTGCTAAGTCGATCCTCGAGGCCGATGGCAAAGCCATCCTTAACTATCACCTTACTCGCGCTCCTGTGATCAAGCCAACACCGCTGAAGCCCTCCAGCGTACACAATCCACCAGCAAAGCTAGCATCCATATACTTCCCCGAGGACCAGGATGTCGGTGCCATCCTCGATCAAGTAGAGGCTACATATCCATGGCTGAAGGAGCCAGGAGCCAAATTCGTTGCTAAGCCGGATCAACTGATCAAGCGACGAGGCAAGAGCGGTCTCCTTTGCCTGAATAAGACATATCCAGAATGTAGGGCTTGGATCGAGGCAAGAGCTGGGAAGGAACAGAAAGTCGAGCACGTCGTCGGTGTGCTCCGACAATTCTTGATCGAGCCCTTTGTGCCTCACCCTTCGAACACCGAGTACTACATCAACATCAATTCCGTGCGAGACGTAAGTACATTGGAAGCGCACAGTACTACTAGCTAACACGTTACAGGGTGATTGGATCCTCTTCACACACGAAGGCGGTGTGGACGTCGGTGACGTCGATGCCAAAGCCGAGAAGGTCTTGATTCCAGTCGACTTGAAGAAATTCCCCTCAAACCAAGAGTTGGCTGCAGCTTTGCTAAAGAAGGTGCCAAAGGGCATACACAACGTTCTGCTCGACTTCATCTCTCGGTTGTATGCTGTATACGTGGACTGCCAGTTCACATACCTCGAGATCAACCCCCTGGTTGTCATTCCCAACGCCGATGCTACATCTGCAGAAGTCCACTTTCTCGATCTTGCAGCCAAGCTCGACCAGACCGCCGAATTCGAGTGCGGTGTCAAGTGGGCTATTGCACGAGGTCCAGCTGCTCTTGGTCTTCCTAGCGCAGCCTCTGCTGGAGGCAAGGTCAACGTTGATGCCGGTCCACCTATTGAGTTCCCAGCTCCTTTCGGTCGAGAGATGAGCAAGGAGGAGAAGTACATCTCAGATATGGATGCCAAGACCGGTGCCTCCCTGAAACTCACAGTCCTTAACGCTAGTGGCCGTATCTGGACTCTGGTCGCAGGTGGTGGTGCTTCCGTTGTTTATGCTGACGCCATCGCCTCAGCTGGCTTCGTTAGCGAGCTCGCCAACTATGGCGAGTACTCTGGTGCTCCGACTGAGACTCAAACATACAACTATGCTCGAACAGTCTTGGACCTCATGTTGAGAGCGCCACAGCACCCAGAGGGCAAGGTGTTGTTCATTGGTGGAGGTATTGCCAATTTCACAAATGTTGCGGCTACCTTCAAGGGTGTCATTCGTGCGCTCAGAGACGTTGCACCTGTCCTTAACGAACACAAGACTCAAATCTGGGTACGACGTGCAGGACCAAACTACCAGGAAGGTCTGAAGAACATCAAGGGTGCTGCTCAAGAGCTTGGCCTTGACATGCACGTCTTCGGTCCTGAGATGCACGTATCTGGCATCGTGCCCTTAGCCTTGAGCGGTAAGACAACCACCGTTCCTGAATTCGGCTTATAAACAGCTTCAATTTGAGTTGACGTATGAGATGACATGCTATTGCGCCATATGCGATTAGAAAGCGTATCGATTTTGATGATGGTCGGAGAAGCATATGTGTGGTCGGGTACAAAAGACTAGGGGTCTGATATTGGTCTGCTCTTAAGGCGTTTGCCAATTAGTTGTCTTCGACCTGGAAACGACTTCCAAGTCGTAACGAGAATGAACATTACCTTGAGGTGATGATGGGTGAAAATCGTCTCTGGACCCAAATGTGACAGACTTTAATTAAAACTCAAGCCATCTCTCTGTACGGTTAAGCTGACCATGAATACAACGAGGAAAGATGTTCTATTTGGGAAGCTGACCTACGTAGCTGAAGTGTGATTGAGTAATGCCCAACTGAAAGGGCGCGACGATAGAATTTATGCCATTCGTACAATTGTAATAAGTTTCCTTCGCACATATTCTTGTTTGCCTAGAACGCCATGTACCCTCATCATCGTCTATATCATCGTAACAAACGTCCAGCGCCAAAGCAGAATCAAGCAGCCACAGCAAGATCACGAGCTCCGGAGAGCTCATCGATGTAGGCAATCCTACCCGCATCTCTTGTCCCGCCCTTTCTGTTTTCTTTAGCTTCTTCCCTCTGTATCACAGCCAAGACCTCGATCGGCGGGTTGAGCGACAGAGCGCGAGCTCGTTTCCATCTTCGCAAACGGGTGATTCCGATGCATGGACCGTATTCTGAGGAGAGGTCGAAATGCCGTAATATCTTCTCGTGCATATGTACACCTTGTTGGTGGACTGGTACATGGTCAGTATGCTGAACTTTTGGAGGTAGTGTCAAATAAAACATACTCTGTGGTGCTAAGCGCTTATTCTCTTCAGCCTTCCAGAACTTCGTGATTCGTGCGTCGCTCAGATCGTTGGCTTGTTTCTCAGCTGCCTCATAGGCAGCAGCCTCATTCTGTTCGCCGGCAGATCTACGCACTTTCTTCTTTCGAGACGGAGGAGGAAGTATGCGGACAGGTGATTCGACTTGTGGTGCTTTGCCCTTGCCTGTTTGTTTTGGTTGAACTTCTGGTTCTGGTGTCGATTGCTTGACGATCTCAGATGTGATAATTTCTTTGGCAGGCTCGTTTAGTTGCGTCTTTGCGTTCTTCAATGCCGTCGTCGAGTCGGTCGGTTTACTAACCCGGCCCTTGAAGGATAGCATCGATTGTCCCGCCCTTGCGGTCGGGCCGCTAGCTGCTCGTCGAGTTTTCGGTGGCATCTTGCTCGGTTGTGGTTGAGGTTGCAATATGAATACCCAGTAATGCTAGCGACACGACTCTTCAGATGTTTCAATCTCAAAGTATGCGCAATTAGTGTGGTTCTGTTGTATGAGCATTCCTGTAAGCGGGTTAGAAGTTGAGGAAGCACTTGTGGATATTGGGAGATCACGATGGCGTCAGAGACGTGGTTGCCCGGCACCAGGCAGTCACGTCCCACGCGCATGGCGTATGCACTTTACGCGTTGTTGCTTCTCCTCTGCACTTCGCTCCAGGACATGAAGACAACCAACGAAGATGATTTTGATCAGGTAAGCATGGGCAATACTACTGCATACACTCCGCAGCCAGAGTTTACAAGATGAGAGTAATGGAATAGATTGTGGGTGCTTGGATATGTGTCATCACTGGGCCGGCTCCGCGAATATTCACACTTCACCACGTCTAGATTCGCCAGCGTCTACTACTGGTACTGCTTCAAAGATCTCTACGGATCATCGTCGCTTGCCTACGTCAACTTCGCTTGTGTGTCGTGCAAGAATCAGTGAAGGTTCATCGCATCACAGAATGGGGACTCAGAAGTGCCAATTCCGGGTGTGGGCCTGCGGCAGTCGCAAGCGTGGACCCTTCAGCTTTGTCCCGAAAGAGCGGTTGATTCTACATCATCGTACTGATTGCCAGGCGAGCCTTGTCAGTATATCTGTCCGTTCAACGTCGTTTGTGCTTTGCATACATGAATATGTATAGAGTGCTTTTGAGCTATATTTTACAAACATTCCTTGACACCAGATTTCACGCATCATGTTTTGATCGTCGCGTCGCCTGAACATCACTCCTCATCTACGCCCGAGCCTTAGCCTATCGTTTGCACTTTGTTTGGGGATTTTTTTGGTAACGTGAGATGGCGCCTTCTCCCACTATTAGACGGCTATTGAAAGAAACACAAGAGCTGTCCGCAGCCGCGAAGAACCCAAATCCAACTTTCCATGCTGCGCCACTATCTGAAGACAACCTGCACGAGTGGCACTTCACACTCCTTGGACCACCAGCACCCTCACCGTATGCTGGAGGCATATACCACGGCAGAATCACGTTGCCTCCAGCGTACCCCATGAAGCCTCCCAACTTTCGCTTTCTGACACCTAGCGGTCGATTTGAAGTTAACAGAGAAATCTGCCTGAGCATATCTGGATTTCACGAAGAAACATGGCAACCTGCTTGGGGAGTACGTCTAGCGCTGACCGCTTTGCGAGGGTTTATGAGCGAGGACGGTACAGCAGGTCAGGTGGGTGGTCTTGAAAGCCCCAGATCAGTACGAGAAAGATTGGCCAAAGACAGCAAGAGTTGGAAATGCACAGGTTGTGGCGGAGAAGAGGAGAATGACAACCAGAAAGGATGGACGAATGAAGAGCGCATGAAATGGTGGTGGAATGTATGTCGCGAGAAAGGTGTCAACGTCGAGGCTGAAATAGAGGGCCTCGAAGATTTACCAGAAGGTATGAACTTAGAAGCTCGCGATGTCAAGCAAGACAAAGGCAAGCAGAAGGAGATTCCAGTGGCGACAGCGGATTTAGAGGACACCGCGCAAAACCCAGAACCACAAGCACTCACATCTCAAGTGCTAGATCCAAATGGAAAGGATAATGTCCAGCAAATATCAGAAAGTGCTTCTTCAGTCGTGCCTCCTGCTGCACCTCAGATCAGTTCTACACCACAAACTAAACCAGAAGTATCTGCCCATGGTAATCAAAGAATACAGAGCTCGTTTGGTTCTTCACCCACACAGTATCAGGACGTTCAGCCTCAACAGACACGGCTGCAGCACATCCCTCAAGCAGATTCTCCTATCAGTATCGACCGAGCAATTACAGTCATATTTCTAGCACTATGTCTCGTAATATTGAAGAAGATGTTTTATCCTAGTAGTGCTGGACCGCTATTTGGAGGATATGATGATTTACGCATGGTCAGGGAGTGAGATGATATCAGCATGCCAGAAAAATCACTGTCAAACATGGCTGAAGCTCTGTATAAGAAAGATGCCAGCGACCAGTCAGCCTGGTTCATCCACCGATGCATTGCTAGCTGCTACGGAGGCCATATCTCACAGCAGACTTCGCACCCGAATTGATCATTTGGAAGCAATAGTTGGATAGTTATTCTTGCTGATGCATCTTTGACCAAAAAACCTTTGTTGCTCGTCTATCAACAACGACGACTCCCTCAGCCCAGGAAAACGAGTCAGTCCTTCGACCGCAGAGTCCGAGAAGTCAGCCCAATTGAGGTTGCCAAATACACGACTCTGGCCCATACCACGACGCACAAGAACAGAAGATGATGAGTTGAGAAACCAGTGAACTGGTCAGGAACACTTGAGAAGTCATAGGCACGGTAAAAGTCCTGCTCCAATTGAAGCAGCAACAAAGTCCGAATGCAGTACTCTTGGATCGTGGCTGGTGTGATGGACGGTCTCGCGAAGGGGCATACAAGAGCTATTAAGTGAAGAGCTTTTTTAAGGTGTTGCAACAGCGGAGTGCAAGTACTTGGTTGGCTGATGTTGGCAGGGCTTTTCTCTTGGGAGAGGCGTCATGCTCAAACAATATCTGTTGAGATCGAGTACCATAACAGCTCAAGCACTTCTGTTGTGAGGATTAGTCTATCAACTCTATCGTACAACCTTTTGCAAAGTTCCCAACTCTTCAACCTTTCAGCCTAGCTAGGAGCTCGTTGTTAGCTCAGTATTTCGACCAGCCAACTAGATTAGATAATATGTGCAGCACCACCTCTGTAAGAGAGGCCCATTCATTTTCAAGAAGCAGAAGCGTGAACTGCATTAGCACGAAACTTGTGAGCTTTTCCTTTCCCTTCCTTCGTTGTGACTTGGCGGTTTGACTGTCGTCTAGCCCTGAAAGCGATCTTGGTGTGATCTTTCTAAGAACCCTGTTGACCTCGCTCCATCCGCTTCCTAACCGCAAGAAGCTCGGCCGAATCTTTGATGTGTAGGTACCAGTTTCCGGGATCATCAGTCCAGCTGACCATCCCACTAAAGCGCTCCTTCTTTTGTACACTCAAGCAGTTTACCAAATCGTTGATGTTGCTCTCCTTGACTTTGTGATTGGGGTCCCGGAAGTACTTCAGACTCACGATCTTGCACCCCTCTTTCAGGTCCAGAAACATTCGCTTCAGTACGTCATTGAGATCTGGATTGAATGCTTGGTTGTTCACCAGAACAACATCAGCTTGTTTCAGGACATCGCCAATCTGCTGATTTGTTCGAAAATCATCCTGTATGATTTGCACGCGCCCAGGTTTAATCCCCCACATACGACATCTTGAAGGAAATTCTTGTGCCGCCGCTTGAGCCAGCTTTGCTGGGTTTGCCATAACTTCGCAGCCCCACGATTCACATCCAATCTCCAGTGCCGCCTGCAGGACACAGTTTCCGACACCAGAGCCCAAATCAACGAAGATCTGGTCTGATGTTAGATGTGTTTCCTGGAATATCCGTGACAGAAACTTAGGCAGAAGCTCGCCATAAACGTTGTCGCTGAATCCTTCGTACTCTCTGACCGTATCAATGTAGGGTGAGATAGTTCTCGAATATACCTGCTCCTTAATGATATGATTAACCAATTTCAGAGGAAGAGGTGAAGTCATCTCATCAATTTTTCTAACGAGAGTTCCATCGTCCCGTTTGATCGCTAATAGCTCGTTGTATTCTTGGATGACCTCCATAAAATGTGTCTGAGCTCCCGGTCGCGTGTCACGGGCGTAGCGATCAAGTTGCTCAATTAATCCACCTCCAAATCCTCCTTCAGGTTCGATTTTTTCGGCAGTGTCGGTATCCAAGTAGAACTCCCTAACTATCTTCATGTTTTCTCTGATTTCGTCAAGAGGTTTGAAGTCGGTTTTGTCGTTAGGCTTGACTAGCTGGTACTTCTCCGTCATGCCAATACACGGATACTGAAGCTCAATAGTGGGGCTATCGTCTTCATTGCTGGCAAGAGTGGTGAAGTATTCGGCGAACTGGAAAGTACCATGCTTTTGAATAGTATTGTTGGCAATATCAAGGGCGTGGACAATATCGTAAGGTCTAGGGTCGTCGTTGGAAAATGATCCAGCATCGCGAATCTTGCGCTTTTTGTCCTCTGCATGACCATTCATTCTTCTTCTCTTGCGTCGTGGCTCAGTATCGTCTTCTTCATCTGAGTCAGGACCGAACTGAGGGCTGTGGACTGCAGGTGAAGAACGACTTGACCGTGAGGCTTTTCCATTCCGTATTATCTCCCTTGGTTCGCTGCTGGAAGTGCGCGACAGATTGCGATTCGGGGTAGCAGACTTGCGCGCGCCATTTGACTTTATTACCGGCAATCCGTTCTTTCCAATTCTTGTATGGATTGTAGCGCTGGTCGATTTCGTTGTTGGAGGTACAGCCAACCTTGATGAAGCCGTTGTTGAAGCAGCTGGAGCAGTCTTCTTTGAGCTAGTGTACATCATACTCTTTAGATCCTTCTTAACATTCAGCGTCGGCAACGGCACGCTTCTCTTCGGCTTCGGGTCAGCCATGTTTGCGATTTCTGCTTCCAATCCAAAAGAAGGTAGTGTTCGCTAGGAAATGCAATGATGCAGGTAGCCGTTGGTATCAAGGAGTGTTGATTAAAGCTCAAGTTACTGCTGATTAAATAATGGTCAGATCGCGAAAGGGAAAGGAAAACACAAACTCCTAGTTGAATAGCAAAGATGAATTGAACACATAATTGTTTTATTAAGGCGATGCTATGCATGCACTTTCGAAGAAGGATGGACTTTCCGTTTTGAGCGAAACAGAACATTCCAAGTATGACGTCACTGCCAAACGATTTAACTGGGAGATTCAGGCAAGCACACGATCAGCCAGGCGTCCTCCAAATTCATTGGAGATTACCACATAGACCTTGTGCATAACCATTACGATAGCAACTTTTGCGTAGTACCGGAAAGCACAGCTCTAACGTTAGACTGCTCTTGAAAGCGTAAAGGTTTGCCAAACAGAGAGTCTGGGAGAATGGTGACCATCCAACCTGTCAAACGGCAGAGAACGAGCAGGAACTCAACCTGCGTGTGACTCTTGTGCCCTGGCAAACGCTACACCTGTTGAAAACGTATACGTTTTTATATGCGGCGTTGATTTTGCTTGCAACGTTAAAGCATGCTGCTGGTAATTCAGGAAGCGTGTCTCTCAGCCTTGCCACTGAGCGTCATTTTCCTGAGTCTGAAAATCGTAGGCACATCTACCAGGGGTACATCGGCCTTATACTGCCTATCTCGTCGCGATCGTTTCGTGTGCCACTGAGACTGTTATTGAAAACCTGAAGCCGAACCATAAGCAGATTCCCAACATCGAACCACTAGAGTCATCGCACGACGGGGATGGAGGAAAGCAGCAGTAGGTGTCTTTTAGAGGCCCGAGCCTATTTTTAATTGTATGTGCTTCTGGTCTTGTGATTCTGAGACAACCCAAAGTGTTGAGATAGTTTATAGTTGAGTATAAATATCCTCAGCTGAACTTGCTGTCTTCATTCATCTTCTCAGCCTCTTGGCCCATTCTAGCTACCCACCTATCAACCAGTTCCTTGTTCTCCTTCTTGACCTTCTTGACTTCTTGCTCGGCCTGATCCAGCTCCAGATTGAGTGTCGCGTTCTCGTCTTGAACATTCTCCAACAGCCTCGCCTTACCTCGCAGTTCCTCCTCGTGATCTTTCATTCGGGTTGTAAAGCGAGAGTTTAGATTTGTTAATCGAGAAACTTGTTCTTCGTGAGTTTTCAGCTTCGTAGTTGCCTGCTCAAGATCACTCCGTAAGCCCTCGACCTGCTTCTGCAAATCTGCCCTTTCCTGCTGTGCTATGGAGAAATCTTGTCTGAGCTGAGCCATGATATCGCTCTCTGTGATCGGTGTCTGTCGACGGAAACCATAACTAATCAGAGGAGCAGGTACAGGCGGTGCTCGTGTGGGAACAGCTCTAATAGCAGCCTGTATCTGTCGAAGTTCGGCTCTCAGATCAGCGTTTTGATCTGCCAATCTTGAGACTTCTTGCATCAGTACAGCAAAACTTTATGTGGTCATTTGCACCTACGTTTGTCGTAGATTTCAATGTCAGCCTTTGCAGCTTCATGTCGCGCTTCGAGAGCACTCAAATACTGGACTTTCCAGTCAGCCATCACTTAGTTGCTGGCACACATCCATGACTAGACTGGTCGAGCTCGCGTCAGCAGTGGCATTCACGGAGAATCGGTGACGGCGCACTCGGGCGACGAGATCATGTTTGCATGTGTGAGGAAACACAAAGGACAACCCGGCGTTTGTACAGGTACGGATGAAGCCTAGAATTCTCGCTTATAGCACATGATGGTTGCCCTGCGAGATCGTACAAGCGCTAAGCGCCCTAAATGATATCATGGGCTCGACCACCTGCTTGACGATACCGATTGTCTGATATCTTCATACGTACTTGTTCATCATAGACGTATTACTAACGGAGAGCAAACAAGTATTCTGAGTCTGTCAACAAGACGGGTTGCGACTGCCACGAATAGCACCAACCTGCAACCATACTCGCAGCCTGTATCCATATCTTACACCAACGCATCTTTATCAGCAGTCTGAGCTTTCCTCCTCCAACGCCATCGGCACCATCTAAACAAGGCGCATAGGCGCTGTTACCTGAAGATGGCATCACGCAAGAAGGTTCTATTGAAGGTCAGACCTCGCCCAGCAACTACACGACTGGAGTAAGATACTGATACTGAGCAGGTCATCATTCTAGGCGACAGTGGCGTGGGCAAGACCAGTTTGATGAACCAATATGTGCGCCTATCCGTTTCCTGATACATCTCTGCAATATCTAACACACTCTACAGGTAAACAAGAAGTTCTCCACATCCTACAAGGCAACAATAGGTGCCGACTTTCTCACAAAAGAAGTTACAGTTGACGACCGCATCGTCACCCTCCAGCTCTGGGACACAGCTGGACAAGAACGCTTCCAATCTCTCGGTGTAGCCTTCTACCGTGGCGCCGACTGCTGTGTCCTAGTCTACGACGTCAATAGCTCCAAGTCATTCGAAACCCTAGATTCCTGGCGGGACGAATTCTTGATTCAGGCATCACCTCGTGATCCTGACAGCTTCCCTTTCGTGGTGTTGGGAAACAAGGTGGATATGGGTGAGGAAAGGCGGATGATCACACAGAAGAGAGCGCATACGTATTGCCAGCAAAGAGGTCAAATGCCATATTTTGAGACAAGTGCAAAGGACAACGTGAACGTGGAGCAAGCATTTGAGGTCATTGCACGGAATGCTCTGTTGCAGGAAGAGAGTGAGGAGTACGGGGGTGATTTTTCGGACCCGATCAATATCAACTTGGATCAGGATCGTGAAGGATGTGCCTGCTAAAGTTAGCTCTGATTACGAATGTGTTGTGACCAGGTTGTTTCCACACCTCAGCTTGCTGTTTCCGTCCATATGCTGGCAAGTTTAACACTTGAGGAAAAGGCAGCATTTGCATCTGGTACGTTTGTGGCGACCATATTTCGCCTGGTGTTCTTTGCCGGCGTCTTTCTTCGGTACGTTAGTATGCAATCGGGTGGTTAATTTGCATAAATACACGAACTCGATCGTTAATATTACGTGACAACTTAAGCGATGTCTCTACTCAACGTATTTAAACGTAAAAGCGACACGCTTTAGTCATGAGGCATAACCACAAAAGTAAGGACAAGTCGAATAACGACATCTAAATTGCAGTGCTGCTGTAACGATACTGCTCCTTTCCTGTGCAGCAAATAAGTTCGGACATCCCTGGAACGAACCAGCCTCCCCATAATTGAGCTACATATTAACTCCTGACGCCTTGAAATATATTTTCAAATCAGAAGAATAGCATCAGAATTGAAGAAGATAGTATGTCTCTTGGCCAATGCATCCTCAATTCCTTAGATTGGTGAGACGTTTCTGAGGTGATGGAAAGAGCAAGATCTGCCGGTAAAGAAATGCTTTTCGATTGTGGTGAAATACTGAGGCCGTGTCAAACACAAAGTTGTTCGTAAGAAACTCAAGTTGGCTTATCTCTCTGGGCGAAAGCATTTACGAGCAGTACCTCGAAGTGTGAGAAAAGAGAAGCAGACCTCCAGAATCGACACAGAATGCTTAGTACCGTCCCGGGTCGTATTTGAACATGATGCTCACGGTTCACTGTGGGCTGCTGTGCTGTGCGCATCTCTTACCAAGCCCAAATCTTCAGCTGTTCAATATGTTAGTAATTGTTCTTGGCGTCTGGACGTAAACATACGTAAGAATCCCAAGAACCTGTGCACAAGCTGATTCCATCATCACTGACGCCTAAGCAGCTGACTCGGTTTTCGTGGCCAGCAAGGGAGCCAACTTTATCACCACGTAATGTGTCCCAAACCTATGAAATGTCAGAAGAGCGAGGATTAAAGATGATGTTCGGGGTGGGTACCTTGCATTCGTAGTCATCATAGCCAGCAAACAGTAGACGGCCAGAAACTGAAAAGGCCACGGATGTGATACCACACAGGACTTGCTCGTTCTGCACATAGTTAGCATTGCATCGAAGCGTTAGCACATTAGACTTGCCTGATAGGCCATTAATTCTCTGTCCGCTCGAATATCGAACAGCCGGCATGAAGCATCGTCAGAACCCGTGCCAAAGGCATTTCCATCAGGAAAGAATTGGATGGCGTTAATATCTGACTCGTGGCCAGCAAACGTCTGAACGGCTTTGCCAGTTCGTACATCCCACAATTTAGCAAAAGCATCACATGCTCCGGAAACGAAGACGTGGGTATTTGTTGGGTTGATGCTGATGCTCATGACGTCTCCCAGATGATCAGCAAATTCGGTGACCTTGCTGCCTGTCTCAATATCCCACATCATACAAGTCATGTCGCCCGAGGAGGTGATGATCTTCCGGTCGTGCATGAAACGACAGCATGAGATGTAACCAGAATGACCTGAGAGTTCTCTAGCTACCCTCGTGGGTCCTTCTCGCGTAGACAAGTTGTAGATGGAGCAAATATTGTCCAGACCACCGCAGGCGACAAAATTACCACTAGGTGCGTAGGCGCAGGTCATGACCCATGATGATCGGAGCGGAATGGCGTGCACTTTGTTTGTGGTGTATGCATCCCAGATAATGAGCTTTCCATCCTGGGAAGCTGATACGAGATGCCTGCGATCTTTCGACCAGTGCATCGCGTATATCTTTGCAAGATGACCTTTCAGATTCCTCCTCGGCCGCATTCCTATCCTGGGTAGTGCCTCTGTATGTTGTTGCGCAACCTGCTTTACTATGAAGCTGTTAGCTGCTTGTCCTGTCGCATCTGAGACTCGAGGTTCACGAACAGCTTGTATCTGCCAATTCATCCTTCTTTCGCTTGATTCTATCTTTCAATCCTTCGGCTTCACGCCTTGCAGCGGTAATCTTAGCCTGCATCTGCTCACCAGACATGTCCGCCGACATCTTTGCAGAATCGTTTCTAATCAAACCTCTGCAACTTCGGTATAGGCCGTCTCAAGAAAGGCAACGCAAAGCGTGGAGATATATACCGCAGTGAGGTCTGAGGTCGTTCGATCGAGCAGTCGTAAGGTACGGCGACGACAGTCAGGAAAGGATTGGTGTGAAAAGGATGCGGCACGCCAGCCTCGATTCTGACTGGCAGTATCCTCAAACGACTCAGAACAGCTGTCAAAGGTGACAAGCAGGGTGTTGTGAAGCTTTGATGTTACCAGAGCATACGCAAACTCAGTCCGCGATCGCTCATGGACTCTAGTCGAGGTGCGCGAAAGAAGTGTGTAGGAGTAGTACTACGGTTGCTTCCCAGTTGAGCAATCCTAGAAGTTTGGCGCGACCCACAACCGAGCCGTAGACTAAACTATTAGGGGAGAGTTAGGTAGGCTAGACCTGCATCTGATTTCTGCACGCTTCATTGACACACTGCAGTGCACCCAGGCTATGTATCTGTTCCCACATTACAGTATAACGGCTTCCTGATCGCCATCGTGCAGCGACTCCTTGATTGGTTTTCATGGACAATAGGTACATGTGTCCTCGACCTACTCGCTCGAACATACAGTATAGTGGCAATGTTCCCACGTTGTTTACAGCGAACCTAGCAATTCACAGTGATTTCATTCAATTGTCCTGGCTAGGTTTCATGCTCACCCGCTCCCATGAAATGTGAGATCTTCTCTCTTCGCCACTGGAAACAATATAGCGAGACTGTATCTTGCTTCAAAGGTTCATCTCGACTGGTCGTTCGTTCTTCGAATGTGCTCGTAATCTCTGGGAGAATATAATGCACAGAATTTCCAATCTTCTTCAGAGACAAGTTTCTGAAACCAACAAGGACTCTCCAATGTGGGGAGGGAAGCGTCCAGACCGGGAAGGCCTGCATCTTTTGCCAGAAAGCGGGCCTACCCGTAGTGATCTTCATTTCCAGATGATCCATCAGCCTCCGCTAAGGGATGATATGAGGGCAACCATCTTTGTGTACCCGAAACTATTGAACACTGACGACCGAGCGTGCACAACGAGACTACGGCATCGTCCCAGCAGTTGGACATTGATCAGTGGACCTGATAAGACTCTGGTCTCTGGACCTTAAAGAACCAGCATGGTGAACACATCCGCGAAACACTCGAAATTAGGACGACGAATTGCTAGCACGTTGGTAATCGTTAAAGCCAGCCACCATTACTTGCGTCACTCTGCTTTCACCCTAGCTTGACCTTGCTTCGTCTATGGCGCGATGAGCATACCAGCAATTGTGAACTAGAACAGGCGTCCACGCAAAACCATATGACAATCAGTGACTTGAATGACATTATTTCGATATGAGTTCCTGCAGGCCATGGGATACGAGGGCTTGGCAGTAAATGTCCTGACGATCGTACCCACCATGTCAACTGCCCTCGAGGAGTGTTTCTTGGTGGGTACGAAGAAGTAGTGGACCATAGTCTCACAGGGTGCTCTCTACTTGATCCGTGATCACGACTCGTGTTCAGTTGCCTTGACGCACTGCGATGCAGTGCTTGCAGATTGTCGTCTATCCAGCTTCCGCAAAGTGAAGACGGTCGCCAGAAGAACTCCTCAAGCTAAACTAGTCGTGTGTTGGTTAACGTCCCGTCTTTTTGGACGAGGTGTGCTCGGTTCTGCGTAACGACTACTGCGTCATCTCGTCGTATCTTGTACGATTTGATTTCCTTCAACATTAAGGGATCAAGACGTAGCTATTGATTAGGTTATCTTTCAGAGAAAAATTAGCAATTTCGAAACTGCGCAGTTTCCTATTGGCTTCGTTAGCGCTATAATCGCCCAGGAGCTTGGATGGCCACGAGCCTCACCTCCGCTTGAGGGGTCGGATCAGCAGGAACTCACGCTTGCCGATTTGTTCAACGATAGACAACAATCAGGAACAGCGCTTATCTGTTTTATTAATACAGCATTTCATGCAATAGTGGTGAGTTTATGGCAGTAACTCGTTGACAATGCATAAACCCTCCATACCTGGCGAGTGCTCATTACGTTGCGCGATGCGACTAGGGTTTGAGCCGTACAGTATCAAGACTGAGCCCCAGTTTGAGGCACAAAAAATTCGAGCAGTGAAGACATCGTCGACCAGTGTGCTGTATGTTGTACGGCCCAGTCAGAGAAGGACTGCTCTGATGGACACCCGTACACCAGTGTGCTCAGACACTTGTCTCAAACGCTGCCTGTTCCATTAACATCGTGCAAAACAAGCGAGCTGCGGATTTGCATCGGACAGCAGAGATCTCAGTCATATCAACAGAGAGGAGGTTAATGGTTTCAGCGAGAAATGACAGGACTGAAGGTGAATGATAACGGCGATAGGCTTGCTCGCCTGCTCGATAGCATGATCCACGTTAATTCTGCTTTCGAGCTGGTCTGGTACTCGTACAGTGAGCCCCAGTGCTCATATTAACTGTAGATACCTACGCTACGTAAGCACAAAGTAGTCAATCGTTTCCAGGACTTTGAGGCACCAGACAATGCCCATTGTTACATGGAACCATAATCAAGCTCGGTACCATAAGAATTTGCTTCGTGACGGTCGCAACCTCGAACTTTCGATTCATTCAAAGGGGGCTCCGACTTTGCAGTGGAGACAGGTTAGCCAGGTTAGCCACTCTTTTGGTGGCAAGCCCCAGCAAATCGAAAAGCCCTGCAAGACACACAGCGCCGACCCGGCCTCTTCTCCTCCTCATCAATTGCTTTGGTCATCAACCTTTACAACATTCCACTTCAGTCACTACGAGCACAGTCCTGGCCATATTAGCAGCGGAGTCGCGCATACATACTTCCGAGCGAAAACCTAAGACATCGAAGCATTGACCTGAACTGTTCGCGTACCTTGTCATCCGAGTCAGTTCGCCAGCACTATCTCATTCCTGCCGACCAACGAGACCACTCAACAACTTCCTCTCAGGAGCGTCCTTCTCGAGACCGTAGTTTTTTGCTTCGTCAAACCACCTTTGCATCGCCAATAAATTCGCACTCAAAGTGCAGTGTCCGATTTAGGAAGCTAAATCGTTCTCGAAGCCTGACTGCGAATACTTTCACATTCTTGCCCAACCACAAGGCTCCGGGAGCTCGAATGGCGCTGTGAACATCTCTTCCAGGCTTCACGAGATCGTTGGTCAAGCGAGTTGGCTTCCGACTCTCGACGGAATCTATTCTTTTTTTGGTTGTCACTGATCTGACCAACCTGCTACAAACGGCGTGTACACCAACCTCTACTGAGATAAGTCTGGATCTGGTGTCATCGCATGGGCGTCATAGGAAGGTGTATAAGGACATTCGAATTATTGTACAAATCTAGCATCCATCATGAGAGAAGTCAACTTCAGCATACCTAATGGAAACAAAGCCTCTGTCTATATTACGCCGACCCTTTACGACCGACGAGCCCTCGACTGTACATCAACACTGCCGTTAATAAATTCCCTGAACCATTTGGCCTACCTTACGACGTCGTCTGCACGCATCCGAGACATTTTGACAGTTGATGGTGGGGTAGAAAGATTGGTATGCATTTTGAAGGAGGGAAGAAGCAGGGATGAATACCACATGTGGAAATGGAACCTTGCCTTCCAATGCGTCGTGAACATTGGTGTACGTGGTACAGAGCCTGTGCGCACAAGAGTGGTAGAGGCTGATATGGTGCCTGTGATCGCTACCATTCTACACGATTACATCCTTGTCATTGAAAAGGAAAGGCAGAGATATGATAGCGAACGCCAACGACATCCTGCCAAGGTCAAGACGCATACGAACGCACCGCGGAGCGCCAGACTACCAAGGGACTTGACCCAGGAGCAGCAAAGCCGTTCGTCCTTCCTGGAGCATCAGATGAGCAATCTTGACAATGGACAAGCCAGACGTCAAGCTCCTCCACGATCACTCGAACTTGCACCAAATTTTGCAGACAGATTCACTACTGGAGAGCCCAGCCAGACTGCACCCCTACCTCCATTGCACGCGTCAACCATCTATACATCTCCACCGGAGAGAACAACTTTCCCTCGACCGATACTCCAACACCAGACGCGCAGTCACGATGGACGCAATCCATTTCAGCAGGATACGATAGCAGGCTCTGTAACAAGCACGTCACGTCCGGATATTAGAGAGGCGTTTCCCTTACAGCCAGTTCGTGACGCTGATCGACTGCCCTCGATGATGCCGCCAATCCTGACTGGAATCACGTCGAATCCCAACTCGCCGACCACGCCGTCAGCTCCTCTAGTGCAAAGCACTATATCGCCCAACGAAAGGCGTTTGAGAAGACCATCGATCAGGCAACAGCCATCAACAGACGACGTGCTTATGGACGATGTGAACAATATAATTGAAGAGACCATAGCCGAGCAAGAAGCGAGAGATGACAACGATCGTAACAGGGCCCTCGAAGGCGACATCACACCTCGAGCGATTCACGAAGATAGAGATCCCCTGAGCTTGACCATCCCAGGCACGCTACTACCAGAACAAGACAACGTCGATATTGCACAACAGACGCCGACTGCGGCTACGGCCCTCGAGTCTCTGCTCACTCAAGCAGAAGATACCAATGGTGTATCTCCTGGTATGAATGGCCCACAACCTACAGCATCGCCCGTGGTCCCATTCACCCAATATACGAATGTCTGGGTCCGCACAGCGACATCCAATTCAGCTATCGTACCATTGATGCCACGTGACGATGATGTTCTATTGGGTTTGCAGCTACTGGCGTACATCTCCAAGTATTGTGATCTTCGACATTACTTCCAGGCTACGCATCTTGTGCCTAGGCTTAGGATTGATCACGAAGTGGAACGGATTTACAATTCTGGTTTGAATCTCCCTGAGCCAACCGAGGATGAGCTTGAGGAGTATTTGCAGCTGGATGATGTGAACATCTTTCCCCTTGTAGAGAAATTCACCATTCCACACCATCCAAAAGACATGCAATACTGGGCTTGTGTGGTTATGCGAAATCTATGCAGGAAAGATGACGCTAGGGGTGGTACTCGTCAATGTGCCAACTACAAGTGCGGTAAATGGGAAGAGTATCCTCGACAATTTGCCAAGTGCCGTCGATGTAAGCGGACCAAATATTGTAGCAAGGTAAGTTCGATAGCTGACCAGGTTTACCTGCTGACTAACATTTTTCAGGAATGCCAACGAGATTCTTGGACCATGCACAGGCATTGGTGTCAAACGACACCTTAATTACGATCACGAAAATTCTAACGCCCATGATGAACACTATGCATAGCGACTGGAGCAGATATGGTGGTCTTGCAGTTTGATTTTAGGCGTGCAGGAAGCTTTTGTGCAGTCATGATCAAGATATACTCCATATGATTTAGTGAAGACCAACTTATGCTATAGGTCGAACAATAGGCAGACGACGAACTTTTTGATGGCTCCTGCTTATCAGAGAGGCAGCCAGTGCTAGGCGGTCGAAATAGTACAGACAAGTGAACTCAAACTCGCACCGAAGTGGGCAATGCACTGAGATATCAAGCAGTATTTGCAAGTCGTCTTTGTCTCTGAATGATTCAAATCCGCCGCTGGCAACTTTGCGCTTCTTGTGCGGCGTTTCAGGACTCATACCTGTATGCCTTTTCAGGCGGTTCAACGTGCTTATCGTGCCAGGTCGGAGCTTGCCGTCACACAAGGTGTCTAAGAACCACTTCTAACAACGACCTACTAGTAGATTACACTCACAGTCCCCTTACTTGCTTTCTACACATTACTCTATAATACTGTGAAGGTCGCCCGTCGATTCTATTGCAACACCACTCCTGGCAAGGTTCAGACTAATTGAAGCTTCATTTCTTGACCTGCGTGAACATGGGGTCAATGGGGGCGCCGAATGTTCCACGTGAGCAGAGCTTGAATTTACCAGTTATAGATGTGTCCGACACCTCACCTGAGAATGGCAAACGCCTTGTGCAAGCCGCTATAGACTATGGATTTCTATACGTCTCGCCCGAAGGCACGCCTTTCAACGAACAACTCATCGACGCTCAATTCAAGCTCTCTCGGGAATTCTTTACATGTCCATTGTCTGAGAAGGAGAAGTTCCATGTAGGAACTGATAACAGAGGCTGGCTGGGTATGCACAATGAGATCTTGGACCCTGCAAAGCAGAGCAAGGAGTTTAAGGAGGCTTTCAATATTGGTGAATTTGATGAGGAGAGAATGCCTCAACAGATAATGCCAGGATGCCTCTCAACTGAGACGAGCTTGACACAACTGCGCGACTTTGAGGCGGCTTGTGACAAGACGTGTAAAATGTTCCTGGACTTGATAGGGATTGGTCTTGAGGTGGAGGATGGGTTGAACTGGTTCTCGAAGAGACATGGTCGACCGAGTGGTTGCACCATGAGGATGCTGCATTATCCTTCATTACCCAAGGTAGGCAGGGTCGATGGATGTAAGGTACTGCTGAGGTTCTAACTAAATTCAGGGCACTGATTACTCACTCGACAATGACGTGAGAGCAGGCGCACATAGTGATTACGGCAGCATCACTCTTCTCTTTCAACGATCGTCTCAGCCTGGTCTGGAGATCAGACCTCCTGGTGGTACTGATACATGGGCACCTGTTGCCGTATTTCCTCCTAACTACGCTTCCTCTAGTTTACCACCGATCCTGGTTAACATAGGAGATCTAATGAGTTACTGGACAAGCGGACTGCTTCGAAGCACAGTTCACAGAGTGATCTTCCCAAAAGACACCAAAGCTGGACAGGATCGTTACAGTCTAGTTTACTTTTGCCATCCCAGAGATGATGTCGAATTAGAAGCGGTCCCGAGTCGGATTGTGCGGGAGCATAAGCGGAGGATAGGACAAGCAGATGAAGATGAGACGCTACATGGATATGGTGGTGGAATGAATGGCAAGCGAGCCATGACTGCGAGGGAGCATCTGACGAAAAGGCTGAGCGCTACGTACAGTCATCGTGTTGAAAGGTCGTAAGAACGACGGTGTTTCAGATCTCTTGACCTTGGTGTGCTTCAGGGTAAGGAACGAAGTCATGTTTATACAACACATTGCGCTTTTGGTGCAGTCGTTTGGACCTCCACAACCCAATGACTTTTAGATCGTACTCTCTGAAAAAAGGCAATCACGGCTACGAGTCATTCATGCCCGAGACGAGGTCGACACTTGAATTGATATGTTATTCATCCCTTCAATTGAGAAGCTTGCTTAAAGTCCTCAAACAACGGACTGTATCTAAGCTAGGTTATAAGTTACATATATTAGCGCACCCGTCCCGCACGCTAGTGGGCTACCCTGCAGGCTCCAGTTGGTGTCAGGAACAGGACAAACTCCAAACCATCACTCGTCGACCCAGCTCGATCAAACAAGCCATCGTCCTCTTCAATTTCAGCCGGAGTTCGTGCGTTTTTTTGGGCGACTACGTTCTTTCTTCCTTCTCTTCTAGTGTTGTATAATCATGTCTAGTAAGTCCTGGGAACGTAGCCAGAGAAATGGCAGTCGCTCACAAATATCCAGTTCAAAACCTGAGGACTTGGGCAGCCAAATGCGTACAGACATTGTCCCTCTCGACACTCAACGGCTCCGTCATCGGTGTGGACGCATCCTACTATCTCGACCAAGTTCTTAACGAGAACAATGAAGAGCCTTTGAAGGTTGCCTTAGGTGGTTTACCATTTTGTCTGACAGCACGAATTGAGGAGGACATCCAGGCTGCTAAGGATGCTGGCGTAAAGCTCATATTCATATTCGACGGGTTGGACTACGTCAACAAGACACCTCCCAGCACAGACTCTGACACGAGCAAGAGAATACACGAAAATGGCTGGTCCCGCTACATTGCTGGTGATGGAAAAGAAACAGTAAACGTGCTTGGGAAAGCAGGTCACTCCTTGGATTTGGTTCTGCGACATTTCAGAAAGATCCTCCATGCCAATGCCGTCGACTTCCGTGTTGCACCATTTAGCTCGCTAGCCTTCCTGACATACCTATACCATTTGGAACAAGGTCAACCAATAGATGCAGTCATGGCTTCAGCTGATGCTTTCCTGTTCAATATCGATAAAACCATTCTGGGGATCGATGCAAAACAACAGTGTTTCAGCTGGCTTTCGAAACAAGATTGCATCAATCTGGCCGGCAATCCTGCACCTAATGTCTTCAGAGATGCGCAACTACTGTGCGGTTCGTCTTTTCTCCCTGCTTTTCCTCCTTTATCGAGGAATCAAAATGCGACGATTCGCGATGCCCTAGTTATGCTTGGTCGAGGCCCAGTCCTGCAACTATGCAATCAATATCGTGATGATTCTATGCTTGCAGGATCGGAATACGCAGATCGTTACAAGAAAGCTCTAATGACAATTCAACACCATGTCATTATCACGCCCGATGGCTTCGTGCAGCCAATGGATCTACAACGTGCTCCAGGAGACGTGCACGCCTTTGTCGGACAGAGGCTGCCGGATGAGCTGTTCTTCTATATCTCTAGAGGCATTATTGCTCCGCAAGTGCCCAATTGGCTTACGACAAGCGAAATTCATCTGACTATGCCTGGCGGTCCAATCGATTGCGAGCCTTATCGCCGTTTCGTCATTGACCAATTGGCCCCCTTACGACTACAATCCATCAAACTCCTGGCAGAATCCTTGCACTACTACTACCAGGGAAGAGAAATTACGATCAAATCCTGGGACGGCCGAACGACGACGCAGAAGGTCAAGGAACTTCCCTCTCTCAAGACTAAGGTCAATCAGTGGAAGGTGAAAGAATCTTCTTTGCCAGGCTCGAAATCTCCTCGTACACCAACCGTGCTTTCGTGCCTGCGCATGCTTAAAGACAAAGACTTTGCCGAATCTACCTTAGTGAAGGGTTCTGTTACTCATCCAGCTCTGAGCTCACAGAACGAAATTGTATCGAACGTGTTCTGGCGTTTCCTTCACCTTCGAGGGTTCATCGACGACAAGCACCAGGTGACACACTGGGGTTATATGCTTGAAGCTGCGCTATCTGTCATGGATGGTGGCTCTAGGAAAGAAGAGCAAGGCATACTCGCAGTCGAAATGCTCCGCTTGAATATCATCAATACTCAGTCAGTGACCGGCACCCCAGTTCAGAGCTCAGACAAGGCATATGAGCACAAGATGTACACGAACCTGCTGTCCAAGGTCGCTTGTTTTGGGAGGCTCAAACACGAGCCCGTGGGCTACGTGGGTCCGCTTGATAGAAGCCTGTTGACCTTCGCATGGGAAATTACCGCCATTCGACAGCTACTCAGAGATCTCTGCGAGACAATCATGACAACTATGTTTCTGAACGGCGACGTCTCTCGAGAGCGCGATGACTGGGCTGAGCTGTCACAACGGTTACCATTCATCAGTGACAATGGCTCAAGCCTGGGCATTGCTGTGAAGAGCTACCTCGATGCGCTGAACGACAAACAGGATTCGAGTAAGGAATTCAAGGAGAAGGTCAAATCACAAGAACCACCTTTTGACTGGTTTGCGAAAGCCGAAAATGGAACCATTCACAAGAGCCTGGACACTGCATTTAGGTTGTTCGACGCAGTACTTGCTGCCGTCAAGGTGGGCGAAAAGGAAGTGAGGGATTCTGCTACATTTGTAGCAGCGGACCAGTGGCTTTCATCACGGAGATGATTTCTTGCAAGAAGAACAGTTTCGGTACAATTACGGCTGGCCACGATGTACAACCTGACGATTGAGATGTAGGAGGCTTGTTCCATGGGGACAATGGTTGCCAAATTCGACATAAAGCAAGCGGTGAAACAGAACCTTTGTAGCGATCAACCTGGCCATAATCATCCCTTTGTGCGTCTATTCTGAACTTCGTTGTCCAGACGATATACTGATTATTACATCTGAACGGGGCCTGCCAGGCGATTGTGTCTATACAATTCTTGACCTCCGAGTCTTAGCTGTCAGCATGATTGCAGCGCTTTCGGCTATAACAAATGAGAGCAGTAGCGCTATGTGGATCAAGCGTCTGAAATGGGCAAAGAAGTCAACTGCTAAAGTCATCGACTTCCTGGTACCACCTCCGACATCTACCGCACAACGCGATACTCATTCAGAAGCTCGAACCTTTCAGCAACAACGCCCTAAAAGCTGGCATTCATCAGCCGAAACACTTGTCTTTCCAAAAATCGATCTCCCGGCACTGCCACAGTTGACCAGAACACAACCTCCTACGCTCATCAAGACTCCAACGTTCTTTGAGCCAATATTTCACGAACCTCTCACGCGACGACAGACAAACCCAACAGTACGTTCGTCAGGAGAGTTCAACAGCGCCGCTCGACATAGAGCCAGAAACCAACTAAGTCGAAAGAATAGTCGACCCAAACGGCATCGGCGCCACTCATCGGCTTGTGACGATCAATTTTCACAACCAACCAGTGCCACAGATGTCAAAGATCACAAAAAGCAAAACAGACAAAGCGCTCCGCTACTCTCTATGCCTCCAGTCAGATCCACAATGAGTGCCAACGACCTGATAAGAATCACAGAAAGCAAGCGTCGCAGCCCTCTGCTTCCTCTCCAACTCCCAGCGATCCCTGCGAGTCCTAACGGTCCACTTTTCCGCGACCTCTGGCTCGAAGACTGCACAACTAGCATCAACGAACACAGAAAGCGAGCCTTGAACCTTCTTGTCTCGCCAAAGACACGCGTCGCTAAACCGGCACTACTGTCGTCGGTGCCTTTAAAGTGCATACCTACTGCAGCTGTAAGTACTAGGAACGCCCGGCGGAACAAGCAGAGGGACGTCTCGCATTTCCCAGCAAGTGCGAAATGGTATTTTTGGCAATTGTACGTGGATGGGTGTGCCCCGAGGGTTATCAGTTCGATTCAGGTGCAGAGGAAACCGAGTCGTGGTCACCACCAGCAGCGTGAGAGTATAGAGTGGGGAGAGCAGATGCTGGGTCAGAGGAAGTTTAACAGGCATAGTGGTTATTGGACTTGAGGCGGCGAACAAGGGTCATGGTGAACGTCTATTTCATGTCTGTCGCGACCTCTGCCAACGAAGAAATAAACTGTGATTACTTGACCAGCTATGTGAGATGAAGAATTTTACTCTTTCATCTACTTTTTTCTTCTTTTCTTTGCACTAAAAACGTGCTTCTTTGGAGCGAGACGCTGTTCGTCCTTCGATTAGAACTTTATGTGATGCTTCAAACTCGCATCTTCCGACATAGTCCAAGCCTTTTCATTTCGCGAAAACACCGTCTGCTAAATATCACCTTTCACGTCCTCACTTAATCACCACGAAGAAAAGTGACCGCTATGGTGGGCACCCTCCCATATTTCGATGAACACGTGCTATCGCTCCTTCTCCTCAATCCTGGATGCTCTCGATAACACCTTTACCAAGCAAGCTTCATTTGCTTGACATCTGGAAAGACATCGTTCTTGTCAACAGGAGTTTTAGGAGGACTCCAGTAACCAGAGTCGTTGCTTGCGCGTCGTTGCGACGTATTCGATTCATCGCTCGCTCGCTGAATCCGTGGTTCCTCCAAGTCTAATGCTTCTCTGTAATCAACCGCTGGCACTGGCGCCGGTGCCACAGCACTGGGGAGCGAAGAGGCTACCTCCGTGATAGGACCGAATCCGAGAGTGACTAGCACCACAAAGGTGATGAAGATGGCGAAGATTCTGGTTGTGACCTCAGTGTGGTTTGGTGGAGGAGAAACTAATCGCACCGGGTATATCTCGAACCAGTCGGTCGTGAACTGTAACTTTACAGACTCAGCTGCAATGAGAAATGCTTTTTTGGTGGTGTAGACGTGACTGAACTGCGTCTCGAATTTTTGGATGTCCTGAACAACGAGGTTGATGATCGTGTCTTGGGCTAGGCGATCACAGTCGCAGAAGCTGGGAGAGCTGTTGATGAGTTTTTGTCTCGCTTGTTCGGTGGCTTCTTCGTCTAAGATGGCATACCATTGAGTGTACGGAACCTTGACAAGATGGACAGAGTCGGGTGGAACCTCTGCTGCAGCATGAGGCGATTTTGTTTGTGTGCGCATGAAGGCCGCCGTCTGTGCGACAACAGACGCTATTATAAAGCCCATCCATTTGCAGAACAAGCGATCCCTGGCGAGCTTCTGTCCGATACATGTTCTGGCTTCTGAGATAGCGCCGAGGACAACAGGGAAGATCAGGTCTGTGGAAAACATCATTGTTTCCGTTGATAGTTGTGCCCGTCGGGCGTGAATGGCCTCCAGAAAGAAGCCGCCGAGGAGATAGAGAACAAAGAAGACAGTATGTAAGAAGGGAATTGCGGCGCACACCTGTGTCAGCCGACAGATAATGTCCGGTCGTCGCAGCATCTTGACTGCCATAGCAATGGTCCAGGAGATAAGTATTGCTTTGAGGGCAATGCCAACCATCGACATTGAGTTGGCGGGCGGGCGTCCACCAGGGTAGTCCATCTCGCTGATCAGAGTGTGAGAAGATGTTGTATGCTCGAGCTGTCGAGCCATGTGATCAGACACTGTGTTTGCAGGGTCTTAGAACGTTTGCGACATCGCTTTTTGATGAAGTTTGTATCTCTTCTTACCGGAAACAGCTTTTCGCTCAAATTGATAGCGATGCGGATCAGCATTTTGTTGGAGGCTGTCACGATGGTGTTTCCTTCACTTCACGTAGCTGCACTTTGTTCCAGCTAGTGATTGTGCTGCCAAGAACAAACAAAGCACTCACAAGTCGTCAACTACGCATGGTTTTTGCAAGACCTCCAGGCAGTATGTAAGTATTATGTTGGCTGGTGTCATAAGATTCGTGGTTGTAATGCGTCAAGGTGGACGCCGTGGTGACCACTGAAGCGCTCACCACCAGATCCTGATATGCCGTGTATAGTTGTAGGCGATGTTACTGCCATCTTCGACCTCTACCTCTCCCCCTTCCACTGTAATTCTCCTGATGACCTCCACCATATCCGGCTGGACCAGCTGGTGGTTGCTGAACAGATTGCATGGTTGGCGCACCCATACCCATCATCATGCTTGCCATCTGACTCGGGTCCATTTGCATCGGATCCATTCCCTGCATCTTCATCATTTCCATCATCTGCTGCATCTCCACTTGACTCGGCATTCCAGGTATACTAGGCATTTCTGGTACTATGGGTTGTGCAGAGGCAGCGGGCATTGCTCCACCGAGGCCACCTGGCATTGTATCCATAAATGCTTTCATCTGTTCGGTTTCTTGGTTGATCGCCTTGATCTCTTTGGGCATGTTTTGCTTCTTCAGACAATAGCTCGCCCACGTAAATTCATCGAAGCCATAATTAAAGTAGTCTGTTACATCTGCACCTGGTTTTCGCCAAGGTTTCAAGGACTCAGTAGGGAAGTCGTTGTCCAAGTCTGTCTGAAGGATTGGTTTGCCGGTCGCAGGGTGTATGGGATTGCCATTAAGTGGATCAATGGTCGAGGTATGTCTTGCGGCATAGTCTGTGCCAGGCCGACCATCACTCTGTGGTGTAGAGATTCTGTTGATGTTCGCTTGAGGTGTCAATTCTCGCTTGATCGCAGGTGTTGGTGAGGGAGAAGGTCTAGCCTTGTCTCTTTCGTTCACTTGTGAGCCAGGTCGAAGGTTCTTTTGTCTGTGGGCACGTCATCAGTATAGACTTGACGGGGATGGCACAGGTGATGCACACACGAGCCAGGTTCAGCTTTAGGTTCGTCCTTCGTTTCCGTAATAAATTTAATATCGTCGTCACTATCAGATTCAATTTCTTCACCTTCCTCTTCGTCGTCTGCATCTTGCATTCGAGTTTCTTGAGGTTCGTAACTATCGTTGTCCTCGGGATAGATGTCATCATCCACGTCGTCATGTGAAGTCATGGTGGAAACAATGGCCATATGTATCGAAGAAGTAGTGAACGACGAAACAAGGGTCTGCAACGCGAGGATCAGTACTATTCAACGCGTCTTTCGGGCGGCTAATCAGCGGTCATCAAAATAGTGCCCGGTGGGTCGTTTACATAAGCATCGTCTATAGTTGCCTTGCAGAGTACTTTCAAATTATAGCCAACAATGTGAAAGTGCTTGGTACACCTTAAATGCATACAGGTTGATTGTAATGGTTACTCACTTCAAATTTCATTTGTGTACTCGCGTCCCAGAATCTACTAAGCAGTCAGTAAAGCATTACTCGTAGGGGATGATAGTAATGAGTGGAGTCATGGTCACCTCGCGCAACGTGAGTGCATCTTGGTCGATGCTTGGTCAAGACTTTATTGTAAGCTTGGCGATGCATTAGACACTGCCACGTTCCTCAGCAAGAGCTCGCGTCCGGAAATGTAATCTTGATAAAATGCTCTGGTGTATGTCGGTTACAAGAAGGTCATCCAAATATCTCCTCTTTGGAAAACGTCTACCACATCATCTGGCGTCCTCGCTGCACGAGGTCGGCAAGTCTTCCGCAAAAGGAATGTGTCGGTATTGATTCAATGCAGCACACACGCATATCTTGAGGACTCTGCAGGAGCTCGGCTCGCAGTCGGCAGCTGAGTTCTCAATTCAACCGCACCTGCAACCTACCAGATTTCAGCAATCTGGGCCTGCTCCCGACTTAGCAACTGTCGCACAGAAGCCCACGTATCGCGAGCTTTCAACCTCGTGCTGTGTGACGGGCCAAACGTGCTAGGTTGACCTAGACATCTTAAGTGACCGAATCACTCTCCTGGAATCTATGAATGTTGCATTGGCGAGCTCTTTGATATGCTTTCCTGTCACACAAGGGTTCATAAGTTGACCTAATGACGTGAAAGTCTTCTAATTTGCACTGCATTAATGCAGCGAAAGCTAAGGGGATGCATGTATGCGGCGGGCTGGTTCGGACAACCAGAATGGACTGGCATGCAACGCAAAGACTCTTCATCATATCTGTTCTATCATACGCGATTACAAGATAGAAAGATAGCTTTATGTCAATTGTTGTAAGTTTGTTCGCCAGAGGTTGCTTCGAAGCTCTATGCGATAAGCGTGATTGGCGGACGATAAGCTAAAGCGGTTGCTGCTTGAGCTGCAGCTTTAATCCAGCATTACAAACAGATCCTGGTCAACCTAAGCCATATCTAGGCAAAAGACACACCAAAACGGTGTCTGAAGATAACGAACACCAGTAAAACAGAGTCGTCCCTCCAACCCGACACGGTCATCCCCGTTTGTGCATAGTGGTTGACATTCAGGCGCTCGAAGCTATTGCTGTCAGAGGAAGGGGAACGACCTGAGCTTGAGACCATGCAGATACCTTAAAGGATCAGCTCCGACTTCTGGCGACCAAACTCCATGAATTTGTACTGATAGCTTCTTGCCTACATCCTGATACCTGTCTACTCTCATCGACCATCACTGCGTCTTTCACACTCGGAAGTTCAAATCAAAGGTGAGAACTCGTCAGGAACACGAAATGCCCGCTTGACCCCACGGCCTTCCATACCTCACCCGCAAGTCGTGTCTCAAGAACCTGCACTAACCTGTTGTCAACAGATTAACCCTGTACGCACTTGACGGACCTTGTTGTGTACTATGGCAGTGGACGTGGAGAAACATGCCTCGTCCACAAAGAGTACCACGGATTCCGCTCGAAATGGATCGATCGTCGAAATGACCGAACTCACACAATTGGGTTATAGACCTGAGCTCCGACGGAACCGGTCTATGTTGACGCTGCTCTTCCAGTCATTAGCCATTGCGGTATGTTCGTGGTTCTCCAACGTGCAGACACAGTACTGATGTTAACAAGGCTATTCCATATGGCGAAGGTGCGCCACTTCTGACAGCGATCTATGGTGGTGGACCGCTGTCTATATTCGTGGGTTGGATGGTGAGTACTGCAACATCAACATCTGTGACTGGCTTTGTTGACCGTGGCAGATGGTCTGCATCCTCGATGAATGCATCGCCCTTTCATTAGGCGAACTTGCCTCTCGCTATCCGACCTCGGCAGGTCCATATTACTGGTCTTTCCAGATCGCTGATCGAGGCAAGATTCCACTTTCATATCTAACAGGCTGGACTTGGATGATAGGTACGTGAACTCGTTAGGAAGTTGACTTCATCTCCGCAAGTCTTTTGACCATCCTCATAGGCAATTGGACAATCACTCTCTCCGTCAACTTTGGCTTCGCAAGCTTATTGGCAGGTACGATTGCCATCTACAAGGATGACTGGGTGGCAAGTAGTTGGGAGCTCCTACTAATCTTCTATGCGCTGTGCATCGTCACTTTTCTTGTTTGCGTATTCGGGAACCGGTTGCTGCCTGTAATCGATACAGCCTGCGCAGCCTTCACAGCAATAACGATTATCGTCGTGCTAATAGCACTATCGGTCAAAGCTGATGTTGGTCGACACAGTGCTTCTTATGCGCTCGGACATTACAATACCTCACTGTCCGGCTATGGAGGATTCTCTTTCTTCATCGGTCTGCTACCAGCAGCATATACGTTCTCAGCTATTGGTATGATTTCTTCGATGGCTGAGGAGGTAGCAGATCCTACCAGAAAGGTGCCTGTGGCTCTGAGTCTTTGTGTTCCAATTGGAGGCATTGCCGGACTTTTCTTCGTCTTACCGATATGCTTTACGTTGCCACCTTTGGAAGATATTCTTGACGCTCCGTATGCTCAAGCACTGCCATATATCTTCCATACAGTTATGGGCACCCCTGGTGGTGGCGTGGCACTTTCAGCGCTGGTACTAATCATTACCTTGTTTTGCAGTATCTCAATCACTGTCGCTGCTAGCAGATGTACATGGGCATTCGCCAGGGACAATGCTATACCACTCGCTAGGGTGTGGGCCCACGTCAACCCAACATTGGACGTACCAGTCTGGGCATTAGTGCTGACGACAATCATTCAAATGCTGCTTGGGCTCATCAACCTCGGAAGCACCACGGCCTTCACAGCATTCATTAGTCTTGGTGTCATCGCTTTAGCTATCTCATATGCTATACCAATAAGTCTGAGTATGTTGCATGGACGCAGAGAGGTATCGGCAGCTCGTTGGAATTGCGGCAAGCTGGGATGGGTACTTAACAGTATCGCTGTTGTGTGGATCTTCTGCGAGCTGATACTGTTCAGTATGCCTACCGTCCTACCAGTGACTGCTGTAACCATGAATTATGCAAGCGTGGTACTCTGTGGCTTTGGCGCAATTGCAGCGACTTGGTATGTCATCCATGCAAGGAAGGTCTATCAAGGTCCTCCTGCATCGGACGGCTTGTGATGTTGAATAAATTGAGGATTGTGAATAGAAATCCGGTACACAATTTCAGCATGGCTTCAAATAGCAGCTTGAAGACCTTTTTGCTTGCCCCACTTTCTGCATTTTGACATGAAATCAGGCGCGATGAAGAGGACAATGAGGGAGCCCAAGCCATTCCAGAAGTAGTCTGCCAGTCCTGTTCGCTGGCTTCCACCCATAGCCCAACCTTTCATGACGTTGCTAACGAATGAAGACGTAATCATGTACCTTCCAGCTTCTAATTCAGCTATGATGATCCTAGCCAGATCATCTGGCTGCTGCGGTCTATCATCCTCTTCTAACTTGTTAGTAAGAGCGGGCTTGAGCTTCATTTCATTCTCAAATCCTGGAGTTTTGATACCACCAGGATAGATAGCATGAATCTTTATCTCAGCAGCAGGACCTGCTTCAGTGGGATGCAGCCTTGTGCCGTTGTACACCTGAACTTCCTGGTTAAGTGTGTCTGCTAAAGCTCTCATAGCAGCCTTGGCTGGATTGTAGGCAGCATAGCCAGCAAGTGGCATGAAGGCTAGCACACTTGAGGTGAAGATCAGATGCCTAGGCTTGTTGTCGTAGCTCTTCTGTGTCTGCTTATCAACAGGCTTGGTCCACTGTTGTAGAGTGGAATGAGCCATGTAAGCACAGGACCAGTAAAGAGTGTCCATTTGGTCTCTCAAGGTCTCAGCTGTGCATGAAGCGAAAAATCCAGGTATACAATGTCCAGCACAGTTGATGACAATATCTGCTGGTATGCCGTCGTTCCATTGAGTCACCTTAGAGAGGATGGAAGAGGCCGAATCGGGTGATCGCAGGTCGTACGAGAGGTACATAAACCTCTGAGCGGCAGGGCGTACAGCCGCATTGCGAATAGACTCGAGAGCATGTTCTAGCTTAGAGACTGTTTGAGCAACAATCACAATATTAGCACCCTTAGCTGATAACTGCTTAGCTAGTTCAAGACCAAGTCCTTGTGAGCCTCCTGTGATAATGACTGTCCGCTCCACGACCTCGAACTGCTTTCTGCTTGTCAGAAATCCCATCACGGCGAGACCTGCGATGGCAGCAATGACAGCAGAGAACACGACAAGTAGCATCCCGAAATGAGGGTCCCTACCAGTAGATTTATGACATGGTAATATCTGTAACGTAGTGTTTAAAAATATTGGTAGCCTGAGGCAACCTATATACACCTTTTTGGAGTGTGGGGAAAATACGACCGAGCGCGATTGCCCGTTCGAAACTTTTTTTTCTGATCGCAGCAGCAGCCACCGCGCTGTGTTCGATCAGATCATTTCACTGCGCCGCAGCAAAAGTACAGCATGGCGAAGAAGCGCAAAGCACCCAGGACCTTTGAGCAGTCTCAGCCGGTAAAGTCTGCCAAATATGACGTTGAAGAGACATTTGATGACTTGGAGGACGAATTCTATGCTGGACGGGACAAGATTTTACTTGATGACGATGCGAACAAAAGGAGAAGACAACGTGTTTTGGATCAGGAGAAAGACTTGCAACCTTCTGACGAGGAGGTGCTAGCATACCAAGACGACTCTGACGATTTCGAGGACGAGGATGAAGACATCTACGACGATGAGGTTGAGACCGACCAATCTCGATTGAAGAACGGATCTAGGCAGCAGGCTCGTGGCCAGGACGAGGGCGAAGAGTTATCAGATGAGGAGCACTGGGGTACTAACCGGGCAGATTATTACGGCGACGATGTAATTGAGACCGCGGAGCAGGCCAAAGAAGAAGAAAATGAGGCAAAACGCCTGCATCAGAAGCAGCTCAAGAACATGACTGAGGCTGACTTCGGCTTTGATGAGAATGAGTGGATAGAAGAGAAGAAACCTGGCAAGCAGGGCCGTGCTGTTACTGAAAAACTGCCTGATGCTCAAATTCCGCAAGGCGCCACTGAAGATCAGAAGTTACAGATCCTTTCAGCCAGATACCCGGAGTTTGTACCTCTAGCAGAAGATTTCTTGCATTTATCGAAGACCAAACAAGAGCTTGACGAACAGAGCAAGAGCGTAGTGCAAGGAATCAGCCACGGAGCGAGACTGAGCGATGGATTGCCAATCAGTCTGAAACTCGATGCTTTGAGCACTTACTTGGCCACAATCTCCATGTATTTTGCCATCGTAACAAGCGCAACCAGCAAAGACACAGCATCATCCGGCAAGATTACAGCCATGGCTCCTCTAGATTTGCACGAACATCCCATTATACAGAGTCTGGCTCGAGCTCGGCAGCTATGGAACCAGGTCGAACCACTGCAAGTTCAGCAAGTCTTGACAGTTCCGCAACAGCTCGCCACACCCGAGTCAGAAGAGTATCCTGACGATCTTGCTGCATATCCTAGCTCTCAGGCGAAATTACCCTCGGGCACAAAGCTACGTAAAGAGCCTGCACAAAAGTCCGAAAAGCGCAAGCCGAAGGCTGAATCGAAAAAAGTCAAGGACGAGCTTGTATCAACATCCACCAAGAAGAAGCAGAAAAAATCAAGAGACAAAGACAAACCCAAACTTCTCGACTTGAATACCCTCATCGATGAAGCTCAAGACTACGACGAAGAATCAGACTTTGGCGACGAGCAACCGCTTACAGAAGAGCAATTTGCCGAAAAGGCACGCAAGCGGAAGTCACTCCGCTTCTACACATCGCAGCTTGCCTCCAAGGCCAACAAGCGTGGTAATGCATCTCGTATAGCAGGTGGAGACGATGATTTACCTTACAAGGAAAGGCAGAAGGATAAGCAGGAGCGACTAATTCGAGAGGCCGAAAATCGAGGTCGTGGCGCTGCTGATCATTTCGACGACGGCGATAATGATTACGACGATATGCCAGCTAACCGGGATGCAAACGACGAGTATTACGATACACTCTTGAACGCTAAACAGAAGAAGCAGTCGGACAAGAAAGCTCGTGCAGAAGCATATGCTCAGGCTGCGAAGGACGGCGCAACTGTTTACGAAGAAGAGACGGTCGGTGCAGATGGTAAGCGGGCAATCACATATGCTATAGCGAAGAACAAAGGTCTTGCTCCCAAGCGCAAGAAGGAAGTGCGCAACCCACGTGTCAAGAAGCGAATGAAGTTTGATGAGAAGATGAAGAAGCTTGGATCGATACGGCAGGTGTATAAAGGTGGTGAAGGACGTGGCGGATATGGAGGGGAATTGACTGGCATCAAGACGAATGTCGTCAAAAGTGTCAAGCTATAGTGCAGGAGCCATGCTCGCGCATACGTACTCTTCGAAAAGAAATCCATACACTCGAACTGCCAAATGTCTTTTCTCTTCATTCTTCATGCCTGCCAGATCATCACTTGCCGCCTTGGCTCTCACCAAATAGCCTAAATTCAATTCAAGCATCTTCAACCCCAACTGTAAGGTCATCCGAACACGGGCAAAGCAGATCGCCAAATCTCGTACACAACTTATTGCAATAACACGGCCCCCAACAAATACACATCTTCGCCGCCAAATAGTCCTCAACAGTCATATGTCCAGCAAAATAACGATAGTATCCCACCGGCACACCCTCCAACCGAGCCAGAGCACATTCACGGTGTGTCTCACGTCGAAGCACGCTTTGTCTAGACGTCCGAGCTTCAGCAGTCACATCTGGATCAAGAGCCTTGCGCTCGGCACGCTGTAGAGTAATTGCAAGTGCTGGGTTCTTTGTGAGTTCTGAGTCGGTGTAGCTGGTCACGTGCATTCGATTGTCCTCGGAGAAAGCGTCGTTGATGATTCTGCCGTTGGGATGGCTGGCGAGGCCGAATATCTCTTTGCAGTTGGCTGGTTTGTGGTGTGCTCTTGGCTTGAGGAGGGAGATGGAGAAGCGGCCGGGGTATTGACCTAGGCTTGCGGGACCGGGCGAATAATGACGAACCGTGCCAGAAGATGAGATGTGTGAACAGGAAGGATTGCTGATGGTTTCCTTGGTATCAGAAGAGGTCGTTGATTTGTCAGAAATCCTTCGAGCTCGTTTGCACTCTTGTGAGTTGGAGACGCTATTGTGCTTTCGCTTTCCTGAGAACAGGGAGGAGGTGTTGTGGTCTAGGATGTCGGTGAGCATGAAAGGTGTTGTTGCAGGAGAGGAGATACGTGCAGCTTGACAGTCGACTATAGTGAGCGGGTCGTTGAGCGAAAGGGTTTCAGCAGGATTCTCAGTCACGATGGTAGCCACCTGTCCACTTGCTGGAGCAATTTCCGGCATATGAGCACAAGATGTGGCGTCTTCATCGGAGCAGAATATCTCCTGGTAGTCAAAATTCTGGCTGAACGTAGAATTCTTGAATAACTCTGACACGATCTTAGCCTTCTCGTCTTCAGTAGCATGATCTAAAGTTCCGAAAATGTCCCTTGCCTCGCTGTGTTGCGCCTTGTATAAGTGTTCTCGAGGTTTGTAAGGCGTGGGGCAGATGATCGAGACAGTGGGCGAGGGGTAGGCCACAGGCACAGGTTCTGTATGTACGTTTTCACCAAGTCCAATTACCACAAGGTCAGGCGTAGAGACAGTGCTAATAGATGCAGTATTAGAATGCACGAAGACTTCTTTGCTAATGGTCGCGTCGTGTATCGTAGGCTTAGCGTGTTTGACCGCCGGCGCCGTGAGCACAACAGGTTCGTCACAGCGGTTGGCGTCAATCCAGTGCTTGATCTTCCCTGGCAATATATATTCTCGAGACCCGAAACGACTTTTTTCGCTGTTACTGAGCTTTCTGCTGCCAGATGTGACGCTGGAAACCACTGAAGCAAAGTCAGGAATTCGTGGCCAGTGGTCCGTCCCATGTTCCAATAATTGAGGACCATTTGTTGGAGATATTTGCGATCCTTCAATCCAGCTGTGTTCTATGTCTTTGCTAAGAAAGGACGACGATTCAACTGCATCGGAATGACCAAGGTGAGACTGGGTCGACTCGACTTCTAAGGTGTTTGCACAGTCATGCTCGTGCTTGAGCTCGTTCTGGGTCAGATGTATTGCAGGGCCGCCGTTGACAGCTGCGATCAATCTGTATGAGGTACCAGGCATATATGTTTCCAAAGTACCTAAAGAGTTGTCCAAATCGCTGATCGAGAGACTTCGTCGCCGGTAGAAATCTTGAACCACTGCCTCCGTCAGTGTTTGGTCTGTATGAGATATTCCGTGTTTGTACCTACTGCGTGAATCAGGTCTCAGGAACTCTTCCAGATCTACTCCATCTGCGTCGATCATCGTATAGGTAGGGCCAGATCGGTAGTGCCGATTTATTGTCTTGTGCTCATGTAGAATTTGCGCAAAGCAACGCAGTAATATTTTGGCTGCTTGTCACCCGCACTGGTACCGACACTATTCAAGAAATAGTGCAATTGTAAATCACCGACTTCCTAGCCTCCCATGTTGACTGTCCCTCCCTTCACACGCTACGCACATCGTGGTGAGTGAAAGTGCGTCAGCGAAGTTCCGTAAACTAACCGGAAAGGCCGCACTGTCCCTTTTCCACATGGCACAATATCCCCAGTATGGTTGAACTGCCAAAATTGGGGGTGATGATTCTCCGTGGCGACAACACAGCAGGGTGAATGATCAAGCAATAACAAGGCAATTTGGACGACCTACTGTGTCTCGTCATTCGCTTACCGCAGAGCATCGGTGATTTCCAGAAGAGCTTCGCTCTTATACCTCTCTATACTATGGTCATTCATCTGGTTGAAGCCACAGGTTGTACCCGTGTTTTGAACATGATCTTGTGAACCCCTGAGTAATGTTCTTGTTACTGCAGGACCATACGTCCTGCACCTCGAAATCGAAATATTCCTCCTGCTACTGTGTCGTGATCAACCAGATCGACTGAGTCCCGCATTGTATGTGCGTCGAAGATAGACTCCCAGACTACCTGCAGATCATTACCTTGACATTACTCTCGAAGAAGATGGAAAGATTTAGAGCTCGACCTCAATTCTGGAGAATCCGGATCGTGGCCACAGGGTGGATCCTCGAGCCTAATTAAGCGTATCCCGGGTTGTTGGTGACAGGGGCGGATCAGATTCAGCGCAGTCTACCACAGTATTAACTATCGACTGTAAACACTTTATGAACATTGAACATTCCTTTGCCTCACGAAGCCATCGGACTTGAATTTCTCGACTTGTGTTCACAGCATAATTTTACTGCTCAGTTGAAGAGGATACTATAGTCAACTCGTCCACGTACCTAGATATCTATTCTCCCATCACTCTCACTTCGAATCCCGGCATGCTTTTATGAGCAGATTCCAATCCACAACGGGTCAGACCATCCTCAAATAACGAGATGGCGCCTGGACGGCAAAGCCAGTCTTCGCTATGGCACATTGTCCTATTACTGTCGCATGTGCTTGTCGCGCAGGCAGACAAGACGGCGGCCGACTACTATGTCAAGTCCCTACCGGGTGCGCCTGATGGGCCTCTTCTGAAGATGCATGCAGGGTAGGTGGTGAAATCTTTTGAAATTATGGCAGCTTACACATCACCAGGCACGTCGAAGTCAACCACGAGCACAACGGCAACCTCTTCTTCTGGCACTACGCCAACAGACACATCGCGAATCGGCCAAGGACAGTGATATGGTTGAATGGAGGGCCGGGTTGTTCTTCCGAAGATGGTGCACTTATGGAGGTCGGACCATATCGAGTCAGAGAGGGCGGCAAGCTAGAGTACAACGATGGTGCGTGGGACGAATTCTCGAATCTCCTATTTGTCGACAACCCCGTGGGCACAGGCTACAGCTACGTCAACACAGACAGCTATCTTCACGAACTACAAGAGATGGCCGACCAGTTTATCATATTCCTTGAGAAATGGTTTGCGATATTTCCCGAGTATGCGAACGACGACCTTTACATAGCTGGCGAGTCATATGCTGGCCAGCACATACCTTACATAGCACGTGCTATGCTGGATCGAAACAGCAAGGCCGGTGACAAGAGCAAATGGAATTTGAAGGGCTTGCTTATTGGCAATGGGTGGATCAGCCCTATACATCAATATCAGGCATATGCTTCGTTCGCCTATGCTGAGGGCCTGGTGCAAGGAGGCACTGACGCCGGCAATCGTCTGGACAAATCGCTCACAGACTGCCTGAAACAACTTGGACAGCCAGGTGCTGATGAACACATCAACCTCAACGTGTGTGAAAATGTTTTATCAACCTTCCTCGATGTCACTCGGGATGGCAACAAGTGCTACAATATGTACGATATACGGCTCAAGGACACTTGGCCGTCCTGCGGCATGAACTGGCCACCAGATCTTACCACTGTCACACCATATCTACGCCGTCAGGACGTAGTAGATGCTTTGCATGTCAACAAGGACAAGCGAACTGGTTGGTCCGAGTGTTCAGGCGCAGTAAGCTCGAGTTTCAAGACACAGAAATCACAGCCATCCATTAAGATCATACCCGATCTTCTTGAGACTGGGTTGCCTATCTTGCTCTTCAGTGGTGCAAAGGATATGATCTGCAACCATTTGGGCACAGAAGACATGATCTCGGACATGACCTGGAATGGTGGCACTGGCTTCGAAACAACTCCCGGAGTATATGCGCCGAAAAGAGACTGGTATTTCGAGGGTGAGGCTGCTGGATACTACCAAGAGGCACGAAACTTGACCTATGTCCTCTTCTACAATTCTTCGCATATGGTACCGTTCGACTATCCAAGACGCACGAGAGACATGCTCGACCGCTTCATGGGTGTCGATATCGCCAGCATTGGTGGCAAGCCAGTGGACTCTCAGATTGACGGCGAGAAGGCAGGCACGGAAACTAGCGTCGGTGGACATCCTAACAGCACAGTAGCTCAAGAAGAATCGAAAGACAAATTACATCAAGCAGAACTAAAAGCATACTACCGATCTGGCGAGGCTGCACTCCTCGTTGTCTTGATCATCGCAGCACTCTTCGGCTGGTGGGTATGGCGCGGTCGCAGGAAACAAAGGCGAGCCGATCACGAAGGAGTACTCGGCGCTTACGCCCCCGTCTCTCTTCTGAACAGCAAACGAAACGATGTGGAGGCTCAAGACTTTGACGGAAACGAACTGCATAACATGGGTGCCGGAAGAGGCAAGAAGTTCTCAGATCAGGATGACGACTCGCGGCACGATCGCTACGATATCGGAAGCGATAGCGAGGAGAGTGATGATGACAATGAGCGAGCCAAGCAGAAGGGGACAAACGCGTAGATTGCTAGTTTTAGGAACAAGGCTGTTTTAAGAAAGGGATCGCGGTAAATTGTGATCTGAACTTTTCTGGCACTTGGCTCCTCACGATTTCTACTCGAAACAGAATGCTCTGGACACTGGCTTAGTACCTGTTCGACGATATGCCCCCACGACGGTCCGTCGTCATTATGCTATGCGCTCGTGGATGACATACCAGGTCGCAAATATTACTATATAGAGACAGACCTCTCGGACTCCGACTTCACGATGTGTGCTTCTTTCGTCCGTCGGATGTTGTCTTAACTCCGTTGTTCTACTTCATCCCAGCTCTCGTCACCTCGAAACGTTCATCCAGGTTCGCGAGGAGAACTCGAAATGGCAAGAGTGCATCACCATGTACCGAGAGGATGATACCGAGCGACGCAACGACAGCTGATTCATCACAATGTTCTTTGATTAATCCTCCGTATCCTTGGCGCAGTCGTGGCAGGATCGTCCGTCCTACTGGTGATCATCGTCCTTCCACAGCCCGGACAGCTAACTGTTTGGAATAATTTTGGGAATGTACAGCATGCAGGTCGAGGCTCGAGCTGTGCACGCAGTGTTAGAGGTTTGCGGAATATGTGATTCAATATGAGCAGATTAGAAATGGAGTGGTAGATGCAATAGTTTATTTACCAGGTCAGGATACACCATTGAACTTGGAAATATCGATTCAGAGCCTCCCTTATGCGAGGACTGGAGGATCGAAGTACTGTGTACGAGGAGCAGTGCAGTTGATTGATGGCAGGTCTGCCTGCATGATTGCCCCACCGAGCAACAGTTCTTTGTAAGCTCTGAGTAATCACACCTGTTTCTAGAGCAGTTTCCTCATAGTCGCTTACCGAACACTGCCTGGTTAGTGACGCTGGCGGTCAGCGCGCATGGCAGAACCCTTCAACCAAAGGTCGTTGCAGAGAAGCTCATTGAGTCCATACAACCAGTTGTATATGAAGCAGAGCTGCTGTCATCCTAGGCTTGTTCACTAATGCATTCTTGATCTCACCACAATTGTTGTACATGAAGAACAGCTGGAGTGAATCAGGAGCACACAAGACCGCGAGGCGCACATCAGGTATAGTGTTGTAGTCCTTCTGAACCTGCTCTGCCCAGCAGTGGAGCCAATAACGGATGACATGTTAATGGCATTGCATAAACATAGTGCTGGGTACTGCGACCTGAAGACTTAGCCTGCTGGCTGTGCTAAACAGCTGTTCATAGGTCGACGTGACTCACACCACACTCACAACCATTGCTGATAAAGCCACGCGGTCGCGGAAGTACGTCGTAATCATGCCCTGCTCAAAAAGATTTGAATATAGCCAGAAAGCTGGCTTGTTGCCATGTATCTGGTTCGCTTATAACCATACAACCAATACTTGAATAATTGTTATTATCCATGAGGTAAAGCTCCGAGAAAGGCGGCTCAGATGTCCCCCGGGAGTCGAGTCATCTCCCATAAGATTTGCGAAAGGATTGCCGCTTACTAAGACAAGCTTGGCGCGAGCGATACAATCCTCACACGCTGCTGACAAATCGTGTCGCTTCATAATTTGTGCACAAGGTGCCGATAGTTGCAACATCCGTGTAATTGTGTAAGCGAGGTGCTGCAAGAATTGTCCTTTTTGTTAACAAGAAAGGTGTGGTCCGTCAGCAGATCAGCATCGCATGTCTCAAGCAGCGATATGGACTGTAGATCTGTCTCAACTTCGTGGAGCATCACTGCCTTCGTGAGGAAACATTAGTTGACCAATTGCATACTGAACGTCATGGTTGGACAATGGAAAGGATGGATAGGAGGTCGCTGCCACGTCAAGCTTCTATCTCGGCGTCGGACTCTGATTTAATACAGCGTTACCTTGCAATGCGGATTGCGAGGGCGTCACGGTTGGTGATGTTTTTAATCGTTTAGAGGCCTGCTCAGTATAGCCATATTGTTGTCCGATTTCCTTTGGTCCTGATACCGAATCATGTGGTGGTGTTGTACGAGAATTGCCCATCTCTGCAATGCGCGGTAGAGTTTGACCTTGGTGTGGTTGACTCGGTTGAGGGTTGACAGCAGGTATCGAAGGATGTTGTGAGTGGAGTTGTGGATGAACTTTACCTGGCGAGAGTCCATCAACGCTGCTTGGTGGTGGAGGTACCTCGTGCTGGCTTTCGAGCAGCCTCGACTGCAAATTGATAATATAGTCGCGAAGCTGATAGTTTTCTGCTTGTACAGTCTTGAAATTGTCGGATAGAACCTGGTAATCTCGAACTTGCTCTTCAAGCTTCTTTATGTACCCCTCCTTTCTCTGTCTAAATGCCCGCTTTTGAAAGGTTAGCACAAATTTAACTAAGAAGGCTTGAAACTGACCTGCGCAGCCCTATTTTGTGCAGCTCTCTTGCTCGTGCTGAGCTCGCGCTTGCCATAACCCTTTCTGCCATCTGTCTGATTACCATCTCCGTCACTATGTTCACTGGTCTGAGGGGGACTGGTTGATGATGGCGACGCTGGGGCTGCTTGACCTGGCGCCGTCGTCATTATGTCTGATATGGGTTGGTAGCTTGGAGCCTGGATCGGTGGCGGATTGTGTGTCTGTGGCGAAGGATATTCTGGCTGGTCTCGAAGTACTATTGAATTCTGTTTAGCGACTGGCCATGGTGAGAGCAGCTGAGTAATGGACGTCATGCTGTGGTTGGTGGTGCTGATATGTCAGACGAGGAAGTTCTGGATAGCTGAGCCGGACCTGAGGGCTGAGCTAAGCAAGACGAACAGAAATACAAGCTAGTGAACAAGTCGTGTGAGGTGGGAATCAAGACGTGATATATGCGATCCAGTGTCATGTTAGTAGAAAGTGTCCATCGCTAACGGTCAGTAGGAGGGTGGAGTTAGCGATCGAGTGGGACGGATCGCGACACAGGAAGGCAGGGACAGGGCCAAGGCAAGTCCTTTTGAGATAGAGCTCCGAACGAGCCTCCTTCAGCATAGACATGAACGGAGCAGCAGTGGCGGTCGCAAAATCGATCGGGGTAAGAAAGCAGTAGGAGGTGAGAGTAGGCTAGTCTTACGTTTTGCATGATCTTCGATCTTTGCTGGCGGATCCTATAGGATTGTGACAGTCAGTACGCATTACGAAAGGTACATTGCTAATTGAGGCAACAGACGGAAGTTGCAAGCGGAGCAACCACAAGCAGGAACGCTAAACCACAGAAGCTCTCTCCGTATTGCGTGCAGATAGATTCAAGACAGACAACGCCGAGGCAAGGTACCGAGTAGGGTAATGTGGCAAAGGCAATCGCATGACTCAACTATGGATCATATCGTGGATGAGTAAGGAAGGGCTTACCTACCGTGTCGATAATAGCATCCGGACGTGGCGCAAGTGTAGACTGCATTGTGCAAGCCTTCCAGGCGTTTCAAAAGAAACAGATTGATGAAACAGTCTTTCGAGGCAGGATTGCAATCCAGTTGCACCTGCTCGCTTGGAATACTCGTCACGATTGTGTGAGACCAGACTGGGTAAGATGTCACAGAATCCTTCAGTACTCAATCTGAGAGCGACGTCGTCGGTGCATGCGTAGTAAGCAAGAAGAAGGTTAACAAGAGAGAAATAGATCTCATAGGTGGTTGTGGAACAAAGCATTTGCATAATAATTGACACTAATCCACAAGTGGTAGGTGAGCACTTCTCGCTTGAGCTTCTCCTGTAGAAAAGGCCTATGTTGCAGTGCACTGATTCGAGTCCGACCTTCGAGAGCCCAAGCAAGGACTGAGGCGAGCACATCTATGCCATAATAGGAGCCATGCGCCAGCAAACTCCCTGCCAGCATAGATGCGCAAACAAAGTGATAGTCAGTTCAGCACAAAAGCGGCAACCGTGAAGTGAACCCAGCAGATTAACTCTCGGAAGGGGATCTGTATGCAGGAATTGACGAGGCATGGGGGACTTTATGTCATGCAAATCGCTCCACGTTCTAGATTGCACTTGGGTAGTCAGCATGGCCATCGTCAGCGACACAGTCATCTTGCGTATCCAGTTCTTCCTTTTGCTGTACCTTTCGCACATCGTACGCTGGTGTGTCTTGGCACAATTCAGACGAACACTTCCAGCATAAGTTTCATGGAGACGGTGGCTGCCGTCCGGCGAACATGGGCAAATGACCACGTTTATCCACTCTTACCTCTAGCCTACTTTGAAGCTTCGTCCGAAGGACATGTCATTTATTACATAATCTATTTCGAGAGACTCGAATACGAGTATCACCTGCTTCGCAGTTCTGCAGATCCGGACATGAGAGTTTGTGTACGATGCGATATTCTCGGGAAGTTCGTCATTTGTGGATAGAGGAACACGTTTTGCGCTCTCAAATACCGCAGTTTCACGGTTTGAGTTACTGGAGCTCCGCCTTTACAACCTTCTGTGTATACAGTGTGAATGGACTCTCTGCTTGGACGGTGAGCTATCACACCTGATATGCGGTACCAAATTCACTATACGGTTCATGAGGCAAAGCAACTGAATCTAGAGCGATTGAATGCCGAAACTCTATAGGCGACGACAAAGCTTGCAAGAACGAAGTTTGGCCTACGCTCGAGCCCCGAAGCTTATCTTGGCAGTTTGTCTTTGTGCTCATACTGAAAATGAGGACAAGGCCACAGCAGGGCAATGATTGACCTTCACAGTGGTAGTGATAATGCCAGGTGTGGTGCAGATCATGGGAAGTTTCGGTAACAAGTAAGGGACGTGCGAATGGTGCCTGTGCAGTAGAACAGCAGGTGTTTCGCCTGGATCTTTGTGCTTGATAACGACGATTAGAGAACGATAGTGCCTACCTCCTCTCCATACCAGGACCAGGTCAGAGCAAACAAACATGTTGTCGAGCTCCTGTTGCAGAAGAAGAACACGTTGGTGGTTGGTGGACGCTCGTCTCCTGTACACCCAAACGAACTTTGTTGAATCACCACGCGGCTATTGTTGTATCCGAACGTCTCACCGTGACATGGTGATTGTGTAGGTACAGTTTCGGGTCGTCTGCAGCAAATGACGCTGTTGTCGTATTGCATGACTTCCAGAGCGACTTGGATGCACAGAGCCACTTTGTTGTTAGATTTCCAGCCCGGAAGAACCCTACAGATGTGTTTATGCGCCACTCTCATCAGGAAAAGTCTGCTTGAGGTCTCGGAAGGTGCGGCAGGATCAGAGATCGTGCCTGAATCTTCCATTGACGCATTGATTCGTGGTAGCATGATATATTGCTTTCCCACAAGACAGGTAATTTGGCAGATGTGAATGGTTCACTCATAGACTGAAGATTTTCGTCTCGATGACGGGATGGAGCTTCCAGATGTCCCGGTTAGCGGCAGCGATGCAGTCTTTGGTTAAAGAACATGCTGTCGGTATATTGAAAGGAGCTGTCTCTGATCTGACCGGAACGGGCAACGTCACTACTAATCGAAAGAGGGTATTCAGCTATTTGGTAAGGTCCCAACAGGCTGATAACGATCGAAGCAACGTCCTCTTCAATGAGGTTGTTAGTGCCTTTGTTTAACATCGAGGATGACTGGGTTGTGACACAATTTCATTTCATCCATATGCAGGGGAGATAGCGTTGCCAAGGTCGTGTTCCTGAGCAAGATTAGTGATCAATGTCATTCGAGATCAACAACGAGCGATCTTCTTACCTTTATGTATTCACTGCCTCTTTCCAGATACTCATTTCTGCTCACCGAAGCAGTAGCTCTTTCTGACGACGGCGTCCCAGTCCACCACGACGCCGCACCACGCCATGCATCCAAGATAGGATCAGATGCCGCTCTAACATTGATCTCATAACCGGATGGTAGCGTCGCGACTACTTCGGATTTGAGTCGTTCTCCAAAATTCTTGAACAAGGTGTTGCCACCAGTGAAGAAGATATCTCGTAAGAGATTCTTTTGTTGAAGAGGATCGTGAAACCTGTTCATGACAATGCCTTCCATGATTTCGACGAGACCAGCTTGGTCGACCCCTGCTATGCTAGGCTGGAGTATGACTTCTGGTACTCTTATCCTCTCCACATTCAGATGGAGCTGATGAAAGTCACGCTGTGAATCGTCGTCAGGTATTAGACTGCCCCTGATAAAGGCATGCATCAAGCTCTTCTTCCAGTCATTTTGAGCTTCAAGTGTGTCGTTCTGTGTGAAGTTGTCATCATACTGGAGTAGGTCTTTTTCAATGTTCAAGAGTTCCGCCACTGGATCAGGCTCTGGCTCTTCGTCGTCGCTACCTTCTTCTTTCGCGACGGTTCGGTAAACACCCCAATCATCGTCATTGGCACCGAAGTCGTCGTCGTAGTCGCCGCCACCACGTCGCTTACGTTTGGGACCGTCTGATGCTAGGTTGGCCAGCGTCTTCATTCGCTGCTGCGACGCCAGGCCCTTGCGGTTGCTTGAGTCAGCCTTTGCACGAGCCTGTTCTTTGATCTTCACAAGCAGTCCTTGCCTTTGTGCTCTTCGACCAGCAACCCAGCTTGCTCGGTCAGTGAGTCTGTGTTCTTCGTCAAGACGCTTCTCTTCTGCCAGTCTTGCTCGTTCTCGCTCTTTTTCAAGTTTCGCTCGGATCCTAGCTTCCACACCAGACCTCATTAGTCTCTGGTGACGTTTCTCCTTGATACCGTCCTCATCGAGTTGGTCGTCTGGAACCTCAAGCAGCGGAAACTTGTTCAATTGCTCTTCAAGAGTCTCCTCATCGGCTTGGTTTCCAAGATCTTTGTTACGTGCTTTGGTGATCTTCTGTTTTAGATCTCGAATCTGTCGCTCGAGAGCTGTCTCGTCTTTAAATTCTTCGTCATCCAGAATTCGCTTTTGCTCCTTTTTAGTTGGCGCATCTCGGAGTTGTTGTAGGACTGATTCATAGTATTCCAGATCCTGTTCCTTCTTGATCAATTTGTCGAGTCTCATTTTCGCGGCTTGTTCCTGCAGACGTCGACCAGACTCTTTCTTCCGCTCTTCTTGACGGGCAATCTCTTCAGCAGACTTCTCCACGATGACCTGCTCTGTGAATGGATATTGCACAACAATGTCATTCCCTGCCTCCAATCCGTTCCAGTCCAAGTAATTGGCAATTTCTGCCTGATAGTCCTTGGACACGTACGCAAATCGCTTCAGTAAAGACTCCATATGTTCCATATAGAGTTTCGACGGGAAATTAGGATACTTCAGCTTGAGCAATTTTTGAAGGTATTCTTGCGCCTGAGCACCGCCCCAGTTGAGACGAGCACATGAGTGCAGTTGTGGCTTCCCACTCAACACGGGAATGACATGAGTAGCAGCATGACCTGAGGAGATGACCAGACCGGAGGTGCCTCTATTGTATCGATAAGAGAACAGACTATCGAGGCCATAAGTAACGCTCGGAGCACCGTAACCTTCAAAGAGCATCTCGTTCATCATTCTTCTTGTGTATCCCAGATTTGCTACAGGTTCGGTCATTAGAATTGGCCTGGCGATACTACCCTCACTATCGACTCCTAGCTTCAGAAATGTGTAATCTAGAACGCCCTCCATAACGTCCCAATTGACAGGCACGCTGGTGAAACTTTCGAACGCATTTCGGATTTGACCACGGGTTGTGGCATCAGCGTAGGTATCGTAGCCAACAAAGGCGCAGTATTTGTTGTACTTTCGGTCTTTGTATTTGGCAAGTAGGGGAGGTATGAGGAAACGAGGCTTTTTGTCGAAGGACCAACCAGCCTTCAATGTGCTTGATCCTGGATTCGAGTCAGTAGTGCCTTGTGCAAATCAGGCATGCGATACATACCACAGTCAATCACTATGGCACTCTCTGTAGGTGTAGCCGCGCTGTCTTTCCAGCCAGAGGGCTGCGCGGGCTTGTGTCCTTGAAAAGGCCATTCTGGCGCAGGGTGGATTGCAGGATGTTGTAAGCTCTCAATAAATGCAGGTGAAGGTCTGCTTCGCTCTTCTAGTATTCGGTGGGTAGATGTGATAGTCATGGTGTTCACAATTCTGTCGTCGCGCAGCTGCAGCACAACAGTTTGTAACTGTTTGCGATCTAGTAGATCAACATTTCAGACTTCGCAAGCAGCGGCTGTCACACACCCTCCACGACAGGTTCCGTAGTTGGAGCGAGCAGAGTAGGACACCAAGCATGGGATGCGATGAAGTAACAATGGGCTACGCAGAAGACATATTGTTGTGATACACGGAATATACATCTATCAAACGCGATTTATTCAATTACAAGAACTCGCTCCAACTACCCTGCCGCTCAATCGTGCTCGGTCATGGTGGTACCGGCAACTTGCTGCTCGTTTGACATATCAGACTTCAGATGATTTAGCATCACTATTCAGTCGTTGGTATACAATTCTCAAAGGCGTTCGAGACACTAGCAGCTAATGTCGATTGTACACGAGTTGCTTCATTCATGTCTGAGCAGAGCATCGAGATAGCTTGCGGCATCGGTCACATCGCGAAGACTTTCCCTAATGCATCTAGATGTCTATACCGGGTTTTCGAGATTGTCGGTTGCTATGCTGTCTCAGCAAGATACATGAAGTCGGGATTTGTGCTCACCTTCGAGATGGAACAGTACATTGGACTGGTAGTTCTTAAACATCTGTGCCACCAGCTCTACATTCATGTTCTGTATATTTACTTCCTGGGATGCGCGTAAGAAAGATGATGAAGAGCACGGATCAGGAGACACACCTGTAGGCTTTTGTTCATGATCGCAACAGCTTCATTGAGCTTTTCCTGTGTACGGTCAGCCAAGAGCAACCGGAGTGTGGATATCTATACTATATTCGCAATGATGCGTGACAATAACAGACTCTGCTGCTGTTCATGTGGGCTCTCCTGTAGTCCTGTAAGCGTAGCTCGGCATGTTTCATCTGGCTCATACCATCTTGGCTCTGGTGTTTGTACGCAGCCCAGCTTTAAGAGAAGGACAACAAGGTTTTCGTTTGTGCCGCCTCGTGGAATCATGCAAGGGACAATGCGGGGCCGAGGACGCTAATAGTCGATCAGAGTATCCAGTCCAGCAGGAAACGCAGTTTGCCTGAGGCACTAAGTTAGTGAAATGCAAGTAGTGATGAACAAATTGCTTCGCTATCATTGCGTAAGAGTGCTAATTGTTCACTGTCCCACAGTCTACAAATTCGCTCATCTCTAGCCACCATGCCTTCAACTCCCCAGCCAGAGAAAGATGAAGCGCACCTGCAATTACTCGAAGAGATGGACATTTACTACGTCAAGAAACCATTTCGAAATCCAGACTGGAAACCGTCAATACGTCGGAACAAGAATATCAAGCAGATAGTCTCCGAGGCGCACCGAAAAGAGGCTTCAGTAGTTGCTACACAGAACAATTCGGGCGCATCCACACCTCAACCCCTTCAGTCGGACGGTGCTGCTACGCCTCAACCAAATATGGGACAAGCCACTCAGAGTCTTTCCACGCTCGTGCTTGAAAGAAACCTACAAAAAGCAGCGGCAATGGGAGCGCATGGCAATGGTCCAGCAACTCTAGGCGCGAATTTAGGACCAGCAGTGACTTACACAAACATCGAGAGCGCTCCCAGCCTACAAACCAAGAAGCACTATTGCGATATTACAGGACTGCCCTCTCGTTACACGGACCCAAAGACTAAGCTGCGATATCATAATCAGGAGATCTTCGGTGTTGTGAGAACGTTAGCGCAAGGCGTGCCTGATCAATATCTTGCTGCGAGAGGTGCCAACGTAATCTTGAAGTGAGCCAAAACAAACTCGAACACAATGGCATGGGAAGCTCTTGTTATGAGAAATGTGTGATCAACATAGTCAAGCTCGTCCTATCCGCATCTACCGTTTCCAGAAGATACTCAAGAAAGCGCTCCGGCTTAATCGTGGTCACGATATTTATCTTTTTTCTTCGCCATGCTGAACACTACCGAAGCTCCATGAAGTAGGTGAATCAGTTGCAGTGCTGTAAGTAGCTCTGCTGTTGTGGCAAATATCAACTGCATGACCAAGTGGTCCGAACACGGTCAAAATGTTCATAATGTCGTCTGAAGGATTTCCCAGTTCGATGATCGTGGTTCATTAAACAGGGTGAATGGATGAAATCATGCCGTCGTAATATCAGTCAAGGACGTCTTCCTCTACTTTGCAACCACATCATGCCATTTTCAATGAGCAATTCGGATCTTGCTCATCGCATGGAGAGCATCTTGAAAATGCGATGGGATATCGATGTGTACACAGGCATCAAATAGTGATGAGTTTGAAGGACAAAATATACAAGAACAAAAAGCTGGGGAATTTTGCAAGTGGAGCGAGGCGCCAATCACGGTCAGCGAACCCCGGAATGTTTTACTGTAGCTGTAGAGCCTAAGGAGAACGATAGACGTGTAATCATGTACTCGGATATCCGCTACTCATGGTCCCTAGTGTTCTAGTCGATGCGCCCGAGATATATTGACAATTACATACTTTCAGACTCCCGTATTGCACAAATACATAACAACTGGTAGGCTCGTAAAGGCCTACTGCGGGTGGCCGCCAAACTGGATTACTTCAATGTGAGAATATTTGTACTACGATCTGTCATAATACTGATTTGGCACAGCGCATAAAGGGTGCAATCGACGACCGCATCAAAGAGGAACAAGCAAGACAGGTAAAGGCTCAGCAGGCCACACGAGCACCGAGACGTCGACCCCAACCTCAAGATGGCTCTCCTGCCACGCTCCAACCACGACAGAGGGATGTGTCCGTCACACCAGGCGGCAAGAGTCCCGATCCTGCAGACTTTACGATACGTGACGACGATAGCGCACTGGCGATAACCCCTCTACCGCAAGCAGAAGGCGTGGGTGGTGTGACAGAAGAAACCGCTAATGGCGAGGATGACGGGAAGGAGCAGTCAACCAGCACACAACCGCAGAGAGACGGAAGCGAAGGCGATGCAGAGAAACCTGCCGTCGTCTTGCAGGATCTGCCACTTGAGGTGAAACAGAAATTGCGCAGACTCGACAAGCTCGAATCGAAGTACGGCGAATTGCTCAGAGCCTACCGTGCTGCTCATGCTCGCGTGCAGACCATAGAGCCATTTGAAGCGACTTTGAGGGAGAACACACCTCTCACCAGCATTGCAGAGCCATCTGCGCTGTCCGAATACCTGACTCAAATCAATATAAAGAGTGGTATGGTACTGGAAGAGCTCAAGCGTGTTTCGGCAGAACGAGATGACTTCAAGAGGAAATCAGAATCCTGCGAGGCAGATAACAGGGGGTTGGACGCAAGTATCGAGGATTTGAAAAAGCAGTTACAAGCACGGTCGCAGACAATTTCGCCAGTAATCGAATCAGCTGAACCGTCAGCTACTGCAAAGGAAGAACCTCCATCAATCACATCACCTAAATCTCGCATCTCAAGTTTGTCCATATTTTCTCCTAAGAGCAAACCCAGCATCGACGACTCTAAAGACAAGGACGTGAACGAGGATCTGTTCTCTTTTGACTCAGAGGTCCCCAAACTCGAAGCACAGCTAAAGGAGAAAACAGAACAAGTCGACCAGCTTACCACTCAGGTAAGCAACCTGAAGAATGACTTGAAAGTCGCGCGAGAGTCCACCGAGGGTATGGTACAGACTCTTGAAGATACATCGCGAGAGCTCAACACTTTGCGGGAGACCAAAGACAAGTTCGAGGCGACGGAAAAGGAACTAAACAGACGCATCGAAGACCTTGAAGCCCAGCAAACCACTGCCGCAGAGAACAGTGAAAATTTACAAGTACTTTCGTCAGTACGTGAGGAGCTACAGCAGACTCAAACGTCGCTATCAGAGGCCCATAAGCGTATCGAGGTACTCGAAGAGGAAAATCGTTCCACGTCAGAGAGATTGGTCGATACTGCTAAAGAGGTCGAAACCCTGGAGGGGAAAATGATTGACTACAACAAATCAATCGAGATGTTGAACGAGAAGGTCGAGCAGAAAGACAATGCTAACAAGGACCTCGAAGACTCCTTAGCATTCATGCGAACGGCTGAACAAGAACACGAGAAGACTTCTGAGGAGCTTAAGCAGACTAGAAGGAAAATTGATACTATGCAAGGCCTTATGGAAAACCTGCGTGGACAGCTCAGTAAAGCAGAAGAGAAAGTCACTGGCCTGGAGGACAGGGTTGCAACCAACCAAAATACAGCACCATCAAATGCCTCCGGCTCTATGACAGCAGTTGCGAACAGTATAGACGCACAAGAGGAGACTAATACTAATGCTAAGAAGAAAAATAAGAAAAAGAAGAAGGGCAAAGGAGCCGTAGCAACACCGGTTGAGCCTAATGGCCAAGCATCGGTCGAAGTAGCAGCCGACGAGAAGGGGAAGGATGACGATGGCCAAGCTTCTGCCCAAGAAATACCGAATACCATATCCGACCTGGAAAGCAAAACTGTGAGCTTGGAAGAGCAGGTGAATGACAAGAACAAGGCTATTGACCAGCTGTCTGCCAAGCTAAAAGATCAAGAAGCGCTTCAAGAGGAGATCGAGACTCTCCGGGATGACCTACTTCACCAAGGTGAGGAACATGTTGAGGCCAGGGACGCATTAAAGACTGTGCAAGCCGAGCGTCAGAAGTTGCAAGAAAGCGTGGGCAGGCTTCAAGGAGAACTGAGAGAAGCGCAGAAGCAAGCTAATAGCTCAACGGATGTTGCGGCTGAACACCAGAAAACGTTGCAGGAGCTAGAGAGGAGGTCTAATGCATATACAGAAGCCCTAACTCAAGTAGAAGACTGGAAAGCCAAGGCCGAGAATTTGCAAGGACAACTATCATCCGCCGAGCAGCTAGCAGCGAGTCGATTCAAAGATATTACAGACCTCAAAGACTTACTGGGTAAAGCACAGCCAGAACTTAGGAGTTTGCGGAAGCAGGCAGAGGAACTGAAAGAAGCACAGGAACAACTTAAGAACAAGACTGGCGAGTTCACGCGCCTTGAAGGCAAGCACGACGAGCTGAGAATCGAGCTTAAGAACCTCGGTAAGCGCCTCAGCAGTCAAGATGCAGAAATAAAGAGCTTGCAGTCGAGAGTCGAGACGGAAACTGGATTACGCGAACGAGCGGAAGGAGAGATACAAGCAAAGGAGTCCGAATTGCGTTCTGCCGAAGCTCGTCGAAATGGTGCTGTGGAGTTACACGAAACGGCCAAACAAGACCTCACCAAAGCTCGGGAAGAAACCCAATCCCTACACGTCAGATTGCGTGAACTTAATGAGCGACTAAGCAGTCACGAACGACAAATATCGAGCCTCAGGGAAGAGGTATCCTTGAAGACTTCTCTCCACGCTTCTTCGCAATCGTTAGTGCAATCACTACGTGATCAAATGCACGAACTCAGTGTACAAACACGTGAAGTTACAAGCAGATCCGAGAGCATGGAGGAGGAGTTAGCTGAAGCCCAAAGGATGCTTTCAGAGCGTACTCGTGAAGGCCAAACCATGCGCATGTTACTCAACCAAGCAGAATCGAGTACAGAAGCCAGGATACGTGAAATGAAGGAACGCATGGACTCGGCCGTCGAAGAAAGAGATCGGGTAGAGGATGAACATAGCGTCAGTTCGCGCAGAATGTCGCGAGAAGTAGAAGATGCAAAGAATAAAGCGAGGGAAGCTCAGCGGCAGTTGAAGATTCTTGAAGCTGAGAAGGAAGACCTCGAGAATCGTAGTAGAGAATGGCGCAAGCTTCGCGAGGACCTCGAGTATGCGACAAAGGCTGCGGAACGAGAAGCAGAAGAAACGCGGATTGCTATGAAGGCACTTCGTGATGTTATGGACGACTCCGAGAAACAAATTCGAGAAGTTGAAGCACAGAGAGGAGACCTAAGACGTCAAGTCGAGGAAGCAACTCAGCGCATCGAAAAGCTCAGTAGAGCTAACAAGAATCTTACCGAAGAAATCAAGAGTCTCCACTTACGGACAGGTGCTAGGCCCACCACACGCCCAGGCATTGACAGTGGGCTGCAGTCGTCGCGTACAAGCATAGACTCTTCTTCAGCACGATCACCACTGCCTGTATCACGAGCGGGACTATCGTCTACAACCTCATTGCCAAGATCCGAGACGCCTACAGGACAACCAGGAACTGGTGGAGGTCTCAGTCAGGGTACTGTTGACTATGTGTATTTGAAGAACGTGTTGTTGCAGTTTTTGAGCCAAAAGGACAAGGGGCATCAGCGGCAGCTTGTACCTGTATTGGGGATGTTGCTGCATTTTGACGAACAGGATCAGCAGAGATGGAATGCTGTGATAAGTGCTCGGTAGCGACTGCAGCTGGGCCGTCAGATAAAACAATGAACACTAAAGTAATTTGACCTTCAATCGATGCTTATTGCAGTAGAAGTGTGAGGAACGGAGAACCGACGTGATCGTCTTGGCGGGTGATTAGCTTTGATGCGGAGTGGATTTCTTAGCGATAAGATAAAGAATTTATTTCCCCTCGACGATCCTGCCGCACTGCAACACGTTGTATTTTCTTTGCAAGTGTGCACACTTGTGTTCTCCAGGAAAGATAGCAACCATGGCGGTCAACGGTGATTCTGGCGCAATCCCAGTGGGCGAGCCACACAAGACATTCGACACGATCCTCGTCCTCGACTTTGGCTCACAATACTCTCACCTCATCACACGACGACTTCGCGAACTCAATGTCTACTCTGAAATGCTGCCATGTACACAAAAGATCGCCGACTTGACCTGGAATCCAAAAGGAATAATATTGTCAGGAGGACCGTACTCAGTATATTCAGACGATGCGCCTCATGCCGACCCTGCAGTCTTTGATCTTGGAGTTCCCATCCTAGGGATATGTTATGGGCTGCAAGAGATTGCGTGGAATCTGGACAACAAGAACGTGGTAGCTGGGGAGAAGAGAGAATACGGTCATGCTGAAGTTACAGTGCAGAAACATGCAGGAAAGAAAGCGCATATCGATCGATTGTTTCAGAATTTGGGTGAGAACCTCGAGGTGTGGATGAGCCATGGTGACAAGTTATCACAATTACCTGCAGGCTTCGAGCCGGTTGCAAGTACACCGAACGCGCCATATGCAGGCATCGCTAGTATCGAGAGACCTCTATTTGGCATTCAGTTCCACCCCGAGGTCACACATACACCTAAAGGAAAGCAGCTTCTGAGCAATTTTGCTGTCGAGATATGTGGTGCACGACAAGATTGGACGATGGAGAAATTCGTGGACAAAGAGATTGAGAGGATTAGGGCCATGGTTGGGCCTAAAGGACAGGTTATTGGTGCTGTCAGTGGTGGTGTCGATTCAACGGTCGCTGCGAAGTTAATGCAGAATGCTATTGGAGACCGCTTTCATGCTGTGCTAGTGGACAATGGAGTGTTACGAATGGACGAGGCCAAGATCGTGAAGAAGACTCTGACAGAGCATCTGGGAATTAACCTCACTGTTGTTGACGCGACTGACCTGTTCCTCGGCAGGCTCAAAGGCGTCTCAGAACCCGAGAAGAAACGCAAGATTATCGGTAACACTTTCATCGAGATTTTCCAGGACAAAGCAAAGCAAATTGCTGAAGCAGCTAAGGACTCACCAAAAGCAGGAGATATCGAGTGGTTATTACAAGGCACACTATACCCAGACGTAATTGAGAGCATCTCCTTCAAAGGACCTTCGGCTACCATCAAGACACATCACAATGTAGGTGGTCTTCTAGAGGGTATGCACCTAAAGCTCATTGAGCCACTCCGAGAACTTTTTAAGGACGAAGTTCGAGCTCTAGGCACGAACCTAGGCATATCAGAAGAACTGGTTTGGCGGCATCCTTTCCCAGGTCCCGGCCTTGCCATCCGCATCTTGGGCGAAGTGAATGAAGAACAGCTGAGAATTGGGAGGGAAGCAGACAAGATCTTTATTGATGAAATTGTGGCAGCTGGTCTATATCGACAGATTTCACAAGCGTATGCAGCTGTGTTGAAGGATAGAGCTGTGGGTGTCATGGGTGACAAGAGGGTATATGGACAAATCATTGCATTGAGAGCAGTCGAAACCACTGATTTCATGACTGCTGACTGGTTCCCATTTGACGGCGAGTTCCTGAAGCGAGTGAGTCGCCGGATTGTGAACGAGGTTGATGGTGTATGCAGAGTGCTGTATGATGTTACTAGCAAACCACCCGGTACGATAGAGATGGAGTAAAGGGAAAGACTGTTCACTTATGGGTTTTCTGGCGCCTTGTCAAGATAGGTACGACCTACGCTTATTTGTCGATGACATGGATCGCGATATGATGGACCGGACAGCACAGTGATACCCTTTTGTAATTTGGATTCTGATCGGATAACTACAGGCAGTTTCGAAACACTGCATGCAATCAAGCACAGGATCTTTAGGCGAATTTTAAGGCGTGCCGAAGCTGTAAGTACTAGTAAGCTGGACCTATGGTCCTCAGGGTGGTTAAAATTGAAAGAGCTGGCAGGAACGACCATCCGAAGGCAAGAACCACCAAAGTTTGACCACTATTTTCCGACGCTACGTCAGCCATCGACGACCTGTCTCACACCTTGGTTGCAAGAATGAGATATCAGAACCGCAGAAGTGAAATCCAGGGGCAACCCGAGTAATCTGCTGTCTCGTTTTCCTGGGCATTTAATTCAGACATAAACTCATCATCAACGTCGAAAGCTTTACACAACGGTCCAAGCGCGTGGTCCAATACCGGATGAGAAAGAGAAGGAAGGAAGAGGATTGCGCGAGGGTTGTCCTAGCAAGAAAGTCTTGCAGTCCAGCGAGTTTTACGAGCACGGTGAGAGGAACGCAGTGATGGTGGAGCCCTCAATTATCGAGTATGCTCGACACTTTGGGTTGACTCAAGACTTTCGCGATCACGACATTCTCAGCTGTCTCGCTCACGTCTCGCTTCATGAGAGTCCCTCTAACACTAATCGACGGGACGAGCGATGTCTAAATCTCGTCCAAAGCTTCGAAATCGCTAATCACAGGCAACTTTCTCTTTTAAACGACGAGCAAGACGAGATGTCCCATGACGATAAGCAGTTCCTCCTAGAATATATTAGTCACGAAAAGCTTGACATAGGACAGGTCTATCGTCAGCTTCTACCTGATCACAAGCATACTCCGAATTTCAAAGTGCAATTACCTTGGCTCACAATAGGTGGAGGCTGTGTTGAGAAAGATGTACGACGTATACGGAGTGGTATTGACTTCACTGCGGCTCTTGAAGATGTGCAAGAAGAGTACGAGGAAGTTGCTCAGCAACCAGAGCATCAAGACGCGGTGTCGTCTCTAAACCATGAGCACGATGTACCCAATTTCGTGAAGAAATATCTGGAGCGAGCATTGAAGAATAATCTATTACAGGTATCTCAGAACGACATTCGATACTTAGGGGATTCTCTTTGCACTTCGATTAGCAGACCGGTCATACTAAAGCTGCTCGACGATGAGCTGCCACGTCGTACATTGTCGACATTGCCTGCCCCACGAGTCTGGCAAGAGAACGATTTCGAGCTCGATACGCATCAATCACTTGCGCCTGGCCCCGGCAAGAAGCAGACACCGAACTCTCCAGCATTACCAAAAGATCTCATGCTCAATGGGATAGAATCTGATCATCTCTCCCAGCCCACTACTACCACGAATGAGCGGCCAAACCATGGGGAATCTCTAACGTCTTCCCAAATGGAAATGTTAGACTCATTCGTCGACTGGACTCAATGTTCTTCCGAACAAGATCTAAAAAGTGACGTTTTGGAGTGTGCCGACAAATCTAGTCATGAACAAACCAGTCCTGGCACACCCCGAAAAAAGCGAAAGACAGATCCTGCTGTGCTCGCATTCGATAGCATAACCGAGGACACCATTACAAGACCCGTTCCAGCAGCAGAACTATGTTTAAATCCAGGAGCCACCCACTTCGATGCCTTCAAGGTTGGGACGCCTCAAATACCTGAAATGACGACGCAATTACCTCCTATCAAGGTGAACGTGGTTTTACGTGAGCTGGAGCAACCATTTGTACAAAGTGAAAAGCGTACTACAACAAGCGAGGACGTCCTCGCGTTGCCTTTCGAGACACCTTCCATACAGCATATTCTGAGTGATTCGCATGTTGAGGACACCGCCAGCCTCGAAAAGTTCTTGCCTCGGGAAAAATCTGTACTGAGAAGCGATCAAATGCTGTGGAAAGAGCCAGGATTCAAATTGCTTACGGCTGATGACGACGAACAAGACCTAAACAGCGAGGACTACTGCATCGATGAGTGGGAAGTGGGTACGCTTCAAGCTCAAGAAACCGAGCAGCCTAAGGAATTGTCCGCTCAATGTGTCGTGGACAAGATCAACATCGATGGAGAGCAGGGACTATTTGGGGCGAGTGACAGCGACCCATCTATCAACCAAAGTGAGCACAAATCAACCACGGAGCCACCGATTAACAAGGCAGACGTGTTGTGTGCTTCAGATATACCTCCAACTTCGCGTCGTCAAGCCTCTTTCGCAGCTCTTAGCAAGCAAATAGCAAAGAACTCCTATCTTGAGAAGAGTGTGTCTCCACTTCAGTCGACCAGTCTCCTAAACTTCTCCGATCTACTATCAAATGCCAAAGCAAAATCCGTCCTGCTAGGGAAAAAGAAGACAACTAGAACGACGTTCTCAAGCGATTCTCTGTCCACCTTTCTTGACTTTCGAGGTAAGCAATTCAAAACGTCTGCTCTTCGAAAACCACCGAAGACAGAAGAGCTCGAAGACGATCGAATTGTCTCAACACAACAGAGCGGTATTGAGTGCCACGCTAGATCATTAACAAGTCCTATTGACGATTGCAAGGCACACCCACTGCCAGAGCCAGCACCATCACCTTCAATCCCGAGCCCAGAAATTGTGCCTCTCACAGAAGCCAGAGTTATCGTACTGAACGAGTCTCTTCTTCAGAGCAAGCCCTTATTTATTAGGTTCTTAGAGTTCCAGGCCTCAGATAGACTGACACTGATCTATCGCGAACTCGATAGTCCGTCCAGAAAGGGGCCGGACGTAATCCTCGACACGAAAACATGTCTTCTAGCTACGAGCTTGCAGTCCTTGAATCAACGTCCGCTCCCTGGCCAGAACACAAAAACAGGCCTGTCCTCTGTGCATGATCATATTGCAGCCAACGCGCAACAATACGATCGTGTCATCGTGCTGGTGCATTCTGTGAATATCGAGGGTGGAACATTGACAATAAAAACCACAACAGAGCAGACACAATTCACCTCTTTCTGTCACAGCTTCGATGATGGTGGTGGCAAAGATGGGACACAAGTTACTCCATATTGGCTGTTTAGTAATACAGCCTCCACAACATGGGATCTTGTCAATGCATGGGTATGGCGTGTAATTCAACGATTTGCACATCCTCTCACTTCAAACGTAGGGTTTCAGGACGCCAGTATACAGCCAGAAGCAGCAGCCGTCATCCAGGATGAGACAGTGTGGGAACTACTGCTTGTCAAGGCTGGGTTGAATCCAATGGCAGCACAAATTGTGATTGGATTATGCAAGCAGACTGTAACTCCCTATGCAAGTCTAGATCAGGATTGGGGACTGCAAAGACTCTGTTGCATGAGTATAGAGGCCAGACACAAGGCCTTTGACGATGTGATAGGCTGGAAAGCTGTTGATAGATTGAACCATGCATTGCAAAACTGAATCTTCTTGATCCGTGCCAAAGACCCCTTCTATAACGATCATACCATACCCAATCCACCTATCCCCCTCCTCACTCACTTCCCAAAATTCATACTCCAACCCCCCGTCTTCGGATCCTGCGTCATCTTAAACATATCCGTACTCAACCCAAACGGCTTCAACAACCCATTCCCCAAATCCTTCAACTTCCCCATCATCTCGTCGACGTCCCGTTTCTTAGCTTCCTCGACTCGTGCCGGTAGAGATCGTAGCATTTCAATCACGGTCTTTTGGTCTTGTGGGGGGAGGGTACGGAAGTATTCGGGCGTGCTGAGGGTTTGGTAGTCGGCGAGGGCCGTTGAAAGGTGGGACCAGTGGGAGCCGGTTTCGAGGATGCTGTTGGGGAGAGGTTTTTTGCGTTGTGGTGGTGTGGGTGTTGTTTCAGATTCAGGATCTGTGTCTGGGCTGAGAGAGGCGGTTGAAGTGGTTGTTGGCGGAGGCTGTTCGCATATCATAACTTTGGCTCTTGCGCGGCGTAGGAGGAGTTTAGTGCGTATACGTGTGATGTCTGTTTTCCGTTGGTCGGATAGGTTGAGTTTTCGGAGGGCCTCTGCTGTTGCTTCTTCGTCTTCGTCGTCTGGAAGCTCGACTATTTGGTCCTCGTTGTTTTCTTGCTGTGCGGCTGGGGTGCTGTTATTCTTGGCGGAAGAGGGTTTGTCGTCTTTCATGTTGGGCTTCTGCTTCTGCTTAGGCATAGGCATTTCCCTTTCCAGGTTCTCCAGTCCTTGTTCGGCGGATGTGATCGCCTCTTTCCATTCCTTCAGCTGTAGGTGGCACGCGGCGATGTTACTCTGCAGCACAGCGAGTTCGTAATCGAGGTATATGGGAAGCTCGGCCAGGGCTTTGTCGTACGTCGAGATTGCGCTCGAGTAGTCTTTGGTTGCAAACTGTTTGTTCGCTGCTGCTTTGAGGGAGTGTGAGGCTTCGATCATTTCGTTTTCTTCCTCGGAGCTAAAGTGGACTGCCGGTTTTGGAGGTGCAGAAGGTGTTTCCGACTGACTTGCATGGTGGTCATGGTGGTTTTCAACGGCTGAAGCAAACGATGCTGTTGATGCTATCGAGGAACTACGAGACCTGCTTAGGGATGGCTGTGATGGTATAGGCTTCACACGTTCCGGTCGGGCCTTAGGACCGTCAGACTTGAAAGTAAAAGACATGGTCTCGAATGCGGGTCGGGCACAGTAAGCATGAGGTTTGGACCGTAGAGACTGGTTTAACTGTGAACGAGCACACCTTTTTAGGCGTGTTTGGAGATGACGCAAAGCAGCGTTCTGTGCACGCTCACCCACGTGGTCGCGTGTTGGAGTTAGGCGCGGGGTAGTGTCCAAAAAGTTTGGGAAGTCTGTATTAACATGGCTCGACTTTGCAGCTAAATGTATGCGCTGTCTGCACGTCGAGTACATGCCGTGAAGCAGGGTTCCAAATCTATCGTATTCGAGTTGTAGCGGTAACAAACATGGCAGCCAACTCTGTCACAGATTCAAATGCTGCCACTACACAAGGTCACAACTTTCCTCCAGTCCGAGCATGTATATTCGATATGGACGGTCTTCTGATAGACAGCGAGGACGCGTACACAAGAGTCACCAACATCATTCTCAACGAAAATGGCCGTCCAGATCTTCCCTGGTCAATCAAAGCACAATTGCAGGGACGACCCGGTCCTTCAGCTGGAAAGATCTTCCGAGCGTGGGCTCAACTGCCCATCACCGAGGAAGCGTTTCTAGAACGGCAGAGAGAGCTGCAACGAGACATGTTCAAGCACTGCAAACCTCTTCCTGGTGTGGTAGACATGCTGAACAGTCTAGCTGCTGCACACACTGACGCCGACCGTAAGAAAATTCGTTTGGCTCTAGCGACATCGAGCCATGGAAGAAATTATGACATCAAGACTGCTCACATGAAAGAAATGTTCACCGTCTTTCCTGAGAAACAGAAAATCGTGGGCGACGACGAGCGTATACCGAAAGGGAGAGGGAAGCCATTGCCCGATATCTATTTGTTAGCTTTGCAGACGATCAATGAGCAAATAAGGAGCGAGGGTGCGAATGAAAGAGATATTCTGCCAGGGGAATGCTTGGTTTTTGAGGACAGTGTGCCAGGAGCGGAGAGCGGACGAAGAGCAGGTATGAGAGTGGTTTGGGTGCCGCATCCTGGTCTGCTCGATGTGTATAAAGATCGCGTCGAAGAAGTGCTTGCTGGTCGGACAGGTGAGCACGACGAGAATGACTCGACACATCATGGCAGCGAACCATTACCTGGCAGTCCTGGTAAGGTTGGCGAGCTGAACGATGGCTGGGGCGAGAGACTGAACTCACTGGAGGACTTCGATTACCGCAAGTACGGCATCGTTGTCAGGGCTGGAGAGACAAGCGGCAGAAGTGGTCAGGACAGCAAGCCAGACCAAGGAGGGCACGAGGACAACCTAACGCCCGTGCCTGTCTTCGAAAAACCTCCAGCTTCGAAATTATCATAGCGATTTCCACCTCCGCTTCTATCCTCCCTGTCCGATCAATGGTGTCTGTTCATCCACTCTTTGCTCTCTTTCTGCCTCTCCAGCCTGTATTGCAGTTTCTATTCTACCTACCAGTTCTTTCCTCTGGTTTCTCCTGGCCTGAATCTCGTACCAACTACCCATCACGAGCAGCGTTCCTTGCAGGAATCCAGTGATCACATACACACCCCATGCACTCCAGCCTTCCGGTCCCAACCTAGTCGCCAGACTCGCGGCCCAGACGAAACTGCCAGGTGTTTGTATGCACATCATGGGTATACTCAAACTGCCCACTCTTTTCAACATATACGTTGTCCATATCTGCGGGAAGTACTGTATAGCGGCCAAGATGGTCGAGACGATTCCGAGGCCGTTAGCCCAGGATTGCAGCATATTCGGACGAGCGATGATGAAGTAGATGGACATTGTAGCCGTGAGAATGCCATGGACGACGCAGACAACTGTCACGATCACTGCTGTCCTGTAAGAGGGAGGTTTGTCACTGTCTTTCGCTGGGTTTGGTGTACCAGGTGTTGCGCGTGGGAAGAAGATGAGGAAGAGGAAGAGGCTGGCCCAGGTCAGTTGTAGCACACAGTACTGTGAGAGATGTGACGCACATGACCGCGAAGCAAGTCCATTGCATAGCGACCTGCATCACTCCTAACAACCCAGCAAAGCAAGCGAAGCCATTGACCTCACGACAGCAGGCCATGTCCTGCCTGCTGCCAGGAAGCGTGAGGATATTTGCGAGTTGACATGTTCCCGACGTTGTGCCCAGGAGAACAAAATAAGGTGACAAGCCGAACGAAGATCTGCGATTGATTATACGTAGATGTTGTGGTAAATACGATATCAGAATGCCCAGCAGGATGAAGCTGGGTCATGGTTAGTACACACGGCTGCCTCGAGGAAGCTTGCTCACATGCTTAACGCGAAGTTGACATAATTGGGTTTAGCGATCTCAACACAGCGGTCGACACCGGGCGGAAGCGGTGCTGGGTCTGTCAACATGCTGGTCATTCGTGATCGACTACATTTGCACTTGAGGGCACGGGAACAGAGGATGCCTGTCATGTACGTGACTGTCCTCCGAGGGCAAACTGGACAAACAAACGCGAGATTCTGGACGCCTATGACGCGTTGGCCAATCGCAGAGACAGCTTCAAGTGAAATAGTGCAAGCATGGATGCATGTACTTAATTTGCTTCAAGACGACTCAAGGTGTATTGCCAAATCAGTCTACATCACAACGAGTGTTCATACTAGAGCTAACTGGTCCTATGCAGACATTCGTTTCGAGCTGTTGTAGAGACATATTGTGTAGCCTGTTGGGCTTGATACAGTATACATAGCAGTAAGAAGATCATTTCCACAGCCAAACACAACAAACATACCAGACCCTGCTTTGTAGATTCAGCAATCCTCGTGTCGCTACTTGGACTAATTCCACCATGTAAGAAGACCGACGTACCGGCAATGTGATTAATACAATCTCAGCAAACCTATCTGTCCGCAAAATGCCACCAAGAAAGAAAGCCGCAGCAACCCCCAAAGCACCAGCCAAAACTCGCCGTTCCAAACTTGCCAAAGACAACGATCTATCCGCCGAGCAAGAGCGCGAGATCCAAGAAGCCTGGTCCATATACCGCGAAGACGATGCCGAAGGCTACGAAGACGAGAAAGAAGGCGTGATAGCGACCTCAAACGTCCGCATCGTAATGCGTGCTCTTGGCATCGAGCCCAAGGCTCAAAAGGACATGGACGAGTATCTCGAGATTTTAGATCCGGAGAAGGAGGGCTACGTGACATATGCGCATTTCGTGGAGTTGGCAGCTATACAGATGAACAGCAAGTCCGACGAGACGAAGGATGAGGAGGTGGAGAAGGCGTACAAGTTGTTTACGTTGGGTAATGAGCGACCTATCACGTTTTCGGATCTCAAGAGGATAGCTGGGCTGTTGAATCAGGATGTGAGCGATGATGTGCTCAAGGCTATGATTCTTGAAGCTAATAGGGGTGGTGGCATTGGTGCAGGTGTAGATATGGATCAGTTTCGAGAAGTTATGAGTAAGGCTGGTGTGTTTACGTGAATAAGCATCTTTCAGCCCCCAGATCGATGTGCCTTGGTCTACAGTGCCAACGTCCCATGGAAGCAAAAAGACAGCTAGCATAGTAATCAAGATTGCAACAACTCTTCTGTGAAGTAGTTAAGGCAAAGTCGTCAGTATAGCTTCCCTGTCCACACTGATCTCGCTCTGGGTTTATGACAGCGGACAGCTCTAGCAAAGGTAGAAGCAAATTTCCAGGTTCTGGAAAGGATGTGGCTTTGTTGGTTGAATTCCTGTTTCGTGCATATGTTTATGGTACACCTTGTTCATCATATATGGGCTGAAGCTGTTCATAATACACTCCTAACATGGGCGAAGGTGAAGCTGTTGACACCGGGTCAACGAAGAATTGGAGTGATTAAAATCCCGCCAAATCGAGACTGTCGTATATCTTTTTGGACAATCTTTGATTGTGAAGAAGTGACGAGGAAGGAAATTGATTTCCTCTCAATTTTATTCTTTCGCCAGACGGCGGGACTTCGGCAACTTTGACATGGCGGCATGAACATACGTTCCATCAACTCTACAATAATATATCGGGCTCGTGGACCTTCAATCTACGCTATGAGCTTGTCCGCAGCACCACAGCACTTCGCCGGTCATCAGAGTACAGAATGAGCTGTCACATTCCACCATCCACACACTTGTGAGATCCAACCACATCCTACCCACCAGCAAGCATATCACAATGTCCATTGGCTTTGCAATCCTCGGTGCTCTACGACGTACAATCGACAGCGGCCTCTTACGACTATACCGCTACCGTCGGGTCCCTCTCTACTTTTTCGCAGTCGGAGCTTCGGGCTCCCTCTTCCGAGAATATCTCTTCACAATCGATGGCGCAACAGGTCCATCGATGTACGCGACCATTCCAGACGCCGCGAACTTCTTGTGTGTAAATCGGATGTATGGGAAGGGTCACGGAATCAAAGTCGGAGATGTGGTACAGATTGCGTCTCCTATTTTCCCGAAACAGTATAATGGCAAGAGAGTCATAGCTTTGCCAGGGGATTACGTGCTACGAAGCAAGAGCTACAATGTGGCGCCTGGTGGTGCGCCTGTACCCGGCATTACCGACTGGAAGCAGAGGATCGAGGAAGAGAAGGTGGCAGCTGGCCAGGCAGTCGCATCAAGTGCTGGGCCCGTGGAACTGATGAAGAGTCTGGCTGAGGACTCACACGAAGAAGAGGAGTGGGACGAACCTGAGATGATACAGATACCCGAGGGCCACGTATGGGTGGAGGGAGACAATCTGGCTTGGTCGAGGGACAGCAGATTCTTTGGACCACTGCCTATGGCTTTGATCAAAGGTCGAAGCTCGTGGTTTGCCGACGGGTTGTTCTCTTTCTCTTCGTTGAAGCCTGGGAGAGGCCTTAGAAAGATTGAAAAGGAAGAGCTCGATGCTGTACTAGGGGTAGACGTCGTAAGTGAGGCTGAGTGAGCAGAGGCGCTTTCAAAATTCCTTTTATTATGGAAGACACTGATTTAAGAGATCCACGCCTGGAAAGGGTGTGCTGCGAACAAGAGCTCCGCAATCAATTCAAACCCATGCACGTGGTGCACGCCGTCCGACCAGTCGGGTCTCCATCGGACCTTGACTAACTTGAAAGCAAGCACAATTGCAGGCAAGGCTGTAACAATCCAGGCACCTGGCAGCCATCAAAGGTGTCCTCCCGGGTATATGCAAACCAAAGCAAGCTGAGTCGCTTCCAGATCTCTCAGTCGATGATGGTCTGGAGGCCAAGCAGTCAGAGCAGTACAGCTACCGGGCTGTTGAGCTCTGCAAAGCCTCGACAATACTCTACGATGGAAGATGGGGTGACAACCGAGCTCAGGGCGAAGATGCCTGCGATCAGGCTATTGGAGAGGACGATCGACACGAGCGTTGCAATCACGGATGGTATCTGTACTGAAGGATGTTGCTACATTGGTGTGTGTAGAGAAATACACTGGGCTATAACAACGACATATCCCAACGTGAAAGAATAGGCATCAATGGATGCTGCAATTAGTTACGGTGCACGTTCATGTTTCGAGGGCCAAGGGGGCTGGTAGAAGACTTGTAGTTTGGAGCAGATTTCAGCTCTAGTACAAGATACTCAGAACAGTAGAGATTGAATGCAAGGGAGGAACTGAAGTAGATGTATAGGCTAGCATAAATGCGAAAGGGTTGAACAAGTTTTATTCTCTCATTCTTCACATACGCAAGCTGCCTCGAGGAAACAGCTTCGCATGTGCTTCTACCGCTACATCCACTCTTATCAGTGATGTCCACATATCACTTGTTTCACTGCGCTTTAGTTCGCCTGACTTCAGGGGAAACAATACAGTAAAGTCTTTGCGAACGTTTTCTGCTCGCTCGACACAATCGACGCCCAGGTGCAAGCTTCTCTGCTCAACCCTGCACCGCTATGCCGGCCATACTTCAAGCAGGTCAACACCACGACACATGTATAGACTGTTGTTGACCACCCCCAATAGCACATGCTTGTAGCTAGCCACGTTCTGCAGCTGGACAGAACCATGCCAACCATGAATTAGATTCCACCTCGCTCCATGAAATTCAAAGCCTAGTAGATGACGCAAGGATGAAACTCGTTTCCAATACATAAACGCGTAAAGTAAGAACTTGTATATTTTGCAAAATAGAAGGCAATCAACGCCTAGCAGATGAATGGCAATCTCGGCCATAAGAAGGGAAATATGATGGGTGCCCACGACAGCGATCTTAGGCTTGTAGTGGCTTGTTGCTGCCCGGTCAGGGAGGATATTAGATTTTTGTTTGAATGAGGCATCAAGTCGTAACATATTTGATCAGTGGGTCATCCCCAAGCTATTTGGATCGATAGTGAAAGGTGTCATGGGCATGTCCATGTACTCTCGTGGTGTGTGAAAGTCATGCATGTCATGCATAGCTAGCATGCCATTCTCATCAAAAGCAGGACTAGGCATCGGCATGTTGAGGTTCTGTTTCGAGTACATTTCACTGAGCATGAGACTTTCGTCGTGCATGCTTTGATGATCATGACTTCTTGAGAACATATCTGCTGATGCACTTCGGTGAATACTGTCCATCGGTGGGGAGTTGTTGGCAATCTGAGGTTCTGGGTGGCTGACGTGCGACAGGGGAGTATGTGAGGGTGGAATCATGTGGGATGGGTCTACCATTGGGGACGGCGACAAGAATGGTCCATGGAAAGATACGTTGAAATCTGCAGCTGGTTGTGGCATAGATGGCTGGTGAGGGTGACTGGGGAAGAAGCCAGGGCTTGCAAATTCGGAAGTCGTGGCAGTGGTGGCGGACATTGGCATTTGGCGCATGTCCATACCATATCCAGCAGATGTGTCAATTTGTAGATTGGGGCCCAGTGGCTGTCCCGGATGCTGTGGCATAGGATGGAAGAATGAAGGCTGTGGAGGATGGAACTCCTGAGGTGAGGGATGTTGAATATGGAATGTTGGCATCGAACCATGGAGCATCGAGAAGTCGATTGCAACAGGCACAGATCTACTCCTCTGTCGCTTGTGCCCGCCATGCATACGACCAGGATGAAGACCAACATGACCTGGAAAGCTCTGCTCTTGGAACATACCCATATGCGGCGGATGTGGGCGAGCGAAGTGTACATTCGGTTGTGAAGCTGGTCGTGGAATGCCCATAGTCGGTGATACAGGGGCAGATGCTGGCATTGCATGCAAGTCGAAAGGATTGTGCCTGTTCTGATAGGTCTCTAGCGAGACCAGCTTAGCAAGTTGTCCACTTAGCACTTTGGGGTGACCACCGAGATGATGTGTCAGAATTTGCGAGGCTTGCTGATCCTCAGTGAAATCACCGCATTGGTAGAATCCTCCTGAACCGGATGAGTCCATGAAAAAGTTGGGTGGACGAGTAAGCTGAATGACAAGGCCGCCAGCTCTGGGAGAAGCACCATTTGCAGGTGGTTGTGCGTCGCCAGATTCTAGCGTAATGTCTTTGATGAAGGCGAACGGGAACTCGATCTTGTACCCAGCAGAATCATTGTTGATGTAGTACGTGATGCATGCCTTGTCAGGAGAATAGAAGATGACAAGGTCCATAGCATTTTGACCAACTCTTCGCCAGTTACCAATAGTTAGCGATCGACAAGTAAAATGGTGTATGACTACAGAATCTGTTAGCGACGTAGAATGGCTACTGTAACAAGGACTACTCACCAACTTTGCCGGAGTTGGCATCACCACCCATCATCATGCTGCCAGTACCATAGCTGACTGGCTGGCCTGGTAGACCCATGAGATGAGGAGGAAATGGTTTGCCTTCACGCATAGCTTGAATGGCTAGGAACTGGCGCATAGAATCCGGCATATGATCCAGATCGTCTATACTGTCCATGCCCTTCTTGGCGACCATCTTTATCTTGGCTCGTCGTCGGCTACGTCAAAGTTAGCTTTCACTCTTTTCTTATAGCTGGAAGCCGCAGTATACCTGTTCTGGAACCAGATCTGGACCGATCTCTCGGTCATGTTGATGTCGTTGGCAATCCTTTCCCGTGTGGCTGCAGTAGGAGTAGGGTTTTTGGCAAACTCGTGTTCGAGGGTGACCAGTTGATCCTGAGTTGCTCTCTGCCTCTTCTGGTTCTTCTGCTGTTGCGTCAAAGTGCTCTTGCGTGGAGGACGTCGGGAAGCGCTATTCGGATTCGTCAAAGAGTTTGCCGAGTCGCTTGCATTAGAAGTGTTTGGGGTAGAGTGGTCGTGCGATCCAGCCGGAGAGGGCGTGTCGTCAATCGACAAGCTCTCTTCGAGAATGGTAGGCTCACTCATGTTGAAGAGCTGATGTATTTGCTTGGGGTCGAACTACAAGTTGTATATTGCCTCGTGTTGAGGGATAGGAAGCGAACGTAATGCCACAAAGGGCTGTCTCGAGTAGTATCGTGGTTACCGAGGGTGATATGATGTGAGCAGCAGGCTGACCTGAGCAGCACTGGATCGATCAGGTGAGTATTTGGACAGCGAGTCAATTGCAGTCCAAGGAGTCGAGAACCGTATCTGTTGGTCTATTCGACTGCCGGCACGAGTAAAAAGAACGTAGTTGGATAGCCTTGAGAGAGTGAAAGGCGTATCCTTGTATTGCTAAAGCAGAAAGAACGAAAGAATGAGGGTCAGTAAATGAATGACATCAAGAAAAAAGAGAAACAAGATACACAACGTCGAGATGATGAGACTTGGGAAGGTAAAAGGGAAGCGACGATGAGGAGAACGTGAATCGAGGTACCCAGCGAAGGGGCGAGGACCGTGTGGGCGCATCGATAGCCTGACCTGGTCTGCATGGACACTTGCCATAAAGGCTCCCGGGTGTGTTAGAGGCTAAATCGATGGGAGGATGCTTTGCAAGCCCCAGCGCGAATCACAAATCAGCAAGGTACCGCGATAAAAATGGATAGCGGAGAAAAAAGCTCACCAATGGGCTCGACTCTGAATCCACTATCGGTGGATCGGTTCCTGGCTTGTCCTGTTTCGACTATGGAGAAACTCCCTCGACTCCTGATTTCTGAGCTAAACTGCTCTTTGAGTTCTGAGCTTGTCATGCATGTTCTACGCTATGCTGTGCAAGGATGGGTAAGGCAAAAGCGCGGCTTTCTCCTCTAGCAAGAGACATGGTTGTTGAAGTAGCTTTCAGCGAAACTTCTACGTTTCTGGTTCGAGGCACAGACAAGCAGGTCAGGCATCGAATAGTAACATTTTCAATCACAAGGCCGACGATGCTTTGTGCTGATCCAATGACTTGACGTTGCATATCTACACGATGAGGTATGCACGGATGGGCATGCAAATTATACCTTTGGTAATATTCCTTATTGACGCAAATCTGTGCTTATCACGCGGTGATCGGAACCACGATCCGGGTATACTTTTGCATGTACGGGCGTCCACCAGAGCGATCACTTTTCTCCATGCGGACATGGCCTATGTGTATCGACTTATAGACGTGGCAAATTCTCTGGCGTGCCCCTGACCCATTGTGTCTCTGGGCTCACGCCAGTGGTTAACAAGTGAAGAAGGCGAGAAGAAGCGTGTCCTCTAGGGGCAATGATTGCGCGATGACGTCTGTACGCATCGAACTATAGTTCGTATTGATCAACGCATGCCGGAGCCTCATCGAATATTCAATGCTTCTTCGAGAATTTCGAAATTTGACCGATCTTGCCATTTGTAGGACCAAGCAAGAAAACTGAGAGGTACGATCACACCAATAGCAGCATGACTTCAACAGGGCTGACGAACCATACAGTTAGATCTCAGTGCTCGAGTATAGCAGCAGCTGCAAGAGTAGCTATCATTGGTTGTCGATAATGTTCAAAACGCAGGACTTGCACGTCTGTCGCGTTCATGCGATCTGATTCGCTCAAAGCTATGGGTACCAAGCATCTGACGCCATTCATCAGGAGTCTCCAGCGCTTGTTCAGTCAAAGTCCGCCAGCATTTGACACGACATGTTATTCTGCAAGCCATTGTGTGTTGGCTCTCAAGCGCATCAGCGACGGGCATCCACCAGAGCGGTTGCTTTCTCTGATGGGAGCATACACATTATCGATGGTGTGAGAGGCATATTTCGATACCTATGCTTGCACGTGAATGCCCTTCAACAGATGACGGCACATCTACCGATTGACTGGAGTCTGGTGAGACACGACTTTGCTTGGCGTTGATGATGGAGACAGCGACAGCGTCAACCGCTATTACTCAACTGATAGAGCGCGTTTCGCATTGTGTTCATATTCAGCCAATGCACGTCCATTACGCGATCGTTCGCAGCAGTTTACGGCGAGGTAAGCTTCATGAATGATGCTCTTCGTCGCGTCTCGATCAAACAAGAGATAATGGCATACTGATGCTGTTGGTGCTAATATAGGAGTAGTTGGTCGTTCGACAGTCCAGGCGATCCACAACAACAAGACACTAGCGTAGGTTGCTTGCATGCTGCACCAACCCTAGATGAGCCAAGCTCAGGAACACTGACGATACAGGCTAAGAAACGGCTTGGAAAGAGTGCTGATTGGTTGTTGAGGGACCGTGTACTCCTTCAAGTTGCCTTTACGCTACTGCAGGTACCGTACGTCGGCAGATAAGCCAGAACTAGGCAAGTGTTAAACGTGCCACAGTTGATGGCGTGAGACCAACTCCGTGTTTGTCTGCAGAGTTGCACGAACGAGGAAAGCCACTGGGGAAAAAACACAAGGTCGAGGCCATCGTAAAGTTTATGATCGAGAATTCCCGTCTCGAACCTGACAGTTTTGATATATTGTGGATGGTAGCGCAACTGAGCCTGTTCCTCCAAGAAGAGGTTAGACAAAGGCGCTGGCTTGCATGTTGAAGTTCAAGGTTGAAAGGACGTGTAAATGTTCTGCACGCCTTGGGAGGCCTGACCATTGAAGGTGAAGATGGACAGCAGGTTAGCCAAGTATTAATGCTTACCTCGTTGACGCTCGAATAACCTTCTCGGGAGGGCATCAGCGGTCATCTTGTGTATTCTTGAGCACGACATGATGTTGTAATGATAGCCCCCTCAGGAGGGCACCCATGAGCAGCTCGTGGCCTTTCATTAATGTTATGTTTGTCGTCATGAGATAGTCTCAGGAAGGCACCCTTCATTTGTCCACGAATCCGAATTGTGCCTTTCTCAACAGTACTACGGTTGTGGAAAGAGTCCCGAGAAGACGCCCTGTATCATTCTAGTGAGGTCCTCGTCTCTAGCCCCTTACCTCTCACGTGGGGGCCCACGAGTTTCTCTTACGCATTCCACCAAAAGGAGGCATCACATCACCTACAGTAGTAGACTCCATGGCCCGAAAGCGATTGTCCAAGATATCTTGCACTTCAGCTTCGCGTTTTGTTTGTTCTTCTTCCTCTCTTGCAATACCTAGGCTCGATTCTTTCGTCTTTCCTGGCAAGCTTTGCTGTAACAGTCCTGCACTGCTCTCCTCGAAGCGCTTCCGAATTTCCGGATCACGTTCATAGACTTGAAAAACTTCGACGTCGTTTGGAGAATATATGGTCTTGACAACTTTGATCAGTATCTCAAGAATGCTCACTTCGAGAACAATAAGAATGAGCGTCATCCACCACAAGACATTCGTCCCGAAAGAGTGAACGAGGCCGCCGTTAACGTTGTAGAGCCGGTTGTCAGGGTCGTAGACTTCTGAGAGTATCAGATTCCATAACCACCACCCTCCAAGCGACAGGAAGATCGCAATCGCGGCCATGACGCTCTTGTTGTGCAGCTCGAAGAATTGAAGCTTGAGTGAGATCAATGTCACGCAGGCTGAGAAAGCCAAAGCTCCCATAGCAAAGAGCTGATTATCCCTCGTAAAAAGTGCCTCACCGTAGATACTAAACATGGTGAAATAGACGATCATCGCCTCCACGGCACCAAGCGAGGCCCACCAGAAGTATAGTGGTATGTTGAAACCTCGATTCTGCTGCCCGATTTTGTACAGTTCCGGTACAGCCAGGAGGGTAGATGGCGCTAGATCTTTCTCAAAGACGCCCATAAAGATCACAGGCAGACTCGTAAATAGGGTGTTAAACTGAGATGTTCGATTAGCTATATAACCGAAAGGAAAACACGGGATAACTGATGTTGGACAAAGCATGCACAAAGACAGAACTGAGGTGAGATCGAGGCAGAGGCGAAGGAGTGGGAAACTATGTCAGCACTTACCATGCTCAAGCTCCAAGGTTCATACAGACTGGTTCCAGTAAAGCCATTCCATCTTTGATAAGTCGCCTGAACAAGATAGAAAATCATCTCTTTCCAGAACGTGCCTAGGGTGTACTTGCATACTCTGATATAGTTCCAGCGACCATGAACGAGCAAAAGCTTAAGTAGGAACCGAAATTGACCGATCGAGTAGTCAGACATCCTCGCTGCTTGAAGGCCTTCCTTTCCAGCGATGCCTATGCCAAGATGTGCCTCGCGTAGCATGGCGACATCATTGGCACCGTCGCCGATGGCCAGCGTCACAGAGCCTTTCACTCTAGTTCTGATTGTTTTGACCAGGTCGGCCTTTTGCGCCGGAGACGCCCTGCAGCAAATAACCGAGTCGGCCATGATTACCAAGTCAGTGAACAATGTTTTGAGCGCAAAATCTGACGATATGGCTGTAAGTGTTTGTCCATCGACGACACAAACAGTGTGTGCCAGATGGCCTCTCTGCACATCAGATACGAATTGAGTCAGACAAGAAGCTAGATCTGATGCTTCTTGGTCTATGACCATAACTGTCGAATAATCCTATATGCTGTTAGCTCGGGACTTTGGTTTCGGCTGCCATATAGTTCGGGCGGCCTCCAGAATAGACAAATGGCGCACTTACCTTGATAAGCCGACATGAATGACCAATATTGATAGCAGTCTCCCGTTTGTCTCCAGTCAGCATCCATATCCTGATGCCCGCTCTCCGAAAACGTTCGATGGCATCAGGAACACCATCCTGTAACTTGTCCTCGATGGCTGTGGCGCCTGTCAGTTCAAGCTGTCGCTCGATACTCTCAGCCACTTGTTCAATCTTCAATTGGCGGTCAGTCAGACTCGTAGATGCAGCGTGATACAGCTCTTTCCATTCGCAGTATTCGTCTTCAGGTACAAATCTATGTCCATAAACCAAAGTTCGAAGACCTTCCGTTGCGAAGTCGTCGATGTGATTGAAGCATCGCTGAAACACATCATCGTCATTGAGGTTCTCAACAAGACTGTCTAGCTCATCGTCAGAGAACGAGCTTTGGGTGGGCGTACCCCGCGTAGCCTCATGTGCCGGGGCACTTTGAGATGGTCGAGGTGTGTAGTGAATGCCACTCTTTCGTGGCGGTGCAGCTTCTCCTTCCCTATCCTTCAACCACATATCGACACTGTCTCGTACAGAATGTCTTCGCCCCAGCGAAACACTACTTTGCCGACCAATTAGTGAAGGATGAATACCCCTCGAGAGCGACTTCCTGCTCATTTGAGTACTGCGACGTTGCACCGCAATTTGCGCTTCCAGGCTTTTCCTCGCATCAGTCCTTCGTCGCACATCCTCGACATACTTGGCGGCGAGGTCGGCTTTGGCCAGGAGTTGCCTAACCACAGTATCAGCACCTTTGCAGAAAAGGCAAATTCTATCATCTGGAAACCTAACCAGTATGGACATCCTCTTCCGTATACTGGAAAACTCAATCACATCTAGGACCTGGTAGGTTTCAGCAAGGGCGTCCTCCTCGTCTTCCTGTGCAAGTATTCTGACACTGATAGTGCCTGATTGACGATCCGTAACTATAAAGCCAAGGTCCTGCGCTGCAGTTACAAGAGCTACTTCATCTGGACTAGCTGCTTGATAAATGATTTCACCCTCTGTTGTCTTCTCCGGAATAGCTGTGTGGCACAACGCCAAAGCCAGGATAAAGAAGCGCGCTTTGCGAGCGAAAGGGCTCTGAGGGTGTTGCCAGATATGGCACAGCAGGTCATCAGTTTTGCCAGTCGATGTGTACTCTTCTTTCCTTAGGGATCGAGCTGCTAGATTTTGCTGGTGTGCACCCTGCTCTGACATCGAATCACCTTGATGAATTCCTTTCACATAACTCTTCTCCTTATCTTTGCTCGCTTTTTGACCTTTGAGATCTGCGGAAGCAGACTTGATATCCTTTCGAAGGTCATGATCATGCAACCAGGCAGTGCCGGCGATACTCATCTTTCTGAATTTCATTGAGTTGTTGGTCAAAGTACCTGTTTTATCTGAGAAAATATAGCTAACTTGACCAAGCTCTTCATTCAGGGTCGAAGTCTTTGGTTCCATAGGAATATCCGTTGTTGAGTCATACATGTCGGAATCGTTCATCATAAACATCTGGGCCACCTTGACAATTTCCAGGGAGACGTATAACGACAACGGCAACATAGTATTGAGCATTATGATAAATCCAACTAGTATGTGCGCAAAGGGCACGTCTGCCTCCTGTAGATACCAGCTCTTGTTTTCGGTGGTCCGCTTCCAGAATACATAGCCTATGGTGAGGATAATGGCAATGAAGAGCACTAAACTGGCAACAATGATGACGACTCTGTTCACTTTCGCCTGGAGGGTTGGAGCTTTGACACGAGGATTCTTGTTCGCATTCATCCTGATTTTGCATTCCTCGCCCGAGTATACGATCAAACCTATAGCTGATGGGGTGTTTCGAATGGTAGATCCGCGATACACCACCTCATTCGAGGTAAGCGGAAAGTTCTGGCCTGCTGCGGAGACTCGGCCGTCGAACTTGTAAAGGTCGAGATTAGGATCTTCCACGACAAAATCGGCCTCCAAGCGAACAATGGCATCCTCCCCGATACAATTTTGGGAAACTATTTCCAAAGGCTTTCTAGTTTTGAGGCTAGTTTCACCGTCTAAACTTTTGGTCTCAATGAGTGCTGTTCCTTCCGTTCCGGCTGTTTGCAACAGAACAATGTCTGCTGGCACTGGATCGTCACGTTTCAGCAAGACAACGTCGCCAACATTGAGATCTTGCCACTTGATCTTGGTCCAGGCAGAGGCGTGCGGCGATGACAACAGGTGTTTAGGTTCAGTGACGTCCAGGCGTCCTCCGGAAAGGTCGCTTTTTCTGGTCGAGGTATGAGAGGACGTATTCGAACTATCATCTTGGATGCCAGTCGTCTTTAAGTTGCTCCTGCAGGACTCGTTCAATACAAGAACCAGCCGCTCATTTTCCTCCTTGTCGAATTTGTTCCTGCGCACATCCTCATACCCCTCCTTAGCCATGGAAATGCCGACGAATATCAGCAACGGCAGCAAAGTAGTGAAAGAACCCGTGGTTGAAAGGCCCGGTATCAACTGCCTGTAAACACATTAGCTTTGAGGTGCTGTACCAATTTGAGCTACTTCCACCATCCGGAAAATGCTGATATAAGACGTTCGAGACCTACAAGATAGATATGATAAGAAAGTAGAAGTTAGCAAGCTTGCCAAATTGCGCAACTAGTTGCTTAGGAAAGAAATTCCAGATTGTGTATTTACAGGACCGAATCCTGTTGTTGATGTGCGGCTTGCCAGTCCGTTCGTCAGTCGGGCCGGCTTTGCTATGTGTATTGACCTGCACATGTCTGCCGTCCACCGTAGGGGGTAGTTGAATAGGGCCGAACTTGCCGCCCAACCATTCTTTTATAGCGTTGAACGCGATGTGCAAGCCAGCCGTGTGTTGTCCTTGTCTGGCCGGCCATCTCGAGCGGTCCCTCGTCTCAATGGTGGGGAGTACGCCCGTCCTGGGAGATGCCCCGGAGCCACGTCCGTCTCCATCTTCGATGGTTATGACGGCGGGACCCTTTGAACTTTTATCTTCCCTCGGGGGGTATTGCTGACTTGAAGAGGACGATGTTAGTTCCAGCACACTTCCGCGTTCGTCGTTCTGCTTCTGGATGTTATGGGCGAACAAGGCTCTTCTCAGCGAGTAGCCTCGATCTCGCGCTTGCAACGACACCCCCGATGGCTGAGCGACCACATTCTGCACTCTTGCTTTTCCTGCTAGCTGAGTCTGTACCTGTTGAGACGGCTGTGTTAGTCGTGCATTAGACTGTGATTCAAGATTCGAGTTCCTTGGAGATGCTTCACCACCGCCCTGTGTGAAGGCATTTCCTGCAGCAGCTCGAGACTGTGCATGATACGTCAGTTCATCAGGACGACCTGCATCAGCTGCCTCGGGGTCATTCTGATTGTTCCTGTTATCAGACATCACCCGAGAAGTATATTGTGCGGTTTGGTATGGTCGTGCTTCATTGCGCATCTAGCAGGAAACACCTTGTCATCTTCAAGTCGTGTAGACGTATACTGTAGGCTGCGTTGGGATGTTTCACACTATCGATGACCAAGGCATCGAAAGGCATGCTTTGCGAATCATCGCATAGAATATTCATCCGCATCGCGTTTGCTTGAAAGGCTTGGTATCGAGGCTGTGCCAAACATTCTCGAGTGACGTGCACCGACGTGGTCGAGACGTGCTGCAACTCCGAAAATTATCCGAGCAATGCGACATAGCGCGAACAGATGTTGCCTGAGTGCCTTGGGATTCTTTTCCCAAAATTCAGTGTCAAGCAGCAGCAGGCTCCGAATATGGCTTGACTGCAATATTGTGCTGCGGTCGCTCACCAGAATTCAGAGACAACTACGATGGCGACAGTATGCAGTATCAGTGGTGAGCTGCCTCAGCAACCTGTTGTATCGCGCAAAAGTGGTACGCTCATCCAGCCGTCGCGCTTCACGTCAAATAGCTAATACTCAAGCAGGAAATGTGTACGAGAAAAGACTGATAGAAGCATACATTTCTGAGAATGGTACAGAGCCAACGACGGGTGCGCCTCTAACCACCGAAGACCTACTCGATATACAAGGCGCCCACACTGTCCGCCCAAGACCGCCCGAGCTTACTTCTATACCAGCGCTGCTCGGCGCATTTCAACAAGAATGGGATGCCCTTGCCCTAGAGGTCTTCACACTTCAGCAAAATCTTGCTCAGACACGACAAGAACTTAGCACAGCTCTGTACCAGAACGATGCCGCCGTCCGAGTCATTGCGCGATTGACACAAGAACGGGATACAGCAAGAGAAGCGTTGAGAAACATTAATGTGGCAGGCCCGGCAGCACAGAGTACGAATGGAGATGCGATGCATGTGGACAGCCGTCCTCTGCCTGATGCAGTACAAGCCAGGATTGTCAGCACACAGCAAGAACTGATGAAGACCCGGCGCAAGCGACCAGTCCCAGCAGAATGGGCTACCCCTGACACAATATCACTTTTCAAGCCTGTCAGGACGGTCGAGACATCTTGTTCAGACCCTTCGTTTTTGTCAGTCAGAAAGTCCAAAAGTACAGCCATTATTGGTAGCAGGCACGGCGGAGCTTACACGATATCGCTAGCTGATGGCACGGTCAGCACAGTCGCCTCTAATGCTGATGCCATCACGGCAGGGACTTGGGTGGGCTCGCGCATCGCTATCGGTACCTCTTCAGGCAAAGTGAAGATCATCGAGAACGGCGATGAAGTTGCGTCTTTTGGTTCTCATACAGGCCAAGTCACTGGTTTGTCTCTGCATCCATCGGGTGAGATCCTGGCATCCGTCAGCTCAGACAAAACGTACGCAATATACGACTTGAAACAGAATCAATCAGTTACCCAAGTACAAGCTTCTTCAGGTAGGTGTGTCTTTCTAAAGTCCGAGTATATGCTAACCTATACAGAAATTACGTGCACCTCATTTCATCCAGATGGCCACTTGTTGGCGACAGGTGGCCGAAATGGACAATTGCAGATCTTCGAAGTCAATAGTGGCTCGGTTGGTGGTGTCTTCGAGCTTGGAGCTCCTGCTACAGCGATTTGCTTCTCGGAGAACGGAACCTGGGTGGCAACTGCCACGAAAGGCTCAACGGCTGCTAGCATATGGGATCTCCGGAAGACAGGTGCTGAAGGTCTAATTCACACACTGGAAGTCGGCCACGATATCACTTCCCTGGATTGGGATTACACCGCTCAATACCTTCTCATTGGTGGATCGGCTGGAATTACTGTCAAGCAATACACGAAGTCGACGAAGTTGTGGTCTGAACCATTCACGGCACCCTTGTCCTCTGTTGGCCTAGGCTGGGGAGATTCTGCTCAGAGCATAATAAGTGTTGATTCTCAAGGATTGACCACTGCACTTTCTAGCGCATAAGGACTGGGTCAAACAGTTGGGATGACTGTCGCATCGTGGGTAACTCCCACTAGTAATAGATAGTTTTCGCATTCAAGTTGTGCTCGGAACATCTCACGTGCAATTCGGTGGTTTTCTTGTAGTGCCTACGTGCATGACTCTGGTCCAGGTGACCCGGCTTCGGATATCGGTGCACAACATGGTTGCTTCGCTGTTCAATGAAGTCCTCTGTTCACGTCTTCAAGGCATTAATTAGCAGGGTCTTAAATCCATCGCTGACAAAGAGGAATGATCCACAGGCGAAAGTGTACTGTATCGAGTTTGACGACGGCAATTGCCACACGTGTCTCCTCGCTTCACTACTGGTCCGCATTCGAAGTTGGCAACTCAAGCGCCACTGTACCCGAACTTCGAACCTTACTACATGCAATTTACAACACTCTCTCCTCACATATGACGAAATGTACACCGACCACATGAGAACTGCTTCACATCCTTTGTAACCACAATCGCAAGAAACGAACGATCTCAGGAATCTGGAACACAGGACCATGCCGCTGAATGACCTTCAAGAGAGTGATAGGGCTGGTCCTGCTTCAAGAAAGGTACGTCAGATCCACAAGGCTACAATGTTCTGAGGAAGGGAAAGTAGACTGACTCTATCTCGTTGTAGCGTGCGTATGATCAGATTACAAGATCTCAAAGCCGAAGCACAACCCCTCCGCCTTCGAAGCGTCGCCGAACAACTCTTTCCGCATCACATACCGCAAGTCCACCCCAAGAGATGTCTAGCACACGGATTCAAGCTGCACAAAGATATGTTGGAGATGGGCTAGATTATAGAAGGCCGACTTCCTCAGCAATTGCACAGACGGAGCAGCACACCACGATCGATCTGACGCAGGACGACGATGAGGACGATAATCAGAATCCACCACCGAATTTGGGACAACGGTCGCCTTCCTTCGCTCCAAGCGACTTCAGTTTGTCCGTCCCTGCCACATCTCGGGCCACTAGCAGTCGACCACGAAGCAGATCGGCGCCTTCTAGGCAGAGTCGGTCTCGAGCGGCCAACCTACGTTCACGTTTGCCGGAAATAATAGACATGACTGGTGACGAAGACGAAACGGACGAAGAAGAAGACCACAACTCAGATGTGGAGTTTGTCAGTGAACGGCAGGCGCCTAGAAGACCAGTCCTGCCTGTACCCGACGAGATCGCTAGACGTCTACACTCCCCAGGAGCACCTAATCTACACAGAGCCAATGCTCAAACTTTTGCTGACTCGTTTCGACCCTTCACCAACTTTCTTGCTAACCGACGGCCAGCCTTCATGCCAGCACTGGGTGGGTTTGGCGGTACTGGATTTATAGATCATGTAGGCAGAATTATGGCTGGATTTCCGAGGAACCAAGTGCCGGAGCCATTGGACTTGGCAACATACGACGATATCGACGTGCTTGGAGACTATGACGATATCCAGCTAGATTATGCTGGAGCGGCGTTTATGATTGATGACCCTGGGGCTGATATTGGACCTGCCGACAATTACAAACCACCTGCAGCGGCAAGAAAAGGATTCACCAGAAATATCGAGGAGGATGGCGACGTGCTTGTATGCGTCGGTTGCGAGGATGAACTTGCCACAGGAGACGATGAAGACATCAAGGCCCAAGTATGGGTATCTAAGAAATGTGGTCACGTAAGTCTCATCTCTGGCGTTAACCTCAACATCTACTAACAATGTATCAGGTATATTGTGGTGGATGTGCTTCGCGGCGTGTTGCTTATAGAAAGGGCAACGATCGAGATCGCAGAAAAACTAAATACCGCAAATTAGATGAACTTAAGGAATGCTCGGTAGACGGCTGTCGCACTAGATTGACAGGGAAGACGGCCATGTTCCAGATCTATCTGTGAGCATTGATTGCAAGTAATAGCTCAACGGTTGACGAAATATTTTGGGAGGCAATCAGATCGATTCTTGATATCGTACCTTTTTCCAGCTCGGCAACGTGATGAAACAGGAAGGTTGTGATCTTTCAAGATACCCACGTAGTGAACAATACATTTCTGCTTGAATGAGCATACTCTCTCTACGACTCAACAGTATTTCCCCTGTGCTCTTGAAGTACGGTGGCCAGAACATATCTTTATTCCGTCAAGTTACTGCTTGCAAACCTGCACACCACTAAACCATCCGATTGTGCCTGTCCTGTTGACTGATTCTGTGCCTTGGTCCGACTTTCAACGCAACCTCTGATCCAAATTCTCCTGATAAAGTCGCGACGACTTCTTTGACGGAGAGTTTGAGACTAGTCTGTATTGGGATCGCGAAGCAATCGAGGACCTCAAGAGAGCAGAAGGAAGTGTTGGAGGTGGATATTGGTACAGCAGCAAACCCCTGGATTCGTTGTGCAGAAAATCTGTGATCGAATAGAGTACCTTTCGGTCAAGGCATGCATGGTTAACATGAATCAGTGGTCCTGTCGGAAAAGCTTGCCTCAGCCCAGCGCAAGCGTCACGTCTCTAGCTCGACCGAGGGCACCATCTCAACGATTTGCGTTCGTTTTGAGCATCGTTGTAATGTTGAGATTAGTCCACGAAAGATCCTATCCAACACCTCGCTGGGCTGATAGCAGGTCTTGTTTATTTTGGATATCTCTGGTCAACATCCAGGTAATGTATAACGCCTTCCACAGTATGCAACCCGTATCGTGCTGAACCATTGCGACAAATTTCAGAATCGATCTTCGAGTGACTCGCCGCAGACAAACGTCGATCGACGTGCCTGCACTATATCTGTGTAATACCTCCATGTAGTGCACTCCACATGCCTCTCACGTTCTCATTGCTTGACAGCACATTCCGTCCTCTGATCTTCTTATTCTTCGTCCCACTATTTTGCAATAGTAATTCGGCCTTCTGCACGATCTGCGCAGGCTCAAGATTGCGCACACACACCGCCTTGCTGTTGCCATTGATATAATAAGCCTTGAGGATTGGGTGCTTGTTCGGGCGAGGAGAGATGCGGAATTCAGTGGATGGGTAGCGTGAGGTCAGTGATAGGAGAGCTGAGGTCTTGTTCGGTTGCGTCGATGATGCGAGGAAGTTGTTCATGCCTCGAGATGAGCCTGCCCAGTCGCAGTAGTGGAAGTCTAGCCTTTTACATTGAAGAATGAATGCGCCGACACCGTTCTGTAGTTTGAGGTTAGTACATGGTTGGTAATTAATTGATGCATAATGCTTACGCGTGCCGTAGCAACGGTCTTGAGGGCTTCTACTGGCATCGCGCCCGGATTGAGAAGAGTGCAAAAGTTGATATGGAGGTGTAGACTCGTTCGCTGGTACAGGTCAGTATAGACTCGCAGGTATGGTTCAGCCTCGCGAGGCTGTGGGGGAGAGGAGGGCTCCTCTCGAATTGAGACGCCTGTGTTCAAGGACTATCATCACAATCTATTTCACTAAGATCGGTCTTTCAAGCGTCGAGATTCTATCGACGACGTCCATTCATTTGACTCTCCTCTATCTGCACAACTTCTTGCCCACGATATTTAACGCGCTGGACACATCTACACGCTACGGGAACGGCTCTGCACAACTATGACTGACAAACTCCCACCGAATTTGCTTGCCCTCTTCCAGCCTCGACCGCCTGTCAAATATATCCCTCCACAAGATGATGCACCTCAAGAGCGCGCCTCAAAGCCATCGCAAATAGGTGGGCTCGGTGCCTTGCTTGGACAGCTAGAACAGTACAAAGAGGAAGACCACTATGAACCCACAGAATCCTGGCTCCAGAAACGCGATCGCATACGCCATGAAAAGCGCCAAAAAGCGGCCGAAATGGCTGGCGACAAGTTTAAAGGCTACAATCCTGAGGAGGATCCAAAAGTCAAAGGTGACCCATTCAGAACGCTTTTTGTCGGCAGATTGAGCTACGATGTGAAAGAGAGCGATCTCGAAAGAGAATTTGGCAGGTTCGGCCCAATTGAGCGTATACGGATTGTGCGAGATGAGCATGCAGAGAAGCCGAAAAAGCCCAGTCGCGGTTATGCATTTGTGGTTTTCGAGAGGGAAAAAGATCTCAAAGGTAACGACTTCCCCTGTCTCTTCTTATCCCAATGACTTGCGTGAATGGTAAGCGCGTTCAGAACTGACATTGTATATCTAGCTGCGTACAAAGATGCAGAAGCACCAAGAATAAAGGACAGAAGATGTGTAGTCGATGTCGAACGAGGCAGATCTGTCCCTGGCTGGCGTCCAAGACGCTTCGGCGGAGGTCTTGGCGGAAGAGGATATACCAAGCAAGCTCCTGCCAAGCCTGTGTTTGGCGCTGGCCCTGGAGGCTACGGCGGAGAATTCCGAGGAGGCTTTCGTGGTGACCTTCGAGGTGGCCGCGGAGGCGGATTCCGAGGAGGTTTCAGAGGCGATCGAGGTGGCTTTGGTGGCGATCGCGGCGGACATGGTGGGGATAGAGGTGGGTATGGCGGAAGAGGTGGGATTGGATACCAAGGTGGTAGCGGCGGATTCGGTGGTCGTCCACCTGCTAATGCACCTAGTGGTCCTGGAGGTCGAGGCGGCTCTGGTGGTGGAGGATACGACGATCGAAGAAATGGCTACAGTGGCGGAGGTGGGTATGGTGGTGGCCGTGATCGAGGAGGTGACCGAGGTGGATCCGGAGGTGGCCGAGAACGCTACGATGACCGCGACAGATACGGAGGTGGTAGACGAGACGACGACTATGGCTCCCGGAAACGACAGCACGATGGCGACCAATACGACGATCCGAGGTCGAAACGACGATACTAGCCAGATAATGTCTGAGATTCACCACAACTTCTCGAATCACAGACAAGCATTCTTCGACTACTGTATTACGTACTTGTTGCACTCACACTCACATATGGTATGTTGGTGGGTATGAGTTCCTTCTCCATGTATCAGTTCTGTTCGATGTTTTCAACAAGGTAACCAAACATCAACGACAAGGTAATGGCTGCGGTATATCTCGCAGATGGCAGCTCGAGAGGCGTTGGTGACATTTCATCTATACTGCGCCCTTTTGCACAAACGGGAAGCACACTTGTTTCCTTGTTGCAGCACCAGTCATCCTCGTCGGGAGGTTTCACCACGTGGTCAATCCACACATTATGTGCTGCTAGTCAATGGCCAGCGAATGCGGTCACTCAAATGCTACCAATGATGTCTAATGAAGACATTCAAAGGTAGGTCTGTAGATTAGGTATCGTTTGTAAGACCAGGAAAGCAAGATGAAATGATTATATTATTCTTCGCGATCTGCTGAGCTGCCGAAATGCTGGTTGAGGTGGGAAAGGCATCTGCTTTGTGCATGTCTCGCCTTCGTTCAGACAACAGAGACTGACTGCCCATGTCTTGATTCAACTTCGGTACAGATGGAGCGACTCCTTGAGTTTTGACCTGTGAGCAGCGTGGTTAGAACCTCGCCACTCCCCAGTCTACCACTCGAGTATTGGATGTACATCGAGTTTCTACTAGCACCTTTTCCGCCCTCGAGGACAGCTCAATTTTGATCCTGCAATAACCGCGATGACCTTGCTGAAACCTTGAACATTTCTGTTTCAACGGCATAGGATATGGCTCAAAACCAGGCAATCGAAACGTAATGGCTCCCTCGGATTTTTACTTGCTATGGACCAGTAAAAATTTCTCGTCCAATGCCAGATGACGCAGAGCGCATGTCCGCCCTTTAACAATTTCTCGCTTGCTTATTCAATACAAAATTTTGTGGAAAAAATTTGCGGCTCCTTAGTGGTGGAGAGCACGTTGGCGTCACCTGTCATGCGTTTGATCGTTAAGAGAAGGTTCAGACGCCCTATTATTCATAGTAACAAAACGCATGGGTCAGAGGGCGTGTGTGCTTACCTTTAGCGGCATGACATGTAGAGCCTCGCGTTTGGATTGGTCGATCTGACATATTGATCGATTTTGCGTAGAAGGGCGTACATCAGAATTAGTTACAGTTCACGTAATTGCGCCCAGAGACATGCATTCAGGATGCCATGGTGAGGAAAAGATTCGAAGACTTTTCGCTAAATGAAAGATATATAAGCGATGGCCCGCTTCAGCGACTTGGGTATTGTACCGTCCGCACAGCAAGTAACAAACACATAAGCAATACCTCAAAGACTAAGAATACATCCAATCAAAGTCTCCATCTCTACAATTCCAATACCAATCATCAACAACACAATGGATGCAACAACATACGCAAATACCAGCATGGACAAGAGCCAGCGAAGCTCGGTTTCCTCTGCCCACTCCATTGCAGAGCAACAGCCAGCAGTATACAAGAAGAGCAAATGGCAGCGCTTTCTCGATGAGCTGAAGCCAGTTGAGCAGCCAATGGAACCGATCAGCATATTCGCTCCCCTTGCGCCAAAGAAGAAGAGCGTCTCGTCTCAAACATCATCTCGACGACCAAGCTCATACGAGAGGTTCAAGACTATTATTGGTGGAGAGAAAGTTTACATCTAAGCCAGAGAAGCATGAAGGATAGAGGTTGGAATACAGCATCAGGAACGCAGCGAACTGGAGTTTAGGACATGAGGATATGGTTCGGATGTAATAATGGATGATACCCTTTGCAGGCAGTATACGGGCTCAATCCAGAGACTGTCATATAGAGTTAATAATAGATATGCCTTGACTTTTACAAACCCAGATTTTTACCAAGCAAATAGCGAGAAGTTGATATGAAGCCAATGCACGGGACGAGTAGCAACACTGTCTGCCGCACATCACGAGGGCTCTTCTCAGAAGTGCCTGCTGACACCGAGTGAGTGAAGCTTTGCACACCACCTTCGTCCAGCCTCGAAGTTTGTACTAATGCAGAAGGTCGAACATCATGCCGGGTGTCTCGATTGAAGTCTGTTGTGGACCGGCACATATTCAGCTCCCAAAGATGACGTTGAAAGCATGTGAAAATCGAGCGCATCAGGATAGATTGAATCGGAGGCCAGGGAGGATACCTGGCTGCCTTCTGAAAATAGCATCTCAATACTCAAGTAGGATCCTCGTCTATTGTTTGTGAGGCCAGGTGTTGTGCTCGAATAGCCATAAGACGTTTCTTATACTTGGATGAGCAGTATCGTCTACTCGAGTCATGAAAAGGATAGTGGTAAACGAGACGTCTCGCAGTCCAGGCCTGCATCAGCGTGGAGATGCCTAGCCAGTAAACAGCTTAGCACCAATAAAGGAGCTCTATCTTCCAAACCGAAACCAAGAACTTTCCCTAAAAACTGTGCCACAATTGCCAGGCCTCATGCTCGCTGCTCTTTCTGGGTTACGCCATTCGTCGCTCTTGCGAGAGTTCTGGTAGCGTAGACTCACAAGCCACTACTTGCCTGCAATCCTCGACATCGAGTCCATCGCGGCTACTCCGCTTGCTGTGACACGTCTTTGAACTTCATCCGCATCCACAACCGCCTGCTCGATAACATTACAAACACAACTCGAGGATACATGTACACCGTTTGGCCATCCAGCATATTCGCTACTGCATACTACAGAAGCTCTCGGCATTCAAGCTGCTGCTGCTAGCCGAGTGTCTGTTTCGGCTCTGATACCGCTCAAAACCCCATTGTCTGACCCGACAAACGATCCTTCCATTTTCTGGATACGTCCTTCGGGACTGTCCTAAGGATGGGCAACGTATTATCCTCCTGCTGCAAGGGTAAGAATCCTTCCGATCGATCCTTTCGTCGTTACTAAATCGTTGAAGGGCGACAGAAGGATGGGCTGTATGAGCCTGCGCTGGCAGACAGTGAGCGTGAAGCTGTCGCTGAACTGCTAGCCTACCTCGAGAATGTATATCTACACAACCCCTTAGTCTGAACACAAGAGCTAATGTAGATTTAGCGAGCTGAAACAGACTTCTTCTCTGGCGAACCTCTTCGAGCCTTGAGCACGCTTGTCTATTCGGACAATGTCGATTTACAAAGAAGTGCTAGCCTGACATTTGCTGAGATCACCGAACGAGGTGAGTGAGACTACTTGAATAGGAGAGTGTTGGCTGAACCGAAGCTAGATGTCCGAGAAGTCGATAGAGATACTCTAGAACCTATCCTATTCCTCCTCCAAAATTCAGACATCGAAGTACAAAGGGCCGCGAGTGCAGCCCTAGGCAATCTTGCTGTTAACAGTATGTACACCATAGCATGACTGTATCTTCGACTGATCCGTTCTAGCTGAAAATAAAGTCAACATCGTCAGGCTCGGTGGTCTGCCCCCACTGATAAGACAAATGATGTCGCCCAACGTCGAAGTCCAGTGCAACGCTGTTGGGTGCATAACTAACCTGGCAACACATGAAGACAACAAAGCAAGGATAGCAAGATCTGGAGCACTTGGGCCACTGACGAGGTTGGCAAAATCGAAAGATATGAGGGTACAGCGAAATGCCACAGGTGCTCTGCTGAACATGACACATTCAGGTATGCTTGACGAATCTTTTCGCACAGAAGCTGACTATAGAACAGACGACAATAGACAGCAACTCGTTAACGCCGGCGCTATTCCCGTGCTGGTTCAGCTACTTTCATCCCCAGACATGGATGTGCAGTACTATTGCACAACCGCACTCAGCAACATTGCGGTTGATGCGTCTAATCGCAAAAAGCTTGCCCAGACGGAATCAAAACTAGTGCAATCACTCGTTCAGTTGATGGACAGTGGTACGCCGAAGGTCCAATGCCAAGCTGCTTTGGCTCTACGAAATCTTGCTTCCGACGAAAAATACCAGCTTGAGATCGTCCGTGCTCGAGGCTTGCCACCACTACTGAGACTTTTACAATCTTCGTACCTTCCACTGATTCTGTCTGCAGTCGCTTGTATACGAAACATCTCAATTCATCCGCTCAACGAATCGCCAATTATCGATGCAGGCTTTCTTAAGCCATTAGTCGACCTGCTTGGATCAACAGACAATGAAGAGATCCAGTGTCATGCCATCTCGACGCTCAGAAATCTGGCTGCAAGCTCTGATCGAAATAAACAACTTGTGCTTGAAGCAGGTGCCGTACAAAAATGCAAAGAACTTGTTCTCGAAGTTCCACTCAGTGTTCAGTCAGAAATGACAGCAGCAATAGCAGTGCTCGCCTTGAGTGATGAGCTAAAGAGCCAGCTGCTGCAATTGGGTGTCTTCGAGGTTCTGATACCCCTGACAGATTCTGAAAGTATCGAAGTGCAAGGAAATAGCGCTGCAGCTCTAGGAAACCTTTCATCCAAAGTAGGCGATTATTCAATCTTCGTACGAGACTGGACCGAGCCAAACGGAGGCATACATGGCTATCTCAAACGGTTCCTTGCGAGCGGAGATCCTACATTCCAACACATCGCCATTTGGACGCTGTTACAGTTATTGGAGTCAGAAGACAAGAAGCTAGTTAATCTAGTGGCCAAGTCTGAGGACATTATACAGATGGTAAAGACTATTGCGGAAAAACACGTCGAATCAGATGACGAAGATAATGAAGAGGGCGAGGGGGAAGTTATTGCCTTGGCCCAGAAATCTCTCGAATTGCTCGGCAAGGGACCTAATAAAACGGTGGAAGGTTGAAGTCTGAAAGTTGCGTTTGCTTGTTGAACACGATTTGCTTTGGGGGGGACAATGGACACGCTATACCCATGGGATGGATATCACGGATATTTCTGCTTTGGTGCTGGACTTGTGGCGGAACGACCAACCATGTCAAATCATAGCGAGGGCGTTATGGGCTACTCAACTTCCTCAACATGTGGGCAGGTTTGAGGTATACCTCAAGTCTTCGCCTTGCATACAACGGAGGATCGAGGTTCGACTGATTTATTGATTGCTTTTGGGTTAGGCCTCGAAGACGTTGTCTGATCAATTGTTAGACTTTGAGCACAAGATAGTTATCTTCTGGGCTTGCATCACTTCTGCTGCTTGACAAGGGCAGTATCGGTATAAATAATGCTTCATGAATCTAATGCTTTTGGCCGAATGTATTTGCGTATCAGGAATTTTCAGCAGGTGTGCCCGATACCTCTCTCATTGTACTAAGGGAAGTATATCCACCCCGGTCTTTCAGAGCGGTCGTCGATCCGGCAGCTCTTCCATACCATATGGCCGCTCACAACGCACAGATTGCGGCCGCTCCTCAGAACTCGCGTGAAGGAGACGCTTGCGCTGATTTGAAGTTCATCTTCCGCTTTCCATTGCACCCGGGTGTATGTTGAAATTCTTCGCACACCATGCCCTGCTTCAACCATTCCTCGCTGAATAAAACTTATCGAAGGTCAAATCTGCGCCATTGTGGAGAGTTTATCGGTGCTACAGCGTTCGTTAGCCTTGCTTCTAAACGCATGTTTACCTGGCCACAATCTTCTGTTGCGAATGGTCCTGATGGGGGCATATGATCGTACCTTGATGAAACCGATATCCTGGCTCTTCTCCCGGAAACACTGTCTGCAGATGTTCAGGCCGTATTTGCGGATGAGACCGGCTTGATGAGCGCAAACTCGGCTGGAGGAGTATACGTTAGCTGGTGTTCTTCCTTGACTCTTTCTTTCAGTGCTCGTGGTATGTTGTATTGCTGCTGACGCATATTGCTGGTTCTTTCCTGGTCGATTCAAAGAGCGTGGCACCTCCTTGGTTTCTTGGCCACCTTTCGAGAACAGGAATGAATTGACCTACCACTCTCGAGAACCCTTGCCATAGTTTCGTGGTCTGGAATACCAGACAGTATCGTGGGCCATGTTTGCGGTTGTGGATGTTCGTGCGAGTGACTGGTTTACAATTAGGTTATTTGTTCTTTCTGGTATCAGTTGCGTCCTGCTAACCTATGAGATCGCTTGTATTGAAGAAGGACTTTGTGCAATGGTAATCTGACAAGGTTGTGATTGATACGGCCAATTTCCTCGAAAGCGCATGCCAAGCGATTTTCGCTGTGGGCTGACCTCGTGTAAGGCTGTAAGGCCTCGATAGGTCAAAATACACGCCAGGCATCTATTAGTTCGAACGAGTTGCCTGGCGAATCTGCCTCACGAAAGTACATCTGCCACTGTCTGCGATCGCAGCCAAAATGATTCCAGCAATACACTGCCAGTGATTCATGGTGTAGCATCCTTGATCCTGTTGTGCTAACCGATGCACAATGCTTCTCTACCTTGATAGCAGGTACCTGGTGGGACACTCAATACATGTGACTACAAGCACGACCAGGAGCCACACGTTCACGCTTGATCAGTTTCAACATGTTGTATCGTCGGTCGATCCACACGGCCAACAGGACATGTTTTGCAGGCGCATCTATGATTCGTATTCCCACGAGCACTACGATCCAATGGAAGTGTCTCTCTCGCTCCTTCTCGATCACCTTACCACCCTTGGCCAGTCGCAGCTCAAGGCGTTGGCTGCAGAAGGACACCGCGTCGCAGCGCAAGGCGCGCACGACCCACTGGAAGAACATGATTAAAGCCTCTTCTTCTGACGGCAAGTTTACAAGACCTCATTTCTCACTGCGAAATTGGGTAGTCATCGAGGCCAAAGAGCTTGACTATTCGTTCCAGCAGCTTGATTTGCTTTCTCAGTTCTTGTTCGCAAGATATCTGACAGATGACTATTCGCCTGTTCCAATGGCCGAACTGTTGCAGCATGGCAGTACGTCCTTTCCATGACATGACACTGACACCAAGCGACGATGATCAGAATAATGACTTGAATAGGTGACCACAGTCAACTTCTAACAGAGAGCGAGAACAAAATGCCCGTTAGATTTCAAAAGATGGGAAGAAGAGGGGTCTATCTAAGTGATATTGCCGATTTGAGTCGAGAAACCCTACCCGATGCTGTTGCTCTCCTCGGCAGACACGCACTTGGATCCGCTATCGAGAAGGACAGCGAATGGAGGGCGAGTTTTGTTGGTCAGGGACTCTGGCTTCTCGAAACTTCAGCCATCCTTGGCAGCTCTGATGGCGCAGCCGCATTCACCACGGCTTTGTCAGATGAGTTTATCGATGCAGTCAAACATGCCAGGCGCTTGTCGGTATCCGACACTGTGGCCAGAGCGCTCATTGTCCAAACAGTCGAGACGGCAATCGAGACAGGCACGGTATGCTCATGGCCAGAACTGGCCGCTTATTTGCAAATTGAGTATTCTCCCAATAGGCTTGCTAGAAAGACGGCTGAGCAGCTCCAGGGGTCCATTTCAATACTGAAGAGATGCATTAGGCTCGATTGGGGAATTCGACGTCAGAGGTTGTACTGGGACTACTTCATGGCAAATAACCAAGGTCCCTTCGAACATTTACTAAAGATAGTGAAATACTGCTTGCTTAATAGCTCCTGGATACTTGCGCGAAGAGAGCCAGACGAGTTTCCACTCCTCCAACACGAAGCTCTGATGGAGCTGCGAGATGAAGCGGTACTAGGAGCAGTCTTGAACGATGATCCCGAAGCTTGTTTTGTCTATGCCATGCAAAATGCTGACTTCGGCACTCGAGACTGGCTGCAGCTAATGCGCAAAGCTGGTAGCGTTCAGGAGCACCCTTATCGTGGTCATGCTCAGTCGACGGGAAATCCGACTGCTTGCTGGTTGCTCGCGCTTTATTATTGGCAGAAAAACGGTTTAATCTCTGCCACAACAACGAAAAGATCGCTTTTGGACAACTCGCCCGTGACCTTGCCAAGGTTCCAACCTCTTGTTAACGGACTGCAGGCTCTCTTTCGTGCGGCACGAGAACGTGTAAGCCATATTTCTAAGATCATCAACGAGTCCTTGAGCGACCCCAGGAACAAGGATGCCTTGGACACTTCAGAGGAATTCGAGGAAACACTCGGGTTCTCATGGGCTAAATTAGCCCTCAAGACTTATCTGGAACCCGATTCTGCGCAAATTTTCGCTGGTGCTAACCTCGACAAGAAGTACATATCGTGTGCTGTCACATACATTGCCATGCTGAAGAGGAGTGGAAATCTAGAAGCTGCTAAAGCAGAATTTTTGGAACATGACAAACTGGGCAGGGAGTCGAAGTTGCTGCTAGATAAGAACGAGAAAGACAAACAGGGTAGAAGGCCCAACACTTTAAACCAATACAGGGAGTACGGCATGATGGTCTTGGGAGACTTGAAGAGTACATTCGACACTGACGAAGATTTACTTGCGTCAACTGCGACGAACAACGTCGAAGAGGTAACTAAGATGGTGGGAAAATGGCCCGAGATGAGATGGTATCTGATGAAATCAACGATTTCGGAGGAGGTCAGATGAATCAATCATGGTCATCCTCGTGGTCCTCATCTCCGGTATTGTCACGCTCGTCGTGGTCTTCGTCCTCAACATCCTCGTCAAAACTCGGTCGATGTCTGCGACGTTGGCCTTCCCGCAAGCCTTTCTTCAACTTTAGTGGGAATCCGGCTCCTCGATCGAGAAGACCCTTCACCAACTTCGTGCTTGGACGTACCTGATCAAAGTCCTTAGCATTGACGACATCAAAGATGTCGGAGATGACAGTGGAAATTGTTGGCACAGCACTATTCTGGACCAGCACCGACGGCTCCATCTTCATCAGCCGAAACTCCAGGCGATATTGCCCTGCCTTTCGCACTGACAGGTCTGCGAAGATGAAGAATGCTCCTGGCAGTTTCTTGTGAGCGTCTTGGCCTTTTCCGGAACTCTTCGAAGTCGCTGATGCTCTTTGTATAAACCTCATTGTCGGGCTCGGCGGTGGTGAGGGCTTCGTCGTTGGATGCTTAGGTGCGTTTTCTGGATCAGGGTCATCTGAGCAATATAAAGGGCTGCTCACCATTGTTCCCAGCAATGAACGAGTCACATTTTCCTCTTTGCTACTGTGGGCGAACGATTTTATGGACGATGTGTCTGAGCCGGACGGCTCAACAGGTATCAGTTTGGCATGAACGACCCAGTCACGACCCTTGAGGTACCGACCATCTTCTTCGAGATCGAAATCTTTGATCAACAGCTGCAGGATAGGAGGAGGATCAATTGTCCTAACACAATGTCAATATACGCAAGACATCTAGAACGATATCTGACAAACCTGCGATCTTTGCCATCAGGACCTGCACGTGCTGCTCGCGGTTGTTGGCGCAGATACAGGACGAATCTCTCTTTGGGCAAAGTGCTTGGTGGGGCAGCAAGAAGTGGTGCGCTTGTCGTTAAAGGTAGCAGAGTTGAGGGCATGCTAATACTCTCAGTTCTAGTCTTGCTTAGTGGTTGTGTGGTGGGATATCGTATCGACGGATTAGAGTTCTGATTCAACCTAACTTTGTTTTAGTTTCTGACCATTAGGATAGATTGATTATCTACCTTGTCTCAACTTGGTCAATGTGTCGCTTGACTCCGTGTATAGGATGTGGTCCTCTCTCGACGCCTTTTTCCAGGCCATATAATCTGGGCAGGTGTCTAGAAGACCTCCTTTGGGGTGGTACTTGTGCTGGAAGGGAATGGTTGGTAGAGTAGCCAGCTTGCGACCAGGACGTGCTCGTGCTTACCGATGAGCTCGGCGGAGGAGGACCAGTATGTGGATGACTTGAGCTTGGTATGTGCAAAGGCTGCGGGAAGGTCTGAAACAATGGTGGAAGCGTATTCCTCAGTGTAGAAGAAGGTAATGGCAGAGGTAATATTGGGGCGGGTCGTGTAGCTGGTATGGCTGCCATGTGGTCTCGAGATGTCGGAGCTCCACGCGGGAAGTCTCGATCCGCAACTCTGGAGGCTTTCCGCTTCTTGGGTTCTGGATCCAAGAAGGTTGGATTCATACCCAAACGAGACGCAGGCTATCGACGGTCGAGTGCCTGCGTTCATAGACTGTCAAATAGGGATCCGTCACAAATGTCTGGACCTCTGCATGGCTGGTAGTGGGAATCCTGGTAACACCTCGGAGAATAATTTGCACCTTTTGCGTCTCGAGGATGAGAGTAATTGTCGAAGTTGTTGGCGATGTTCATAGTTGGCCGAGACCTATCACGCCTATGTGTCTACCTCAACAGAACGCCCTTGGTAGCCAACGAATGCAGTAGTTGTGCGAAGTCCACACTGGAGAGCTATCGTCCCTGAGCTATACTTGTTATAATTTCGAAGCCACGCCAGAGGTAGGCAGCGTCGTAGCAATTGAAACGAATGTCGGCTCGCTACACAAGACGCTAAACATGCAAACTTGAGTAACAATGTAGTTTAGGCTACGCATGAGTAAGTGATACTGTGTCGATTGACAGATTTCGTGGTGCTTAAGAAAGCCGAATTACGAGATCGAGGTCAGTAACCCACGATCGCCGTTTTGACATGAGTCCAGGTCAGTTCTCAAGGATTGTTCGTCTCCAGCTGTGACACCAGGTTTGCTGTAGATAACCAGCATCTGGGTACATCCAGCTAGCTGCAGGGCTCTAGATTGAGTCAGTTGTGTGGATTCGCTATCATCTCGGTTTCGAGTAGAGGTAATGCTTGACAGACGGGTGTGTACACGGCGTAAGAAGAAGGCAGCCGGGTACGAATGTCTACCAGAGTGGTTGCTGATCGAGGCACGCCAGGTCCTGTCTGTGAGACAAGCACTGTGGCGAGAAGGATGTCTGGAGCTCAGGCTTGAGGATGCGCAGATCAACCTAACCAAAAGGAGTCTCAACGGTCGTGGCTGGAGAGCAAGCATCTAGTAGTGAAATCCGATATGCGAGCTGGAACCGGATCGTCGTCCGGGCGCGCAGGGTACAATTCACATCCTCAAATGGTATAGATCAGCTACACTTTATCCCAGTAGTGTCCGTCATACTGTCTGTCTGACTCCAGCAGTTGGGCCATATGAAGGTCTACCGCCAAGTACTTTCATTGTACTCGTACTCTGGCGTAGGATTACATCATATGAAACAAGCCACAGCACAAGGAAGGTATGAGTACTGTACTTGGGCAGCATGTTGTGGGAAAGGACGACCATGTAACTGCAAAGTTTTGGTCTCTACACCTTGCGTCCTCCCAAGCATACTTCGAAATACATCTATTGTACAGTCAATTGTTGTGAACGGTGCTGCAACTTTCGCCGGGGCACGCAGATGAGCGACGATCGACAGCGCCTGCTCTAGGACTACCAACAAGTGCAGATCTTTAGCCGTGCTCGATTGTTTCTCTACCACCCCCCCAAAATCGCTTTTGGTCGTCACGAGTGAGCCTGAGCCTGCATAACAATGTCAGCGATGCTTGGTTCGTCGGTTTGGTACTGCACTTTCGCCCCAAATATGCTACAGACACGGGCGGCTTGAAAGCCTGTTTTTTGTGATTTGGCTGACTTCGCCTGTGACTAAACTCGCATATATCATGCGAAGGACGGCTGGCCAAAGAAGATCTTCAATGTCTGGTCGATCTGGCGCAGATTCCTTGTTGAAGCATCCTCGAGTATGCATATATGTTACCAGCTCGAGAATGACCCATAGAGTGAAGATCTTACTACCCGTGCATCTTCGTCCTGTCGACCACTCTTCCATCGAGCCAAATCCGATGCTGCAGCTCCACGGGTTATGGACCCGCTAGCCATATCACCGAAGTCATCTGATTGGTAACCATAACTCATCTGCGAAATCGACTCCTCTGAGGACTCCGCGGTCTTTCACATTCTCCTGCTCGCTTCGTCCGGAAATATCCTCTACTCGAGTAGAACAAACAAAGCTTCCAGCGCTTACGAGCCGAGGCTTCTGAACAGGATAATAGTTCCTAATCTTCTGTCAAGCTGAGCTGCTCCGGAGATTTGAAATCACGAGCAGTCCTGATCTGCCTGTATGAAAAGTCCTCCTGGTTGATGGACATCATTGTTCTCACGAGAAGGTTCCACAGATTCCCAAGGATAGCCTTTGTACCTGACGTGCGCTATCAACTCTAATTGTCTCCTGCACACCACTAGTCGATGCCCACCCAGCCAATACTGTACATCATTTACTGACTTCACCAAACATTACGTCGATGTTATGGGTTGGGGGATCTTTCGGCAGAGCTTGTAGGCACTGTTCAGAAGTCATGAAATTCTTGTGCACTGCAAGGGTTACTTGCCCGACTCGAGTGTGTTGCGTGTGTTGCTTTCCGAAAGTGGTGTTCGTGTCTACGCAGAAAGTTCGGCTGCCCATCTAGACTTTAATCAAATCTACTTGCCGCTTCTGCGCAACAACTTCGGCAGGATACAGGACCAAGAATCAACGAATAATTTATTATGTGACACATGTTTGCTCTCGTCGATCTATTCGAGACTGCTATGTAATCTCTGAGGAGGTTAGAAAGCAGAAAGTATGTGGACTGTCTCTGCGACCTCCTCGATCATATGCCCTCTCCGACGTCGCCTTCTGGTTCGCCATATAGGACGGCATCATCTTCACCTCTGTTGCATCTTGTTTCTATCCTCGCTCAGGCCGTAATAGGAAGAGACGCGTTGCACAGTCTGAACAACTTGAATGACCATGGAGAACCGTACCGTCCTCTCATCAACTTGATGCACAAAGATTTCAGCATCACTCAGCAACCATATTCGATAATCTGTCCCGGTTAGATTTCATGGCTTTCAGGATTGAGCACTCAAGGCGTAGAGACATACTCGATCAAGTTTCCGTCAGGATCCCGAATATACACACTCTTCAACTTTCCTCGTGCACCGGTGCGACTTACGATCTTACCGTCCTCAAGAACCTGTATCCCGTCCGCTTTCAAACGTTGGAAAACTTCCTCAATCTCGTCCTTCACTAGGAAACACAAATCAGCACTTCCAGGCTGCACGTCTTCTGCTTTTGGTTCGAACTCCTTCCCAGATATATGCAGATTAATTTTCTGGTTCCCGAATGACAGTGCATGCCGCTCGATGCCTCCAGACGTAAAGACAATGTGCTGCATTCCTAGGAACTTTTCGTAGAATTTGACGGAGGCATCGAGATCTTTTACTGTTAACACCAAGTGATCCAGCGAGGCTGCGGTTGCTATGGCAGACATGCTTCTTTCCAACGGCGTAGTGCACTGGAGAACACCAGAATCTTTTTTGCGAGCGTTGTCTATGACCACGTGTGCCCGTCTCGTGGTCAAAATGTGATGTGGTAATTCGAGCTGATAGAGGCTGTCGGGTCGCTCGAGAAAGCTTTAGTAGACTACCACAGTTATCTCTATTATTAGGTCGGAGCTCAAGCTTAATTCCACCACGGGTGAGATATCTCCTTGAATTATACGGAATAGGTGGCGGCCGTATGTGCAAGCACTTGCTCCGAAATCAGACGAACAAGATGAACTTCGAACAGGAGGGACCGGCTCCTCGTCATACTCTGAAGTCTAAATACATATTATTGCTTTGCTCATCACATCACAGCTGGTATGGTTGTACCTGACTGTTTAGTGAATGTATCGCTACTAAACAGAGACTCGAAAGACACGGCCTTGTGTGGACCAGGTCAATGCATACGAGATCGCTACTCCCACTACTGGGCACGAGGCGACATCAGAATCAGCTACATGAAAGGAAAATAGCCTCGAGAAAGGGGTTATCTCAATTCAGTACCAGCAACCTTATCGTGCTTGGGTGGCCTCAATCTGCTTCCCAATAAAGTTGCTGGTCGAACAGTATGCTAACTAGACATCAGACAGCAATGTCGCTTCAACGATCATTAAAAACGCGAATCAGTACCATCCAAAACAACATAAAATCTTTCCGCCATCCAACCGAGTGTCGTGCTCTCAACGGCTTTCAAGCCACCAAATTTGTAACACTTCTCCGAGCCAATTGCCTACACCGACATGGTAACCACGCGTTCTGCTGACAAGCGGGTCGATGCAGTCCGAGACGAAGATCTTGTATTGAGATCGAGGACGATAGGCAGCCCAGAATCAACACCAACTCAGTCCAAGAAGAGGATCGCCACTGGGCGCACGTTAGCGGCACCGAGTGCTAAGCGAACGAGAACGACCACTGATGCAGTGCTCGATATCGCAGATGATTCGCACAAACATACAGAAGACGAACACAATGTAGAGGCAAACAACGCCACGAAGTCCCCTCGAGAGGAAATAGACGAGGCAGCGTCAACCATGACTGTATCAACTAACAATGGAGCCACGCCCCGGCCAAAGGTTCCAGTTGTAATCGTACCTCCTCCACCAGGTTCTCGGCAGGCTTCCGTCCAAATCCCAGACTCAACACCAAACCAGGAGGAGCACTTTCAAACACCAGCTACTTCCCGACATAGACGCTTCGACAGCGAGGAGATCAACGAGGAAATCATGGTTGTCAGTCATGGTACGGATGATTACGAGACGGCGGAGGAGGTCATAGAGGACAGCGATGAGGCACCGGAGATTGAAGTCACGAAGACATCGTCGGCAAGCACGAAACGAAGGAAGCCACTTATGCCGAAGTTGGTACATCGTCCGTCAGTGACTGCAGTGGTCAACAGTGTAGTCGACGACGAACCTGCTGAGAACGACACCCAAGACGCTGCGCCACTGATGCCCGATACCATTGTCGAGCAAGGCGAGGACGTTCCAGCATCAGCACTACTACAGCCTGGACACGTTGACATGAGACAGCCACCAAATGAGCTACCGGAGCCATCTCAACCAGTGCAACCATCGCCTGCTGAAGACTTAGACCCTTCTACGGAAACGGATGTGCAAAACGTCCCAGATCCTACCACCACCAACATCGACACGATTACCTCAGATACACAAGAGCCAGCAATCAATCCTAGCACGAACATCCTGTCTGTCGACTTTCCCACGCTATCAACCAACGAACTACAAGCCGAAATCACACCATCACCACCCACATCCCCTCATCCTGAAAACTTCCCGTTTCAGCAGGATTTCGTGTCCTTTGACAACACGCCACCCTCCGCTCAAGAGACCACTCTCACACTCACACACACACGACCCAGAACATCTCATCAGCGCTTCTCACCAGTACCAGATTCGTCACGGCCACCGCGAACCTCAAACACAACACGTTCACCAACGTCTCGACCTGTCCTGGGTCCGAACGCTAGACTTCCGACTCGAGCACATTCTACTTTATCAGACTACAAGCGAAATAAACTGCAGAATCGTCTAGGGACATCTGGACTTCAGCAGAGTTGGAAGAGCAAGCGTAGTACGTTTTTGGTTTCTTGAATATGGATGGTGGGTCTTGGAAGAGAAGGATAGCATGTGTTAAGTAGCATGGTATCAGCGAGCACCGAAGACTGCGTGAAGTGTCACAATGTGCATACTGTGCACCTTTACTAGCAGGACTATCTACCTATTTGAGCACAAGCTATCATTTCGTTCATCAAATCATGCTCGCGTCTTTGCATACATGCCAACAGCTGGAGACATCTACCAATCAGGGAGTATATATCACCGCGGCATAACTCTCTGCCAAAACAATATATATGCCTCACCATTCTGTAGACGATCCCTAGGCGCTAATTGTGAAGGATCGAAGTCGTAGTGTCTCTCGTCGTCGAATTTGCGCCAGCAACCTCTTGCTTGATCTTTTACTAGACTGATGTAATGACCACCATCGCCAGATGAGCCTAGGTGTCTAAGGACGCCATAGCAATCATATGAAAATGGTGGTAGAGTGCTAGGATCAGGACCCGAAGACGTGGACGATTCGCCATTGGTCTGTGTACCATTCGTTTGAGGCGTAGGCGGGCTGAGGACGTACCTGTCCATGTTGAGATTGTGCAGAGGGAAATCGATAGGTGTATGGACTTTGCGCGTTCCGCCTCCATCAGAGCGACCGGCACTGAAACGCTTGAAATGAATGACTAAGAACTGTGGCAGTCTCGTGAGAATGATCTGCTTCGTTGCGTCTCGCTCACACTTGCAGTAAGGACATTTCCACCTCTCATCTGGTGCTAGGCGTTCTTCCTGGGTGTATGATTGAAGGCAGCGATGTATGTCTCCAGTGCCAGACCTTGGAATCTCAATAGATATGCTGTAAAAGGCTTCGTATGTTGTACTTGTGTTTCGGCAAGTGAGGCACTTCAATCGTGAAGCGTGCTGTCCCGCAAAAAGCGACGATACGAACGATCGATCTCTGTGCTCGTATCGTGACCATTCGATCGGCGCGGCATCTGTTATCTTATACTTTTCCCTCTGCATCTCCTGCTCAGCTGTAAGCGGTTTTAGCGGCGTTCTTTGCCAAGCAATATTCAAATCCTCATGGAGACAATCAACCAGGAAGTCGAAAAATTCTTTCGCATCTTGCTGCCGGTCTATGACCCATTCCCTGTTCATACGACCACAGAAGTTTCGGAACGTGGTTGGTTTGATCATGTCAACATCGCCTTTCCATAAAGAGCGTATGACGTTGGCAAATATCTCAGGCATGATACCTGAACTGCCCTTCCAGTTCTTTTGTAAATTTTGCCTGTAAGCGTGCTCATCCAGGAAGAAATTTGCCAATGGTACAGTCGCCGAGAGACATTGCAGTGTCGAATTCATATAGCAAGTGACACCAAAGTTCGTAAGGCCGGTTCTGGGGAGACGCTTCGACAGTATACGCGAAGAAGAGCTATACAACGGCTGTCTCGTAGAAGAGGTTACACGTGCAAGTGGCGCCGAGGGTTGGATCAGCTCTGCCTGACCTGTGTAGCTAGGTCGTGGGACTGCAGGAGTTGGTCTCGAAGGCATGGACGGCAACGGTGCAGGCTCATAACGTTTTGGTGGCACTACAGGCCTTCGAGGAGGGACAACCATAGATTGTTGCTCCATAGCCGGGAAGCGTCGGAGGAACGTTTCGTAGTCTGGAACAAAAGGGGACATCGGTTCCGGCTCATCTTCAAGATATTCGCTGTCGCTGACTTGTGCTTCATCGTTGGTTACAACCTGTTCCTGCTCAGCCTGTTGTCTCCAGGCCTGCTGCTCATCTTCATTCAAGAACTTGTGGTTGCGCAACCGACGATCACGGATCTCAAACCTCGAATTAGTGCTAACTAGCCTTTGGCGGCCAAGTGGGCGCCCTGCCACAAGAGCTGGTCTTTGTCGAGTGGTACCGAGCATTGCTGCTGTCCTCGAGGTAGCCAACGAATGGGAGCCCATCAGGTCAACCCATGCATCCAGACCACCTCGAAGCAGAGCTGGAGGCCTGCCATCTTTCAGGGGCTTGTACTCATTGAACTCGTATAATGTATCAAAGAAGGCTCTTAGATGAGGAGCTCTTGTCATCGACGGACTGCCACGAAGGTAGCTGTTATCACTGGTGTTCTGATCGTAGTAGACAACAATGTCAAACTCGTTTCGCCGAGCGAACAAGTTTTGCTCATTGTCAGGAGATAGCACAAGCCGCTCTTCTAGAATCTCCGCAGATGTACCTTCTTTAAGGGCAAGCGGTTCTATACAAAGAATGGACGTAGCAAATATATGACCTTCGTCAAACTGTGAGCGGTCGCGGATGTCCACAAGCAAGACATTATACTTCCTGATATAGCTCGACAGTGTTTCAGCATCGATCATATCATGGTGGGGAATTTCAGCAGAATTGCTTTTCTGTACGATGGCTAGATTCACTCCATTAGGTGTACGTGGGCGATAAGGTTGTACCTCTTCTTTATGCCTTTGAAGTTGGGGATTCGAGATGTGAGCAATTGGTTGTCCGTAGTAAGTCTGCTTTCGTTCTGTAGGCGGTCTGTGCACTTCGCGGGACAACCGCGCCGACTGAGCAACGGAGAAGGTGGGATCCGGTGGCTTGGGCATTTCTGTGGCTGCTAAAGGAAGTTTGGCAGGCAACGAGGGAGGCACACTTGGCATATCTCGAGGGCCAGTTGGTCTTGCGGTTCCATTTTGTCCATTGGACTGGAAGTTGGCCACATCTGGCATCTGCAGAGAGCCTGGTGGCGGAGGTGGACTGCCTGAAGCTCTCAGTGCTGCGAACCTCGAGGATAGATCGTTTGCAGTAGTATTGGAACCAGCTCTCAAATGGTCAGGTTTCGAAACGCTAGCAGGCCTGGCTTTTGTAACCTTAAGAACATCTGGTATTTCTACGCTGCCATTCGATCGCAAACTCGCCTGTGAGTCAGACCGAGCATGCTGCTGACCAGGATCCGGTGAAGCAAGAGTAATGGCGTCTCTGCCGCTCGTAGTAGATTGTTGTTGAGTATTGTGCCGCGCATTATTGTCCTCGATGATCTTCCTTACACCTTCCATCTGTGGGCGCATGCTCGCCACAACGTTACGAGCATTCTTGTTGGCCTGTGACCACTTCTGATTGTTGAAGTTGAAGAGACCATAATCCTTGTGCCTTGGTATTATGTACACTAAGATCTCAGAGGCTGTCAGGTACTCTCGAAATGCGACATCGACCTTGCCAAAACTCAACGAAGATTGTGCCGTCTTCAAACAAGACTCCGCTTGCTTTAGGTATTCGGTCACAGGTATAGAAGGATCGAATATGGGCTGCGACTGAGTGATTATATCCTTGATGTGTGGAAAGGCTCGATCGTTAGCATGAGCTGGCGGGTCTCGAGGATCCTGCCAGCTCAATCTCTTCGACGCGTCATTTGGATTTGAGTTGATGAATGGTACTCGTGCTGCGAATGAGGCCATACTAGGCAACTAGCATTATGCTGCTCTCATTGCGTAGGGTGGTGTGTTTTGCGGATGAGCAAAGATTCGGGCAATGGATCGAACATGCAGCGAGACAGGTGCAATTGTTGCTCTCAAGACTGGGAGGGAAGGTGCGTGCCGCGTAGTGGGCCGGAGTGATCAGAGAAATTCTAGCAAGAGCTATACAGCCACTCCTCGAAGTCGTGCTTCAGATTGTTCTCGGAAACCAAAAAGTAGACATCCTGATGCCATAACGTGCATGCGCGGCTTATTACATGGCCACGGACAAGGATGTAATTATGATGAATGGCACATGCACTCTTTCAAGCCACCAGCGTAACCGCCACTTGGTCTCCCCAGGCTTCAGGCTCCGCTTGATTACTGTAATGTCCGGGCGGTATGTCATCAGCCTTGTTCCGCAGCCAGGCGACTCTACGTAGAGCTCCATCACAGTATTGAACATTCACTATAGAAATTACTGTAAAGCAGCCTCTCGTCTTTAGTCTGAGAGCCATTTGCCAGGCTTCTGAAACTGATACTTTATTTGCGTCCACCGACAAATTCATACACATACGAGCAAAAGGACACGAGCATTCCAGTCTCTGTGAGACGCCATACAACATGGCAGGCTGGCTGTACTCTGGAACGTCGGCTCTCGATGAGCAAATTGAGAAAGCCACGTCGTCTAGCTTAGAAGACATTGCCATGAGTTTGGAGATCTCGGACATGATCAGGTCCAAAACTGTGCAGCCTAAAGATGCCATGCGCTCACTTAAAAAGAGGATAGGCAACAAGAATCCCAATATACAGATATCCACCCTCAAGTTGACCGATACCTGCGTAAAGAATGGAGGGCAGCATTTCCTGACCGAGATCGCCTCTCGCGAGTTCATGGACAACCTGGTGTCTTTGTTGAAAGTATATGGTCCTGCAGCATTAGATGAGGCCGTCAAGCAAAAGATACTGGAACTGATACAGGATTGGGCAAGTGCCTCGCAAGGCAGGTACGATTTGGCATATATTAACCAGGTCTACCAGACCTTGACAAGAGAAGGTTTCAAATTCCCTCCCAAGGCCGACGTGTCTAGCAGCATGATCGACAGCAGTGCTCCTCCTGAATGGACTGACAGTGATGTGTGCATGCGCTGTCGTACTGCCTTTACCTTTACGAATCGAAAGCACCACTGCCGCAACTGTGGAAACGTCTTCGACCAACAATGCTCGAGCAAAACCATTCCTCTGCCCCATCTCGGCATATTGCAGCCTGTACGAGTCGATGATGGCTGTTATGAGAAGTTGCAGAGCAAGAACAAGCTAGCTGGGGCTCCGGAACGCAGAGTATCCTTCGCCTCGAGACCGCACACAATGCAACCACGAGATGCAAGGATTGACAGCAGCTTCGATGAAGACTTGAAGAGAGCTTTACAGATGAGTTTAGAGGATGCAAAAGGCATCTCAAATTCTGGTTACGTCCCACAGGCTCAAGCAAAGAAAGAGGCAACAAGGTCTTCATCTGCAATTAGAGGTACCTCAAATGAGGACGACGAGGACGCTGACCTAAAAGCCGCAATAGCATTGTCGCTCAAGGAGGCCGAGGAACAAGCCAAGAAACATGCTGCCTCGATGAAGACGCAGTCCTCTCACACAAATAGCGCAGGCTCTTCGAAACCTTTCATCATGCCGAGAAACGACTATGAGTTGTCACATACCGAATCTGAGAACATAAACCTCTTCGCCACTTTTGTCGATCGATTACAGCATCAACCACCTGGAACGATCTTGAGAGAACCACAAATTCAAGAGCTATACGAGAGCATTGGAAAACTGCGGCCGAAGCTTGCCAGAACACTTGGAGAGACAATGTCCAAGAATGAGGCACTTCTTGACTTGCACGCAAAACTGTCAACAGTTGTACGATACTACGACCGTATGCTCGAGGAGAGGATGAACCAAACCTATCAGTACGGCCAGCAAGCATATGGCGGCTATAGCATCTCTTCTCCAGCATCTCATTCACAACCATACCAGAACTATTCCTCAATACTGCCTCCTTCCACCATGCCTAATGGTGCTGGCCCTCCATCTGGAGCCGAGAATTACTATTTCAGCAATGCGCAGCAACAACCGCACCAATTACAGCGGTCATATTCTTACACGAACTCACAGAAAGCTAATGTACCATCGTCACCATACTCCCAATACCCCCCAGGACCTCCAAGTCAGTATGGACAGCCACCTAGTCCAATTGCATATCACAATCAACCACAACCGTCTCAGACACCTCAATTACAGCCGCCGAATATCTATCCAACAATGCCTCCACCAGATCAGTCGTATAATAACGCACCTACTTCTACTCCTCAAACATACTCGCATCCACCGCCCCAACAGTTACAGCCTCAACACTCGGGTTATGGCGCTCCACCTCCACAGCCAGATGGTTATAGCTATGCACAATCACAGCCTCAAGGTACACAACAGCAAGCACCAGCTCAGAACTACTACACTCAATCCCAGCCGCCACCACAGCAGCAACCAGCTGCGCCACCACCACAAGAGAATCTGATTGACCTTTGAACGACAAGTGCATGCCAGCAAGCGGGTTGTGTTATGGACGGAGTACGAGGATAGACAATATTGTTTGTGTCGGACGTTAGTAGACTTAGCTTTTGCCGACAGACAGCTACTGCAAGGACAGCAGGAACATATAGCACGTCGTTTTCTGGCACTTCTAAGCGCTCGGTCCTCTGAACGTTTCGTTGCATATTCTTGTCCAGTGCCTTAATCTTTAGCTATCTCGATCTAGTTAACTTTACTCAACAAGCCCAGCAGCTACCGTCTCACCCTGACTCCTCAACACAATCCTATTCCCACTCTCAATCGGCATACCCCTCTCAAGCTCAACCGTCACCCTAACCGCCTCCTCAGGCTTCGCGATCTTCGGCTTCTTCTTCATAATCTCCCCAGTCTTCTTGTCCAACACGCCCACAAGCTGACTAATCCGTCCAGGAACATGTAACCGCCCCCTATGAATATCGACATTCATCGGCGTCAGGTGCGCGAACGTGAGGATCTGAGCCGTGAACTTCGTGGTGTTCTTGAGAGGTTGGTTCGTGGGACTGCAGACGACGTCGCCGGAGCGCAGGTGGATTGGGTCGATGTCTGTGAGATGCAGGATGACATTTTGGCCTGCGACGGCCCATTCGCGGATTCCTTCGGAGTCGTCGGCGTCGAGATCGAGGGCTTTGATGGTGGCTTTCTCGCCGCTGGGGAGAATGAGGATTTGTTCACCGACTTGGAGGCTGCCTGCTTCGATGCGGCCGGATATGGAGAGGGGGTTCTGGATGCCGCCGCGGAAGACGTCGCCGATGGTCATGCGGAGAGGTCGGTCGAGGCTGTGGGTTATTGGTTCGTAGGCATCGAGGGCTTGGACTAGGGTTTCGCCCTTGTACCATGATGCTGTGTCAATGGTGACGGGCTTCAGGATGTTTTGGCCTTCAAGACCTGAGCACGGGATGAATGCGGTGGATTCGAGATTGAATCGAGTAGCTTTGAGGAATGTTGTCATCTGTGATTTGATTTCTTCGAACCGTTGTTGTGACCATTGTACTGTGTCGAGTTTGTTGACTGCGACAATGAGTCGTTGCACTCCAATTGCTTTGGCTAGAACGGCATGTTCGCGTGTCTGGCCTCGAAGACCGGATTCGAAGTTACCCGGTGAGGCGTCGATGACTAGGACGGCGAAGTCGGCTTGTGAGGCTCCAGCGATCATATTAGGTACGAAATCTTGATGGCCAGGTGCATCCAGGATAGTAAAGGATGTCTTCTCGGTGTCAAATTTGTTGGTCGCGATGTCGATCGTGACACCACGTTCGCGTTCTTCAGTGCCCTGGTCGAGGACCCATGCGAAGGCGAAGGAGCCTTTACCTATATTTTCTGCCTCCTTCTTGTATTTTTCCATTGTCCGCTGATCGACGGCATTGAGGTCGAACAACAAACGTCCCATTAACGTTGATTTTCCAGCGTCGACATGACCTATCACGACAAAGTTTGCAGCATTTTTGTGCTTGACCTTGTTGTATTCCGAGAGGACATCAATGTTCTTGCTCTTAATTTTAGGTACTTCGGATATAGACAGGCCACTGATACCATTGGTGACGTTGGCTTTCGGTTGTGTTTTTGGTTGCTGTTGCTTTGCTTGCGACGTATTCTTCGTAGCTATAGCACGAGGTTAGCTCAGCTCTCTGGTAGGTCTATCGCTATCGAGTCCGCCCAGTCTGTGCTCTGTACACGACATCGTCTGGGCTCGGGTCTTTGAAGTCAAAAGTTTGTGTCTCTTCTTTGAGCGCCCGTGGATCAAGTGTCCGGCCTACACTGACGTCTGCGTTGAAGAGAAAAGTGCCGGCAAATGCTGACGGTTGAGTCCTCGCCACAACGGGTTCGTCTTCGACTTTTCCAACTGGCTCTTCATTTTTGTTGCTTGCTTCAACGTTGGTGGTGCCATCACTGTTCTCCTTCAGGCCCGGGTCTGCTTCTACCTCCTTTGCTCTACGTGCCTTGGCTGTGGTATTGGCCAAGGTCAACCGGCTTAGACTTGCTGCATAGTCATCTTGTGGCTCGCTGGCAACATTGTCAGGTTGTGGAGTGCTTGCTGCCTCTTTTTGCCGCCGCTTTGCCGCCAGGGCAGCGAGCTTTGACATCTTGCCTTCTTTGGAGGAACCACCAAGTAATCCACGAGGATAATGCAATGGCTCTATCAAAATGTCTGCCCTCCTGTGTTCTGGGATTTGACCCCAAGGACAATCTGCAAAGATATCTCGAGCTGAAAAAAGAGAAATGTCTGACCGATGCTCCAGATCAGAGCGGACTCTTTAAGCAAACCAGGAGGGATGGGAGTGGAGGAAATATTTGACTTACATTGTGAGGGTGAAGGTTTGGCAGCTTGTTTGGTTTGGTGTTTGCCTGATAATGTTAGACTGATGCACGTATATCCAATCCTCTTCGCACAAACCTTTCAGATGTGCAACAGTCTTGTCAACGTCGTAGTAGTAGTTCCAGAGAGCATCCTCGATTTCAGTCGTACTTAAAGGTTGATATACGGACCCTAAGACTCTGCGAACTTCGATCGTACCCAGCCGTAATTGCTCCTTGTCTTCATTGCTCAATTCTTCCTGATCCTCATTGGGCTCGTCGTAATCATAATCCAAGTCATCATCGTCGTAGTCCAACGACTTTACTCGTCGATTAGACATTCTTGCCAAGCTTTTGTGAAGTTAGAACTTCTAAGTTCCCAAGTATAGTTGCAGGAGGGGGCCACTCGAAATCTACCAAGATTGGTATCTGCTAGATTGTGCTGTGCTAGTAGTCCCAAATGTCGGTGTCTCTCAAGTTCAGAATCAATATATCCTCCTTCACGTTCGATATGCTGTAGTAGCAGAAATAGGATTCTTACTTTGTTTTGGTAGACAACATTTTAGTCTTGCATCATTCCAGTACTGCGGCTTGAGCGTCACTCCGGTCTGTTTAGCGGCTCTTGTAGCCTCAGGCAACAACCTCTTTACACGACCAGGAGCGTTTGCTGTCGCGTTCTGGATACACGCACGATGCAGTCACCAACCGAAGTCTTTCCTGAGCCAGCATGTTAGCCTTGATCTTGATAGACCTGTCTCAAGTCAGTCAGGACGCGCTTCCAGAGGAATGTGAAACGTGAATGAGTGAGACGGAGCTCCAATGGGCGATTCAACTCCACATTTGATGCATGACGGGTGTTAGCTGTCTAGCTTATGCAGTGTGCCATGCCGCGGATGATCATGCCAATGGGATAGTGATCAACACTTCAGTAGCCTCGTAGCCACCACCGTCGTTCTTTCGTAATCGTAGAAATGTACTTGAATCCCAGAAGGAGCAAATTGCGATAGTGCGAAGGACGCCGTCGCAGCAGAATGCCGACTAGCACGATGCTAGCTGTGCCACTAAGCACCACTGGCAGTCAAATGCACCAAGATGGCTCAATAACTCCTAAGTCCAGCAAAACACGATCATTGTCTGATGTGCCTCCTAAACCCTCCTTATCACCATCGCCTGCGATTCGAGAAGCTGTCCGACGTGTTTCCAAGGATGATTCTGCTGCAGAGCCCATCACGCCTCGGAGACCCCAGTACCATATGAGAGGTCTATCGCTGCAGATGCCGTCCAAAGAGAACAGTCAGGGTAGTCCGACAGTACCTCGCATACCTCTCTCTCCTAAGCTTGACTCTTCCAGCATCTATGGCTCACCTGGCTCGGTGCTACCCAGGCGTTCGAGAGGGTTGGACTTCGCCAGAGCGTCTACAAATCTACACCAGACCACGCTAGCCGAGTCTTCTCCAGATGCTTCGCCCATCACAGGAAGAGGCATCAATATTCCACAAAGAAGAAGCATTGGGACACATCACCTTGTGTCTGAATCACCGAGTCAATCAAACGCTCTGTGGTCAAGCATGCATGGAGAACGTACAAATCTATCCAGCTCTGTCAGCAGTATCAATATGATGGATTCAGACACAGATTCTGACGAATCTTCAGATATGGCTGTGGACAGGGACGCAGATGATCCCGTGCTTAATACACCCGCTGCCGCAAGGATCAATGGTCTGGCTGCGACACATAGTCCTGGTATGGACTGGCTCAACAACAATGGTCCGACAAACTCACAAATGTCTCTCTTGAGCTTCCAGCCACATCTGTTGAACTTCAGGAGAGCCAGACTGCGGAACAACAAATCCTCACATTCTTCCAGTAGTGTCAGCATGCGCAGTTCGAAGCCTTCGCCCGGTCCTCTATCTCCGCCCATGAGGGCAGAAGGCTCAAGCTATTTCGGCCTGATGAAGGAACAAGCAAGATCAAGGAGAGAAAGCCTGAGTTTAGGGACAGACGATCTACAGCTTTCCGATAGTGAATCGGATGGTGACAACAAGATGAATAGTGGCGGTAACTCTGGCAACGACGGTTCAAGCGAAAGAGGTGTTATACGCAGAGCTGTCACAAGGCGAAGCAATTTGCTGCCCAAGACGAAGGGGTTTGCCAGAATACGAGCAGCTCTCATGGAAGAATCAGATCCCCTACACAGCGAAGCAAGAAGAGAGGCCGAAGTAATCAAGCAGGTCAACGAAAGTGATGCGTACAACAGCAAGTCTGACCACGTCCTGAGTGCCAGTATGGTGGCAGAACCATTGCAAGCATCCATTGAGACAGCCGGCACGACCGAACTTTCCGAATCAACCACCAACGAATCTCAATCGTCCGATTTTGCTAGCAACGAGCCTTTCAGCTCGCATGCGAAACGCAATTCTGGTGGGCTTGGGTTTTGGAACAACTTTGAGCATACTCCTCCCAATAACATCGACCGGTACCGGACACCTCCACCTAGTCTTTCGCACATGGACTCGACGGTCTCGGACGATGCTATGGCTTCTTCGAACACACCAGTCCACGAACACAACCATGCCTCGTCCCTAATCCGGCAGCTGCACAACTCGAGGTCGCGCTCACGATCTACAACCCCTCTAGCATCAGCAGCAGCATCGCAAGGTGTCAGCAATACTCAGAACAATCCCCCTACTGCAGGTGATGTTGCGCGGAAGGTGAATAACAAGCGAAGAAGAGATGATGACTTTGACCCTGCGTCCTTCAAACGGCGTGCAGTCTCGCCCGGTATGATGAACTCGGCACAGAGCTCACCTATTGTACCGCAAAGCCCGACCTTGAACAACGACAAAGCCTGGGGTCGTCCACCATCGAAGACGCATGGTGAGAGAAGCAACAGTGGTGGGAGTATTAGCAACAGTGGTCCCAAGAGAGTGGGCTTACAGGGAATGACGGAAGCAAGTGATGGATTCATGAGTATGAGCATTGATTGAGTTTTACATTAGCACTTGTGAGCAAGTACAGTATAGGTAACCGGTGTTGATCTTAGAATGAGCCCAGAAGGGTGATGATGACGATGGCGTTAAAATGGATCCAACTTGGTTCTCGTTTAACCAGCTTATTTATGAGTACTCCTATACTTTCGACAGAAACTCGTGCTTGGCTTAGTAATTCTTTCCAGCAGCTATTTCGTTACCAAGTCAAGCATTCAGTGGATCCGAGCAACATGAAGTTCTTGCTTACAATTCCCATGACTGCCAGGACTTCATTCATGTTTCGCAAATCATTACGCAAAAGTGCTCGTTCCCGCAGTCCTCCACAGTCGAATAAGCACTTACGCAAGCATTTTATCCGGGGCGCTTAAGCTTTTACCAAGCCTGATCTTCAGCGCCTTAGCCTCCAGATCTGAAAGGCTCCCCCTTCCTGCTGGGCTAGCTTTGATACTGATTCGTCGCAACAGCTGGGTTGTTACCGGCTCATGCCACGTTCGCGGTTCCAGGTTTGACTATGGAGACGGAGGGACACGCAAGCTCACAAGGTGTGCAAATTGCTTGCCTCGAATAGACAGAGCATCTTTCTCAGCACCCACTCGTCACATCTCCTGGCTTTTGCCTAGCCACATGTCATCCAGAGCAATCTTTGACTCTACATCATTACCTCCGTGGCTTGTGACCACGAAGTAGAGTTTCAGTCTCACAACAACATAGCGGTACGCGTCAGCTTTCAATCAGGATTGCTGACCTTCTATTCCTACTCCCTCTTTATCTAGTGTTTGTTGTTTTTTCTTTTCTATTTCAAGGTCATCTTTATTAGCATTTCCAGGATCTGTCGTTATGCAAGGCGCACTGACCATAGGGCTCGCGGCCACAAATCTAATCACCACAGCCGTCGCTCAAAAAGTCGTCAAATTCGACATACAGGGTCGAGCTCCCTCCGAAGCCGTCAAACTCGTTCGACGTGCTACAATCAGAGAAAACCTCTTCAACGACGTTAACGAGGGCCTTTACTCGGTAAACGTGTCCATCGGCACGCCACCACAAAACTTTCAGCTACAGCTCGACACTGGCTCGACCGATATATGGGTCAACTCCGCTGATAGCGAGTTCTGCCGGCAGGGCAACTGCTATGACTCTTTCTCTTCCTCGAACAGCTCCAGCTACAGGGTTTCAGTGTCTAATGAGTTCAATGTAACTTACGGTGATGGTACTGGTGCTGCAGGTGACCTGTTCACGGATGACTTGGTTGTCGGAGATGTCACACTCACGAACCAGACTATGGGTCTAGCGACAACAAGCGACATTGCTTATGGTTTGATGGGTGTAGGTATGGTAGGAACAGAAGGGTCTTGTGGCGCAGTGGAAGGACCGGCTTATTGTTATCCAAACGTTCTGGACTCAATGGTCAGTGAAGGAAAGATTAACTCGCATGCGTTTTCGCTTTACCTGAACGACCTGAACCAGTCGACTGGATCTATCCTCTTCGGCGGCGTGGACTCGTCACGATATTCTGGCGACCTCGTTTCTGTCCCTATGGTGGGCATACCACTCCTAAATGGCAGCACAGAGGACGACAGATACACTGTTGCCTGGACGAATTTCACAATCACAACGCCCAGAGGTATTGAGACTTTCCTCCAAGAAGACATCAACGTGCCTGCCCTCCTGGACTCCGGCACTACCCTTGCAGTCCTGCCAGAACAGATCTATAGACTAATCCTCGAACAAATGGGAGCTGTCGAATTGGAAGGCGGTGCCTTTGCTCCATGCTATCTTCGAGTCGCCAATGCCACGATCGACTTCCACGTCGGTGGACCTACAGGCTTCATATTTAGCATCCCACTCCGCGAGTTCCTCTTTGACCTCGACTCCGAGACTGCTCGTCTGTTCCACGATCTCGGAGGTGCGCAATACTGTCAAGTTGGCCTGCAGGCGGGCGATGATTTGCCAATCTTTGGAGACGTCATCCTGCGAAGCGCATACATCGTCTACGATCTCGACAACAGACAGATCGCCCTCGCTCAAGCGAACTTCAGTCCTGGTGCCGCCAACATCAAGGAGATTACCAATGGAACTACCAGCAACATCCCTGGAGTAGCCCGCACTGCTTCTGCGATCAGCAGTCTTTCCTCCGTCACGAGCGCAACTGCCGCTGTGCACACGAGCTTGCAAAGTTCCCGAACTGGCTCGCCTTCTACTGCTTCGATCGTGCCGCTTGCCTCGTTCACGACTGCTAGCTATACTGGGCAGAACGGCTATACCGCAATGAGCTCGATTACGACAAGCGCACCAAGTGGAACTGGTGCATCAAGCAGTTCTTCGAGCTCGGGTGCTGCCAGTGCCGTGACTGTTCCTAGGTTCTCTGTGGAGAAGCCGTTCATTGTGGGTATGATCAGCATGCTCGTTGCGGTCGGTGCTGGTATGATATTGTCGTGATCATATAAGATGATGCTTCCCCGAAGGTTTCGGCCGGGGTTTAGTGTAGGTATTGGAGGATTGGGTGAATGCAATGCAGCCAACTGTGCAATTGATTCCAAGGAAGCCTCCCAGTTCGATTTCAGTACGTCTCCTCCCTCTCGATCATTCCTCCACGTCTGATGAATAGCTCCTTCTGCCCGAATACTTGGGTCGTCTCGTGCAATCAACTTTCCCTCCTCGCAGGTTCTCTTTTAACGATTGTGTAAGGGCAACAACTCCATACTTTGTCCCATTGGTATTTTCGGCAGCTGAGAACCAAAAGCATTTCCCAACCACGACCTCAGAGTTTGTCCAGCTTTACAGCCTGAGTATTCCCTGCAGTTCGCAAGGCTGTCCGCTCATTGACTCCCAGCCATTTTCCAACTTGCAGTCGCTCAATCTCCTTCTGAATCTGCGCCTTCAGCAAGTCAGCAGCTCGTTGATCGGGCTTGGCAGCCTCAAGGAGTCGTTCGTATACCTTGTGCAATTCACTCGGTGGGGTCATAATGTAGTCTTCCGCGCTTTTAAACACAGCCTGTTCTGCTCCTTCGGATGCATCATCACTGGGTCCTAGCAGGACGAGATAAGGCGTCACGAAAAGGGTCAGGACATATCCTCTGGCGAGTCGCTTAGAGTTAGCCGAACCCACTATAGTCTCGAAATATGGCAGGAAATCACCAGACTCGACGGCCATGTGTTTGCCTAGATCGTCAAAAGTGCCAATGATGCTGCTGACGAGTCGTCTCAATTTCGTAAGAGCTTCATTTAGCAGGGGTTCCGATGGCTGCTTCGAACCAGCTCGCAACGGCAACTCCAAAGCCTCCACCATCTCCAAAATCTTGATCAGATCCTGCCGTCCACTTGTATGGTCTCGTCGATCATGTTCCGCCATCTCTTCACCTTTCTTGCCTAGTATTGAGGCGAAGGCAGGCCGCATGACAACGTCTTCGGAAAGGTCGTGGCGAATGAGGCGCCATGTTATTTCTAACAACAAGGGCTTCAGTCGTGTCAGCAAAATCTGTATGTCCTTTGAGAGCGTATTGATCGATGTCGAGGATGATAGAGTCAGTAAGGGCGTCGATGTAATGACTTTCCTAATGCTTGCGGCAATACGCTGGATAGTGAAGTGGTCCGCATCTATGATCTGGGTGAAAGTGTAATCACTAGATTCGAAGAAGTCGGAGGGTAGCAGTTTGTCACGGATCAATACAGGCGAAGACGTTTTGCGTAGCTCTTTCCCATTGTCGGCTTGGCCATCTTCACGTGTGGCCATCCCGGGACGTCCAAATCTGAGAATACACCAGATACCCTCGTTCAGCCGATCAAGAAGACAAGGCGTCAGCCAGACCTAGCATCAATCCGAGTAGCAAAGTTCAATACAGCATATCTTCCTTGTCTTCTACTCATTTGATCTGCTCGGGCTGAAGAGAATTATGAACAGTATTGACACGTAGCTAGTGTCACGTAGTTGTATTTGGGCGGATCATCATCTGCAACACCTCTTTCTGCAGTTCGGTAGCATCTATTGTTCAGAATGCTCCTGAGAACCTGGCAGGAACGATACACAATGTTTCTAGGGTAAGCAGGCACTAGCAGGTTCGAAGGCTGCGAGGTAGTGGTAGTGATTTCACCGAACCAGAACGTTAAACGCAAGAGCATAGCGACCAATAACGCAGTCTGGACGCGCCTGATGTCAGTCTTCGGCTTCACTGCCACGACTGCTTCGTTGCGAAGGAGTGCTCTGGATCTAAGCAAGAGTGTCAAGGACGAACGTTGATCTTTCAGTCAGATTGTGTCAAGGCCAACGGCATTGTACTACACTACATGTATACTGAAGAATTCCATCTACCAGATGTGTCGCTGTGTTCCTGACTTTGAACTGTAATCCCATCTAGGACTATGACATGTCAGACTTTAGCTATGCTCTCAGAACTAACAGTACATGCAGGTCTCCTCCTAATAGTATGTTAACACGTTCAGACGCCCATACCCGTTTTATGCCTCTAGCTCATTAGTGCTACAAAGCACACTACGAAATCAGATTGCTTTTCCTATCGCTGCCACTTTGCCAGATCCTTGCGCCATCGCTGCTTGTGTAAAGTCGTTCTCATTCCCCTCAAAGAGCACCGGACGGCCGCAGTAACGATGCGGGCCGTCTAAATGCTTCACAATGCTTTCACAGGTAACATAACAACTATGTCAATCATAGCGTTCTTAGTTGACTCAGTAATTGTACCTCGTACCCTGCCGGGTCGTAGGCTTTCCAGATCGAGCTGACTCTTCGGCCTTTCCTCCGCCAGTACTCGACCTCATTCCTCGTCCATTAACGACTTCAGCAACACCCTTGGCTTTAGCGCCACCTTTCTTTGCTTTGCTTACAGGGGCTGGAGGAGGGTCAAAATGACGATGCCCCAAAGTATCAATCGCAGTAGTGTTCTTCCATCTCAAGCATCTGTGAACCTTCTCGAGATCCTCGATAGCAGCATTGTGAGTCTTGTTCCTGGTCGTCATGCGCGTGGCCGCTGTGACAATCTTTTCGTCTTCCGATTCTGGTTCCCCTGTGCTTGTGCCGTTGCTGTTGGACGACTGGTCCTTCTCCGACTCCTTAGCTCGTTCCGGATAAACGTATTTGATGCGGTTGCTCATGTATTTCGCCATGACATCTCGCTGGAGAATAAGTTCTTTCTTGAGCTTAAGTTCTCTTACACCACGGCTATCGAGCCATTCAATTAGCTTGTCGATGTCCTCTACCTGATCGTAGAAACCCCATTGCAGAGCCCGGTGCAGATTTGTCGGGCCTTCTTCCAGTACTTTTCGATCAGCAGGTGTCATTTGGAAGCATCGGAAATAGTTGTTTCGTGCCTCGTCTGGAACATCGATATATCCTACTCGCTCCATGTCATCCGGGCCTTGCACCCACAGACGTCCATTGGCGTACTGGGCATCAGCAGTGCTCGAGTCAGGTAGACCACCATGAGGCATCGCGTTGCGCTCGAACCACCAATATCGATTGCAGAAGCGGTCCTTACCTAGACATCTTGTTCGGTATGCATCTGCCTCACGAAGGTCCCCATCCACGATCTCAATCTGCTCTTCCTCGACAGCAATCTTGTCCCTCTCTTTCTCTATTGCTTTAAGAACTTTTTGATACTCCTTGCTGCCTTTGTTGGCCTTCTCTTCTTGTTCCTTCCTCTTGCGCTCGACCTCCTCGTCTCTCTTTCTTTTGCGTTCAGCAGCTCGATCGATGCCACGTCTTAACGACCGGGTAGTCATGACTCTAGAATCCTCCTCAGAATCTGCAATCTCGTCCATGTCTACATCTATACTCTTGTCGACCTCTTGCAATTCTTCGAGTTCCTCAGGTGGTTCTGGAGACATCTCCTGAGGTGCTAAGATCCGTCGTTCGTCGTTGAGGCGCTTGAGATTAGCGATGGCCTCTTTGCGGGTTCGTTGATGCTCGATCTTCTTCTTCCGATATGTGGTCATTGTCGCAGACATCTCCTCGAGGAAACGCTTGACCGCTTTGGTTTCGAGAAATAATTGGGATAGTACCTGCAACGCTTCGATGCGCAGGTTGATGTCCATAGTTGAATATTGGAAGATGACAGTGTCGATAGTCGGCTCTGCGTCTAGCGGTGCCATGTACGTCAGTATTCTCTCACAAATCTCTTTTAGTCTTGGCCGACCAGCAAGTTGATGAAGTAGGCCAACAAGTATCAGTTGCCAACCACCATTCTGGAAGTCACGTTTGCGCAATCGATCCACCCAGCCGTAGTCCTCTGAGAACATCTCGGCGGCACGATGCGGTGTCTGTTCCGAATGCACACTCTCTGCTTTCGCGTCTTCTCTTTCCTGTTCCGCAAGAGCCATCTTGCTCAAACTACTTCTAGTACGTCGAGCTGGTACGTCGGGCTCCGGCTCCGGCTCCGGTGTTGTAACACGACTCGCCGTGTGGTCCATTTCTTCCTCCTCCTCATCCGAATCTTCGACCTCTGGAAGGTCAGGGAGGGAGATCTGGATAGCTCCGCCGGCATCCTTCTCGCCATTGACCAACATTTTCAACAGTGCGCAGTGGACCTCAACAAGTAGTTCGCATTCGACTTCTGAGGATGACCATTGCATAGCTTCTGCGAAGTCGTCAAAGGTGAAAGAATCAAGCTGGAGAACTTGACAATATACGTTAAGTGTGTTCCAGGTCTCGAGCAAGAAGCCCACGTTTTTCTCCTGCAGGGTGGGAATAACATCATCGGCAATGTCTAGCTCGTTGTCGTCTTTGTTGAGTAACTGCGATTTGGTTGCGAATTTTAGTGGAGGTCTCTGCATGCCATCCCGTTGAGGAGGACAGTCCATGTCCTCTATAGGATATTTAATTACAGGGGGAGGTGGTGCGGGCGAAGGCTTCGACATGTACTTTGGCATCGTGTGAGGTGGTGGTTGGTATGGCAGATGGTGACCCTCGCCGACAGGGTAGTGAGTATGGGAATGAGGAAAGCCATTTGGATAGGCGACAGGCGGAGATTGCTGAGCATACCATTGTTGAGCGTAGGCAGGGTCTTGCTGCATAGTTTGTTGTTGACGATTCCATTCTTCCCACTGTGCTTGTTGGTATTGGTCATATTGTTCTGGGATCATCAGTTGCGACGACTTACGACCACCTTTCATGGCAGGTTTCAGTTCAGGGAGCTTGTTGGAAGGCCAGATACCAAACATACCGTCTTGTTGTTCTGCTCTCTTTCTCTCCTTTTTCTCCGCGATTTTATGACTGTGTAAGAGATGTTGAGGGACGTTTGTGTCGATCTGGTAGTACTGGGCGATGTTGTCTTTGACAAGCCAGGGTGCTCCAGTCCAAGCCTCTCTTGTCACGCTGTTCTTGATGAAGGATCTGAGCATCTGCTTAGTGAATGCTTTGCGATCTCGCAACACTTCTATGTCGTCGACCAGCATTTCTTCCTCATCCCCTTCGTCCATCTTTACTAGGTATCTGGTGAATGCTTCTCTTGTAACTTCCCCAGTCTCAGGATCTTTTAGCTCTGCAAAACTAGCCTTTTCCCTGATGGTTCCATTCTGTCTCTCACCCGTCTTGGTGACAATTATCTGCTCTTTGGGGAAATAGTCGTGTTTGAACTCGTCGTAGACTTGATCGACGAGGTTGTCTATACGAGAGACAATCGAGAATTGAATCTTGCGTAGTACGGGCTGCTTCAGTGGCTCGGGAAAAGCGTTCTCGACATCGCGGGCACCGGCAGTCTCACTCTTCAGCGCGTCGAAGAAAGACAAACCCGAATGGCCACTGATTTCACATATGAACTTCCGAGCCTTGTACCAGTCCATGCGCTGTAGATATGATTCGTAGGAAAGAAACAGCTCCTGCGTTTCCGGAATGATCCAGCAGTCTGTGTCATCGTCCTCGATACTAGGCCGGGGCAGGAACTGCACGGGTTTCCTCTTGAAGAGAACCATCTTAGCGGATTGGCGTGTTACCAGGTTCTGCACAGGTAGTGGAGGTATGCACAGTGAAGGAAAGCATTGACTACGAGCGTGCTCGAGCTCCAACGATTGGTTCCCAGCCAACGAAGGTCCTCAGACAGGTTGGGAGTCGTTTGCGACAAAGGTTGTAGGGTTACTGGTCCTCTACACAGGACGGACAATCGAGGAGATAGTCCGTCTGTGCAAGAACGCAATGTACTGACAGGACGACCTACGAGAAGGCCGATCTGGCGCGTCGACGAGATCAAGGTGGATGGGCGTGGTGGACGGAAATGTGGTAAAGGGCGAAGGAGTGGTGATGGGAGAAAGGCATGGTGTTCTGGGTTGGCGTGTTCACTGCCGACATAGTGTCTAGAGGATCCGCAGTGAGCCCTCAACGCGGCCACCGGGACTCTCAGAATGCCCTCTGCTGCTCGCATGCCAACCACGGGTGGATTTTTTAGTGCCAATGACATAGCACCTGGACGCATGGCGTTCGCTACACCTGCCTATTGGGGCCTACTTCCTCTCCAAACTGCCTCTCGTCTGGTCCAATCATTTCTCGCTCCATTTCTACAACACAGCACCGAATTATTCCTGGACCGGATCACTTCGATTCATGGCCTACCACCCACTTTCAAGTACTTGTTTTGATCGTCCCGAAGTGTTCTATCTTTTGGGGTGTTACTTGTATCATGTAGTTCCGCGCCTTGTAATGCGTAGTTCTGTATGAGGTTGTCACCCTCGTTCGCAAGGCCCAATTAGACCTTGCTCTATTGCCACATGGAGTACAGCAGGGTTCGTCTATAAATGCTTGCAGCAACTCAACACAGTCTTACCACGTCGTGGTTTCTGGCAGTTATAAAGTGTCCCACGCATGTTCGTGAGATTGAATCCTCTCAGAGAACAAATCTGTACAACTAGTTTATTGAATGTTCTTCTGCCAACTAACCTTGAGTAGGTCACTCCAAAGAGCTCTCAGGATCTGTCCAAACGGACAAGCCCTCAAGACATATAACATACCATGAAGCCTAGCCACGAAGTTATTACGCCCACTGCGCAATATGTGCTTATGAACATTAAAGGCAGGAATTCATACTTGTCCTGAAAGACCATCGGATGGACTAATGAACAATAAACAACAAGTGGAACAGATATCGTGTTGTATAGAAGCGCGAATCTGTCCAACAAGAACACTCGCTGTCGGCTGGGAGCTGGCGCCAAACGGTCAAAGGCGTACAGAAACAGGATCAGCCATCCTATGGTATATCCTGCTTTGATGGGATATTCTTGCGCTGTGAACAGTAACGGAAACAGTGACACATAGCCTGCCACGGCCAGGGGTCGAAAGCTTGCCAGGTAGGAACGATCCTTAAGCGCTATTAGGCTGAAAGGTATAATGACCAGTAGAATGGCCTTCTCGTGGACATGCCATCCGAAGAGAAAAGAAGCGTACCCACACATAGTCAAAGCGCCAACGAACATGTCCCATGTCGGTTTCAGCCAAAGCCGGGTCAATGCGAGAACCTGGAACGCGAGTGTTAGACCGAAGCATTGTGAAGGCTTTATGGTGGGCAATACTGCAAACGCCGTGTCCCCTACCAGCCCACGTGTCACACTTTGCAGGGCTGTAGGGTCGACGTTGATCTTGAGATAAGGTGCCGCTAGGATCAGCAGACGGTCGACGAAGGAATAGATGGCCCAGACATTCGGCGCCCAATAAGCATGGCATAATCCTCGGGAGAACGGGAAAAGCCGTGCCTTGAGCTGATCCAGTTGGTCCCAATATACGAATGGTCCGAAAGCTACAGCAAACACCATAGCAATGCTGACGCCAAGTTTGAAGGTTTGGAGTATTTGTGGCCGGAAGACGTTGTTCCGTGACAAGCAGTATGTTCGGAGGAGGTATACAAAGTATGCTGGCGCCAGGTAAAGATAAATGTGCTTGAAGCACAACAATACTGCGAACAAGATACCACTAGCAAGGAGGCCACCATCACGGCGAGCCAGTGATATTGAGAATATCAGGATACCGTACATCATCGAATTATACTGGAAGTGAATATGATCCACAATGAGGAAGCCAGGAGAGAGCAGGACTGACAAGGCGATTGCGTGCGACTGTTTCCGGCTGAGGGCGGGCGTGGACGCAACAAAGCTGTGATTTGGTCAGATCGTTTTCGGCCATCCGAGACAACTGCTTACTAGTGTAATGAAGCAAATAGTAGAAGCTCGGTGAAGATGACTGTGCTTCTCTGATACGCCACGGTAGCCCACGAGGAGTAGTGGAGGTTATTTATATCAAGCATATCGCTATCCACAAACGCTGCAGGCTGTGACAGTAGCCATTCGAAGGCGGCGAAAAAAGGTGGGTAGTCGAGAGTCCATTCCGAGGTCTTCTCATAGTACCACTGTTTGGGAGGAAGTGAATGTGTGATAGCTAGCCAGTTGCGATGAACTTCGAAATCGGTGGATTTATATGCTGGCAGAAGCAAGACTTTAAGAGCAGCCGCCGCAACTGTACATTGCCACAAAGTCGGCCAGTACACTTCTTTGGTAGATATGATTTTTGGTCGGATCTCTCTTGCGATCGGTTTGAACTCGACGACTTTCGAGATGCTGAAGGTAGAGGTCATTGCTTCATTGCCGCGTCCTCAAAAAACCCCGATTAACCGTGCAGAGATACCCAAGCTGCTCCTGAAGAAGGTGAAGCCAGGAGCGTGTCCGTAGGAATCTGTACCAAGAGCAGTCCAATACAAGATGACAGTGTCAAGGAGGATGCAGAAGCGATCCAGTCAATGCTAACAATCGAGTGAGCTCAAAAGAAGCTTGGACCAATCAAAACATTTTACCGGAAAGCCACTGAGACTATTGGTGCTGGTTTATGGCCGTCTCATCCCCTGCCAGTGCCTTGTGAGGAGCCTCAGCATTGCTACGCCTTGTCTGGATCATTTCGAAATGGACTTTGGCCTGGAAACCATCAAACATGAAGTTGCCTTCAAGACTTTGAACGTCCGACATCTTGTTGAAGTATCCCCCAGCACCGTAGCTGTGGCTAGGGAAATTCGAATCTCCGTAATAGCTGTCGCACTCTGCATTACAGGAGTTCAGCTGGCTCGTTTGTGGTTGAACCGTGATCCCAAGCCACAGTAACAACTTCGAGTTCTTCAATTTGTACATTAACACATCAAATTCTCTACCAATTTGGGACACATTCTCTACGAGAAAGCATCATTCGCCGACGAGCCCACGATTTCACGCGACGACCGACATGCACTTCCTACTCTCGTTCCTCCTGACCACTCTGGCCAGCCTGGCGCTGGCACAGAGAGTGGTAGATGGCCTCTCTTTCGGACACAAACAACCTCTGTCGTCCAATTCGTTCTCAATACCTGGCTGGTCCATCTTAGGCGAAGGGCACGTGCCTCAAATACTGTCAGATAAGGTGGTGATGACACCACCAGCTGGGGGAAACAAACGAGGAGCACTATGGAGTGAAAGAAAGAACGTCTTGTCCGAATGGGCTGTAGACTTCGATTTTCGTGTTGGGGGTCAAGATCGTGCAGGCGGGAATATGCAATTATGGTACGTAAGAGACGGAGCAAGCAAGGTTAGCACGGGCAGTCTGTATACCACCAGCAAGTTTGAAGGCCTAGCTATCGTGATAGATAGTGTTGGCGGAGTCCAAAAGATACGGGGGTTCCTTAACGATGGAAATACCGACTACAAGAGCCACCACACAGTCGAGAGTCTAGCATTCGGACACTGTGATTATACCTATCGAAACCTGGGACGACCGTCCAAGCTACAATTAAGGCTTGGCTCAAACGGTCTTTCTGTGACTATTGACAACAACCCATGCTTCTCCACGCCCAAGATCACCTTGCCTACAGACTACAACTTTGGCATCACAGCAGCATCATCTGATCCACCAGACTCGTTCGAGATCTACAAGTTTGCGGTCACCGAGTCAGCACCATCGGTACCACCACGGCAAAACCCTGTGAGATCACAACAACCCATCGTTGATGCCAGCGCCGGCACGGGGGCATCATTCATATCTTCCTCGGCACAGTTCGAAGATCTCCATAGTCGCATCCAGGTGCTCTCCAAATCGTTGGACAGCCTCTCTGCCGATATACAGACGACACGGCAGAAGCAAGAAGAGATGTTACGATTGCTTCAGTCGTCTAACGTGCAGGGCGCCATCGATTCGAAGCTAAACAACGTGGACAAGCTGATCGGTGAGATTCATCGCGAAGTCAAATCTACAGACCACAAAGAGAATTACCAAAAGCTAAGCAAGCAGCTCGAGGATACTCACCAAGGAGTAATGGAGCACATGCCAAACCAGATTCGAGACTATGTCCTGCATCACACGCCTCGCATTGGCTTCATTGCCTTTTCTTTTATGGCCTTTCAAAGTTGTTGCTTGGCTTTCCTGTTATGGCAGAAGTATCGCAAGAGCACGATGCCAAAGAAGTTTCTTTGATGAATGCTGGAGGACACCGTAGTCAGGATCCGTGAATAGTTGATATCGAGCTGTATGATAAATCTCATTCGCGCATAGTTGTCTCGCAACGTCTTGCACATTTCTCTTGGATAGCCCTCTTCACAAAACCAATGTTTGGATCATTCGTGATATGCTCGTACTCCCTGGTCGCTCGCCGAGAGATTTCTTGGCTAATTGAACGCCAGCGACTCCGGCCCGATGTCTGTGGAGTATCGTGTCTCCGGGACCGAACAAGGTGCTGGAACCTGTGATGGAAGAATCCGAAGCACTGCAGTGTACTGATGAAGACGACTGCAGGTGAAAGTGAACTGACACAAGTCTGAAATGATACTCGTGCATGACAAGCCACATAGACGGATCTGATATCCGACACCAATATGCCAACAGATTCACCAGCCAAAAGGCCCACAATGGCCAATCGCTCGTCGTCTACTATTTCCCTCTCGACGTCGGGGAAACCTGCAGGAACGCGCCCTCATCTCGTACGAAGCCATTCTAAGACTGCTTCCTCTCGAGGCAACATGGGTCCCAAGAAGTCCATGTCCGCTGTGTACGCTGACGGAGGAGGTCGTAACCATCGCAGGGTCAAGTCAGGCACAACAACACCACTGGCCAGCCCAAGATCGCACACGAGTGGTGGTGGTCATATGAAACGGAACGCTTCGCATGTGGTCCTGCCTAAGAACCGATCGCATGGCAATCTACGCAAGAACCAATCTACCAATGCCTTGACTGCGCTGAATCGCAACATATCACGAGGTGCTTTGAACAAGCTGGGTGCACCCACATCACAGAAGGTGAAGAAAGATGCGCAACAGAAACAGGGCGTATTCGATATGGGCAATGCCTCGGACGACAATGAGGAAGAGGCGGAATGGGAAGACTCTACAGCATCGCCGGAGCTCACAAGAAATAACTCGAAAGTGTCGACCCCTCAACGATCGCATACGCCAAATGCTGAACCTATACAAAAGCCGCCAGATGTATCACAAGACATCGTGCCAGAGAGGACCTCATCTCCACCCTCCCCAGAAGTCTTGAAAACCAACAGATCGGCTCCCAACCTTCGTCGCGAACAGACTCTCAGCCATGACCGTGACCATGAGAGACAACCACCTGCCCTTGTCCAGCAGCAGAATGGACGTGGTTCACGTGCCCCGCTTGCGATGACTACTGCGAATGCGATTTCGAGCCAACAGCATCTTCCCCGAACCGACTCTCAGCGTTCACTCGGTCAGTCGTCCTTTGCCAGCCTCGATGTCTCGCAAGATCACAATGAGAAGACCATTAGGAGTCCTGGTCTCACCAATCAGTCTTCATCAGGCAGTGCTGTGGTTTCACATTTTCTTACCCAGGATAACTCAAAATCCCAGGTGTTTCAATCTCAAGACGGAACGACCTCTGACAATGAGTCCGAATCCCAATCCGTTGCGGACTTCATGGCCACTTACAAACCTCAGCCGTCTGAGAGCCCTGAACAACCACGAATGAATATCAACAAAGCAAGAGTGGCATCGCAGCCTTCACGCACACAGCAAAAGCTTGAACTACAGAGGCGTAAGGCTATGCATGGAGCTGGTCCCCCCACACCAGTAGGAGGGTTGGCACTTAGTGCAGGGAGTTCTGTCAGCTTGCACAGCAGAACCCATTCGCATGGAAAAGGTGTGGGAAGAACTAAGAGTATGGTAGTGGAGATGAAAGCCATCAAACAGGACTACGAAGCATCTGTGAAGCAACTCACGGTCATACGACGGTTTCGCAACCCTGTGCTCGAAAGTCTGCATCGACTGCGACATACCGGTTCACTACCAATCGAGACACCTAAGGCTGGACATTTGCCATCCAAAACGAATGCAGAACAACACAAGCGTCCACCAAGCCGCCACGGTAACCGCTCTGGCGTCGCAGCTCACGATGCAAGTGAAGCAAACCATGCGCAGCGGAATGCTCCGCCAAGAATACCGACCACTCAGACTGATCCCGAATCTACTAGAGCCACTACAGCTCCTCGAGCATCCAAAGTCTCTTTCGCAGCCGCACCACATACACAAGCACAACCTCGTCCAGGCGGTGCTCGAGATTCCAAAGTTACGTTTCAATTATCTCGACAAGAAAGTCAAGACGACATTCTTATCGCGTCTCCAGACAGATCTGGTCCCGTTGGGGGCGATGAATACTCGGACGGCTTAAGTCCAGAAGAGGCGCTCATTAGACGCATGTGGGAGAGTCGAATTCACGTGGCTTAGCGAGTCGGTCCTGACAGGGTAGTCAGTATTGGTGGTTCGACTCTTCTTAATGATGACAGTGATGAGATGGATGTATGTTCTAATACGACACTGGGTGATAGACCACCGAGTGTATTACTAGCAGGGCTAGACTAGGATGTGGCTGGGGTGATCAGGCAACTGGATTATTGAGCGTGCAATTGCGTTTAAGCGGGAGCATTCTTTTTATCCGTTCATTGCATGGCTGCATAGACGAATTTTGTGGGCAGCTGGGCTTAGCAGGGTATGCCAGTATTCTTGGTTGGGTTGCTGGGCTTTAATGCAGAGTATGCCATCGATCTTAGAGTACTTCCACGACAAGACGGTGAGATGTGTGTAGATTGATGCGAGGATATCGTTCTCCAGACCTGTTGTAAGAGACCATAGTAACAGAGGCAATCCCGGACTCGATAGGACTTAACTTGGCACTAATGAAAGCGCGTACGGCGACGCGTCGTGGATGAATATGAAATTAGCCAATCAGCATGACTGCTGCGTGCTTTCAATGAGTTCACCACTCGGACATCTCTTATTATTCACAGAGCGAATTTCTTTCAGATGTGGACCTTGCCACGAAGACGACCGCAGCGCTCGATGATTGCAAACTAGTTTTTTTGTTCTCTGGGATCAGCTTCCCACTCCTGGATCATCACCTAGACAAGATGACCTTGGGAAACTGTGTCGACCACGCTCTGCTTCTGCTCAACGACCATCGCAAACGAAAGAATCATCTTAGTAGCCACCGAGGAAACCATCCACTGAAAAAGACGTCAACTGTGACCCGGTCATTCGATATGCTGTCGATTGCTGTGGCATGAGAATGCCTTTGCCACTGGAGAGTGTCATGTTTCATGTCTTGTTCTACCTCACGTACGTCGCAATCTCGAATGATATGCCTGGTTGCATTTTCTTCAAGACATCTACCTGAACTTCTTTCTTAGGGACGGCAATTGTACGGACTTCTTATCCTACGGCTCCACTACGATTCGGATCTCATTTCGACCTTCGCATCTTGTGAAACGTGGAATCATGCACAGACTACTTGATCGGTATAAGATTGCGCCCTGGGGCGATTTTTGCTCGTGACAATTTTTCCACACAATGCACACTAGCATAGTGCAATCTAGAGACCTTGGTGACTAGCGTCATATTTGACAGGGTCAGGGATTAAAATCCGGTCGAGAGGGCTTGATTGAATACCCGCATATCGGGACGAAGATTGTTCCAGGCGCCAATCTTCGAGGCATTCTTCGCAAAAGACTACGCACTAACTCGACTCAGACCTGGAGCACTCTAGATCGAGCAAATGCTACCCGCACGCTCAACCGAAACAATTTCATACATGGCAACAGGTCTCGGTCCAGCTTACACGACCGGAAAAGCAAATCCAGGCTGCGGTCAAACTCTCAATAAAGACCTTGAGTACATCTTGTCTAGTATCGCCACATCTGTGCGTGATGACAAGAAGAGTAGATATGCAAGTGATGACTAAACGGCACTGCTTCATCCGGCCAGCTGGCATCTGCACTTTGGACATCCTTTTCATATCAACCAAAGAAATCTTGACCACGTGTCTGTTTTTACCACTTCACTATCTGTTCCCTCTCCCTGGATCTGATCGGACAAGGTTTCTTCGAAGACTGACGATACCATGAAGAGGTCGTTCCAGGAGGATGACCACAGGACTTATCCGCCGGCTATTGATGGGCAATCCACCACTCAGACGGGTGGACCAAGCAGATCAATAGGCCAGCGCCAGAGGCGTAATTCTCGAACGACAAATGCTTGCGAACAGTGCCAACGACGCAAGACTAAGGTGCGACACTTTGTCTACCAGCGATGACTGTGCAATTAACCTTTACCCAGTGTTCAGGTCAACCTAGTCCTTGTGAAGCATGTGAAAAAGCCGAACTGATATGTCAATTCGAAACCAAGCCCCATGTACGAAGCCGTTTAAGGATCACATATTCTGCTGAGGACGAGAGATTGCAATATCTTCTCAACGGAGTTCTCAATGCGCTCAAACACAACGATGATCAAAGCCTTAACAGATTAATAGAGGCTCTCCAGCAAGATCGTCCTCCACAGGAAATCGCCATGCATTTAAGACACAATCTGGATGTCTTGCAGAACCAAGGTCATATACCAAAGAGAGACGTCGACGACGAAGATCTTCTCGCATTGGCTTCTCGTCTCGATACTGAAAACAGGTCTAGCCAGGCAACATCTGAAGTGGACACAAATACCGAAGCGAACCTCTCGTTAACAGAAAGCCCCCGAGCTTCGCGTGCAGGTTCGCATGGACAACGTCAGGTCCAGGTCGAGCCCGGTGACGATCTTACGAGAAACGACTATCTCCCGTGGAATGACATAAGTGTATCTGGACATCAATGGAATAATGACGCTGTGTCTATGCCAGCCACTGCTTTCGCATCACATAACGCAAGCATGGCTACGTGGCTTCAGCAACAACAGCTGGCCACACCGAAACCCGATACATCTCTTGACCAACACTCTGCTTCAACGAGTATATTGAGTGTCGATCCTGTGCTATTGTATGCAAGATATCCTTCGAACGATCACCTAAGTCGAGCAACTCTACCCACTCAAGATGGCTCAATTTTCCTGACACAACAGACGCAGTACGGCAGAAGATGGGAGGCGCCTTCTCGAGCTCCGTTAGGTGTACAGAGTGGTGCAGCTCATATGCAGACTTGGTCACAACCCCTTGCTGTGCCCACTCCTGACCTCTATCAACCGCAGTACATGGCACAGCAGTCAGGGCCTCAAGGTACTAGTCCGCAACAATTCCAGCAAGGAATGGACACAGTACAAGACCCTATAGATGGATCTTCTGCTAATCTTCTGGATGGATCTTCTAATGAGTACAGACACAATCAGCAGCCTGCTGGAGCACAAGACAATGAATTGTGTCGACAGCAATGATATGGGTCGCAAGACTCATGAGCTGCAGGTTTGGTAGTAATCAAGCAGTAGTGTCCAATCATCGTGCTGGGCTATTGTTGACAACGATACAAGTGCGCGTGGAGCTTCGTACCCATGCCATCAGGTACAGACTGTGCTTCGGATCTGAAAAAAGCATTCATTTACCACGCCACAAATATGGCGCTAACTTTTTCTTCGACACGGTATTGATAGGTCCTGATTATAGAATGTTGATACATTTTCGCATTGCAATAACCGAACGTTCAGGCTTTGCTGAAGCAGAAGTACTAACCTGAAAGGCGAGTCAGAATATACGTATTTCATCTCACGATGTAAAAGTCCTTTTAGGACATTAATGATACCAAAGAACTTTTACAGCTCCACGTTTGTGTTTCGTCCGAACTCATTTACACCAATGTGGCATCACTCAACCTCAATTATCCTCTGGACGAAACCGACGTCCTGATATTTATATCGCAGAATCATCACTCAGTCTTGATCAACAAGTTGAACGAACAAACGGTTGCACATGCGAACTTGCTCGAATATTCGTAACAAGAGTACTTATCGCACTGGTTGTTCCCTGCCAGTGGTTGCGTTGCTCCGGTCTCCAGCTTCAAGTTCTGGACTCCCAAGTGGTCGTCGGGGGATATTTTGATTGGTGGAAAGCCAGGACTCTACGGCTCGCCAAACACGTGACGGGGAATCAAATTCCAGGGGGCAAGTGCTGCGGTACATACCTTCTCGTTACTCAAACAGAAGTGACAAAAACTCATCAATGCGGGAAGGTGCTCTGCAATTGAAGACTAGCATGAGTTGCGATTGGGGTCGTCTGCTGTGAAATCTTGATTGATTCCAAAGACCACAACGCCGTGTGTTTGTGCAGATTAGATATGCTCTCTTTATGCTGTCACTCCTTCGCAGCCTCGAGAGCTACACTCTTGTTCTTCGCCGTCGCATCCTTCACATACGAGGTTAAATATTCTGGTATGTCCTTCACCCTGTTCGAAGCACACGGTATTGGCTCGCCATAAGCCTCCCAGACAGGCACTACACCTGTCCAAGTTGAGCTCGTTACATCTTCTCTATCCAGGTCTTTAGCTTCATCATGTGGCTCCCCCTTTCTTACTTTGCCTGAGCCTGTCTCAACTTGAACCTTCAGAATCATGGTCGAGGTCATCTCAACCTTGTCTGGTGGAACTCTGGTGTGCTCCCAACGTCGAGGTACAACCTTATTCGTGATCAGTTCCATGGCGAAGACTTTCTCAGCATCGGTCTCGACAGGCCTGGCGTATCCCTGAAGCACCGCCGAGCGGTAGTTATAGCTGTGAGAGTTCGGAGTCAGGGACAAAACCATGCCATCAACTTTGGTCGCCGCGATGCATACAGGCAGACCTTTCTCCGAGTCGCGGGCAAGTCGCATGAGGCGCGCGCTGACATATCCATGGAGGTAGCAGTCCAGAGGCTCATCAAGACCCGCGGAGGGATAGTCATATGAGCCCATGAAACCTATCATGGGAAGAATCGCTGGAAAAGGGTCATCCGGAGAGGGAGCGAAGGAGACATGGAGCACCCTAGAGCTATTGATAACTGAGTGTATTGGACCGAGCTCGTATGTCCCTATCCGTGGTCAGTCTGCGTTAGGCGTATGCTCACAGATTTCACACCTCTGTTGTTGTACCTTTTGACTGTGTTTTGAGGCTTCTTGGGATATTCATATGCTCTTCCCATTCTGGCTATCACTCAATGTCGTAATACTGCTGTATCTGACAATGTTTCATGAGATACCGATTTCCTGCAAGATATTGTCTCATTAGTACATCCTGCTTGAACGTATGACCATAGGGTGACTCATGACTGGTGCGCTTCCTTATACGCATATGTCCATCTGCCTTCGCTGAATTGGGCGTAGTTGCGGCACAAGACTGGAGGTGAAGCCCCACAAAATATCTCGATCTGGCATGCATAACCGAACTCACGAAGGTTCGTGTGTCTCGCTGCACGTCGTCTGAATTACGTCCTCATATGTTCGATATTCATCAACCATAGCATGTTCTATGGTCGATCCATCTGCAGGTCCATAGGCAGATCGACTAGTGGTCTATCAAGCTGTGTCTCGGTGAGTCGCAAGGCGCGCCTTCCCTGTGTAGCAGGAAGATGGTCTTATGCTAGAGGGGGGCAGATCGCACAGATTTGCAGATCGTACGGAACAACTACCATCCACGCTGGCGAACTCTCCTTCGGACAACCCCTTCACGAGACTCATCCGCACCTCCTGCAACCTGGCGAACTCACACCAGGCATAACAGCTCAGGAATATTATGATCGGCGCACTCGTCTTGCTGGGAAGCTGCCGAAAGGCGCAGTAGCAGTTGTTGCAGCCGCTGAGCTTGTCCAGCGAACCGGCAGTTGCTTCCACGAATTTCATCAAGATCCAGACTTCTTGTACCTAACCGGTTTCAATGAGCCAGAAGCGCTCGCCGTGATAGGCAAGAGTCAGGATGCCCATGGCCACTTCTTCCATCTCTACGTAAGAGAGAAAGATCGCAAGGCCGAGATATGGGAGGGTAGCAGATCCGGTACACAAGCTGCGGTGGATGTATTTAATGCGGATGAGACTGGGGACATTTCGAGCATAAAGACAATCCTGCCACGAGTTCTGAGTGATGCTACCCAAGTCTTCACGGACATTACTCAGCCCGATCAGGGCGTGTCCGGACTATGGCGTTTCCTCTACGGTACTCCGAGGCGGAAGACAGACTTTTCAGAACTCATCGATTCGAGAAAGATCAAGCAGCTACGACACATTATCAACGAGCTTCGAGCGTACAAGAGTCCTGCCGAGATCGAGCTTATGCACCGTGTAGGGCGAATGTCGGGCAAAGCCCATACAGATGCGATGAGACAATCCTTTACGGGTGAAAGAGATTTGGATGCATATCTGCGCTACAAGTTTATCACGAATGGCTGCGACCAGATCGCCTACGAGCCAGTCGTCGCAGGCGGCAAGAACGGCTTAGGCATTCACTATGTTCGTAACGATGATGTCCTGCACGACGACGAGATGGTGCTCATTGATGCAGCTGGCAAGAAAGGGGGCTACATTTCAGACATTACACGAACATGGCCCGTCAAGGGGAAGTTTTCGGCGGCGCAACGAGATCTATACTCTGCTGTTCTAATTGCTCAAAAGTCGCTAGTAAGTATGTGTCGAGCAGACGCGGATGTCTCACTGGATAAGCTTCACAGCATAACCGAAAACCTGCTTACCGACAATTTGAAACAAATCGGATTTGACATGTCAGGAAAGGCAGTCGAGACGCTTTTCCCGCATCACATCAGTCACTATATAGGCATGGACGTGCATGATACTGCGGGCTACTCGAGGAAGGCGATCGTCAGGGAAGGTCACTGTATCACTATCGAGCCTGGCATCTACGTGCCTGACGAAGACAGATGGCCAAAGCATTTCCGGAATATGGCTATTCGGATCGAGGATAGTGTGGCTGTGGGCGAGGAGAAGCCACTCGTTCTGACAAGTGAGGCTGTAAAGGATATTAAAGAGATCGAAGCATTGCGCGATTAGGATGTCTGAGGATCTTTTCGAACACGTTAGGAACCTGCTTCTTGTCGTGGGCATCTCCACCTTTGGGGAAACGCCTTGCACTTATTAGATAGACACATTTACGGTTTTTTGGCTGACGAACTTGATCTGCAGATAGACTTGACTTGCAAATTTATTGATCCATCAAAGTCATGTGGGTCCAGTTCCATTATGTCAGTAGTCACTCGCTTCCAGCATTCAATCATGATCCTCGACCAATCATTAAAACACCAACACGACAAATATTTAGTTCACAGCTCGAGAAATCGTTATCTGTACCTACATGGTCAAAGTACTGTAGCGAAACACAAATATGCGACCAGAAGGACCCCGCGACGACTATGCTGGGCCTGACAGTGGCCCGGAGGCTCCATTCCCTATAAAATTGCAAGGTCCTGTGATCAAAGGCTTTGGACGAGGCAGCAAAGAGGTAGGTTATGCCTTTTACTCTATGAGCCTCAGTAACTTGCACACCGTGTCACTTCGTGGTTTTTGAGGTCGATAACATGAAGTACCAAGAGGCGACGTCGATACAATTGACCAGCAATCACGCGAACTTGAATTGTTCTCGCTACTGCATAGGCAGGAATACAAGGCGTAGACAAAAACTATCACTGAACGTCAAGCCCATATCTAGACTCATCCTTCCACCTTCACCATATTGACAACCACAATTTCTAACTCCTCTCAATCCAGCTCGGCATACCAACCGCCAACATTCCACCAGAAGGTCTCTCAGCATACCCCGACCTCTCCACCGGCATCTACTTCGGCTACACCTCCCTCCACCACCCACCATCCCCAGCCTCGACAACAACAACCACCACACCCAACGCAACACCCGCCTCAACCTCCGACTCAGTCACAATCTACCCCTCCGTCCTCAGCATCGGCTACAACCCATACTACGGCAATAAAACCCGCAGCATAGAGATCCACGTCCTACACTCGTTCGAGCGAGATTTCTACGGCTCCAGTCTGAACTTGTTGATTTTGGGGTTTATCAGGCCGGAGTATGACTATGTGAGTAAGGAGAGTTTGATCGAGGATATCATGACGGATTGTAAGGTTGCGGAGCGGAGTATGAAGAGGGAGAAGTGGGAGTTGCAGGCGCATCAGGGGTGGGAGGAGTGGTTGAGGGATTTTGGGTGGGCGAGGGGTATGACGGGGGAGGATGTAAGAGAGGTGGAGAGGAAGGTGCTTGGGCAGGATGAGAAGGGAAGTGTTGAAGAGGGGAAGTTGTGAGATGGCTGTGAATGCGTAGGTTGGGCGATGAGTTGTATAGTGAAGTACTATTTGAGCTGTCGAACCTCTGTGCAGTGCTGGCATGAATCAAGCTATGTTGAACGAGTGCCCTTCGAGACCTCCAGCGATTGTCGGACACCAGCGTCAACGTCCTGTAATAAAGCTGGAGAGCTAGGGATATCCGTGAACTTTGTCCAAAGTTTCAGAAGGCATTCGCTTTTATCGATCTTCAACACTTGGTTATCCTTGAAAAACGACCTATAAACTTACTTTTGTACAGGATCGTTGGTTCGAATATCGCCTCAAGAATGTGGCTAAACCCAGTACGCACGCTTCTTCCATCAGTACTCCTAACTTCCTCCAAGTGGTTTGTGCAAGTGGACAGAGGACCGGTCATTTGCCTTCGCCAACGAGATCTTCTACCTTCTTCCTTGTGTCAACCGCTGTCTTATCGGCCCACTCGACTGTGCTTCGGGTACTTTCCCGCAACTTGCCGTATGCCTCTATGGCTGCTCCCCTAATAGTCAAATGCGTATCAGCAATAGCAGGCACTCTCTTCTCATACTGCCAGATCAGTTCGCTTGTGTTTCGCATGGTCACAGGGATCAACATCCACCCTAAGGTTGTGTTAGCTAGAAATCAGTACAAAGACCATAGTACTAACCAGCCGTGATCCCAACGGCTGCTGGGAACGTGGCCCTGATGAGAAGATTGCGGTTTCTGCTCATGATCGTTCCAGCCATGGTGGCAACCAGGACATATATTAAACCAGGTAGTAGCTGCTCCCCTGTTTCGGCACTGGGTGCTAGGCTGGCAATAGTATTTGCTATATCGGTTTCCTTTCGAAAGAAGAATGTAAGACCCGAATTCAAGTATTTCTCAGCCACTAACGTCGAGTCGTATAGCCATAAGCGAACATTCCGTATCTGCTTCTCTAGGCGATCTGTAGGAGTAGGTGTTGAGGCCTCCGGCACTGAGGGAGGAGTGTTCGTGAGAGGATCAGAGATTCCATGCTGGTATTTCGGGATGGTGTTTGGGTGTGAAGGTGAAGCATATATTGGCTTTTTCTGAGGCAGCTAGGAGCACTGTCAATAAGGCACGAGTTCCTGCACGTGGCATAACACACACATCTTGGGAGGCAGGCGCTTCAGCCCATATCGGTCGCTTTGGCACAGCTACTGCGGTCGTGCTTCCAGCTGCTAGTAGGATTGCGCCCTGCTGAAGTTAGTTCTTGAAGTGGCAGCAAACCTGATATCGTACCGTCCTAAATATACGTGCTCGTGCAGCCATAGTACGAAGTATTAACTATGAACGCGACAGGGTCTAGTTCCTGGGATTGAGATCTTGAAAGTTCCTTAGAAGCTTACCTGAGGCAGCTCATGCAGGCTTGGCGGAAAGGACGCGATAAAGTACCGGCCGCTCCTGCCTTCCCGCAGTTGATGCGATCAGACAGTGCCACTCTGTATCTACGCCAACAAGTCACCTTTGGAAACTCGCGACAGGTTTTGGACGGGGAGGTCTTCTTGGTCGCAAAAAGGGACATGATCTCGGGTCGAAGACCAGTATGAACACGCTACCAAAACGAGCATCGACTTGGACATGTCCGCGATGCTTGCACAAAACCCAGAAACGGACTAATGCCAGTGTTACAACCTCCTCACGTATCCCACCCAGCAGATCTTTCGACGGCGCATATATAGCAGCCACAAAACCTGCAAAGGCTGAAGAATCGACACTTCGAGATGTCTTCAACAACCAATCGGCGTGGAAAGACTTCTCGTCACAAGCGAAGACGACATCAGGGTTGATAGGAAACCGACACCTTACGGAACCCCGAGGTTTCCAGAGGTTCGCTGAGTCTTCTCTGCGTAAATGCAAGGTGCTGGTTGAAAGAATATTGGCTGCATCTACCTTGGAACAATATAAGAGGCTACCACGGGACTTAGATCGGCTGAGCGACTTGCTATGTCGTGTCATCGACCTCTCAGACTTTGTGCGAACAATACACCCAAACCAGAGTGTCGCGGCTGCTGCGAGTGCTGCTTACTCACTGATGTTTCAATATATGAACGAGCTCAATACTACCACGGGCCTGAACAAGCAGTTAAAAAAGGCTTGGGACAATCCTGAAGTTCAGTCACAATGGACTAGGGAGGAGCGGATGGTTGCCATGATTTTGATGAGGGATTTCAGCAAATCTGGAATCGATCTGCCGGACTCACATCGCGAGGAATTTGTCAGCATCTCAAACGACATTGCGAATGTTGGAACTGACTTTGTTAACAACATGGATTATGCTAACAGGAACGTGAGAGTATCGAAATCGCAAATGGCAGGAGTAGATCCTCGATGTCTACAGAATATGTCTAGATGGATTCAGACAGATGTGCCGGTCCACAGTAACCTTGCCAAGCACATCGCGAGCACTGCTCACAACCCAGATGTCAAGCAGAAGCTCTATACGGCGGAAAGAACTGCCTCGAAGTCTACGATACGAAAACTCGAGCAGCTTCTTATCAACCGTGCAAAACTAGCCAAGCTGACAGGCTATGAAAGTTATGCTCATTTGACGCTGACGGACAAGATGTCAAAGACACCAGAGGCTGTGACCAAATTCCTGCAATCTCTAAGTGCAAATAATCGAGGGCAGGTACAGAAAGAGCTCGCAGAATTATTAGAGGTCAAACGATCGAAAGATCCTAATGCGACAGAAGTAGAGGCCTGGGAGCATTTGTACTTGGTGCATCAACTCAAGGTTCAAAATATGTCGCGTGGATTGACCACCAAGTCGCGTCTGCTCGAGTCTGTGAACAACTATTTCGCAGTTGGCCATGTGATACAAGGATTGTCCAGTCTTTTCCAGTCCCTGTATGGTATTCGACTTGTGCCCAGGGAAACGAATATTGGTGAGGTCTGGCATCCAGATGTTCGGCGACTAGACGTGTATCTGGACGACGATAAGCACATTGCAACCATGTATTGTGATCTCTTTTCTAGGCCAGGAAAAATGCCAAATCCTGCACACTTTACGCTGCTGTGCTCGAGAGAGATCTCCTCGGAGGAGGTCGAAGAAGCTATGAGTGAGAACGAAGCATTAAATCTGGGTATGCCAGTCCGTACGTCTATTGACCAAGTGACTGGTCAAACAAGACATCATCAGACACCCGTTATCGCCCTAGTATGCGACTTCGCGAATAGCAGTAGTGCACTTGGTCCCTCCACACTGTCGCCTACTAGCGTGACCACCTTGTTCCATGAAATGGGACATGCTGTTCATAGCATTCTAGGCCAGACCTCCATGCAAGGCATCTCAGGCACCAGATGTGCTACAGATTTTGCGGAACTGCCTTCTGTGCTTATGGAATACTTTGCGTCTGATCCGTCTGTGCTGAAGCTATTCGCTCGTCACTGGGAAACGAATGAAAGGATACCATATGAACTAATTCGTGCAATGCGTCAGGAGAAGCAGAATAGGGCCGAGCTGTCTGGAGGTTGGGACAACCAGACGCAGATCCTCATGGCTATGCTCGATCAAGTCTATCATGCGGAAGGCCCAATGGCAGGTATAGTAGGAGGCCAGTACGACACGACTGCCGCATTTCATGATGTATGGAACAGGCACGGTAGCGTACGTGAACCAGCCGGGACAGCGTGGCAAGGCTTCTTCGGACATCTCTATGGTTACGGCGCGACTTATTATGCATATCTCTTCGACAGAGCTATTGCTAGGCAAGTCTGGCGAGCTGTGTTCCGTGACGGCGAGGACGGTGGCGCAATAGACAGAGAAGCTGGAGAACGTTTCAAGCAGGAAGTCTTGAAATGGGGAGGAGGTCGAGATCCCTGGCTCTGCTTGGAAGGTCTGATGGGAGAAGGCAAGGGCATTCTGGGAGAAGGTGGATCAGAAGCGATGGACTTGGTTGGCCAATGGGGAGTTGGTGCTGGATCTGAGGGACAGATGTAGATATCACACTTTCGAGTGTAAGATAGCAGAAGGAACCGTGTGCGAAGACATCCACATTGCGACCCCGTCATCAGGTGTTATCGTATCGTCGCACCTGTATGCCTACCTGCTGATCGTCTCGCTCGGACTCACAATTTAGTCGTCTTGCCAGTTCATCATCAGTGCTGACCTGTATTGTAGAAAGAGCGGTCGAACGTTATCAGAGCCTTGGCACTCAGGCACGTCCAGCATTATCAGCAGCAGTTGAACACAGTAATCGAATTGCACGTTTTGATTGATTCGTTATCTGGAAAGCTCGACTGACGGCGTAAAATTGCCCATTCAGGAAACGTTCGCGCTTGCTCTCCGCCAGTGTGCAGCATAATACCAAAAGACAGAGATAAATGAGAAATCAAGGTGACCGTACATGGCTGCAAGATCGACCTGAGGGAAGACTATCTTTGGCTCACATGAACCATTAAATCACGCTGCATAGTCTTGTGATTATTGGGCTGACAAGGAGGCACAGCGAGCCGAGTGTATTGCTCTTCCCAAAACTTCGCCCTTCCCTCCTCGTTGCAACCCTTTCAGTAACGCTGCCGACTCATAAAAAAATCATGCCTCCTTCTCAAGGGGTCATGTTAACAGTATTCGAGGCAAACAATGCAGACTTCAAGGTGAGCATACCACACCAATATGGCCTCTAGATCTCTGGCATAACTGTCCAAATCCCAAACTCATATTAACTATCCGAAATCGGTTATCGTGCCGCTCTCAGCGGCTTTGCTTTCAGAACTGACAGTGGTGACAACGTGCACCCGTAGTCTTTCTCACTGACAGCACCCTCATGTCCGCTGAACTTTCATCTACACGGACATAGCGAGTCTCGCACAACACATGTCCAGATTGATTTTGGATATGTTTGTCATCCTGGTAGATGGTCGGATCTGCCCACCTTTAATGCAGCACTTCCTCGTAACTAAAGTCAAGATAGAAAGTCTCAAGCACATGTTGAAGTGACTGTGCATTGAACTCACGACTAATAGCTGCCACGAACAACGACTCATAAGGACATGGACGGTTATGCCAAGAATCCAACATTGTTTCAATTTTTCTGTTCGAGTACCTTTTACTGATCGCCGTTAGAACCGGAAACGAGCTGCTCGCGCATGCGCACAATGCCAAAAGCGGAAGAAAAAATGTGCTCACACGTTCGCTCAAACGACAGACCAGCAAGCCGAGAAAGACACCGCCGAAAAGGTGCTACCTCAACTAAGTCACAAAGAACCTGTCAAGTTTGTGGGAGATTTGAATCCGGAAAGTGTCCTCACAGACCTGACGCAGAGGTCAAAGGATTCTCCAAGGTATTCCAGGGTTGGCATTTGGGTCGAGCAGTCACGCCTAGAGCAGGAACAATTTCGAAGGCAGCAAGAGGCTGCAGCTCGTAATGGTATTGCTAACAATGCTGATGCGAGTGACATTACTGCCAAGAAGCAAGCTGCAGTTCACAGATATTCCAAGGTAGAACGTGGCCGAAGGACGTTGACCGGGCACCAGAAGAACTACTTGCAAGCAGTGGGCGCATTACGTGTATTGCCCAAGGCCACACAAGATGCTTTAGTAACCACGTACGTCGCCTGTATCGACCCTCTATTTCCAGTCATTGCCTGCAAAAAGCTGCTACAGGATTATACCAATGGTGAAGCTTCAGTCTTTCTCATACAGGCCATTTGCCTGGTAGCATGTAAGACACAAGAGGCTGTTCCTTACTTGCGGCTGTACGAAGATGGACCCCTGATGGATCCGATCCCTTTTGCCCGTGCCTTGCACACCGGCCTAGATGCAGCAATGAAAGCGGACCTTGAAGCAGATCGATTCACGAAAGTTCAGATTTTGACGTTGATGTCGTTGCACAACGATGGACCTGGTGGTATCGAAGAATCCTCATTGCATCTAGTTATGGCTATCCACGACGCTCAAACAACAGGGTTACATATTAACACACCTGGCCGAACTCCTAATGATGAGCAGGCCATGTTATGGTGGACGCTCTGGACGTTGGACAAATTTAACGCATGCTTAGGTGGTCGACCTCTAATGATTGCGGAACGAGATATCGATATCGACCGACCATCAGTGGAACCGAACGCGCGAAGTCAGACCATGGCAGTATGGCTCGAGATGGGCAATTTACTCGACCGGGTAATTGAGTACTACAGACCAGGTGTGGATCTCGATACAGCTGGATGGGAGGACGAATTTCCATCCTTTCAAGACCTGACACAAAACTGTGCAGTGAACTTGCTAGGTGACTCTCAGCGCAACCTCTTAGAGATTGCGTACAACATCATTGGCATACTCTCCTGCCGTGCTGGTGGGCCCACGAGTCGCTCGTATCAACGTCGAATCGTCGCGGCCGATCGGATACAGAAACTGACTGCTAGGGGTCGACAAGCTCATTTGCCACCTATACCGCTCGTGCCATATGCTATTTCATTGTCCTTAACAGTAGCATATCGGGGACTACGGGATGGACATTCGGATCCTGTCAAGGCTCAGGCCGATCTTGCATCACGGTGTGACATTTTGGAAAGTCTTAACAAAACATGGTGGACCGCCGATGCAATGGCTAAGCTGGGTCGGAAGGCGCTGAAAAGCCTGCAACAACCGTCACAAACTGAGGACGGAAGAAGGTCCAATTCGGGCCTTGATGTTGGCGACACACTAGAAGCAGAAGTCGCTGTATGTAAATATGGGCCTTTCCATAACGAGAAGGAGGGCCCTGATGTGAATATGGACGAGGAAGATCTGACAGGAACGCATGTGAGACCTTCAGTCGACGGCAACCATCGAGCATTGAAGGAGCCATCGTCGACACCTTTAGCAGCGATGTCAGCAGATCGTCTGCAAGTGCTGTCACAAGCAGCTGCTCAATTTGGTGTATCGAACGGAAAGCGCAATGCGAGTATGCACTTTTCGGACCTCACACTCAACGATTCCAATGAAAGGAGTGCTGGTGGTATTAACACCGCTTCCAATAAACGACCAAGGTACGATTCGAGCAACAGTTCGCATCCACCGTCGTCAAAACGTCAAAACACTTTCTCGCCTCATGACAATCACATGATGACCGACACACCTCCGTCGACGACTCAAGTGTCAACACTAACCAATACACCAGCTCAAACACCACTCACAACAAGCGCTTCCTTACTCAACGGCTCACGACAGCACGTCACTGCGAATGATAGAGCAAGGTCTGATCCGCACACAGGTGTTTTCGAGATAAATCCCCTCTTAGATCCATTCTGTGCAACAACTGATCTGAATCCAGAGTCCTCCACTAATATTCAGGTCCAGGGCTCGTCAAATACGCTGCCTGCCGTCACTCTAGCAACGAGTATGAACATTCCTTCTACTGACGTGCAGCAGCCACAACTTTACAATCCACGCATGAGTGTGCCACTACATTACCAAGCGAATAAAGACCTAGGGCCAATAGATATCGACATGTACAACTACAACGACCTTGACAATCTTTTCGATGGTTTCTTCGACCTCAGCATGCCCACCATGTTCGAGGACCCACTGTTCGAAGGCTCCTCCTTCGACCAATTTTCCTTCAACTACTTCACAGGTGGCGGACTCGGTAGTGGCGGCCCAAGTGGTGCTGGCAGTGTGGACATGAGCTATATGCCGCAACAAAACAACATGAACAATTCAAACGGACAACAACAAGCGCAATACAACAGCGTCGGGCGAGGATGGCAAGGACAAGGCACAACAATGAACATGAACGAGGTAAGTGATTAACCAACAGAAGCAGACGATACCAGAATGGAGTATAGTCTGTTTTCCCCTGGTGAGGTGAATTTGCTTTTTTGAATGCTTTTGTGACCATGGATTTTTTCTTAGGTGAATATAAGCAACGGCAATATGAACATGATTGGAACAGGGAGAAGACACAGGAACAGGAACAGTTTGAGCATGAACACGATGAACAAGATTAGCCCGGATAGTGGTGGAGGAGGCGCAAACCATTGGTGTTGGAATGAGGACGACTTTTAAAGATGCACCTTTTTTTTTGGCGCTGGTACAGGAACGAACAATGAGCTTATGAAAGTTGGGCTATGGGGATTTGAAGCAGGGAGTTTTGCGGTTCTGGGGAAATGGTACTAGGGGTTGGGAATGAGAAATGGGAGCAGGGGACGGCGATTCAGGCGTTGAACTGATTATTGGCAGGTAATAGAAACGACGTGGGAACGTCATCAATATAGTGGTAGTATACTTAGTAACATCGAGTACATCAAGAGTACGTCTGTACGTAGTGATTGTGCAATGTACAGCCCCGATCTCCCAGAAACTTTGTGTACGCGTCAAGACCCTTGGTTGTGCAACACACTGCGCAGGGTCGCAACAAGCCTATTGAAACCCGGTAGATTCGGACGACGGAGACAGCACTGCAGTCGGAGCTTTGCAGAAAGGGGTAGTAACAAAAACAAGAAAGAAACCAGATGCATAAGTAGTAACGGATATATTGTTCTGCTACAACATCAATACAAGTTGCGTTTCTGGGTATCTGATTACAACCAAAAGATCATTACTATCTCTTTCATATCATCAACATGCTGTCAAACTTGCTCCCCAGCAACTCGCAAGCATGGGCAGCGTCATTGCGTGGCGCACATGTGTTATGTAGAATCCCACTCTTGATATGGTAAGATATTTACATCTTCTCCTTGTACTCGTGGCTGGAGTTGTCGACATCATCGACAATGACGAGGTTATCGGATCGCCATGGGTCAACTTCGACCTTTCGGAACTTGCGGGCGGAAACTCGGTTCTCAAAGAGGACATCAAGTTCGGCTGTGAAGAAGTTAGCATACATGGAGCGCAGGCGGATGTGTTGGACTCACCATAAGTAAGACCCTTGGGCTCAGGGAGACGGAAGTAGGTCCAGACTATACCGAGGGCGTTGAGGCCACCCCAGAAGAAGCATGTCTTGCCACGCCAGTTGAGCGCGGTTGGGTTCATGAACCGAGGTTGGATGACACCGATGATGATACCGAAGACGTTATACACGTTTCGTGCCAGGACGACAGTCTTGATTCGGAGACGTGTTGATGGCAATTCTGCGACAAGGGAGTAGCACACTGGACCGACTGTAATATCGTAGGCGAAAGTGAGGATCAAAATGAGAGCACCAGAAGCCCAACCGATGGAAGTGCTCAAAGCTGGGATACCCAGACCACCAAGAATCATCAAGATGACGAACATGGAAACTTGACCCCAGAGATAAATCGTCCGTCGACCGAAGTGTGGCATCAAGAACCATGATCCGACAGTACCGACGAAGCCCATGGCAGATTGGCCGACACCAAGTGAGAAAGCATCGGTGTCGGCAAGACCTGCCTGTGTCATGAAATATGTACCCCAACCGATCATAGGCGAGCCGGAGGTTTGCTGAATGACCCAGGTCATGACTGTAACTTCAGTTCTTCGAAGATCAACACCCTTGAAGCAGTCCAAGTATGAGGTACCAGAAGTCTGCTGAATTTCGAGCTCGTTGGTATGGATCATCATTGCAAGGGTGTCTTCGATGTTGAACTGAGCATTGGCTTTGGCATTGGTGAGCTTTGCCAGAGCCGCGCGAGCTTGGTCGAGCTTGCCATGTCGGACCAACCACCATGGGGATTCAGGAGCGAAGAAGGCAATGGCCGCAATGGGCAGAGGCCAAACCCATTGAATGGCATAGGGAATTCGGTAAGCCCACTGGCTGTCGTTACCAACGAACCCCTTTAGTACACCAGCGGCGATGAGCTGGCCAATGACCCAGCAAAGGTTGACATATGTTGTCAAGTAGGGTCGGAGGGAAACTGGGCAGACTTCGGCGGCATAGGTGGTGGTTAAGGTCTGGAACACACCCCATGGCAGGCCAGATAAAACATATCCGGCCAACAACATCTGAATGTTTGCAGCGAAGAAAGTGATGAAGATAAAGCAAGTGATCAAGAGGAGAGACACAATCATGGTCCATCTGTAGCCAATTCGCTCGGATACGATACCATTGATGAAAAGACCGATAATTTGAGCAGCAGCTGTACCAGTACCGAGAGCTGATTGCCAGGATGCGGAGATTTGGTACTGCTCGACACCATTTTCGATGGTACCAGTAGGTGCACCAAAGTGTCGGTTGAATGTCTGCAAGGCGAAGAAGTTGCCGAGTAGGTAGGTGTCATAACCCTCCATGATTACAGCAAGGGAAAGACCCCAGGAGAAGAACATAGCCTTTGGATAGAGCTTGAGACCTTCTCGGAAACCCATCTTGTGCTCTAGATTTGCAGCGGTTTTGGCGTCTGCTGAAAGCTCAGCCAAGTTGGGTACAGCAACAGACATTTTGCGAAGGGTATCGTCTCGCTGGTTGAGGACGCCATCTTTCTGAGTAGCTGATACGGCGGCAGCTGGGACAACGGAGGATCGTCTGCGTCCACTGTCGAAGGTGGCAGGATTGCCCAGGTTGGCAGCATAGTTGGACACACTGCCGTGTCTACCACGGCCTTGCTCAACGTCCATGTTGGCGGTATGAAATTGGACAACCGATCAGGGAAGTAATCAAGAAAGAGGTTTGATGAAGATGTCTGTGTATGAAGACAACCTCTCTCACACAGATGGAGGAGGAACAGGTCCGAGGATGCGTCCTGGCTCGATTTATACATAACGGCATCACGTCGTGAAGCTGCAAGTAGCTGCACTAGCTCAATGCATAGCTGACGAGCAAAGTTTGACCAATATCAATTCGAGCGCAACTTCTTCCGAGGCTCCATAGCTCGGCCATATCGAGATCCTGGATGTTTGTCTTTGACGCGGCGGGCTGGGGAGAGCCCCAATCAAACACAAAGTTTATGCGATCAGTGGTGCGGTTTGAGAAGGTCGTTGGCTGCAGCGGCGACGCACTCTGACACCCGTCTGGTTCATGCCTCGTCAGGTCAGTTGTCTATGATCAGATAGACATGCTGAGCCGGAGTAACTGGTGCCACGATGACGCAGCTGTTCTCTCCAAAAGCTGGGGAACATGCGATGCACGTTTGAGCTCAGATCCATGGGAGACTAGGCTAGAAAGAGATGTCGATCGTGTACAGCTGCTGGGAAGATGGTCTACGAGCGAACGATTTTGTGCTGATGTTTGAGCGATACAGAGCCGCAATTGGCCGAGCTCGTCGGCCGCATGCACTGCAGTCCTCACGAGACAAGCCGCGCCTGCTAAGAACGTATGTGGCTCCCAAGATCCCAGTATGAGCTTGTGACACATCCCCGCATTTCTGTGCTCCATGCTCCACCCGTAGATTATTCTTGACTCGAACAAGACTGGTGACATGAATCTTGACTGAACAAGACGACCCACATCATCGTCCAATGTCAATGCGAACATCGCGCTGTGGCATGATGTTAGTAACAAGCACTATGGTGAAGATAACGACGGTAGCCGATTGTTGTGGTCGACACTGAAGCCTAGTGTATGGTCCAGTCGCGCCCACGGGAGAAATTATGAAGAAATTGGCAGTGAGCTGACAGGACTGGCCGTACTGTAAGACTCCATGCCAAACATGGCCATAGATTTTGGTTCGCCTTGTGTTGTCTATCGTCATTTAGCGACACTTTGTTTCCCATCCCCAGAAATCGAAGTCGGTTGAATACTACATGCAGATCGATCGTCCAGATCAGCTGGCGTAGGCCGTGTAAGGCAAATGTGACCGAGCGCACGATTGTCGTCAGATTGTACTCTAGGTACTAACCAGTCGATGACTTTCCTGTTCTCGGCGTTTCTTGACAGCTTCTAGATGCCTCAAAACAGACTGTCACGATGTACGGGCACATAACCACAAGAGTGTACCAGCCTGGTGGGCTGCTTCTTGCTATACAAGTCGTTGGATGTACCCTGTGTTGCAATCGCCGAGTGGGAGATCAATGAGAAGGGCCGAAGCGAGGAAAAAAGACCACTAGTGGAAGGTACGGTAGTCAAAGTGGAAAGTGCATCGCACTGCAGCGTGCCAAGGACAGCCACAGTAGAAGTTGAGGTCATCGAAGTCATCAGACAATAAGAAAACACGAAGACATGGAATGGCAACAAGAGGTAGCCAACCATGAAGTGCTAAATTACAGTACATTTCCCAGAGCAAGCAGTGAGTACAGCAGCGTCTTACCTCGGCGAAACTTTTTCTTTGTGGTCAGGTGCGAGGCAGACGGACATTGTCATTCTGAAGCATCCATGCCAGCTTTGTACTCAAGGGCCGTTGCTCACCGTTGATCTTACTCTTTTGGATTCGTCTAGCTACTCGAGTACAGATTCGCTTTTGACATGACTTCCGATCTTCCAGCCTGCTTGCATGAGCATTACAACGTTGCATATTTCTCCAGCCGTCCACCTTTCTTACAAGTAGAAGTGTGACCGTCCGCAATGGTAGGTCGTCGCGGCTCTGTGCAAACAGAATCTCCGAGAGAAAAGCCGAGATATATTCACAGTCTTTGTGAGAGCCCCTACCACAAACATAAGCGAGAACAACAGCTTCACTCACACGCCGCATGAGCCACCAAAGAGTAGTTCAGTGCTGAGTTGCATTGGGAAGAAAGAGGCGGTACCCTAGCACGCGGTTCCGAGATTGGATTTCGCCGAACCGCTTGAATACTGGTACCACAGGCGTGAACTGTGTGTGTGCAGCGCGACAGGCCCGCGTTTAATGTGTGTTCGGACGGGGCATTCTTCAAGATTTTTGTAGTTTGGCTGTTGATACACAACAACAACTTAACTGCTTCTTAGGATCACTTACCCTCTAGCAAGAACTCGAAAATGTTCTTGCGTCCACACATCGGAGACACGGTCTGAACACGCTGGTAAGGACCTCTAAGTCACGCAGACAAAATCGGAGACTGGATCAATACTCGAACTTCCTACCAATCCCACTAGGCTCCGAGTGTACCTGTCACAACAGGTTTCAAGCTATGCTGTAGACTGGAGGGATTCGTGTCAACTCAAGATGAGATTGAACAGCTTGAAGACTGCGCCGAACCAAAAAACCCTCCTTTCTACATTACTATACACTCAAGGCGTGCCTGTTTCTCCCTTGCTGTGTGCAATCTTCAGCATTATCCCAATGACAAGACCTGCGTTCCCATCTATCATTGCGCGTGTTTCATGACGCAAGTCCACAGTCGGACTACAAACGTGAGTACACGGGTTGTGAGTAGTATTTCGTGCCATGCTCGACAGCACCTAGTCAACACCAGCAACCAGGTCAACCACGATATTAATAGCTGCGACGACAATCTCAGCGGCAATTAGCACGATGACTGCAGAATGGTTAGTTTAACCGAAACCTCCAGTACATAAAGGAATGAAAATCTCTTACCAATCCACTCCAAGATCTCATCATGTCTCCTACTTCCTTGCTCTCTTAACACTGCAAGCAAATCTAGTACATTGTTAGTATATTCTTCAACGGGTGAGACAATCAACATACCAGAAATGACATCCAGACGCTCCGTCAACAGTGTGACTCGCTGCCCAATCTCCAAGTAACTCCTAACAGCCGCGTAGACAGGCTCCAAATGTGGCTCAGCCCAGAACAGCTCTGGACTGTCGAGCACGGAGCCTTGCAGATGTATGTTGATACGTAGAATGAAGAGCTCGCCGATTTGCATGTTCAATTGTCGTCTCGTCAGGTTCACACTGCCCGTCTGTGCAATCACGGCAGGAAGTGGACTGGTAGTCTCAATCGTCTCACTAACCAGGTCCTCGAACAAGCTTGTCTTGACTGACTGACTGAGCGCATGAGAAATGGCAAGCTTGATCAGATGGTTCCGAGGGTCGCGGAGAGATATGAAGTCGTTGTATATTCGTGCTTGATACTCCTTTGTGTAGTAAAAATTGAACTCCTCAGTCTGCACACTGTCACTGGGTAATGGACTCGTCGCGAACTTCGCCAGATCGGACAGGAACCGTTGTTCTTGTTGGATGTTCATGCCCCAGATGACAATTGTGCCGTAATCGAAGACAAAAACTTCAGGACTTTCGACATTTGTATCTATGTCCGGATGACTCGAGCTGAAGGCGGAATGGAGGTCGTCTTGTTCGCGGTGATCGTTGAGATCCTCACTGGATTTTGATATCGTATTTACCAACGTGTTCGGCCGCGGCTCTTCACTCGTTGGGGAGAACACCGTCGGGTCTGAGTCGTCTTGGCCAGGCATGGAAGAGGTCCCAAGCTCGTTTTGAAGGTCAATCAAGTTTTCTCTTCGCTCTTGCTGGTGTTCTTCTACCTCGACAGCGGAATCCGAGAACCTCCTCTCATTAGGCCTGATCCTGGGACTTCTCCTCATTCTTTCTATTCTTTCCTCGACAGGACTTCTACTTGTACTTCTCTCACCAGTCATCCCGGTATTCCTGTTGAACATGTTCTCGTTGACTTTCCTCTTCTTCAGATAGTCATAATCGTAAGGCGAGTAGAGACATTCATCAAATAACCTCGGACTTGCTCCTCGTGTCTTGGTCCGACTCTTCATGAATTTCAGTATGCTTTCCAGCTTGTATCCTTGCGCTGTGCAATATGTTGTGACTCTCGGCAACCGCTCTCGATCGGCTTTTCCTAACCTGGCGGCATCTCGTCTCGCACTCGGGTCTTTTATCCTTGTGAACTGGGAATAGACGTCTCGTCCACTCTCTTCGTCTGGTCCCTCGTCCCCAAAGTCTGGATTTGGCAGGATCTTCAGCTTCTCTGCGGTCCTCGTGGTTCGCTGTGCACCGATCCTCGGTCCAGGTCCAAAAGGTTGTGTAACTGGCAGAGCTCCACCATGGCTGTTTCTCCTGCGCAGTTTCGAATTGAAGGCTTGAATTAATGGTTCTCGTTTGGATGTAAGATCGCTTGTGAGGGTCTGGGAAGGACTATGTGCAGGTCGCAGAGGTGCTCCTAGGCTTGACGAGCCAGGTTGAGAAGAGATCTGTGTATGTGGATTGAAGGTTACTGTCCGTTGCGACCTTTGGGCTGAACGTGACGTAGATCCTGATATTGATCCTGATGCTTCGCGACGTCCAAGTAATGGCGAAGCTTCTGTTGTCTGGGTAGCCATCTTGACGCACGAAGACAATAATTACCACAATCTAAGAAGATGAATTTGAAAAGCTACATGCCTGATGAAACGAATGCTGTAAAGTCTCGTTACCGCGTCGATCGCATCACCGTTGAAGTACGCTAAAATTACCATGAAGTCAGCTAACCGACCTGATGCAGCTTTAATTTCGAGCACGTGGGAACTGTTCGACTTCTTTACGTTTCGTTCCACCTTCAGAAATTCATGTTCGTTTGTTAACACAGTCATTAACACTGCTAGTAAACATGATCCATGTGTTGTTTCTCGTCCTAACACTGGAGATTTCACGCGTGTCAAAGTTTAACGTTGAAGTGTCAAGCTGTCAAAGTGTCACATACCCATGTCTCTACAGCTTGAGCCGTGCCTTTGTACTACAAGACTAGACTTGGAAGCAATCTAGACATTCTCGAAGAATCCACTGATTCTGATAACGTCCGAACTTATCGGGCTCTATCTGGTAGAAAGCTGCCACTGTTGAAGTGTATTTGTACTTCATGGTTGTCGAGGCTTTATCGAAAATGATTGGGACAATGTGGTAGACTGTCTAGCCAGCAGACACACTGCCACAATGCACGAGTCTTCAAAATATCATGAATTTAGGTATAGCCAGAACAACGCCACACAAAGGGCAAATAGTACGAATGGTGAGCTATGGAAACGCATCGAGCAGATGAGCCTGACCTGTTGAACGTCGCCCCCGTGGTCAACCTTTTAAACAGTCGCTATCCTACTCATGAACGACCGTCTACAATACATGTTTCAGCTATCGGTATTAGGTTGTCACCTAGCAGCTAGTAAGGTAGAATTAGGGCAGGTCCAGTACTTGAAAAGTGACAGCATCAGATTTTTCGCTATCGATCTTACTGGTATGCGAATCAGACCAAACAAGCCTTGACTTCAAGTTCAAGTTGTCACTGCAAGGACAAAAGCTCAGGCTGCATCAGCAGTCTGCACGTAGAACTCAATTGATGTGTTCGAAGTAGCAAATTTATCAATCACACTCGGCATGCAATCGCGGCTGACTTGCAATTTTATTCCATACATAAAATGCCCCAGACGATCGTTGTTAGATTCGAAACGCAACAACCGAATTACCACAACAATGAATTGTTACTCATCTCAAGTTACGCAATGCCAAATCAGGATGGATGTTGTGCTCATCTCGTCAGATTAGATCGAGGCTGAGTCCGAGAAGTACTCGAAGTATGAGCCTTGAGCTGAAGTCTGGGGCTGCAGAAGACTTGGTAAGAATGACATCACGAGAAGCGACACACTCGCAACTGCCAATGCTCTCTTCTAACTCCTTCGTACTTTCCGGCTCCTAGAAAGCGTTGTAAGCACATGTTTGCAAGATCATTCACTTTACGAAGTTACACATGACTTCAATGACCCGAGCGTATTTCGTACACGGGTGCGTGGCATATCTACTGTACAGCAGCAGCTGACTACCCGGAGCAAGCCACAGACCTAAGCGCCAACGTCAAGTCCTCCAACTCACGACCATTGTACTGTACATCTGGAGCCCGTGCACTTGTGTTCACCCCTTGTTGTTTGTCCTCGAAACTCCACTCCGGTTGGAAGTTGAGCTTAGAAAGGTCAAGTCTCATGCAGGCTCTTCTGCTCGGATTCACCACAGCCACTACAGAATCGGACTAATTCCTTATTATTGCAAAGTATGGTGTTCGTTTGGCAGACTCGACGCTCTTCTCGCACGACAACCGAGCCAAGGCTCGTTTCATCTGGCTCAGAACTTTACCTCTTTCAGTATGATGGGAAGTGCCCTGCCCTTTCCTGTGTCATGCTAAGGCAGGGATACCTCATGATCCTGCTTGGCTTGCACCACCTCCAGCAGTCCCTGCGCCCTGTTAACGAGTGCTCGTTCTCTTCTTGCCTGTCCTCTCTCTCTCTCCCCATCTCTCTCTCTCTTCTGTTATTCTCGTCTGTCGCTTCGACTCAAATCCACAGTATAGGCTAAGGACAGCCTCGAGCAGCTCCAGCACTTTTGCATTCAAATTCACTGCCTCACTCCTTTCAGCCTTACTACAGTACTAGCACTTGCAGTGCTGAAACCTCCGGCGAGATACCAATGGCCAACACCTCAGCCGTCTTGCAACATTTAGGTGTCTTGGACTCAGGGGTTGATTTCGCGGCTGCATTTGCAACAGCTCAGCACAAACTGAGCCAACAAAGACTCCCCAAATTTCACTTCGACACTACATACAACGACTTCACTAGCCATGTCTCTTCGTTGACCGGTTTGCCTGCCTCAAGCTTTCCGCAACGCGATGAAGCCAGAGAGGCTCTCATACAAATCCTCCAAACACTTCGCCAAATCACACGTGGAGCCGGCACAGCAGGTGTTGATGTTCTCACTGAATGCGTGGGAAACCTCATCAACGCCCTTCCCAACCCGGACCCTCTTGCACAACAGGTCTACACGTCCACCGTTCAAACACAAAGCACACCAGCTCTAAGCAACACCGTCGATCAAGAACAGCCCGGACCGTCTCAGCCATCCCTTCCACACTACTTCAGTAATCCTCCACGCTCCGACACAGCAGACTCCATAGCCGCTGACGAACCCTCAAACAATCGTCGACCCTCCAGACCCTCGATACAAGACATCCCCCTTGGTCACAGGACTGGCAGAGTCGTCACCGAAGATCGTGCCGCACTCCAACAGGGTCACATTATCGGCACCGACGCCTTGCGTATGTTCGCATCAGGGACACCCGTGCCAGTCACATCGAGCAACGATTACGGCAACGTCCACGCGAAAGGCGATTCTCGAGTCCTGATCGGCAACCAATACGGTGGACCAGGATTCTTCGACAGATCGAACTCTGCACCAGTTGACCGGGAACATGAACCTCAAGTGAATTGGCTTAAGAGGCAGTTCACTGCAGGAAAGAAGGTTGTTCGAGGTTAGTGGAATCTCGATATCTGACAGGTCATCGCCAGGTATACACCACGAATGGATTACGGTAATGACAGCGAGCGGGGAGAATGTAGGCGTTACTTTGAGATGAAGATAATGATAACGCGTTAGCGTGTGGTGCTAGGATATTGATTCATTGTGTTTGTCAGCCGTCAAAGAGGCGAACGGAGATATATGTGGTGTTTGTCAATTGTTGACAAGATTTAACGGAAACGTAGATGTATTTATTGTCTTTACTTACATGTCTTGAGTTAAGGTGAATATTGTTTTCCTCAAAAGAGTTCTAGGACGTAAATATGTAGGTGGTATAGTTTCGCATTAACACAATGGACGCATTGGCGGTGATAGAGACATGTACCCACAACCATGGTGACATGAATATATAGTATGAGTTCCACCTACTGTTGCAAAGCAAGCATACATATAAAGATTAACCTTCCATCTCATACGTCGCCAAAGCGAACACAAAAGAGAAAAAAGGTATTTTGAACTTAACTATGTATGTACCATTCGCTCGCTCGCTTAACCGCAGGACTCCCACCCACTAGTTATCCTCACCAGAAACAGCGTGCAAGGAAACGATACTCTCTCGAAGCAGCTCAAGCACATCCTATCCACCAACCAATCTAGTAATAATAAGTCTCATCCGTCGTCCGTCCCCTCAAATACGCCGGCTCGCTCCCTCTAACATAAATATCCTCAAACAGGATCTTCGGTGTCGGGTCCGGAACAGCCATCTTCTCCGCCTCATCAACTTCCTTATCCACATCCGCTCTCGCCTGCTTGTCGATGCTCTTCAGTTCGTCCTCACTGCACACCTCCCAGTCCAGGATCTTCTGCTTCAAGCCTGCGATGGGGTCATTGGTCGATCGCATACGCTGGATTTCCTCTCGAGTTCGGTAGGTCGTGCCTGGGTCGGACATCGAGTGGCCGCCGTATCTGTAGGTTACGAATTCGAAGACGAGAGGGCCGTTTTCGTTGGCGGTGTATTCCTTGCCGTATTGAGTGGCTGCTTTGACGGCGAGGACGTCCATGGCGTTGATCTTCAGGCCGGGGATGTATTGACCTCGCTTATAGTATTCAGTGAGAGCGGAGGATCGTGCAGCGGATGTGCCCATGCCGTACTTGTTGTTCTCACAGGCGAAGATACATGGTAGCTTCCATAGCTTGGCCATGTTGTATGCCTCGAAGACTTGACCCTGGTTGCTGGCACCGTCGCCGTATAAGCTTATTGTTGCAGTCTTGGAGCCGTTGTACTGATGAGCGAATGCGATACCTGCGCCTACAGGGACCTGGGCACCGACAATACCGTTTCCGCCGAAGAAATTGGGAGCGAACATGTGCATGGAACCGCCCTTGCCGTAGGCAATACCCTCTCGTCGACCAAGCAATTCGCCGATGATGGACTTCACAGTGCCGCCGCGCATAAGGGCGAAACCGTGGCATCGATAGGCTGTGATAACTGCATCGTCTCGGGTGATAGCGTGTTCGATACCGACGGCCACAGCTTCTTGACCAGTTGACAAGTGACAGAAACCTCTGATCTTCTTCTCTTTGTATAGTCTATCAGCTGCCATTTCCATACGTCTGTAAAGAAGCGTCAGCATTTTCCCCCATTTGAGATGTGACCACGGCGTAGCATATCTCAGCCACACCGTTGTGCGAGCGCATACCGAACGGCAACCATATCGTAATACATCTTCTTCAGCTCTTTCTTCGTCGTCATCAATTCGTACGGAGGAGGGTCAAGCTCGTAGGTTTCGAAACTCTCATCGGAGAGCTTGACTGGGAATGGCTCATCCTCACTCTGTGCCACAAATCAGTCCTGTCTGCAACAACTCGTAAATTGAGCACGTACGTCCGGCACATCGGCCTTGTCAGCATGCGAACTCGCAGCATCTGTGGTAACTGTTCGCTTTGCGATCTGGTAAGCTTGTCTTCGGGGTGCAGCTGCACCAAGGCCAAAGCCTCTCACACAGGCTCTCGACAGCATATTGACAGTAGTAAACGTGAGAACGAGCAGAAGAGACGACGAGAAGATTAAAGAATGAATGCACCACCACGACGAGCAGCCTGTCGTGTGGTCCTTTCCTGCTTCAATTGCTGAACCTCAACGGGTTTAGAACCATTGAATGGATCTCCGCTGCGAGCTTCCGATTGGCTATCGGGGATCGTGTCTGTCCTCTTTTAGAACGCACTCCTCCTTGGTCCCCAAAGATTTCTAGAGCGTGTTTACAGGAGCAAAGAGCTGCAACTTCGTGTACTTGAATTACGATCGATGATGTTGGACGAGGATAGAGCAAGGTGAAAGTTTCTTGCTAGAGTGGACTTCCAGAGTCCACCACCAGAACACCGATGCCTGCTGCCCCTGCATTACCATTACACCAGGCACGCCCGTGCTAATCTATCTGCCATATGAATAGACGTTGAACGCCCTCGTCGTTCCTCCATTCTCGTGATCCTGAATCTAATATCTCCCACCTGGTACCATGCCAGGTTGAGTACCGTAAGCACCCGTCGACATGCCTCCCATACCCATATTGGCTTGCTGCTGGATCTGTTGTCCTACCTGATCTCGCACTTGACCTTGCATTGGTGGCAGGTCATTGAACCAAGGATGTCTCAAAGCTTCTTGAGCACTGATTCGATTCTCTGGTCTTAGTTGCAGGAGCTTGCTGATAAGATCGAGGCCGAGATTGTCGACTTGAGGTAGTAGGATGTGCAACGATTGTGTCGCGTAACTTGGGAAGTTGCCCTTGTATTCCGGGAGCTGAGAAATACCTGGCCAAGTTCGCTCAGATGGTGTGCCCATTAGTCGGAAGATCTTCTGCAATTGGTCCTCGTTCGTCGTACCAGGAAATAGTGGTCGACCAGTATACATCTCAGCCATGATACATCCTGCCGACCATATGTCTATACTGGTGTTGTAAGTGCGCGAGCCCAACAGCACATCAGGAGCTCGATACCAGAGTGTCACGACTTCGTTGCTAAAAGTATTAACAGGAATTCCAAACGCTCTTGCTAGACCAAAATCTGCTAACTTCAGTTGACCCTTGGTATTGATCAGCAGATTTTGTGGTTTCAGATCTCGGTGTAGGACTCGGTTCTCGTGGCAGAAGGCGGTTCCGCGAAGTAGGTCTTGCATAAATCTCTTGATCGTCGGTGAATCCAAGGAGCCACGATCGCCTCGCGCGTCCATATATTTTTTCAGGTCTTTGTCCATGTATTCAAAGACCAGCATCAGTTTGTTCTCGGTGTGAATGACATCGTGCAGCGTGACTATGTTTTCGTGTTTCAACTCCTTCATAAGTGAGATTTCTCGAATTGCGGTCGACGGCGTGCCTTCTTCACTGTCTAGGTGTATTTCCTTGAGGGCTACTAGCTCACCAGTCTGCCTGTTTCGACCTTTGTAGACCTGGCAAAGTAGACGTTAGCGTAGGCCACAGCAGCGATCTGGCAACGCAGGAGGCGCAAGGAGTGACGTTATACGAGACTTGAGATTTAGGTGTATTGACTTACTGTAGCATATGTGCCTTCACCTAACTTCTCCAGCTGCTGAAAAGAGCTGGGGTGCCGCCTGTCCATATTTGAAACTGGTTGCTGAACAGTCTGCTGTAATCTTTCTGACCTCTGTTGCGTTACTAGTGGAGGTGGTTGGTGCTGGAATAGGATTGAGCCAGGCTTGACAATTCGTCGAACAACGTCGTGAATAGAAGATTCTTGTTCCTGCCGGGACCGGCCCTGAGGTTGATACCTGATTGCCGTTTCTGCACTGGCAGAAAATGTCTGCGCCGACTGTGACTGCGATTGTGATCGCGATCGTGGTTGTGACTGGGATGCTGCGGCGGCGGGCGTATTTGCGGCGGCGGGGCTTCTAGAGCCAGTCTCGTCAGGCTCTGGCACTTCGGCCACAGTTGGGTTTGTCGGTATTGCAGACGGCGTCGACGATGAATTAGACGTGCGATGCGGCAGGGAAGATGTAGAAGTATGTCGTGTATGCGAAGACATAGTTCGAGGTCGAGCTTTAGCCGTGTCAGCCTGTTTGCCGGACACCTACATGATCGTCGTTTTGAAATCCTTGGGCAGGCGACGATGCAATTTGACCGAATCATCTTGGACGTGTTAGGCAGGTTGCTCCCTGTTTGTGCCCCAATCTAAGAAGCTCTCCTTCCTTGCCGCGCGCCTATAAGCGGCTGGCTTACGAGGTTTGCGTGAGCGAAAGCAAGGATCGAGCATTCAATCTTGTTACATGCCTTTCATTGTTCTGCATTAAGTGAGAGAAGAATTCAACGTTACTATTATTAATGTCCTGCATAAATCGTCACAGTCGTCCGCCCATAAAAAGTCTGTGTTCAAAACAGCCAGATTCATCGCCTGCGACTTCCCATGGTACGAAATGTCAATATGCTATTCCGATACATTCTTCCAAGCCCCAGAATTGCAAGACTCCTCATATGCCAGACTTGCTATAAAGATATTCCCGTCATCGAGATAGCCATCTCGACTTTTCTAGTTCTCCATGCTTCTATACAATCTTTTTATTCAAAATGCTGAAACCACATTGCTTGCTAACTTGTTGTCAAATGCTGCGTCGGGGGTATCATCAAATCAACACAATCTCGCTGAAGATGCACGCTTCGTAAATGTCGTTCTCGATCGTCGTAAATAGCCTCTGTTGTCTTTCTACGTTGCTTGTCCTTACCTAGGAGCTTTTGTGCTACCTGCTGTTGCGAGCTTAGGTATCGTTGGCTCGCTCATCGTTCTTCTTCTTTCCTCCACCCGAACCGGTGGCTTCTGTGAGTATGCGATCAACAGCTTGAAGCTCGCAGCTCTTGCTTTGCATTCCTTTATTACTTCCTTGCTCGCAAACACACTCTTCGATGTGTTGCTTTCCGTAATTATACCTGCTTCGAAGCAGTGTTGCCACCAACTCCGAGCAGTCTTGGATACCATGCGTCCAATCTTTGCATCAGCGTTGTCTGAATGATCAGCAACGAGGTCATTGAGCGAGAAATTGGCTTGTCCACCAAGATTACCGTAGGGCCGTGGTCCGGCTGATAAGCGCCTACCAGGTCCTGCCCCAGATCCCGAGCTTGATCGTGACTCTGACGAAGAGTCTAATGACCCTGCTGGCTTTCCGACAACAGGCACCCCAACGATACATCTGTTGAGGTTGGAGAAGCCGTTAGATCCAAGTACATGTTGCACGTTATCAATGATAGGCTTCAGGCTGACCGTGCGATCAGCTGCAGTCATCTTGATCTTTAAATCCTTGATAGCTTTTCTTGTTTGGCTGCCCATGTTCACAATATCTAGGTCAAGTACCATCAGCTCGAGGTATCCCCCACGAGCCAGTGCCCTTCGACATTCAGACACAATGTTCTTGAGCTTCGAATCCGGCATTGCTGGGGGGAACCGAACTACAATCGCAGTGAAGAATGCTGGTGGGAGTGGAAATTTCTCGTTGAAACTGGACAGCTCTGATCGTCTGTGGTTGGGAGGTGCCCCTTCGGATGACTGAGCTGTTTTTCCTCTGCTTTTACCGATGCGCCGCTCCTTCAGATCGTGGACGAAGACTTCTTGTGCTTGGTATGTAACTGCACAATAGATGGACCAATCTTCGTTCCCGAGCCCATCAATGACAAGGACATGTCTCTGGGAATTTGTTTCAAGCTCCAGGTGAGCTGGTGAGAACAACACACGACCAAACGACAACCAGCGTGAAACCATGAGAGATGCATATTGACGATCAGAGTGCTTCGTCGGATTATGCGTTCTTTCTATCTCTTCCAAGTGTGCCGCATTCTCGTACTGCCGAACACGCGAATGGTCTCGTTGTGGTTGGACCGATGCTAACGCTGAAGATTCGCTAAGGTGATCAGAGAATTTGCCGCTGCTGGGACGACCATACTCGTCTAGGAAATCACGCATAGAGAAAGGTGAAGAAGGTGCATACGACGACGTGTGAAGAGCAGCTGCAATCCTCGATCGTCTCAGCCTTATCTCGTCAGATGACGGCATTTCTTGCAATGAGGCACCACTCGAAAGGGGTAAAGGAGGAGTCAGCAATGAGCCCTTCGAGGTTTGAGCTGCTGGCATGCGAGGTGGCAGTATAGCAAGGCCTTTAGGCACTATATCACCTTTCGACACGACTCTATCCCTGCCAGAGATCCGTAATGTTCTGTCGCCCTTCTTTTGTGTGGAAGACGGCGACTTTGTCTGCTGAGTCGGGGACATTATGTCGTCCATGAAGTCGTTGTATTCATGCCACACATCGTCATCATGAAGCAGTTGCTCCGCTTGTGCATCAAACGATGACAGCTGGGAAGCTGGCGGACCCATTATGCTGATGATTCCTGTAGACTCTGTGGATGTTGTAAAGTCGGAATCACGCATTGACTGATATTTCAAAAAGTCTGAATCCATATCTTGTGCCTCGGAACGTTTGACAACTGACGGTTCTGTCACTTCATCATCGAGTCTGCTGATTTTTGGTGGTCTTGAAATGGTAACAGGTGGTATTTGGGTTGTCAGACGTGGCAGTCGATCTCGACTTGGCTTTGACTTAACAGTGATAGGTCTCGATTGTCGCTCAAAAGGAACCGTAAATGCTTCTGACGCAGCTACACCAGGTTGAGCTTGCTGCCTGGTTGGAACAACTTTCGGTATCCGACCCACCTGTGCTAGACGAGGCTGCCTACGTACTGGATGAGGCTCAGATACATGGTCCTTCTGCAAATACAGCATCTCTGGCGATAGCGCCTGAGGCACCTCGGTCAATTTCGGTGCTCCTGGTCGCGCTTGCTTGGACAACGCCATTGGCAACAGGACAGACTCTGGACGGATATTTGGAGTTCCTAGAATTTCGTCGTCTGTTAAACCAACGGAAATTACTTCGTCGTCTCTCTCAGGTGATTCTTGAGCCTCTCGAAGAAATTGGCCGATAGTAGTGGTTGTAACTACCTCAGACTCTGAACCAAGCATAGCATAATATGGCACGGGTCTGTGTGCCGGAGCCGCAGCGACGTCAACAGACATGCCTGGGCGTTTCTGCGGACGCTCGATTGGCCGCTGATTTCCTTCCGAAATGCTATCTTTGCGCCGAAATATGTTCCATTTCAGCTTCTTGCTTCTGCCTTTCTGCTTGTCCAGCAGTACAGGGTCAATTCGATACATAGCACTGGCTGGGGTAAGGAGCTCTGAAGATCGCGTTGTGTTGCGGCTGTCAAGGGCTGGTGTTGCAGCGAGACCAGATGTTTCGATTGGTTCCGGCATACGGAAGGATTCCTCACTCAAGGCAAACTTCTGCGACCGCCGTGTCGCTAGGGTTTGCCTGACCTCTTCTGTAGCTGGTGGGAAACGTTCTCGACGAGGAGACGAAGCTCTTGTGTATGCCATATACGTGTCACTGGAGCTCATAGTGCTCAAACTCACATCACTGAGCTGGGGATTTTTGGGGAAGACTGGAAATGGATTCGTCCGTCCTCTCTGCGATCCTCCTTTCATCGCAATAGGCTTCATACGAGTTGCTGCAAAGTCATCCAAATCCGATTGATCTTGACTAGCGCTGCTCGTTCTGCTTTGCCGTTTCTGAACAGGATTTCGCGCATTGCTTGTGACCGAGGTTTCGCTCTCAGTGCCACCAATGTCGCTACCACTTGACTGCTTGCGGATTCTTCTTCCAAATCTGCCGTAACCTTCATGGCCCGTGCCTGCTCTTGGTCCTTTTCGTGGTTGTGGATTCTGAGCCTGGCTGTCGGTTTCTGCCTTCTCCTTGCTCCTCCCGAAAAGGGCTAATTTCGAGAACTTGGCGAGGCGACCCCGAGCACCAAGCTTTTCGACTTCACTTTCGTTCTCAGAATTGGAAGGCCGTCTATCACGGCGTCTTGAAAGGCTTGGAATTCTGCGGTGTTGATTTTGTGCTATGGGTAGAGGTTCTAATAGCTGTCTTGAGCGTGCTGGATCGTGGCATGTGGCTTGAGTGATTTCTCGCGGAGGATCCGTCGCTTGTGCTCGAGGTTCTTGATGTGGCGCTGTATTTAAGACGGCTTGGAGTCTTAAATGTCCACGGCCTAGATCTGCACTTTCTGCATCTAGCCTCTCCGTATTGTCCGTTGCAGCGGGCAGAGGTATATCGGAGGTAATCGCTAGTCCAGGCAGGTAAGTTAGATGTGACGCCAGTGTTTCTTGAAGGCCACTTCTACTCGTCGTGGCACTATTACTACGAGATCGTGCTGTTTTTAGAGAAGATGATCGAGGTGGAGGTGTTGGCTCAGGAGTCACAGGTGTTGACCTTTTTAACTTCCTTCCACTTCGTTCACCTTGGTTGGTCAACATCACCTTCGATGACGGTGCAGGCGGCTGCGTCTCTTTCACCATCGGTAATCTTGGGACTCTAGTTTTGACACTTTGTGGAACAGGCACTATATCTGAACGCTTGCTTGAAGCTGAACTCGGATTCACGACGTGCGGAGAAGCTGAGGACCACGATATTGGGGTCGTGGTAGTGGTTGAGGCGCTCCAGGGACTGGATGAAGTGGTGAACTGAGTGGACGGACATGTTGATGGGCTACTGATTGAGCCTATTGACGACGAAGCAGGATTGACAGGCCGACTACTGCTGGCTGCTAATGCTTGCAGCTCTGGTATGAGTCGTGGTGGCAGACGTGCCGGCGGGTAAGTGCCGGCCTTTTCAGGAACAGCAATACCAAAAACTGTGTCATCGTCGTACTCCAACGGAGAAAATGTCTGGGTGTTGTGTCCTCGCATCGAACTCTCGTGTGTGATAGCTCGCGAAGTATCAAGTCTAGGGTAGGATATCGTGGACGGACCTAGATTTAAAGCTTGAAGTGGCGGAGACCTTCCCGCGTAGGCCGGCGTGAGCCTCGACGATGCAAACGAACTTGACAGTGCTTGCGCTGAGGAGGATACAGGTCGTGGCAAAGTAGAAGGCTTTGAGGACATGGACCGTGGATTGCTGTCGGAAGTAGCATCTGGTCGTTTCCGGCTCGTTGTTCTCGAGATGCCACTTACGCGCTTTGAAGAAGTAGTGGTGGAAAGCTCGTGGTTCTTCAGGGCAATGTTGTCTGACATCAACGAGGGTGGTCCGGTAGAAGTAGTTCGGAAAGATTTCGCTTGAGTCTCAGTTGTTCGACTTCTGTGCGACGACATGTCTGCTGTGAGACCCACACTTCCCTCCCGAGATACACTTTTTTTGGATTTCCAAGTCTTCTTGGTGATTGCATGCCGGCTGTTCTAGCTCTAGTACATTCCAGTGGAGGAGATGACTTGATATGCTGAAATATGCTGTGTAACAGGAAGGGACGAGTATGATAGTAATTGGACTCCGATGACCCTTTCGAAAGTGAGCTCTATAAATTTGGCGATACAATTATCCGAGCTCGCTTTCGCGATCCTGAAGCCTTATTCAAAAGAACATAAAATTGTCTTTGCCCTAATCCTTTGCGCGGAACAGCCAATCCACCGAAGTGGGAAGTCGTAGTTGTACCTGCAAGGGTGTTGATCCCGCGCTGGATGTCCTCACAACGATCGAAATATGTATATTAATAAGTACAAGATTTGAAGTGAAAGTGTATATGTGAATAATTAAGAACGGAAGAACAATTAGGATTTGTCGATTAGCAACATCTGGATTTCGAAGTGCTAGAATCTGACGCTGGTGAGGACGGCGAAAGCAATGCAAGTTAGCAGCCACAAACGGGTTATGACCCACTTCGGGTATGAGAAAACCTACGACCCCAGGTCCACTAGTATGCTGAAGGTGCTGTTCCATGCGGACGCCACATGCCGTTTGGTAGTCATCATTACCTGAACCATACCAAAACCAATTGAAGTTCGGGAATTCGACGGTTGAGAAGCAGTAGCACATCCAGTAAGAGCCTCGCAATGCCTCAATGACAAGAAAAAGCGGTGGAACGGTCCAATCCGCATAAGCCCAAGATCCCAATTTTGTGATAGGATAGGGCTTCGCTCGACTAGACCTGAGATTGACGTACACGAAAGTGTTCCGTGTATCAGGAATAGGAGCACATGCATCGACCGTATGGATGACCATCAAAGATTTCCACTTGTGCGCCGTTGTTGAAACACTAAGTTGCAACTGGACCCAAAGACAATGGTGAGGGCCGAATCGCTGGGCTCTCTAGTGCCAGAATGGTAATCTTTAGTTCACCAGTCGACGAGCATTTTGGGCCACACGCCAAGGTGGAGACAACAAAGCTCCGAGGCACGCCAGACAAGGACGCCAAATAAGAATTCTCAGGCGTCAAAGCAAGCGCTGAGCGAGTGGACCCAAAACAGCAGTCACATTTTCCTCATATGTGCAAGCTCGCTGTTCATCGACCAATTACGGAATTTTATACCGGAGACTCAGCCGCAATCCATGACTCTGTCCTTGATCTGCACAGACGCGCAGCTGTTGCCTCACATCAGAACCTTGATGCAAGCTCACAAGTGGCGACGACCGTCCTTGATCGCAATATCTCTAGCCACATGCTATGAAGACGCTTTGGCGCCCGAGTACGGAATGTCTTTCTTATCAGTAGAGCCACAAAGCCACCGTGGACATCACAACGGCAGAACTCCCGCCCAGGTTGGAAGTCTCACGGAAATGCTTTAATTCGGTTCCTCATCAGCTGTCTTTTATTAAGCGCGGAGACCAGGTTCGATGCTGCCCTTCTCGAAGCAAAGCCATGGAGAAGAACCTTCAGCCGTTGCGGTTGATACGAAGATCAGATCGACCTATGACAATGACGAACGTACATTTGTCAAAGACGTGACGAAGCAGGCTCCTCTTTCCATCAAAATGTGCTTTTCGTGACGACCCTGACGAGAGTTTGGCAACACGAGGCGGACGACATTCACGCTTAATCTGGCTGCCTTGGAAGGCAAATTATTTGGTATGACAGCTTCTGAAAGTAGCACATTCAGTGTACGACCTATTAAACTATCTATAAATCTGCAGTATAACGTGCGGTGCTGAGGACTTACAAAGAACCCTCGTTCGATAGCATTGCAATGGTATGCCAAGTATCCGTCAAGTGATATTCATCTCATGCACGTTCGGCTATAGACAAGGTGGTGCTGGGATGAGCTTTGACAGAGGTCCATGATCGTACGTGGCCTTGGCTGACCGTCAGTCAACTATACCTGATCACACGATCTTGTCTTTCGTGTCTAGAGAAACTTGAAGCTGTAAGTCCTTTGCGAGTGTGCTAGTTGTGCTTGCACGGGGGTTTGGACTACTAGCGAAAACACAGGAGGATGTAGTGAACATGCTTCCAGTCAATCTCAGCACCTCTGCCACGTTGAATTCAGAATAGGTAGACCTGCTCAAAGCCTAAGTATATACGTCTCAAAGTAGCGACCACTCGAATGGTGATAGTACTATCCCTGGCACTCTGGTCAGATCACAATTGCGCGATGAAATACCAATTCATGTTGAACATAGGTATTACCCGCACTCACTGCGGCGAAGCATTTGAGCAGAAAATGGTGATAGAACAACAAGGCATCAGCAATGCTTCAGGCATCAACGTCACGCTAACGGAACATTGCTGATGTTTGCGATCGCCAGTGGAGAACACGCGCTCCAACGTGAAGTTTACAGGAGCTGGTCGGGCTGTCCTTGCATAGCTGACTTGCTTTCACGATTTTCATCTTCGCCTAATCGTTACGTTTGTTGGAGCAAGGCTCATTTCGGATTTCTTTGGCTTTGACCAAGGGTTCTTTCTTAGATTTTCAGGCGCAAGCCACCAAGAGCGTGATTATGGCCGATTACGCAAAAAAGACAGTTGCTGAGTTGCAAGAAATTCTCAAATCGCGCGGTCTGCCGAGCTCTGGAAAGAAGGCTGAGCTGGTTGCACGGTTGACAGAAGCTGACAAGACGGTTGAAACAGGTATGTCCGCAAATACCTTCCCACGGCTTGCGCAAGACATGGGTAACAAATACTATGCCAATCCATTCACCAATGTCAATACCAGTTCTGATACTGACTGTTACACTAGACCCTGTCGAGTCTGCACCAGCTACAGAAGATGCCTTGCCTGAGGCTGAACCTGCCAAGGAACCTGAGCCTGTGACTCAGGACGCCTCGACTGATCAGCAAGAAGAAACTTCTACCGAGACGGTCAGCAAAGAAGCTGCAGCCCCGACAGCTGAAGAGAAAAAGGACTACTCAATCGGTATCGCGGCATCTGATGTCGACAACGAGATGGCTAAGCGCAAAGCGCGTGCGGAGAGGTTCAAGACAGCACCAGCAAATGCTGATGCCGAAACTACCGAGACTGCTACGCCGGACACCGATGCAATCAAGCACTTAGAAAGAGCACAGCGATTCGGCACGGGTACCAATGCTATTGGTAAGCTAGACGAGGCTTTGTCTAGCGAGCGACCAAGGGGCAGCAAGCGTGGAGCTGGTGCTGTTGACGAAAATGCCACTCTCGACGATCCCGGCCTGAAGAGAAATTTCAACAAAAAAGGAGGTCGTTTCAATGGAAGGAAGACAGGTGGCGCAGGCAAACCGACAGGAGTTGCCAAGCCAGGCTCAAATGCCTTCTCGAACGAGAAAGACAAAAAAGCAGCTGAAGCAAGAAAGAAGCGTTTTGCTGCTCAGTCGTGATTGTCCGCTTGGTAACGGTCTGTGTGGCAGCCGTGACTCTGTTGCCGGGCTCCAATAAGCTGGCTGACTCTGGTATTCGAGAAGAGCGCAATTTGGCAGGAAACCGTTGGAGCATCATCTGATCCCGATCTTTCGATAATAGCATGTCTTTGTTACCGTTTTTGTCTCCACTGTGTGCATTACGCAGTCTTTCGACGGCTCTCTGGGCGTTTCATCCGCAGTGCAAAAGCTGCAAAACAACTTTCGCTTGCAGGATGGACGTGGGACTGGTGGTCAGCGCAAGTCTTGTCCAGCCGTCTACAATGCTTAACAGAGGTCACGTACAATGAGCAAATCCAAAATATACACCGCTATCACGAAAGAAGGGCATTGGTAATTACGGTTCTACATTTAAGCAGAGCACCTCTCTACTGAAACGTAGCAGCTATGGTGAAGAGAGACGTCATATGCTTATGAACGAACACATCACAACCACGATGTTAATACATCATGTCAAGCAGGTCCTGTAGTCCAGTACTACTGCTGGCCGATGGGATCAACTAAGTTGTTGCTTTTCGTTCCTACAACAATTGTGCCACGAGCACTGATCTGAAAGAGCCAGTTTGCACGGCCAGCCGTATCGGCAAACCACTGCTCTTCCGTGTCTCATTCGCCAGCTCGATCCACTACTTACTGCATTTCTGCATCACGATTCTCAACCACAAGATACAAAATGGCGCCGCCAAACGAGGTCGATAAGACTATCCATGACAAGGCCACAGGTGATGCATACGAGACTGCTACTCGCCACGAAGCAGAGAAGTCCCTCAAGCTCTACGCTGGTTGGTTCTGTCCGTTTGTACAACGCACATGGATCACACTGGAAGAGAAGAAGATCGACTATCAGTACATCGAGATCAATCCGTACCACAAAGACCCAGATTTCTTGAAACTCAACCCTCGGGGCTTAGTGCCAACACTCGCTGTGCCTATACCAGCTCCGAAAGGAGACACACACCCTACCAGCAATGGCGATTCCAAGGCGTCTTCGAAACAAGGTCGGCCACTTAGGCCACTGTATGAGTCGATAGTCATTGCCGAGTATCTAGACGAACACTTCGCAGACGCCAGCAAATATGGGCCACGTCTATTGCCAGAAGGTGATGATGAGCTCGCAGCATACGAGCGAGCAAGATGTCGACTCTGGATTGATCACATATCCAGTCGTATCGTCCCTGCCTTTTACCGTTTTCTTCAACACACTCCTGAGAAGAACTCACAATACACCATCGACGACGCACGATCGGCTCTTCTAGGTGCCATCAAGACTTTCGTCAAGCAGCTCGTCGAGATGGATAGCGAGCGCGACTCACTCTCTTCATCGCCAGGACCTTGGTTTCTAGGTGATAGGTTCTCATTGGTCGACATCACATTGATTCCGTGGGCGCTTAGATTGTTCTTGATTGACCACTACAAGAAGCCGGATGGCGTTGGCATACCTGAACCTGGCAAGGGTGGGAACGATGAGGAGATCTGGAATAGATGGAGGACCTGGTTTGCTGAGGTGCACAAGCGGGACAGTGTCCTGAGCACAATGAGCGAGCGAGACAGGTATATCGAGGTATACAAGCGTTATGCTGAGGACGAGACTGGGTCGCAGGTTGGTCAAGCTACTAGAGGTGGTAGCAGTCTGCCATGAGTATACTGCTTTCCAGCAATATAAAATAAAAGGGCTGGCGATAGCTGTCAAATTGTATCTATGATTCCAGTTTTCCCGGGTCTATCCATGCAGTGTATAACCAGCCTATTGACCAAGGCCTTATTTATTCCCCTTCAAATTATCGCTCAACCCGTAACCCCTAATCTTCTCCCATTCTATCCTTTGTCTCGTGACCGGTAATTGCCGTCTCAGCCCTCTGAAAGAGCCCTCATTCATCCCCACCAATGCTCGATTGACTTCCTCCTGATACTGCTTCTCTAGCTTCGCCAGCACACGCACAATCTCCGAACCACTATCACCAATATTATTCTCCGAAACCTGCTTCGTCGTATTCAGCGCCACGTTCCCGTCCTCATAATAGTGTACCTGGGCGGCAATCGTCCCCGTCAACGTCCGTGAACCGGTATTGTAAAGCAGCGTCGTCCGCCAACGGCCCGAGACAAAGTTTTGTGGTGAGGCTTTGGTTGCGCTTATCAGGATCGCGATCTCGGTCGGTGTCTCTGAGGGAGAAGCTACTGTATATGCGGAGCCTGCGGCTGCGGAGGATTGTGCTGGATAGTGCTCTGCGACGTGTGTGGCTAGGGACTTTTGGATCGAGGATATTAGGTCGTTGTTGGTGGAGTCGTGGGTGTAGGATTGGGGGTTGCTTGCTTTTTGGGTTGTGTGATCGAAGGTGAAGGAGGTGGAGGTTGTGGTGTCGTAGTATTTGTTTCCTTCTAGTCTGTTGTAGGGGCTGACTAGTACCTGTGTATGGGTTTAGTATGCGATGATGCCTTCTAGTTGTTTGGTAGGGTATTGAGGAGGGAGTCCTACATGTTGCGAGCCACCTGACAGTTTTGCGCAAACTAGTTGACTCTCGTTGTAATTCTGGAAGGCTGCCTTTACTTTAGGGTGCTGTAGTAGAGAAGGATCTCCGTCCGATGTGAGTGCTTGGATAGATTGGACGACCTCTTTGAGCTCGCCTGGCGGCGTGCCTTGAACAAACGATGAGACTACTTCAGCTGAAGCCATTGCATTAGAGTATCGACAGTGGTCGTGCGTAAACTTTCAAAGTGTTGTATTCAGCGCTCGACTTTGTGGTTGTCTGTAACGAGGTGGGCTCTAGTAACAGTTCGGGGCATGTCTCGAGCCCGCAGTGAAGCGGAGTGCAGGGTTTGCCTCAGTCCAACCGTGCCAAACCGTAACTTTTCATTTGCACGATCTTAGCCACTCTCTACGCTACTGATTACAGGCGATTCGTATCCCCGTGGAAAGTGTTAGATCTCAACTACTCCTGCTGGACCGGCCTATGCATAATGTACTATCGGCTTGATCGAAGAGACTTGCTGCTATCAGTGGAAGACGCATGTTTATGCAGACACACCGAATGCTAGCTTGATGCATTGTCTCAGAGGCAGCAGCATGGCGTGTAGACCAGTCGAAGAAGACAACGCAATTGGGGATCGTCTAAAGAAAAGGAAGACCAAACAACAATCGAGGAACTCCTGCGAGCCGACTACTGGATGTAGAAGAATTCGCAACGACACATGAAGTAACCACCAAGATTTGCTATCCTTCTTCTAGCAATGACCTTCCCTGCTAATCAACCATTCAATCTAGCCTTCTTTGCTTTCGCAAGAAACCTTCCAAGAGCCATCATTGGGAAGTGATGTCGATAGTACTCATATCTGAGCATACAATGGTTTGGAAAGCCGGTGCCTGTAAATGCTGTTTCTGGCCATGACCTGCCACTTGATACGAGCAGCGGCGAATCGCCTTTCGAAGCATTCTGTTGCTTGTACTGAACCGAGCATTGTTCGCGGCAAGTCTGTGTATCAAGCAAATATCTGATACCTTTCATCACAGTTGGATCGGATGGTGCCCGATAGGCAACAAGTGCCATCAATGCCCATGCTGTCTGCGAAGCGGTTGAGTCGGCAGCTTCTGTGAGGCCACTTAGTTCAGCACTGACTTGTGAGGCTTTGTCTTTATTTGTTTTGTACGACAAAGATGATTCACCCCATCCACCATCCCCGTTCTGCGAGATATCCAGAAAGTCTATACCTCTCTGAACTACATCGTCCAGAACCTCGTATTTATTCCTTCCTCGGAAATATTCGAGACTACAGAGCACTGTGCTTGTGCCGAAGATGTAATTGCAACCCCAGCGACCATACCAGGAGCCATCATGTTCCTGCTGACTCACAAGATAGTCGATGGCTCGCTCGACAGCGATCCATATACGATCATGTCGTCTTCCAATTCTCGTCTCTGAAGGTCGCTGTTTGCTATTGGTCTCGTCGAGGTGTTGCAGGATCAGACTTAAGGCTTCAACGACTCTGGCAGTTATATCTGCTGTCGAAGGATCAGCGAAACTGTTCATGTCAGAGAACGGTATCTTGTTGATGTAAAGCTTGTTGTTATCGACTTCATATGACGCCCAGCCACCATCGGAACATTGCATGCCAAGCATCCACTCTACCGCAGCAATAATACAATCAGAGTCGAGGTCTGTCGTGCCTTCTTTGATTAGGGCAGTCACTGCAGCTGCAGTATCGTCGAGATCTGGAAACCATCTATTCTGTTCCTGGAAGCTGAAAGCACCGGGGCTAATATGAGGACGATATATACGCCAATCTCCTTCGTGACCAAGCAGCTGACGTGCTTTGACCCAGGCCAGAGCTTTTCGGATTTGTTGCCGGGCTCGCGAAATAGCATCAGCATCACTCTGACCGCTGTAGCTGTCGACTAGACCGATCGACATGAGAACAGTATCCCAAATAGGGCCAGTGCAGGCTTGAAAACGCATACCAAGGTGGTCATGAACGGTACACCTTTGAAGGGCTTGCATTGCACGGCACAAACGAGGATCATCTGCGGCAATACCTCCAAGGTGCAAAGCGATCGGGTTGAACAGCATTGGATAGCCATGGCCATAATCTCCTGTTGGTTCTTGGTGTTTGAGTATCCAATCCATACACGATCGCAAAGCAAGATTTCGAATCCAAGGCAGCCCGCGGGGCCATATGGCAGATTGCAAATGTAAGATAGAGTCAGCTATCTTTGCTCCGATGGCAAACCATTGTCGTCCGCAGAGCAAAGTCCAGTAACTCGGAGTGTATGCAATTGGTTTGCGAGGCTGAGCAGACCAGAGCTCATCCAGAAAGTTGTTTCGGCTTGAACACCCATTCGGCAGTGCGAACACAGGCCGGTGGTGAGCTATAACTAAAAGTGCGATTATAGCAGATCGAGCCCAAGATGAGAGTTTGTATATGTTGATAGGCATAGTCGAAGGGATGAGTATCAATTCGGCTGGGAGGATCGGGACGTCGTTCCAGGATATCAGCCCGAAAAGTGCAAGCCATATGCGTGTGAGAAACCGAATCGAGCCTATACCACCCTGAGATTGAAAGAACTGTTGGACAGATCGCATGACTGGATCGCTGCTACCAACACCTAGGATCTTCAATGCAAGATATGCCTCTACAGTAATTGAATGACTGCATGGCGTATCAGGTGCAGGAGACCAAGATCCATCCGATAGCTGTGTATTCCGGAAATACCGAATCAAAGCCTCATGGTCAGAGCGAAGATCCACACCCATGGCATACATCATGAACACATATGCGGCTGTGAGAGACGCGTCGCTGCGAAGCTCTCCAAACCAATGGCCGTCTGGATAGGCCGTGCTGTACGCATACTGTTGAGCTGCAAGTATCGCATCTTCGACACTGGGGATAAGTTCCCACTGTGTTGACTGCTGCTTCTCAGATTCTTTCTGATCGTTGGCATGGCCGTGCTTGCAATTGCTTAGATACGGGGTCATCGAGACCGCTGTTCTCAAAGACGATCAAACGAAACGAATGTGCTTTGCGGGTTTGCAGTAAGCTCATTCGCATTGCTGCCCTGTAAAACATTCACCTATATACCAGAAACTAGCAAGCTATTTCTTCGATATGACATTCATCGTGCATGGCCGACCTCTGTCCCAAGCAATTGTGACATGCCCCGATGAGGATGACAGAAATTGATAGTCTGAAAAATGACTGCCGTACTCATTCAGGGTGCATCATGCTGTAGTCGGGGGAAATTCACTAGACGCCTCAGCACGTCTACGGAAGTGACGCTGTGTAGTTGATTTCTGAGGTAAGCATGATTCGGGAGGAAGCTTACAAGGTTGGACTTACAACGGAAGATGTGGGCGACTGATCGAACCAAGGTTCACGTCAAGTAGTCGGTCAGCCGTTTCTCTGAGCTGAACATCAATACACTATTTCACGTCAAGGCTGATCATGTCGCGTGCATGGAGACTTGAGCTTGTTACCAGTCGACACAGATGTCCGTACGTGCTATCAGGGTGTGGTAAGTCGCCCGCATGTCTGCAAGCCCTATATTCGTCGTAGACGACGCGTGATACTACAGAGTATCTTGTGTAGTCGTCGGAGATCGCAGCAGGTGGTACTCGAGTACCTGCGTCCACAACACGACTCGCGTACGACTTGCCAAGCAGCCGCGATCGTCGTCGGCGCCTCCACTTCAGTCGTCGAAACTTTGTGTTTTGACGTTCTACGCTTCCACTTCCCACACCACTTCGTTTGCTGACAGCCATCATCCGTAATACAATTGCTTCATTTACCTTGTGACTCGTGGTGCTCCGTCGTTGTCGTGGCAGGAGCCATTGCCTTGACTGTCTGGCCAACGTAGTTTCGTTACACTTGGTCCATCCTGACACCCGATAGACAACGTTGGATCAGGATAATCTTACCTACAGAGGGCCAAGCAGAGACAGTGCTCGATGACAAGCTGTCTAGCTGCGTAGTTCATTGGCAATATATGTCAAACTTCCTATTGTTCATCAATCACGACTGAATAGGTAATGCCTCGACATGTCAATTCACGCCCGGATACAAGGCTGTAAAGCTTTACGTATTCATTCTCCTGCTCTAAGTTTGCTCAAGGGAAATCGGCACCAACCTCGAACACGTTTGACTAGATATTGGTAGTCTCGACCTACGAGTATCTGTCAAACAAGGAGCTGATCGTCTAGGGCGAGCAGGCAAATCTTGGTCAATAGCGATTTCCGGATACAGCCTTAGGAGATTTAGAGGATGGCCTTGTGTGAGCGAGCCATCCGATGGAACCATAACAATGCCTACACTACCGAGCTCTGACATTTAACTATGGCTGGTGGTCATTACTCCATCCGCTTCAGACACCTTTTCTCATGTTGTCCCTGTACCATACGATAAAATACAGTTGACTAGTTCCTGGCAGACATAAACACTAGGACATCCAGACTACTGCAATGCTCTTCAGTTGCTTGCTCGAACTTCAATCGTACTCCGATCGTGCGTGAAATTCCACAAAGAAAAGGCTCGACAAGTGGAAAAGAAAGAACAAGTACAGCAAAGTCTCAAGCTCACGCCATCGCGATGCTCGCGGACATCAATGACCTGGTTGTTCCTGAGCCAGCAACATTCGCTCTGGCTTTCATTGTCATGTCAGTCAGCATATACTTATTGAAATCAATCTGTTCTCCGGTGGTGGTCCCCCCGCGCACAATTCCGTCAACGAGATCAGGCTATGGATGGTTCGCAACAATACGAGAGTTTCGAGATCAATTATTCGATCTCTCTAGCGTGCTTCTGAGGCGACATGCGGAGGTGAGTCCAATCTTGATCTCAGTCTATGCATAAACACGGCTCATTTGTTTGCTTTCATAGTATGCTGCATCGGACAAACCTTACACCTTGTCGACCATAATGACCGGCTCAGTGGTTGTCCTCCATCCCAGCAAAGTTACTTGGATTAATAAGTTGTCTACCAAGTCTGCAAATTTTCTGGACCTAGTCAAAGATCGATTTAGCCTTCAATACACCTTGTTTGACGATCATATTATACAGGACCCTTTCTGTCTCAAGGCTTCAATCAGAACACTGAGACAACATGGGGCTGCCATGGTTGCGAGCACAGAAGAGGAAATCAAGCTGGCTTGCGATGCGGCCTTTCACAGCTGCGCAGATGGTGTCACACAGGTGAATTTGGCCACAGCACTTTCTCCTGTCCTATCACGCCTCCTTAATCATATGCTTGTGGGAAAACCCTTGTGTAAGTGTCCATCTTTTCCTGGTGGATGTAAATCTATATCGCAGGTACAAGGACCTTACTGGAACACTAAACAATGTCATAGGTCGCAACGAACGATACATGAAGAATCTTGCTGTACAAAGGGAGTATATCATGCCCCTCGGCATGCTGCTTGCATGTTTTCCAGGTATATTACGGCGCCCACTTGGTCGGGTCATGAAATCTTATGTCTCGAGCATTGCTCGTGGCTGCATGGCTGATCTGAAGCCTTATTACCAGCATATTATCGATTATGTTGGACAAGATACCCGGAGGTTGAGCGCCGAGCTGGAGAATACCTACCTGCGTCATTATCTGGATATTGCCAGGTCTATGCCAAACCACGATCGTGCTGTCCAGCTAGACGTGATCACCAGCATGGCAGTTCAATTAGGTAGTGCAGCATTCAATGAGCTTGAAGCTGCCATACCTTCTCTCATGGCGGACGTGCTGCAGGCGGGAACACACTCGAACCTTATGCAGCTGTTACTCAAAGAGATAATACCAGTAACGAGTCTTGGCTTTGCGGAACTATCAGCAGCATTGTGGTCAGCTGACCGTCTCCCTATCCTTGACAGCTGCGTTCGCGAAACTCTACGCATGCATTCCATGCAGTTGCTTTCAATGCAACGCAAGATCCTGAAAAATACCTGTGTTGACGATGGCTCGCAACTCTCAGAAGGCACAAGTATATGTGTCTCAGCATATAGCATTCATCGTGACCACACCTTCTACACTCAGCCAGACTCATATGACCCATTTCGCTTCTACAAACCGACCACGGATGCCGTGGTAGCCACTCTAGCGGCTGTGTCATACGAAGCGGATGAGCACTACCTAGCGTTTGGATATGGCAATCACGTAAGTTGTGTCTCGGCAATTTCGACTTCGATCTAATCTATGACCATCTAGATCTGCCCTGGAAGGAGGGTTGCCACGTCTGTACTGAAGCTGGTTTTCATTCACCTGTTCTCAAACTACGACATACAACTGGTCGACAAAGAGCCGAGAACACGATCAATTGCGATCTTAAAGTGGCACTGGACAGATGTCAAGGTTCGTATGAGCAGGAGAGAGACTGTATTCACGCCCAGATCTTCTGCGTAGTTCATGAGGAGGAAGAACTGGATCAAGTTGAATAGACGTCTAGTTGATCTGACAGATCAATTTTCATTTTGCTGCTTCGAACCTCAGTCATGAAGTGTGCAGGTGTTAGATGATGTTGAGCACATTTGATGAACATAGGATTGAGGGCGCCTTGCTGTAAAGTCTGGATCGTAGAGAAGAAAGGTTAACGTCACAACTGCTTGAACCGCTCGAAGGCATGTACGCTCCGAAGTCAAAAGAGACACACAGCCTATTCACAGACAACAATTTACTAACATTATCCCTGTTGCACCAGATTTCGTCACTGTTGATACAACAGCCAATAATCCGCATGCTGGTACACCTACTCGATGAAGCTACTATTGTAGCACCTGTCGCGACTGCCGGTATTACCTGTGTCCATTCCGGAAACCTTTCGAGCTCGTAAATGCTGTGCTGCGATAACATAGTGCTGGTCCCTGTAAAGCACCGCTCCACCGGATTCTGCATGGAAGCGATCTACAACTCCGAGTTATGCAGCTGATACTCGTGTAGCAATATGGCGTACCGTTGCTAGGTATTGATCTTGCTCATAGTGATTGTCGAGGACAGCATGCGACTCATTTAGGTTTGTTGGATCATCAGCCGGATGTGGCATGACTTCTTGCTCGTGCCGAGAATTGTCTTCGAAACACAGCAGCAGTGATGAAAGTGCATCTGTTCACGTCCCGAGAACGACAGAGGATATCGCATTGTTATGTTCTGAAGGAGCGCAAGGTTTTGACACGTTGCAGACAGGGGTGTAATGACTCCACGTGTGTAACGCGTCGGTAAATTCCTTCGGGTGGCCCTACAAGCCCAGTAATCTGGGATTGTCCCCTGCAATCTGCTCTTCGGGGCCAAATTTGATCATTCGACCGCAGGTGAGGTGTAGTGTTTTGTACTGGTAGGGCTGACTCGAATGGTTCCTACAATGGTATTCTGGTAGCTAGGAAGTCAAGACTAAACAATGAAGGAACGAGACAGATAAATCAGAGCACAGGGTAAATTGATCGCTTCGTGTCTTCTAACGCGCGTAAAAAAAAACCGCAGTTGCCAACACCTATTCATAAGCCCTAACATTACTGTACCATCATTTTCCCTCTCACAATGATAACATTGAGTTCAACGAAAAAATTGTCGCTCATTTGGTATACTCCACGAACTCCTTGCTAGCGCTGATCGACGACAAAAGTCCAAAAGGTGATGGAAAAAAGAGATTAAGGTGAGACATACTCCATCATCAAGCCACGAGGCCGTCACAACGTTTCGGTGCGTCGCTGTCGTCCTGACAATGAGCGCCGTCAAAGTCTGGTTCAGGCTGCTGATCATCAGTGCCATTGTGGAGAGGTTCTGATGGGAAGTCCAAAGGATCGTTGATGCTGAAAGGTTTCGTCAAACATGCCTCAAGACGGTAGCTTGCTCTCTTTGAACTGCTGTCGTCGTGGAACGGCAAGCTTTGTTGATCCAAATGATTGTGGTTGGGTGAATCATGTCTTTGTTTTTGAGGGACAGAACCTCCGTGTAGATTCATCATCGACATTGAGTATGATGCCGACGCTGCTGATGGAAGGTATGACTGGGGTCTTGGTCGAGCAGTGATGGACGGCTCACCCCAGCCCATATCGCATGTCTGGTCACTCGCAGCAGACTTGCTGCTCGAAATTGAAGATTTGGGTGTCACTTCGCAATAAGGCTGGAGCTGGTAGTCTCCGGGCATAGTACTCGCTCGCCGGGCCTGGAACAGCCAGTCGTCCTTTGCTGACGATGAGAAGGTGGCAGCCCTATGGTCATGGTCGATCGAATTGTCTATGCTCTGTTCAGGTCGTGGCGATTTGTAACCAAGTATTTCCCAGGATGGATCGATGATGTCTGGACGCCTCTTTGCGTCTTCCAGCCGTCTTCGTCTCTCGTCTTCAGCCGCTTCCTTCTTCCTTTGCCGATAATGTATGATATATGAGCCGATCTTGTGAGCACCCATGATCGAGCTTGTGGAGTGCTCTTATAACGCAGGTAGCTGGGCGAGAAGAGAATAGAATAGCAGTAAACGAAGAGATGAAAGGCTGATGAGGGATGATGCCTGGGATATAGCTTCACAAAGAGCCGTAAGCAAAAGCATGAAGTGCTTCATGCACGCCCAGACTTTAGTCTAATCGTTGAAACAAGTTAGATAGGGCTGCAACACGAATGTTCAATCGTATGCACTTATTGCAGTCCGCCTGATTCTCGTCGAACAACGAAAGATGTCGAAACGGAAAACGAACAAGTGTAACTGGAAATCGCTATGCGAGTATTCCGTTCCAGCTTTGAGCTTGCATCTCTGGTTGCTCGAGGTTATACAAATCTGCGACATTAGCACAGAACGTCTCAAGCAAGCCAGCCGATAGTGCTTGCGAACCCGACCTCAAACCGGAGCCTGATATTGCTCCGCAGAAACACGAACAAGTGATCATATCGTGGGTACGTATTCCATCCTTGTGAGTGGTCACTCCCAATAGGGCCAAAAGTGCCAGCACGCGTTGATTGTGCATAGAGTTGATGGCCAGGCCTGGAGGAAGTGGGTATCCTCGGAGTTGACATTCACCGGGTCGCATCGCTAAACCAATCTGGGGATAAGACTTGTGCCAAAATGCAAGCATTGAAAGCGCAGGTGAAAGAATTGCTGCTGCGCTGACTCGAAGATAGCCTGCCAAGCCCTCGGCACAGCTGGAACACGATCTCAGGACGTCCTACATGGTTATCGCAAGCATCGCCTCTCGCGCCTCGCTGTGTCCAGCCAGTGATTGAGGCAGCCTTATTACCTGTTTCTGGATTGTGCAGCTGAGACGAGCTCTGCCGTACAATATTCAGACGACTATAATGGACTTACTACAACAAAGAATGAAGTGCTCTACACATGTAACTGACTTACAGTGCGTAGAAAGCTGAGATGGAACCTGTACTCGTACATTTAACGGGTCGTTGTTGAAAGAGTAAGGATGACCGCTGGTTGTTGCATACCGAATCACACTCACAGTAGGGAGTATTGAAGCACAATTGTTTCGTTCCCCTCATCCTGCCAAGGTAGAAGGCCGACGTACCCCTTCCTTATAGACTTGCCACACAGTAACGTGTGGGGAGTACTCCGTATGCTGCGGCAAAATGCTTGAGGGGCGGATGTGGACGGGGTCGAGTCCGAGGAACAAATATTATTGAAATTACTTTAGCAGACTGGTCTAGCAATTGCGATTGCGTTCTTGGAACCAGTTCGACATTGACATTTTGCTAGCCTACTGACAGTCGCGATATCGTTACGACATAATGACACCTGCTCTCGACGTTTATGATGATTCCCACGCCGAAAACGCAAAATTAGGGGCCTTAGGCAAGACGAAGTCAGGCAAGAAGCTCAAGATTCGTACATATCCACAGTTCAAGTCCCTCGAGGACGAACGAGTGTACCGAAAGCAACACTTGGCTGCGGCTTTCCGCGTGTTCGCAGATAGAGGATTCGACGAGGGTGTGGCAGGGCACATCTCAGGTATAATGCGTCTACTATGAAGAGACACCTGTTCGGAGTTTGCTGACTCTTTCCTAGTTCGAGATCCGATCTTAACAGACCATTTCTGTAAGCTGACTGCTCGGTCAGCCATACCGAACTAACTCGATCCAATAGGGCTAAACCCTCTGTCTATGCATTTCTCTCAGATCAAGGTATCGGATTTGATTCTTGTGGACGAGGAAGGCACTGTTGTTGAGGGAGACGAACCAATTAATGCTGCAGCATTTGCGATCCACTCAGAAATTCACAAGGCGCGTCCAGATGTACATGCAGCTTGCCATGCCCATTCTGTACACGGTAAAGCCTTTAGTGTGTTTGGTCGCGAGCTCGACATGATGACCCAAGATTCGTTGCGTTTCTACAAATCTCATGCGGTATACGACAACTTTGGTGGCGTGGTACTCGATAGAGAGGAGGGTAGAAGAATAGCAAAAGCGCTGGGGAATGGAAAAGCTGTCATCCTCCAAAACCACGGCTTGCTCACGTGTGCCGACTCAGTCGATGCGGCAGCATTCTGGTTCATCAGTCTTGACAAGACATGCCACGCACAGCTTCTGGTTGACGCAGCATCTAACGATAAGCCTGGCTATCGAAAGATTTTGATCGATGAAGAAGAAGCTGCATTCTCGTATCAGCAGGTGGGAACAAATGAGAAGGGTTGGTTGGCCTTCCAGCCATACTACGATGAACAGCTAGCAAAGACAGCTGGGGCGTTCTTGGGTTGATCAAGTCTCGTTGGTTGTACTGGACAGCAGAAGAGATGCTTTTTGAAGTATGGTACGGATGACGAGCGTGAATTGTCTTAATACATAACAACGAGCACTACTCGTTTTGTCGTCAACGAGAATTGATTTGATGACAGAGCCGAGCCCGCTGTCACAAGGTGATTACATCTAGCGACAAGAAGTATGTATATTGATAATCGCATCTCTATAATCGCTTGCAGTTTTGCAATTCGCGAATGAGAGAAGCTCTATCTAGCCGTATGGTAGTCCCTCAGGAGCATGATTGGTAAGAGCGGACCTCGGGAACACCCCGCAATCCCTGCAATATGGATTTGACGTCATTTCACAAACAAATCACCTAAATCGTCCATCGAAATGTTCAAACTTCGAGCCATCTCAAATACTGTCTGAGAAGCACAACTAAAGTCTCCACCACGAAATTGGAGATAATATGAGCTGTCAGACTGACGCCGGTCGCAGGAAG